TAAGAATCCCAAATACGTCGATCCCGAACAGCGTGCAAACTACGATGCCTACCGTGGCTTCCGCAGTGACCACATTCATTTGTCTGTCTCGGTCATTGCGCCCCAAAGCAGAAACTGGTCTGTCGATACTGTTCAGCCTTCTTCGAGCTACAACACCGTCCATCTTACCCCACGGTTCTTTACACACTTCTTCAATTGGTGGTCGCTATTCTCGGGTGTGATGTCACTTCCTGTTCGCCAGGGATCGCTCTGGCCAGGTATCACGAAGACGAGCAAGAAGTTCAATCGTCACTTGGCAACAGTCAAATACAAACTTCTCCTTGCGCCCCTGTTTGTGGCTCACATTTACAAACATAAAGACCGCGAAGACTATGCTGAAAATGTTGTAACGGCTACAGGTCTCAAGGTTCGACTTGATTGCCTGAAGCTTGACATTCACCAGCGCCGCGAACAGATCAAGACTCAAGCTCGGGGCCGCTCAAAGCAGACCCGCACCAGTGCGATGCGCATCAACCAAGCTCAAATTGATCTCCAGTCTGCGGACTTCCGCGCTGTTTCTGCCACCATTGAGGGAACAACAGCAGAGGATATCTATCGCAACAAGGACGATGTTATCTCTTCCTTCCAACAGCCTGTTCCATCTGTTGACTTGTCTCGATTCACCATTCCCGACCATAACCTCGACTGGGTTGACATGGATGACTTCGTGGAACCAGACTGGATTCTTCCCCAGGAGTCAAACCCTCGCACCCACATCTTGCCGCTCGCTTTTACCCCACGATTCACCTACTTCCGCAACACAGACCACGGTGATGTAGGACCCGAAGAAACGGGTTTCAGCACCTTTGGAGATGAACCAACTCACGAATGTGTCATGTCCGAAACGAACGACCCCCGCCGAGTCCAGATCGAACTGGTCAAGGATCGTCTTGCCACAGTTGAGGCTCAAACCCGCAACTATGAACGTACCATCGGAGAGCTGGAACTTAAGCTCATGAAGGACGTCGAACTTGATTCCAGTCTCAGGGAGGAGCATGAAATGTTCCTTCGTCAGTCCCAATCTCTGAACAGACGGCGCAAGTTCTTGACTTCAACTCTCCATCGTCTTGAGAGACACATTACACGCGATGAGCGGTCAACCAACAACAATAGCAATATGCTTGGCAACAACGTGGCGCCTAGCAACGCGTCTTTCCAGACAGGGCGCACAGGACGGGATGCTGACTCCACGATGGATGGCCGTTCTTCCGGCCTAGACGGACTCTATTCGTCTGGCAACGATGAGTTCTCTAGTGATTTCAACAATCGTTTCATGATCCACAATGTGCAACTCAAGTGGAACAATTCGCTCCGGAATATCATCTTGCGGTACAGCCATCAAGTGAGTCAGCGGCGTGGATTCGTGTATTACATGTCTCGGCGCGCTGTCAAGTTCATTCTCGATATTGTAGAGGAACAGAATAAAAACAAGCGCAAGCAGCCAAAGATGTCTAAGACACAAACCCGGAGCGAGTACAACGATGACAAAGAAGATGTGGATGAACGCATTGAGCAGTTGCTGAATGACGCCAAGCGCTATGTCAATGTCGAAGAGACTGATCCACCCGACTCGAATGCTCAATCGCCTTCCAACTCGGACGACTCGAGCGAGAACATTGCACCGGAATTCACTCCCCAGAACAGTTACCACTTGCGTCTCATTGCGCCTCAGATTCAGCTTCTCAGCGAAAAGAACAGAAAGTCGGTTTTGCTTGTGGCCGCCAAGGGCATGGAACTTAAGGTCGTGTCCATCATGGACAAAGAGCGTGTCACGGATGACGTGAGCGGCTTGGTGCAGCGCCGTTTCTCCTTGGAAATGGATGGTGCCCAATTTTTCGTTGCCACACAGAAGAACTTGATGACCAACTTGCAATTTTACGCTGGCAACAAGTATGGAAATGCACCGGGATCAGCCTGGCCCCCGTGGTTGACGCTGGAAGCCATGTTCGATTTCGAGTTGAATCCATTTGGATTCTCTCGTATCGTTCAGAAGACTTCTGCTACCCTGCGCTACGATAAGTACAACAATCTGCGCTTGAAGTATAACGAAGAGGTTGCCAAGGGCCAAGGGCCCCGCACCGATGACCAGGAAGACCGGATCGACACGATCAGCGTGGACTTCCCTCACTTCCGTGCGATATGCGATTCTGCAGAGTATTACTCCATGTACATTATTGTGCTGGATCTCATGCTTTACAGCGAACCACTTGAGAAGGTCCGAAACGAGCGCCTCGAGAGGATCATGCTCACCTCCGACTTCAGTGATCTTCGCGGCGCCCCCGAGATGGTCTTCAAGCTTCAAGCACGCATTCGCCAATTGGAAGAGATCAAGGAATACTTCCAGATCAATGCCAAGTTCCTGGACAAACAGGGCTGGGAAGATCGGTTGACTCTCGAACGTGACCTATCTGAATGCGAGGATGAGCTCTTCTTCATGATGAAGGCAATCACTACTTCTCAACGGCGAATGGAATCGAACACATCGAGGGATAGCGTGAATGGCGTCCTGCGCTGGAGCATTTCTGCCAGTGAAGTCGTGTGGCACTTGATGAAGGAGGCTACCGAACCCTTGATTGAATTCCAGCTCAGAAATGCGACATATGAACGGACCGACAATACCGATGGCTCGAACCACAATTTGGTTGCCATTGAGCGCCTTTTTGGATTGAATCTGCTTCCCGATGCTATCTATCCCCAAATTATTGCACCATACCTCGATGGAGCTCGCACCTTGGATGACTTCATGCTGCGCATCAAGTGGCACATGCTTGAGGCCGTGGCTGGTATTCCAGTGGTTGATAACTTCGAAGTGGCATTGTTCCCGCTTAAGATCCAGCTTGAACGTGAGCTTGGTCAGAGAGTATTCGAATACATCTTCCCCAATATGGGCACCACTGCCTTTGAGAACGGGGGCTTCTCGCCTTTCATGATCAAGAACATGAAGCCAGTTGATGGGTCTGATGAGGAAGAAGATGATGAGGAGGACTCCAGTGGAACGCCTCTCACTCGGTCGACCAGTATTGATGGCGCAGACACTTCCTCCATGGATAGCCTGGCAATTTCAAAGGGTCCTGGCGCCATTGAGCTGAGACTTCAGCCTACGCTTTCGCTTTCGGATGAGGCCAAATCGCGCGGTCATCGCTCTGGCCATCTTAAGGGTCTTGCGATGACACCAATCAACCAAGACAAAGACAACAATCGACTTGGTGTATCTGACACCGCGCGCCAAAATGGTCGTCCTTCGACCACTGGCGGTCTCAGCAAGAAGAAATCCGCCGACAGCATTCGTATGTTGACCAAGCAGGCCACCGAAAGATCTCTGTCGAGTAGCAGTGCCGGCGAAGAAAGCCGCAAGAAGTTCGGAATAGGTAAAGGAACCGGCAAGGGTGGTAAGTCCAAGGAACCCACCGACGACTTGTCCCAGATGATCTCCCGCGCTTCCAATTACATGACCCTTGCCCATGTCAAGGTCAACGATGTAGTTCTCTGCATGAGCTACAAGGGCAAAGGCGAGCACAACCTCGAGGATCTGCATGATTTCGTCTTCCGCCTTCCAGTCCTCGAGTACGGCAACAAAACATGGTCCAATCTGGATCTAGCCCTGCGCCTAAAGAAGGATGTCATCAAGGCTCTTATCTCGCACGCCCCTGCCATTCTTGGAAACAAGTTCTCTCATCACCGTCCTTCCAAGCAGCAACAGAGGCGTTTTCGAGAGCAAGCTTCTTCGTCCCAGCTCTTGCCAAAAACTTCTAGTGGTGGCATGCACCCGTCCAGTAGCAAAGCCCATAGCTTGGCTAGCTATGACTCTACTAGTGATTACTCTGAGTCGCGGTCGCGGAAGTCCATGCAATCCAATGCTTCGCCATTGGCTAGGTCTACATCGTTAAACTCGGACGCTCGTGACACGCAGGATACTGAAACTTCTATCCATGACTCGCGTTCAGCCAACGAAGTCGATGTGGATTCTCGCTGGGAGGTTCGTACTCGTACCCGTTCTGCCTTTAATTGGCAATGGAGAAAATCTTCATACTAACACCTCTTGCTATAGGCATCGCGTCGATTTGTCAACCCTCCCCCTCCAGAGAGACCAATGACCTCAGGTCACCTATCTGTAGCCGGGTCCAGCAAGAATGATCAGGATGATAGGTACAGTCTCCAATCCACCCACTCCTCAAACCACGGAACTAACGATACCAACAGCAACATCAAAACACTCCGCAGCATTGGCCGGAAACTGACATTCCGAAAGTGAATGCCCGAGCCATGCTGACCACAGCAAACCTCCTTCTTTTCTCCCTTCCTACTTTGCTTAATTCTCTACAACCTTTTAAACCCCTGTCAACACCCCTTTGTACACCACCAACCACCACCCTAGTTTCTCCAGGCCCCTCGTGTCTCACTTAGATACCCCTCTACCTGCAGCAGGCCGTACATAGGCGTTGATTCATGTTTCTATATGCTTTTTATTTCGGTGTGTCTATGGCGGGGAGAATTTTTGTCTTCTTTTTTTTTTTCTTCTTTTTGGTTACCCGGGAACAGTTGCATAGAGGCGATAGGGGTCATTTCTTTCTTTTTTATGATATATTTTGTCTCTAAACTGTTTGTTCAACACTTTTACCTTGCTCGGCCTCAACGGGCTGTTCTTGATAGTTTATATGATATGATATGTATGACCTTTTGGGTCTTGTCTGACACTGATATCAAAGTCTTTCGTCCCTCGTGAAATCTACCTTTGTGGCTTCTACACAATAGACCAGAAATGCAGTATCAGTGTTGACGTTACTCATTACGCGTGGTATTAACCCTAAGACCGACAACTCCACAATATGATAATGTATCTTGATGCACCACGAATGACAAATCCATCGCTTGCTCTTGGGAATGAAACTTGGATAGCAAAACCCCCATTCCATAACTCCATCGTAACCCAAACCCAAATCACAAATTATACAAAGAAAAGATCATACATAGACATCTCCAGGGACAGCAAGCCGACTCATCCGCTCATTCTTCTCCGCAAGACTGGCGGTTAACATCTTGATATAATCAGCTGCAATCTCCATAACATCAGCCTTAGTCTGCTCAGCGGAGGGCGCCTTTTCTTTCTCTTTCTTCGCAGAAGTACCCGTAGCAGTAGGAGAAGCCGAAATAGCATTGAGGGCCAGCCCTAACGATTTATTTCTTTCTTCGACAAACTCTGCCGGAATAAGAGCTTCCATTTCCTTAATTGCAGCATTGAACCTGTCGCGTCGGTTCCGCTCAGCTAGACGGTGGTATGTACGTCTCTGGTTGAGATTGTCGCGTGTGACTTTGCTGGGGTACTTGACGCCAGGCGGTAACGTGCCATCTTGGATGTGCTGATAGTTTGACTTGGTGGCGAGGTTGTGGGCTGACAGGTCTGGTGGTGTGACTGTTTGATATCGTCAGCACATAAGAAATAATGAATCTATATGTCGGTGGTGACTTACCATTCTGTTGGTTCAGAGAAGGAATAACAGGACTAATTTTGGGTCTCAATTCCGGCGTCGCCAATGGATGCCAGTTGCGTCGCTTCCACATCGTAGTGGAATTCTTGCGTGCAATTGCTCCTTTAGGACTCGGTGATGCTGGACATGGTGACGCGGGGCTGGATCGGTGTGGAGTGGGCGCCAAGTCGAGTGGTGGGGTTGTGGTGGAGATGGATGAGCTTGGTGCTGCTTTTGGTGCCACCTCTGCTGTCGCCGTGGAATTGTGAGTGTAGGGCGCTGTGGGGTTGGAAGAAGCAGGCAATCCCTGTGGGATGCTGTGGTGCGTGGGCTCTACAGATACTTGGCTAAGAGGCGATGCGGATGCCGTAATATGCGCCCGGGGCGAGTGGAATGTGTGCATGGGCGCCATGGGGGTTGTTTGAGAGTCTTTGGAATTCTCGCTTGGTAGATACCAACTATCTCCATTTTGCATGCTGGCTGGCATAAATGAGAAGTCCTGTTGGAGTTGTGAGTGGGATAGTAAGCGCCAAGAGGGTGGTGGAAATACCTCATTGATGGAATTCCATAGATCGGGGCAGCCGTCGGTTTCATTCCATCGGAAATCCATGAAATCATTCACCATGTCGTTGGAGGGCTTCGACTGTGTATTTAGAGACGAATCATTGCCCCAGAATACTGGGGTGGAGGGGAGACCCGTTGGAGTGGAGGAGGCAGAATCCACATCAAGGTGACCCTGGAAAACATCTGCTATTGACAGGTTGTGGTCTGGCATTTGCGTATAGAATTGAAGCATATCGGCAAAGTCATTGTCAACCGAGGCCGACACGGCATGCCGATCAAAGTCCGACATGTCTGAGCAATCTGTCAAGGGCCAAGGGAATAAGAGGGAACGGGATTGGAAGCAAAGGGGGTGTAAATGCAGAGGGGGACAGAGGCAGAGTATTACAGGGTGAGATGAGACAAAATAAAACGAACATCTCCAGGGTGGTCACGCGAGCTGCTACTGCTTATATATAGCGCGATCGGAGAGAGTCCATCAAACAGTTAGACACCAACCTTACCAATCGATGATAGGTCGTCGGAGGAGAAGCCGTACTGGCCATGGTAGACGTATGCAGCACTTGTATTGGAAACACAGTCGCCCCACAGGATCCTTGTGGATGGACATATTTGTACAGGCCCAGCGCAAATTGCAAGTGGAACACTCATCATTAGCTTCTCAGGGATATGTCCCAAAATCTCTAGGGTTGTCTAGAACTCCCGCGTAGGAGCCTAGAGCGGTAATATCGTCGGCAGAGAAGGGCTCCCGTACGCATCATGTACACATATGCCGCTATGAAACCAAGATAACCCGGCCATGAGAAGACACCGGCAATCTAAAAGATGCATAAATGCCGGTGCTACAGCATGTGTATAGAGACACTCCGGAAAAACACAGGCTAAATCCCGGCGTGTCGTCGGGATCCATCGCCCCTTTGGTCGTTTCGCCCGCGCCTGCCCGAGGAATGTCACTGGTCTGGGCTGATTGGTCGCTCGCATCGACCAGAATTAGACTACTTTGCCGGTGGGGCATTACCTGGACATGCGCCGTCCCTGAGGTGCATACAAAGAAAGTCCCCGAAGGAGTATTTCGGCACACGGAATGGAATTAATTAATGCACCCTGTTCTAGCCCGCATTCAGAAGGTGATCGCGTGTGAGAGACAGAGTTTGTAGGGCCCGAGTCAATGGCTCAGTGGCGCGCCTGCGCAGCCCCCCGACAGTTGTAAGCACGCAAACCGTCACTCGGGAATACCGAGGACCCAAACGCGTATAGTTGAATGGTTGAACCTCTCAAATCCCACGCTCAGGCCCTTGGATCGAATCAAATTGACTTTTGCGTTCACTAGGATCTCCCATAGCGTGTGCTCGGGTACACTGCTATTTTGATTATCTCCCACATATAAGTTAGCCCTAACACCCATGGTTTCTTTGCCACTTTCCAGCACCGTTAACCCATTTCAGAAACAGTTGCCCGGCATACAGTAGAATTCAGCCGAATGGCCGACCTAAGGCTCCTGCCCCCACCACGCCCCCGCCCATCTAGTGCTTGTTCAACTGCCAATGATTTTCCTTATATGACACCCGTGCTAGTGTGGAAGGTGGACTTCCGAGCGACCTCGAGCCGAGCCGATCCCCCTACAAAAGTGATTCCGCGGAATATCCATTCCGGGCATGCCAGTGCTTGTCCATGATAGGCCGTGGAAGTTGTAAGGGAGGCGCTTCGTGTTTGATTTTCGCCAAAGATCTAACAAAATCAAGCAACCTGGAACTTTCTCCGATTGGCACTCCATTGAAGCCGATGCGTGACAATCTTTTCTGTGTTGAAGTCTAGCTTTTAAACCCTAATATGGCTTTTTTTTCAAAAAAAAAAATTAAAATTTTTTGGTGCCTAGATTATGGGTAGGGTAGACGCCTAACCCTATGCAGCTAGTGGTGCGTACAATAGAAACGGCATAAATCGCACTCAATGTGGATATCAGCCTGTAATTCCACACGCATGCATCTGATTTGTATCTGGTGCTTAGTTTCTAGAATCCTGCGGAGAGGTCTAACAGGCGTAAGACTTTTTTGTTTTTTGTTTTTATTTTTGCTTTTCTGTTCTGTGTTGCACAACGGTAAATACATGGAGTGTGTCTACCAGTCTCATTCTCAATTTCGATTTTCAATCTCCTTGTGACCTTTGACACCCCCCACGGCAAATGGCAGACCCAAACCTATGGCTTAATTTGAGCATTTCATGTGCTTTGGTCTTAATCGGAGGAGCATTTTCAGGCTTGGCGATCGCGTTGATGACCCAAGACGAAGTCTACCTCCAAGTCCTCGCAGCGTCAGGTGAAAGATCCGATCAGAAAAATGCCAGGAAAGTCCTCTCTCTCTTGAAGCAAGGGAAACATTGGATTCTCGTGGCTCTGCTCCTCGGCAATACAATGACCAATGAGGCTTTGCCGGTTGTGCTAGACGACATGCTGGGTGGTGGGTTAGGAGCGGTAGTGGGTAGTACCGTGCTGATCGTGATATTCGGCGAAATCATACCGCAGTCCATTTGTGCGCGCCACGCTCTCAGAGTCGGTGCGTGGATGGTGTCCTGTGTTGAAATCTTCATGTATATTATCTCTCCGGTCGCGTGGCCTATTGCAAAGTTGCTTGATCTGCTCGTTGGACGCAATCACGGCACGATCTATAAGAGGTCCGAGCTCATGGCTCTCTTCTCTTTTCACAAGACGTTGGGCAAGCCCGATGAACGACTGAACTTTGATGAAGTGATGATTGTGCATGGGGCGCTTGGTATGAGGGACAGATCTGCTGCTTGTATCATGACCCCCATCGCGGATGTCTTCTCTCTGTCTGCTGACGCTGTCTTGGACGAGTACACCATGGAGCGCATTCATCTGAAGGGATACTCTCGGATTCCCGTGCACGCTCCTGACAACCGGAGACGAATTGTCGGCTTGCTTCTCGTGACGAACTTGGTTAGGTACAACCCGAAGTCTTGCAAACGAGTGCGCGATTTTACCCTGGACCCGGCTCGGGCGGTACATTCAAGTACGAATTGCTTAAGCATTTTGAAGATGTTCCGACAAGGGGTTTACCACATGGTTCTCGTCTCTGATAGTCGGAGGAATCCACACCAAGCCATTGGCATCCTCACACGAGAGGACGCCGTTGAAGAGTTGATCGGAGAAGAGATCTTGGACGAGTATGACGATCTGAAAAAGAATGAGCAGCGAGTGACTCGTCAGCGGAACCGTTTCCCTTTGCCCAATGTCTCTTCGCGGAAGATCATTGCACGGCGTCCTTCATATGCAATCTCGGCTCCACAGGGGGAACTCATCAACCTCGAGCCAGTGGAAACTGCCATCTTTCAAAAATTCGGTGCCGTTGATTTGTTCAGCGCTGCGAATCAGTGGAGCTCTATTCAGCATGTGATCTCTATATCTGAAGTGCCGGCGGAGAGTTGAGCCATGCGTCGAGTCAAGACCTTCAACATCTTGCCATTGGGCATAACACACACCACAAAGAGTGATCCAGACTCGCTATCTGCTCGACAAGGCTACTCTCTCTCTCTCTCTCTCTCTCTCACACACACACACACACACACACCCTCAACCGATCCAGAGGAGCCTGACCCAGTCAGTGGCACAGTGTCACGCACCTGGCGGCACGAGCTCGCAACTCGCAACATGGATTCTGTCGAATCCCACCTAAGCATCCACTCAACTGGCAAGCTTCACACTAGCATGAAGTCAAAATAAGAAGACTCCAACCCCAACGCTAAACACGAAACGGGTGGTCCAAGCGGAGCAGGATTAGCCGAAAACAGGTTTCCTGCGCCATGGAGTCAAGGACTGGCTAGCGGGTGGATCAGATTAATATGCTTAATCTTAGCCGCATGTTACATTAGGCAGAAAAGCACACAGATAAAGTATAAATATCAATATCAAATGTCAATCGCAATGCTTTCCTAGAAATATAAAAAGAGGGTATCTATACACGTGACACGAGCATGCTCAAAAAAAATGAATGCCAAAATCTATTATAAAGTACTCTCCAAATCAATGCATTTTCATGTGCGGCCAAGTAAGGCAAGTTGCAAAGACAAATTCATCAGTCATACACATTACACGGGGGAAACCTCCTTGGCGGGATCGGTATCTGGGATGCCGCCGAATGTCTGCTCGTGGGATGTTTGCTCATGGGAGGTTCGCTTGTGCGAGCCTCCATCCGCAGTGCGTGGAGTCTCGGCACCAGCAGCGGAAGCTTCAGTGGGCGTCCCATGGCTGAGCCCGTCGGGCACCTTCTCAGGAGCTTCAGAGGGAGTGGAAGGGGGGCTACGCTTAGTGGCCCAGGGGTTAAAGGTCGCATGAATAGATGCGAAGCGGGTGCGCGCTGTAGGTGCGCTGATATCGTCGACCCAAGGGATACCACCTTGGCCGCGGTTCTCTGCCCACGCTTTCTTTTCGCGGCGGAGGTCGCTCTGGACCCAAGGAATGGTAATTATGGTCCAAACGATGGCCCAGGCAAATGGAAGGGACCAGCCCAACTGATTGTGCGGGTTAATTTATGTTAAATTGTGGTATCGGACTTCTACTTACTGTGAATGCCACGGATTCCTCGACTGTGAACACGACTGCAGTGATAGCAGCGGCGAATACGATCGATCCTCCACTCCAGAAGCAGTTCATCTCGAAAAGCATTCGTCGGAAATAAGGACTCGACAAGTATCGTGTTCGCAAGGCGTATCGGTAAATCTGCCCACCACCACCATCTACTGCGACCACATCTTCAATAAGAGCGTACAGAGCTGTTGGCATGACGGAGCCCTTGGGCGTAGAAGAAATTCGGAAAGGTGCTTTGTAGCCCATCATACGGAAAACATCGAGGGAGAGGTAGACTATGCCGAAATAGAACATGACGGTCGGGAGAACCATGGCGATGAGGCGCACTGTTGGACATGTCAGTATATGATCAGCGATGATGGATGCGGGATTGATCTAACCAAATGGTTCCTCGGGTACCGATCCTCTGCGATCTTATTAGCTTGTAATACAGGGCTCTATGGCGCATTCCAAACTTACACGATAAGCTCAACGGCCAAGATCAACCACACAATTGTGAAGTTGATTTGGAAGAAGTCCAGCTATGAGATCCATCAGTTTCCATATCCATGTTTGTTTTTGACAGAAAAGCCTACCCATGATACGGGAGCATTCAGGGGTCGAGCGCGTGAGTGTTTGCGGAACAAATTGTAGAGACGGTAGAAGTATTCGAAGACTGAGACACCACCCAAGGACGCGGTGACAATCGAAAAAACTGCGCGACATGTAAATCAGCGATTTGAGAAAATACAACGGATACCTCTTTCACATACCGACGTTATGAGATAGATCCGTCAGATACCAAAGACACCAGTAGAAGATCAGTGGCTGTCCCAATGTATCGATCACGAAGATCGTCCAGAAAATGGCAATCGACTTTTTCCTTGTATACAATGAATAGGGGAGGGGTGGCGGTTCGGTGTGCGTTGGGGGTTCGATGTTTGCTGGTTCGGCTTGCGCTGCTTCAAGATGCGCTGGGTCGACTTGCGCTATCTCTTGCGCTGGGACGGTTTCTCCTTCCATCAGGACGGGACCGATTGATAGAATTTCCAGGGGTATATGGATGGATTCAGGGGATATCAGGACATGGCGTGCAAGTTGAAAGTGAAAGCAAGATAGAGAGAGGCGTCAGACAGAGAAATTGACCGGAAACGACGGGGGCCCGGGTACATCCGTCGCCTTACAAGTTTGGCTGCGTTGGTAGGTACCTGACGTAAGGTGGCGTGATGTCATCGAAAACAAGTATCTACACAGCCCTCTGATCTTCAACTCTTCAGGTGTTTGCATGCAACGTCTATTCTTTATATTGAATTGATACCTTTGTCTCTCTTATTCAATCTAATCCATATGAATTAAGGAAGACAATGGGCCTTCGCCAAAACCTGTTTGCCAATAGTGCCCCTAGAATGATTCAATGTCAGCATGCAGTAGATATTTCAACATGGAGCAGGCTAGAAAACCGGTAATGTGAGTCGAGACCTGCAGACTGCTTACATCGGTCAACCCGGACGCCGATCCCGATTGTTTATGCTTCACATCCGTTTGTTCCGCTACTTCCGGGATATCCTAAGGATATCTTGAGCGAGTAACGTTGGCATCTTGCGATTGCGTTATGAATATGTCAAAGCTTTTATCACCCTATGGCCAAATTTGTAGCGTTTGCGAATTAAAGAAGTAGAGCAAGTTAATAAGCCGTATCAAGAAGGCGGTGGCATGCGACAGAAATAAACCCAATATGGAAGCGGTGGGAAACGACAGAAAAAGACAAACTGGAGCGACCGGAGTTCGAGTCGACATCTGATCTTTTCACCCCTCGCTTTTCTCATCCTTTTTCTCTCCACCCTCATCACCCCTCGCATTCCTTCTGAATCATATCAGATCATCGCCACAGCTATGTAGCTATGGCACCAAGCTTACAACTTCTCATTAATTACGTGCTGAACGAAGTCGCACTGTGCGGCAACCAAGGTGAGTATAGCTCTTCGCTCAGACCCACAATTCATCACCCCGGGGATGCATGTCATCGCTTGGCGCCGAAGTATAAACGTTTTATGCCAGTTTCCGTGTGTACTTCGGCCTGCCTTTCGGCTTCCACGCATCTTATACAGCACTGCACTTATTTTGGGCCCCACTGTCAGATATTCTAATTCACTCCTAGGTGCGACTTTGTCATTTGTTCTCCAAGCCATCACGACCTTCTATCAGAGCCAATCGCAGGATGGGACGAGCCAACAGAATATCGATCGTAGGTTCCAAGTAAAGGTTTGGAGCTGGCTCACGAAGAATTCAGAGGTGTCCGTCGGTCAAACGTCTGAATATAACCATCTCACACTGGACGAGGCCGAACAACTTGACTCACAGGCTTCCGAGGACGATCAAGATGCCGACCAAGAGCCTCAATCACAGGTTCGAATATTTGTCTCAAAAGAAAGAACATGGCTCGCTATTACTGGCCATGAACCAGATGAAAGCAAAGTAATGCCACTGGAGCTGGTTCTGCTGTCGGTCATCGCTTCTCGCAAGTGGGAAGGTATTGTTCAGCCAGACCTGTGCAAGCTCAGTGGCCAGGACAAACGCTCTGTTCCAACCCGCACAGATAAATTACACGCCAAAGGATATATCGATAAGCGTCCGGTCCAGATCAAAGGGGCCCGAACAAGTCTCTGTACGCTGAAACGATTCTTGCGCCCAACTTCCAACGAAGGAGATGGGAAGTTACAGGAACAATCACAGCCAATGATTGATTTCGATGCTTTCAATATCAAGCTTTTCGATATCCTCCGAAAATTCCAAATTGTCACCCGCAATGATCTGAAACGGCTTCTGGAGTTTGACGACCGGTGGCGATGGCGAATCCTGTCTCGTGCGGTTCGCAAATATGAGCGAATAGGTGTTTTGAAGCGCGTTAGAGCGATGTCGCAGTACGATAAGCTGCACCCTTGCATCAAGCTTCTACGGGAGCCCACAGAATCGGACTACAAAATGTTTCACGAATTCGATATTGATGCCGCGGACGATCAAGGGGAGGAATTTGGTGACATAGACCAAGAGGAGCTGGATATTGCAGACAAACGGGAGTTTGACGCAGACGAAGGTGCCATTAACCTGATACAAGAGCACATCGAAGATGTTGGACGGGTGGTGCCCACTTGGAATCCACAACGCAACGTCCACAACCAGATGTTTGACATTATTGAGCGTACAGGTACATCAGGCATAGCAAATCAGGCAAGAGAAAGCTATCCTTCCAAGCGAACTCGAGCTAACTAAATGTATAGGAAGTCGCCCAGACTCTCTTCGGAAACTTCTACAGAAGAGCCTCAGAGAATATCTTGCATCGTCTAGTTGATCTTTGGCAAATGTCTCAACCGCTCCATCTTCGCCAGTATGCAATCGTTCGAGACATGGCAATGCAAAAGACGACCATGTTCTACATTCATTATACCGGACACAATTTCGCAAAGCTCGTGGAAGCTGGCCGAGCGTCCTGGGAGGCAGTTGAATTCCCAGAAAAGAAAGCCAAATCATTGAAGATTGAAATCCCACGCTTCGATGTTGTTGCTCAACTCGATGAACTTGGATTTCCCCAAAAGGCACCCCCTGTTGGACTGATGAAGAACCCTAACGCTAGTCTACTTGACGGGATTAAGAGTGCTAATCCTTCGGATTACTTGCTTTCCACCAGTGATCCGTTCGTGGTCCAGCTCCCTGATGGCAGAAACGGTATGGTCTTTCCTGAACGAGTTGATAGGCCTCGAAAACATGAATACATATGACTAACATGTCTCGCAGTTGTACGTACACGTCTCGACAAGCTCCCTCCTGGGTCTAAACAACACATTGATGTCGCCCCGCGAACAAAGGGACGTCCCAAAGGCACTCTGAACAAAAAGACGATAGCAAGGATTGCTAAAATAAAGGAGGCCAAAGCACTTGCAGCGAGGGGATCTGAAGGGAGAGAATCCGCGACAGAAGAATCTCCGCCACAAGTCTCTGCAGCCATTGAATCTTTGGTGGCTGAGTCTGCAGCCCCAGAGCCAGAACTCCAACCCGCGTCCGACAAAACCCCTGCATTGGATGATTTGGAAAATGTTACCCCGCAGAAGGTGAGAAAGTCAGCCGCCAGACCCTATGCATTCTGGGGAATGTCGAGGTTAGAGAAGCTCAAAGCACTCGGAATGGATGAGAGCTGGACTGAGTACAATGCTCTGATCATGGATATGCCTGTACCTGGAGTGTACATCACCCCTCCTGGAAAAAGAAGACCCACTGGCAAGGCCCGAGGTCGACCTAGGAAGAGTCGAATTGCAGTTTTCAAATCATCAAAGCTCGCCGAGTTCCCTTGGTTCATTAAGGACGACATCTCCGATGATGAACTCGAGGCGGACAATGCCTCAACTCGCGCATCGGAATCCATTGCCAATGAAAATGCATATTCGAATAGTGCTTGGCGCACTGTGAACTCACCTGGACCGTCGTCAACACCAAATAGGAATGGACTGGAACCCGAAAGACCATCAAAGCGTCCTCGTGTTCAGTATGCCCAAGGTGAAGACAATCATGTATCCCTGGAACCCCCCGAAGGGACCTTGCCAGAAAATGCAGTTGTCGTGAGCACAGAGAACTTAGCTGCAGTTACTACAACACGCCACCGAGACAGAACTGCCAGTGTACATCCACTTGATGATGAACAAAGCCAAACTCCTTCAAAACGACGCCGTGTGGGCGATTCCAATCGAAGTCCAACCAAAGAAAACGCTTTAGCATCCTCACCACTCAAGCCAGTTGAACACTATACACCTCGTGGAAGATCAGGGTCTCAACAGTCGAATGCAACAACTGGAACTTCTCGGCACAGGAACTGGCTTAGCACGGATCGAGTTGCAAAGGAACTACCCATCGCACCCCTGAAGCCGTTGATTGAGAGAGGCGGCTCAATTAGTTTCCTCCGCAGAAAGATGATCATGGAGCTCATCGAAAGGGCTGGTGGCGTGTTCCCAACGGGCGCTGCGCTTTGGTATGCCTTTGTTTCGGAATGGATGAAGGACAAACCAAACGAGAGACCGGATATGCGTACCATCAAGACTGCGACCAAGGCAATGGTTGATGCCGGCCAGATCCGGCAGTTGACATTTAGTGGCAGAGACAAAAAGGGTGTGATGGTCACCAGAACAATTCTGTTGAAGCCTGAGATTTCCCCCGAGGATCCCAAGGTCAAAAATCTGCAGACTAAAATTCTGAAAACCGACGTTCACGAACCACGGCCGAGCTTCTCAGAGAATGTGGTGTTGGACCCTCAATTGACAAGAAGCGGACGTCGAGCAATCCGTGCACCACCCAAACAACAGAGATTCAATTTTCCTGTGGACACTAAGGCTATGGTTACTTTACAACAGAAGCCTGCATTTGCCAAGGCCGCAGAGGCACGGAGAGGAAGAACCATTCAAAAACGCCTCATGCGGGGCTTGCAAGCCGAGGCGGATGCCATGATGTTGGAAGAGGAGATGGAAAGGCTCTATGGAGTCCAGCGACTGATGACACTTACAAGACCTCCTTCGCTAGACACCGAGTCCCATCCACTCACTTCGATTATTCGTCCTGACCGGAAATCGATCAGAAAGAGGTCCACTAGGCGCTTAGACACACTCATCGATCCTAAAAAACGCATGCGGCCAATCTCCAATATCAGCCAATATGCCCTGCTCATGGCACCGGTGCAGGAATTCTATTCAAACAGTGGCACATTTTCCACGGCCTCGTGGCCCGTGAAAGCTAAGAAATCGAAGCGCGGTGTCAACACTGAGCAATTTGTCAGTCGATTGGCTGAATTGACCGCTCAGTCAGAGCCCTCAGAGCAACCCATTACCGATTCACAGAACATTTTCCACTCCACAGCTGATAAAATTCTGAAGTGGGAGATGGACAACGAGGACATTTTCGACTACAGCCTCGAGGGCATGCCTTTTATCAACCAAACCATGCAAGGTGACTTCGAGACAGAGCCAGTCAGCGGGGAAATTCGATTTGAGTTAGACATGCCTCGACCACCGCTACGTCCAGTCCCAATGCCCGCAGAGACACGGTCAACTACTGCCCGTCGATTACAGACTGATGATGAGTTCCAGCTCAAACGAAAGAAGCGACGTAAGCCGCGGACTAACCGCCGGTTGGCTGCACTTGATGAGATTGCAACACTCGAGAAGGACAAACCCGCATCTCGCCACATCGTCCGTCGACAGACCCGCAGTAACATTCCCGAGCAAATGCTCCGAAAGATCATGATCGCCATCACCGCCGTCCGGGTTCTCACTGGTGGATTGGACGGAAGGATTGTCGAGTGGGATCTCGTAGTACGAGCTTTCCCAGACCACGACCCAGCCGCGATGGAACAAAAGGCCCGGCGCACTCTCAACAGAAATCGTCTACAGGTTGCGAAGATGCAGAGGGACTTCCAAGAACGGTATCTCGATGCCTACGAGAAGGACCAGGTCCCTACCATTGACTATGGAGATTTGGAAAATTACGACTGGCCCGGTGTTGTTGAGTGGGCAAGCGCTCACTTAGATGTTCCTCTCTCCCAGAGTATCCCCGATCTTCCCGCAACACGCGAACAGTTTGACGCGGTGTTCGAGATACGCGAGGAACCTCTCACAGCAAGCGACGAGGTCTACCAGTCTATCCACGGCTCAACTATCAACCACAAGCGCGCTCTTATGGCCCGCACTCCATTCGCTGTTCCTGTGGCTGAGAAAAATCAAGCCGAACTCACTGCAGGGCAAAAGCGCGTGGCCCGTCTCGAAGATGCCAAGTCCTGGGTCCGCGCAAACATCATCACCTCAGAGGAGAGCTACAAACCCGCCGAGGCAGCGGATGTCCTGGGTCAAATTGGCGAAACTATGATCACAGATGCCACACAGGCACTGGTCAACGACCGAGTCATCACAATGACCAACAGTGGCCGCATCCTCCCAGGCCGCAACTACGATATCTCAGACAACTTCCTGCAGACACTCAGCCGCAAACGTGCCGTCGACAGCACCCAACTCGTTCGCGCGGCCCAATTCAAAACAACGATCCTGGACCCGCAGCTCCAGAACCTGGGCGTCTTCGACGTGAAATACAACGCAGAAGACGGCGACATTATCGCTCTCATCAACCTCGCCACATCTGGCCGTATCCAGCTACGGCCTTATGGTGCACCCCGCGACAAATTCGGTCTTACAGATGGCGGATATCTCACCCGGCAAATGGATAAGGCTCGTCTCCGATTTCCTGTGAAGGTCATTCCTACCGAACGCTTTGTTTATGGAAATCCCATTTTCGAGACGGCGGCATCTATTCCACATCCGCCGCTGCCACCTGCGTCGCCATTCACTGATATCGGGCGAAAGTGTCCGATGTGGTTTGATATCCATGGTGTACTTGTCCCTCGTCTCTGGACTATGGCTATGGGTGCTGTTCTCGGGTGCATGGTGCTTCGACCTGGTGTTAATGCACGCAGCATTTCTAACATGATGAAGCCAACTCTGGCTCCGTGGGAAGTTCTCATGATGCTGCAGTGGTTGGCTGGAGTTGGTGCGGTCAAGGGAGACGGAACTGACGAGGGAGCCGCGTGGAGCTTGCAAGAATGGTGGTGGATGGTTGTTCCCTAAGCCCCCAGTTCTTATTTCCAAGACCCAAGTTCTGATATCAGATATGAAAGTTCAATGAACTGTAAAATAGCAGAAGAATACCAATATTCCACAAGTATCGTGTTCGATTTCAATAAACATCTAGAGGTATCTTTGTAATGTGCATATAAACTCCGTACATGTAGTCCCAGCCGCCCAAACGCAAAACGCAAATACATTGCAACACGAACAGCCATTTTTCATGTTCATAGATCATCGACGTTGGCGACTCGTCGCAAGATCAATATGATGAGAGCAATAACAACACCGACAATGGCCCGGTCTAGCCAGACGCCCTCGGAAGACTCCTGATCCAAGGGTATTTGCCGAACAGGAATCGTGCGGGTAGATGCAGGCACAGATGCAGGAGCCCCAGATCCAGCTGCAACTGCAGGTCTCGGCGATGCGGGTGCGGATGCGGATGCTTGCGCAGGCACCGTGGCCGGGACGGCCGCAGCAAGGGTCGGAGCCGATGGGGCAATTAGAGTATCCTCGGTTGGACAAGAAGGTTGAGCTGGCGCCTGCGCCGAAGCATCACTCTGATTTGGAGCTTCACCCTCGTCCTCCTTCTGCTCCTCCGCCTTCTTCTCGCCCTCACCCTCTCCATCTCCTACTTTAGCCCCCTCAGTCTCAACATCAACCTCAACCCCCCGGTCTCGACAAACCCCCCACCACGCTTTCATGCCCTCCAAATTCCCAACCCCACACTCACGACATACCCACCGCGTCGAAAGTTTCGCAAACTCCCTCCTAACAGCCGGACTCCCCTCCATCCCTCCAACCTGTCCCTGACTCTCAGAACCCATAATTTCACTCCGGATAGCGAGAAGGGCAGTGCGCACGCCCCAAGCCGGCTGCCATGTTTCCTCGTGGTGGCCCGAGATACTGAGACAGATCTCGCGGTTGACTTCGAAGCGGCCGGATGGAGTGAGGAAGCGGAAGGATGGTGGGCGCAGCGGGTATGCTGGTGGGAAGGTTATGCGGCCGTGGTAGAGGCCTTGGCTGTAGGGCGATGGTGCTGGTGGGCCTACCAGAGTGAAGTGCCAGTCGTGGAGGTTGTCGTCTGTAACTGGGCTTGCGGTGAAGTAAGGACTTGGGTTTTTATAAAGATCTGTGCTTTCTTTTAGGAGGCGGCGGGTTGAGGGGGACGTCATTTTTGTTTTGGCTCTCTTTGTGGATGGGTGGATGTGAGGTTGGAGAGGATAAGAAGTGGAGAATCGATAAGATGCCAAGTGGCCCGTCATTATTAAGGTTGTGCAGTGCTTACGTTTACATTTCTGCATAATATATTAATATTTGAATAAATGACACATGAACATTCAATGCTTGACTTGTACCTTTACATGCTATGCTACGCTTAATCCCAATCGCGCCATTCATCTGTGTCGGAGCGTGACGTCCGAGGACGTCCAACCCCCGGATCCAACAATCCGTTCCCTTCAATCTCATCCTCGAAATCACTATCACCAGGTCTCGGTCTAGGAGACCTAGGAGCAAGAGTCTGCATGGAGACACTAGTGGGAGGCCGCTCGGGAGTGGTACCACGTTTCGGCGTGCGCAAAGCTTGCGTAGAGTTAGGGTCTCTCCAGCTGCGACTGTTATCCAGATTACGCTGGTACAGCTCGCGGTAGTACTGCTGCTCCTCGGAAGAATTCTGCTCACGCTGAAATCGCATACGATCTCGAGCTTCGAGGAATTTCTCACTGGGTTCCCAGCCCCAACCATCGCCGGTCGTTGTGCAGACCGGGACGGCCCAGAGGAGCGGTCGTTCGCCGAAGAGGTGGAGGAGGTTTCGGCGCCAGCCGTGGTCGAAGGCGCTGGGCATTTTCTCGTTGTCTTCGTCGTTTTGGTACTCTTGGTACCGTTCATGCTCACGCTGTCGTTCCATTTCGGCGTATGACCGCGTTAGAGCTTGTTGGGCTGGTGTGAGATGGTTGTCTGGGACTGTAGCACCGGACAGGTGATCTGTTGAGCGTGGTGCGGGAGATAGGCGCTCTTCGCCTTCTTCGGCACGCGTGACTCCTGGGATGGCATTGGCATGCGCGTCGATAATCTGGTTGCCATACCCTTGGAGTCGATCACCTAAGCTGGGTTCCGGCTCACCCCAGTAGTGATCGTTGGGCGGTTGCTCATTGCGTTTCCGGTCCAATGCCTTGCGCAAAGGCGAGACATACCGCGTCCTCTCCAGGCACTCGATAGTTGTTGTCCCGCGCACAGCAAGACTAATATGCCATGCTGTGAATCCAGTCAGGACCAGCCCAATGATGCCACCAAGGATTGCCAATAGAACGACATTCACGGGTAAAATGGTATCCATGTATTGGGTATCATTGAGGATCTCAGTCCAGATCCAAATAGAAGCAACGCCAAAAACAACCCAACAAAACAGCGAAGTGTAGATCAAGAATAGTAGAAATGCTTTGTAGTTATACAGTCCCACGCACGTTGCCAGCCACGGGCAGTGGTGGTCCATCTTCAAGACGCATCGCTTGCACGTTGAACAATGGTGCGCGCGGTCTGGTTTTGGGCACTGGCATTTCTTGCAGTACCGCGACTCACCAGTCGAGCTGACAGTATATGAGGTGAACTCCGGATGTTCGGAGACAGGGACAGCGTTGTATTCGTGGCGGTCAGCGCCGCGACGGGTCGGAGATCCCGGATCGGTGAATACGGCGACGGTGTAGGAGAAGTTCAGGAGAGCGTAAAGTGTGAATGCGAGTGCTGTACTTGGGATGCCTGTTAGGTTATAATTGTTAGTATAATTCGATAGATTGCGTGTAGATAAGCAAGCCTGTGTAGGCAGGAGGCCGAATGCGGCGTACCAATCCAGTCACTCTTCGACGGTTTGATGCCGATGCTGATTGCGACGTAGACCGCCCAGGTTGTAAGGCCATAGACAAAGACGAGTGGAAAGCAGCTTGCTGCGGCACAACAGTAGCGTTCGCAGCGGAGAGCCCATGCTCGAGGGCGCCGCTTCGGCCAGGAGGGCGAGGTCGGGGGTGACGAGGCCAACGTGGCCATTTCGAGGGGTTCACAATACAGAAGTGGGGATGAAGCGCATCGGGGGACGTCAAAGGAAGATTTCCATTATAAAGCAAAGTAGATCAGAGAGGTGGAGTCAAGACATCGGATTTGGAATCTGAATATCAGGTGAGATCAGGTACCTGTACCGTAAGCGTAATTTACTCCGCCCCAGCCACACGTAAGGCTGTGGCGTCATGGATATCCGGAGTCTATTTTGGGAACTACACTGGCATAATTGTATATTTGCAAGGACGATTTGTGGTATAATGATAACTGGATATTTACAGTAGTGCTAACAGATCCATCAATATGTGATAGAATGCGATAAAATGGCCCAAACATAGCAGATATAGCACGATTAAGTGCTGTTGGTATCAGTGAAAGTCAAAGTGTTCTGCTTGCACCAGCCATTGACAGGCAGACAACTCAAGCGGTAGCACCACGAGCAGTTCGAGGTAGGGTATTTATAAAAGTCGACGAGCAACATAATAAATCCAACGAGGACGGCCACCAGAGCACCAGCGCGGACAACCCACCATAGCCACCAAAGAGGCTTGCGACCCTTGAAGAAGTTCATCGGGTTCTTGGAGTTCTCGATATCCTGACTTGAGCTTGTCATGCCGCGCTTGCTCTTGAACATGTCCATGAAGGAGGTTGTCTTTCTGTTGTCGGGGGTAGCTTGACCCGCTCCACCACTCATGGCGACGTATGGCTGGCGGGCCAGACCAATGCGCTCGCGGAGAATATTGGGAGAACGCATGATAGTCAGGCCAATGGCAAGTCCCATGATGAAGCCACCGATGTGGGAGAAGTTATCCAGGCCGGGAAGAAGGCCCAGAACGAAGGACACGGCCACACCCAAGATCATGATAATAAGCTCAACCCATGGGGACTCACGCTGGGTCCAGTCATATAGAAGATCGAGCAAGTATAGCGCAAGGATACCAAACAGGGCACCCGAGCAACCGTCACTAGGGTCCAATTGGGAAGCATAGTTTCCACCCAGGACAAAACCGAAGATGCCACTGGCAAAGTAGGTCAAGGTATACCGCCAAATTCCAATCATGCGCTCCATGTCCGCGCCCATGGTCATTTGAACAAGCAAATTGAAGCCAATGTGGACGAAACCTCCATGCAAGAAAATTGGAATGATGAAGCGATACCACTGGTTGGGAGCAGGGTTGTCGTCTGTTGATCCTCCGACATGAGGGTTGGGAACACCGCCAAAACCACATGACTCGGACAATGTGCACGTCTGACCGGTGGTGGAGGTGGCATTCGGGCAGGGCCAGTAGATAGTTTCGTTGGCGTTCTGAATCCCCTCTACGTTCTTCATGCACGGGTCGTAGCGTGCTCCCATGTAAATTTGGACGTATGGCGAAGGGCCGATCATCGGGTTGAATGTGGGTTTCGTTTCAATAACCGATCCTGTCAACTGGGCTGGTAAAGGAGAGTCTTGATTAGCTTTTGCTCCAAGGTGGTCAAGCGCCGAGAACCAAGCTTACCATTCTTGACCAGTTCGACGATGAACACGATGATCTGTGCCAAAGTCAAAAGATATGTCACCCAGGCGATCTTCTTCTTGAAGAAGCCCTTTTTCTTTCGGCCATCTCGTTGTCGGCTATCTTCTAGAGCCCCTGGCGATGGGGGATATTGTGTCTGTTGGCGCATCCAATCCGGGTTGTTGCCATAATTTGTCTGAGCCTTCAAAGGTATGTTTTCTGAGTAGTGATCGCCTTCTGTTACACGTCCGGCGGCCTGGTATTGTTCATTGTCTGAAACAAACGATTGTTGACTTTCTCTGTTGTGATAAGGGGCGGATGGGTCGTCATGGTTTGCGGGGTGGCTGGCGTAGCCCATTCCAGGGGCTGTCGTCGGGGTCTGATTTGTTGAACTAGGGACAGCTTGGTCGTATGTTGGAGGTTGTGGGATGTTCTGGTGGTAGTAGTCATTGGCGGCCATGATGGGCGGCCGGGGTTGGTCTAGCTGGATCCGAAAAAGATCCTTCAAGTGGTTGAAAGAAAGTGAGATTGAAACAAGCTTCCTAAACGATGGAGAAGCCCTTAAAAGCGAGAGTTGTGTAAGTAAAGTGGAAGAAGCAGGCAGTCACATTACTCAAGAGTTATTTTTGGGCCGATTGACGCAAACTCAGCCGCGCGGTCTGCGTGTTCCACTCCGCCCTACTTCTCCTGCCTCGGCACTCCGCCCTACATTCTTTTTGTCTTGGCTTTAGTCTGTACAGCAGTCATAAGTCTATTTGTAGTGCCAGTATTGGACGGTTGCTGGTGGCTTATGAACGTGGTGGAACGAGTATACTGATTACTGTATTGTTTACGCTCTACTTTGACATCTCTGAATCCGCCTCTGCTCTGTCCATTTCGAGTGCCTTAGATTGATCATCTAGTCTATTTAAACGTGGGGAGTGTGAAGAAACTTAAGACTCTTGTAATTCGTGAGGCCAACGCGCACGCGATCTCAGCCTCATGCCAAGCATTGACTACGCAATGTTATACTCCGCCCGGCACCAGTCACGGGGCTAGTGCAAACATATCCATGGTCAACGTTAACATTATGTATTAGACTGGTATCAATATAATTTATAGGCTACTGTCACAAGTAGCTGAAGCAAATGGAACACCAACAGGAATATGCATCCACGGAAACCACGTTTCAACGTCGAGCATTTCTTCGTGTACTCGTGCCCAATCATAATCGTGGGAAGATGGGAGGAGTAAAACAGAAACGCATCATCCAGACCCAAGAAATAGGAATGTGAGGGTATATAAGCAAAAAAAAAGGAACGTGAAACATCCTTCCGAGGAGGGAGAACGCGGTCAAAAAAAGGCAGAAGCAACAGAAAGCGAGTGACCGGGATCAATATAGACCATGCCCATAGAGATCACACGCAGTACCTGGCATCTGGGGTATATAAGAGGCATTAAGCGTCTGCAACAGACCAGAGACCCGCTGCACGAGGTGTGATATCTAAAGTGGGCACGGAAAAACAACAGGGCTTGCCAGAAGATCAAATCACGAAAGGCAGCTCATGCAGGGGGGAATGGGTTCCAATGATCAGCCAGGATGCCCAAAGATGCATCCACTTGTTCACCGTTACGGCCGGTGAGGAGCCACAGGACGCTGGAGAGTTTGGTGTAAAGTAGCGACGGGAAATAAACAAGCGCGCACGCCAGCAAAGAGAGCACAATGAGGACGGACGTGTTGGCCACGAGTTTCTCACCCGGCGTCATAACGTATAGCCCAAATGTGACTTCGTACCGGTAGTATTCAAGCCGTACGCGATCTATACCTTGCTGGAAGACGTTGCGATATTTGCGTGGGTAACCGCCCTTGAATGTGGCACTACTCCTCGCCGAAGAGTATCTATTCATGAGCTCGTTCATCGCTGCCGGGGCAGGTGGAGAAATCCGGTCGGATGTGGACGGAGTATAAAACGACTGCATCTCGGTCATTGTCGCACTCATTGTCGCGTGCTGGGACAGGGATATCAATAGGCGCGAAGATATCGCCAATGAAAGCGGCCAGGCTAGAAAGGAGATTTCTTGACCTTGCCGTTCTCAAATATGGAGGAAGAGACAGACAAAGGGCAAAGACCCAATGTAAGGATATTGATCAGAATGGGAATGTGCACAGATGTACGTAGAGACAGCCAGACTGCTAGATGTCATAGACATGGGAACAAGTGAACCAGAAAAGAAGAAGATTGAAAAGTATGACGCCCAAGAGATTATATTTCAGCCCTACCTGCATTGTGAAGTAAGGAGTGGAGCGCAGACTAGGAAGGGTCGGAAATATCGGCAACCACAAGCAGGGAATAAGGAAACTCGGAGTATAGGTCCAATTTTGAGGCATTCCGAACTCGGTCTATAGAGTTAGCTCACGCAGATTTTATTTGCCATTACTCACTCCATGCCAAGGTTTGCATTCTTTTGGTTCTTGGCTTTGCAGGAACCAGGCACAGTTCCGAGAGCTCCGACAATCCCGATAGCTTTGCTGTTTTACATCACGTGAATTGATTATGCTGCCACATAGTTGCCCAGGAGAGAAACTTCAAGATCGGGTCGAATTCCGAAACTAGGTCTAGCCAGCCCAACATATCCAACATCTGGATATATGGCATAATCATGAGCTGATGATTAGACATGCGGGAGGTCAATTATCAGCTATCAACCTGACAACCTGAGCATGGAGCAAAGAAGGTGAGAACTAGAGACACAAGATGAGAACATCCAGGCATGTCGTGAAGAGAAGATCATGGCCCGTCTTTCTTCAGTGGATTCTGCCGCTGATGTCATCGCAGTGGCCGCGTTTCACCTTCCCCGCCGCGCACATCGAAACACAACAACCACCATGGAAGACCCTCTCGTTCAAGCGCTGCCTCCAGCGACAGATTATCTGACTTATCTGACTTTGCTCGAGTATCAATTAACCCCAGAGCGTTTGCCACTTCTGCACGAGCTCCTGCAGGATGAGAAGCTTACTACGAATATCGGTTGGGACCTGGTGAAGCTGCTGCTTCCCATGCTCCCCGCATCTACAGACTGCCTCCAAGATGTTGCGCGACTTGGAAATCCCCGGGAAGTCATCTTGCGTGTTTCAGAGTCTCTGATGCAACTCCAGCCCGAAGATGAAGATGAAGACGAGGAAGAGGCGACTGATGGGGGACTGGCCCTACACATCTTACAGTTCAATTGTCTTCTCGGAATGCTCTCGACACTTCATACACGCATCCAGACCAAGGCCCCTAGTCGATTTATCGCCACGTCTCTTCAAGCAGCTCTTGAGGCATACACATCGATGCCGACCAACGAGACCACTCTCGCCTTCCTCCAGTTCCTCCATGCGGTCTCCCCGTCAAAACGGCCGGCACCTCCTCCACGCGCCGCCAGCGAATCAAGTGTTCTTAAGGTTGCCGCAGCGTCAGCGCCGGACCCCGAGGCGGAGGTTGCTTCGCCCTCGCCCTATGCCGATAACGAAACTCTTCTTGTTCGGAAATTCACACAATTTGGTCTGCTTGAGTTGCTCAAGTCATATCTCTTGAGCTTCTCTGGCCCCGTCGACCCGGGTATGTCGTGGACCATTCGCATGCAGGAGCATCTGCATCCCGACCTGCGGCTACCCACTCAGTCCCGGAGTGATGCATATGGATCTACCAAGGAGCTCAAGGAGCGTGATATGATCATGGGCAAGCTGGTGGTATGATGGTGAATCTTGAATATTTCACAGAATTGATCGTCTGACTGGTTATATAGGCTTTATCACGGGATTTTGGCATTGATAGTAATCAGCTCCTGTCAATAATTTCCCAATCACCCACAGATCAACCTGCGCAGCTCGACTTCGAGGAGCCACCGAAAAATCCCGACGAGATTCCACTGGAGCGCCATGGTTCGCTCCTCCTACTGGCAGCCCGGGCTGCAGGATCTACCTTGTTCGCCTCGGGGCAGCCATTGCCCGACCTGCCCGTGTTCCCCAACCTAGCACAAATCTTCAGCTACTTTGTCGGTGGCCACACAAGCCTAGATGAAATTGCATTTGGTCAGCCGCACGCACTCCTCGACTCCCTCATGGCCATCACGGTCTACGCTTTGCAACAGCCCATCGAGGCCACGCCCAGCGAAACCGAGTTCAAGGAGTACGTGGTGATCCTAACTGCGTGCACCGCCCGCCAGAGTCATGGTATCGTCCGCCAAATTCCGGCTACTGTTTTCCAAAGCCATCCATCATCGGAAACCAGATTCAAGCTCATCTACAAAATCTTGGAAGATGATCGCCTGGTCTCTGCTCGGGACAGTGCCATTGCATGGCTGAAGGATGAATTGTTGCGCAGCTCCGACCAGTCATCTGAAAATGTCTTCCAAGACCCGCTCTACTTCTGGGCTCTCTTCCCACATCTCTTCTCCTCGGTTACCGCGTCAAGCTCAGCGCCAAGTATTGTCGCAACTTGGACCCGTCTCACCCAGACCCAAGGTCCACCACTTCACTCCGCGCTGAGTCTTTATTATCTGCTGCTTTCTTCGCCTGTTCTACGAGAGAAGCTTCAGCTCGAAAAGACCGTCAAGTTCTTCCGTAGCCAGGCTTTGGAACCTCTTCGGCAGGTGTTCCATAGCTTTGAGTCTGATCTCGCTTCAAAAGGAGGTGAGGGTGTCATTGAAGCTGCAGTCGGCGAGGAGATGTGCCAAGTCGGTAATGCACGCTCTGTTGGGCTCATTGGTCTTACTCTAGATCAGATTGAGGAGGTCATCAGTGATGCCTTTGGTTCAGATGAAGCGGATCTCAGTGACTATTCCGAGGCCGACCAGGCTAAGATTCTGAACATCCAGAAGCGTATGGATGTCTGGAATTAAGATTGGACGTAGAATTGTGCAGACTCTAGATATGAATATTTCAATGAATTTGACGGTTTCACTTTGAATTTGCACGATATAGAACAGGGATCATATACAAATGTGTAGAAAGTGCTATGAAGTATGAGACAGTGTCAGCCTCCAATAGGCTGCAACAGGTTAATTGATTGATTGATTGATTGTCAGCCTCCAAAAAGCGTGTCCCATGTGACATATTATGTTGTCCTCACTTTGGCGTCTTTTTTTTGCCCGTTTTTGAGGGCCTTGGCTGCATCATATAGATCATATGAAGCTGGGGGTGGGAAAACATTTATGACCCCCTGTTTATATACCCTGACATGTTTTCAAACCACAAGAAGGTCAGTTTCGCGCTTGTGACTCCGAGCACTCTATTGAAACCAGGTGATGCACAGATAAAAGTGACTTGTATTAGATCCAAGCACAAATCGCCGGAGTTTCCAAGTAACAATGTCCATCATATAACTCCACCCAAGCCCGCAACCCACGCTTCTTTATAAACAAACAAAAAAAAAAAAAAAAAAAAAGAAAAAAATCTCAAGACCATCGCACAAATGTCCTAGTTCGCAAATATCCTCCTAGCCAACCACGTTTTCACATTCTTCAAATTCACAGTAGCGGAAACTTCCGGCTCCCTCCTCGGAGACTCAGCCATATGTACCAACCTCGGCATGCGCAGATGATAAAACGTCCGCCGACAAAGCGGACAACTAGCATCCTGCCTCCGAATCCAATGATCAATACAGGGGAGATGAAAGATATGCCCGCAGGGTAGTCGACGATAAGTAGATTCGGCCCCTAGGAAATCCCAGCACAAGACACAACTCGTTGGAAGGTTGTCTTGGTCTGTCGTTTGGAGCTGTCAGCCCGCTAGCTTTTGACAGAAAAATGCCTGAAAGAAGCAGTCACTCACGAGATGTACACTCTGTTTTTCCGGAGTAACAGGGCATGCGTGCGTATACAAGCTCTTGAGCTGTTAGGCCTCCTCGTTCTGTGGGGTAGGGCATGTATGTGTAATAAGGCGGCATATTCGTAGATAATTCAGTGTCGAGGAATGGAGCTGTAGGCTCTAGCGGCTGGATAGTGTTCGAAATAAGATGTGGAGTGCACGCTATTTATCTGCTGGACGGTTTGTTCCGCCGATCCGACATGTGCTACTCCGAGGACTGTAAACCCTTGTTGGCTGTGGTACCGGTGGTTGAAGTATATAGCGCTACACCGGCACGTTGTTAACACATTCGATCGGTCTATATTTGGAATAAGAATCCGCCGTGTGAGGGGGAAATCTCGATATATGAGCCGCTGGTATAACAACTATCGATGGTAAGCTGCTTGGCTTGGAAAAGTCTATCCGGATGATATTGTATACGACTTTGAAGGAAATCTTGCTCTCACGTCATCCTGGAAGAGTCGGTCTCTTTATACATCATCTGATGAGAAAGCAAGGTTACATATGAAGTACGTAATGCGGCTTAATGCATGTGATTTGAAACTGCATGCTGCCTTTGAGTACATGATGTCGCACAGTGAGGCTCAATAACAAAGTTTCGACATGCGCTGGGATCAGGTTCGCAGTCACTCTGACCATCTATGTTCAAAGAGAACTTGATACAATGTGACGAGAAGACGAGTCGTCCCGTTCCACATTGCCTGAGCTGAAATTGCAATCACACAAGACTGGCACAGTGACGTAAAGAAGATCACGGGCAATGTAGCCCCAAGAAAGAATCATTGATGACTAAAACAGTGAATTGAAATATCTAGTTGCAGTTCATCGCGTCTACGTAACTTGAATTTTCTGGATCCGTCAGAGTCGGTGACCTTGATATTGTGACAAACCCACATACGCATTCCTGATTCATCATCATGTAAGTCGTGTTAAACAAGATTTCCTTCATTAGGTTGCAATATCTTCGATGTCAGAAACTGGAGCCTTCTGTCTTTATATTCGACTGACTTCCGATCTAGGCCTTGGCGCGAGTCCTTATATAGTCCATTTATTGTCTGCTTTGGTGATACATAGGTCCCTACAATCTGATGAAATAGCACTGGATTCTAATAGGGTATATCTATGATGTTCTTCGTTTCCTCGCATACCCGGATGCAAAAGCTTGGGAGGTTCTTAGAATGGATGAGGAGTTTGGGTCTGAGGCAACAAACTCGCGAAATTTTCACTTCCTACAACAGATGTCAGTAGTCCTAACAGATATGCATAGTCTCGGCCAACTTAGCCCTCCAATCCACATCCAGTGGTCGCACTGGTTCTCCGCCCCCGAGCTGTATTTCTATAGCTCAAACCATATACTCTAAGCCATTCTCTGGCGACGGCCTGTATGATGGGATAGTGGGCGATGTTGGTGATGTGGATTATACTGTGTTTGTCATGGGCACCGTTGGGAAGGAGAGAGAAAAATTACCTTACTTTTATCCAGACCAGATTCATGATTTGCTGGGGGCCAATGACACTTCTAAACAGGGGTTCTTTTCCTACGATCTCACGAAGGGTGTGAGCTACCACGACCAACGCGAAACTGTTTGCCTTTCCTGCTTCTTGTCTTCTGCTAGTAGGTGTAATCATGGTTTCGGCATCTAGCGTCGCAACCTCATTGACGCTAGTCATGTACCATGCATCTGTCCTGCATTTACCTACCCATCACGACGATGCACAAGCAAGTCAACAAAAATAACATAATGTATTCAGGCATACTAGAAGAAAAATATCGAGAAAGATGGATTTCAAAGGCAAGCAGGGTAGCACCATAGACCTAGAAGACTAGGATCATTTACAATCAGAACAATCCACAATGAAATCTATCGAAAGATATCCCAAAATCTACAAGAAACAATAGAAAGATTTGTCGGCAATGTTCAATTCCTATCAACTACCATGACCAATAGAAACAAATAATAACCCAATCCACCAACCCCATCCACCAAACAAGGAAATTAAAAAAGGAACAACTACCACACCAAGAGAGAGAACATAAGAAACAATCAACCGAATTTATGTTAGAGATCCCCCGAAATGTAGCTGAAAAGGAAAGATTGAAACAAAAACCATTCTATCACCCGATTTGTCCACGAAGAAGTCGAACACAAGAGCAAAATCGACAAGTCGACAGCCGGTGACATCCGCCGAAGAACCGGGCAGGTGACTCCATGAACTGGAACTGGATCTGTCGAGTGCAGCAATTGATTCTTGGCTCCAGGAAGGAATGAATTGGACTGTGCAATGGACTGATCCTCATGTGAAGCGATCGTTGACGCGGTATCTATCTGGGTAACAGATGTCGCATTGCGGAATCACAAACACGAGGAAGTCACTGCAGGAGTAAAAAAAAAAGCAAACAGGCTGTTGGTCATGTCATCAAGGAATATTTTTTGTTGGTTGAAGTTTCATTCTCAAATAGTCCGTGGTGAAAGTTGAAAGATATTGATGCGTTTTCTTGTCAGCCATGGTCTGACGAACGGTTCAGGTCAGACCATGGTGGGAAATGGGCTCTTGGAATTGGGAGTCATCATGTAAAGGAATTTACATGATAACGCAGCCACCACCGGGAGAGGCTGTTAGGATTAGATGTTAATATGTTATTATTGTGAGGATGTTGTTGTTACTTACCCTTGACAACGGCACCGTTCTGGATCTGAGAGGGAGACATCTTGAAGATAGAGGTTTACTTAAAAGGCAAACGTTTGAAAGATTGGGTTGTGAGTGATGGAGAAGAGAAGTCTTTGCTGGGAAATGAGTTTGGAATTTATATTCGGGAAGGGCAGCTGTGCTTCGGCAATCAATGTGCTTGAGATGCCATTGCTACTGTCAAAAGTCCATTCGAGCGTCACATTCAATGGATTCAATGCGCTGGGCATTCGATAATACATAGAATCAGCCTAGAATGCTGGAATTCGCTTTGACGAGGACGCCCATTACAGGTCTGCATCATATTGTTATGGAGCTCATGAATGTAAATAAACTCGCCTCTAGCTTCCTACCTTTGTTTTGAACCTCTGAAGTCTAGACATTAAGCGAGGGGAGGCTGATATTGTTGCGCTCCGCATTCTCGCCGAAAGAACTGGGGCTTTGACAGGTTGGACCCGCTGTCTTTCATGGAGTAACAGCACGAGAATAAACGTGAAGGAGACCCTTGTTGAAGGAACCGATGGTGGCTGCATTTTGAAGCTTCTCTAAGTGTCAGAACAATATGAAAACATAATGCAAGAAAGTGGAGTGTTGAGGATGTGACTCGCTCTGATAGGGTTACGCAGACAAAGAGACACCGTTTCCACCAACCACATCCACCGCATTGCGCCTACGATTGTTCTTGACAACAATATGGCCCGGGCTTGGCATCAAAACGCCGTTAATGGTTTGTTTTGATTGTCGGGACTGACAGTCGGTGTATCTTTTACTCCGCTATCAAGATTTGATCGCTAACAAAAGACTGAGTTCGCTTATCAGTAGCAATTTAGAACATACAAATCAGATGAGGTGGTTGCGTTAAAACACATATTGACCGTCCTATCTCGGCAAAAGCATTCTCCATTTCCCCCCTTAGGTATAGAGCGGCTCCGTCAAGTCATTCAGAGCCAATCCTTCCTTGGCGATATCCTCCTCGATCAAGAACATCAAAGGCATCTCAACTAGCGTACCCTTGACCTGGCTGAGAAGTTCTTTGACCTGCTTCGCTCCCTCCGCACCAGGCGCGAAGTCGTCTCGGACCACGTGGCCCCACTGGAATCGCGCCGGCCGGGCGAATCCTTCCCGACCCTCGGCCTCCTTGTCAGCTTTGTGGAAGTAGTACTCATAGAACTCCTTGTAAGTAGCCCAGTTGCGCACGGTGTCATCTGGCACTGCATGGAATACCTTGCGGAAGACCTCGGCGTTGGTGTGGGCGCGCGAGTTCCACAGACTTTGGACTGTATCGGCCAAGGGATCGGCGACCACCTTGCTCTCTGGACATTCAAAGTCGAATTGGTTGGGAACTCCAACCGGCTCGAAGTTTGCGTCCGGTCGTTGATAGTCTTGCGGTGGCAGGAGACCCAGGTGCTTGCGGAACAGCTCGCGACGAAGAGATGCGGCGAAGCGACTGGCGGTCCATGGCTTGCCGTTCATGCTTGAGGCCAAGGGCGTGAAGTCCTCGATGATTACGGCAATCTCAGAGTCGTGGTCACCGAGCTGAGAGCGATCGTTCAGGTTTGCGGATCCGCAGACAACAACCCGGTCATCGGCGATCATGACCTACTCTTGTTAGTATTTATTACTCCTCACAGAATGTAGGCAAGCATACCTTTGAGTGAACATAGAGCTCTTCGCTAACGAATGCATCGATCTCAGCATCCGGGTGACCATCCCAAGGCACTTTACGAATATCCTCTCCGCCGAGCATATAGCATTCGCTGACACTATCCCAGCGGTTTGAAGTGGAGTGGCTTCCTTGAACCTGATGAGCTGCCTGCTGATACTGCTGGAATGGCGCGCTGGTGTCAAACGCACTCCGAGTGGTACTCGGGGCATATCCACCAGGACCAGCAGTTTTCACGTCGTACTGTCTCTGAGCATGCTCATAGTTGACACCGCTCTGCTGCTCAGCCGCAGCCATCATACCACCGTTGTTAATGCGATCATAGTTGCGGAGGTTATAGAAACGGATGTATTCCATCGGGTTAAAGCCTTCCTGGGCGATCAGTTCCATAATACTGTGTCCACCACGGTTGATGGAGTTGTATTGGAACTCCATGATCGCGCGTGTTCCAAGAGTCTCGTCATCACGCAAGTCACCAGCGAAGCATGGGACAGAAGGAATCACAACAACGATCTTGTACTTCTGTCCAGCGCGGGCAGCGCGAAGAATACGCTCAACAATCGCAGCTCCAATTTTGTTCTTCACTGGGTGCTGAGATTCACCAGTCGAAGTGATGAAGAACTGATTCTCAATGTAGACGAAGTGCTCACTGTTACGAATGATTGCACAGTATGCGTCAGCAATGGAATGCTCAACTGGGCTGCCATTGCTCCACTTCGCGCAACTACGCACAATCTGGCAGGACATATTTCCTCTATTTTGCGAGGGACGGCCATATGTGGTCAATTTGTCTTGATACTGGTGGATTTGTCCCGCCAGTTGGCCACGAAGGGAGTTGCCATATTGAGTGAACTTCTCTTCGAAACGGCGGGGAGCCAAAGATCCTCGTTCGCGATCGCCAGAATATTGGTAATCATCAATTCCACGCGTGTTGGAGTGAGATGCCTCCTGACCTGGGGGAGGGGGGTAATAAGGCGTCTGGTTTTGATTTTGACTTTGTTGAGCGCCAGTGGAAGCCTGGGTTGGTGGCGGTTGATAGTAGGGTGATTGCTCTTGGTGCTGGCTCTGGCTCTGGTAGCTCTGATAGCTGGGCTTAGTGCTTTGGGGTGGAGGAGGTCCAGGCGGGGGAGGCGGGAACGAATTTCCAGTGTAGGAGTATTGTGGTGTACTCTGGCTCGGGGAATGACTCGACTGCGCCGGTGATGATTGATAAGTGGGAGGATTTGGACTCACTGGAGGATGGTACTGAGTATCCTCGGAGTAAGACGGAGTAGAGGTATTCTGTTGCTGCTGATACTGGTGTTGATTCGGGCCCTGGGCCGGCGATGGTGAGTAACTCGAAGTGTTCCCAGGCTGGTATGGCTGGTATGGGGCATGAGATTGTTGTTCATGCTGGGGCTGCTGAGACTGAGACTGAAACTGGGGCTGAGTCTGCTGGTAAGGGCTCGAAGGCGACTGGCCCGGTGGTGGTGGGTATGTAGAAATGGTTCCACTTGGCTTCGAACTAGGCTGCTGTTGCCAGGATGGGGCTGGTGGCTGCTGGAACTGAGGGCTTGGCTGACCCGAAAGAGACGGGTTTTGGTTCTGTTGCTGCGACCCCGGTTGCTGTTGACCAGTTGACGAGGTAGGACGCCCGTGCAACGCTAGTCTGGCATATCTCGTGTCACTCCGAACCTTGTATTTCGCATCGTATATAAAGTTCCATCGTTCCACGAAGTGACGGCGCAGGTCTTCAACGGCTGCACCGTGAAGGCTGACGGAGATATCAGACCATCCCATACGAGACATGGACTTCCTGTCCAACTGGTTCTTCTCCCAGTGAACGACATCTGCGAAATCAAGAACACGAGAATTGTTGTAGTCCTGGCCAGGGAAGACCGTCTGGTTCACATCCGAGGGATGCAGATCGGAGATTGAATGCTGGTGGGTATCCCAACGGCCGAAGCACATGTCCAAGCCACCCATAAAGGCAATTTGACCATCGATCAAGCAAAGTTTCTCGTGGTGAGCCCAATACAAGATCACATCTTCATTCATGCCGTAAAGTCCTTTGATGGTGTCCTTGGACATTTTACTCAGACTTGCTGAGTCAAGAGACATGTTCTGGAAAGAAGATGTGATAGAGGCCGCGAGCTCCTGACGGTCCGGAAGGTGATCAGGATGACGGAAGACCGCGATATTGGGGTGCAAGTCCTCCAAAGCATGTTTAGTGTGGGAGGAAGATACTGGAGTTTATCTGTTAGCCTAGAAGATCCAGTATGGGGGGGATAGACATACGAGTGAGCGCCTGCGTAACTTCCTTGTAGACAATCACATTAACACGAACACCCCGCTGAGCCGCAGACTGCAGCATTCGGTCCAGCCGGTATTGCTCATTCTTCGCCGGGGGTCTGCGGAGGTATAGTTCGGGGGACAACCACCCTGATCGCATGTTAGCCTTGCATTCCACGGTGCCTCGGAACATCAAACTCACAGTCCAGAATCCAGATGGACTCCCGGGCATTCTCCAGTGCGCGCGAAACAGCCCAGAAATACGAGCAGCCATCGACGTACCACTTTGCATCGTTGTGTTCTCGGGGAGGAGCGAAACTACCGAAGCGATGGTCGGTTGTTTTGGTGGGGCCATATTCGGCGTAAGCTTTGGGGTCGATTGTGGTCCCCAACTTTTGCGCGAATTCGTTCCCATACTCGGCCACGGTGCCTTGGATCTTGCCGAGGAATCCACTGAGCTTGTCTTCCTTTGGGGGCTTTCCATAACCGTGCTGCTGTTGCTGCTGCTGCTGCTGTCCACTTTGTCCTTGGCTGTATCCATATTGTGAGGATTCGCTTTGAGTCGGGTAACCTTGCTGTCAGCAGATTAGTGTCAGCGCGGTACTGATGCTGGGTCGACACAACGTACTCCCTGGTAGCCACTTGGGTTGTATGTCTGATTCTGACTGGACTGCGACGAGCCCTGGTGGCTTTTGTAGGTGTCGCGGAGCTTCTTGAAGGTGTCGCCGAAGCCGCGAGATCCGTCACCGGACCCACGTTCGGCCTGGTAGTAACCACCGTAGGCCAGATCGTCTTTGTTAGACATGGTGGTGTTGGTGATAGAGAAAAGAGAAGATCAAAAGACAAGAAAAGAAAAGAAAGTCAAGCCTCAAAACGAGGAAGCCTGCAGAGCGGGGGACGTGAAATGCGCCCCGCTGCCCAGCCACGATGGAAACGTGGCGGTGTATCAGCTGTTGTGTGCTATTTTGGTATTGATTTTGTTCGCTGTAATTTAACTTGCGAGTTGTCGAGATACTCGCTAGAGTGACTTCCTAGGTACATGTATAAGCTGACGCGCCATACTTCACCCCGCATGTGCTGATCACGACAACTGCGGGACAGCCTCTATACATCTAGCCGACTATGTCGACCACGCAGCAGTATTGATGTTCAAAGTCGGATTGGCTCTATTGAGAACTTAATATTTGAGAACAAATGGCATGGTTCATCAGATATAGACATCATCGCCTAGGACATCTTTGTACACAGCAGAGCCACACCACCCTTCACGTCTCATTTCCTTATGATTTGTAGTATGAAGCTGAGGGATTTCGAAACTGACAAAGAGGAGGCAAAAAAAGAGATACCAAAGGAAGGAGAAAATAAAGCAGTAGTAGTACACTCGCTTCGAGAATTTTCTGCAGAAACTGTCTAATACATCATGGCGCTGTGTACACATTGATGACCCCTGCTGTAGAAGAGACGTAACTAGAAACGAAGTCATTGAATTGGCAATGCATATTTTCAAAATGCAAATTCTATCAATACATGTTTGTCTCCATAAATTCGCGCTCGGCATCTCTTTCTTGTCTCCTCTTGTCCTCCTGCTCCACTAATCCAATGAACAGATTTGGTAGAAGAGCTCTCCCTTCAGCTCCTTATGGCTCACAAATTCCGATAATTGCAAGATGGCGTTGTCAAAACGCTTTCCATAACACAGCATCTTTTCTTGGCCGAGGATAGTAAGGATCATTAGCCCAAAACTAAGCGACAGCTTGCTTCACACCATCGAGGTCCATTATCATCTTACTACATGAACCGAAGTCCAAAGCCTAAGCTGCATGGTTTTAGAGAGCATTAAAGGATGTTTCTGATGATCTCAAGGTTGAATCATTGGGCGGTGCTAGAACAAACTCGATATCATTTCCATCAAATTCGTCGATCTAATGTACATAGCGAGTGTTTCGGCTATGATCCTCGCGTACTGTTAAGTAAAACTTGATGTTAAGCCAAGTGACTCCATTTGATTGATATGGAGTGGACAATTTCGTAGAAAGAATGCGGTGAATTGTGAGTTAGTAGGTGGCTTCTGGGTTCGCCTTCTACCTAGGTATGGTCTTATCAAGCAATTCTTTGTCTGGATCACTGGTGCGAATTTTCTCAGCAATACTTGACGGACAGTAGTTGTTAATCAAAAGCTCCCTTGTGGTTTTTGAAAAAGCCGGAATGTGTTGAGACTGGATCATATTGCATGGTGTGTATCCTGGTGGGAATCTTTGTCGATTTAATGACCACCAATCCTGATCTGTTGCATCACATAATAGGCTGGTCTTTTTATTTGAAGGTCTCGATGGTGCATTTCGCAGTCATTTTTTAGAGATCGTTCCGGTCCACCGTCCTCTTGTAGAGGCTGCCCAGACTGGGCCGCAGAGCCCTTTACCAATCATATATAAAGGAGATTCTTTGATGGGATTGTCAGGGGTCATTGTGCCTGGAATATCGTGTTGCTCAGACAAGGTGTGTTATGAGGAGTTCCGGGGATTCGGCCGACTCTGGACATGATCATTCAGATTCAGAGTCTGTCGTGTCATGTGTTTTAGAAGAGGCATTTGAATAAACGCCAAGGAGACCCTGTGAGCCTTTGATAAGGCTTTTGTGCATCATGGGCGTAGCTTCGACTTTAATTTTCGGATCATATGTGCTAGCAAGTGCGGATGATGCCGTATGTCGACAGAGACCTTGGTAGCTCGCCTGAATAAGGTTTAGTAGCCGCAATGGACCGACGACGGATAGATCTACCAAGCGTAGAGGATCCCAAAAGATCCCAAAATGCATAGCTCATGTGATTGCACTTCGTCCATGTCAATACTCAAGGGCTTTATGAATCCTCAATATATTTACCTGGTTGGGAAGTCCGAGGCCCAGTGACCCGGATGTAGTAGGTACGTCGTGGTCTCAGCTCTGATGTAAGCTCAGGCAAACCCACCAACAACATGCCAGTCTCTCTTGCATATATTTCCCCTCACTCGCCTATATCTCAGCAAACTCTTTCATGATGGAGGAGGCTAAACTCCAGTGCATATAAAGATGGGTGTCCGCACAGTTGAAGGCTCCCGAGATACAGACATCGGAGAGACTATTAAAGACGACGTTCTAAGTTATTTGAACGATAGAAGATACGAGGCTCTTTTCATCATTGCCAGCTCAGTTGAATATAGCTACTCAGTTACTTGCGAAGATTCTGACATAGTGTGCAAAGACCCAGACTACATCGGCAGATGTGTTATTCAGGAAAATTCGAGAATCGACACCTATCAACAGCAAAGGATTGGTTCCCCACACCACAACCATTTAAAAAATCACACCAGTTCCAAAAGATCAGAATCAAATCTCAGCAGCATGAAGCTCAACATCAGAATACGATCATTCGATGGTTTAGGAAGCGATTCTTAAGCATTAAGTTAACGATTCACCCGAAGCACTCCAAAAGGGGGGAGAAAAGAGGCGAAGGAAGAGAGGTTATTTTAGGCCAAAACGATGCACAAAATGGTACATTTGCTTCTAGAATTCTGTATAGAAATGGTCCTATAATTCGTAGCACTGTGAAAAAATTTATGACCACGGTTGCATCTCGGTTCTTACACCAAGTGAAACTTTACAAAATGAAACTTCCAGATGCAGATACAACAAATTGCCAAATGAACGCAATATACACACAAAATTACCAAATTAGTCATGTCTCATTAATAAGGGCAGTCTCAACAAACTTCAGGGTTTAGGCCAGCCGTCGAGGTTTCCAAACCACCGCGATCTGTAGATCTCGTCGCCAATGTTGATCTTGCGCCTCTTTCCGTTGATCACCAAACTTGTATGGAAACCACGGAACTTAGTCCATAAGGACTGCACGTATATGAAACTGCCATCGGGAGCAACATTGAAACTCTTTAGGTCCGACTGCGGCAGCTCCTCCCACTCGCCGTCTGTATACCCGTGGCGACCTTTGGTAGTAACTTCGAAACCTTGTAGGTATTTCTCTGTAACATTCTCATAATGTTCTGTGTACTGCCCCGTCTCGATATCAAAGGCATGGAGACCGCGATCTTCCGACACAAGGAATTTCCGCTGACCGGGGAGAGGGACTAGGTCATGTAACCCGGCCCACCAAGAATATCCCTTGCCCCATTCGGCCTCGATCCGTTTCGCCTCGGGCAATTTATAGATATACCGGTCGTCCTTCTCTAGTAGACCCGACGTCCTATTCCAGGGATACCCAATAATAGTTCCGTATGCAGGGACCGGATCACTACCATCTGCCGCGGCGTCTGTTCCAGCAGCCCATAGCATCTGTCCCTGCTCATCCCATATTAACCCGTGTATAGCTCGTAATCCGGTGATGTTTTGGATAATAGGAGGGTTTGCCATAAGAGGGTTGGCAGCGCTAGCATTATAGACAAGGATACCATCCCAGGCTCGCTGGCCTGTGGTACCCACGGCGAGTAGATCGTTCGGCAGGGGTTCAAGTGTATGCGCATTCCAGAGGACGTCGTTCCTCCTACAAAGCGTAAAGGTAAAAAGCTTATCCGTAACTGGGTTCTCGGGAGTGTGGTTCATAACGACAGCAAGGTCACTATAGACACCACCGACGCTTGTGCCGTTATTCATATATTTAACCTCGGTGGCATCGTTCGCGTGGGCATAGAGACATTTGTGAACATCGTGGGGTAGTTTCTGGGTAACGTCGTCGCGATGGAATCTCCAGCTCACGTCTCCGTGGCGGTCATGGATCTTCCAAAGGGGTGGGCGACCATAAACCCCGGTTATAATCTGGTGCCAAGGTCGATGTTCGGGCCGGAGGCGCTCTTGTGGCTGAATGGGAGGGATATTGACATCGGCGAGAGGTTCGAAGAGGAGCGAAATCCAACCAAAGATTCCGGCCAGCATAATGAAAACTGTGGTTGTAGCAGCTGAGTTAAGGACACAGCGTGAAAAAGGCGATTTCCATCTTCCCCCCTGTGAAATGTCCGCTCGGATGTTCCATAGCATACGTATGTCCAGTGGGGAAGCAGGAATCTGGGCGGCGTAACTGGTTCCTTTACTCGTTTATCTCCACGCACTGATCCATGCTTCGTCGTACCTCGTACTCGTTCTCTCCACCAGATAGCGCGACGCACCCTAGAGGACGGGTTTTACGGCTTGGCACCGAGCGGAGTGGGGCCTGTTCGCGTCCCGCCTTGTGCCGTTTAGCCCTAAAGTACAGTACTCCGTATATGTACGGAATACCTCGGACTATCTCATGTTGTTGTATGTGTTCGCCTCAAAGTAAAGAAGGGTGTTCTCTACGGAATAATTTGCCTTGTCATCGTCAAAGATAGCATTCCCCATACCTTGCATTCTTCTTCCTTACATATAAACACCCAGCCCCCGACAGCGTGTTCCAAGTCAATGAAGGAACGATGGAGTGGCAGACTTGAAGCATTCAAGTCAGTTTCAACCTTATCAGGCCGCCTTTCAGGGTCTTCATGAACTGCACTAGCGAGTTTTGGTCCATCCCGCTTGGAAACAAACAAAGAAGCCAGCATAGCACTCCTTCCATGATAAGCGACAGGTCTACAGCTTGCTTAGCGCGACATACTACGCTAGTAGTTCTCGGTGTTTGTGATCAATGTTGTAGGCGTCGTAGTCCAGTAGGGCTCTCATGCAACCGGACCCGCTGCGTCGCCCTATGGCCTGAATCCACATCACCGTGTTTGCCGGGTTCTTCTATCCAAGTGGCATACTCTCTTCGCTCTTCAGTTGATCATCTTTCTGAAGCCATATATTTATGGTTCTCTGCTCCTCAGTTCATCTCGCATGCCTCATATCTCTATATGGGTGTCCTGTGACATCTGTTGAGTGTAGAAGCGGGGCTTGCAGGCGCCTATCAGCTAAATTAGGACTCGCTAACTTCTTACCCTGGCGCCACTAACCTGAAGCTACGTAGAATTGACAGTGCCAATTATTTGGCTCATGCTGTACCATGAGTAAGTATTCTACCGTTCGCTCTCGGTCGCAGACCGTGGTGTCTTGCACTAGTTTTCAATCCCAAAATTGGGGACCCCATATATTGTCTTACAATGTCTCACGGCGAGTTCAGAACCTGAGACCCTTAAGATGAAAGTCATCTCCCATGATCTGGCCGAACTGACCTATTTACTGCATTATTGACAGATGGTGGTGTATTAAGTTATCGTCCAGGGACTTTTAGTCCCTTGGCATTCCTTTACTTCTTGCGGGCATCATCCGTTGCTGATTTATCAGTCCATGCGTACAATTTTTCCCTGTACATCTACAGGAACTTCAGCATCCAGTAAGTTGAATATCGAATATAACCCTCCTAAGAAGCTGCCAGATCGTCACCATTGCTTTCAGCTTTTGAGTCAACTGCGGCCGCACCTGCTGCATCTCCTAATACGCTTGTTTCATCCGCCATGACCACAACCACTGCCAAGCTCACCACCAACACCATCATCGGCTCCAGCACCAGCTCTACCACCACTTTGCCCACCAGTGCCAGCGCCAGTATATCAAGCAAAGAGCAAGAAATCAAAGCACGGATAGCTGGAGCAGTCGCTGACCCCGTCGTAGCATGCGTGCTTATCGGGGCCCTGTAATCCTAACTAGGTCGCCGTGACAGCAACAAAAAGAAGCAACAAGATTAAGACACACAGCACATGACAGCTTCGCCTACACTCAGAACAATAAGCCTCACATGATTTGGCCCCTTCACTGCAATTGAAATCTTTGACAAAACGTATGGAACGACATGCCTGGAGATAGTGGACCCAGTGAACCTTCAGAGCTAGATTCTCACCATCACCAACGAAAGTGAACATAAAGATTTCTGGATTGAGCAGCCGGTGGCTGGCAGCTTGTGAGCTGATTCAAATCTGATGTATATTAATCTCTACGCGAGTCAATACACCAGAGTTGTCAGATACCACCGAGCATTTATAACGCACTGCATATCGGCTTAGCATAGCCTTCCTTGCATTGATCTACTCTTTCCTTTTCTCAAGGGAGGCTGACTCGCTGATCGAGTTAATTGCGCACCAAATATTAGATAGTGAGGCAGTGTTTGACGGCATATATTGATGGAATACTTTAGCCACGGGACAAAATTTGGTCAAGGATTCTGACATATCAAACCGGGTTCTAAACCGGCAGCAGACCTCCGCAAGTATACGATTTTTCTATTGCTCTGCAGAGCGAAACATAGTTACATCATCCCGCTCATGTGTTTCGACTCTGTTTCGGGTGCTTGATGAGGGTTGCACATACGGATACAGAATGACATTTCAGCTCTGACAATGATCATGGGGCTAAATGTACAGAAATAGCAACGACACCCCAGCAGGTCCAGCCGAACGGGCTTCCAGCACTACTTTATTTGAATGGACATGACACTAGGTGTCTTAGTAAAACATGTCGTGAAGCTACAGATATCTTGGCCCCACAGTGGATCTATGAACACATCATCCCCGCCCTCCGATTGGCCTGATTATTGATCACTTCAAACATTGTCCCGACTGCCTACAAATCCAGCAATGATGAAGCGATTAGACCACAATTAAATCCCGGAATATATGGCGATGACTGATATTTACCCTTTGGAATTCTCCACAATGCTGTGTGGGGGATAGTCTGAGGTGGGACGAGCTAAGAGCCCGAAAACTATATAACCACCTGGGTATCCTGGATTTTCGTCGTTACTACAGAAGCCCGGTACATCACATTCAGCTGATCCGCTCTTTACGATGGAATCAAATCCATTCAAAGTGGTTATTGCAGGTGGCAGCGTTGCCGGACTTGCTCTTGCTTTGATGCTAGAGAAGAACGGCATCGACTTCGTCGTTTTGGAAGGCTATGGCAGCATCGCACCGCAAGTTGGGGCTAGTATCGGCCTACTTCCAAATGGTCTCCGGATTCTTGACCAGCTAGGCTGCTATGAGGACGTTCTGGAAAAGGCAGAATATCCAGTCGACAAATTCTTTTTCCGGAATTCTCAGGGAGAGCAGTTCTGGTCGCTTGAGGACTTTCATCGGGAGACGGTCAATCGGTTCGTATAAACTGTCTTCTTAAAATAGGCATTGAGCTGACATCTTCGATTTAAAAGTCACGGATATCCAGTTATCTTCTTCGATCGTCGCATGTTGATTGAAGTGCTCTATGACAAGATCCAGGACAAGTCTCGAGTCCTTACCGACCAGAGAGTTCAAAGTATCAGCAATCGCGCGTCGGATGTCACTGTTACTACGACCACCGGCCGGAAATTTACCGGCCACATGGTCATCGGAGCAGATGGGATTCATTCAACCGTTCGTCAGGAAATGTGGAATGAAGCAAAAAAGATAGATCCCTCGTGGATTGAACCTTCCGAGGCGTCCGGTATGTTTCTGCAAGTAAAAGAAAATTGATTCGGGCTGACCCTTGAAAAAGCACTTCCTGCGACATACTCCTGCATATTCGGCATATCAGAAGGCGCAAAAGGTATTGAGAAAGGCACACTGCATTCGGTCTTCAACGAGCATTTTTCATATTTAGTCCCAAGTGGGCCCGGTGATCGGACCTACTGGTTCCTTGTACTCAACATGGGAAAGACACTGTACGGTGACGATATTCCTCGATTCACAAAAGCCGACGAGGAAGCCGTGGCGAAACAACATTGGAATGACCGAATTACCCCCGATCTCCAATTCTCCGATCTATACAAGAGCAAGGTTGCTTCGGTACACACAGCTCTGCCGGAGTATGTGTACAAGAAATGGTATTTCCAGAGGATGATGACTATTGGTGATGCTAGTCACAAGGTATGCCCGCGCCCTGGATCGAAGATGTGAAAAGACTGACATCAAGTGACTTGTTTTATAGTTCGAACCATTGACCGGCCAAGGTGGCAACAATGCAATTGAAACAGCGGCATCGTTAACAAATCACCTTGTAGCAGCCCTTAAGCGCTGCAAGTCGGGTACCCTGTCAACAGCCAAGATCTCCCAGGTTTTTGAAAACGTCCAAGAACAGCGCCAAGACCGAGTTTGGGAATTGGTCAAAGCATCCCATGCGCGACAACGCATGGAGTGCATGGAGACACCATTGTTGAAATTGATCGGCAAGTATTTGATTCCGAACCTGCCCAGATACAAGGTCGTCGACAAATGGACCCAGATCTATTCTCCTAGTGTATCCTTGAACATGATCCCACAGCCGGACAAAGAGTGGGAGATTGCTTACTTCGATGAAAGATTCCGAACGCCATCTCCCCGTGGCTTTGCAGGCATTCTTCTGTATACTGCTTATGTTTCTCTGGCCTGGCTGGGTCATCGGCAATTGCGGACAGCGGGCACGGAGAACGGGACATGGGCGTTGCTCCGTCAAGCACTGAAAAAGGGGACAATCCCATCCCTGGGAGATACAGAGGTTCCTCTCCGTCGGGTTTATACCGGTCTGCCATCTATTGACCTCGTTCTCCAAACTTTGGTGACATTCTTTTCGCCCGCAGTCGGCAATCTCTCAAGACCAGAGCAGCCATTGCAGGTACTGTACTTCCTTGCCTCGATCGTTCCATTGATGGCAATCTTCACAGTTGAAGGGTATCGGCCGCGGAATAGATGGACACTCCTTGCGATCCCGTCGGTGTGGGGTATCCTGTATCAGCTGCGTGGTATCGGGGTGATCGCTCCTATCTACTTCGCCGTGAGCACTTATATCTCGTCCCCCATTACCTATTTCTCTCCGAGCTCGCGCAACTTGATTCCCTCCACTGCTCGCTCAATCCTTCTAGCTGTGTTGATTGGATATTTTCTGCCAAGTATGATGTTGTTCTTCCCATTGGAGAATGCCCCGGTTACCCGACAGGCTTTCATCGCCCTGTGGCAGCCTGTTCCGGTGTACGTGGTTCTTCTGACAGAGGTATTCTCCCGCATAATCAAGTGTGTTGAGAAGTCCAAATCGATCAGACCCTCAACAGATAGCAAGCTCAATCTTGATCTGCCTTCGCTACAAATGCTCTACGCAGTTACTGGCTGCATCGCCGCGTGCTTCCATCTTGCCTTGTTGGCCAGTTGGTATGTCTCTAGCAGTGAATTCCTGATCAGGGCATTCATCCCGATGGATTCATTTGTGGAAGTGTCCACTCTGGCAGATGGAATCTTCGTATTCTTCCAGAACGATTTCTTGCTTGTTGCTGCTGCGAGTCTCCTGTGGTGTTGGTCTAGTGTGTGGGATCTGTATCGCATGGGAATCTTAAATTTTTCCATGTGGGTAGCTTTGGTGGCTCTCATTATTGGATCTGTGGCGGTTGGACCGGGTGCAACAGTGGCGGCTGTGTGGTACTGGCGGGAGGGTGTCATGAGCCAGAGAAAATTCCGCTTGATCTCTCACTAGTCCATCTTGCTCAAGGTCTTGGACTGTCTATGAACATCCATCAGCATTGATTTCAGGTTGGAGGGTTCGCAGTAGGAGGACAACCCGGCGATAGAATGATTTCCTATTGGAAGATACATGGTTTCCGTCTTGTCCATTTGTACATTAACGACAGAGGGTACAAGAAAGTTGTGATCGGGCGTAATATTCAAAGTGGTATATTAGATTTTGCAAGAACCACAAATGATGAAGTCATATATCGCAAAAGGAGCCAAAGAGGAAAATTTATCCCGTCAGACTCGTAAAAGTATTGACCCATTTTGCGTTTTGGGATACTACTCTCTCAACGTCCGCTCGGCGAAAGCCAGCTACACAGCCCAGCCCAACTGGAAGCCGGCTTAGTACTAGTAAGGTTTGGTAAAGTCAATGAATTTCATCGGAAGAAAAACGGTTGAGTAGAAGACTTACTGCTGAGTAGCTTGTTCTGATCAATAACCCTCATTGTGCCGGGCGTTGAACCAGTCAAGGCTAGCCTAGACTCTTCAAACGGCGGTATTGACAATGATGGAGATTTATATCCACTTAGTTCAATACCCTCATTGAACAAATAACCCTCGATATCATGAACATCGAACCATTCTTCATCAGAATGAACATGAGACACGCCGTTTGATTCCCGAAATAGATCTAACCTGTTCGGCTGCGCACCGTGTGCTGGCGATTGGAAATGAGTCCCCGCGCCACCGAGACTAATGAAAGGAAACCGAGTATTGGGAATAGGGTTGCAAATTTGCAAGTTCACAACGCGCTCAAAATACGCTCGAATATGGGACCTTGGCAGGGTTTGCAGCGATAGCCCAAACTCGGGCCATAGTTCTTCGTCTCTGTATACGAGGTTTGAAAGGAAGCGATGACCGCTTTCTGCTACAGCTCGGAAGAGTCGTTGGGTGAACGGTGTGTTGGCGTATGGAATTGTGGGGATGTCAGCAAGTGGAGTTGAGAGGGATATGGGGAGTGAATCATCCAAAGTATCACTTTGCATTCGATTATTTGACGGCGGGATCATTGCCGACGATGAGTTTAGAAAGCAATTCCAGAAGGTAGTCTGAGTTGGGGGATGGAGGGTGGCTGTTGTGTCTAATGTGAATATCCTCTGGCGTGACTCATTGACTCGAAATAATTCAAGACTGGAGATGGGTGCTGTGTCTTGAAAAGGAACATTTGCCTCTTTGAATTGAGACACTACCTCGTTCCGGAGTAGTTGGACTGCATGAAAGAGCCGGGGCTGAGGCCACTGCAAGCCGTTTTGTATGACCTGGACATCAAATGCATGAATTGTTTGACCAATACGATCAAAGGCATCTTCTAGTTGCTCGACGCGGGCTTTCAATGTCGAGAGTTGTGATTGTTGGCGCGATCGATAAGCCCTTTGTGCCTCGCGGACCTGAGCCCGACGCGTCTGCGAATGGTCAGACTGGACTCCCGATCTGACGGCTGGAGCTCACGAATATTACATCAGATTGCTTCCGTGGTCGACCTGGCTTTGCACGAGTAGACATTGTGGTTTGGGAGTTGGAGGTGTGGTGAGGCAAATTCACAGGGGGGAGCCAGCAGTCCGGTAAGAACGCCAAGACCCAATTTAGGGTCATTCAAACTTCCGCATTTTGTCCGAGGTATAGACATCATTCAATGTAAGATTCAAGGCCTGGTTTTCTTTATTTTCAGTTCTATGGTGTTAGTCTGCCTTTTTGGAGGTGGTAAATTACAATCTTCGAGTTCCACCCTTGTAGAGGAATCTAACTTAAAGAGGTACATTATAGGTGTCCGCTCAAATATGTTTTGAAAGCCTCGGTCAATTTTCAGACCCCGTGGTCGAGATGTATTTATATTTTGCTAGAAAAGCAAAAACACAGTGTACTTTTTTTGGAATATCCTCAATAATGTTTTTATGTTATGAAAACTCTTATAGCTAACTCTTCTTACTGCATTAAGATATATATTGTAATTTCAAATTGCGAAAGGAGTTGGTTGTCGATATATAGAGTCATTAATCTTCACATTCAAGGTGGTTTTCTAGCTGGACCACTCGCTTGCCGAATTCGATAAACCTAGAAAATAGGCATACCAATCGAGTTATCATAATCAATGTTTGCCTCCACACTTTCGATCCGAGGACTGCAAGTTCCAAAAACCCGATCCCAAACTCGAGTCTGCTTGCCATAGTTATGGCTCTTCTTCCACCCCTGACGATGATGCAGATCATGGTCCTCGATCACCAACTCAGCATCAAAAATTCTCATCAACCATGTCAGGGGGTTCGGCGGTGCAGCATGAAGACGGAGACCACTATGTCCGGCAAGTTCCGCAAACATGACATAAAGTTGACAAATGTGCCATTCATAGAAACCCATCGGCATGCCCATAAGCCTCATAGTGAAGTAAGTCATCAACGGGATCCCCGCAATATCAAAGAATTCTTGCTCCGAGTCCGCATAGATAGTAAGAAGTGGGTTCGGATGTTTCGTCAAATGGTGTGTTCGATGGAACTTCCAGAGACCGTTCACATCGTGCATAATCCGGTGGTACCAGTAGAACCAGAAGTCGAGGATAATGCCGTACAGACTGACCTCCACAGCAATCCATTTCCAATTCAAGGAGATTGGTGCCTCGTTTACGTTGTAGGTCATGTATATTGTCATCAAGGGACGCACAAAGCCCGCCAGCAGGACCGATATCAGAGCTTTTTGAACTCCTATATCGGGCACGCCATCCCGTTCGTGTTTATCTCCATCTAAGAACCCATATTTATGGCCGAGTTCACGCAAGCTTCGTAGTTCACGAGTCGTGAATAATCTCGATGCGTAGTAATAGTAGAAGAATGAGACGATAGGATGGAAATGGCCGCCAGTAATCGAGTTATAGAGTTGGTGAATAAGAAGTGGAATGCCAGCATGGACGATGACCCAGCGGTTCAAGGCCCAATCTGAGACGTAGGGTATCTTGTCTTCCTTGGAATGCACGGGCACTTCGCGGTCGAGGTCGACGTGGTGTACGTTTGCGTGCTCGAGGATCTTGTGTGGTATTTTCCATTGGTCTTTATCCCAGGTTCGCCAGGTGGACTTCATTGAGTCGTTCGGATTTCGCATGGTCGTCATGGTCGGAGTCATCTTGTAAGTGCTGCGTTATAGTTTTGAGAACTGATGAACCATGCGGCCAGGGCCCATCTTTATGCTTAACGCTATGTCGATCTTCATGCTTGCTTTTTAATCATACGGCAAAAACCGAGGCTGCTGCTCGAGCTCGGTGCATGTGTTCGTCAGGAAGATCGAATACCGAGGATATTACCCCATTGCTAGTCCCAAAGTTTTGCCTCGAAAGTTTGCCCCACGTGTAAATCCGCCGTTTTATGGCATCATAAACTCGGCTGAAAGAGCCATGTCGATCACTGATTGGTGAGTCGCACTGGTTGCCTATGAGGGCTTAGCCTGGTGGGTCTCCTCTGGTTCAAAGAAAATGATCTAAGGGAGTATTACGGTGTATAGAACATAGATGGCGGTCGCATGATGGCGATGAGGCCTAAAATTTAGTTTTGATTTGTGCTCGATGCCGCTTCTCGTTGAATACTGCTAATAGACAATGCTTCGAGCACGCTCTTTTGCCAAACCCCTTGTCTCTGCTGTGAGACTAGCAATATCTTAGCTCCTATACCATTTCTTTTTCGAAAAATACAAGGGTTCTGGGTTATGCTCGTCAATCCTGACCCGGGAAACCGTTCATCAGTCCTGTGTTTTTCTGAGACTGATGAAACATTCTTTCTGAATTGGCATGGTGGCGTTTCTTTCACAGGCATGAACCCAATAATTGTGATCTCAAGTTTGCATTTTGATGATCGTGTAATCACTCGCTTCGCTCACAAGCAAATTTGGCTCCTGGTGTAGATGCCTGAAGTCTCCAACAAATATGTCCAGTGGTAGCTGCCAGGGGTGGCCTACCAAGGTTCCCGGCGCAGATCACGGGTTCGAGTCCAAAGGCTAAATTTATGCTTATTCTAAGAGGACAGCGGGTAAATCTAGATGTCTTTCACGAGATCTAGTTGGTAGTGTCATAATATGATGAGTTCGAGGGGGTTTCATTCGGGTCTTAATATAGACATCGAATGAAACCTCGAAGAGAGGTGCTAGCATTTTGTAGAAATTATCTAGTTGTACATTGAACAATGTAGACATCAGAGCTCTGTAATTCAAAGGATGAATAAGATAACGCAGATAATTGAAGTTTCTGACAAAGCCAAACTAAATATAGATCAGACCCTAAACCAGTTTCCCCGCAGTGGTTATCAGATCACAAAAACAGAACCATTGAACCATCAACAACCCGTCCAATTCAAAACTCACCTCTACGCCAAGTACATCGATCGTACACCATGTCTCTCGCAACCTTGGATGTGTGTACTGTTTCAAGCTCTCCAATTCACCCTTCCTCCCCGCAACCCCGCTGACATCATGGCCCGTGAATCAGACTAACCAGCATCCCTACCTCCCTGCCGCATCTGCAACGCTCTTCAAAGCAAAGGCAGCCCGAAAACTCAGTTTTGAGAAGATTGGAGAGCACCTTGGTCGCAATGAAGTAGCCGCCGCTGCTATTTTCTACGGCCAGGCCCGTGCATCACCCGAGGACATCGAAAAGTTGGCGAGTCTACTCGGAATTCCCCAACAGCCACTGGAAAACCAGCTCAGTGGATTCCCCGACCGGGGCCGCTCGGTTGAGATGCCGCCCAAAGAGCCTTTGATTTATCGTCTCTATGAGATTGTGCAGAACTATGGATATGCCTACAAGGCGGTGCTGAATGAGAAGTTCGGAGACGGTATTATGAGTGCCATTTCTTTCTCTACCAAGGTTGAGAAGGAAACTGATGAGGATGGAAACAACTGGGCTGTTATCACTCTTCGGGGTAAATGGTAAGATTAACCTGTCCTGTCCTGCTTGGGTGGCTGTCTAACATAAATAGGTTGCCCTTCTCTCGCTTTTGAATCCATTTAACCAGAGAACCTTCGATGATTCAATTGATTTGGACGTGAAGATTAGCACCAGATCTAGCTAAGGGAAAAATCGACATATAATTGACGTAACGTTACGGGTATCAGGAACGTCTAACACGAGTTAATCCACGCATGGGAGAATCAATTTTCTCCTTGTCTAGTGAAAGAGATAACACAAAATACAAGCAGAGGAGTGAACGCGTAGACCTCGTTACGACAAAATACGTAGGCCTTGCGCGCTGTGATTGTTGTGATACAGGTCGAATGGTTTCTGAACTCTCTTTGACTTTGTCAACATAGAAGCTTTTTATGTATCATCACAACGGCTCATGTCTGTGACTCGTGCGAGGAAGGTTCAAAAATGCAGAAAGACAGAGGGCATTTGAGACACCTTACTGTAGCGATAGTCCGTGAGCGTGCCTCCTGTCATTATGGACGAGATAAAAGCTCGGCTTCATGATGCTACACCGAAAGTCTCTGATAACTTGGGGCCATTTCACTCACTCAAAGAAAAGAACTTACGCTCACTTTCAATTCGACTACCCGTAACGCCCTCAATATTTCGGACCCGGTAGCAGAAGGTCATCATACGCACCCCCGGAAGGCGGCCTCTTCGTTTACCAGTTTTTCTCGTCTCAATATTTTCCTCACTTTGAACAATCCTTATTCTGACCTCCTTTGCTTGCCTAAACTATTGCTGAGGAGGTCCGCTAAACGGTGCTTTGCACCTATTGGGACTGCAAGCAAACATTCTGGCATCGGGATGACATGATCAGATCAGTCACAAGATCAGTCACAAAGAGCATTTCTACTGCCTTCCATGCGACCTTGACTTCATTTCTCGGCAAACTATCTACCTAGACACAATGACTAGCGAGCGCCATATCATGTGCCCCCAATGCGGCCTTGAGTTCCGCAGTCAGGGTGGCCTGGAGGCTCATATTCAAAACGTAAGTGACATGTCCTGTGCCGCCGCATACCCCTACAGCGTTGCCTCCTCATACCCTTTCCATGCCTACTTTCATGCATTTTGCCCATAATTCCTTCTTGTGATACCCTCTTCCTGCTTCACCAACACTGACAACTTTATGCAAAACCACAAGCAGGTCAGGAAGGTCTCCTGCCCCCACTGCCACGTCGCTTGCAATTCAGCTTCTGGCATCGTCATGCACATTGAAAGCGGGAACTGCCCCGTGGCCAACAAAGACGGTCAGCGCCGCGACGAGGTGAAGGCCAAGGCTCCTGTTGAGCCAAGTATCCTGGACATGGGTCGCTACACCTCCTCTTCTGAGTCTGACGCTCCTCATTCTGCTGTCTCCAGTGAGGACAATGAGCAGGAAGGTGGAGTCAGACTCGACCAAACATCAGCCCAAGCCCGGCTCGCAACCAAGCCGTCTCTTGACTTTGAGCCTGGCGGCGTGTCTCTTCCCCAGCCTATTCCTGTGTACGCCCCGGACTCAGCTCACGATGAACGTACTCCACCCTTTGACCCCACTGAGCAAGGCAACACACTCGAGTGGATGGCTCAGCTTGATGAAATGACCCCAACCCTCAACTCTGAAGCCACTATGCCAGCTCACCAGCAGATTCCCGTTTACACAGCGGAATCTTTCGCCGATGGACTTAATCGCCGTGCGAGAGCCACTGATCGAAGCGTTCCATTACCGCTGTCGATGCTTTACGAGCATCTCTACATCAGCCCTATGACTGCTAGCACCGTCTCTGGCCACCAGCCAATTCGTCTTTGCCCCGCATATGATTTCCACGGTGGAATTTCCCCTCCTGCTGATCCCAATGAGCGGCCCGGCTTGGTGATGTTGTCCGAAACAGTCCGGCGAGCCGACGTCACAGCCTCTCGCGCCGGCGATACTGACCCAAACAACCCATTTGCTTCGGACTTCAATTATGAGGGGGCAGGACTTTCCAAGCATGACTTGAGTGTCCCAGGCCCAAGCATCAGTTCTCCTCACAATCTTCGGAATGTTGACCCTCAGGAATTCTGGAATCTAGAGAAGGGGCGTTTTGTCTGCAACTGTGGTGTTTCCTTCCTGACAGCCCGTGAGTTCAGCACTCACATCATTCTTGATGATGGTGGTACCATCAAAGAGTAAATCCCCTTCCCCACAGACACTCCCCCGTATCTCTGCTATCATGTTGTCACATGCTAACACTCTTTCACCCAGCTGTCCCCGCTGCTTCAAACGCTTCGAGAAGCTAGCCGCCCTCGTCGCCCACGTCGAAGAACCTCAGTCCAAGTGCGCCATCTTCGCAGATGATCACATTGACGATGAGATCAACGAGATTCCTCGTGGCTTTGCTACATTCAGGAGCCACCACGATGAGCTCGACATGGATGAGAGCCTTATCGACATGGGTACTACCAGCGAGGTTCAGAAGATCACTACTGCTACTCATGCCGGCGAGGACAAGAATCTGACCGAGGAGCTGCGACGCTTGAAGTTTGAGGAGAAGTAGATGACTCTTTCTGGAGTCATCGAACTTGACAATGGATCTATCATGGACGGATCACAGATACTTGGGGATTTGCGGTGAAGGATTAGTGATGGGCCTGGAATTCATTTACCGGGACCTGCCAGAGATGACGGTGGAGAACAGCTGAACAGAACATGGAAGTTGATTTACCCGTTGGGATCTGGCTATGTGTTGAAGTGCTGGGGTTATGTCTCTAGTTGGAGATACGGCGTGGTGGATTCTGCGATGGTCGTACTTAGGGCTATCTGTGCGGCTTTGCTTCGGGGGATTTGAAACTGGATATGATTTTTCATTTCACACTTGCACAGTTAACACTCCTCTCTTTTTTTTAATTCTTATTCTTTTCTTATGCTTTTCTTTTACATTTTCTTCTTATTAGATGACAAGAAATCAAAAGATATTAGAATAACCGAAAAAGACCACGGGTAGATTTGCTCTAAGTAAAGTAAAGGGTATTGCGAGAAACAGAAAAACAGCAAATCCCGACTCCATCGTCGCGCAATTTTCGCGGCGTAAACAGCAGCAAAATCATAAAAACATATTTGAAACACATGAGCCATCCACATTCCCATGGCGGAACAATCACCCCATAAGCCTTAACGACCAATCAACACCACGAATATTTGTTTGTCCGATAATCGCACTGAGAGATGTCGCAGGTATCAAGAAGTATTCATCGTGAATTGGGACGGGTTGGAAGGATAGGAGATGGCGCATTTAGCAGCAGTCCTCACAGCACTCGAAGCAAAGAAGACCAGCGCAACTAGAGAGATGTCAGTTGATATTCGAAGCACTGTTGTTCCGATTGAGGTGAAACTTACACGCCGCAGCAGATATCGCCGGCACCACCTCCGCGCAGCTTCATCATGTTCTCCTGGGAGTTCTGTGAAGATGATATCGTTAGCTTGGATCTTGTCATGCGCATCTATCACAGATCACGTACAGGCTGCTCGGTAATAACACGGTCAGTAGAGGGAGCCTCGGGACTGGTTGGCTGCTGGTTTTGGACTGTAGCGGTGGTAGCGTCCCAAGTAGCCTCGGGGGCGGTGGACTCCTTGGAGGAGAACCAGGAGAAGAGACCGTTGGTGAACATTTTGGTTTGTGTTGTGGTGAGGATGGGGTCTTGAGTGGTGTGAGAGTGAGGAAGATAGAAGAAAGTGTGTGGTATGAAGATGATGGAAATCAAGAACAAGCCTGAGGGGAAATGGGGAACTTTTATAAGTTTCAATTTTATTGTATTAGTGCGCTACTGTCAACAAAGAGGCCGCGAATCACTCAGGAACCCTGGATGGTCCACTTCGGGTATGTCGGAGGGCGTCGTAATGAGGCGTGGAAGAACAGGGGGCTCTTCTGTTGATTGGTTCCACACTGCACTAAGCCCTCCCACGTTGAGACTCGTACACAAGTCGGAGTCGGGCTTTTGGTGTATATTTGTGTAAATTATGCGGTCGTTTGTTGAATTATATGTTGTCAAATTGAGGACTCGGGAAATAGATCAGCCCCAAGATTGAGGATTCTCGCATTATTGACAACTATCGAAGTATCGAAGAATCGTCAAGTCTCCACTTGTTGGCTAAGCTTCGGGTAAGCTTTGCGTTATTTATAGATGTGGCTCAGCAGGTGGCTGATGCAGGTGAATGGAGTATTCTACATGTAACATACAAACGTCATGTTCTAGAATCCCACTGTCTATGTAATGCAAGTTGACTTTATGCTGCACAAAGACTGCGGTCAAAAGTCAACACCTTGTCCATGTCACATGACCTGCACACCTGGCACAACCCGGCCCCCGTGAAATTTGCATCTCCATCTCCATCTCCATCATCGGCCGACAAAAACCCGGAGATCACCAACCCCACAAACCACAACCATGTCATCGCCAGACCCCAGCGTAATCGCAGCAAAGCGCGAAGCAGACTACAAGCGCTTCAAAAACTACGCCGCCTACACCTTCCTAATCGGCGCACCAATCCTCATCGCCCTCCCACCGCGCAAACTAGACCCCCTCACAGTCCTAGTCCTCTGCTCATTCGGCGCCTCAGCCAACCACATCGTGGCAGACCGTACAGGCCGCAGCATCGTGGACCGCATCGACGCGCGGATCGCCGGTTTCTCAGGCGGAATCTCCAGCCTACCTAGTGAACGGGCGCAAGAAATCCAAGAGCGATTACGCGCCTCGCGCGATGCGCAGATTCGCGAGGCCGAGGCCGAGCTTTTGAAGGCGCAGGCTGATGCGAATGCGCCTGGGACTGTTAGTGAGGAGATTGAGAAGCTCAGAGCTAGGCAGTTGCATGAGAAGGGGGTTGTGTCGCGGGTTTGGATGGGCGGGGAGGCTGAGGGGTGGAAGGAGAAGAGGTTGCGGAAGGAGCAGGAGGCTCTTAGTGAGGGGAAGGGTTATGGTGATTTGATTCAGGAGCATATTTGGGATGTGTGGACTTGGGGTGGGAAGGATGGGGAGGGGGGAAAGGACGTTAAGGATGTCAAGGGGGGACTGGAGGTTGAGAAGAAAGAGTGATCATGAGCTTGCTTGGGTTGAATTGACGTTTTCGTCTTGTATAGCACCACCCCTCTCACTTTTGTATTATATTTGGCTTTGCATTGGGATTCGGCGTTTCCTGCATTTGATTCCGATGCCCCGGAATCGTTATTCGCGCCGGGCTCATTCTGCTGTTAAAAGTGAACTGTTAGTCCGTGGGCATTTCCACTATCCACTTTCAGCAATCTTCGATTGTCGCAAGCGCTCTAGGTGCTACTCGTGTTCCATCCGTTATGCGTCACCAGATCAACTTGGTAATTGGAACCATCTGAGTTACTTCAAAATTCCATATACGCGAGTAATAGATGGAACACGAGAAGTATCTATAGCATTTACGAAATCTTGATAAATATGGATCGCTTAAGATATCTGGCTGGACTGCAATATCTGCGGTTAGTATTCTGCCAGAAAGCAGTGATGGATCAACCCCAATTTAATTCCTTTCTTCAGAGCTGCCTGCATCGGAGACAAAGCATCTCTCTGCCATTGATACAGGTCCAAAAATAAGATATACAATTACAGCTTAGCTTACAACGTACAGTCTACGAGGGAACATGTTGAAAATGCGTGACACATATTGAATGACAAGCCCATGTATCAAACCCAATATATCCACCAATTCATGCCAATCAACCAGCCAACCAGGTGACACCAACGAGCATGGCCTCGCCAGTAAGCCCCAGTTAGTTCTTGACCGACTTTCCAGTTGCTCCCCCTTTTCTTTTATTGATCATTTCCTCCAAATTAGATCCAAGTTCACATGTATGTGCCACAACACTAACAAAGGTGGAAAAAATAACCTGTACAGGACTGGGGATCAAAACAAAATTAAAATAGAACTCTTTCAAGAGATACATGATATAAAACACATATAGACATAGATGTTGGCCCAAGATGTGGGTACTCATGCGGCGCAGTTGACGTCCCGAAAGACAAATGGATCGAGTTGACCAGCGAGGATGGTCAATTTGTGCGCCTCTAGACGATGAGGTTAGTCAACTTTCATGCAATTACCACAAAAGCAGCGAAAGACGTAATGGGGGTTTTCACGTACGATTTTTTGGAGGGCATGAGCACCTTGAGTGAAAGCTTTGGTTCTCTGTTGGGCGCGGGGCTGGTTAGTGATTGTACTTAGTGATTGATGCCAGGGGTCTAAGATGCTCATATTTTGGATTTCACTTACGGGGTCGTAAATGATGAAGGGTGGTGCGTCGACCATTTCGATATCACTCTTTAGGTAGTCAGGAAACTGTAACGACGGTTGACCGAAGAAGATATTGGCTTGGGGTTTCATGCTTACTGGTTCATCAGATGGTGCATCGGGCATGTCAATGTCGAGACCGATGTCCCGGAATGCGCGTTGGAACTTCTTGGGCTGGTTGGGTTTGTTAGCTATGTGTTTCTGTTTGCCTCTAGATCCGGGCTCAGGTGCATCAGGCATGCTTTCATCTCCAGATGAGTCACCGGAGGAGTCATCTTTCGAGGCATCTCTGGAGTCGAACATGGCTTCATCGTTTTTATTACGGCGGGGATTGCTACTTACGGCGTTGTTGTAGTTTTGACGATTGCCCCGTTGATAATTGCCTCGGTTGTAGTTTTGATTCAGGTGATGATAGTTGTTAACTTGGAGAAAGTTCCGTGGAGCCTGATTGTAGTTTCTTGGGCCTTGGTTGTAGTTGCGGCCTTGATTGGAGTGGCGACTTTTGTTGGAGTTTCGGCTTTGATTGTTGTTCACAGCACGATCCATATCGACATCTTGATCCTGAGTAGCCCCGCGTTGACGGCTTTGATTTGCCCGTTGATTATTCCATTGTTGATTTTGGGTTCGATTGCCACGGTGAGGACCGTTGTTGCGCTGAACGACGTTAGCACCAGTGATTTGCATGCTGGGACCATAAGCAGAAATAGATACTTGACAGTTATTGTTGCCACGGAGAGGGTGATTGTCATGCTGGATGATATTAGCACCCGGAATCTGCATGTTGGGAACATAAGCAGATGTAGTTACTAGATAGCATTTATGGCCCTGATTCCCATATCTTGCATCCATCTTCTCCGTGTCAGTTTTTGGCACCAGAAGAATCGGATTTGGGAGATCACTTACAATATTCCCCGATTGAACACCGTTGTTGGGCCCGTTATTGCGCTTTTCATCATAGCCCGTGTTTCCATTCCGATTACCCAACCAGGTACTCCGTTTTTTATTGTAGTCGGGATCGATGCCAGGAGCGCCAAAGCCGCCAAGGACAGTAGTGGACATACGGTTGCCAGGGGCAGGGGAGGAGGCGCCAGGAGCAGCCGAGGAGCCCGGCCAGTTGTTGCGTTTTTTATTGTAGCTGGGGATGATGACAGGAGCATCGTGGAAACCGCCAGGAGCGGGGAGGTTCGACTCGTTATTGCGTTTTTTATTGTGGTCGAAACCATTGCCAGGAGCAATGGACGGATCTTTCCGACGGAAGATGCCGGTGCCTTTGTTTTGCGAGTTTAAGGACATTTTGTCGATACCGTTCCTCAAAACTTGTGTAGTTCTGAGCGTGCCGCTTCCTTTTCTCGATGAAGACTTGCGCAAATCGGACCACTCAATTGAAACTTCCAAGGACTGGATTTCCAACTTCAGAGATTCTCAACACCGATGTTTTTGGATTATACTGAGTGCTGAGGTCGCTGGTTTGCAGTGTCTAATGTGTTTTCTGCTTATAACGGGGTCCCAGTTCACAAAATAGTTCACCTCAAAAGAATGCTGACTCCCTACAAGTCCAACCACTTAAAGTCAATCTCCTGGTCAGGCAAACTTGCTCAAACCCTTCAACAGGTCAAGGGCAGGAAACAAAATGCCCTATTGAGACGGGGGTGGTTGGTCGATATAAAAATAATTTGCGATGTGGAAGAGCAGGCCAGGAGGGGTAATGCCGGAGAGGGTGTACCTGTGAAGCGGAAGAGGTTCACAGGCGCCGATGAAGGAGGGCGCCGATCAAGTCGTCTGCGATTTGTCGATGATGTTGTCGAGGATGTGTTATGTGACAAGCAGAACTTGCATGTACCCCAGATGATGATACAAAAATGCTCAAGACCAAATAAAGATGAAATTAGACGCTGTTTGATGGATGCAAGAGATGGGAGAGCGAGGGGAGATGGAGAAAGAAGATGAGCAGAGTTGAGTCAAGGGATTTATATCTGTCCATAAGGTTCCTGAAGCCTTAATGATGTATTCTGATCCTCGAAATGAGAGGAATTATGCTTCGAATTCAACTTAAGCGTTGTTTATAGTAGCCCTAGAGCCAAGTGTATTTATGGCTGCGTAGGAGGAAACCCCATCTTGTACCGAATACTATGTACGGGAATGGAAGTGTAAAGAAGACAAAGGGCATTGTCGGTCACAAAAAGTCCCGAAGAACAATGAAGCCCTTGATCGATCGACTTTCAAGTCTGGTTGAACCAAGAATAACTATTGTTCCTGGCGATTTGCGCTGGATCCAAACTCAAATGCCACTTATTTCCAAGTTCGGACGTAGTGGAGAACCTGGGGTATAGATCGTTACAGAAAGCAAAAAGAGAACATCTGACTGCCAGACCCGCAAGGTGACTCTTCTCAGGGCCATTTTCCGATTTGTTCCGGTGTGGGAAAAGCTATTCTGCTGCAAATATGGTAGAAAGTTATGAGAAATGACGTAGTATTTGTAAATCAATGGTTTGGCCGTTGGACCATATTGGAGTGTACTGAGGCAGTGTTGGACTAGCACGCTACGGTCTACTTTTGGACTTGACAACAAACGAAGATGAAATATAGCTCGGTTTTTTGTCTGACTTTTATCTGAATCAGTGTGAAAGTCCAAAAATTCGAAATATTTTCCTAAGTAGAGTTAATAGAGGCCTTTCTCTGCGCGTACTTTTCTTTGTCTGTTCTATGTCAGAGTCACCATTCCCCAATTAGGAATATAATGTCATTGTGACCAGCTCTTGCTTGCAAGCTGCTATGAGTAGACCAAAGGCGCAGCCAGACAGAAGTATAGAGAAGGACTTGATACTGTCAAGAGAATGAGCTATAACATCTTTGCTGTAGTTGCCAAGTGATTCTATGTTTAGTGCATTGATGGGGCGGTAACCATAGCCACAGGCATATGAGTATAGCTTAGTGGCATCCCTATCTACAGTGCCAGCGTGTTTGAGTCGATGTACATATCGCGGGGACGTAATATAATAATCTCTTGGAGCTCTTCTTAACCACCCAAGGTCACTTGTTACCCTATTACTAGGAATGGCTTCAGTAACAAACTTACCATTTCAATTACTCACTTTCGCTTTTATTTATAATCGTTCGTGAACGGCAAAGAAGTAATGGACTATGAATGCCCAGCGCACAATCCATGTCTCAAAGGGTAGTCTCAATGGACTGGCGCTCTACGCAAGACTTGCTTCTTTCCAATGTACATTTCCACCGAGGGAAACGGAAAAAATTCATGGGGGCCCATATTTCTGGGATGTGTTAAAGTAAACAGAGAAAACTAGTTGTTGGGGTCCAATGCATCTTTTTTAGTTCCATATCCGGTCCTCACCATATCCATTGGAGGGTCAAAGAACGGGTTCTCTCCCTTGTCGTATAAGAATTCGTCTACCTCCTTTCCAATCCATTTTGCACGCCCCGGGAGAGATATGTCTTGATCGCAGCCGATGGTGACATTTCGCCGTTGATTTGATCAGAGACGGTTTTCCCGATAGTTGTATGAAGACGGCTGAGTATCTACACTTGCGGTTGCACTGCTGTCTGAGGAATTATTCAGCGTGCCATTTTTGGCCAGGGTTTCCAGAGAATGAAACCCTGGCTGAAATGTCAGCTCTCTGGAGCTGACCCGGAGAAGTGTGCCAAACACGGTTTCCCCCATCATCGAGCAGATATATCTCTCCCAGCACACTCAATGGGCTTGTACCATTGACATCGTATAATGGATATGGGTGTTGAATAGCGGGTCCGAGAAAGCTGGGACGGAGAATCATAACAGGCAAATCTGGGTGTCGAATGTTGATGAGTCGCTCCGCCAGGTGCTTGGCTTGGGCACAGGGCCATGCGAAAGCAGCGGTTTGAGAAGTGCTTCCATCCGAAAGGATCTGGGATAGCTCTTTCTCAGGACATTGATCGCTTCCAGGGTGATCATAACAATGCTCTAGCACAACACCGTTGGGTAGAAAGCTGTTAGCGTATGCATTAGATACATGCACAAATTTGGAAAGCCTCAGGCATTTTAACGCCAACTTTGTCAATTCCAAAGTTGGAAGACAATTCTCGATTACTGCTTCATAGAGGCCGAGGGTGAGCGATGTATTGGCTGCGCAGTTGATGATAATTGTCGTTTCTTTGCATATACAAGTTCGAGATCTTTATCACCGATGCCATAGTTCGGATGTGTCATATCTCCCACGATGAACACGACTTTTCTTGAGGCTAGGATAGAGGAAACATGGGTTGGCATGTTTTCCTTCCAACGTGCGATAGCCCGGTTCTTGGAGACACGACACAAAACAAATATCTTGTGCACTGGGAGCTGGAGAGCTAGTTTGTAGACTAGGCACCCTCCAAGCCCCCCTGTGCCTCCAGTGAGAAAAATCACCTGGCCGTTGAACCAATTCAACTCTCTTTTTCGAGATTCTTCATTTTCAAATACCTCGCTCAAGTCTTCTCGAGAAAAGTGCGACACCATGACCAGAACAGATGAATTTAGCCGGCTGACAGGTAAATGGTTACAATAATATAGGGGGGGGGGGGGGGTTAAGTCTGTACTGCAAGGCCTGTTAGAGCGAGTTTTCACGACCTCTCATTAAAGTGATAGATGAGCTACATATTTGATCGCTGTACACTAGATAGACACTGATCAAATCAACCAATTGGGTATCTTTCACGCGAAAGAAAAAAAAAAGAAAAAAATAAGAAAATTCCCAACTAGTACTAGAGCCATGGATAAAGGACAAGTTGACGGGTCTTGTGCAGGGATGTGAGGAAGGAAACCGGATTATTGACGGTAAATACAAGACCGCCAGTTTCCGGACAGCGTTCATCCTTCCTACCATATCAAGCGAGAGCATCCATAAAACCCCTAGGCGTGATAATCTAGTATCCCTTACAATTGAATGGATCATAGGAGCTGATGAATCGAAACCGACATAGAGCTTCTCGAACAAATACCTGAAAAAGAAACTTATATGGGCGGTCCTCGCGCACATTCGAGCATTTCACCTGCAACACGCTCTATGATCCTCATCCAACGTGATTAACTAGGGGAATAATGGGTATGACCCACCTGATCTACCTTGAACAGTGCTTCCGCAACATCGCAAAGCGCTAGTGCGTGGCTGACCGCCTCGCTTTCGTGCTGCAACCCGATCGTTCTGCAACCCGAAATGCCGAGGATTCATTAGGATAAATCGGGAAAAGCTCCGTGCATTCTAACTTTACTGAGGCGGTAGTGAAGTAGCTCCAATATCATCGTTCTGTGGGCTACGGAGTTATGCGAGGCTTAAATGGTACACAGGTTATTGCAAGTAACTCTGCAATGACGAGTGCAATGCAAATTGAGGCTTGCTAGTCGTTGGTATTTGGATTTTCAGAAAGGACTGTACTCAAGAAGCGTGAACTTGCCTTCTCACTGTATGCTATATTTTTCGATCTACTCAAATTCTGGTCGGATGAACCCCATGAAGCTGCCATTCTGGCATGGAGAGATTATTTCCGGTACTTGTATATTGTGGTTTATCTCTCTGCATCGCGAGTTACGAACCAATGATGGGACAGTATGGACACAGTCGAGAGCTTGCTTCCCTTGCCTAGTCACTATATGTGGCTGGTTGTATGTCGTGTGGTCTATTCGATAGATTGATTGGCTTTGAACTGTTTCACGTTGGGCACCAGTCCGTGAATGGTCAATTTGCCAATGAATACAAATCAACGATCAAGTACAAACGCAATTATGAGTATAGAAGAGAGGCATGGAATCAAGAAAGGAGATGCTTGAGCTTTAAGATTCAAAAATCTACTTTGCGGAATATTTTCCTCATTCTTTCCGTGCGCAGGTCTTCTGCGTCTTCGCCGGAAAAATGCAATGACAGCGGACCATAAACCCCACTGATCCACTTCGAGCGACTGCAGTCAAATCTCCAATTACGGGTACCGACCCTGACCAAGTCAGCCAAAAAGCATTGATCCTGATTCCGGGATTGAACAAATACAACGCCAGACGCCTGCTTTTCTGGCGGAACCACCAATCGATAAAGATCGATGAAGTCATCGAACGTACGGGATACATAGAGCTCACAACCAACATGTACGATGCCGTATGTTTCGTTTGCTGCGTGAAGAAGGCAAGCGTTCGCAATGAAATCCACGGGGATTTCATCTAGAACGTTGGTTCCACTTTGAGAACCCTCAGTAGCGTGAAAAATTTGTGCGGGATCACGCATAGCGATAAATGCTTTCCCAAACTCGTTGAGAGGAAGCGAGCTATCCGGTCCATATAGCCTGTACGGATCACGTAGGGCAGGACCAAAACATGTAGGGCGTAAAAGCATCAATGGGAGGGTAGGGTATCGTTCGAGAAGAAGACGCTCCATCAGGTATTTAGCATGAGAATATGATGAAAAGAATCGCGCAGTGTCGCTTGAGTTTCCGGAATCAAGAATCGATGACAAAACATCTTCAGGGTCGTTATCCGAAACTTCGTAGATTTTTTCCTCTACCTCGCCATCCGGGAGAAAACTATTGACATATGCAGTGGAAATTTGGACAAATAACTTCAAGGATGAAAATTCCGAAGCAAGTCTTGCAAGCTCTAAGGCTGGTAAACAGTTCGCTCTGACAGCTTCCAGGATATTGGATGCGAATGAAATATCTGCCGCAGCGTTGACGATGAGTGTGACGTCTCGGCACAGCTTTTCCATGGAAAGGTTATCCAACCCGAAGCTCGGCTGAGATATATCGCCACGGATATAGTGCAACTTCTGCGAAAGAATGATAGACTCCATCTGATCCGGCATCAAATCTCGCCATTTTTGGAGGGCGACGTCCGGTGTTGAGCGGATAAGAACATAGATCTTTTTGGTAGGAAGTTGCACGGCAAGTTTGTAAAGTAGGCAGGCGCCAAGAGCCCCCGTGCTCCCAGTGAGGAGAACAGTATGATTCTTGAATACTTCCAGGGCTGGGCCTAGTGTCATGACTCAGAGATTAAGGAGAAGGTGTTTGGGTGTTGTCTCTTGAGTCTGACTTACCCGATATTTATATTGCATCCACCTTTATCTGACAGGTAGCGAGCTTCAGCTTGCTTGACCGCTATGTGAGCTAGGAATGCAGAATGCAGGGGGCAAACAGGCAATCTTGACCGTGGAAGGGTGTCTAGTAATAGCCCATGCACCTTCCACCGCTCAGCTTCTTGAGAACCCCAGTCGCCCAAAGAAAATGACAAAACAATGTCTAGTTGCCCAATATTAGAGACTTCGGGTGAAGTACGCTATGGAGGCTGATTGAGAATGCCGGACGGCGTGATGATCTATGAGACGTTTTGAGCGGGACTGTTAGAACTACGTCAGTATCGCCTCAAATGTGAAGTTGTTCAGCGCAGGCGCTTGTGATCAATTAAAGGAAAGGCGAAGACTGTCCAGAAAACGGCAGTTACATGATTTCTATCAAGTAGCCGATGTTATTCACCCCAATCCTGCACAGTTGAACTCAATTTCGCCGTAGATTGAAGGCTCCTGGATCCATTGAGGCTTTCTTACATACCAAGAGAAGTTGCTTACATGCCGGAACGTATGTATTTGAAGGTTTCAGTTTCGTCGCTCATCTCAGTCAAGTGTCGATTAAGTGCGCTAATTCATATCCAATTAACACCAAACCAAGATTTAATGGCAGTGAAGGATATGCGATTGACCCTTCATTTCTCAACTCGGTCAGTACTGTCACATTGACTGTAAGGACAATTCTTCCCTGACGTTTGAATCATAAGAAGAATTGATTGAGGTAATATAGGTTTTCTTGTTAAATACAAAGAACATGCCACATATATTTATAAGTCAAAGTAACTGAATTCAATTGTCTCGGCTCAACGCTAGTTCGCTGAGATATTAACTAGCTTGCTTTTCCTCGTAGCGAGCTGAGAGATAGACGTCAGCGTTGCTCCTCCAATAATCTCAAACACCCCTAACTCAGCCTGCAGCTCCCTGGAAAGCCAACCACGCAGCTCTACCGCAACAAGCGAGTCCACTCCATACTGGTGCAAAGGCTTGTTGGCATCAATATCAGCAATCGCAATACCCAGAGATATAGAAAGCTTTTCAGTTAAGAGTTCCATGATAAACGCATTGGCGTCGGTCAAAGACTCTACTTGCCGTAGCGCTGCTGCCCCTTCGCTATTGGCTTGCTTCTGCTCCACTCCACCAGGTCTCTCATTCACGATGAGGTGTTGGAGAAGTGGCTCTGTTCTCCATTGCTCATTGCTAGAGACTGAACTTGGCGATAAGCCGATGACAACCTGACAATCCCGAGTTGTGGTGTAACTCATACTGGGATCACAATAGGTGGAAAGCAGGCCATGGACATGTGCTTCCGTCACCGGGTTGAGCCCACTATGTTTGATCCACATATCATGCAGTCGGGCGTCTTCCACCACAGCACCGGCAAAGTCAATGACTCCCAGATCTAGGGAAGTTGCCTTTTCACCCTGTCCGACGCGGTGCCGAGCCAGCGCATCTTGGAATGTATTTCCAGCTGCATAGTTGGCTTGTCCGGTGGTTCCCAAGATACCAGAGATAGAAGACAACATAATAAAGAAGTCCATTCCTTGAGGAAGAAGTTGGTGTAGATTCCACGAACCTTGAACTTTTGGACCGATGGACTCGTGCCAGGATTGATGAGAAATTCCTTCAAAAAGAGCGTCTCGTAAGACCATAGCTGCTTGGATGCATCCTTTGATTGGGGGCATATGCGAGCGACATTCACGCAATGCGTTCTCCACTGACGATTTGTCTGATACATCACACACAGAAGCCAGGACATTGACGCCCCTTTTTTCGAGCTGCTTGATAATATCATCGGCTTTCCCTTGTCTCCCCGAGCGCGAGAGCAGAAGCAAATGGCGGGCTCCCTGATCTGCCAGCCAGCACGCAATGTTCCTTCCGAGACCACCCAATCCACCCGATATCACGAACGTTGCATTTGAGTCCAACGAGAAGGATGGGCGTGTTTTTAACACTGTCTAGAAAAGGGTGAGCTATTAGAGAACAGAAAATTGAAGGAGGTTAGCTTACCTTTACCTGATCATGCCCACGCATTTCAAGTACCATCTTTCCGACATGCTGGCCGGTTTGCATGATACGAAATGCCTTCTCCATTTCCCCAATCCCATATACATTAATAGGCTGTGATGGATGAACTTTGCCTTCTTGAATCAAATCAAAGACCGATTTTAGAGCCGCAGTGCACACCCACGGCCGTTCAACCGACATAGCGGCCAAGTCAACACCACTGAATGTGACGTTTTCAAGAAACTTGAGCATGGGTAGTCTCTGATTAGAGAGAATATCTCTCTTTCCGATCTCTAGGAATCTGCCATAGGGTGCAATGCATTCCCAGGATGCGAAGAGGCTCTCACCAGCCAGGGAGTTGAGGATAACGTCAACACCTTTTCCGCCCGTTCGATGCTTGACCATTTTTGAAAACAAGGTCGTCCGGCTAGAAAAGATGTTCGATTCAGGGATATTGTAAACATCCATCAGAATTTTCCTCTTTCTCTCGGAGCCAACCGTGGCAAAGATAGTTGCACCGGCGTTTTTTGCAAGCTGGATCGCTGCTTGACCGGTACCTCCAGTTGCCGAATGAATCAAGATAGTCTCGCCAGTTTGTAGACGAGCCACGTTATACAATGCAATGTATGAAGTAGCAAAGTTCACCGACACCGCTGCAGCATCTGAGAAGGAGATGCCGGCAGGAATTTTGACAACAGGGCCGCTTTCCTGCATGCGAATGGACGTCGAAAAGCATCCATCATGAAGACCAACAACAGAATCACCAATTTGGAATCTGCTGCAAGCGTCACCTATTCTACTGACAACTCCGGACCATTCAGATCCAGTATGGCTGGCCTTCAACTGACCCACCGCAATCAGGACATCACGGAAGTTTATTCCTGCGCATTTGATCTGAATCTCGATTTCATCCGCCTCGAGGGGGAGGTACGCACTCTCATCCTCAATGAATTCAAACCCATTGAGCAATCCGGGGGACGCAGCATTAAACTGCAATGGGATTTGACAGTCGAAATTCTGAATTCTAGAATGATGCGGACTGGCCTTGAGCGCAATGCTTTCATTCAATGGTTTCGAAGGGAGTAAACGAGGGATGTTCAAGACTCCGTCGTGCTCGATGTAATGCATATCCATATTGACCGCTGTCGGCGACAACAATAATTTGATCATGTTTCTGACATGATCATGCTGTTTCCTGGTGAGGGAGGCCTGGGGCTCAAGCGACAGTAGATGAAGCTTTCGCTTACTGTTCTCCGTCTTTAACACTCGGAACATTCCTTCCACAAGACCAAACTGGGGCCGCGATGGAAATATACCGCCCCCTTGATTGATCCATAATACCGCTGCCGTTGAAGAAAGAAGGTGTTGAAGCTGTATAAATAGCTCTGGTTGAATCTCGGGCAAGATGGGGCTCTGAAGTTCTATGAGGATGATACGAAGAATAGAGTCATCTCCCGGCTTTTCCACTGCCTCTTGAATCGAAGAACATAGAATGCGAGTGTTCACCGCAGTTTCAAAGTTTTCGATAATGAATTGCATCAGGCGTTTTTGAGACGCATCGGCACCGTCGTAGATAATCTCAATTCTTTGCGCCGAATTACTGGTCGGTAACTCCTCAACGGCCGTCGAGACTAACATCCCACACTCATGGGAGATTGAAGTTTCGAAGTCTGGCGAAAAAAGATCTACTCCAGAGAATCCGGTTTCTATAAGGAGTTCGTTCCACTTTCGCTCATCGACACATGGCCCAAGTGTGCGATAGGATTCCGAACCTACATATATTAGTGTGTGAAGCTTTCCTCACAAATCAACAGGGCTTACCTAACCACCATCCTTCAAGAAGACCAAATATAAATGCGGAACGGCAATTTGGAGCGACTATCTCATATAGCATGAGCTTTCCTCCTCTACACGACCATTGTCAGTAAACGATTGATATTAAATGAAAGATCCCAGGAGACTGACGGCCTCAGCAGCTTCCGAGCATTACACAATGTGGTCTTGAGGTTGGTAGTCGCGTGAAAAACCTGAGAAGAAGATAATCAGCATTTGATGTTAAGTGGAAATACGAAGAGGGGAAAAAGAGCCCGAACGCACCAAACAAGCAACGACGATGTCGTAGGTCCCACAACTGAATCCCTGCTTTTCGGGATCCTTCTCGATGTCGAGTCGTTTGAATCTCATTCTATCCGCCTCTCCTCGGAATTGATCCTGGGCTCTCGTCAAAAAAGATGTAGATATATCAGTGTAGTCCCACTGAGCGTATTTTCGCTCACTACCTTCATCACCCCCTCCCAACATTCGGATCATAGTGTCAGTCATGGATCCAGAACCTGACCCAATCTCTATTATTTTCATCATTGGGTTGGAATGAGATAAAAGATCGAGGTAGGTGCCAAACTGCTTGAGGCCATGGGAAACACGAAGCTAGATTTCCCGATTAGTAAGATTCAAAATATAGAGATAGAAGCTGACCTTTTCATAGTAAAACTCATTCACCTTGTCTCCTCCAAACAGAAAAACCCAAGGATCTATATCCCCAGTGAGGATGCTGAGCAAGTTTCGAGCAACAAGAACAAAGAGGGAGCATTGTTTGTTTGTGTCCAGCAATCGAGTTTCAATCTTACGAACAGAGTCAACATCACTCAGCAGGCTTTTCCAAGGCTGTTCGCAGAACCGATGTTGACCCCCATCAAGCGTATTTTGTTGGCCTTGCATCCAGTCCACGTATTTCTGAAAATGTGGTTGGAGGGTTTTGATCTCTTTTTCGGACAACATCTTGAGTGTTGCAGTAATTCGAACCATAACGATAAGATCCAAGTCGAGAAAAAGATCATCAGGGTCTTTACAACTTGTTGTTCTCTTTCTGCAGAGATCTGTCAATTGGCCGTTGCTCTGTAGATTGGGGTCCGGCTCCCATTTCAGGTAATTACAGAGATCCTCCGTAACCACTCCATCAACAATTGAGATTTTCGTTTCGCTGACGACGTTGGTACCAAGTCCCTGGATCGAGACAAGAACTTCTCCCAGTGCCTCGTCAAATGCGGTGATATTCACAGATTCCCCAAGGAATGTTGACTCTTCGTTACGAGTAGCATGAGTCTTTAGAACATGGGATGATGTGGAGCCGGGTAATCGACCAGAAATCCACATACTCTCAACGGATGTTGGAATGGCAGTGTGAATATTGTCAGCCTCAGAAGTCACTGTGGTCCAGATCGACGTTTGCAGAATTGCATCTAGTGTCGTTGGATGGATTGTCTCGCCTTGTGAAGAGCAGAATGCTTGCACTTCGGCAACGACAGACATCTCCTCACTACTCAATGAAGCCGACCTTACCAGCTGGAAAGCTTCTCCATATCCATAGCCGGATCTTTGCAAGCGTGCATACAGAGACAATCCATCCATAGGCAATGTGCATACTTTCATGGCATCGGAGTAGGCTTTCATATGGTAGTTCCACAATTCTGTTTTGAGCCTTTTATCCATCTCGGGGTCAGTGTCGGTTGAGTTATACACGATCTGAACAATGCCAGTACAATGCTCGGTCCAAACCTCATTTTGGTATGCGCAAAGACGGAATTCGAACCATGTGGAAGTCTTTGAATCCATATTTTGGACAGGTCGGAGGTAAAAGTTTGTCTCGAGTCCGTATGCCCCAGTTGGGACTCTCATTGCAGCATGGAACTTGGCCTGCTGAATATTGAAGCCGTTGACAGGTCTACCTTGCTCGGCAACCTGGTTAGCAGCTTCGATGGCCATTACCAACATGCCTGCACCGGGGTAGACAATCGTGCCGTCAATCTTTTCATCAGTTAGCTAATGCATTCTCGGTAGGCAGGGTAGAAATACTTGGTGATCATTGATCCAAGGCATCTCCGATACACGTAAAAAATTCCTCCATCGTCTCTCAAACGGATTTTCATACGAATCAGCAACTCCCAGCAGGTTATTTCGACCAACAGCCCGAAGACGCTGATTTTTGCTGAGATTGCTCTCGTGCCAGTGGCGCACTTCGTGGTTGAAAGGGTACTGAGGAAGACATGACAAAGACTTAAGTGCACCTTGCTTTGCAGAGTCATGTCTATTCACTCGATTTAGATCAATTGGGTAGCCCGCCGCAAACAATTTTCCAAACACAGAGAAAGCAGTATCGAGAGCGGAGATATTCCGAACTAATAACGAAAAATATTCCACTGCCTTGTTTCCTTTGGCGCTTTCCAGCACATCTTTGCAGGCACCCTGCAAAACGGAGTGCGGTCCAATCTCAACTATGTGGTCAATCAATATTTTCCTGCGGTGGCTGCCATCCAATTTCTTGTGGGATTTTGAAGAAGCACCTGAACAAAGTATGGCGAGCCCACTAGAGAAGCGCACAGGAGAAATCATGTTGTTAACCCAATGGACAGCCTGAGATGCTTCTCCTCGTTCAATCCAATTGCCAGTCACAGAAGACACCATTTCGGGGCAATCCTTGTTACCTGAGTAATCGGGTAGCAGATCCCCCAAGGCTTCAAGATAATGCCCCGCTATTTCTTTCATTTGAAAAGAATGATAGGCTAAATTGACCTTGAGTCTGCGACAAAAGACACTATCACGATCGAGTAGTATCTTGAGCGCGTCCAGTTGAGTCACCTCTCCGGTCACGGTCACACTCTTTGGGCTGTTGATACAGCCGACGCTAAGTTTGACCACATCAAACTGCTTGCTAATCTCTTCAATATAGTTCATTGCATGCTGCTCTGACAGGGCAACTGCAAGCATGGAGCCTTTGAACTCGCTGGTCTTCTCCAACATGCTACTCATGTTTCCTCGGTAAAATGATATCTTCCAGGCTGATTCTCTCGATATTTGACGGGCACAATAGCTATTGAGGTCAGTAAGGACATACGGCGCAGATTTACCATCACTTACGCGGCTGCTACTTCTCCGGATGAATGACCTAGCACCGCCTTGGGAACGACTTTCAAAAAGCGGAGCAGGTCGACCAATGCAACTTGGACGATCGTACACAAAATCTGGCTGTACTCAGTCTTATTCACATTGGAAGTGGACTCGCTTCGTCTGAGTTCATCTGAGATCTGTCAGCGAGGGACTATCGTCTATTGGGAGACTTGCTGTGCTTACCAATGGGCGTCCATTCACAACCCAGTGTCCTGAGATACGTTCCTGCTTCATCGATGCTTTGCACAAACACTGGATAGACATCAAGCAGCTGTCTACCCATTGCAAACCATTGAGCCCCTTGCTATAACATTATCAATATGGCTTCATATTGGGTGATAGGACCAACTCACCCCAGAGAAAATCATCGCCAAGTTTGGCGATGTGCGAGCGCGAGTGGCGGGCGAGAATCGATCAGATAATGTAACCAAGCTATCTGACGACCGAGCGATGGCAAATGCCCTCCAGGAGAAATGTGTCCTTCTGGCCGACAAAGTGTGGGCCACATCATCCAGAAATTTGGGTTGCGCATCGTATTTGGATGACGCGGAAAAGTGTGACTTCCAATTCCTTTGATGTCGGGAAATTCCTTTTTCGTCGGCTGAAGACCAAACCAGTAGTTTGGGGGAATCGTCCGAATTCTCTGTCACATTGTGTAAGCCCATCTTTGCATTATGAAAATTCTCCACATCAGCTACACGGTGATCTTTGCATAGGGATGATGAATAAAGCATGACAGAGTTGTGATTGCCTTTCAGGCCCATTTTCTGCAAATAGTGTCCGGCATCATCCATGACAACATGGGTATTCGAGCCTCCATAACCAAATGAGTTGACGGATGCACGTCGCAGTCCCTCTGATGGCCAGGGCAGAGCAGTTTGCGGAAACTGGATTTGTCAGCTAACTGGAAACATCCTTGTTTTGCGTGCGGCAACCTACCTTGATATGGAAAAATTCATCATCAATTCTAGGGTTGAGGTTTTGCAAGTTCACACTGGTTGGGGGAATGACACCCTTCTCCAGCGCGAGGACCGTTTTGATGACACCTGCAACTCCACTCCCTCCTTCCAAGTGTCCAATATTCGACTTTACAGAGCCACTGAGGTTGGTATTAGTAGGCATTTGCCAGAAAGCAGTTGTCGCACATACATGTACAAAGGGTCAGTTGGAGAATGGTGCGGTCGGAATACTGATCCAATGGCCTTCACTTCGGCTGGATCTCCAACAGCAGTTCCTATATTATGTTAGTCCATGCTGAAATCTTTCATTCCGGATTGTGGACCAACCTGTGCCATGCGCTTCAAAATACCGCGTCGTTGCCATGTCCAGTCCCGCTTTGCGATAGGTTTCTTGAATCAATTTGGCCTGCATCTCCGAGCTTGGCTGCGTGATACCTGGAGTCCTTCCATCCTGGTTGGAAGAAGATGCTCTTATCACAGATCGAATTGTATCTCCATCACGTAAAGCATCTTCCACCGGCTTAATAACAAGAACACCGACACCCTCGCCGCGAGCATATCCATTACCACGCTCATCAAAGCTGTAGCACCGACTATCTTTGGATAGAAGACCCAAGTTGTCCATCATCAGTGTTGTCTCTAACGCTAGGAGAATATTACTTCCAACTGCCAATCCCTACTTGTTTGATCAGCAACGTCACAATTTTGGTTTCAGGTGAAAAATACCATAGTTGAATCACCGCTCCAGATAGACTGACAGGCCATATCAAAAGCCATCAAACTACTTGAGCAGGCCGTGTCAATAGCAGCGCTGGGTCCGACAAGGTCAAAAAACCAACTGATGCGGTTGGGTACCATGTTCGAGGTAGTTCCTGTAATGTCCCATTTCTGCATATACAGAGGGTCTTTCACCTTTAACATGAGATAATCGTGGCCGGTTGAGCCAGCAAAAACACAGGTCTTGGATTTTGCAATACTCTCCATGGTCATTCCGGCGTTCTCCAATGCTCGAAAAACAGTTTCCAAAACAAGCCGTTGCTGGGGATCCATAGCCTCAGCCTCCGCAGCGGTGATAGAGAAAAAGGGAGCATCAAAGAGACCAATGTCTTCTGTCATGAAATGGCCTCCGCGTACAGACAAGGTGTCAAGCCGATTGGTATCTGGATTGTGGTGCGTATCGATATTCAACCGGTCTGACGGGAACTCAGTCGACGCACATCTTCCTTCAAGGATCATGTTCCAGAATGATTCAGCAGAGACAGCATCTTGTGGGAACTTGAGTGACAACCCAACAACTGCCAATGCGGGGAAAATATTCTCTGGCTCTGCCATGTTGTTGTTTCCTATGTCAAATGAAGGAGGGAAGATTGAACGTTGGAAAAGAGTTACTTTGTTAAGGCAAGCGACCAGGTAGCCCTTGTACTTATGGAGTAAGCCATTTCCTTAGGGCCTATCGATTTATTTAGTCTCAAGTCGCACATATTATCTATATTCTCTTGGAGGTGGCGGTGAGTTGGAATGCATGTCTAACTAGATTATGACGCCACGCATGAGATTCGAAGACAAAGCAAATATGCGCCATTAGGCCGACTTGCATATTCGATCAGCCTGCTTGAATTGCAATATAAGACATGATGATCAAATTCCTACTACGGATTAGTCGGTGTACTACCAGTGGCGACCCGATGGTGGTATAAATCATGCCGAATCCATCAGGGAATGCAGCAAGATATCTCACAGATTCCACAGGAGAAAAATAAAGTTCCACACCCTCACATCAAGTGGAGACATAAATTATACAGCGATTATCCAAAGAACTTGTTTATTTGTTGGGATGGATCATTTATGACACGTCAGCCTAGGTGTGCTAATTCTGAGACACGAACTTTTAGCCCACACAATTTCAACTTGAGATAGTACCGCTATATATACTCTAGGTTTCAATGAATGACAAAGTCAACATCTCACCGTAAACTTTGGTCATAACTGCCCTCGAGGACTCAAAATGCACTTTTTATGGTAGTATCTCCCAATTCGCCTTTTCAAGAACTGGGCTAATAGTATGGATAGCTTTCATGGGATTGGTACCAATTCGGAGGTGAGAGTTGATCTTTACTTTTTACCGGGATACATTCGAGACAGAAGCACTGACAGGACACAATCTGAGTGTACAGACATTTAAGCAGCAAACTGGTGCGTGAAGGAAGCTTATCGGCAAATTCGCACATAGCTAATATTTTTCTAAGCTGCAATTCGATATGAGCTCGGCGATGGCCATACCTATGACTTTGTCGACGGAACATTGCCTTGGGAAATGGATAAAGGTCTGCTTCATCTTCAACTTTCATATGAAGAGAGTCTAACATGGAAATAGATATAAAGGAGTTCATGCTTTCCGACGAGAACACATTTACCTATTACACGCCAACCAGACCAGAGACTTGTTTCAGTGCTTTCAATAATCTTGAGCATTATTTGGAAGCCGAAGGTCCCTACGATGGTGTCATGGGGTTCAGTTTGGGGGCCGCGTTTGTGATGTCGTGGATGATCAACAGAATTCAAAAGCAGAAAGGCAACAAATTTGCGCAGCTGCCTTTCAAAGTTGGAATTTTCTTTTCTAATGGCGGTCCACTTCTGGATTGCAATGATTCAAGTGGACAATCTGTTCTTCCTTTCGATCCTATCGCTATTGATGGAATTCTTGATATACCGACAGCCCACATTTGGGGCAGGTGTGATCCAGAGAAAGGAAATGCTGAGTTCGCAATCCGGGCATGTAATCAGGATACTAGATCCGTGTTTGTTCATGAGAGGGGCCACGAAGTTCCCAAGTCTGCAGAAAATGTCATCTCTGCGGCCAAGGTTATTAACAGGGCTATTGCGCGGGCTCAGGGCTTTAATTGATGAATGAAATAGTCATATAGGGTCTGCAAAACTTGATTTTGTTAGTTAATCGCAGAGCTATTCACTAATCATGTCTATTGATGGTTCATCAAACAGTGCAGAAGCCCTACTCTGCTAATCAACCCCCTCTTGGCTCGAAAATTTCTCATTACTTTGCGGTTTTGAATTTCTTACAATTTCACTACACATTTGCAACTAGTGCGCTGGTCATTTGGACTTTACTTAGATAAGCAGGTCGTTTCAAATTACTTCGTCCACGATTGCGAATGGCCCACCACGATCGGGCTCTCTAGCCAAACAGTTGGGCATCGCGGTAATGTTCATTAAATCATGTTTTTTTTCTACCCGATCTGGACCCGAACTCTGATTTTTTCTGAACCAATCCAGATCCGATCTCGGCTGTGTACTGAGCTGGGTGATAGTACCGGAATTGCTTTTGTCTCATCTAGTGGCAATGGTGATCAGCAAGTAATGCAATGGTCACTAGGTGTATACCTAATGCATGCTCTAGTCCTTTCATGCGACGCCTATGCCACAACAAGCGCAAGGGAGAAATCTCGATGTGGATAATATTGGGTTACCAAATTCATCACTCATCATATTTTGCGAGATGACGTCGGGTAAAGGCATCATAAGCTGAGTTGCGCATATTCCTTAGGCCGCCTTTGATACTACATTAGAACCCATTTTGGAACAGCGCCTAGAAATAGAGAACGCAGAATCAAACGATCAATTTGACCGTTGTGGGTCTTTCACCAAGAGGTAAGGGGTATCTTTGCGTTGCCTACATAAACAGTAACAGGATATTTTCTTGGTTGTGAGAAAAACTAGCCCTTCGAGAATCACTTAATTATCAATGACTATGGAAGCAAGCAGATTACAGACCATTGATATTTTTGAATACCTATGTATCCAAATCAAAGCAATCGGTATCCGGTCTATTCATGGAGTACCTGGTAAGCATCTGAACTCTCCACTACAAAATTGATCTCGCAACTAATGTTGAACGAGTAGGCGATTTTAACCTAGTAGCTCTGGATTACGTGGAGAGGTGTGGGCTATCATGGATTGGGAATTGCAATGAGCTCAACTCCGGTATAACTTCATCACTGATTTCATTTTATTTCATTTGATTTCACAATTGACTAATTTTGTTTCTTCATTCATTCATTCAGGCTATGCTGCAGACGGATATGCACGTGTCAATGGAATTTCGGCATTAATGACAGTAATGGGAGTTGGAGAGCTCTCCGCATTGAACGCCATAGCTGGCGCCTTCGCTGAGTATGTGCCGGTTATTCATATTGTCGCCAAGCCAGGCACCAATGCACAAATGGGTAGACATTGTGTGCACCATACGCTGGGTGACGGAGATTTCACAGTATTTGAAGAAATGAGCCGCAAGGTCTCTTGTTTGGTTGTCAATATAAACAATGCACAGGCAGCACCTTCCCTGATTGACGAAGCAATCCGCACATGCTGGGTCCAGAGTCGTCCTGTGACTATCTTCATTGACTGTGACATGGTCCAGGTTCCGATAGATCACCATGTATTGAGCAATCGGCCTTTGTTAAACCGAACCATGCCCTCAGACCACAGTCATGAGCACGAGCGGTTAGTAGATGCAATTGTCAACGGGATTCGGTGTGCAACCAATCCAGTGATACTCGTCGGGGGGTACGGAATTTTACACGGCGCAAAAAAAGAGCTTGACGAGTTTCTGCGCCAGCTCGAGCTCCCTATCTTGGCCGCAGCCTCGGGGCTGAGTATTGTTGATGCAAGCCTCCCATATTTCTCTGGACTATACGTCGGCTCGTGCTCAAGTCCATCTGTTCTCAACCTGATGGAATCTGTTGATCTGGTGATTTCCATCGGCAATATTCAGTCGGACCTCAGTACGTCCGGTTTCAGAGGGGTTGTGGATAAGACAAAGTTGATTGAGATCGAAAGGACGAAGGCCAAGTTCAAGGGAGAGATATTTGAAGGGGTCTGCGTGAACAGCATCCTGGGTGCATTAAGCGCGAAGCTTGGTAGAAATTTACCACCCACGACGACCACTTCAATGAAGACATCAGTTTGTGTTGATATCAGCCATCAAAGACAGTCTTTTCCCACCAGCGATGGGAAAATTCAGAACAGGCAATTATCTACTGAGCACATATCAAGATTCAGCTCTGGTTGTGAACTTATGTCTTACCTGCGACGCTGTGCCTCCTTCATCCCCAGCCTGTGGTCTCAATCCTTTATCACTGAGTATGTTATCAAAAAGCAACACCCAATCACCCACGACTGGCTGTGGGTAAACCTAAGCAAATGGCTGAAGCAAGGAGACATCATTCTTACAGAAACAGGCACATCGAGCTTTGGGATCTGGAATACAACACTTCCTGCAGATGCCATTTTCATTGCCCAGTACCTCTGGTCAAGCATCGGTTACACGATAGGGGCTTGTGAAGGGGCAGCGCTAGCAGCTCGGGATTCCGACAAAAAGCATAGACGCACCATTCTCTTCATTGGCGATGGCAGCTTCCAGTGCGGATGCCAAGAATTGAGCACCATTATCCGCCACGGCCTTAACCCTATAATGTAAGCAGCCACTCTGAAATCCATACGAGTACCCGAAAATAGACAGTGGCTCATTTTTCACCATCGCATAGATTCATCATATGCAACAATGGTTACACTGTCGAGCGACTGATACATGGACAAAAGCAGACCTATAATGATATCCAGCCATGGGATCATCGACTTCTGCCTGCAGTCTTCGGTGCAGCGCCAGCCACCTACGAAACTCACCGGATTGAAACAACCGAGGAGCTCGAAGCACTCTGGCGTCGTGAAAGCTTCACCGACTGTTCAGCCATGCAGGTAAGAAATACATCACAAATTCCCCCGTCCATGTGCAGAGTACGAATCTGAAAATGTGCAGCTTATCGAATTATGTATGGCACAAGATGACGCGCCGTCAAACTTAGTTTCATTAGCGCGGGCGCTGCATGAGCGAAATGCATGATTTCAGCCCCTGCTTGGTGCAGATTCCAGACTGGTCTCGCATCTATATTGCTTTATTTTATCTTTTCGCTACTCCACTAGAATTTGTTTCTGTTCAGCTGCCACGCATTTGCAAATAATAAGCCTGTCCGACCCCACTCGTCGCCGACAGAATATTGTATAGAGCTGTCCCCGACTTCTTATCTTAGAAAATTTTCAAAACACTCGATATGGACTCTCACTGTGCGCTTGTAACTGGACCGGTTGATTCGCCGCTTTGGCTTACGACAACTGTCGCTGATGTTGTCAATGATCAAGCAACCAAGTTCGGCTTGAAAGATCTCGCTGTTTTTCCATGGCAGGGTGTTAGACTCTCTTATTCCCGACTCGCCGAGCGTGGCAGATTGGTAGCCAGGGCTTTACTCTACTCAGGAGTTAAACCATTTGACTGTGTTGCTATTTTGGCTGGAAACCGGTTTGAATATCTTGAAGTCGTCGTCGGAGGTGCCATGATTGGGTGTTCTGTTTTGGTACTCCAGACCACGTACAAACCATGGGAGTTATACAATGCGCTTGAGAAGACGAGTAAGTAAAAGTGAGTATGCGAGTTGACGGAGAATTTTGGCTAACTGAGATACCATGTTAAGAATGCCGCGCTCTATTTATTGCTTCCATAATCGGATCTCGTAATATGAATGAGCACATTGAGCTTTTGAGCTCCACAGCTACACGCTCTTCATTATTGGGCTTGGATCGAGTCATTACCTTTGGCAAGAAGCCCTGTGTTGAGCAGCCTATTTTCAATGAAGATTATGAGGATTTCCTATCCTCTGCTCCTGAGACTGCTAAGTCATATGGTTTATATGATGCGGCGGCTGCGTCGGTCAAGCCTTCAGATATTGCCAGCTTGCAGTTTACTTCTGGTTCGTGGTATACGTTGCAATTTTGGTATTCAAGATAATACTGACATTGACATAGGTACAACAGGCGCAGCAAAGGCATCAATGCTAACACATATGTGAGTTGCGATCTGCATGCCTTACTATGTACCCTCCAACCGTTAACATCCAACATCAGTAATATCCTCAACAATGCACGTTTTGTTGGCCAAAATCTCCGACTAACACCAGATGACAACATCTGCTGTCCACCACCACTTTTCCATTGTTTTGGACTCGTGATGGGCTTCCTTGCATCTCTGATCCACGGCTGTACTATCGTGTTCCCCTCAGACCACTTTGACGCCAACCTCGTGCTCGATTCAATCGTCTCCGAAAAATGCACAGCAATCTACGGGGTACCAACGATGTTCATCGCTGAACTCGAGGCCAATCAGATCCAAAAGCGCAATATCCACTCTTTACGCAAAGGCCTGGCTGCAGGATCTACAGTTGCATTAACTCTCATGAACAAGTTGAAAGAGCAACTAGGCATTGAGACGATGTTGATCGCGTATGGAATGACTGAGACCAGTCCCGTTACTTTCATGTCCAGCTTTGAAGATCCCGTCGAGATGCGTGTTCGGACTGTTGGTCGAGTCATGCCCTATACGACTGCTAGAATTGTCAACAAGGCTGGTCAAATATTGGGCACCAAGCAAAGGGGGGAGCTTTGCTCATCGGGTTATGCGTTGCAGAGGGGCTATCTAGATGATGAGGAGAGGACCAATGATGTTATGAAGAAAGACGAAAATGGAGTTGTTTGGATGCATACCGGTGACGAGGCGATGATCGATGATCTTGGATATTGTCATATCACGGGACGGATCAAGGATATCATTATTCGAGGTATATTACGTCTTAACTCCCCGGAAGAGCTAAGCTGACGAGCAAAGGTGGAGAAAATATCTTCCCCAACGAAATTGAAGAGCGATTGCTCGCTCATCCGTCCATTGCAGAAGTATGTGTAATTGGGACGCCAGATCCCAAATATGGCGAGGTGGTAGGCTGCTTTCTCAAGGCTTCCGAGGGCTCTAACTGCAGGCCTGGGCTACAGGAAATTCAGGATTGGGTGATGCTCACTATGGGGTGGTCTCGCACTCCGCAGGTTGTCTTTTGGGTTGGTGGGGATGATGGAATATGTCTTGATTTCCCCAAAACTGGGAGTGGAAAGCACCAGAAACATTTGTTGCGAGAGTTGGCTGCTGGGTATTGCAAGAGTCATTCTGTTGGTATCAGGAGCGAGGTGTAGTCCCCGGCTGTTTACAGTAATATATACGTACTGCACATCCAGTTCTCTTAGTTGGTTCAACACGTAGACTCTCTAACCCCTTTGTGTATTGACCCCGGACTAGCAATTTCCTGGAGGTATCCTAAGTCGAGAAGCTTTACCTCTTCCGCCACAGGGAAGTAGTATCGGCTCGCATCCCGACGTAAAAAGCCAAATTTGTAATGCATCCCCATAGCTATGAATTTTATAAGGGCCTTGCATTTGGAACCTTGGCCAATTTTCCTGTGGTGTGCATCTGGAAAACCTATTTCAATTCCCTCTTACTCCCATTCAAATCACAAATGCTGCGACTCGCTCGTGCTAGAAAGTATCTCGGTCAACGTCATAGTCAACTAAGACAAAATGGATTCGGGATTGACTACGATCTCGGGACCCCGTCCTACTTCTTTTTCGGTATTTTAATCGGTCCTATGAGCACCAACAGGTATAGGGTTCCATACAAATATATAGTCGTACCATTTTTAGATAGTCGAATTCGCATTCGTAGTTTGCAGTGTTGAGAAGTGGGGGTTCGGTGTTTTTATTGTAAGTTGACCTTGTTGCAGGTAAGTTACAGGTGGGCTGACAGCCTCATATAACTTGTACACATGCTCCCAATCCATCATGTGATTTCAGTCATCGGAATATTCAACACTCCCCCGTCACTAAAAACTGTCCCAGCTATCTTCTATCACGCTTGCTGAGCCCCATTAAGACCTTACAAAAAGCCCCAATGGTGGGAAACAGAGATGAAAGGGTGCCTTCGTGTCTGGTCTCGTTTCGATGCAAGGCTGATGGCTCATGAGCATCACTCGATGCCGAGTGTCTTGTTTAGCGAAAGTTTGTCCAATCCACGTCCGTAAGCCACTAAGTATCTGGAGTTGGCCGTTGTATCGAGTCTGAGAGCTTTTGTTCTTCTAAGGTATCGGTATCGAAGGCCTCCTTGGGCGAGCTTCAAATGAACAAATCGGTTCCTTCAAAACTGTAGCCCCGAATCATTTTGAGGTAATGTCGGACCTCTCAACCTGTCTGCAGTATTGTGCAGTGACTGAAAACTGCTATCAATTTTACGATATATTTCCTTCCAATATTTAAGCAAGTACATACGACCACAGGGTGTGGAGAACAGGGCTTCCCGTCCGCTCAGCCGTACTTAAGCCACACGCCGGTAAGTTAGTAGTTAGGTGGGTGACCACTAGCGAATCCTTACTGTTGTATGTTTTTTTTTGTTTTTGGCTTTGATCTGTTCGAAAAGTCCCTCTTGCCGCACCCTCCTTCGCGCGACCCTCACATTGGTTCTCTCACCTGAGCTCAGATACAGCGTGATTGGTTCACCTCGATCTGGCTGAAACCGCGGCCTCTTGGCACTTGCATATCCCATTGAATCCCAAGCCAGGATTGGCTAAATCAAAATTGCGGCTAACTTCAATGTCGCCTTCGGTCATAACCCTGTCCGCAAGTAGAAGATGGCCTGCTTTAAGGAAACATACCTCTAGTAAAAGTACTTCAGGGCCGTATCAAACTACAGTATGAGCGTACACAATGCTGTGAGAAAAACCACCGAGTGTAGACATTATATCTCCATGTATGCTACCTTTACGCTATATGCTATGGATACAGGTGTGGGATTATGAGGCCACTTCCCGTTCCCCGTGTTGATCCAGTAAATCTAAAGAATATCGAGACTGGTCACTGCTTCGGGATGTGATGTTTACGTCTAATCATCTTTGTATATCCTTCTAATACCAGTTGATAAGTCGTTTTCATACTTCCCTTAGATGAAGAGCACATTGCCAAGGTTACTGACACTGCTGAGCGTATCGGATGCCCACGTCCAAGCACTTGCTCACTCGCTTCCAGATCTCGTCGATGCATCACTTCCGCCTCTGCATATTTCCCTTGGCTGCCAAGCACATTGCCAATGTTACTGACACTGGTAAGCGTGTCAGAATGCTCGCGTCCAAGCAATTTCTCTCGTACTTCCAACACCTGTCGATGCATCGCAAGACTTGAACCGGACATTCGTTCACAGGTCGAAGGAGGAGCTATATGGACAAGGTTTCCTAATATTTCAAACGTCCTTGAATGCCACCTTATTAATTGCTTTGCGCGATATGAGAAGTTTTTCTTAGCAAGGAAGATCTAGGCCACAATAACTGTGCATGTACCATGCCCATAGTAAGCATTGCAGTAGTTAAGTTGATCAAACTTATCATGAACCCAGAGCCTCGAATGAGATATGATCATTTCCAGTAAGCTATTTGGCATACGAGCGAATTCGTATCACGGTCGTATGACTTTACTCGTCACGATTTTATCTTTCCACAGGATTGATAGCCTTGGGGACATAAGGTTCTTCAAGGTACTGAATCTCTTCTGGCGTCAGCTTGACCTGGACACTCGCAACAGCCTCATCGATACGATCCTTAGTGTTCAGCCCGACGATAGGGTACTCGCTAGGGTGACTCAGTGACCATGCGATTGCAACTTGTGCCATGCTGATTCCCTTCTTGCCAGCCAATTCTTCCACACGGTCAATTATAGCTTTGTCGGACTCGGACTCGTTGGCACGAACGACAATACTTAGCCCAACATCGGTGTCTTCGCGCAAGGTAGAGCGAGAAGCCCAAGGTCTGGTGAGGGCTCCACGTGCGACAGGAGACCAAGGGATAAGAGATACGCCGCTGTCAAGGCAGTAAGGGATCATTTCACGTTCCTCTTCACGGGCAATGAGATTGTGGTAGTTCTGCATGGAGATAAACTTGTGCCAGCCATTGCGAATGGCAATGTTTTGTAGGGTCTGGAATTCCCAAGCGGCCATCTACAAGAAAGAACGGTATTAGTGCTTGCTTGTTCAGATTGTTGAGGGTGAAGCATACCGAACTAGCGCCGATGTATCGAACCTTGCCGCTCTCAACCACGTCATTCAGCGCCCTCATGATCTCTTCGCGTGGTACCTCACGATCAAGTCGGTGGATTTGAAGCACATCAATATAGGTTCCCAGTCGCTCTACACTGGCATCAACGGCCTCCAAGATGTGTCTGCGAGAAAGACCGACGCGGTTCAAGAAATCACCCGCGTTCTGTCTCCCAGTCGAGAGAGGAGGCGGGAAGTTCCCCTGATCGTCCACACCAAAGAAACATTTGGTCAAAATTACCACTCGGGAACGGGGGATGTTGTATTTTTTCAGAGCCTTACCCACGATTTCTTCGGATTTGCCGTAGGAGTACATATCGGCCTGGTAAAAAGCTGTTAGAACACGCGTGTTCACTCCCGCATTTCTCTTCTTACAGTATCCCAGGTCCTGATGCCTTTCTTGTAGGCGTGTTCAATAAGTGGAAGAGATTCTTCTTCATTCAGCACCCAGCCCTGCCATTCTGGGGCGCCGTATCCCATGGTACCCAGTATCACCTTTGAGACCTTGAGGCCCGAATCCCCCAGCCTGTGTCATATTGTCATTGCAGGTCAGCAATTAGATCTTCAAAAATATTTGTAAGGCACTTGGGTCAATGCTTCAAGGTGGGTGCGGAGAACCTTACCGTGCGTATTCCATTTTCCTAGAGATTGTAGTACTGGTTAGCGAGAACTGCGGTAGACTTAGGAAGCTTCAAGGGTCGTGAAACACGTTGACGAAAGAAAACTGCAGGTTGAAAGTGAGGGCGAGAAACCTCTTTATTCCCTCAATAATTCTACCTGGATGGCAAGCCTGACATACCTAGGACGGAGTTAACGGACGTAAGTCCGGACGACCACTCATACTGAATGATCTCTCGAACAATCTGCACAGGAACGGCGAATGAGGAGTCTTGATCTACCAGTTAATCTCATTGTCAATCCACTTCGCCATAACAACACTGCTGATCACATGTTGTGCAACGGAGTTAATCGAAGGCAGCTCCAAATTATAGCGGAGTTATTAAAGGCTAACAAATCCGCGATCTGTCTCATACTTGGGCGGAGGTCTGGCTCTACTTGAAGATCCGAGTTGGTTTCTTCAAGTTGAGTCTCTAAATTGATTAGGTCCGTAAATTCATTCAAAGAAGCATTCGCCCGACGGATGTCATCTGGATGTATCGAGCCTAAAATCGAGCGTTTGAACCGGGGATCATCATTTGGAATCTATTGTTTTCGGATACTAGAAAAAGATTCCGGTCCAGAATTGCGAACCCATGCGGGATGAGCATAGTTGATGGCGAATACAGTAATTAATGATGAAACCCAAGAAAAATGAACGACTCTTAATATCAACCGCCCTAAAAATAATGGATAGCACGGGCAAATAAGCTACAGCACTTAGATTTACACAGATAGCGAGTTTCTTGATTGAACACCAAGAGAGAATTCGAACTCTATCAGACGCAAGCTAGAACGACATGACTGTCGTAAGAATCCTGGACGTTTAGCAGCTTCGGCTATCTAAGATGTAGTCAGTAATTTGGTAACTTACATCACGGATCATATCACCACAATGCAAAGAGCTTCCGCATCTTGTTGCAGACGCCCGAAATCTACAATATTGGCTGTATATTTCAACGTTGGGTTATACTTCGTACGTATCTTGCTCGTGACAAAACAAGGTCAGAGTAATAAAGCGAGGCTAGAGAGACGAAAATAGAGGGGAAGGATACTTATAGTTTTTTTGGTCATGATAGAAAAAGTACCTTTTGCTATACGGACTGAATGTTCGGGTGAGGAATATTCAGGTGGGTGAATGTCTGCTCTAAGTGCCCTGAATAAAGCGGCGAGCCGCCCATGCCCGAGCCGTGGGCGCTAGGTGGCCACGACCTTAAACTTACTATTGTATGTTTTTGTTTGTATTTTTGTTTTTTGTTTTTTGCTTTGCTTGACTTGCCAGGTCAACAGGTCAAACCAAAGAAAACGCAACAACCAGTGTAGTCAGCAAGAGTAATCTCATTCAAGCATCCAAATGCTTTGTTGAATGTAGTTACGCTCGCTTTTTCGCTAAAGATGCACGATATAATACAGTGTAGGTAGCTAGTACACCAGCAGCCCACCACGCCCATCGAACTCAGGCCAGGACGCAGGGATCGGAATGGAAAGACCACAAGGTCCACACAGCCAGCTTCAAGACTCAACTACCGTCTTCTCTTCCTCGAATCAGCCTCATCCCCCACCTCACCACCCCTCTTCCGCTCATTCTCCACGCGCACGCGCTTCTTCTTCGGGCGAAGCACAACAGGCGAAGTAGCCTCATTTGACGCAAGACTATCCCTCTTCCGCTTGTCACGCTTGGGATTATCCTTCTTGCGACGCTGTTCCTCCTTAATCTTAAGTCTGCGCTGGACCTCAGCCGAGATATCCTCTGTGCCAAGTGACGTAGACGTGACGTCTCCCTCATCGCCCTCAGACGGCTGTGAGACATCGCGGTATCGTTTTGAGGAGCGCGCTTCGTCTGTAGAAGGGTCTCGGGGTGGGGTTTCGGTATTTGGACAAATTGTTTCTTTCTGGGAGCTTCGACGACGCTTCTTGCGCGTGTTTGCTGCTGTGTCTTGTTGTGTCTGCGGTGTTGATCTCGAGGAGGAGCTTGAGGAGTTGTTTTCTGGATCTGTGTTAGTTTCTTGCCTGTTACGGCTTTGAGGTGGGCGCGTCTTGCGGGGTCAAATTTCGGGGTCGAGGTTGTCGGGACTTACTGTTCATCTGTAGGGAGAATTGTCAGTCGTGAGCTTGAGAGGAAATCGCCATGCCGGAATGCACTTACCATGTTCTTTCTGGCCAGCTTCGTTTGGTTCATCGCCTGGACGGTCTTGTTCACCATCGACGTCACTGCCTGGAATGCCTCGCTCTCTGTTGCGGTATGCGCTTTCACCTGGATCAACATGTCGAGGTGCGAGGAAAGGACAACTTCATGGCGAGTGAAGACCTATTTGCGCAATAAGGACCGGGTCAGCTCCATCTCTGCCTCGCTCGAAAAGGCTGTTCTTGCTCTCTCAAGTCTCGGGGCGAAGTTCTCGCGCCGCGACAGCTTGTTCGGGCACAGCAAACAAGACGTACCTCATTCCAAATGATCGGGCCATGCGCAGCATATAAGCCTGGATTGGCGCCAGGGCCATTGTTGTTGCTGTCGGAATTCATGGTGTTGGATTTGGAGTTGGAGAAATTGCAGGGATCGGCGGATGGACCTTCTCCGCGCCAAAGAGTTCGGCTTAGATCGCGCCTTGTGAGCTTTAAGTGTACGACATGTAAGTTAAGTGCTACTTATTGAACAGGGGTCTATAGATACAAAGATCATTCATTAGACTGTGCATATAGTCTTAAAATTTTACCAATCCATTTTGCTCATGCATTATTATTCAATCTCATTGTACACTGCTTGTGAAACTCCAACGCCATTCATGCCCATGACAACCCATTTCACCAAAAGGATCAGATATTCCGACGATAATCATACAATCAATAACACAACTACCAGGCGCCGGCGTCGTTGTCAAATCGTGACAGGTCACTCTGTGCATCCTCGACATCTTTCTTGGCTTTCATGCGCATGTAGAAAATCGGACAGTCACGGGACGAGCAGATGACCTCACAGTGAAGACTGCCTTGGCAGCGCTGGCATTGAGTCCACAGGCGGCCAAATCGGACTTCCAGGTCGGATACCTTGGTCAGACTCTTTGTGTAGAGTTCTCCGAGACGAGGACGGCAGTTTACACAGACAGCGCCGTCCATCTCTTCCTTGCTAGAAAGCGGTTTTTTGCATCCCATGCAAGTCTGTGTCTTTTTAGCGAACTTCATCAAACCACCCAGACTTGATGCTGCCTTTGAGATAGACCGGGTGTGCTCGCCAGTGAGTAGCTGACCAGCCTTCTTTTCACCCAGTATGGGTTCGAAGATACGACCCAGGGGGTTGGCAAGTTGGTTGTCGAGATAATACTTCGTGTCAATAGGAATATTGTTCTCCAGGACGAAAATAGGATCTTCTGCTCGTTCATAGCCTTTTGAGTCACTGGCACCCTTGATCATGACGTAGGCGACACGGTCACCAAGGGTTGGCGCAGAACCCGCATCACGCTTGTGCATGCGCTCAGCAAGTTCGACGTGAGCTTGTTTGCCGGCGTAGTCTTCTTTACGCTTGGACAGCGCCTTTGTGATGACGAGCTTAGACATATCGATCTTGTTTTGGAGGAGGTCTGAGATGGTGGCTTTGACATAGCTGCATGTTATGTTAGTATGTTGCGTGGAATGTATGGTTCGGGCCATCACTTACTCTTGAGCTCCATCGATATCTCGATCAATCAAGATCTTGTTCAAGACGGTTTCAATAACATTCTGGACCATCAAGCAATTGTCACGTCGCACAGTCTCAATACCTTTGGTATCCATCTTATCATGCTTGTCGGCTCTCGTCCAGTATAGTCCGGCATATCGCTTCTTGTTGATCAAAAGATAAGGGAAATAAACCTTCTCAAACTCAAGCTTGATTGGCTTGATGAACTTGGACGAGACGTAGTCGGCAGCTTCCTGGCCAAGCTTCATCGCGTCTTCGAGCTCGGTGACACCGAATTTGACCATGACGGAATCAGTATCACCATAGATAACTTGAGCATCGTGGGAGTATCCGTTGGCAATCGTGTAGCGTGCCTCCACTTCTTGCTTTGTCTTCTCAATCATCTGACGACCGTAACTTGTAGTACTACTAGCAATGGGCAGACAGGGCAATTTGCCAACTGTGGCACCAGTAAGACCGTAGACACTGTTAGCACTGATTTTCAGAGCCAGCTGACGACCGTTCAGAACCGCCTTCTTGAACGAGTCTGTCTCGGTGGCCAATTCCTTCTTCGCACGCTTTCTTGCTGATAAAAGTTCCTCAAGAATCTGGGACAAAAGACCCTTGCGGACCTTTGTTGTGCAGAACATGTCTCCGTTGGGGGTGACGATGTAGTCCTCATCTTTCACAAATTTCAATTTCTCAACACTACTCTTATTAAGCAGGGTCGTGTAACAGAGGTTGTGTGCTTGAATAATCGATGGATACAGGGATGCGAAATCAAGTGTGGCAACTGGAACACCATAATATCCTCGTTCTGGTTCAATGACGGTAGCACCTTCGTAGTCCTGTTCGTCTTGGGGCTTTGAATTGGGGATAACAAGTTGCTGCTCACGCGCTTTGCGGAAAAGCTGACTGATGAACTTCACTTGTTGTCCTCGAGACAGAAGGAAATTGAAGGGAACACCCGTTACCCTTGCCATTTCTGTGTAATTCACCAAACACATCAATTTGTCCATTAGTCGCTGTGGTAGGTATGCATCCTTCAAACAGTAGACTGCCAGACGTCGCCTTGAATCGGGTGTTCCGTTAAACAGCTCGGTAATCATGGTGTGATGAACGTCTTCCTTTTGCTCTTTCAAAAACTCATAGGATACAGAATTAAGGGTGTAACTTCTCAACTGGTGATCTCTCTGAACCAATTGAAGTAGATCGAGTTGAATTCTGCCATTCGTATTCGTTGCCTTCGTGTCACGGTTGCCCATCTGCTTACTGGAGAAGTTGGCATCCTTGGCTTCCGTCTTCATTCCCTTCAGTCGGGTCCAGTATGGGAAATTGGTGCACTTCAAATGTTTGGCACGATCCAGTAGATAGGGAAAATCGAAGTTTGCAATGTTGTATCCGATGATTACATCGGGGTCGACCTTCTGTACGAATTCCTGCCACGCGTCGAGCATCTTTTCCTCCTTTTGGAATTCTAGGAGTTGCGTGTTGACAATCAAACTACATGTATCGAGGACGAAAACGTTTCTGATAAAAGGCTTCGACTCTCCGTATCGAGTCACAACGTTGGCGATTTGGATAACCGGGTCCATGTTGGGCTCCGGAAAGATGCCCTTTCGACCAGCACACTCGATATCGAAGGAAAGAATGCGGAGGGGCGCCATTTTCGCCCATTCTCCATTGGGTGCGTGAGCAATCATGTCATGATAGTCGACGGCGGCTTCAATCTGGCAGGTCGACAAGGCTTCACTCCTGGGGAGAAGGCGGTACTTTCCAGCCAATGCTTCGACCCAAGCCATTCCGGCCAACCCAGTGTCGATCATGAATCGTAGGAGATATTGGATATTGTCAAACGTAAGGATCCCATCTGCACTGCTCCACATTCCCTTGTAGTTCATGCTTCCACTGCCGGACTCCAGCGCACTTCGCAACCTCGCGGCGTTTCTTGGTTCGGTGACTGTGATCTTTATATACCAGCTCTTCTGGTTCCCTTGGAATCCGTATATGTTTTCGCGCATTGTGAGCTCAACATTTGCGATGACAGGCATCTGTTGGCCGAGCTTCGTCTCCAAGAATCCTTTGTATGGGATACAGTCATCTTTAGTGAAGCCGACGGGAGCAGCAATGTAGAGGTAATGTTGGAATCCGGTGACGTGAAGGCATACGGATTGTCCGACCTATATTCGAATGTCAGTTGCCAGGCAAAGCCAAAAGAAGCGGACGATATTACCTCAGTGACACCGAAAAGCCGAATCGCAGGCCTGCCTGCCAGTGTTGATTCCTCTGCATCAATTTGTTGGAAGCAGATGTTTTGTGTTTTTGGGTCGAATTCACCCAACGGGGGACGCTCCCATTGTTGATCCTTCTCGGAGTTGTTTTCTTTTAGATTGCCGATGTCTTGGGTGAGCTTTTCCAGGACCTCCTCCTCGAATTGACTCTTCTGGGGTTGAGTGGAGCCGATCTTCCTCCGAGCAGCCTGTGAAGAAGGAAGTTGTACAGGGCCCTCATTGTCGAGCTTCCGCTTCTTAAGCACGCTGGCAGACTTCGAGAGACCGACATTGTTGGTGGCGTCCACCAGCACCCGCTTGGAGGGTGGCATGATAGCTTCTGGCATGGTTGAAACCCACTGCGACAGCAATGAATGACCAAGGTGGGTTGGGGGAAAGTAACACAAACTAGAGAAGGTCGCGCCGTCGCGCTTTGGACGTGACGTTTACGCGTGTGGTCACGTGTGATACAAGATAAGCTAAATGGGAAATTCGCGAAATTTGGACGGACGTGATTGGCCGAGCGAAAAGCATCATTTCACTTCTTTTGTTTAGAATTTGAATATTTAACGATATTTTGCTAGTCTAGCGTGATTTCTCTGAATATTTACCATATATCACGGCCTGTGGTAGCCTCAACTTATATAGTTCTGTTCCGCCGGCAGAAATGGATGACTTTTTGTCGCCTCCTTCGGCTTGGCACGTCCTAACATCTTTTGAACTTCGTGTCTTCTTTGGCAACAGGTGTGTTTCTATAGAGAAACGCCTTCTCGCTCATGTACAACGCGGTGGGCCAAGCACAAGACCCACGCCCTGCGCAAGACAGTTTGGAATCTCATGGAAGCCTGAGTAAACCCCTCTAGGGTCTTGATATGTTTACATTTGATCCAAAGCCCAACGTGGCATCTTGAGACCTATTCTCGGACATCTCATTCTCTTTTGTTGCTTTATCCACTGCGCCATCTGGGACTGCTTTGTATTCACGAAGACGCTCCAATTTGACTGCGGGGCACATGCCCAACCTTCAAAAGCAACGGCAGCCGCATTCTTTAAAGCACGTCGATCTTTGTCCATGTTCAAAGATTCAAAGGTCTTCTTTGATTCCATATTGAATTAGACTCGAATTCCTTTCTCTTATGGCACTTGCACAGCACTGAATTGAGTCGTTCCTTTCTTTCTGCATCAGCTATCAATATGTCCATGTTCCGGTCAGCGGCGGAATCTTCATCAGACTCTGATTCTGCCTCCGAAGAATGCCAACTCCAGGTTTCCGGGTCCTCGACTCCTCGTCACTCCCCAAGAGGCCAGACCAAAAGCTCCCAGAAGGGAAAGTCAACCAAGCACTCCACGGAAGCATCAGAATCTACAGAAGATGTCGGCTCCTCGCTCTCATTCGATGATGTTTCCTCGCTGCCTCCGGATGCACTTGATGTCAACATTGACCGTCACTCAAATGTCATGACGGCTGCCCTATTAGAGTTTTACTGTCAAAGTCGAGCGGCAGACATCTTGAATGCCCAGCGAGGCTCTGGCCATGCCTACAGCCGACATAGTCCCGAAGCAAAATATCTTGGCAAGCAATTGTACAAATACAAATCACAGTTCTTGTCCGCTCATGGTGTCTTGGCAGACGGCATTGACAAGGAAGAGTTGGGACCAACTCGGCAAAGCTATCGTGATAACCTTGATTTGCTCGGCATCTCTGCTCTCGATGATATGAACCTCAATGACCCCCGTGTACGGTCTCCAACTATTGGGGCAGGAGACAACCTATCATTGATCACGAAGTCCTCAATGCATAGGTCCGGCCTTGAGAATGCAGAGAGTCCCTCAACCTTTTGGCAGGATACTGGTACAAATGCAGGTTTTGGGAGGCAAATTCCTTCTGCAAGCAAAGTTGATTACCTTTCTGCCGTCCCTAATGGGGCACCAAATCTCCCTCATCCTTCTATACCTCTCTTTGGCAGCTCTCCTGTTGGAGTTCCGCTATTCAATTCGCCAAACGTCCCTCCCTATAATCATTTATCAAGATATTCTGTCGAGTTCAGTGAACTCAAAGTATTGGGACGCGGATCTTTTGGTGAAGTGTACCATGTTACAAATCACATCGACGGACAAGACTATGCAGTCAAGAAAATCCCGCTCAGTCAAAAACGACTAGACCAGCTGCAATACGGGGGTCAAAATCAGCTGGAAGTCATCATGAAAGAGATTCGAACCCTGGCACGACTCGAACATACGAATATTGTCCGATATTACGGCGCATGGGTTGAACAGGCCCATCATTCACACCCTCCTCCTGCCGATCCGCATCCACTTCACACAGATTATGAGCGCACACAAAGCAATTTACCCTCTCCCGGTAGCCCCAATGAACCAAGCATGGGGATTGTGTTTGGTAATTCTGAAAGCTCAAACAACGACTCTCATTCTAGTTCTCTACCCGAAGATCACAGCTTCTCCGAGAGCATTCGGCGATGGGACAGTCACGCCACAGGCTCTTCCCGTCAGTCAAAGAAAAGCTCGCGAAGAGACTTGGACGAGGACGACGAGGAGATTGAGTCGATCCCTCGCACATTCGATAATACGTCGAGCTTCGGAGAAACGGATGATATTTTCACTGATGGAGGTCTCAGTCAAGATCAGTCCAAACTTCAAGTTCAACCCCGCTACCGACCTGGTCAGCAACCGCCTGCGGTTATCCTCCACATCCAGATGTCGCTCCATCCTATCTCATTGGGCTCGTATCTGAACTCACAAGCCCCTCTGAGATACGATGAAAACTCACCTCCTCGCCGCCACTGCTTCCATCTTCTACCTTCTTTGAAACTCATGCTGGACATCGTTTCGGGTGTCGAGTATCTCCACTCGAAAGATATTGTTCATCGTGACTTGAAGCCTGCCAATATCTTCCTATGTGCACCGGAGAACAGCACGGTAGATACATGCGACGCATGCAGTTCTGGGCAGGAATCTCCAATTCAATTTTGCCGTCCTCGAATCGGAGATTTTGGTCTCGTGGCAGATATCTCTCACCTCAACGAGGCTTCCCACGGCACGGTCACGCCCTTCCGAGAGGGTCCCAACATCCAAAAAGTCGTCGGAACAGAGTTCTATCGTCCACCAGCAAATGTATCGGGCACAGAAAGTGATCCAAACTCCCCAGCGGACTACTTTGACGAGTACAGGATCGACGAGAAGCTCGATGTCTACGCGCTCGGAGTCATCTTTTTCGAAACTCTATACCGATTGAACACAAAGATGGAACGACAATTCGTTCTCAACGATCTCACTCGCGGATTAGGCCAAGATCCATCCGAGCGCACGATCTTCCCGGCGGATTTCGCCGAAAAGGTTAATCATGGCTCAGTGGTCTTGGACGATGGAATCTCGGTCGCAGATTCTCTAATGACTTGTATGAAGGGCATGCTAGAACCCCGGTCTCAACAACGCTGGACTTGTCAACAGGTGAAAGAACACCTGCGGAAGATGAAGAAGGCAGTGCGTCGACTGGAGGCGAATGAATGAATAACAGTGGAGGAATTTAATAGTAACGATATACCTAAATAGAAATACCTGACTCCCCTTTGCACAGTTCATAGAAACTAATGTGCGGGCCTAAGAATAGTAAGTAATTAGGCGGACATAACGCTATCCCAGTTAGTATAATGATCGAGTCGACTTGAGAAATCTAAGACTCGTCGTTGAGCTTGCTCTCCCCACTCCCCACAACCCTTTCCCACATCGAGTGAGGTCACAGATATGACAGCCATGTCTCGGTCAAAACCTCGACGCATGTACCTCTCACTGAAACATTCCCCAATAATGCGCCCCAATCCACATTCTCGGGCAATGTCTCACTATCTCCCCACCAAAAGCAATCAGCTTACACTCCCCGTGTAGGCAACGAAGCTGAATATGCGTGTGATAATGCGCTAAGGCCCGGACATGAACAAGCTTTGAGAACAACAAGGCCATATCCGAGACAGCAAAACAAGGTCCCGAGAGTGATAGGCTACCTCGTGTCAGCTGAAGTACTCAGATACGACGAGTGGGCCGATCTGCACGCGGGGGGCCTTGTGGAAGTTGTCGGATCACGGTCTGAGGCATATCACCGCTATTTTTACGCACCTTGTTGCTTTGTTCTTTGTTTTTCGAAGAAAATAACAAGGCGTCCGTCTCATCCATCGGACAGTTACATGTCGAGGTAACCTCAGCAACTGCGCTGCGCCCTTGTGTGTCTCTCTGGAGCTATCCGACTCCGCCCCACTACTGGGCACACGTATGTGGGAGCCCTGCAGGGAAATTGTCCTTTTTTTCGAGCTATGATTGTTCTAGAATAGAGTGATCGACAATCACACCTGTGATGTGATATAAAACCCAAGCTTGGCCCTGGCCCCGAGGTTCCTAAAATCACAGCACCTAGGATCTTCAAAGCTCTTCCGCTTTATACCGGTGAGCTCAAAACCGCCAAAATGGTCTTCTTTAAAGCCATCGCTCTATCCTCTCTCTTCTTCACTGCTGCCGTGGCCGTTCCCCAGCAGACGGCTGCAGCTACAACAACCGCTCCTCCCACGACAATTACCAAGGCTGCATCACTGAGCTGCTCGCCTGGGCAGACCGCCATCTACACGACAGATTGCACAATGGGAACACCCAAATCGTACTGCGCTGTGCCAGAGCCCCCGATCTCGTGCTCATCGGGGTACTTCCCCTCAGTTTGGCACCCAGGCCATTGCATTGAGCAGTCAACATGTTTCCCCGTCACTGCAGACTGGATCACGACCGAGTGCTCGCATGGTCAGATCCCTTGGACGACAAAGACCATGTATGAGGGTACCTTAGCAGGTGGACAATCGACTATTATCAGTGGTGAGTACTGCGTCTCTGCCCTTCCAACGTTAGGTTTAGAAATGAAGATGAAGCTAACATATCGGGTTCCTTCAAGCCGTTTCCTGCTCCTGTGCTAGAGACCAATGGTATAGCGCTACCATGCTCCCTGGCGCATCTACCGTCGACACTTTCTGCATGCCTTCAAGCTCTTGTCCTGTCGGTATGACAACTTCTATCGCGACGAACACGTACTGTGCCACTGCGCCGGCCAGTGCTTGCTCCGATATTCCTCTGGAGACCAACTACTGCAAGTGCGAGGATGCGGCGCAGACACCTGTTTATCCTGACTCTGTTGGGGCCGCTCCTACTGGATGTGCAGCCTAATCAAGCGAATGATAGAATGGATCCTCCCTGAAAGTGATATGATTCACGGGCCGTTTTGCTGCCAAATTGATCTTGATCGTGTGAATAGGAGACTAACTGGGTTATGGCTAATACCCGGTGCTCGGTTCGGGCTCGATGTCAACTCTTTTTTTAATATTAATAGACATTTCTATAGCAATACTATATAGTCTGAGCAATGATATTAATGTTGACATTAACATTGTAACCGAAGAATGAGTGGCATTGATACTAAAAATGACTTGGTCCCTCTCCAGGTTCTACTCAAATATGAACCAATCATTTGCAACTCTGTCTCTTAATTCCAGGTTTCTTCGGCCTTCGCCTAAGATCCCGCAACATCTCATGTCATCTAAAGAGATTGTCCAAGAGTGCTAGTGCCTTGGTATTGAGGACCCTGAGGCTGCACGGCTTGGCACTCCGCCGCCAACCACGAGAGTGATTTTCCGCTCTTCCTGACTGATGCCAGCAAAATGTGTATTCAGTATAACACGATATGCTTCTGCTCTTGTATAGAAGCTTAGCATGGAGTAAATTCATGGTTGACTTTTCGTCCCAACTTGAAGGAACATCCATCTCCCGAGTCAATGCTTAAGCTAAGTCTTGACGTAGCATGCTGATCACAATATGGTTTCCTTAGCAAAATAAGACCTCTTCGGCTGTTTAAGTCGGCGAATACCGCCATCTTTCCCATGTTCGAACATAACCGAGCAAAGCCAAGCAACCGGTTGCTTCAACTACTTGACCCCAGTCTTATTCTTATATCTCATACGGTACAATGAAAGCTACGCCAAGCCAAAATGAGAACCTTTGGGGCACCAAGATTTCCTCCCATCTTGGCGTCGGAAGCAGGGTCTACGAGATTAGTCCTAAGAATGTGGCTATAAAGTGCAGTGCTGACCCTATGTCCGTTTCTTTTGGATTTATCCAAGCTCAGATATTCCGTCTTCATAGCCCTACCTGATTTACTCTCACAATGGGCTCATTCTACAAATTCCTTGCCATCGCGGCTCTGCTATCATCTTCCGCCTTGGCTCAATCCCAAGACCCGGGTCCATCTCCCACTGCTTCAATTGGCTGTGAACCACATGGAGACCATTGGTAATTTTTTCACGCATTTTTCTCTCATCGTAAGATTATTGAATTAACACTTTAAATCAGGCATTGTGATGGACCGGCCTCGACTTCCGCCACTGACTCTGTGGTTTTATCAACCGCAAGTGATGTTGAAGTGACCACTACCTCAGCCGCCGACGCTACTACATCAGCCAGTGTTACCCCCACGATGCCCAGTCCTACCGAGTCTGTGGGCTGCGAGCCACATAATGACCATTGGCACTGTGACGGCCCCCGCGAGACTTCCAGTTCCAGTTCAAGCACCTCTGCAAGTGCTTCTGCTAGCGCTTCTGCTGGTGCAGAAGATGAGGAAAATGGTGTCAGTGCAAGGGGTGTGGAGATGTTGTTGCTTGTTGGGCTTTCTGTTGTAGCTGCCGGGTTAAATGCTTGATCCCATTCGTCTTGCATGTCTGCTTCTGGTGAAAACTTGGTGACTTTATCGAAAAGACAAAGGCAGAAGGTGACTGTCCTATTGCAAGCTCCATTTCTACTTGCATCAGAAAGCGACAGCAGCATTGAAACAATTGTATTTTTTACGCTTGTCCCAGACGAAGCAACAGGTTTATACCTGTACAATTCACAAGTAGAAAGTCCTAATACTTCCATGCCCGAACTCTCATGACCAAAATTAACACACTTGACTTATTTTCAGCCCAGTTCAGGTTGTAATCTTAGCAACAACAGTATGCTCCGTAATATCAACATTTGTACTCCTAAAAGCCATCGCCTTCTCCTTGTTTTCAAAGAGGTGTCAAAATCAGCAAAGTCCCGGCTCCTAGTCTCAGAAAAACGGAAAATGGCCCATGCTAAACCAATGACCATACATCCCCCATAGGAAAACCAGACTTAGCACACCATTCCAAGCAGCCTTCTGGATCATAGGCGGAACCAGCTTTACAACGAGAACAAAGAGCTGCACGAGGCCCTGGCTAGAAAGACCTCTATCTTCATGGCAGGCTGTTTTGCATTTTTGTTACCTGAGGGATACACAACTAAATATGTCATCATTAAATTACGCTTTAGATATAAGAATCATATTTGGAGAGCATAAACATAATAGAACGGTCAAACAGTAGCAAGCTACCTCATCTAGAAGCATCGCAAAAGTTATGCAAAAGCCTAGAATGCATGCACAGTGTAAAGAAGATCGACACTCGGGCCTCGGTCTGGAGCTCTCCCCATGTTTTCACGGGCGCCGAGCTCTTCCCCGCAAACATATATTTCTTAACACTCCATGCATAAAAAAAATGATTACAATTAAAATCTATCTTCCATACAAACTACAACTAAACAATGGCAAACCTCCGCCCCCCAACAGCCCCCTACAGTGAACCCCTCCTCCCCCAACTAACAATCCCAAACCCATACTACAAACCCCACCACCACGCCCTACGCGCCCATGTCCGCGAATACGTCGACACATACATAGCACCCTACGCACACGAATGGGAAGAAGCAGGCCAGGTCCCCGAAGTTGTTCGCCTGCGCCACTGCAAATTAGGCTATGGCATCGTGCACCCGTTGACCAGCGAGGAGGATTCGGCGGGTCTGGCATTGCCTGGCGGTGTACCGCGTGAGCAGTGGGATACGTGGTGCTCGCTTATTGTCTCGGATGAGCTTACACGGGTTGGGTATGTTGGTGTTATTTGGGGACTCGGGGGTGGAAATGGGATTGGGTGTCCGCCTGTTGCTAGGTTTGGGAGTGCTGAGCAGAGGAAGAGGTGGTTGCCTGCTGTTGCGAGGGGGGAGGTGAGGTTTTGTCTGGGGATTACGGAGCCTGATGGTGTGTAGCATTCTCTTTCTTTCCTCGTTTTTGGGTGTTGAGTGGGTTGAGAGTTGCTAATTACTTTTGTTGGGATAGCTGGGTCTGATGTTGCTAATATTCGGACTACGGCCGTTTGTGATGGGGATCATTATGTTGTTAATGGGGCCAAGAAGTGGATTACCAATGGTATCTGGGCGGATTATTGTACTGCTGCGGTGAGGACTGGCGGTCCTGGTAAGTCTGGGATCTCTTTGCTGGTTATCCCTCTGGCTGCTGCTGGTGTGACTCGTCGGCGCATGCATAACTCTGGTGTTAACGCGAGTGGTGAGTTATCTTTCCGTTGGTGCCTTCATACCCGTATATTAACCGAACTATAGGTTCGACCTACATCGAATTGGACGATGTTCGTGTTCCTGTCGGGAACCTCCTTGGTGAAGAGAACAAGGGATTCCCGCTGATTATGTCAAGTAGGTCCCCAAACTAAAGGGAGAATATGAGCACTTCCTCATTGACCATTCAGACTTCAACCCGGAGCGCCTTGCTTTGGCCTGTGCATCATTACGGTTAGCCCGTGTCTGCGCCGAAGACGCGTTCAAGTATGCCATCCAGCGCGAAACATTCGGCTCGCCTTTGATCGAGAAGCAAGCAATTCAATCTAAAATCTTTAAATTTGGATTGATGATCGAGCCTGCCTATGCATTTATGGAGCAGCTTGTTAACATCCTCGAACTGACCAAGGACCGTCCCACTGATGACGTGAACATCGGTGGTATGACAGCCTTGCTTAAGGTTATGTCCACGAGAGCTTTGGAGAAGAGTGTTCGTGAAGCACAACAGATTCTTGGCGGTGCTGGGTATAACAGGGCTGGAAAGGGTGCACGTATTGAGCAGATTAGTCGTGATGCTCGTGTGCATGTTGTCGGGGGTGGAAGTGAGGAAATCATGGCTGGTTTGGCTTTGAGAGAGGAGACTAAGGCGTTGAAGTCTCGACGAATGGCTCTTGAGAAGAGACAGTCGAAGGTATAAGGTCTGAGCCTTTATGAGATGTATTTTCAAAGCTATCGGTTTGACGGACGGAGTGTTCTACTACTGCTAGTTTATTGGTTGTCGGTATATATTTCTGTCGCTAGCCGCAACGAAGAGCATGAATGAACGACAAGGCCAAATGTTGCTACAACTTAAAAGGGTTCGTGTGGCCCATTTGGCCAGAATTTTACTACAAGACCATCAAAAATGAACCACAGATATCAAAACAAGCTTGAAAGGAAACAAGAGTTGAACAAGCTAAATGGAGCTAGTAAGCACAGACGTCATGTGGGGAACTTGAACTTCACCACAACAACTCCCAGCATGGAGAGCTTCGACGATGTGTCTCTGATCGGGCCAGTCTTCGAAGAGACCTCTTTCCATAATGATCTCACCTCCGATCCACCAGAGACATCCAAGTCAGAGAACGTAACGCCATCCTCCCAACTGACATCGCGACTGGAGCGCCCCGACGATGTAGGAATGATTGACGATGCCCCCGAGATTTCCGAGTTTACTCCTTTATACAACGCGCCACCGGGCACTCGAGTGGAGGAGGAAGGTGAGGGAGAGGATGAGGAGCCAAGGGTCGCAACCTCCTTTGAGCGGCGCGAATCCTCACCGACCTCTGCGCTCAAGCACCGATCGGCCGCAGATACCTCAGACTATGAGGGTATCAACCGCATGCACAAATTTACGCTGTATGAAACTGCCACTCGGTTCTACATGGTGGGGATCAACCTGGCGGAGACGCGTTTTCGAATTTTGAAGATCGATCGGACGACGGAGTCGGGGGAGCTCAACATCACCGAAGATGACATGGTCTACACCAAGAGAGAGATGGTTCAGTTGCTGGATGCGATTGATGATGGCAATAAAAGCTCCGGTGGTTTGAATCAGAAATGTAGCGCGTGGGCATTGCTTGGTTTCATCCGGTTTACTGGGGCCTACTACATACTGCTCGTCACCAAGAGAAGTCAAGTCGCCGTGCTTGGCGGTCATAATGTCTACCAAATCGATGAAACAGAACTGATCCCTTTGACCACATCGGAATCCTCACATCTCAAGGCTGAGAAGCATTCAGAAGAGGCGCGGTACATTGCCATTTTGAACAACCTCGACTTGTCGCGGTCTTTTTACTTCAGCTACTCCTACGACATCACTCGCACCCTTCAGCATAATATCTGTCGCGAGCGTAAGACTTACCAGGATGGAATCCCTCAGTCTTTCTCGCAGGACTATCATTCCATGTTTATCTGGAACCACCATCTCCTTGCGCCCGCTGCTGAAGCACTCAAAAATCCCTATGAGTGGTGTCTTCCCATTATCCATGGATATGTGGATCAGTCCAAGATGAGCGTCTACGGTCGATTGGTCTACATCACCATTATCGCCCGTCGGTCTCGGTTCTTTGCCGGAGCACGTTTCCTGAAGCGAGGAGCCAACGACGTGGGAAATGTTGCCAATGATGTGGAGACGGAACAAATTGTCTGTGAGCAGACAACAACTTCGTTCCATTCAGCTGGCCCAGCTCTTCATGCGAACCCTCATTATACTTCGTTTGTTCAGCACCGCGGAAGTATTCCTCTGCATTGGTCCCAAGAAAACACAGGTGTCTCACCCAAACCGGACATTGAACTCAACCTTGTGGATCCTTTCTACTCAGCTGCAGCGTTACATTTTGACAATCTTTTTGAAAGATACGGAGCTCCGGTCTATGTTCTGAACTTGGTTAAATCCCGAGAGCGTACGCCGAGAGAGTCGAAGCTTCTTAAAGAATTCACTAATGCTGTGACATACTTGAATCAGTTCCTTCCGGAGGACAAAAAGCTGATATACAAAGCTTGGGATATGAGCCGTGCTGCAAAAAGTCGAGATCAAGATGTTATTGAGACATTGGAAAGCATAGCAGGCGACATAATTCCCAAAATTAGCTTTTTCAAGAATGGAAACGATGTGGAATCTGGCCTCCAGCTTCAAAATGGAGTTGCAAGGACTAATTGCATTGACTGTCTCGACCGGACGAATGCTGCGCAGTTTGTCATTGGCAAGAGAGCTTTGGGTTATCAGCTCCATGCGCTCGGTGTCATAAATGAAACAACCGTGGAGTATGATACCGATGCAGTCAATCTCTTCACCAACATGTGGCATGACCATGGAGACACTATTGCCATTCAGTATGGTGGATCACATCTGGTGAACACCATGGCAACCTACCGCAAGATTAATCAGTGGAGCAGTCATTCTCGTGACATGGTGGAAAGCTTCAAGCGGTATTACAATAACTCCTTCCTTGATGCTCAACGTCAAGAGGCGTACAACCTCTTCCTTGGCAACTATATCTTTTCACAGGGCACCCCTATGCTTTGGGATCTCGCAACTGATTACTACCTACACCATACCAATCCCAAATCTCACTTGGAGAGAAAAAAGCCCAACTACATTTCCTGGTTCACACCAGAAAATCTGAAAGCCAAGGAAATGCCACCGGTTCCATCTCATCCCAAGGAGCCACTCTCACACTTCGACGACTACTGGTTGGAATACTACCGACCCCTCGCACTCACCTCACTCTCCAAAGTCTTCTCCTGGAAAGTGAACTCCACATTACGCTACCTCCCCCCAGTCCGTCCCGGCCACGCAGTTCCCGACCTCAGTCCTTTCGTCCCCCGCATTCCCCCAGAGCAAGTTCAGCGCGAACGCATACCACAACGCAGCGTCAAGATCCAGGAACCAACCGAGAGCCGCGCCCGTATCGCTTCAAACACAATGCCAATCCCAGAAGAAACAACCTGGGCCCACCAGCCCCCCTCATCCTCAAAACAGCCCCCTGCAACGGGTATAATTAAAGAACCAACCTTCGAAGTCCACCAGTCATCCCGCATTCCCCCAATCCACCCACCAAATACCCCCTCAACCCCAAGCAAAGCCCAAATCGCGCAATGGACCTTGGGTCAACTAGTCAGCGACTCTCTCAGTCCATCCGTAACAGGCGCCGAAGCAGAAGAATACGAGCGCTACATCAACCACCCGCTCACAGTCCCGCTGGTCGTTACATCCGAAGACGAAATGACAGCCGCCTCGCTCCGAGACCACGGCTATAATCTCGATCTCCTGGAGTACGTAAATAAGTGCAATGTGGAGGAATTGGCGTTGCAGCAGAATGCTGAGGACAATCTGGCTGATTATGCGGGGTTCTTGAATGTCTCTGAGGAGGGTCTTACTGTTGTTAGTGAGGACTATGAGAAGAAGCGGTATAAACGGTATCGGCAGTGGTTACGTGGGAAGAGTCTCTTTAAGCAGCGGGTTGATTCATGATTGTACGAATGTTACGAATTTCGACGATTTGAATGCTTTACTTTTTTTTGGCGTTACATATTGTAAATTGATACCCTGATTGAATAATTTTATTTCATTGATGCTCTTTCATTGAGACCTTCTTATCTTTCTTTCTTTCTTTCTTTGCAATATTTGAAGTAACAAATCAGAGTCAATCGAAGATGTTCACCACTTTGTATTTGACTCCTTGACATGAAATCCGAGAATTCCAATATCTCAACGTCCACTTAAAAGAAAAGCGGCTTAAGAATCGGATCAGCCCCAACAAACTTCTTCACATCCGCAACCATCTCAGTCTTAGCCTTCATCTGCTCCTTCTGACTGTTATCACCGGGAATAGTAACAGGATTCTGCAAAACATGCAACAAAACCTGAACGGCAACCTTTAACTCATGCTCCAGCATGCCCTTCTCCTCATCCGAAGTCGACGTATCCTCAGCAGCATGAATCCACGCCGTGGACAACCCACTCAACAACTCACTGCGCCAACGCCAGATACGCGGGTGTCCATTCTTAATCACGCCTTGGAGGACCATTGCCGCGCTCAGCGTAAGACCCAAATGGGACACTTCAAATCCAAAGGGGTTTGAGAGTGTAGTGTAGAAAATAGGAATCAGATCCTGTAGGTATTTCACTGTGTTGATACCCAATTCTTCAACGAAAAGGCCTGCCATTGTGATGAGTTGGGCTGAGAGGCGGGGGTAGGGGAAAGAGGTTTGGGTTGAGGCTGCGGCTGGGGTGCTGGAGCTGATGTGGTGTAGGGAGGAGATGATGTTTGAGCGGAGAACTTTGGACAGGCTGTTGTAGTACTTTTCTGTGTCCTTTGCCTTGTTCTTTGAGGTGGGGTTTTGGTAAGCTGTTTGGAAGAGGGCTAGGAGAGCTGGGTATGCTTCTGATAGGCAGAAGATTGAGCTTTCCTCTGGTGTGATGGATGGAAGGGAAAGGAGGACTGGGGTTATGGCCTCTTCGAAGACGGATGTTAAGTTCGTTCGTTGGAGGATGTCTGATTTGCAGGCTTTGACTCTGCGTAGTAGGTTTTTGATCAGCTCGCATCCCATTGTTTTGAAGCACATGTTGCTGTCGTCGATCATGGCGAGGATGGCCGGAACGTAGAGCGGGAAATGTTCTTCAAGGTGTTTCTTGTCCTCGGGCTAGTATCATCGTTAGCGGTGAAATCACGGTGGAAGCTGTAGGATAGCATACGCTGTACTGATCTATCATCCACGTCAGTGCCGAGCCAACGTAGACATCAGTTGTCTTCCAAGGCTTGTTCGACTCATCCATGCTGTCAAATCGTGGGAGAGACAGCGGATGGAAGTTCTTGCGGCCGGCGGCGGTGATTGCGGGACTCGGAGTCTTTGCGAACAAGGGCTTGATACGTTCCTTGAGGATGACCTCCAGAGCAGACCATAACTTGTTACCCCGGTCTTCCAGAGCCGTGAGCCAAATGGTCTGTAATAGTGCTGCGCCTGTGTGAACACTGTTTGAAGTCCATGGCTCTTTAGGGTTAACAGTGCATGCTAGAGCGAGAGTGAAATCGGCGACGGCAACGTCGTCGGGCAGGCGACCTGACATGCTGCCAAGAAGCTTGGTCATGACCGTCAGAAGCTGTAGGGCCAGATCTGATTCCCACCTGCTCTCATCTTGAGCTCTCTTGATATCTGCTTTGCTGTTAGACCATGTTCACAACTTCGAGGCTAAGGACCGCGCTTGACGTACCCGCGGTAGGTTCGTCAGACTCGGTCTGCACAAACTCGACCGAATATGCCGCACTCGGCAGAACGACCGCGCTCGCCCACTTGAAAATTTTGTTCAGCGCCTCGTTTTGGTCTTGGGTGAAGATTATTGGGCTTCCATCGTCCGGCGACCATGGCTGGAAGTACTCGACATAACTGATCATGGAAGCAATACTCTCGCATCTCTATTTCTTTTCAGTCTGTGCTCTTTTTCCCAATGATGTAAACTGACGTTCAGATGGCTCGAATGGTCGTAGGACTCAACATTCTGCCAGACTTGAGGCAAATCACACTTGGATACAGCATCACGACCAGGCTTGAAGTTGCGCGGGAAGTTCCCAGGATCCTCAATGAGAACCCTACGGACTTGTGTGCGAAGTTCATCCATAACGACGATAATTGAAGATAGTTGAAGATGTTAAGTTAAAGAGGTGAGGGATCTCCACTAATGTTTATTTTGTGTCATCTGACTTTACAACCCCAACTCTGCTCGTCGACCTGCGATCTCTGCCAGCACCTGTTCCTTGTCGACATCACGATGCAGCAATTGCCATTCAAGTGCCATATTCACTGCTTTGCTCATCCACGGACCTTTTTTGGTTTTCAGGCTATTCATAATTTCATCGCCATTTACAATTGGTCGGAGGTCGCACACATCCTCCAGGTCGTTTTCTACGATGTATGCAAGGAACTGGTCGTACTCGGCAACCACTACATAGGGTTAGAAAAATACCACAAAATGTTGAGAAGGACTCTTACCGTCTGCAAAGTCGCGCTTTTTCATGGCTTCTTGCATCATGGCAAGAATAATGCAGAGTTTCCAGTCCTTGTTCCACGTGCGGATTTGCAATCCAATGCGCTGTCGGATTTCTGCCGGTGTTCCACTCAATTTATTGGCAAGAAGTGCGGTTTTGGTCGTAATAATTTCTTCGAAATGCAGAGACGCGGCGCGAAGTACGTTGAGCGTCTTGTTATCGGTGCGAAGACTGTCTCTTCCGACCTCAACTGCTCGTGGGGGAATTGGCTTTGTATTCGCGCCATTGACTGTACGGCCGGGGATGGAGGACCAAGGAGCAAAGGTCGCAACCATCCATGCGTAGTAGCTGGTTTCGTCACTAATGGTAATATCACGAATGCGTTTCGCAGCGGCCTGGACCTCTTCGCTGTCGTCGGGCTTTGGGTGCAACAACCGTGCCAGCGTGTTGTATGCGAGAGGCCATGTTGATGTATTGGCCTTGGCGTCATCTTGATGATTAGCCAAGATCGTGGTGAACAGCTTAAGGCGGTCGATGAACTCCAATGCACCGCGGGGGTCAGGCCCTGTATAATGGTTAGATAAACACACGATCAGTAATTGCAACTAACTCACCACGTAGCATCTTTTCGAGCTCGGCTCCCACGCGCTCTTTGCTGATTTTCAGTTTCAGTGCTTCGCCGATATCTTCGATCTGCATAGCAGCCTCTGTTTCGGGGTCAATCTGGTATCCTAGTCTGCTTGCAAACCGGATCAATCGAAGCACGCGCAGTGGGTCATCTTTGAAGGTCTGGTATGGCTCCATGGGGCATCGAATGGTCTGCTTCTTCATGTCATCCAGTCCCCGTTCAGTGAGATCCTCCAGCCGTGACTCGTTGAGGTTGTAGAAAAGCGCATTTATAGTTGCATCCCGTCTCAAAGCGTCCTCAACTGCAGTACCAAACTCCATCTGTGGGTTGCGACTATCGTCTGAGTATGTCTCCTTCCGTAGATTGACCAAATCAATGTCGAGGCCGAAGATCTTAGTTGTGACAGTCTCCAGGTGCTTGGATTTCTCCGGGTTGGCCTCAATCTTGTGAAGGCTCACAATCGCGTCATGCATTTCCCCGTCTGGTAGGCTTTTCTTGTACTTTTCGAGTCGCTCCGGGACGTCCAAATAGTCTTTCAGGGCCATGCCGAACTGGAACCCAGTCATACTGCTAATTCCCACATCGATATCATGGCTCCCAACTCCAAGCAGCTTGTCCCTGACCCAGCCTCCCGTGAATCGCAAGATAATTTCGGGGGCCTCTTGGCCTTCCTCGGACAATTTCTTCTCGCGAATGTAGTTTGCGACATCGAGGAGGAGAGTTCGCAGGGTGCTCTCAATCGGAGTGAGCTCGAGAGTAGGCACTGCGGGGGTCATGGTTGCATGTGAAGCTTCCCCTTGCGAAGAAGAAATGCGTCGTCTCTTACTGACTCGCTCTGAGAAGTGAGGGTCTGGTTCGGGGTTGCGCATGGACGGGTGACGAGGTACAGAATAAGTTCGGAGGGGAAGAGCTTGAACCCAACGTGGGCGTGCAAGTTTTCTTGCTGGAGTGCGGGCAAGTGGAGTAAAAGAAAGACCAAATGACTCAAAGAAGAGCCCTAAAGAGCGCAGCCTCATTGAACATCCCTGGTGATGCGCAAGTGAGCTTGTGAAACTAGACTGAGTCATGTCTGATTGTCGATAAGGCCTCACGTGGGAAATCATGTAACCCGCCTTGTCTTCAATACTCTACACTTCACACTCTACTTCTTACATCCCGCTTCAACCTTCAAGGCATTTCGCAAATACTCAGTGCCAGTATTGTACTCGCTTTGTCGTTTCGTTTCGTTGTCCCTGTCAGCGCTTATCGGCCCGAATCCCTCAACTTGGCTTTCTCCCCCAACAACACCTCCGTGAAGCCGTGACAACTTATTAGTTCATAGTCGAAAGGCAGACGACTCTCTACTACACCCCAACCTCAGATCCCAGTCGATGGGGCCTGCCAATCAACTTCACTAGTTTCATTTTCATACAGAACAGCGGTTGTCCATGACATCGCCCGGAGATGCTACTCCGGTCAAACCTCCGCCGTCCTTCTCCCCCGGCGTTGCGCGAGTCGCATCCCCATCACGATACCCGGAGGAGCATGAATCAACTCAGTCTATAGATGTCCAACTGGCCGAAACCCAGTCAGCCTCATCATCAACCCCTCCTCTCTCAGCTACGATTTCCGACTTACCAAACCGCTCCGGCTCGCCGCACTCGCGCTCTGGGAGATCCTCCACCCCACACTTAGCCCGGTCATCTATCGGTTCGCCTTTCGATGGACGGGCAGATGGCTCGGAAGATATCAGATCATTGATCATTCGGTCTTTCTCGCCTACGATCGCTGTTCATGCATCCGAGGATACTGATGACTTGGTGAGGAACAAAGGGTTCAAGGGAGGATTTTGGGAGTTGATCCGGCCGTTTGGGGAGACGGTATCTGGCAAGGTGGTAATACGGGATAGCATAGGCTCAAGCCGTGCTTGGGAAGACTATGGAGTGCGCTTTGTCAGTTTCAAGGGGATCGGCAAGGCTACGCCAAGCCGAGATTCCGGGCCGCTGGCGCAGATGGAGGAGGTGTTGAAGAAGCAGCTGGATTCTTCGGAGGGCCTCATGGGTGCATCAATACGGACAAAGGATGTGCTGGGGTTCCCTGCAGCAACGCCCCTGTTCAAGTCGTACCTGCAACAACTCCTGTGCGCCGCACCCGCAGCGCCTCATGAGACATTTGGCCATCCCGTGGCCAATGTCATAGCCATCAGCTCTCGTAATCCAGCTCCACTGGAATCGCTCAGGCAGCTATATGCGGATAGTACGACTGGTGACAGACACCTTCCCGACTGGGTCCACCAAGAATACCTTCGGTATTATGTGCTGGTCCACGATGAGGAACGAGATGATATCACAGAATCTACAAAGCTTTACGACCAGATGAAGCGACACTTTGGACTGCATTGTCATCTTCTAAGGCTCCGCAGCAGTCAATGCGTGGTGACAGATGATGATAGTGTACAAGTTCCCCGGTGTGAATGGCTCTCGCCTTCCGAGCATTTGTCGGGGGCAGGTGAAGCAGGCAAGTAAATTCCCATCCTTAGTCAGGATCGCGCTAACTTGCATTCAGAAACGCTGGTTGACCTCGGCACCGATGGCACACCATATCTGTTTGATTCCGATGCAACTGCGATCAGGGCCTTCATTCGAGAGCTAGTCGTACAGTCTGTGATACCATTCATGGAAAATAAGGTGGCTGTTTGGAATGACCAAGTCGCATCGCGAAGGCGCGGTATCAGTGGGAGGTTCATCTCAATGTCAAAGCGATGGGCTTTCGGATCAAGTTCGCGTTCAAGTATGGGCTCGTCAGGCGGCGGAAACTATGATTCAACGCAGCATTTCTACACTCCAGATTCTCCAGAGGCGGTATTGCGCAAGATGGCGGACTTTGCATTCATGCTTCGCGACTGGAAGCTTTCTACGTCCACATATGAGATGATTCGATCAGATTTTGGAAACGACAAAGCTTGGAAATACCATGCTGGCGCCCACGAGATGTGCGCTGTCAGCATGCTCCTAAATCCACTGGCCACATCTGCCAAAATCAAGCTTGATAGTGTGGACCAATTGTTCGAGACTGCTTGCTATTCCTATCTTACACGTTGCTCCGATGCGCCTCATGCACTTCGTTGTCTTTCTTTGGCAGTCGAGCTTCTCAAATCTCGTGGCGGGTCAGCCACCGAGAGCGCAGCCAAATGGGCCATGCGGGTCATGGACTTTGGACTGGTTGGCTCGGTTGGTCAAATCTTGTACACTGAAAGGGTAGCAGCGTGCTATGCATCAAAGACACCAGTTGGTGCAGCGAAATGGGGCGGACGTCGTCGCAAAGCGGGAATGTGGAGTACGCTGGCTGCAGACCAATGGCTCAAGGCCGGCAAACCAACACTTGCTTCAGCCTGTCTAGAAGAAGCCGAGCGTCTCTACGCCGACGTATTAGAGGCAGACGGTGTATTCCCAATGCCTGAGATGCAAAACTTTGTCGACAATCTGCGCCATGCTATCAAGGTTGAATATCTCGAGGCTAGAGGATTTGACGCCAGAGGTGACTCTCCCACCGAAGACCCCCTTGATACTGAAGAGATCAGCGAAAAGCTCGACAAACGAAATCATCGCCGTTCTCTGATTGGACTCCCTGTGCAGCTGGACGCCGGAGCCCTCAACCCGCAGGGGCCTCGGGACCCTGAGAACCCAAATGATGACTTTGAACGAGCTTAGACTCATTACGGCCTTAATAAATCATCATAGCATATAACCATAGAATACCACCCACTCTGTTCAAACAGACAATATGTTTCTATATGTCCTAAGCTGTATACCTTAAGAGCCTCACATGCTACGTCACGTGGGGCCGTTATCGATAAACCTTGTTGACACAGCGACGGTAGATCCTCAGACCAAACCAAGCATAGCTTGACCACTTTCCTAGGCGAGCTGCGTTTTCTCCCTTCTATGTACCCAACCAGCATGAGTGATCTTCTCAAGTACATCCTCAACAATGAGGAAGCATTCCGCAGGTAAAGACCATCAACCCCCAAGCCCGAGTCTAGGCCCGCATCTCCAACCCAAAATCCAAACAGCCCACCAAGTACCCTTAGGCACCGAGAAGGATGTTATACTAAGCCTCTGGAACCTCAGGAACCGTCTCCCATCCCTTTACTCCGATTTCACTCCCCAGAAGAAAACAAATCCAGACGGGTACGCGGTCAACGTCGCCGCATGGGAACAAGCACTTAACAGAGCCGCAAAGCGCGGCTACACTTCATCCCGCGGAGTCCGCGTACGCTCCGGATCAAACCTCTCAGCGACGAAAGGTTCATCAGCACAGCGCAAGAAGACAGACCACCTCATTCTAAGAACGGATGAGTCCTTACTAAGGGATCTGGAAAGTGCAGAGTGGGGGAGGCCTGTTGCGCTAGGCACTGTCTTCGACGAGGCGATTCGCAAGCGCACTATGATCCCTTTGGCTGTTTACATGGCTACTGCTGGGCTTTTGCAGAAGAGTCAGTGGAGGGTAATTGATCCTGGTGTTTTGAGTCCGTGGAATGTCATGAGTTGGGGTGTTAGGCAGCTTAAGGGGTTTGTTGTTGGGTCTGAGAGTGATTCTGCGCCGAGGTTGCAGGCCCAGGAGTTGGTTTTGGTGGAGAATTTACAGGTATAAGTTGACTTGGAGTCGGTGGGCTGGATCTCGTTTTGCTGACTTTCGCGACAGGAGACTGCGGACTTGGCTGTGAAGAAGGCTACTGGTGGTAATTCCTCCAAGTTGGATTTGATATACTCTAGAGACAGCTTTGTTGAGGAGTTCGCGGGCATGTTGAATGATGCTACAGATTTATCAGATGCTGATTTTGACGTTTTATTGCTCTATTTGTCCCGCGACAGCGGTGCTATTGCATATGATGGCAAGGTAAGCTGACTATATAAGGTATTTTGGCCATGACGTCCAGCTACTGATGAGTGGGCAGACAATCAAGTTCAAATCCGCGGGCGAGGCGCCAGAGATCACACAGCAGGACACGACCATTGCGTCTATCAAGAGTTTGGTTGCCACTATGTCGAAACAAGTCACGACTTTGGAGGCGAAGGTCGCTGAGCTGAATACATCTGCAAAGACGGCGCTTGCAAACAAGAACCGCGTTTCGGCGCTAGCTGCTGTGCGGTCAAAGAAGATGGCAGAGCAGAACCTCAAGCAGAGACTTGACACTCTTATGCAGCTTGAAGAGGTCTATACCAAGATCGAACAAGCTACCAGTCAGATCGAGATTGTGCAGGTCATGCAGGCAAGTACTGGTGTCCTCCGTGGTCTTCACACACAGATTGGTGGCGCCGAGAAGGTTGAAGATATCGTTGAGGAGTTACGTGAGGAGATGACCAAGGTGGATGAGGTCGGCAGCATCATGAACGAGGCCGGTCCGGTCATTGATGAGGGAGAGATTGATGAGGAGCTTGAAGCCCTAGAGAAGGCTGACAGGGAAGTACAGGAGAGGGAAGAAGCAGTAGCCACGGAGAAGAGACTGGCCGAGCTGGACAGTGCCAAGCAAGCCTCCGATGAAGCTGCCCGGAAAGCACAGGCGTCCAAGAAACTGGAGTCTGAGCTTGCGGGCAGCATTGAGAGGCTTTCCAATATGTCTGTTGAAGATCGCCCGATGCCAGCGAAATAATGTTGCCCTGTTTCTGGACAAGAGATCTGTCATTCAGAGGCATAGTTCCTCATTGCGGTGAGTTCCAAGTCGGGTCCGATTCATCTTCATTCATAATCACCCGGAAAGGTCAATGGTATTATTGGTATCAGAACCTTCACTGTTTTCGATGCGAGCACCATTCGGCGGCAGTGCCTCAACATGCTGCTGTGTCGGAGCTTGCGCAGGCTCAGACAACCCGTCCGAAGCTGCTCCAGGGATGGTGGACCTGACTTGTGCTTCACTCTTCTTCCGCGCATTTGCAATGAGTCTTTTGAAATCATCGTCATGATTTGAAGACCACTCATTGGCATTGAAGTCTTTTCGCATAACGTTGCTGGATGAAACGAATGGTGATTGCGTGGCAGCATGCCCTCCCTGTGTCCGTTCCCAAATATCCAGCTCGGAGAGCAATACCCGTTTCGATTTAGGGCTTTTGGAGTCGCAATTGGCGTTCCACAGATTCATCCACTCCGTGTGGCGCCGCTGTAGAAGCTGTTTAGGACCCCACTCTGGGATACCGAGATCCCGCAGCTTCTTGCGCAATGAAATATCTTTCAAGATGGAGTAGTTTATGGCAGGAAGTCGATCGGGAGGTTTGCCTAAGCTTAAGCCTTTTTGCGATGGGCCCATGAAGGACCTACAATGTCAATTAGCATGCGTGTTCTTAGACTTCAGTAATAGAATAAAGATACCCAAAAGTAGCTGGCTTTGGAGGCTGAGCTTCCTCTGTATGAACGTTTAAATGTCCGAAGACAGCTTCCTCCTTCATCTTCTGAGAGCAAATCGGACACGCGACCATGCCATCTTCTATGAAATGATTAGATCGACTGCGACATACGAGGCCAAGGTGCCATACCGGGGATGTATTCATCGTCATCTTGACTATCCTCAATAACCTCAGGAATAACCTGAGAAGCACCCGGCGTCTCTACCGAGTTTCTTGTTCTTGAAGAACGTGTCTGTCGGCCTTGCGAGCTGGCTTCTTCAACTTGTGATTCCTCCTCTGCAACGCGACTAACTTTTCGTTTCTTTTGCGCCGGTTGCTTTGCATCATCCTCGCGCTTTTCAAGGCGCTCCTTTTCCGCTTGCGCCAGACCCAAGACCTTGGGCCTTGCCGTATTGAACGCGTCGACCAATTCTTGGACTGCCCAGTTACGGCGCAGCTTCAGCTCTTGATCAGAGCTCCGGCAGGCAGGACATTTCCCTTCAGTACTGAGACAGCGACGAATACATAGCGAACAAAATGTATGACTGCAAGACGTAATCACTGGGTTATCGAAGAAGTCTTTGCAGACCTGGCACCGGAGCGAGGATTCGAGAGGCGCAAGTAGAGATAAAGGTGTTCCCAACCAATCGGTGGAGTCAGGTAAGTTGAACGACTGATCCATTGTCGACAAGACCTGTACCTTAAGGTCTTTGTAGAATCTCAGATCTCATGAGGGAGTGTGAGTGTCCGCGCCAAGACCCGCTGACTGATACGCGTTAAGTGGTTTGGGCGCGCGTCGGAGCAACTTGCAACTCACAACGATGGACTCCAAGCTATTTCTGGCGGAGAATGTGCTCAATGAGCGACATGCGGTATGTTATTTTTATGTTCTCTTTGAAGTTTATATTCTGACGGGGAACAGGTCACTTATCGCTCGTTGAGCCGCGCTCTCAAGGTGCACGCCAATCGAGCCAAACAGTAGGTCCAAGAACTCGACGAAGAGCCAGCAGCAGCTGATAACTTGGTGGCTTAGGATTCTCTTTGAATTCCACCGCAATGAGAATGCGAAGAAGCCACAGACCGTCCACGCAACCTATGTCATCTCCGGTATCCAGAAGGCGCCAGAGACGGCTCCTCCGAATGGCCTTGCCAACGACGAGGATGAGATCATGCAGAGTAGTCCTTATTTGTCCAGCTCTATGCCGAACCAAGATGCATCCTCAGACTCCCCTCGCATTGCGACAATCATTTTAGCACGCGAAGAAGATTTGGAAGGTACGCTGGTCCGACGATGGCGGTGGAAGGCTGAATACTGAACAAACGGGGCAGATGCGAAATCAACTTTCCAGTCGATATCAACTATTCATGTTTACAGCCTGGAACCCACACCTCTTCCTGATTTGAATGTATTGGTCGATGCCAATCGCCAGATTGCGATCAATTATGCGCAGGAAGATCCATTGGAGTGTGGAAAGCAATGGGGCATGATCCAGAACCGAAATGTCAAGGTATGGCGTTATCACCCCGAGTGCCAATTCAAGTGATCTAAATGGTGTCTTTCTTAGCGGAGAACCGGCGCGCGCCCACCTCCACCTCCCGCTGCTAAGAGCCCGGCCCCAGCTGTTAAGGCAGCAAAGCCTTCTACCGAGTCAGCAGTACCTGCCAAGCGACCATTACAAAATGAGGCTGCTCCGGCGAAGGTTGAAACGAAGTCCGAAGAACCGAAGTCTCAGTCATCTTCTGGCGCAAACTCCCAGTCATCTTCGAAGCCCGTTGTCAAAGCTGCGTCTTCCAAGAAGGGCAGTTTGTTCAGCTCTTTCGCCAAAGCGAAGCCAAAACCAAAGACAGCTGCCCCTGCAGAGCCTACCGCACAGGATGGTCCGTCAACCCAGTGCGACATTGAAATAATCGCTGACACATCACAGTTATGCTTGATGATGCTTCCGAAGAGGAACCTGAAGAACTTTTCCCTGATAGCGGTGACAGGGCTGCTGCTGCAAACCGTGAAAGCAGAAAAGAACGCGAAGAAAAACTAAAAAAGATGATGGACGATGACGAAGCTGACGGTATGTGTTAAATTGCGACTAGAAATACAACCCTACTAATATAAATCAGACGAAGAAATGCCTGACGCCGACGAGGAATCCCTTCGGGAACCTACGCCTATCGAGCAACCACCGCCATCCCAGCCAGCCGAACTTAAAGAAGAAGTAACCGTGCAAGGCGGGCGGCGGCGAGGCAAGCGACAGGTCATGAAGAAGAAGACGGTCAAGGACGAGGAAGGATACCTAGGTTTGCTCAACCCGATGTAACCTATTAATTTAATTTGTTACTAACTTGCAACAGTGACTCGGGAAGAGGCATCGTGGGAGTCATTCTCCGAAGATGAGCCGGCGCCCAAAAAGCTAGCTGTCAATGTTCCCAAGGGTAAGGCTGGAAAAGCTGGTCAGGGTCAAGGTAATATCATGTCTTTCTTTGGAAAGAAATGAGCTGTTCAATATACATGTCTTCAATACCATATTGTTCTCTGGAGAGTACAGTACCTTGGTACGGAAGTATAGAAGTAGCATTGCCCAAACAGGAAATCAAACAATGACGATCTTCTCCGCAGTGGAGAAGAGAACATCCCGTGCCTTGGCCGATGTCACCTCAATTCGGGATTAAATGCACCGAAAGTATAGTTAAATTATAGTCAGGGCTACATTGCATAGACGTTCACCTCAATGTGTGGAATGTGACCCTACCCCGGTTGCGATCGACATCCCCGTCTTATTTACCCCAGTTCCCCCACAACATCCTCTTTTGCTTCGACTAAATCTAAGCAACTCACAGCTATGACTCTCTCGATCGTTCTCGCAGCGTCTCTGTTGGGCCTTGCCAATGCCCTTGCAGGTCGCGATGACCCAGCCATCCTAAAACGAGCTTGCCCTGACTACGTTTCATATGCATCGACACCGCAGTAAGTACCTCCCCACCAGAAAGTAGACGGACAATTGCTCACCATAAATGATAGCGCCCCTTATAGTGAAGGGCCCTTGAAGCTTCCCTTCCAGCGCCCTGCAGAGGCATGTCGGACATTCTCGTCGCCCGCCGTCGAGAAGGTCATAGATGATATCACCTCGCGCCTAACAGATAAGGATCTGGCCCAGCTCTTCCGCAATGCCTACCCCAACACCCTGGACACAACTATCAAGTGGCATACAAATGGATCCAGCGCCTCAGCCAAGCGAGCCAGTTCACAATCCGGCCCACAGTGGACAGGCACGCAGACTTTCGTCGTAACAGGCGATATCAACGCCGAGTGGCTGCGCGACTCAACCAACCAGCTTACAAACTACCAAGCCCTGGCATCAACAGACGCGAGCCTTTACTCGCTCATTCTCGGCGCAATCAATACCCAGTCGGAGTTCGTCATCCAGAACCCATATTGCAATGCATTCCAGCCACCATCTCTCAGCGGCATCAAGCCAGAGAACAGCACCCAACAAGACAAAGTCCACCCGGCCTACGAAAAGTCCTTTGTCTTCGAGTGCAAATACGAGCTCGACTCACTGGCTCATTTTCTCCTCCTTGGCACAGAGTTCCACGAGAACACCGGCGCAACCGATTTCCTCACGGACCGTTGGTACAAAGCTCTACAAACCGTCCTGGATACCATAGACGCACAATCCCAACCAACATTTAACTCAAAGAGCCAATTCGTCACAAATGTATACACATTCCAGCGCCAGACGAACATCGGCACCGAAACACTCAGCCTGGAAGGCGTAGGCAACCCCCTAAACAGCGAAACAGGCCTAATCCGCAGCGCCTTCCGTCCAAGCGATGACGCCACGATCTTCGGCTTCTTCATCCCACCCAACGCAATGATGTCCGTTCAACTCCAGAAAACGGCAAAGGTCATCAAAGCTGCCGGTGGACCAGACGATCTAGTCAAAGACCTCCAACAACGCGGCGAGAAACTAGCCAAAGCAGTCCGCAAACATGGAATTGTCCAGCACCCGACCTATGGTGATGTCTACGCCTTCGAGATAGACGGGTATGGCTCGCGCGTTCTGATGGACGACGCTAATATCCCATCACTCCTCTCCCTCCCATACCTCGGGTTCCTGGACAAATCAGACACCGTCTACCAGAATACCCGCAAGATGATCACCTCCAAGTCCGGAAACCCTTATTATTTAGAAGGTCCCGCTTTCCGTGGAATTGGTGGTCCCCATGCTGGTCTTGAGAATGCTTGGCCGATGTCTTTGCTTGTTGCGGCTATGACTTCTGATGACGATGATGAGATTCTGGCGAATATCAATCTTGTGCGCGATTCAAGTTTGCTGGGTCTTGTTCATGAGTCTATTAATGTTACTAATATCAAGGATTATACTCGTCCTTGGTTCTCGTGGGCTAACTCTGTCTTTGCGCAGACTATTCTTAAGGTTGCTGCTGAGAGGCCGCATTTGATATTTGGGAAAGGAGCTGAGGCTTATACTGTGTCGTAAGCTTCAGAGAGATGTTTTGGGCTTTGTTGTCTGAAAAGATACCATCTGTAGCTCCCTGTTGGGCGTTTTATCGTTATCAAAGTCTAACGAAATTCATGTATAAGCTCACACTAGTAGTGTAATTGTACAGGGTGTTCTGCATTCAGAAACATATCTTATATAGATCATTGGATCAGACCTTTTCCATGTTTTAATGCAAGTCTCGCGTAGAAATGGTTGGTCTGAGTAGATTCATCATCATCTATAATCCTCACAGATGTTTATGTGCAATGTTCGCAAGGATATAATAACAAAAGGGATATTAAGTAGCAATTAAACCAACACTCGCCGCAGGCCCTCAGTGCCGCCAAGTACTCTTCGGCCTGTGACGGGACATCTTCCCTTACCACTCTCCCATTTACCAGAGCGTTTACGAGGACCCTTATCTTCAGGGTTATCTCCGGTGCCCTTCCGAGCGTCTTCGTCGTCACCAGTAATCTCCTCTTCCCACGGCGCACCAGCACCCTCACCAGTCATAAAGTCCAGCTGGCGCTGATGCTCACCGTTCAGCCAGTGGAAGATACATACGTAGCAGAACACGTATCCTGTCTGACACGCAGTCGGGTTAACGAGCTGGCCCATACAGACAGGGCATGTATTCGCACTCGAGGGATCAGCTGGAGGCAAAGACACAGTATAGATGGGAAGATAAGAGGTAGCAGAGATAGGAGGCTGGTGGCGACGGGGAGACTTGAGCGCCGGTTTCAAATCAGCAGCACTCTTCTTCTCCAATTCCGCCTGTTTCTTAGCCTTCTCCTTCTCGTCTGACGATTTCCGTCGTTCGGCTGGGGATGTCAGGCCCGCGACTACCGGAGCGGGCAAGTCGAGAACGTCAGTCGCCTTCCGGGCAAGCTGTCGCGAGAAGTCACTTGCATGCCACCATTCCAAGAACTTGAGAGCGAAGATCGATGCGGGGAGAAAGTACCGTAGCGAGGCCAGCGCTTGTGTGTGGAGGTTCTGGGGGCTGAGAAGACCCAGCAGACCACCGCCGGGTCGCTGAGAGCGTCCGGCACCAGGGCCGGGCTTGGGATCTAGCACGGCAGCAATGGCGTGGTGATCTGCGGAGCCGAGACGACGGATGCGCGTACCGATCAGCCATAGGAATGGCGATGAGTACTTTGTGTTATCGAATAGGTAGGCGAGGTTGAATGCCAGAACGGAGAAGTAGTACGCAGCATTGACGGATGGATAAACTTTGCGTAGGAACCACTTATAGAAGTGGAGGATGCGCTGGCGCAGCGATGGATTGGCCGGCAGGTCATCGCTGGGGTTGTATCGGGGACCGCCGCCCATGACCAGAGATGCATGCGGCGCAGCGTGGATATCATACCCTTCGTCAAGCTTGCGCTTTATGTACGGGATTCCGACCATGACGAATAGGTTCTTCCAAATATCTGTGGAGTGTAATTTGAGGGCGTCACGCACAGGGCCAGCGGCGCCGACCTGGGCGCGTGGAATCTCGCCATTCTTAGTGCGAAGAACGCGCTCACGTTTTAGAGAGTAGAAATTCTCTGTGAAGGAGCCGCCGAAGGTACGGAGATAGTATCTTTCGACTATTAATGAGAGGAGGGCGTAGACTTCGTCATAGGAATTGAGGATCCGGAGGAGGTACCGCGGGTGGCGGTGTGTTGCGACTGCGAGGAGATAACGTAGAGATGGAGGGAGGAGATCGGATAGTTGCTGTTCAGCGAGGAGTTCTGTCGCGTGCGAGTTCGTTAGCGATGCTGCTGTATTGGGGGGGGGCTTCCCCGTGACTGGGGTCTCCCCATCTCCGCGGGGAAGTGTCAATCGTCACTTACCGAAGAGGGACGGCTTGTGCTCGTCGAACTCCTGTTGTAGACTAGGAAGATACTCCATCTTCAGGAGCAGTCATACTTGGGAGAGTTGGAGATGGGGGAGAGATGCAGGTGACAGTCGCCGGAAATAGTGATCGTCTGCCGAGGCTCAACTTATCCGAGCTGACTACTCCGCTCGACTTGGACTAACAACTTTGAAATGCTCAATTGACAAAACTTGATATTGTACATGCAGAGTATATGCTGGATTAATTTACAGATATTGTTCGTCATTCAGGGCCCGGAGGCAAGTGCCTCCTGGCAATCAGTCCAGAGTGGCATATAAAAACTCTGAGGACCATCTTCACGGTTGTGAATGGTTGGGTCAGCCACCAAGATACAATGCATGATTGCAGGCACAATCAGGCCTTGAAGCTCTATTGCAGGAGACTCCTCGGCCATCAGCGGTATGCCAAGGGAAAGGCACTCGCGGGCTCGCCGTTCGTCGCCAAGGTCAGCGTGCAACTGGAACAGCTGGGTGTAATCGTCATGTGTACGGTTTAGGCCTTTCAGAGGGAACTGGTTCCATAATCGCCAGAAACCATCGTGGTCACCGCAGTTGAAGAGCGTGACCATGAGCTTGCGAGCCTCGCTTGCGTCGAACGGAACATTAGCGGCCGCGATAATCTTGGTCAACCGAGACAATATTCGCTCCTGGGATTTAGTTCGCTGAGCAGTAGGCGATGGCTGTGAAGCTTCTTCCACGGACGATGCACTTGGTGTAGCGACTGTTTGGTAGAGGATGTTGAACATTCTCATGCTCAAAATCGGTACGCCGCGTAGGCTGAGACGATCCAAAACACTCAGGGCAAGCTCCATATCACACTCAGGAATATCGGATGCAATTTCCCCGGTGTTCGCACTGATTGGTCTCGGGGCAAGCAGGCCAGAGACAACATCAAACCCAAGGTCATCCGGCAGATTGTGGCCATTCTGGAGGAAATCAGAAAAGGCACTGAACAGGGCATCTTTACTGTAAGCCGGGTGCTGTCTGGACACAGCAATTGACAGCAACTTCAATCGAAGGATAGCCTTCTCCTGGTCGGTGCTTTTGGAAGCGTGGTTGTTATAAAATAGTCTCAGAAAAAGGGTGGACGTGCGATCGCTTGGGCCACTTCCAAGCTCGCTTCGTGCATTTTCGGCTGTAAGCTCACTGAGGGTCTCAAGCAGAGAAGCCGGGGTCATTTGGGATGCAACAGCTTCTGCGCTGCCAGCAGTTGATGAAGCTCCCATAATAGGAAAGGCAGATCCTAGGTCAGACTCAATGGGACTCATTTCAGGCACTGCGAGTCGTCGCATGGTATGAAAGCTTCTCTTTTGGTTGGGGGAAGATCCGAAGCCATCGGACATAGACCTGGGTGGTGCAGAGTTAGGCTTGGAAGAATCGTTCACTTGAACGTTCTTTCGGCCTTCGCGGGCTAGAGTAGCTTCCCAGAGACCATCTAGATCAACGTCGGCCCGCTTCTCCTCCGTAAAGATCTGGACCACGACGTTAGTTCCAAGCTCGATGCTGCCGAATCCTTCGAAGCCAGCATCGCTAAGCTGTGTCGGAGAAATAGCATCCTTATCCACAACGCCCGCATTGACACAAATCCAGCCCGTGGTTATTCCATCGTCTTTTTCATCGATCATGGCACCTGCGGCGGCGGCAGCGCGCGCCCGCTTGGCTTTGCGGCGGAGTTTGATCTTTAACTCGTTGCGTCCTAGTAGGCCATCTGCATATGGAGACAACTTGTATTGGCTTCGCAGCCAGCGACAAAGGCGATCAGCGGACACATTCAAGTGCTTCACGCTACGGGCAGTTCCAACAATCATGATCACATTGGCACCGAGGGCCGCTGGAATTTCGAGGCCGCGTAGGTCAAACAACTTAAGACTATCAAGACCAAGATCTTTATATGTGTACTCCAGAAGGGTGGAAAGCATCTCTGGGGTGTCGTCTGGGATCTCGGGGAGATGGGCCTCAGTCAACGGACGATCCTCGACCGGTGCCTCCTCCTGCAGGTACCAAGGAACATGCTGAGACGAGGCAGGCGGGTTGCTTTCGGTCTGTGCTGGTGTCTCTTCCGGTTCAGCTATATGGGAATCAATCTTATGCGCAGTTGGAGGACGATCGGATCGCAGTGAGCTTAGCGTGGAGAAAGCTTTAGGGTTGGATATCGAACGGGAGGGAAGAGAGTATCGCGGCAGTCGAATACCGGAGGCGGAGACGAAAGACCGGAGTACCTCATGGCGACACGATTGGCATGCAGCCCCTCGTAGAAGAGCTCTGCTCATGGTGAAAATGTTTGAAACAAGAAAGTGAGGAATCTTGGAAGTCCTGATTTGCTCCGGATGATATCAACGATAGCAGCGCCAAACAGTGCAAACAGCTGACTCATCCAAAAAAAAGATTCTCGGAGGGGCAAAAGTTACAAATCCACGATAACCAGACTCGAGTCCTGGACTCTATACTACGGTCATTTTTTCCTTTTTCTTGATTTAGGCATTCTACTCAAGATGTCGATGGATCTGGATGCCCCCGTCTATATGCAGCAGCAGGAGCAGATTGCAGCAACGTACGTTGTGTTCCCCCGCTAATGCCTGATTAGATGCTAATAATTTGCAGTATTCTTTGCTGCAACTGTGGTGCTCCTATTGACGGAACAACCTCAGCTGGTGCCCTCTGCTCAGATTGTATCCGACTTACTGTCGATGTTTCCCAGGGTATTCAACGTGAAGCCACCCTCCACACTTGCAAGGATTGCGAGAGATGGCTGCAACCCCCCACCAGCTGGGTTGTCGCTGCCCCCGAATCGAAGGAACTCTTGGCTTTGTGTCTGCGCAAGCTGCGTGGTCTCTCCAAAGTCCGCATTATCGACGCCAGTTTCATTTGGACCGAACCCCACTCCCGCCGTATCAAGATGAAGATCACCATCCAACAAGAAGCCTTCCAGGGTACCATTATCCAGCAGACATTTGAGGTGGAATATGTCGTCGCTTCACAGCAGTGTCCTGACTGTCAAAAGTCTTATACCCACAACTCCTGGCGCGCCGCTGTTCAGATTCGTCAGAAGGTCCCCCACAAGCGAACCTTCCTGTACCTCGAGCAGGTCATTCTTAAGCACGGTGCCCACAAGGATACCGTCAACATTAAGGAAGCCAAAGACGGTCTTGACTTCTACTTTGCTCAGAGAAACCATGCTGACAAGATGGTTGAGTTCTTGCAATCAGTGACTCCTTGCAAGTCGAAGAAGTCCCAGGAACTTATTTCGATGGATATTCACACCTCTACCAAGTCGTACAAGTTCACATACTCCGTTGAGTTGATCCCCATTTGCAAGGATGACTTGGTTGCTCTACCACTTAAGTTGGCTCGCTCTCTGGGCAACATCGCTCCTCTGACCCTCTGTCACCGCGTCGGCACTGCCGTCAACCTCATGGACCCCTGCACCCTCCAAACAACCGATGTTCCCACCGGCGTCTACTGGCGTCAGCCTTTCAGGACTCTTGCCGATGTCACCGAACTCAAGGAGTTTATCGTCATGGACATTGAGCCCACCGGTCTGTCCAACGGTCGTTACCTTATGTCCGAGTGCACCGTTGCCCGCGCCTCGGATCTCGGATCTAACGACATCACCTACTTCACCCGGACTCACCTCGGTGGTATCCTGCACGTCGGAGACTCCGTTCTCGGTTACCACCTGACAGGAACCAACTTCAACAATGAGCACTTTGAGGAAATCGAGCGTAGCAACCAATACGGCTCCACAATTCCCGATGTCGTCCTCGTGAAGAAGCACTACGTCCGCAGCAAGAAGTCCAAGAACCGCAGCTGGCGCCTCAAGCGTATGGCCAAGGAATACGAAGACGAGGCCCTCGCTGGCGGCAACGTCCCCACTAGCAAGCGCCAGGAGCAAGAGCAGAACCGTATGGAGCAGGACTACGAGATGTTCTTGCGTGATGTCGAAGAGGACCAGGAGCTGCGTCACACCCTTGACCTGTACAAGGTCCGTCAACAGCAAGCCCAGCCCGACCAAATGGAGGTGCAGATGGCCGAGAACGATGATGTGGATGAGGAAGCCGAGACCGTTCCTAAGATTAACATGGACGAGCTCCTCGATGACTTTGACGACATGAACATGGACGACAATGAATAAGCTCTTGCAGCTTTCTGCGTGTGATATCCTTGACGATCATGGCACTGGCCGGCGTTTCTGTTTTGTTTCTGGGTCTTTCAATCCAATCAAAAAAAAGTTCCTTATTTTCAAATAGATACATGCAATGTACAGCATGCGGATGCAATTTACAACCTCCGAAAAAAGAACATCGGTTATTTAACAATCCGAAAGTAGACCAGCCTGGAAACTAAAAAATCTTCCCAAGCACCCTCTTAGTATCATCAGCAACAGCCCCCTCCTTACTCCCCTGGACAACCTCACTCTGCTGGAAGCGTCGTCGAACAGGCTGAGCAATTTTCTTCTGCGAAACCTCTGTTACCTCATCCTTCTTTGCACTCTCCTCCAACCTCCTCCTAGCCTTCTCCTCATTCTTCCTCGCCATACCATCAGCAACACGCCCACTCTCAACACCAGCAACAAACATTTTCTCCTCCTTCTTCGCACGCGAATCCTCAATCCGCTGCCTAGCCTCACGCTCACTTCTCTCACGCTGAACCTGCTCCATCAAATCCGCCCACTTAAATCCACGCAGGTATTTCATATTCCACACATCATCATGGTACCACCCACCCTTCTTTCCACCGACAATATGCGCATTCAGCGTCTCGGCGCAGATCTTGGCCGTCTTCTTCGAGGCGAATTCAACCCACCCGTCCGTGTAGGTCTTGCGCTTGTTGCTTTTGCGCCGGTTTCCGGCTGCTGAGGGGAGAAGCGGCGCGAGGAAGATCTTCGTGATTGGTTCAAAGCCGCGTTGTTCTAGCATGCCTTTCAGTGCGAAAGGTTTCAGGTATGGTGGCAGGGAGGAGAGGTAGATAACGCCCGTTTTGTTTTTCTTAGGTGGTTTTCCGTTGGCCAGTTTGGGCTTCTTTTCGGTTGGCTGGAGGGCTTTTGTGCGGGCGATTTTTGCGGCGGCTTCTAGGAATGCGCTGTCTTGGTCTGCTTCGTCGTCGTTGGAGTCTTCTTCGTCATTCTCGGCGTCTTGTTTGGTCTTTGCTTGCTTGCGGCTCTTGCCCTTTCCTTTGCCGCGAGTTTGTTCTTCTTCTAAATCTTCGTTGGAGTCATCTTCGTCTGATTCTACTCCGAAGAAGTCTTGTGTCTCGGCTGTTCGTCGCCGCTTCACGGCTCTGCCTTTGCTCTCTGCCACATTGGCTTCGGAGTCGTAGCCTCGATCGCTGGTCTCATCATCGCTGGCTGCAGTGTCCAGGAATTCGTTGTGCGTGCGGGTCGTCATTTTGTAGATTTGAGAGAATGTAGAAACAGTTGTGAGAGGCGGAAGTCTCCAACTTTTTTTTTTAATACGGGTGGCCCGTGCGCCCGCGGGACTATACAGCCAAATTCAATGCTGAGAATTTATAGAGATCAGAAGAGTAAGATTTATTGAAGTGACTTGACATAGTAAATTGTATATATGACTTCTAGTATATCTTTGAAGCAAGCTGCTCAAGCTTCTAATGCAATGAAAAAACCCCCCCTCCCAAGGTATCCACGAAACGCCAACAGGAATTGGTAGTGGTCGAGGACTATCCATCCCCGAATCTCACGATGTATGTTCAGAACATAGAAAAAGGTAAGTGATCAAGAAGTGGGAGGCTTCTAAATGCCCAGTGACCACTTCAACCGCTCATAAACAAAGAAACTGGTAGCAACCATGGGAATAACCTTGATATATCCAATAGTCAACCCAACCCAGAAACCACGGAATCCCCTCTCGAGCCAGATAGTACGAGCAGTCTCGGCAATTCCAATGCGATGTCCGTCACCAACTGCACCGCTCACTTGCATGCGTCGGCGGAGGACCTCGAGCGGATATGAAGATGTTTGCGAGACCATACCGGCAAGCGCGCCGGATGATAATTCTGCAACAGCCGTGAGCTGGGGACCCTTGTCAGATCTCTTAGACGTTGAACCAGGAATGGTAGTATATTTCGCAACAGCAGGGAGACGTAACCAGTCGCCAACGGTGTCATGCGTGAGGAACGACATTCCAGCGTAAGGAAGCATTCCAAGGATCGTAGGGGAAAAGCCGCGGTAGAAATTGGCCAGTCCAGAGCGCGGCACGACCTTGTTCACAGCCGAGGAAGCACTTTCAGCAGCAGTGACGGTCGAAGATTCAGCCGCGGCAGCGGAGCCTGTTGACGGGGTCCGCGCGCGCTCATTGTAGATCTGGCGGCAGACGTCTGTCAAGGAAGAGCGGGAAGACTGTTTCGTTTCGAAGGCCATTCGCACACGAAGAAGTTCTAAAGGGTATGTGAAGAAGACGGATGTGATTCCGGCCATGCTGCCTGATGCCAGTCGGCGGAATACAGTCTCTTTATCCCGTGACGGGATTACAACTGCGCGGATCTGTTCGTATGCGAGGAATTTAATGGCGGCGTAGGGGAAGATTCGGATGAGAGTTGCGGAGTGGCCTTTGTATAAGCCCATTGCGCCTTCTGAGCGCTTGATGTCTCTGATGGCTGCGGAAAGACCATACCAGCTGCCTGTGTATTTTGCGAATTGCGGGTTTGAGGCTTGGAATAGGATCTTGACGCGGTCTAGGGGTGCCACGACGGTTTTGGCCTTGATTTTCCACCGATGTCAGTATATAAATATCGCATCTGGGTCTTCTTCGTTTGCGCACTTACCGCACACCCCGCCAGTCCTCCTGCTAACCCAGTTCTCGAGATGTAATCCAAGCTCTGCTTCTGTGGAGGTTTTGTTTCGCCATTCTGCTGGTCTGCTACAGTAGTTCTTGAGACCATGGGGGCTTTTGCGCTGCTCGTCATCGCGCTCGGCGATCTCGAGTGTGAAATTTCGCTCATCGGAGCAGACTGTGGCGTGGAGTCTGGGGTGTGAGGTGGGTTTCTTGATTGTGTGTTGCTGCGGTCGTGATTGACATGGCCCGAATAACCAGTCGACATGGGAAGAAAGGGCGAACAGCCGAGGCCGGGGGAAATATCTGGGGCAATAACCGTATCCCCTCGTGATCAGTTCGGCGATAATCAGGAAGAAAAGTCTCGGGCTACCGGATGATCTTCGGGACCTTTCAATCGGGCAGGGCAAGGGTTCTTGGTGTCTCAGGTGGTATATACGATGAGAGGGAATATGCAAAGTATGCAATGAGCAGTGTATGAGAGAAGAGACAATTGTGTGTTCTCGTTCACTGACGTATTTTGGCTGGCGAAGTTCGGAGTGTACGGACTGACATGCCGATACCAGCCGCCCCCCGCAAATAACCGGCGGATTACCATACCGATACCGAGTGGCGGGTCAGCGAGTCCCGAGAAGCCGAATTGTCATCCGCTTTTCTTTACACCATACTCTATAGGTACTCTACTCTTAGTTATCATGATAGAATATTCACTCTAGTGCATTTCTAAAACACCTAACTCCCTCCATGCTCGAAATGTGAGGATAATAGAATGGAAATAATACAAAGAATATCGTGGTCGCGTGACAAGTGAGGAATCAACGGTTGCGCCGGGAGCTCTGTCGAGTCAAGGTCTTCTTGGTGTCCTTGTTCTCCCTGGTGTCATCGGAGACTCGCTTGGTGCGCTTGGCAGGCCGGTCAGGGTCAACATGGAGATGGCCGTTCTCAGACAGCGCGGTGTTGTTCTTCCAGTGCAGACAACGGAGACCGTGTGCGTTCACATCCATATAGGTCTTGGTGCGGGTGGTCACACGCTTAGCTGGAATATCCTCCGACTCAGCTCTCTCTGCCCTCTGGCTCAGGTACGCCTGGCGGTTATTCATGTACTTGGCGATATAGTCCTGTTGTTGCAGGAGCTCCTTCAAGAGCTTGGACTCTCGGTTGCCGCGCGGGTCTAGCCATTCCGTAAGCTGTCCAATGGCATCTGGCTCCTCGTAGTAACCCCATTCACGGGCATTTGATAAATGAGTAGGTCCCTCCTCATGCTTCTTGCGCTCCGCTGGGGTGGTTCCGAAGTGCCTGTAGTATTGCTTGCGCTGTTCCTCAGTTACATCGATGAAGCCGGCGTGCTCCATTTCATCCGGGCCTTGTACCCACAGACGACCATTAGCGTATAGTGCCTCGGCAGTCGAACTCTCCGGCATGCCCTCGTAAGGCATGGCGTTCCGCTCAAACCACCAGTAGCGGTTGCAGAAACGGTCTTGTCCAAGGCATCGGGTTCGGGGGCAATCAGCCTCGCGGAGGTTGTGTTCGACTGTCTCGATCTGATCATGGAGCTTGTCGACCTTGGCCTTCTGGTCATCGATCTTCTTCAGGACTCGTTGGTATTGTTTCGATCCCTTTGGCTGTTTCGCAAGCTGTTCCTTTCGCTCTTTCTCTAGCTCTTGCTTGCGCTTGCGCTCGAGGGCACGATCGGGTCCTCCTCGAAGAGAGCGTGGCCGAGGGGTATCTTCGTCTTCAGTGTCGACAGGCATTTCGGAATCGCCTTCCAGGCCAGTCATCCTGGAATCATCAAGCCCATCCAGTTCGGGAACTGGTGTGGGTGACTTTCCGTTCTTCTCGGGCTCGGGTTGAACGGCCTTACGCTCCTGGTGAAGTTGTCGTAGCTCGATAAGTCTAAAAGATTTGTTAGTGGTTGCTAGTGTCGCAATAGGGAAATACAACTTACGCTGCTTTGCGCGCCTTCTGGTACTCGATCTTTTCCTTGCGCAACTCGGTCATCTGGTTACTGCACTCCTCGAGATAGTTACGGATCGCCTTGGTTTCCAGACTGAGCAGACAAATGATCTGCAAAGCCTTGGTGCGCATGTTGATGTCCAGAGTGCGGTATTGCTCCAGTGCGGTGTACTGGGTAGGCTCGGCATCAAGAGGAGCCAGGTGTTTGAGGATATCGTTGCAAGTCCGTTCTGACCGGGGACGGGCTGACATCTGGTGCAACAGACCAATCATCACCATCTGCCATCCACCATTGCGGAAATCGCGTTTGCGAAGGCGCTCGATCCACCCGTACTTCTCGAACATCTCGGCAGCGCGGTGAATCTTTGTTTCGTCTTCATCGTCTTCTTCAACGACTTGCGATTTGATTGTCTGTGCCTCTTCCATGGCCAGGCTTCGTCTGGTGGTCATTCTACCGGGCTTGTCTGCCGGCTTAGGGGGTTCTTCCTCATCCTCCTCGTCGTCCTCCTCTTCGGACTCATCTGAGTCCTCAACTGGGAAGTCGGGAAGTGATACTTGAACAGCACCACCCTCGTGGCCCGTCGCATTGACCAGCTTCTTGAGAACGGCACAATGGATCTCCACGAACATCTCGCAGTCCATCTCTTCTGACGAGAATCGCATAGCTTGGACGAAGTCGTCAAAAGTGAAGGAATCTAGTTCGAACACCTCGCAGTAAACGTTAAGCGTATTCCAGGTCTCCAGAAGCAATCCCACCGTTTCGGGCTCAAGATCATCAGGCAGGAGGTCTTCACTTCCGTCGTCTTCGGACTCGCCCACCATTAAGAACTTCAGGGTAGGGCGATGTGGCCTCTCCTGATTAGGAGCAAGATCCAAATCTTCGATAGGATACTTGATTGGTGGTGGGGTGGGCGGTCTTGATTCATTTTTGACGACAACGTAAGGGCTCCCACCTGCAGAAAACTTCCGATCGCCAACCAGTGGCGGCTTTGTGGGACGCAAGGGATTAGAGGGGAGCAGGAATGATGGATTGCCATTCAGTGATCGCTGGTACTCCTGATACTGTGCCTCTCTTGACTTCGCCATGTCGTGCGGTGTCAACTTCGATTTCTGTCCCTTCGTGGCTGGTTTCAGTTCAGGAAGTTGTTGAGAAGAGAAAAAACCGAAGAACCCGTCTTGGTCTGCCTTCTTCATTGCCTTCTTCTCTGCCACCTTGGCGCCGTACTGAAGATGCTTGGGTACCTCGATTGGGATTTTGTACTCCTCGGCAACAGAGGGCTTGACCAACCAAGGAGCACCGGTCCATGACTCCCTGGTGACATTATTTTTAATAAAACCGCGCAGCATCAACTTAGTAAAGGCCTTTCGGTCGCGTGTAATGTGGTCCTGGTCCAGCAGGGCCTCCTCATTTTGCCGGTCTAGGATCTTGACCAGATAACGGGCGAAAGCAGGCGTTTTAATGGTTCCGTCGGCAAATAGCTGCTCGGCGAAGTTGGCCTTGTCTCGAATAGTACCATGAAGTCGAGTGCTATCCTCCAGCAAAATTAGAACGGCCTCACCGGGATAAAAGTCTGATTTGAATTCCTGGATCTGTTAGAATATGGGGCGAAGCAACAAAAGCATTTGAAATCTTACTTCGTAAATCTCGTCCACTTGAATTAAGAGTTAGCTTGAATTCATCAAACAAAATAGGAATTCCATACCAAGACTGTCCACCCTTGAGACTGTGGAAAATTGGATTCGGCGGAGAATAGGTTCTCTCAGCGCATCCGGGAAACTATTGTTCACTTCACGCGATTCCTCAGTCTAACATGATATCAGCGCTTGCCTCACTCAGAGTCCAGATCATAATGTACCTCACTCCGCAGTGCCTCGAAGAATGTCAAGCCCGAGTGACCGGTGATCTCGCAAATGAATCGGCGCTGCTTGTAGAAATCCATTCGCTGTAGGTAGGGCTCGTAGGTGGTAAAGACCTCGTTGGTCTCCGGGATGACCCAAACCTGAAAGGAGAGCTGAGGTCAGTGGGTGGTGATACACAGGTGTCGAAGGTGCATACCTCGGAGCTGTCATCCTCAATGACGGTTGGTGGGAGGTATTGAACCGGTTTGCGTTTGAAGAGCACCTAATCAAATGATTGTATAAGCCTCTGTATTCCGCAACATCCATCACATTTCTCCGTGCCGTCTTCGCAGCCGTTCCATCCGATAAGGTGTCGCATACCATGATCTTCTAAAGCTTGCGTGCGGACGCGCCAATCGACCAAAAACTATCGTCAACGGGGTCAATCATGAACGGACTAGATAAAACGCGGCCCTTGTCAGCGGATGCAGCTCATTAAAGAATTGCGGAGGTGGAGGTGAACACCGCGTCAAGCCCGAAATTGGCGCGAAGGGAACGGCAGTCGCTGCGAGGACAGCAGAGACCCCAGCAGATATGGTCTGAGTCGATGGTTCATGGGGAGGTGGCCGTCATGATCAGGCCTGGTCGCAGCCACAGATCGCGCGAATGGGCCATGCGTCGGGGAAATCAACGGACTTACCGAAGTAGAACGCGTCCAATATAGTATTACGGTGAGGGAAGCAATGAGGTGGGTGGTTCGTGGGGATCCAGGGGGGGAGGAGATTGAAGGAGAGAAGAAGTAAGAAAGAAAGAAAGGCATAAAAGAAGCGGTAGATCGTTGCAGGACCGCGTCTGGGACTCTGATTGGCCGAAACGAGGAGCCCGCGGGAGAAGCAAAGACAAAACTCTCGGGACCTTCGACCCTTCTCCTCTGCTATCTGCTCTCTACCCTCTTCAACTGGTAATTTCCACCGCCAAATGAGACTTTATTTACACTCATTCGACTCGTCTGATCTAGCAGAATTTGTCTATCGTATTTATAGCTTAGTTTTACGATGTAGCTCCATGTTTACTACACGATTATCAATTTCTACTCTCGGTCACCTCCCGGTCCAGATCGGAGCATTGGCAATTTGTACTATGAACACCATAGTAAGGCCTATACATCGCTCTGGTGAAATAACATTTAGGCTTCAATGACTTGAGAGTATATTTAGAGATGTATCACCACATCTAAACATTACTATATCTATTCTAGGCGCTTTTGTTTGAGAACACCTATCACCTCCAACCTTGGCTTTGTTCCCAAACAGATTACAACCCCTGTTAACTACTTTGACATTCAGCTTTTCTCCATAAACATAATAAATATATTCTTTAATCAGTCATTTTCAGTAGAGTATTAGAGGGTTAGTAGTCATTTCCAACAGTTCCGGTATCCAAAGCCTTACACTACCAGGGGCCATATTACTTGACCTTCACCCACGAATAATAGATGCACTGTCTATGCTAGGATAGAAGATTATTTACGGCTTAACTGAAGCATCGTTACTTTTTTAGAAATGACTAGATACAGGTATCAAACGTAGGGCTATCAAAGGGCTTTGTATACAGCTCTTGCATGCTACATTGCTCTGCATTTCGATTATTTGTAGCTTGTGTCTATTCAGAAGTATCCACAGACTTTTACTTATGCATAGACTCAGTTATGAGCAAATCATACATAGCTGATCTGGAAAAATGAATGTCGCCACAGGTGCAAAGATGCAATAGCGACTTAGACATCAGCCCAGATAGGCTAGAAAATCGACACTCGTCCGTGTCTCAGTCAGTATAAGTATAAGTTACACGATCACTGTTGCGATCCATTGGTCATGGTGTTCTTTTGCTGGGCTGGTGTTCCATATGTTTGCACAGCAATTGCCATCGTCGGGGCTTTGAGACTTTGGATATATGCCGCTTGGATCTATGGCTATCTTGTAGCACCCGGTACCTGCCTATATGTATGTATGTCCAGCTTACTGTATACAAGGGCTTACTTATTTACATTTTCAATGCAAGGATCCGCTGTGCGACGTTCTGTAAGCTATCGGATAGACGCGTTAACCGTTACTATTCACACTCGACGTGTTCAGTTATATGTTCATGGCATGAATGTGTCAGATTACTACTGTCTAGATATATTGTCCAAATGCCGTGAGAATTTTTCAATTTTCATCAAACTTCCAAGGTAAAGGTACGTTATGGCCAATATATATAGCGGGTCTCTCCTTTACCACAAATATATCCAAATTACCATGACAGAAGATAATTGTACCAGATATATCGGTAGTAGAAAGGAATATAACACGAAAATCAAAGCAAAACGGAAATGTCCCCGTGTTTCCATTCCGGCTGCATTTGCAGGCCAACCATGGATGAGTTGAGGCTAACCCAATGAGGCTAGTGCGGGAATAGACTCCTGTGATCTGTGGGTCAGATCCACGTGGACACAAACAGTGCAAACTCTTACATCATTTCCCTCGCCTAACAAAGTCACCGCACAGCATGCATACTATACTTGTTCTAAATAAAAAGATATCTGTGTCTATTTTTGATAGCACACTCTATGTTGTGAAATACACCACCATGAATCCCACCCAGCTCCCAACAACTCCAAGTGCTGAATAACTGCTCATGAACATCAATGGCAGGAACTCGAGTCTCTCCCAGCCGAAAATCAATTGGTGACCGAGGGAGCAATACACAATCAGAGGGATGGATATAGTCAGGTAAAGGAGTGCCAGTCGATCAAACACGAAGATACGGGGCCGTTCAGGGACGGGCGCGACTTGGTCAAAGACGAAGAGGAATAGCACCAGCCACAGCACCGTGTAAACGGTCTTCAAGGGGGAACTCGGCTGCCGTGAATAGCAGCGGGAAGAGTGAGACATGTCCAGCAACTGCCAGAGGCCGGAAGGCACTGAAGTAGCGACGGTCCTTGAGTGCGATGAGGCTGAAGGGGATGATGATTAGGAGAATGGCCTTTTCGTGTACATGCCAGCCGAATAGGAAGGATGCGTAGCCACAGAGTGTGATTGCTCCGACGAAAGTATCCCAGTCCGGACGGAACCAGAGCTTAACTAGGGGGATCTAGAAAGTTGTCAGTGTGGGTCTATCACACAGAGATCGAATTCTTTACCAGTTGGAATAAGAAGGTTAGCAAGAAGGTATGCTCCTTGGTAACCTCGGGAAGGATGGCAAAGGAAGTATCTCCCACAAGCCCTCGTGTAACGCTGTTCAATGCGTCGGTGTTCACGGGGAGACCCAGTCTTGGAGCAACTGTGGAAATGTCAGATCTAACCACCATACAACCGAACAGGAACAGAAGAATACTCACGTGGAATCAAAGCTCGATCAGAAAACGAGTACATTGCCCAAATATTCGGTGCCCAATAGGCATGGCAAAGACCCCGGGAGAATGGGAAAAGCCTATCCTTAAGCTGCAGCAACTGACCCCATTGCGCGAAAGGACCAAAAGCAATCGCAAACACACCAACCACACATACTCCAAGCTTGATAATGTTTCCAAAACGAGGGCGCAATACTGATCTAGGATCCAGACAGTAGGCGCGCAGGAGGTAGACGAAGTATGCAAGGGCAAGGTAGAGATAGATGTGCTTCATGCACAACAGGACCGCGAACAGGATCCCACTGTAAAGAAGAGTCGATTGTTTGCGGGCCAGGACAATTGACATAATCAAAAGACCGTACATGAATCCATTGTATTGGAAATGGATGTGGTCGATTATGAAGAGGCCCGGAGATAGCAGAATGGAAAGACTAGCCACATGTGCAGCCTGCTTGTTCGGCAAAGGGACGGATTTGACGAATCTAGATTATGCTGCAATCAGTATCTTGTATTGCATAACCTTGGGAAGGAAGCATATTTTACCGACTCAACGCGTATACAAGAACAAATTCTGTCAGAATGACAGTTGCTCTCTGGAAGTACACGGTCTGCCACGAATCATAGCCCAGGTTCTTCACGACCAACATCGCAGGGTCCACATATGCGGCTGCTTGCGACATCAACCATTCAAAGGCCGCAAAGAACGGCGGGTAATCGAGTGTCCATTCCGAGGATTTCTAAACCAGCCCCAGTCAGCGCCCACACTCGACCAGCATGCGTTCGAAAGAACCCACCTCGTAGTACCATTCTTGAATCGGAAGGGAGTGGGTAATGGCGAGCCAGTTCCGATGAACCTCAAAGTCCGTGGACTTACTATAATCAACAGAAAAATATCAATTAGCTCAACACGAACACTCAAACTGCGGCGAGACGGCGGGACTCACTATGCGGGGAAAAGCAGAACCTTGAACGCAGCAGCAACGATGGCGCATTGCGTCAGCGTGGGATATAGTTCAGTCATTGGAGCTATTGCGCATAATAATGCGACAAAGCTGGGAACCGACAGAGAACGGACGCGCAAAGGGCAAAGTTTGAAGCTCCCTCCGCATATTGCACGTGACCTGATGCGGAGGTCAAATCAAAAGGGAAACAGAAGGACAGATATCAATACTCTGCGACACCGAGAACACTTTCCGCATGGACTTCACGGACGTCGGAATCCGCCATACCCTTCTCAACAGTGTACAGCTTCATCATTTCTTTGATTTCTCGCCGTCCGCTGCTGCCATTGCTAAGGAGGCTCGTTTCTGCGTTATTGCCGTTGTTGTTGGCTGGATCACCACTCGTGTTGTCTCCAGTATTTGCGATCGAGGACGAAAGTGTGACTGCGATAAAGGTCATTGAGAGATTTCTACGATTGAATAATTGCTATTTGAAGCTTCTGGAAGCTATCGAACCGATATAGGTCTCCGTGTCAATCCACACAACATGATGAGAACTTTAGCTTCATTGGTATTGTTTGCCGCAGGAGCCACGGCTCAGGTTGTTGAAAGCTCAAGCTTTGGTACCGGTAAAACGTTAGTCTCCAGGGGTTGCGTGGCCTTCAGGCACACTGACCTCAAACAGGATATCACCAAACCGAGATTCCATTCCAGGATGGGCAATTGGAGGCGAGGGACATGATCCTTCTCTTGTAAGTGGCACCATGAGACGTTGATTTGGCTGGTCTAACAGTCAAGCAGTTGTCGGACAAGCTCATCCTAACACCTCCTTACCCGGGTAACACGCGGGGATCTGTTTGGGCACAAAGCCCGTAAGTCAATCTCTGGAATCCAAACGAGGACTAAGCTCTAATATTTTGACAGAGTCTCTCAATCGGAATGGTCTGCAGAGTTCCAATTCCGCGCGAGTGGCCCGGAACGCGCAGGCGGTATTCTTCAATTGTGGTATACCAAGGATGGGCAGGCCCGCATTGGTACTTCCAGTATCTACACTGTCGGCCAGTTCGACGGATTCGCGCTCGTCATTGATAATCACGGCGGAAGAGTAGGTTACTCCTGATGTCCGCATATTGAAAAGGAACTAATCTCCTCGCAGGGTGGAAGCATTCGTGGTTTCTTGAACGACGGAACAACCGACTATAAGAGCCAGAACAGCCCCGATAGCTTGGCCTTTGGCCATTGCGACTATTCTTACCGCAACCTAGGCCGTCCTTCAGTTGTCAAGCTAAAGTCCACCAGCTCAATCTTCGAGGTCACCATCGATGACAAGCCCTGCTTCTCGACCAACAAGGTATGCTATATCCAATATAACCCTTTTATACAAGACCGATGTATAACAACAACCCAAATAGATTACCCTGCCAGCCGGAAACACCTTCGGTATAACAGCCGCGACTCCCGAGAACCCAGACTCATTTGAAATCTTCAAGTTCATCCTCGAGTCCGCCTCTGGGGGCCAAACGATCCCCTCTAACCAGGGAAGCGTGCCCCAGCAGGCCCAGCAGCCCATTGTGAACCAGAACCCACCCGTAGTTCAGGGCGGAGGTAGCCCGGCGACCGACTCCGGCCTGGCCGCGCAGTTCGTCGACCTCAGCGGCCGCCTCCAGCTCACAAACAAGGCTACCAACACCATCCTCCAAGATCTCAAGAACCAGGCATCCAAGGGTGATGCCCGCCACACGGAGTTGCTCCAGAAACTGGCATCCCAGGACCAGATCGCTGCCATCCTCGACGCGAGACTCGCCCGTATGGAGCAGCTGCTCCAGAATATCCAACGTGATGTCGAGGGCAAAGATTATAGCAGTCGGTTTAACCAGCTGCATGAGACTTTGCGCTCTTCTCACCTGAGCCTGAGTGAGAACCTGCAAGGTCACTTGTTGAGTGGTGAGTCCATCCCTATCATCCTTGTCTCTCTTTCTATTTCCATGAATGGAGACATTGAATCCCCATCCATCCTTTCTTTCTTTCTTTCTTTCTTTCTTTCTTTCTTTCTTTCTTTCTTTCTTTCTTTCTTTCTTTCTTTCTTTCTTTCTTTCTTTCTTTCTTTCTTTCTTTCAATTGGCTAACCCATTTCTTCCCCAAAATAGTGATCACCGCCTCATCCCCTCGCATGGGCTTCTTCCTGTTCATGTTGATTGCGTTCCAGATCCTCCTTGCAGTATCCTACGTCATCTACAAGCGTCGCCGAGCCAACATGCCCAAGAAGTTCCTCTAAACGCCCTTCCTGCCCTTCGCACCATGCGTATCCCAGTACGCATGGATCCGACTTCTCGGACCTAGATGCTGGGTCTTACTCGGAGGGAGAAATTTATAACTTTCTCGAGTGTGTTCTTTCTATGCGAGCGCTGGTCTGCTGTTTCTTCATTCATGTAGAGTACGAAATGCCATTACGTTTACGCGAACTTGTGCCTGTCGCAAAGATTCCTGTTAAATTTACTGTTACTGCTATTGCTAATGACACAAAGGAGAAAGAAAAGTTTAGGTAATGGCGAATATCCATTTGGCCTTTGGCCCATGCTATCGTACACTTCTTCGAGCTGCCCGCCCCGTAAACAATCCTAAGACAACAAGTAAAAAAAAGCAAAGTAAAACAACATTGAGAGAAAAAAAACAGACTCGAAAAAGAAACAGAGAAAAAAAAAGCAAAAAAAACCGAGGTCGGGCAGCTCGAAGATTTAAATTCGAGTAATTTGTTGGAACGATCGCAATGATGAGAGCGATCATGAGGAATAGATCAAAAACGCCGGGTGTCCTTGATGCGAGCGTTGAAACAAATGAGAGAGAGAGGAACAGAACACAAAAAAAGACGACGCCGAGATGGAGGGTAAAAAATATGAAAATGAGAACTTTTTTTACTCGGTGTCCGAGGTGTGCAGACGCTTCTGCGCCGGTTCCTCGATGACATCTTGGTCCTTGTCGTCGGCGCGGGATCGCTTGTTGCGATTGAACATTGCGGAGGTGAAGACTGGGATCCGGGGTAAGATATCGGAGTCGGCGTACTCTGACTGCTGGGATGCATGGGAGGTGGCGTTGGGGCTTTGGGGGCCATTCAGTGGGGGAGGGGAGGTGACATGAGAAGATTCGATGGCGATGCCTTCATCGACGCGAGAGCCGGCCTTTGGCGAGGTGAGATCGACCGTGTGGCTTTCGTGGCTTTCGCTCGAAGCTTGGGGCTCAGCTCGGGAGAGGCTGAGGAGGACAGAGGCAGCGTCGAAGTCAGCGGTGGAGACTGGGGCCCCGGAGATCATTCCGCGGACGGAAGATGAGATTTGCTGCTTCAGGTCGGGGGGCAGGTTGGTCATGGACTGGGCGTCGGATGCTCCGGTCAAACCATGACGGGTGAAGTAGTCTTCGGCAATTTTCTTGCTCAGGTCCAGGCACTTCTGCTCAACGTTGTTGGCATACTTGGTTTGACGTTCGAAATTGTCATCTTTGACAGTACTGATGAAGTTGAGGACGACGTCGCCGGCACAGAAACGAGCACGACGTTCTTTCCAGTCGTCATCGAAAATACTTTGGTTGGGGTCATCAGGGAGGCGAATGTCACAATCAATGAACTTCATGTTCTTGGAACGGCGCACACGACGGAAGCGCGAGATTCCATCGACCTCTTTGGTGGCAATCATATCCTCAGGAGTAACATGGTTGGGACACATCCACCCGACTTTGGGGTTAGGGGGATGTGCGCGGGGTGGATCAAGACAATCCAAATGAAACCGACAAGGGCAATAATCACAGGTGATAATGGGGCGAGTATTACCTGAGGTAAAACTACACTTGGAGCAGCGGATGAGATCTCCCTTCGCGTCGGTTTCACGCAGGAGTTGCGGGTTCGCGTAGATGGTAGGGCCATCTTGCTTGGGAGCTTTAGTCAGCCGCGGCAGGTGGGGCGCAGGCTTGTAGTAGCGCTGGTGCTTCGGGTTGCGGGCATAGTCGCGATCGAACACGATTCCCTCTTGCACGCCCTCGAATGTGTCTTTGATGGACTGGGGCACTTGGAACTCGGTCTTTTTGAAGTGCTTGGAGTGCGCAATCAAAGTTGAAAAACTGTTGCGAATCGAGCACTTGGGGCAGTGCCACTCGCCCTGGGGAGGATTCTTGGGATCCAAGGGAGGATCTAGGCAGTGGAAGTGGAATGCATTGTCGCATGTGTCGCAGCAGAGCAACTCGCCGCCCTTTCCACAGTGGTGGCAGTTGTCACTATTCTCAGGGGGCTCACTAGGATTCATGTTAGCAAGTGGAACGGGAGAGGGAAGAGCAACGCGTAGAAAACACGTCAAACAAATCAAACACGTACATGGAATTCGGCATGCAGCGCGGTTCGTGGTCGGCAGCCCAGTCATTGAAACGCATGGAATAAACGGAGTTGGAAAGTGAGGAAAGGCTGGAGACGGTCGTGTCAACAGAGAGCGACCGTGCGCGCTGCGTATCATCGGGGAGAGTTTTCTTCAGGCTCTGGCGTCGTGATTTAGTCAACTTAATCAAACGAGAATTGCCAGAAGACACGATAGAGGGCGCCTTTATCTTCTCTCCATGAAGAGGCAAGTCGAGAATTGATCCTCCGCCAGCGCGGACGGGGAGGGATCGAGAACGGTGGATTTCAGGTGTATCATCAAATGTGTAGGGATGCTCAATGGCATCTGGGGGTCCCCGTTCATCGCGGCATGCGCTGTATTGGACGACTGGAGCATTATCATGGATGTTGTGCCCTTCGTATTCACGGCGCTTGGCCCGCAGGTTTTCTTCCAGGTCGGGATCTGCTTCCCATCCGCGCTTGCGCCTGAAAGTTTTCTCGTTGACTGGGCATGCTTTCTTGGGCCGCTTAAGCGGCGCAGTGTTGGTCTTGCCGCTCGCAAACAGTTCCTCAGGCCGGGCACCACTCGTATCGCGATACATGTCGGAGATTTTGAAAGATGGTCCTTGCTCAACGGACTTGACAGATGACAAGCTTGACTCTTCGTCGTCCCCGGAGGGCATGTCAGGGAGACGTGCAACGCCGGTGTCGACGTAGGTCTGATACCACTTGCGCGCATCTTCGTAGGAGCCATTGAGAATGCTGAGAAAAGCTAGACGCAGCTCGTCATTGGCTATCTCGCCACCTCCCAAGTTGGCAATCAAAGAGAGACGAAAGTCATCCTCGATGGCATTGGACCAGAAGTAGAGAAGCGCGAGAGCGGATTGGGCGTGGCCGCCTGCAATTGCATGGTTGACGGCGATCTTCACGGTGTACTTGAGTTTTGGGAGGTTGAACTTGTCGGAGGTAGGAAGAGGAAGGGAGTCCAGGACGGTTATGAAGTCGGAGTTGTTCGTGCTGGGATCGGGAGGAGAAAATGCGGGACCGAGATCGTTGGCCGGAGGTGCGAGATCTGCGGCGACTGCGATGTCTGCTTCTTCGACGGTATCTTCTGCAGGGCTCTTGTCTACTATCGGGGTCTCTGCCCCGCTGAGCTCGCGCTCAGTTTCGCGGGCATCTGGTACTGTCGCGACGCGCTGAGTCGACGGCGGCGTAACGCCAGCACCGCGGTATTCCGCGGCCGATGGGTATTCCCCAATCGGCTTCATTGTTGACACCTGCGGCTTGGGCTTCGAAGTGCCCGGGGGCTTCTTCTGAAGCTTCCGACGTTTCGGTTGCGAAGAGGCCTGTCGACCGGACGGAGTGGGCCCCGTAGGGGCAGGCGGAAGGGGCCTGTGCTAGGGTTAGTGCCACGCGCTTCATGCCCTAACTGTCTTTGGTTCAACGTACTGTGATGTGCTCTCCGGAGTTGGAGTGGCAGAAGCTGTAGCAATTTAATATTAGTATCAAGCATTTTAATATGGTCAGAAATGAAATGAAAAAAAAGAAGCGACGAAAAAAAAGTGCTCAAAGTGATGTCCGATTGTACTTGGGGAGGCCATGACTTGGTCTGCCTCAGAAGCAACCAGAGCAGGACCCAACAAGCATGAGACTGAGAGCCTGGGATCTCGATCGGACGGTATGATGGAGATGTGTAGATGAAAGCCGTGGGAAAGGGAAGGAAGATGGTTCAATCAGACGTTGGCAAAGGCTGGGGAGGTGGGCAATGATATGAAGAGAAGGTAGAGAGGGAGAAGACAAGGTCATAGGGAGGGGATAAATGAGTAAGAGATACATGGGCAAGATGTGGCAGACTCCGAAGGGTTACGGAAGTTGGTCTGGAGACAAAAGGTGAAGGGACTGGACAAACAACCACTTACCTCGTGCGCGAATGCGCTTCGAAAAGCGACGGACGGTGTCCATCTTGGCAGTGTGAATAGAATTATTAGCAAAGGAACAGTAGCAAGAGAAAGCAAAGAGAATAGAGGGTGTGGACAAAAAGAGGAAAAGGTGTTGGAAAGAGACGAGGAGAAGAGAAGAGGAAGAAGATGATGAAGAAAAGAGAAAGGTAGGAAACACCTCGTGCGCGACAGATCTGTGTTTCCCTTTGGGGAACGACAATAGAACTCTGTGCGTTCTAGATTGGGTCTCTACCTTGAGGTGCTTGTGACTTCAGGTGCCCTTCAACAACAATAGGAACACACTGCCTTTAGCTTATTGGCAGTCTCTACGTGGTTGATATTGTTGTTTGGGCTTCGAGACTCATGAGTAGTTCTGCCTGTCCGTCAATAGCTTAGGGCTCGCGGCAGTTTACTGTCTTTTCTACTTGATATGGCTTCCACCTGACATGGCACAACTATCGTGTGATGTTATTGACATATACCATTGATTCCTGAACTTGAGAAGCAAGGACCTGAATAGATAGCTTGAGCTACATAGTGCACACAGAGACAACAGGAGCTGCGTAATAAGGCCTGTCACAGCTGATTTCTGTCAAGCACGCTTGCAAGTAGGCAGAGGCAATAAGCTCACCAGGTACACTACGCTCCTGGGAACATCTTCTTTTTTTCTGTCCGCGAGGAAAGCTAGTAGACTGGATATGGTAGAAAGTCTGTAGATGTGTTGAATATCCAGGACGGATCAAGAGGAGTGAATCATCACCCAAACTGCCAAAGGCAAAATCTTATACTAAAAGTGTGTATCCCGAGACTCCTTGACAGTGTCTTCAAAACAGCTATAATGAAGCTTTGTCCCGAGTACCAAGCTCTGTATATGATGAACAACCAAAAATATACGCAAAGTACAAGCTTGAGATAATACATCATCCTTCTACAGACTACAACACGAAAGTACAGACTGGCAACGTCTTGATTCGGCCCAAGTGGTCTGCTCCAAATGCTACATACAAGACGGAATGGCCTCCAAAAAAGATGAGAAGGTCTCCCGGCGCCAATTTTGTCGATTGAGTATATACCGAGCTTTTTCTTTTCTCAAAAATCGGGATTGGCATTGCCAGCCCATTCGCACGTCATTGGAAAAATCAACTGTTTTTCTTTTGTTTTTGGATAGTATGACCTGCAGCGAAGCTCGTCATTGGATATTTGATTCTGCTTCTGCTTCTCATTCAGATTGCACGAAACAGTTTTCACAACTCGATCAGTGTGTATTTCAAACAAAGTGAGCACAGTTCGGCTGGTTGATTTACTCATCACCGCCGGTGGTCTTGGTCTTCTTCTTGTTCTTGTTCTTCTTGTTGCCGGTCGAGCGGGCAAGGGGCTGCTCGAGGATCTTGAGAATCTCCTCATCCTCGATCTTCTTGTCAGACTTGTACTGCTCGGGGTCGACGGGGTTGGCGGCGGCGAGCTTGGTGAGACCGTTCTTGGTGATGGCTGGAAGGAATTAGCTTCTATACTCATGTACTGCGCAAGTTTGGACGAAACTTACCAACGGTGGTCAACAGACGAGAGACAGCGGAGCCGTCAGTCTCGCCGGCGGGCTCGTACTGGCGCACGACACCGCTGCGGACACACTCGACAATACCGACCTTGGCGGCCTTCTCGTCATCGAGCTGGCGCAAGCTGAAGGGGAAGGTACCGAACTTCTTGACGATCTCAGAAAGGGTCTGACGGGAGCTAGGACGCTTGAGGCCATAGGTGGTGGTGGTACGGCGGTGCAGAGTGGCGCGGTGGTCGAGGGTCTTGACCTTACCGGATCCCAGAGAGAGACCGATCTCAACACCCCAAACCTCACCAACCTCGGGAACACCGTCACCACGGGTACCGTTGCCGGGGGAGAGAATGATCTTCTTCTCGCCCTCGATCTCGTTGCGGCCGAAGAGCCAGCTGGTGGTGTTCTCAACAACGTTGACCTCGTAGGCCTTGGCGACCTTCTCAATCAGAGAGGAGATGTGGGCCTGAGTAGGGGCCTTCTGGGCGGCGGCCTTCTTCTTCTCCTCATCGGTACCCTGGGCCAAAAGACCGGGGGGAACCATGAGTCTCAGCAGAAGCTCGTTGGCGTAGTGGGTAGCGAGAATGAGGTCAGCCTCACGGCCGGTAACAACCTCCTTGGCGGCACCCTTCTTGGGGACGACAACCATATCGCAAACAATGGTTCCGAATCCATCAATCTGAGCACCAAGCTGGATCTTAACGATCTCACCGGCCTTCAGGACGGCCTCAGCCTCGGCGGTCTCGGACACAAGAGGAGTGTAGGGAGTGACATAGGAGCTAGGGGAGACAGTGGTGGGGTGGCCGACACCTTCAGCCATACCGTATAATCAGTATGGATCATCTTCATGCGACCGAGAGGTGGACAAACCCTTGAGGATCTTCTTTCCCTTGTAGACCTTGGTGATCTCCTCATCGAGGAGCTTGTCACCCTTCTGGCAGATCTCGACGATCTTCTCGCCCTCCACGCATAGAGCTAGATTTGACAGTTAGATCGCAAAGCTTGAGAATTCGGATTGAGGTGCGCAACATACCGCTCACGGCCTCGAGGACTTTGTGGGAAATGGTAGCAGCGGTCTTGTACTTGGTCAATGTATCGGGGTTGTTGAGGGTGTAGTCTAGAAGCGATCACAATGTTAGCTCTGGCAACCTGGAGAGGATTTCCTTTGACTTGGGAGCCAACAGAGCTAGTCACGTTGAAACTACCCACAAACGTCAGAGCTTGGAGTTTACATACCAACCTCGGGTTCTTTTTGGTCCGCCATTGTGGAGTAAATTGAGCTCGTAGAGCAAAAACAGATAAATGCAGGTGGATTCGGGAGAGAGTAAACTCGGAAGAAGAGGAACAGACAAGTGTGCAGCGAACGAGCAAGTGGGCTTCGCAGCGTTAGTGGGTAGTGGGGGGATATTTGCCTTGGTGCCGTGAAGCCTGAATATTGAGGTGTCTATCTAGGGCTTCGGCAAAGACGTCATGGAATCGCAGTTTCATTGACCTCATGCATGGCCCCCGCACACGGCACAAGTGTTACATGATTTCACTACGACATTGTGTGTATTATGTGAATATTTGGTATATATTATGTAAATCTAGATGCATTTTACCCCAGGGTTGGCGAGACAGGGACCAGGGTCCGACAGGTTTGGACATCATTAGACAGGATCAGACCTCCATCAACTTCTCCTCATCTGAATTTCCCCTCTTTTAAGTCCAAAGGTCTCCTGACCTCCTTCTCTTTACACCATGAGGACCCCAGCCGTCCCCATACGAGTTTTAACTCATAACATCCGACATGGCGGCTCAGACCTTTTCAAAGGTGAGCTATCCTGGGATGATCGCAAACAATTGCTTTTAAATGAATTCAAACATGAAACTCGATACTGTGATGAGTCATTCATCTGTTTACAAGAGGTTCTTCATGACCAACTTGGTGATGTGGTGAACGGGTTGAACCAGGATATATATCCCGGAGCACTGGAGTGGGCCTACATAGGAGTTGGCAGAGAAAATGGCCAAGAAGCTGGAGAATATTCCCCTATTTTCTACCGAGCATCAGTATGGCAGCTAGCACATTGGGAGACAGTATGGCTGTCCGAAACGCCGAATATACCGTCGAAAAGCTGGGATGCAGCCTCGGTTCGGATCGTTACCATTGGCGTTTTCCAGCATCGTAAGAGCGGCAATACGGTTCTTGCCATGAACACCCATCTTGATGACCAGGGATCTCGCTCCCGTCTCGAAGCTGCACGTATAATCCTAGGAAAGATCCATGAATACAGCCAGCACGAATTTTTCAACCTCATCTCGGGCACCTTCTTGGCCGGTGACCTCAATAGTGAGGAGAACCAGGAAGCTTACCAAGAGCTGACAACAACCTTGCTTGATGCATATAAGCAAGTTCCAACCTCACATCGCTTTGGTGACTATATTACATGGACTGGTTTCGGATACGAGGATGAGCCCCGCTCACGCATTGATTATGCGTTGGTACCTAAAGAGAGTCCGAAGCAAAGATTGAAAGTCGTTGGATATGCTGTGCTACCAAACCAGTTTGATAATGGTGTTTTGAGCTCCGATCATCGTGCTGTTGTGGTGGACTTCATATTGTAACACAATCTATGACTCCCATTGTGGTTGCCGACAAAATTCTTGCATAAAGTTAGTACGGCTTAGCTTGAAAAGATACCGATTGAACAGAAAACTTCAAAAATAATGTTTAAAAAGACACCAAAAAAGACGCCAAAAAATAGAACAAAAAAGAAGCTCCGATAGGGGGAATCGAACCCCCGGCTGTCGTGTGAGAGACGACGATGTTAGCCACTACACCATATCGGATGCTGGATAAAAGGATGTACCACTTAGTGCAGTATGACACAAAAGAGCGGTGTGGGATATCCAGACCACTCTACTCCTTTCTATGAGATATTACTCTACTTCCCATTCTTGCATTGCTTTTTCCACGCTTCTACCTCTTACACACATATGCCAGGTGAGACAATTTTGCTATTGACCCGGATCACCGAGCTCCTGAGCTCTGCCACCCCCTTTTGCCCCTTTGAATTGTCGGCTCTTCTTCGACCCCGTGCCTACACTCCGAGCTGCCCTCCCTCGTCCGACCCTGTTTTTCTCCTCAGCCCTAACCATGGCATTAGATATCAATCGGCCGGCGAATATTTGACCTTCTACACACATAAGCGCAATCGCCCCACACTCTTTTAGGATAATAATCACTGTGCAGCGGGAGTATAAATCTGCTTTATGGCTGAGACACCGCTCGAGAGCCTTGTCGACCCTAGCTGATAGCGCTCGCATCAATCTAGAACCGGAGATGACCGAATTGGATTACTTAGTTTAATGGACTAATCAGACTGTCTCAACCGTGATTCGTGTCAGCCGGTTCTAACACAATCAGCGCAGTTAAGTGAGTAAATAGGGATAGTCTCTGCTTTTACGATGACTGTAATAGTTCACTGCGATCATGTCGGGGCCTAGATCGGCCTTCGGTTCTACAAAGCGGCGAGGCGACGACCTAGGCCGCGCGCAAACATCCTACCCCCTCGATTGACATCAGTGTATCGCGCAGTCGATTCCAGATATCAACGCGTCCTCACCTATATCATTGAGGCACGTTATGATCGCATTACCAGTTAGTTCCATTAGTGATTAGCATAGAGGACGAGATAGAAGGACAAGAAACCTATCATGCGAACTGAAGATAGAGATGCGAACAGGAAACAAATAATGTGTCAATTTCATAATCTGGAGAAGTTATGGCTCAACAGTGTCACCTAACAACACAATGGCTTTCATAGTCTTCAAAGTCCCCCCTGCTGTAGTACCAATACCCTCATCCATGGTAGAAACAAACGCTTGAGCGAGCGTCCTCGAAGTTATTGCATCAACTGAATTCCCATCTCTTGCATGAGATACCAGACATCCGTGAACACAAAGCTTGACTAGATAAAGATTTTCATCAGAAACAGACACTAGGGTACCATCTACCTCCCGTGCTTCCATAAAATTAGGATCAAATAAGTCTCCTGGCTCGAATTGCACAAATTCGTAGTGACTTCCATTGGGTGGGACGCAACGAGCACGAAAATGAAATGCGTCTGTCAGAAAAAGGTTCAAAGCCTCTTGGATGTCTGAATTTATATTGGCAAGCATGGCTTCATCGAGGAACGGGTTGCAAAGTTTTAGAAACTTGCACCGTGCATTTTCCACATGAGATTGGACCCAGCAATCACGAAACTGGTGGTTTTTCTCCAGCATTACCTCAACCGTAGCTCTATGAAAGCCTTCCAGGGTGCCCTTGGGAACTATACTTCATCAGTGACAATAAAAACCGAAACGGCCGCTCAAAACTCACAGCTCTTCTCAATAACCTCTTGGTAACCCCTCAACATATATCCCTCCCGCGAAAGAGCCCCCCAGCAATCCGCGTGAAAAATTTCATCCCGGAGAAAGCCTGAAAGAAGGGAACACATCGCAAACTTGGGATGAGTGGACAGTGCATTTACTGCACCAAGTGTACTTTTGACCAAGAAGTCAAGCTTCGCCTCTCTTTCGGGTGTTTTCCCTAGCACTGCTATCTTAGAATCGGACAAACATTGCACCAAGACACGGGCGGCTCGGGATGCGTTTCTTTCAAGATTGCCCATTTCGTCTAGAAATCTTGTAGCCTGAACATGGCCAAACTTGAAGTCTTTCAAGATAATGTTCAATCCCTCAGCTGAGTTGAGCTGCTCTGTGACACACTCAGTCTGTTTGATCTTCTCCATGATTTCGCTGTTCTTCCGCTCAAGCTCCGCAGCTAACTCTTTTACCTCGTCCATATTGCTGGAATTAGTCGCCTTAGCCTTTTCCATCTTTCTGTACCAATCCAGATGTCGATGAAGCTTGGAGTTTTCATCCTTCAAGATCAAAAGTTGATTCTCCAAATTCTCTAATTTCCGACAGTCTCGCATTGCTAGGAAATCAATTTGACGGTTGAGGAGCTTTATCTCGCATGCTGGACTATCATCGGTTCTTAAGGAAGGCCACTCAATTGTCGGGGAATTGATAGAGTGGGGTTTGACGCCCGTTGGGCTTGATTCAATCGCGCCCATCTTAGGGACTGGCTTTTGCTTCTTGCGAATAGATGTCTGGATCTTCAAATTGACATCAGCTGATTTGATCTTTAAAGAGCGGCCCTGTCTTGGCCGTCGTTCGCGGGCGTTCGTACCTCTACCGCAAAATTTGGTTTCTTTCGAGTCTTTGGCATCTCTTGGTCAGGTAATGACTCTTCTGAGTTGTCGCAGTAAGCCTCGCGCTCTGGAAACCGCCTGGGTCTTGACCGATGTCGCTTGTTGGCCACTATGAGGGCGGAACCTTGATCTGCAGCGAAGCCGAACTCCCGATGCCGTTTCCCTCGTTTGCTATCCGAGCTGTCCGAATGTGCTCGGGAGAAGGAATATGTAAACGGTGAGTGCCGATCCATATTGACAGTAATATGCCCCTGAGCCTTGGAGCCACTGATCGATGGACTGTAACTGGGTAGGTTTTTGGGGTCAATTTTTTACCATCGCTAGCCGGTCTGATGGATTTGTTCATCACCAAATAGTGGGTATAGTTGCACAATGCTTTCAAATCGCAGTGTTGTTGAATTATTTCCCACCGCCGATGAGGATGGGAGGGCTCGCTTGGAGCCAACAGCTAGCGCGGTCAACTACATTCTTAGTGAAACCACAACCCTGCTAGTGTAAATAGTGTGGGTGCCTTGTGGTCCGTCCGAGAAAAGATTAAGCTGTGGCCCCCTGGGCTGAGCAAAATTGTATTTTCCTCAAGTCCCTCCATCTCAGTCATACCAAAACGCGAGAAAATGCCTCCTAAGCGAAACCTATCCCAGAACTTGGCATACCGGAAAACGAAAATTCGAAATACCAATGACAAAAATAGAGGCCCAGTCACATCGACTTCTTTAAGGGCCTACACGGCCAGCCCTCAGACAACCTCCTTTTTGGAAGCTCAGAGCACTAACACCATGAGCCCGAATGAACCGACATTTGTTATTGGCCTCGACTTCGGAACTACTATGACTTCAGTATCATACTACAAGTTCAATTCCCAGGATCGTCCAGCCACCGTTGCTCGGAATGCCATCAAGTCCATCACCAATTGGCCACATTCAGGTCGGGATCAGAGCAAAGGTGAAGTTCCAAGCGAAGGCTTGTATCTGGAGGGGAAGTATTTCTGGGGTTATGAAGCTCGCCCCAAATTGAAGCATGCCCAGTGCAGTGGAGAGTCACTAAATGCTTCTAACAGACTTATCAGATTCGCAAAACTTATTCTGGAAAAGCCTGGACTTGAACTGGATGATACTGATGCGATTCGGGAGATGAAGGAGACAATGAGAAATCTGGGTAAATCTGTGAAAGATGTCATTACAGATTATTTGGTTGAAGTTTTTCGCTATACCAAAAAACATCTGGCGGATCATGAAGACTTTCGGGAAACAAGCCCAGTGGAACTTTCTCTTTCTGTTCCCGCCGGATGGCGTTTGCGTACCTCCTGGTCCATGCAAGAGATAGTGAAAGACGCCACAGTGATGGCTTCACTTGGTCAGCCAGATGCATTTGACTTGTTCATCATCAACGAGCCCGAAGCCGCTGCGGCTTTTGCTGTTGACGTAATGACAGGTGTCAACCGATTGCAGGTATGTGAAGCTTCCAATGCACAGCATCATGATCGGAAGCAAGCTTATATTTTTACCTTCCAAACCGTCAAAGGAAGGGGAAACATTTCTAGTGTGCGATGCCGGAGGCGGCACTGTGGTAAGATGGATAATGAATTACACTGCGAAATTTTACTGAGTTTGCTCAAGGATGTCACAACTTACAACGTAAAACAACAAAATCCACTTCGCCTGACTGAGGCCGTTGATCCTAAGGGTAAAAGGAAATATGCTCATATCACAAGACTTTAGCTAAAGCATCTAATAGGTGACGATTTTGGATCTACTTGTGTCAATCGAGAAATGGAGAAAGATCTAAGGAATCGCTTCAGATCCAGGTCGGATTCTCATAGAGTCCTCTCGGAGAAAGATATTTCAATCGAGTATCAGCTCTTCCATGACGTTTTCCGGAGATTTGAGGAAGACCTCAAAAGAAATTTTGATTCCAGTCGCGGTCTAGACGGATATGAATACCTCGATTTTCACGGTTTAAAAGCAAATCTACAACATGGTTTCGACGAGAGAATTGGCTTTGCGAACAATATGATCAAGATCTCCAGGTTTTACAATCCCTTCTATTTACCTTCTCTGCTTCGTTCGGGGTTACTGACCGGAATCTTACAGGAGGGCGGTACAAGGATGGTTTCAACCAAGCCTTGAAGGTATCGCCGGTCTGATAAAACAACAAGAGGATCTTTGTACAGACAGAAAATTGGTTTTGAAAGTAAGCTCTTTTCTATGTCTTATCTGTGGACACGGTCTAATCGGATCGACTCGCTCCATAGAAGGTAATCCTTGTCGGTGGTTACTCGCAGTCAAACACATTACGACAGTTCATGAACACAAAATTTCCGCACCTCCAATTGATTTATCCCAGAGATAGGTATGTTTTTATCTTTTTCTCATTGAACTCCTGCCTAACTCGAGGGCATCGTTTCAGCGGATGGGAAGCGATTGTGTCTAGCGGAGCTGTATATCGTGCGATAAACAAAAGCAACGGACCCTCCCGAAAAATCCTTGCAAATATTGGAATTTTGCAAATTGAAGAATATAACAGGAAATTCGAGGGACATCGTTACAAGGCATCTTTCCTGAACCCATGTAACCTTCGGGAGTACGCCACAAATTGTCTCAATTGGATCATCAAAAAGGTAATTTCTAAACCCAATCAGCCCAACCTTTCCCTTCTCTAACAATTTTCCAAGGGCCGTGTCGTGGAATGGAATGAAACCTTTGTGAAAGAACACTATCAGATCTTTGAGGAAGGGCAGAATTGGGAAATCAGGGAACAAATCTATTATTCTGAGAAAGACGGAATAAAAGACCACTACACCTTGGAACACGAGATGAACAAAGGAGGTATGTATTTCACACAAATTTGTCTTTCATCAATTCTCGTCATTTTGCAGATTGGCTGATTCGATTAGTATCCGAACCTGCTGGAATGATCGTGGTGGATCTCACAGAGTTGATGACCCGGTTTGATTTACAGCTGATATGCGGAGAAGACAAGAAATATTACGAGATCCATTACGATCTTATTACGCAGCTCACGGGCCGAAATCTCACTGTTTCTTTGAGATACCCTCCCGGCGAACAAGTCCGAGCTTCAACCCAGGTCTGCATCGCGGCATCATTCGAACCCGGTGCAGAGTAAATTTCAAATCAGCTGTTCCCAGGAGCCAGAGACCATTTCCTTTTGGAAGTTTCATTGCTTTTTTATTGTCTTGTTGTCTAGATTACTTGTTTCTTTTCTATCATATACGTCGTCCTATTATTCGTTGGCCCGTTGCTATTTAAAATAGAATAGAGCAAAGTGGATAATGATAGAGAGAAATGATTAAAAATTGACTCGGGATATCCTTTGATTCGGAAAAAGGCGAAGCTAAAAAGTGCCAGGATTACCGCTCGATGACCTCTTTTACCTTGTCCTCGAAGACCAGGTGTGTTGATGATATGGTAGGTGAATTTTATTCAAGACCTAGGCCCCTTTAAACTCCGCTTTCTTCATCCGATGAGAGACTCATGGGCGATGTTGAACTACATCCCGCCAGATGCTCTCGCTGCGCTCGCTCATTTTTCAGAGTTTGTATCCATCGAGCAAAATAACCAGGCTCCCTCTTTGAGCTCCACTTGCCTTTCAGCTTTGCTGGGCTATTCAGATGACGAAGGTTGTCTTCATGCCACTGATCCGAGCCTAGCTGCATCGTGCCAAAATAAGGTCCATCTCTTGAAATCCTATCAAGAAGCTCAGGTAGGTCTTCAAACTCAACTGATCTATCAACCACGTAAAGGCAATGACTTGGAAAACCTTTACTTTGGTTATATCCATCAACTAACACACCCTTCTGTTTCTGATCAAGGCTCAGGGAAGGAAGTTGGGGCCACATTTGGACCTCTTCTCCCCGTTGCTCGATGGATTGCAGGCATTGAAGACGTGATATTCGCAGATACGAATCTTGTGGCTCTCGTTGTCCAATCTTGTGGGATCTGTAAATAGACATCACCGATCTGATGAGTTGAGAGGACTTGTCGACTCGAAATCCGGCTTTGACACCATTGCATCTCGTCACTAACACCTTGCATTGATCTCTACTGCCTTTTTTGTGGAAATTGCTCGTCATGTAAAGCATAGAGACAGCGGCAGTTAGGTTCTCCATGATAGATTGTCTCTGAATGCGACCAAGAATGGTTTCAATGGCATTCCTACCGACTTCCGGATGTTGGGTGAAATCGGGATGTTGGACGTGTCCAAGTCTAGAAAAGATAACATGCAATGCGCTCTCGGTAATTGAAAAGCACGTGATCTGTCGAATTGGCTCCCATAGTTCAGACACGAACATGTGAATGGCGATATTGAGATGAAAGATTTCCTCACGCCGAAATTTATCCCGAGTTGGTCTAGGCTCAGCAGTCCAAAAGCTTTCCAATGCATCAATCGTTTCTGCATCTACTCTCCATGACCCAGAAAGACATTTCAGTATATCAAAAAGCCAGATTTCTGCAGTCTTGGCGCATGGAAACGAGAGCAAAAACGTATCGACGTCATCTTCAGTGATTCTGAGGCCAACATACCGTGATTCGATGATATGGGCATCTCGAATCACGCCTTCCTGAGATACGACTTTCAAGTAATTCAGATCTGGAGGCTCGCCAAATGTTGAGACCTGTGTTGTTTGTCCCTCAGTTGACGCGTTCATCCAGCTGGCTATCCTGCTAGACATTGTTGAGAAGACACCCGGATCAGTTGCCGTGATATCTCCTGTCGCCAAAACATCCAATTCGCCCAATATTGCCGGACGATAGATATCGCGAGCCCAATCAAATATATAGTCAACAATCAACAGCAGCTGCAAAGAATCATCTAGGTAGGAGATGTTGCCATTCCACAAATCGACAATATTCTGAGAGCTGTCAGCTCATACCCCTGGAACCTGAGTATTTGGGTATATTCGCGTACATAGTGTATCTCTGAGTTCATATCGCCCCCCTGCTGGGTCTCGGTCGTTCCTACGGAGACGTCCCAACTCTCCCCCTCCAATTCAAGAACCAAACAAGCGGACCCGTAGGCCACTGCGTGTCATCTCCTGTCGCTGCTCGTAAGTCATGTTGCAGCTTTAAGAGTCGTTTGATGCAGAAAGCTGTTTGCATGTCCACTTCTGCTCGACTTGCGCCATTGCTCGTCTTTGCCTCCATGATCAGGAACGGGTATAGCAATGGCTCACCCTCCGGGCCAAATGGAGTATATTCTATTGATTCACGTAGGGACCGTCTGGTAGAAGCCACCAAGCTACGACGATCAGTGGAATCCAGAAGTATTTTGAAGTTATCAGTCTGTTTGAGCCCATAAACACGATCGGGGGCTTCATACTTTTTCAACCTTCCAGGTTGAGCAGCAACTTCTAATGCTGGGTAATGCTTTATTGTTGCTTTAACCCGGTCCGAAAAGAGCATATTGATGCCCCCATCATCACTGTTACCAAGGTTAATCACCAGAGGCAACATTTGAGATAGATGAATGATTCATACTAATTTTGTCCCCAAACTCTAGGACATCGGCAAGGCTTGCGCTTGCGACGTCGAGCTTCGAGTGAGTCCGCCTGCCAATTGATACTGTCCGTTGTTGCAGGGATTTCCGACTCCCAAAGTCGTTTGCGGCATTGAGTACTGGATTCAAATGAGAACAATGTTTTGCATTGAAAATGGGGGGTAGACGTTCCCTTACCAAGCGACCTCTACTGTAAAACGATGCATGACCTCATTCTCGATGGTAAATCTCCACGAGTCTTCATTTCGTCGGATACGCTTACTCTCCTCAGCTAGCTTCGAGAGACGCATGGCACGATTTCGAATGGCATTTCTCCATGGCTTTTCAAGGGTGTCTATAGTGATACTCTCAGTGAACCAGTGGAATGTCCGCTTGCCCAGTTTCTGCACATCCGAGAACAGCCTTTCATGAGTGCTGGGCCATTGACTAGGTTGCACTGGCCCGAGGAATTTTATGTGTAGCTCCTTTGCTAAGTTCCACCGATTTGCATATTCAGCGTGATCCATTTAGACACGAGTAAGGAATTTTTCGGAATATGATTGATAAGGAAGTAGTCAACAAAATGAGCAGACCCCGCACTCAGAAGCACATCAATACGCGAGAATTAGTGCGTTACCCCTGCAAAAGATAAGGACCCCCTGTAAGTGATAAGGGCTTTTGCACGTAGAAATATGTATCTTGATTGTTTGAAAATAAGAATACAGCGGTGTCTGAATTTTGGTGAACCGATTTGCTATCACATCCAGCTGTTTAAAGCTTGTCCGGGTTAAACCCTCCTTTCATGTGAGTAGTCAGAATCATGCTCTAGGTCCACGCGCATATCAAAATGAAAAGACTAATCAAGATAGGGAAAGAAGGAAAACGGAATTTGGATTCCTACAATAGTAAGATTTTGTGATGTTCTTCAATTGAGTACCGATGGCTCTATGATTGATCTACGTCAAAGTCATCCAATTTACGCCAGTGACATGCCCGTCGGCCCACTCAATTTCGCCGGACCCACCCAAATACAAGTTGTTCGTTTAGTAACCCTTGTCTAAACGTACTTTCCGTACACTATTTTGTCATCTATCTAGGTATTCTTTTGATAGCAGACAATCTTTGCGCAGTAGTACAACTCGTATATTTTTTTTTTCATTGAGATGGATATATTATTGGGATTTTTGAAAAGGAGTTTTAGATTGCCTCTTCACTATTGTAACGGAGTGTCCGGAGTGTCAGGGCTCGTCGGCGAATCAATTCACTCCATGTATGCGCTAGTAGCTTCCCACTAATTCCAACTAGGTATAGCGTCAGGACTAGGCGCGGTACCCAGTTGGCCAAAATGTATGTGTGGAAAGACCACGGTTTTGGGGAGTTTCGACCACGATAGACCGTGGCCCTTCCACTGACGCTGCCGTTACACCATATCGGATGTTGGATAGAAATTGAAGCATTCTATGTATTTATAACCTAGCAGCACTGGCTGTGTACAACAAACCCGATTTTCTTTTTCGCCTTCCTGTTTCCTACGCCTCGTAGGTGAGGCATTTTTTGTTGCCCCGAATCACTGAGCTTAGCACCACCGCCGCCCCATTTCCCCCCTGTGACTCATCGGCTCCTGAGCAACCCAGCGACTACAATCCGAGCTGCCCTCCCTCGTCCGGCCCTATTTTCCTCCTCAGCCCCGACTATAGCGCTAGATGTCAATCGGCCGGCCCAAAATTGACCCCTACGTATATAGGCGTATTCGCCCTACACTCTTTCCGGAGAATCATCCTTATATAGTGGGACTGCATATCTGCCTTAGGGCCGACATACCGCGCGAGAGCTTTATCGACCCTAGCTAATAGCGCTCGCCTTAATCTAAAACCGAAGATGACCGGATCGGATTACTTAGTTGAATAGACTAATAAGAATGTGTGAAGGCATGCACCCAGGTCAATACATGTCAACCAACTAGGTCAAAAAGACCACTATGTCAGCCGTCAGGCTGACATGCCTGGGACTGATACACATACTAACTAATAAGTACGCAAAATTGTACGCGTGCGCACCCAACGCCAGGCCGGGATAAGCAGTTACCAAGAGAAGTATTACCTTTGAGGACTAGTTCACCGTGAACGGTAGCAGTTCATGACAAAAGGTATATTTCTTTTGAATTGTAAGACTAGAGCCTATATTTATAGAGAAGAATTAACCTAGGGTTCAACTACAGGGATTATGGGCATAAAGTAGTGAATAATTGGTCAAATCATGCTTGAATATCTACACCCATGGGAACGCTCGGAACCTTGGTGTGGGTGTAAATGCAGATCACAGATATTTCGGCGAAGGCAGCTGAAACCTGGGGTCCCGCCCAGCCAGCCACCCAGTTGCCCCAGGTACCTGGCCCGCACACCTTGCAACCATCAAGATATTCTGTCGCTTTACTTGGAATTCACAACTATATCATCTTTTCCTTCATTCAACAATTAACTTAGAACTAAAGTTTCAAACAATACCCCACCCACACGAGGTATCGCCCACTTACAATCCCTGCTTCATGACATCCTCCCTTCATGATTAGCAACAGTGGCCTAGAATGCCTTCTCTCGATCCGAAAGTCTATCTCGTTGCTTGGATTGCTCCACTCGAGATCGAGGTACAAGCTGCATTATGTATGCTCGATAAAGTACACATAGGAGGATTTCCAGTCGGTCCTGGTGATGACTACGTGTTCCATGCAGGTGAGGTGAACGGGCACAACGTGGTTGTTGCGACGTTCGCTGCTGGTCAGCCGTACGGCACCAACTCTGCAACTTCCCTCGCAAGCCACGTGCGACGTTTTTTCCCCAACCTGTGGTTTGGACTACTGGTTGGCGTTGCAGCAGGGCTCCCAAATCTTTCGTCCTCTCCCCCGCGGGACATCCGGCTGGGCGATGTCATTATTGCTATGCCCGACGGTGATAACCCGGCTATTGTACCGTATGGGCTTGGAAAACAGAAAGGGGAGACTGGCTTTGAGTTGTTACGCAGCGGACATTCTTTGCCTCAGACAGAACGTATTGTGGGCTCAGCAATCGGTAAAATTAAGGCAGAAGGACGTGTAACGAAATCAATTTTGGATCAGTACAACGAAGTGGCCTCGGAGACAGCCAAATTTTCCGATCCTGGCCAAAAGAATGACTCTCTCTACCTATCTGGCGACGACAAGCCAGTTCTACGGCGGCAGCGTCCAGAATCTGAACGCAACCGCGTGTGGTATGGCGCTATTGGATCCGGAGACAAATTGTTAAAAAGCGCCTGGGATCGAGATGAATTAAGAGACACCTACAATTTGATTGGATTGGAAATGGAGGCCGCAGGTGTCATGAGTGAACTGCCTGTGGGGAACATTCGAGGAGTCTGTGATTATGGAGATGAGCGGAAGAACAAAGACTGGCAGCCTTATGCAGCGGTTATGGCAGCTGCCTATGCAAAAGTGGTGTTGATGGAGATAGAACCGAAACCTGTCGCGCAGAAAATCGGCATGGACGATGGTAAGTGACTTTCAGTCTTTGCATCGTTTCAAGAGTATTCATGATGGCCATACGCTGACTAGCTCTTAGAATTTACTAGTGAAGACAAACATTGTCTGAAGGACATACTATTGACTAATCCAGACGATGATCGAAGACGAATCGAGGAAACAAAAGGCGGCTTGCTCAATGGCTCTTTTCAATGGATCCTGGACAATCCCAAGTATTGCAAATGGTACACCAACACACATAGTCAACTACTCTGGATCAAGGGGGACGCTGGGAAGGGGAAGACAATGCTTATGATTGGGATAATCAAGGAGCTGCTACAGCATGCCAAACTAAAATCATCACAGTCGTTGGCATACTTCCTGTGCCAAGCTGCAGACCCCAAACTCAACAATGCTACTGCTGTTCTTCGGGGATTGATTTACATGCTAGTTGTCCAACAGCCACAATTAGTACGATACTTGCGACAACGGTACGACCTGGAAGGAAGGAAGTTGTTCGACGGTGGAAATGCGCTTTACAGCCTGTCTTCAATTTTCGAGAATCTGATGAAGTATTCGCAGCACACCACAACATACCTGCTTATTGATGCTCTTGATGAGTGCGAGGGAGGGTCGAGTGACCTACTGAAGCTTATCGCAAAGACAGCCTCCATGCAATCTCATCAAGTAAAGTGGATTGTCTCGAGTCGCAATAGAGGGGACATTGAGCACTTCTTACACGGTGGCTACGAATCGAGCAAGCTTAGCCTTGAGCTTAATGCGCCTCACATATCTTGTGCCGTTGAGACATATATAAATTATGGGATTTCACAGCTAGGTTTACTCAAACACGACAAAACTCTCGAAGAGCACGTCCGAATTCAATTGCATCAGAAGTCAGACGACACGTTCTTATGGGTGTCCTTGGTGATTCAAGATCTCCAAAAATGCCAGCATCTTGGAGCAATGATTGAGATGTTGGAGGGGATCCCTAAAGGCCTTTCTGCACTATACGATAGAATGGTACATCAAATAAGGCAGCTTGAGGATCAAGACCGCGCGTTGATCGTGTTGATTCTGTCAAATGCTACACTCGCCTATCGTCCCCTTCACTTACAAGAAATGTGCTGTCTATTGAGCGATCATAATTTGAAGTGCGGCTTGGATGATTTGGAGGCAGCTGTGGCTATGGACGGTTCACTTTTAAGTATCCGGGATGATCGTCTCTATTTTGTGCATCAGTCAGCAAAAGATTACATCAACAATCATGCATCCATGGAAATCTTCCCCTTGGGACGATCAGAAGTTCATTACCGGATGTTTCAGCAGTCTTTGAGGACTCTTTCAACCAAATTGTACCGCAATATGTATCATCTCGAGAACGCTGGTGTTTCAGCATCCGAGATCGCGACTCTTCGACCCGACCCTGATCCACTGGCTACATTACGTTATAGCTGTACGTTCTGGTTGGACCATTTCCTAGAAATCGAACCAGGTTCAACAATCAGGTCCGAAAGCTCAGAAGTTGCAGTGATATCGGGATTTTTTACAAAGCACCTTCTTCACTGGTTTGAGAGCCTCAGTCTCATTGGGGAGCTTCCGCATGGGATCTGGGCCCTCAGAAAACTTGTGTATCAAGAGCAAGTACGTATAGCTGAGAATTACTGCAAGTGCGGCTAAAACTAACAGACAAAGGCTGAAGGTGGCCTAGAACCAGTTCAAGGCGGAGGGAATTTCGTGAGGCGTTCTTTGAGAAAAGTGCTGAATTACCCAAAAAAGAGATCTCAGGTGAGTCAACCCCTGAGTAGAATGAACAAGAATATTAGATTCGATGCATTCAATAGCTAACTAAATTTCGACCACACTAAGCCCCATTCAATTTTACGGGAAGCGGAGAGACTTGCAAACAGCTACGGTTCAATAATAGGAGAGGCCCCTCTGCAAGCATATACGGCCACACTTGTTTTCTGTCCTCAAAAGAGTCAAAGTAAAATCCTTTACTGGAGGGAAAGGCTGGATCTGGTCGAGCACGCGTTTGGAATCCAGGAAAGGTGGGATCCATACTTGCAGTTGTTGGATGAACATACCAACCGAGTCAACGGAGTGGCTTTCTCTCCGGATGGCAAATTACTCGCATCAGCTTCAGATGACTGCACCATTCGATTTTGGGATACAGTCACGGGCCGTATGAAGCAAGTGTTACAGGACCATGCTTGCGTCAATGCAGTTGCCTTCTCCCCGGACGGTAAACTGTTAGCATTGGTTTCCAATGACTGCACTGTCCGGCTATGGAACACAACAAGCCTTGTACTGCAAGTCTTACAGGGGCATTCCGAACGAGTTAATGCAGTAGCCTTCTCCCCAGACGGCAAGATAGTAGCCTCGGCTTCTGATGACTGCACTGTTCGGCTTTGGGACACGGCAGGTGTTGTGAAGCACGTTCTACAGGATCATACTGAACGTGTTAATGCGGTGGCTTTCTCCCAGGACGGCAAAACACTAGCATCAGCTTCAGAAGACTGCACCACCAAGCTCTGGGACACAATCACGGGTCTCCTAAAGCAGACCCTAGAGCGTCCTAAGCCAGTCAACGCAGTTGCATTTTCTCCAAATGGAGAAATATTAGCATCAGCCTCGTCCACGCTTATCATGCTCTGGGAAGCGGCTACTGGTCGTAATATGGATGTCCTACATGAAGTGTTCACAGGACCGTCTCAATGGTTCATTCCCCATACTGATACGATCAGGGCGCTGGTCTTTTCCCAGGATGGCAAGACGCTCGCTTCAGCCGCAAATGATCGCAATATAGTGCTTTGGGATACGGCCAACTGGAGGGTAAAGCGAATTCTACAGGGCCACACTGAATCGATCAGGGCAGTGGCTTTCTCCCCAAATAGCCAAATACTAGCCTCTGCATCAAATGACTACACCATTCGGGTCTGGGACACAGCCATAGGTCTTGGAAAGCGAACTCCACAGAAACCACGGCCTGAAGCTGTGCCCTTGTTCCCGGGCAAGCCGCCCAATATTGCGAAATTCTCCTTGAACGGTGATATGCTCGCAACAGTGGGACACAGAAGTGAAATATTTCTCTGGGATACAACGACGAGCCATAAAAAGTTGATCTCACGGGGTATTCTAGGATCGATCAACGCACTTGTCTTCTCTCCAGATACCAAGATGCTAGCATCGGCTTACAACGATGGCACCGTCAGGCTTTGGGATGCGGCTAGGGGTAAGATGAAACAGACTCTCAAGGCCAACGATAATTCGGTCAACGCAGTGGCCTTTTCACCTGGCTGCGGAATGCTAGCTTCGGCTTCCAATGATGGCATGGTTAGACTTTGGGATATAGCCAAGGGTATTGTGGTCTTCAGCTATGAAGAAGTGACCACTGCACTGCTGTTTTCAGATGATGGTTGTCTATTGAATACGGACAATAGTTGTTTATGTTTGAATTCCTTCACTGCCCAGCCGCTCTATCCTCGAAAAGTGGAGCGCAGAATCACCGCTCATGACAAATGGATCAGTTGCGACGGGGAAAAATTGGTTCTGGCCCCGCCGGAGTACGAATTCGTGAATGGCAGTAATGATACTATCATTCTTCGCCATTTCTCTGGAAACATAACATTTATCAAGTTCAAGTTACCTATGCAGTGAGGATCCAAAGCAGGCTCACCCTGAAAAGCTTATGCTTTTTCTCCAGTCGATAGCAAAGAAGATCCAGAATCATCTAGACCTTCAGTTTAATCGACAAACGCGCTCTCCATGCAATCATCTTCTATAACATTCATATGACAGGCAAAAATGTATATTAGACGGAACTGCTGTACACAACACGTATGACCACACAACTTGGCTTCTCTCCGCAATATCTTTAACATTGAGGCAGCGACGTTTATGAGGTAACTGCTGCTGTCAGCTTATCCAGGATTGACTGTTTCAAGATGCGCTCAAGCAAAGTTAGCATACTTGATTCCCCAACGATGAGCTAATTTGTCAGGGAGCGCGGTTGCTTGGGTTTTACCATTAGATTAACAGGCCAAAAAGTGACAATATTTGGTCAGCGATCAAACACCCAAACTACTATATATGCTCGATCTCTAACACAACTGTGCAAACCACATAGGCTCTTACTGGGTGCCACCCAGTTCTATCAACACACATAAAAACCGCCAATTACTCTTGACATCGTTTCCAATGTTTAACCTGTCTGACATGCCCACCAATTCGCTTTCCAATATCGTTGAACGCATTAGGCCGATGTGCTTCCCGTTCACCATGCACTGTGTTTGATTAAGCAGTGCTTTCACCCTCATATAGGTCCTGGAGCTACGAGTTCCGTTGCAGCCTTTCGTTGAGTTTCTTGAAATTGCGGCGACGCTTGCTATTGAACACTCTCTTTAGATTTGTTTGAGGTTGCGCACGGCTATTACTTAGCCACGAAAAATCTAGCCTAGAATATAGCAGCAAGTACGTTCACAAGACTGGTTACGAAACAAAGCAGTGAGAGCTCTAGACAGTGACTGTTGTTTCTCTGGAAGCAAAATAACGTGTCATTGGTTTTCTCCCACTCCTTTCTTCACCTCGGAGTAGCAAACATATTAAACCCCACCCCCAGCCAAGAAGCTTGCAATATCTGTAATCGACGCAGCCTATTATACAATTGTCATGGGCATGCATGAAGAATAGCCAGCCTATAGCTCCCAGGAGTTATTAGGCGGTTGACGCGCCCCTTAATGTAGTGTCTCATGCAACAAAAGATCGTCCGATTCTCTTTATCACAGGACAACCCACAATTTCCGCGAACTCTGATTGTCTCCCGAAGCCAGGGATCCTCCATATAATCTGAAACCTTTCGGGAGAGCGTACGCATCGTTGAACAAGGTAGATCCTGGAGAATACCACGGTTTCTGCGAGCTCTGACTCTCTTGCGAACCGCAAGAACATACGACCATTGCTATCCTAAGAAATATCACGATCCTTCAGCAACTCAATGCTTTTCCTATGAACAAAGCCCCCGTCGGACTATTGTTGTCATAAGAAACACTACGATTTTGGTCCATCTTGATAATCTCACAAATCAAAAGATCATGGGACAATATTTATCCCAAGATTTACCACGATTTCCGCAACCTCAAAAATGATTTGGGTATCTTAGATACAGTTCTTGATTTGTTATTCCTAATCGTACCGTTTCCGAGCTGGCCTATACAGGCTAGGCCCTTTTGAGATAATAAGTGATGCTAATGATAGAACGTAATAGTCAAGTTCTAAGCATAGCCTGAGCCATTAGGCAATTTTAGATCTAAGACTTAAGGCTGTGCGGGACCTTGGGTGGGCAGTCCAATGGCCTGGCAGGTCTTGAGACCGCGGTCTTTGAATCTGCTAGGTCTCTTGCTCTGTGTCTACCACCCTCGAGTCGGTGTCACCCGAGCCCTAGTACATAGTCTCATATGAGCAGAATTCAGGTTACATGCCGTCAGTCTTCAGATATTCGCCTGGAACTCAAACATTGGCCCTAATATCCTTGGTAGCCTTGTGACAGTGAAGATTGGCCCGATTTGAAGCACAATATCTCCTGCACCAGTCTCCGGCTTGCGAAGGCGCGGATATACAAAATACGGAAGTTCCTGATTCTTGTTTTTTATTCACTTCTAGCTACTCATGAAACAGAATTATCGCTCATGATGAAGCAGAATTTATGCATATGCACACACACTGTTTATTAACGCCCGGTGGCTAAGCCGAAAGGGCGACTAATGCGTACCTACTAATAGGCTACTGTACATGTCATAATATACATGGTACTGTGTCTCCTCAGAGCCCATACATAAAGACTTGCAATATATGCAACTATATAGACAGGATAATGTCTGCCGGATGGGGCCTTTCCTATCTGGGCTGCCGCCGCTCTATGAGGGCGCTCAGGCTGAGGATCAGTGGATAGATGTCAGCACGGGCTCAGACTCCGTGAGCATGCTCAAGATAGGTCACGTGTATGATAACTAATGTCGAATCCAGCAAATTCCTGTATTTTACCTGACCAATTGGAGATGTCAATAACTCTGCGTTGTATTACCCCTATTACGAAGCTATTTATGCCTAGTATAATGACTAATTCCTTGGCATCGGATCTATAGTATCTGCGGTTTCACGCAGTATTCGTAAGATATTGCCGACAACTAATCCACGACGTGCTCGGTGAGTGCTCAGTGAGGGCTCAGTGATACCTCAGTAACGCTCCGTGAGCACCCCTGATTTGTGTAACTCAATCTGGACCTTACCCAATGAGACAGGCCCCACGGGGCCATTTATTCTGTGATGGTTAATGCGCTGACGATATTTGGGCTGCCCTCGTTTATTTGACTTTTTCATCTATATCTCACTTCTTCTTCAGCCGAATAGGAGACGATACCACGTCCACCTTGTATACGGCAGAACTTCGAGCTATCGAGATAGCACTTAGAATGGTTCTAGAATGCTCAGAACTATGGGCTAAGTAGGCGAAGAATAGGGTAGTCATCTTCGTAGACAGCTAAGCACTAATAAAGAAGACGCTAGAATACTAGTCAGGCCTACGAAAAGCAACGGGCTCGATTCTGACACAGCTTAGAGCTAGGCGAATTATCCTCGGGGCTTACCTAAATCGTATCACCCGACGCGAAACAGCGCGGTGTGGTTACGACCTTAGCAACCAAACAGTAACCCACGTCCTCCTCAAGTGCCCGATAGACTAGGACGAGCGAAATTAGATAAGAAGCGCTTTCTTTAACCAGGGAGTCGCTCTTTACCGAGACGAACTCCTAATACGACTGGAGGCTCGCACAATCGTGGCCGAATTCATGATCATGACCGGCCTCTTAGTCCAGTTTTAGGGAGCCCATCATGCGGCTTTAGGCGGGATCCTGGTCGCGGGTGGGCCAGGGGTAAAATTACCTTCCATTTTGACTTTCCTTGTTTATCATAATTACATCCGTGCATCTCCTTTGTATTAGTTATTTGCATCTTTTTGTTCGAGGACGACCGATCAAGGACTCGCCTTACGGGGTTCTTGACAACCGCCCAGTGGGCTGGCGACCACTTTCTCGCTGTCGGCAGGCCGGACAGCACTCCCGCATAGCGGCATGTATATGAGGGAGCTACATTGGGCAAATGAATACATCATCATCATAGTTTGTTTATTCTGGTGTTATACATTTTTTGCCTCAGCTCTACTGTGGACATGACACCGCCGCAAGTTGGAAGATGTGTCAATGCGCAAGAGCTTAGCGCCATTCTGGTTTAAAGGATGATGTCTGATCAATCACTCTTACCCGCCTCGTCCTCGTCCCCGACGGCCCCCGAAATTCTGTGCTCTTCGCCGTTCCATTTCCGTCAGTTCATGAAGCAGCTGTGGTGGTGTCTGGCCGGCTGCATTTGATTGATACATCGAGGCCCCAGCATCCACTAAGACTTTGATCATCTTTTCCCGGGATGTTTTTGATTGATCACTCGGCAGACTGGAGACTAGTTGACCGCGCATTGCCTCATGGAGAGGCGAATTCCCTTTGTTGTCGACCACATTAACATTCGCGCCCCGAACGATGAGATGTTGTACGGCGTTGACCCGACTTAGATGCCGGACCATGAAATGAAGTGGTGTATGGCCGTCGACATCGGCATCGTTGACGTTGACATACTCCAGTAGCTTTTCAATGATAGGAATATCTGCGCAACCGGTGTCGCGGAAACACATCGCCACTTTATGTAACAAGTTCTGTGATTGGGCATTACATGTGCGGCCATCAGCTCCATGTTCGAGTAAGGCAATAAGCATATCCAAGAATTGGACACTAGGATTGCCTCGTCGGACTCTTCCATAAGAATCAATTGCAGTCTCTAAGACTGTCCAGCCGAGGTGATTGCGGGCACTGAGTATCAAAGGGGGCGGTTTAGTACCAAGGAGCATCTTGACAACGGGTAAAATGCCCGCTAAGCTCGAATTGCAGGTGACCGCATAATGAAATGCATTTGCGCCCTCCTGGTCTCGTATACTGAGTGCGTCTGGGTTGCCCTCGAGGAGCATTTCGATAGTACGTATAATGTGATCTGTAATCTCTTCTTGATCATCCCAGTCGTCCATTTCCGTCCGATTATCCCAATACCCGTTCAATGCCCAGTGAAGTGGAAGTCGTCCAGCATCATCGGTCATTGAACTCATCGCTGCGAGACCCGCCTGGCCGAAATTATCCGCCAGCGCCTTCATCGCCTCTAGATTCCAGAAATGAGCTGCGATATGCACGACGGTCACTTGGTCACCGGAAAACCGGACCCCATTGTTATTGTGCCACTTCTGCCGGGCATAAATGTTGGCTCCCTCGGCAATCAGACGAGATACCATTTGATAGCTTGCGTGGGGGATGGCGGCACCGAGCACAGTATCTGACAACTCGGCTCGTGGTAGGTCTAAGTGAGATGGTTTTTTCGTCCCATGATAGTGCACATAGAAATCAGAATTTGGGACCGAGCAGCCTTTGTCCAGAAGAAAGCAGATGAAGTCTTCAGATCGTACACTTTGATCTCTCTTTTGATGCCTGGAGGCGATCGTGCCGGCAACATCAATATCGTTTGTGCCTAGTGCTCTAGCCGCACTGAACAGGGGTGTTTCCCCATCCACCGATCGGTCGTGCAACGTCCCCAACGGCGGGTCTTGGTGTAGCAACCACAGCATTAGCTCACGGTCTGCAGCCGCGCACGCGTCATTGATCGGAGAACTGTGAACGCGCTCGAGATATGCATTGATGGGCTCTGTGAGGGTTGAATCCGCCAGATAAATCTTTAGTAGGGTCTTAAGCACGTTAAAGCTACCGCTTTCTGTCGCGTTGATGAGCGGATGGCAGTAGTACGTCTGGTATGCTTTCCAAAAGACGGTCGTGTTGGGGCTATCATTATAAAGAAGAAGAGACGCGACGTCATTTCGTCTCACAATTTCAGCCAAGAGGTCCTGATAGGGCGCTTCGTACAGCGGTACTCCATCTTCGTCGTTGAAAGCCGGCCCATGTGGTTGAAAGTCAGGGTGTTGTTGCCGAAACCGGCTGTATGCCATTGTGTATGAGAATTGATGATATGATGAGAAGGCAGATAGCTGATGATTGGACAATGACTTTGGTGTGCAGGAGACGTGGACGTCCATTAAATATGAAAAGGAAATCTATTGATCAGGAGGACTTTGAAAAAAACCCCATTTTTAACAGTTTGGATTCCTAGGAGACTGACTGAAGGTGAACGAGGATGGGGTCCCGCGGCGGCTGGGGCACGAATGGACATCGGTCCATCAATGGGCCCAGGCACCAGGCACGACCAACCCGAAGCACAGGCGGCAGTAAACGCGGTTGGCCGTGGGCTTTGGTGCACGTGACGCCAAGACTGACCGCGGTGAGCACCGGCATAAAACGGTGTCAAAAGCGGCCGTTTCTGGCCTCCCTCCCATTCACCGTGTCATCTTTAATTGGAGTATTTCATGTTAACCTCACAATTGAGCCGATAATGTTAAGGTCACAAAATTAGGATTCGAGGCTTCATTAAGTTCAAGAAATAAAAATCGGGCCCAAATTCTAAGAATAAGGCTTCTTTCAATTTCGAATTTTAGATCTTATCTCGATCCCGTAGTACCTTTGAAGAACAACCAGTTTACAGATGGCACTGATATCGATATCCTCCCGAAGATTCATAGAAGCTGCTCCAAAAGTAGGTTTTATGACGTTATACACGAGTTCACGGCGGCGAACCCTGAAATGGTATTTTCTAGGACACATTGTATTCCGGTAAAGGCATAAGATCTCCTATTTTAATTCTACAGAGTTCCTAGTGCATAGTCATAAGGCATGTCTTGCACACAATTCTCGATCGAGACTTCTTTAATCTCTAACGAAACTCTGCATAAAATCTATCAGCTTAAAGTTCAATCGAAAAATAGAGAGCCTGTTTGCTTCGGTGAGCTCATTGCTGGCAAGGGATTTCAGTCACTATAGTAGTGATATTTAGTAAGCGGCTTACTTTTGGCTATATTTATATATTCTTATACCCTATCAGTAAGACACTTCTGTTATATCTATACCTAAGATTCTATCCGTGATCTCGTTGCCTAGATAACCTATATATTACTCGAAACGATACTCAATCATGCCAAGCTAGCGTAGATTATAATTATTGGTTAGGTGATCACACCCTTATCGGACTATATATAGAAGAAATTTCTAATATCTTCCTAATATACACCGGCCTAACAGCGAAGATAGATAATTAGCTCAAGATAAAGAGAACCTAGATAGTATTCAATAAGCCACTACCCTATTGAATAGAATAATTCCCTAGTGCCTTATAAGAGACCTAAGGCAGAGATAGAAACGTAGATAGCCCGGGCTAAAGGGCGGCTTTAGGGATTAGCAAGGGGGAGCGAATAGATTTTCCAAAGGGGAAAACTGAAATATACGCATCGTATACAGAACGCGACTAATTTATTAACGGCGGAAGGCTTGCTTAATACCTTGATAGGGGATCAAGTAAACAATACTTGAGCCTAAACTTTGATTATGGGCAACATAATTATAGCCAGCCAGCTAAAGCCCTTAGGTGAAGAGAACACAATATCCGAGATAAAACGCCGTCACCTCCGTATTAACCATATAGGATGGTATTAATTGCCGCACAATCTATACGAAGATCACGGTGGGCCATAAATAACGTTAGAGCCTCAGTCGTATTTATGATACTATGGAATACCTTTGGAAGACAACTATTTTTTTTCTAAGTTTTAGCAACATCTAGCGGTACCGAGGTTAGTGATAATATTGACATTTTCTAGGAAAGTTGTAGAAGCTACTCAAAATGTAGAGGCTACAATACCACATCATATCGAATTGCGGTTGGATCTTGACCACCCTTGTTCCGGGCACAAACAAGGATTATTCAAGTATTGGGCCACTACGATGCTCCTATACCTGGATCGGACGAATCAGACAACGACTGGACATGAGAGACTAGCGACGCATTTCATATTTTCGACATGAACGTATGGTTCCGACCAAGATGGAGGCTCCCTAGTCACCAAGTCTGCCACGCATTACGGCTGACTTGCAGATGAATGACACGTATATAGAGGTTTCTGGCGAATTATTCCTTGTGTTCTTCACCGCTATGCTTGATTACCCTGGTCACCTACACACCATCAGTGATGGCTTCCTACTAGGAAAAAGAATCTTTAGCTGGCCAATTTGGCGCACCGACATTTTGCCTCAGTATAGAATGTGTGGTGAAGGTGTGGTGAGGTAGCAATCATGCTTTGGGTCTTGAACGCTGGGCACAAGAGTTGTAAGCTATGCGAAGATAAATACCACTATTTCTCCCGGCTGTCTACGGGCTCTTCGTGCTTTTCATGAAGAATCGACTTTTCTACTTTCCAAAATCACTGCACCTCTTTGTTTAAGCTACCCCAGTCCGTTTTCCAAGTCGCTGAAAAACATGGCCACAGGGAGTCCCATGAAGGAGTCCTTGATCTCCGCGTTCATGAAACAATACAACGAAAATAAGTACACTGATATGGCGGAAAGTGCTGCAGACATCTGTAGCCGAGCCCTTTTGGAGAAAGATATCCCCCATGAAACCGAAAGCCGCGGGAAGAAGACTGAAAGCCTACGGAAAAAGATTGAGCAGCGTGAGCGCAATAAAGGTCTTTACAAGTCCCTAACACATATATTTGAGGACATCGTCGACCTTGCCGGGGCTCGCATTATTCTCAAAAAGTGGGAAGATCTTGATCGCGTTAGGGGTATCATATACGAGCTTTTCGAGGTTGAGGAGGAGAAACCTATGAAACAAAAGAGCGGGTACGAAGCAGTACATTATCGTGTCTACTTGAAGCAAGAGGGGCGCCTGTGTGGCCTCCACACGTCGGAAGTGATGACCAGGGTTGAGATTCAAGTTCTGTCTTTGTATATGGCGCAATGGGCCAAAGATGAACATGACAGTCGGTATAAAACATCCAGAGATCCGAGTCGAGCGTTGAGCAATGCTCTCGATAGCCATCTTAAAGCGGTTCAACATGTTCAAATATCCGCCCAGAACACAAGAGAAGAGATAGCCAGGCAAGATGAAAAGTACAGACAAAAGTTCAGCGACCGCAAATACGTCGGCCGACATCTGGAGAAGTGGATTGGCAAGCACGCTGCAGACTGGGCACGAGATGAAAAGATAAAAACAGGATCTTCTACAGCTTTGACAATCTTTTTGGATGCTCGTGAATGGAGGACCCCCGAGTACCTTGATCTATTGCTCAATCAACACCTTGGCCATGGCGCGCAGGATGAATACTCAAATATCGCAAAGGAATATGCCGGCATTGAATTGAACATCGTGATTTACCTCATTGACCGTACGGTCTTGAATGGCAATACGCATACCTTTCTTGTCCCCGACGACCATCAAAAACATGCCTACAAGATCCGAGTGATATTGAGCACGTTCATCTGGATGAAGCGTCTTTTCCTGCCGGCGTTGGAATGGCAGCGTTTATTCACGCGTGTTGAGGACCGAAGCGTGCTTCGACAGGGCATTGTTTGGCTGGGGCACAGAGCCTTGCAAAACCTGATTGCAAAGGGAGGGAAATTGCTGACTCCCGAAGAGATCGGTAAATTGAACCGACTGTGGGATTGGTTCTGCAGTAACCTCGACCGACCGATCCAGGTGGCTTTTGCGATGTCCCGCCAGGGAGTTATTAGAGATCTAGCAGGAGAAACTGATGAGCTGGAAAATGCGCTTGGGCCACTGAGGCGAGCCCTGAGTTGGGACATGGACCCGGCTTCAACATGAGTTTTGGAGCTGATCACCACAGAACAACGGAAAGAGATATTGCAGTAGTTTCAGCCTTCTGGAAAGAATAAAAGTTATGTTTTTCGATCTTGACCGTTCATCTCTCGTACCACAACTTCTTTCGTATTCCACGTAGTGGAAATGAAGATGCACGTACCACCATCACTCGGAAGGATTGGTGTGATGAGCCCTGGCCACTTTATCACACAAGGATCTGTCGACCTGTCAGCTTCAGGGGTGAGTTCCCTCACGTGTTGCTGAGCACGGTCGTCTTATTTCCAGGAAGAAGCAAATATGAAAACAAAAATGAGCCAAACACCAAACAAACGAGGCCTGGGGACACACGGTAGAGCGTGAATGGCTTGCTAGAGTGAAGGACCAATATAATTGAAAGGATGGTAACCAGTTCGAATAATCTTTTCCCAAAAAGAAGAGAGAAAAAGGCAAGCAAGGTTCTGAAATCGGTATTGCCAAGACGTGTATTCAGGAACCCGACTCAAGCCCATTATGGCCAAGCCGCACAAAAAAAAAGGACCTTTTGGCTAGGCAGCCGGTCCCGGTCAGTCGTACTTTTCCAGTAGCGTTCTCTTTCTCTGGCAGCAGAGATTTTGAGCTCCCTGGGAAGGGTTAGACTTCTGTGCTGGTATTACCTTCGCTGCGGGCTTGGACCAAGTGACAATGTGTTTTTCCAATTGGTTGAGCCTGGTGAAGCAGATACGAGGCCGCAAAGCCCCCTCTGAAGAAACGGCAAAAGCAATGCAGTTCGATTCACGTACGTCAGAGGCCCAGGAATCAAGCATAGTTGCAGAAGCTTTTGCGAATCGAACAGAAGGTGAGATCTATTCACCTTGTGAGATGATTATTGGAGGCTGGCTGACCTGTTCTTCTCCCAGTGCCGGACCCAGTTCTCGATCAACTCATCTTCGAAGCTGTCTTGAAAGGATCTACACCGCCTGAAATGTCCCAAGGCGAAGAAAGAAGGATCTTGGAGATACTTGCACTCGCTGAGACAAATGGATGGAGCGGCTCATCAGCAGTCACACCAGCCTGCTACTTCTGGATCTGGTGTGGGTTGAAGCCGCACCGATGGACCGTAGTCCCGAACGAGAAGCTCTGGAAAGAGTTCACAGAGGAACTCCAGATAAATAAGTACAAAGGTCAGTGCAATCACAGAACAAAAAAGGGGAACAGGGAATGTATCGAATGTTTCCTTGTGATCTCCTGTTCGCTAGAACCTAAATACATTCCTGGAAGTCAATTGGATAGTGACCTAAGCAGGCTATACCAGTAGAGCTAACTGGGAATAGACTGCCCCGATGCAAGACTGCAGGCAATTCCAAACCTGTCCATGTGGAAGCCTCCCACATTTAGGGTCACCAGAAGGCCTGATGAATAATTTATGCGGCTGCGCGCACAAGAAATTGTCGTGAGGTGAGTCTCAAGCCAAAGAAATTTCTTAACCCGAAAGGTTGCTGATCATAACCCAGGGTTCTTCTAGGGAAGAGCCTTCAGAGAGACATTTTCGAATTCTATTCGAGGATGAACACAGGTCAAAGGCATGCAGGGGACCTAGCGAAAGGTGGTGGAGGGGAGAGAAATATGAATGGTCCACAAGTAGGTAGCATCGAGAAGAGGGGTGGTCATCATCCCTTGCTGTTTCATGCAAGTGTGCGCTGGGTTGTCCCGGGTTAAGATGACCTTGCTCCGTTATATTATCGCGGAGACAGCAAAGCGCGTTGCCCGCTGAAATTGCGAAAAAAAGCAACTTTGCTCGATGACTCTGATTTTGGAGGAGCTAGCGTTGGGATGCTACTCGAATGGCTTACTAAATTATTGTTCTTCTTTTCTAAACAGCCTTCAATACAACCCTTTTTTAGAACTTATTCCTAAGTGTTCGTCTAGACACTAGGCGCCCCACATCTTGTATGCTCGATATCGATGAGCATTACGGTCGAGAGGAAAGCAATGAGCAACAAAGCCACCGCGTTGGAAACCACATCTCTAAGATTTCACCTGAAGTATTACACTTCACGTAATGCGTCGAAGTGGCAAAGCTGAGCTCCGAGCGCAAAGGCCTGAACTGGCCTATTTCCAAGCAGTAGCTTGTAGTTCTGTAGTTCCTTCCTACGTGTCTCTTTCTTACTGGCCTTAGTTTACTTGATGCGAGCTCTTTTCGTAACTTGCTCACTGTCACTATCATTTGTGCTAAGGGGAGCGAGATAGATAAGGTATAGATAACTTTCGGTGGCTGATGGCATGTTACCCCTTCTTGCTTTCTCTGTATGAGATTTATTCTTTCGATACCTTCGAACACTGAGCACGAATCTGTGGACACTAATATGCAGGGTTATAAGAAAGCATGAAACCCTCGAGGTCTACTTCAAACTAGAGCAGATGAGAGTCATCAAAAGCTGATGATCCGATGGTTCCTCAGTAAACCACCCGCAGCAATGCCTCCAAGAGCCCGTCTGCTTTGGCAGCTGGTCTGGGGAAATCTTTCATGTTTCCTTAGTAAATCTTTTGAGAGCCGAGCTACTTGGGAAAACTTCGATTGTTTTGCCAGTTTGCCGAAAGTCAACCATGTCAACCTTATCAAGCATGTCATCCGTGATTAATATTGAATTTGGAAGCAAGCAATCACGAAAGTTCGCCTCTATAGTTTTATGAGATCTTCTCAAATTCATCTGACGTGCTAGGCGGCTAAATTCGGCATTTTATAGATACCGTACTGATTCTCTGAAAATTTGGGAAATCGAAGGTAATTAGATTATTCTGTATAAGGAATAACGAGGTAAAGTTTAGTTGACCTTTGGGAGGCTTACTGGCTCTTGGTCAAAGAAAGAGTGTTGCTCACACAATATTCTGAGCTCACGTCAACCGATCTTGTTCCGCCACCTACTTCATTCCCATGCATGAATGGATGCCCAGCCAAGTGTAAGAATTAATATCACTGGAATACTTCCAGCCTTATCTTTATTACTATGACTAAACTGTCTAATTGTATGTCAAGGTCCTGTCCGGCTGATCCGATTTTTGAATCTACCAACCAGTAAATCTTGGCCGAAAGCTCTGAGAGCGTGAGCCGCTGATAATCCAGGAAGGAATTCCCCTTGCAACGGCACTTTGAAGTTTCATAGAGAATTTTTGGGTACTGGGCGTTGTCAAAACCGCAAAGCTTATATCAACGAGCAAGAAGTATTCCAATGCCGTAGTAGAAGCCGTGGTCGCGAAAAGTTTGGATCATTTCATAGTAATCTCTCAGCTTCTGTTTCACGGCCCTCAATGTCTAGTACATTCATTTTTCACGGTGCCATATTTTCCTTGAGCTGTCATAGCCAATTGAGGATATGTTTATTGATTTAAGTCTGAACTACTCTTGTACTCCCGCCACCTGATTTTTGTCGACCTGTATAGAAGTTCCAACAATTCTTTTTGACACGAATTGGTCATCACCACTATAGCTTCCCTCCTTTTCATTCAACAACAACGTCAGCCGGTCATGCGCATTATAGACCTGATCTATCGCTACTTGGACGGTTTGAACGGCCCGGGTCTGTGCCATACACCCGCAATTCATACCATCTTCAGAGTGTAAGTTTAGAACGGGGGTTCAAATTTGCAAATAAAGTCAACTCATGCTGTTGCTATTGTGAGTAAGTCATCGTATCATTGCTACGTATATACTCTAGAATAGCTATTTGCATACCCTACCTAGCTTGCATGCTATGTCAATCAACATGATCGACGATATGAAGGTGTTGCCTGCTCCCTCATTCCCGTGAAGAAGTAGAGTGCTATGCTCTCTGGCAGTGTAGCAATCGTGGGCGTGTTGGGATTTCTCCGTTTCCGAGAGCCGCTGGCCACTTTCTGCTCGTCCGCGATTCGAAACATCGGAATGTTCATCTTCTGATAGAGCCACCAAGCTTCTTGTTTCCTGAACCACCTAGCTGAGCTTCATTAGAGATCAAATGTAAACCACAGGGGCCACAAACGCACAAAATACTTTGCGCCAGGAATCTGTAAAAATACTCGATCTCTGAGAATATCTATTTCAAGAAAATATCTGGTCCATCTGAGTCCCACGTGGTTTTTTCCATTTTCGCTGGATGCTACTTTTGGCACTATGATCGACAGACCTGACTTACGAAGATCTATCAAGTGTCTCGGAGTTTCTCCAAGATGCCTTGAAAATTTTGAGTTCTTATTTATAGGTTTTCCTTTTGCTGATCACGCAATGTGTCGTCAGATATACAACCCTCGATGACCCTCAGGATATTGGATACTTTCTTCGCGCTATGAATTGGTCAACTGTGAGATGTGCACATACTGTACATGTCTAACAATAGAGACTGAGTCATTTGAAACTTCTTTGTGCTCAAGTGGAGCATTTTAAATCTGTTTCCGCTAACCATTTGCTAGCTTCAAGAGTGTCAAAAAGTCGCCGAGGTTATAACAAAAACCCATTTTCTTTGCTTAAAGATAGTGAATCTCGAGTTGAAAGAGGGGTGGGAGGCCCAAAGCACATGACAAATAATAATATAAGACTGAACAGAGGATGTCTAGGACGGGCAGCAAAGCGGGTAGGAAGTCAATCTCATATCAGCAGACTTTCGACTAGGCTAGCCAGGTAAATTTGAATTATTTGGATTTCGCAGATATGGAGTCTCTTTTCTTCGAAAAAAATGATGAAATTACGTAGCGCCACGTCGGGAAATGTAGCCCAGTATCATATCACAACGTACTAGTCCGAAAACCCCTGCCCCTACCAATAGCTTACCGCTGCAGCATGCATGAGTTTGACTACGTGTATGTCTTTAGCGCCAGTCGAAGAGTTGGGCCAAGCGGGGGCAAAAGAGCGCGTAATGATCTCTACATCGGTTCTTCCGCGCCTTTGTATCGTTGAGCTTGGGTGTCGGTCGGCTTTGATCTCTTGAACATGGTTCAAAATCCTCCTCTTCGTCTTTCCTGTCCTGGGTGTGAGAGAAAAAACTTTCGCAGTATAGTTGGCGTTCGAAATCACTTCATAAAGAAGCAGCACTCATTTCAATGTCCAGCTTGCGAAAAATCCTTTAAGGATGAGTTGGGAGTTATACAGCATTACCAAAAGTATGCCTCGCCAAGTTCACCAAGTCATATTCGGCGGATACAACCAAGTGAACCTCTACCAAGCGAACCTTTACCAAGTGCAGCGGCGGCACCGATTTTGCGACCAGAAGCTTTCCAAATGGATGCCCCAGATGAGACCTCGAGAGCCCCCTCACAGGAGCCGGAGAATCCAAATTGCTATTTGGTACATAGTCTCCTTAATACCATCCCGGTAACAGAGCTCGAGAGCCCTGTACTACGTAAGGAGTCTTGAATATAATCCAACCAAAGCTAAGATTCATTTCAGCCGAAGATTCACCAGTTGTTACCTCGCAAACGCTGGTTTATTCAACCGTTTTAGATCCGCTGGAGCAGAACCTCATCTTGCGATATCTACATTCAAGATGCCACTCTTGGAATCGTCTTCAGACAGAAGGATATGTTCTTGGTTCCGGTCCCCATGAAGTCAAGAGAACCCCATCCAAAGCGTCCATTGAAATCTATGACTTTCGCAGCCCACCTCATACCAACATACAAGCAGCGGGAAGGATCAATGCAATAGCAATTGACTGTGAGATGGTTGGAGTCAGAAAGGGTTGCCAAACGCTCGCTTTTATTAGTGCTATCAATTTCTTGACAGGCGAAGTGCTCATAAGTCGCTTTGTTGATCCAGTCGAGGATGTGGTTGACTGGAGGACTAAGTTCAGTGGCATAACAAAGACCATTATGGCCAGCGCGATTATCTCCGGCGCAGCATTTAGAAGCTGGAGAGAGGCGCGTGACAAATTATGGGAGTATATGGACGACTCAACTATCTTGGTCGGTCATTCTCTCAACCATGATCTCGAAGTACTAGGCATGTTCCATGCGAAAGTTGTTGACTCTGCCATCTTGACTGCTGAGACTGTTTTCCCTTCCATCATACCGACGAAGCGATTGACCCGCATGTGGGGGCTGAAAAGACTTGCGAAGGACCTCTTGAACCTGGATATACAGACTAGCAATCGTGGGCACAATGCTTTGGAAGACTCATATGCAGCACGAGACATTGTTATCTGGTGTATCAGAAACCCGGAGGAGCTCAAATTATGGGCAGAAAATGCTCGACACCAAGAGGAAGAGCGCAAGGCCGCACAAAGTCGAAATAGACATGGCAAGGGCAGGTCCAAGGGGAAGTTGCCTACCATCCGTTCTACTCAAAACTGGGAATACGATTCTGAAAATGATGATTATTCGGAAGGATTTAGATTGTCTGATCTCGCGGAGGAGTTAGGATGGCCTCAAGGATATGATCCTTGGTCTGATTGATGTTGGAATAGCACTCGGGGATTTCTTGGGACATGCAACATTTTGAGTTAATATTCCTTTGCTGAATTACTTTACTCTGCGCCGTTGATTGAAATTGATACTATCCTTCTTTATGTTTTATTTCCACACATATTCTTAGCTCACACCTCCGAATAATGTGGCCAATACAATCTGGAATTGGATTTGTAGAAGATTTGAGCTCTGCTGGTCGTAATTTGTGTCTAAATCTTAGGCTACCGATGTGTAGTTTATGTGAAACTAAAATTCCTGCGAGTATCGAGTATTCCCTAAGTTATATCTAGGCAAAGCGCAGCCTCAGCACTGTATTACTCAGGGGGTTGGGGGAGGAGGATTGATACAGGACAAATGTCAGATGAGAATCCTCTAGACCGGAGCAATAGTTTGACATCTTGTCAAGCTGGGCTGCAGTAAAAAATGGACCACTGTAGCTACTAATATCGAAGGACTGGTTGACGGGCTTCGTATTTAGCTGCATCAGAATTTGGTTGAGCGGTGATTTAGTCAACTCAAGTCTCCAAATAACAATCTCGAGTACTCTCACCATAAGAGATTTTGGCTTAAGTAAAGTTGGTTGAACTTCGCGTCGCTGAAACACTCTGTGTATCTACCACTAGAAGATGAGGTATGCTATCTGCTATTCCCAAGCCACTGATGTTAGTTTGATCTTAGGATGGGCAGTTTGTGGTGAATCATCTAGTTCTAATTTGTTCGTACAGAATAAAGTGAATCTCTATGGGTCTTTAGGCAACTCCTATACTACCCATTCTCACATCCTTTTTCCATGCTTCTAGTGTATGCATGCTTGCCCAGCGAGGCATTTATGCCATTGATCCGGATCGAAATGCTCCTCCGGCTTCCCTACCCCGAACACGACCTATTGGATTCTTCTAATGCATTGTAGGCGCCTCCTGGCGCAAGACCGGTGATACCACTGGAGGCGCGACCAACGCACTGACATCCTTGGAATATGAGGATGTTTGTACACAGTTAGCTAGCCATCAAGCGCCCACCTCAAACCGGCCTGGTCAGTAGGACTCTTTGTTAGTGGCTGCACCCTCATCACTATATGTGAATACTGCATAGACAACCGTCCGAAGTGCGTCTCGGATGATGTTCTACAATCCGACCAAAAAGTAATAAGATAATTAATTAATCTACATACCCCGGGCCGGTCCATTCTTTTTTTCAGGTGCGTTGGAATATTATAGTGCTGATTTAAAGCTTTGCAAGCCACAAACCAGCATACAGATACCCCACAAAGACAACAAGTTAGCGAGGTTACAGGGCGCTATTGCAAAGGACATTGAATCACTTTCCCTGTGTGACTTAAATAGCTGCCGTGAAGCCCTTCAGAAGCGTAGCCTAGTCACAAGACTAGGCCGCCGTGGCTGCTTTAATCCAGCTGAAATTGTGAGACAATGTACACGAGCCATCTATCATGGTGCGAGATACCTGGTTTGACATCGAATCTTGAAATTTCTCTTAATTATTATCTTCTTAAGACCATTGCTTCTCCGGCAACTGGAATCGAATTTCAGCCCACATGATGACCGACAAAGGCGAACCCCCCTCTTTAAAACTCAAAATGAACCTCAAGATCTGTTATTTGGAATGCTTTGAAATTTGGATCAGAATAAGAAAGGAGGAAAAATCAAGAAAAAGAAAAGCACTTCAGAGGATCACGCAGACGGTGTTTGCCGTCAGATGTAACCCTTTCTTGAGAATCAAGACTTTGATAACAATTTCTGCGGTCAAAATATCTCAAACCCACCCTTGTAGCAAGTTTGGGAGCAGAGAGAATCTCTCTAGTCTTTCAGAAGGGTATTAAAATGGGACAAGATGGACGTGAGCCTAGCCGATGAGAACGGCACAACAATCATCCATTTGGGAGTTCAGAAAGCCGAACTAGAACTTATATCCTGTTTAAAAGATACTGACTTCTTGCTTGCATTGGAAGTCAATGATGGCCGTACATCACTCTCAATGGCAGCTGACTGTAGAAACTACTTGAGGGTGTAAGCTCTCTTCTACAAAGAGCATCTACGGCTCAATGCAAAGGACATAACCGAGTGCACTCCATTGCATTCGGCAGTGATGTCCTTTCAACGACAGCCCGGGCTAGAGTCTGATCATTTATTGTCCCTAAGAATGGAAGGACTTGTATCATCGGTCTCCTTCTGGAATGCAGCGCAGATCCCAACATTGTGAACAGAAACGGAGAAACATCTCTAGAGATCGCGTTCGATCACTGAGACAGGAGGACAATGGACCAGCTTCTGAGCTCCGATTGCATCACAATCGATGTGAAGCAACACATCAGAGGTAGAAGACTAGCTAGTCGCTTCTTCCTCTCTCTGCTCTCATCATTTTATGTTAGTCAAGACCGTCCATTTTATTGCCTCATCTTTCCTTCCATTCCATCGAGAGGATATTAGTTCAAGATTGACGTTTTCGTGTTCATTGTGTAATGATGCATAAAGAGTGAAACAGTGCTATACACGATGCATTTCGTGATGTCCTTCAATTTCATACCGATGGCTCTACGATTGACCTGCGCCAAAGCCATCTGCCACTAACATACCTGCGTCAGCCCACTCAATTTCGCCGGACCCACCCAAATACAAAGTTGAACGTTTAGCAACCCCTGTCTAACCGCACTTTCCCTACTCTATGTGGGCATGCATCGGAGAGACAGACTTTTCGATGACTAGACAATCCTCGCGCAATCATGCAACTCGTATGTTATTCTTTAATAAGAGAAATGTGTTACAGGGATTTTCGAACCGTGGTTTCAGATTTCCTCTTCACTATTGCCCTTCCTCATAAGGCCCACTTGGGTGTTAGAACTAGATCAACTCCATATAATGAAGGTCAAAAGCTACGGTTTATAAGAAGTTCTCCTGAAGAGCTAGGCCTAAGATCTGTTTGATACTCTACCTCATCTTCACACTTTCCTTTCAAGCAATTCACTCTTCTGAACTCCGAGATTGCTTTATCTGAAGATGGTTTGTTTCAGACAGTCTCTTGCCCTGGCGGCCCTGTCATTGACCCATGCTGCTTTCGCCCTTCCCGCACTGACCGATCTTTCCTCTCGGGCTCAATCCTCAACTCAGCTTTGCGGGGACTATGCTAACATTATTCTTTCAAATACGCCATGGATTGTCTACAACATGCTGTACAATGCCGATCAGATCGACGGCACGCAATGCACAAATTATGACGGGGTCACCGCAAGCGTCAATGGCACCAAAGAAGTTCTTTGGAGCAGCGTGACCAATATCGACTATGTCGAGAGCACGTAAGGTTACTTTCTATGGTTCGTACCAGCGATTGACTGAGGTCTACTGTAGAAACAACGTTCCCAAAGGGTACTCCTTTGTCGGTCTAACTCAGAACCTCGAGACCAAACTGTCCGCTATCGAGTCCATTCCTGCTGCCTACAGCTGGATGCGTACCAATACCACTGATTTTAAGGGTGCGATAACATCATGATCCAAATGCGTCTCTATATTGATCATCCATTCAAACAGGAAACATCTGCTTCGACTTCATGACCAATGATATCAAAGGTGACTCGACGTCGTCCTCCTCGCATGAACTCATGCTATGGCTGCAGTACGAGGGTGGCCAGCTCCCAATCGGCTGGACCAACGGACCGGCTGCAACTGTTGATAACCTCTTCGGGGCCTCGTGGACGCTGTACGAAGACGTCAACACTGACACCGGGATAACAGTCAGCACCCTAATGCCTACCAAACAGTTTGAGGGCTCTTTCTCTGGAGATCTGAAGGATTGGCTGCTCGCTATGGCCAATCTGGGCAGATTTACGGAGTCCACATATGTCAATGTCGGCAATGCTGGGTATTTATTGCTTGTCCTTGTTGTCGCTCTACATTGACTAACAATTCTGGACAGCACCGAGTTCTTTTACGGAAATGCCGTGATGAACGCGACCCTCGGGTTGCAGATTGACCTGGCGTGAAAATCGATCAGTATTGACAAGTAGTCCGTTTTCGGGGCTTCATGGGCAGCAACATATTTACTGTGAATCGGTCAGAGCGCGTTCATTGGTGACGTGAATTGATTCCTCCAAATGTATCATTATTCTTATAATAATTCAAATTCTGGACAAGTATCCGGACGCATTTTTGTCGGCTCGTGCCTGGAGACATGCTAGCCTACAAGGAATAATCATCAAGAACCGTGGGTTTAAAGAAATCCCCATCAACTACAGAATGAGTATATTATGTATAACATTGTGTCGTAAATTTTATTAGATAAATTTGGTAGACTATTGAAGAATCGATCCCTTGACACCTGGTGTGCAGATTATTGCTGTTCTATGTACACTTGATGGAAAACAAAGTTAGACTCCAGCTCTAGGAATTGTTGCTGCTTGGATCCATTGAAGTTAATGGTGTCGTCCATTGTGGCGCTTTTGCTGCAGAAAAACTGCCTCCCAATCCTGGAAGGCTTTTCCACATTCATCTAAGACATCATTTCCAAGCGTTTGTCGCTGTCTGAAAGATGAGAACCAAGTCCAGTCACTCTTGCGTGTAACACCCGCGTATCCCAGAGCGAAATCTCTGATGACTTGTAGGAGTCCATCATCGATATGGAAAAGCTGTCGGTTCATGACAGCTCCGCGAACATTTCGTGTTGTTCGTGCCTTGCGAACCACCTCGTAGAGGTTGAGGATCGAAGTTACCACGGAGAGGTCATTGCTGAAATTCCGATCTTGTAAGGAGCCAAGAAGATTTCCGATAACTGCACCATCCTCAACCGCCATGGCCGCTCCTTGGGCTTGATAGGGAAGAGTAGGATGGCAGGCGTCACCGAGCAGAGCAACCGCACCCTGATAGTGGATTTAATTAGCAAGTTAAAGAGACGTAGAGAATTCAACCAACATTTGTCCATGTCTCAAGTTCAGGGAGACTTGTCAACTTCCATTTGTATACCGTTGGCACACAGGATATCAGATTCTGCAATCTATTGTGAAAAAAGTAAAATTAGTGAAACTTGAATTCATGACTTCAATGGCACTTACGTCTCGTCCCAATCGGCGTAGCTTTCTCGCATCTCTTCGACATCTCCTTCAACCCTTCGAGTCCCTGCGGCCAGGTCATCTGGTCTCAATAGGACAAGATTAAACTCCTGCCCACCGCGAACAGGATAAAATATAGTGTGTTTTTTGGGACCCAGCCAGCTTGTCACAGCAACCTTTTGAATGAGTTCATTAACCTTATCATCGCCCAGAGATTCTAGCTGCTCTCGTGTGAAAGTTGCTCGATAGGCCAAATCGCCAGTCTCAACTGGCGATACGGGCGTTTTAAGAACGGCATTTCTAACCGTGGACCATTGGCCTAATTCCGATTCCATGAGACTAAGGCGAAGAACGCAGCTGAGATGAATGTGAGCAACTTACCATCGGCACCAATCAAAACATCCGCAGACAGCTTTACTCCGTCCGCAAGAACGACTTCTGGTGTCTCCACACAAAGGTTCTCTACCTCAGCTCCCAATACGAGGACAGCCCCAAGGCGAATTGCTTCGTCAAGAAGGATTCTATGATAGTCAACTCGATGTATAATTCTATGCCGACGTCCCCACAGTTAGCATACAATCTAGTCTCTTTTTGTCGGACCACATCAGCCTACATCCATGGAGCTCCAAATTCCTGCGTAATCCCATCACCAAAAGGCATAGATCGCAAAAGATGGCCATCCTTGTATCTGCGGAAGTCCACATGTTGGACCTGACTTCCTTTCTCGAGTAGCTGAGGCAAAAGGCCCAGATCCCGCATGACACGAGTTCCATTAGGGGGATCTGGATGCCCGCCCCAACTTCGCGGACCTCAGGTGATCGCTCGACAAGTACCACGTCAATACCGCGCTGACGACAAGCAATCGCGCAAGCCAGACCGCCCAAGCCAGCACCGACAATGAGGACCTTCATGGTGGCTGTCTCCGTGAAATTTTAGGTTGAGACCTTTGTTCGCACTGGACCAAAGGCCAAGTGCATAGACTGCGCTCACTTTGGCCGATTGTTGTCGACGAAATGTGGGCCAGAGGCCACCTAATCCGGACTAGTGCACCCGCCCATTTAAGCCACACCTCATGCCGCGTCACAATGAAGATCAACCCATTTCCACGCAACATGCCCTGGCCACGATCACAATTTTTGGAAATTGGGGACCAATCCTGGTGTCCCTCCTGGCTCCATCAGCACGAGCAATTATCTTTGACAAAACTTTGGAATCTCAAGGTTCCGTTTTGGAGCCGCGGGAGCCTTGCCACGCAAGCATGCGAGGTATTCAAAGAGCACCTGCAGGATCTTTCGTCATATACCGTTCTCGACATATGCGCTGGCTCTGGAGGCCCTACTCCGGTCCTCGAATCTGAACTCAATAGAGAACTCGAAGCCCAAGGCAAAGACCCTGTCCAGTTCATCTTATCCGATCTTTATCCCCACGTTGAAGCGTGGCAGCGAATTTCGAAGAAACAACAAAACATATCATACATTGAAACGCCAGTCGACGCCCGAGCTGTTTCTAGACTTGGAAAGAAGAAGGAATGTCGCATTTTCAATGTCTGTTTCCATCACTTCAATGATGGAGACGCTTCCGGTATTCTGAAAAGCGCGGTGGAGTCGGCTGATGCATTCATGTGAGTGACCTCAACCTTGGCTCAAGCAGAAATATGATCTAATATCTATATAGCATATATGAAATGACATCACGTGAAATTGGTACCTGTCTTTGCTCCCCACTAGTCTTCTTCTGGGCTTTCTTTGTAACCCTGGGTTGGTTTTGGAACTCACCCGTCCATCTTTTCTTTACATATGTCCTACCCGTGGCTCCTTTAACTATCTGGTATGATGGCTTCATATCTTGTCTCAGAACACGCACGAACGAGGAGATCAGAGGTCTCTTAGACCAGCCAGGCTTGGATTTGACCAAATGGACCTTTCATGGCGGAAGAAAGACTGTTCAGTGGCCTTTCATTACCTTGCACTACTATCTCGGTGTTAAGTCCCGTTAAACCCTTCTTTCTTTCTCTTCAAAAATCTACTTTACTAGCTTCCTACTCCCCTTAGGTTCCGACGGTAATTTCCTTTCCAAGTCTGTCCCTCTTGGAACATTTTTCTTGTGGTATCATATACATACTGCTCGCTATACAGTGGGATGGATCAAAGTTAAACTGGTCGAAAGGCGGCAGCGTTGCATTGTTAATGCTCTTGGGAGGCTGTATGTTTGCCTCTGCAGCTTCCAGGTATGGCAAGGGGAAGCGCGACAATCCCTTCGGTTACTATGCCCAACCAAGTAAAAGAAAAAAGCAAAGAAAAACATACAACAGTCAGGATTCGCTAGTGGCCAACCAGCTAAGCCGTCATAGGATATTATTGGGTTATATGTTTCCCTTTGAACCAAATTTGATTTCCTGACCACACATTGACGGCTTCGGGAGAGCTTTTAGATGTCACCTGGGCTTATACGCAAAATGGCATAGTGAGTTTAATGAGTCCGGGAGTCAATTCGTTTCCAGGTTGGAATCGAGATCGGACCAGCAATTCCATAGGTAGCTGGCCCTGGTCCTTTCCAGGGGTTCCCTATGGAGAAAACCTTCTACACTGGAAGTTTCGTCATAATTCGCTCTACTTAAATAGCGTGCTGTACATCCAACGTCCTTGTCTATTACACTCTCTTCTTTCTCTCACGCTCTTGGCTTCACCCCTTCCATCTCCTTTATGCCGACTATTACTGCCTGAGAGCTCATGACAAATAGTACCTTGAGCACCCACACAAAGCGAGCAGTCCTTTACCTGAAGTTCTCAATATGACAACGCTCGCAGGACTCGCCCCGGAGTTATTATTATCAATATCAGACTTTCTTCCACCTGTCGATTTTTATTGCTTTTCTGTTTGCAATCATCGAATCTACGGCTTGTTTTCGCGACAAATGAATCTCTCGCCTCCTCTCACACGTGATGATAAGTTCTCGATATTAACCCGGTTGGAACGAGAAATTCCACCATACTTCGCGTGCAAATATTGCAACTTGCTCCATCGGTACGATGGATCCGAAAGCTTTGGGCTATGTGGAGTCTTTCCGGAACGAACTTGCCAACTCCCGTGTGTCCAGCATGATCCTGGGCCGGAACATTGGTTTTCGATATGGGATAGTCTAGTCATTCATCGATGGCAATTCTACAGTATACAGGAAATTTCTTTCCTCCACTTAAAGCTTGTTATGAGGAGATTCTACTATGGTCCTGAATCTGGGATTAGCACTGGTTCTTTATCACATACACAAGTCACTGAATACCCTCGTCGGCCTCACGGAAATGAAGTGATCTGGCTTTTCTCCCGGGAGGCACAGATATGCACCAAGCCCCTCGGCCTTTATCTCAGGGTACAGGACATACTGCTCTTTTCAGAGTGGCGCGATTTGATCGACGGATCAAGTTTTTCATGTTTCGATCCGTTGGTATTGTGTCCACACAATAAGAACTTTTTTCGACATGCTATCCCTATTTTGAGGTCATGTGACACTACAAAGAAGGGCTTTCTCGATGATACTGAGATCTTCGTGGGCTGTGTTGTGTGTAACACAGTTTGCAATATCAAATTGTGTGAAATCGACTCCAGAAAAGCTCTTGTCATAACTAGATGGCTTAATTTAGGTCCTGGTCTCGATCAAGAGGACCCATTATGGAAGGCTCACACCAACTCGCCCCATTCGCCCATTTTAGATTACGGATTTGATCCAGATTACTCCATTGAGGCACAGTGTCCCAAGTGGCGCTTTGAAGAAACAGCTCCTCGATCACTCGAGGACCTACGCCTTCGCAATCTTTCTTATCTCAGAGACAAGCAGTACAGAAGAATCATGCGTTATGCATACGGACGGTACACCTGGCACAGCCCATTCAGAGAACCTTCCACCAACAGAATCATTAATTTCGGGCGGTCCTTACAAGCTTTTTTGGGCATCTTTCCAGATCCAGCATTGAACTAAAGATACACTGCCCACCTTTGGCTTCATGTATCAATATTCTGTATACATTCTTATAGAGTTGCTCGATACTGCCGTTGGTTATGACTTTTTGACTAGAAAGGCAGGAGCGAGGTTGCGGGAACACATGAAGCCCGACTCGAATTCTCGATCATCTCTTCTTTTGCTTGTTCACTTGAAAGACAATTCGTGAAATTCGTTCTTGCTGTCCTCTGGCAGACCTTTTGAATACAAAGATCCACCGAGGCCCGCTTCCACCATGGCCATGAAGGTCCATATTCGCCCCCTCCTCTCCTCCTCCTCCTCCTCCTCCTCCTTACCCTCTCCTTGGTAAGTGAGATTTCTTTGAATTCGAATATGCAGATGTACCTGGGGTCGGAATTGAAGGCTATGCCTACGTGGACGCCTATGTGCCCGCCTACATGCCCGCTATCCTCTGCGTTGCCGAATGCTCGCGAAAACCAATTCGCCGGCAAAGAAACACGATGAAAATTCCAAAACACTCATATACATCTACACTATCACGGACGAGGGCTGGATGAGCTTTCTCGAACCTGCGCAGGAGTGCCACTTTTGCTGGGGATGCAATCGTCAGCCGCATCTTCGTCCGCAATATCCGATCCGGATCGATATGCTGCATCACTACATTTCAACTGGGACGCATCCATAGGCTGTTATTGCATACAACAATAACGAGATTAAGGGACTTATCGCTAATCCTTATGAATTTCAGGGCGCCCCGGGCACTAGTCTTCTCCATCCTGACTCCGAGGGCAAATGGCATCTCACTACGGACGAGTTGGCCGAGCTCTGCCAGGCGTTTCAAACCAGTATGTATAACTCGAATAGATTTAGCCCATTCGAGTTGATACTGACAGGTTTTGCCTAAAAAGACACGAAGAATTCAAGTGGCCGCTGGACCATAGCGTGCGCAATCATCGTGTTGATACTTGCTTTGCCCCGAGCAATCTGGGCTTGTCTCCAGATGCGGACCTTGTTGGAAGGCAGAGATCCTGAGGCGCGGGTAGCCAGAAGGCACCGTGGAAACGACGCAGAAAAGCCTGGATAATCTGACACCTGCTGTAGGGCAAGCGGTGGGAAGTGGGGAGGTTGCTGCCAATGCGTTGACTGCTGTCATTGCCAGTGGGTCGGAAGTTGCCAAAAGTTCCCAGGGTCTGACCCGTAGTGGGCAAAGATGTGGAATAAACATTCCGGCAAAGGATGACAAGTAGTTCACGGATGGTCGCATCCTGGAGAAGGAGCCAGGTGTCTGTATTACTAGATGCTCGCAACAGTTTCTTCTCAAAGAAAAGTTCATATATTAGCTTCATATCATAGCTCTGGCCCTTGCGGGTAAAGCCACACGACTTAGCACGTGATATTCTCTCTCGATGTCTGTAGAGTTTGAGTAGTACTGATATCTCGCTTCATACAGCGAAGGGATTGAGAATAGCACAACCTATCTGATCTTATTCTCCCCACATCCGCCTCGAAGTTACCCTGTAGCGCACGGGACCTCACTTCTAGTTTTGATATTCACGTGTACATTCACGTGATATGGCACGTGCGATATCTTCAAGGGCTTTCCAATTTTTTTTTTTTTTTTTTTCCGAGAACGTAATTTTGATGGCAATAAAATTCCAAGCAAATCATGGCAGAGGAAGTAAGGGTCTCGGGGGTTGTATTTGTGTCTTTTTCTTAGGACGGGCATAGGCTCAGAGTGAATTGGTCCCTGTCAACCCGCTCTCACCTCTCTCACCCATATCACCTGCGCTCACCCTGGAGTGTAGCTTGGGTGAGAATCATCTACAGGTAAGCCGCGCTACCACTGCACTGACCCCCTCGCTATCCAATAATAGGATCTTACGGGATGGTTTCTTCTGACCCAAACGGTCGGGATCTTGGCATCTGCACATAGCTACAACTAGAACCATTATACTATACAGAAAAGGAACAGCATTACTATGAAAGGTGTCGACATTTGCAGCCAAATATGGCTGGAACGTACTGATCTATTGTGGAACCCTGCTTTACTAAACATCCCCTACGATTGGACAACCTTACGCTGTACTGCAGATTCAACTGACTGCCGCTAGTTCCCTATTTTAGCGTCGTGGCATGAGCCCACGGGTATGTGCTTTTCTCAGGGGATTATTCTACGGAGGCCGGGGAAGACTCAAAAGAAGGTGTGGAGTGGAGTTGTTTTTCCTGCCTCTTTGAGCGATTTTCATTGGCACGGACTCTACAACAATGCACGATAGATCAAAACCCGACAGTCTGGATACAAACCCCTCCGTGTCGAACTGACAAGCGAGCCTTTTTTTAAAAGGGGATTACATTCATTTCATTGCGCGCGTTCCTCTTTTTTTTCTTTGTTCCCATCACAATGTCTTCCACTCCTTCCCAAGCGGCCTCGGCGCCATCCGAACCAGCCTCATCTGTACCAGCCAACGCTGATACCCCTGCCAACGCACCCATTGCGGTTGATAATTTTGGCGACGTAGGTCGAAGTGTCTGGCTAATTGTGACCCGGCAATTAATTTTCCCCTTGTAGGACACCAACAGTGAATTCGACAATGAGCTGTCCGATCTCACATCCCTGTCCTCGAGCGTGATGGAGTTTGAATATGAAAATGGTCGGCGGTATTGCAGTAACAGCTCAGTAAGTGGCCTTAACCGAGCCATGTCTCTAGGATGGCCAACTGACCTAGTATTAGGGAAATTATATGTATTTTCACCCTTTCCTTAGAAGCTCATAGCTGGGGAAGACTGACCAAGTTAGGATGCCGAATGATGAGGAGGAGCAGGATCGGATGGATATAGTAAGGCATCATCCCTAGCTACTTTCCATCGTCACATGCTGACTGTTTCTGCAGACACACCACATGTCCGTAAAAGTAACACATTACTGGTGAACGAGTGTAGCTAACCAGAGCGGTGTAGATGGCTGATGCTGCTAGGAGGAGAGCTCTACAATGCCCCGATTCAATCATCACCACAGAACATTCTTGACCTGGGAACCGGAACAGGCATTTGGGCTTTGGACATTGCCGAGTACGTGAATTGCTCCGACCTGCGTCCTCCATCTTTGTGTACCAGCAAGACTGATCCCGGATGATAGGAAATTCCCTAACGCCCACGTCATTGGAAATGATATTAGCCCCATTCAACCCAGTTGGGTGGCCCCAAATATCGAGTTCATCATGGAGGATTTCGAAAGCGAATGGCTGTATCCAGAAAACCACTTTGACTTTATCCATGCACGATGCCTAGCAGGGTATGTCCCAGCCACCGGTCCCCCATCTCAATGACCGTGACACTAACACGCTTTGCAGATGCGTGGCCGACTGGCCCGGGTTCATCGGGCGGATCTTCGAACACGTCAAACCCGGCGGCTACTTTGAATCGCACGAGAGTGCAGTGTGGGCCCGTAGCGACGACGGCTCCATCAAACCAGATTCCGCGCTGATGGAATGGCAGCAGGCCGTCAACCTCGCTGGTGACCTGAGCGGCCGCGACTTGAACATTTACCATAAGCTGAAGGACTGGATGATTGAAGCCGGCTTTGAGGATGTCAGCTTGTCGGTCTACACGCTACCATTCTCGCCCTGGCCGCGCGATCCCCATCTTAAAGCACTGGGGAAGTACCAGGCAGTGCAGCTACAGCAAGCTATCGATTCTTATTCGCTGCGCTTGTATACGCAGGTCCTCGGCTGGAGTGCGGATGTGGCTAAGATTCATAATGCTGTCGTGAAGCGGGAGCTACGGGATAAGAAGTTGCATGCTTATGTTCAAACGTACAGTTTAATCCCCCCCCCCCTCGCCCCCAATTCGACGGCTCATACTAACTTCGAGCAGAGTCGCTGTCCATGGGAGAAAGCCTCTTCGTTCCTTCTGATATTTGTTTTGTGGAATAACCTATTCACGGGTGATCAATGACAGAGAGTAAATTCTTGTGAAGGATCTAGTGAATGGCCAATTTCACGTCGTTGTTCGAAGCAGGACCAATGTCAGGCATCAGAGCAGTTCCAGGTGCAGGTCCTGGAGATTTGCAAGACGAAGCTCAACGTGAACTATCCTGACACATCGATGAGCAGAGACAACCTGTCTTTCACCTTGAACTCTTTAGGTCGTCGGTTCGAGCCAATTGGTTTGCTGCGAGATTGCTCAAACCAAACAAAAGCAAATACTTGGTCTACACCATTCTGGGTACTCTATTTATTTCACAACATTGCTTAGATGGGGAACGAGGGACCTATATTTAGAATAACTAGATACGCCAAGTACATGGATAGCACTGGTTCCACAATACTCCTGCATCACTCTCCATGTTCCCGGGGCGATCCCTCCATCGTTGACTTAGTGCATTACACGGTAAACTGGACTACCTTGTCGTAGCACTTGAATATACATGACTTGTATATTAAGGTATTGAGTACAAGCAAGGGCATCAAATGAAAAATGAACCAACTAAGAGGCTTCAAGATGGTAGTATGTTGCGCAGGAGTGTTTAGGCCTTGCGCTCGTGGGCGGGTTGAGCTGTTTCTTCCCCTAGAATACCTCCTCATCTCCATCCCCAATATCCTCTTTTAACCTTCTCTCCTCTCCTAGACGCATCTTTCTCTTCCACCATGGGCACCTTTGACAGCTATCTGCCTCCCGCCTTGAGCGCGGAGACCATTACTATATTGATCCTGTCACTGAATCTCCCTGCACCAAGCTCCATCGAGCCACTACAGGTCAAGGCTGCCTTCCATTCCATCTATCTCATCCATTTCCCATCCACAGAAGAGATTTCCGCACGAGCAAACATGGACGGCACCGTTACGCTGGTACTGCGTGTCTCCAGCCGGCAGCTTCCTGGCATCAAGACAAGCAACGAGGTAGGCGTCATGACCTGGGTGCGCCAGCATACCTCAATTCCAGTACCAGCCATCATCCGGTACGATGCAACGGAGAATCATGTAACCAGACACGAGTTCACACTGCTTGAGAAGGCAGCCGGCATCAGTATCGATCAGATCTACGCAACGCTATCCGACTCGGTCAAGACACAAATGATCCACCAATTAACAGAGTATCTGATAGAGCTGCACGCACAGCCTTGGTACGATGGATACGTGGGCGGGCTCACACTAACGCAAACGGGTGAGCTGGCGCGTGGACCACCAATCGACGAAAGCTTCTAGCAGACATAGGACCCAGAGAAGTACTGATCTGCCTCGGCCGGGGTCGAAAGCACGGAGACACTCGACAGCCTCAATCCCATGGCTGCAGACGGGTTTCCCAACTATGTGGCCTATAAACGAATGGCTGCCTGGAGCGGTATATCCACGCGATCAGAGTCCATCCTTCACTAGAGCCCTATCGAGACCTGGTCCCGCGCATCCGCGAGTTTATGGTGCAGCTACAGAAATCGGAGAATCAGACGGAGCTCAACCGTGTCGCCTACATACTAGCGCACAAGGACTTGCATTTTGCAAACATCATGTGCGATCCGGACCGGCCTGGGTGTCCGATCACCGCGGTTCTGGACTGGGAGTTCAGTGGTGTTGTTCCGGGCCCGCGATGGAACCCTCGGCGGGCGTTCCTGTGGAACATGAAATGGGACCCTGAAAACAAGGTTGAACAGACCCGCATGGAGCAGTTGTTTGAGCAGATCTGCCGCGAAAAGGGGGCGGCGCATATCCTGGAGCAGACACAGCTGAATGCAAAGCAGGAGTTGATGCAGACGGCCGTCAACCACATCCGCGCTATTGTTGAGGTGTGTCCACGCGGTCAGGCGCAGGACCGCGTGACCCACTGGTGTGCGGTGGCGGAGGCCGCAATGGAGGGATTCCGGGCGTGATTTGTATTATATTGTGGGTGTGCAGAGCCCTGGGGACCCCGACGTGATGGGTAGTGTCTCTTGATATAACTACGTCACCCGGGCCCCGAGGCTTAACCTACGTTTTCCAGCTTGGACGGCCACTCAAGGCTCATTTTTATCAAATAGCGCATAATCGGGATCTTTGATCTTGATGTAGGCACCAGTAACCCACATACAGACAGAGCCACCAATAGAGCCAGCGATCAGAAGCTTCAGACGGCCCAGGGGATCGATAAGGAAGAGCAACCAACAGAACCTGACGACGATCTCGACGACACCAAAAATGCCGGACATCATCTGGTTCAAGGACCCGGTATTTCCAAGGCTTGTGAAGACTGTAGGACTATAGTAATTGATGGCATTAATGCCCGAACAGTTCTGTCAGAAGAAGAGCATGAACCCAAGAAAAAGCCGCCACATCACCTTGGGATCGGCTGCGGCCGCTTTGGAAGGACTCCAAAAGCCCGTACCCATCCAAGCAGCCTGCTCTTCAAAGGCCTGATCAATCCTAGCAATTTCCTCTACGATGTATACATCAGTTTTAGAAAGCTGGCGGACCCAGCAGAGGTTCTCAATGGCATCATGGCGACGCCCACGGCCGATTAGCCAACAGGGAGATTCCCGAATAAGGAAGGCACCAAAAAATGTACTAGACATATTATTGAAGAAAATTGTACAGAATGTAAGCAAGTTAGTGTTGTATTGTTGTACGCTGTAAAGAAGGAAGTGGCCTTCTCCGGTGTCGCATTATACTGCTCGACCTAGCCGCAACGTTAAACTATATCATCTCTGGAGGTAAAAGAGGTATATGCAGAAAGTTCATTGCGAGTTCTCTACCACGGAAGCTCAGCTCCATCGTACTGATGAAAGCCCTCAGCGTTCTCCATCCCCGGAATGAGAATCTTAAGGAACTTCCCATTGATTTCTGTTGCGTCTTTGGCGACAATAGCAAGGATACCCTTAATGCTGGTGCCAACATCAAGTTGCGCCCATTCGCCGCCCATGTCAGTTTTAACCCACTGTCTCGACTATCAGCAAGTCGGATAGTTAATGATGACCTGTTAATACTTACACCAGGACAAACAGAGAAGAATGCAAATCCATCTTTCTCATACTCGATCGCGTACTGCGCAGTCAGGCTGTTGAGAGCAGCCTTAGAAATCTTGTATGCAGGGCAAGGTATCTGCGCCCATTTTCGAGCATTTGAAATGGCGCCTACACTCGAGCCCCTGCAAAAGAATCGAGTTAGCAATGATATTTCGTAATTTGAGCGTCAAATGAGTTTACATGTTCAAGATTTTCTTCTGAATTCCCTCTTTGAGTAGCGGTAGAAAGGCAGATGTCACGTTTTGGACGGTCTGGACATTCACTTGGATCACCTCCAACAGATTGTCCATGGCAGCAATACCCTCCGGGGTAGTATGCGTCATCCCGGCGTTGTTGATCAGGACATCCAGACCCTGGCCGGCAAGTCTTTCTTTGACCTGCTCGACTGCTGTGGCGACGCTGCTCTTGTCTGATACAGCCATGTGTAAGATAACGAGGCGGCCATTAGAGTTATTCGCTAGCTGTTGGAGTGCCTCGCTTGGTGAACCACGGATTGCAGCGAACACCACAGACACCTGCTCTGCGGATCGTTGGCTGAGTTGACGGACAAACTCGAGGCCGAGACCTCGTCCAGCTCCAGTCACTAAGTATGAAGACATTTGTTGATAAACTAGGTGGGGGCTGTAAGTTGTTGGGCGGGGCTGGGTGTGGACTAGCTCTGAGTGCTCATTTATTCTCACAAAACATTATCTTGTGGATACAATGAGCTTTATACTATTTACTTTGGGCTCGGAGATAAGCGAAGCTTGGTAATGCGACAAATAAATGCCCAGGTGGTGAGATCTATCCCCGAACAATCACCGTAAAATCCGTCTCTTTGGTTAGCTCGCGGTCAACTTCCTTAATAGAGTCTTGGCGGAACCTTAAATAGAGCCAAATCACACACATGTCAACTAGTAAGTGCTTGTACTCCGTCACAGTAGAACTCGAAAACAGTTTACCCCAGGACATTCACGCTTGGTTTCTCGGACTGTACCCGAGACCATGCTAGGCTATACTCCCGTATTTGGGCTAATCGGACAGCAATTGGTTCCCAATTCAAATCTTCATTTGTTATCCGTCGAGACTATACAATTTATTCATAATATAACACAAAGCCATTGTCACTGATCACAGCACAATAGTCGAAAATTTATCGTGAAGGTTGTCCGACGTTGGAACATTTGTATAAATTGCAGTTAACGTAAATTGGCAATTGAGTCATGAGTAGCTAGTTGAATGGGCAATGTCCTTCGCTTCCAGCAAGTTGTCCTGCAATTTCTTAATCTTATTTTGGACGCGATCATAGCAATCCGAGCCTAGTGGCAAGCGAAATAGGTCTCCCTTCCCAGCACCCATGCCGGTACCGTCTACGACTTCCAGAATTCTCTGAGCACATTTGACAGCATCCCCAGGTTGGACTTTGTTTGACTTGAATGCCTGGAGGACATGTTCTAAGGGGGTGCCGGCATAGCCCTTGTTCACGCCGGCCGCAGGCTCGAGGTAGGCTGTCCAAAAGTTGGTCCGAAGTGATCCTGGCTCGACGACAAGTACTCGAATATTGAATGGCGCCAGCTCCCTCGCGAGGCTTTCAGACATACCTACTTATTTTGTATTAGCAGGCCAACCCCTTAGATAGTCATACATTATGTTGTAATTAGCTTGGAAGACTCGCCTTCAAGAGCAAACTTCGTCCCGGCGTACATCGCGCAGGCGGGCAGTCCATCAACTCCGGCACTGCTGCTAATATTGACAATAGTGCCAGACTTCCTCGCCCGCATAAAAGGAAGAGCTCCCTTTAACACACGAACAGGACCGTAGACATTTGTGTTAAACTGAGTCTCGATTTCGGCCTCGCTCATATCCTCGATACTGCCTAGCAACGAATACCCGGCATTATTGACAACCACATCAATAACACCACCAGCCTCATTGATTGCATATTCCACTAGTTGAGATGTGTTGGAGCTCGTCACATCAAGCTCGATCCAAATACCGCCGAGTTTAGATATCTGCGGGTTGGCTTCAGCCGCTTTAGTAGGGTTGCGGGCCGTGGCGATCACTAAGTGACCGGCTTGAAGGGCTGCCTCGGCGATTGCGGCTCCGAGGCCAGAAGATGCACCAGTGATAAGCCAGATTTTGGATGCCATTTTAAGATTGTAGTAGGCTCGATTGAAATAGCGTTGCTCAAACTTAGTGTCGGGTGCGGGCAGTTCACGTTGGTTGTATGTAGAGAGGGTATTACTCGAAATTTGTAATTTGAATACGTGGCTTTGAAAATTGAGGGGCTAATCCGAAAGTTGTTGGTCGTTGGGAGGCTACTTATTGTATACCTGCCATTTCGGAGGTAAGCGGAGCGGGGTTTGGCTACTAATGCCGCTAGGGCCGGGAGAATACTGAGAAGCAGCCCAGAGATTGTGGGCCTGTCTAGAAGCCTTTAAATTATCCTTAATATATAGCGCCCTTAGCTTTTCTGTCTGTATGTTATATGCTTCAAAAGTAAATGAAAAGGGTAGGATATGTATCAAGCCCGATCACCAGCCCTTCTCGCCCATTTGAGAACCATCACAGAACATCAGTGGTCCTAGGATTGTATCTTCGTTGAAGGTCAAGGGTCAAGTGACCACTGCTTAGGTAGATAGCTCTCTCTGTCTACCCATCTGCATCATCATCATCATCACCCATTCTATTCTTCTACTCTACAGTCCCTGGTATGTCAAGAATTTCAAACCTTTCTCTACACTGCTTTTACGTCTCTCTTCCACTGACACACTCTCAATTTCGTTTTGGTCCTTCTTTCTTGACATCTCTTGGCATCTCTTTTCTTGATAGTTCAGGGTAGGGTAGTCGTGCTTTCCAAATCCAGGCACTTTCCTCGTAGACAGGAACTTCGTACCCCAAATCGTAGCATTCCCCGCGAACTGAGCCTCTCTTCTCTTTCCTTTCCCATTTCTTACTATAAGTATTCGAAGATACTGCAACTTTGGTGTAAGATTGAACAGGTCTGGGGTGTAGCCATACTGGCACCTGGCTGTCTTATTTAACAGGCCACATCGTTCATTTCGTTTAAGTGGAACATTACTGCTGTTTCAAGACAGCACAAACTGGCTCACCGTAATGCTTCCCTCAAGTGCTGTAGTTGCAAAATTGAATATCCCATACCGATACCCCATGAAGAACTCCCATGTGGCATTCAAACTGTAATCGCCTCCCAGATCAGTGAAAGTAACTCCATCCAAGCTGTACGCAAATTGACCCGTCGCGACGGTGGGCTGGATGTCTGCCGTTGCACGCAACCAAACTTGATCACCAGAAAATCCCACTGAGGCAATTTCTTCCCCCGTAGATATAGTGTTCCAGTCACTATCCATTTGTAGACCGGTAGTAACTCCAATATGAGTATCGCCATCGTCATTGACAATTCCAATCCAAGCAGAGGAGTCCCGAAGCAGAGCAAGCCCAGCCCGACCTCCAGCTTTGATAGATGAAGTGCTGAACTGTATTGTGGCAGATGATTTCGGGCCACGGATGCGGTGTGTGAGCGTGTTCTTGGCACTATATAGGTCATTCGTCACAGACGCAACTTGCAATGTGAGTCCGCTATCAATAGACCACTTGGAATTATCGGGGTTGTGGTTCCACTCCCATTGGGCATCCAAAGTCGGACCCGAGAAGTTGTCGGTGCTATCTGCCTGGAAAGACGAAGTCGTACTACTGGCTGCAATGTTGGGTGTATCATAGGTCGTGCTCCAGGAACCATCCACGAGGTTGACTGAGGGCCACCCATCTGAGTCCCATTGAAGCGGTGCAAGAACTGGGATACGGCCACCGGGGTATGCATCCACGAATGCCATAAAGTACCAATCTCCGTTGGGAGTATCCACAATTCCTCCTTGATGTGGATTTCCACATCCAGGAACTGGGTTGCCTGCATCGGTGAAAAGCTCTTGGATCGTGTATGGGCCCCATGGACCAGTTGTGGATTTGAGGACATACTCCGAGGATGGTGAACCGGGCTTGACGGTAAGGATATAAAAGTTGCCATCTTTTTCATAGAAGCGAGAACCCTCGATGTATCCAACATCTGATTCATACACTACCTTCGACGCAACTTCTCTCAGGCCATCTGATGACAGCTCAGATACGTAGATGTTGCTGCTTCCGTAGGCAGCATACATTGTATCATTGGCGGCTACCAAGAGACCAACGTCGTAGTAACACGAGTTGATGACAGCAGCCTGTGTCCATTTACCGTCAACGGCAGAGGCAGTATAAATGTATGTCTTGGAGAAATCGATGCATCCGATCCAATAGTAGGTTGATGTGCTTGGACGATATCTCAGCGACGAGGCCCATGTGCCTTGGATATATGCTTGACCACCGTCTAGGTAGTAGCCAGAGCCAAAAGCTAGCTCTGGTACTGAGTGTCCGGCCATCTCCCATTCCACGAGATTCTTGGAACGGAGGATTGGAGCACCGGGAGAATAGTGCATATTTGATGCGGAATAGTAGAAAGTGTCCTCAACGCGGAATATATCCAAGTCGGCGAAGTCCTCCCATATAATGGGATTCGAAAATGTCGCAGTCGCAACGGCGACAAAGAATAAATGAATAAGTAGAGCGAACTTCATCCTTGGTGCTGGAATACTTTTTAGCGGTGGGTCTTTCGGAAAGTCAAACAGATAGTGAATGTTTTATAGGCAACGAAACAAATGGGAATAGGCTAAAGAGATGAAAATCCAAGTAGCCCCTACATTTTACCCTGGGTGTCTCAGCTTTTGCAGTTTAAGTGCTGTAGATCATTGCCCTAATGTATGTTAGTAGTAGTTCGGCATCATTCCGGCATGAAAAACGGCTAATAACCCCGGACTTCCACATTCTCCAGTGGGTCCAAGCTGAGGAACCTCAAGCCACTCCGGGTATTCCGATGCCCTGAAATCATGCAGAATGTAAAGTTCCGAAGATCAGATTAGTATGAATGCATGTGCTTTCCATCTACATTGTGCCTAAACTGACTATCATGAAAATATGCACCTGTATCCTGAATTATCCGCCACGTACCAAGATAGGCAAATCTGCGGTGGAGTATACTAGGGATCAGTGTTCTCACCTCCTAGAGCTAACAAGACATGAGGCATATTAGAGTAATCGGGAATTTAAAGCCTGTGAGAAAGATATCAGTTGTCTATTTTTGAAGAGTATCTGAGCCTGGTCTAACGTCGGCCTAAACCTTCGGCTTCCTACATTCTGGTCGTCATGAGGATATGATTCTCCTACCAGGACTACAAGTAGTCTAATCATCCAAAGCTAAACCTTGTAGTACTTCCTCGCCCTCTAAGTCATAACTTCGCTGTTGAGTCTTCCTAGGCCGGACTAGCTCTGCACATATATCTTGACGCTGTACTCGGTGATTAACAAAGTATTCACCATTTTTAGACACTATCAACTTGCCATGAAAACATATGTCTGATAGTTTTTCCCTTGAAAGGCTGTTGATTCGAGCAGCTAAAAATCGACGCGATTCAAGAGGGCCCTCCTGCATGTTGATATTGCAAAGTGGACTTGTCAGAGAAATAGGGAGTTTTTATAGCGGATTATCAATTACACGTTGCATTTGAGTGCCATTGGATCATACTAAAGTTCTCATGAAATAGAAAAGGTCGAGGGCCTCATGAAGTTGGTGTCAACCCTAATGGCTTGGAAAAAAAGGGCAAAGAACAAAACGGTCATATTATTCACGGTGAACATTCAAGTGCAAAGCAATATACCCTATTCATTAAGGTCTTCGCTTTGCAATCGCAGTTAGGTAGTTCCTGAGTGGCGGTCGAACTCGGGTACGCGATTCAGTACGCGTCTGGGCGGTCAAACCACGCCAAACTGCCGCTTTCGAAACACAACTCCCTCCTCTTCCCAAGTCCATGTGAGAAAGCGCCCATCATGCCTTCGCGCTCTCGCCCTCCTCCCGAGGTCGAGGATGACTCGGGGCTTCACAGCCTCTCCTTCAACCAACCCCTCTCATGGCGCGTGGGGCGCGCTGCCATTCCCATCGCGGATCTCCTCGAGCGTCTCCAGACGCTAGCGCAGGAGCTTCGCAAACTTGACCAGGAAGAAATTGATAAGGAATCTCTCCGGAAGGTTTCGCAAGAACTTGCCAGCGGAAATCTGCTCGCTCATAAGGACAAGGGTGTGCGGGCGTGGGCTACGTGCTGCATCGTTGATGTTTTGCGATTATGCGCCCCAGACGCGCCATTCACGCGCAACCAGCTTAAGGTATGATAATTGACACTACACCGGCTGGGCGGGTGCTTTATGCGATCGTGCTTTCTAACTTGAGTCAATTAGGATATCTTCACTTGTATCGTGTCCTCGATTATCCCCGCGCTGGCTGATCCATCCAACGCCTACAATGCGCAGCACATCTACGTTCTGGGATCGCTTGCCGAGGTGAAGAGTATAGTTTTGATGGTCGATCTCGACCATCCGGACTCACTTATTGTACCACTGTTCACAGGATGTTTCGACATTGTTTCAGGGTCCTCGAAGGCCTCCACCGGTGAAGAGGTCGCCAAGAACGTCGAATTTGATATGACCAGAGTACTTGTCACGGTTATCGACGAATCACTTGTTCTGGCACCAGAGGTGGTTGATATTATTGTCGCACAATTCTTGCGGGTCGACCCACGAGTCACGAACAAGAAAGGAAAGCGCCCAGATACACAGGTCGATTCTAAGCAGGATACTTTATTGTTGAAAGATTATCCTGCCGCCTACAATATGGCGAAGGCTATTTGCCAGGCTTGCCCCGAACGAATGACCAGTCACATCAGCCAGTACTTTAACAACGTCATCATCGATGCGTCTGTGCCAGCTGGCCAGACAAACGGCCATAAGCATGGTGCTCGGAAACCCAACCTTGACGAGTCTGATGAGGAGGGAGAGGACATCAAAGAGTTGAGCAAGGCTCACCGCCTGATTCGGGAGCTCTGGCGCGCTTGTCCTGAAGTTCTGCAGAATGTGATTCCCCAGATCGAAGCAGAACTATCTGCGGAATCAGTATCCCTTCGATTGTTGGCTACGCAAACAATCGGAGACCTCGCGGCAGGAATTGGAGTTGCAGGACCCCCTCCCTCACCTCCCATGGATCCTGCTGCATACCCACCTGTGGCTCTGGTGGACTATGATAAGATGATCCCTCAGCCCAACATTCTGTTAACTCCAGTCTCCCCGAAGCCTTTCTCTCAGGTTCATAATTCGGCGTACGAGGCATTTCTCAGCCGTCGCCTTGACAAGACCCCGTCAGTCCGTGCTGCCTGGGCCACGGTTGTGGGACGGATTCTTCTAACATCTGCTGGTGGCTCTGGTCTTCACGAGAATGAAGAAAAAAACCTTGTCCGACACCTTGCCTCGATGCTCCGCGATGTCGATGAAAAGGTTCGTGTGGCTGCAGTGGATACTGTTGGTCAATTTGGCCTATCTCAAATCGTTCACAAACTGGGAGTTGATGGCGGCTGTTCAACGCCGGATTCACTTCTTGCAATTCTTGCTGAACGAGTCAAGGACCGCAAGCCCCATGTGCGTGAACATGCCATGAAGATTTTGGCTAGGATGTGGGCAGTGGCTGCTGGTGATATCGAGCAGAATACCGAACCTGTCGTTTCCCTCCTCAGGGACGCACCATCCAAAATTTTCGATGCATTCTACACAAATGACCAAGAGATTCATGTTCTGATTGACCGCGTGCTCTTTGAGACACTTCTGCCCCTTTCATACCCACCCATCAAGGCGAAGCTGTCTCGTGGTAATTCAAACCAATCACAAAAACAAAAGGAGAGCCAAGCTTCCGAACCCGAGCAAGAGACGGATGTCGATAAGATTCGTGTTCGTCGAATCCTCACCCTGCTCCGTGGTCTGGATGAGAAGGCTAGGCGAGTGTTCTTTGTCATGTTGGCACGTCAGTTGTCGATGAGGTCGGCCGTGACACTCTACCTAGAGGCCTGTGAGAAGTACAATGGCGGTGTCTTTGACAAAGACGAAGAACAGATTAAGGCCCAGCTGTCCAAGATTGTGGATTCATTATCCAAGACCTTCCCTGACGCTGCACGTGCATCAGCAGATCTCTGGAAGTTCGCCAAGGTGCATGATCGTCGCAGCTACCAGTTGATTCGCTTCACTATGGCGGCTGTGAGTGACTACCGCACTGTTGTGAAGGCAACAAAAGAGCTGCAGCGCCGCGTACAGACTGCTAATAACTCACCCCTGCTTGAAACATTGAATCCTCTTGTATACCGATGTGGGTCCTTGATTTTCAACCGCAGTCATATCCCGGCGATCATGAGCCTTTCCCGGACCGATGAGAACGGATTGGCCAATGCCGCCCAGGAGATGCTGAAGCAAATCTCCTCTCAAAATCCTGAGGTCTTAGAGGCCCAGGTACAAGAAATGTGCAAAGACCTCGAAGCTCAAGCTCCCAAGGCTTCTTCGGCCGGTGATGCCAATGCCGAGGACATTCTGAAGGCTTGTTCTGGCTTCGCTAAGAAGCTTCCTGCCAAGCTTCCCAAGGAACGCAAGTTCTTCCAAGCTCTTACCAACTACGCCCTCTACAGCTCATCCCCGCATGCGGCAAAGCACGCTGTCTCTATTTTGATGGCTACTGCTGACAAAAAAGAGATGTACGCCAAAGACCTTGTACAAAAGTGTGTTAAGAAGTGGACATATGGGTCTGATCGGTTCCTTACTCGTCTGGCTGCTTTGTCGCAGCTCAACCTTCTCGCGCCGAGAGAGGCAGACGAGGAAAGTGATGCCATCATTGCCATTGCTATTAACCAAATTCTGCTCACCAACCGCAACCCTGAACCAGAGTCTGAATACACTTGGTCAGAGACTGTGGATGATGAAACGAACGCCAAAGAGTGGGCTCTGAAAATCATTGTCAACCGCCTTCGGGCTAAGGACGGGGCTGATAATGAAGCGGACTTTCGTGCTCATGCCAAGCCTGTTTATGAGACTCTGAACAAACTTATCGCAGGTGAGGGCGAGATCTCCAAGAAGAAAGATACTCCTGCCGGTCAGAAATCCCGCCTGCGTCTCCTCGCTGCCAAGTCCGTCCTCAAGCTGTGTGCTTGCAGCACCGTCTGTGACGGTCTATTGACACCTATCGATTTCAATGCAATTGCTTTGGTTGCCCAAGATCCGCTGTTGCAGGTGCGAAGTGGGTTCATCAACCATCTGAAGAAGAAACTTGTGCAAAAATCACATCTAAGTCATAGGTGGTACATTGTGCCCTGTTTACTTGCCTTTGAGCCCGTTCATAGTCTAAAGGAGAGCACACTCACATGGCTGCGCTCTCGTGCAGCATACTTTGCTCAGCAAGCACAGGCTAGTGGGAAGCGGACAGAGCAGACCATGGTCATGGAACTGATTTTCTCGCGCCTCCTGTCTCTTCTTGCCTACCACCCTGATTACCCGTCCGAGGATTTGGACGAGTCAACGAAATTGGGCGACCTAACCGACTTCTCTCAATACATCCTTTACTACCTCTCTGCAGTGGCCAATGAGCAGAACATGTCTCTGATCTACCACGTTGGACAACGTGTCAAGCAATTCCGCGATGGCATCACCAAATCCGACGAGATCTCTACGCGCCTCCACACTCTCTCCGATCTGGCCCAAGCAACCATCCGCCGTTTCGCAGACGTCTACTCCCAGCAACACAAGTTCGGCGGTGCCACCGGCGCAACCAACATCCTGCAAACATACCCTGGAAAGATGGGTGTTCCCAGCTCTCTCTTCGCGTCCATGAGCGGCCATCGTGAGGCTCAGGACGTCGCCGACAAGAACTTCCTTCCTGATGAGTTGGACGATCTACTGGATCGTGTCGTCCGGAATGCCATGAAGCCCAGGAATGCCTCTCAGGTGGCACATGGCGGATCGAGCAAGAAGCGGAAGCCTTCTCTCGACACCAATGGCAAACCCCCTGCTGCCAAAAAGTCACGCAAGGATAAGCTCGCTCGTCCCCGTAAATCCTCATCATCAGTTGGCACATTCAAACCCAAGCGCAAGTCCAAGAATGAAGATGGCTGGTCTTCTGACGGAGGCGCCAAAGATTTCATGCCTGCTTCTACTCGCAGACGCAGCGTCAGAGGGACTGCCAAGACGGATGTCAGCTATATTGACAATGACAGCGATGAAGATGACGAGGAGATGGCAACATGGGATGAGCCCGCAGAAGCCAATCACGAACAAGACGAGGAAGAGGAAGAAGAGGAGGAACAGGAACAAGAAGCAAGCGATGACGAGGAAATGAAAGAGGCAGGCAACAACGACGAGGAGGAAAAGACAGACGATGAAGAACCAGAGGAAGCCAGCGAGAAGGAACCAACTCCACCTCCTATTCCCGCAAAGAAGCGCGGCGCAAAGGCCTCTACAGCCAAGAGTCCCGTCGCAAAGAAGCCCGCCACGACTACTTCTTCCACCTTGCCGACACGTCGCTCTTCTCGCCGCGGATAAATCTCTTGTCCTACGTGATATCTCGATACCATTCTGCCAAAAGTGATCATTGACCCTCCTGTCTCGTTTTCATCTGATTTATCTCCTGTCTATTTTCCACGTTGTGTCCGGATCAGATCAGATCAGATTCTTGTCATGCATATCATATCATATCCATATTCCCTTTCGCTTTCTTATCCATATCCATATCCTGATCCCCATTCTATTTCAGTTGATTTGATATTCATTGCATTTCTTTCTTCTTGTTTCTGTTTCTGTTTGTGTTATTGTTCATATTTACGTTCTGTTCCTTGCAGTCGATGCTGGTTCGAGATGTATACCCCATCTGCTTTTCCTACTTGATTTTATCTACATGGGTCTTCTTATGTGGATTTGATTGATGGTTGTTGTTTTGCCGTTTCCCGTCAAATATGTGTTCTGCCTGTAAATGAATTGAACCGTAGTTTCAAAATTCAGCTTCCCATCTGACCAAAACTAGAACCTTGGATCATGTGTAGTTTTACGTTGCGGTGGTGACTGCTTGAGCAGCACATTCAAGTCTGTCAAGTATGAAGTAGCAGTTTACAAGTATCACAAATGGATATAAAAACAACTCATATTTACTCAAACCCTCACGTCTCACTCACTATCTATTACACATGAATCAGCCAAAAAAGCACAAAACAAACACCCCGATGCGGAAACATCTAGCACCTGAAATATCAAGATCACAATCAAAACCAAGACATGAATCAAAAATCAAATCGCTTCACCTCAGCGCAAGACAGAACAGTCCTATACAAGCACCAGCGTGTAGAGATGAAGAAGTTATTCTGAAGACAATTGGTAATGGATAATAAATAGATGGAATTGAGTCAAATGTGTAACAGAAAGAATACAAGCCTTCTGAAAGAAAAGGGGTCAAGATACGGATAACAAATAGTGGGGGGAGAAGTATCACACGCGACGCCGTTGTCATCAAGTCATGAACGAAATTGACTATGGCTGAGGCCCAGCTGGAGAGGGAGAAGCACCATGCATTCCATAGGCTCCTGGAGCGGGACTTGCGCTTGTGGAGGTTCTGGCTCCGGGGGCAGGGCTGACATCACCGCCGACGCTCTTGATGCGCTCTTCGACGCGCTCCTTGTGCTGCCTGTTGCGGAGGTGGACTTCGAAATTGTCCACTGTCATGCCAGGACCTGGGGTGTAGAGTTTTCCTGGACAATCGTGGCAGCGGATTCGGGGAAGGTATTGATATTTGACTTTCTGGCCGTCCGAGAGACTGTTAGGGTTGGCCACTGGGGCGAGGGTTTCGGTGTCGACGGCGGAGTATCGCATCACTCCTTCAAATGAGTCATTGGGATGGGATTGTTTGAGTTTTTGAAGACCAACTGCGAGCCAGGGGGGTGGCGGGGGCTGCGGGAGGCAGGGGAGTCAGCCAAGGGCCAAGTACTGGGGTTAATATCTACTCACGCCAGAGACACCAGGTTGCGGGGGGTTCGGGGCATCAACAGCTCCGGTTTGTTGCGGTCGCGGTTGAACATGAAGTCGGGATCTATCGATTGGAGGTGCCATCGCTCGCTGGGAACCAGATTGGAAGGGATAGATTCGCTTTCCGTTTCTCAAATCGACAAGCTTATCTCGTGGCATCCTCAGTCTGACCACCAACTTTTCGGGCGGCTCCTCTACACTTTCCTCTCGGTATTGCTGGCGTCGAGATGAGACGCGAGGTTCGTATGCCATTGGTTCAGGGGTCGCGGATTGGCCCAGGGTTTGCCGAAGGGCCGCATGAGCTGCACTTGCCGCACCACGCATGCCTCTCGTGCGAGCGGTCCCTTGTGCGAGGTTGGGACCAATTGCCGGAGACCCAACAGAAGAATCGTCGCTATCAAATTCATCAGAGTCATCATCCCGGTGTCCAGTCATTCCACGGCGGCGGCCAGAGCCAGTTCGCTTGACCACGTTGCTTTCTTCGAAGGAACCGACTGAATTGGGAATCACAGATGAAACAATCATTGTGCGAATCGTGCGTTGCCGGTCCTTGAGATCTGGCAAAGCCGGGCCGCCGCGTCGGTTAATGGATCGCTTTTGACGGCGCTGCTCTCGAGATATAGAGATTTCGGTGCGTTCGAGGTCTGCCTCATTCAGCTCGTAAAGATAAGGCGTATGCTCTTTGGCGGATTGGTATGGTCGGAAGGCCGAAGATACGGGAGTAGGAAGGAAAGAGGTGTGCAGGTCTGGGTCCTCGATAGGGCGACCATCGAAGGGGTGAGCAACAATATACAAGGATTTGGTGAAGAGCTGAGACTGCTCGCGGATTGAGTGTGCAATGGCGGTAGTGAACTCCCCCGAGAGAGACAGGTCATCCGTCATGCGCATGGCAAACTCTTCGGGTGAGTTATTGGGGTCATTGATATCCCATTCAAATTGATCAATGAGTGTATGTTGACCGATGGTGATGTTCAGCTTCACCAGGATGCGCATCTCATCATTTTTGTATGCGCTGTAGGGGAGCTGATCATCGAGGGGATCTTCATGAATGGAAAGATGCGGGTAATAATCCATCACCTGCTCCTGTATGCTCTGGGAAATCATTCGCGCTAGAGGGACAGAGGACTCCAATGGAAGACCCAAGTCCTCCACTAGCTTCTCAGCAAACAAGTCCGGGGATACAATTCGGTCGTGGAGGTTCCAGGTGAAGGTATCGCGGATCTTGACCTTGTCCCAGTCGATATCCAACCGAATAGGTACGAGATCCTCCGTCTGCTCGCTTTGAATCTTTGCATCGCGTCGTGAGACTCGGAGTTCTCGCGTCTTCCGGTTTCCTGGTCGGCGTCGGTGGACGGGGTACATAAGTTGAGGATGTTGGTTGCGAAGATCGGTGCGTGGGTTTCCAAATCCCTCGTAGCCCACTCCATATAGGGCAGCCGGGTTCATCTGGTTTTCACGTCGTACTGCTAAATAATAGTCGCGCTCTGCCCGCTTGTTCTTTTGTAGATCAAGGCCGGGATTTTGCCAGGCACCAGCTGCAGCGTGCTGGAATTCGCGATCGACATATTGCTCAAGAAGGATCTTATCAAGTGGTGTCTCGCGAGCACGAACGGGCATGGCACCAGAGACCTCTGTCGAGCGTGCAGCGGATCCGTCGCGCGATTGGTTTCTTGTGGAGCTGTTTCCATTCGAACGAGCGGTACCGTTGGAGCCCTCGCTACCCTCCGATGCCGAGACCCCTGAAGCAGCTAGCATGGCTTTTGCGCTTTGTTTTCCTTCGGCGATTGTGTCTGGTGTTTGACCGTTTGACTGGGCTCCAAAGTCAATGCTGTCACCTAGTTCCCCTGTGTCCGACGCGCCGGAGCCGTGCTGAGAACCCGATTGAGGGTCTCTCGGAGATTGCTCGAATTGCAATGGGCCACCTGTCATTTCAGGGGATGGCATTGTCAACGGGTCGAAAAGCGACTGGGAGGCGAACTTGGATGACACTCAACACAACAGGGATATGTTGAGACAAGTTATGGTAGCATTATGGTACTAGACCTAAACGCGCGATCAGATCTTGATTAGCATGTGTTTCTGGAGCATGAGGCATTGTACCAGTTGCTGTCGCGACCGTGCCACCCGTGTCACCGATGACATTGAACGTGTCGCAATGGGGGTATACTCCGAATATGCCACAGTCACCAGCTGAGGATGCGCAACCAGGCCTACCTGGTGTGGCATATGGGAGATAGAGCCTGGGAAGCTGAATGGGGAGATCAAACATACCAAGGCGGAAGGAGAGCTTGATGTTTCGTGAATGGACCGGCAGTTCCAGCGCAGAATTCGCTCTAGTCGGAAAGTCCAGATCAGCTGGTTTTATCGCGGACGATGTTCTATCCCAACTGGTTCTTCTATAACCCGGGGGCGGTTGTGATTCTTAAGGGCTGGGGAGGTGAAAGAGGCAAAGAAGAAGAGGGAGAGGTCCCGTTACAAGTGTCCGCACCCGTCAGGATCAGAAAGCAAGGAAGCGCGCTGTCTCACCCACGTCAACAGCCAAAGGGGATTGAATAGGATGATAGGCTTATACGAGATCTGAAGCTATTCGCAAATGACCAACAATAGGCTCCCAGAGGGCCCAATACCTCCAATACCATTTTTACTGTATTCGCGCTTACCGCTCTTGGCGATCATGTGATCATGTGTTTAGTCATGCCATTCACGTGTCCATCTGGAGGTGCTGCATACAGCTTCATGTACAAGACTTGGAGAAGAAGGTAGTAGCTGGATAATATTTGGGTTGTATTGGTAGCTACTGGCTTTTTACATGACTCTTACATACAAAAAGTAGACATGAGGGCTGCGGCATAGACTTATGGATTATACTGGATTTTAGATGGAAGAACTGGAGATATGTACAAAGGTATGCCAAATACGAGTGCTAAAATTCCAAGCAGCAAATACCTTTCTTCGCCTTTGGAACCTTTCTTTCATATTTGATTTAGATATATACATAGAGAAATAAAGTGTTAAATCAGAGGCGAAGGTAGAAGTATGGATATCTACTGTATTCGGCTATTTCTGATCTACTTCTTATAACCAAAAATCGAAAGTATCCGCTATTGCAGGCCCGCTGGTTTAATGGTATAATTCACCGTTCGGATTCAGTTCCAGTATTGGTTATGATACTATCTCGGTGAGGCTCCGCGTTCGATTCGCGGGTGGGCCCTGCTTTTTGCTGGTCTATTTTTGACATTTGAGTATCCTAGTCGTGAATAGAGAACGAACATTGTGCTTGAATATATTGAAGCTTTGAAGGAGCGTGACAAAAGAGGGAATGGTTCTTTGATGTGATGATGTGATGATGTGATGATTATAGTAGGTAGAAATCCTGATAGTGAAAGACGTGCTCTTTATAGGTACTGATCCCATACGGGTATCAAGACCTGCTAAAACAAATGCGTATTATAATGTCCCGGAGTCTGTTCACTAGAAGTATAAGTCCACGTATATACTCGGGTGGCAAACTCCACTTCGGCATCAATGGATGCCGAAACCGAACTGCAGCAAACCTACAACCTTAGCTAAAACCTGAAACATACACTGCGAATCCGTGGATGTGTTCATGTGTTAATAATCTCATGTAATCCTTGATTTTGAGCAATCAAGGCAAAGATATGATTGGACTGATCAGATACTGATTTCTCACCTTTAATACATCCTCGGCCATTGGAGAGCGCGAACGACCGCACTCCGAAGACACTAACTTGGGCCTAACCCGGCTAATTCTGACGCGTCCGAGACCTAACTCCGAGTCCGAAAAGATGAATGATATCTTTTTATATAGGGGTTCTGCCCCCAGTCGTGCTTGCCAATCCACAGACTTCCTATTTGATACACATCATGGCGCATCCATTCGACTCGAGTGCCACCACACCTCGATTAAGCATGGAGAACCAGTCCAACCAGCCTGGCACAATTGCCAGCTCAAATGATGACAAAGCCGATGTTGAAAGTGCACGCATACCAGAAGTCAAGGAAAAGCCCACTGAAAAGGACCCAAACCTCGTTGAATGGGATGGTCCAGACGACCCCGAAAATCCGCAGAACTTCAGCAAGGTGCGCAAATGGGTCATAACTTTGACTATGTCCTCCATGACCATGTGGATTACCTTTGCATCCAGTGTCTTCTCCACAGCAACTCAGGTTACCGCAAAGGAATTCAATGTCTCGACCGAGGTCATGATTCTGGGCACCAGTCTGGTCGTCTTTGGCTTCGCACTGGGCCCGCTGTGCTGGGCTCCACTGAGCGAACTATACGGCCGTCGTATCCCACTGTTCTCCGGCTATGCTATCTTCGCCATCTTCCAGATCCCCGTGGCCGTGGCCCAAAACCTGGAGACAGTCCTAGTCTGCCGCTTCCTCATGGGCGTATTTGGCTGCTCACCTCTGGCAGTCGTCGGCGGTGCCATGGCTGATATCTGGGATCCCATTGACCGCGCAGTGGCCATTGCTCTTTTCAGCTCAGCAACCTTCCTCGGACCCGTCATGGGCCCAATCATGTACGTATAATCATTCCCAATGGCCACACAGATACAGATACTAACACCACCCAGCGGCGGCTTCATCACAGACTCATACCTAGGCTGGCGCTGGACGGCCTGGATAACACTAATCGCGTCATCTTTCTTCGGGCTAGTCGCCCTCCTAGTCGTCCCAGAGACATACGGACCAGTCCTCCTCCAAAAGCGCGCAGCCCGCCTACGCACCGAAACCCGCAACTGGGCCCTGCATTCCTTCCTCGACGAACACAAGCCAACAATGTCCGACATCGTCACCAAATACCTCCTCCGCCCCTTCCAGATGCTTTTCCAGGAACCAATCCTCCTCTTCATAACCATGTACCTAGCCCTAATCTACGGCATTCTCTACCTCTTCTTCGAAGCCTACCCAATCTCCTTCGGCCAAGTCCGCGGCTGGACTCACGAAGGCGTAGCAGCGCTTCCATTCCTGGGTATCCTCGTCGGCGTCGTGCTGGGCGTGTGTCTAATCATCTACACCACGAAGACCCGTTTTGCGCGCAAACTCGCCAAACACGGTCGTGTTGTACCCGAGGAACGTCTCGTGCCGATGATGATTGCTTCGGTTCTCTTGCCCATCGGTCTCTTTTGGTTCGGGTGGACTTCTGATCCTAGTATCTCGTGGGTGCCGCAGGTCATCGCCGGTGTGCCCATCGGAATGGGCATTCTGGTTATTTTCATGCAGGGCTTGAATTATATCATTGATGTCTATATGATGTTTGCGAACTCGGCTATTGCGGCCAATACACTTGTGAGGTCTACGCTTGGTGGCGCGTTCCCTCTCTTTGCTACGCAGATGTATACCAATCTCGGTGTGGATTGGGCGTCTAGTGTTCTTGGGTTTATTTCTGTTGCTATGATTCCCATTCCGTTCTTGTTCTTCTTCTATGGCGCGAAAATTCGCGCCATGAGCAAGTTTAGTCCTAAGTTCTGAGTGGGGTTGTGGTTGTTGTTTTTTCTTTTGCATTTAGTAGGGCTTGCGAAGCTTCGGAGTCTAGATGTCTGTTTTATTTTGCTTTGGCGTTGCATATTTTAGAACTCTCCACATTACGATGATAATGAATAAGATTAATTGTATTCTTTAAATTGAGTCTCATTGTATTGTCTGTAGTTTGATAGTACGGTATAAGCCACATGAGGACGCCGACTGTAGGGTTAAGGTAGTGTAGAGCGGTTGATTGTAGAGCGGCATCAACACCTACAAGTACTACGTATACTGAGATCATTCGAACGTAGAGATTTCTCCACCTGTATTGGCTATTATGGCACATTGTATGCGGCGAAACAGGAAAGAAAAAAATCAGAAAAGAGCATATCTCATTAGCCCAGCGAACAAACCCACATCTCCACCCTGGCGAAACGATCTATGCATAAACGAATCCCCGTGCAGAAAGTCAGGTATAGCTGAACCAAGATAGAAAAAGGAAACAAGTCATATCACCCCTTAACAAAAGGGAACCCATTTAATCATAGAGGCTGTCATCATTGCCGGCATCGCCGAAGGTATCATTCTCCTGGACCTCACCAGCGGAGGGGAAGCGGAAGAAGCTACCACCACCGGTGTTCTTAAGGCTCTGGGCGAATGCCTCGTAGCGACGGATCTCGACGTCGCTGACGGAGCGGCGAGCAGACTTCATGGCCTCCTCGAAGTGGGCGCGGGTCAGCTCGGGCACGGGGTCCTCCACATCCTCCTCGTCAACGTCCATTGAGACATCCTCGCCAGCGGCCTCGCGCTCCTTTATGCGCTCGATATCGAGACTGATGGCCTGCTTGATGGCGAGCTTGACGGCACGCTGTGTCACGAAGCCAAGATCGGCACCGGAGAAGCCGTGGGTCTTGCTGGCGATGAAGGACATATCGATATCGTTGGCGACAGGGGTCTTACGGAGCTGGGCCTTGAGGATACCCTCACGAGAAGCCTGGTCGGGAAGGGGAACGTAGACCAGAGTGTCGAGACGACCGGGACGGACAAGGGCGGCATCGAGCTGCTCGGGACGGTTGGTGGCACCGATGACGAAAACGTTCTTCTTGGAGGTCATACCGTCCATCTCAGTGAGGAGCTGGTTGACGACACGGTCGGAAGCACCACCGGCATCACCGACGGAACCACCACGAGACTTGGCAATGGAGTCAAGCTCGTCAAGGAAGACAACACAAGGAGCAGCGGCACGGGCCTTGTCGAAGATGTCACGGATGTTGCTCTCGGACTCACCGAACCACATGCTCAGCAACTCAGGACCCTTGACGGAGATGAAGTTGGCGGCACACTCGTTGGCGACGGCCTTGGCCAACATGGTCTTACCGGTACCGGGAGGACCATAGAACAGTACACCACGAGAAGGCGAGAGACCGAACTTCTGGAACATCTCGGGGTGGTCCACGGGGTATTGGACACTCTCGATAAGCTCGCGCTTGACCTCCTCGAGACCACCAATGTCGTCCCAGCGGACGTTGGGGACCTCGACGACGGCAACCTCGCGGAGAGCGGAGGGATTGGAAACACCAAGGGCGTAGCGGAAGTTCTCCATGGTGACACCAAGAGCCTCAAGAACCTCGGCATCAATGGTATCCTCATCCAGATCGATAAGGTCCATCTTCTCACGGATCTGCTGCATGGCAGCCTCAGAGCAGAGGGAGGCAAGATCGGAACCGACGTAACCGTGGGTCTCGGCAGCAATGGTCTCAAGGTCAACATCCTCACCAAGCTTCATGTTCTTGGTGTGGATCTGCATAATCTCCAGACGGCCAGTGGGGTCAGGAATGCCAATGTCGACCTCACGATCGAAACGACCGAAACGACGAAGAGCAGGATCAATGGAATTAGGACGGTTGGTGGCAGCCATGACGACAACGTTGGAGCGGGCCTTCATGCCGTCCATGAGGGTGAGCAGCTGGGAAACAACACGGCGCTCGACCTCACCGTTGGTCTTCTCACGCTTAGGAGCAATGGAATCGATTTCATCAATGAAGATGATGGCGGGGGAGTTCTTCTCAGCCTCCTCGAAGGCCTTGCGCAGGTTGGACTCGGATTCACCGGCCATCTTGGACATGATCTCGGGTCCGTTGATCAGGAAGAAGAAAGCACCAGTCTCGTTGGCAACGGCACGAGCCATCAAGGTCTTACCAGTACCGGGGGGACCGTACATGAGAATACCACGAGGGGGCTTAATACCAATGGACTTGAAGAGTTGGGGGTGACGCAGAGGTAGCTCGACCAATTCACGGATCTGAGCCATCTGCTTGCGGCAACCACCAATATCATCGTAACCAACCTCGTTAAGGTTACCCTCCTCGTCCTCTCGTTGGATGGGCTCGCCCTCGCAGTGAATAATTGTGTCCTGGGCAACAATGCCATACTCTGGGGGGTCGACCTCCACGACCTTAAACTCGATTTGTCTCATACCACCTCGTACTGTGAACAGGTCACCCTGGCGGACTGGTCGGTATGCCTCACGGAAGTAAGGAGCGAGGTAGACATCGAAGAGGGAGCCGGTCAAACCCTCAATGGTATCGGCAATGGGAAGGACAGCAATGCGCTTGGCCTGTTTTGGGAAGACAAATCAGCATGCACTCATCGAGAACCCGGTCTAAAATCATCAACTTACATATTTGATATCGGGGCAGGGGTGGACAGTGATGATGTCGCCGTGCTTGACACGGAGGTTGTGGCGCACAACACGGTTGATACGGGCGCTCCCGTCATCAAGATCGTCATCGGCAAGGACGATCAGCACGGTGTCCTTACGCTTCTTGCCCTTAACCAGGACTGTGTCACCACGGAAGAGCTGGAGAGTCTCCATGGTGTTGTTCGACAGGGCAATCACCGAGTTATCATCGTTAACGGCATCGGTCACACTAACACCGTTAGCTTTTTGTCCCGAATACCGTCATCTTGCAATCACTCACATCAACGAATTGGGCTTCTTCTTCTTCTTAAGAATAGCAGTCGAAGTGTCGAGCTCCTGCATTCAGAGTCAGTTCTGCGATGTTTTCAAGCTGTCCGACAGCATAGTCTTACCTCCTTCTTCTCGGCGCCAGAGGCGTCCCTGCGGTCAGAGGTTAGCATCATCGACAATCAAAACAGCACAGAAGCAACATACTGGAGGTTAACCCTCTTCTTGTCGTGTGTGTGATCCGGCTCCGAAGACATGATGGCCGTATCTGAGGTCGTGACGTGGAAGGAAGCAAGCTTGGGGGAACAGAGGTGTCAAGTGCCCAAAACCAGGCGGTTTAAGACACGGAGATTGATGTGGAAGTAAAAATGAAGACAGAAAGAACGATGCGATGACCGACGGATCAAAATCAGAAAGCGGATCGACGGGGGAAAGATGGAGGGAGCAGGAATGATGATGTTGAGCTCCAGGTCCACCGCGATGATGATTAAGCTCGACGCTTATGTCATGGGTCTTGTCCGCCACAGCGAAGCAGATGGAAGTCAGTCGATTGGCAGCCTTGGTGCCTGAACTATCGATTCATTGTTTGGCTGCTAAGGTCCTTATGCAATGGATGCTTTTTACGAAGTGAAAACGATCTACACGAAGTGAAACATCCGAATGCACCGGATAATACGCCCGATCTATATGATTATGTCCACAAAACGTTCAAACCACGCAAACTGCGCATGTAAGAAGATCTTCACACCATCTGATCACGTATTGAACCGTTATTCAATGGCCGTAGACTGGATCGGTTATGTATTTCTGTTACTTGGAGAATTCCCTTGATCTGTAAAGTGAGCCCGGTACTTCAGATTGAAAAGCTGTCTGTCATATTCCTGACGAAGCCTTGGTTGAGAGGTTATATAGATCGGTCCGCGGTACCTCACAGTGCTAATACATACGCCGGTCTAGGCCTAGGGATACTTTCGATGTCGACTGCATGTAATGACAAAAATTCTAATGGCCTGGAACAGTTCCCTAGGAGGCTCACGTAGATTGCACCTGTATGGTGACTGCGCCATCCAATGTCCAGGTGTCGCGCATCCCAATAAGATCGCCGAACTAAATCGTTGATAACTTGCATCGTCATAAAAAATACCAATCCTGAAACCTGAGTACACCTGTCAAAGAGTGCACTAAAGCGTTACTCACCCTCAACTCGTTCTCGCGCAACTGTCGTTGCCTGACATCCGTTTACCTCATCCCCCAAGACCGATCTATATCCTCCCATCGCAGCACAAACACGTCCCCAAAAACCGAAATGTGCATTCGCTACGAGCTTGACCCCGCCTGAGGCCATGGCATTTGATTCCAGCTACCCAGAGGACTTCAAAAAAGCCCTAAAGTACACAATTTCCGACAAGGACATCGACCAATTCCTCAAACATGGCGGCTCCCCGCGCTTCGTTTACGGGGTATTGATGCTCCCAACCGTTCTCAAGTACTACATCGATGAAGACCAGAGCAAGAACATCCACAAGCAAATGACACAAGCCACATTACCCGGCTACCAGCTCTACGAATTCGCCGATTCCAGCGCGCCTGTTATCGCGCCTTCGAACAATCCTAAGGCCAAGGTTAAAGGAATGTTGATTTTTAATCTCAGCAATGAAGAGCGGAACTCTATCTATGAGTTTGAGAGTGGGCTGATGCAGCTTTCGAGTGTGCAGGTCGATATCATTCAGAAGAGTTACTTGGGGAATGTGCATGAAATGCGGAAGATCGATGCTGGGGCTTTTGTTTGGGATGGAAGTGTTCATCTTTTGAGTCCTATGATTGGTCTTAGGGTTACTCATGGGGCCAGTTGGGATGTTGTTCCTTACCTGAAGGGTCGGTTTTACCGGGATATCAAAGCGTCGCAGCGTCGGGGTGCTCGTGAGAAGGAGACCATGGAAATGGAATCTCAGACGAAGTATTCGAATTGGAATCAGGCAGGAGGACAGGAACCTGCATATCGTGCCTCTCTCACAAAGATGATCACTCAGACGAGTGCAAATGAGCTCATGGATGACGATGATGACTACTCTGGTACCTCGAGTCCCAAGACTGAAATCTTCATGTACACCCTCGACGATCACGAGGCAAAGAACCGATGAATGATGGCATTTGAGAAGTGACTGAAATAGCAGGGAAGCAGAAAGGGCATGGCCATGAACAGACTTCGCATCTAATGTCTCTTAATTTGTCCACTTTTGACAAAATAAATGAAATGCATCCTTTTTCAAGACTCTATTGGTTAAGCAAATAACAGCATATGCGCTATGAAAATCGGATGAAAAGTATGTGCAAGTAGTATGGTATAGTCAGACAAGAAAAGAAGGTATAAGAGCAACGAGTAAGCCAAAATTTACGCCTTGGCCGTTCCAACCCAATGGTCATGCAAGCTCCAAGCACCAGCACCAAAACTGATAAGTCCAGTCAAACTCTCGGGGATACCGATGCCCTTTTCCAGACACCAGTGAAGGCACAAGGGCGCCCAAATAGCATTGTTAACCAAGCTCTTGCGCCAAGCCCGGATCTCCAAACGCAAAGCCTCCTTATCCTCCGCTTTGGTTTCCTTGTTCTCGACAGTACCGATAGCTTCTCGCTGCGCAGCGACCCGCCGTCTCCGCAGTACGCTCTCGCGCCAGAGCACGAAGAACTGGAAGAAGATGTGTCCGAACCATCCCCGCGTACTCCAGATATCCCACTTGGTCATGCCACCATATTTATCTACGAAGCGCTTCGAGACAACGCCCTTGCCGGCAAGATAGGCCACGTTCTCAAGGAGCTGGTAGAACACGTTCGAGATAACCTGCAGCACGGTCAGGGCGTGGAGGATCGGGTCGGCGGGCGGGTTTCGCAGCGTGTCCGCGCCCCAGATCCATAGCGGGAGGAGACCGAAAAGGCGGAGGTTGTATCTCGTTTCCGAAGCTAGTGTGCAGAGGGCCGCGAACTTCGATTTTGAGGATGCGGGGGTGAGGTTCTTTGGCGGCGCGCGGCCTTTTAATCGGGCGAGGAGGCTAAGACGAGTCTGGAATGCAATCCAGGGGGCGGATGCTGTGAGGTGGTGTAGCATGGAGGCTACATAGTTGATTGTCGCGAGGACGCGCTCTTGTCCGTCTGCGTTGGAAAGTAGTCTGGTGCGGTTAACGTTAGCGGTGTTCTCGGTGGTTGCGCGGTGTTGTCAGTCGTATAGCCGACTGCTCTAATCCATAGGTTGTGTTCGCATTCCAGGGAGCTCCTTACTGGTCTAATCGGCGAATAATCACATCTGTTGATGTCAAGATGCCCAGCAGTTGTCGTTTCGCGCACGAGCTCTGCGCCGACGGGGCTTTCCCCACATGGTGTTCGGCTGGCTCACTTTTCTCAGGCATAGGGGGGATATGTTCGGGTTCGGCCATGTTGGAGATGAGAAAGACTAGCTTCTCTCAAAAAATTAAGACAGAAGTTATGAGTTAAGTTATCTCGGAGTAGTTGGGCGAGTTCCGACATCCGTCGACAGACCTCGGTACTTTCCGACCCGTGAAGGTTGGCCTTGCCCTTTTGGGCTCAACTTCGTATCATTGAATTGAGTGCGAAAATATATTTGAACTGAAGGAGAATCTCTCCCCGATAGCGGTTCGAAATCTATTTACTTTTATAGGGCACTGTTGGGAGAATTGACACATAAATAACGCAGTTCTATACTTCGGCTGCACATTCCTTTCATGTGGTAGTCGGGTTTAGATCTGGTCGGGCCAACGGCTATCACTATTTGCTATTACCATGATCTTATTGCTCGAATCCAGGCATATAAAGCTATGGATTTCCCAACCATTCTTCGGCAATCCATCTTCTCGACCTTCAGACCGAATTGTGATTTCCGACCCACTTCTAAACTGCAGTGTGAGATAGTAATCCGGTAGGCAATCTATCGGTGCTTGACTGCATGCAGGTTGTATATCTATCTACTCTAGCCTGCGAAATAGGCCTCGGTGAAGCCGATTGTTGGGCACTAATATCGTGGTATTTGCCTCCCTCTTTGCAAAGTCTGACTACATAACTCATATGCAGTCTGGCTTCTTACCACTAAACAGTCATCATATCCTTCCTATGATTAATTGGGGTTCCTCATATCTCTCAAATAATACTTTTCTTATGTTGCATTAACGTCTTAAACATATAGCAACTCACAGAGTGCTGTAGACATTGACACACAAAGAATCCTGCATGAAGGAACGCTGTATTATATGTAGACTTAGAATAAGTCCTGACCTGACTTTCTATGTCTCAGAGACTGCCTAGGAAAGCCAACCATCTACTCTCATAGTCTCCTACTTCAAAGAGGTTGTGAATTAAATGAAATTGTGGCAATGAGGACCTGGTTTGTTAGATATATTACAATTTTTCCAAGCACAATACAGACTTACAGGATGGTTTCAGTTCCTGCAGTTTTTCCACGGAAAACATGATAGAAAAATGCCGAGGCCAAATACAGCAATTCTTCTACTCATGTGTGACGAGAGTCCCCAGACTGTGCAAGACAGGGAGGGTGAATTTGCTCGAGGGGAGACTCAGGAAATTGTTAAATCAGCAGGGTAAAGTGCAGAGAAAAGCAAGCATGAGGATATAAAAAGTAGGGTTCACTAGGTCACGTCGCACATATAAGATGAACTCCACCAACTCCATCTTGTGGAGTTTAGGAGATTTAATGGGCGAAGTGGATAGTCCCGTTGATGTCGATTCATAAACCGGGGGGTTCCGCTCTGCGATCCTACAGTGCATATCTCGTATATCCGTCCTGACCTGCCACTTTTCCATCACCGCTCATTTGCGCCCCTCTAAGACTACAGGATAGCATCAAAGTCTCCGCACAACCTGACAATTATACCCCGCAAAATTATATTGAAATTGCCTTGAGGTTGGGCATACTAGCCGAGTTATGCTTCTTCAGCGCAGGGATAGCTTCTTTACGGACTTTGTCTTGATCATTCTTGTCACAAAGTAGATTGCTGGTTGAAATCTAGTATGTAAAATTGACATTTGGCCTTATATAAACAGCATTTGTAAGTAGAAGATGAAGCTCAAGTTCTCATACAAAAGCCGGGGAATTGGGCTAGCGTGTCGGAGAAGTCCGACCCGACCAGCTCCAATGGAGGTGGCCGGGTGAAGACTGCACATATACTCATTCATCCCCGAGATCTAGGAGTCAGACATTGCAATTGTGCGACTACACATACGTGTATAGTGAGTGTAAGTGTCTCAATGGTGCCTCGGTTGTGTCGGCTCTCTCATCTCCCCAACAGCCGGGGAGATTAGGTTGGTGGCTGGGCTCCAAAATAAACAACTCCCTCCCCCGTCTCTTCCACTTTCCCATCTCATCTCCACTTTGGTTGAAGTTGTGATCATCCATATTTCCAAAGCGTTCTCTTTCATTGACATTTTCCAGGCGCGCGTTTGACCCGACCTGACCCCAGCCCCTCCCCGATCGCACATCATGTCCGTCAAGTTCTCAGAGGAGACCACCCGCGCCGTCACGGGCGGCAAGTCCGAGGACCTCGCGCACCGTGTCGGTGAGCGATTGACCGGTGGAAAGGGAACAACTGGGTATCTCCAGGTATGCAGCAGCACCGTCGAATTCCCCCAATAGCCTCCACCGCCACTGACACCAAAAATGGATCGACACAGGCCTACCTGCTCCAGCTCCAGAAGAACCCGCTGCGCACGAAGATGCTCACCTCTGGTGTGCTCTCAGGTCTGCAGGAACTGCTGGCCTCATGGATCGCCCATGATGTCGGCAAGCACGGTCACTACTTCAGCTCGCGCATCCCCAAGATGTCGCTGTACGGCATGTTCATCAGCGCACCGCTCGGCCACGTCCTCATCGGCATTCTCCAGAAGATCTTCGCCGGCCGCACAAGTCTGAAGGCTAAGATCCTCCAGATCCTCGTCAGCAACCTGATTGTATGTGTCGAAGAGCACCCGACCCGATCCACAGATATATCCCGCTGACACCCTTCCTCATTCGCAGATCTCCCCTATCCAGAATGGTGTCTACTTGACCTCCATGGCTGTCATCGCTGGTGCGCGCACCATCCACCAGGTTCGCGCCACCGTTCGTGCCGGTTTCATGCCCGTCATGAAGGTCAGCTGGGTCACTTCGCCCCTGGCTCTCGCCTTCGCTCAGAAGTTCCTTCCCGAACACACCTGGGTGCCATTCTTCAACATTGTCGGATTCTTCATCGGAACCTACGTCAACACCCACACCAAGAAGAAGCGTCTGGAAGCTCTCCGCAAGGTATGTCGCGATTATACGTGGAATTGGCATATAGCCGCTAACAACACTCCCAGCGCTACGACCAGCGCCGCGATCCCCGCGATCCCCGCGACCCCAGCTACGAGAAGCGTGACTACCCCTAAATGGGACCAAGTTACACCCTGTGAACAAGCCGGGGAAAGCAGCAGAACCCTGCTGAGATACTTCCTGCTTGTTTGCAGTCTCCTTTTGATATTCCCTTTGTGCTTAATTTTCTCCGGTGTTGATTTCAATCCATGTATACACCCCCGTGCATCTTGGCATGCCACAGATATCTTCCCCCTGATGTTATTATTCAATCTCATGACGAATGGCTTTCCTGTTTCATTTATCCCCTTATATACGTTGTTTCCTTCTCAGTTTGGGCTCGCGCTCTACTCTCTTTCCTTTGTAACTCGGGATAGACTGAAAGAAATAATGCTTTAGATATAATTGGGTCATGGGGCCTCTTTTGCATTCATATGTGTAGAAATACTGATTGATATCCCCACCATTCACTCACAGATAGATGCCCAAGCCGATGAAATGCAATAGAAGAAGAAGAAATAGAAACAAGCCAGACGCGACATGACAAGAAGAGCAAAGCCATCCTGCATCCTTATCACGTCCAACCCATCCCCATCATCAACCCATAAACAAAAGCCCAGCGAAACACGTCTCTTCACACCCATCCCCACAAATGAACGCCTCACTCAACATCCATCTCACTCCCCTTCCTTTTCTCCTTAACATAGTCCACAAAATCATCCAGCGCTCCCGGCCAAGCCCCATCAGGACTCCACCACCCAAACTCCTCATCCTCACGACTCTTCCGCATAAAAACCTCAACCTGCTCCCACAGATCCTTATTAACAGGCTTCTTGCCCCGTCCCTCAAGGAACTCAATCCACCAATCCAGCCACGGCGTTGACTCCGTATTCCATTGCACGCCGCCATGCTCGGGTGTGAAGAATAGCCGCCATTGCTCGGCTGCGATTTCGAATTGGAGGTTGCGCTGTCCTTGCATTCGCGAGAGTGGGAATGTGTATCTGTACACCCTCCTGAAGAGTTCTGGGTCTTGTTGGATTTTTGTGCGGAGTGTGTTGGCGTGCGCTGTCATTTTTGGGAGGGTATCGCAGCTTGCGGGTGTTAATCTTGACATTTGGACTGATAATTGATAACTAGAGGTGGTTGGTGGTTGGCTTACAATGCTTTGCACCAGCCTTCTGTGAAGCCCTGGCGGGTGATCTCGCCCATTGAGGGACATTGCAGTAGTTCGGCGATGGCGAGGCAGTTTACTTCGTCTAGTTGGACGTTCAGTGCGCCTAGGTATTCAATTGCCCGCTCGATGCCGATAGTATCGGGACTTTCGGATGGGTCATCTGGATACTATTAGTTTTTGTGCTTGTATGATTGAGTAGGATATCGGTTGGTACCTCGGTAGCTGTCGAAGATCTTGTTGAGGGAGTTGTTGTTGCCTAGTGAGCTGGCTACTGAGCCAGTAGAAAAGTATCTAGGTGATTCAATGTTAGCTTTGAGGACTGTTTGAACATTGTTCATGTGGATGTCTGGCTGAGGGGGGTCATTGTGAATGTCGTCATTGAGCCTTAGACGGAGGTCCCAGAGATGCCGGATGATTTGAATTATTCCACAAGAGTAAGACATTGCAACGGATAGTCCCGCGAAACAGTTTTCAAACAGGTTTTGGTCTTGACCACAGCAGATGGTCTGGCAGCTTTGATATCTGCCGGCGTGTTGGACCTCATGTCCCGCGTGGGGAGATGCATAGATGGGACCTCAAGGTTCATGTAAGAGAGAATTCAGCACTTACGAATCAAGCGCAGATGGCAAATTCCAGCCACTTGCTTTCAGGAACTGTGACAACAAGTCAGTCCTCTGGATACACGTGATCAAGCATGAAGATGAGGAAAGAGAGAAGCGGCGGGCGAGAAATGGGGCAACAATAATGTCATGAACATACCTTGGCTGCAACAGAGTCTTTAGCCTCTGTACAACTGACAAATTCAGCAATCTGGTGCTTTTGTTGGGAGTTGTAGGCTGGCATGGTGGGGTTGCGCAATATTGCCTACTGCTTGGGTGGATGAAGAAGGGAGAAGATTGAGCCCCTGTAGAAGATACGATGGGCTAGTGTTCTATCGTCCTTGCCTGTTCTTTGTTGCCGAAAAACCGAGATCTTTTGGGGAGAATACACTAGAGCTATGGAGCGCGAGTTCTCATCCCGCTTCCCTTGGGATCTTGGGATCTGATGGCTTTGTGCTGACTCAGCAGTCTCGAGACTCCGAAGGTCAGGCCTCGAGGGTTTCTATAGATCCCCAGTTTTCTGCTGTTATTGAACTGTTTCATCCTTTAAGATTCAATTCCTCTCTGTTCAATTACTCATCTGGTCAGGGATGTGATAGATCATGTGATAGAACTTGTCTACCCCTCCATCTCACAACATGTTACTACTTCTTTTCTCCAATCAACTTTGGCTTGGAAGCTCCTTACTGGCTTTGTTTTGATCGCATCATTGTATTTCTTGGCTCCAGCCTTAAACTTGATAGGAACGCCCAGCATGTCGATCACCCATATTGTCCTCTTCCAATTCAAATCTGACGTCGCCGCTGATGTCGTCCATGGGGTATGTCTACACGCATTATGATGCATCTGCGAAGAAGCTTCAAAGTCAGTTTATATGTGAGCACAAATTTAACACTTACCAAAGGCTTGCCAGCGTATGCTTGTCCTCAGAGACAGTTGCCTCCACCCGTCATCGCAGAAGCCTTATATAAAAGCGTCCATAGGCGGGAAGGATAACTCACCAGAAGGGATACAGGTAAGCCAATTCGGAATCCATCAACCTATGGAATGTAGTAACAGTTCATTGACTGGTGTTATACAGAATGGCATTACACACGCCTTCGTGGTCGAGTTTGCAAACGCTGCAGACCGAGACTATTATGTTAAACATGATCCCGCCCATCAAGAGTTTATTAAGAGTCTTGACGGAATAATCGAAAAAGCGCAGGTTATTGATTTCACCGATGGAGTCTTTTAAGAATTTCACTTGCTATTATAGGTGATAATATACCATATAGGCCGAACTTGTCTACGCTATAGCTCTCGATGATAGTGGCCACATAACGGTCTATTCCGGATTCAATAGACTGTAGTCTAGCCGTGGATGCCTAAATAATCTAACTGTGCTATGTGATCCATGCATATAATCTTTCATCCTTCCTATTCTGTCCACGGGTTGCAAACTCTCGCAATTATTACTCATATTTCTGCCAGATCAACCCATTTCTTCTGTTTTATTCCATCTCTGTATACTGAGAGACCAAGAACCTCCAACATTGGCAAATCAAGTATTCCCCCCCCCCTCCCCTGCGCTTATCCGAGGCCTTTCTGATGACTACATCATCACGACAACCTTCTCAAAACTAGATTATTTGCGTGAAATTGCAAGGGAAATCTACGAATCTTTCATAAAAAACAACGGACGCAACCAATGGCTCCTTGTTTCCGGCCTACCAGCACAGATCATCCGAAAGCTAGACCGCGAAGAACATGACACTCTAGGTCCTCCATTCCGTTTCCAGCGGGATGGTTCATTTGGTCTGATCAAACTTGTTACCTCAGAGAATTTTATCATACAATTGTGGATGCTCATTTCCAGCAAATTCAATGACATGAATGTCGGCATAATCCAATACACTTGGGCTGGAAGAACAACCTTCAAACCCACCAAGAAGGGTAAACAGGCCGAGCAAACCTTCTTTCCACTTTGTCGCCTAAAGACCACACTCCGCTCACAATCCGATCACCGTGGTTACGCAACGTTCACTATCGAGAGAGGCGTATCAGAATCACTCCCTCGCCACCGAGAAGAAGCGAAATGGTAGTTCGCCCATTCGAAGGGTACGGTGCGGATTTTCCTACTTATGGCGAAGAACGAGATTGAAAAAGCGTGTACTCCAGGCTCTCCTGTGTGCTATGCTGATGGACCGGCCACCGAAACTTGGCGGCAACGAAGACAAACCTAGCGAAGGCGATGTCAGTCCCAACGATGACGATCACTAGAGGAGACTACGGCTGATATTAATGTTGCTGAGATTGTTCGAGTGCGGCCTTGATTTAGTTTACTGCTTTGCTGTTCACTGCTTCTGTATCGATTTGCATCAGAGACAGCTGGTTGCTACCTGTTCTGAACAGTCCATTTAGAACATAATGTACTAATTAGACTACTGTATTCAAAGCCCATTACGTGTTCAGTATATCAGAAAAAGAGATGATTGCCGTCAATTCATGACATTAGAACCAGTGAACACAGCGTTCGAGCATAGTAAGTACAGTGAACTTTTGTAAGATCAGGCAGATCAAATGAAACTCCAAAACGCCCAATTCGAGGATGTGAACATGCAAGATCCGGTATTGCGTAGTTGCTTAGGTCGTGAACAATGAGTCCTCCTATTTCATGTTAGCGGCTTATTCTTCAAACTAATCCATTTAGGACGAGCTAGACTTACCTCACGGAGATATTCTCCCACGTCAGCTGCGAAGAGAAGAAAACGTTAGCATATTAAAAAAAAGCCCCTCGAAGATGTGATAGTTACCTTGTCTGAACACAACAATACCTGTTGGGTCCAGCTTCTTTGCCTCAGCGGAAGACCGCGCAGTGACACCGAAACCAAGACAGTTGTCGCTATCATCGAACACTAGCACACCGGCATGCTCTGGTAGATCCTCAGACCATCTGTGGACATGCGCCTTGAGGACGTTGCCTCCGTACAGATAGGGCATCTGGGATTGTTGTTAGTTTTACCGAATAATCACCGAATAGGAACAAACTTACAACACCGTTGGACTTGATCCAAACCTTATAACGGGCGTGGGGAGAGATCACATCCAGGCAGGTAAGAGCCAGGCGGAACTTGCCAGTCTTGGTGACTGTTCAATGGTCAGTATTGGGACCAAAAAAAGAAGATCCGAGGCATTTCCGAATTTGCCTGTGTTGCGGACTAACATTTTCCAATCATTGTTCCCATAGACAGCAGGTTTTCACGGGGAATCGAGACCGAAAGGTTGGCGAGCTTCAAGGGCATGTAGAAGACACGGCTTCCCTGGAGACGGAAGACATGTTGTTCGCCGGCAGGTCCCTCCTCAGTGGGGGGTGCGATGAGGTTGTTCAGCGATCGCCCTGAAAGATATGACTGTTAGCTTTGTGTCCGCTCGATAGAGTCCACGGCCAATTGTAACAATTGATTGCGCTCAATAGCAGCGATCACAGATAAGCTGTAACAAAGATTTTCTTACCCGTGTAGTGAGCAAGCTTGCTGAATAGCGTTCTCGTTTCTAAGTCTCGTTAGTACTGTTTTCAGGGATCAAAATTGAAGCAGCGCATACCTTCTTCGGTCAGTTGACGCATCTTGCCGGACTTTTAATTCTCAAAAAGTTCAACAAGAGAAGAAACAAGACTTATCGGGCTACGATACGTGCCGGCCAAAGGCGGTAACGGAACGACTTTTTCATTGCGCCAAGCCAAGACTTTACTGCCGCGTGCCTGGGAATTTTTTCTTCAAGCCTCCACGATTTTCACCGTCAAACTCCCCACAATTGCAAAATGGCTCGCCCCGAAGTGAAGCGGAGACGTCTGAGTCCTCCCGACGATGTCGAGGATCAATCTTCGCGCTCAAAAGCTGACGACGAGTGGGATGTCGAGCAAGACTACGAACGCCGCCCGCGCAAAACCACCAAGAAAGCCGGTGAACGCACCCGATTGCCGATCAAGACCTCTGAAGGCTTTGTTCAGGCTGATGACGAGCCCGAGGACCAGGGCGAGGAAACCGACAGCTTTTTGGGCACCGACGATGACGAGGATGAGGAGGGTTCCGGCGATGAAGACGAGGAGGAATCCGAGGAGGAAAAGCCCAAGATTCCCGTGAAGGTCCAGATCATGCAGGCCAAGGAGGACCTAGCGAAGATGGCAACCTTGATCAATGAGGATCCCGAGGAGCACATCTCTCTTTTCAAGACCATGGCCGAGCTGGTGTCAAAGAAGGATTCACCTGTTACGGTTAAGAAGCTTGCCCTGGCTTCCCAGGCGGCTGTCTACAAGGATGTCATTCCCGGATATCGCATTCGCCCCTTGTCCGAGGAGGATACATCTGGCAAGGTGTCAAAGGAGGTGCGCAGGCTCCGTGATTTCGAGCAAGGGCTTGTCTCCGGATACCGCGCCTATGTGCAGAAGCTTGGTACCCTCACAAAGCCGTCCAAGGCAGATGGCCCCACCGATGCTGGCCTGAAGACTGTTGCGATTAGCTGCGCTTGCAGTATGCTTCTAGCTGTTCCTCATTTCAATTTCCGCGGAGAGCTGGTCAAGATTCTGGTCAACCGGCTTGCACGGAGAACGGTCGATGCCGACTACGTCAAGTGCCGTGACACCCTCGAAGAAATCTTCGCCAAGGACAACGATGGCACTGTCTCTCTGGAAGCTGTCCGCCTGCTTGCAAAGATGATGAAGGCCAGAGACTTCCACATTCACGAGTCCCTCCTAGACACATTCCTTCACCTTCGCCTGCTCGGTGAGCTACACATCAAGGCTTCACAAGACCGCGTGGAGAAGGAGGAAGAAGACACCGGTTTCAACGGAAAGAAGAAACAGAAGCGCGAGTTCCGTACAAAGCGTGAGCGCAAGGTGCAGAAGGAACGGAAGGAGGTCGAGAAGGATATGCGACAAGCCGATGCAGTGGTTTCAACCGAACAAAGGGACAAGAATCAGGCCGAAACACTAAAACTCGTCTTCGGTCTCTACTTCCGCATTCTCAAGCTCCGCCATCCCACCCTGATGGGCCCCGTTCTGGAAGGTCTAGCCAAATACGCTCACCTAATCAACCAAGATTTCTTCGGTGACTTGCTGGAGGCATTGAAAGACCTAATCTCTCACGCTGAGCGTGAAGAAATGGGTGTGGAAGGCGATGAAAACACAATCCAAGAAGAGGAAGAAGACGATGGAGAGAGCAACATCTCCATCGCAGAAAACACCGCCCGCGATGCCCGTCGCCGAACTCTCCTCTGCACAGTGACAGCTTTCGCCCTGCTTCAAGGCCAAGACGCTAGCAAAGCAGCCTCATCCCTCCATCTCGACTTAAGCTTCTTCGTCAAGCACCTCTACCGCTCCCTCTACTCCCTCTCCATGAACCCAGACGTCGAATTCAACCCTGAAAAGGCCCTTCGCCTCCCAGACCCCAATTCCGCATCGGAGAATCAGCTCGCCCAATCCCGCTCCAAGAACAAGGTCAATTTCCAGACCCCAATGGTCCTTCTCCTCCGTTGTCTCCAGCCAACGCTGTTGTCCCGCGCACACGGAAACCCGCCCCCAGTCCGTCTTGCCAGTTTTTCCAAGCGTCTTATGACAACCTCCCTTCAGTTGCCTGAGAAGTCTGCGCTTGCTACGTTAGCGCTTATGAATCAGGTATCGAAACACCATGGCCGTCGTATTTCGTCGCTGTGGCATACCGAGGAGCGGAAGGGTGATGGTGTTTTCAATGCCTTTGCTAACGATGTTGAGGCTACCAATGTTTATGCTGGCTCTGTGTGGGAGGGTGAGTTGTTGCGTGTGCATTATTGTCCGCAGGTGCGTGAGGCGGCGATAGACATTGAGAAGATGATGTCTTCTTCCAAGTAAATACTGTTTTTTGTGCATAATATTACATGCTACTTATACTACGAGATTTATGGCGCAAGTCTTTGAAGGTACTTCATCACGTTTAGTCCATAGCTAGTCACATGATTATCTTGTAATTGTTCACTTTGGGATAATATCTTCTTGAGGGCTTCCTCATAAACAGATACAATTACAGGAGTATCATAAGCCAGAAAAGGTGATAAAAAGGAGGTGAGAAGAGGGCGTAAGGTCTCTATAGGGACGCCTTAGATAACGAGCTCTAGCCTTCGATATAGAAGCGTCTATACATAACCAAAGCACGTCAGTAATCGCTGCATTGTGGATAGGCTATGAAAACATACAACGGCATCACTTGGAATGAAAGTGAGGTCAAAGCGAGGAAATGACCAAGAGGAGATCACCTACTACTTTAAAGTCACGTTGTCTTTATACCACCCTTATGTTTGATGGACAACGTGAGCAAATCAACCTCTCATTCGTATCTCAATACCCTAGCTATGCAAGACCACCTACTATACCTCTCCTCCCTTTCTTCTCCATCTCCATCTCCATCCCCTTCAGCGTGGAGAGATATGACACCACCATATCAAACTGAAGCAGGTCTATGTCGCAGATGCAACAAGCGTTCAGGGACGAGTCTATCAAGCCGTTAGGCAAATTCTTAGTTACGCAGACGCTGCGGACTCCCCCTCCCCACCATCTTGCCACAGAACGGCCATACTACCGATTGTAAGTGTGGACGATTCCATCCACAAATTGTACTTTACTAAAGCCAAACAGCATTTCACGGGAGTCATTGAAGAATGCCTTGGAAAAAAGCACGCCAAACACGATAATGCAGCTATTTTGGCCAATTGCTTTTAATTGGTGAGGCGCCAGGAATAGACAGACTACATGATAGAAGTTTCTTTGGGCGCCCATATTGAAAGAGAGGGATTCTAATTGACGAAGTATCAAAATGTTTTCAGGTACGAAATGTGATAATCAGGATCAAAACTGCTTGCCTTTGAAACCAGATTATTCCTTAGACAGTACTGAGAACCACATTGATCCGTATGCATAACACTCATACTGTTGAGTATTCCGCACGCATTGCAAAAATATTTAGAGAAATCATTGTTCATTAAGTTCATAGGTGTCATTAGATACACACTGGATAAAGAAAGCAAGATGGCACCTTATCTCGAAGATCTATCAGGGCCCTGAACATGCCAACCAAACCAACATGAAAGACAACAAAAGGAAATCATTAACCATAAAAAAAGCAACAAAAAGATCAAGAGGTGCAAAGGAAAATCGTTAACAAGTAAAGAAGCGCAGATAATACAGGGGAATAATGCGGTTGAACAATTTTTTTGGTGAGAGGGTCGGGTCGGCCATATACTTTGGATTGCCGTTTGCCGATATACTTCGGTTAGGGTCACGCCAACACGTGACACCCCCTTCATTGAGTGTTTTTGAGCCAAAAGTAGGCAAGAATGGGGACTGCAATGACCGCCAACCAAAACAAAGGCCTGGTGAATCAATGTCAGTATTGCGAATGGATCGTCATATATCCTGTCTATCCCATTGTTTCCAAAAGTCGAACCAAGGAAATAAATATAAATTGGGGATATAGGGAGATGAGATGATCATTCTAGTTGGAGGACTTTCCACGACGGAAGGGAGAGAAAATGGCTCCAAAGAAGCCCGAGAAGACAGTGCGCAGGATGGCCTTGAGCCAGCTGTCAGGTGCGTTATTCAGAGAAACAGCAGTCACTGACCGGTTCTGGCTCGCTGGGCGAGCATCATCATCGTTGTTCTTGGGCGCAAGGGCGTCGGAGGGCTTGGAAGACTCGGTGGTCTCCTGGGAAGGTTCGACAGCGGGCTGACTCTCTGTCTGAGCGGGCTCGGCGGTCTTGTCAGTGGAGGCAGCGGTCAGCTGGTCAGTGGAGGGCTGGTTGAGCTTGTTGAGCAGAGCATCGCGGTCACCAGCGAGGGCTGCAAGACTGGGATCAGCTTCGAACGACATGGCAGAGGGTTGCTGCGAGAGATAGAACGGTGTTGGCTTACCGTCTTGGGGCTGAGTGTTGGCGGCGGGAGCCTCGGGCTGATTGTCAGCCTCGACGGTTGGCTCCTTGCTTGCCTCAACGGCCTGAGTATCCTTCTGGTCCTTGGGGGACTCCTCGTGAGCGAGAGCGGCTGCGCCAGCGGCGGTGACGGCTACTGCAGCAGTGGCAGCGGCGGCACCACCAAGGATCTCGGAAGTAAGAGCATCATCCTTGGAATCTTCCTGCTTATTCTGGGCGGCGGGAGTCTCAGCGAGAGCTTCAGCCACAGGCTCGGCCTCCTTCACCGCAGTGGGCTCAGGGACAGCCTCAGTGGTAACTGGGCCGGGGGCGACAGCTTCCTCGAGCTTGGTCTCCTGTGTAGGCTCGTCAACGACAGGCTCAGCCACAGCCGGGATCTCTTCCTCAGTCTTAGCAGCCTCCTCGGGGGTGGACTCCTCAGCCTTGGCGGGCTCAGGAACAGTCTCAGTGGCAACTGGGCCAGGGGCAGCAGCTTCCTCGAGCTTAGTCTCCTGGGTAACCTCGGGCTCTTGGGCGGGTTCCTCAACAGCGGTCTCTTTCACCTCTTCAACCATCTCGACGGCGGGAGCTTCGGTTGCAGGCTCCTGCACAGCAGGAACAGTCTCGGGAATGTCCTCCTCGACAACGGCTTCAACGACTGGCTCAGTAGCAGTCTCAGCGACTGGCTCGGCAACGGGCTCAGTGGCCTCAGCGACAGTCTCGGCGACCGTCTCAGCAATTTCCTCAGCGACAGGCTCAGGAACAGCAGCAACGTCAGCAATCTCCTTCTCGGCAACGGGCTCAGAAGTCTCCTCGGTGGCAGCAGCCGCGCCGACAGCAGCAATGCCGGCAGCGACAGCGGCAGCGCCAATGGCCACCTCTTCCTCGGCAGTGGAAGGCTCAATATCCTTAGAAACGAGTTCCTCAACAGGGGCAGGGACAGCCTCGGCTTCCTTCTCCTTCGTCTTCTCCTCAGCAATGTCGGTGGGAGCAGAGGTCTCAACGGCAGCTTCGACGGGAGTTTCTTCGACAGCGGGAACCTCAGCAACGGGCTCAGGAGCCGCAGCCTCAGCAATTGGCTCTTCGACAGCAGCCTCAGTCACTTCCTCGGTCTTGGAAACCTCCTTAGGCTCCTCAACGGCGACCTCCTCAGCGGTCTCTGCGGGGATGGCCTCAGTGGTCTCCTTGACAACCACAGCAGCGGGAGCGGGAGTCTCCTCGGGAACAGGAGCCACAGCCTCGACGACAGTGGCCTCAACAGGCGCGGCCTCGGGGGCTTCCTCCTTACGAGCTTCAGTGACAGGCGCTTCGACAGCAGGGACCTCCTTGGTGGTCTTCTCCGCGGTCTCCTGGACAGGCCCAGCCTCGGTAGACTCCTCAACCTTCTCCTCGACGACAGCTGCGGGAGCAGTTTCCTCGGTGGCCTCAGCGGCGACTTCGGGAGTGGCCTCAACGGCAGCGGTTTCGACAGCAGGAGTCTCGGTGTTTTCCTCAGCGGCAGTAGCAGCAGGCTCCTCGACAGCAGCCTTGACCTCAGCAGGCTCTTCAACAACCTGTTCAGTCTTCTCAGCAACTGGCTCAACAGCCTCGACCTCCTTGACTGGCTCAGCAACCAATTCCTCGGTGGCGGGCTGCTCAACAGGAGTCTCCTCGGGCTCCTCCTTGGTTGGCTCAGCGACAGTCTCGGTGGACTCGGCAACGGCCTTGACCTCCTTAGTAGCAGGCTCCTCAGAAACAGCCTCAGTAGGCTCGACAGTCTTCTCGGCCTCAGCCTCAACAGCGGGTTCTTGAACAGACTCTTCAATCACAGCCGCCTTGACAGGCTCAGCGACGTCCTCAGTCTGCTTGGGCTCCTCGACAACAGTCTCCTCCGATACTTCAGGAGCAACTTCGGCGGGCTTAGCCTCTTCAGTGGATTCAGCGGCAGGTTCGGCAATAGCCTTCTCCTCGGCGACTTCAGCAACATCGACAGTCTTGGCCTCCTCGACGGGGGCTTCGACGGGCTTCTCCTCGGCGATAGGCTCCTCGGTGGTTTCGGGGGTGGTCTCGGTAGCCTTGGTCTCCTCGACGGCCTCGGCGGCAGGCTTCTCCTCAGCAATGGGCTCCTTGACGGGCTCGGGAACGGCCTCGACCTTGGATTCCTCGGTCGATTCGGCAACAGGCTCAGCAACGGGGGCGGCAACCTCTTCGGTAGCCTTACTCTCGTCCACGGGTGCCTCGGGGATAGCCTTCTCATCGGCGATAGGCTCGGGAACCTCTTGCGTAACCTTAGTCTCCTCTGCGGTGGCATCAGCAATGGGCTCAGCAACCTCTTCAGTCACAGGCTCGGCAGGGGTAGGAGTCTCTTCGACAGCCTTCGATTCCTCCACGGGGGGCTCGGGGGCAGCCTCGACAGTCTTCGATGCTTCGGGGGCCGATTCGGTAACGGGCTTCTCCTCGGCGACGCGCTCAGCAGTGGGAGCGGCAACCTCTTCGGTGGCCTTGGCCTTCTCAACAGGAGCTTCAGCGGCGGGTTCCTCGGTCACTGGGGCCTCAGTGGCTTCGACGGCCTTCTCGACAGGCTTGGTTTCTTCGACAGCTGACTCGGTGGCCTCTTCGGGTTTGGTCTCTCCTGCGGCGGGGGCCTCAGGCTGAGGCTCGGCCACCTTAGAAGCTTCGACGGGTGCGAGCTCTTCGACTGCAGCCTCTGCAGATTGAGTCTCGGAGATAGTCTCCTCGACCTTGTCGGCGGAGGTCTCTTCTGTGGTCTTTTCGGGCTCGGCAGCGACTGGTGCAGCCTCCTCGGGCTTGGCTTCTTCGACAACAGCTTCAACGGGCTTCTCCTCAGCGGCAGCAGGGGCCTCAGTGGTTTCGGTAGTCTCTTCCTTTGCAGGAATGTTGGCGGTCTCAGTCTCGGGAGCTGCCTCCTTCTCTGATGTCACAGCAGGAGCTACCTCTTCAGTGACGGGTGCTGTGGACTCTTTGATCTCCTCCTTTTCATCGGCCTTAGCCTCAGCTTCGGCATCGGTGTTGGTCTCAACCTTCTCAGCCTTTACGGCCGAAGGTTCGGGCTCGATGTGTGCTTCCTTCTCAGCAGTTTCGGGCTCAACCAATGTCGCAGTAGAATCAGCAATCTTCTCTTGAGCTTCAGAAGTCACAGGCTCCTCGAGAGGAGCTTTCTCGAGCTCTGGTGACTCGGTCACTTCGGGTGCAGTGACGGTAGCAGATTTTTCATCTGTGACAATTGAATCGGGAACAGAGTCCATGGTAGGCTCTTTGGGCAGGACATCACTGTCGGCACGGAAAAGGAGCTGCTCAACGGTCGCCATGGTACTTTTGGGTCGTCAAAATCGTAAGTCGTAAAAAATGGTCAAGGTGGGTATAAAGAATTTTCACTTGAAGGATTAAGTATCGCTGTACAGAAAACACAAGCTCTCAGAGCAAAGAGTAGAGGATATCAGAGATGAATGCGGGAGAGAGAATCAGAGGGCAGAAAAAAAAAACTCTCAGCCCGACAACCTCACAAGCATCTGATCTCCAAGTGGGGGGTTGTCACAGTGACCAACTACCCTTCTACTGTACACTTTACACACACTATTCTCGTCCCCACTGGCTGGCGCCCAATCGATAGCACAACTTTTGGGCTTTCATCTCCACCCAATATGCGGTGAAGCTACCGAGGTACTTTCTTGCGACCAAAGCGCATCCTGTACTACGAGAAGAGATGTGCGACCAGAACGTACAGGTACACAGCTCCTGTATGGTACTCCTTACGACAGTCGCACACCAGGTGGACGTTCAATAGCTCCGGCGAAGAAGGAAAATTCATGATGCGCTAACGTGGAGACCCATTATTGATAGACACGCACCAATAACATCATATTGCCTGCAAGGTATTTCTTATCCACCTGTCATCTTGCCTGAGTCATTGCAGATCCATGCATATCTGCATGTGAGAAAAAATCGCAAAAAAGGGCCAATATATGCAGGCAAAGCGCAAAGCGCAAAACACCAAAGAAAACTCGGTGTCCCACTCGGCTTCATTGTTCGGGTCAGGGCCATGGCATGACACGCGCGGAACTCCACGGATCAAATTCGGCGGCATTTTTTTTTCTCATTCGGCCCACTTCCGACGTCATTTATTTACTCTCTGCTCGAGCTCTATACGATGTGTCTATACTGAGTTTGGTAGCCCGGAGCTTGGACGGTTGGGTACCGATTGCGCGCCTGATATCGAGCATTGCGATCATCTTTTGAAGCCACGCGCATTGAAAATCTTGTTTGTTTTTCTTTGTTCCTTGAGACCACCTGCCGGAATTGGAGCAAAGGCGCGTCATTTGGGCTTGGATATAGCTTTGCTGACCCCCTGTTCCCCTGTTCTGTCGTGCAGTGGTGGGTATGCAGGACGGAGGAGTCGGTTTCCCGAGGCTTTGGGAAAGGGGCGCTGGGTTATTTTTGGAGTTTCATATAAGAGCTGACTCCACATGCCCTGAATGCCTCCAGTTTAGGGGTTGACTTCAGGGAGCCGCTGGTTGTTGTCGAGGGCTGTACCCGGGATAGTAGGTCCTCAGGCCGGTAGTTGATGGTACATCTAGCCCCAGATCTGGGGTTATCAGTAAGCTCTCCTGTAGTAAGTGTGGTCTTCTACATGCAAAGTACAAACTCTAATATCAGATAAAAAGAGACAATAACACGAAGAAACAGATAGCATTGCGTCTCATATATCATGGTTTTAAAGTGCATCCCTCAATTGTTCCTCAATGGATGGAGATCTGGCTCCTTACGCAGGTAACTAGTATACCGCATCCCATAATCTTCGAGACAGACAAAAGGAAACAGTCTTATCGTTGTTACAAACCACCAATGCATCAATTCAAGAGTCAAACTTATACTTCTCCTCCCGCTCCTAATGAAAAGTCAGCATATATCCAAAACAGTCTCGGAACCAAAAAGAAAAACATACCCAGTACTTATTGAACCCAACACCCTCGCAAACCTCATCATAAGAAAGAATCATAGGCGGAGCCCCAACAAGCATACTCTGCTTAAGACCATCCAAAGCAGAGCGCACACTCTTCAGATGCGCCGCGACCAATGTCCAAGGGTATGCAACAGCACTATACCCAAGCCCAGCAAGGTCCTTAGCGGATAGATTCTCCGTCTTTCCCCCTTCAATGATATTGCCAAAGACGGGAATATCAACTTCCTCCGCACATCGCTTCATAGCATCCCGATCTGGCAATGCCTCCACGAAAATAGCATCAACACCGATCCGCTTGAACTCCTGTGCACGTGCCATGGCTTCTTCCCAGCCATGCATCAGGGCATCAGTACGGGCAAGGATGAAGATATCCTTCCCTTCATTGCGGGCATCGCAGGCAGCTTGGATTCGAGCAAATGCTTCGCCGCGGGAAACGACGTTCTTGCCCTTCGTGTGACCGCAGCCTTATTCAAATACCCGCTGTTAGCAAAAGACCTATTCCATAAAACGATTCAGGGACCGCAAGAAATCTGGAAGACTCACGCTTCGGCCACTGCTGATCCTCAATCATGACACCCGCTGCACCAGCATTCGCGAAGCTCTCAACAGTCCTCTTGACATTCATAGGACTTCCATAACCGGTATCTCCATCCGCCATAATAGGCACCGAAACCTGGCAGTGGACATCGCGGATCTTATCGCACATCTCGGCCATGGCGATGTATCCCGTGTCAGGAAGACCATACGAGCTGGCGACTGCATAGCCTGCGAGGAAGACCAGGGGGAAGCCTGCTTCTTCGACGAGACGGGAGGACAGGCCGTCGTAGGTGCAGGCGTGTGCTAGAATCTTTGTTGGGTCGGTGTGGGCCTCCAGCATCATTGTCCTCAGGCGGGATGCTTGGATTGAGGGGGTCTTTCCGCGAACATTTTTCAATGCTAGAGTTACGTCTGATATTTTTCCGTTTGTTGTGCCGGTTGTTGTCTCTGCTAGAGATTCGAACCGGAAGGGGTAGGGGACGCTGCTGGAGGACATTTTCATAGTGTGGTTCTTGGGTTGGTAGATGATTGGAGTGAAGGTTGGTGTTTATTTGAGGTCTCTTGACGGCCTTTTTAAGTTGTTTAACTGCGATATCGGAGACTATAGCTGCGAGTTGGTTGCTTTACATCAGAGCGGGAATTTGACGGATATTGGCAACTATCCGCTATCCGATGCTGATCAGCCCGGCCTTTTTCCCCTCAGTAAAGATGCATGAGGATTGGCTGGTAATGAAGCTGGGGAAATGGATATAATTTCTCCAGAGTTACTCGGCCGTGTATGCTTAAGACCCGTCATTTTGCGGGGAACCCCGTAAATGCAGTAGTCTTGTCTTTATCCGCTCTTTTCCCCACGGGGTATGAAAGACTATGAGTGCCGAAGTGTAAAACATGCGATTTGATTGGACCGGTTTTATACGATGTATTCATCAAGTACATCAATTGCCGCGCATTGACCAGCTAGACGCAAGGGGATGAACATATTTCAACCTTGGGTCGTCCCTGTCATTGATGCCCTTCATGTCAGCAATCATTTCAGCTTTTTATTCTATACAATCTATTGAATACGGTCAGACATGACAGAAAAGAATCAGATCGATATGTCTCCAAGCTCTCAACATGTGGAGTCTAATGATCCGGAGAAACACGAGCCGCAGGTGGTGATCCCTCAAGAGCGCCAGTCGGTCATTCGCAGAAAGGTTCATCAATCATTCCTTGTGGTATGTACGACCTTTTATTTACTGTTCTTTAGTTTGACCGACGCGTCTTGCCAATTGTATGCATTCTGTACATTCTATCATACTTGGATCGAGGTAAAGACCCCCACCAATCCATGTGGTCCTCTATCTCACCGATCACCAGGAAACATTGGCAACGCAAAGACTGCTGGGCTTGACAAAGATCTGAACCTCAGTGACTACCAATGGTCCTGGGTTTTGTATGCCTTCTACATCTGTTACATCATGTTCGAATGGACCACCGTCCTATGGAAGATCCTTCCAGCGCATTCATATATTGCCATTCTCTGCATTTGGTAAGTTTCACTGTCATAGTAAGATTGCTTCAGTGCTAAACATGTCGTTCTAGCTGGGGTGCGGCTGCAATGTGTAGTGGTGCAGTCAACACCTTTGCTCACCTTGTCGCCACTAGGTCGTTGCTGGGTATCTTCGAATCTGTGTTTGGCTGTGGTGCACCGTACTTCCTCTCTCTGTTCTACCAAAGACAAGAACTAGGGTTAAGAGTATCACTACTCCTTGGCATGTCCCCAGTTGCCAACTGCTTCGCTTCTGCTCTCGCCTACGGTATCACCCAAATCAAGGGATCTATAGAGCCATGGCGCTACCTATTCATCATTGGTGAGATTCAGTTTCCCACTTAGCCCGTCAATCTTCAGTACTAACTCCAAACAGAGGGCGCACCCACAGTCCTCTTCTCAGTAGTAGTTTTCTACTTCCTCCCAGACTCACCAGGCACAGCGTCTTTCCTAGACGAAAGACAACAAACAGAAGCGGTAGAACGCCTCCAATCATTCGACACGACAGAAAAGAAAAAAATCAGCTGGTCCCAAGTCCTAGGCGGATTAAAAGACTACAAAAACTACATCCACACATCGATCCACTTCTGCTGCAACTACTCCTTCGCCGGTCTCTCAAATTTCCTCCCCACAATCATCCAGCACATGGGCTACACATCCATCAATGCCCAAGGCCTAGCAGCACCACCCTACCTCGTCTCCTTCCTCTGTTGCGTTGCAGCCGCCTTCCTCTCAGATAGATGGGGAAACAGAGGATTCTTAATATCGTTCTTCGCGACGATCGGAACAATTGGCTATCTCCTCCTCACATGCGTGCAAGATGAATCCAAAACTGCAGCACGATATGCGGGCGTTTGGCTAGCGACTTGTGGGATCTTCCCTGCGCTCGCGCTGAATGTGACTTGGATGCTTAACAATCAGGGTGGAGAGAGTAAGAAGGGCGCTGGAATGGCTCTTCTGGCTGTTTTTGGACAGTGTTCTAGTTTGATTAGTAGTTCTGTCTTTCCAGATTCTGATGCGCCGCTTTTCACGATGGGGTGTGCGATTGGTGTTGCTTTCACTGGGTTGATTGCTTTCTTGGCTTTGGGGTTGAGTGTTAAATTGACTTTGGAGAATCGGAGACGTGATCGGGTTTATGGCACTGTTGATCCTGAGGAGAGGGTCGATGTTACTGAGGGTGGTGATAATCATCCTAAGTTTAGGTATTTGACTTGAGGGGGTTGCATGGGTTTATTTTCTGTTTTTATGTGAGCTATTCGCTATTGTATTGTTTCTTCAATGCCGTATGCTAATTTTGTCTTGAAATTGGATGATCCTCGCATGATTTGATGTAGCTGTGCTGATATACTATACTTTCATGGAGGTAATTGCCACAAAAAGTCCAAATCTAAATCCACGCCATCTAATCGAACCCCAAAGTCCCCTTCTGCGGAGCCAAATGGAGCCATGGAAGGATCTAAAGGCAGGGATAACCAGTCATTCATAGTAGCATCAGAGAAACCACCCAGGTCCATACCCGGGATATTCTCATACGAATCAGGAGAAGGAAGATCACAACCGATGCCGTACAAAGAAACCAAACTCTCTCGCAGGCGTGATACTTGCACCTGCAAAAGAGCCGCATAGCGAGATTTCAAATGAACATCATCCTGATTACCATCCTGCAACGTGACAATGGCTCGATCGAGGATTTGAAGTGCTTCCTGCAGTTTCGAATTGCGCACTCCCAAAGCAAGGGCTTTCATGAGGAATATGGAGGCGCTGATTGTTCGGAAGAGTATCCTCATGGGTGAGAAGTGGAAAGATCCACGTAGGAGTGTTATCTTGTCGAGGGTTTGACAGCAGCCGTCTATCACTTCCTCGATGAACCCATATTCTCTTGCTGTTATGTTCAACTGTCTTGCACGTTCAATGAACGAGAAGTCAATTATTGAATCTCTTCGTGATGGGGGCTGGGTTTGGTTTTGTAGGACTCGTTGGACGATTCTTTGCATTCCGATGGAGTTGGTCAGGATGCGTAGGTGTTGATATTCGATGAATAGTGTATCTGTGTAGGGGAAGCTCGAGTCTATATGAAGTCAGTATTCGAAATAATGCTTCAGACGTTCCAAGTAATACCTGAAATATTGAGATATCGTTGTTGCCAGCTTGCCAGCAGAAATTGTTTCCGCTCCAATACAGGGATGAATGTATCCGATGATCCAGTCGAACTGGAGATATTCATGAGTGGGAAGAGAGTATCAGTGACAGAGCTGGTCAGCTTCATCAATTCAATCCACGCAGTCATGAACAATAACCAGTCTCTATCAACAGACTGTAAAGATGTTCGCGTTTCAGGCATGGATAAACCGATATCAGATGGCATGGGCGAGGTACAGCCTATCCGCGAAGATAAAGCATTTATAGACGTAAACAGTAGACTTGGCAGTCTTTGCCTCCTTACCTGGAGATGTTCAAGATATCGCTCAGCATCAAGACCAACTAGATCATCCTGCCTGGCAAGTCGAGCGCTCGAGTCGAACACACCGAGTTCATGTGCGAGAGCCAGGGCTGAGTTGAGCACCATCCAGGACATGCGTTCAAACCGCTTGGTCGGTTCAACAACATCCTCCCGCCATCGAGAGGAGACTGGGATTTCTCCATTTAGATTAGGCGGATCTCTGATATCCGGGTTTGTCATGAGAAAGTCTGAATCCCACCCGTCCGTCTCTGGTGGAAATTGTAAAACTCGTGGATGCCATTCAGACATGAGAAGAAGTGCTTCGACGCTGCCTATAGTGCGTGTTTTCGCTTTCGAGATTTTCTCCTGGCCAAGGGTGATCCGAAGAAGCAAGTGTTGACAATGCTGCCACAGGCGATGATGAATAAAAAAAGAGCGAGAGTACCCACCTACTCCGGGAAGAGTATGGTATCGAGAGGAGATCATCAGTATAGTATAGCAGAGCATTGGTTCCTGGGTGACCAGATAGTATTGATTCTTATGCGAGGCGAAGAAGTCTGTGAGAACAGGCGATAGGGGTGCCATGTTCTCGAAGAATCTGATATCGCTATTGTCAATATAACAGCCTAAGCATCTGATCAAATGAGAAACATACAGGTCCACCAAAACCATAGCTTCTTGGGCAGAGAACCATCCCATTTTCACGAACCGACATGCATTCCAAACGCGGAGGATGTCGGCATCGGTCAACTCGGGGGCAATCGATCGCGATCTCTCTGCCGTTGTCATATTCTGAGTGGTATTGTTCGATTCCTGAAGGGCAGCTTCGAACAAAATGTTCATTGCATCGTTGTTGTTCGAAACCACTGTCTGGAGTACTGATGTGGATAGACCATCTTGATTGAGCGAGGTATCTAAATGAGAGTCTGCAAAGTGAGTTCTGGTTAGCTGTTTTTTCTTCGCCAACTTGAATAGAATACTTGCCGTTGAGCTCATTGTTTTCTTCCTGGGCTGTTCGGATAGTTCGCCGCGATCTGTACAGGTTAACTCCATCCATCCCCCAGACACAAGGTAAACAAACTTATCAGACCTATCTTTTCCATTATGTTCCCGCATAGGACTCTCGGGTGAATCTTTCTGGCCTCTTGACCAGGGCTTCTTGGAAGTAAAAGTGCAATTGATGTTCTTCTTGATACACCTGCGACATCTCTCATTGTCGCCTGGCTCGCACTTGACTTTGCGCCGCGCACATGGAATGCAAGCTTTGTATGTCCTCTGATAATCATGCTCAAGTGACTCTCTCCTTCTTCTCTTTGCACGTTCCATGAGTGCTATTCCGTGCAGCGATGTAGGACTTGCGCAGTGGAGAAGGCGGAAATTTGACTGAATATCCGCGTTCGGGTATTTCCATCTCCGACCCCTCATTGAGACTCCTTGGCTGCATATCCTCTTGTCGAATTAGACTGTTCCTTTTGAATTAAAGTGTTGATTAAATAATTAGCTCTTTGTCTTTGTTCAGTCATGCTTGTAATTTTGTGCGAGACATTGCTGTCTATTTTCGGGCAGATTCCAGCAGCTATAGTTTGATAGACCATTTCATAATAATAAGATTGATTCAGGTAGGTTACGTATGTACAGCATGAGAGCCGCATCTAGCTCAGGTTTCGAAGTAGATTATCCAGCGTTCCTCGTGCCTTTTTGATATCAGGTGCTTCATCTTCCCAGTAGGTCAAGGCCTCGAGTGTCCGACTCAAGTGGCTCCGAAGACCCCCAGGATGTATGTTGGGAATATTGACATTCCCGCTTCTTGCTAATGCAATGAAAACCAGTGAAGCAGTCACCAAAGCTCGAAGATCAAACCAAATGCCATGGTGTCGGTGGCGAAGGCATCGCGCTTGGAGAATTTTGTTGCTGCAGTCCAATCCGGATTCCATGAGGCCCTGGACTATACTGAATTCATCGCTAGTAAGCGGGGATGTAGAGTTATCCGAGGTTGTGGATGGAGTGCTCATGGGGTGGTGCACAACGAAATATAAGAATGGCTGGTAAAGCCATAGACGTATTTCAAGGAAGCGATTGCTGAGTGCCCAGCTTAGCTCCCTCGATATTGAATCTTGGATGTCTGTTGTGTATCTCTGTCCATTATTACTGATTTTCGGGTCGGTTTCATAAGATTGCATTGCTGGCGGCAGATTCGCGAACCATGCATTGATCTGAGACTCGAACTCGAGCGCTATCGGGATCAAGGGCTTGATGTTTGACCACGTTGAGGGTGTCTCTCGGTAGAAGGCATTCAAAACTCGATTGCCAATCCGTCTCAATGCTACCTCCGTAAGATAATAATACCAGCTTTGTTCCTCGTCAAACAACTTTGAGACATGATTGAATACACCCCGCCCAGGCAAGCTGGACTGGTCATCACGTGGGGATTGGTCTGCATTATCAGAGTTGGCCCAATCGGATGCTTGATCTCTGTCCCTCGGGTATTCCTCTGATAGAGTTGGAGGTGTGGGGAAGAGGGCCGGGTACTCGTACTCGGCTATAGCGGATTGTGGTAGCGGAAGCTCGACACGAATCTCGACTTCTGATTTAAAGCATGACCAGTATAGACTTTGTTCAAGGCGCTGAGCAACAGATGCTCCTGGTTGCTCTGTCTCATAGGCTGACTTGTCAAGTCCATCAATCAGTCGCAGACGTAGTCGGTAAAATGTAGAAGCTTGGTAGAAATGATTCCAGGCCGAGAGAGGGCGGAACGTATACATCAAGTACACTTCACAGAAAAGAAAAGTTAGGCAGGTACTATCATCGCACATGACATCTTTCTTTCGACATACCTCCAGCAAAGAAATGACATTGGGCACCGATCACCGAGTACCGCAATAGACCGATTCTCCTACAAGCCATCATAAAGAAAGCCTCGCCTTCACGCAGCTGTGTCCCAGACCTGGGATTGGAGCCTGGAGCTCGCCATCCCATCCCGTCATGAAGTGATCTCGCAGTCTGAGGAAATTGGATCGAAGTGGTAAATGGTTGCGAGATACAACCCAGAGCACAAGCCAAGAGCACAAGACATGACTGAGCATCCCACTGAAGGCCAAACTCAGCAGCGCGTCTCCCAGATCGAATAAGCGATTCTAGATCCAAGATCGGGTTCTTCGTGTGAACATTCTGAATGAAGCATTCAACCAGTGTTGGGATTTGCTCGTCTGGCGTAAATTGAAGGCCATCTGGCAAGGTCCATGATTCAGTCGGTCTATCTTCAGATACCCCGTGCGAATAATGGAAGAGCGTCGTGATGAGAGAGCTCTCTCGGAATTGGCCTCGGAAAATCGGCCAGGTTAGCACTGTGTCAGCGCTGCATCGACCTGCAGGAATCCGCAGGTAGTCTTTCTGCCATTCTGCTGCTCTTATAGGAGCACTTCCCCTGCGGTCCTGTGTCTCTATCTCTAGAGGCCGACTAGGTTGTGGGGTATCTACTGCGGGTTAGTGCCTGTGGCATTCTGAGGTAAAGGACTTCATCTACCTCTCAAGCTGAGCATGTTTTGCATATTCTCAACTGTTTGTGATAATGTGTCTAGTTTTTCCAATACTTTTTTCAATTCTCTGATCCCGTTGTTCAGTATACTTTTTGATGGGAGTCATATCTGAAGAGGGCAACTTACTGCTTACAACCATCATCACCACGGGTGACATATACACACTTGATTTCATTGGCACAGCAAAACCCGCAGGCAGGTTGGCCATTGTCGCAGCGCACCTTTCGCCGGCGACATGTTTGACAAGCTGGCTTTCGACGAACTGAGTCTCTCTTGACTCTCTTAGGTGGCGGCTGGTCATCTTCGTGGCCGTCTGATTGTGGTGAGTGGGATTCAAGCTCTGGATCCATATTCTTGGTGGTGATGTTGTGGAAACGAATTGAGTAAAAGACGATATGATCTCTATCTACCCCAATGTACGGGGTAAGCGGTAGTTCCCCAGAAATCCTGAGACCCACCAATCACGATCGGTGAAAAATCTGGAGGCGACACGTGATTTACCATTTTATAGCACTTATATTCGGTCATTTTACTTTGGTGAGTGATTTGATGTATATTAACATTCAATCTGATCTGGTTGGTGCTGGGGAAGTTTTGCTGGGCATCGTGGTCATAAATGGTGTGAAGATATCTCTACACGGACGTTGCACTATCATGCGAACGACACTGAAAATCAATGCAAAGATACAATTCAAATTAAGTAGGTTTGAGAAGTAGAATTGATAAAACAGTTTTGGAAGCATAAGCCTAAGCCATAGAATCGCAAATTGCATCGTCCACTATGGCTCGATACTCCCGTTCCCTTACACACTGGTCTAAGAAGACCTGATATGTAGCCCACTTCTAGGACTAGTCAGGAGAAATCCTGAACGCTACCAAATATATCGAGTAAGATTTGGTGCGGTATCTCTTTCAGGCTTTGAACCTACATAGTCAAAATTAATGCTACGAATCACATATCATCTGAAAACTATTAATGAGATTCGTGCAATCATAAAATCTACTTAAAGATGAAATAATGCAAATGTGAATCTCCCTACGTTCACATGGCACTAGTATATGTACTTATGCTTCATCATCTGAATCAAGATATCAATAACGGGTATCGGCTTTCTCATACTACCCATCACATTCGTCCTGGATTCTTTATAGAGATCTTTATACCCCGCAGCAGCATATGCTTGACCCACCTGATACCGCATGGATGGATACCGGTAGGCAGCTTCACGATAAGTTTCAGGTGTGGCAAGATCTGGATGCTGGATACAGTATGGCTCAGCGATGGAGCTCTCAATATCGGGTATTATGTCACTCATAATCTGATGAGCCCTGCTGTCGTCGCCAGAGCATAGCTTGATGACTGCCGGATTCATTGCAAGTTGAAGTGAAGCCGGCGGAAAATTGTCTGGGTTTTCCGTGGGGTCTGCAGTAGTCTGTAATCACTGTGGTGCGGATGTGGAAAGCCTTTCATTTGTGATAAGAAAGAGAACCCAGCAGTTTGAGTTCTGTAAGGAATAGTATTATGTCTGATTTCTTTTTTGAGACACTTATTCTTCAACTCCCGCGATGAGAGTCTTGATACCAGCTCCAGCTTTCACTTGCTCAAAGGCCCGCTCAGCATCCTCAAACTTGAAAACATCAGTAATCAGATCCTGAACATTGGCTTTTTGAGAGGCAATTAGCTGAATGGCAAGCTGGTAGTCACCACTCGAGGACCGGAAACTCCCCTTAACATTCAACTCCTTCGTACACGCAGCCGTAATAGGGAAATTGACCTCGTCACGCCCCATACCACCCTGGACATACGTACCACCAGCACGAAGAACATGTATGCCAGTATTGATAGAAGCATCAATCACGATATCAGCGCCATTGCCAAGACCACTCTCAGTAGCCAAACGCGAGGCATTTTCCGCCGCGGAGACAGCACCAGGTAAGAAAGTCCACGTCGCACCATACCGCTTCGCAAACTCCAACCTCTTAGGTTGAATATCCACAGCAACGATTTTCGCAGCCCCGAACGCCTTGGCTACAGCACAGCACAATAATCCAACGGGCCCAGCACCGAAAACAACAGTCGATACGCCTGGCGATACCTCCGCCCGTCGCACAAGATGCACTGCAACACTGAGCGGCTCCACAAGTGCGCCTTGTTCCAGAGTCATGCTTTCCGGTATTCTGTAGCAAAGATCCTCTGGAAGGCGATAGTATTTCGCCAAGGTTCCATCGTATGGAGGGGTGGCAGCGAACGCCATGTCAGGACAGAGATTGTATGTTCCGACTTTGCATGCGTCGCAGCGACGGCATGACTCGCCAGGCTCCATGGTGACGCGGTCGCCGACTTTCAAGCTTGTTACTTTGTTGCCGACCTTTTCGACGATTCCTGAGGATTCGTGTCCTCGGACCATTGGGTGCTCGACTTTGAAGGGGCCAATTTGGCCTGCGTGCCAGTAGTGTACCTAATAAGATACAGTTCTGGGTTAGATATTGCTTGGTTGGATAAACATTTCCTGAAGTACTCACTTCGCTTCCACAGATTCCTGTGAATTTCACCCTAACCAGGACATCATGGGGGTCCTCCAGCAGGGGGATAGGACGGTTCTCAAACTTCACAGTTTGAACCTTTTCAAGAACAAATGACAGGTTCTGTTCTTCGTTAGTGAATCCTGCACAGTAAATTAGAGCTGCGAGCACGGACCTCCGTGGAATGCATCTTGCTTTTTGTCAACTTGGTACAAGTTGATATCAATTGAATGAAATGGCGTATACGAACTTCTTTCAACAACTTAGTCCGAGCCCCGTACTTACTTCTCAGGTCTATAGCTACCAACACAAAACTCACCCTCATGTTATCCAACGGAGGTTACGGCGTCTCCGCCGTCGACATCTCCACTGAGCGGCTCATCCCTCCACGGCAAGTATTGGCAACTCCACATCTCGGTTCATTGCTGGCTATTTATCCCAGCGCGCCAAACAGGGGCATTTGGCGCCGAAAGACTGTCGGCCAGAATGTCTTTGGGCATGTTTCAGAAGAGAGAGATCCGAGGCCATTACGTCGATAAGTACTGAGGCATTTTCTGGAACGAAATTCCGCATTCTCCACTGGAAAGCATCTACAGTAGTATCTGTAATCACACTATGTAATTTCTCAATCAACAGGTGTATTCCTCGTAGGAACTGTCTTGGTCCATTGCCAATCGTCAAATCCTTTCTCCCAAATTCCCTTGCTGGCAGTAAACACGTTCCAAGAATCGGCATTGTCGAAAAAAACATCCATCTGCTCTAAACTCCGACCAGCTGTCTCGGGGTAGAGTAAAATAAGGAATGGAATGACGAATACATTCAGTCCGGCGAGGAGGAGAAGGGTGCCATGTCCGATTGCTTGGAAGAGGAAAGGAGGGATCATTGTCACGACGCCGTTTCCAATCGACCAGCCTACAACGAACCATGCGCCTCCTTTGGCACGGACCGTCAATGGGAAGATCTATTATTGTCATTATCATAAATACTAGTAAAATAGGGAACGATCTTATTTCTGTAGGATAGAGCCATGGTGTCGTCCACCAAGTAGCACCAAATGTAGCCAGTGCCAGACCGCCGATGTTCTGATTTCAGAGTCAGTCTGGTTCTTAGTTAGATATTACAAGGAAGCATACCATCACAAATTCAAGAGCCAAGAATGCGCCTCGAGCAGAATGACTACTGACTTCTGCTGACCAGACTGGAATAACACAGTCGATCGCTCCAACACCAATGCCAGCTAGTCAAATTCGTCAGATTTATTGTCCAAGTTATACACAGCAATTGACTCACCAAGAACACGCCCAAAGCACATCCACGTAATGTTATAAGCCGAGGTCTGGAGTGCAGCACCCAAAACAACCCACAGACAATAATAGCCTTTACACGTCCACATCGGTCCGCTAATGCACCTGCCATTAGTGCACCGATCATTGTACCGCCATAGTATACAGCAACGATACCACCCTCCGCAGTTGTAGTTCTAGAGCTGCCTAGAGACATAGTGAGAGATTAATTCTTGCGTAGAATCATGAGAAAGCAGACCTTCAGGGGGGTAAATTCCCATAAGTTTCTGATAATCATGATTGAAGTTAACCATAGACATAACACCTTGATCATATCCGTAGAAGCAAATCGCAACACCTTAATGTTCAGTTAGTAAAGTTTCAGAAAAAAGGGATTCCCAGTCTTCGTACAAGCAAAGAAATTGATAGCCTTGTACATCGTCGACGGATTCTTAAATCTCAACATCCGAGACTGGCTATATCCACCAGGAATCCAATGCTCATATCGCCATGGTTCAGGATTTTTGATGTGCGAGTATTCGGCATCGGGGAGGACATTTTTACTGTCGTCAATCTTCTCGCTTTTGTCCCGCACAGTCGTTTGAGGTCCATCTGAGATTTCCTCAACGTGATCTGTTGATGCATCCGCCATCCTGATACCGTCTTGTGTAGCAGTCGGATCAATTAGATGTTACTGGCAAAAAGGAAAGTATCACGGCCCCCGATGACCAGTGTCTGATTTAAGAAATGTGGCTTCGGGTAAAACTTACCTATCTCCATGTTTTCCCCAGTTCCACTTTTGGTCCACTGTGACTGAAGGTGAAGTATAGACGCGCGGAGATTTCGCCATTTTGCCCGTTCTAGCGCAGAAGGGAACGGTCCGAGCCGATCCTTTCCCGCTGGGAAAGTCAACGGACAGGTAAGATCTTAGATTTGTATTTCATCTTCTACTAGGATAGGCGATCCTATCTCTTTGAAGGGATACTTCTCGATCTCTAGAGAAATGTGAACCAACTGCTGCATGACCTTCTCTTTCCGCTGCAGCGTTGCCGCTTGCCAGTCCAAGGGCTTTCCGTCTACCTTCTTGTATAGGTCTACAGTGTATGGAATACTATCTCTGAGTGCTGAGGCAAGAGCACATAATTTTGAGCTGTTTATGCGACGGCACAGCCCGTCTATGTGTTGGGCTTTTGTAGATGCGTTTTGAGCAGAGTAGGATTCCCAGTCTTCCTTAAGTACTTGTAGGCAACTCTGCCCCGACGGATTCTATATTGAATGTCACATACCCCCAGTTTGGGACATTTGTGTCAGAGTTCTTGGCGGTGCGTGCAACATAGGTATTTGTCGCACAGCAAGCAGTCTCCTGTTATTTGGGCGGCTGGTTTCTCGCAACCATCTCATTCGCAGGCCCAATGATGTATGGTACATGTAATCCGATATGCTTGGTCTGATTCTGTCTATGGATTATGAGGGAGCTTGGCTGTGCTGAGGGGATGTTTGCTTGATGCCGGGAAAGAACGGTGAGTCCGATCGTTTGACATGCACGTTGTACTGCATGTTCCAGCCTCCGCCTTTTAGACGAGAGAATGCTTATCATTTTCTATTGGTTATCATTTGGGATTCATACCAATTATCTAGAGCCTGTCAGTATGTTCATCATATGATTGGAAAGCCTATTTGACCATCTGCAGGTGCACATTTAGTTCCTCAGTAAAAGCAGGGATAATGCAGCAAAGAAAGGGGCTTTGGATATTTTGCGCGAGTACTCTAGGACGTGCAATCCGAAACCTGAAAATGGAATTACTGGCGCCAGGTACAAGGCACAAGGTACAAGGTACAAGGTACCAAACTTCCTTTGGCCCGGAACATGACTTGAAAAGGCAGTCAGTCCTATGATCAAATGACAGGTTATGCAGTCCAGAGCAACTAAAAGGCCAATAGAGAGATACAAATATCTCACACTCCACTGTGATACTGTAGTCTCCAGGCAGCAGAATTTTATAGCTCAGCCCTATGGGGGTTGTGGAGACATTCAGCCCTACAGTTGTACAGTTTGGCATGTTTTACTATTTCCCCTCCTCATTCTTAGCCTGAACTTTCTCTTAACTTTACAGATGTCACTTTTTCAATATAAGATGCAGTTTCTCCAGTTGATATCTGTTCCTTCCGCCTAAACAGGACCCGAACTATGAGCCCCTGAGCCCCCGTCAGTCACGCCTGACGGAAGAATGACCGTATACCATACCTGCTATTTCTGTGATTGGTCAAAGCTAATAACTTGAGCAATTTGCACTAAGAATCGCGACATCGCAGTATACTTGGATTCAGCCCTACCCGTGTCTCGCCATGGAGTCCACACACCTTTTATGCCTCTGCGCTCTCCTCCTTTTTTTTCTCCTGCTTCAACTCCTCTTCTCTATTGCTCTATGGAGAGCTAGCTTGAGTGAAAACACATTTTATCAACACCCAAGGCAGCTGCGCCGCCATGCCGGAACCTATCTCGACTCGCGTCGGCCACGCTTTGGTCAGAGTCTTGGGTCTTGACTTGGGTCCAGCAGAACCGCCGGTGAGAGATGACAATGGTCCTTTCAGCTATGTTGAGCATGAGCCTACTGCCACGGACTGGGTTCATTCTCATACACCAACCGCCCCTCAAATCCGTCGCTACTTTGTCAATATGTTTCCATTTCTCCAGTGGATTGTGTTTTACAACACGCAGTGGTTGATTGGGGATCTTGTCGCTGGTAAGTTGGTTCTCTGATATGGATTACACAGATATTCACACTGGGCTATCAAAGGCATTACTGTCGGTGCGGTTGTCATCCCTCAGAGTATGGCTTATGCCGAATTAGCCAAACTGCCCCCAGAGTATGGTCTATACTCTTCATTCATGGGGGTTTTGGTTTATTGGTTCTTTGCGACCTCAAAGGATATCACCATTGAAGTAGGATTCCCTTTCCCTTTTATGGTCCCTTTCGTGGCCGAGGAACTAACATGGCTAGCCCGTCGCCGTCATGTCTACACTAGTCGGCTCGATCCTCATCAGGGTTCAAGCAGTTCACCCAGAGATCCCCGGTCCAACTATCGCTTCTGCTTTGGCAATTATCTGCGGTGCGATCGTGGCTTTCCTCGGGTTTCTGCGTCTTGGATTCATTGTTGATTTCATTTCGCTGGGAGAGCTGCCTGCTGCCGTCATTGTCCTCTTGATTGAGCACATTGCTATCTCAAAGTCATTCGGCCGGGTCAATAACTAAACCATAGACCCTTCACAGGAATTCATTGCAATCGGCATCTCGAACCTGCTCGGGCCTTTCTTAGGAGCATACCCAGCGACAGGCTCGTTCTCACGAACTGCCATCAAAGCAAAGTGTGGCGTGCGCACTCCTCTTACCGGCGTGATTACCGCCATCGTTGTCCTGCTTGCTATCTATGCCCTGCCAGCGTTGTTCTTCTACATTCCGAAATCCTCTTTGTCGGCCGTCATCATGCGGTAGGCGACCTCATCACGCCACCGAATGTCACATATCAGTTTTGGCGCGTTTCTCCAATCGACGCCCTCATTTTCTTGATGGGCGTTATTGTGATCATCTTCTCGACCATCGAGACCGGGATCTACTGCACAATCTGTGTATCCCTCGCGGTCCTTCTGTTCCGAACCGCCAAAGCTCGAGGCCACTTTCTCGGCTATGTCCGAGTTCATTCGGTCGTCGGCGATCATCTCCTGGATGGGTCCCATCGAAGCATAACCGTCGACTTTGACGCTGGCAACGGCCGACGAGTCTGGCTCCCGACCTCGCATCATGATGGTACAAACCCCTATGTCAAGGTCCACCAGCCTGCCCCTGGAATTTTCGTGTACAGGGTGTCAGATGGGTTCAGCTACCCAAATGCGAATCACTATACCGATCATCTCGTCAAGCGTATCTTCGAGACGACCCGTCGCACAGACCCAGAAGTATGGGAAACACCAGGAGACAGGCCATGGAATGATCCAAGTCCTACAAGTGCCGAACGAAGGATGCTCAGAGAACAGGGACCCACAACCACACCCCTTCCAACCCTCCGAGCGGTTATCCTCGACTTCTCTGCCGTGAACAACATGGACGTAACATCTTGTCAGAATCTGATTGACATACGCAACCAACTCGACCGCTGGGCAGCTCCAAGCAGAGTACAGTGGCACTTCGCCCATGTCAACAACAAATGGACAAAGCGTGCTCTCGCAGCAGCAGGATTCGGTAGTACATCCAATAACGGGACACACAAGACCAAAGCAATCTTCGATGTGGCAGAGATAGTAAACGACGGCACATCCCCCGTATCATCATCCCCGTCCCAAATATTCAGTCCAAAAGAAGAATAGACCAAAGACCAGAAATTGGAATCAAAGTTCAAGAGAACAGCGCCGGTTCATCAATCATAGGCACGACAGAAGGTGATATTCAAGTTATTCAAACAGCCACAGAAACTGAAAATGTGCAGACTCCTCGCCGACGCGGAAGATCAGTATCGGGTCCTGGCCCCGGTATGATCGTCGTGGATGGCATCACTAGACCATACTTCCATATTGATCTGACCAGTGCACTGCGGAGTGCCATGACGACTTTATGAAGTATCTGGCGCAATTCCATTCATACCACTTTGTATTTGCTTTTTTCGCTGCTCATATTCACTTCAAGCGCTATTTAGGCAAGATTCTCGCCTGGCCCTGGGATCCTCTTAGCTTAGCTCCGCTAGTTCAATCCAGTGTCTCCACTATAGCTTCTTCGGCTAGCTTGCTTTTCGTTTACTGTTCTCACCGCTGTCCGGATCCCTCGGTTGTGAACTGGCGGTGTCAGATTTATATTTGCTGTTGGTCTAGGCTGTATTCGACTGCACGAGGATCTTGGATCTGTTGATATGGTGACCTGAACTGCAGAATCAATGAACTGGCCTATAGTGGTGATATTGGATATAAATACCCTGTAGATATTGAAAATAGCAATACATATACCATAACGTTGAATTGTATCTGCCTACTCCGTCATTAAAAAATCGGAGAATGTTGCCCGCCTAGGCAGGTAAAGTGAGGTGAGGTTGGTGATTTTTGTAGGTCTCCGCCTCAGGCCAACAATCGCGAAACGCAAACGCAGACTCTTCAGCTTGAACTGCGGTGATGCAGGACCATCTTCATCGCTGTCATGCTTAAACCGATGAATACCATCTCAGCAATATCCTCGATGCAATTCTACGGCTCCATTCATATATTACGGGCTGCAGCGACTTGCAACGTCACGCGCGACCTCCGCAAGTCCCAGCTTGAAGCATTAGGTATGGGTATATGGCAGCCAGGCTCTGTTCCTGAAGAGAAAAAGACATGCTAGTATATACCATGTTTTTTTTTTAATATTTGTTTGGAGCAGTGTGGCTAATCTTTCGATTCCTAGACGCCGCAGTGACTGCGATGCTACCTCTTCACGATCGAGATTGCACATCTTCAAACCACACGCAATTCAACACTTCTACGCGTCAATCCTGCCTCTCCTATCTTTGCTCATAAGCTCTAGACACGCAGACTTTCTCGGCTGGATAGAACACCCATTCCGGACATGTCTAGTTGATGACTTGAGGGCCATACCCATGTCCATACCTATACCAGAGCTCTGGAATGAGTCTGTCACGGTTGAGGAACTATCGATACCCAAGCACATGAGCCGACAAGGTCACAGGTGCTATACACATGCAATATCCATCTATGGCATGGATGAGCCTTGGAGCTCCGTCATGGCGGTATAAGGATCATCAGAGATAAGCACAGATCGAGGCAGGGATGTTGTTTCATTGATTCCCGCGCTCTGCGCGGAACACCTTTCACAAAGCACCGCTGCACCGCCGAGTTTCAGATTGCACTCATCAAGGCACTGCTTGCAGTCGGTACGCAGGTCGACGTCACCGGCGCCGCGGTGACCGGAAGGCGCCGCGGGAAATCGGCGCGCATATCAGAACCATATCCTGCATCGAGGTGGTCAATAAACGATGTGAAACTTCTCACTGTTGCCAGGCATCAATCAATAAACAACAAAGTGATCTCATTCCATGTTGACACTTCAACCAAACATGGGCTGATATAGTCGTACCACGGCAGTGATATCCGGAGCTCCATACGTCCGCAGTGGCAGTTGCCGGCACGGAATTACGCGCAGGGGCCCATCTTGTGATTGCCGCCGTGGCCGAGAGAGCGTGATAATGGATCAGGGAGCATGGATATAAGCAGCAAAACATGTCTCAATTGAGCACTGTAGTGGATATCTACTGTAAGATCTCATGATCTATGGATACAAGCCATGAATACTCTGATGCCATAATTACCGGCAGACGGGGGCTGGTATCATAGTTATATGGACTACGAAGTATGCCAACTGGCCTTTCCGGGCATGACCTCACGTTTTCAGGTCAATGATGAGTTGATGAGTCGGGTTACAATACGGTACTCAGTGTATTACCCGATTACACCCGGCTTAGGCTTAGGCCCGGAACTCCTGGTATTCTCGATCTTAGATAGCCTTCTATTCAGTCCAGCTATTATACATTGCATATAGAGTTAACTACAGGTGTACCGCCTTGTCAATTGCTCATTTCAACACACTGTACATTGACCTACACTTGCAGTGTCAAGCAAGGGCAACGCGCGTAACGGTGCACCCTGAAATCGAGCTTGTGTGGGTCCGCCAAGCTAGCTGCGATCAGCCGAAATACCACCAAATCGAAATTAACCCGGAAGAATGCTAAGAGCCTCTAGTTTGCCCGTTTAGGGGCTGATTTTGGTGTACAAAATTTATGGCCGAGTAAAGGCCTGGGTATATAAAGGTCTCCCGCGGCCCCGTTGACACAGGCCGGGAAATAGTGCTAATTTCCTGAATTACCGCGCAGTGTTTTACACTCGTAACCCTTCGTTTCCTTGGGACCCGAGGGCAGACCAGTTTTCTGCTGTGATAGTCGGGTTCTGGCGGGTCGGGAATTCACACTAAGTGGACCGGCGAACGCGAGGACACGACAACCCGGTTTTTTCTTTTCCTTTCCGCCCCGACTTTTTTTCCTCCCCTGTACAGTTCGCATTGATATCCCCTGCTCCCTGTATATCAGAATTGCAGATTGCAGGCTTAGTGTGAGGCTGTTGGATAGGTCTCCCGAGAAAATATTTACGTATTCCCAATTTGACCACTCGGTGAGGTGGATTCCCCAGGAAGAAGGGATATCCACTGAGCCCACATTTCTCTCCTTTCAGCCGACCAAAGTGGTTGCCCAGTGACTCGAGTGGTGGACCTGGAATCCGAGTCGGGCCGAATTGGGCGACGCCGGGAAGCAATCCAGAAACATAGGGGACCGGTACACATTATGATTGGTCTTCAAGAGCTCAATAGTGGATCGATCCACAAGATTGGAACATGCTTGAGATCCACTTCCGATCCACTGCAAGGGCGAAATTAATGTATTTTATTTTATTATATTATTATTTCTTTCTTTTATTCTCTGTATTGCCTCCCTTCTGTCCCTTGTAAAGGGATAGTATAGGGATACATGACTCCGTACAGTTCGTTTATACTAGATCCATACTCCATACTCGTATATACAGTAGACCAGGAGTCATGAACCTCACACCCTCATGCAGGGGGATATATCCCATTATGATCCATCCTTTGTGGTCTCCGTCTGAACCCGATAATACATGTAAGAATGGTAAAACGAAACCAAAACATCCCCCCCAGCATTCCTCGCAGCATGATTTGCGAATGAAATACTCCGGAGTCCACGCACAGAGTAGGGCTTTTTCCCAACAGAGCGCACTAGGACAGAACAGGAGGCGGACGGGCGAAAATTTGGCCGTAGAGTATTTATGTCCTGGGGCGGCCTTCTCCCGTAGTTTCCCAGCTTTTTCCTCCCTGAAAAGTCCATCTCTCTCCTCTCTCTCTCCTTCTTTCTTCCATCCCCCTATAATCTAAATCCATCACAATGGCCACTTCTCGTGTCTTCGCCTCCCGCATGGCCTCCATGGCCGCCCAGACCTCCAAGGTCGCCCGCCCTGCTGCCCGCTTCCAGCTCAACGCTGCCACCAAGCGCACCTTCACCTCCCAGAAGGCCCCCGTCGCCACCTTCGGTGCCCCCAAGCGCATCCAGTCGCCCACCCTCCTCCAGGCCAAGGCCTTCCAGACTGCTGCCCGCCGCCAGTACTCCTCCGAGGTCGCCACCGCCATGGTTGAGGTCTCCAAGAACATTGGTATGGGTTCCGCCGCCATCGGTCTCGGTGGTGCCGGTATCGGTATCGGTCTCGTCTTCGCCGCTCTCCTCATGAGTGTTTCCCGCAACCCTGCCCTCCGTGGCCAGCTCTTCTCCTACGCCATTCTGGGCTTTGCCTTCGTCGAGGCCATGGGTCTGTTCGACCTGATGGTTGCTATGATGTGCAAGTACGTCTAAATTATCACAACTCGGGCACAGCAATTCTTGGATAAAACCCTGTTTTCTTTCCTATTTTCACCGGAGATGCGGGTTTGACTGAGGATCTTTTCCGCCGGGGAGGGTATTTGGTCGTGATGTATTACCATGTACTACTTTCAGCGTCATCTACAACACTTTTCTTTCTGTACATATAGAGTCTATATGGCCCACCGACCATCCCAACTATCAAAGAGCCAAACCAAAACTCTGTGTGTTGAGTCTGACGGCCGTATAATCTTTCTCTCCTCCTAGTCCGAGCCGAACCCCGGGTTTGCGGCAATCGTAGCTTTCAAAATCAGCTTCCCCGTAGAAAAACCGGAAGCTATGACTAGCTCTGTATCTCAAAATAAACAGCTCTGGCTCTATTTTGGTTGATTCACTCCAGTCTGGTGGATGTTGCTACGGGTCTTGCAGACTGTGACCCGCTCTTCATCCCCCGATTACGCCACAATGGCCATCCATTGAGCTCTAAAATATAGTCCTCGCGAAATCTATGTGTTTGACAATTGTATTAGCCTAATTAACCCGTTGGCGCTGGCCCTGGAGGACCTGATTCAAGCTGAAGACCCTCAACGCAAAATCCTGCTAGCTGCCGGACCTCGGGAACGGCATTACCGTAGTCAGCTGACTCAGCCTCTGACATCAGATTGGCATTCTGCATGCAGGTGCAGGCTTGCAATAAAACGAAGCAGGTCATTTTGATTGAGATCTAGGCGTAATCTGTCTTACCATACTGCCACTATAGCCTTAGAGGTGATTGGTGAGGCCGTTAGCGTGGTAAACTCCCCCAGTTTATATCGGGATCGAAGACGAACGCGCCTAGTCCGTTTGCGGTTAGTGGCTATATCAGATGTATATCTTTAGTGTTATAGCCTGTTGAAGGACTCGGATTTCGTTAAATCAATTGTAAAGGATACGGGTTTTTCTTGCATTGATGTGATTTTAATAGGTATTTTGCGAACAGATTGTGTTAAATGCAAGATGTATATCTTGTCCTTGTTCATATCACCACCCGGTCCAAATATATACTATGCATAGCCACATGCCGATGGATTCAATAACCTCCGATATTTTACTTTATCTCATAGACAGTGCAATTTCATAAAAGAAATACTTGATTTTATACTACAGACGTTACACCGGTTGAATTGGCGCGTAGGCGCGCTGATCAAAGAACAGGTGCCAAGCGAGACACGAGACCCATCACGTCAACAATTTAACCTCAATTTAAGGGACTAAGCTTAAGTGCAAGCATGATTCAACTTCAAATTAAACAATCCATCATAATAATAACTTTTCGCAGGAAAAGGGGCTCACAAATGTCGCGACAAAAAGCAAAAACAAAACAATCGACTCCGAACATGCCATGGTCGCTCGAACACCGGGGAATATGTATCACATCATAAAAACAAAGGGAGACCCAGAACGAAAGAGCGCTCGGCCACAACCAGCCCCTGAATCCATCACATCGCCCTAGAAGATTTCCAGATCCTCAAACTCAACAACCAATCCATCCCTCGAACCAGCCGCCAACGAATTATCAAGAGCCATGCCATGCATAGCATCCCACATAGTCTCACCACGCGACAACCCCGTCGGCCGACTGGCATAAACACCAACATGCACAAACTTATCCTCCACCCCATAAAAGAACCACGTCACCTCGCGCAGCTTCTTCCACGTACTCCCCACCGCCCCAGGCGACACAGCATACGGCAAAACCGACGGAACCTGATACCAAATCCACAATTCAAATCCCACCCGCTCAAGCTTGATGCGCAATGACTGAACGCCCGTCGAAACACCCATGCCCGGCCCCGCCGATGCCAGCGGCGAAAGACACCAATCCGCCCCATCAGCAGTCGCACTAACAGACGAAGCATTCACACAGCCGGACGAAAACTCCATGCCAGCCTTGACCCATTTGCACGGGAAGCGCGGGCCAGAACCCGCCGATACCGAAGCTGGTGCGTGCGTCGTGTCTACTTCGGAGAAGAGGGCGGATTGCGCTTGTGGTGCGGCGCCGGCGAAGATGACCAGCCCGCCTTGGTCGCATTCAAGCTCCCAATCTGCGCTCACCGTTACTTCGGCTACGACGAAGGGGTGGCGGAGGGATGTGAAGACGATTGGGGCGGTGGATGTGTCGCCGTTTGGTGGTTTGCGCCATAGGTCTGTGTTTGGGCCTGCCGGAAGTGTGAAGTATTCCATGCATTGGGGGAGTTCGAAGGTTGGTGGTAGGTTAAGGGCCGTGAATGAGGTGCCTGATGGGGGCATTTTGATTTTCGGGTCGTTTGGGGGGTTTGGTACTTTTGGTCCCTCGGGTGAGGATGGGTTGGAGTGAGAGAAGAAGAAGAAGAAGAAGAAGAAGAAGAAGAAGAAGAAGAAGAAGAAGAAGAAGAAGAAAGAAAGAAGAAGATTATTAAGAAAAGAAAGAAAAGACGGTAAAGGGATATTGGTGACAATAATCGAGCACTGAGTGTGGTTCTCTCCAGAATTAAAAGGACCGGAATATGCACTATGCACAATGCACTATGCAATATGCAATTGATAGCCGGTGTTGAAGAAAAATCCACAGCTTTTGCACTAAAGTTTAACCAAGTCCAGCCCTTGAGGGAATGCAAGATTGTCAATTGTTGGAATATGATGCAGTCGAGAACCGGCATATGCGGATAAGCCGAATGCGGTTTGCGCCAGGGAACCCCCAAAAAAAGCCCAAGGGAAACCAAGCTACTGGGAGAAGAAGATAAACTCTAGAGAGAACCATACGATAATCAGCTATTTATATGCAAATATTCCATCCGACCAAGTGGTGTTCGCCCTATCGATTTGTCCATTGCATTTCAGGGGACGATCATTCGAGGTCTCCGCTGGGATAATTCCCATCTTCGAACCAGAGCGCTGGAGACCAGAACCAAGCTGTTGGATTCCTTGAGGCGCTAGGCTTGGGTTCTTGGTGGTTCCTTTGATGCGAGATGCGTGCTTTCGGCCATGGCCCTGCGGACCAGTTCGCAAGTGGCGGGTCATCATGCATCTGGAGAGGATCAATCACGTTGTGACCGAGAATCTAAGGGGGTGAAAGGATCCTGAATGCGAGAGAAACTGGGAAACGATGATGCCTACGCTGGCATTCATTCATACGTCGAGCAATGACAGCGAGGGCTGAAACGAGACAGGCATCTCTCAGACTGTACTTTGTGTAGCAGCGATATACATTCAAATTTCAGACTATGGCTGAGGATCGATCGGAACAATGCATGCATGAACCTTTGGGGGGAACTCAGATTCGGCTTGGGAGCTGACTGTTCTCTGGGATATTCCCTGGTCGGCGGTTTGACAGCTTACACTTCGAATGGAGGCAAGTCGACAGGCTTGTTTTATTTTATTTTCTATTTGTTGCTGTTGAGTGGCGCTGCAAGTTGGCGGCCCAGCCACACGATGTGCGCTCGCTCCACTTGGGGCATTCTGCACGAGGCTGAAGAGGGTAATCAGAACCACTCACTGTGGTTTATGTCGAGAGAGGTCTTTTTGATATCTTTTTGATGTCATCCGAGGTCCTGAAGTGGACCTGAACAAAGAGAGATCCCCCACAAGCAGTGGACAATGGTCGACAGGGCCAAAACGTGGTGTGAATGTCAGCTCCTGTTGTAGTGCCAAGCGGTTAGCTCTTGATCGCCTCGATTTCTTCCCCTTGTGACTTCAAAGTCGCTACGAGTTGGCGCCGCCAGCTTGGGTTCTTTGACTGCCCAACATGTATATCGCATCCCACCGCTTCTTTGCATTCCAAATCACCGGCAGTTCGTACATTTGTCCGATTCTCCCATTCTTTCATCATCCCCAGCTCTTCTGTCGATCTATGTTCAACACAGCCATTGCCCCAATTTGGGGGCCAAACTGTAATGAGTGCCCGATTTAGCAAAACGAAGCCCAGCGTCCTCAGGGACTCGTATTACAACGCCCTGTGCCCTAACCCAGACGTCCCGAGCCAATTAACTGCGCCTCCTCCCATCTTGGCCTCGTATTTCAGGGTCCTTCAGCCTCAACCCAACCTGCGATAGTGTAGCATGTGCCTCCTTATCCCCCTGACTTAAAAGCCCGTCAGGACTCGTCGCGTAGATTTAATGATTTTTGCTGAGTTTTCAACCTTCAGAAGCACAGAACATACGCGAAAATGTCGCCTCGACGCGGAGGTTATAGTAGCTATACTTCGGGCTATGGCTCGAGTCCCTGGAGCGAGGAGACCCGGCTGAGTCTCGACTATTCATATCGCTATCCCAACTACCGGAGTCTCTTTATTGCCGGATTCGTCTTCCATATTCTGACTGCTGTTGCCTTTGTCGCGTTTCTCATTTGGTCATGCACGATTCGCAATCGTGGTCTACCACTGAAAGGGCTTATCTCCGCTCTTTTTGCATATATCCTGTATGTTGAAAAAAAAAGCTCCCTCCGCAATCGTAGCCCGCTAATAACAGGTCAGATCTGAGCTATGCTCAATCATCTATGAAGCTCTATACATCGCCGACGTCTATGTCACAGAATATTACCGCATCATCCTGATGCTTGGAACTTTCTTCTATTTTCTCGCCACTCTACTTCTATTCTATGTCTTCTGGAGCCTCGTACACCGCTTACTGGGCCGTCTCACGGATTCCGGAAAACCATATGCAGCAGTGACGATCATCCATTGGATTCTCCTCGGCATCATCTCGGCCGTCTCAATCGCCAGCTGGGGAATGTATGTCGCTTACGAAGTTGGACAAGTGACATACATCAGTCTAGAAATCACATTGGCCTGGATTGATCTCGACAGCGCCCTGACAATCATCTTCTGGCTGTTATCAATTGAAATCGCGGCCTGGACAATTTTCGTGATTGTCAAGGCTGGGACCCACCGCTTTCTGTCAAAGGTAAGTACTCACAACTCTCATAGATGCCATGAAAACACACATCTAATTAGATACACAGACGCCAGCCATTTCCCTCTTGGTTGGTTCCGTCTGCTGGTTCGCCGTGAACATGATGTGGGCCATCCTCGCCATCCGCTACAACCTCGAAAAGGGTAATAGCTACCCAGTCTATTTGGTCTGTGCCAAACCAGTCATCATATTCGTCTTCCTGGTTGGAACGTTCATGGGAATAGTCTTGTGCTGCGCGAAATGGAGCACCCTTGGCGTTGGCCCGGATAAGTATGAGCATGCTGCTGTGACTGGCCAGTATCCACCTCAATATCCCCCTGGACAGTACCCTGGATACCCAGAGAATTCTCAGGGACAATACGCCCCTGCCCAGTATCCGCCTGGGGTCTCTTCTTATCAGTATCCGGCTTACGGCCATCATGCCGCTGAAGCTCCGGCTCCAGCGCCGGTTCCAGCTCACTCGCCTCAGCCTCATTCACCTCAGTAGCCGTTTGTATACGGTTAGATGTGCTGTTTGACCCATTCTGTTATGTTCTGATTTGATACCCTGCTTTCTCATAAGTTGTACGAAAGCCTACATATAATGTAGTTCATATACCCGGTTCGATTCACTCGTTCTCTCAATACAAATGTCACTATTATCTAAAACAAGCAATTCTAACAAGATATCATTGTAAAATAACCCAGAATACTACATAAGAGGTCCCCAACATAGATCAACACCATCTAACCAAACGTCTTGGCACCAAAGCCAGGCGGTGGCGCAAACCCGCGATAACATCACTTCACTCACCCAGAAAAAGCCAAACATAAACCCTACATCAACCGACCACCAACATGGTCTGCTCAAAATGCCAAAAGAAACTCCAGTCCACAGAGCTCGCTACACCTGGCGTCAAGCGCAAAAATGATATGTACTACGGTTCTCCGAGTAGCTCGCTCGGCGGCGGAGATAAAGGCAAGGCCAAGCCGACATTAGGTGCCACGGGCATTGGCAAGGTATGTAACTTATCATTCTTATCACTATATTCGTGAGAATGGAACGGTTTCTTTTTGAATGTTCTATTGTACTTTTATATGGGATGGATCGACTGACATTGCTTGCAGAGCAAACTCCTCAGCTCAAAGGCTAAGAACCCTTATGCGGCTTATGCTTCTTCTTGTGAGTCTTGTAAGACCAAGACGGAACAAGGGAAGAAATATTGCCAGCGGTGTGCTTATAAGAAGAATGGTATGCCTCTCTTTCTCTTTCTCTCTCTTCTTGTTACACCACTGGCTGCAGTTACTGACGTCTATCTGGTAGCTTGTGCCATGTGTGGCAAGAGTCTGACGGGGAAGAACTCCAAGGATCAGCCTATCGTGCAGAGCCAGAAGTTCAATTTGAAGTAGCCACAGTGCTAGCTACATATCTGGGTGGTTTCTCTTTTGTTTTCAAGATTTACATGGCATGGCGTTTAGGCATTATTGATACCGAATCAAACCCCAATGGAATGAATTTGATTGACAGTGTAAGAAAAATCTAGTTATACATGGCATGCGCAATAAGTGTATATGCAGTGCGCCAATTGTGCGCTGATATCAGAACAAGTATGCCTTCTCTTCAGAACTTCGTCTCCATCTCCATCTTCTCACTCGACCCAACCCCGCATCTTTTCAGCATCTGGCGTTTATCGGTCGGCCAGCATGTTCTTGATGTTGCTGTAGTATTGCGTGTTCAGGTATTTGGGGAGCTCCTCCTTGGAGAGCCACTTGAAGTCCTTCAGGTTCTGGGTGTTGATAGACAGGTCGGCCTGGCCGGCCATGATGCGAGACTTCAGGAAGAAGATCTTGCTTCCGGCAACTTCGACTTCGGTCTTCTTGTCTGACTGTGCGCGGGGCGGGTTGAAAGCATGCCAGCCGACAGGGTGGTAGCCGACCATCCAGGTGTTCATGTTGACACCGGCGGATTGAGAAAGGGTACGTTCAGCGGCCTGTGATTGAGAAATGTGACGTGAGTATGAATTTTTTGACAGCATTTAGATCAATGGGTATACGCACCAACCGAAGAGTCTCGCCATCTTCAACCGGCGAGCTGGGGAACTTCCAGTGTCCCTCCTTGGACTGAACCAGGAGGTAGAGTGTGCGGGAAAGCATACGATCCAGACTCCTCTGGTCGTTCTTCTTGTCTGCTTCTGTCTCTCGAGGGAACGGCCGAGGAATCTCCTCCTTTTTGCTGGTATCTTGCGAGGTGGCATTGGCGGTGGACTCTGCATCCTGCACAAGCGTCTCAACCTGGTGAGAAGGCTCAGACTCTTGAGCGCCGAGCAAAAGCTCATCGTTCCATGCTTCACCGTCGTACGCGTTGTACTTGCCGATATCACGCGCGGCAGTCCGGCGCTCGAGGATCTTCTTCTTCCAGTCTTCGTCCGCCGGGGTTCCGCGCTTGAAGTAGAAGTATTTCGTAAAGGGGAGGGCCAGACGCTCGTTCAGGCGCTTCTGGTAAAAGTAGTATGACTTCTCAAAGGGCTCGAGGTCACGGGTGATCTGGGGAGGGCGGGAGAGGACCACACCGGCGTTGATGGTGTAGGCGGGCTTCACGACGGGGGTTGTCGATGCAGAGGCTGATGTCGTTTCGGTGGCTGCTGGAGCTGCGGAGGCATAACTGCGTCGGCCAAGGGTTTCTTGACAGCTTCTGCACACGCCGGAGTCGACTATTGACGGGCCTGCGCGCGGAGTCAGTGGACCGAAAAACTCGGGAAAAGTTGAACTGAACGTACGCAGCAGCGACGCCATGCGCCTTGCACCATTGGATCCTGACGACATTGTGTTGAGTGGGCAATGAGTTGGCTAGTCAACGGGGGAGTCTCCGAGAAAAAGATCAAACTTGGGTCACGTTGTCGCCATGCCCAATCGGGTTAGTCGCTTTCCGCGCGGTTTAAAATCGGCAAATTCCACTTTTCGGATCTTTTCTTCTCCCAAGCATCACTTATCATCGCCTGAGTCACATTCCTCTACGACCAGTCGACCATTTATCGGTGCTCAGATTGAGCTCGGGGCCATTTTTCGCTAGCGGTACCTTCGCATAATCAAGGTGTACTGTTAGATAGCTGCTCCGAACATCCTTACATCCAAATGAATTGTCATTTCACTGAACTAGCCACTCTCTTTACTTTTCCCCCCTTTTCCTCTCGAATATCAAGTAGATTACATTTATCTCCTGCTTTCTGCTTAGTCCATGTCCATTAGATGACTCTCCTTAGTGACCTTGCCTCCTAGCCGCACCATCCTCTCTACAGTGCCAAACACCCGTAGTCTGTTCCCGTACTCATCCCAGAAACTACTGCCCAGACGAGGCAACAAGACGCGCTTGCTGGCTATGAACTGAGTTTTGGGGCATCCAGTGTCCGCAAGGGACCTGGGAGGCCGGACAAGGTTCGACGCCTGCACGACAGGAAAGGTCTCAGTGTTCATGTTAAAGAGATCACTGAATTCGCTCTTCGCAACTTGTTTCTCTAGGCTGTCCGACATGCTGTCTTTCTGGAGCGGGATAGTTAGAGACCCGCGCTGGATCTGGCCTGCCAGTTTGAGAAAGGCCATGGCGGAAATCATGCTGTCGTACCCTGCTTCATGGTTCACAGTGCGCCACTTGTACTTCGAGAAACGACGGTCAATCTCTACATACGGTCAGTTCTGTACATCACTTGACAAGGGTTAGATAAATTGTACCTATCTTGGGGCTGTTCACATCCGTCAACTTGGCCTGCAAATCGGTCAGCGAAGACGCGGGATTGATAGAGCCGCAATCATGAGTATCCAGATATTTAGTATCAACAAGCACAGGGAACAATTGGTGGATGGCGGTCTTGAACTCTTCGATAGTATCAGGCAGTGGACCCAGGAAGCATGCATGGAAAAAGAGCAGATCACAGAACATGTTGTGGCCGACAAGAACAGGTCTGTTCTCCTGGAGGCATTGCTTTACCCTCTCTGCCAGTTCGTTAATGCCAAAAGCTGGATTGTCGATTTTTCGCTTCAAAGGCTTGAACATCTCTGCATCAAGCCCCTCCAGATTACCACCAACAAGTGACTCTGCAATCCAGCGGAACCCGATGTGCTTCTGGAGCTGTGCCTTCTTGGTCTTCAGCTTCTGGTCTTGGGCCACTCGCTCGCATTCAATGTCCGTAACATAGATTTGAATAAAGTTGAAGGTATTTCTGGACCGCAGATTGGGGAATTCCTGGGTGATCAGTTGGTGTACAAGCCATTTCTGCATGCCGTTGAGTCCTTCAGGTGCACTGCCCAGTGGTTTGACTTCACTCGGCGGGGGAACGTTCAGCCATTGAGACCGGTCCTATCAGTGTTAACTGTTTGCCCTAAAAAGTGACCTTGAAACACTTACCTTTCCCTGCGCCAGCCAGTTGGTGATCATGGCTCGAACATTGGCGAGAAATTCGAGAGACTCATAGTCATCGTCCTTGATGCCCATGTCTTGTCGAGGGGTCTGGCTGCATCTTTCTTTGGCTCTTGCCAATGCCAGTTGCTCCTCCGCACGAGACAGGTACTGGATGCCATGCTCACACAGACTATCCATGCTAAATCCGTGTTTGAGGAGAAACTCCATGGCTGCATAATGAACCGTTAGTGCATGACCACAATAAAACGCCTAGGCAACACATACCCCGGCTGCTAGATGCCCAGTCGCGATTGACCTCGGACTCATGGTGTGGGATGGGGTTCAGATTGAAGTTGTATGGCTTGAGACTATATGAGGCTGTTTCACATTAGCGGACCAGGTATCTCATGCGTCACTTAACACTTACCAGTTTCCTGGTTCTCATGGCAAATCGTGAGCCCAACTTGCAAGATCTGATACTGTTCTGCTGCTGCCTTGGTTTGCTCGTACCGCTGCTGGATTGTTTGAGGCTTGGTTGGTATGAATGGCGCAAAGGCCACGCCAGACAGCTCAAAGTCCAGGCTGACAAAACAGCTAGCGGAGATGTCGTGCAAGATGAACGGAAGATACTCCGAGAAGTTGGCGCTTGTTACTTCCATCTTGTCTTAGATTTTAAGACCAGAAGTAAGCGATTGGTCCCGTGGAAGTGAAAGACAAGTGAAAGGTAGGGGAGCAGAATATTTTGGTCTCAGCTAAACCACCGTTGATTGATTGCTATTGCGTCAACGAGGAAGGAATTAGCATAGAGGTAGGTCAATGGGTGTCGCGCAGTTGGCGTCATGCGCGCCGGCGACGTCGTTTTGGAGGACTCTTAGAAATATGCAATTGGAGGCGCGAGAGACGGGACAAAGGAATGAATAGCATTGTTTAATACTTCCTGTTTAAAGACGCTATTCAGAGAATCTTAATGGGTTTGCTAAATGCTTATAGATCGCGCTCACAGGCCAGTCCCGTGACCCCCCCGGACTTGGCTTGAGCCGAGGGAAAACGACAGCCGATCGCAATCGGCCCCAACTCGTTTCACTCTGACTTCTCCATTTATTGTTGCTTTATATCTCCTGAAAACCCTTGGAATTGATTCCTGTTACTATCGTATGATCTCTCGGCCTCACAATGGCTAACGGATCCCCAATGTCGTCTCAAAACCAAGCTCGCTCCCCGTCCTCGGCCTCCCCCACAAAGCTGTGCTCCAAGACATACAAGAAGGCCTCCCAACTCTACCTTACACGTCGCCTACCCGAAGCTTTAGCAAGTCTACAGCCTATTATCACACCATCATCACCACAAGAGGACCAGCACACAAATGGCGACTCGTCAGCACCGGTCGCGCCGATCGCCACGGCCGCCAGCACGTGGAGAATCAAGGTGTGGAACCTCTACATCACCCTCCTCAGCGCAATAGTCGACCTTGGTGCCGAGGAAGGAAAGAAGCAATTTGGACAGAAGGAATGGAAAGGCATTGCATCCCAAGTGAGAGAAGGCGGAATTTGGGAGACTGTCGTCGAGGTCGGCTACCAAAACCGAGAGGGTTCGGTGGACGCCGAAGTCGTCTACAACTTGTCAGTCTTCAGATTACAGTCTAACCAACCCGGAATAATCAACTAACATGGCTACAGAGCTACACTACTTCTCACACATTCCTCCTCGCAATCTTTGAACCAACAACGGCTCGAGACGTACCTCTCTTCATACGGACAGCCCAACCTCGACCTTGCAGATCGGCTACAAGATGCAGCTAATGATATCCAACAGCGCCCCATGCCAACAAGCGGCGCTGATACACCGAAGGACCTGACCTCCAGAGTGAGGATCATCGAGCTCTTCACCCTGCATGTACTCCCCCGCAATGACGAGTGGGAATACGCAACCGAGTTCATAAACTTGAGCGAAGTTCTCGACGAGGAACGGAAAGATCTATTCCTCCAGACCCTCGAGGGATTGAAAGAAGAGAAGGAGCGAGGCGAGATGCGCGCCGCTGAACTACAGCGTTCCAAAGACGAAGAGCTAGAGCGGCAACGAGAGGACGAACGCCGAGAAGCCGAGGAAGCAGCCGCAGCGGCTGCGCGATCACAATCCAACGGCCACAAGCGCAATACCAGCGAAGTCGACTATGGGATTGAGAAAAGCCGCCCACAAAGTTCACCCAAGGGCAAAGGAGGCAGATCCACAGATAAGTCGTCGAATGGGAAGTCTACAGGACGGACCTCGCTATCATCATCTGGATCTAAGAATGTCAAGAAGAATGACAAGACTCAACCCCGGGCTCGTCCATCTCAAGCAGTGACAACTGCTCTGCGCAATCTTTTCCGCCATATCATCCAGACCGTGTCTGGTAACCCCATGTCATTAGTGCGTACTCTACTCTTCGTGATTGGCATCCTTATGGCAATGAGCCGACAGGATGTCCGCGAACGTGTACGAAGGGTTACAGACTCTGCTTGGCAGAAAGTCAAAGGCACAGTTGGGATGGGTGTCAAGGTGAGCTACATTTGAGAATTGACAGGCCTATCATGTACATGGTGTATGATGTATATTTCTATATTGTTCCTGTTCCGGTTATCAAGGAGCTATTGTCGCATACCTGTATTGCAATTGTGATTCTATATACCTGTGTATCCTACTTGACGCATATACACCAGATCAAGGGCATCTTCGATGTATTTTTCTATTTTTCGACTTTTCGACAGAATATTTTTTGTTCATAGTCTTGGCTGTTCTGCATCTATCTCATCTATCTCATCTATCTAGCTAGGCAGATGAGCAATTTACACTGCGTTCGATCATGGCCGCGGAACACTGGCGGTCTACCTTAATTTTTGGTGTAAGCTTATTTTTGCTTCGAGCCCACCATCCTCTTTTCATATCTATGAAAAGCCTCGGTTGCAATGCTACATGTCATAGTCGTTCTATTCTGGTCTCTCACTTTTCACCATTTTTCTTATTGCCTATGGAGTGCATTGGATCAATCGCCTAGATCATATCAAGATAATTTATGGGCGTGGAAGACTTATGACCGCTGTTATATATTCTCTTGGAAAATCTAATTTACATCTGTCTTGGGACTGATTAACGTGGACTTGGGTATAGAGAAACAAAGCTTGATTACCCAGTAATATGAACTACAATTCCGCCGTAAGACACCCCATTCTGATCATCCTAACTGGAAATTTGGCATATCCTGATACTTTTTTCGCCAATAAATCAGCGCATTTTCACTATCCTCTTGTTGACCGAAGTCCATGCTTCAAAAGCGTGTCCAGGGTGGCAGCCACAGCATCCAAGTCTTGACACCGATTCACTATCCCTACTGTTCCTCAACGACCCTACCCAACTATCTCATTTAACCAGGGACCACTTTGTTTCCGTGAACACAATGAAAACCGTGGCTTCTTGAGTTTCGATGCTCACCAGTGGGGCAAGGCATTGGATACCCTCTGTCGCCATACTACTTTGAGCCCGAATGACGGGTGGTGGGGCTATGTGTCTCCAGATGGTCTCGTAGCGCAGGGAGCCCATGCGCAAGACCAATCGGGCTGTTCGAAGAAAGCATCATGCGATTTCACAAAGCCCTGTACGAAGTACCTGAAAGATCCTGTCAAGACATGTGACGGGTCGACTTCCGATGAGGAAATCTATGGTTATGATAGTGGATTCATTCAACCAGGACCTAGTGGATGTGGGTATTGAGTATTATATTGCGAAGCCATCGCTCAAGGCTAGTTAAGTTGCTCACAGTCCTAGAGAATGATGAAATGCATGCCTGAAGATAATGAACATCTCACTATTCATACGATGTCTCGGCTTAGTATCACATTATTTTGATGGTACTGAGCTGTGTTCTGGTTATTAGAACTGATGAACTTACACGGGCACTACTGTCCTCCCGGGGTCATACAGAGAAGTAAAGAAAAATGCAAATCTCGAACATCTATACGGGATATCTCATTAAAAAGGTACAAAGCAATCAACCGTTCATCGTGACCACTAAATTGAATCAAAGAAATAACTTATACCGCAAAAGCATCAGAAGCACCAAGGACAGTGTCACCCTTGCGAGCCAGCGACCTTGATATACTTAGCACTCACATTCTGAAGTCCGGCTATAGTCTCAAACCCAGTCCGCTTCTTGGAGGTAAGCATAGTTTTCTGCATCGATTGAAGCGAAGGAACAGAGTACACAGCCAAGTTGTCATACTCAGTAGCACCATTCCAGCTCATGTAGAAATCAGTCGTGTTAGAAACAGTGGCGTTGATAGCAACAGCAGGGTTCCAAATCGGCGTAGTAGAAGTCCATTTGTACTTCAGACCACGGTATGTCTCAGCTTGTCCATATGCGCCAAATTGACCGGACTTCACGATTTCGCAGTTGCTGTCATATTCTTGGATATTGGGCGTGGAGCCGTAGTTCATGAACATGTTGGAGAGTCCCGGGGGACCGAGGAATTGGAAGCTACCCTGGGTCTTGGCGTATAGAGGGTTGGTCGGGTCGGAGACGTTGTACATCAATGTGGCCTTTTGGTTAACGAGGTCGACGTTGTAGGCCATTCCGGTGGTTTCGCTGTCGACTTCAGAGAGGGTATTGCGCTATTGAAGATGCTGATAATCAGGCTGTCTTCTGTTTTGTTGTGTGATCTGATGTCGTGTTGCCAGGAGAATTGGAGGTCGTCGCCTGTGAAATCGCCTTCGCCAGCGCCCTCGACAAACATGTTAGAATGTGCTTTAGCTTAAGGTAAGGTGGGACTCACGGAAAATTGCCAGCGAACTGATCCATCCTTGTTTAGATAGAAAGCTGAAGAGTAACATCGGACAGAGATGAGATAGCCGTCATTGGTGGCCATGACGGCGTTGACATGATAGGCATCCCATGGTGTATCCTGGGCGACAACAGCTTGAATGGGATGCAGGGAGTTTGAAAATGGGATCTTGTCTTGGTGTTCCAGGGCACTTCACGAGAACACAACCGCGTTGGATGCAATATCGATTTCATAGAAATGGCTGTCGATCATCCACTGGGTCCCCGATATGCCAGCAGAAGTCAGGTTTTGCTGGGTCACATTAACAGCAGTGACAATCATAGTATTCCGGTCAGTGATGATGTGCTCGTGAACATCAATATAGGAGTTTTTGGTTTCACCAGTGGGGGTGGAAAAGTTATCTTGCAGAATGACGGAATAGATCTCGTTATACGTGTTGTCGAGAATGTGAACCTTGCCATAGCCATAACCGCCAGACACACCAGTTTCACCAGACCAGAAGGTAATGACATCCTGCCCGAACAGCTTTTGGGCTTTGAAGTCCATGGTAGCCTCCTCGGGCCCGATGTAGACCACATTTCCATCGTTGTCATAGATTCTTGGACGCGTACTGGCGTCGTTGTCCGCTACTCGGACTCTGATGAAAATCTGCCCCGGCGCGGCGTCATCAGTATTGTTGAGTTCCAGCTTGGAAGGCTGCCAGTTTCCAGTTTTGTAAGTGTTGTAGGGCTATGTGTCGGTTGTAATGGCACTAGAGGCCAAGAGCCATGTCCCGCATGTGGAGAGTAGAGACCACATTTTGAGGACGTATTTGCGAAGATTGTATACGCAGAGAGAAAATGGCTAGGCCAATAGAGCTTGAGCTACGGAAAGGCGGAAATAATATTATGGGGGCATTATTGGAAAAAGCAATGGATAGGGACGGCGATGACGGGTATCAAGACAGTTAGCTATACGACATTGTCTGACGCGGGCCATTACGTTACCAGCGAGCCTTTAGATGGGCTACGACACTAATCGGGCATTTATTCTGAGCTTGTCGTCAGAGGAGTAATGGAGAAAGATTCCGGCTACGAACTGGGTCCGCTATCTCAGCCTTGAGCGGAAGTAGCTGCTCGATACAGCTCCATTTTTTGGGGACTTCATGCAGAAATGATCGACGAAACTAGTGAAAGGCTCCTGAGGCCCACGAGCCTGATAAATAGTGATCGTTGTGACGATATCGAAACTATTCCACTTGATCAAATGGAGCAAGTAGTACATTACCGGAAGAAAGATAGCACCGCGATGCTTCTGTTTCAGTGTTTAATAACTGATAGTGGATATCCTCGAGATATTTTGAGTGTATCCATAGCTTGCCCGAGTTCCACTTTGCTCTTATTCACATTATTATTTTGCGATGGTGGTTCTTGGCCCATAGAAGATCCCAATGTCCGAGCGATCCGCGAGATTCGGTCCGATCTGCATGTAAAAGGTAAAACAAGAATGCAATCGAAGTGTGGACACGAATATCCACAAGATTTCAGAGGTCATGTCGTTCTCCTGTCATTTATGCGCAATTAGAAGCTCAAACAGGAAGGAAGAAAATAAACCCCCTGAATGAATCTCAGGAACCTTGTCCCCACAATCCTGCTCACAGTGGTTTCATGTAAATCGCGGCAAGGTACATGGTTGAGTGCGATCGATGTCTCAAGTGTCAGCGTACTGATCTTTTTGACTGAATGTGAACACACTACAGTTACTGTTCCTACCACTTTGTGGTTTAAATTGACCATCAGCAGTATAGGACCAACAAGCATCGGGTCGACAATTGAAGGCGGATGGCGAGGAACCGCTTAAATGGCCTACTTTCGAATTTGGGCGAAAATCACGCCACTGAGGATGTTGAGGCAGTCAGATCAGGAAGATGCAGTTGAGAGAAAGCTTAAGTCTCCAGAAAACGTTAGCCCACTGAGGTGGAGACGAAGGCTTTTGGATGTGGCCATGTCAATGCGTATATGATGTCCTTTAAATGTAGAATACGCAGCTATAAAAGTCGATCGAGCTTAGAATTGCCGGTAAATTACTTGATCTCTATGTACAGCAGTGAATTTAAGCTCAAGATGTGGCTTGGCTTTGAGATTAAGTTAGCGCACGCATTGACAACTCCACAATCACACCATCAGCTGTCATAACAATTGCTGAGGTCAGAGATTTCAACTCCTCGGGAATAAAAAGATAAGCAAAAGTACTGGGAAACTAGCCTTCAGGTCAGGTTGGCCTTGAAATAGTACCTTGGAAAGACCAAGTTGCAGAAACCATCATGGTCGTCCGCGATGAAGTCGAGGCCGTGGCTAGAAGTTTGCAGTGGGAAGTTGAGAAGCTGGTTCAATGTCTGGCTGAACTGGAGACTGAAGAGGAATAGTTGTCTACCTGGCTGTAGAGGTTGCCGTTGGTACTTTGTTGTGGGATGTCGTGATGGCAACGGGTTATCTAGATCAGGTCGCTCCGCCTTTATCGCATGATAATGTCTCACATTTATCAGGCAAAATCGCTAGTAGCAAGTTCAAATCATCACCAAATCTTGCAATGTGCAACAGAGTTTTTATAGGGAGTAGACCAATTTCCTCAAAGGGTAATCCGCCAGTTGCGCTACGTTCTTGGCGGATCGGCAGAGAAGCCAAAGCACATCTAAAATCATCGTTCCTGTACTGCTTTTTCTAGGAAAGTGGTGACAAGCTGATCTGAGTCCAGCAGATTCGAAGCGTCAATCTCTAGGCCTGTGATGATCTATATCAACCTCTGTACCGAACCTACAGGTCCGCCAAGATGTGCAGCATTGCCAAAGTCTGTCTCAGCTGCTTAGACCAACGCTAAACTTAACAGGACAATCCTGCGCGAAGATCTTCACAGAAAAAGATCCAAGCGTCAAATTTATCTGATCAAACCCCTGATCTAGATTGATTAGATTAGATCATTGTCTCCCTATTCGCTGGGCTTACTTTGCCTTCCAAGGCCCATTCATATATGTTCCATCTCCTTATAGGGCTTATAAGAAGCCCAGAGCCACACTCATTACTCTCCTTTCCCTGCATCTTGACGCACAGCCGTTAACCCGTTGATAAACAGAGTCACCTATGCTCGTCTCAGGCCAAGTCCCATGCCAAAATGCCCGACGACAAAATCACTAACGTGGCCACGCCCGCTGCGAAAGAAACAAAATCCCCCATGCCCAAATCCAAAGTAGGCAATGTCTACCAATCCCAAGGAGTAACCCGCATGGAAGCCGTCTGCCGCGAAGCCAAATCAAACCGCAAATCCCTCTGGCTAGTCGGAGTTTCCGTCCTAGTATGCGCATGGGCATACTCCCTCGACTCATCGACAACATCCTACTACTCCATCGATGCATCATCCTACTACAAGCAACACAGCTCCGTCCTCTCGACCCTATCGATTGCAACGAGCATCATCAGCGCCGTGAGCAAGCCATTCATCGCCAAAATCTCCGATATAACCTCCCGACCCTATACATACATCCTTACACTATTCTTCTATATGGTCGGTTATATCGTCGCCGCTACAAGCAAGACCATTGCTGCCTACGTAGTCGGCGAAGTCTTCGTTGCAATCGGTAGCTCAGGCCTCGATCTGACGAATGATATTATCGTCGCTGATTTGACGCCTCTGGAATGGCGTGGGTTTGCAGGCGCGATGTTGTCTACACCGTTCATCATCAATACCTGGTTTGCGGGCAAGATCGTTGATGCTATTGAGAAGAGGGATCAGTGGCGTTGGGGATATGGCATGTTTGCTATCATCATGCCTGTTGCGCTTGGTCCTGCTGTTGCTATTCTAATTTGGCTGGATCGGAAAGCGAAGCAAGCTGGCATTGTCAACATTGCTTCGTCTAATGCCGCTCGTCGTGCTGCTCGTGATCTTGTTGAGAAAGAGGGCATTGAGGAGCCTCATGGTGCTGTGGTCGCTCCTGCTGCTGAGGTATCGGCATCATGGTTTGATACTCTTAAACACAATCTGGAAGAAATCGATGCCTTTGGTCTCGTACTTCTCGACTTTGGCTGGTCCTTGCTACTGCTTCCGTTCTCTCTCAAGACATATGCCGACGGTGGCTGGCGCAATCAGTCACTCATCGCTATGATGATTGTTGGTGGCCTTCTCCTGATAGCGTATGTCATCTACGAGATCAAATGGGCTCGCTTCCCCAGCTCTCCCCGCCGCTTGGTATACAACAGAACATTCATCATGGCGATCATCATCGATAGCATTTATATGCGTGAGTTACACTACCCTTCCACTTCAACCCACAATATCATTCCTGGCCTATGAAAACAGTCGCCGGCAGCATGCGCAGCCTCTATTGGAGCTCCTACGTCCTAATCGCCAACTCATGGAGCTACCAAGACTGGGTATACTATGGCAACACATTGACCCTAGCGCTCTGCATCGCTGCCCCAATAGTAGGCCTCCTCCAGCGCTGCACGCACCGCTACAAAGCGATCCAAATAGCAGGCCTCCTAATCAAAATAATCGGCATGAGTATAATGCTCGACGGAAAAAGGGCAACCTCCAGCACAGCCGCAATGGTCTTATCAATGATGCTAATCGGCTTCGGCGGCTCAATGTCCGTGGTCGGTTCACGCGTTGCATCGCAGGCATCTGTTCCACATCAAGATGTTGCGCTCGTCATTTCCCTGTTATCCTTATGGTCAAAGATTGGTAGTGCCATTGGATCGGCGATTGTCGTTGTTATCTGGTCCTATCAAATGCCGAAGCAGTTGCGTGAGCATTTGCCTGCGACTGCTACCGAAAAGGATGTCACGAAGTTGTTTGGGAGCTTGACTTCTATAAGAAAGCTTTATGCCTTTGATGATCCTATGCATGTGGGCGCTGTTCTTGCTTATCGGCGGGCATTATATTATTGTTTGGCACCTGCGCTGGGTCTGGCTTTCATTCCGCTTGTCGCGGCTTTTTTTCAGACTAATTACTTCTTGGGCAAGTCTCAGAATGCTGTTAATAATGTTGGGAATGATGGGATGCCTCTTGCTGAGAAGGATTTCAACCCTGAGGTTCCTCCGAGGAATAAGAAGGAGGCTTTCTTGCGCTTTTGGGCGGGCAAGTAGGTTGACTTTGGCCTGGGTCGTATAAAAGGATTTCTATAGGATGTTTAGGCATCGATGACAGGAGAGGGTTTCGCCAAAAGATACAAAGTGCAGTATTGTCTCATATAGTCGGTCCATAGAAATCCGTGATACATAGTCCCAACGATTCTCAATCGAAATCAAACAATAGAATTCTCACGCGTGATATGGTTCTCATGCCCAACCTCCGCCATTCCAGTTTCAGCATCACCCGCGTATTCGACATGCTCTTTCTCAACAAGCCTCGCATGCCACCTCCGGAAAAGCTGTACGAAGAAATGAGCAACACATATCTGCTCTGTGGTATAAAGCAAAACCGGCACAGACGTCTTGGATTTTGTGTAGAGATCAATTGGCTTCCACATTGCATATAGCAGCGGAATACCAAGTGCTGTGCTCTTCGCTGGCCCACAAAAGCACACTGCAATTGTTTCCTCGGGAGACATGCACTTGAACATGGGTTCGGACCATTTCCGAGAACCCAAGATCCGCGGTGGTCTTGAGCCGATGAAGCAAACTAGTGTTAGGAAGATGTAGAGTGCGATATTGAAGAGAACCACGAAGATCACACTCTGTGCGGAAAGGGATTGAAGGGCTCCTGTTGCGAAGCAAGACGAGAAAGTTGACCTGATATACGTTAGAGGTCTATCCCAAAGCCAGGTCGGATGGTACTCCTCGCTATGAAACTCACCAAATCAACAAGAGCATGCAAACACTCGCCCACTTGGGCAACTTGGTCTTCAACAACACCCAAGCAGTCCTATCCGGCCAAGTCCAACGAACAATCTGGCCAACAAACAAAGGCAACAGAACACTCAGCCCAAGCTGCTGAAAAACATCCTTATACATACTCCCCAGTCCCCCGCCCCCAAACCTCCACAAATCAAACTCCGCCGTCTTAGGAATCAAAACAACAGTCCAAGCAGCCGTAACAAACGGCCCAAGAATATTAGCAATCAAAACCTCAACAAGCGCAGCAGCATCATCACCCCCAGCCGCGCGCGTCATAACAACATTCGAAGCAATCGTCGTCGGGATACACGCCGTAAAGATATACCCAGCCAAAACAGCGCGATCAATTTTGCCGCCTGGATCACCAGCTAAGATGATATGCACAACGGCCAAAACCAACGCCGGAATGAATAAGAATGAAATCACCTGTACCACGAGGTGTAGCCGCCAATTCAGGAAGTGAGAAAAGAGTTTCTGGCGCGGAATGCTCAGGCCGGAGATTAAGAAGATTATCGCAATCACCCCGTACATAATGCTATACTCTGAGCGGATTGTTCCGCCGTGTTTGGCGACATTTGGGAAGAAGTAGGCCAACACGCAGACAACTCCGATGCCTAGTAGGAGCCATTGATGCAGGAGGAGTTTTGCTATGCGTTTGATCCCTTGCATCCAGGGGTTTGGGGGACCTGTAGATATTTCTTCCATTTTTGATGGTTATTTAGGCTGGTTTGTTAGAGGCATTTGGATGGATTGTGGTGGGTTAGTGATGTGCAAGGGATATTGATAAGAGTGTCAGTGGGGTTTCGCTGAGAATTGCGCGATCGGATTTGATCCGATCGCTTGAAGGATTCGCCTTTATCTTCAACCATGTGAAGTTACATCACAAGACATACATGTATACTGTAGACTGTGTTTGTAGGAAGTATAGAGGCCGAGATCGGCTGCCCGATTTCATGACCGGGTCGACTGATCCCGTGTGCATGTGAAGGTATGATGACATCCCTGGAGTATAACAGCAATATAATAACTTTAAGTAACTTAGCCTAATTGCAATAATGAACAGGTAGAACGTAGATCTGTCGTATCATACATCTCCATCTCTAGCCGACTATACGAGTCTGGGTAAAACGTTCAACCGGCTAATGACGGAGCCACACTATAACCCCGGACTCTCAAGGAACACAAAAAGGCCTGCAACATAAAACAAAGTAAAATAGTCTATTTCACCACCTGACTCAGGGAAAGCAAGTCCCATGACCTGTATCCCTCCTATAACAGCCACCGCGCTGAACCTCGGCTGAGGGGAGCTATTGCGTTGGCCCGAGATCACCCGCAGCAAAAGGTGCGGAAATCGCTACTTTATTTTCGGAGCTGGAGTGCAAAGTCCCGAAATGAGGGTTCTCTGCATCCGGAGTAATTTAGCTCCCTGGTTCTAGTCAGATACTGTAGGAATAGTGTGGGTGTCTTTGTCGAAAAGGTAGGGACAGGGCTATAAAGACGAAATAGCTAAATAATATAGAGTCTATAGATAGAGTATAGAATCACAAGCCACTTTGTTCTTCCTATGACGACAAGAAACATGTGAAGTCAGATCAATCTGGGGGTGAATCATAGAGCCGCCCTTGTTCCCGAAGGCCTCGGGATTGTCGACTCTCTGTACTCGGAACGCTGTGCGGTATTTCCAACTTATAACTTATAAGAGATGTCCCTCGGCTGATATTCGTGGACTGTACTCTTCCTCTTTTTTCTCTCCTTTTACCTCTTGTGGTGGCCGAGATCTATACTTCCGCTCGTCCAGCTTCCTCCGCTTCCCCGTCATAGCTCCCCACAAAAGTTTGGCACTGCCGCCACTTCGATCCGACTTGAATCATAACCGAACGGTTGTGAGGAATTAAAGATCTCTGCAATTGATCCCTTCTGTGCAGTATCGTTCTATCGAAACATTTTGGAAGGATCTGCAATACAAATCCAAGCAATTGCATTCGCTTATTCCCCGGGATTGTATACTTCCGCTTCTCCGCAATTTCGGTATTCGCGACAATCGGAAGAAACTCGATTTCGCGTCATTTCGGGGGTCTTAGATTAAAGGCCTAATTGGACATTTTCTTTTGACAATTTCCTGAACTTCTCTACTACATCTTATCCTCACAATGTCCGCGAAAACCGCCAATGGGAAGCGCACATCGCCTGCGGTCAACTTGATCGGTAGAGTAGACCCCCGTCCTTGAGATTGTGGAAAAGTATTGACTGTTTGTTAGCTGGTGGTGGTGCCGGTATGATGGAGGCCCTCGTGTGCCATCCTCTAGACACGATCAAGGTCCGCATGCAGCTGTCAAGGAGAGCCACAGCCCCCGGTGTAAGTTGCAAATACCCATTACCCATGAAATATTGCTAACCATATTGGCTTGACAGGCTAAGCCGCGCGGGTTCGTGGCCACCGGTGTCCAAATTGTGCGCAAGGAGACGGCCCTGGGTCTGTACAAGGGTCTGGGAGCCGTGCTGGGTGGAATCATTCCCAAAATGGCCATCCGGTTCACTTCATACGAGTCATACAAGGGCATGTTGGCCGACAAGGAGACCGGTCAGGTTACCAGCAAGGCCACCTTCCTGGGTACGTGAAGACAATCCATACCGGACAGAGACCACAATTGAGTAGCGGCTAACATATCGATAGCTGGTCTCGCCGCTGGTGTGACTGAAGCCGTGGCCGTCGTCAACCCAATGGAAGTCGTCAAGATTCGTCTGCAGGCACAACACCACAGCATGGCCGACCCGCTCGACGTCCCCAAGTACCGCAGCGCGCCACACGCCCTCTTCACCGTCGTCAAGGAAGAAGGTCTGAGCGTGCTGTACCGCGGTGTCTCCTTGACAGCCCTGCGCCAGGGAACCAACCAAGCCGCCAACTTCACCGCGTACACCGAGCTCAAGGCCGCTCTTCAGCGCTGGCAACCCGAGTACAGCAACAGCCAGCTGCCCTCCTACCAGACCACCTTGATCGGGTTGATTTCCGGTGCCGTCGGTCCCTTCTCCAACGCCCCCATCGATACCATCAAGACCCGTCTGCAGAAGACCCGTGCCGAGCCCGGCCAGTCGGCTGTCACCCGTATCATGGTTATCGCCAAGGACATGTTCAAGACTGAGGGTACGCGCGCTTTCTACAAGGGTATCACCCCCCGTGTCATGCGTGTCGCTCCTGGTCAGGCTGTCACTTTCACTGTGTATGAGTTCCTCAAGGGCAAGCTCGAGGCCTCGAACTGGGCTTTCGTCGGTGGTAAGTTTGAGGAGTAAACCCAAAATGTTTTGTTTTTGAAGCATTGTGATACCTGACCATGGTGGGCGTTGCGTTACCTCTTGAGGCCTTGAATATTGTTCAACTGCTGGCCGGTCGCGGCCTTTTTTTTTGTATATATTGTGTGCTTTGCGTTTCTTTGTATACCACTTTTGGTGCGCCTTGAGCAGAATAGAGTTTCTTCAAACGACTGCGAGAAAATAAAGTAGGCTGTAGTATGTCAGTACTTTGATCAAATCATCAATGGAATTGTGGTCGAGATGGACGAGAGACAGTGTACTCAGTACAGAGTAGAAGTAGAAACAGATGTGGAGGCAAACTTGGCTGACAGGCCCCTCATTCACCGCTCCCTCCCCCTCAATAAACAACCACTCCGAGACAACAGAGAAACAAGCATCATCATGCAGTCCGGAATCACAGGTAAATGATATATCACATATATCCAAGTCTCAATTGAAACAACTAACAACACCCCAGTCTCCTCGGAGCTGCAAGATGCCTTCACCCGCTTCAACTCCGACGCCTCAATCTTCTGCCTCCCAGTAACCATTACATCCGAAAGCCTGACTCCTCTCCCAGCCCTTTCGTTCAGCGGCACACCAACCAAGGAATCATTCCTGTCGTCCCTCCCCCAGCTGCAATCAACCCTTCAGCCCAAAACACCCCTCTACCTCCTGCTGCGCCGTCCCACAGCCGCTGGCACCGCAACTCTCATCGCTCTAACTTACATCCCGTCCAATGCGCCCGTGCGGGCCAAGACGCTCTTTGCGTCGACCCGCTCAACTCTGAGTCGTGAGCTTGGGACTGAGAAGTTTGGTTCGACGGTCTTCGCTACGGAGGAGGAGGAGATCCTTAGTGTTGAAGCTTGGAAGGAGCGTGATGGCGAGGGAGCTGGTGGTGTTAGTCGGGAAGAGATGATGGGTGAGAAGGAACGTGAGCTTGAGGCTGTGAGACGGGCTGAGGCTGAGGCTAGGAGTGGGACTCCTGGTCGGGATATTGGTATCGGGGGCACCTTTGGTCCTGGGTCTGGCTCTGGCATGAAGATCTCTATGCCTGTTGATGAGGGGGCTAAGACTGCTTTGCGCGATCTACGGGATGGTGGATTGGTGCAGTTGGTACGTTTTTACTTGTGGCTTGTTACGGGGAATGCGGAGAGTGGATGTGGAGGGGCTGTGAGATTGGTATGCTAACTTCCTCAAGACGATTGATATCCCCACGGAGAAGATCACGCTGGCTGGTTCCCAGGCTGGTGTTGAGCCCAACGATGTCGCCATGCATATCTCTGAGACTTCGCCGCGCTATTCCTTCTACCACTACCCCGGGTCTGATGTTGTGGTCTTTGTGTACACTTGCCCGACCGGATCGTCTATCAAGGAGCGCATGCTGCACGCCAGCTCGCGGAGGAACGCCATTGCGGTTGCTGAACAGGAAGGCCTCAAGATCTTGAAGAAGGTATGTGCACCCGAGGGGTTCGTTTCGTTTCGATGCTCATTAGTTGCAGATTGAGGCCTCGGGCCCTGATGAAATCACCGGCGAGCGTTTGCAAGAAGAAGTCAACCCGCCACAGAACCTGGGCACTGCGCGAGGATTCGCCAGACCCCGTCGCCCTGGCAGGTAAATTCGCCACCGTGTAGATAGAGCGAATGAACCAGTTCGGAGTGGGCCAAGACTGTCCGACACGATGATTGTGCTCGTTTTGTATTGTAGATTCGTAAAGTCGTCTGTCGCCTGTCGTCTGTCGTCGCTAGGCTGAACATGGTAAAACGTCGAGCTCACGCCTAGCTCACGTCTAGCTCTCCCAACCCGGGCACACCACCAAATCAAGACCAAGGGGCGAAAAGCGTGTGATCATTGATTCCGGAAACTTTTCTTTTGGTAGAACAAATCTGTCCTGGAACTTCCCAGATTGATAATCTTCGGGCATCCGTCGCGGTCCTTCTCCAGACGCGTACATTCAAAGCAGTAGAATGCATCACTGATTCCCTCGCCGCCGCAGACAACACACTTGTTCTGATAGTTGCCAAAGGAGCACTCATCGCAGATGCGGACCAGAGTCGTGGGGCGCACGTAGGAATCGCACACGGGGCATTTGCCGTCGCATTTGTCACACAGACGGCCGATTGAGATGCCAGGCTGCTTGCGGCACATGACGAGATCGGGGTGGTGGCGAGACATGGCTGAGAAAGTGAGAGGAGGTAGACAGAGCAAAAGCTAGAAATGCAACTGAAGAAGTTGGAAAGAAGTGAAGAGTGAAGGTAGAAGAAATGAGCACGAGGATTATGTGGTCTGTGCACGTGCCCCAAGCAGTCCGTTCTGTTCTTTCGTGACCCCAGACAACCAAGTCCAAGCAATTTGTGGCAAACGTCTCTGTGTTTCGATTCTATTCGTATAATTCTACGAATTTGCACTGCGCTTGCAACTGGTATTTTCAACAAAACAGCATGTCCGAACAGTACGGCTACCTCCCCTCCCGTAGCAACCCGCACCCGCACATGAAGAAGTACAGTGGCTAACACTCTATCTCGTCCGTATAGCATGCTCGCCTCGGCAGTCGCCGTACCAGAACAAGAATCCCACCGCCAATCACCAGAATTGACAAGCAAGCGACGCCAGTCCTCGGTCTCAGAACACGACACCAAGCGCCGGCGACTAAGCTCCCAAAGCAACCTCTCCCCGCAAAGCCAGCGCCGCCGCTCATCTCCTCAGCCAGATGCATCCGCAGAAAGCAAACCTGCGCGGTCGCGCGGAGGCCGTGAGGAAGATCGTAAGCGCGGTCAGCGGTTATTCGGTGGGCTTCTAGGTACTCTTTCGCAGAGCTCGAGCTCTGCGGCGCAGAGACGGCGCGCGGACATTGAGCGCAAACAGCAGGATAAGTTGAAGACTCAGGACTTGCAGTATGATGAGTTGAAGAAGCAGCGCAAGGAGCAGCGTGAGGCTATTCGCAGGAAGGAGACGCCTTTGTATGAGCGTGAGGCGGTATGTTTACTTTGATATTCTGGATTTTGGGTTTGATTTGACTTCCTCTTCTCTTTCAGATGAATACTCGGCACGGGAATATGATTGCTATGGCACATTTCCTCAAGACGCGGGCGGAGCCCGTTCTGGTGAGTGATCCGTCTCTGCTCTACGGTGATTTGGAGACTAACTAGAGTGAGCAGTATTATAAGCCATGGCAATCACGACCTGGCGATGAATCGGTGATACAGAAGCAGATTGAAGAAGCGCAAGCGACGGTCGCACGTGAAGTTGCCGAGTTTGAAGCGCGATACCCACCTGAGGCCTTTGCACCCCAACCGGATAATAGCAATGAGGAAGAGTCAGTGGCGAAGGAGCAGGGAACGCAAGGCGAGAAGATGCAGCCAATAGATACCGCTTCGGACCAACCAGCTGCTTCAGAGCCTCTGGATTTAAAAGATTCCGAACCCAAGGAGCCAACCCAGGAAGCCCCCAAGACGGCCAAAGCAGACACTAACGAGAAAGACGCTGGATCAGTGACAATGAATGGTTCTGCTGATGTGGCCACTGCTGTACATGATTCGAGCGATACCCATCATGATGATGGCGGAGAGGTCTTGGAGGATAACGAGGATACTGTGATTTATTAGATTCCAGTCTCCTGGAACTCCGATGACGATTACCTGCAGATGCCAAATACAATACCCGGTCTTGGTTTACACTTTGGAAGTGAAATCAAGGCATTCAATTATTCATGGAATCTATGGCTAGAACATGCTTATCAGGGCAGCAAAGTATATGTCCTCTCCATATGGTAACATACACATCTATATTCCTTGCCTATATGGCTTATACCCCTGTCAATTTGTTTTGGGCAACCGCCAGCGATATCAGCACCATAGGCCGATAACAAGATAAGCTTATCTCTTGGCTCTCTATAGCCCTAACACCAGGTAAATCACTCCCTTATATAGTCGAGTAGAGCAGGCCTGGAATACACTGCACTCAAGCTTCTATTCTAGCTGTCAAAATGACATTCCCTCCAACTGACAAAAGTGAAAAACTCCCCGATGTCACCTCAACCCACAGCCCCTCCTCAATCGAAAGCACTACACCAAAAGACAACACAACCCAACGAGGTCTCTCATCCCGCCATGCCCAATTCATCGCCCTAGGAGGCGCAATAGGAACAGGTCTCTTCGTCAGCACAGGCGCAACACTAGCAAAAGGCGGCCCAGCCTTCCTAGTCGGTAGCTATGTCCTCATGTCTCCGCATTAGTATACCTGATCCTGACAGGCGTCACGGAGATATCTGCCTATCTCCCTCTTCCAGGGGCAACGATGAACTACTACAGTAGTCGATATGTATCGCCTAGTCTGGGGTTCATGATGGGGTGGCTATATTTCTATTCTTATGCCATCTTTGTGCCGTTTGAGCTGACTGCTTCGGCTATGGTTATTAACTATTGGCATCCCGATGTTAATAATGCGGTTTGGATTACTATCATGTTGTTGCTTGTTGTTTCGCTCAACCTGCTTCCGGTTAAGTTCTATGGGGAGTCTGAGTTTTGGTTTGCTTTGCTCAAGGTTCTGTTGATTGTGGGCTTGATAGGTCTTTCGTTTGTACTGTTTTGGGGTGGTGGGCCTAATCATCAGCGTCTTGGGTTTCATTATTGGATGGAGCCTGGGGCTGTCAAGCCCATGACTGTGGATGGGAATTCCGGGCGGTTTGTTGCTGCACTTGCTACTCTCATCAGCTGTGTTTTGCCGTTTACTTTCTCGCCTGAGATGATTGTTGTGACTGGTGGTGAGATTCAGTCTCCCCGTCGCAACTTACCAAAGATTGCTCGCAATTTCTTTTGGCGATTGATTGTCTTCTATATTGGCGGCACCATTGCCATCTCTGTTATCTGCCCATCTGATGATCCATCATTGACGCGTGGAGGCAGTGGTGCTGCTTCTTCGCCTTGGGTGGTTGGTATCAGAAATGCTGGAATTGCCGGTCTTCCCAGTGTTATTAATGCTGTGATTATCACTGCAGCATGGTCATCTGGGAATTCCTTCCTGTATCTTGCCAGTCGGTCCCTCTACTCCATGGCCGTTGAAGGCAGTGCCCCTCGAATCTTCCGCAAATGCAGTAAAAACGGAGTCCCAGTCTACGCAGTCGTTGCCAGCTCACTCTTCTCCCTGCTAGCATATATGAATGTCAACACAGGAGGTTTCATTTCCTGGGTCTGCTGTTCAATCACCTACATTCGTTTCCGGAAGGCTTGTGATATCCAGAAGATCCCGACGGATAGTTTGATTGCTCGTTCTCCTTTGCAACCTATCGGTTCTTATATCACCATGTTTATGTTCGGGCTACTTTGTCTGCTCAATGGGTTCACGGTCTTCTTTCCATCGCAGTGGTCCGTTGTTGATTTCCTCTCTGCTTATATTGGCCTTCCGTTGTTTGTCATCTTTTACTTCGTGCATCGGTTCTGGAGACGCCAGGATCCTTGGACTATCCCTTCCCACTTGGTTGACTTGCATAATGGATTGGCGGAGTTGGAGGCTGAAGAGGATTTGGATGTGTCTAAGGAGACTGTTTGGGGGCGTCTGAGGCGCTGTCCCCAATTGTTTTCTACCTTATGCGGTCATTCGAAGTAGTTGAACTTTATATAACACATACAAGCGACGATTGGCGTGCAAATACACTATTTTGGCCAAAGTGGAGATCTTGGCACTAGTGTCTTGGCGTTTAATGGGCCGAGGCAGACGCTCTTGAGGGGTTCGGTCTGTTTAGAAATCAGTATCTCGTTTAGTCTTTTTGGTCTTAATGTATATTTCAGAACTTAGCTCTGGATCTATTTCTAGGCTCCACTACTTGCTATTGACCGGGGTTGCAACTCTCACACCGTTACTTGCGGCGCGGCAATATATGTCAACCTCGGAGCCGCATCATATCAGCCTACAACACACCACCACCGCCAGTTCAGTTTTCGAAAATTGAGACTGCCTAGATTTTCCAACTCCAATCTGAAGCTACTTATTATGCCTATTGATAAAATCCAAGTATCGGGCGATTCTCGCATCGACTACAAGACCGCGGTTCTCAATGGCCGCAAGTACTGTCAGTATCGCACAACAGCGCGAATGAGACCCTCAAAATCCAACAGAGAGCCAAAATCTTACATACCACAGCTTATATTCTGAGCCAGCCCAAATCAGGCCAATACAAAGCGACGGTGTTCCTGGTGAGCACCTCAATACCCGTATCCCAAACGAACACATACACTAACACCCTGCACAGATCCATGGCTTCCCCGATATCTCAATGGGCTGGCGATACCAGATCCCAATGCTAGTTAACATGGGCCTGCGAGTCGTAGCACCCGACTGTCTAGGCTACGGACGAACAGTAAACATCCCCACACCAGCATCACCACCAAGAAACAAACCCACTAACAACAAAATCAGGACGCCCCAGCTGATCCTACCCCCTACGGTCACAAAAGCTGCGCAGCGGATATAAAAGCCCTAGCAACCCACCTAGGTGAAAGGAGAATCATCCTGGGCGGGCATGACTGGCACGTCCCCTCTCCCCCCAAATCTTCTATACCAAAACTAACACCCAAAACAGGGGCGCTGCACTAGCCTACCGCATCGCCCTCTGGCACCCAGAACTAATCTCCCACCTCTTCACAGTCTGCGTGCCGTACGCAAGACCAATGGAAACAGAAGTCCACCTAGAAGATCTAGTCCGTACAGCCGCTCCTCATTTCGCTTACCAGATTCAGTTTGCTAGTGGGGAGCTGGAGAAGATTGTTCAATCTGACGATGAGATTCTCCAATTCTTGCTGGCGCTTTATGGAGGTCGGAATGAGCGTGGTGAGGTTGGGTTTGATGCGCATCACGGTGTGCTTGTTGACCGGTTGGGCGGGTTGAAGAGGTCGAGATTGCTGGAGGAGGATGAGATTGCGTTCTATGTGAAGGAGTTTGGGAGGAATGGGGTTCGGGGGCCGCGTATGTTATTTCTCTTGCTCTTCCCCCCTTGATGGAGTAAGTTTGTTAACTTGTTTTTGCTATTGCAGTGAATTGGTACCGGACTCGGCAGGTGAACTACCAGGATGAACTTGCTATTCTTGGTCGCAAGATTGAGGTTCCTACGTTGTTCATCCAGGCGCTAAAGGATCAGGCTTTGCCTGCTCATTTGGGCAAGTCTATGGCTAAGCATATCCCTAGCTTAACGGTGAAGCAGGTCAATACCTCCCACTGGGCGTTGTGGGAGAAGCCTCAGGAGGTGAATGACATTATTGAGGGGTGGTTGAAGGAGAAGGCCTTTACTGAGGCTCGAGCTGAGAAGCTGTAGTGAAGGATATGCAAGGTTAATGGCAAATATTGATTCATTATTGTGTATGCATACACATCGTATCTCTGGATTAAACATGTGGCATCATAGCAAGCTGCAGGCAAAAAAACAAAGGCAAAAACTGCCGAACTGGTATTAGACCCCGATTAATACTGGTACACCCTAGTCTCGATATTGCAGCCAACCTTCTCCAGACGATCGACAAAGCCCTGTCCCATGGTAGCAGGGGTGACAATACCACCACGCGAGACCTTCTTGATAGTCTCCTCGTCATTCAGAATAACCATAGCAGCCTCCGCAAGCAACAACCCAGTGAAAAGGTACATACCACCCTCGAAGGTAATCTTACCAAAGACGCGCTTGGTCTGCTCACCCTCGGGTGTAGCGATGGCATGGTACTCCAGACGATCATTCGTCGAATCTTCGCGGCGCGGTCCGCTACCAGGCGCGAAGATGAATTTCCGCAGGAGCCAGCGTACAGGCGGGAGCGCGAGGAGCATTACACCAACCGTAAAACCGATGTGCACGGCTAGACCGATGAAGGCGTTGCGGACCGACAAGAACTGTCTGAAATAGAAAGACTTGCCGTAAAGCTCGGGCATGAGGGTGCTGCTGCGGTGCACCAGGGTGATGTCGACCATTCCCGAGGGGGATGTTGTCACTGTTCCCAGATCGCGGATTGAGCGGAAGCCCAGGACCTTGTTGAGGATTGAGTCGCTAGGAATAGTCTTTGGTGGGGCTGAAGCTGCTAGGGCGAAGGGGGTCATTGATTTCATAAGCTCAGATGCTGGGAGCGAGTCGAACATTGTCAGGACTGTGTTTAGGGTGCCGCCGCTTGGTCCGGAGGATCTGTTTGGGTTGGTCAGATTGAAGTCTGGTGGAGAGATTTGGGTGTGGGTAGTACATACTTCATTTCTTTGATGGTGCTGTTGATCTCGCGCGTCTGCGAGGACAAGTCTTCTCGAACTCGCTTGACGAGGGACCAGGCTAGAATATCAGCTGGCGCACTCTCAACTCCGGCCGAGGGGATCATCTTTATGCAGTTAGTATATATCTGCCACTGCGAGGAAGGATAGTGGAACCAACAATTGCGCCATTGGCTTTGGCGGTCTCATGGTACTTCTCGATGATCGACTTGATCCATGGCGTTTCACCAGTCCTGTTACAATTAGCCAATGTCGGATAACCCCAAAGCAAAGACTAAAAACATACGCATCGACGTAGTGAGTCCCGTTGGTAGCGCATGCCTCCACCACTGGGGTCGAATACAAGTGGTAGGGACCCACACAGTTGATAACGAGCCGCGTCTTTTGGGCAAGCTCCTTGAGCTCAGTCGCATTGAGTTGGACGACCAGGACATCTATGCAGAGCCAGTAAGTTTAGATCCATAGCAATCGCTGACATGAAAGTCACAGGGCTGTTTACCTGGCTCAACGCGGTCTGGGTTGAGAGCTTTGAGCTGTTGAGCAATGGGCTCCATCTTCTGCATGGAGCGGCCAGCAATGGCCCATTTCAGGTCGGTGGGGTGATTCTGCACAATGTGCTCGGCGCAGAATTGGCCTGTGTAGCCCGTTGGGCCCAATAGAACCAGGTCATATTGGCGGTTGGAAGTCATGGTTGTTGCCGGGGATAGATGTAGGTCTGCAGAATGGGAGCTTGCGGATAACAAGCCTCGGCAAGCTAAAGGAGTGGTATGTGCTTAAACAGAGGAACTTGGTCGCAAAACGGGAGATTGAGATTCTGTACACAACTGCAAGCTATTCAAACTACACAATATCCCCTGAGCTATTTCTAACGCGTATACATATATCTTCTTTTAGATTCACGTGACCGGATAGATCGATGTCTCCGACTGCCCCTGTTTCCGTCTGGAACAAAATAAGGCCGATTGGAATATCCGAGGCATTTTGTGAATTTGACCTCTGTCACGCCTGAATTGAATGGCATCGACATCATTATGGAGACACAGTAAAAAATGTATCAAAAGCAATAAAAAGAGGAGCCAACTGACATCATGGAGCCCTGGAGAAGCCCAAAGTAAGCATTGTGAACACCTGAGGCCACAAAATTGCCACATTGGGCGCCATGACATAAGCCCACACAAGTCAGGTGACCCCCTAAGCCAAGAGCCCTAAGCGAGAATCCACAGCACAACCCGCTCATTCAAAGCGTCGTTTTCGATCTCCTGTTCAGTACCCATCTTCATCCTCTACACCAGCCAAGATGACGAAGCGCACCAAGAGTATGTTCTCCCTAATGATGTTTCGACTCATCGCAAGCCGAATCTCTTTTCTTTTCAATGCTAACTGTTCACTCCAGAGGTCGGCATCACCGGTAAATACGGTACCAGGTATGGCACACTCGAACTCCGCGCACACACATGAATTCCTCGATCGACGAAAAAAAACGAAGACTCCCACAATACGACCACGATTCTAACCATGCTCCAACAGATATGGTGCTTCCCTGCGTAAGCAGGTGAAGAAGATGGAAGTCACCCAGCACGCCCGCTACGTCTGCACTTTCTGCGGAAAGAACACCGTCAAGCGCAAGGCTGTCGGTATCTGGGAGTGCAAGGGCTGCGACAAGGTTGTTGCCGGCGGTGCCTACGCCGTCTCGTAAGTGGCCCATTCAGACTACTCCGTCGTCGACCTGGGACCTGGACTGCACTGGACTGAGCCCAGGCGCGCACACAATGCGATCAAGAATGAAGATTACTGACCTTCACCTCGCTTATAGCACCCCCGCTGCTGCCGCCACCCGCTCCACCATCCGTCGTCTCCGTGAGATCGCTGAGGTTTAAACGGGGGATTATGTGGTTTCCTTTTTCTTCTACGGTTACGTCTGAATACCAAAAATGAATGAAAAAAATTCGGGATTCGAATTCAATTGTTGTGCTTGCGCCAATACTCGTACGATGTGACTCGCTTTAGCTTTCGGTCGCTTCCATTTTTCGATCTGATAGATACTCGACCTGCCTTCTCTGCTTGCGACCGGATGAACCATACGGATTGACTGCGGACTGTGGTCTTTTCATGTGGTTCTCTGATGTCGGACACGCGTAGACATGTCCTGGTGAAGTAGTGACCTAGTCACTTTTGACTCAATATCGGTGTGAGGACCTTATGCGCTGGGTGCCTGGCATATGGTCCACCTGACGCAGACTACGGATTTTTACCCGCGATCATGACTAATATCAGAATTGGTCCAGTCCTAGAGATTTTGTCTTTGCGATTCTCAAAAATAGGTTCATTATCAACTTGATGCTGATTAGCCAATTTCGTAGTGTTGTACTCCGTACAAGGAGGTCCTTAGGTCGAGGCGTTCACATGCATATCCACATTCATACACATGTTAAGCGCTGAACATGGACCAAGGTACTTGATATCTGTCGAATATGCTACCTGATACTTATTCAAGACTCTGAATGTCATACGCAGACAATCTCGCGTTATATATATATATACCACACGCTATTGAATGAAAACTGTAACTAGCATCATTTCTCACTTGATTCTTGATTATTACAATTCAACTGCTATGCCCTCACATTTTACATATGTCACCCGCTCTTAAGTGAATACCATATTCTTTATGTATAAGCAATATCCAAAGTAGTCCAATATTAAGCGGGCAATCCAGGGCATCAGTCGCCTCCGTCACGTTCCTGTTTTGCGTTAGTCCGGCAATCCGGCCCACCTTCAAAAGGCGCTCCCCACACCTTCTTCGCTTCTACACTTCGCTCTTCATGGACTTCGCCTCCAACGTCTTTGTCCATGTCCGACGTGTGTATTGTTTGTCTAGGAGACCTTGGTGAAGGCGCTGGTGATCCCCTTGAGCCCGTAAGCCTGGATGGGAATGGCGACTTCAAGGATGGGCTTGAGGATTCAAGCCAGATCGCCCAGCTACTTCCCTGTGGTCATACCCTACACAATAACTGCTTAAAGCCTTGGGTGGAAAGGGCTAATAGTTGCCCAATATGTCGTCGCAGCTTCAATATGGTTGAGTTGAGTGACCGGGTAGGAGGTATGGCCCCCTTCCTTGAATATGACGATGTTGAATAATTATACTAACTGTTCTTCGCTTATAGGTGCGGTTACTTCATCCTATGCTGTTAAAGACCGAACGCAAGTCGCTGAGGTCGACCCTGCTATGCTCATCGAATATGGCGACGATGACCAGGTCGACTTCCAACCCTGTACACTTTGCGGGAGCGCGGATCACGAGGATGTTTTACTTCTTTGTGATGGATGTGATGCTTCATCGCATCTATTCTGCCTAGGACTAGACGAGATCCCCTCGGGAGCATGGTATTGTCAGCGATGCGAATCGCAACGGACATCGGTGGCGGCTGAGGTGTCAGCGGCGCCATCGCGCCTGGCCGAACGACGGAGTCGACGAACGAGGGCGCAGCAGAGGCGCTTGCAGAATACCAGCCAGACAAACTCGCATCATTGGGCCCGGGTCTGGCAAACTGTCTGGGATAACCTGAACCTCGATCTGGACTTCCCATTCGATGACGATCGCTCTGCCGAACGGGTGATGCAACAGCGTCGTCGTGAGGAAGCTAACCGGCGCGAGTTTCAAGCCTGGCAACGTCGCTTCGAGATCGCGGAAAGTCAGGGTAGTGGTAATCGGTTCCGCGACACCGCGTCGCTATTCGATCTTGAACCCGCCCGACCATCCCGTCCCCGGGTTCCTAGAGAGCCTACGCCCGAGCCCGAGTCTTTGGAGGAAATGCGAGCATGGAATGCTTTTGAAAGAGCCCGGGAGATTGAAAGCAATCCCAATGCTGCCCGGAAGCGCAAAGAGCCTACCATGTCACCGTCCCCCGAACCCACCGAGCCTCAGCGCAAGTTGAAGCGCCCTCGCACAAGGCGACCGCAAGAACTAGCAGCACTCGCCCAACAAAACCAGACCGGCGAATCATCTAGAGCTGCTAGTGCCAACGCGAGACTACATGGTGAAAGCTCCAGCGGCCCTAGCTTCCTGTCGTCACTATTAAAGGAGGTTGAAGATGCACCTAGCCGCACCTCATACGAACCGTCCGCAGCGACATCTGTTGTCCTCACCGACGGCGCATCTCCTGGTCCATCATCCCCATCAATATCACCTGCATCCTCCAGCCGTTCATCTCCTGTCATGTCCACCACCCCACCTCCTTTCCCACGAAGCCGCCCTATATCCCCTCTCCAACTATCCTCTCCAGCCGAACCCTCATCACCACCATTCTCCCCCGAAATATCATTTTCGGGCAGTCCATCTAATGGCGCCAACGGTACAACAGAGGACACAACAACCCGCCCAACCGCTCGCCCCCGATCCCGCATTCCCCAACGAGCACTCCATGCACTGCAGACAACACATCAGCATTCCCGCTCAGCAGACTCATCCCCAACCCGCACAGGCCCATCCCTAGCCCTGAAATCCGACATCCAGAGAATGGTCGGCACAGCATTGAAACCCCACTACCGAAAGAAAACCGTCTCCAAAGAACAATATACGAACATCAACCGCTCAATCTCTCGAATGCTCTACGATCGTGTCGGCGACAAGCAAACCCTCGAATCGGATGAACGCACCAACCTCGAAACAGAGGCCCGATACGAAGTGCAGAATACCGTCGACGCTCTCAAACGCAAGAATAAAGAGAAGCAGCGCATGCTGACCGCCGACTCGGACGGTGATCTTTAATCCTTAATGACTATATGAACCCGAGGCATTTGTGGCGTTCTCAGCGATTCAATCTTGAATGGATTTACTAGTCATGGAATGGATCCTGTATAACTGGCGTTTTTAACCTTCCATCGAGACTGGTTCTTGTTTGTACTTTTGTACTTTTTCATCTTCCTTGTTTCTGTTTCTGAGCGGGGCATCTTGTGGTGATATCTTGATTGTTTCTTCTCTGTATACCCTCGACGTGATTGGTTTGGACTGCTATACTTTTTGGTAGAGCTTGTCTTGGTCTTTTTCTTCGACTTATATACTGTGTTTGAAATATCTATTTTGGTCATTGGATCAGACTAACGGACCTTATGTAAATGACATGGTAATTTTCCCATTAAAAATTTACGCAGAGTGTATCCCCGACCAATCTGCATCCGAGCTGGGTTTTGTCCAGCCCCTATTGTGCAGGCTTCAATATCGCGCAGGAATGACGGATCCTGAAGTAACACTCAGAGTTTGTCACCTTGCGCTTTCGAGAATGAAAAGAGCCTGAAGCCCTGAAATTGGCTGCCATAGCTGCCCCAAATAGGTCAGAATATCGTGAACTATAAGGCATTAGCGATTTTGCTAGGAGAGAAAAGACGATCCCTGTTCTCCCGGCAATGTAGATCATGTTGATCCGATCTGCACCATATGTAATTGTACTGCACGTTCACGGAAGGGATCTCATTAATTCGGTAGTTTTGCGGTGTAGTCGGCAGATCTGATCAGGGATGACCTTTGTGATACTATTGAGATCCGCATAAATACGTGCAACGAACTGTGGGTACATATAGAGATCTTGACTTCTCCTCTTGAAGGCCCCATATGACGGAGCCTCGGGCATCTTAATGACATAATTGGGACTGGCAGGCAGCAAATCTTCCCTCTCTCTGGAATTTACAGGTTTGTTTGTACGTGGTCATATGAACCTAGTCTCGCCGAGGTTAAAATTGGGACTTGGAATAGAACCTGTCACACATTTGCTACCTCTTGACTCCTCATAGTTGTATACTCTTGGATTTCATATAAGAATCATGGGATTAAATATGGATGCCATAGGGGGTGACAAGATCACTGCCATGTTGGCCGCAGATGGAGGGTTTCCCAATGACAATATCTTCAACCCCCTTCTTTCTCTCGCTCGTGAAGTCAAACATACCATTTACTATGACCCGGAAGCTGGATTGAATACGACATATGAAAACTTCATTACGGATATGATATATGTGCGCCATGACCTCAAAATGCAATTGTCTGCGCACCTCAATGCCGATGGAGCATTGCTGGAAGAAAGATCCCTCGTTTGCTTTCTAGCACCGGCAAGCTACGACCTCGCAGTAGCTGCCTTCGCAGTGCTTGCGCTAGGTGGTACAATCGTTCCTCTCTTCTTCAATTTGAAAAGAGAAAAAGCACAACTAATGTAAGTATAGTGACATCTCTTCCTCCAGAGGGCGTGTTTAAAGGCTGCGAAACAGCCCGGTCAAATGTTTCCTAGCTACGACAGAATACCTACAGCAAGCAACATATATTCAGTCCTACGCAGCCTCAAACTCACTCCCTTCAGTCCAGGTTGCACCTATTCAAGTGCACCATACCTGCCCCGAAGCACTATGGGACCTACCAATCCGGATAGAAGAAACACTAACCATCTCCGAGATACGTCCAGGGGTAATAATGAACTCCTCTGGAACCTCCGCAACAAAAAAAGGAGTCATACGAAGCCGTGGCTTCTTCTATAACCAGCCACGCGCACCAGCAGACGAAGCAGTTCTAGTCAACCGCCCGGCGACTTGGATTGAAGGGATCCAGCCCTTGACTCTTTCTGTTCTTATGAGTCGCAGGGTGGAGATCGGTAATCCGGCCGCAGGCATGGATATTTTGTGGGAAAGATTGCGGGCTCGCCGTGTGACGACCATCAATTCGGGTCCTATGATGTGGATGCAACTTGCTCAGTATTATAGTTTTCATGTATTGCACCTTACTCAGAAGAATGAGTATATACAAGGTGCTAGACATGTGCGTGATGCTTCGACGGGATCGTGTGTTGCTTTGCATTCTTTGTTGAAGTTTTGGAGAGATGAGATCGGTATAAGACTGGCAGTTTGTTATGGTAGTATTGAGATAGGCGTGCCCATCACTGCGGTTTATCCCGAGGAGGAAGAGTATGATGAGCAGGTACGGTATCCTATCAGACGGAAAGCTATAGTCCAGGGTCTAACTTTATGATATGACAGCGATGCATTGGCAAACAGCTATTTACCGATATGCCAGTCAAGCTTTCCAATGGTGGCCATGGAGAGATACTCGTGGGAGGTGTTACTACTTTTTTTAAGGGTTTGGGTATGGAATCACTCACATGAAATAGTCCACGAATTCATGAAGTAAATACTAACAGGAAGCAGACACCTCCATGATGAGGTTCCTTCTACTACTTGCTTTGACGTCGAAGGATTCTTCAAGACCGGAGATCTTGCCCACAGATTAAATGACCACTTCGTCTTTGACGGTCGAACATCCATTGACTGTAAGTTACTCAGACCATCAATCTTCATATTGTTTGGGTCCTAATGAAAACACTAATTTGCAACGCTGGCGACACTGTCTCTATTCTGAAGCTCGAGGAGGCCCTTGATGGACTCTGTTGTTCAGAGGAGGCCTATGTTGTTCCTGTCCAAGATCAAAAACTCGCAGAACAAGCTGGAGCTCTTGTCCGCTTTGTCAGCCAGGATCACATTCTACAGCAGCTTCGGAATCATTTTGGCCTCTCATGTCCGTCCTGCAATGATTCTCACTGCATTGCGGGTCTTGCGGGCAGAAGATACATTGCCCAGAACGCATAGTGGTAAGATTTCGAGGAAAAGTCTGCAAAAGCAGTCCTTCCCATTTACCCCAGGTGGGTGTTGGATTGCCCGATGACGTTGAATTATGGGAACAAGATTTTGATTAAACAAAGAGTTGAACATTTCTTGCAGTAAAAGACGATGGGTTTACTATTCAAGTCTACCAATATGGTCCCTGGATCCATCTAAACCTCTTATAACAAAGCAATAGTCAGTAAAATGCGTACTAATTACAATATGTGACAGAATAGTACATGTTTCAAGCATTAACACTCGCACTCTTCGTCATCCCAATTCCAACAGCAGCAGTCGTCCCAGCATCAACCGGGAGGATGACACCAGTCATCCACCGAGCATGAGGCCCCGCAAGAAAGACAACCGCTCCAGCACAATCCCATCCATTTCCTTCTGTTCCTAATAAGCTTCGCTTTCGACGAGCTTCTCGGGCCTCTTCACTCATCCCATTCCCATACATCATAGGCGTATACAGCATCTAATAGGAATTAGCGTTGGATTTCCGTAAAAGAATATCGAGAGACATACACCTGGACACACACAATTCACGCGAATCCCCTCTGAAGCATGATGCGCAGCCATAGCACGAGTCATATTGACAACTGCACCTTTGGCAGTGGGATACAATAAGTGAGGCGTGCCGCCTTTTAGGCCAGCAACACTCCCCATGTTCACGATGCTTCCTTTAAGCTCGCCATCATTCTGAGCCATCTTTGGAATTGCATATTTTGCCATGTGGACCATACTTGCAACATTGATCTCCATACTCTTTGCCCACTGCGTCATGTCCACCTCGACTGCAGTTCCCGCTGCACCGCCAATTCCGACATTGTTGATCAAGATATCCAATCGACCGAATTGCTCTATGGCGTGCTGCACTGCAGCTTGACAGTCTGTTTCTGATGTGACATCTGCACGAAATGAGAATGCCCGTCCACGGTTAGGCTTGGAGTTAATCATTTCTACCGTCTTGTTGGCCCACTCTAGATCAAGATCGATGCAAATCACATCGCAGCCATCATCTGCAAGGAGAATTGAAATTGCACGTCCATTCCCAATGCCATCGCCTAGACAACCTGCGCCTGTGACAATGGCAGCCTTGCCGGCTAAGGATCTTGATGGGGGATCTGATGGAATGCCGGGATCCATGGTCGACACTTTCGGGATCTTGGAACTGGGTTTAATCGGACATTCTCAAGAGGATATCCCTGCGCTCGACCTATATAGTCATACACTCATACTGATATCGTAGGTGAGTCGATCATGCGGGGTATTGGCCGTCGACAGTAGCCGAACCGAGGCCTGTGGGGTAGTGATGATCCAAGTCTCTACAAAGCTCCAAGCTCCCAGTCACCTACCTCACTCAACAGAATGGATTTCTCCGAATACACTGGCCCCAGCGCTGAATGGCTGGCCCTCGAGCCAACGCTCCCGGCGCTCCCCAAGGACCTCTCCGTGTCGCAATTGAAAGCATTGCTTAACAAAGGCCGCGAGGAATCTGCTGCCCAGGACATGATCGACCAAGGCCTGAGCTCTCTTGTCCAGATGCATGATCATACTGTCATTGCCCGCGACGGTACAGCCCTCGAAGCCCGCACTTATCGGCCGGCCGGCGTTCCCATATCCGAGCGTCTACCGGTCTACGTCCACCTCCACGGCGGAGGTTTCCTGTTTGGAACACTTGCCTCTGAAGATGCAACCTGCTCGCGCATTGTCGCATCTCGAGCTGAGAATGGCACACCTGTCGTGGTATTCAATATCAATTACCGCCATACACCCGAGCACCGCTACCCCACCGCATGGAACGACACCGAAGACGCATTCGTCTGGCTGCACGAACATATCGCGGAAGTCGGTGGTCTGAGTGATCAGGTTGTTGTCGGTGGTATTTCGGCCGGAGCATGGATGACTGCTTCATTGACGCTGGCGCAGCTGCGCGGCGATGATAAGCGCATCGCTGCCTGTCCGAAGATTGCCGGGCAGGTGCTGATGATTCCTTGTCTTGTTCAGTGGGATCATTATGCTCCCCGGCAGGAAATGTTGAAGAGTCCGGATTTGTCGAGTTATGTGCATTGTGCTGATGCGCCTATTCTGCCTGTTACTCGGATGAAGTTGTTCAGTGATTTGCTGGGGGTTAGTGATGCGAGGGATTCTGTTGGCGATCGTCGTATGGGTCCTGGTAATGCTACTGCTGAGGAGGTTAAGGGTTTGCCTCCTACTGTTTTTGGGATTGCTGGCAATGATCCGTTGAGAGATGAGGGTATCTTCTATGGAAAGCATCTCGCTGATAATGGGTAAGTTGGCTGATGCTTGAGATGATTTCTTATGTTCTAACGTTTTACTCCCCTCAGAGTTCCTACTGATATCCATGTTTTCCGCGGTGTGCCCCATGGGTTCAGGAGGTATGGCGACAAGCTGCCCGGAAGCAAGAAGTGGGATGAAGTTATGAGTGGCGGTATTACATGGGCGCTGGGAAAGCCTGCAGCTGGTCCATTCGTGATCAAATCAGACTGATTTGTCGGCTTAAGAACAATTGTATTCAAGATCCCTGGACATATTCACTGCCGTATCTACCAGGGTCGGGCTATATCAGTGTTCATCCAAGCATAAAAAGGGGTTTCACCAGGAAACCGTTGTATGTTACATGTATGGACTATATCCGATAGCATGAACAATATAAATGCGAAAAAAAAAACTAAGCAATGAAAGAACCCATTGAAGTGAAGTCCATCGGAGCTCTGTGCGGCTATAGACCCGAGACTATTCACCGCCCGCATTGAGGACCCGCCCGATTGTCCGTCGAGTCTTCCTGTTTAGCTTCATCATCTTATTGTTCTCGATTGTGCATGTCTATTGTCTCATGGATGCAATGTAATGCCAATTAGCCTGCTGTGACCCCCGCACCGTCATAGAGGGCAGGCCCCTTTCCCGCCCCTTCGTCTTAACATTCACTCTCCAAGGCAATACTTGATTCCTTGAGCAGCTCAAAACTACAAACCCTCGAAGTTACTAGGCTGTACCTTCCACGACAAACATCATATACCTTCGCGATCTACAGTTACCTAGGCAAACCAGCACACCCCGACCCCACACCTCACAATGCCCTCCTCCGCCACGAACGGAGCCTCCTCCACCCCGGACGCTCTGGAGTCCGATCTCCTCGTCAAATTGTCAGCAAGTTGCGCCCTTGAAGATCTACAAGAAACCCTTGTTGGCTCCCTCCACCGCGTAGGTTGGACCGACAAAGTTACAACTCTCGCCACTGAACTACTCCGCGCCGGCCGATGCGAAACCTTTGACGATGTGATGGAAGCAATCTTAGCTTCAGCAGAGGGAAGACCACACCGTGCACTAGGCTCCAAGGCTACAAACGGCGAAGCCACCACAAACGGCACAAACGGCACCAAGAAAGGCAGCAAAGAGAACCCCGCCTACGATCCTCTGAAGTACATTGAAGAAGTTGATGTCCGGATTCCTGAAACGGTGGTGGACGAAGGCGTCCGCGGTCTCAAAGATATTCTACGAGATGTCGCCGACCTTGAGGGAGAGAGTGCGCCTAATGGCGACAAGAAGTAAATGATTCCGGACAAAGGCGGCACTTCAAGGTGCGATCATGCATGGCTGGGTTTTCTTTAGGAGTACAAATGTTTTCGGGCGTGCGGCATTGGACTTTGTTTCTTCTGTTTTTCCATTTACGATTCGTGGGGGGTACATGTGAAGTCCACAGGCGCTCTTGCATCATCTCAATAGATATATTACGGGGTTCTGCATATTCCCCATCCAAGCACCTGATTTCCCGTGTTACTACTCTTAGTACTCCTAGTAGGAGATTAACTCATTCTGCTCTACAGGATCAGACATTCCCTATGACGCAATGAGGCACTACATGTCTGCTGTAGCGAGATCTCAACTGTAGAAGACGGGCGCCGGACAAAAGCAGTAGCCCTATTGGGCGGTTTTCTGATTCATTTCTTTCGATGGTGGGATGAACCAACTTGCTGAAACGTAGGGGCTGTCTAGCAAATTTCTCGGAAATTAACCGCGCATAGTGGAAAGAAGCCCCAAACTCTGTGATATCTCATTTAAAGAGATCTTGGTAACATTTAATTGGGTCTAACAAAAAAAGACTTTGTCAATGTATCCACATTTATGTATCAATTGCCTCAGCTACTGTGTAAATTTCCTGCCTGTGCAATGTATTCTATCCGATCAAATTATGTACAGTGTTTCTGTTTGATCACAGCGTGTTTGCATATCTTTATGCTCTAGAAAATGCAGTGGGAAGACGTTAAAAATCTATGAAATTAACTTTCTTTGAATTACTGAAAAATTTGAGTGTGTCAGTACAGTATACATGCATTGATCACTCTTGTATCAATCTCTGGCGGGGCACACTTGAGATCTGTGCAGAGAATCTGAAACCAATTACTCCGTACTGTATTTCGGGCTATCTGGATACGCCCCTCCATGAACATAAATGTATACATACTGCAAAAATGAAGTTGTAGAAAACAGAAGTATAAAGTGGGACAAACAACTGGGGTCCAGACCGAGTCACGTGAACATCACATCAGACCGTCTTCGCCTAACGAGCTTCGACTTGGCCCATGTTTGTTTTGCCTCAGGGGACCACCTGTTCTTTGATCCTGTGCCTCTATTTCATCGTTAAATTGAGCCGCTGCCTACCCCCGTTTTACTCGTGTTGTTGATTGCCGCATCAACGCCCTCGACCGCACCCCTCCTCGGAACTGCAAGGAAGACAGTCCGCTCGAAGCGCGCGACACAAACGACATATAGTATCCCCGAACAATTTCTGTTCGTTCCATGTTTGCCTGCCAACGATCGAGTCTTTGCCCGGTTCCCTCTTTCTACCCGCGCGTCGCGACATAGAGCATTCGGCGCATTACCGCCGATATTCATTTCGTCCGCTCTGCCTGGTCCCAGTTCCTCCGCTTTGGCGGTGGCGCCTGTGCACCCCTCATTTAATTCCCCAGTCTTCGGTGAATATTAGTCTGCAGCTACAGTCCTGTCATCATGTCTCTTCACCCCTCCTACCACGCCGACTCCGACGCGGATGATGAATATGAACGTAGCGTGATTACCTCGCCACACCTTACAATGGAGTATGAGACGTCGCCCACGGATTCGAACATTTCATCGGCAGAACACACGCCGACCAAGTTTGGTCACCCGAGCGATGGTCCCCGCTCCCCGCGAACAATCATCACGGAATGGTCAATCGAAGAATGCCAGGAATTCTTGACGTCACTTGGTCTGCTGCAATATCATGGCACATTTAGAGGTAAGCAGGCTGCTTACCGAATAAATCAGGCGCCAGGTTCTAATCACAGTCTGTCGCGCAGAGAATGGGATTGTTGGCGAAGCGCTTATTGCCCTGAGGCACGACGAGTTGAAAGAAATGGGAATCAACAGTGTTGGACATCGCCTGACAATTTTGAAGAATGTATATGAGATCAAAGTCAAACAAGCGGTTCCTTTGGATGCGGATCATTATATCCCACTTTGTATGTTGCTCACTCCTTTGAAGCGAACATGTTCTGACTATTTATAGCTGCCGATCAAAGCATGAACGAGACAGCAACGCAGGATGATCTTGCCCGTTTGATCAAATCAATTCAGGTTCGAGATGAGAAGCTCATGTTGGTTGAGACAGAGCTGCGTCGAATCACAGATGATTACCGAAGATTGCGTGAAGAGATTCTTCCAGTGATTAAGATAGCAAAGGATCGTTCGCACCCACTGCCTCCGCCATCTTCAGGTGGACAGCCTGCTGGAGGGCAGTCTTCAGAATGGCATGACAGCAACACAGGCACAATTACCTCGCCTTCTCAAATAACCCTCAATGAGAACTCTTCTTCGTCAAAGCTTGTGCGGGCTTTCTCCAAGCGCATTCACACCGGGGGTGCCACGCCGAAAAACCATTCGCCAACACACATTCCACCCATGATACACGAAGGCCGCTCTCATCACGATACCTTGAATCCATCAGCTGCTGCGCTGGCTGCTTCATCCCATCTGACAGCTTCAATGAATGGACAATCGCAGCACTCGCCTGGAATTCCCTCTCCGACATCGCCCAACACACACCATGCTCATCCTCAAACACTCAACCCGCGTTCCTACTCCCAACCGAGCGCTAACACTAACCGCAACACGAACTATGATTATGCCGAACAAACCCCTACAATGCATTCTCGATCAGACCGACTCACCCCAAGTCAAATGCCAACATCTCGCACTGAGACTCCATCTTCATCCCGCCTTGACCCGCGCAATGACCCGCGTCATGACCACCGAACTGAGTCTCGGGCCGAGTCAAGAGCCGGTGGAGGCGAACCATCCAGCGTGGAAATATTCAAGTCATTCCGAGTCTCATGGGAAGACCCTTGCTACAAGGTCCTACCAGCTGCGCTCAAAAAATATAATATTAACTCTGACTGGAAGAATTACGCACTTTACATCGTTTATGGTGATCAAGAGCGTTGCTTGGAATTGAACGAAAAGCCCCTTCTTTTGTTCAAGCAACTAGAAAAGGAAGGCCGCAAACCAATGTTCATGCTCCGGAAGATCCACATGGACACACCGCAAGGGACCCCCGGACCTGGCGCCACGGCACCCAACAATGCCGGCTTTGAAGGTGGCCGCCAAGGCCAGATAAACCTCCCAGGGGGTGTTTTGTGATTTTGAAATTCCCCCTTCAATGCACCCCTGTTTGTGGCTTGAGATACCCGGTGTTTTACCTAAGTGCCAGATCACTTTTCATACCTCTGCATTTGTTTTGAGTGGATCCTTTCTATTGTTGGTTTCTTTGGTGTTTGCGTACAACCGGAGAGCCGGTTCTGGAATGATGGATTCATGAGTGACCTGGGCGTTTTCTGCTTTTTCAACGTTGTCAATATTTCTGGCGCGTTGCTCCCATGCAGCTTTGTGCATCAGCCTTTTTGTTTCTTTTCTTTCTCCACGAGATATCTCTTGTTTGGCATAGGACTTTTGTCTGATTATTCGCATAGTACATTATAAGCTTGTACATGATATTTCTATTACTTATTTAGATGCCTCCTGGTAAATTTAAATGACTCGCATTAGTTGGCTCCTATCGTTTACATCATAATAGTACTCCGTATTGTACGCTTCCCAAGAATAGCAACGACATAGAAGGCGCAAAGAGTGATTAACAACTTGCGTATGTATAGTTAGACAAACAAATTTTTAAAGTCATTGCTACTCAGCTACTCTATCACTTGCTACATATGTCTCAATATTCACAGCATGACCAAGGTCATTGTTCTAGTGAGACGCTTTGTTTTCAAAAGTAGCTACGTAACCCGAGGAGCACAAACACATCAAAGCCCATCTTTAAACAGGTTCTCCATTCTTCAAGCAACTACCACGGTCATTTAATCAACTGATGATATAAATGCCTTCTCTCATGGATCTCCCCATGGAGCTTCAAGCCTCCATAATCGAACTCGTTCTCGGCGCATCCCACCATCCGTCCAATTAAAGTCAAATCGTAGCCAGCTCGATATTCTGAAAATTGGCTACCCTATCCCACTGAGATGGGATTTTTGGCAGCCATGGTATGAAAACAGCAAGTCGTATAGCTCTTCAAGAAGTCTCTCCCTGCTATTAACAACCAGCAAATATCGATCGAGACCAATGCTGCGCTAGCTCGAATGAAAGACGAAACCGTCAAACTTGACATATCCATCCTAAACGAAAGAGACATGTTCTACACCTGGCCGGCCATATCACAACTCACAATCCGTGTGTCGAAAGTCTATGTAGACGTGCGCCTTTTTGGAAACATGGTGCCATACGAGAAACGTCAACAAGGAGGTTGTGGCGGTAGCTATGGCTGTTATACGTCTATTTATGCATCGCTCATGAGATTTCTCGACCACGGCCCCATGAATGGAATGGAGGAAGCATCACGACAAGTTTGGTCTACAGATCGTGGGATTACCATCGATACACTTGTTCTTGACTTTACATCAGCAGAAAGCGAGCTTCTATTTGCTTTGGACAGCTTCACGCACGGGGACTGGGTTGGTATTGATTTTGATCATCATAATCCCCGGCCGCTCAATGACCCTATTCTGAAGTACAAAACCCGTCCGAACTATATAATGGTTTGGATACATGGGAAGTTACTGCAACTCACTGAAATGAACTTCCACTCTGCGCAATTTAGAGCGATTATCTATAAGCGTGTTGGAAGGATCCATACACTTGTTAATGGGAAGCTGGTCTGTATGGTTGATCTTGATAATCGCTTGTCGAAAATGGATTTCTCCGAGACAGCACTTACTTGGGCCATTTGATGAGTGAAGATCGGCTGAATGGGTTTCGGGAGTGGAAGAAGAAGGCGCTGTCGAAGAGGGTGGCACTTGGTTTCGCAGGTATATTCGCTGAGAAGGAGCAGTCTTCGGCTAAGGCCGAGTGAGTGTAGATCTATATCTCGCTTTGGTTGGTCGGGATTTGCCGCTGTTTGATCGAGCTGTTTAGTGATCGGCTCTTTGCTTTACAGTACCAATCTTACAAGTATGTGGGCTTGGGTGGGCTTAGAAGGTCTCTTGCATTTGCTGATCAACATATTGTATGTTTTGAGGTTTGAGGATGTATATGTAGAGGGTTAGTTAGTCAAGCAATGCTTTCAGATCGATCAACAAATATATACCCGATACTCAAAGCGAAATGATTCATGTAACGCTACTTAAACACACTCCAGAACAACCACGAAATCAACTCTCAGACCGACAATCTCACAAATGCCTCATTTCGGATAATCAACGGCCGTGACATATTAAAATGGTCCGTGCCAAACAAAAAAAAAAAAGCAACGGTTCGCAACACCACCCATGTCAGTGGCTTGAGCACACAGCAAGGGGGACGGAAAGGCTAAACAAGGCGACGTGTAAAAGATCATCGCCGCTAAGTTCCAAGCTACAATTACAGAACAAACCTCGGGATATAGAATGAAAGTTTCTGGGGAATCTCGCTCGGTGAGCAAAACTGGTTGGCTCTTCCCCAGTCCTCCGCATATCCAGGGAAGCGGGGGAATGTCACATCAGGCTACACGCACATATTGAAACAGAATAAGTATATGCGCACCTGATTCTAGACATATGATCCCAACCTTGGAAAAATCCATGACCGCTCCACTCTAGACAACCAGTCGCAATAGCAAACCACGGGCCTGAAACATTTTCAATTTAACTTTCCAGCGTAACGCAGAGACCGGCAAAGTCCAAATGAGAAAAACAGAGAGAAGGGAAAAAGGAAATAAACGGACATCGGCCCACGCCGTCTCACCAGGCAATACGCTGGAAAGTCCCGAGTCGTGGCCGAACCCACCTCGGCGTCAGCCAACGAGGCCATAGGATGCCGTGCTTGGTTCCCGTTCTGGGAAAATGACCGTAGTCGGGGGCCCCCGGACTAGTATGCAAGCTCGGGACTCCTCCCCCAATGAGTTTCTCTCTCTGCGCTAAGTGGATTTACCCGGGTAATTGCGAGAGAATGTCGCAGTCGGCTAGGCAAAATTACGATGACTGTCAGGGTTGTTCGGGATATACAGAGCCGAGACGCATTCCACAATGTTTTGTGGGTTAATCTGGGGACGGAAAAAACTTGTTCATTGACCCCCTTTTCGTTTTTTTGTACAGGAACCACATGTACCTTATTCTTTTCTATCTGCGTTATAGATAGCCAAGTCTTCTTGAAACTCTCTTTCTCTCAAGACGCCGAGAAACGCCACTGCCGTCCCGAGTGCAGGGAATCAGCCGACTTTTTTCTGTCCACCCGAACACGGCTTCAGGCCGGGTTCAGGGCTAGAAATACAGCGCTTGACTACTTCAGGCCTAGTACTGTCACCCTCGTGGCCGATTCCCCGGATCCCGTCAGGCTTGCCGGGTGGTTGACCAATCAAAAAGAGGCAAGTGGTGTAGCTGGGGAGATGACCAACCAATTAAAGGTGTTACATAAGCCTGGGGTTGCAAACGGGGTCTTGGCAGCCCTGTATACCAAGTGTATCTTCCCTTTGTATTTCAGTTCATTAAGCCATATCCCGCATGAGCGTGGTTTATTAGATGGGTCTGATATTTACCTGTGCACATTTTGCCTATATATTCACCCCTCCCTCCGTTCCCAGCTCTCCTGATCGTCTTCCCTTTTCCCTTTTCACTTGCCCCCTCTGGGATCAACATTCACCATGTTTGTCGTGGGGAATATCTACGTGATCGCGGCCGTGTCCGTCATTGGCGGTGCGCTGTTTGGTTTTGATATCTCGTCCATGTCGGCGATTATCAGTACTCCTGCCTACAAATGTTACTTCAACCATGGACCTAATGGTCCCCCGTTCAATGATGAACCCGACTGCTCTGGTCTTAGCTCGCTGGAGCAGGGTGGTGTCACTGCAGCTATGCCTGGTGGCTCTTGGCTTGGTGCCTTGATTTCGGGTTTCATTTCGGATCGTCTGGGTCGCAAGTATTCTATCATGGTTGGTTGTGTTATCTGGTATGTGCTGGCATTATCATGGGTGTTTTCTTCGAATAAATGCACTTTTGCTAACACAATTTTTTTTAATAGGGTTATTGGCTCCATTATCATCTGTGCGTCCCAGAACATGGGTATGCTCATCGCTGGTCGTATCATCAACGGTCTCAGTGTCGGTATCGAGTCCGCTCAGGTCCCTGTTTACATCTCTGAGATTGCACCTCCCTCCAAGCGTGGTCGTCTCGTTGGTTCTCAGCAGTGGGCTATTACATGGGGTATCCTCATCATGTACTAGTAAGTAGTACCGCCTTGATGCACCTATTTACCTCTCTTTACACTTTTTCCGTTCATACATCACGGACAACACACTAACCCTCATTCCTCCAGCATCTCCTTCGGCTGCTCCTACATCGGAGGCAAGCTCCCAACCGACTACAGCGAATCCGTCTTCCGCATTCCCTGGGGTGTCCAAATGGTCCCCGCCGTACTCCTCTTCTTCGGAATGATGATCCTCCCCGAATCCCCCCGCTGGCTCGCCCGCCACGACCGCTGGGAAGAAGCCCAATCCGTCCTAGCCCTAGTCCACGGCAAAGGCGACGCCAACAGCCCCTTCGTCGTTGCTGAGATGCAGGAAATCCGCGACATGTGCGAGTTTGAACGCGAAAACAAGGACGTCTCTTACATGGAACTCTTCCGCCCCAAAATGGTCCACCGCACCATGACCGGTATCTGGTGTCAGATCTGGTCCCAGCTCACTGGTATGAACGTCATGATGTACTACATTACCTATGTCTTCTCCATGGCCGGTTACGAAGGCGACGCTACCCTGCTCGCCTCCTCTATCCAGTACATCATCAACGTCGTCATGACCGTCCCCGCCTTGATCTGGGTTGATCGCTGGGGTCGTCGTCCTACTCTCCTCATTGGTGCTACGTTTATGATGATCTGGATGTTCGCCAACGCTGGTATCATGGGCAAGTACGGTGTCATCGTGCCGGGCGGTATCAAGGGTGTTGCTGAGGAATCGATGAGACTCTCCGGTGCCCCTGCTAAGGGTCTTATTGCTTGCACATACCTCTTCGTCGCTTCCTACGCGCCTACTTGGGGCCCTGTCTCGTGGGTCTACCCTCCTGAGCTGTACCCCCTGCGTGTGCGTGGTAAGGCTGTTGCGTTGGCTACGTCAGCTAACTGGGCGTTTAATACTGCGCTTGGTCTGTTTGTGCCCTCTGCGTTTGCCAATATCCGTTGGCAGACTTACATCATCTTTGGTGTCTTCTTGTTTGTTATGCTGCTTCATGTTTACTTCCTTTTCCCTGAGACTGCTGGTAAGACTCTTGAGGAGACAGAGCAGATCTTTGAGGATCCTAATGGTATTCCTTACATTGGAACTCCTGCTTGGAAGACTACTCATGATACAAAGCGCACTGTTGCTGCTGAGTCGGGAGATGTCGAGATTCTTGGAGAGAAGTTGGCTGGTAGTGAGAAGCGGGGTGCTTCGCATGCTGAGGTTGTTCCTAAGACCGCCTAAGTGTGTGGCTGTTTTGGATTCAATTTATCTTATCTCTTAGTTTCATTTTGATCTTGGATCACTTTGGGCTTTGTAAATACTGATGGCTAGTGCTATCATAATGACTATTTTTTTTTTTTTTTTTTTGACGTTACTTCTAATGAATATCCTTTATTTGCAGCAACCTCCTTTAAGAACTTGTCTGTGGCATACATTATGAGATACACATCCCAAAACCTTTCAGAATTTGGATTCCAATTACCGTTGAGCTAGCCGAACTTGTTTGAATTTCGCTTCTATTGAAGATCAAGTTGAAGTGGATAGTTTTGCATAGCACCAGGATAGCGAACGCCCTTGCCCCCAACACAAGCAAAACAGCAGATATAAGAGCGAGTCAAAGATATAAATCAACCACTCATAGATACCAATCCTGCCCCATAGCATACTTAACAACCCTAAAGATTGAACAAGCCATAATCAAGGCCCTGATAATATAAGGCGGATTTAGATGCTGTTTCCACTTGACACCTTCAACAGTCGACTACCGAGTCATCCGCTTCTCAAAAATAACCGAAACGAGAATAAATATCCCAAACAGAACAACCTGATTCACAAGACCGGCAATGGTAATCCCCATCGCCGTTCCAGCCAGTGATTCCGCTCCAGTTCCCGGAACAAGGAATGAACTCACGTTACTAGCCATAAAAGTCCCCGAGAGCCAGTTTATGCGGATGAGGGAGTATTTCTCTGCGTTAAAGTTTCGGATTAGTCGGCCAAGGGTCATGTATATTGAGGCGGCGAACAGGACTGGGTCCAGGAGGATGAAGACGTTTTGGATGCAGTAGGCTGTTAGCTCCGACGTATCCTTGCAGCATAATGCTCGTGCTGTGTATCAGAGTGTTTTGTAAAGACGTGTTGATGAGAACACTTACAGAAGCGATACAGAATGAGAGGCAGAAGCGAAATCGGGACTTCCAGGGTTTCCAGCTGTGGAATACTGTCGTGGCGGTGAATAGGACAAGGAAGATGACAGATGCTGCTTGGGATGGCACGTATTGCCAGAGGTAGTAGTCATCTTTGTAGGGGTTAAGTTAAGGCTGGGGTGTTTTGGAAGAAGAAAAGGAATGGTATAATGGCTCATTTTATATATTTTATATCTTTCGGGCATGGCCATGGCCGCGCCTCGCATACTTGCAAGATTGCTGAATCTGGAGACACGAGAACGAGGATTTTGCTCCGCTCTGACTTGGTGATAGTACGTCGAATATGTCTAAAGTAAGTCATTCAGGGCAAGAGACTAGTGAAGTGCGAGTATAAATTAGATCAAACGTGGCTCGGTAAGTAATATTAAATTCTGATGCATCTCTGGAAGACTTCTTGAACCAATTAAAAGTTCGTCGTACTCGCACTTCAGCGTGGATTTTGGTGGCAATGGCCCACGCTGCTATATATGCGTACTTGCCCGCAGAACATCGGAGACAAGATTGACATGTTTTGTCTCTAGATCTGACTTGAATAAAATCACCTCGGTCAAGTATAGAACTGATTATTCCGGTGAACTTATAGCTACGACGTCCCGTATGTAGGCTCTTTCGTTGGTTATGGGACCAGGCCATAACCCTATGCAAGGCTTCTACATATTTGAGCAGGTTTATTGTTATTACAAAAGCTTCTCTCCAATGCCTGAATAGACTAGAGCTCTGCACCGACAAATGTACTGTTTGAAGAACTCACGTGCCACTACATAGTTTTGTTGACGTCCTCTAGTTCTTCTTTTCGAGGCGTTGTTTTCGGGTTCCCTGGGCTCCTCCAGATCGATCTCATCTTTCCCTCTGCCAATTACAGTATGAAAAATGTCAAGAGAATCTTTTGATGTTTTCTTTGTTCTTAATCTGCTTGCAAAATCAGTCGGGATTAAAATCCGTACCCCCTGATTATTAACCTTGGATGTTTGTTCGTTTTTTTCTTTCTCAATTGCCCGTAACCAATCCATATGCCCTAATTACTTCAATAGGAAAAGTACTCCAGGTACTCCGTGGGTATAGCTCGAATGTATGTCACCTCGAGGTAGTACCTAACAAGTCAACTTTGACTAGCCTGAAGCGGGACTGCCGAGGTAGATATGATGTCATTTATCGAAATTTGTGATTAATTCATGAAATGATCCATTCTCTTGAACATAGACAGGCACATATATTCTGTAGATATAGAATTGTAATATATGTTTCGAGTGGTCTCGTACCCTCATTCAAGGCCCATTGCCAATCCAACGGGCTTGCGAGGAACTTCTTTGTAGCGGACAAATGCCAAGAGTTTCCGCGAGCTCAGTGGAGCCAACCCCTGGGAAAAAAAGCTGATCTCTGATCTCTGATCTTCCCTTCTTATCCGATGGTTCCGACGTCGACTGTCGACTTTCTGGTTTCTTTTCTTGTCAACTCTTCACACTTAGGTTCCGTCATCGAGCACGTGAGCTCGAATCCCCGAGTCGCATCGTCTTCATCCGAATACGAGATACAGCACAATCATGGTTCGTCCGCGGGGAAGCTCAGCCCTGGGCGTAGATATCAGAGGCGACACCAGCGCACCAGCAATGTCAACAATGAACGAAGTCAGCCCAATTGAACCCACCTCCCCGGATCTCAAGGTACGCGCGGCTACATCTCAATCCTGGTCCCGCGCGCATCACGCAGACTGACACCTCGGCAGCAATTCGATGCTCGCAATGCAGACAAACCCGCCGGCAAGGCACAGCCCAAGCGCCGTCGAGCTCGGTCTCTCCTCCACCTGTTTGCTGATACCTGTCTGCGATACACCTGGCTCTTGCCGCTGGTCATTATGCTGTTCCTGCTCGGCGTGTATGCCATTAATCCCACCACGTCGAACCCCATGCACAGCGCTATCTTCCTCTCGTACCCGCAGCCCCCGAAGACACCTGGTGGCCCGATCATGTACGGAAAGGGGAAGAAGGATATCGCTTTCGTGGCCTTCTACACCGTTGTGCTGTCTTTCACACGCGAGTTCATCATGCAGCAGATGATTCGTCCTTTCGCTGTTTGGTGCGGTATCCGTGGTAAGGGAAAGACTGCGCGGTTCATGGAGCAGATGTATACGGCAGTCTACTTCGGAGTGTTCGGACCATTCGGTCTGTTCGTGATGAAGCGTTCGGCCATCTGGTACTTCAACACGACCGCCATGTTTGAGGGATTCCCCCACCGAGAGCACGAGGCGTACTTCAAGGCCTATTACCTCCTCGAGGCAAGTTACTGGGCCCAGCAGGCTATCGTGCTGCTTCTGCAGCTCGAGAAGCCCCGCAAGGACTTCAAGGAATTGGTCGGTCACCACATCATCACGCTCGCGCTTATCGGCCTGAGCTACCGCTTCCATTTCACCTACATGGGTCTGGCGGTCTACATCACGCACGACATCTCCGATTTCTTCCTGGCAACCTCCAAGACACTGAACTACCTTGACGCATTCATCACCCCGCCCTACTTCGCCATGTTCGTCGGCTGGTGGATCTACCTGCGCCACTTCCTGAACCTGAAGATCCTCTGGGCCGTCCTGACCGAGTTCCGCACTGTCGGTCCCTTCGAATTGAACTGGGAGACCCAGCAGTACAAGTGCTGGATCAGCCAGTATATCACCTTCGGTCTGCTGGCCAGTCTCCAGGCCGTCAACCTCTTCTGGCTTTTCCTCATCCTCCGCATCCTGGCCAACTACATCTTCACCAGCGTTGCCAAGGACGAGCGCAGCGACGATGAAGACGAGGAAGAGGAGGAGGTCGATGCCGCTAATGATACGAAGGTCATCGCCACTGGCACTGACCAGTCTGCTAAGGAGAACCACGCTCCCCAGGTCCTTGTCAACGGTGAGCCCGTTGCCGAGCAGCGTGGTCGTCGCACACGAAGCCGTAAGGCGTGAGTGTGAGTGTACACACCCTCCCCCGTGGCTTCTGTCGGTGCCATTGCCCCCAGTTCCCACGCGGGGCTTTTTCAACCGTGTTATAGTTATATTTTATACTTTGGTCGGGTTTCCGGATGTTGTTTCTGGATGTGTTGATATGCTGTTATGTATTGTTTGAGCTCGTTTCCGCCAGGTAGATTAGCCCTATAGAAGAGCGGGCGCGGGCGCTTGTTTTGACGAGCACATGAATTAAAAGAATTCTCCTTTGGGGATGTTAATATTCTAGTTATTCTTCACTCGTCACAAAATCGTAGATTGAACATTGAATCCTTATACAAGAATTCTTAAGGGAGTTCGTGGATCGAGATAACCTACAACTTGTACCGTTGTTTATGGCGGCAAGACTTGGAATCGGTTGAAAGGTAATATGCTGGCATGATCATTTATCTCACATCTCTTCACTAGTACATGTACAAGTATAGTACAAGTATAGAAATACATCAAACATTAGAATTGGCGCTCGATGCATTCGGTCGTGTGATGGGTTAGGGCTGGCTTTAGGACTTGTCCTCGTCCTTCTTTTCGTCCTTGGATTCGGACTCGTCCATCTTGTTATCCTGCTTGGAGTCGTTCTTCTCTTCCTTCTTGGCTTCTACCTTACCTTCCTTGTCCTCCTTCTTGTCCTCCTTCTTGTCCTCCTTCTTATCCTCCTTATCCTCGGCGTCCTTCTTTTCTTCCTTGGGCTCTTCCTGCTCCTTCTTCTCCTCACCACCCTGAGCATCCTTATCCTCCCCCTTAGGAGCATCCTCAGAAGCCTCTACCTTCTCATCCCCCTTCTCAGCACGCTCCTCCTTATGCTCATCCCCATGAGCATCATGATGTCCATGTCCCTCAGACGCCGAAGGCCAAAGATAAAAGACCATGGGGCCAGTGATAGCAACGGAACCGAACAGCCTAAAAGATGCTGTTAGCAACAACCTCAATGGATCGAAAGTATTGACGAAAAACTCACCAAGGCAAGTCACTAGACGCATGACCCTGCTCATGACTCCCACCAGTAGAATTGAACCGACGACCGAGAGCCTGCGCAGACCGACGGACCACAGGCGCAGCACGGAAAGACTGGGCTGCAGTTGCAGCGCGGAAGATTGAACGGCGTGCGAAGACCATTGTGATTGTAGAGTGTACTGTAGAGTGTACAGAAGCTCGGGTTCGCAGACGCGAATTGAGTGGGAGGGATAGAGAATATGGAAAGCGTGATAGGTGGGTGAAAGTGAAGGTGAACTCAGGGAGTTCGGAGTACGGGGAATGCCATGCACTGTCCATCGTAAGACCGCTTTCTGCTTGTTTCCGAGATGGTCTGTGCGAGGTGATGTAATGTTGGGGCTGGGGGGTATTCGGTACTTGTTTTATGCAGCGGATTTGGCTGTGGAGGGTGGTTTAGGGTACATGGGAGCTATTGGGAGTTTGTCTCACTATACTGTGGTATCTGGCTATGTTTTCGAAGGGATTTGTTTAATATCTTTTAGATGTGGAGATTGGCCATAGCTGACTATCAGATCATCAGATTAGAGGACTTGGGTCTTCATTGGGGAATTGAGGCTATTTGAATATCAGCGACTAATTGATCTTCAAAACCGAGCTCAGTCTTGGGAATAAGAGTAAATATCCCCCGAAGTACGAATGCGATGTTGAGGTCCTCTTTATACCTCGAAAGTTCAATACCCGACCCGCTTCGTGGCCTCAGGCAAAAGATTTCTATTGACACCTCAGGTGTCAACACCCCACGTTGCGGCGATCCAAAGCTACACGCGCTCACTTCGATCTCCTCATTCAGCTCCCTACACCTTCCCAGTCCACATTACCACTCACAAGCCTTGTCGAAATGGCTGACCGCCAAATCACCCAGCAGACTATCTTCAGCCTGCTGGCGAAGCTCGACGATCCCGACGCCGACCTGCGCTACATGTCCTTGAACGATCTATACGGCATCCTCACAAACCCAAACTCCTCATTTCTCTCACATGACCGAGGCACATCAACCAAGCTTGCTGAAGGCCTGCTCAAAGCTCTGGATGATCAGCATGGTGACGTGCAGAACCAGGCGCTCAAATGGTACGTGCTGGCTTTGATCAACTTTGATACTGCAGATCCTAACAAAAATGAAACAGTCTTGGACCATTAGCCGTTCGCCTTCCATTCGAATCCCTCACACCTCTGCTCGAGCAGTTGGCCAACTTGACCTCCTCCCAAACGATAGACACTTCCATTCCTAACACCGCCCTTCGCGTCATTGTCGACACCCTCCCCCGTCCTCAGGCAGGCCAGCCTGCATCGCAAAATGCTACCACAGCCTACTCCGCAGTCTCAAAGGTTCTGGTTCCCCGATTGACTGGCCCGACACCATCGGCTTCAGGGCGCCGCGGCTCACTCGTGAAGGGAATGATGGAGAAGGATCCGTCCAAGGGTTTTAGCAGCGATGCTATTGACGTGCTCATCAAGGTTGTCACTTGTTTCGGTCCCCTACTTCAGGAGACTGAGCTGGTTGCCCTCCAGGCATCCGTCATGGCCATTATCCAAAACGATACTGCGGGAACTGTTGTCACCAAGCGTGCTCTGACTGCTATCTCTGCTCTCGTGCTTCACTTTTCTGATACTCAGCTCAACAGCTTCGTGTCTAATTTGAGTGCGACCATGTCTTCGTCTAAGATTTCCATGGTGCAGCGTCGGCATTTGATCGCTGCCATTGGCGTCATTGCTAGAACTGCTCCTGCCAAATTCGGTCCTCATCTTGATACTCTTGCTCCGTTTGTCTTTTCTGTTGTTGGAGAGGATAATATCTTCAAGGAGAATTGAGTTGCTTGCTCCCATGACTTGATCTGTGCCAGGAAGGGCTACCCCGTGCAGAAGCATATGCAAAACTCCGAGGAACCGAGACTGACCTATCCGGGTCTGACCTACTCTGTGAGACCTATATTGTCATCTATAGATCTCTAGATCCTCTTGTTCGTAACATACCTTGCTCACCAACGCAACGTACTGCACCGGATACTGCCAAACCAAAATGCCTAAAGTGGCAGATACGGACTTAACGATACCCACGTTGATATTGAATATGAAAAGCTGCATACAATTTGCTCAGTCTACTTGTTCTTGTGTTAAGTAGAGTCGAAGTGACCGAAATGGCTTGCAGCTTCCAGTTGCTCACCCTCACTCGCTCTTTCCTCCCGTGTAATTCAACCTCGCCCATTTCTCACTTTCCCGCCTCTCGTACCATTCTCGCCTTTTCTCCCACATCTCCAGTTGAACATCAATATCAACTTATACTCCTACTCTCAACATGCGTACTTACAGTCTGGCCCTTCTGCCATTGGCAGGTTGTGTATTTGCCGGATTATTCGGCGACGGCCCAGTCTATACTGTGCCTCCCGATCAGTCCCAGATCGAAGAAGCAGTTGAGGCAGCTGTGAACATTCGCGATGTTCCCAACAATGTCGACTACCGTTGCGGTCCCAAGATTGGCAAATGCCCTATCGATACATGCTGCTCCGCCGCAGGTATATGTCAAGAGCTTTGCAGATTGAATGGGTCGCTGACGATGAGATCATAGGCTTCTGTGGCACATCCAAGGCGCACTGTCGTTCTCCAGATTGCAAGATCGACTACGGCCATTGTGACGCTCACAAGTCACCTTATGGACCTCCTACCAAAGACATCGTCCGTCCTCACATCGGTCAAATCCCATATGGCCCGAAGGAGATTCGCTCATGTGCTATCCCCGGAACCATTGCGTTAACCTTCGATGATGGCCCTACCCGTTATACTGGTGATCTGCTGGATTTGCTTGACAAATATGATGCAAAGGCAACGTTCTTCATCACCGGCATCAACAATGGCAAGGGCCAGATCGATGACTTCAGCTTGCCTTGGGCATCTTTGATCGAACGCATGCAATCCAGTGGCCACCAAATCGCCAGTCACACTTGGTCGCACGAGGATCTCAGCAAGATCACCCCATCACAGCGCCGTGACCAGCTGGAGAAGAATGAAGCAGCTCTGCGAAACATCATCGGCAGCTTCCCTACCTACATGCGTCCTCCATATTCCAGTTGCGCTCCTGACACAGACTGTGGGGTTGACGTGGGCAAGCTTGGATACCACATCGTAATGTACGACATCGACACTGATGATTACAAGAATGATAGTCCAGAACTTATCCAGCGGTCAAAGGACATCTTCGATCATGCAGTTTACGCTGGCGACCCACACACCAAGTCTTGGCTTGTCATTGCTCATGATGCACACGAGCAGACTGTCCACAATCTCACAGAACACATGCTCAAAACCATGAAGAGACTTGGCTATCACGGCATCACTGTTGGTGACTGTCTCCGTGATCCACGACCACTGTGGTACCGGAAGGATACCCGGATGCCCACCCACAAGAAGAAGCCAAAGAAGACTGCCTCTGCTGATCCCAACAAACCCATCTCTTTTGACGGCTCCTGTGGTTCCAATTACACTTGTATGGGATCTACATTTGGTTATTGTTGCGGGAGCACCAGTTCCTGTGGAAACACTACCACTTATTGTGGCACCGGCTGTCAGAAGGATGCCGGTTATTGTGCCGTCGAGGCTCCATCCAATGGCGATGCATGGGATCCAAAGGTTCATACCAAGGGGAAGAAATCGGAAGCAGACGGTAGCTCCCGAACGATTGGTACCGCAGCTGTGATATCTTTGTTCCTTGCGCTGATCGTCGCGACGTGGATTGGATGAATGATCCTGACCTTGGAATCAGATTGGATGTGCTGTTACCTTGAGTCGCCGTCAGGATTATAGCTGTTATACTTTTACACATTGTTATCTCCCTGAGAGAATCTGCAGGCGGGGCAGAGAAAGGATAGAATTCATGAATGGCGCCAGTCAACTACTAACTTCGAGACTAAAATAAGTTGTCTGGCTTCTTCATTCAACTCTAGTGATGATGCATGTAGAAATAGATGTAATACTTGCCTTTGATATCCAGACTAGCTGAAGAAGTCTCGCCACAAATCATCGTTACGTAGCACCCAGCTCCTCACTCGAAGTCACTCCATACAAATGAAGCCGCATAGACATATAAAGATAGACATACAGCCCCCAAGGATCACATATAAACCAATACAAATAAAAAGCAAGAAGTAAGAGACATGACAGTAACAAAGCAAAGCAGCACGCCGAGAACATTCTCTCGAGGGGTATAAGAATAGCACAAAACATACTCAAGAAAATTGTAATGAACTCCCCCCCCCCTAATAAATCAGAGATCAGAGAACAAGAAGAAGCAAACATAAAAAGAACAAGCACGAGGCAAATCGGTCATCCCCTTCTAGTGCTTTACTTCCGAACGATCTTCAACAACGGCGCAATCCTAGCCCTCTTACTCAATCCCACGCGCATGGGCACAGTACTCCGCGCCGAGATGGGACTGTGTTTACCAGGTCCTTTGCCAGCATTCTGGTTCTGGTTTTGGGGCGTTTCAACGGGTTTGAAGGCTGGCTTGGAGGGTGTTTGGGGTGTTTGGGGTGTTTCATTGGTGATGGGATTAGACCCGGACGTTGCTTCAGGTTGAAGTTGAGGGTCTTGGTCTTGCTTTTGGACCTCGGGCGTATGCTTGTTATTGCCATTGCTGGTGGGAACGGCATTTGGACTGGTGTTGACCACGACTGAGACTTTTGGAGTTGGGGTTTCCGTGCTTGTGTGTGTTTCCACTGCCTCGGGTGCTGGTACCGGAGTTTCTGCGGCTGGCTTCTTGCGTTTGCGTCCGCGCTTTTGGGAGGTTAATCGGTCGTCGTTTTGGATCGGTTGTGGGGTGTTTTCTTTGCATTTCGTTTGAGCTGCCTTGGAATCCACGGTTGTGGGGTTTATGTCCTTGCTCGGGACTGCCGTTTCAGGGATGGTCTCGTTAGGAAGTGGCTCGGCTTCGATGGGCTTTGTATCTACCCATATCACTTCATCCTCTTTTTCGGCGGCTGACTTAGGTGCCGGTGTCGCCTTTTCCTTCTTCGTCTTCTTCTTTTTGAGCTCCTTTGGTTCCGATTTTCTGGGCTTGACAACTGGTTCTAAATCCTCTTCATTAGTCTCATCAGAGACTCCTCCTGAGATTGGGGTGTTGAGTTCCGTAGTTTGTTCACTATCGGATGGATGAATCGCACCATTTGCACTAGGCTGCCTGAACTCGTGGTCTCGGGAAAACGCCAGCTCATCATCATCGTCATCGCTGTCTGGGATCGCTTCCTTCTTTGTACGTCCTCGCCTTTTCTTTGGCGCGGGGGTTACGATGGGCACAGGTGCCGCTGGCAGTGAAAGCTCGTCAGGCGCGCTGTTCTGTGAGTGTTGCGCGGACATGAGACTAGTCCCAGTGGTGTCGCTCTTTAGTTCGCTCAATCGCGCAGATGCAACAGATGACATTGGCTCGGTATCATGGGGTGAATAAAAGTCCGGCTGGTAAGCGTTTTGCTGAGCAATTATCTGAGTTGGAATCGAAGTTGGGTTCTCTCGTTCCTTGAAACGAGGAAACGAGGCCACATCATGGGGAAAGCTTATGGGCATCGAGGCCACAGAATACGGAGTTAAGTCATAGATACCCTGTCTAGAGGAGAGCAATGACTGATTCGCGTTGCTATGCGTTTCAATTGGCGGCCCGGCATTGCCAAAGCTGTTGCCTTTCAGTTGACCCGGGCGAGGAAGAAAGCCATGATCAGCTTGGAAAGTTGCGTAGACAGACTCCATTGAGAATTGTGTGGCCGTGGATGGTAGCCGTTGGCCAGCAGTTGATAAATCGTCGTCCATCAGTCGTCTTTGCGCAAGACCAATCTCGGTCATCATACTCCCTGAACAATGGCAGAATTAGCATCCATGAAGTCGATTCGAGATGTAGTGCATTTCAATGGTGTTGTGTAACCAGAACTTACCAACTGATCCACTCTCACCCTCACTGTTCGAAGGAATCCATTTCTCCTCGCGCCGCTGCTGCGATGATGATAACATCGCATGGCTTCGATCCTGTGACTGGAGGAATTCATCAAAATTGATATTGAACTGTGGGAACATGCTCTCGTCCGCAGCAGTAGGAGCCTCGTTTACTGCATTGTGGGCTGCGTGTTTGGCGGGGGCACCGTCGTAGTGTTGTTGCTGCACAGCGGGCTCGTGTGCTTGGAGGGGGTCGACAGATGAGGGGGTATCCTCAAGCTGCTCTCCCTCGAGGGGTTCGTCCTCGTCGGAATCTTGAATGACTCGATCCCAGCTCATCAGGATTCAGCCCTGTTTGTGGAGGAGAGAAAGTGTGCCTATCATAACGCGTCCTTGACACGACATCACGTGATGATAAGAACTATGGCAATACACAAATCGATCAGTTGAATAGACAAACATATACATGGAGTAATTTGCGGCAGCCCATGTCATCTGCTTCTCATAATTTATTCTTTTGATCCAGTTTTGCAGATGACATTGATTGGAATCTCGAGATCAAGCAACGAGGTAAAAGGCTTCTGATAGCAGTATTGCAGCGAGATGGCCACTTCGGGACTTCACATAGCGGGCCCCTCTCCGTATGAGGAAATGCTTAAGACGCAGCTTACTCACAACTGTTCTGTGATCGAAAATCCACATATGAATGATTCCATGGGCAGCCCTCTGCAGACGCCTCCCAACCGATTACAGAATCAAGAGAGTCGATGGGTACCCCTGGGGTGCGAGTGACTTGAGCACCCAGTGCATGCAGAATTGTTCTTTCTCAAGGGACATGTTTGAACGACAGCGCAATCGAAAATTGAGACGGCATACTCATAGGACAAGATAAGGAAAATATCACTCAAAATACGAAGACAGTAGAGAAGAGCAAACAAAGATCTGTTAGCCCGAGGCACCATAACTTCTAGATCGGGAACCCATTAAGGCGTCAAGTTCCCCAATAGGAAATAACGAAGGCGCAAGTCAAAAAAAACCACAAAGAATAAACCCACGCCCTTGTGAGTTCCCACTTGAGGTTCAAATCATGCGAGATATACTTTCGGAGGTTGTCGGCAAGTGGAGTCTGATACCCCAGAAACGAAACAGAAATGGCGCGTTTCCTGGCATCTTCAAGTACATTCCACACTCCCGGCTGTTCTGCTCTAAAAGTCGTATCAACACATCTTGGCCTTCTTCTCTCACTCTCACTCTTCTGTTCTTAAAAGATATCTTACATTGGAAGTCGCTTGCAATGGCGTCTCCTGAACCTCTTCAGTCCCCCGAAGGACAGACCCGTTTAGTGCGACATTTTGAGGGGCGGTAAGTCACCATATCCATCAGATGAAGAATTGGACTGATGTAAAATAGCTCGATTGATGATCATAGTGCGGCATGGTCTAATCTCTGGGACACTGACAATAGCGATATGTGGGATAGGGGCAAGCCTTCACCCGCGTTGATCGATGCCCTCGAACAAAACCAAGATACCTTCAATCCTATTACAGCTGACGGGCGGAGGAAAAGAGCCCTAGTGCCTGTATGGTTATGTTTTTTTTTAACAAGCCGTATGAATGCCAATCTAACTATGTATAGGGATGTGGGAAAGGCTATGACGTGGTGATGCTCGCTCTACATGGGTTTGATGCATATGGACTGGACGTATCATCAAAAGGAGTTTCTGTCGCAGAGGAGTATGCCGGGAAAGAGCTTCAAAGCCCACAACCATATAATTTTGGAGCTGAGGGAACTGCCCGTGAGAGGGGAAATGTGTCCTTCATCGAGGGTGATTTTTTCAAATCAAAATGGGAAGATGGGAGAAAGTTTGATCTGATTTATGACTATACGGTGAGAATTTACATTTGATACCTATACGCAGTAGAACAACTAATATTTGGTAGTTCCTTTGTGCTCTTCATCCAACGAATCGCCGTGAATGGGCTTCACGCATGGCGGATCTCCTACTTCCGGGAGGCTTATTGATCTGCCTTGAATTCCCTCTCTTCAAGGACTTGAGTCTTCCTGGGCCTCCATGGCCTTTGAAGGGCGTGTATTGGAATCTGCTGGTCGAAGGTGGCGATGGCCTCGTTACCAAAGACCGGGTGATCAGTGATTCTGTGGATGGGTCCTTCGTGAGAAATCTTTACATCAAGCCCGAGACTTCATATGAGAATGGGAAAGGGACAGACATGTTAAGTGTTTATGCTAAGAAGTAATTAACACAATATTTCCATTCAAATATTATATAGGCATCGAATTCGATCCTGGAATTTCCCAGACAATGCTTCTTTTACCGGCCCTTTGTGGTGCAATGTGGTCTTTATGATCCATTATTGTTGTATTGTTCTCAATTCATATATACAAATGACCCTTAGGAAAGGACCCCGTAGCTCCTATCTGGAAGGGTCAGGTGAAGAGTCTTCAGGCCTCGGTGGGCGAGCCAGCAGTCGAAGGGACTGGGGACACTTCTAGCGGCATTCTGAATGAAGAATAGAGCTCTGGGGATTTCGGAATTGTCGAATCTGCTTTCTCGAAACTCTGTCGATTGGGATTGCTGGAGCGGCTTTAGACATAAAAGCCCGTGGGAGATGCAACCTCCTGTTGGGCGAAGGTAGGGGCAAGGTAGATCTAGAGGCGTGTTAGAGAGAGAAACTCGGATCAAGACTAGTATTCACCGGCTCTACTAGGGCACCTGTGGCATCGCGAGGAAGCCCAGAGCGAGGAGCGCGAGTGCCAAACATATTTATGACTGATATACTACTTTGGACGGAAGAATATAGACGTACTTTAATCTAATATAGAGATAAGCGAGCTTTTAAAAGGGCATCTTGGGAGGAGAAGCAGATGCCGATGTCTGCAATAGGAAATCAATAAGGCGTGAGAGCATTGTGTACACGAATGACATACGTTGGAATGAAAATACCCACTGGCCTACCAATATATTACTTGGCCATCATTACCTTGCAAATAGTCTTGTTCGCTTTCCAAATACATACGTTGTATTGGCCCTCAAAATATATAAACCTCTGAAGCATATATACCTGTGTCACGCTATCGTCAAGTATCGCCTGATCAGATTAAACTTTGGTAAGCCAGTGCTACGATTTAAGAGTCTCCATTAATCGGTCCAAAATAATGTATCCATTACCAAAATATAGCAGAAAATATGTGCAAATCCGCAAAATGTAACAAACGAGAGATGCCCACAATATTAACCATTAAGACACTCGTCCGCAAAAACGAGCATGAGACAAAATAACACAAATCAGAGCCAACCCTCTACCGAACAAGCTCCCACTCAGCAACATAAGCCCACGCCATGCCAACACGACCATTCTTAGCCAAGAACTCATCAGCCGTAACACCAACAGCATCCTGATTATCAAAGCTCGTCAAAACAGCCAACTGCAACTTCTGACCCGGAGCACCAAGCATACGAGCTTCAGGCACATCCACATACCACATCTCGCCACCGCCAGCGGGACCCGAGCCGAGTACATGTCTAAAGGGAAGTCTATCGTCCTTGCGTCCATCCACGCCATGGATCATAAGCAGGAATAGACCTGGCAAGGTATTGTGGCTGTGACGTGCTAGCGTCCAGTGTGGACAGAGAAGGCCGAATGAGAAGCGCATTGGACCAGGTGTGCTGACGGAGATGTGCAGGGCTGCTGGTTGGATTGTCTTGCGGCCGATGGAGCGTTTATCGGCGTCACTGTAGACCTTTAGGTGTTCGACGCCGTTTGGCCTTTCTGGGTCCGTGAGGATGTATTCTTGCCAAGTTGGGTTTGGTCGGCCGTCTTCGCGGAAGAAATAATTAGCGTTTGAGGGGAAGTGCTTTAGGCCGAATTCTTCGTTCGGGATTGAGAACATTGCTGGTTCGAAGCGTTGCTTGTAGGGCTTGCCTTCGCCTTCTATGCAACCCGCGCCCCAGCATGTGTCAATTAATTTCCAGCGGCCTCCATCTATTTTGACGGCATTCCAGGCGTGATTTCCATCGAAGGGAGGTACGGGGGAACTTGGGGTGAGTGTGCTGTGCGAGAATCCCTTGCCGTGGCCTCCGACCTTGATGGCTTCCAATCCACCCTTTGTTGCTAGTTCGAGGAAGAGTCCTGCGTATCCTTCACACACTGCTAGACCGGTTGCAAGGGTACTTGCTGGTGTGGAGGGCTGAACGCATTTACCAAAAAAGGCAACGACATCGTAAAAGATGTTATGATGTAGCCAGGTAAAGATCGCGCGGGCCTTGTCTGTAAGGGATGGGAATGGTGCTGTAAGCTCATTTGCCAACCATGCCATATCTTGTGTTGGGAGTGATGCACGAGGATAGCGGGCTGCATGGTTATCCGGGCCTGAGAAGTCTCGGCACACCAAGCACTCCGTATCCGACGAGTGAGCCGGTGGACTTGCTGAAGCTGACGAGCCATTGAAGCGCGGTTTGGTAGCCATGATCTTGGACAGATCTGGGCGAGAACCATGTGGGATTGGTGGTGGAGTACCACCCGGTGGATTGTGGGCTGGAGTGCTACTCGGCTGGGCTGGGATGCTTGGACTCTTATTTCCAAACCCAAGTTGTCTGGCATCGTTGATCCTGGAGGCAGATGGTGGAGGCGGTAATGTTCTCCGGACCGGTAAAGCAGGCCCCTCATCTTCAGCTGCTCCATTCAGATGGGATTGAACTCCAGATGGCTGACGAGGCAGTTGAGGTGTCGGGGCATCATCATTAGTCTGCGGACGAGTAGGCAAACTTGGACGTGAGGGTATGCTTGGACGTGGAGATGGGCTCGGCCGACGTGGCTGATTTGGAGGAGAGGGGCCAGCCGGCTTGGAGCCCGGTAGGTTGATCTTCGAGGTGATTCTGGAGGACAAGTTTCCGAAACTCCTCTTACTAGTAGGTGTAGGCCGCGGAGGCGGCTCTAGGCTAACTTGTTCCTTTGGTCGCTTCGGAGGTAAGGCAGGTAGCTCTGTAGCGCCCCATGCAGGCGCCTTGATGCGATTGTTCCCATTGGAATTCACTGACGTCGAAGATGCATTGCGCCCAGCGGTTGTTGCCGTCGAATTTGTCGAGTATGACGCATCAGAGGTCGTCGAATCCAGGGATGGCCTCCGCGGTCGATCTGTCGGCCTGCGCGGTGGCAGCGAAGGACGAGCTGGAGGAGTGGGAGGAGCCTGGCGATCTGATCTGCGCGTGGGCAAGGGAGGAGGGGGTTTCGGTTTTGGTTTCAGGTCTGGTCGTAGAGTTTCCATGGGAGGCGGTCGCAGGACTGGCCTCTCAGAGCGGTCTTCGGACTGTTCATTTCTGCTGGGCACTCGTGTCGGAGAAACGACTGAATCGTATGAAGGAGGGGGGCTGATAGGCACGCTCCGCTCTGGGGTCGGGCGGAGGAATGGTTCAGGGCCCGGTGGGCGGGCCAGCTGCGACTGGTTCAGGGCGGCGATCCGCTGCTGAATAGAATTAAGCTGCGGCTCTTCGGTCATGGCGCCGGTAGGAGCCTATATTGAGGGCAAAGTGAAGTCGTGTTTCAAAATAGACAGTTGTCGCAAGCTTTAGTCTAAGTACCACCTGGCTTGGCGGGGGCGAAAACAGCCTTGTGTTTGAAACCAGCACTGAGTCACAGATGTGGGTGATTGGGTACAAGTACAGAGTAAAGACACCAACCCCCTACAGTTGAGGTCTAAATGAAAGAGAAAGAAAAAAACAGTTGAGGCTCCAGGAGGGGTCCCCCAATTGGGGGCCAGATCCCGTTTCATGTACCGTGGGTCACGATCTATGAGTTGCGCCTCTTTTTGTTTGTCGCCAAAAGGATGTTGCTCTATATCATAGCCTAATATTAGCTATAATAGTCATGATACCGGCTGTGAATATACTCCTTGGTCGCTTGTACATGTCTGTTCTCTCATAACTTGAAAAATTATGCAGGATTACAGGCCAAGACGAGCACAAGCCAACACGATTGAATAGCTAGTTCCATGCAGCAAAGCCACGTGGAAACATCCAGGAATTAGCAACTCCAAAGCCCTACGAGGACCACACTAGAAAAGCAAGATCAGACGACATATTGTTAAAAATTCACAATGAGGTTTGAGTTGTATTTCCAGAACATCGACCTCCATGACTCGGACTCCCAAACGCCTCAAGGCGGTGAAGCCTCCCAGATGGGATCACAGAAACAAAAGAAAACTAGGTACTTGTATTGATGCATGGTAAAGATGCACCCAAGAAAATGACGAGAAAAACAGTGGGTAGAAGCAACCGTCATCAATGGAGCCTCGAGGTCGTTGACAAGTAACATGAACCTGTCCACAATTCGAGGAAAAGATGAGCACATAAAAAAAGGTCAAGTACATCGTTGGAGAATTGAAAAAAAAAGATCCACAAAGTGGTAGAGCCGTGAGGTTTGAGGGCCAGCGTCGATCATCAACAGCGTAACAATGTACATAATCGTCAGGGCGGACAGTGCTTAGACGTTCTTGTACAGAAGCAAAGGCTCGCCAACGTTCTCGATTTCTGGGATGGTGCACTTTAGGTCGAATGCCTTGGCCAGAACGATTTTGAAGATCTGCGGAGAATTAGCGAATGTGACCTATCAAGCCAGTGGAGTAACATGTCGTGGGGACTTACCTTCTGTACGTTGATACTGTGACTGGTGCTGCTAAAGATGAGACTGGCCTTCATGGCCTTCGCAAAACGTTTGGCCTCGGACGTATTAGCATGCGTAGATCCTAGGAGAGGGAGGCACATACCTGGATCGAGATTTCCTCTTGATCCTCGCGGGGGAAATTAACAAAGTGATCGTATTTGGTGCCAACCAGGAATGGGATGGCAGTCTTATTAAAGCCGCGCCCCTGGCGATACCATTCCTTGATTGAGTTCAATGTGCTCTTGCGAGTAAGGTCGAACATGAACAGAATCGCAACGGCATCATTGCAGACCAGTGGCAGCATATTAACAAACTCACGCTGACCACCAAGATCCCAAATCGAAAAGGTAATTTCTGTGTTTCGAATAGAGATGGTTTTTTCCATGAAGTTCACACCTGTTGGGTCATTAGAATGGTGCTGCATGACCACAGGTAATTCAACTTACCCAATGTCTGGATGTAATCTTCATCCCAGCTTCCCTCAACATATTTAACCATCAAGCTAGTCTTTCCGATCTGGGCATCACCCACCATGCCAACCTTAATTACCACACTATTCTTCGAAGCCTGCGAACCTTGTCCCTGTCGCTGGACTTCTTGCTGTTGCGGCTGGGAAACACCAGGGCGCTCCGTACCACTGGATAATCCGGAACCGGGTCTGGAGTTTGGCACAGGGAGTTGGTGGCTGAGAGAGGGGGACGAGTGCTGGCGAGTGAACTGATCCGTGTCCTGAGCGGCGTATTCGGGGGCAGAGTGATGGAAGTCAGTGGATCGGGAGTGGTAGTGAGCCTTGGAATCGCTGTTATAGCCATTGTTGATAGTGGCGCGAGCAGTGTGGTCAGAAGCCGGCTCTTCAACATTGACGCTGACCGGTGCGTGCTGCTCCAGAGGTTGCTCGGGTGGGACCTCCTGTACCTGGGCTGGTTCCTGGATCTGCTCCTGAGCCAGTGGTGTCATATCCTCGGGGGCAACGTGCTCAGGGTCTGCAACTGCAACCTCGGGGGCAATAGGAGGCTCCGAGATGTGCTGCTGAGGGAACTCCATATTGGCGCTTAAGATCTGTATCGGAGTTGAGTTGAGAGGTGTAACCTGTTGGACGCGCCCTGATTGTCAGCATGAGTAAGACAAGACCTTTGAAGCCAGGGGACTTACCGACCCAAAGTGCTGAGATTCCAGCCCAATCTAGCAGAATTGCATATGTAGTAGTGTGTGCAAGGGATTGTGTCAAGAAAATTGAGGCAGAAAGATGTGTTGATGTCGGGAGGTGGAGTTGTCCCTGAGAGTAAACAACCTGGAATTCAGACGAAGGGCAACGAGAGAACAAGGGAGTGTGGCTGAAATGAGGCCAACAAGCAATTACAATCAGACTGAAAAGGAATATCTCCAGCCAATATCCAAGCAAGTCCAAAGTCAAACACCCTCAGCTCAAGGCGGGCAGCTGGGATCTGACGCTAGTCCGCGATAGGACTAGCGCCACCTCTCTTGCCAAAATCCACGGGAAAAAAAGTTCTTATCGCACACCCCTCTACATTACACTTCTCTCTACTCTGTTAGTTTTACAGATTCAAGATGTCCAAGAGAAGTGCCGAGACCGATGAGCAGACTGCTCTCAAGGCCGGAGAGCGGCCAATTGCAGAGGTCCCCATGGACGAAGCGGGGGAGTTCGAGGACGAATTTGAGGATGAGTTCGAGAGCGAGGACGAGATCCTAGAGGCCGGTGTCGATGGTCGCCCGGATGCTGAGCGCGAGGAAGAAGAGAAGGGTGCGCATTGTCCCCGCGAACCTGAAGGTACCATAAGAGAGTGGCTTACTGACTTTTCATCGTTTTATAGAGGCTATGGATGTGGACAAGGAAACCTTCATTCCTGGACGAACGAAACTGGCACCTGGCGAGACGCTGTCTCCCGATCCTTCTACTTACGATATGCTCCACACACTCAGCACACCCTGGCCCTGTCTCTCCTTCGACATTGTCCACGACACACTCGGTGACAACCGCAAGACCTACCCCGCCACTGTCTACGCCGTCACCGGTACACAAGCAGAGGGCGCCAAGCAGAAGGATAACGAGCTGATGGTCCTCAAGATGAGCGGTCTCAGCAGAATGGAGAAGGAGGGCGAAGATTCAGAGAGCGACTCCGACGACGACGACATGGGCGAGCCCATCCTCGAGCACAAGTCGATACCTCTGGGCTCAACCACAAACCGCATTCGCACCCACCAAACACCTAACCAGTCCGGAGACTACTCCAAGCCCCCACAGACCTTGACTGCGACCATGCTAGAGAACTCCCAGGTGGTAATCCACGACGTCACCGCCCACCTTTCCAGCTTCGATGTCCCTGGTACCGTTCTTCCTCCTTCGGCTTCCAAACCTCTTTCCACCCTGCGCATGCACAAGTCCGAGGGATATGCGCTTGACTGGTCCCCTCTCCAGCCTCTCGGAAAGCTGTTGACCGGTGACAACGACGGATTGATCTACGCCACTACCCGCACCGAGGGCGGCGGCTGGGTCACCGACACCCGCCCATTCACTGGCCACGCTTCCTCAATTGAAGAATTGCAGTGGTCTCCCAACGAGCGCAACGTTTTCGCATCTGCCAGCAGCGACGGTAGTGTCAAGGTGTGGGATGTGCGATCCAAGTCGCGCAAGCCCGCTGTTGACGTTCAGGTTTCCAACACCGATGTCAACGTCATGACCTGGTCTAACCAGACCGCTCACCTTCTGGCAACCGGTGCCGATGATGGACAGTGGGCTGTTTGGGACTTGCGTCACTGGAAGCCCAATGCTGCCGCTCCCTCTGCCCAGATTACCTCCACCCCCGTTGCATCATTTGACTTCCACAAGGAGCCCATCACCAGTATCGAATGGCACCCCTCAGACGACAGTGTGGTGGCCGTTGGCTCGGCCGACAACACTGTCACCCTTTGGGATTTGGCTGTCGAGTTGGACGACGAGGAGAGCAAGGCAGCCAACCTGGCTGACATTCCTTCGCAACTTCTGTTCGTGCATTACATGGAATCTGTCAAGGAGGTCCACTGGCAGGCGCAGATGCCCGGTACGCTGATGGCGACCGGTAGCAATGGGTTCAGGTATGTGCAATCGACAAGCCGACCTTTAAACTTAACTAACTCGGCCATAGTGTTTTCAAGACCATCAGTGTCTAAACAAAAAGTATCTACACTCCGACCAACTCGGGAATTTCATGTGCCATGTCTTGCTCATATACCATTCGAATTCTGTGGATTTTTTGCTCATTATGCCCGGAGTTGGACCCTTGAGATGGTAAGGGTGACAAAAAGATGTCTATATCTGGGCATAACATACATAAATAGAGATTATGATTCATCTGATTCTAAGATTGGTCCTCTCGATTCAATCATACCTAGTTCCACACCGTTTCAACGGTAAATCCAACTATGAGCGCTTTCTCCATCAATAGCTCAGCGGAATTATCTCCACAATTCCGCCTCAGCCGAGGCCAGAGCTATGGAGGGGGAGGGGCAACTGCAATGCAAAACATACTTAGTACGTCCAGTTCACGACCAGCCCACCTCTGTAACCATTACTTCCACAGAGATGCACTATCCACACGTTTCAAATTCATTTAGTAAACTCGGAATAGATGATGTACACAGTACAAGGCGTCAACAGGGATATATGCACCTAATTTAGTCCTAAGTCACTCTGGCCACAGAATGGACCGTGCTAGATCTGCGCCATTAATCTACAATACCGACAATGTTTCTAATAATTAGTATCTGGTAATAGTAACCGCCCGGCGCTCGTCTGGGACCGAGTCGGGTGCGACCGTTGCTGGCTGGCCAGTCGGTTGAATGATCCTTCAGTGGATGGTAGATGTGGATGCTGGCGGGTTATTATATTTTCTACTATTACTATTACAATAGCTATCTTAATGCTATATTTACGTGTGTAGTATATTTAGTATGATACACTCAACTCACCCTGAATGCAAATCAAAACCAATGACATAACCCGCACCGAATATTTGCTTCTTCGAAACGAAGTACTCGGCGGCCGAGTCCAGAGTCGATCATGGAAGATCGACCTTGGCATCACTGTATGGAGGTTCTGGCTGTGCATCGTGGCGATGCGAGAGTTTGGAAGGATTTGATTTGATCGTTTTGTGTCAGTGCGAGCCTTGCGCATAGGTTTAGCGCATAGCGCATAGGTGCATGGTACATATACATGTGCATGTAAGTTAAGAGTGCTGTAACATCAGTTCAGCCGAGTATAGTGTTATGGTCTTACAATTGTGTATGTGGATTGGTTGACGTGGAGAGGAGAGTGGGTTTAACGGGTTAGGTATGACATGCATAGTCTGATATGTACTGGATACTGGATACTGGATACTTGCTTGGGGGCTTTGTTATGTTTTACGGGTATTGTACTGTTGTGCTTGTGTTGCCGGGAATGACAGTTTAGTATGAGTAGAGTGTAGAGTAGAAAGTAGGGGCAATATTGTAGGAATGAAATGATTCTATAGATTGTATTGTACCTTGCTAACCTATCTATATTTACGCCAGAACTAACAGGCATTATGTATTTCCAGTAAGCTAGTGGCGTGGTTATAACATTCCAATTAAGTGTTCAGTGTTGTGCAGCATGCCACTACACTGCACTCATACACACCCATACGCAAGGTACATCGTACTGTAACACATCCAAAGACAAAGACAGGCAAAATCACACGATCTGATCTACGTCGGCGAAGTCTGCTCCTATCCAATCCCAAGAGTGTAAATGTACATCCACTCCTTCTAGTAGTGCAAAGCAGACTGCATACACAAATACTTTACGGTGATAATACAGCTAATGCACGCCCGAACCTAGCCCCGTCAATCACATTAGATCAAACTACACAGGTGCACGTTTTGTGGATTTGAAAGGACCCGAAACAGGGCTAAAATAGCTCCATTTTTGTGTCGGCTTTTCTCCGGGACTCTGGATTCTCTGATATTATCCTATGGTTGTATGTATTGTAAATTACAGCAGCCTCTCGGGAAATGTCGCGATAATCACCCGTTATCAGAACATCAAGCGCCGGTTTGTTTCAGTGTTCTCTTTTGTTAAGTCGATTATTACATGTACATGATTAAATGGCTGAAAGCTGGATTCGCAGATTCTTGCCGAATACTGACTAACATCCTAATTATATCTTGGTCTGTGTGGATGTGGTGTTAGCGCTGGATCATCCCGTCCTCGCGCCACCAAGTTACAGTATTTCCAGCACTGTTCACTGTTCCTGGGTACGTGTAGGCCCGAACTCAGCTGCAGCCTTGCAATTGGCAGCATTACATCCTTTCTGATCCGACCATACGCCCACTCTAAACTTTGATCGTCCACGCAGGGACTCGATTGTCCAGTCAGGTATGTTTTGGCGCCTGTGCGGACTTTGCTTTCCGGCTGTATCTAATGTTGCGTTCGCCTGATTATTGTACTGCCGCACAATTATTTCGCTACTGTAGAGTATTCTGCTCGGCAAAACCGATAACTAAACTCGATTCTAGATTGTAAATTAATCGATCTAATTATTCATGGTCATAGCCCAGCGTTATCTTCAGAAATCCATGATAGCTTAGTGCACATGTACTTATCACCCCATACCTATCTGCGGCCGAGCCCGACACTATTTCCACTTCCTACTATCTGCCTTACGCGTTTCAGCTTGACATCTGGTTGGACGATCCGTTGGAATGTGTCGGAATATGGTCTTGCGAATTGCCGGTATGGTATAGTATTCTCCAGCACTCCGTAATTCTGTTCCCATTTCCATACAGTACCTCGTCTCGGGCTTCGGCGCTGATCATCCGTGACGTGGCTGTCACTCTCCTGTCTCCTGCAGAAGCGGCCTTATAACAATCTAACAATCTAATCATCTAATCATCTACGGAGGTACATAACTGCCATGACGACGGTGGATGCCATAGCATATACTGTATTGGCTGGCATAAATGAATCGGTGCCTTTCTATCTTTCATCCCCTGCCATGATTGCATCTCTTCTTGTTGATCGTTGAGGTCATCCTCGTACATGTATGAGGGATACCTAAGCCGTTCATGATATCCTTGTGGACCTATGACGCATAAGGTGAGATAGTCATAGCCCAAGGCCAGTGTTGGAGGCGAAGCCTGAGCCGCAGTGCATCGGCATGGGCATTGTTAGAGGTATAGGTTTAAATAGGAATATTCATGCGAATGAAATTTACAGGAATTCATGTCCCATAGGAGGAAACTTCTACCTCGATGCAACCAGCAACTTGCTACTATAGCAGGTCGTCCCACGTACCTGACCTAAGTATGGACAAGTAACTTATGGAGTCCAGTTCTAGTTACCGTGCGGATCGGGCCATAGTCAAGGGCCACCCGCAGACCGGGGACCAAGTCCGGAGTAGCCAGTATCATAGTAAGTAAATGTATCAAGATCCCAACTGACAGATGTGCTCTGTAAACCATTCTTCACAAATAAAAATACCGACCGGAAACCCGGATAAACAAAACATCCCCAGCACTGGCTACATCGGAGGATTTCTGGCATTGCCCCTGCCTGATCATTTGTCGATTTATATTAATTACTATAATCACTTTGACCTAGTTAACACTTAACTTGAGTAGTTACTAGGCTAGGTACTTGTATCGTCTGGCGCTGTAACTAGTGTTTCATGGCTTGTAATCTATAACCTATGAGTGTCCGTCCAGTCTAGCCATTGCAATCCAACATCCAAGACCTACACTAGACAAACTAGACAATATTATTTCTTCTAATCTACTCTAATTACTCATCCCTGGAGATTGAGATTGAGATTGAGATTGGTTGTGCGGATGATACACGGAGAAATCAACGGCGAAGCGCGAGGATGTCCTTGCTGCATTCCTTTTTTTGGGATGGTTGGTTTGGTTTTGGTTACCTAGTTACCTGGATTGGTTAGTGTACTTTACTTTGTACTTGTGTACAGCTGCATAATGGGATAATGTCAGCGGCGTCTTTTGCCCTTGTTACTATACTGTATCTGTAGCTGTAATGGGAAGTCGGCTTTGTCTCCGAGCTTGTTGTTTCTTCATGGTCTTGGACCTGCATTTGGGATGGTCAGGGCGCTTTTGCTTTGGGATTGGCTTTCAGTGTGGGTGGATTGAATTGACTGTTTTGGCTGGAGGAAATGTGGCCTGAGAGTGAACTGTCATGCTTTGCGTAACCTCGTGTCTTGTTCCGTGTTTGGTGAACCGTGTCTTGGGATGGCGTTGCACGATGCTCTAAGAGTTTAGCCAAGACATGTCTTGTTTAGTTGCCCTGACACTAGATACTGGACAAGAAACACCGGTATTGGGGTAGATTGAACGGGTAGCTCGCCGGTGGGCTTGTCTTGTAGCCTATTATATTAGCATAGTGATATACGATATTGTGGCTGATCTAGGTGACAATGTCCATTAAAGACACTCATATTAAGCACTTATTCCCCTAGGCATACTTATGTGTACCCGATGATCAACCCACGTAGCATGGCTGATCCTCGCCGTGTTTCATTTGTCGCTCGACCATCCCTGACTCATTTCGGGTCACCTGCAGCGTCCTTAGACTCGCTCTAGTGTCCTAGTTCGACTAGCGCCGTTGTCGAGTCTGGGGAATTCTGCAAACGAGATGTCCGTGCGACAATTCGGGAAAGAAACATTCCCGGAAAATAAATTTGGGACCACCCTGAACCAATCTGGAGGAGCATTCGGATGGCCCGGGCGAAGAAATGTTTGTCCAATTGCCGTGTGACACCATTCTTTGTCTATCTCTGTCTCTCGGAGTTCCCAGATATCCGCATTGGCGGCATTGCGGCATTGAAATTGTCAGACATAGATCGTCCGAGTGACCCCAGATCCGAGTCCAGTGGTCGGCTGGAAGTCCAATGGTTTCATTGTCGCCAAACTCAAAACGGCGTGGCGCAACGTGCGTGGGTCGAACGGGAATGGCATTCTAGAAAGATATGCCAGATTCCGGGGTTACCCCGAAAGTCTGGGGCAAAAAAGGAGGAAATGTGTTGGGACTGGAAACGTGGCCTGCACTTAGGAACCGGAGGTTATCCCTTGCGGGCACGAGCATTTGAGTGGACGGGTATGGGGGCAATCCCCCACACGAACCCTCTTTTGACTCTCCCCCACAAAAATGGCGCAAATGTATGGATTGGAATCAGCCCCAGAAATGAGTGCATTCAGTAAACCAATGAATATCAGTGAATGTTGTCACGAGGTGTGCTGACATATATGATTTCATCTAGTACGCAGTACTGTACATATGTGGTGTACGCAGAGTACGGTTATTACCGGAGTGGTACTCGGGCCCGCTCCGATATCAGCCCACGTATTTAGCAATACACTACTGTACCCTGTATAATTATACCGTAAACTACACTCAGACCGTGCGTGTGTATAAGTTTAGTCTACGCTGCTTTCGGTATTACCCTGGGTAATCGTGCCACTCTGATTGGTCACTTACCCCGTGTCTGCCCCACTATGGTATCAGTACCGTCCCATCTGGCCCATCGCCCTGAGGCCGTTGCCTCGCAGGTACCCCCGGTGTACCTCGGACGGTAGTATTGGTCTAGCATCGCCACTCGGACCTCCTGATGGGTACTTCCCCAGTACTTTCCCCATTACTGCCACCAGGTACCTACTCTACAGCTTCGCAATCTCGCAACTTCTTCTTCTCTCTTTCATCCTTCCTCATCTTCGTCTTCGTCTTCCCCGTCTCTGTCGTCGTTGCTGGCTTATCATTGTCTACCCGTCCCGTTATCTCCGGCTTACCCCAACGCCTGTAACAATTCCCTCAGATGCGCCAGTTTGATCCAGATTCACTTTAACTGAGACGACTTCATGTGAGTGATCTATCTGGGCTCTGCTGCTCTCTGCAGCTACTAGCCTGGCCCGATTCGCTGATGTGCCCGACCTCAAAGACGTCAACACTAGCCTCCCGCGATACCGGCCGCAGGTCCTCTTATCCTGACAAGATACCCTCGGACAAGGAATACGATAGACCTGTAAATTTGTTTCTACTTTGCTCTTCTTTGGTGGGTTCCGATCAGTGAAGGTTCACCATAACCTGGGCTCGGTACCTTGGTTGTGGTAACGCCTTCGACGCATCATACGAGAGACATGCTGACTTGATGTCATTTTGTTACAGATGCACTTCATTGTATAAACTTGACCCGCCCATACGCGACCCTACGATACCCAACCTCGCTTTTAGCAATTCCCACTCGCGATCCTCCCACCAGTCAGTCAGTAACTGGTTTGTGAGGAGCTTCAGAAATCCTATAATGCTATTGGGTGCTATGGTCGGACAAGCAGACCATACTTCCCAAGTGACCGATCTTGCCAGTATCAACGAAATCCCGGGAAACATGCCTGGTGAGTGAGACTGAGACCGTTTTCCGCATGCAATTCTTACCCGTATCTGTAGCCCCAAAGGACACAAAGAAGGATCTCAACGGTCAAACGGCCAATGGCATCCCACCCCCCAAAACAGACAAGCCGAGGCCCCACGTCTGCACCACCTGCGGTCGCTCCTTTGCGCGACTGGAGCATCTCAAGCGCCATGAGCGCTCGCACACAAAAGAGAAGCCGTTCGAGTGTCCCGACTGCGCTAGATGCTTTGCCCGCCGCGATCTTCTCCTGCGGCACCAGCAGAAGCTGCACATGACCACCACACCCTCGTCTCGTCCCAGAAATGGCCGCCGCGAGAGCACAGGTGCCGCGCCCGGTGCCAACCGCGTTCGCAAGAATTCCATTGCCAATAACTCTTCTGCCTCCATGCGCCCGCGGGCCAATACCATTAGTCACATTGATGGGGCAGCATTAGGTATTCCCGGTGCTGGTAACCCGTCATCTGCACCCCAATCAGGCCACTCTTATCACCCCAGCCTTAGTTCTTCAATTGGCTCAAGCATGGATTATAGGGGGTTCAGCTCTGGACACCCTCCAGGGAACGGCCTTTCCAAGATCGAGACTTCCGGGCTTCCTATGGACATGTCTGGAACCCTTCGGACTGCTCCGGTTTACGGAAGCTTCGACGCGGGTATCGATGGTATGCTCATGGGTCATGGTAGCACCATCAACCCAGCACAATTACATTTCGCAGGCTCCCCACACGGTTTCAATGACTCCCCCTCATCTCCCTTTGGTCATTATGCCAATGGCATGCCCGCCCCGGCAGAAAACATGATGGACGAGGAGATGAACTTTGACTGGATGAACGGGTTTGACGCGGGAATGGTGATGTCCAATGGCAACGATTCGGTCATCGACGAGTCCTCACCGTCAGCCATGAGCACGGGTAGCCAAAGCGGAATCAGCGAGGCCATGCTCGATGGTCCGAACCGCATCCCCATCTCGAATGGCTGGCACAACCCGTTTCCCGCGCATGCCAACCAGTTTGCCCTCGATTTTTCTCCGACGACGTTGAACGAGCTGGGGATCCCACCAGAGACCGTATCGCCCAAGTCTTTATTGGCCCAGAATCCGTTTGCTGAGACGTATGCTACCCCTCCATCTATGACCTCGGTCGGCCAACCCATCGTGGGTGGACATTCGCAGAGTATGTTTCCATCCTCTCTGGCAACAAACGGAGAATCTCCTAATCCTCTCAACGTTCCCTTTCCGAATAGTGCCCTTCGAAATCAACATTCCCCAGTCTCAACGGATACATTTACAGACTCCACACGACAGGCTCTATTAGCGAGCATGTCGACCCCAACTGGCTTCAATCATCGCAAGTATTCCCAGCCCGCATCTGGTCTTCTAAACAGTCGCGAGCTGTTTCGCTCCTCTACTGCCTTCAACACCTCCGGCCAATTACCTAGCACCTCCGATTTGCAACGCTACATCTCGGCCTACATTACCTATTTCCATCCCCATATCCCGTTTCTCCATATCCCGACTCTGAACTTTCAAGCACCCGAGTACACGAATAACCTGCGCACGCCGAGTGGACATCTTAACCTCAGCTCAACCGGCGTCGCGGGAGGCGGCGGCTGTCTAATTCTTTCTATGGCTGCAATCGGTGCCTTGTACGAATATGACACCGCTGCCTCCAAGGATCTCTTCGAAGCCGCGAAAAAGATGATCCAGTTGTATCTCGAAGAACGACGAAAGGCCGACATGTCTGCAGCACTCAATCGGTCGAACTCCTCGCGCGATAACTCCGTTCACAACACTCCTCTCTGGCTGGTACAAGCCATGCTCTTGAATGTCATATACGGCCACACCTGCGGCGACAAGACCTCTGCAGACATTGCCAGTACGCATTGTGCTGCATTAGTCAGTCTCGCACGTGCAGCCGAATTGACGCATCACCTGGATCCTAAGAATTTGCCGCAGGATCATCTCAGTGCAGCAACTAGCGGAAACGATCGAAGTGACACCGACAATTGGATGTCTCCTTCGTTCAATCAACCGAAAGAGCGAAGAGAGTGGCTGAACTGGAAGGTCGTTGAGGAACGCAAGCGTACCCTCTATGCCATCTTCGTTCTTTCCAGCTTCCTTGTTTCCGCTTATAATCATGCCCCTGCACTCACCAATTCAGAAATTCGTCTTGATCTCCCTTGCGAAGAAAATATTTGGGCGGCCGAGTCACCCCAGGCGTGGAAACAGATGGGTGGTCAGACTGCCGCACAGAAGACATCGTCGTTTTCGGCTGCTCTGACATCTCTCCTGACTACTAGTCAAAGGGAACAGAGTCAGTCGTCGAATATGTTTTTCGGTGGTCAGGACGATCTGTCTAATTCCGAAAATCGACCAAGTACATTTGGCTGTCTGGTTCTCATCTATTCTCTACACAACTACATCTGGGAAACTCGTCAAAGACACATGGGCCGACAATGGACTACCCAGGAGACAGATGCTATGCAAGCACATATCGAGCCAGCTCTACGGGCATGGCAAGCAGCATGGGCCAGTAACCCAGTGCACAGCCTTGAGCGCCCGAATCCCTTCGGCGCCGGGCCACTATCAGCAGATAGCATCCCTCTCTTGGATCTGGCTTACGTGCGCTTATTCGTGAACCTGGGCCGATGCAAAGAAGCATTCTGGCAGCGAGACTGGAACGGCATGGCAGATGAACTCGCACGGGGCACAGAGATCTTCCAACACCCAGACGCAAGCATGAACGATGTCGTCGACCCATCTCTCACAGCCCACATCGATACGCGGCGAGACTCAATAGCTGATCTCGGTGTCTCCGACTTAGCCATCTCCAACACCCCAACACAAGACCAGCACCTACAGTCAATACAAAACATGTATAAAACCGGCCAAACAAAGCGAGAAAAGCATCTGCGCAAAGCCGCCTTCTACGCCGCAGATTCAATCTCCATGTCGGACCGTCTAGGCAATACCTTTGCCGAATTCTCGTCAAGAGAATTGCCCATCCAGTGCGCAATGTGTGCTTTCGACTGCGCACAGGTGCTGGCAGAGTGGATCACAACCGTTCAGGAACGCGTCGGTCCATACCTGGGTATTCTAGGCCGCGATGATACAGACCTGACTCAAGTTCCCGGTGTCATGTTACTAGAAGACGAGGATTGCAAGCTGGTTGATAAGATCAAGGAGATTTTGAGGAGTATCGAGACGAAGATGACGCGCCAGGTTCAAGGCAGCAATTCCATGTTTGCGCTTAGTGTTATGCAGCGGTTACCCAGTGCCGTGGAGGGGGGATACGGTTGTAAAATATTGATTGCGACGGCTAGTCTCTTGGATAGAGCTGCTGTCTGGCCAGGTAACCACCACCCCGTTATCATCCCATGAAGAATATCCAGCTAACATGATCATTTGTTTTTAGTGACGAAATTAATGGCCCGCTCTCTGGAAGCCCAGGCCATGCGCATGAAGGATCGTACCGAGCACTCCGTTCTGATGACCACTTAATGACCCGACCCTTGTTTGATGTCCAATATCTTTTTGATTTCTTCCCCTTTAACAACCATTTCACCATTTATTTCTTTCTATCTATTTCTTATTTCCCCATGTCTCAATCTTGGCTTTTTGTTTTGTCGATCCCCCTTTTTATCTGCGGCGTGTATCATGAATAAAGAATCAATGGCATTTTCAAATTATCTAGATTGAGTGAATTGTGTACTGTTCTGTACTCTCTCTCTTTAACATTGGGTTTTGTACATGCATATGCTGCGTATGTGCTACTCATTGTAGGGTGAGTTGCCCACTTCCTTGGAATATTGATCCTCGAATTTCAAGTAACCTTTTTCTCTATGAACTATCACTTCCACCACATCTCTTCCCTCTTATCCGTTATTGTTTGATCATGCAGCTTCCCCCTCTAGATACAAATTGATACTTTACACACAGTCATAAGTCATAAGTCTCCCTTTCACGGTCCCGCTCATATGTGATCTGTATGATGAACCCCAAATATGGAACTATGACTCGGGTAATTCGAATTGACATGAAGTCCCTCATGCTAATGGCACCTGGTAGCACTGCACATGGCACCTCCGCTAAGTGGCCAGTCATCGAAGGAGGAGAGGATCAATGGGTCCGCGATTCAACATAGAAGGCTGAGAAGAGCCTTTCAATGAAATTCACAATCATTAGTCTGTCGGAAGCCGTGTCGAATAGGCACCACCATATCATGACGAAGAGATTTACTATGCATACATAAATCACATCTGTGACTACTCAACTAAATGCTGTCCCTAGTAGTGAACGTGTGTACATGAACCAAGCGTTAAGTTAGTAAACTTAACTAGATCTGCTGACATAACAATCTGACGTAATGCTTCCCCTCCGTTGCTAGGCCATCAACACTCCACACGCGTTAAGTGGTTTTTCGCGTTGCACCTCAGCGGCAGACGCTCCTCTGCCTTTGACGTATCACATGGGAGGCAATCAAATCGCACAAGAAATGAATGAAACCCCCCAAGGTACGTCCCGAGTCGTCTTCTTGCAGTATCCGACTGCCGCGGCACCCAGAGCAAGCAAGTCCGCCGGGCTTCAAATCCACTCCCGATGCCCTACCCGCGGCCAGTTTCCCCGGTTTCCCTCGAAAAGTGCCCGCCACCATATGAGATAGACCCCGAAGATCTACTTGGCTCAGACGATGAATTGGACGATGCTGGTCGAGATGCGAGGCGCCGGAGAGTTGAGAGATTGGCCGAGTCTTATCTTCAGGGGAAGCCGCTTTTTATTCTCTCTGCGTCGCTGAGAGGTCCTTTGGAAGATGGATGGGTTAATCCTTGGCGAAAGACTAGAGAAGGCGCTCGCGGTGCGCCAGCTCCGAGGGCTTCGTCCAGCCGACAGACTAGCGTCCCGGAGAAGGTGGTGCTGGAGACTGATGTGCGCACTCGAAGACATTCTGAGAGACTGCCCAGTGAGATTAGTCGTCCAGAAGTCCCTGCTACGTCGCGAAACTCAGCTGCTGTAAGCTCCGTGCGAGGTGTGGAGCGCTCTTCGACTCCAAGATCAGCACGAAAACACCCTTCAAATGCGCAGCGGCCACAGCATAGTGAGCAGAGTAAGAGGTTATCTCATAGCCTATTCAATTCCAAGAAATCACCTGCTTCAGCAGCAGCGAATGAAGAATCCTTCGCTCCGCCTAGAACAGCCGATTGGTTGAAGAAGGATAGAAAGCGCATGAACTTTTCCAAGTTTGACCCACCAAGCTCTCCGACAGTACCAGCTGCTTTTCGTCAATTGGAAAACAGAGCTCGTCGACCTGCGCCTCGTTCTGTTCAAGTTCAGGTCCCGCAGACCCCGGCTTCCCCAACGAAATTTTGCACAGTTGGAATGGACACGGTGAAGCCAGCAGTCATGCACTCTACTTCCACTCGCTGTCCCTCTCCGCATTCTTCTCGCTCTGTTGGCTCAATTGTGCGGCCTGTGCTAGCTGTGTCTAAGCCATCGCCTTTCAATCGAAAGATCTCTACGAGCAAGACCACCTCGTTAGACACGTCCCTTCGTGTTGTTTCTTCCTCGTCTCAGCTGCCACGGTTCGAATATCGTCCGTGGATTAATGACAAATATAAACAGAATGAAGAGTCCAAATCCCCGTCGGAAGAAAGTATCCTACAGGAGGAAACTGTTTTGTATGACGGCATGCCTTATGAAGCTCCCAATGACATGCCCCACGATTTTCTGTCTGCCAGCCCTACCAAGAAGCAGTCAGATGTGGTTGTGCCCGAAGTACCGCAGCCCGATGAACTGGAGGGTTTCAATGAGGCACCTGTGGTCGACCAAGGATCTTTGAAGAAAGATAAAAGTCAGAAGACTTCGTCCAAAGACCTTAGATTTGCAGACGAAGAAGACGCTGGCACTTCAACTTTTGAAGTCATCGATGATCCTGCACCCACTGAGCAGAATACCGATGAGGAAATGCCGTCTGCACAGGCTATACCAGCACTATTGGGGATTTCAGATCGTGTCATATCCTTACACTCGACGCTCATGCCAAAGGAAAATAGCCAGGCAGAAATGGATACCAATATCGACACGCAGCTGTCAACACAGGCTGCGCTTCTGCATGCACAGAAGTCTTTCCAAGACGACTTGGAAAGTCCAACATATCACAAAACAACACCTGCTCGAAAGCGCAGTTCTCCAGATGGCGCTACCTATTCGGCCAACATCACCCCGTTCTATCGAGCTATCAGCCCGCTCATTTCAGACAAGAGCCGTGTGCAAGCAATGAGTACTCAATTCATGCTTGATGCAGCCACGCCATATACGTTCAGCACGGAAAGGAAACCATATGCATCTCGGCTGGATCCCAGAGGAACCCCAAGCACCAAGAAGAAGAAGACCGCCCATATTGCAGACCACTCTTCCTTACCTGGAAATGGCTCCCCCGAACTCGACAATGACTTCCATACTGCCCAATCAAATCGAGCAGGAGGAAGTCTGGCACCAGCGAGCCAAGAATCGGATCGACCACCTACCTTCCGATCTAACGCCCCGAACGAATCATTCCCAATGATCCGTAGCGGATCAACACCGCCAACAATACAAGATGGCCAAGGTGCCCAGCAAGGGGCAGAAACCTTCAATTTAAGCCAGGCTATTGCAGATGCTGGGAGCTGGCTTCAGCAAAGCTTTGATTTTATGAAGGATACTGGCAGACCCAGTCAGAGTCTTAAATCTGCAGGCCTTCAGTCTACTTCTAATATGGATATCTCTCAATAAGAGGGCTTGGCTGGGATCTAGTCTTAGATTTTATGTTTATGCTTTGCATTTGTTCCTTTTCTTTTCCTGTTGCATCTTCATGTACAGTTTCCTCTGAGCTACATTTCGTAGCGAAGGCGTTTTATCTTGGGGTCTTCATAGGTTCTCCTGGCATATTTTCGGTACACATACTCTATTTGCATGGCACATGGCACAGGCAGGTGTAGATAAGCAGATCCTTTCTCCCAATGGCCTATATCTAATACCCTATATCAACTTAGGACATTTATTCTAGCATCTCTGAAACCAATAAAAGAAGTCCAGTCCCCAATGAATGAGACGTATAGAGACGTTCCAGACTGATCGACATCAGGAACCAAGTGGTCCGAGCGCCAGCGGGGAGAGCTCCGAACCGCATCACTCCAACTGCACATCTCAATGAATGGCGAGCCGAGATGGCCTTAACATCAGTAAGGACCCGAAATATCCGTAATTTGAATCGCGTCTAACAGCTCCACAGTGGAAAGCATTCAACTTCATCGACGTCTCGCCGGTGAAGCTACCAGAGGACAGCGCATCGGTCTTCAATGTAAGGCCTAACCTCCCCTTTCCCACCCCGAACAAGTCTAACTGTTCCGCACTAGAGTGACCTCTCGAGTATATGCACCGGATCTGGGAATATCTTTGTCGGTACCACGGATGGCTTCGTCCACATCGTCTCCTCGGCCTTCCGCGTCGTGCGATCATTCAAAGCTCACGATACCGGCTCCATCACGCATATGAGACAGATTAACGATACCGCGCTACTTGTCACTGTCTCGGAGGATCTTTCTAATGAACCAGTTCTGAAAGTGTGGGCGCTGGATACGGAGAAGAAGGATGGTGGGCCGCGATGTCTATCTACGGTCTCCGTGCAGAATGCTAGGCGACAGTTTCCGGTGCGCCTGACATTTGCAACAAGCTAGTGGTATTTTGCTGATTGGTAAAATAGATATCTGCCTTCACGGCTGTTGGGGATCTCTCACAGGTGGCAGTCGGATTTGCGAACGGGTCTGTGACGATCATCCGCGGTGACTTGATTCACGATCGGGGTGCGCGCCAACGCATTGTCTTTGAGTCTGAGGAACCGATTACCGGACTAGAAACACAGAGCGGGGCTGTTACTACACTGTATATCGCTACTACAAGCCGGATCTTGACGTTGGTTATCGCCGGGCGAGGACAGGGCCAGCCTGCACGTGTCTTGGAAGATACAGGCTGCGGTCTCGGATGTATGACATTGGACAAGGAGGCTGGAGATATCCTGATTGCCCGAGAGGATGCTGTCTACACTTACGGTCCCCGTGGACGTGGGGCGAGCTATGCATTTGAAAGTCCCAAGACGTCCATTGATGCCTTCCGTGACTATGTCGCTCTGGTTTGCCCGCCTAAAGCTAGAACTAGCAAGTCGGATCCGCTGCGCAAGTACACTGCTAGTCCGGGTGAAGAAATCTTTGGCACTACGACGTTCACGCTCCTCGATACAGATCTCAAGTTTATCGCGCATAGTGAAGCGCTGGTGTCGCCTATGAAGCGGATTTTCATGGAATGGGGGAATTTATTCCTTCTTGCAACAGATGGACAGGTATTTGTTCCGGGTTAGATGTTTTGATATCATTTTTTAACATTTTCCAGATATTCCGCTATCGGGAAAAGACTCTCCAGCAAAAGCTCGAGATTCTTTATGAACGCAACCTTTACATTCTTGCAATCAACCTTGCGCAAAAGATTGGAACCGATCCGTTGCAACAGAATGCCATCTACCGCAAGTACGGTGACTTTCTGTACCAGCGAGGCGATTATGATACGGCCATGCAGCAATATCTTCGAGCGATTGATAGCACAGAACCATCTCAAGTCATTCGCAGGGTTAGTGACAGCGATTCCTTGACCCTGTTTTCGGTTACTAATTGCGTTAAAGTATCTCGACACTCAACGTATCCACAACCTAATTGAGTATCTGGAAGAGCTACATGACCACGGCCGTGCCACAGTTGACCATACCACACTTCTTTTGAACTGCTACGCAAAGCTCAAAGACACAAGCAAGCTAGACTCATTCATCAAGGCTCCTGGTGAGCTGAAGTTTGACCTTGAGACTGCAATTGCCATGTGCCGCCAAGGTGGATACTACGAGCAAGCAGCATATCTAGCAACGAAACATGGTGAGAATGATATGGTTGTGGACATCTTGATTGAAGACTCCAAGAAATATGCCGAAGCGGTAGAATATATCTGGCGATTGGAGCCTGAGGTGGTATGTGGAACCCAACCACCTAGGGAGAATCTGCTAACAACGATAGGCTTATCATAACTTGATGAAATACGCCAGAGTTCTTCTCGCTCATTGTCCCGAGAGGACAGCAGAGTTGTTCAAAGTTTACTATTCTGGCCAGTACAAACCACGCACCGAGGTTGAAACATCATCAGAACCCCAAGCACAGACAACCAGCACTGTACAAAGTCTCGCTGCACTACTTCCTTTGCGTTACATGACTGTTGGTGGTGGCACAAAGACCGAGGAGCAGTCAACCGAGAATGCAGAACCAAATGGGGATCACACTGAGGAACCAGTTCCAGAGTACCAGGTTCCCAAGCCCCGAACAGCTTTCTCCGCATTTGTGGACCACCCGAAGGAATTCATTGATTTCCTTGAAACATTAACACAAAAGCCCGATCTGACGAACGAGGCCAAAGTGGACCTTTTCACCACGCTGTTCGAAATGTACCTGGACACAGCAAAGGGAAAGAAAGATGCCAGCGATAAACAAGAGTGGGAGACAAAAGCAAAGAAGTTGATTGAAGGAAAAGATGTAAGTTCCTTGTCTGTCTCTACGACCTGCATAGCTAATTTGGCCAGATTCCGATCTCAACATCAAATGTACTGCTTCTTTCTGACTTGTCGGACTTCCGAGAAGGGTCCACTCTTGTCCGCGAACAAGAAGGTCTACGCCTGGATATCTTCCGCTCCTTCACATCAGCAAAGGATACTCAAGGCGCCATTAAAGCCTTGAGACGCTATGGCCCGGACGAACCACAACTCTACGTTGACGCCTTGACATACTTCGCCTCGAGCCCTCAAATTCTCGAAGAAGCAGGAGACGAGCTGGACGCAGTGCTTCAGCGAATCAGCCAAGATGGCCTACTCTCGCCACTGCAGGTCATTCAAGCATTGAGCAATAACGCAGTCGTAACCATGGGCCGTGTGAAGAAATACCTCAGCGATAATATCGAGCGCGAGCGCAAAGAAATCACCGCCGTAAGTGAACCCCTTTTGTTACAAAAACTCCATACATTTTGTCGAAACTAACATTGTACCCTATCTAGAACCGACGCCTAATCACAAGCTACAAAACGGAAACCGCCACCAAGCAACAAGAACTAGACCATCTAGCCACCCAACCGGTAGTCTTCCAATCCCGACGCTGCCAATCCTGCGGTGGAACCCTAGACCTCCCAACCGTCCACTTCCTCTGCAGACATTCCTTCCACGAACGCTGCCTCAACAACGTCGACGAAGACGCCCAGTGTCCCGTCTGTGCCCCGACGAATGCTACTCTCCGTGCTATCCGGCAACGGCAGGTCGATTCTGCTGATCAGCATGATCTTTTCAAGGGCGAGCTGTCCCGCTCAAGAGATCGGTTTGGTGTTGTCAGCGAGTTCTTTGGAAGGGGTATTATGCGGCCGCAGAATACTATGGAGTAGATTGACTTCATTAGATTTGGATTGGGGTCTTTGTACATGTTCGTTGAGTGTTTAACTTGATACCTCGGTCTGCATCAATAGATCAAGTTGTGTTAGAATTGTGTGTAGGTTACTTATAGCGTTGAAATATGGAGAGTTACATATCAACAGCAGTCGTCTAGATAGCACCAATCGGGGGCTGTCATAAATTCCATCATGGGAACTAAGTTGCACCTTGTTCTTAAAAAGTTTCTCTTTCAACGTTATCCTCATTTTCTCCCTCGACTGTTTGTCACTGCGCTCTTTCCCTGTTCTTGGTGTACACGAAATCGTGAAGACTGGGCCATTCGGGATGTAGCTTGTTGATGGGTACTGCACTCCGGCCATTTGCGTATCTGAGTTCGCATATATACGTGCGCGGTCGGTTGGGCTGAGTTCTCTGGAGCCTTAAGTTTGTCCCATTGTTTTGGTTGGGACAACAGATTTGAGGTCTTCGAGAATGTGGAGATGTTCCCGAGGTCGGATGAGTTGTACGTCTTTATGAGGTTGACCGAAGACAGTATAGTATGGCGGTATATCTAGGGCTAGACAGAGGACACAAAGATTATCATACAAGACTATACGAAGCTACATAATCGATTTATTTCAGAATCCAGGGTATATTCATATCAGCAATGCATTGTATAGATAAATCTCGCTTTGTTCTAACAATAGCGCAAATAAGCAATGATGAATTATATCAACACAATCAGACAAACAAGTTGATCGCACAGATCAAACTGGGTCATTACATGCAAGAGCAAATATGCACAACGGATGAAATGAGAAGATACATGAATTTGCGGGAGAAAAAAATCAATGATGGTGGTAAACGATTCAGAGACAGAAGCAAGAATGCGTAGAAAGATACATGTATCTTATTCCTTCCAATGGTGACTCGGAGCTCGGAAGGTCAGATCTGGATATAGGGCTCTCTGGTTTCGTCAGAGAGGACTATTAGAGATGAACAGTAATATAGCTTTGAAAAGGCCTTCTTTCGAGATATCTCCTTTTCAAAATGTTCAAGGACATGAACGTTGCTCAATGGGTACGTCCCTTCTCGCCTCCCCAGGAGACGCGGGGGCGATGGTGAGCGGCAGATTGGGAGCCTGAGCTGGATCCAGAGCCAGAGGGAGAGGACTTGTCTTGCTCAGAGGGCTTTCGATCATCGGCGACCTGGGTCTTGGGCGTAGCCTGGCTAGACTTGTCACCCTCTTCGATATCAGATTCCGCAATAGCCTCATCATCGTCGACGTATTCGACATCGGAATCTTCCTCAGAGTCTTCACCATCCACACCCAGAGCTGCCAGGCGACGGCGACGCTCAGCGGGGGTCTCGCCTGTGTCATCATCATCCTGCCGAGGAGGAGCGGTCAGACCGGCGGCTTTACGGAGACGAGAAGGCGGGATACGCTCAGTGCCATCGTCATCGGAATCTCGGCGAGGTCGGTCACGGAGAGGCGCAGGGCTGAGGTTGTTGCGACGCTCTTGAGCGGCGGAGGTACCACCACGCGAGAACTTGGCCAAAGATGAAGCCACGTTCGGAGCACCGCGCCGGTCATCAGACCCATCTTCGCTCTCGCTGTCAGTGACAGACTCAGACTCCAGACCCTCGGCATCCTCTTCAGGAATGGTGCCAGTAGTGGCCGAGACAGCAGCGGCGGAGAGACGACGTTCCTGTTTCTCTTCCTGCATTTGTTCCTGCTTGGCCTCTTCCTTGGCCACCTTTTGAACAGGAGGCGGGGCGTCAGTTTCTTGCACCAGATCGCGGCGAGCCTTGGCATCCAAGCCCTTGATTTGCTGGAAAAATTCCTGCTTGTTCATGCGCTTGCCCTTATGGCCAATGCCGTGAGAGCTGACCTCGGGGTCCTGGGCAACAGTGAAACGCAGACCATCGTCGGCAGTCCACTCGTCGGGATCTTGGGTCTTCTTCTTTTTCTCGTTGGCAGCTTGGGATGATTCGCCTTCTTCCTCCATGCCGAACCATGTTCCCATACGGGTAAGGCCACGGCGGACAGGGGCTTGACCAGGAACATTGGGCTCCTTCTGAGCCTTCTCACCCTTCTCGCCGGCAGGAATGGTGTATTTCTTGATCACTTCTCCGTCCTCATCCTCAACAATAATGGTGTTACCAAACTGGTACGCATGAGCAGAACGAGCCTTGGGCTTTGCAGACTCGGTCTTGGGAGGCTTCTCTGCCTTCTCCTTCTTCTGTTTCTTCTCTGGAGTCTCCTTGGCCTTCTCTTTTCCGAGGCCGGTCCAGTTTGTCCATTTCTTAAGAGCATTTCCGTAGCCTGTCTTTTCTTCAACGGCCTTCTTGATCTCTTCTCCCTCGTTCTTTTGGTGAGGGCGACTCTCAGAAGCTGCAAGTTCGCCGGATTTGTCTTCCTCCAGGCGCTTGCGCTGCTCCTCAATGTGTTGTAGCTTTTCTTCCGGAGACAGGTGGGTAGTATCCTCAGTCTTAAGAACATTGCCCTCTTCGTCTTCCATGATCATGTTGTGGCCTTCTTGGTAGACTTCCATTTCTGGCTCACGGCCGAAGCGATCCCGCTCAGCGTGAGGTGGAGAAGATCCGCGCTCGACGCGGTCACGTTCCTCAAGTTCTTTCTTCTCTTCTTCAGTCTCGATCTCGTTCTCGTTCTCGTTGCGTCGAGGGGCTGGCATGATGGCGGACTGGCTAATAGGGCCTCCGGCGCCGCTATCACGCTTGCGACGGCGTCTGCGCAGGGGCTTACGGCGACCAGTCTCAAGGCTTTGCGACTCACTCTCTCCCTCTTCATCGCGCTGTCGGCGAAGAAAGTTGCCTGGCATTCCAATTGGTGGCAATGTACCAGGAGGATACTCGGGCAGCTTCTCGTCTGAGGAGGCATCCGTATCGTCCGCCTTGCGGAATGACATAGAGCCCTTGGCAATGGACTGTACACGAGGCAGACGATTCATCCATGATGGTCCTTCCTCGTTGGCTTGAGTGTATGACAGGGTAATGGTCAAGGTGTTGATACGTTTGCCTAAGGTGAATACTGCAATAGAAGATCCGTGAACCAGGATAGACGAAATGACCATGAAGGTAGTAATGGGCCAAATAAGTCTCACGATATAGTAATTGCTCGTCCCTGGCTCTGGTAACTCATCCTCAGTCAACGGCTGTGTGTTATCATGTTCTAATTCTGCTCGGGCAAGAATGGCGGCAAAAATAGCACCGACACCAATGGGTCCGAAATGCCCGGCAAATAGAGCTTCACGCCACGTTTTGACGTCAGGTATAATGGGTTTGAGCAACAGCATGATGGGAATGCGACGGAAGAAGATGACCAATAGTGCAATCACCACCAGTCGCCACGGAGTAAGACCAAGCTCGGGGGCATTGAAATCCTCCCATGGGATGATGGATCCGAAATAAACGAAATATGCCAAGTTCAGTAAAAGATCGATAACGTTGGAGACGTGAGATTCTTCGGTCTTCTCCGTGAACCAACCATCGTTACTGAATCCGACACCGCAGGCGAATCCAATCAGCAAGTCATCCATACCCAGCAAACTACCCGAGCCAGCACAGAAAACGGCCAGCACGAAGTAGAACACCAAGAAACTTTCACGATCAATCAGGCCCTTGCGTTCAGCCAGCTTGATAGCATGACGCGCGAAGTAGCCGATGGCAAAACCGAAGATGGCACCAAGGATACACTCGTAAAGAACAGTGATACAGAACCAGTTCAGCCACACCTCGCCAACCTGGGGTCGGTAGTGGTAGATGTAGAAAGCGAGGTAGATGAATGGGAAAGCCATACCGTCGTTACACCCAGATTCGGCGGACAACAGGTCACGCAAATGCTTGGGCACACGCTTGGCGAACTTTCCCTTACCAACGACGGACGATGCTAGGACAGGATCAGTAGCCGTAACGCAGGCAGCACACACCAGACTCTCCAGCCAATTCAATGGAGGCACCATCCACCAAATGAACAGACTAGTAATCAACCAGCCAAAAGTCATGACTGGGATCAGCAGCAGAGTGACCGACTTCCAGTGGCGTTCCATGTAGGCCTTGGGCAACTCGACGCCGACGGCGAAACATTGTACAACAAGTACAATGCGCGAGCATTCCAGGGTGATTTTATCGATGTTTCCCCATTCGTGCGGATTGAATAAATTGGCCGCATGGGGGCCAAAGATGATACCACAAAGTGTAGCAACGGTAGCTTCACCAATGTACAGCTTCTCCTTCACGAAAAGGGAGCACAGCATGAACAAGCCTGTGAAACCGCCGAGGATCATGTAAGCCAAATGCGGCTTGTCGATGTCAAGGTGTTCCCACGCCATGGTGAAGATGTCGGAGATCTGACACCGAGTATATTATCCCTCCTTGCTTCGTGTTGTGTCGACTCGCGCGTCGTACTGCGGCAAGCTATTTACCGGTTGGATTCCCGCCTCGCAATTCGTTGGATCGCGTAGCTCTTCATGCCTTGGTAAATCGGTAATCGGAAATCCGAAGTGCCGAGCCGCGTAGGGCTGATTTGGGTTTCGCGATCCAGGCGCACGTCCAGCACGTTCGGAGGTGACCGACTCAAGCCAAGAAATTGGGGATGCGACGAGCGGAGAGGGTGCGTCTAGGCAAGGCGAAGAAAATTCGGGTGGCTGGCCGAGACAGGGAAGTCGGGCAGTTGCAGGTTAGGAAGGAGGGAAGGGGAAAAGAAGAAATGGACAAGATGCGACGAGACTTGGTCAAAGTCTTGGAAGACTCTTGGCCGGGCAAAGAAAGCGAGTGAACGCGTCCTTGGGGAGATTTGCCCAGAACAAGGTAATCTTGGAGCGGCGGGATTCGTCAGCCCAGAACTTGAGGACCCACGTCGGAAGCGGAACAGGTCTTGGCTGGCGGAATGGAGGATGCGCTCAAATGGGAGAATTGCAGGGTTTGGAGGGGAAAAGAGAGGCAGATATATAGAGGAGAAAAAGTTAATAGACAAAGACAAAGTGCCTGAAATTGAAAAATGTACCTTGTAAGCAGTAATATCCCGGTCACGTATGGTAATTTAAGATCGCCAGCCCTGCGAAGTGCCAAGCCCAAATTGGGGATCAGCGAGGTAATTGGGTCAGTGGCGCTGTTGGCTCCTCTTTCGGTGGATATGTCTCACTAAATGAGATTTGGTTTTTATGGTGCTGTACTTCGTATGCAGGGCCCTTTATAGGGTATTTTACGGAGTACTCTATGTAGAAACACCAAACGCTGTCCTCCTCTTAGCTGACAGGATAGTCGATTCTGGGAATTCTAGACTGCGGTCCTTGAACGTGAGCAAAACAGAAGTGAGAAAAGAGAGGCTAAAGGGTATAGTGTAAGAATTGCTGGCTTATTCTTCTGATTAGACCCGCCGAGAAAAGCCTTGCATTACATACATCTTGTACTTTATACATAGACAACAAGAATCAATTGGGAATTGTAAATAAACACACGCACCAGAACCAAAGACCGGAAGAAAACAACGGGTTTCAGGCACGTTGCAAACTGGGGAATCCAATGCTAACATCATGAAACTTGCGTATTTGCGGGGAACTTGGAGAGGAAAAAAAGCAAATAAAAACCATCTTAAATCAGATGCACAATGCGCATCCCGCGCGAAGCCAAAATTGGGGTCAAATTGGCCGGTGAGCTCTTATGTACGACGCAGCTGGGGGCCCAACGATGCCCAGCTAGACGCCCGTCGGCATGCCCTCAACTTCATCACTCAAGCCACGCCAGTTGTCTGCCTGCAACTCTGAGTACTTGACCCGCTCCTGGCTCCAGTCCTGGTGCAGCCGGCTAATATGGTACTGGCTTCCTTGGAAGTGGACAAGTTCATCGCGAATGCATTCCTTGATGAAGACGCCCCGCGCATGCTGCTGCACGATTGATTCTTTGTCCTAAGAGACGTCGAAAGTTAGTATCACGACAGCGATTATTGGAATAAGCATATTCACCTTGAATATAGCATCCTCCACTTTCTCAATTTCTCCTGGTTTCGCGGTACCTGCGGGTCGGGCGCGAAGGTCCTGCAGCTTACGCTCGTTGGTCTCGATGCGTCGTTCTAGCTGCGGGATGTTGTTCCGTGCATACCGATCCCGCCGATCGAACATTTCGCGTACACTGACCAAACAGTCCCGCTGACGCTTCAGGTCTTCCAAGACCCCCTCAGTCCAGCCTCTTGCTTCGTCCTCAAGCAGGCTCTGGCTAGCAGATAGGTGCCTAGCGGTAGCGGTAATGCCCTCATTGAGGGCTGGGATATCGTTGGTGTCAACAGCATACGTGTCTTTTGTCACCTCGGTCAAGGACTGCAGCGCGAGAGAAAATCGGAGATGGTCGGCAGCCAGGCCATCGTTTCGCTTGCTCAGGCGCTCGAGTAAAGTGCAAAGATTAATATAAATTTCGGCAGACCGCTTGACACCGCTGCGGACCGTCTCGAATGTCTCGTCGAGGGTTGGAGGCAATGAATCCTCAAGGTCTGGTGGAAGAGTACGGCCAACAAACTCATCTTGGACAGAGATCGTAGCCTGCTTGCGCCATACCGAAAGTTCCTACTTTTGCGATCAGCATATGTATCCTTCATTGAACATTGGAAATCTCACCGTTGGAACAGTCAAAAACATAACAACCAGTTGTTCCTGACCAAGAACAGGGTGGCGCACAAGAGCATTCGTGAATCGAACAAGACCGTGGCGACGCTTATCAAGGAAGGAATTTGAATCCGCTGAGAGGTGAGTGCCATTGACTTATAAGGTGAGTAAGCAATTAGGTGCGCTTAAACCAGCGTTTGACGTACCTGAAACCCGCTTGGGTGGAAGAAGAGGCAATTGCCGGAATGGGAATCTTTTCTGAAGACAATCCAGTAGCCAAACAAAGTCGCTATAACGCCGAATTACAGTGCTGCCTCGTCGTGCAGACTTCACCTCATAGTTGCGGTGCTGGAACATGAACAACCCTTCCTTCTCGGGGAGTAGTGTCACCGTCACAGTCTCCTCCACTTGCGGGTTTGTTGAGCGGCTGAGACCAAGGGACCGGCGTCGGGGCGCGATCTCATTGGGGTCATCTTCTGGAGGGCCAAACCCACCGAGCGCTGGTCCCTCAACTCTCCCAAACCCACTCTGCTGGCTGGGGCCCGTGCTGCTCAGGTTGTTCCCCCATCCTGACCCTAAGCTACTGGGAGGCGGAACCTCAGATTGACCATTGGAATGTCCCCGCTCAGCCGTGTCGCCCTGATAAGCCTCTTCGGTAGCCTTGCTAGACCAGGCGTTTGTCGTAGATTTCACACTCCCGTAACCATTCAATGCCCGTTGTTCGGCGTCCAATGTCTCATGGTTGTGGCCTCGGTGTAATTGTGGACTACCCCACGGGTCTGCTTCCAATCCACCTAGGGATTCTCGTCGTGCGGGTCGCGAATGGGCGGACCCGGGAGTTTGCACTACGGGAGCTTGGGAGGGAGGAGTCACAGGTCGGTGAGGTTGCTCGGAGGAGGCATCACCGGCAGTTCGTAGCCGATTGAGATAATCAGTCTTGGGTTGGGGTAATTCTGCATGCGCAAGCCCTGTCAGTGTCTATTATAAACAGATTATCGCAGTAAATATGAGGAACAACATACTCTTGCGACGGTCGTCAACCGCATCGAAGGATAGCTCTTCGCCTTCCTGCGCTAGACCGACCAGGGCCAACAGGACGTTAAACTCGGCACGACCAAGCCCACCAAAGCTTTCATGATCTCCAGACGAGACAAGGTTCAGAACTTTGCTTTGATCAGTTGCAGTAAGCCCACTGCTGGAAAGAATCTCCCGAACGGAGGTCAGCCCGATCCCGGAGCCAACCCTGTCCCCGCTGTTCAGAATCAGATCGTATGCGTCGACATAGCTCTCAGGTACATCGGTGGCAGGAAGTAACGTTCGGGCTAGATCGCGGCGCGCAGTCCTCTTCGCGGTATTGTTCTGGATGTTCCACGGAGAGGAGCTGTCGTCGCCGTCGTCATCTGCGAACAGGGACGAAGACCCGCCCGTAGCCGGCTCGTCGGCGAAAAGAGAGGACTTGGATCTCTGAGCAGCATTACCCGCAGAAGGGTCTTCTGGTGATGTGCCGAATAAAGACATCAGGATGTTTGCGCCGGAGAGCTGTCGGGGTCAGGTGTGGAGGTGATGGCAATGACGATGTTGACGATCAAGCGGAGCTCGGGGGCTGGTGGCACGAAGGTTCACAGGGATCTCCACCTCAAACTCCGACACTGAATGAAATGGAATGGCAGAAACAGAAAGGGCAGAAGACGCTCTGCGGATTGTCCAATTGCTAAGAACGTTGGAGTTGAGGAGCGAGTCTGGAGATAACGAGTCCAAGTCACCGGTACCTCGGCCAATGAGGTCACATCACCAGGCACTCTGTACCAAATACATCTTATCACCTACAATTGTTCAAACCAGGAGAATGCTCACTGATTTGGTTTTCTATAACGCGGTCTATGAGTGTAGAACTCTCCTGTTTGCTCCTACCCCTCTGATTCATTGCTCCTCGTCTTTTGCTGGGAGACTACACCGCTCATATCCATCGATTAGGCAGCTCCCATATTCCGTACAGCTTCATCTAGTTGAACATGCTATTTTCTGGAAAACCACTGGTTCTCATTTGATACAGTACTAATTGCAGACTGAAATAAATGAATAGTTATTCACGCTCGGGTAGAGGTTTAGTAAGTGGCGCGGAAGCTGTTCTTGTGAGAATTCGTATCTTACCTTTTGAAGACCTAATACGTACAAATAGTTGGATATGGGGCTTAGGCTACGACAGTACCTCTTCAAAGCCCACTTCATCTACATTTTCAAGAAAAGGACATTTAAATGAATATCAGCTGCATGTAGGCTATTGAATCCACCATTCTGTCCAATCACGCACAAGCCATGGACACACGCTTGACCTAAGGAATAGGTCGAAATTTCGAATGCTATATGCAGATCTGAGAAACCAGGGGTGGAGATTGGTATCAAAAACAAAAGCAATGACCTATGATCATGAAGATTACCATGTAACGTAGTCTTGTACAAGGTGCTAAGCATATTAGTGCACATAGTGATCGACGTACAAGGCCAAACGAAGTACGAATATGTAGATCTTAGTTCCATCCCTGAATTCAAGTTGAGAATCAGCGAGGGGCGGTGAGGCCAATTTTTATGATACAGTTAAGACAACATTCATTTTGTAACATCGTTGGTTCTTATGTAGAAACTTGAGGCCAACTTACCTACATGTATAGCCACAAGGGCTTTGGTACAAGTCCACCTAGCTCCTTACGCATCAAACCTGCGATATGTCCTGAAGTCTAGGAAGAAACCTGACAATAGAAGTCCTTTCCAAAACTCAGCTTAGAAGATGGATGGTTGAAATAAGCATCCAAATGTGGTGCCGGGGGCAGGAACGTCCGTCACCGGCTGCATCAGCTTCTATAGATCCCTTCATATATCTCCTACTCAATAGGTGCGGAACTCTAGCCATGCGTGCGAGGCTGGCGAATTTATTTCCCACCAACAACCGACAAGTGTCTATTTAGGCCCACAGAGCTATGAAGACGTCACAATGCGAACTCCGCGGAGTGGTTTGCATCTCTTATCTGCAGTCGGATGAGACCTCCGACATTGGAGATCTGATGCAAGATCCACCTCAAGGACTGTACGTTGCAGACACTTCGGTTCCCCGCTCGGAGCTATGTCGGGATGGCCTCCCGACGGGACGTATACTTCATGTAAGAGTTATTGACACCCGAATATTTAACTATCTGCCATGAGACATTAGGCCGAGTGTCCTTTTCATTTGACATAGAAAAATCGCTTTGGACATTATTGAGAAAGGCCCTGAGTTGCAAGAACACCATGAGACCCACCACATTGACGCGAGCTGCAAGGCTCAACTGCCTCAAGCCTGTTGCGCTCAATGGTATTTCGCGAAGATGCTTGACTATGCTCACTCCTCCCAAATTTGAGAACGAAAAGACGGTACCTATATCGAAAGCTTCTTGTATAAGCCTTGCTAACACTTCTCCTAGTTGAACTATGCCAAAGGTTCCCCGGAAAGGGCAGAGTTGACCAAGACTATCCAAAAACTTAAGGGAGAATTTCCTTTTACAATTCCTATTACCATCAACGGATCTGAGGTATGATGCACAGCAATGCAAAAGTATGCATATGAAAGGGAACTCAAAACTAACAATGGTATGCTTAGATCGAAACGAAAGAGTCACGATCTCAACTTAACCCTTCGAAGCATAGCGAAATTGTCGCAAACTACGCATCCGCTACCCCGGAACAAGTTAATGCGTCTATTGATGCAGCTCTCAAGGCAAAGCCAGCCTGGGAAGCCACACCTTTCGAAGACCGAGCTGCCATCTTCTTCCGCGCATCCGAACTGATCACCGGAAAGTATCGTTCGGAGATTGTCGCAGCAACGATGCTGGGCCAAGGAAAAAACATTTGGCAAGCAGAAATCGATGCTCCAGCAGAGACAGCAGATTTCTTCCGTCATTACATTCAAGAAGCATGGGCTCTGTACTCTCAGCAACCTAGAGTCCACCTTCCTGGAAGCTGGAACAAGATGGAATACCGCCCACTCGAAGGATTCACATATGCCATCGCGCCTTTCAACTTTACTGCACTTGGTGCTACCCTTATTGGACCGGCTGCATTGCTTGGAAACGTGGTTATCTGGAAGCCTTCAGACTCTGCTCTTCATGCTAGCTGGCTACTCCACAGGATCCTGATCGAAGCTGGCCTTCCTAAGGATGTTGTTCAATTCCTACCTGGTGATGCTGAGCAGGTCACCAACACTATCCTTAAGAGACCCGAGTTCGGGGCTCTAACTTTCATTGGTGCAACCGCTACATTCAAGGGGATTCAGAAGAAGATCGGTGATGGCATCGGTGCCGGCATTTACAACTCCTATCCACGAGTGGTAGGCGAGACGGGTGGCAAGAACTGGGGCATTGTTCATTCCTCGGCAGATGTGAGGAGTGCTGCACTCAACACCATCCGTGCAGCCTTTGAGTACCAAGGACAGAAGTGCTCTGCAAACTCGCGTGTGTATGTTGCAGAGTCTGTCTGGCCGGAGTTCAAAAAGGTCCTAGCTGAGGAGACCGCGGCACTTCAGGTTGGAAATGTGGAAGACTACGGAAATTTCGTCAACCCGGTCATCCACGAGCGATCATTTGATAAGCTCAACAACTTCATTGAGAGCGCGAAGGCGGATTCCGAGTTGGAGCTCATTGTTGGTGGCAAGGCTTCCAAAGAGGAGGGCTATTACGTGCACCCCACCATCTACCGAACTTCCAACCCGCGCAACAGAATTATGTCTGAAGAATTGTTCGGGCCTATTCTTGGAGTATATGTTTTCCCCGATGCTGAATGGGAGCAGACCCTGAAGCTGCTGGACACAACTTCTCGCTATGCTTTGACAGGTAGCATCTTCGCAAAAGATCCATACGTGGGTCGTCAGGCTTCCACTGCCTCGAAGCATGCTGCAGGTATGCTATATATGAACACCAAGTGCACTGGTTCGACCGTTGCGCAGCAGCCATTCGGTGGTAGCCGAGACTCAGGCACGAACGATAAGACTGGCACCATGGCGCATTTGCAGCGATTTGTGAGCACTCGCACAATTAAGGAAGAGTTTGTCCCGCTTGACAAGGTGACATATCCTTCAAATGAGGTGTGAGGATTACATGACGGGATAGTATAGCTCAGACATAGTGTTCAAATAACTATACAATTTGCTCATTACTTCTCGAAACTAGTCTGGCGTAAATTAAACTGAAAGTTCCTAAAACTCAGCCATAAAGCCCGTAAATCAATTAAGTTCAATATAGTTCAGTTACTATGTTAGATTGGAAGTACAGAGCTCTACACAAAGTCTATCGGCGCTGAGAGATGACCAAGTCAAAGGAATGAAGTTATAGACAATCCTGAAGCCGAGGTGATCTTTTGCCCTGAAGCAAAAAGAAAAGTTAACAATTATGTCAATAAGCAATGTCATAAAGCATTAATTCTTTCACATTCAAGACAACCTGCGCGCTATGTAAGCAGATTACCGGAGATGGGAATGCCTACTCGATCTAATTCCTAAACTTTAGAAGAGATAAGGTCCAATGCACAGCGCCAATTCATTACAACATCAAAGGTGTAGATCCTTGTTTTCCCTCCGGCTATCTTGACTCGCCCCATGCAATCACAACATGAACAAGGTGTTCGATGTAACCTTGAAACCGGCCCGGTTGCACATAATGCAGTATAAGCAGCACACGGAGATACCTTCCTTGATCTCCACATAGTATAACGCCCCTCCGAGGAGTAGATGTGTTGGCATTGCGGGATAGGATCCTTGGTTCGTGAACCCCTCATGTCGGAGGACAGCCCCGACAGTAGGTCGGCTGACTATCGGGGATGTTTCAGTGAGCATGAACTGATAGAAAGCCAAGGAGACAATAAAGCTTTAGGATAAATAACATCTGGCACTCCTCACTTGAAGTTCATCATACACAGTGCTGCTTATCAGGTTTCTCTCTCGGATCGAGGAAGCCGTGGCCACTTGTTTCCGTTTCTTATCTCCCTCATTTAAGTCAATATGCTATCGCGAACAACCCGTATTGTACGGTCCCAACTTCCACAGGTGCACACGATATCAATTATAGCCTGTCGACGACTCCATTCAACCAAGTCCCACTTCCACGATGCAGCTATCGGGTCACCGATAAAACCACCTCTGGAGGTTTCGTCTATGGCTAGACTTCCAACAAGATTTCTACTACGGTCTCTGATCCTTACCTCTTTGATGACATCGAAACTTTTCCTCCGACCCGCCCTAGCCTTGATCAGTGTCCTCTCAACTTCGAAAGCAACATTATTGAATCCGGATAAAAACATGCTTTTGAACAAGCTTCTTCGATGGACCGTATACAATCATTTCTGTGCTGGCACAAACAGCAAAGAAGTCTCAAAGACAGTGGCGGATGTCAAAAAGATCGGATACCAGGGTGTCATCTTGGGATACTCTAAAGAAATTGTGCTGGATCACAATGAAAAGCTTGCTGTGGATGAGTCTGGCTCGGCAAAATACAGTGATCGGTGCTATGAAATGGTTGAAGAATGGAAAAATGGCACATTGGAAACACTGCGCATGGTTGGTCCGGGTGACTTCCTCGCGGTGAAGTATGAACCCCCGTTACCCTATCTTGCAAAGCTCAGAGACTAACGTATTGTAACTAGATTAACTGGTGCTGGTCCTATCTCTGTAGAAGCCATGGCGGCACTTCATCCAATGCCGAAGGCTATGGCCAAAGCCGTGGATGAGATCTGCATTGCGACCGAGAAGCAGGGCTCTCGTCTTTGGCTAGATGCCGAGCAGCAAGCTTTACAAAAGGGCCTTGACCACTGGGCTCTTGAGACAATGCGAAGACATAATAAAGCAGAGCGCCCAGTCGTTTACAATACTATCCAAGCTTACTTGAAGGACTCGAAGGCAAACCTCGACCGTCATCTTACGCTCGCCGCCCAAGAAGGTTGGACGCTGGGCATCAAGCTTGTGCGAGGAGCTTATATTGAACATGAGACACGATCTCTTATTCATGACACTCAGAAAGATACGGACCAGTCGTATGACCTCATTGCAGACACTCTGCTGTGCCGAAGAATGCCTGCCGATAACGATACCCTTATATTCCCGAAAACTGCTCTCTTCCTTGCCACCCATAACGCTGTTAGCGCAGCCAAAGCTATCTCTACACACCAGGAACGCATGCTTGCCAACAAGCCTACAATTATGTTGGAATGCGGGCAGATTCAAGGCATGGCTGATGAGCTCAGTTGTCAGTTAGTGCAAAACTACGAACGTGCTCTTGAACAGTCGTCTGTTGCAAAATTGACTGTACCAAAAGCGTTTAAATGCATGACCTGGGGTTCTGTCGCCGAATGTATGGGATATTTGCATCGTCGAGCAATTGAGAATCGCGGCGCAGTAGAGCGAACACAACATATGGTGACTGCGTTGCGGCGCGAACTGTGGCGAAGGATTGTCGGATAAGTTCCGGAGATAGTGGAAGTACTTATATGCAGTCTAACGAATACATGATATCATGATTTGCCCTGAATTTCTGCAGTGTGCACCTGGCACAGTAAATCGAAGTCAAATTATGTTAGGGTCTCATCAATCAGGTGACTGATATAACCGATAAGAACAGTCGGAAGGGCGTCCCGATTGATAAGCCTCGCTTGCATCACTTTCTACCTTCAACCCCGCAGTACATAGTGCATCTCATATCGGATTGAGGCCCCGCAATACATCGTCCCCATCATCTTTATATATCGGTGATTCAATCCGAAATGCCTGCGACACCGAGCCAAGCAAAGACGAAGAAGTGTCAGAGAGCGTGAGTAATATCGTCCCGTATGGACCCAGAATGAAGTACTAAACTTGTTCAAGCTGCGAGCGATGTCGGTCAATGAAAGTCAAGTGCTCGGGGTCGAGTCCATGCACAAGATGTGCACGCAAGAAGAAGCCCTGCCACTTTCCAGTGGAGGAGGTGCGAGTCTCCGTGTCGGAACGGTGAGTAGCGAAAGTCCGCCGGCCTCGTTGAACGAATCGTGCTGAGACATTGCAGTTATTTGCGAGAGCTTGAAGAGCATATTTCCAGGAGCGGAACATCCGTACGACATGCAAAAACAGAAGTGCATGCCTTGGATGATTCCATAATTACGGGCAATGGGAATGTCAACGTTCCCTCTACACCTCACGCATTGCTAGAACATCGACAAGACTCTCGATGGAGAACCAACCCAAACAGTATGCTCGGACAATATACTTGTATTTGGTAATTCTCATCACTAATCTTCGGTTGCTTTAGCACTGGGTACCGCTCTGCACACCCCAGAGACCCCTCGCAGGGAGCAAGGAGACCATGAAGCCGAGCACGATACTCAACGATCCCGGTTTTCACGCAACCCGCTAGTAGACAGAGACCCGTCTTTTGCGCAGACACCAGACGGCCGGTTTTGTGAGTGCTTTTTCTATAATGTCGTCTGGTCCTCTTGCTAATGTGCATTCGAAAGGGTATATGGGGCCGACATCGTCATGGTCTTTTTGTCGTCGAGTCCTTGCCCTTATAGGGCGAAACGTTCCTGAGTCGAACTTTCAATCTGATCCTTTCCATATTGATGGAACAGCCTTTAGGTTGCGCTGGCGACCATTTCCACCAGACGATGTACCCGATGTCACTAATTTGCCTCCATTGGACTACGCACTCTTTTTATTTAACACAGTCAAATTCTACTTTGGATTTCTGTCCTTTATGATTGACGAGCCAGCTTATCTACGAGAGCTACATGAATTTTATAAGGACCCAGCAGCCAAGGCTACCTCTTCCAGGCCCTGGTATTGTCAATACCTGCTGGTACTCGCTTTTGGAAAGGCATTCCTGACTCAAAAGAACTCCTCTGGAGCACCACCTGGTCATCAATATGCCTCGCGTGCTATGTCTCTTTTGCCCGATCTATCAGGAGGCATAGACGATGATCCACTGTCTTGTATCCAGGCACTTAGCCTCGGGGCAGTGTATCTTCAATCAATTGATATGAGAAGAGCGGCTTTTCAACACGTGAGTGTCTTAGCCTCTGAGCTCTATTAATCATCTGACACTGAAACTAGATTGGACAAGCCTTACGTGGTTGCATTATTGAAGGTATACACAGACATGTACCGGAGGAAATCTGTGGGCCTGAACTCTCTCAAAGATGCAGAACAATCTTTTGGGTCGTTTACATGTTAGATCGTGAATTCTCTGCTCTAATCGGTGCACCAAGCTCCATTCGTGATGAAGACATTACAGTGAGATTACCTGCGGAAATGGATGATTCAGTGGAGCATATAAACTTGACATTACATGTTCGACTTTCGCGGCTTATGGCTCGAATCCTGACAAGTAAGCTTTGTTAGCTAAAAACACATGGTTTAATATTGACTCGAAGATTAGCTGTCTACGGAGTTGGCAACGAAGATGATGACACTCTTGTTCGGAGTACACAGTCCATTCTTCACAGCATGGCAGAACTTTCGCATGATCTCACGGCATTTTTGAATACCGAATTCCACGGTTTAATAAGCCGCGCTTCAAAGATGGCGATAAGATTGATGCTAGCGCATCATCATGTGAGCTTTTTCTGTCACTGGCGGGTTGACTGAAGCTGACAATAGCAGTGTGTTGTCCTCACGACTCGGCCCCTAGTGATGTGTGCATTACACATGCACATAGAGCGAACAGAAAGACAAACATCCCAAATTATTTCGTTAGCACCGCCTGTTGCATCCCTTTTACAATGCTGCGCCGAGTCCGCTCAGACACTTCTACAAACACTCCGTACACTGGCAGATGATGATTTGATGGGTATGCTACACTGAGTACATCTGCCCATGGAAAAAGCTGCTAACGCTAGCAGATGCATTTTTACCGTTCCAGATTGAAGATGCTTCATCTTCTGCGTTTGTTTTATATTTGATACGCGCGATTGCTCCCTCACTTATATCGAACGACTCATGGTGCGAGAATTTGGAATGCGTACTGGAAAAGCTCATCGCAAAGGGAAATCTAGCTGCACCATTGCGTAGACTAGAACTGAGACAACTGGAGCAAATATTGGCACCTTTGACGCCACGACTGGCCAATCATACCCTACCGGCAGCTAATTTGGATGAGGACAGTGAACATCATGATGAGACTTATACATTTGACCAAGATGAGTTCGAGTGGGACATGCTTGCGCTCAATTCCTCGGTCAGTCTTCCACCACGAGAACTGCTTGATCTTGCAGATCAGTTGGACATGGACAGTATTATGCAATCTGTTGGAGTTTGATTCCCTCTAATGCGACAGTCTCATTAAACCAAAATTCTGATCGGGCAAGCGTTCTTTCATTCAATATTACGATTGAAATGTCAAAAGTCAAGAACTTTCAAGTTAAAGAAGATCTTATTTGGTTCATCCGCAAGCATAGAAGCCATTTTGACTCAAAGCCTCGATAAAAGATCTTCGTGCGGTGCAGATTTGAGTTATCGTTTTAAGGTGCCGATCAAGCATTGTTCGCACATGACTAAGAGCCGCTACCCGAGCCTTCGTTGATTGACCTGCCGGATACATACAGCCCCATACCGCACTGTGAGCAACAGCATTAGGGAGTTATTTCCACCAAATCCGATCAAATTATCTCGGTTTACCATTGCAAATGCAATTCCAATGATCATAATATTGCAACCAGTCAAGACACTCTTTGAAAGAGTCGAGAAGTATTTTCCTCTGTTCATGGGGGGCCAAAAGGTGGCAGGACGTCCATCTTATCAAATCAGTCATCACTATGATTGATCTGAGCTGTTAGTTCTGGAAAGCAGGTTTGACGAATTTCCCTTCTCTTCTGCGCGACTTGGTCTGGATCCTCAGGCTTGGGGTTGTTCAGCTGCTGGGGTATTTGGGGTAGCCCACCGTGCTTTTTTTACGGGGGGAGCTCTTTTCACGCTAGGGTGGCTTCTTTGCTTCTTAAGCAGGCGCATGTGCTATATTTTCAGGCTTGTGTTTTGCTGCAGCTTCAGCATTGGTCTTCAATGTTGGCTCGTTGCTCTTGCCATCTTGAGTGGCAGCCTGCTCGCCAGCGTCAATTTCCGCAATCTCCTGGTCGACAGTGCCAACATTTCCTTCACCCACAAACAACTACTTAATAACTCCCGATTGGGGTGAATTCACGGAAAAATCAATCGTGCCCGTCTCAATTGTGGCGAGTTCTTCCTCTGGCTCAATAAGTTCCCAATCTGCTTGTTGAACTGGTTCAAGGTTCCTTCTGTGATTGACTCTGCCATCGAAGGTACACGCACAATGATTCTGGAGTCATAATGGCGCGAGGTGCTGAAGAGACGGGGTGACAATTTGTCACCACATGGGTAGCGACATTCACAGCTTGTGAATGCGATCGAGCAAGTAAATAAAACAATCAGCAGGCTCCCTTGAACCCATCTCAGTCTGCTTGTTAGACGAACACAAGCGCGAGAACATGTATTCCGAGCGAAAACTAGACATTATACTCAATTATAGAGTACAAATATCGTCCTTTCAATTCGACAATACAAATGTTGGGATCACATTCCAGGCTGGGGTCTTCAACTTCTTGTCAAGTTCCTCAATATGCATCTCATACTCCATCCAGCCCGAGATCACAGTAGTAAGATCGTTTGATTGGATATCACTACTATTCAAGGTTTCGTTATACAACAGCAATGAAGTCCGCTTGGATATCCACCCCCGCAGGCAACTTCGACACCTCCACCATAGAACGCGCAGGGCGATGTGGGAATGCGACATCATACACCGATGCGAACTCGGGCATGATATCTGCATTTCTGACATAGACCTTGCATTTTCTTAACCAAGGGATGTATAAAAGGTCTCTTTTTGGTGTTTGACTCACCACTACTTTGACGACTCTTTCTAGCCCGGTGCCGGACGCTTTTAGGATAGCTTCGGTATTCTTTATGATGATTTCCGTCTGTTCTGTTATGGATCCTTTGATCAAGTTCCCTTCGGCATCTGCTGGTATCTGGCCGGAAAGCCAGACTTGGCCGGCGGCTTTAATTGCTTGGGACTATATGGGGCTCGTTAGTTCAGTCTGTTCTTTCCGTTCAGTCGGGACTCCATACATAATGGGCAAAGGCTATAGACTTTGTTAGTGTGATATATCACCATGCCCAATGGCTCAACTTACGTGCGTATGCTTCGTTTGTTTGAACGCTAGTCACCAGGGTCTTGGGGCCCCTAGACGAAAACCCGCGAGTTCTCAGAGGGGCAATTTGAGGGACAGTAGGCACCGAGGCCCTTGCTAGCCTTGTAGCGAGGCGTGTATTCTGTTTAAACATACTTGAATAGATGTAATTGATGATGAAGATATATTTCACCTATTTCCCCATCGACCCCTCCAATGCTTATCTGTGATATCTCGGCAAGCGGTCCGGGAGTCGGGGGTCGCTTCCGACTTTTTGGTTTAACCTAAACATTGAAGAATTTGTAATCACAAATTATATAACTTAACCCATATCAGTTTGAGTACATAATAATCAAGATATCAGTCTTGCTTTTCACAAAGATGGCTAGTTGGAGAACAAGGGGGCGCATGTCCAGCCAGTGTGTCAACTCCAGTGACTCTAATCCACGACCAATTACTAACTTCGTCTCAGAGTGTGGAAATCTACACATATTTCTGGTTCTAGCCTTGGATCCCATTCGCCCAACCAATTGCGAATGAGCTCTTCCGCAGCCGTGGCATCAGAGAGTGAAATCGTCGCGGCACAAAAAAACTACAAAGTCGTGCAAGACGCAGGCAACTTCAATGAAATCCAAGCGGCTCGTCCAGACTTCAATCACTCTACAAGTATTGAAGTAACCAAATCCCCCAATCCCAATTGGAACTATGGAGACGGAATCCCAGACAATGGAGCCAGTCTAGCCCAAGAACACTATGAGATCGATCCCTACGCCCCAGATCGGCCAATGATCCACAACTACCGCCTCCTCGTCTCTGGAATCGCACCACGACCAGTCGGATTCCTAAGTACAGTGAACTCCAAAGGTGAAAAGAACCTCTCCCCGTTTAGTTACTTCCAAGTCATCGACCATGACCCACCCATGTTCATCGTAGGCTTCTCGTCCCGACCCGGTCATGTCAAAGATACATACCACAATCTCAAAGAAACAGGGGAGTGTGTGATCAATACCGTCTCGGAAAACATGACCGAAGCAGTCAATGCTGCATCCATCGATGCTCCATACGGCGTCTCAGAATGGGACGTTTCGGGTCTACACGAAGCACCCTCCAGCACGGTGAAGCCAGCCCGTGTCGCGGAGTCGGTTTTCAATATTGAAGGCAAGGTTATTGATATCAAGGAGTTTACGGATCATCAGAAGCCAGGTATGAGTCTTGCTGCGACGGTGTTGATTAAGGCGACACGATTCTGGGTTAAAGAGGGAGCCTCAGATGCCGAGTTCAGTCATATTGATCTGGAGAAGTTACGGCCTATTGGTCAACTTGGGGGTATGTCTTATGGGCGCATTTCGTCAACATTTGAGCACCCGCGGAAGCGGTGGAGTGAGGAGGTCCAACAGAGTGAGACGTTGTCTAGATTAGATGCTTGGAAGGGTGGCGATAGTTGAATTTTTCTGTGCTTGCATGCATTGTATACTAGTGTTCTCTCTCTACTCGGACGAAAGCCGATTTGCATAAATAGACCGCTCGCGGGAAGAAGGATGAGACATGTCTCATGTTGGTGCCTGCTCTGACAATTTTCCGAATACACGAACTTCAGCCTTGGATAGTCGACTTTAATTGTATAGATCGGATGACCGGTACCTGGTATAGCCAGCCTATGCTTGCTTTTTCTCTATCTAGTATGTGCCCCCACAAAGAAATCGTAGTCAACCCCCAAAGCTTAGAGGCACTCTTAGTGATTTAGTAGGCTGTCCGTTTTTGTTATTGACTGCTCAATTGTCCAACTATTCCAAAGCAAACTAGTTACTCGGTTATTTCCACTTGAACCGTTCCAATTGCGATCGTACAGGCCAATCACAGCGTTGATAGGCACAGGTACCGGAACAAAAACGAAGATCGCTGCAAAGCACATCAATTGATGTAAATCATTGATTCAAGTCGATGTCTACTTATACAGGTGGTTTCACTCCTCTATTAAAGCGATTCAATTGAAGTCAGGCAAAGAATGTTACCCCATATTCCCCAAAGCAGCAAGCCACCCCCTTTTCCAACGGCGCCAATGCACTCCAAGCCATAAGAACCGATACGCTTCTACAAATTACGCCCCAATTTCACCCTGCGGCCTCTGAAACAAAGGGTTGTTTATTCAACTCCTTCCCCACACTCCCTTGAACTTCTCAATCCCTTCCCTTTCCTTCAGCTTCACCCTTCACCCTACACTCTTTACTTGTCACTCGTTCACCCTTGGTCCTCGACCACCACACTCCTTCCAGAATGACTACACTGTTCTCCCTCCTCCTCCTCCGCCGCGAGTGCGACGGCGACGACACAGTCTCCAGCTGCACAAAGCCAACCAGCCAAGCGCTGACAGTCGGTGTGCCCGCCGCGATAACAGGAGTGTAAGCTTATCAACAAACGATACGAGGTACCCGATACCACCAACAACACAATGCTAACACGAAACAGCCTCCTCCTGACAGCAATAATCGTCCTCGTCGTGCTCTACTTCAAACGCCAGCGCAGAGATGATCGCGAAGACCTAGAAGACCGCAAACGTACCTCGGGTTTCTACGGTCGCTACGCGCAACAGCGCTTCGGCAGCCAGGCAGCGGGCCAGGGACAGGCCCAGCGCGGCGCACCAACAAGCTCGCGTCGCAGTTCTGGCGAGTCCTTCTTTGATTACAAGCAGGAGGATTATGGGCGGTATCATATGGCTTCGTTCCAGGAGCCGGAGGCGCCGAAGCCTACTGCTACTGCTACCACGAGGGTGGTTGCATAGTTTGTCTTTGTTTAGGGACTGAATTGGGTTCTTTATGTGAATGTGAATTTGACCTTTGCGTGAGACATGTGTGTCCTTGGATCTGGTTTTCTGGTTTTTGTTTGCTTAGGTTCCTGCAGGACGGGAGCTAGGGCGTTGTCCGGGTTCTTTTTTGTTACTCTCAGGGCGTACTGCGGCCATATCCTGGCTGATTTTCTTCTTCTTCTTCTTCTTCTTCTTCTTTTTTTTTTTTTTTTTTTCTTTGTCAATGTATTATTATGACTTTGAGTGATCCAGGCCATAATGCAAGAGTCGCTCGTCTGATATTATCAAGCCCCAAAAGTAATTGGGGAGGTTTACATATTGGGATGGATTCGAAAGCTATAGTGCAGGTATTGCATAGCTATGCTCTAAAAGTTGTAAATTGGACGTTATCTTGGAGTCATTTTCATATATGATACATATGACCGTTGCCATCACTCGATATTCTCAATGATCTGGTTGATAGACATTGGGTCGCTGGTCTCCGGACTTGGCTCGATCATGGGCTGGACATGGAAGTACCCCATTTGATACAAAACATGTTGCCACTCCGGTCCTGCCGTGGCTTGGATTTGATAATAGGGCGCGTCGGTGGCGAACCATCTCTCCTTGCGTGTGGAGGATTTATCACCTCCTTCGAGGGCGGCGCGGCTGGCTCGTGTGGTTCGTGATCGTTTCTCGCCGCGGTGCTGTTGTGCTGTAAGTTCATACAACTGCTGGCGATATTGGTGTAAGCGTCCGTCGAAGACCATAATTCCTCGGATATATGGAGCCAGGTCTTCTGTGACGGCTGCCAGTCCATTCTCGAATGACGGGGCGGATCTAGCGGGGCCAGGCATGGAATAATTGGGGCGCATGATGGTTTCGAAGATACGCTGGAATTGAGGGAGGGTAGATGGAGGAGTGTTTTGAAATTGTCCAGACCGGACGATCTTGCCCACAATTCGACTGGCGTATGATGATTCAAGGTCTGTTTTGGTCGTAGGACGGAAGGTTTGGCTCAGCAAGGCATCGAATGTGGTGCTGACGGCTTCACTGAGCGACGAATGTTCGATTTGCAGGTCGGATTGGAGGAGCGGGTATGTGTCGAGGAAATTAGATCGGTGCCTTTCCGGAAGAGGTGGTGCGGAGATATCAATGCCATCCTGGTTGATGTTAGCTGATGTGTCTGCTGAGGAATGAATCCACCTACGTTGTTCATGTCAATCGAGCAGCTAGAACAAAGGATATCCAATGAGCTTCTCATCTCATAGTAATCGGATTCACGACACAACATGTCAAGTTGTGCCGTCTTAGAGCTCGACTGGAATTCAGTAGGTGGCATGAGCTCAACTTCACTTCTGCCACCCATGTCTTCTGATTCTTGAAGACCCAATCCCCACCAGTGGAAGGTATTTCGGTTGATTTCTGCTTCCTTCCCCAATGAGTCCTCATTCATGAGTAAATCGCGGTTGAACCATCCCATAAATCGTTCGTAGGTGTTCAGACTAAGCACCCGAACTCGATCCCCGCTAAAGTCAACGTTTGACTCGGGTGGCCATGCAGGGAGGAGCCAATCTAGACCGGACTTCTCGCTGCCGACACCCATCTGACACCAGAAATTGAGGTCCATCAAAGACTTTCGGAGATCCATTCCACTGCCCTGGTATAGGCGGGTAACGGCTTCCCGCTTCAGGATGTGACCTTCGTTGGCGGCAACGAGAAGCAAGTAGTCGACACTAAAATCTTGAGGGGCCTTTTGGTAGCGTAAGACAGCATGTAGCGACATGTCTTGGGTGGGGATCAAGCTCTCATCATTGCAGGTGATGACAATTGGTCGTCGTGATTGGGCAATGAGAGTAAGGACTCCGGTCCAGAACTGTTTGTCCTCTTCAAAAAGTAGATCCGCTTCTTCGAGCAGGATCAGCGATTGTTTCTGTTGTCGTGGGCGTTTTGGATCTGCCTCTGGTTTCGGGAGTGGTTCGGGTTGGGTATCAGGTTGTTTAGGTTTTGACGGACCCTGGAAAAAGCTCATCAACTTGTTCTGTTTCCCGTCATCCTTGACGTTTTCTGTTGGATTTTCAGATTCGTTGAGGAGATGGACCAGATGGTTTTGTGTCATGTCGCCCACTCGTTCCAACATATCCCTGGCACTTCGACGGCTTCCCGGGTTGATCTCAAAGACCTCGAAATCAAGCTCCTTTGCCACAGCATAGACAGAAGCAGTCTTGCCGCAACCTGCAGGGCCACTGAGAAGAATCACATTGGTCATTTGAGTTTTCTCTGCTGCCGCCATATCACCCGATCTAACCACAGTCCGTTGAGTTACACCCCCAGCGAGCTCATCGTCGGAGCCGGACAAATTGTCCATCTCCGAGGCTTCCTCCTCGCTTGAGACGATGAAGCCATCAAGTTTATCGGCTTTTTGTCGCTTCTTTCGCTTCTTGTCTCGTTTGCTTTTAGATTTGGTAGTGTCTTTCGATGGCTTTCCTGTGTCTACCGCTGTGATTGTGAGATGGCGTAGCCAGTCTCGGAGCATCTGCGGTTCACGGCCAAGCTGAAGGACTTCCTCTGCCGCTTTTGGGGCATACTTCTGTGTCCAAAGCTGGGTCTCATATTTTCCACAATCGAATGCCGAGACTGAAGAGAGAAGAGAGGTTCCAATCTTGGCGAGAGGTGGACTGGAAGCGTTCCAAGGAAGATGAGGGTTTGGAGAAGACCAAGACATTTGCTTGTCCATTGCGGTACGCAAGATCTGATTGCTGGCAACATGTCGAATGGGGTGTCGAAGAGAGCGGATAGCGTATTGCTGGTTTTCGGATTGCTGTATGGCTGCTCTTGCCTCCGCAGTCCCAGTGAGCAGCACGTTTTCCTCATCCCTGATTGATATTGCGGCAATTTTTGACTTCTTCTGATCGTTCGCGGTCTGCCACGTTGTGTCTATGATGTTTGTCGGCGGGTAAACGTCTCTAATGTGCACAAGATCTTGCGGCGGCCATAATGAGTCGAGTAGCCCAGGAAACTTGGACACGCGGCGACCAACTGTAGAGAAGGAAGGCATCGAACCGGCTACTACTCGTCTCTTGATTTCCGCGTTCCCGGCTCTTCTTTGGCCTGATCCATCTTGCGGTTCTTGTTTCGAGTCGGCGGCACTCTGGGCATCAGTCTTCTGCGTCGGTTTCTTCGCAAAGAACGGATGGGTTGGTTTCGAGGATTTAATCGTTGCTGGCTTGCGTGATGGTAAAGTAGGTTTGGCAACTGGGACCGGAGCACGATGAACTAAGGTTCCACTGAGGATGCTATCAATAAGTTCTCCAGTCTTGACCTCTGCATCAACCATATACTTGATGATTACTAGTTTTGAGCGTTCTTTTGGTGGCCTTCCACGCTTGCCTGTCCCCTTCTTCTTCGTCTCTCGAGGAGGACTCGAGGCAGGCGACGAGAGAAACCTCCCCTTTGAATTGAGTTTCAGGGTCTTCTGCCTCGCTGATGTTCTTCCGGTTCGCTCTTCTGGTTTGTCATATTCCATTGGTGTCGAAACTGGAGCATCTGCAGAAAGCTGGGGCTCTGCCAGCGGAGGCTGAATCTGAGGTGCAGGCAAATTGACTTGTGTATCCAGAGTCTCGGTGGATGTTATTATAGGGTCAGGGATGCCACCACCGAGCCACGTTGAAAGGCTTGCATTAGGGGTAACCGTGAGATCCGCAGGTTGGCTTTTGTCGGTCTTTCGTCTCTTCCTACGACTCTCGTTGGGATCTTCTTCGATGCCATTAGAGCTTTCGGTTGCGTATTGGGAAGCATTGCTATCAAATTCCGGGATGCTCTGCTGCCTTTGCTCGCAAGCTGAGCTCTCGTTGCTTCTCGGTGTGGCCGCGTTCGGGTGGGTATTCGTCGTCGAAGACAGGGCATTGGGAGGCGTAGATTTGACAGATAGTCCGAATTCTATATAGTGTGAGTGAAAACCAATTTGGCAGTCAAATAGCATATGCTGACCTTGTCGGAAAAAGGGATGTAGGACTTGCTGTTCGTCGGATCCCATAGCCATTGGTAGATTAGATACAATAGTGTCCATGGACTATTCAGGAGATCATGGGCGAGAGGTAGAGCAGAGATAGATATCCCGAGCGCAGCATTGAAGTGACAGACAGTAGGCGATGAGAAGACAATATCAAGTAAAGACAAACCTCACTTGCTCCTCTATAGCTTCAGACACGTCCCGACGCGAAAGGCGCGTTAATGGCTTATGTCATGCTGATTACCTGACGGATCCACGCTAGCCCAATATGGCGTAGGGGCCTAGAAGTGGATTTGTCGGCCCGACGTAATCCCGAAAATTTTTCAGATTTCCCGTTTGGTCTGCAAGCAAAAGACCACACGCTTTGAAGGATAGGAAATCGCTTGGTTTTCGACATTGAGCCATGGACCTACAATCTCCCTCTGTTCTGGCGCAATTGCCTCGCCCCCTTCACGCATCTACCGGAAAAACACGTATCAGCGATGTCTTCAGTCTCGCCGATGCGAAAAAGCGCAAGCGCTATGAAGTAGCAGTTGCGGTTGATGGTGAGGCTGTGAACATTTACAATGTACGATTCTCAAGAGCTCCCAGTTTTTGAATGCAAACTGACTGATTTTATTAGGTCCAAACACCAAAGCTCGTAACTTCCTACGCCGTCCCGCCGCAATCTACATTCTCTTGCCGCCCATGCTCCGTTCGCCGCAAGCTGTCGAAAAAGTCGGCAGTTCGCAGGCAAACCTACACTGCTGTTACTAAGCCGGAGCACCAGATCAAATGTTTCGTAGAGGAGATCAGCAGCACTGGCTCAAGTGCCCCGGTCATTTCTTCCTCGACTACCACCGTGACCGATTCGACCAGCCCCACCACCTTCGTCGGCATCGTTCCCTCTAGCGCCAACGATGAAGGAGAAACGGATCCCTTCGACATTTTAGCTGTTCACGAGGACGGTCGCGTGCGCAGACTGTCCTCTGATTTGAAGACTCAGCGGTGGAGCATTCAGCACAGCGAGATTGCCAAGGTCTGCTCTACTCACACTGTCCAGTCCAGCTTCTTGGTGGAGTTTGAAGATGCGAAGAAGGCTTTGTTCAAGAGACGACAGGACCTGGCTTCGATGGCATTGGGTGATTTGACGGTCTCTGGTGTCAATGAGCCATCCATCTTGCTGGTGGTATCGCAGCCAAAGAACACCGATAGGGTTTCCTTGAAGGATATTATTGTACAGATGTTCTCTGTTCCCGCGGATTCGACATCGCAGTCTCACGAGAGTCAGCGTTTGAGACATCTCCAAACTTTCCACATCCCGGACCTGAGTGGCCTGGAAACTGCCAACTGCAGTGCTATGCAATGGAGCTTCCACTCTGGCTCGGCGGGCTTGAACCTTTCTTTTGAGAAGGGCTTCATCAATGTCGATCTTTCCCAATATTCTCCTTCCGTTACTTCACAATTCGTGCTTAATGAGCACTTCTCGTCGGTGATGCGCATTTCGCCTCAGTTTGTGATTGGTGCAAGCAAGTCTCTTGTAGCAGTCTATGACACCCAGTACAACTCTGTGCAGCGCAGCATCCCCGCGAACGATATTTCCTCGAGCACCGGATCAACTGCAGAGACACCTACAAACTTCATCAGCTACTTCGCCAAGCTTGGAATTGCAGTGGCCACCAAGGGCAACACCCTCATTGCTTTTGACTTGAGCTCGCTCCCTAGTGCACCCAGCTCTTCTCTGAAGCGTACAAGAGACAGCCTTCTCATTGATGCCATCGGCAAGGGTATTGGTTCATCTGCTGCCCAGTGGGATGTCGTCTCCAAGAAGCATCGATCTGACAACATGGCTTCCCTTCGGCTCACCTCCGCGGAGCAAGTTGAGAGATGGACCCAACTTACACAAACTATTGAGAAGGCGTCCAAGACAAAGAACACCGACTTGTTCGATAACGCTGTTCTGACGTATTTCAGCACTTCTGATGCCTCTACAACACTCCCCGTGCGCGGACAGTATGTTAACTCCGAAGCAACTCTTTTCTTGCTGTCGAAAATTTTCACTGTGGAAGAATCTACATCAAACGATACTGTGTCGGCTTCTTCGGCTTCTCAACTCCGAGTTACTATGTGGCCTCCCACTACCTGTGAGTGGCTCATTCAGCTGGGTCACTTCTCATTCGATAACGTCGAGATTGCACTGCGTCGGGCCTGCAAGCCGCAGGTGCTCCAGAAGTTCCCCACCGGTTCCTTCATCCAGGCTCTGCTTGATTCCGATCCATCTCTGAAGCAAGTCAACCAAGTCCTGGAAGGCCCTACTCTGATCTCCTCGGATGAATTGGCCTATGCGCTCAAGGTCTTCTTGAACCAGGCCCGTTCGCACTCTGGGGCTCTTGAGGAGACTGCTCGGGCAATCACCAACGGTGATGTCGCCACTCCCACTCAAGAGCTCACAAAACACCTCGGGTCCGAAACAGCAACCCTGAAGGATATTTTCGCCGGTCTGAACACCTCTCTCCAGAAGATCCATGCTCAACCTCTCCCAGTTGTTGTGGTTTCCCTTCGCTCTAACCTCTCGCGTACCGAGCTTTTCTCCATGGTCCACCATCTCCGTCTTTCTCTCGCTACTGGAGGCTATACCTCTCGCTTCACCGAAAATCCCCCCACTCCCATCACCCCTCACCAGATCACCCCCGCCCTTTCCCTCGATGTCATTGTTGACCTCCTCACTGCCTCTGTAGACGCCGTTGGTCCATCTGGTTGGATCTCCGCTGTCCCGGCGGCTAGTGATTTCGAGGACTCTGACTCCGTCACAGCGGCTGCTAGCCGTGAGATGGAATTGATTGCGGACATGAAGTCCGAGATTTCCGCTGCTCTCGCGGGTGTCGAGGAAGCAACCTATCTCAAGGGAGTTATGTGCGAGTACCTCCGTTTCGCAGACCAGGTTGTTACTCCAGCCGCTACCTCAGAGATGGATGCCGAGGCCGCTGGTCCTTCTCACCTGGTCCGCCACGAGAAGCTTAATGGTGCCGACCTGATGATCTTCACTCGTCCCGGCGAAGGTGAAGATGGATTTGATGGTGATGCCGGTGGCAAGATGTTGCCCCTGTCGCTCAAGGCTACTTCCGGTGATGTCTCCCGCACCAAGATCAAGAGGTCTACCGGAGAGGTCAAGAGCCGCACCAACCGTGAGATTGGATACTTGCGTCGCAAGGCGGTCGGCAAGTACTCCTTCGAGCGACTCATCATCTAAGACTTTCCTTTCATGTTTTATACTGTACCATTCATTGAGACAAAATATCCTGGAGTTAGACATGATCAATACATACTGAGTTACTTCCAAAAGCTAATCGTGCCTTCAGTTCCTTACCGTAACAAGGTATTAGGAGTACCCTTTACGGACTCCATGAGGAATCCTTTCTGTAAGCGGGTCTATTCAAGAGAATCAGCCACTATACTCGTGCCTCTATGTAACTCCCAAAGCGGGTGTACCGCTTTATATACACCTTTTGCCTTTCTTGGGCTTCTCTTTTCCACTTCTTTTTCACTCATTTTCAAGGGCCTCGATTTAGAGCCATGGTGAAAGGCTCGGCGAGCCACTCAGAACAGGCAGAGAGTGTTTCTACACATAAGAAGAATGTGATATCGCCGTCGTGTGGCACTAACAAAGTATGTATCGTACTAGGTTACTAGATTGGTCTCACCGCTCGTTGCTATGTGCCTTTCCCTGTTTACTCTCGCATTGGGCAGCTATATGTACTCCGTATCCAAGGCAATGTTGGTTTATCTGTGTATGTCATGTCTCTTGGTAGATGGCTTCAGGGAATGCTTCAAGCGACCAACGTGCACACATGTTCTACCCGTTGACAGGTTAAGCTATTAAATCAAAAAGTTAATCGAGCAGATCTGAAATGACGTCAAAGGATGCCCACCAAACCGCTAAAGGAATCGAGGGGCTATATTCTATCTGCAATAGCTTCCACCCTTGAGTGCGCCCTAAAAACTGCACTATTTGGTATTTAATTGCCCTTGCGTAAGGAAACATATTCAATATCTTTGCATTGTGTAACTTGAAAATATTGGAAGTTTTAGTTTAAATTTTAGAGGTTAGTTCAACTTGGTTCTGTTCAGCAGCAGAATATATGTATTGTGCTGTAATTGTTATATACACCTGAATCAAATTAAAAGGAGACACACAAGATCAGACATATGACTCTTCATTACAAACTACCAGTTTAGTCTTCTCTATTAGATCAATTTTGATTGAATTGTACCCTTGCAGAAAAATCGGTCGAGAGATTATTGGGTTATCATCGAGACTAAGTGGGACCATAACATTAGGCTTCGAAACGACTCAATAGTGCCGGGCAATCTGGGGCTTGTAAATGTTAAATATGCCTAGAAATGAATAAGAATCACCGTCGAGTCGAAAATATAGGTTTGATGCATCTCAAAGTATAGATTGCAAAGTGGGCGGAGTCGGTAACCCAGGTAAACACGACAACAAACAAGGAGCTTGAGTGGGGATGAACTGCGCGGACCACATCTCCGCATGTCCACCGTTCTCTTTTGCTCCAATCTTTTTAGCTCCGATTGCCATGTACTAACCACCTAGGTAGGCATGTTTTGTTTAGAGGCGCGAACCAAAGGAAGACGCGTATCATAACAAAGCAAGATGAGCCAACCATGGCTCGACAGTCTTTCCGACGACTGGCCGTCGATGCCAGCATCGCCGACAAGTCCTGCACCAGCACAACCGCTGCCCTCGTCTCCAAGGGCCAGTCTGCCGGGCACGCCCAGTCGCATTCCAGTGCCTGCGCGGCGTTCCGAAAAACAATCACCGGCGGACAAGAAAAAGGTTACCCGGCCCTGTCACTTCCATAGAAAAGAGCCTCCGACCCCAAAGACTCCCCGAACCCCCAAAACACGGAAACCGCGATCACCTGCCCCAGAGAAATCTACGCCCATCACACCCAGGACGAAGGAGAGCCCCAGGCGCGCCTCTGGTGCGGTTCGCAAATCTTCTACGATGGACCATCGCTCCCCGCTCCGATCGGTCTCGAATGCCTCGAACGCCTCGAAATCATCCGAAATCCAGAGCAACAGCACCGTTCAGATCAAAACAAAGAAAGGGAAAGACAGGCAAGAGGGCACACCGGAATGGCGCAGGCGCTTGCTGCGGGGAGAAATCGAGGCGGGCGAACAACGAGATTTGTTCGCGCCGATGGGACTCGAAAGTGTTTTCAAGCCGCCGCCACAGAGTTCATTAACGCAAGACTCCATTCCATTTTCGAAACAGGACGATCAGCTGTGGGATTTCACCGATAACACTTCGCGACAAGGCAGAGACGAGGTGGATAACCGCGATCAGCAATTTGAGCCCGAACCAGCGCGCGTCGGTAGCGAGGACGAAGAAGACAATCACACTGAAGCAGCGTCAGGGACAGTCAATCGCGCGCCTTGGGGCGGAGATGCGACATACGACGCGACTCAGGACCCTGAAGGGTACTCACAAGGGAATACACAACCACGGACGGCGAGTGGATTGGAAGACCTTCGCAACGAAGGCATCACGCCCATTACATTCACGCGAAACAATACAGTTGACGGCACCAAGACGTCCGAGGTCATCAAGTCTGCGCTGAAGCAGGTCACAAACAAATTGGAAAGCCTGTCCATCGAGAACGACAGCCGTCCAGGCTCTCCAGCAAGCGATAGCTTCCTCTTCTACAACCACAGTGAGCCTCGTCCCGACGCGTCATCCCGCGACGACAGTTTGCTTGACGTGACAAGCCACTCTCTCCCCCAGGATCTGTCGATGGGAACAGTCGACTTCCACCGACGTGGAACTCGCTCCTTCCCTCGACGATTCTCTCCATCGCCCTTTCCTTCACATCGTCTCTCTCCCGCAACCCTCGCCAACTCCAAAATCCGCAGTTCTCCTCTTTTCAACCCTTCTCATAGGACTGATTCCCCCGCTTTACCACGTCCATCCTCATCTCACGTTCGACCATCAACTGCCGGGGACTCGGAAGGGAGAGAGGGCAAGATGCCATCTTCAGGGAGTCCGTTGAAGTTGTTTGGTGACCATGACACATTCACGAATAACAGGCTACTTCGGCGCATGAGTCAATTTGAGGAAAGCTTCAGTGATAATTCAGAAGAAGAGCCACCGTCGCCCTCCGAGGAAGCGCGAAGGAAGGGCGAAAACCGCAGCTTCTTGACTGCGAGACACGAGCCGTTACGCGAGACTTCGCCGAGACGTAATGAACGTCACGGATCTCAAAATAACGGACATCGTATAAGTCAATTTGGCGGTGGCGAGTTGGACAAGTTTGATTTCTCGGATGCTAGCCCCTACGAACACAAACTGGTCTATGATGAGGCCGCGGGATTTGGATCCCGACCTACATCACGGAAACGATCATCAACCCGAAACTATCTTCGTGGTTCCTCTGCACATAGCCTATATCATTACAGCAGAACAGCCAGCTCAGGATTCACCCGAAAGCCGTCTGCCTGGGTCCGACAAGATTTCTTTGATGATATACGACCAGCCTCTCGACCTGGTAACAAGGAGAACATGCCCCCTGATGTCAAGCGAGTGCCCAAAGCCCCAGGCATGGACCCAACACCTAAGCGGCGCCGAACGATTATGCGAAAGAACAGTGCCGAACCCAATTACGAGAACGGGGACTCACCCCCCAAGTATGGTGACAGCATGTCCCTTTTACAGAGAAGTCTCATGCAACAGGGCGTACAGCTCGGAAACGGTGACTACCTTGCTCCACCAGGATTTTCCCAATCCATGCAACGCCCGCGCACACCAACTCCAAGCCAGATACGAACCGCTGCTGAAGTGAGTCTCATGACGCATAGAAAGTTCTCCGAGTCAAACTTCGACAACACGGACTATTCCGACTCATTCTCCCTCGATGGCGATGTTCCACTGGTTAAGATCACTGGTACCAGTGATACTTCACGAAAGGGGTCAATCACCACCCAAGACTATCTGAATGAAGCCACTAAGATCATGGACTTGATCCGATCAAAAGGACGAGGTGCGGCAGGCCTGACCAGTGTCCAAGAGTCCGACGTGGAAAGCGAAGGCGACGAGCTTGATCTGAGCTACGAAGATGAATCCACTCGCGAGGCATTCTCTCGCCCACCAAGCCGCGATGGAACGGATCTTCGCAAAATCAGGGAACCCAAGGAACTGAATCCATTGATTTTGAGCCATCTGAAAAAGTACCAGGAGCGAGACGATCGGAGCTTTGATGGTGAAATGTCTCTCCAAGACCGACCGGAAAGTCGGAATGACCTTGATTCACCCAACTCGCAGAACATCCGCATTCAAGGACCGAGGAAGCGTAAAACCAGTGGCATGGCTGATGACACGGCGGAAAATATTGCTCAGGACTTGATGACCATCAATACCCAAATGTCCGGCTTCAGTGTCAGCTCAGTGCCAACAGGCTCTTCACAAAACTCCCAAGTGAAGGGCATGCTGGCTTCTGATATTGTGTCCCACCTCATTCCGAATCAAGTCAACGGGTTCAAATATGACCGCCGCATCAATCAATGGGTCAAGGATGGAGTCGAGGAGCCCCGGCCTTCTTCCGAACCCGAGGAAGGCGAGGATCCGTTCAGAGATATTCCGGACTTGAGTGTAGATGAGCTACAAGAGATGATGAGAGTGCATGGTCTCAGCTCTCCCACAAAGAGCACGACTGGTGACCAAGAAGAAGTCAGAGCCTGCAGTCCTCTGGCCGCACGCAGGTCTCCCACCAAGACAGATGTTAGGCCGCACACGAGGGATGGTGGCCCTTCTCTCAACGGAACTTCGATTCTCTCCAGACAGACTCGATTCACGTCAAGTGTTCCCAACACTGGCACTAGAGCGACATCATGGGAGACACAGGAGATAGAGAGACGAAACCAACCTGGACTAAAGAGTTCAGAGAACCAGCGCCACGAGTCTGTGTCTTCGAAGGCGTCCCGCTCTCAGGGAAAACAAGCACGTGTTGCTACTGTCAATCTATCATCGGCTGCTGCACAAGCCGCTTCCGAAGGGGAAAACAGTAACACGGAGCGTGATCCAGCCTCTCAGGATCACGTCTACCAAGGAATTCCCCCACCCGAAGAGCCAGCTCAATCAGATCATGAAACTGGCTCGGTCCGATCTTCTGTTCCTCCAACTGGACGCCAAACTTCTGTTGCCGGACAGCCTTTCATTCGTCGTCCCATTTCAAGAATTGAGGAGAGGAACGAGGACACCGTCGATGAAAAGAGTCTCATCCGCAGGAACGAATCACTTTCCGTTGATGATACACCGGCTCGCAATGGGGCAGAACAGTCTTTGATGCCAATCCAGAGCGCTGGCCCTGACACAAGTTACAGCTTCCACCTCAGTCCTCTTGCAGACTTTTCAGTTAACCAGGGTGACCGAGCTCTAAACCTTGAGATGAGCTATGTGGCTCAACGGACAAACCCATCTTCTCTGCGTCAAGTACACGGCACATTTGCATTGGCGACCGGAGATTTGATCAAACATATCACTGATGTCGAGCCCTATGAGCCTTACTGGGAGCATGTGCGTCGCCTGGTTCTACGCCAGAAGGGGTTGATCACGCTGCATAAGCTCAATGAGTTCTGCCCACGGTTGGAGGAATTGGATGTTTCCGACAACGACATTGGCCAATTGAGTGGGATCCCATCCTCATTGCGAACGCTCAAAATCCCACGAAACTGCCTCTCTAACCTCACTCCCTGGAGCCATTTGGTTAATCTGCAATACCTTGATGTCTCAGGAAACGACATCGAGACTTTGGATGGCTTCTCAAGCTTGATCCATCTCCGAGAGCTGAAGGCGAATGACAATCAAATCCGCAATATTGATGGGATTCTAGACCTCAATGGCTTGCTGAGTTTGAAACTGAGCAACAACTCTGTGACCGCGGTGGATTTTGAAGGGTCTGAGCTGTAAGTTGTCTTCAACGTTCGGAAATCCATGGTACTAATCGAATGTAAAGGACACGTCTTCGGGATCTTGACCTAAGTCACAACTGTTTAACTTCCGTTCGCAATGTTGACTGGCTCCCGTCACTTGCCACTCTTGATCTCAGTGCCAACCAGATCACTAGTCTTGAATCTCCAGCATCGCTCATCAGCTTGCGCGCTCTTAAGCTGTCGGACAATTATCTCGAGTCTTTGGATGTACGGGCATTTTCATCCGTGAGCCTTCTCTACCTTGACCAAAATCATCTCTCGACCGTCACCGGCCTGGAAAACTGCCACAATCTAGAGGTTCTGTCTCTACGGGAGCAAACACCCAGAGAAAAGGATCCCAGTTTCACGATAGACCTTGATCTGGGGCTCATCAAGGATATCCGCAAAGTCTTCTTGTCCTCCAACAAACTTTCATCCGAAACACTCTCCCCATCTGCTCCTCTCTTACGCCTCCAGCTTCTTGATTTGGCTGCGTGTACATTGAAGAGCATCCCAAGTGACTTTGCGATGAGCTTTCCTAACCTGAAAGTTCTCAACTTGAACTTCAACTCTGTCGATGACGTCGAACCCCTGGTGGGCATGAATTGTCTCGCCAGATTGATGATAGTTGGCAATCGTCTCGCGCGGATGAGAAGGGTCTCTCAAATCCTCAGTCGATTAGGACGAACTGGAAATGGAACTGCGTGTTCCTTGCGCAAGCTTGATATCCGTGGAAACCCTTTGACTATTGGCTTTTACCCTCCAGCAGTAACTGGAAATGGCACGAACGCGGATAGGAAGAAGTTGAAGTCGAACGAACATGCAATTGTTCGTCATCAACAAAACCACCGAGATCTTTCCGATGCTCTCGCAGAGCACGGAAATGATGACCAGATATCTCACTGTGCAACAATGGGAGACAAGGCAAAACCCGACATGGACATCGAAATCAACGACCCCTTCACAGTCCCACTCGCAGACCCTCTCGCCGACGGGAAATATCTGACTCATCTCGACCAAGCCACACGTCTGCGTCGGAGAGTCCTTGAACTCCTCCTGTACGCAGGCACAAGCGGTTCGCTCCATACCCTGGATGGTCTGGAGCTCCGACCATCGCTGGGCGATGAGGCTTCCGATATGCACCAAGCGTGGGATAGACTGGAGCATCTTGGCGTGCTGAAGAGGAAGGCGATAAAAAATTAAGGGTATATTCTTTGTTATTGTTCTAAGTTGATATTACGACGCGCGGAACAAGGTTGTTTTGAGCATTGTTGGTAGCGTGCATGGAGTTGGGCCCTTTGCCTGACTTCCTTTTGGGTGGACTTGGTCGTGCTTGGAGTTAAGTGTTTTGCCATCCGCATAATTGCATTATTGGAGTTTTTGTTATTTAATCAATTGTTGTTTCCTTTCATGAATATTCAGCTTACCATGCAGGTGCTTTGGGCTTTCTTTGTTAGACCCTGGCCGGCCTGTTTTCCCCGGATGGTAAAAAGAGCCAATAGGCACTAGGACACGCTAGGCCTTTGCTATGCGCGGGATCCACCGCTTCTATAAACAGGCATAAGCTATGTAAAGGGAACCATTGGTTGTGTTATCGCTTCTGGTGGGTCTGTGCTGTCTCTTCTGTCCTCTTTGTCCCTTTTTTGTTGGGCCTGTGCTATCTCTTTCTGTCCTCTCTGTCCTCTCTGTCCCCCTTTGACCCAATCTGTTCCATTCTGTTCCGCTCTCGCTCTTTTCATGTCACTAGAGCCCCCCAGTTAGATACTCTAGATACACTACGATTTAATCATAGGTATAGGCTAGGTGAACCGTACAGCTAATGATCTCATTAAAGTTTCATGCTACTTTGACCGGAATCTGCCGCGAGATCGTTGCATCATAAGAGCTTAAACACCATAGAATAACACCCGACAATAAGTCGCAGTGACGTCAAAGAAGGAAAATCATATTCGGTAGGTAAAGTCTGATTAAGGTACGGCAATAGGGCATGCACGGCGGAATATATGAGGATCCGGGTTATGACCGAAAGAAGTAAAGGGTCGGTAATGGGTTTAATTGAACCTGATCTACTTGGGTCCACCATTTTCGTGGAGACACCGCTGCCGATCATCGACTGGGGTTGAGTGAGATTTACCGGTATAGAATCAATCCGGTTTATACGGTGGAAGACACATGACGTGGCCAGGAGAGCACCTTACCCCGGAAGATTGGCGATGGCCACAATGTTCTCGTTGCCAACGATCAGTTCCTGATTCATGATTCCTCTCAATTGATGTATCACATACAAGGTGGATCTTGTATGCTAGTCATTGTTATCATTTTGCAGTCGCCCTTCCACGACCCGCAAAAGCCGTGAAGCAACTAAGTAGGATCGTCGTCTGAGCATCCTGGAATTTCACTCCTGCCAGAGCATAGGAGAATTCAATTGGGTCTCCCAGGCATGTGGCCCCGCAGATGAAAATTTCGGAGCAGGCAGAGCCGCATCCTGGCCGAGGGAGTGGGCCCGCCTTCCCCGGCGCCGCAATGCGCATTCGTTGCGGTGGATTATTACCTTGTTGCCTCGTTTGATGGATCTGGAACACACCTCCGTCTGGATAAACTATTTCGGCATTTGTACAGTGTCAGGTATTTCCCCTATTCGCTTTGCCCCTGTTATTGCCCTGCCAACTATTGCGATTTCCTGACCGCCAGACATCTCAGTTTCATGTTTTAGACCAATCAGAGCCCGAGATATCTCTTACCAGGGGTACATACTAGCTGATGGCACTGGCTAAGTTCTGACCGTCACTTACTTGTTAACGCCCCGGAAAGACCATAGCAACATCCTTGGCACCGAGGGAGACGCGGATATCACCACTGTGGCTGAGTGACGATCGCAGAGCATCACATTCCCGCAATGTTCTGTCACACCGAAGGTAACGAGTCCGAAGTGAGGCAGAATAGTCGGTACCGCGGAGAAGTCAGGGCAGGGGTGTATCAGGGGAGACACGTGCCATCATTGTGTTTGGCTGGCATAGTGAAGAACTATGAATATATTGAAAGAGACTAATAAGATGAAAAGAGATGAGGTCCGTGATCTCAGGCTGGTAAAAACCAAGAGACAAATATCGCTATACTGTTAAAGGACACATTGACAAATAATATCTCTCTAAGCGAAGAAAAGGCAAAATAATAATAAATAATAATAATAATGATAATCATAAATAATAAAATAAATATAAGATAAAAAGAAAAAAAAGTGGAAAAAAAAGGAAAAACAGTATCCTTCTGCCTACTGTACCTGCGGTGCATGTCAAAGGTCTCTCAGTTCTTCTGGTCACATAATCGGGTTTCCTAGTTGCCTTTATATTTAGATATTGACACCACTGGGCCTCCTATTGCCGTTGCAAGGGAAACAGGAAGTATACACATGCATTTCCTGGGTATATGAGTATATGCCTGAGATTATGGGGCTTCACCTATAAGTTCAAGGTCACACTTTTTTTAGTCAAATCCGATCTATACTCGACGAGCCGATTGGCACAGAATAACGGAGAACCACACAAGACTCCACTCCGTAATTAATTATACACAGAACAACGGAGAATCACACAAGACTCCACTTCGTAATCAATTAAACACGTTTAGCAGGCAGGGTGATCACCATGCAGCAAAGAACCACATCACTGTCAGCGCTTCACCAAAAAGTGACCATGGAATCGATATAAATTGGTGTCCTGCTCAGCTAGAATTCACAAGAACACAGGCAGAGCTTTCTTTCCACTTTTGCAGTTAGGATTTACTCAAGCCGTTCAACAATGGCCGATGCTTTGACAGGTTTTATTGGTGCTTTTGCCCACCAGATATCCGAAATCAAGAGGAAAATTAAAGACATTATCTGGCCCCCCGAAGCGGCCGGAAGTCAAGAAGAAGAAAGCGTGAGTCGACATATCTACTCAGGACGCATATAACCTGATCCTAACTCCCTCAGGAGGACACGCCGCCTATCCCTCAAAAGCCCAATCCCTTTTCTTCCGGTATCCGAGAGCGAAGACCTTGGAAGTGTTAGTTGTTATCCTCGTGGATCTCACCGAAAGATTCGTTGTGCGCGAAATTTGCTAAAGAGATATAGACACGGACCATTGAACCTGTCGCTCCAAGGGCTTTATTCCAAAAAGTTCTGAGAAAAAGGCGGTTTGTTAGTGATGCTTTAATTTCTTATTTAAGGGAAAGATGGATCATTGCACAGTACGGCGCTTCCCCCGGTAAAATGAATACGCATTTACGATGACATTTATAGGTCTTGAAAAAGGCGCCGTGGGAAATGGGTTGGGTAATGTAGCAGGAAAGCATATTGTGTTATTAAAGGACATCAGAAACAAAAGCGGAGGGTTCTATGCTCGGAGTCACCAAAATTGGGTTCATGGAGCTGCTTTGTGTAAGAGTAGGTATTTAAATTTGCACTTAGAAACTAAGAGTAAGAGAACAGATAACAGAAAATAGCGGTATGTGGTAAGGGTATGGCACAGCATTTTGATACCACTTGATACCTGTGCTCAGCCGCCCTGTTTTGGCCCCAACACAGTGACTGTTGAGAAGGAGGCCTCTGCCTTGCCTCAACAACAGCAGTCTCAGCCAGTTGCATTTACACTTTGCAAACTCTCCGCACAAATTCTGAGCATCACTGGGAATGCCGATTTACCTATGTTCCCTCAGGCTTCTTAGATCTCGCAACACTTCACCCAGAACACTTCGAGCGATCCTTGGACGCGATGAGCATCTCGCCAGCTCTTTTCTATTCACGAAAGACGCGACAAGCTCATGAAATCATATCGGAAGCTGTGGCATACCAATTAGCACCTTTGACTAGCTCAAAGACAGGCCTTGACATGTCTTCCTGAGATTCCTCGCAGGCTCGATTTCCTAAACTCTCGGCTCCTCGAATACTCGTCTATTCGAACATACAAATCGACCTCGGACGAGGATATCTAAAAGGGCGCGGCAGAGCCAGGTGGGCTGAATGCAAGCATATGCCCCAGCGTGTTACCCGCAAAGCCTACCCGCGATCACGTCTAGCCTAGGTCCAGATTTCGGGAAGGAGAGACAATGTATCCTGTGAGTCTTGGCCTGGAGGCCCCCGAGAGCGCAGCTAAACACTGTTGAATCTCACCCGAGAATTGTTCGGATCCCCCGGTCACTTGCAAAGGAAAATAAGTGACATCTGTTAACATGACCTGTTCTATCTAGGTAGCTACTTAGGTAGGTCATCACGATCTTAATACACAGTCACGTGAAATTACAGAATGTAAGCTGACAAAACTTATCTAGCCTCCCTTTCAAAAGGTCCCATAAGGTATCGATCCAATTGATAGCATTGGAAATATAACAGGTCCAGATAGCTAGCTAGCTAGGCTCAGCATGCTCCCAAAGGCTCCGACCATCTTAAATACACCGGAAATTGCTACAGCTACGAGCACTTCAGCGCGAGCCTGTATTAGGGCAATACAAGATGAGCTTTAAACATTTGGGGGCTCAGGATAACAAGTTTCGAGATACCAGTGGCTCTCATGAAGCCCTAAGGAAGCTGTGACTCTTCTAGTCACCATTAACTTGACCAACTGCCGTTCACACGCAAAAGTACTACCCCTTGCACCAGCTGCCAGCCGAGACATGCACACACGTGCCGTCAGCGCGTTGTGTCACATTGATGTACCGCCAAACGCTCCACGGAAAACAGTTTGAATGACTATTATTCGTGTTTCTAGCGACATGTGCATGGACATGTTTGTGACTTACCGTGGCCCTCAGTGGAGCGGTTGCGGGTCGGCCCATATAGCCTTAACCTTATTCTGTTGACATAAAACTTTACCAAGAAGGCTTCGGTGAGGCTACTGTACCACATATCAAGAAATCGCACATGCAATGAGTCACGCAGAGTGGCCAAATCATGCCAGATGCTTTGATTTCGTAGAAGCCCCAGAAGAGAGAGATCCACCTGGAGATACTAAGGCACCAAAGCAGAAAGGACAACACTAATTAGTATTCCAACAAACCACGCTCTTCCTCATGAGTAACCCTCTCTTTCTCGATCTCCAGCGTAGCGTCGTGTGCTATCGCGACGTCCCGACGTGCCTCATCTAGCAAAATCATGTCCGTCTCTCCCGAGCGACTCTTGAATACACGATCCATCTCCTCTAATGTCGCACCCTTGGTTTCTGGAAGGAAAAACCAAATCTAAATAATGCTAGCAGCAAGGAACACGGTGAAGAAAACATAAGTATCCCACTTCCAAGTCTGGAACATAGGTGGAACGAAGGGGCGACAGCGACGTTGTTGAACTAAATCATAGTTCGTACTGCTTTACACTCTAATAAATACACTTACCCAATTACTTGATGCGCCAAAAGAAGAGCCCTTGGACCGAACAGATAGGGGAAATATTTCTGCTACCGGTGTCCATGATACTGGACCCCAGGTAGCACCAAATGCTCCGACATAGATCCAGATGAAAGCCATTGCAGCCCAGCCAGTGTTTGAATGATTTTCAGAGTCGTTCCCGAACTTGGCGACGATGATGCCAGCCAGGACCATCGCATCCACATGACGGCCGAACCGGCGTAAAGCATGGGCTTTCGACCGACTCTATCGATGAGAGGCATGGCTGGGAGAGTGCATACGAAGAACACTACTTCAGTGGCACTGGTGGCTAGCAGGGGAGACGCCAGGCCATGTCGGCTTGTGTTTCTCCAACGCCGCCAATGCTATTACTTCCACATCACATCCAGAATGGCAGCATGATTCCGAAAATTGTAGCGGACTGGTAAAATGATACTAAGAATCCAGGAAGCTCAGGCGCTGATAACTCGGCATTATATAGGGGACTTTCGCACCGCACAGTCAGTTGATGGACCTAAACCAAGAGCAAGAATTGAACCCACCCAACACCACTAAAGGTACCAACCCCAAGACCGGTGAAGAACCTGCCGGCGTATAGCAAACCGGGCTTGTGGTAGCTGGCTCCGCAATAGAGATAGCTTCCGAGGACAACCCAACAACAGGCCGAGAACATGGTATACGTCTGGGAGAATATCTCACCCAGAACTCCTGCTGAGAGAGAACCGAGGATACCACCCAGTTGCAACATTGATGTGGGCCAACCGTTCGCACTAGAGGATGCAACGACAGTAGGGAAGTTGTCTGTAAAGCGAGTCATAACCAGGGACTGGCCCAGGACTCCCTGTTGGTATCCATACTCAAATCCGCCAATCCGATCCAGATTTTTAGAATAAAGTCTACCAGAAGAGATTATCTGAAACATATGAGGCGAAGAGAGCAATGGCCATTAGTTTGGGGTTGTGTAAGAGCGATGTCCAGCGGTTCTTCATCGCCGACTGAGCGCGTGAGTCCCTATTCGATTCATCTACCATTTCCGTCATACTGACAACTGAAAATAAAACAACTTGAAATTTTAGTCGTGATCTACGGAAATGAGGTTATCCCGGCTGAAAGCGGAGATATCATAAAATAAGGACAAGCCCTCGAGTGAGCATGGTGGGTACAGCTAGACATATTTATCAAACCGATGCTGTAAAATCAGACCATCAAGGAAGAATAAACCATCGCTATAATATCCGCCTTGGAATAGGCTTCTTTTGGAAGTTGGTGGCACTCGGGAATACTGCGGGGTTTGCAGGGAAGTACAGGGAACTTCCAGATGGCCTGGACTTTTATCCCCACGCCCAAGTTCAGCGCAAGTAAGGCGGGTCAGTTTGAGTAGTGCTAAGCACTTCGATTGCCGAGAGTTTGACCCTAAACTAATTTGTTAATGCTAACCACTCTCGGCCCGCTTCTGGAGGCAGCCAGAAGCGCTTCGCTTCCTAAGCATTTACCAAGCTATAGAAAATCCAGCAAGGTTCAGAAGTAGACAAAGAATAGATTTGGTTAGTTCTACTGAGGAGACGGGCTTTATAGCTCACAACTAAGGAGGAAAATCCAACTAAGGCCTGAAAACTAAGTCAACCGTGCCCGCCAAAATCACCAGATTCATACTAGGTTGGTCTTGTGCTATTACCTTACGAACTTCGTGTATATTATTATTGAGCAACTGATAGAAGTGAAATGATATGAAGATCGAAATAAGCTAAATTAAAGGACTTTGATAAAAACACGGTCATAGCGAGTCAAAGGAAACAGCCCATCATCGGTTCCCTCCAGAATGATCGAAATAGTCTGACCGCGCTTTGCGTCAGCTGGAATCGTCACACTCGCTCGGTTCTTCCCCTGAGCAGCCACAGCCACGGTACCGGGGTATGTACCTTCCTCCAGATACTGCCACCAGGAAGTGTGGACGTTGTCATCATCTGGATCGTGAACTGCACCAGCCAGATTTACCGTAGCCCCAGGATACCCCTTCACTGAACCAACATTCAAAATCTCAACAGAGGGCGCATGGTTTCCGTCGCTGTACTTCAATTTCACTGTCCACTGCATGCGGGCCGCAAAGTCGTTCTGAATTGGCGCTATCCAACGGCTCATGGTGTACAAGCCCACTTCGGTGCCATTTTGACCGGCCTCAGTTTCAGCCATCACCCACAGATCTGGAGATGTAGAGTTTTGCTTGGCTCGGCCGCCCCAGCCACCGAGCTTCGGATTGGTTGGTTCTTGGAGGCCAGTGGTCAACAATGGGTTGAAAGCCACATTATCACCCTCGGAAAGGAAGTCGTATGGGTCGAGTGGATTACACCAGCTAGTGACTGCTGCCGTTGCATTGCCGAAAATGTCCTCTGGATCGCCCGGCATGGACTGGCCGTCGAGCCAGGCGCGGTAGAGTCTTCCATACGGTCCCATTTCGATGTTTGGTCTGATCCATTCACCGGTGAAATACAAGTTGTCGTTGGGCAAGCCGCGGACATTACCCTGGCCTTTGTTGCAGTTGTATGCCCAGAGGTCGTAGCCAGCTGAAAGCTCCTCGACGCGGATTTGGGGCCAGTGCGCAGCGATATACTCAACGTACGTATCGTCCTGGAAGCCACTAGCCATGATGACAGCTTTGCGGGAGATAGTTTCCTTGATACGCGCCCAGTTGCGTGATTTGGAATACCGGTCCTCGATTGACTTGAGAGCACGGGCGATGGTGTTGGTGCCACCCCAGGCCTGCAAGTAAAGCTTTCGGGGATCATCGTCCAGCAAGAGCTCTTTGATGAGATCAGAGCCAGCGGTGTCCTTATCCATCTCACCCTCAAAGTCGATGTTGCCAATTCTGACCGTGGACAGCAGCTCCTTTGGGGTCGGATAAGATGGATCATGGCAACGAAGATTCGGATAAACCTCTGCGTAAGCCTTAAGGACTATGTCCTCGATGGTCCGGGTGCCGGTCCAGCGCAACGATGTGCCGTTGCCATTGCCGGCCCAGTGCCATACGCTAGAGCTATAGATGATGCCCTGCGTATCGAGGTCGTTTGTATAAAGGAGGTATCGGATGAGTGAGGCCAGGTCGTCTTGCTCCATGTCGGTTGTGACGACCGTGCGCAGTTTCGCTGATTTGCTGGTAGCATAGCTCGATACGGCAGGCAGCGTGGTGGCTACCAAGCCAAGTGTGAAAACATGGCGGACAATGGACCACATACCGGGCAATGCAGCTTGTCCAGTAGGATTATCGAGCGTGATATTTGATCTTCGACGAGATATCAAGATCAAGTTTGAGCCTGTTTATATAGGTCACGTAAACCCTGAAGCTAGCCCTACAGAGGAATTGCGGGGACCCCACACTTTTGGTCATTGGCCCTGGCGGGGTCGCTCCGCATTGCGTTCCTCAAGAGGGTAGAATAACCACTCATTTACGTATACATTGCCTTTGGAAATATTTATACGAATACGGCAAACCTGTACTGCACCTCAAGCCACCCCGAGAAGTCCGTCATCAGTGGTTACACTTACCTCAAATGGATAATCGTCTAAGAAATGCTAGATATGGCATGGCTTCTTCATCGATTACATATTCTACCTTCACTAGGTCAGTACTACTGCATCATCTCCTATATTCTAGTGTTGTGTTTGATCTTACTGATCCTGAAAACCCGCTTTACTACTAAACTTACGCGATTCACTTGAGATGACGAGGATGACAGAGGAGAGTGGTCTTGTGCGAGAGAGATACATAGTTGTTTAATATTCTGAATTTTGACATGTGTCCTCGGGCCTTGTATTTTAGAATACATTCCTAGTATTAATTATTTACTAAGGGTCATTCATATTTGTATTTGTTTGGCAAGGGTATCGAAATAATGAACATACGGCGGGAAACAATCATCATCAGTGCCCCCAGAACGGAAGGGCATTGTGGTCTAGACCTCATCCACAGTTGTGACGTGAGTAGACTTCGAAGGCCCATCTCTCTGCCGACTTGCGCCCTCCTGATCAACAACTGCAGATGAAGTAGCCTTACCAGCCGCAATGTCATCCTCCAGGATAGCGCGGAACTCCTCACGTTGCGGTGCCAGGTATCGCACATCAACGAAGCGCAAGGTACAAGTCATGATAATGACCAGTACCAACAGAGCCAATGCAGACTGCCATCCATATTTGTAGAATGGGGCTTGGGAAGCAGGCCAGACGAGAACCTGCGACCATGCAGAGATCGAGTAGTACCCGGCAACCGCAACACCAACAGCAAGCGACCGCGCCTCAGGATCCTGAGGGATAAGATCAGACAGCCAGGCAAAAATGAGTGGCGCTGTACCAAGACAAATATAGGAGATGAAGTACGATGCGTAGGCGGCCGATAAAGCAATCGTGTCTGGGTGTGTTGTCCAGATACTCATGACAATGCAAGGGATGATTCCAATAACAGCCTGGAGAACGATCAAGGTCCATCGAGTCTTCAAGTAATCAGACAACAAAGCCCAAATCCAAACGAAGACAACATTTATCGCCGAGCCCCCGATAGGAATTGCGTTGACCTGCGACACAGTCCATCTGGGCGTTCCATCCGGATTCTTGAGTGACTTCAAGAACAGTGAGAAATAGACATACCCGTAAGTACCAAGAACGGTCGCAATATAAAGGATCGAAATGAAGTATACAACCCATCCGGAGAATGTGCGCTTAACACCGGCCCATGTCATACGCTTAGGCTCGGCACGTCCGTTGCGAGCGAGTCGCTCAAGCGATAGTTCACCATGCACCTTTTTGAACCAGAAAGCGCGCGGGTTGGGTCGATTTGGTAGATCGGGGATCATGAAGAATCCTGCGAATCCCCACACAACTGTGATGATCGCGTTGATCACGAATAGCCAGCGCCAGCCTGCTAGTCCGCCGTGCCCGTTTAGGGTGTCAGAGATGGCTGCTTGCATGGCACCAGACAACATTTGTCCGACTGCTTGACAGGAGTGGTAGAACCCCATTCGTTTAGCTAGTTCTGTTGGTGTATACCAGTACACTGGATATGGTTACTAAGTCCCGGACGGCTAGTAAAATACTGGTGGCAAAAGGGTAAGATCGAACGTACTGAATAGAGTCATCATTCCAGGCCAAGCACTGCTTTCGCATAGACCGAGGAATACACGGATAACGTATACTTGTTTCGCATTGCTGGTCATAGCGATTAACCCAGTCAACACGCCCCAGATTATTTCCAGCCCAGGAAGCCAATAACTTGGTCGCACATAGGTGAGGATAATCTGGGACGGGATGAGCATAATGCAGTAGGCGACATTGAAGTAGGTCGTGAATCTAGCGGCGGGCATTAGTGAAATCCGGGGAATGTGGGTACTTCCGACTCACAAGTTTAGCTCGTTGCCGTGTAAATTCAAATCTTCCATCATGCCAGAGACGTAGGCATTGTTAATATTTTGTTGATCGAGATATTTTATAACTGCGTCAGGTCAGGTTTGCTTGTTCCTCGGTCTGAGGGGTCTTGCGCGCCCAACGCACCCTGTGAGAGACAACCGAAAGTCATGAGGAAGATATCAAGACGGCGCACCAGGGCCTTCTCGTCTGCGGAACGGATATCATCGCTCGGTGCAATGCGACTGCGAGGCCATAATTTGAAAGACACCATGGCGGGAAGGTGGTTGGAAGAAAGAGCTATGTGGCGACCCTGGCCCTTATAGAAGGTCGGAGCGAACCAGATAAGGCGTGCATGACCCCTCGCAGATAAAAGATAGTCACGTCCGGGGTAGAATCGGCTGCAGATCCGGAAAGATGCTACTTGTTAGGCTAAAAGGTGATAAAACACACCAATAGTTGCATTCTTTGAAGCTTGGAGTAACCTCGGAGGCAGGCCGGAGTTGTTAGATAGCGAGATAGACACTCCAAACTCCTTCTTGGCGTCCGTGACACCTCCACTTTTCCTTGAATATGAGCTTGGTCTCCAAGCAATCCCCTTTGATTAGCGCGGAGAAGGACAAAGCTCATCGCACTCGGCCTTGGGGACCGGAAGTAGTCCGCGATAGGGGATTATTCCCCGCACCGGCGACTCAACGTGAACACTACCAGCGCCGACAACGGCCAACACAGAATAAGTGACAATCGACGTTGACTCACCTACATATACCCGGAAATAGGAATCTTCAATTGTCGGAGTGTTCACAACAATGTCGGCGTTAAGTCAACAGGAGGGCAGCAGCCGGAGCCTACCGAACCAAACCCCTTGTTTGAGTTATTGGCAACGAACGACCCGGGCATTTCCGCATCTATATGCGAACAAAGATGCGGATGTCCCTCCAAAATCCAAGTATGTTGTCATTGGCTCCGGCATATCAGGAAGCTTGACTGCTTTCGAGTTGATACAAGAAGGAGTCAAGGGGCAGGACATTGTCATTCTCGAGGCACGGGAAGCAGCAAGCGGAGCAAGCTCGCGCAACGCTGGACATGTGCGACCAGGTTTGTGGCATACGTTCTTAATTCCGTAAAGTTCTAATCTTGAATCACTAGATGCATTCCGAGGCTTTAGTGCATACTCTAAAGTTCACGGAGAGGAACAAGCTCTAAAGATTATACAAGATGAGCGACTGGTCCTTCAAAGAGTAAATGAGTTTGTCACCAAGCACAATGTGCCCTGCGACTTCAATTTAACTACAACGTTCGATGTTTGCATGACCACTGATTTCGCCGCCTATGAAAAGGAGAGTCTAGAATCCTTCATAAAGGCGGGAGGTGATGCTTCACATATCAAATTCTACGAAGGCGAAAAGGCCCAACAAAAGACCAGAGTTCCTGGAGCGATCGCCGCATATGAATGGCCAGCAGGGTCGAGCCACCCAGCAAAGCTCGCACAATTCCTTCTTCAAACCGTCATTTCCAAGGGAGCTCAGTTGCACACCCTTTGTCCTGCTACTGAAATCAAAGCCAGCCCGACTTCCCGAATGTGGGACGTCCATACCGCGCGTGGAGTGATCACAGCAGAGAAGATCGTTCACTGCACGAATGCCCACGCGGCCCTCTTACTTCCGCACTTGGATCCCTATATGCGCCCAAATCGCGCGCAAGCCCATTCCATCATCCCAGTCCCAGAATTCTCGGGAGGGAAAGCGCTGCAAAACACCTTCTCGCTCCGCTACAGTCTTCATCACTTCTACTCACTCATTCAGCGGCAAGCAGATGGCACATTCGTGCTTGGTGTATCCCGATCAAACCCGACATTAAGTGCAGAGACCATTGCTGGTCGTTTGAGCACTGATGATACTCGATACAACGAGGAAATTGTCCAGGATGCTCTACGCAGCTTTGGTGAGATGTTTCCCGATTATCTGTCTGAGACTGCCATGCACGGCGAAGGCTTGGATCATGCTTGGACGGGAATTATTGCTATGACTACCGACTCTGTTCCGTTTATTGGCGCGATTGAATCTTTACCGGGACAATATATTTGCGCTGGCTTCAACGGTCATGGTGGGTCTCGTTTCTTTCGGTACAAATCACGTTGAAAATCATGAAGCTAACTATGAGTAGGTATGGCGAGGATATTCACCTGTGCCCCGGGAGTCGCTAAGCTTATTCTTGGAAAACCCTGGGATGAGACTGGGTTGCCTGAGTGTTTCCAATTCACCGAAAAGCGACTGTCCCGACTCTCAGGTGGAGATCTGCCGTCTATTTGGTAGTCGGGGCCTTAACAATTTCGGAAATATCGGACATTTTCTATTGGATGACATGCAATATACGGATGTCCCACGTGTATGGGCTTTTTAGCCTATGCGGGGCGCTATAGTATGCACCCAATCTCCACTTGTCCAATACTCGCAGGAAAAAGTATACGACAGACTTATATGGTAACTATAGATAAGGAATCTAGAGCTTCCCGAGACCCCTGATATTCACTGTAACGATTGTGGGCCAGTATAATAGCACACAACCCATTTCTGTCAAACAAAACATGACAGATCATAGCGCGATAGATGGACTTAGACGGGGTAAGCCGACAATGTCGATCTTCTCGGGGTCGGATCCCCTTTCAACACCGTCTTCCTGAAGCATGGACCAGCGAAAGGAAATTTCGATTAACTGGGATTATGTGAGACGCTTAGACTCTGTTCCAATGACTCAAGCCCAATGCCAGACCGGCATTAAAAACCGGGATGAATGAATGAGTCGTAACATAAAATACATTGTTTGGGGGCCGAAAGGGACCCTCGCAAGGGGCTCTCCAATCGGTGTTGAGCGGGTCCCTCATGCATTGCGTCTAATAAACGCAGTCAACTCATTTAAAATGCAAGTTCCCCGCCAGACTTGATGAGAATGGTAAAATCAACACAATGTTGTCCTTCCTATTAACCTCCCTACTGGCGGTGTCCGCGGGAGCTTCTTCGGCCTGCCGATGTTTCCCCGGTGATGCTTGCTGGCCTGCTGAGGATGTTTGGACCAAGTTTAACCAGTCAATTGATGGTCGGTTGGTAAAGACTGTACCTCTTGGCCAGCCCTGTCATGCGCCTGACTACGATGAGGCCCAATGTGCGACATTGCGTGAGGGCTGGACAGTTCCCGAGGAGCAGTAAGTTCCCTAGAGCTCCTTCTGTTCGCAAAGAATTGCTAACTAATTTTAAACTAGCTATGAGTCTTCCTCGTCTATCATGGCTCCATACTTCACCAATGGCACCTGCGATCCTTTCCACCCCGTCTCCAAGCCCTGCACACTAGGCAATTATGTTTCCTACGCAGTGAACGTAACGACCTCAGACCAAATTTCCAAGGCGCTTCAATTCGCCGCGGAGCAGAACATTCGAGTTGTGGTTCGCAACACTGGCCATGACTACAATGGCAAGTCTACTGGTGCTGGTGCCCTGGCTATCTGGACACACTACATCAAGGACATCAAGATCCAGGACTATAAGGACTGCCACTACACCGGCAAGGCCATCACCATGGGTGCAGGTGTACAGGGATTCGAAGCGTACGCGGCGGCCCAAGAAGCAGGTGTCCAGGTTGTCGGAGGCGAATGCCCTACCGTTGGTCTTGCAGGTGGTTACAGTCAGGGCGGTGGTCACTCAGCGCTCTCTTCTCGATATGGACTTGGTGCCGACCAGGTCCTTTCATGGGAAGTGATCAATGCTGAGGGAGACTTCATCACCGCCACTCGCGACAACGAGTTTTCTGATCTCTACTGGGCTCTCAGCGGTGGTGGTGGTAGCACCTTTGGTGTTGTTTGGTCGATGACCTCCAAGGCTCACCCAGGCACCCCGGTCTCAGGTCTCAACTTGACTTTTACCAACACTGGTATCTCGCAGGACAAGTTCTACAAAGCCGTTGAGCTATTCCAGACGAGACTACCGGAAATCGTTGATGCCGGTGCGATGACAATCTGGTTCTACACCAACAGCAGCTTTGCAATCTCCCCCATGACCGGTCCCAACATTCCTGAGAAGAAGCTGCTTTCGTTGATCAATCCTTTCTTGATGGATCTCCAGAATTTGGGTATCAAGTACACCTCCTACTCCAAGCAGTATGGTAGCTACCTCGATGAGTACAACGACATTCAACAGGACATTGGGGTCGGCGAGGCCCAGTATGGCGGCTGGCTGATTCCCCGATCGGTGGTTCAGAAGAACAACACGGCCTTGACCCAGGCCTACAGAGAGATCACTGAGGATGGTGCTACCTTTATTGGGGTTGCCTTGAATGTCTCTCAGGAGGTTGTGGGAGATGTTTACAACTCTGTTCTGCCTGCCTGGCGCGAAACTCTGTTTGCCACAACCCTCAGTACTCCCTGGAAGTTCAATGCCGATAGCGCTATGCTCGAGGAGCAGCGGAAGATGACAGATGTGTACATGCCCAAGTTGATAGCACTGGCGCCAGCCTCAGGAGCGTACATGAACGAGGTATGATTTCTCCTATTCACGGATATTAACGTGCTAATAGCAAATTGTGAGCCTAATGCTGATATCTTTCCCACAGGCCGATTTCCGACAACCTGATTGGCAGAAATACTTCTTCGGCAAGAATTATCCCGAGCTGCAAAAGATCAAGGCCAAGTATGACCCGAACGATATCTTCTATGCTGTGACAGCCGTCGGCTCGGAGGCTTGGAAGCAGCACGAAGACGGACGGCTTTGCCAGATTAGGCAAGAAGGCTCTCAAAAGCTCCGTGGCTTCGGAGGAGATCTGTAGAAATATTTCCTATTTGCAGCAGGTTGGCGCCCAAGAACCTGTGGGTCTGGATTTTGAGTTATATAGAGTTTCTGTCTCAGCCCCCACGGGATATAGATAGCCAAGAACAATGGCATATTGCTTTTGCAGAAACAGAGACCCTTTTAATATATTCTCCTATCGGATAATACGAAGCAAAAGTCTGGTAAAGTCTGGTGCCTGCAGCGTATAAAGTTTCCTTATATTAAATCCCTCAACGAAAATTACGCCGAGTTACGCAGTACCAGTGGTCATGTCATGGCAGTAATCCCAGGTTGCAAGATGCGCTAAAATCAAGTATCAATCAGACTATAGGTACAGGCATGAATATCCATGCCTTTTGACGTTCAACCTCCCCTTCCCCCACGTCAAAGCAAGATCTCACATAATCCAAGCGTTGTGCAAAAGTGGAATGTGAAAAGCAAACCACCCGGCGATCAACATGAAACCAACCTAAAACGGATCTAAACTTTGCCATTGGCCCATGGTTCCACTGCGGCCTATCGCCCGTCCCACTAGGCCCAGCATTCGACCGGCGAACCACAAGCCACGGTGAAATTGACGTAAAACAATTTTATAAATTGTGGAGCCCAGCTTCGTGCAGCCTGATCGAACATGTTTGGACCAAGAATCGAAGGATTCTCAAGTGGATAATAAACTCTCTTGGGTTACATGTAGTGGACTATGTGAGAAATTAACCGCACTTAGGCGTGCAGAGTATATTACCTAGGAATACACGTTTATATGCTTTGTGGTCATGGTAGTCTTGGCCTCGTAGTATCCTTCCGTGCACAATCTAGATCTGCAAATTCGGTAGGCCCGACTTATTTGCAATCCCAGACGTATCCTATTTTCTGCATGATGATCTGAGAGGGGGCCAAATTATCTTGTTGGGTTGAAGTGTATATTGATAAGAATGAGCCACCCTCCTGTCAAGCATCTGACTGGCGCTTTTCTTGTTCGATTGCTTAGCACCCTCTCTCAAGCGGTCTCATGATGACTTGGGTTCATAATCTTCATAAACCAGATCCAGATACCAAGATTGGGCGTGTCATTGCTATTTGTGTGGTGTTTCCAACTCTTGCGTTGTTGGCGGTATGTCTGCGATTCTATGTCCGGCTTACCACGAAGCGCACACCGTGGTGGGATGACTATACGGTGCTGGCTAGTGTGCTGTTAACGGCGGTTTACGGAGGTCTCACAATTGCTCGTAAGCTTTGAGTGCCATTAGGGATTTGAAAGTACAACTCAACTGACTTTGAAAGAAACTCGATGGGGAATGGGATTGAGCCAAGCATACTTTCCGGAAGAAAATGTTATTCCATTTAGCAAGGTCCGTACTATGGAATGGTGGTGACTATACTTGGGACTCGGTCTGACTCTTCGCATAGATTCAATACGCCGGTGGACCTGTTTATACCCTCGATCTTTTGGCCTTCAAAGTTGCGCTGCTCGCCTCATACCTCCGGATTGGTGGTTTTGTGCAAACTTATAGGCTCATCATATTTATCGCAATTACTACCTGTGTAATAACACAGTTAATCTTTACCTTCATTATTTCGGCTTCCTGTCGGCCTGTTGCAAAGCAGTGGGATATGTCCGTCGAGGGAACATGCATTGACACTGTGTCATTCTACTATGGTATGCTTGTTATGTTTTTTTTTTTTTTTTTTCGCGGGCGTCAGGGATGAGATGCTAACTAGTCGCAAACAGCTCTTGCTGGAACAAACCTAGGATTTGATATTCTCGTTATCATCCTCCCCCTGCCTGTTTTATGGAAACTTCAACTCCAGCGAAAGCAGAAGCTCGTCTTGACTGCCATATTTGCATTGGGCTTCTTCATCACAATTATCCAAATAATTCGAATCTTCAGTGTGAAAAATCTGAAAACCGTTACGGACAGTCAAGGTCTCATCTGCTGGTCGATTGTTGAAGTTAGCCTTGGTGTATGTTGCCCTTATTTTACATGGCTCTTTTATTCTGATTGATCTGCAAAACTAACGGACTTTATTATCAGGCAGTGATTACCTGCATTCCAACCTACGGGCCTCTGTTCAAGAGCTTCGCGTCAACTATTTCCTCTTACCGCAAGCATGGAACGGGGCCCACTTACCCCCTCGACTCGATGCCCGAGGGCGGAAACGATACAATGCGATCGCGCCGGAATACCAGCAATGGCAGCACATTAGTCCCTCCTACTCTTTCACCAGTGGCACATGTGCGACAAAAGAAGAGAGGTGCGCTGTCATCCGTAATAGATACGGGTAGCGAAGAACATATCCTGGGCGAAGGAGATAACATGCAAATCTACAAGACTATGTCTTACAAGGTCGAGAATGGTTAGACTATCGCTGTATTCTGTGAATTCAATGCCTGCTTCTACATTACCTCTGAAGACCATGCATGTGTGGCATGATGATATAGAAAACCACAACAATATCCTGAGAGTTGCACTCTCAATAGGTTGGGCAAATCCACGCTCAAGGCGACCGCTTTATAGCACCCATATGACAATGTGTCTAAGTAATAAGTTATGTATTGTACGAGCTATGACACGCTAGTCTTGCATTCAATCCACATGGACTCCAAAGTAGTTCTTGTCATGCCAGTCTCTAGTAATATGCTCGTAATAAAACTGTATGGTCATAACGTCAAAATGTTATCTTTAACCATTTCTCTAATAGACTACAAATATCAAATGCAAACTGTCATCATCCGAGTTTCTTGCCAGGCTGCGGGGTATAATTCTTCGGACATACAAGTCTCTGGGCTGATTGAACAGTTATGCAATATTTGTGAAGACATATGATAGGTTCCAACGGCGTAAAATATATCCATTCATGGTATGCTTTGCACACACACATCGAAGCCAAAACCAGGCCATCCAGCATGTTCACAGCATTCATAAGGATAGTGATATTTAGAAATATGTCGATAGGATTCTGCATTTCTGCAGTGCATATTCTGATAAGCCTCATAGGAACCTTGGCAGTCAAAAGGTGCATGGCGGCGTCGGGAATGGGTTTGAAGTGGCTAGTAGAATCGCATACATATCCACCAACCTTGCAATGCCGTCTACTTCTTCTTCGGGGAGTGCTCAGCATGTGTATCCAATCCATAAGACGTAGAGTATTGTTCAATGCTGTGTCAGCTGCTCGGTGATTGAATAATGGTGTTCGATCGGCAAGACCTGCCTTGAAACTTATAATTGACTACAGGAGCAGCTAGAAGACGGTAGAGACATACGATCGACACTTCATACTAATACAATGATGGGAATTTCGACATAGGGTTGATGTAGGATATCTCATTGGAAATCAATCTTCACTGTCTAGACTTAGGAAGAAATCTTCTTACAGAAGCCTGCTGTACGTATAGAATATAACAAGTCCAATGATCGTTCGATGTGCCGAGAAGCAGGAATCCACCAACGGAAAGATCTTCTGGGTCACAAGTCACAAATCAGTGAATATCCAAGGGAAAAAAAATACTACTGGTCCGCTGCAACCGCACCATCGGGGAAGCTGCGTATACGCTTATTAAATGGCAACAGTAATCAATCAATCCTGACCCAGGACAAGAATCTCAGTTTTTGAACGTGATGAACGGCATGTAAAATGGCTTGGACAGTGTGGCTTCGCATGACATGAAGCCATCGTACTCTCGCAGATCTTGATCATAACTTACCAGGCAAGATGAAATCAAATACCGTGCCACAGAACTCAGGCGGAGATTTGATAGAATGGTCTTCATAATGACCGTAAAATCAGGAAGCCTGGCGGCATGGCTACCAAACTCAACAGTTGGTCTTAGGTACACTTTGCTCCCGACACGATGCTGACCAAATTGACCCGCGCATTGACCCGGACATAAAGATCATCTCGTATGCACATGAGTGGTATTGCAAGGATTGAACTGGGATCTTTTGTGGACTAGCATTGAAGGAGAGCAAATGAATGGTCACCCAATTTGAGACGCTGAACATCTATGTGAAGTCCCTTGTTGGTCATAGTAAAAGGATAGTAAAAGGAGGCGTCGGCGCACCAACATCAAGGTGAGTATAATTCCCGCTTTATGCAAAGACTTCTGGGAAACTCGCGAAAGATCCGGTCGTGGCGTCGGGGTCATCGAGGTTTGGAGGGCTGAATTTTTCAACAGACTGTAGTGGAGAGGTATCCCTATTCGGATTCCATGCAAATAAGGACTGATCATCTGAATGTTTTATGATTTCCTCCTGCAACCTGAAAAAGGCTTTTGCTCCCTCGCCATACAGCAGTGGCATGTTTATTCCAAATACACCGAGCAGACAGTAAGCCTTATCCTCCTTTCGAATGGTTTCGCGCTTAAATGCCCAACTCATGCGTCTAGCAATGCTTAATTCGCTTAGCAAAGTACCTAAACTAATGCAAAGTTGTCTTGGTCCTAAAATCAACTCGGGAATACTAGTGATACGCCCGATAAGCCCGGGGATTTCTTCCCGTGAAAATAGAGGTGACCAATCTCTAGCCAGGAAGTCCACTTTTTTTGGGGCAACCAGCTCTTGCAAGGTCTATCCACGCTTGAACCATCGACTTTTTGAAAATTGGGACCGCTTAGGATCAAGTTCTGGCAGTGGAGGCACGTCTGCCAGATAGGCATAACAAACCTTGGAGTGCTCGTACCATCTCATCATGGAATTGATTGCCTCAGACAATTCTGCGCTGCTCTTCTTATCAACACAGCAGGTGTCGACCCACACATACTCGACTTCTCGTTGAGAGCTGGTCGGCAAGTGTACCTGATTTTAGCGTACCTCTTTTGAAGGGTCGTTTTGGTCGATTCCAAATTGCGGGAGGCTGCTCTCTCGTTGCCTAGATTAGCAGCCAGTGCATTTCTTTCCTCGGAGGTAAGCCCTTGTATGTTTTGAAAAGATAGCATTGCTCGGTCCACCACCAAAAGAAGTAATCGAAAGCTCAACTTGTTTCTCGCAGCGTAGGTTCCTCGTAACACATGCTTTTCAACTCACCATTTTAGGAATTTACAACGTGAGTTTAAAGAACGAAGAGCGAAAGAGCAAAGTACATGAATGTAATGCACTGTTCGATATCGTCTCTTGTAACCTTCTCACCATCAAGAGTTTGTACCTATTCAATCTCACAACATAGGAGCTGCAGTCAGTACACATCGGTCCGAGTCGGAGGCTAAAACTCCGCTCTAGGATCCCTGCTGACGATCACTGGTGAAACCTTTCCACCGAGGCTTGAGCCTTTGCTGTACAGTATTCGCCAACGGATTTGTAGAATGCATCCCGCTCTTTATCTAGATGCAAAAGCACATCGTCGAATGAGGGTTCAAGAGCGCACGGGTCTCAAGCAAATGTGACAAACAGGGAACAACGTAGATCCGAGACCAACAACGTGTTCCCAAGGCACTAAGTCCTGCCTGAGCCCGAATCCGGTGTATAACCCACCGACGTGCATTTCTTCATACTTTAATCCCCACCACAAGTTTCGTCTCCTTATATATGTTCATAATCTAATGTAAGTCCCAGATTACACAGAGCAATCCCATTCGCGGATACATCCGGGGAGTTATACCCAAAAAGAACCAACACCCCTAGACCCAACGGAAACGGTTTCCGACCAACGTGGCTAGGGCGAAAGTCTTCGGGCGCACTGACTCGGGGCGGAAGTACAGGCTTTGTTCCCTTGTCCAATCCCGTTCGACCTGGCGCGCAAGGATGGGGGACTAAGGGCTGTCTTGTTTGTCAAACTGACACCCAGCTTCAGCTCTCCTTTTTCCCACCCTCGGGAACTAATTCCAAACATGGCAGAAGATATCTTGAATGTGGTAAGTATTGCTCGCAAGATCAATTGTGCCATGCTCATAAACCCTTAGGATCCTGATGTTTATGTCACCACCACCTATGGCGATGATTGGCAGTCGTAAGGTTTACCGGTTTACCCTTCCCCAATGGTTATCGAAATTGTATCTGACAGAACCCTAGAGAAACCACCTCCATCAACTCTTCTATCTATCGGGGCTTCATAGAAAATGGTCGTCGGTAAATGTCCCATCAATATGTCTGGTTTGACATATAGTAATTTTCCACAGATATCAAACGTTGAGCAGCAGGGAATATCCGTGCGCAGGTCTAAAGTCTCCAAAAAGGCCGCCAAGCTGACCGCTTACTAGTATCCCCTCGGATGAGCTGTCTTTCGAGTCGTATGAAGCTGGGTATGAACCACCCCTTGTACGATTATTCCCCTACTGACCAGCGTAGACACGTGGTTGCCCTGGTATTGGAATCAGAAAACGAAAATCCACTTTTCCTAGCACCTATTCAGTACAAGAATGCGCAGATCCTCGACATTGGAACGGGTCAAGGTAATTGGGCAATGTAGGTGGCATATAAAATCACCGTTCTCTTTCATTAGGGAAGTCCGCTCACAATTTTCAGCGATGTGGCCGACTTCTTACCCCAAGGTTAGTCATTTACCCCCATTGGAAATCCCAAGCAAGGTATTGTCTAAATAGACTGACCATGCTCAGCAACCGTCCACGGTGTAGACCTCTTTCCACCCCCAGTGACCTGGGTCCCCCCGAATTGCATCCTAGAGGTCGATAATGTCCTCGAGGAGTGGACCTGGAATGTTCCCCTTGACCTAATTCACATGCGAGGCATGAGCGGGTCCTTTGAACCACCTGAGTGGGACCGTGTCTACCAACAATGTTACGAGTAAGTCTATTACTTCTATCTGAATCCCGATCGGATCCCGGTAACCTAACAAGCAATCAGCAATTTAAAACCTGGCGGCTGGATCGAACAACTCGAAATAAGCCCCTACGTGTTTTGCGATGATGGCAGCCTCCCAGATGACAGCATCCTACACACCTGGGGTCCAACATTCTTCGATTGCACCGTACGCGCTGGGCGTCCCATTTGCACAATTGATACGATGGACAGTAGCATGCGTAAGTTCGGCTTCGTGGACATCCATGAGAAAGAGTATAAGTGGCCCATTGGCCCCTGGCCTCGTGATCAGAAGTATAAGGAAGCCGGGACTGCTCACTACCAGCATTGGCTTTCTGGTATGGAGGGCTGGTGTATGTGGCTGCTTACCAAGTTTGGTGCGCCAGATCCTTGGTCTAAGGATGAGGTCACCGTTTATGTGGCGAAGTTAAGGGCTGAGATTAAGAATCCTCATTACCATATTTATCAGCGGGCGTGAGTACTTCTCTTCACTTTTCTTGTGCTGGCTCATTGTCGGTCTTGGATTCGGATTGCTGACGTATCTTCTTAGACGACGTGTTTGGGCACGTAAACCTCTCCCCGACGAGCTTGCTAGGCAAGAGAATGTTAAAGAGGAAACGCCTCTTGAAATCGATCCAATTTATATCAAGCAAGAGTCTCGAGAATAAAAATGACACTTGTTGTATGATGGAGGCTTTTCATTTGCGAGGCTGATTGTTTCCCTTGACGGACTGTACCCTGCTGCATTTCAATATCCTGTATTTTGTGTGTATATGTGCTTTGTGCTTGTATGCGCCTACATTATACCTCTTCTTTTGTGTCCTTTACTCAAACATTTGTTGCAAGCATACGAACTTAACATATCTGTTTTTTTTTAGCGTGAATTGATCCCAAAACACTACCATTATTTATCTATCTCATAGTCAGACACGCAATAGAATTAACCGGGCCATCGAGATCAGATGTAGGCCTGTAGAAGGTGTACGCAGACAAAAGTTGCTCGAGTCATGGTTGAGAGTTAACGGTTGATAGGAGATCCGAGCCCATCGTATTGAAGCCTCGCAGTGTATGGAGTAGTTCCTTGATAAAGAGCAGACCGATACAACTCAAGGCATTCTAACGCTGTCGATTATTATATATCAACGCTATAGATTGAAAGGAATGAAGTCGTAAGCTACATGTAGGTCGCTGCAAGAAAGCCTAACAATGTACTTTTGTTGTCTTACGTCGAGTCTCCGCCGAGAGGCGGAAAACCGAAGCTTAGAAGTCCACCTCCAAAGATTGAAGCTGCAGAGCAAAGGTACGCCGGACCCACTCCATATATCCCTTCCACTTGTGGAGGTCGCTGGAGGATTCTGCACCAGGGAAAGCCTTGCTTAGCTCTTTGGTGATCTTTAGAATACCCAAAGATGCCTCCTGAGCCTTTTCAATTTCCTGCTTGACGGCGTTCTCCTTCGGCTTGAATGACAGGACGGCAGTGTAGCGCTCTGACAAAGCGTCAAGCAACCGTTCAGTCGCCTCGGGTACAATCTTAATCAACTTGGAAGTCATGAGGTTGCTGATGGCGCGAATGTCTTGTTCGTCGTCAATACCGGCAAGGACGCGATCAAATAGTTCCTGTGTGTGGGTGTGGAAGAATGAAGTGTCAAGCGATGCGTAGAGAGTTTCGTAGGCACTCTAGAGGAAATGTGTTAGTTCCTGCATTCACAATAAGAGCAAGGAGCACTGACCTTTCGCAAATCAAGACCATCATCAACCTTGTGCTTGAATGGACCCATTTGAACCTCGCGAATAAGCTCTGGCTTGATTTTGGTGTCTCCCAAAACAGCGGGAAGCAGTTCATCAAGGTGAGGAAGAAGAAGGTCCATCTTGTTATGGATTGCGGAGTTAAGAGTAGTCAGCGCGAGTCGGTGGTTGCCCAGATCGCCATCAGCAAGCATGTTTGTCAACAGAGGCACCATCAATGGTCGGAGAACATCGTTGAAGGCATCGCTTGGATCAGCAAGCGTATAGCGGAAGGCTGAGATCACAACTCCGCGAACAGCAGGGACTGGACTGGCGAGGTACTCCTTTAGATTTTGAGTCAGCACTGAAAACTCCGAGAGATGAATGGATGCTATTTACTTTGAAGTGAGGGATATAGGCAACGGGATCCAGAAGTGCCAGACGACCCACGCATTCGGCACCGACCGCCCGGTTATCCTCTTCTTCGGAAACGACGAGGAGTGACTGCCACAGCTTGTGAGCAGATGGCGCAAGGTCAGGCCGCACAACCTCGGGGTGCTGAAGCAGCTCCCGCACAGAGTGGAGAAGTAGGTAGCTCTGCGAGTTGGACTTCTCGAGGCCGTTTAAGATGATAGGGAGATAGGCCTTGACGCTACCCGCAGCGGCATTACCAAGAGCGGTGGCAGCGGACAAGCGAACATGATCCGACTGCGACTCAAAATGGGCAATGAAGTGGTTGGGAGTCAACGAACACTGCGGGCCCATTCGTAAGCCGATCTCTCCTAGAATTGCGAGTGCGAGGCATTTGCGGCTATCGTCCCGCGCAGTCTTCAATTCTGTAGAGAAGTCTTCCATTGTGACTCCCAAGTTTGGTCCACCATGGACGAGGAGAGTTCCAACGGCCCTACCAACCACGGAAGAATCTCCAGTAATGCCCACATCCTGCAGAAGGGTTTTCATCAACTCAGCTCCGGCGCCTTCGTCGCCGATAACCTTCACAATAAGCAGGAGAGCCTTGAGCACAGTACCGACTAGGGGCTGCTTGACAATAGAACACATGGAAGAGATCAGTGCGCTGTTAACAAGCAGCTTGGCATTACCAGGAATAAGTTTGGCAATGATGATAAGAGCAGGAGTAAGGGTGTGGAAATCAGGAGCAGCAAGAAGAGGCAGAAGGGCAGTCTCCAATGATGCCATGGTGTTGGGGGCTAGATGGGACCTGACGGTCGGGTTCATTGATAGACTGCGAAGAGCCTCTAGGCATGAACCCCGCAAGGCACGGTCTGACTTGCGCAGGTTGGATGCAAGCTCAAGGGCAATTTCATTGACCCATTCATTGGTCGCGTCCTCTTTCCGGGACGCCAGAACGACGACATCGTCAACAGCACGGACAGCAGATAGACGAGTGGTCTCATTCTTCACGCGGTCAAGCAGAACCGAAAGGCCGGTCGATCGCCTGTCAGCAGATATAAACTCTGATCCACGTTGCCCAGAGGTGCGTGCCAGAATAACACCAAAAACATGGATGGCGCGCTGACGGACTTCGAGATCGGCACTAGTGTCGGTAATTCGTGAGTGGACAACATCATAGAGCTTTTGCAGCTGCTGAGTAACGTCGGAAGCATTGGCGGATACACGAGGAGGGGTGAAAGCCTTAACCACCTGCTCAACAGCGCCTAACGCTTCACTGCTGACCTTGTAGTTGCGGTCGTTGACAGCTGCAACCACTCCGGGTACCAGGGCGATAAGAAATGGGAGAAGCGCATCGGACAAATGAGTTTCAGCAATTGCTGCAATGAGGCCAAGAGTCTCGATTTGAAGAGTACCAGCACTGACGGCAGCGCCAGTGTGAGCGGGAGCGCTCCCTGACAAAGATGAGGTCTTAAGGGCATCTGCAATTAGGTCTTCGATCTGTTGGAGATGGTCTGCGAGTCCACCATAACGAACAAGAGAGAGGCTCTTGAGGAGAATGATAGCAGCTTGCTTAAGAGGAATCGAAGCCTGCCTCCACACCTTGACGAGGTTCTGTACAATCAGAGGGACGGACCTCGCCAGGTCTGCCTGCGAACCAGACTTAGGAGAAGAGGGAGCAGCGGGAGAGTCAATTGCTGAAGAGGCTCCAATGCTCGGTTCAAAGTCAATCATGCTTGCATCACTGTCCTGACGTCTGCGCTTGCGAGAGTTCTTTGATCCACCGACGGCCTCAAGGAAATCATTGGATGTGACGATCATCGAGCCCTCTCCTGTCTTCCGCACGAGGGCGGTCAAGGTAGATACTACCTCTAGCTTCACACTTTCCTCTCTTTCCTTGCTGATGCGGGAGACCAGAGCAGGGGCAATCTGCTGGAACAAAGCGGAATTGTCCCAGGCGCGACCACGGCCGTAGGTGGAGATGACAGTGTAGAGAAGCTTGGCCGCACATCGGCGGACCTTCCAGCTCACGTCATCAATGTCACTGTAGCCCCCATCTTCTTCGAAATCCTCGAAATCATCGTCTTCGTCCATGTCGGGCTCTTCTGTGGCATCGTCTTCGCTCCCATCGTCTTGTGTTCCACCCATCTCTTCGTCGTCCTCCATTTCGGCAACGTTAGGGTCATATTTGAGGAATCGTAGAGCTGATCGAGTAGTATTAGAAAGGTATGGCTGCATTTGTTGGTTGCACGAGCTGATCAATGCCTCTAGCGTCACGAGGGCTGTCTCGCGGAGCTCGTCCACCTGGGGATCATGTTCGTCATCGTTAGAGTAGACCGACATTGCGGCGATGAACATCCACAATCAAAGGGCAAATATTGAACCACAGAGCTGCAGCGGTTAAATCGCGTCGGACTGAGGTGAGTTAAGGTAAACCAGATTCGGAGGGTCAAGTTCCCCACATGATGCTTGTTACGGCGGTCTGTTGCTACCATCCGGCAAAAACTGATGTTCCCCTCTATCAAGCTCTCACCGCCTCCTTTGCCGCCTTGATATCACTACATTACATCGCTCTACTATATGACCAGTCTGCAATCGTTGAACTACAACACGCGACACCCAAGAGATTCAAGTGAAGTAACGATGAAAGAAGTGATGTCGAAAAAAGCGAGGCCCAAGCAAGCCAAAGGTTTGGAAGCGTGATGACCGAAGCATGAAGACTATGTGGACACTTGAAAGCTTTGAAGCGAGTGTACCGTTTAACGCATTTCTTTGGCCTTCGACTTCTTTTTCTATCTCTACAGCACTAACTCCGTCAGCCTGCAACATGTATTCTTGTAATGGTCAAGAATGATGACCCGAAATAAAGCCCCTCACTATCATCAGCCTTGAACTATCTTCCAAATGGAAGGTCATTTCCAGAGTGAACCAATGAGTCCACCAAAAGGAGAGCATTGATTCCGATGGACCCTCATACGCATGTGCAAAGTTCCTTTGTTGCGATTCTGTAGGCTCCAACGCGGCTACCGCTTTTGTCCGGATTCACCAACACATTCCGGCCTTGATGAATACGAAAGCGGTCCCGACTCTTGGGCACGCGAAGCCACGGGGGGATTTCCGATCTCCAGTACTGGAGGCATACCAGGCTCGGATAGTGAAAGGATGCACCGATAATCCCGCGCTTCTCGCATGGAACAAAGGCTTACAGGGTCCAGAAGGCCCGGTCCCCGGCGGTCATGCTACATGGACTGTATGGGAGAAGATTGAAGGCTTTGTCTAGGTGATTCTGATGGCGCAGGACAGTTTTGAGATCTAGATAGTGAGACCCGCGATCGCATTCGGGACGTCTTTTTCAACTGATTCAAGCAGGTCCATCTTCTACCTCAGTGAGAAGAAACCAACACTAACACGGTGGTCAGGAATATAGATCGTCTAGGTATTCTCCTCTTGTGGTGGGGTGCTGGTGCTCGTTACCTGATATGTAACTCCTCGAAAGAAAAGATTTATTTCGTCAGATTTACAAAAGCATGGGTAACCGAAGAAACGGCCAATTGGGGGAAACGGCTATGGTTGTATATGAGCTTGCTAAGCCACTTAAAGATCGGCTCTGGGCGGCCCGAGATGGGACGGTAACACTGCCGGTTCAACTTTTTAAAGGAATGAAAGCTATACCTTGAGTCTCGCCGAAACGTGTAGTAATGATGTTCAGGGCAAGCAAGATGGATATACTGACCGTGACAGTGAAAGAAGAGGGTTTCTTCACCCCTATGAAGCTCCCCAAAAGAATTAGTATCTGTCATTGGCCATAAGTCCGTTCATACTCCCAAGGGTATAGGATCTAATTGGTTCAACCGAGTCAATCGAAAATGGTGAAAAAGAGATGAAAAATAGAGAGGTCAAGTTAGCTACAAAAAATGTACGACATGGTGCACCTGCTGTTGTCTAGAACCCCATAGCGCTCTGAACATATTTATGATCCCAGTTGGAAGTACTGCGACAGCCTCCCAGAGTTGCTATACTGCGACTGAGTCCTAAAATCAATTTAGTGGCTTCTACCTAGTACAATTCGCGGGCGTAATGTAAGTGGTACATAATAGATTTTGTGCAAAGAGTCATATAGGGGTTATAAAATTATATACAGTGCCACCAATAAAGTAGCTGAGGGTGAGTCAGGTGACCTCACTGCAAGAAGTCGAAAAGATCAAGTGAAGGCTGCGCACTTTTCTTCGACGCCATAAGTGCTTGAAGACCGCCTTGTTTGCGTGTCTTGGCTCTCTTCTTGCTGCTTTGGTTGTCGGCTGATTTGGAGGAATCGATTGATGCTTGTAGATCGTTGGTATCAAGAGTTGGGCCTTTGCTGGATGCCTTGGCAGCAGAGGCTCGTAGAGCTTTGAGAGAATTTTTCTTCTTAGACTGAAGCACTGTACGTTTACGACATCGTAAGCACTTGTAGACGGTAGCTATAGACCCAGGAAGCGCAGACCGGCTTGAAGCTTTGTCTCTTTTGGGTTTGACATCGGTGACTTTCGTCCATCGAGGTTCTCTGAGGCTTCCACAGGCACCACAGTAACATTTTTTTTGTGTATTATTCAATGCCTTAGAATTTTCGTGAACAAGCTGTGTGTGTAGTGACAGGAGATGGGAGGACGTGGAGGGACTGGCGGCGAGCGCGCCAGCCGCTCGATTGAGAAACCCCTGCCTTGAATCGGTAGCCATTCTCAATGCGAGCAAAGATGCTTATTGGATAATGATTGGGTTTGATGTGGTGAAGTGAGGCTACTAGGATCAAATTGACAATGAATTGGTTGGTTTGCACGTCAGAGATTTGCTTCCGAGCTTAAAATGGTCCAAGCTCCACCTCATCTCATCTACTTCCTTTCCACGCTCGCTCCTTTCAACGATTTCCCCCTTTCCTTTCCCATCTTTTACTTTTTTTTCTTGTGTCGTCGCACTTCTTGTTTTTCGGGTCTTTCGAGAACCCTACGGACGACGACTCGTCGGCCTTACCGCGTGGAACACGTTGATATCATTGCTTTGATCAATTGATACTTCGCGATGTCTACTCCGCGCATTGCATTTGAAGGTTGCGTAAGTTAATAGGCCGGTCTATATGACCACCCCACTTCACAGCTTCCGTCGCTAACATTCTAATGTAGGGTCACGGCAGCCTTCATGAGATTTATGAGCGCGTCCAGCAGAAGGCGCAGGCCAAGAAATGGGAAACCGTTGATCTGCTCATCATTGGCGGGGATTTCCAGGTAATTTATCATGCCTCGTGCTTGAATGAATTCATGTCTAATACCATCAGGCTTTGCGTAACTCCAACGATGCGACTTGCTTGTCTGTGCCGGCCAAGTACAAGCAGATTGGCGATTTCCACGAATACTACAGTGGTCAGCGTACAGCTCCTTTCTTGACCATATTCATCGGTGGCAATCATGAGGCAGGAAACTACCTGCTAGAGCTTTACTACGGTGGCTGGGTCGCTCCCAACATTTATTTCCTCGGCGCGGCCAATACCATTAGGTTTGGTCCCCTGCGCATCTCTGGCATGTCCGGAATATGGAAGGGATACGACTACCGCAAGCCCCATTTCGAGCGCCTCCCTATGAATGGCTCTGATATTCAGTCTATCTACCACGTGCGCGAACTCGACGTCCGCAAACTCCTTCAGGTACGCAGCCAAGTTGACATTGGCCTGTCCCACGATTGGCCGCGTGCCATCGAAATGCACGGCAACTTCACTCGTCTCTTCAGGCAGAAGAGAGGATTTGAAGAAGATTCTGTCAGTGGTAGATTAGGAAATGAAGCTGCTCGTGAAGTCTTCAACTACCTTCGCCCGGCTTTCTGGTTTTCGGCACATCTTCATGTCCGTTTCACCGCCGAGGTGCAGCATTCAAGAACTACTTTGGGTCCTGCTCAGGCCATTTCCCCAAAGATTGCCGTCCCCGACACCGCCGATGTTCCCGCTGGCAGTGTTTTCGCTTCCGACGTCCCTGCTGCCGATATCCCAGGTGATAACCTTCCTGCTGCTGCTAGTAAGGGCGATGTATCCAACAGTTCCCAAGGCTTGTTTGTGAATGGAGCGGTCCGACAGGCTACTGGAACCGAGGCTGAGCATCTTGCTGCCTGGAATAACCTCCACAATGTGGCCCAAAGAGACGAAGCGCGCGATGCCAATCACCAACAGGTGTCGGGCTATGTGCGCCCAATGGAAACAACTGAGATCTCAGTCATCAAAGGAGTAAAGAGAAACATTGTGCGCGGTTCCGATGGACAGCCGACTGAACTACCTGATGAAAATCAAAGCAAAGTTGAAAATACCGATAAAGTCGATTTGGATAGCAGCCCTGAAAGCAGCCCCGTCGCTAAGTCCCGCCCTGAACCAGTGATTCCATTGAAGGCCAAGACAGTTGTTGCGGACCAAGGCTCAAAAGTCGACAACGATGACAGGATTAGCTTGGGTAGCAGCCCAGTCAGCACGAGTAACGCCCTGTTAGCCTCTGACCAAACCAAACCTCTCTCGAAAGTGGTACCCAAATTTGGCCTTGATTCTTCAGCCGATACCAGCGACCCTGACTCCGATGATGACCTCCTTGGGGCTCTGGGCACCCAGCTTCCAGGTAGCTTGGATGCTCCACCCCCTCCAGCCCCAAAGCCACAGAAAGAACTCGCTGCGGAAATTAAGAACCTCACAACTAAATTCCTCGCTCTGGACAAGCCGATGCCCAGGGATGAGTTCGTTGAACTGCTTGAAATCGAACCGATCTCTGCGGTACCTGGCAATGAGATCCAGCGTCCCTTCTGCTTGCAATACGATCCCGAGTGGCTCGCAATCAGTCGCGTTTTCGCAGACGATCTTGAACTTGGCAATCCGTTTGCCCGCGTTCCTGATCACAAGGGTGATAATCACTACAAACACCGCATTGAAGAAGAGCGTGCTTGGATTGAGGAGAATGTCGTCAAAGCTGGCCGTCTGGATGTCCCCTACAACTTTGTACAGACTGCTCCCCCCTATGACCCATCCGTATCTATCGCCACTGAGGACCAGCCTCCTGAGTACACCAACCCTCAGACCACTTACTTTTGCGATTTGATCGGTATCGAGAACAAGTTCGATGTCTCGAATGAGGAACGTGAGGCTCGTGCCCTTGCTGGTCCCCGTCCAGATAACTATCGTGGTGGCGGTAGACACAATGGTCACCGTGGGGGTCGCGGTCATGGCAGGGGTCCGCACCGTGGGAACCGAGGCCGTGGTGGCCGGGGCGGTCGTGGCGGTCGTGGCGGTCGTGGCGGTCGTGGCGGTCGTGGCGGTCGTGGCGGTCGTGGCGGATGGTAGTTCTCGTCTATTCAGTTCATCATGTTAACTTAAGTGCTAAGCCTATGAAACCCGAATAGTTTCATAACATCTCCAGTCATTAAAATTGCTCCATAATGTAGATGTTCGTATTAGATGCCTTCTCTACCAACAGTAGTCACAAACTTATAGGCAATACTCTGTCCATACACCCCACCTTGACGTGATCTGAACGATTCACCCGAGGCACTCGAAAATGGGAAAAACGAGGTCAAGAAAGAGGCTTAGAACAATGTATTGAAATTACGAACTTGCTTCAAGGGTTTCGTAAAGAAATTAACCAAATGGTCATTTTTCTACATATTCCTAGTCCATCATATTATTCATCTCCCTCACTCAATCTCCTCAATCCGGGGCCGTCCTGCACTATCCTGGCCACCCAGTGGATCGATATTCAGACCCTCAATCCTATCAGATAGTCCAAATCGAGGGTAGAATGACTCCTGACCATCGTTTGCACCAATACCCCACATCATAGACTTCTCCATCCAGGTCTCTAAGCTCTCGATCAATGCGCGGAGATGCCCACGGGCAATTCCATCCTCCTCACGACTTTCGACGAACCCAAGGGTGCGTAGCATGGTGGGAATATTGCCGATGGTGAACTCTGCACCCGAGTTGGAGGCTTTAGGGGGCGTCTGGTCAGAAAGGGAGAAGCCAAATCCGATGTGCTGTCCCCCCCGTGTCTCGCGCATGGACTCTAGTGCTTTCAGTGTATCCAGAATGAGGACGGCGCTTGCACGACGGAGAATGGCACTTTCGACTCCAGGTTCAAGGGTGAGGGTGGCAAGGGCGAGCTCGATGGCCGAGGACACGATGACAGGACCAAGACCGATGATATTGGTATGGATTGCGGAAGCTAGGATAGAGAGAGCTGACGCACGGATACGAAGATCGTCGGGTTGTTCATCTGCAGAGGCACCAGCGGCCCATGCTGCAACAACATTCGAGGCATGGGCAGCTTGCTCGGGAGATTCAGTATCCGAGTCTTCGTCCACAATGTTCAACTCGGTGGCAGCCTTGTTGATAGCTGAGGACATGGACCAGCCAGGAGGGAGGGCATCTTCCCTTGCTTTGCGTTCTTCAAGATCCTTCTTACGACGTTCTTTCTCAGCCTGTTGCTCGCGTTTCTTCTGCGCTTGAGGCTTGAGCTGACGGCGGCCAGCCACAGCGATTAGGCCCTCGCCAAAGATCTTGGCTGTCTCTCCAGAAAGTGCCTCGCCTAGGTCTTGGATTGTTCGCAATAAAGCCTCGCCTACCTTGAGTCGCTCATCAAGATTTGTGATCTCAGATCTATCGGCATAGGTATCTATCAAGGTCTTGACTACTGTGCGAGGGTGGCGTGCTGCTAACGTACCAACGATCTTGATAGCGTTCAAGTAAATGTACTGTTCAGGTGCAGCCACCCCAGACGTGTCGGTAATGACCGCCAGAAGGATCGACATGGATGACGGGACGTCCAGAACGGGCGACGAATTCATGATAAGTTTTGAAAGAAGGGATAAACCTTCTGCTTGTACTGGAGGTAGATCCGAGTTAAGGTTCGCCAAAGCTTGACGATGGGTTTCGAGATCTGATATGTGGGCAGGTATAGACCTGGTTCCGGTTTGCTCTGGTGAAGCGATATGAATTTCCAGAAGCATGGAAGATGTCATGCCAGGTTTGGAGAGAGAGGAAGGTAGAAGAGGTATGAGTTGGTCAATGCCTCCTTTGAGAGATTCCAAGAGGGGCAGGATATCGTTGGATGGTGAGAAGTCTGGCGATGCGATGACGGTAGAAAGCAAACTGAATGCGGTTGTTAGCGACTCAAAGGAGTCATTACCAGGAGTATCATCGTTCTCTTTGTTTTCACTTTCGACAATATTCGCCAAATTGGACAAAGACACATTGCCAGATTCCGCTTTTTGTTTGGACGCTGCTTGAGCTTTGACTTTATGAAGCTCTCCATCAACGACTTGTTTGATTAACTCCAAGACACGAAGTGGACGCCGAGACAGCGTGTCTTTAAAGTTTTCAAGCAATTTCTCGGCAACCTTAGCACTGACGAGGCTTCCAATGAGATGATCGCTTTCACCAATGGGTCTTGCGCCCAGGGTCTCTTGAGACTGCGTTGAATGTTGCGGCTGCACAAGCCATTTCTCACTCACATAGAGAAATATGTCACCAGTTCTCTCTTCGCTGCTTGGGTCTGAGCCTAGCAGACAGACAAAGAGTTCAGCACGTGTTTGCAGAGAGTTAATTAACTTGATGAAATTTGAGTGATTGCCATGTTCTTCTGTTCGCTTCTTCAAGGCCAGTTGATCATCCGAGTCTTTAAAATATGTCCACGTGAGACCACCGTCCCAAAGAAGATTATCGACAATCTTTTTGAGCGGTTGGACGCCTACCGAGATACCAAAATATGTATGTAGAAGAGGCAACACTAGTTCATGAAGGGTGGACAATTGCTCTTCCTGGGAAGCACAGGCAAGACCCCATAATGGAAGAAGAATGGGGTAAACGAGTCGCTTCACCAGACCCGGGTTTGGATGCTGCAGTGTTAAGCATCTGATTCGGTTGATAGCCAGAATAACTGTTGCCCCATCAACCGTGATAATTGAGCCAGGGCTCACGTCTTTGAAATCTGGCATAGAGCCCTCAACGTCGGAGAAGCGGGTCATCCATCGCTTGGATTTGACATCAAGTTCTCCCGTTAATGCTTTGAAGATTGGCTCCACAAATATCGAATGACCGATAGTACCTGGTGCTCCATAGGCCCGCTTTCCCAGGACTCCATTACCAACGACGTAGGAAGCAGTTTTCCGCAAATCTGGATCCTCGCCGTCTATCAAGGCAAGTAGTTGCGGGGCAATCTTCCCAAAATACACAACTGGGTCAACATCCTGTGGCACGGACGAAAGAAGTCGTGAGATTTGCATGATAGCTTGCACTGTCAAATGAGGCCCGCTAGATTGGTCCTGGGCCTCTTGGCCCAATGATGGTGCAAATTGCGATGCGATGAACATGATGGTTTGCACTACTCCACCTGGCCGTAATGGAATGTGCGAGATCAGACCAGAGATTGTTGACTTGAACCATTGTGCAATGTCAGATTGAAGGAAGTTAGACAGCGCCGGTAGCAACACTGTGGTAGGGGTATCTGCGATGATCTTGACCAACGCTTTTTGATAGATACCCTTGTCATATGATGGCGTGGAATGCGGATTGAAGGCAAGTTCTGAAGTGCCGCTAATAATGTCGCTGAGGATACGACCCCGAACCACCGGCTGAATGCCCGGCCTCGGATCAAAAATGATATCCATCAAGACGTCGATGATCTGGCGTAGCAGCGTTTCGTTGCGAGGTACACTACTATTGACAGTCTCTGCTTGTTTTGCAATGACTCCTGCTGGTAGAACGGATATCACTCGTTGCTGGAGAGGGATCCCAACGCCCGATGACAGCGAAGGATATATTCCCTCCAGAGAGATCAAGTCGAGCAGCGCATGCAGCATCCGGCGTCGCTTGGCATCTTCCATGGCCATATCTTCACCTTCTGTGGCCAGCTGTTGAGATGGATCCGCGCCATCGGATGAAGCGAAGGATGCATGAATACCAGCCAAGATATTCAAGGCCTTCCTGATGATGGCCGGCCTCGACACATCGTCACTGGCAGCATCACTCCCAAATGCCTGATTCAGAATACTGAGCAATGAGTTTCCTTGGGTCTTTTTTATTTGTTCTTTTGACACATTAGGCTTGAGATCACGCACGTAATGGCGATTATGAATAGCATACCTCGATCAAGTACCGGGGTTAGGAAATCGTTGGCTAGGCCGAACGCATCCTGGATTTGTTGCAGATACCCCATTATGGACGGTAGCAGGATGGGATCATGATGGAACCAAATATTATTAGACCTACTGGGCCCTGATATCTCAAGAACTGAATGAATAATCGAGAAGCAATCAACGGAAAGTCTTGGCATTTTGTGCCGATGATGTAAGCAGATTCCCACTGCTGTGGTCACGTGGTGTCCGTGTCAGTCTCGTGACGTCCGTCACGGATGTCCCAAATCGCCGCGTCGATAGCGCGTCAACGAACTCCACTCTGTTGTCCACCTTCGTTGACAACCACCCCCATTCAACAGCTCTTCAACAGATCATCTGAACAGCGACTTGCAATGCCTCAATCATTATGAGCCGTACTCTGTCTTCGACATTCATTGGACCCACTCTCAGTTGAGACGCGCCTGAACTACACCACTACTGTTTCCTGAATGTAAAGCCACTCGACTCTCTTGCCTCCCAGGGCACCATGTACAAAGTTTACCCTTCCCGATCTCCGATTCTAGCCTGCTGCCTTTAATGGCGACTTGTTGCATCAGTTTTGTCTTTGGCGACTCGGACAGCTTCAGGGCAGAAGATATTGGAGTCAAACCCTAAGCCCTCCTCGGTTCAATGTCCCTCCCACCGGACGAAGTCTCACGGAATGTGCATGCCGGATACTACGATTAGCTGAAACAGACTGTGATGGTCCGATTAAGTGAAAGAAATTCGATTTGTCCAGAGCCTCCGGGCACAAAAGACGGTTTACTATGCGTTCAAGTTCTAAGAGACGACGCGTCAGTTTACCAATGCTGGATTCTGCATGCCAGTCACGATTGGATGGTCACCTATGCCTCGGATTACAGTTCAACCATGAGAGAACACGGGCGAAGCATGTCGGGTACTTCGGTATTAGATGTCACTTTGAGGAACAACCACGACAGCTCAAAGAGATAGCAATTGAATGTGACATTCAGGGCTCGAATTCCTGGGGCATCAACTAGCTTGGATCCGAGATTCTGCGCCTAGAACACAACCTGTCCTTACGCACAGTCATAGTGTCAGCCATATCAGAATGATTCACTCGTCGGAATCAACTTTCATCTCCCTGAAACCCACCCAGGTGTTTTTCATAGTTAAAGTTGTAGCGAGGTCGTTATTTTATGATGCCTATGGCTCTTTGCGGACTGTTGTCTTGTTCCAGTTGGCAAAGTCTCTCCCCAAGAAAGCCTGATGTTTTTCGAACTTGTTCGCCTGCAATTCTTTCTGTGATTCTTATTGCATCAACTGTCTGTTCCTGCACATGTTTCCCATCTCGAGATTCCTGGGAATCTCTCCCCATGTTCCACCTCTTGGACGCTGTTTTTTCCCTCACCCCAAGGCGGCTAGGCACCACGGATCACAGCAACCGCAAGATTCGTCTTCGTCAGAAGATCCCGACTGACCATGTTAACCATCTCTTTGTGAAGCAGTTTGCAAATAGATTGATGGGCGCCGACTCCAACAACTCACCGTTGTTCCTTCCCCCGTGAAGAAGGAAGCGATTTTTCAGGATGTTCTTTGTGCGCTTCACATCATGCCCTCCTATCATACCTTCGGGTGACTAGGAGAGGAAACAAAAACCTGTCCCAAAGGGTACTGTACCACACACGAGGAAGTCGGCTTCATGTTCTTGCGATTATAATGGCGAAAGTGATGGCGATTCGACTGAGATTGTGGAGATGAATGACATTGAGTGGACTCTAGTTGAGGTTATTGTTTTGTTGCTAACTTCGTTTTGTCGTTGTGAGAGATGCATGGGTATTTGTGGGCTTGTGGGCTCCGTTCGTTCGGCTTTTGCTGGTAATCAGTCATTCCTCAACACCCATTTAGCGCTGGCATTTGATACTTTCCCCGCGACTCGATTGATTGCAGATGTTCTGGTGGGAGAATGCTTGATTTCCATACTTCGAACGCTTGATCATATCAGCCCATTTCCTGGTTGCCACGGCGGCGGTGCTCTTGGTCGACTCCCATATGTATGCGCCATGCAGTGAGTGTTGTGGGACCTCTCTTGAGTGAGGCTCAAAGCTTTGGCTTGTCCACGATGCTCTTCTGTTGCTGCATGTCCCCGGCTGAGGCTCGCTGTTGTGTAATTGGAGTGAACTGACAAGCGACAAGTGGGAAGTTGGGGCTCTTCCACTAATAAGGGACTTCTCTATGGTCTCTGAGGATCAGGTTTTGGGTCAGTGTCGGTTCTATTAAATTATGGGAGCAGAATGCTTCTGGGCCGGTGGTAGTTAGCGAACTGCCGTTTCCTCCGCCTCGGTGGTTGAAGCGGCCCTTTTTTCCTTTTTATAAGTATCCCCTCCGTCATGCTATGTGACACTGCTAACTACTCAAAAAGTGAAACAAGATCGAAATTCACAATTGATGCCCGATATAACTACGTCATAAAATTTGAATAAAAACCAAGATTATATAATCGCATTTGTCAGCTGCATCTGCCCCTCCGCATAAGCCCCGCGCAGAACAAGAAGGAATCTTCCCGTGGCTCCGATAATTTTTTTGCGATAAGAATATTCTTGCTTCAAAACTTTACTGACCACTCACACTCTTTCAATCTTCATAACCCCAAATATCATCATGGTTGAGAAGTCTGATAACGACGCGCTCGAGGCGCAATTCGAGTCGCAATTCCAGAAGCCTGGCGATCTCGTCGAGCGCGACGATGACACTGGCCTCATGCAGGTTGAGAGTCTCTGCATGAACTGCCACAAAAATGTGTGTTACCTTCGCGATAATAGCTAGTGTCACCTACTAACTTATGCAGGGAATCACCCGTCTTTTGCTGATCAGGATCCCTTACATTAGTGACTGCATTGTGAGTCCAAGCATCCCTCGTCGACCGGACCGGATCGCGCATACTGATACGTCCCTAGCTCGAGAGCTTCAGCTGCGAGCACTGTAACTTCTCTGACAACAGCATCAAGTCTGCTGGTGAGATCCAGCAGCGCGGCTCCAAGTACACCCTGGTGGTTGAAAATGAGCAGGATCTTGCACGTCAGGTTGTCCGCAGCGACTTCTCCACCTTCACTGTTAACATCACCAACGAGATTGAATTGCCTCGTGGTAAGGGTCAATTGACCAACGTCGAGGGTGTGATCCAGGTTCGTGCCCCCCGCGCTTTGGTCCTCGATATCTTCTTAATTGAAATCTATAGCAAATCTACGAAGGATTGTCAGGAGAGCAGGAGCTTCGCAAGGACCAAGCCCCTGAACTGCACGATGCCCTCGTTCCCATTATCGCACGTCTGAAGAAGATCTTGGATCGTGATGACGCCTACCCTTTCACCGTCTCGCTGGACGATCCCACCGGCAACTCGTGGATCGCGCCCAACACCTCCGATCGTGGCCTTAAGTACAAGCGCCAGGAATACTCCCGTACCCACGAACAGAACGAGGAGCTCGGTATCTCCAACGATGCGAACGCTGTTGCCGCCGAAAACCCTGATATGGATGCTGGAAACCCGGATGACCTCGACATTGTCGACGGTCAGGTCTACACCTTGCCCGCTGAGTGCCCCGGTTGCACCAAGCCCTGCGAAGGTGAGCAACAAATTGTACCCCTTCTCAACATCATGTTCACTAATCATCTCTGAAATAGTTCGCATCAAGAAGATCTACATTCCCCACTTCAAGGACGTTATGATTTTCGCCACCCACTGTTCTCACTGTGCTTTCCGCAGCAGTGATGTCAAGACTGGTGGTGAAGTCCCCGAGAAGGGCAAGCGCATCACTCTCCAGGTCAACAACATCGTTGATTTGTCCCGTGACATCCTCAAGTCCGACACTTGCGCGCTACGCAGTGAGGAGCTGGACCTCTCCGTCGAGCCCGGTACTCTAGGTGGTCGTTTCACCACTGTCGAAGGTATTTTGACTGAGGTGAAGGATCAGTTGGAGGGTAACGTTATGGACACCGTCAACGGCGGTGGTGACTCCATGCCTTCCGACGACAAGGTCAAATGGGAGCGCTTCTTCGATCGTCTCGACCAGGCCATCAAGGGTGACCTCAAGTTCGTCATCACCCTCGAGGACCCCATGGCCAACAGCTACGTTCAGGATCTCTGCTCGCCCGCTGTCGACCCCCAGATCACCATTGAGGAGTACACCCGTACCGCTGAGGAGGAAGACGACCTCGGTCTGACTGATATGAAGACCGAGGGCTATGAGCAGGATGAGGAGAAGGAGTAAACGAAGATACCAAATCCTGCATGCTTTCTTTCTTGCTTTTCGATGATGATTTATATCCATTTCATGATACATGAGACGCTTTTTTCCTTTTTGGAATTCTTTGCATACTGGCGTCTGCGACATGTTTTTCTCTGCTTTGAATGTTTAGATATCAGGTGATGGTTCCTGGATGGGTCACGTTACAAAAGTTATCTTTTTTTTTCAATCTCCTCTTTCGTCGTAAATGGTGAATTTAAGATTGCAGATGTATTCTTTGCTATTCTCGCATTCGTCTGTCCCATGCTCGGCCAAACCCGGAAACCCCAAGTTGCGCTCCTCCCGCAGTGGGCCCTACCTTATCCCACCCCTATGTACGCAGCCACCAAGACACAATTCTACGGGTAACAGCCTCTAGTTGTAGATGCAGAAACAGCAGTCCATAATACGTAAGATCGTCCGTATCAAAAATTGTCACCCTATGTGATAATAATTAATTTTATGATGCAGTTACATTTACCATTGGCAATCTGAAGGAAAAGAAGCAGGGGTGTTGATTAGTGGTGTCTAGTTAGGACACCAGAGGGTAAAGTTGGAACGAAGTGGGCGACAAGGAAGCTCATTCTTGCATAAAGTCAGTTGCTTGCATAAATAAACTATGGAGGAGAATTATAAATAGATACCCAAGCAGATCTCTAGTCTGTAGGGCTGAGTCTAGATTTAATGGCAGCTTCTGAGGTTCATCTTGATCTATAGTTCAGTCTGGCACCAATCTATGTATCTTGACAACTTCTCATACAACCTACCCGGATTAGATATGGCAATAACTGAAACATAAATAATACAAAAATATTCTCTAAACCAACATGTGAGAGAGCATCTCTATCGCTTGCCCCAAGGCTTTCTTGCCTTCTTCACCTTCTTGTACATACATGGTCCCATAACCCGAGCTCATGTTCTCCTTCTTCCCAGGCAGGTCGTCACATGTAAGCTTCGGTCCACCAGCTGATTCAATAGCTCGTTCAGTGCAACCAGCCTTGAAGCCCGACAGATCAAATTGAGTAGGCTCTGCCACCGTTGCCCCACTTAGTCTGTTTCGACGACATGCAGCCCGCCTATCTTTATCAGACTTGAAATAGGAAGGATGACTCAAGCCTCAGATTTTATCCTAGGAGATCATTCTAAGAGATCACGTAGCAGGTGTACTATTCCATGCCCCGTTTGAGCTATAAGTTGGCCGCTCTTTATGAACCTCTTTTTTTTTTTTCATTGTCGAGTATCATGGGTGGTTCGATTAGGTCATGTAAAGGTGGTGTGTCAAAGAATGTGTGACCACTATTGTAGCTTGATGACTGACAATCATAATGGATCTTTCTATTTGTACAAGTTAAAATGACAATTTACGTTGATGGAGGCTGCCATTCGGTGAAATCCTCGGAATACTGTATTTTGTTGGTTCTCCGTGATATTACCAGTCCTTTGACAAAGGTGAGTGAAAATAAGAAGTTTGAACGCTATTGAATGCCATTTCCCAATGTCCTCGTGATATTTGTAGATTGTATCATCGCCTTGGCCTCTGCGGGCAGCTTTTGCTCGAGGTATCTACTCATGAGAGTGTGACTGTCCCTATAGCACACCCGGAAACATGGATCCTTGTATGGTGGGCCATGCTTTGCGATATCCCAGGGCGTCGGGTAAAGCTTTCCTGGACAGCTACTGTAAAAGACGCCAGAAGGCATAAAGGCCGTAGGGCCGAGTGCCGAGTGCGTTCGCCGTCTGCACGAAGAGAAGTATTGGAGCGGCCTCAGCTTCAAGATGAGGATGTATTTTTATCCAGATCGCAGGTCGTGAGACCTGAAATTTGAACACCATGGAGACTTGATAGCCGCCCACTTATGGCATCGAATGTTCACTTCGCAAATGGGTTCGCATGAATCGTAACACTTTTGATCCGAAACTCCTCAAAGTCATCGCCTTCCTTAGGCTGAGAAACTTTACCCTTCTTATCAACCTTAACGTTTGCCTTCTCAAGCTTCGTGAGAACATCACCGCCCTCGTCCTGCGGACTCAAATTCAAGACCTTTCCAAACACAGTGCTGGCACCATCCAGGTGAGGGGCTGGCACGAATGAAATAAAAAATTGGCTTCCGTTGATCGTGGCACCGGTTGCGCCCTGGGACCCTGGCGCAGTTCCATCTTTCACCGGCCGAGATGCCATGGACAGGATGCCTCGCGCATTGTGTCGTAGTGAAGGGAGGTGGATTTCTTGGTTCATTGCTGTTGGGTGGTAAATAGATGTGCCGCCTTTGGGAATATCGAAGTCGAGCATGGGCTTCGTGGAGTCTTGCTGTTTCGCGGCTGGGCCGAGAGATATGTCTCCGCCTTGGATCATGAATCCTGGGATCAAGCGATGAAAAGGTGTGTTGTTATATGCACCGCACGCGCAAAGGGCGAGGAAGTTCTCTGCGGTTTGGGGGACAGCTTCGCAGAAAAGCTCGACCTTAAGGTCGCCTTGGGTTGTATGCAACTGTGAAAGTCGGTCAGCGCTATGACAAGCAAGATAGGAGGACGTAGACCAAATACAGGACCTGAGTCATTTGTAAACTTACAGTGACAGACATCTTTGAGGGAATTGAGCAGCTTGAGCGTGGATGAGAAAGTTGATCAGATGCGGCGTCAAGATCCCCGGCCGATGTGGCGCTGAGTCAGCATTTTCTTATCGATGCGCCGGGCAGGCGCCGATGTTTATTGTCAGCTTGATCCCTTCAGTTCGTGCGAATTGGTCCTCAGAACGCTCGATAGCTCCAGCCCTCCCATAAGGTCATAGATAGCTACCCATATTACCTCGCCTCTCGTCACGCACTGATAGTGCCGAATCCAAACCGCATATCACCGGACAACGAACAATGAACAACCGGCCGGTTGAGCAGGCCCTTGGCACATTGGTGCCGACACACGCCAATGACCTTCCGCAAGAGCTGCTTAGCTATGCAATGTCTCTGGTTGCGCAGTCCCGGAGCTTCTCGAGCAGCCTGAAGCCCGAGGAGGAAATCGCTCGCCCCTACGCTTGTGCGGAAATTGCTTGCAGAAGGTACTCCGAGCTCAACCACATTCCATTTGACAATTGGGCGCTAATTGCCTCTGTTCCACATCTTAGACTAAGCAGAACTCTCAAACTTCCCCCACTATTGGGGCATGCGCCATGCCCCCCACGCATCTACAAGAAGCTTTATACATATCTCGATCGATCGCTGACGGCCAGCTCAGCTGGAATTAAGCGATCAGCAAGTGGTTCAGCCCCAGGAACACCATCCCGTGCTAGCTCGACGCAGACGACACCAACGAAAGGGGCGGCGACCATGAACAGCCCAACGAAGATGGTAGCACCGACACCTCGAGGACTACAACACTCGCCGTCAAAGCCTACTCCTCTAAAGAGGAGCATGAGTACGGCAAACAATCTCGGCAGTCCCTCGAAGTTAGCAAAGAAGCCTTCAACAACCCGGCCTATAGATTTTACTGGGTCAACTAGCATCCCAGATGCCCCGGCCTGGGTTATGACGGCCATTCGGACAGTATGCAAGATTTTGTCCACTCCTGCGCCACGTACAAACTCATGGTCGCGACCGCCTATCTCAAGAACTTTGCCTCCGCATATCTTCTCTGGTGTCTCCTCCATTCTCTATCATACCTCGAGCATGTCCAATGATGAAAAGGGGTGGGACGAAGAGACACTAGACTTTTTGGAACCGATTGTGTCCATTCGGGCCTCTGACAAAGACGATGATTTCAAAGAATTGGTATATGCCATGACTGTTGCTGTCTACTTCCTTGTCTTAGCTCGGCGCCGCAACCCTGGGCCTGATGCAGAACAAGATGTCGAGACACAGAAAATGGATAAGAAAACATTCATTGAGATGCGCCAAACGGCATTGAATAGTCTTGGACTCAAAGCCAATGACCGCAGACACCGCGATGATGTTGACCAGTGGATCGCTCTGATCATGGAGCAGGGGTGGGCCAATGGCCAGGAGTGGTTTGAGAACATTCCCTATGCTGGTCAGCTGTTCGGCGACGATGAGGAAGGCAAGTCCTATCAGGATATTGATGAAGAAGATGCTGCACTCAGAGGCGTCAGACTGCCAAAGCGTTCAGTCGGTGGCGAAGGGACTCGTTCAAAGTCTAATTCTGCTCCTCGTAGTGGTCTTTTGCCTGGCCTTGGAACCATGATGCAGGATCGTGTCGACTGGCTGAGCGATGACCGCCAGGAGGATTTCGTAGAATGGAAGGCATATATCATGGCTCGCATCCAAGGAGCTGCTGCTTGATTACATGTATACTACCCAAGATTGTTTCATTATGAAGGAGGTGCAGGCTGTTCGATTAATTGATACCCTAAGATACATGAATCAAAATATTCTTTTAGCATCACCATGCATCGCTATAAGCAATGAATTAAATTCGTCTTGATCTAACCAGTCCAGACCACCGCAATGTCTATGTCCTCTATCTAAATACCGTCACTCCCAGAGCAACTGAAATATTTCAAGTCTCAATGCAAAATACGCAACCCGAAGCCATGCGCCTATAGCGCCAAACCCCCGAAGGGACACTATCCCAATACTCAATACCAAATACTTCTCGTCCGGTGGTGAGGAATGGACTCGTTGTTCTCCGCCTCCAGGCTCTTCATCGTATCATACAAGAAGAAATCGATGAGAATGGCATTAATGCCGTAAGCCTTGCGCTGGCCAGTCTCGGCGACGGCCTTCGCTTCCGTATCCTCAGTTGCCTCCCCTCCATTTTCAAGGCTCTTGGCAGAGGCCTTCTTGCCACCCATCTTGACCTCGGGGTGCCGTCTTTCGATCTCCCGCTTAATCAACTCCACACACCAGATACTCGTTCCTCGAAGCTCGATCTCCCAGTTTGATCCTGGCTCTATGGGCTTCCGGTCACGGATGTGGCTGTCAAGCTTGGGGGCATAGCGAATGCAGTTTAGTTGGTGAAGCATCTGTGGGATGCGGTAGTCTGGTATATATGTCAGATTTGCCTGTCAGAGGAGATCGTACGAACGAAACAGCTTACCCGCAAACATGGTAATCTTATCGATGTCGTGGAATTCACCAAAATTCTCCCCATTGAAGCAGGCCCAGAGATCGGCAACCAGGATCTGAGCACGCTTGTAGAGACGGACTCTCTTTCCGTGGAAAATTGCCTCATCGCGGAAACAAGAGAAGTTTTCTGTTAGGATGTTTACTAGTCCTGCGGCTGAGAAATTGGCGCTGTCGACGCAGTTTGCGAAGCTGCCTCCAAATTCCTATACGATCATCAGAATAGTTCCTGAAGAGACCCGTGGTTTGAGACATACACCACAAAGAACTTCACCTGCTTCGCGCAGGCACTGCACACGTTCCTTAAACATGGGAATTTCTTCATCTGTTGCTGACCGGAAGACATGTTTGAGCAGCTCCTCGGTACATTTGTCTTCATCAACCCAGAAGTCAGGGGTTGTAATTGGGATGTCTGCGAGCTGTCAATTAGACTTTGTTCTATCAAATGAAAACTATCCACAAACTGACCTTCATCCAAAGCCCTCCGCAAAATAGCAACGAGACTCCAATATCCCGTCCAGCACTTGCCACGATATTCAACACAGAACCGCTTAGGCTCCTCTTCCTCATCAGAGAAGAAACTAAAGTTCAACAGATCCATGGCGAAGATGAAATCAACAGTACTCTCATCTTTAGTCTGCGGGTGTAATTCATGTTCTGACCAAGTCTGCGTGGAGTATTCTTTCTTCTGCATCATACGCCATATCGTTTCGGCAGCTTCCTTGGTGAATTCGCGGCTCACTGCCACATCAATGGCATTGTCAAAGACATACTGCGCACCTTCCAGCACCCTAGTCTCTGGTGGGGCATTTTTGGCCTGTCCGCCACCTAGTCCAAGATGCTGGCGGAGAAGCTCTACTAGCTCGGGGTCTGCTTCATCATCGGAGTTCACTTCCACTTGCTCGTTTTTTTGAGCTGGAATTGGGTCTCTTGAAGGCATGATGTGTCACTTGCTTTGATTCTGAAGCAATTGATATGTGGATGGATAGATGCAAATAATCGAGATATCTCCTTTGTATCAACTCAGGGGATTCTGCGGTGAGTCAACCACACGATCACGATAGAATTTCTGACCACCCTTGTAAGCTTGATTCAGACCTTGCACGGATTCGGGAATTGTTGCCACAATCAGGATCAAACTGATCAGAGAAATCCCTCGAGTGATCTTTCCAGATGTTCTCTCGCCACACCGAAAATTCGACCCGATGGCTTTGGATAGAGACAAGATTAGGTAAGCAGGGGTAATGGCCACTCGGATTTGGCCCTGAAATGTTCTCTACGCGGATAGATATTGGTTTGATAGTATTGGAGAGTATTACTATGGTTGGGAGTCAAGCACCTTGCATGTGGTGCATGGTCATTTGGCCACGCTAGAGCTAACTATTGTATAGTGCTGTGCAGTCCGTAGATCATGCAGGGTATAAAGTAATGCTCTACTTGTTCACCAGGTACACATGGATTGGTTCACTGTAACTGTGAGCTCAATATTCATATCCAGGGCTTCAGCTCCGAGAGCCAGAGGGGTATATCTGAGCATTTTGGTGGACCTTCTGGAACAAGAATGGTAGATGCAACGTGCAGGAGATAGGTAGAACTGGATTGCAAAGACAATTGCGATTTGACGGTCAATTACCGCTCAGTAATACCAAACATCCGAGAGTTGAAAAGAGAAGAAGGCCAAAAAGAGGAAATTGGTGTTGTTGTAGTTTCCCCAGATTGTGCCGTCATCAGCCTCAGATCGTTTCCGGTTCTCCAGCGCTTCCCTTCTCTCTTCTACCTTCACTTGCTGCCTCGACCTCCCTCTTTCGCCTTTTCTCCTACCTTCGCAACGCGACATTCCTCTTTGATCAATCAAACACCAGATTCTGATCACGACCAACCTCTGCTCCATGATGCGGGACAGCTCCGTGAAGCGGTCCCTCGGGACGGACCTAACCACCATGGTCAAGACGGTATAGACAGCCCTAGCGCGCATTACTTGTTGTCTCCTATGCAATCTCGCGACTATATGCTGACATTTCCTTGTCCCCTCTAGTCTCGCGTTTTGCTCGTCGGCGCTGGCGGCATCGGCTGTGAGCTGCTCAAAAACCTCGTCCTGACCGGCTTTGGCGAGATCCACATCGTTGACTTAGATACAATCGATCTGAGCAACCTGAATCGTCAATTTCTCTTCCGTCATGAGCATATAAAGAAATCCAAGGCTTTGGTACGTCTTATCAACGCCCCCCGCGTGATCGCGCCGCTCCCTTGCGAAACCCTCAGAATACACCGCCGCGCATTCGCATGGAGTATAGGCTCTAGTGACAACAAGAATGGCTTACTAACGTATTAAATTGATGTATAGGTCGCCAAGGAAGTTGCACAAAAGTTCCGTCCTGACGTCAAGCTTGAGGCCTACCACGCGAATATCATGGATAAAGAATTCAGCATCGATTGGTTTGAAAGTTTCACGGTCATTTTCAATGCGCTCGACAACCTTGCCGCGCGGCGCTATGTGAACCGGATGTGTCTCGCGGCCGGGGTGCCTCTGATTGAAAGTGGAACTACAGGCTTCAATGGCCAGGTTCAGGTCATTCGCAAGGTGCGCAAGACTTACAGTGAAGTATCCGACATATCTGGGATTTACTGACTTGAGAGTATACTAGGGCGAAACGGAGTGCTATGACTGCACCCCGAAAGAAGTACCCAAAACGTTTGCCATTTGCACCATTCGCAGCACGCCCTCTCAGCCAATTCATTGCATCGTCTGGGCAAAGAGCTGGCTTCTTCCGTAAGACTGAGATACCTTTTCACATCCTGTGGATACTGACTATTCAAAAGAGAGCTATTTGGCACAGGCGAAGACGAAGCGACAGAAATCCAAGCCGATGAGAATACGGATAATGGTTTGTTTCACATGATTTCACCCATTGAAGGCCAAACTGATGTCAAGCTATAGCAACCGAAATTGCGGAACTGCGCAAGGAGGCATTTGACATGAGGGAGCTCCGAGAAGCATTGGGAACCGACGAAGGATACCGAAAGGTTTTCCAGAAGATTTTCGGCAAGGACATCGAACGCTTGAAAAATATGGAGGATATGTGGAAGACACGTCAGAAACCACAGCTCCTTGACTTTGAAGTCCTCGACCAGAAGCTCTCGTCTATTGATCCAGCTATTGCCACCAAAGACCAAACAACATGGACCGTGGAGGAAAACTTTGCTGTTTTCCGGAATAGGTAGGAAACCAATGGGGTTCCCAGCGCCACGCGGAGATTAACTTGAATTATAGCTTCAATCGGCTGAGCAATCGCCTCAAGGAACTACAAGCTGAGACAGATGGTGGCGAGCCCCCGATTCTAACGTTTGATAAAGATGATGTGGACACCTTGGACTTCGTTGCAGCGACGGCAAACCTCCGAGCCATTGCTTTCCATATTGAAACGAAGTCCAAATTCGACGTTAAGCGTGAGTTTTCGCTATGTTAACTAGTTCGATTTGATCACAGCTAACGAATATTGCAGAAATGGCGGGTAACATTATCCCGGCTATTGCTACCACAAATGCGATGACGGCCGGACTTTGTGTACTTCAATCATTCAAAGTACTGCAGCAGGATATGGTGCATGCCAAGACGGTAAGATTCTGAACTCCCTCCCATTACCATTGCAAGCTAATAAATCGTGTTGGAAAGGTGTTTTTAGAGAGGTCCGGTGCTCGTGCCATCAACTCGGAGTCCTTAAATCCTCCGAACCCCGATTGCCCTGTCTGTTCGGTGCCTCAGATCCGAGTGGAAATTGATCCCGAAGTGGCAACCGTGAATGATCTAGTAGAAGGGGTTCTCCGAATGGAGCTGGGTTATAGCGGGGAAATCTCCCTTGCTATTCCGGGTCAAGTGATCTACGATGTGGACTGCGAGGATAATCTGGAGAAGAAGTTATCGAATTGGGGCATCAGAAAGGGTTCCTTCCTCACGGTAAAGGATGACACAATTGATGACGAGAAAGACCTGCGCGTCGACATCGAGATCATCATAGTTGAGCAGTAAGTTTCCCGGACAATCATCTCCCATGTCATATTTGCTGATTGACGGTCAGATCCAAATCCTCTTCCAACGGTGCCATGGAGGTCGAGGATTTCAAGCCTGCAAAGCTGCAGAAATTAATCGACATTCCCCTGCAACCCAAGCCTCAGCTGGCGGCGCAACCCAGTCCTGAGCCTGCCGCATCTACCAATGGCGATAGTGTTACTGGAAAGCGCAAGCGAGAGGGTTCAAGCGACCTTACGAACGAGCACAATGCCAAACGCATCGCTAGTACATCCGTGAACGAGCCTATCGTTCTTGATGATGACGATGAAGGCGCCATCACGATTGATGACTAGCTGTGGCACTTGAATTCTCTATTGACCTCGAAAATCAGGCCATGGTCATGGCTGTGGTCTCTCGTTGTCTTCTTTGGGAGTTTTATCAATTGTGCTTGACGAGTTTCTTTTTTCATTTACATCGGACACCCTGTACCATATGGCATAAAGGCGATTTTTTTTTTTTGATCTTCAAAAGAAGCAGTGTCCAAGACTTTCCTTCTGGCGAACAGGTTTAGATGCGGACTGGAATACAATAGGCTTGAACCATGAGTTAATGACATCTGTATCGCTTTTTTAAAATGCGACAGTGTACCTTCCAAGCTGTAAAATTTCCTTACATTACATTTCGCGTTGACAGTAAGCATTTCTGTCCAGCTAAACCGCGCTTAATCCACCATCGAGATTAAGTACACAATTATTCGCATACTCATTCTGCGCTAAAAATACAGCAGCATCAGCAATCTCACGCGGATCTCCAAAACGATGAAGAGGAATGAGATCCTTCAGCCTACTCATTTCCCCGGGTGTGAAATCTGCATCAACATAAATAAGCAAAGCGCACCCCCGCAAAAAAAGAATAGAGCCAACATACCTGCAATCATAGGCGTTTCAATATACCCCGGCACAATAGCATTCGACCGAATAACGGTATCCTTTAACGAAGCCGACGCCTCAACAGCCAAAGACCGAGTCAATCCGAGAAGACCAGCCTTAGAAGCCGCATATGGAACAGCACCAGTTCCACCTTTGATGGCTAGCAACGAGGAGACATTAATAATGCACTTTGAAGGTCTGTTCCCAGTAGCTGAATCATTTCGATTGCGCAGCCGGCTGCGAATTGCGGCGCGCATTAATGCTCTTGAAGCAATCATTGCACCTTCGAGGTTTGTACGCAATGTCTTGGATATGTCATCCAGTTCGGACCTGGGTAGGATGTTTGAGATGGAGATTCCGGCTGCGTTGACGAGGACGTCTACATTCGCCTGGATTGGGGTAGGAGTTAGATTTATTAAAGTAGATTTTATTCGAAATGTACATACCATTTCCTTCTCAAGCTCCCGCACCCATGATCCGGCATCTGAAACATCTCCGACAAGAAGACGGATATTGTCGGGCGTGCTTCGCTCGACATCCTCCTCCGGGGCACGTGTTGCAACTGTGCCATTGCTTTCATCAAGCCCAGCTGATGTATCAGTTAAGTTGGCTAGCTTGGTGGCTGCTTCTTGGAGACGTGTTTGAGATCTTCCTACTAGGACTATTGATGATGCCCCTTCCTGTAGGAATCTTTCGGCAATAGCGAAACCGATACCTGACGTCCCGCCAGTGATCATGCATGTTCGACCAGAGAGGCGGTTTGAAGACTGGAATTGAACATTGCTCTTTCTGTGGTTCGTTCGAGATGATGAGAATAGTCGCTTAGTTGATCCGGGATGGATATGACATTGTGGTTGTTGACTGTGGCTCCCAGTGCTGTGCAGGTATATTTGTCCAGGTGAAATGCAAATAAACGAGGCATTCCCTCGCAAGGAAGTCCTTGATAAGCGTAAATTGTTCATATTTGAATTAAAGACAGTTGACTGAAGTAGATGAAGACATCGAACTTTCCAATATCAAATCACGCAGCTTCAGCACGGACCATCACACTATGGTTAAAAAGGCTTCCGCGCTCCACCGCGTTCAACTTCTTCAACTACGGCCTTCACCATGGATTCCTCACAGTCGGAATACGTGACTCTTGTGTCCTGCGACGGGTTTGAATTTATTCTTCCCCGCAGCACAGCTTGTGTTTCAGGCACTATCCGCCGCATGCTACACCCTTCCAGTGCGTGGATTCGGGATCCTGTAGTCGGACTTCACTAACCATCTACAGGCAAATTCTCAGAGGGTATCTCTGGCCGATGTGTCCTGGATGATATGACGTATGTCTCTTACTTTCGTCTCGTTCGTCTTGACCAATGCTAACGTGGCTTTCTCTTTACAGTGGTGTCGTCCTCGAAAAAGTCTGCGAATACTTTTGCTACAATGAGAAGCATAAAGACCAGGCCAACGTGCCGGACATGGACATCCCGCCTGAATTATGTCTGGAGCTGTTGATGGCTGCTGATTACTTGGATACTTGAAGTGTACGTGGTACCTCGCCCTTCGGTTTTTGATTGTATCACTGACTGGGGCTTCAAGTATGCTCGTTTCACTTCCTATCAGCCCTCCAATTATTAACGGCGCAACGGTCTACGTCATTTCACTTACAAAGATACCACTGGAGTTTCGGACTGGCTCAAAGCAGGTTCATCATGGCATTATGCCAAACATGTATTCTATGGAATACAGATATCATTCACACTGAACCTGTGTCTTGTTCCTTGTTTTATTTCGTTTAAGTAAGGTTTTCTATACACCGTACACCCCCAGGGAGAAAACCCGCCCCATCTAAGCATATGCGCTCGGCCCTTAGCACTATGGTCGAAACGTCTAAAACGGATGGCAGAACAAATATCCCAATGATTTTACCTTTGCCAGATATCCACTGGTCTTGGTTTTTCATGAAGGGGGACATGTGACGTATTTTGATGGATTCTTATATAGTTTGGCTGCTCACGATTGCGGATTTGAAGTATGAAGCTCGGTTTTCAACAACATAATTCACTTATTGCACAGCAATGACAAACACACAACGACTCGATTTCTTTTCCCATGTCAGTATCAGCAATTAAGAAGTTATAGCCCAGCAATTACCTGCCAAGTAGAACATGGTCTTGGAATCCCCGCCGGAGCCTCGGCGCTGACTCAGCCCCCGGGAATGCCCCCATTCCCAAGTCAAGTGCCGTGAAGTCCGCTCTTACGATAAAGGTCTACGGGATGCAGTTCACATGGGTGATGCTCACTGTAATCTCCGGTTTCATTTCAATATTCCCATATTAAAGCGTCAATTTGCGTGAGCCCACGCCTTCCGGATGCACTGGCGGGCCTTCGCATTGATTGCATCTCCCCCGGATCACCGATAAGGGTCACATCCCACGTTTACAATGTCTGGCATCGTGGAAGCCTCTACGGTTGCCAGCACATCTAGTGCACCGGTGCTACAGCATTTCGAACCTACAACTTTACCAGAACCTTCATCCTTATCGTCATTGCCGCTCCAGCTCCTCACGTCACCCTTGCGCGCCTTTCAACACGCCGAGACCTTTGCCCTCCGGACAGTTCCTCAGACACTCGCTAGAATCCCTGGAATGAACGCCCTAGGGTTGGACTTCTGGAGCGGAGCAGATCCGACTACCGGGGCCGGTGACGCAGGGACAGCAGCAACCAACGCGGCTGCGAATATGGCTGGAGCTGCGGGAGGAGTAGGCCAGGATGGTGGCTACTACATTGCTGAGTTCCTTAGCGCGATCAAGAAGGTCGGCGGTTTCTTTGGGTACTTGACCAGTCTGTGGTCATTCGCATGCTTGGTGGAGGTAGGTTTGAACTGGCAACAATGGAGGTGTATGATGCTAATCGGTCCAGGCACTCATTCTCAACCGCATCACAATCTATGCGTCCACTCGGCGACACCTTCGACTGGGCTGGGAAAGACGCCTGGCTCTCCGTTTGATCCCTATCCTTCTCTTGTTGTTTCAAATCACGAGTCTGCTTCGCGGAATCAGGTGCCAGACATCGCCCGACTTTTCGACTTTTCGATATGGCAAGCCCGGAAAGCAACTCATCTTCGACTATTCCAGTGATGGGGGTGCTCTTTATACAATCAGTTCCAAGCTCTTAGGATGGGAGTCTGTCGAGCAGTCCTGCAGCGCTGTGAAGATGGGCCGCACAGGCACCTCGTCGCCGATTCCGTACGGGTCCTTTTCTCTCTTGTGGCCGACATTTTTACTTCTTTGCGGGAGCCACTTCGCCGAGACTTTGTCATGCGCATTGCAAGGAAAGCCTGTGATGACTGAGACAGGAATGTCTATCTTTGAGCATTCACTTGCATTCGCAGAAGCCGAGTCGATGATTAGCAAATCAATTGGACTGGGCATGTTTGGTCTTCCGAAACAAAGTCCTCTCAGTACAAGTTCATCTGGCGAAGCATCAGCCTCGGTTCTTCAAATGCTTACAAGATCGCAAGTTTTGGAACGCATGAATGTGACGCCTGAATTGTTACTCATTGCACTGATATCATGTTGCAATAGTTTAACATCCCACCTTTTAGACGTCATCGGGAAACAAAGCAGATATCGGCTGTTAAATACTGCTTTTTGGGGAGCCTGCTTCATGGCTGCCATGTTATGGGGGTTGGAAGGTGGCCCGCCCGTCAGCATTGAAACCGGCGTTCTCAAGTTCCCCACAGTATGCATTGTCGGGTTCATTCCTCACATACTTGTCCTGTTTGGCATCGTTGTCTGTGTGTCAATCTATGGAATCGCCCTCACAATCACCGCTTTTTCAATGCATCCGGAAGATGAGCAACCTGTGACGCTCCGTGAGCGGTTCATGCTCGCACATGATAATATGCAAGGATCCAACCAGATCCGCAGCGTTCGCATTAATAGACACGAGGATTTCTATACAACTTTGCTTAGGATCGGCTATGTCGCTCTCACTGCTGCGAGCGAAGCCGTCTTTTTAAATGAAGGCAAAGCAGTCATCGCGCGGCGCATGACATGGCTAGAAGAGGACCGACTCGCTGAGATCGAGGCTTCGCGAAAGAAGTCCTCTTCTTATGAACATTGGCAAAGTGAATCAAACACTCGTCCGATCGAGGCTTTGGGCTTTGCAAGCTTTGACATTCCACACGAGCCTCCAGTTTGGGTGACTGGCTACGACCGTGAAAAGAAGATTGAGAAGCAAAAGAATGGCAATCGCGCCGTTCGTTCTCAAGCCGAGCTTGGCGGAGTTGGAGCGGTGCGCGTGTCCATCCGCCTATGGCATGTTGCCTCGTTCTTCCGTGCTATTACGTTGCTCATCCTGCGCTGGGTCGCATTCGGATTCAGCATAGTACTTGATCGACTGGGATTCACTGCTCGTCCGATGTGGCTGAAACGCCTGATTGGACACCGTCAACAAGCGGCTGAGACTGAAAAGCCTGGTGAATCACGTCCACTAGATTTCTGGATCATCTCTGATGATGGAGAAATCAGACTTCCCGAAAACGGTGACTTCGATGTTGAGCTAGAGATGAGGAAGCGAGAGCGGACAAATCGAATCGAACGATTGGGACCGGATGAAGGCTGGCTAGATGACAGGTTGTACGGCTGGTGGAGATCTGGTGGCGCCTGGGGCAACCAAGATCATAGCTCAGACTACCAACCCGCAGCTGACGATGATTTTGACACCACTAGTATGGTTTCCATGTCGACCAATGCCTCCGAATCAGAATGGGAAGACTACCCATCCGATGACGGCCGTCGCACTCCCACTCAACGTGAACCATACGCAGACAAGGCACGCCCCGCCCCTATCCAAGATCCTCTGCTTGATATGAGCACTCTCGCGCGTCTTCTCGACCCTCGTGACAGCGAAAGCAGAGAAGAAGCTCGCATCCTTGCCGCGCATCTCAAATCCAGCCAGGATAGCCCCCAGGTCATGACTCGCAGTCGCTACCAGAAAGAGATTGAACGGGAGAAATCCAAGATCATCTTCTCCTCTCGTCTGCACCAGTTAAATGCCATGGAGTCCGGGCCGAGTGGGCGTAAGCCCACCGCGGATGAGGAATCCGAGATTCTGGAAAAACTCATCCTCTCTCGTCGCGCGGAGACCTCACCTCACGCCGATGCCTCTTCCTGGGAGTCCGGCGCAACAGGCCTCGGTCCCAATGGCCCGCCTTGCGTGGTTTGTCAGACTAGCCCTCGGGCTATCATCACCTGGCCCTGTCGCTGTCTCTGCATTTGCGAAGACTGTCGTGTTAGCCTTGCGATGAACAACTTTGGCAGCTGTGTGACCTGCCGTCAGGAAGTTGGGGGATTCATGCGTCTATGGGTTCCGTGAGCCATCACTTTCACACCCCATAACCCTTCTAAACATTCTCTATTCTCCAAGGGTCGGCGCTTAGTGGCTGTAACATACTGCATTTACAATTTTATGATTTCGGGCTTGAATGGGGCTTTTTTGTTTTAGAAATGCTGTGCAGGCCTGGTTCGTTAGGTGTTCTGAGACAGATATAGCTTTCTCTTCTAGTTGTACAAACTCATGCTTTTCTTTCGAGGCTCACTCAATCCTAAATTTACCATTCTTTTCAAACGCTTCTGCGATTGAGCAGCGTCTCTTTCATTTGACAAGCCAGAGAAAGAAAACCGGCATGTATTGGCATCGTCTATGATAATCACAATCATCTATCAATCTAAATCTAGATACGGTCAAAAAGAAGGAAATGAACAAACCCGAAAGAAAATGACATCCCGAGAGAAGAAAGGAATAAGCCAGAGCCATACAAACATCCACCATCCCTTAATCAACCCTAACCAAAGGCCGATAGAAAGCCTCCCACATCTGACTCTGAATCCAAAACCGCAGATCAGAGTCATCATGAGGAATCCAATCCGCCCGCGCAAGTCCCTCTTGAACAGAAGTCTTGATAACAGCCGCAGCAATATCAATACTAATGTCTCGCACTTCCTCCACGCCGGGAAGCAAGGGTAGGCTCGCATCCCGTAAAACTGGTGATCTGTCCTTGAGAGCTTCAACTGCTGCGGCGATCATTTTCTTCGTTACCAGGCGGCTTTGTGAGAGGACTGCTCCTAGGCCAATACCTGGAAAACAGACCGAATTGTTACATTGGGCTGCGATATCAGGGTTCAGTATAATAGTATGGCTATTGAGGAGGGTCTCGCACCGATGTCGTATTCCCTGCCCGAGTATTCTACTGCCGAGAATGGACTGCCTGTTGCTATGAGGGCTCTGCCATCTGTCCATTCATATAGATCCTTTGGAATCGCTTCGTGGCGTCTTGTGGGGTTGCTCAGTGGGAATATGATAGGTCGTTTAACATGCTGAGCCATTTCGCGAATTATCTCCTCTGTGAAGGCTCCGCCTTTTGTAGATGTTCCAATAAGTACATGGGGCTTGACCCTTTTGATGACGGTAAGTAAGTCACGGTCGTGGTCGGGCCACTCGTCATCGGCTCGGGTATATCGCCGTTGTCCGTCTGTCAGTCCATCCCCAAGTGAGTCTATGAGAAGGCCCGCTGTATCGAGACACCTATATGAACGCAAGATGTTAGAACAACAATATCATTTTCTTGATGGGGAAATAGTACCATATCTGCTTAGATGCTTCTTTGACGGGTATCCTGGTTTCATTGGATATAGCCTCAACAATTTGATCCGCAATGCCGATGCCAGCAGTTCCAGAGCCAAAAATTATAATGTGCACATTCTTTAGTGCAACATGGCTTATTTGCAACGCAGCCAACATGGCAGCGAGAGTGACACAACCAGTTCCTTGAATATCGTCATTGAAGCACGGAATCTGGAATTGATATTTATCAAGGATCCTTTGTGCATTCCTAGGCCCAAAGTCCTCGCTAGATCTATCAGTTATGCTTCAAACCCAGACAATATTTAGAAACGTACAAATGAATAAATGCCTTTGGGAAGCGTTTCCGAGTGGCTTGGACGAACTTCTCCACGAACGCATCATACGCTTCACCTCTAACTCGATATTGTCGTAGACCTAAGTAGAGCTGGTCGTCAAGTAGACTTTGGTTCTATATAGCAATTAGCTGATAGACAGCGAACCGCTAGAATAACTGAAACAAACATCCGTTCCACAATCAAGAACAATAGGAAGCTGTCGCGAAGGGTGAATTCCAGCACAAAGTGTAGTGAGAACAAGTTTCGCAACTGAGATCAAGATAGCTCCAACGCCTTGGTCTCCATCGCCTAAGATCTATCAATTGAGTGATTTATCAGCAATATGTCTCGACAGTATATTTCTCATTCGTTAAGTGGATATATATACTGACCTCTTCACCGTCACTAACAACAATATAATCAATATCATCCGCCGTGCCAAAAGCAGAAAGATCCTCCTCTATCCGATCCTGGTCATGGATGTTCAGAAAACACCCTTCAGGCCTCCTAAATAAACGAGAGTAATTCTGGATAGCGTCTCCTTCTGTTGGTGTATAAATCACGCCGAACATTTCTTTAAGGTGATCTTGCAAGAGCTGTTCACTTGTCAATATGCAAAAGATATATTCACTTACACCTTCGTCTTGATCATACCTTATAGTAAAGAACCTCATTCTGCGCCTTCTTACTAGCAAGAAAGACATTCTTCGATAGGTCATCTTCATGGCTTTGATATTGTTGATATGCGCGTTCAACTTGTTCATCCAGGGTTTGAATATTAGGAGGGAGGAGGCTGTGGAGTTTGAATTCTGTTCGTTCATTACTTGGGAAGGCAGAGCCTTTGTTGAATTGGGATGATTGGAGGAGGACTGCGCCCTTTTTTTCTCCTATTAATGAAAATGCTGTTAAATTATTTGATTGAATTTGCTTACTGTGTGCGGACATTCGACTGGTCCTGTGTTTGCACGAGGGAGTTTCGCGAATGTTTGGACTTGTTTTGAGTTTGTCATCTTCGTAAAGAAGAATCGATTGTTCTAGAGATAAAGGGAAATAACAGAGGTTTGAGCTTTATTTATATGATTGTATAGGATACTTTGTAGTTCGCTATATAGAAAGAAATGGAGGTCAAATATCAAATGCGAGCTGATGTCATTGTTCAACCACACAGCATACCTTATGCAGCTATGTGTGATATGATAAGTATCGCGATTACTGCCCTATGCATGATTATTGGGTCATCGTATAAAATGGATGGTTACTCGACCAAAGATGCCTACCATGACCGATCTAGACGATAAATCTAGTATGCGGTGAGCCAGAGGCTTCATCTATAGCATGAGTCAAGCAGACCTGTTCAAGGTGAATGCATAGACCTACGTAAGACGCATGAGAATAATGGGATAAAAGTCAAAATCATCGCACAGCATGGTTTGTATTAAGCGTGTCAACTATACAGGGAAATACACCATTCCAGCCTCCACAGACCCAGATCGAGAATCCGGAAAGCAAGTCCCGGATTCCAAATCAAATCAGCCAAAAAAAAGCCAATAACCGGTCCGCAGAAACCAGGAACAGGGTCAAATTAGGTATAGATAAAATTACAGGACGTAAGCGGCAGCAGCGGCGATCATAGCAACACCGGCCATGTTGCCCTTGACATTGGCAGCGGCACCAGTGTAGGCAGGCGAGCTGGCGGAAGCGGAGGCAGAGCCAGTCTTGGTAGCCAGAGGGGTGGAGCTAGCAGCGCCGCTGGAGCTGGCACCGGGACCAGAGGTGTTAGTGGCAGTGGCGGTGGCAGAGCCGGCGGCGGAGCTGGAGGCAGCGGAGGAGGACTCGGCGGCGCTGGAGCTCTCGCTGGCGCTGGCGCTGGTCTCAGCGGGGGCGGAGCTGGAGGAGGTCTCGCTGGCGCTGGTCTCAGCGGGGGCGGAGCTGGAAGCCGAGGAGGTCTCGATGGGAGGAACCACGATGGGGTGGCCAGCGGAAGAGCACTGAGACACAACGGCGTTGGACACGGCTAATATGGGTTAGTGGGTTGGATCATTGGGTGAGCTGGTTGTGGGTTGACATACAGATCTGGTCCTTGACCTCACAGGCCTTCTGCACGCAGGGAGTGATGGTGCTGACCAGAGAAGTCTTCTGGCAGTGGCAGGCGAAGTCGGTCAGCTCGGAGCAGCCATCGGAGGTCAAGGCAGTGACGAAGCAGCTCAGCTGAAGGGATTGTTAGTTGGCATGTCTTGGACGTTTGTATTGTCGTAGTGATTCATACCGAGCAGGCTGGGACGTCGGGAAGCTGAGCGTTGGCCAAAGTGGCAGCAACGAGGGCAATGAGAGCGTGGGAGAACTGCATCTTGAAGAGAAAATGAAGACAAAGTCTGGATTATAGTTTTAAACGGCGTGCTGGAAACGACTGTCAAGTTGAACGAAGGCGATGGGTTGTCGAGAAAAGAGAGATCCAGACCTAGAGGGTGGGACATGCCTTTTATAAGCTTCGCCCGTACCTGTGTCTGATACTCCACGACTGGGGTAACCCCTTTCAGTGTTGCACCAAGCGTTCATGGGTGGCCCCATCACATGTCTCCGCATGCTTAATGGAAGAGTCTTTCGCCCACAAAGATGGGGCAAGACCGCGGTTGACTCAGATCCGTAATTACCACCGAGCTGGGGTCCTGGATGCTCATTGCATGGCCAAGACTGACGGTTGACGCCGGATCCTGTTCCCGCAGCCGAATGAACGGAGGAAACCAAATGGCTAGCTCATGTTGTTGTTGCGCTCGTACGGAGTACGTATACCCACACTGCCAAGGTTGAACTAGACAGGGTCGAAAAGGCAGTCTAAGAAAGGCTGGCCCGGTGGCAATGCCATTCTATGGTGCACTACCCATTCGGAGCTAGTCAGCCGGTCGACTGGAGACTTTGAGGTTTAATTTCCACCGTGCAAGGCTAGACCCTTGACACACAGGGACATGACGATAGGGGACTGGCTGTGTAGCATATACGTGGGTTGTGCAGGATATCCACTGCAGAAAGTACCGTATGCAATGAGATTGGTTAAAAAGCAGGATTCAAGCCATTGTGCGGTGTGGAGTACGTAGACCATGATACTTTGCGCCCATTACCAGCCCAGTGACCATTGAGGGTGGCAATATGGAAATGTGAGACAGAAGTCGAGAAGTAGGGGAAAATCCGGGGAAAGATTGGACCCCGGCAGGGCCCGAGGGAACGTAGCATCAGACTATCCCGATTTGGCGTGTGGTCCGACAACTCGCATATTTTAATCTATTCGCTGTGGATATGGATATTATTGGGGTAGCACAGCGCTGTTCGATAAATTAAGACGAAGGAGGAAGGGCCCAAACTCAGGAGGTGGACTCTTCGATCTTGGAACTGGTCAGGAACCATGTGAACGAGGCAATGAAAGAGGACTCGTGGGTCTCAATTCATGAACGGAAATAAGTCTGAAAGGAAACTCCGCGATTTCAGAGTTGAGCCGGACTTGTGATCATTCGATATAGTCCGGGGAATCCGTAGGCTGGCAAGATACCCGAACCACGGACATCCAAACGACGAGTCTTGGAAACGCTGTACCTGCATATGATGATCGCTGGCTTCCCTAGGGTATATTGTACACTGTACACCTGCCATGAATGTCTTGTATTCCCAAAGACATAGTGGGACAGGCGGGGTCTCCCGTAGCCGACGAAGTGAGACATTTTAGCGGGGACAAGTCTGCAGGTTCGCCTTTGGAGCCAGGGCGATCACATGGGACAGAGATCTTTGGGGGCTGGGAATAGTTTGGCAAAGAGGCGCCGAGCCACTTCCGACGTTCCAGGGAAAATAGCGCATAGACCTAGACGGGGGTACATCTGCATTGGGCTTAGACTTCATTCTCGTCGATGGGCGATCAGAGGCGAATGATGATCGCGGAGGCGTCGGAAGGCTGCAAGACCCTTGTCTAGGGCCCTCCCTAACTTGTCTGTAGACTTTGGAAGTCAATCGAAGCGAAACATTCGCAGTTGTAGCCCAAGAACGAAGAAGTCAAGAGGGTAAACAACGATTTGCCTACGATTGCGGGGGTGGAGTCTCCAAGCCGTGTGAATTCCGGGGTGAAATCAGGCACGGTCTCGAAGATGTTTAGAGTCCAAGCCGAAATGAGATGGCGTTCAACAACCCCTTGATCCAATATAAGATAAATTTAGTATGCTTCGATGATCGGCTCAACGGCCCTGTCACTTGGAGGCCCTTATGATTGATTAGGATCGGCGTGTCCAGGGTACAGGGATTCAACCATATCAGTAGATTCATGTTGACTTCAATTGCGCTTCATCTATTTCAAACGAAAAACGAGAGACTAATCTGCCTCGGTCGAAGGTTCACATGCAAGGATACAAGTCAAGAATGAGGTCAGCGTGAGCCTCGATACCGCACACGTGACTATCAGTTGCAATTGAATTTCTGCACTACGGAGGCGGTTCAGGTGTCAAAAGTGTTCAAGGTGCTGGGATACCCCAGACGTTCATTTCTCATTAATATTAAGACATTTCCATACTCCGAACCCATGCAAAGTATACAAGCGAATTCCCTGCTCAAGACAGTACTTCATCGATGTACGCTCGCTCCTTGATATTCTTCCCCTTGAGGATGACAGCCAGGACCTCAATAGGCGGGTTCAGCTTCAAAGCGTTTGCGCGCCTCCAACGATTGACACGAGGGATTCCAATGCAGGGCTAGAGACAAGACGTTAGATATGACCTCTGGTAACGTCGGTTTTGTGAAAGAGAACAGAGAGTACGTACCCCATACTGACTGGAAAGATCAAAATGCCGAAGGATCTTCTCCTCCACGTCTATGCCTTGCTGGTGAACTATTGAGTCGAGTTAGCCTTCAGTTCCCTTGACGCCTCCAGTACCCCAGTGCAAAGCAACTTACTCCGAGGTGCCTTGCGGGTCTCCTCCTGAGACTGCCAGTACCGCCAGACATCTTTTTTGTTCAACTTCAAGGCCCGCTTGTCCTCTTCTGACGTGGGCGCTGGTTTTTCGACTGTGGGCTGCGGGCGGACCACTAACTCTGAAACAAGGGGCTCGGAGTGCTCGACAGGGCTGGCGGGTACATTTTGAGGCTCGGGGGTGGCAGAGGTCAATTTCCTAGAGAGAGGGGGTGTTGAGTCGAGGGCTTTCGCTTTGTCGGTTGGCGCAGTGACGGGCTTGGTCACTCGGGACTGGTTGCCGAAGGACAGCGTCGATTGCGCTGCGGCGGTGTTTCTTGCACGGCGACGAGGAGGCATTCTGTGAATGTGCTGTGGCTGGAGTAGAAATGTAGGTCTAGGCGTGTGGTGTAGTGATGTAGTGTGGATGAGGTGATGTGGAGGATGTGGTGGAGAAAAGCGTCATTCTGTTGCACTGGCAACCAAAGCTTGCCGGTATTTGGGTTCAGGGGACCATCCAAGATTGTACTGTATACATTTTATATCTTATATTCTATCTTCTTTAGAGGCGTCTATGGTAATGGTGGATATCTATAGTAGATTAAGTAAGTGAACAGTTAAGCGCCGTGATAGTGATCTACGAGTTCATGTAAGATGACGATGATGACATCGGTTGGAAATTGGGCGAGAAACAGAGGCAAAGACAGATCTAAGGATATACTTGGATCAAGATACGAACAACTATACAGTAACATAGTACTGCCTACATCTAAACTCCGTGTAGAAGTCAATGGATCTACACTGAGGCTCTAAGTTGGGGGTTCAACCCTTCCCCACCAACCTGCGAGCTCAGCTTCCCAGCTTCTTCCAGCTTCACCCCCCTCAGCTTTTCCAGCTTTACGCTTTCTCTACACCACACCTCTACCCTCCAACCTCACTCCTCCCTATGAACCGCGCGAAAGGTTCCCCCGGCCGATTCGCAGATACCCCACAACTCGACCACCCGCACGCCCATGGTGCGACAGGCACAACTTGATCGAGATGGCCGCCTTCGTGCGCGTTTCAGGCCCGGCAAATGGGAACTTCCTGATCGGATACCCGGGCATATCTGCGACAATGGTAAGCGCCCTTGTGCTACAACTTCGCGAGGCTTCGATCTTCCCCCCTGTTCACCGGCCTTGACTGACGTATCCAAGCCTCGAGTCGAAGGTAAAGTCGAGATTCGACCCTGTGTCGGCATTACCGCCCCGGTCAACGTTTCACTCGTCACAATTTCTCTCCTCCGCCGCGAGACCATTCACCCGTCAGCCGACTCCCTCACAAAGAAGCGCCTGGCACCTCCGCGGAAAGAGATCACGGATATTGTAGGCAAGGAAATGCTTCTGTTCCGATGTCCGGCTGGCAGAGAATACGAAGAAGTAATATCTATGGATTTACCCTTTGTGCTCTTTATTCCTTTTGGTCGTGGTGGCCGTGATGCCTCTCGGCGCGTACCCCCAGCCAGCGTACAACTTCCTAGTCGCACTGCCGAAACGTACTATGAGATGGTAGTCATGGTCCAGCAAGGACAACAAGAACAGCGCAAATATACCTTCCCAGTTCCCATCGCACGCTACGACACACTCTCCACATTTGGCATGTACAATCGTCCAGAATCCGCGGAACGGGTATCAGATCACTTGGTCACCTTGGCCATTTCATTACCACGCTGGTCGTATGGTCCCCTCGATCCCGTCAGCGTCTATGTCAAATTATCACCAAACGAGAGTTGGATGGGCAAGGCTCGCAAAGTGACCATCAGCAAGATCACTATCGGAATCGACGAAGAAATCATCTACAATCACGAAGGCGACGAGCCCCAACGGAAAGTCAAAGTGCTGGCCAAAAAGACGGAAAACATTGGTGTCAAATTACCTCAATCGGGTTATCTCACAAACCTCGGCTTGGTGTTTCCCGCCAAGGATCTTCGCGATGCGGAGGGAATCCTACCACGAAGTAGGACGGCATTCCCAACATACGGGGTGAGCGGCTTCACAACCACCGCAAGCCTATATAAAATTGAATACTATCTCACTGTTCGCGTTCGTTTTTCTCACTTCCATTCCTCTCATGTGCACCAAGACTAACATGAACAGGCCCATCTTACCTCTGCAAGAGACATCACAATACGACAACCAATTGTAGTCTGCCCCCTCGACCACGCCGGCTGCAAAGAAGAAATGGAAGCAATCGAGCAAGCTGCCCGAGATGCCGCCCACGTCAACCCAGACAACCCGATGCTCCCTCTCCCCGCAATCGTTCGACCTAACGACCACAACGCCCTAAGTCATCTCGGAGTAGCCATTGTCGGCAACCAGAAGAAACCGTTGATCGATTGAGCTGGACGATGTTACTCTTGGGTCCCAGGAACAGTGAACGAAACATTTAATATCATTCCCCCGTCTCGACGCACATCGGCAATCAACAATTGGATTGTCCGCGCCGGCGATATCACAAACGGGGCGTTGACGTCTCCAACGGACAGCTATCACCATACCCACATCCAAGCGAACGGCTACAGATTGTGACCACGCTATATCACGACATGTCTTACGATTACATAGATGGAGTTTATTGCATGGCATTCCCGAAAACCGGCTGTTCATTTGTCTTAGGCAAAATGGGGGTTTTTGGGCTGCCTGTTGTTTGGGGGCTTGAACTTTGTGAAACTGAGCTGGTCAGACTTTACTTCTTGTCAATTCCTGCCTTGGTATTGCTTTGAACTTTGTGGTCGGTTTTTTACCCGGCTATTCCTCCTGTGGCACATATGCATGCTGCTTTTGTAGCATTGCTGACACGAGACATGTCAATACATGGAATTATGAATTATTTTTAAGATTATGCATCTACTATCTCGAGCTGAAGGTTGGGTGATAGAGGTTTATATGTTAATGTATATTCAGAGATATCATCGTCTATCCCAAAGGGTCGATCTCGATGTCATTATACACAAGTTGCCACCAACGTTAATCACACGAACATAATCTAGGAAGAGAAGGATGGGGTATCAGGCTTCAGGAAAAAAAAAAAAGTAACGCATCGACACAGGAACGATCACTATTTCCCAATCTCAAGGAATCCCATTGCAAGGCTTAGCATATCGGCATCAACAACTTGAGCGTTCTTTTGAACTTGGCGCTCATTGTCGATGTCGCGAAGACATTCCTTCAACATGGCTAGGATAGTCTGGTATTGTCTGGATGTCGGTCCGAAGGTGTCAAGGGCGTTCTCTAGGCTGTTTGATATCTGGAATTTCGTCAGCTTTTGTCTTTTGTTGACTCCGGGGTATCATGTACCTTGCGTAGAGTCTCATTGTAATCTATGGCATTCTGGATAGGAATATCCATCGAGAGTATTAGGGAAAGACAGAGGTTTCCTGGTGATATGTGATTATTTTGATGTTGATGGGACTCGCCTTTGTGGGGAATGGGATTTGACGCCTTAGGCAGAAACTACATTCACCTCCTGTCATGAGAACTTTTCAAATTATGATACATTTATAACAAAGAATAGACAACAATTGATCGGTATATCTTTGGTTCAAATCATCCCGGACTATGAGTCCGCCACTTGTTTATGGTGTACCCCTGTGCAGCAAGGAGCTCTGACTTAACAGCCTAGCCGTACCTCTTTGCCACTTTCTGATCTACAAGGAAGATCTAGCATCCTCCTTTGCAACCAGAATCAAATATTCTTTTCAAAAATTAAACAAACTATGTTTTTTAAATCAAGCGGATCCGCAAAAAGGCCTAAAAGTTTAGAGATGTATGTGTATTAACCCAGACATATTCGCATTGACCGGGTCTCACATACGAAGATGCCCCAAGTTTGGCCATTGAAGTATGCAGCACGAGACTAATCTTGTGATAGTATCCTCACAGTTATGAAATCCCAATCTCCTGCAACCCCCAAGGTCTCTCCTCAATATCACCTGCACTTCCGTCCTTGTCGCTAACTGGATTAGCAAACTCAACCAAGAACCTCACCATCCACTCATCCATACAAAAGCTCGTATCAACAGAACGCCTACAAGCCCGATGAAAAGCCTGCAACCGCTCCATACAGACATCAAGTGTAGGCCATAATTTACGAAGCCGGGTCAGAATACAGAAGTTCCTCTCCAGTCTTCCTCGTGCAAGAGTAACACTCTCGTTGTCAACCCCGAAAAGCAGAGTGTGAATCTGCACCGTCGATGCAATCACAAGCACATGACCGACCATATTGTACAGCACCGCACAACCAGGTACATCCTCTGAACTGTATATCATTTCAATCAATTTGACGGCGTGATCTTTGCATGTTTTTGCGTAGAAATGTGTTCGTGGCGAGAAACATCGCGAGTCTTCGTGTAGGAATCTGTAGAAGAGCATTTGGCCGTAGTGGTAGTAGCCTAGGTAGAGAGTGACGAAAAGTTGGCCAAGACCTTGAGAGGCGTAGTTTAGGAGGTTTTCGCGAGTCTCCTGCATACCGCTTGGTAGAAGGGTGATCCATTCATCGAGTTTGGAAGAGAGTGCCTCGATTGTAGAGATGGCATCTGCTGTTTCGATTTTGTTTTCGGCGGCTTGGATGTTGAAGTCATTGATTTGGGCTAGGATCCTGTTCAGTCGAACCATTTGGGCTAGCAGTGATGATGCGCGATCTTCTTCTACTTTGACGGTGAAGCCCTGGTGTCTGGTCATGTTTAGGAAGTTGTCTTCGTTCATCGGCAATGGTACGTTGGGCTGTGGGGTCATTAGGCGAGGGAGTCGGACACCACTTGAGGACCAAACGTCTATCATGCATAGCGTCCACCATACTACCGGAGGTTAGCATGTTGCTGAATAATCGTAAGAAGGATAGAAGGACCTCTCGTGTAGACTTCCTGCTCTACACAGTTTGAAGCAGGGGAATTTGGAAGATCGAGTAGCTGCGCAATACGACATGCAACGGCGTAGTATATTGTTTCCGAGGCCGGTCTGCCATCTACAACGCCAATGGCACCTAGCAAAACACACCCTTGGATCGTTGTCAAAGAGACGTCATTCAAGTCCAGCAATTTCTGACATTGTGTAGCGTAACCATGTCCTCTTTCTCGAGGGTCTATTTTTGCAAATGAAGGATCGTTGGAGAATCTAATTTAATTAGCAATTAACGTGAGGAAATGAAAAAAAAAAACATACCGTGCAGCCAATGCAAGCATTCCATACACTAAAATATCGGGCGCCTGGCCATTGTACATATCTTCCAGGAAACTAGGCCGATGGAAAAGCGAATGGAATTTGTCATGCACGTACTCGAAATAGAGTTGCACTAGCTCGACGCAGAGAGACTGATCAGGTAAAGTACAGTGCTTCCTGCTGTTTCGAGCTGCATGGCTGATTTGTTCTGGTGTTGATGTATCGGACGCATTTGCCGAACGAATCTTTCGTGAGCATGCAAGGCCACGGGTAGAGCAATATGAACAAGAGTGACCAGGAGCTGGAATGTCACATTTTCGCCGACGTTCGCTGCACATTCTAATCAGAGAGCAGGTAACGGAACATGAATGAAGTGCTTACCGGCAAATTGAACAGGCTTTCGCAAGCCTCATTCTGAATTGATGTATAGAGGCTCACGAACGCATGCCATTAATAGCAGACCAAGAAGATCGGGACCGGGATGGCCTGGATGCAGGTAGTGAGGCGGGATTGGGCAATGGTCCCCATAAGAGACGTTGAAAACCGCAGCCGTTTAGCCGAGTCTCCTCCGCATTCCCACCCCGCAACTCCACGATCTATACGTCTGACTCCCTGAAACACTCCTTGCGCAAATAACTTGGATGACTTTTCTTCATACGGAATCGCTACAGCTTCTGTTGGCTCCGAGCTAGATATCAAACTCCGAAGCATATCGTGGTAGCATAGTCCAGTATCACATTCTCGCTCGTTGGACACAAGTCCCTATGTGCCCGGAACATTAGTGCTGATAAAAAATCGAAGTAGGACTTCTTGCAATATCAAACCATATACTAGAAGTATTGAAGTCACAATGGCCTCACTTCGATGTGGGGACAGCTAGGGTGCTGTTAGTTCCCATCACCAGTGTACATTGACACTGACCAGTTGACATCAGCCCGGTGGTGTCAGGCAAAAAAGGAAAGCCAAAGCCGGAAACAGATATATTCTATAAAACAAACAGGATAAACAATTTCGTCACTCTCGAGAATATTTGACACAACTTATCCAAATTCGACTTCCGTAGTTTGGATGTGGCGTAACCAATAAGACGCGACTGTAGGAAGCGCGTAAACACCCACTCAATTTTGCTTTTTATCACCTCAACTTACACTTCAGTTCTTTGCTAATCATTTACGATTTTCCAACATTCAAATACATCCTGCATCCCGCAAAGCTGAACTGAATTCATCATTCCAATCATTATGGGCTACGCATCCAAAGTTCCCTACCCCCAAGACCTCTGGGAGCGTGTCAAAGCAGCACGCCACCTGAAGTCGCAGCGAGATGTTTCCCCCGAAAACCCAGTGCTATATGTCTTCCTCGTGATATATGATTGCTGGAATGGCGACGAATTTGGAGGAGGAGAGGCCGTTTCGGGTGTTTATGGCTCCCTGGAAAAAGCCAACAAAGCTGCACTGGACCTTTTTGCAGAGAAACACCCGGAATGCTTCGAGATTGATGAAGAGATGTCGAATTGGTATCACAAACACACCGAGAACATAATTGAAAATGAAGGCGAAGAAGACACAGTTGCATGGGACGTGAATAAGAATGGAGAGGTTTTAGTGGAAGCAAAGGGCAGCGAAGAATTCGGGGAACATTATGGTGTACGTGTAGAGGCCAAGAAGCTTCAGTGATATCTCAGTGTACAAGGTCAAGTTCGGGGCTCCAAGAACGACGCGTTAATGGAGACGGTGAGACGTTTGGGACACGCCCAAACGCCCAATTCATTTCTAAATGTTTATATCAAAACTTTCACCCATTTGATCTCATACACTTATACATGATGAGTTCAAGCATAGACTCATATATGAGCTCAGGTCAGTCAAGCGACCTAAGCAAGGACGAGTCTAATTGAGATAACTGCCCGAGGGCAAGTCGCCGGGGAGACATTAGCTGTGATGTGTATATTGTTTCCTGTCATGAAACAGCCAGGTAGTGTCAAAGTCGCAATCAAACATCATGCCCATCGCTCGTCCAAATGTACGTTCTGAGGAACTGTATAAGTGTCTGTGAGCCTTATATGCATGCGATCACGTAGCAAGTGAGATGCGATTGTACAGTCGGTAAACACTCTCAAACTGAATCGCCTAACCCAATCTCAAACCCATAGGGATAACCCAATATCCGTACAAATGCCGAGTCGTACAACATCGCAAAGCCAAGAAATGACTCCATCGCCGCAACTAAAAATGCGGGACGGCGTAGTGCAGCGGAATTGAGCAGCCCGAGGCCAATAAGAAGCCCCCAAAGCCGCCGACACGGAGTATCCCCGGGGCTTCCTCCGCATTTACATCCCCACAACAACTCCACAGAAAAACTTATATCGCTCAAGATGCTTGCGATCAGCAGGTTGAGCTCTCTGAGTTTGAGCGGACCCTTGGCAATTCCACTTTACACTACGTATTGTGCCGTTGATACCAAGTTCTGCATTATTATTGACTTTTATATACTCCGAGTTTTGTCCACTTCTGTTGATGTAACCTCCCCGCAAGGGAGACATATAAAGGTATGCTTCTTTCCTTCTTTTCGAGTGTGCATTGGTCAGAGAAGAAAAAAGAAGTTAAGATGCTTCGCTTTTCAAGGGGTGTTGCGGTGGCCACGGGCCTCGTAGCTATGCTCGCTCATTCTCCAGCTGTCATGGCTCAGGATTTTAGCAAGCGTTAGTTCCTTTCCCCCTCAATTATTCCGCAGGACTAATTGATCTTTACAGCTATCGTGGCGGATGGTACTTCGTTTGCTCTCAATGGAAAGACCGTGTCCTACCGCTTCCATGTGGACAACACTACGGGGGACCTCTACGGTGATCACTTCGGTGGTTCAGTCACAGGTGATATCCCCCTAGAGTCTGTTGCCGATGTCAACGGTTGGGTTGGAACGCCAGGCCGGGTGCGCCGCGAGTTCCCAGACCAGGGCCGAGGTGATTTCCGGATCCCTGCCATTCGCATTCGCCAGTCTGCAGGGTATACTGTTTCCGAATTGCAGTACAAATCCCACAAGATCGTTGCTGGGAAGCCTCCTCTTTCTGGGTTGCCTGCTACCATGGGGTCCAACGAGGATGCTAGTACATTGGTTGTTTCTTTGTACGACAAATACAGCGATGTCTCTGCCGACTTGTCGTATTCAATTTTCCCCGAGTATGATGCTATTGTTCGCAGTGTCAATGTCACGAACCACGGAACATCAAATATTACCATCGAGTCTCTGGCTAGTTTGAGCGTGGACTTGCCTTTTGAAGATCTTGAGATGATCAGTCTTCGTGGAGATTGGGCTAGGGAGGCTCACCGTGAGAGACGAAAGGTCGAGTACGGCATCCAGAGCTTTGGAAGTGCTACCGGCTACTCGTCTCACCTTCACAACCCATTCCTGGCATTGGTGGAGCCTTCGGCCACCGAGTCCCACGGCGAGGCATGGGGCTTTTCGTTGGTGTACACGGGCTCATTCTCAATTGATGTCGAGAAAGGCTCGCAAGGTTTCACTCGGGCCTTGGTTGGCTTCAACCCTGGCCATCTTTCTTGGAACCTCCCACCCGGTGAGACTCTCGGTTCACCGGAATGTGTCTCGGTATACTCCCAGGATGGAATTGGCGGCATGTCGCGCTCCCTGCACAGCTTGTATCGCAAACATCTCATCAAAAGCAAGTTCGCCACTAGTGATCGACCCGCCCTTCTCAACAGCTGGGAAGGACTCAGCTACAACATCAACGAAAGCAGCGTCTACAACTTGGCAAAGGAGGCCGCGGAGGTAGGCGCCAAGCTGTTCGTCCTCGACGATGGCTGGTTCGGCGAGGAATACCCACGAACATCTGATGATCAAGGACTGGGTGACTGGGTGGCGAACCCAGACCGGTTTCCAAATGGCCTCGAGCCGATGGTGAAGAATATCACCCAGCTCAAGTCTGCAGATTCGTCAACGAACATGCGCTTTGGTATTTGGGTCGAGCCTGAAATGGTCAACCCTAACTCGACCTTGTACAACGAACACCCCGACTGGGCTTTGCATGCAGGACCCTACCCTCGGACCGAGAGACGTAACCAGCTGGTGCTCAACCTTGCGCTGCCTGAGGTCCAAGAGTTCATCATCAAGTCGATGTCGGACATTTTGAACAGTGCAGATATAAGCTACGTCAAATGGGACAACAACAGGGGTATTCACGAGATGCCTTCCCCTGCTACTGACCATGCATACATGCTCGGCATGTACCACGTGTTCGACACCTTGACCTCGAAGTTCCCCGACGTTCTTTGGGAAGGCTGTGCCTCGGGTGGCGGCCGTTTCGATCCAGGAGTTTTGCAATACTTCCCGCAGATCTGGACATCGGACGACACCGACGCTGTCGAGCGCATTACCATCCAGCTTGGTACTTCGCTTGCATACCCGGCCAGCGCGATGGGCGCTCACCTCTCCGCTGTGCCGAACCAACAAACTGGCCGTACAGTCTCGGTTGAGTTCCGCGGGCACGTTGCGATGATGGGTGGATCCTTTGGCCTGGAGCTTGACCCGGCTGAGATGCCGGCCGAGGATAAGGCTGCTCTGCCGGGGCTTATTGCCCTGGCTGAAAAGGTCAACCCCATCGTGTTGACTGGTGACATGTGGCGTCTGAATTTGCCAGAGGACTCAAATTGGCCTGCTGTCTTGTTCATCTCTGAGGATGCTAAACAGGCTGTGTTGTTTGTCTTCCAGCTCAGTGCGAACATTGACCATTCTTGGCCACGTATCAGATTGCAAGGACTGGATGCACAAGCTTCCTATAAGATTGATGGAAATGCGGTGTATACAGGTGCCACTTTGATGAATCTTGGTTTGCAATTCCCATTCGATAGCGATTTGGGTAGTCAGGTTGTGATGCTGGAGAAGCAGTAGAAAGATTGCATGTTTGGAATGAGGTTGAACTACTGTTGCTAGAAGACAGTATTTCCCATAGAAAATTCAAGTAAACATCAATGAAAATCGCATCATATAATAGCAAAGTTTAATGTCGATGTTCAAACATGAGCTGTAACTAGTTGTCGGACAGCAGTTGGAGATGGAGACGTCCTTATCGATAAGCAACTTTTCTCCCCTCGGATTTCTGACTTCGCAACATTTGAACCCCAGCCTCTTTTGACTCACCATGGCCGATGCAGATGAGGATGTTGTCCAAACCCCTGCGACCGGGCAGGTTGAGGTCGACTTGTCCGATGAAACGCAGGACTTTCGCTTCCTGAACCACCTAAATTTGTACGCGCACGAACTGGCATCGTGACCGTGTCGGCTGTCAATGGCCTCGAAGCCCGTCTTTGCTCTTGCTGACCTTATCTCACTGACAGTATTTCCGATACCGCATCCCCTAGCATCCCTAAGCGTGGAGAGAAAGACTTCGAACCTAACCCGACAGAACACCAGGCCGACGTCCTCTCCGCGTCGCGAGATGCCATGCACAATGCGCTATCATTTCCACGCCTACATCGCCCCAAGACTCAGATCATAGCATACTATGCACCTGGCGGATATGCTGCCCAGGCCGAGTTGGATGCGCAGCAAGATGCGCTGCAAGTCAAAGAAAACCAGAAGCCCTCAGAGTCAACCCAAAAGAAACCTCCAACAGATGCCTCAAAGCCCCCACCAAAACCCGTCAATATCTCTCCCGATGCATGCGTTCTCGTTCCCATTCCCAAAGGACAATATTTCAAGACAATGGGCCAAGCTGACCGGAAGAACCGTGTTTGGCTATTACCAGAGGAGGCATTATATTTGCTTGAGAGAGGCAGTCTGGATATCAGATGGCCTAGTACCTCTGATCCCGACGCAGTATCCATTCCGATGAGTTTGCAGGCTGCATATGCATGCTTCGTCGGACACGGCGGTCTCACACTTGAGCGCTTCTCTGTATATACTGGGTTGAAGCGTCTCGGTTATTCGCTTCTCCGAGCACCTGGATGGTCTGATGAAATCGAGGATACAGAAGAAATTGCTCCTGCAAGTGAACCTTCTCCACCAAAATTCCATGGTCCCGGTCTAGCAGGGATACTAGGATCTTTATTCAAATGGATCCACGACCCTCGAAAGACAGCTTCCACAGCCACTGGCCCCATCGTCGGCTTTGGCATCCACCGTCATTACATGGATGTATATCGAAAACTCGCTATCATCCCTTGGTACGACCCTGTCACTGCACCCCCATCAAAACTCTCAGATACCACACCACCTTTCCGCGTCGTCTTCCACATCTATAAGCCTTCAACCCCTTTCAAAAAGTCCGCTCCCCCGGCTCCAGATTTCCGTGTCGCTGTTGTAAGCACCCGTGACCAAACTACCATGCCTACCCTCCCACAGCTCGGCGCTTTGCTTGAGAGTACGCCGCTTGATCCTCCCCACGGAGAAAAGATGCAACGCATGATGTATATGCGACTGCGTCATGGATATCGTAATGTCGTCATGGCTGTCGTCGATCAGGGTGTTGTCAGCTACTTACGAATCGCTGACTCCGCATTCGGGAAGGAAAAGCTGTTCGAGACAAAGGGTGGTCCTCAAGGTAACAAGCGCGGAGGTCGAGGACCTGGGGGGCCCAACAGGTCGAAGAAACGTTGATCTGAAAGACTTCTCGAGACATCACATTTCTCGACCAAAGACTTGTCATGGGTTTCACCGCTCTGTCCTGCCCTCGAAAGTGCTGTGCGCGACATCACTTCGATTCGGTTCTACCACTGATAACCGGTTTAAGCTGAGACTGGGACTACTTCCCTCTGGTGTTTGCCAGCTTTGCAGTACTCTGCGTAGTCTGTTCGAGCGCTGGAAACGTCCTCGATTGACAAACATCGGTCTACCCTTATAGGAATATCTCATTTGGCCAACATAGCGCGCTGAATATTTCGACTTCGGCTCATTCGAGTTTGATCTAGTCATAGAGATCTACTGCCACTGCTGGTGTACTGTATATACTCAACCTGGGACTCTTGTCTCAGCTTGAATCCATGAAATGAACTAATGCAGCCATGCAATCACCATTGGTCTATTACGCCGCGTAAATGTAGTATGGATCACATATTCCAGTCTGGATCACGACGTCCAGTTGAGATCACAATTTCTCGCTCATTCGCGTCGCGTCTTGTTGATTTCGAGGTCCCAAGAAATATTATCAATAGAGTTGTTGACCCCCAAAAGAAAAGAAAAAAAGGCCAACTCTCAGTCTTCTGTCTACCTCAACGAATACGCTCTTCGTCTATTTGATATCCAGCCATTGGTCAGCCCAAGGCTTGTTGAAACATCTGCCTGGGTGGCTAATCCAATCTACCCCTAGAGGAAAGACGGGATCGTTTGACTTATCATGAACACTCCCCCAAAACATCCAACCCCTTTTGCCGCTGGGGTTTTGACCAAATTTCTTCCGCGACGTGATCACCCTCCATCGAGCGGGTCACCCAGTCTGGCTTCCAAAGCCTTAAACTCTGGTAGACCAGTGTAGGTACGCGGTCAAAGGAGGGTGATCAAGCTATAGACTATACACTAGCAATGTCCTGGCCGTGACAGGGATGGGTGTTATATGGAAGCTGTCACGAGCAGGTGGACGAGTATCTCTTACCACTGAGGAAAAGTCCGCATGGGTAACTAAAGGTGTATATACCCTCTCCCCGCGGATGTCGCCTCGTTCACCTCTAGACTTCTGGACTGATTATACTTCACCACGCCCACTTAGTCAAGAATTTTCTCTTCAGAGACACAGAAAGGGCCCTTCGGCTTAACACAAAAGCTACCCGAACAGATTCACCCTTTTGCAGTAAGTGATTGACTGGTTACAGTCCATGGCATGATTCTCAACCGGTTGATCATCGGGTCCCTATGTACCTGAAGAACAGGATAAGGAATCGTGATCACATCACGAGCTGTATTCGATCGATTACCTGCGGCAAAAGGGCTGGGTGCTTTGGGGAAGCTTTCGTGGTAAGTCAAAGGGTCTGATCTTCTATTGAAAGCAGGCTCTTGGTTCGATCGATGTGGTGAAGGACTCGGATCGTGTCATCCTCTTCTTGGGGGTTCTCTTTCTCTTTAGGTGTCTATCACACTGAGGTATTGATCGAGACGTCAATCAAGGAGTTTATCACGAGTGCCTAGTTGGAGGGATCTCTGTATTTGAGCTAATCATACATATGGAAACCTTGCAGGTCTGGCAACAAAACACAACGGAGACAGAGTGGTGGGGCAATGAAGATTGGATACTGGCGCAATACCAGTATATCCAGCGTCTTCTTAATCTGTTAGGATCTCCACGCAGTGATGATCTGGTATCCAATCCTACATTAGACTGCCTTGGCCGTGTTAATACTGGGAATCATGCCGAACATCTACAGTCACTTTAGGACGGTTTAGTCACAAGTTCAAATTTCGAGATCTCTGCATCATGTATCGTAAATATTGATAAGATTTTGCATCGCTAAGTAGCTATAGAATGCATGTAATTCGGCCACAAATCAGCAAATCAGCACCGCTTATAGACGGTACATCTCACTGCGGCTGCGTGCTCCATCGAAGACACAGGTATTATCCAGCGGGACATACTGCCGAGTCAAAACCTTCAAGGCCTCCTGCGCAACAAGACCACCCGTAAGCGATGAAATATTATGCAATTCACCACCCTCAGCACGACGCAATTCCTGAATTGCATCAGTGATTTGCTGTTTGGCATCTTCACCCATTCCATTCCCATTAGCACCATTCAACAATGTCAAGATACGCTGTGTGTGGCTGTTCCACAGGTCGGAATCGTCGACTGATAGATTCTCCTCCTGGCCATTTGACTGGATCTCATCGACGACTGAGTCCAGAATCTGGCAAGCAATGAAGGCTGGCATTAGTGAGTCTGGCATGCTCAGCTGGTTCCGGATTGCCTTCCATGTTGCCATGTCGCTGTCGATGCTGACTTGGGGGATGGAACGGCCTCGTACAACCTTAATGTGTGCTGCGTTCTTGCAGAAGACTTCGATTTCGCGGTCGAGGATTGCGGGAGTTTGTCTTCCGAGTTGTGATTCAAGTTGGCGGACTGTTTTTGTTACTTCTTCGACGTCCTGGCGTGCCTTGGCCTTGTAGATGTTTTGGAGGGAGACGTAGTCTGCGGACTGGGCTTTCATATCTGGGAGAGAGCCCGGCAGGGGGAGAACGGAGTGAGACTCGTAAAAGGTTTTGATTGCTGAAGCGATAATCCAGAAATCTTGGGATGTTGGTGATAATTGCTTGCATTCGTCCATGTCGAAAATCTCGCGAATTGAGCTGCGCAGACTGAATGGGGAGATGGTCTTCAGCACTGCGGCGGCTGCCTCATCAAAGTTCTCTTCGCCACCTTCGGGGTTGCTAGTTCGGGCCTGGGATCGGACAAATTCTCTGAACTCGGTCTTCTCTTTGTAATTGCCTGGGGCATTGCCGTCATGAGATTGTTTCCACTGTTCCAAGAAGCGGAGCAGCAGAAGAATGTAGGGCACATGGCCATGTTGGTGGTCATCCAAGGTATTCAAATCACTCAATTTGGTCGCGGCAGCGACAAGCTCAGGCCATGGGTTTAGCAAACGGAGATCTTGGGTTGATTCTGGATCCGGGTGTGTCTCAACAATGGGAAATTCGGCTGGTAGCTGCACCGAAAATGATGAGAAGAATCCGACTGAGTGTATATAGAGAACCGGGATTCCCAGTTGCCTGGCTTCATGGCAGAGAGGTGCCAGGGAGGAGCGCTTGGTTGGCCCAGAGACAATCACCAGCTTGTGGCGGGGCAGAAAGTCCGGATCTTGCAGAAGATCCGTGATGTTCTGTGTTGAGAGTTAATCACTCGTATTTGACTTTCATTGGACAAAAGACATACCTTGGAATAGAAATATCCCTGCACATCCGGGTTTAGTTCTCTCAACAGACGACATGTTTCTTCGGCGCGAGACTTGCCCAAGGACTCCTCTTCCAGAAAGAAATTAACACCGAGATCACTCTCTGTGACAGTGGCTGGATCGACGATGGTAAAGCCACCGATGCCAGGCAGTACCAAGTTCTTGAGGGTTTCAACGCCCGCAACGCCGGACACACCCGTGTTGTTGTGGCCGAGAGGGCCATCCGAGTTCACCATAAGCACACGGGAATCTTCCAATGCTTGCTGGCCAGTTGCCGCCCACAGACGAAGCTGGCGGTCATACTTGCGCTCCTTCGACGTTGGCCCTGTCAAGGCTGCGGGGAAGGAGTCCGTCATTGTTTTGAAGTATCGAAAAGCGCGAAAAGTAGTACGACTTTTCGAGTCTCAAACCAAACACACAGTTCCACTGGGGCTTTCTTTGGTTTCTACCGTTTGCACTGCCAGCTATGTAGGTTCTACCTTGGAGCTGCCCATGTCGACTTGTTCTCGTTGATGCACGATCTTAGTCAGCGCGCAGGTGATATTGCTGCCTGATAACCATGGCCAAATATGTTCACGATCTCTAAGATGGAGACACATAACCTTGCCTTGTCCCCACATAGGCACAAAAAGGAAAGCGTGGAAGTGTTGGGGAGAATAAGTAGCACCCAGGAGCATTAACATGATCGCTGCAATTGAAGTAAAAGGAACCGTAGGCAAACTTGGGCTTTCACATATCACTTGCACATATTCTTGTCTTTTACTACCACATGAAAATAACCAAACCAGACTGCCATTGGCAATATCCTTGCCGGAAGAACGTTGGCTTGATATACCGTGCCGCCACAAGTAGTCCTCAAAATCAAAATTGATTCTCCCCTGCCAGTCTTCTTCACTTCGGCGGACCGTATTCCAGCAAAGGGTCCACACGTCAAGACTAACGCGGCGCTACGAGTTCCCGTTCCAGTATGCGCGTAATGTTTCCTTAATAGTGTCCACCCCACCAGGGTCTAGCAGGAAAGACCATTTTTATAGTGGCAGAAAAGGCCACCGCTCTGATAGACAGAGAACCATTGAATAAACCCCACATGCCAATGACGCGATATGCAAACCGCAGATGCAGAAAGTAATTTGATCAACTAAAAGCGCTCAAGCCAAAAAAAAACAAAAAACAAAAACAGAAAAGCCCTATAAAACACAGCGGACCCATGGTCCAACCAATCCGCCTTTGCTCCCCTCTTTTTCGTAGGAACCCCACACTTCCACCCCTCCGACTCTCACTCCGAAGTCTCAGCCCTCTCAGTCCCTCCAGGCTCCAGTCCACAATGTCCGCCGTCGAAAAAGCAAAGCAAGCCGCCGCAAAGGTCGCCGTGACCAACCACTACCCGAAAGACGCCCGCTGGGTCGGCATTGGCAGCGGCACGACAATCGTCTACGTTGTCGAGGCCATCAAGGCTCTCGGCGTGGACACCTCCGCCACGAAATACGTCCCGACCGGTTACCAGTCCAAGCAGCTGATTATCAATGCTGGTCTGACGGCTGTGGAGTTCGATGGCATTCCCCCGGGAACGATTCTCGACGTTGCGTTCGACGGCGCGGACGAGGTCGATGAAGATTTGAACTGCATCAAGGGTGGTGGTGCTTGTTTGTTCCAGGAGAAGATCGTCGCTATGCAGGCTCGGGAGTTTATTTGCGTTGCTGGTGAGTATACCATCAGCAGGAGTTGGAGAATTGCCAATTCTTTTTGGGTGTCATGCTCTTTTTTGGATTGTTACTGACTCATATATCTGCTAGACCACCGCAAGCTCCAGCCCCGCCTCCTCACTAACTGGAAGACTATCCCCATTGAAGTCGCCCCCATTGCCGCCCACCGTGTTATTACCAAGCTGCAGGAACTCGGCAGTATCGATCCTATCATCCGGCCCTCTGCTAGTGCCAAGGAAGGTCCTCTCAAGACTGATCAGGGCTTTTTCATTATTGATGCTCCTTTCCCTCCTATGCTGATCAAGTCCGATCTCGCCGCTGGCCAGGAGGGTAACGGCAAGGAGAGCATCTGGGCTGTTGATGTTCTCTCTCGCAAGATCAAGGAGATTGCTGGTGTGCTTGAGGTCGGTATCTTCAGTGGCTTGACTGGGCCCGAGGCTTCTGCTGCTGGTGGTATTGGTGGACAGAGACCTGTTGCAGCTTACTTCGGTATGGCTGATGGATCTGTCTCGGTCCGCAAGGCTCAGTAGAGGTTTACTGTTGTACTTTGATTAGGAGAAAAAGAGGAGGTGATTGTGGGATATGAGACTACGTAAATAACATAGATGATACCAAGATTTGCTTTTTGTTCAACCTTGGAAGAGAGGCTCGAAAATGAAATTGAAGTGTAGGCTTGAAGCTTTGTTTAAATTGTTTTTGATTGAATTTGCTGTGTGGTATCAAAGGACGCTTGCATGGCAGAAAAGACAAATGAACAGATCATGGTCTAGATCTATTTCGCGCCCTTGCCCTTGGCTTCCGTCTCGCCCAACTCCCGAACAAAGATCTGCACAGTGCCTTCTGCGACATCGTCCTTGCCATCTTCGAATCCGGGGCTGAAAGCGACAGCCAAGTACTTGCCATTGCCACTGAATGCAGCAGCCGCCACACTGGTATCATGCTTGGGGTAATGGCGAATACGGCGCTTGGTAATTCCATCCCAGAAAGAAACAACACCGTCCCCACCGCCAGATGCAAATGTACCGTACACAGGGTGGAAAGCGAGAGCGTTGACGGGGTAGATCACATCGACACCGTCCTCGGCAGGCTGACGGTGACACTTGAAAGCATACTTGCGAGCCTGGGATTCAGGTGAAGGATCGAACCACTCGACTGCAACGCGGCCCTCAATGCTGGATGACACATATCCAGCACCGTCGGGCATGCAAGCAACACACCGAGTCATGAACCGCAAGCTGCTCTCGCGGCGCTGCCACGGCTCAACCTCTACTCGGTTTGCATCGGGAAGTGAGCTATCTGCTTGGGCGGAAAGCAGGGCCAATGCCTTGAGATCGTAAATGTGCAATGCGCGCGACGCCATGGCAACCACCAACCGTGAATCGGTCAACGAGATGGAGAAGGGCTTGGAGGGGAGGGGGACGATAGTCGCGATGGAATCGGGGTTTGCGCCGGCATCGGGGCGGTGGATATGCAGGGTTGAATCCCACGAAGCGGAGATGACGATGTTGTGCTCGCGGCTGTAAACGACGGAGCGGACTCCGGCTTCGTGGGTGCTAAGCACGGTCTGTTCAGAAGTGTTGAGGTCGATTCTATACAGTCAGCATCATCCATGTTGGAAGAGTGCAAATCTAGAGCTCAATGGGGAGACTCACTTCTTCACGTTCCAATCTAAGCCAGCTGTGTAGATCACGTTCTCGTCCTCGCCGAAGCAGACGTCCAGTACAGGCGCTCGGTGCTCGAAATTCTGCAACAGCTTGCCTTCTCCAACAGTGCCATTCTCATCGCGCAGGTCGTAGAGGTAAACATTCTTGTCCCATGAGGAGACCACGATCCGCGTGGAGTTGGGGTCGGGGGAGAACTTCAGCGCCGAGATGGCGTCCGACGGCGGTGATGCCACGATAAATTGGTCTGTCAGAGAGAGATACTTAGTCAAGGTTCAAGCGATGGAAATTAGCTATTAGGGATATACTTACTGGGCGAGGAAGACATCTTGAGGCAGCAGTTGAAACGCAAGGATCGCAAGCACCGAGCAAGCTCCATATCCTTTTTTGTCGCACGTCACCGCCTTGTGATTCCCCGCGCTGCATCGATAAGAGAAAAAAAGCGAACAAGGGAAGCTTGACATCATTCAAACTGCATCAGGAATCACGTCTTTTTGCACTTCTGACAACCAACACTGCCAGAATGCCTTTCGCGCAGCTGGTTATTGGCCCCCCGGGTGCCGGAAAGTCGACATATTGCAATGGAATGCATCAATTCCTAGGCGCAATCGGCCGCAAATGCTCTATCGTCAACCTCGACCCCGCCAACGACAAGACCTCGTATCCATGTGCGCTGGACGTACGCGACCTTGTGACGCTGGAGGAGATCATGGAGGACGATAAGCTCGGCCCAAACGGAGGTGTGTTATACGCACTAGAGGAGCTTGAAAAGAACTTTGACTGGCTGGAGGAGGGGCTGAAGGAGCTCGGAGGTATGTCTGCTGGACCTTTGTGCAGGATATAGTGCCTGACATCCTCATTGCAGATGACTACATTCTATTCGACTGTCCCGGCCAGGTCGAGCTATTTACACACCACTCTTCATTACGGAATATCTTCTTCAGGATCCAGAAAATGGGCATCCGGGTTCGTCATGTCTAGCTTGAAATTACAAGCAGTCTACTAACAAAGCTCTGACCAACAGCTGATCGTGATTCACCTCGTCGACTCGTACACACTAACTCTCCCCTCGATGTACATCTCCGCCCTCCTCCTCTCCCTCCGCGCTATGTTGCAACTCGACCTCCCACACCTAAATGTCCTCACAAAAATCGATAACCTCTCCAATTACGCCCCTCTTCCCTTCAACCTCGACTATTACACGGAAGTGCAAGATCTGTCATATCTACTCCCACACCTAGAAGCCGAGTCTTCCCGACTATCTCATGAGAAGTTCGGCGCCTTGAACCAAACGATCATCGACCTCGTGGAGGAATTCGCACTCGTCGGGTTCGAGACACTGGCCGTTGAAGATAAGAAGAGTATGATGAGTCTGCTGAATGCTATCGACCGTGTGTCCGGATATGCATTTGGCCCCGCCGAGGGCGCGAATGATACCGTCTGGAAGGTTGCAGTTCGCGAAGGGATGGGTATTACCGATGTCCGGGATGTGCAGGAGCGGTGGCTTGATGCTAAGGATGAGTATGACTACCTTGAAGAGAAGGAGTTGGAGGAAGAGGTGCGGTTGCGCAATGCCGCGAGCCAGGTTGAGAAGACCGGTGCACCAGAGACAGATGACGCTGCGGCTAGCGACGATGATGGTGAATTCTATGACGAGGAAGTAGAAAAGTGGAAGGCCAACATGCCAGATCATGGCATAAAGGTGCACCGCAAGTCATGATACTTGTCCTATGATCCATGTCCCATGTCAACCATATATCCATCCCGTCTATACCTACAAAATGTCATATAATAACTTGATCGCATCGAATATCCAATGTACTATAGCTATAACCTAACTATAACCACAGAACCAAAACACACCTCAGACCGGGGGTATCACATTATCAAACATCAAAACCAAAACACACCCTCTCAACTAATCAATCACTATCCCCATAATCCATCCCATCCTCACTCCCACTCAACTCCCCAACCCCAATCCCACCACCAACATCCATGTGCATATCAACAGACCCAAGAGCATCCCCAACTCCACCAACCAACCCCCCAAGCACCCCCCTCTCCTCAGCATCCTTAACACGCACAATCTCCCGCCTAGCACGACGAATAGCCTCCTCCTCCGCCTTCCGCATCGTGCCCGAAACACGGATAACGCGGAAAACACAACCCCGCTCGCGTCCCGTCCCAGCGCGTGTTTGACCGTTGTTGCCAGAATTCGTCTCCGGCACACCGGACATGTAGGTTAATGCCGACCACACTAACCGGTAGGAAGGTCTCGGGCACCGGATTATTGCTGTTGATGTTGCGGGTGAGAGGTATTTTACTTTTTAAGAAAGAGGTGTTAGTATACCAAATATACCATATAACATATACCATATATTATGTTGAATAGATAAAAGGCAATCAGGTAATATGGAACAGGGCGTTGGACGAAACATACTGTTCAGACCACCAGCACTAGCACCACCAAGCTTCCCAACGCCCCAATCACCATACAAATCCGACACGGTCTCGCGCACCATCTTGGCAAGGAAACCTGGAGTAAGCGTGTCGGATGTTGGGGCGTGGATTGAGAGGGTTGGGTTTGGGGATTCTGAGGGGTTGGTTGTTGGCCAGGTTTTTGGGTCCGGGTAGAGGATGTCTATGAGGAGGTAGCGGCTTTTCAGGCGGACCATTTTGTGGTTTGTTTATTGTTTTCTCGGAGACTTGGATTGTTGTGATTGACGTTGGAGCAGTGTAGTTGTTCGGTTTGTCGTGTGGAACTGGATTGTCTTGAGGTAGTTGGTGTTGTAGGGTGAAGCTGAGGTGGAAAAGATAAAAAGTTGCTGATAAGCGATAAGGATATTTCCTCGGCACGCGAGCACCGTTGGACTTAATTCTGTACTCAATTAAGATACTATGGGTTGAACTATTGTCTACACGTGCAGGTATTCATGCGGCAAAGGCACGTTCATTATTCCAAAAGGTCTAGTCATCTACTGTAAACGAATTAAATCAGATCCGTAAACGGGATGCCTTTTTCCGGTCACCCCGTCGACTTGGTCATGCCACATGATCGCAGTACATCGATACAACTGCTGAAAAAACGCAAAAGAAAAACCAAGGGATGAACCATCCAAACTCCACCGTCCTGATCGGACGGACTATATGCCAGCGGACGGCGCTGCAAAACGTCACAAACAAAATCACAGGTTGACCTCGACACGGCCCTCGGCACCACCCTTCTGCAAGGTGGGGAGAAGGTAGGTGATGTCGTCCCAGGGGTGGCGGTAGAGACCGGTGCGCAGGCGCTTCTGGTCGAGGTAGTGGGCAATGAGACCGATGGAACGGCCCAGCACGAAGAGACCGTTGAGCACGCCCATGCGCATGTAGTCCTCGCACTCCTCGGGGGAGAAAGCACCGCAGTTGCGGAGCAGGTCGACGAAGCAGACAGCGACACAACCGTCAACGTTCAGGATCAGGTTGTCCTTCTTGGAGGTGGTGACGGACTCGACGGCGATGGCGTAGTCGAGCAGCTTGGTGCTGGGGAAGTGCTTCTTGACGAACTCCTTGACGAGCTCGACACGGAGATCAGGGTTGTTGCGGGACTTGACCTTGTGACCAATACCCGGGATGAGCTTGTTCTCCTTACGCATGGAGTCGACGAAGTCACGGGGGCTCAGGCCCTTGTCAAAGGCCTTGGTGAACTCCTCAGCGGCACCGTCGAGGGCACCACCGAAACGGGAACCGATGGTCAGGAGACCAGCAACGAGGGAGCTGATCAGGTCCTTACCGGCACGGGTGGTGATGATGGTGTTCATGGCACCGGACACGGCGGGACCGTGGTCGGCAGTCAGCATCAGAACCATCTCGAGGAACTTGCTGGCGTAGCGGGGCAAGCGGCGGCGGAACCAGAGGAGAGACATGACACCACCAATGCCGATATCCTCCTTGAAGACATCGGAGATGGGCATACCGGCGTAGAGCAGCTCCTGGCCACGGTCGTCGGAGATGGTAGAGATGAAGGCAGCGGGCTTACGGACGAGGCCGAGCTCCTGAGCCCAGGAGTAGTCGATGGGGATCTTGGGGACAACGGGCTCGGGGGCGGGGGTGATGGTGCCCTTCTTGAGCTCAGCGTCGTAGACCTGCTTGAGGGTCTGGGGGAGATCCTCGAAGGTCTCGGGAACGTAGATACCAGCCTCACGCATGGCCTTGTTCTTGGCAACAGCGGTCTCGAGGTCGGAGTTAGCGGAGGCACCGGCGTGACCGAACTGAACCTCAGTCTTGAACATGCTGGCGCAAGTTCCGATAGCCCAGGCGACAATGGGCTTGGTGATGGTGCCGTTCTTGACGGCCTCGATCACACGGTACTCCTCAACACCACCAACCTCACCGAGGAGAACGAGGATCTTGCACTCAGGCTCGGCCTGGTAACGGAGCAAGTGGTCAATGAAAGTGGTACCGGGGTAACGGTCACCACCGATGGCAACACCCTCGTAGACACCGTCGGTGTTCTGGGAGATAATGTTGTTCAACTCGTTGGACATACCACCGGACTTGGAGACGTATCCGACGGAACCCTTGCGGTAGAGCTTGGAGGCGACGATGTTGTCCATCATACCACCAGTGTTACCGATCTTGTACGCACCGGGCTTGATACCACCGACAGTGGCGGGACCAATGATGGTGATACCCTTCTCCTTGGCGGTGACCATGATCTCCCGAGCACGCTATCAATTGTTAGTCAATTGTCATGAAACATTGGTATTGACCATTGTTGAAATCACTTACACGCTCAGGGACACCCTCAGCAATAATGGCGATGGAGCGAATCTGGGGGTTCTCCATCAACTCCATGGTGGAGGTGTAGACGGAACGGGAAGAGGCGAAGTTGACAACGGTGTCAACGTCGGGGTGCTTGGCCATGGCCTTCTCAACGTCCTGGTAGACGGGGAGGAGGGTCTCACTGGTACCCCAGTACATCTTGCTGACGAATTGACCGCCGAAGGTGTAGATGATACCGGCCACGGAAGGAGTGGAACGCTTGCAGATGAAGTCGAAGTCGAGCATGCCCTGCACGGCTCGGGGTTGCATACCACTGATCTGGTCAGTCCCATCCCACAATCAAGATTGAGGGGGTCCAACTTACTATACGAAGCATCGTGTCTTGTTGTGGAAGAGGCTGTGTTGGAGGGGAGAGAGGACACGGCTAGGAGGGGCGAAACGGGTGATGTTGTCGTTGGCGGACTGCACGCCGTTGCCGGCGGGAGAAGAAGTAGACATGATGATTCTAGCTGCCTATTAGCATCCGTGGGAGGAAGGCAATTGCAGAGGCAAGATGGTGGGGTGAGAGCTTGGAAAGGAGAAAAAGTAACGAGACTTACTTATGCGATATTAACACCCGCTGTGAAGAAATTGAGGAGAAAGAAAGGGAGGAGGTGGAAGATAGAAGAATGGGGAAACTCCTGTTGAGAAAAATCGGGACCTCGAAGTACTCGCAGATACACCGTACAGCTCCTCCCAGAAGTGGACTTGCACAGCTCAACACTTGGCGTACCCCAAAGTACCGGGTACCGGCGATACTACCCCACCGCCTTACACGCACAATACGTTTCCGGACTCCTGTCATTTTCAATTACATCTAGACTTGGATATCTACTTACATTGTAGCTGGTAGTATCTGGTCAACGTCGTATCTCGGACAATAAGTATGATACTATGATAGTCCATTCGGGGCCCGATCCCCGTGCTCAACAAAATAGAGCGGTATCGGGACTCCCATTCTGTGCCCGGTACCTGGAGCACATCCCAACGAACCCCACCAGGATCTGCTCTCAACATAGTGGGACCTGCCGGATTGTACGCTGTAATCTCCAGCACAACTTTTTTGGTATTGTACGCCGTACACTCCAGTCCTCTTTTCCTTCCTGGATTCCTCAAAAATTTAATCTTCCCTTTCTCATCCTCCCATCCTCATACACACATCCACACATCATGTCCGCCAAATCCATTCTCGAGGCCGACGGCAAGGCCATCCTCAACTTCCACCTTACTCGCGCTCCCGTTATCAAGCCTACTCCCCTCCCTCTCTCCACAACACACAACCCTCCTGCTCGTCTGGCCTCTCTGCACTTCCCCGAGGACAAGGCCGTCAAGGATGTCCTCGACCAGGCTGAGGTCACCTTCCCTTGGCTCCTCACCCCCGGTGCTAAGTTCGTTGCGAAGCCCGATCAATTGATCAAGCGTCGGGGTAAGAGCGGTCTGCTCGCCCTCAACAAGACCTGGGCTGAGGCCCGTGAGTGGATTGAGGCCCGCGCCACCAAGGATGTTCAGGTTGAGACCATCACTGGTGTCCTCCGTCAATTCCTTGTTGAGCCCTTCGTTCCCCACCCCCAGGAGACCGAATACTACATTAACATCAACTCCGTCCGTGAGGTAAGCTATCAATTGCCAGCCTGGAGAGGAATTGAAAGCTAACCAATTGCAGGGTGACTGGATCCTCTTCACCCACGAGGGTGGTGTTGATGTCGGTGATGTTGACGCCAAGGCTGAGAAGCTTCTGATTCCCGTCAACCTCAAGCAGTACCCCTCCAACGAGGAGATTGCCGCCACTCTTCTGAGCAAGGTCCCCAAGGGTGTCCACAACGTCCTGGTTGACTTCATCTCCCGCCTGTACGCCGTCTACGTCGACTGCCAGTTCACCTACCTCGAGATCAACCCTCTCGTTGTCATCCCCAACGCCGATGCTACCTCCGCCGAGGTCCACTTCCTGGATCTCGCGGCCAAGCTCGACCAGACTGCTGAGTTCGAGTGTGGCACCAAGTGGGCTATTGCCCGCAGCCCCGCTGCTCTCGGTCTCCCCATCCTCGCCTCCTCTGACGGCAAGGTCAACATCGACGCTGGCCCGCCGATGGAGTTCCCCGCCCCCTTCGGTCGTGAGCTGACCAAGGAGGAGAAGTTCATCTCCGACATGGACGCCAAGACCGGTGCCTCCCTTAAGCTCACCGTCCTCAACTCCCAGGGTCGCGTGTGGACCCTCGTTGCTGGTGGTGGTGCCTCCGTCGTCTACGCCGACGCCATTGCCTCCGCTGGCTTTGTTAGCGAGCTCGCCAACTACGGTGAGTACTCCGGTGCTCCCACCGAGACCCAGACCTACAACTACGCCAAGACTGTCCTGGATCTCATGCTCCGTGCCCCCACCCACCCTGAGGGCAAGGTCCTCTTCATCGGTGGTGGTATTGCCAACTTCACCAACGTCGCCAGCACCTTCAAGGGTGTCATCCGCGCTCTCCGCGAGGTCGCTCCCGTCCTCAACGAGCACAAGGTCCAGATCTGGGTCCGCCGTGCCGGTCCCAACTACCAGGAGGGTCTCAAGAACATCAAGTCCGTCGGTGTCGAGCTCGGCCTGGACATGCACGTCTACGGCCCCGAGATGCACGTTAGTGGTATCGTTCCTCTGGCCCTCCAGGGCAAGAAGACCGACATCAAGGAATTCGGCGCTTAAATACCTCTCTGTGTTTGTTTGTTTTCTGCAGCGTGTGTCCGTTGCATCGGTTTGTGGTATAATGCATGGCATGATATGAACTTGTTTTTTTGCGGGATTCCGGGACGACATGTTGTCCCGGCGTCTGTCCTGTTTTGAGGCTATGGCGTTACTTCCCGCCCGGACGAAAAGACCCGGTCCCTGCTGGTGCCGTCGTACATGATTCTCCGTTTAGATTTCATTTTCCTATGTTCACCGGGGGATTTAGATCGTGTGATGTCCCATCGGATAATATCAATGATACGAGGCATTTATGTCCCACTATTTCATACAGTAGAAATATATACTCGTAGTCATATAATACATAGACATACTCTACAATCTACAAAAACACTCTGGAAAATAAAAGTGCTACGGGCGAGAGTAAAATATAAAATACAAATAAAATACATCCCGTAAAATACAGTATCAAAAATAAGCTCAAATCCAGGAACCAGGACACCAAGCTCTCCAAACTCCACACAAGCTCTTTCTGCCGGAACAGGGGCTCAAGATAAAGTAGGGACCGTGCCAGATCTGGATCTAATCTGGACCTGGATCGAAAGCTGGATCTGGATAGGGGACTGGAGGGGACTGAGACCGAGGTGAGGCGCGCTTCCGTTCCTCCGAGATTAGGGCGCGATAAGGATCGGACGAACGGGGATTTTGGGGTATCTTCTGTTTCTACATCTTAGGTGGGAGGTTTGATGGTTTGGTTTCAGGGAGGGAAGAGGAGGATTTGGAGGGTTTTGCGTGAGAGTTGCTTGCTTTTTAGGGGTTGTTTGCTGTTGATTTAGTGGTTGGCTTTGTTGGGGTTCTGGTATATGGTGACTGCGGGTTGTTTTGGTGTCTGCCCCGGTACCTATATTGTATATTCAAGATAGGAGTTGCTCAAGGAATTCCTAGCCGTTGCTGTCTTTGGTAATGGACATTTTCGGGGCTTATGTATCTCTTTTGCGGCTGCTATCCATCATTTGGCTCTCAAATAGGCGTTTGATACCAGACGGGAGGAGACATATATTGCTTTATGTTTACCACTCCTCAGGTTCAATTATATTTCAAAGCTGGTCTTTCTCATCCCAAATATCCATTTTATGGACGAATACAAAATGAAGTCAAGGCTATCTATCTCCGGGGCATCACAAACCGAAGAGACACTTATCTTGGTAGAGAGGACAGGCCCGCAAAGATCATCCATCCTGTCATGGTTCAGATTAACCGTGTATAATGCGCAAGTCTAATCGTACCAAGGTTATCAAACTTTCCCAAGCATCTGCGAAGTCTGGCACCAATTCCTTTCCGATTTCAGAAGGCTGGAGCTGTCGTCGATCAAGACTTTGTATATCGCAAAGCGAGATTGTAGTTCATCACCATCCGCCGATTGACAGTCTATCAACGGCACAGCGGATTCAAGTGCGGTACTTGCATACTTTAGGTCGGAACCTTCGAGTACGGATTGCATCATCCACAATTCTCGAATGCTTTCACGAATATAGTTAGACTCTACGAGTTTCCATCATCGACATCCTGGTTTTCTCTATCCGCTTTGAACATCTCAGCCACCTCGGCCATTTTAGCCCGCGTTACTTTGCATTCTTGTCTGAGACTCATGAGAACTGTATTCGAGCCGTCACCCATTGCTGCTCGGACGCACTGTGCGGCGCTGACCAGATGCAGCGTCTTGTTATAGAATCGCGCCTGCTGGCTATATTTATACGCTATACGTTGAGCTTCGGACGAATCTTAATTAGACAACCACTTCGCTTCGCAGCATTATTGGCGCTCCCGGCCCTCCCTCCTTTCGCCTCAGCTCTCTTGGATTGACAATTTTTTTTACAGCATCGTCTGGATATGGGCTGTTCATCGAACGGTTCTCATGTATATCTCCTAGAGTGAGATACCAGCTGCAGCAGATGAGCCAAGCCCACACTCATCGGTTTGGTCATTGGAAACGATCGATTGGGTAGAAGTGGAGTTGAATCGCTCTGAATATTCGCGAGCATTAGGCTTCATGGAGAAATTTACATGAAGGCAACGCCTTCAAACAGAAGCCGGGGCCGAGAATCGTTCTCGAGCTAGGCCATTAGAAAGGAACGAGTCAGGAGGAGGTTCACAAACATGTTGTCTCACGATAACATTGTACTTCTTACTACCGGGAGCCAAGATACATGCCTTTCTTGTCTGCAACTACTTAACATCTGATGAGTCGTCAGCTACCCTCTTCACGCTCCTTAGCCAGGTCCCTAGATCAAAGATGCCGTCACTCAAGTCTTTGATATTGCCGACAAAGTTAAAAACATAACCAAAGCCATCCACAGGCTCATTCCCGTCTGCATATTTGATGCGACACGGATCGGCCCGATAATTGTCCGTTTCATAGCTGGCAAGCCTCTCCCCATGCTCTTCTGTCTCGACATGATAGACAGCCCCATGAACAACGTTTCCTGGGGCATCTAGGAGAGCTGGATACTGGCCCCATAGCTTGCATTCGTAGCCTGTAATGGTGGCGGGTCGAAGTTGTGGCACAGTTTCTAAGCTAAGGACATCGCGGAGCATAGCGGGATCAGACAGGGTGCCGTAGAAGAAATAAGGCCCGGTGGGTGCAACGAATGGATCAGTATGAGGTGGTGGCCTTTCGGGTCGGAAGAAATAGCCAGGCGGAGCAGACCTCAGCTTCATGACGAACGGCGAGACTTTCGAGCTTGGATCTTCAGGCATTGGTGGTGGTGGTGGAGGAGGAGGAGGAGGGGCACAATCAGCGGCATAAGTGGTAAAATTGACAAAGCTACAGATAAGCTGAATGCGACACTAGCGAATGTGAATGGGAAGCCCAAAGGGGGTAAATAACCCCACATCACCCATTACAGGGGTATCTTTACTCGTGTTGTCTTCACGATGGCCTACAATTGGGATGGTGCTCTCACACCCAGCAAAGCCAATGATTGGGGTCTTAGGGAGATGCCTTGTTGGCCGAGTTTCATTGCGCCTGACGGCCCTGGCTTTCCTTTGTTGACCAACGACATGTGGTACGATAACCAAAAACCGGAGGTTACTCAGTATCTTGCGAGCTACTCAGATTCGACGACGCAACGAACTCGAAGATGATGAGATCATTCAGATAATCGAGGATGGCTTTGCAGTCAGCGGCGAGAACACCACACGTCGTCTGACTGAAGATGAAATCAGCGACAATGTTGAACTCATTCACTGCCAGGACTCAACCTGCGAGGAAGAGATTGAGGCCCTGGTGATGAGGACAACGAATATATCTTCATTCCTGGTATTGATCCACCTTTGCCTACTCAGTTTGTACCTCACCGGCCCGCATCTAACACGGATGCCAAGCCAATAGGGGCATCGACGATGACTTACAGTTGGGGTTAAGGTTGAGTCGGGGTCTGAGACAGTCCTCGATCTGCGGGTACGCACATGATGAACTACCTAGGCATCAGCTCCTCCTTATTTCAGCCTCGGTCTTCGCCGTTAATTTAAAGCCGTAGAAAGTGCATAAACTCCTGCGCGCCCGTTTTCTCGTATCAAACATCCAATCACGGCGACCTTCCAAATTTCAGATGATTCCTTGAGCCTCCAAGACAAAGTTGTCTTGATTACGGGTATTTAAACTATGCTCCTATGCAGCAGTCCAAACTCGAACATAATTAGGCGGCGCTTCTGGTATCGGAAAGGCTACTGTGGAACTATGCCTTAAGAACGGCGCTACTGTCGTCGCTGGCGATATCAATTCTCCGCAGGATTTTGAGGAGACAGAAAAAGGAATTTGAATATGACGACAAATATATGCCGGAGCTGAAGGGTATCCTCGCCATTTGGAAGGAATTTGAGCCTGCTTTCTATGACTAAATCGTGAAGCATTCAACAGAATTTCCATACGACCAGAATCGGCTTGATTCACCCGAAGTTTCCTTTGGGTAGCACCTCCGTTGATACCGTCTCAAAGGTGATCTATGAAGCAGAACAGCTGGAAAAAGCTGTCGACCAGTTCGCATTCAAATTGTGAAGTCTCGGAATTAAAAAATTGGAAGTGTAGATTTTCTTGCTGTAACCGTACTTTTCATGCCCCGAAGCTATAAAACTGCCTCGAGCGCTGCACCTCTTGTCGTTTCAAGACCATTAGAAGCCAAATTGCAATAGAACTACTTTCCTCAAACAAGAGAAGTCTCAAAAGCAGCCCCTATTAGGTCATGTGACATTAGGACAGGAAATCCTTCTCGGTGGCCGGTTTTAAGTCTCCTTTTTTACAACGCTCAAGAATGACTGAGGGAACCACAAATATTCAACCCTTTTGGATCTTGAACAGGCTCCATGTCACTAATAATACCTGTCCTCGGTCGTATCACCTCTGCATTGCCTCAGCGCTGTCTACCACGAAGCTCTCTACCGAGCCTTCGGCGAATCACTAGAACTCCATATCAGCAGACGCGCAAGATGTTGGACTCTTATGCGCAACTCGCTGCCTCACGCTCCAATTAGCGCACCAAAAAGCCAGATATCCCCGGGGGATTCGCGATCTACCGCTGTTCTTACAAGGACGAGAGTGCCTGGAGTTGTCTACTCCAACATATCGAGGAAGAGATCAAAAGCAGTCTTGAAGTCAGCGAGATAAAGCATCTTCTACCATATCATCAGCTAATCATCAATGACGATATCTCGAAATTCAACAGAGCTACATCCTATCAGATTCGTGACCACTTCAACGTATGGGTTCAAGAACAACTACCCATGGAGTTAGATCGTGAAAAAGCTGGATTACTATTGCTTCGACTTGGTGGATCGCAAAAGTTTCTGGATAGACCTGAGCAAGAATCTGGAGTCCAAACCAGCATCGCATTCTTACGTATTCTAGGTTGGGCCCCTTTGCAATGTTCCTTCAGGCCCTACTCACAACTCACAGCACGCAATCTTGTAACAAGTTGAGCCAGACTGGCTCTTCTACGGTACTAGACAATTGAGATAAACTAAACTATGACCTAGCTTGCTACCATTTCCAATGATGTAGTCTTCAAATGGGAATTCGATGAAGTACTCGAAGAAGCTAAGAAGGGGTCTCCCCTATCGTGACCTTGGCTGGCTCACTGATAATTCTTCAATCATTGAATGTCGTATATGTTCATCTCCATCTGCTTTCATCGGTCGCGCAGAAGAACAGAGAAAAGCCACCAAAGCTTTCCATGTTACAAGATATCAATCAACCTCCAGTATATAGTATTCTCAATCGAGACAAGCTTGGCTTCGCCTAATTGAGTTTGGTGGATCTTGGCAGAACAGAGCCGCATCTCCCCCACATTCCATTGTTGTTTACTCCTGTCCTCAGTCGAATTTCACCTTCACACCCCAAGAACAAAATGGCCAGTGCGCCTAAAGTTGCTCTCAAAGAGTGTCGCGAGTCACCATCCCAAGTCGTGAAGAAAGCCGAGGCATTGGTCAACCAAATCCGCAAGAGTAAACACTTCATTGTCTTTACTGGTGCCGGTGTCTCCACGTCAGCTGGTAAAAAAACCGCTGAATACGAATACTAGATTTTTGCACTGACTCAGTGATATAGGGATCCCTGACTTCCGCGGCCCTGATGGCAACTGGACCCTAAGAGCCCAGGGTAAACCACGCACAAAGCATGCCAACACCCTCCAGGCTATTCCTACCCTGTCACATATGGCACTGGTTGAATTGCAGAATCGTGGTATCCTGAAACATCTTATTAGCCAGAACTGTGATGGACTTCACAGACGCAGTGGGATTTTGCCCGTAAGCATTTCATCTTATCTCATCATCAGACACTTCTCACAAAGGTGTCTACGTCTTACAGGAGATGATATCCGAATTACACGGGAACAGCAACCGTGAATATTGCAAGGACTGCGATAAGGAGTATATGAGAGGTAAGGCAACCAAAGGTATCACAATGACCTGAAATGTTTCTCACATATGCTAGATTTCCGCGCTGTCTCAACCTACGAAAGGGGTGACCATGACCACCGCACAGGTCGAAAATGCGCCCGCTGTGGTGGAACCCTGTTGGATAGTATTGTCAACTTCGACGAGCAATTACCTGCCCGAGACTTGAACCTCGGGCGAGAAAATGCCCAAATGGCGGATTTGTGTCTTGTCTTGGGATCTTCGTTGACTGTTACCCCGGCGAACGGCATTCCGGAAATTGTTGGGCAGAGGAAGGGTGCTACGCTGGCTATTTGCAATCTACAAGAGACACCTATTGATGGATTGGCTGATATTCGGGTATTCTCCGAAGCTGACATTTTAATGGCAAAAGTTATGGAGAAATTAGGTCTGTCTATTCCTCCGTTTATTTTGAGACGGCGTCTTGTTGTCAATGTGGAGACCCAGTCTGAGGATAGACACCGCATTACGGTTACCGGCGTTGATAGTGATGGGACTCCTGTAACCTTTCTTCAGGCGATTCGACTCGAGGGGAGTAGACGTGTGGCACGGGCGGAACCGTACGTTATTTGCATGCGTGAATCGCTGCAGATGGGTGCACAGTTGAAGTTTGATCTTGAGTTCATGGGTCATTATAACGAGCCGAACCTTGAGCTTGTTCATGAATACAATGGTAGTGAGGAGGTCTTGTACCTCCTGCAATATGATCCGGAGGCTGGGGTGTGGGTTGTTGAAAGACCACAGTCTTGATGAGCCATGCCTTAGGGGATTGAATTCTTGTCGAGCAATCGGTTTCTCATAATAGTCATTGTTCGTACAACAGGGTTCATGATATAGCCTAATAATTTGGTGTTTAAACTGATTGAATCCAGCACTAAAATAAACATTGATGGCAGTGAAGGTAGGAAAGACATTATTCAAAGGAGGTATTGAATATACCTCGTCTACCACTTATAATTGTGACAGATGCTAGTAAATTCTACACCTCTTGCCTTTATATATGTATAATCTAGAGATCAACCCAAAGCACTCGAGAACTCGTAAAAAGGGGGGCCAAAAAATGACAGGATATAGTAGGGTTATTTTATCAATGGTGAGCCTAGCGTTCAATTCTAGTCAAGACTGCATTGCATATGCTTCAAAGTCGGAAGATTACGTGGTAGTACCATATTGAAAATGCCTAGAATCGACAATGTCACCAGTACACAGGCGGTATAATAACTTTCGAGCTGACGGCACACTGCACAAGACTGTGCTGACGCTAGTCTGATATATGGAAACATTCGTATTTACGGTAGTTGATGGATCATTGAGTTGAGATTAGGTCCAATCATGCATGTATCACAAGGTCTTTATCAAAGGTGACTGCAGCTAATTGGCCAGTCTTTAAACTATAAGCAAATCGCGATGCTGACCGCATCGCGTGAATCGGGGCCAAAAACATCGCAGAATCGCACCAAAGAGAGTATTTTCGCACAATTATCTGCCATTTGATTGGTCTACGTTTTTCGAACACAGCGATCTCGATTGCAATGCTAAACTCCACTTTCTATTCTATATGTAAAAGGGGGTGGAGTATAGACAAAAATGTGCGATTCGGTGGAGCCACCCGACGCAGATCCCCGAGCAAGGCTCCTTTTTTTTTTTTTTCACAGGACCGTGCAGAACTCATTACTTATAGTCTGCTGCCTTCCTCAACTTCAGTGCTTACAGTCTAGCCATGAATGAATACCATGCAGGGCAGTTGGGCCTGTGCGCTCTCCAGCTGCTGATCCCCACAATCCTCCTCGCCAGCACAACAAAAGGATCAATTCTTCGCTATCTAGCTATTCCTTGTATGATCTTGGTCTTAAACCAAGACTTACACCCAAAGCCGAACCCAACACCCTTGCATCAGAACTTTGTTGGCTTTTTGTTCATTTCTATCCTTTCAGCCACCAACTTCTTGCTCGTCAACCCCAAGGATAGCAGCGACTTCGTCAATGCCGATGGCACCAAAAAGGGCTTTTTCGCTCGTTTATATGAGGCTATTCGCGTGATGATGCTGACCCGCGCAATCAATACACCTCGCCAAGTCAAGAATGTACCTGGCCCACCAGCCTACTACGCCAAACGTGACCCGAAGATCACCCCTCGAGGTCGCTTCTTGGTTCGCGAAACTTCAATTGCTGTATGGCAGTACCTCACACTGAGCATGTTCGGAAAACTAGCTGCTCAGGAAGCTTTGAGCAAGCCCGTTCCCGTTTCTTTCGAGGTTGACTGGTTCGTCCCTATGGACCAATGGATTGAACGAATTATTTCGAATCTCATCGGATGGTTCGTTGCAGGGCGGATCCTCATCGACCTTAATGCTCGCATTTGTGCAATTCTTTCGGTCGCCTTGGGAACTGATTCTCCTGCCGATGCTCCACCTACTTTTGGAACCATGGCCGTTTCTTACTCTCTGCGGAATTACTGGGGGTTAGTATCTATCTCTCGTCGTGCGCATTGTGGCTTCTCTAACAGTTATCTTATAGAAAGTTCTGGCATCAATTGCTTCGACAGCCTTTCACCTCACTTAGCAACTTCATTGCGCGAGATGTGCTCTGCCTGCCTAGATCATCGCTGATTGAACGATACACCAACGTCTTTATCGTTTTCTTCTTCTCGGGCCTTTTGCATTTCGTTCTCGATGTCGTGGGTTGCATTCCAGCCCAGGAGTCTGGAGCCATGTTCTACTTCCTCTCTTTCGTTTTGGGCTTCATGATCGAGGATGGTGTCAAGGCAATGTGGAAAAGTATGTATCCTCAAGCCAAGGAGTCTGATGGCCCGCCTCCTATCTGGCAAAGAGCTGTTGGATTTGTCTGGACTATGGGGTGGATTGGTGTTATGTCGACCCGCTACTTTGTGCCTATGCAGCGGCCGGAAGCTCAAGGTCTGCTGGTACCATTTAATGTTGCAGACTGGATAGGCCTTCCTGCTTTGGTAGGAATTGTGGGCGTTGGTGCCGCTTTCCTTAAAATTGTCTTTGAGGTTGAGCTATAAAGGCAGTTGTTGTAAACATTCGGGATTTTCTGAATCCTGGTTGAGGATTCAGTCGACATGTGGATAGCTTTCATTGTCTATAGAACGAAGTGGTTGATATAAGTATGCGGGACTGGAAAATTAGACTTCAGTTTAGAACTACTTAACAATTCCTATACGGCTTTTCACGCGCCCACCTGCTGTGAAAAATGGAGCAAAAGCCGAGAGGCCAAGTGAGGGCACAAATATTGCATGAAATGATACACTGACTTCGAAGCCCGCGAAGATTTTATCTAATACGTACTTCATAGCCCTGTCAACAGACCTATAGACCAAAGATTGGCCAGTTAGTTACATTTAGGTTTAGAGAAGACATTGTTATACAAGCATGATTGGACCTCAACCTAAGTCAATGAATCCTAAGTCTTGTCATGCGAGTTAAGGAGGCGCGAGGCTGCCTATCTGCTCTTCCATTGTATATTGATAGATATAATCGAGACAGTATGAGGCTAACGTAATAGTAATGGATAAACCGACATAATTGTAATAAAGAAGCATGGGTTTGGAGTTTGTCTTTACGAAGAATGTCAGCACAAACGATTTGCCCAGATACATTGCGTTTCGAAATCTCCGAGCTTTTCAAAGGCGTAAAATAGACATCTATCAAAAACGCCGTTGCAAAATAAGCGCTCAAATATAAGCATGTCAAACAAAGAAGCTCACTTCCCAAATCGTTGCATGATGGCATCACTAGGTGGAAACTCAGACACCATTGTCGGCGTCCTGGAAAGACGCGGGAGACGGGTACGGTGCTGCGGGTTGTGATCAGAATCTTGGACTATGCAATCATGTCAGCCTTGAATACTATACCCCCGTCTCTAATACATACTGGAGCGCCTATTCCAGCTTGGCCGTGCTGGAGGTAACATCGGCACACTTTTCGGTGTCTTTGTTCTTGCCCTCTTGGAACTGCCGGTGCCACTTCGCTGGTGTCGATGCAACTGCTCACCTCCTTCAGTGTCAACAGGAAACGATTGAGCTTGAAGGTGTCGCGATGCCTGCTTTGGAAGTACTGGCGACATGACAGACCGTGCAACAGAGATAAAAGGAGGAGCATTCATTGACGGAAGCGAGTTAATAGCTTGGGAGACCGTGTCCGAAACACCTGTTTGCATGCGGGACCGCATAGCTCGTGCTTTGAGGAGGTTGTACAGATTTGTCATTTGTGAGAGCTTGTTGTTCTTGTCTCGGTATAGATCATTCAGTTCCTGGTTTTTCTTTTGGAGATCTTCCTGGGCTGATTGCATGCCTGAAAATGACAATTTAGCTTAAGCCGAGCAACATGAGACTTGCCTGTACTGACCAGACAGCTTGTTCTGAAGAGATAAGATCTCTGTGTTGGCATTGTGGATGACGTTGTCCATCTGTGTGTTGAGGTTGGCATACTTCTCTGCGAGTGTCTTTGCCCGGAACTCCTGATAGAAGCTGAAAATAGTTAGCCATAACCACAGGACAGGAAGCAAGAAACCCACGTCTCCTGTGTGCTTTGATATGCCCAAAATCCTAATGCACGACCTGCACATTCCATGATTGTGTTCGGATCCAATCCACTCAGCACGCTCGTCTTGTAATCCTCCGTTGGATTGAGAACAGTCGAAACAGCGTCATCAGGATTCAGAAGCACGGTCTGGCAAGCAGGACAACTCCGATTGCTAGTTGTTGGATGGGAAAGCCCGAGGCTTTCTGCGCAGTCATGGCAGAAAATATGACTAGATTCGTCAGTGCTTCATCAGTTGTCAGAACAGGGATTCCTACGAGCAAGTTGTCACCACGGCTTTTTCTTTCAATTCTGCCCGACATTTCAAAGAATTGCATTTCAAGGAGAAATCCATTATGTCGTCGTTGTGGGGTGCAGTCGCTGAGATGGCAAGAGGTGCAAGTCACTAGATATCCGAATTACAGTTAGTCAACTCCAGGGAACATGATAATATTAAATATTTGATTTCATTTGGTATTTGTCTATTACATCGTGATTTTTTCATATGTGTCTTTGAAGTTAGAAGAAGAAAGTATTTCCTTGTGCATCGCGCCTTGTAGAGGTCATCTTCTCTTCGAATTCTTTCCCAGGCTCATACTCATGCCATAGACTGGCCGGGTATATGTGTTTATTCTTCTCGTACCACCGTCGATCTACGACTTTGGTCTCAGAAAAGTCTTTGTCGGCGCCTTCTAGTTGATCATCACTAGGGTCTGTTGGGTTAACCACTGGAGGCTTGTTGGAGTAATCGAACAGCAAGCCACCAGCGCGCGAAAGACTAGGAATACGATTGGCAATGAAATAATAGAATTCGTAATGCTGCGTCAATGTTAGAGAATGCTCGAATGAAGATAGATTGGCGTATGGACTCACATGCGGAACGATGATATCCCCCTTGACAAGCATCAAGTCGTCGACACTAACTCGTGCCCACTCTCGACGATTGTCCTTCTTTGCCTTTGATGCGCCATTTGCACCGCGCACGCCCAACTCTGCACCGACTTTTCGACAACGGTCCAAAAACAACCAAACGGGGTCGCCTTTCTTCACTTTGACTGATCCTGCAGGTATACTCGTTCCGTCGTAGAACACAAACGGAATCAAGATTTCGGTATTCTTGACAGCTTCTTGCATGGCAAGGAACTCTTTGCGGAGAACGTCGCGGGCCTGCGCTTCAGCTTCCAGAGATGCCTTGGTCAAAGCCTTCGGCGGGGGAGGTGCATTGGGATTTGCTTTCATACGACGAGTCGCGCTATCCTCGGCGGGTGTTTTCGAACCGGACCGTGAGACGCTTGAATCGCGTGGCGTTGCGGCGGATTCTTCCCCAGTATCATCCTGATCGTCGCCGAATGATAGCTTGCTTTTGGCGAGGGCCTTCTTCTTCTTTCTCTTCGGGGGACCGTCACTCTGAGGAGGCGTTGATCTGTTGCGCTGCGGTCAGCTCATGAGAATGGAAATTGGAGTAGTCCTTAACCTACCCGTCAGTCACTTCGCCTGTAGATGGAGTCGCGCTTCTTGAATTACCGGATGCCAGTAGCCCTAGGGACTTGTCATGTGCCTCGCGCTCTTTTTGCTCCAAGACCTCTGCGCGCCGCTTGCGAAAGTCGGAGAGATGGACGAGACCGACAGTTTGCGACTTGAGCATTTCTTCCGCGGAGACGGTCTGGCCCGTGAAGGACCGTGGGGTCGAAGTTTCACTATTTTCTTCTTCTGCCATGGTGTATGATAGCTTGACAGCTGGATTTGGCAACGAAGTTGGAGAAATCAACTTTGTGAAGCTCCGTCATTTGACATCTTTGGAGCTGACACGTGACCTTGAATTTGGCGCATCGATGTTTGACAAGATCATGCGGTTCTAGCCACAATAATTATAGATAGATACCTCAAGTTCTATCCACAATCAAAGCTGAACTCACTCATATCGATTTCACTGTCTCACGGCGTTGCGGTGCTGCATGATAGAGCTGATCAACTCGCATACATCACTGCAAACAAGACAAACCCGGCTCGCGCGCAACTTGAGCTCAATCTCGATCTTCTTTGAGGCAACTTTCTGGGCAATTTGTTAAGATTGAATCCAGAGACAATGGACGAAGAAGAAGACGACTTTTATGACCCCGTGGATGCAGTGCCAGTCACGCAATCGCAGAACCACGCACAAAATGCAGCTCCAGGCCAACCGCAGGAGAGCAATGATATGGACGACGAGGAGGAGATAGAGGTCGAAGAGGACGACGATGTAATGACCGCCTGTCTTCCCGATTACAACCAGTACTAACGCCATCCAGGACGACTTCAACATCATCACAGAGGCACCTGCAGACGCACCAGCGCCAGAAGCGTAAGTTATCATGTCGCGCTCCAGGAAGTCACTAATTTCAAGCTAGCTCTCACCCACGCCACGCAAGCTTACGACAAGAATCACAAAGGCCCGGCTCGGCCGACTCGTCGATGATATCCAAGGCAGGGACTCCATCAGCAACACCCCGATACGAGACCTCAACCCCAGTCATCGGCCAACCGGCTGCAGTAAAACCTCCCTCCGACCAAAAGCCAGGCTCTGCCTACCCAGCCATTCACAGCTCGAACATCGACGTCAACGCGAACCCCATTCACCCGACGACAGGCAAGCCGATCATGTCCACGGACATGGATGCCGATTTCCCGTCCGACGACAAGCCCTGGCGCCGGCCTGGATCAGATCTGTCAGATTACTTTAACTACGGCTTCGACGAGTTTACATGGGCAGGCTATTGTCTCAAGCAGCAAGGTGTTCGACAGGAGGTTGGCAGCCAGAAACGACAGATGGACGATATGCAGGCTTTCATGACTATGGGCATGCCCCCAATGCCTGGTGCACCCCCAGGACCTACTGCTGCTCCCGCTGCCGCTCCGCCTATGTCTGGCATGCCCGGCGGTATGCCAGATATGAACCCCGATATGATGCAGGGTATGTTGGCCAACATGATGGCCCAGGGCCTGGACCCGTCTTCTATGGATCCAATGGCTTTCATGCAGCATGCGCAGGCCATGGTTCCCGGTGGTGGACAGCCGAGCCAACCTGGCTTCGGTGGTCAACCCCAAGGACAAGGCTTTGGTCAAGGTGGTCAGGGTCAACTGGGCTATGGTGGATACGATCAACGCGGTGGCTACGGGGGACGAGGACGGGGGCGCAGGTGGTAGTCTTGATCTGAGTCTGCTTTTTCATGACGGTAGCTTTGGTTGACCTTTGAGGATCGGATATTGCGGCGTTTGATGCATACAAGGGAATCAGTAACAATGAAAAATGACAATTGTCCAGCCTATGTTAGCTTTGAGAGTAACCAAATTGCAGTGTAAATTGAAGACCTGTAAAGTACCTAAAGGATAAACAATGTAAGAAAAACCAAAGTGAAGAGTATACGGAGCCGGTAACCCGACCCTCGGGAGTAGCTCAAGTCTTGGCATTCTGGAAATTTCTCCAGTCAGATCTTCTCTCCCCGGACGAGTTCCATCCTCTTCCCTTCTCCATCCACCTCAACTCCGATCACTTCAGGAAATCCAATCATCCTTCACAATGGTACGTCTAACATCCAAAATCACCTCTGCCACTCATCTACACTCCTCGAAACCCCCAAAGGCCCCAAAGCAAACAAGCTGGACTCCCTTCCACGCCGAACTTTTCTCCCAAGCCGAACCACCCGACACCCATCACGCGCATGCGCAATGCGCTGGACCACATCAATCACTCATTCACTGCAATAAACACACATACTAACCAATCTTCCAGTCTGTCCTCCGCAACATTAAGAGCCTCGCCCCCCTTCTGGACCGCGTCCTGGTCCAGCGCATCAAGCCCGAGGCCAAGACCGCCTCCGGCATCTTCCTCCCCGAGGCCGCCGTCAAGGAGCAGAATGAGGCCCAGGTCCTCGCTGTTGGCCCCGGTCTCCTCGACAAGGACGGCAAGCGTCTCCCCATGGGCGTCGCTGCCGGTGACAAGGTCCTCATTCCCCAGTTCGGTGGCAATGCCATCAAGGTTGGTGAGGAGGAGTACACTCTCTTCCGTGACCACGAGTACGTTCTATCCCTGTATCCCTTTGCCTGCATGTGTCCATGGAATAGGCAGTTGCTTCTTTATCTTGTGATTGACTGACACCCTTTTTAGCATCCTCGCCAAGATCCGCGATTAAACGCTTTACTCACGTATCTATTGACTCGATACCTCACTCGTGCCATGCAATTTCCCACCTGTCGACTGTCTAATTGATTCATCGCACTGCTCTACTGTAAAATGTGGACACGTGGATGGTTGATTATGACTCGGCGTGTATTATACCAAGACGTGACGGCACGAGCTCGACCATTCCAAAACATACAAAAAAAGATACCATAACAACTTGGAAGCCGTGATGTGGATGCGAATCGTGATGATATGTCATTTGTCGTCTGATTTTGTATCTTGGTTCTGGTGCCCTTTTTCCTACTTTGCATACATGAGTTTTTGAAGCGCTGGATTGGCCTAGGGTCTTGCATGTCTTTGTCCCAATGTACTTTTAAATTTAAACTGCGACTTTCCTGTTTGGTTGTCGATAATTGCAGACATGATCATCTCCTCTCGAATCTACTCGCCCATTTGTACACAAGGGATATGAGTCTTTTGATGACCGCAGTTACTCCGTAGACGCTATAGTTTGCCCAATCCGAACGGGACCACCTGCTAAAAGAAGAGGTGAGCATTCCGATCTATTAAACCACCTCTAGGACCTGCACAGCGCTAATGATGGACACAAGATGCAACTGGCCCGGAGCGACGAAAAAGAAAGTGGAATGGCAAAGATCTGCGAATTGGAATGCCCTAACCGTGAAATAAGCGGCGAGCTTAACCGCACCCGTATGTATCTAGAGGACTCTCTCAGCGAAAAGAACGAGATGTAGGCAGAAATCCTTCGGCTTCAAGACGAACTTGGCGGTATATCATCTTGAGCCAGTCACCTGGAAGACGAGTTGGTTCGTGTCACAAGGGGGATACGGGAGGCAATGCAGGCGTTGCAGGTCCATCAGACGCAGGAGGGAAGCGCGGCAAAACACGGCGATAGACAAGATGAGCCAATTTTCAAGGACTTCAGGGGTAGAGGCTCATTGTCATAAGGAAACATCACTGGCAGACTCGCTTGCATGCGCTACTCACTTACCGAATACGTTAGATATTGAAGACAAGAAACAATGATTCTATGGAGCGTATGGAGCGAGCAGTTTGATCATACAACCCAGGCCAACAGATGGCTGAATTGAGCACTAGTGGCCATCGGAAAGAACTCCCCGGATCAATTCCTCCAGATCAGCATCCGTCTTCAACGATATGCCGAGTAATGTATTGTCCACCTCCTGGAACTCTCCTCCGTACCCCTTCCCAAAGACTGAGCGGCAAAAGAATCCCATTGAGGCTGTCAGATCGTTCATCCCGTTGGCGTATTTGTCCCGCGCCATGTTCTCCATGTCGGCCGTGCTCACATCTGTTGGCGTCCATTTGCGATCCGATGTAACCTTCTGGGCAATGGCCAGCATCCTTTGCTGGGTGGTGACGAGGTCTTGAATAAATACAGATCTATTTCGCGTCTCCTTCAAGTGACGCAGGACCTTCACCACGGCCCGGCCGATCGTGGCCAAGGTGGTTGTACTGAACGGACGGGCCCCACCGTCGTAAATCCTCCGTTGAGGCTGAAAAAGAAGCCGTAGGCCAGACTCCAGTCAAGGAAAGGCCCGTTGCGAATTAAAGTATATGTGAAATAGGGATAGTCCCGAGCCTGTTGCTAGACGACCTCGTGTATCGCGAGCTTGGAGTGGTAGACAGGCAAACTGGCCGCCTTGGGATTGCTAATGTTCGCACAGAACTCGGAGGGAAGGAACCTCCTCACTCCAGCTTTCACTGAGGCCTCAATCAGCGAGATCTGTGTCTCCATGGCACTGGTTATCAGGACCGAGACCACGGCATCCTGGCCGGTCAGAGCCGCTGTCAGGTCTGGGACCGAGATGTGATCCACACAATATGTGTTGTCTCCCTTATCACTCAGTCATAGTCTATACTGGATAGGCCTAGCAGAGGTCTAGATAGGTCCGTTTCCAGCAATTGTGGTTTTTGGCGCACTCTGCTCATACTTGTGTGTAGGAATAAGATTAACCGCTAAGCCAACTCCATGAATCGAACCAATAATACCAACACCCCGAAAAGCCCATGCTTAATCATTATAATTCGACTGCCTCGACCCATCCTTATTAACAACTGGCAATCCATAAAGCGCATTCAACTCATCCTCCTGAGACTTCCCAGATTCCTCAAGAACAGGCCTCTCAGCATGACAAGCAACCCGGACAGCATGACGGCGGTGCGGAGTGAAACCATACGAAGCACTATGATTCGTAGACCGATTATCCCAAATCGCAACATCATCCTCGCCCCACGAGAATCGAGCATGCATTTCTTGCGTGGTGGCAATGACATCGGTGAGGTATTTGATAATGATATCGCTCTCCGCAGACGGTATCCCAATAATCTTCGTCACAAAGCCGGGGTTAAAGAACAGTCCGTTCCAGCCCGTTACCGGGTTCGTTCGAATCAGGGGATGTTCGGTTGTAACCGGATCCCGACGAACTGGGCGGCCGAGAGCCTTGGAATCATTTGCTTGCATGTTTGCCGAATGCAGAGCTGTCAGGCCCTTGAGGTAGGTTTGCATGTGAGATGAGAGGACGTCGTAGGCTGCGTATTGGCTTGACCAGAGGGTATCGCCGCCTCCGCCGCGTGGGGGGCCGGTGAGGAGTTTGAGGGATGTATAAGATGGAGGCTGGAGTTCGTAGGTGACGTCTGAATGCCAGAGGAAGCTTGGTGTGAAGAGGGCGCGGTTGTCCCCTGAGTTATCGCCTGTGTAGACGACGTGGACGTCTTCTAGACCTGGTTTGCGTGGGACTGAGGTTGTGGCGTGTTTATGTAGTTTTCCTAGGTAGCGGCCTAGATCGCGCTGGGCGTTGATGTCAAAGTTCTTTTGGTTTCGGAAGAAGACGACGCCTCTGTATGCGATTAGGCGAGCTAGATCGTCTCGCTGGGCGTTGTCCAGTTTTGAGAGGTCTACTCCTTGGACTTCTGTGCCGATTTTGGGGTTGTGGTCGAAGACGCCTGTGGCGTCTCGGAGGAGATTGCGGAATTTGGGATCTCCTCGCAGGCCTTTGTCTTCGTAGGGTGTTTCCTCTAGGGCTGGCCAGTGGACGTCTGGGAATCTTGGAAGGAAGTCTTCGTATGCATAGTTGTCGTGGGTTTTGACTTGTGTGCGGCCGGGCTGGTATCCGAATTTGTTGTCGGCCAGGTCCTTCTTCGGGGCCTTCACTGTGAAGTGTGTTGTTGGGGCGACAACGGGCTCAATGAGAGATGGCGCCATTGTGAAGTTCTATACAGGTGTAGGATAATGCAATGTATAGATGTGTGAAGGTATACAATGGAGTCTAAAACAAGGTTTGAATAGTTCCAAGAAGAAGAGCAATGGTTAACATTTATATAGATCCACGATGACTCAAGGCAAGCAATTGCGCCATCCTGCTACACAATCACCCAAGGGCAAATGGGGAATCGTCGAGATCACGAATTCCTCTCTTTTGGAAATGACGAAAGACCCGCTTCCCCGGAATTCAGAATCACGCCATTGCGCTGACGTTGAAGGCGAGATTTGCCATCATCCTCGAATAGGGAATTGAAGAATATCAATTTGATACATCAAACATATTTCACCGCCGTTTCATCCCTGAGTCCTAAAATAGCGGTATGGCAGACGCGTGGACGTTGATCTCAGGGGAGGTCAAGATTAGCAGTTCGGGGGAGATCACGCTAAGGAGGCGATCACGCAAGAGCCCGCCACTCTTGCGTTGGTCATCCCCGCCTCCACTCCAGTTTGTCATCCATTCGATTACCTACTCCATACCTCACATTAGGGTTGCAGGGGTTACAAGGAAGAATTTGAGTGGAATGATCTCGGCAAGTCGCATGAAATTATCAGATCATGCAGGAGTACGCAGCCGGAGATCGATAACAAACCCGGACTATTCTCGGACTCCGGCTTACTCTATTCCCTACACTCCACTCCAGTAGATACCGTTTCAGATGTCAAGATTGTCATGTTTCCCATGCTGATAACCAGCTGCCATTAGTGTACAAATCAAACGCTATGCTCCAATCATCACAGGTTGAGTCGGCCATCTCCGAGTGTCCCCATTGAAATGTCCTGCACCTGTTCCGAAACTGTACTGAGACGACCTGCGACGCCCATGATACCGGCCTCGACATCCCCGAGGACTGCTGCGAGCTCATACACTGTGGACTTGGGCACTGTAGAGCCGGGTCCGTCGCGAGACTTGGAGCTGACAAAGTCGTTGATCTGGCGGTTGAGGGTGGCCTCGACGCCGTGGAGGTGGTCTTCGATTTCCTTGAGGTTTCCGGTGTACCGGGACAGCACGGCTCCCATTTCATCCGAGCGGTGTGAGAAGTAGTCGACCAGGTTGACGGGGACGCCGTTGACCGTAGTTGCGGACGGGTCTCCCTCCACGTCGTCGGGAAGGGCGAGGGTGTTCTTGCGAGTGGAGCGGATCTCAGGCGCTTTTTGGTCCTGTACTGACCACCATCCACCGCCGTTCGACTGGTATTGCAGGGGCAGCTTCAGTGTGTCGATAGCCCGGAATGCAACCTGTGCCTCGGCCGCATCGCGAGAAACAAGACTGCGGAGTCCGTCAATGTCACGGGCGTCGTTTTCCAGTGCGTTTTGCATCGTTTCTAATTTTCCTTGCACAAATTCAACATCGTTGGGGATAAGAGAGCCCTGGTTTTCAATCGTAGGGAGCAGATCCGAGACCTCGTTACAGTACTTTATCTGAGTAAGAATGTGGTTGTCGATTGCCTCGATCTCGGAGCGAATCTCATCGGCGCAGCTCTCGAACTTCGTAGTGGGTAGCAGGTTGGTAAGGTCGACCTTGACGCCTTGGACAACCGTGTTGTTGTTTTGCTGTAAAGGCTGCGTTCCCTGTGTTGTGCCAGTATTGAAGACCGAGAGACTGGGTTTTTGGGATTGCTGTTGGTTGTTTTGAGTACCACCACTGCACCTCGTTAGAATGAGCTCAACAGACCAAACACATCTTCCACTTACAGCGTTGAGCCACCCAGTCCGCCACCGAGTCCAAGTCCACCACCTAGGCCACCGCCACCGAGTCCACCACCGAGTCCACCACCGAACGGCGACTTGCCAGTCTGAAGAGTGGAGTTCGTGTTACCACCAGCAGTGACGCTGCTCCCGAAAAGACTAGACCCAGTTCCGCTCTGAGTCGTGTTGGTGCCAGCGCCAGCGCCCGCTCCAAGAGTTCCACCAAACAACCCGCCTGACGCAGGCTGCGTGGTAGCTGTGTTTCCGAAAAGACCACCGCTAGGCGCAGGGGCACCAGCGTTCTGCGCAGCCTGAGAGGCCGCAGCTCCGAACATGCTGCCAGCGGGCTTTGGCGTCGTCGAGGTATTTACGAAGAGACCGCCGGTGGTATTTGTCGTGCCAGAAGCAGGCGTGGTTGTGCTTTGTGTATTGCCGCTGAGGAGATTTGCGGTTAGCTTTTTTTTTTTCGGTGAGATCAAAAATTGGCTCCGCTGTAGCGAGCTAGGAGACGCGACTAGTCGCTGGGAGAGATGGAATGACAATCGATCGAATGGATCAGAGCAAGGGGTTGGCATCCAGTCTGATACGTTGCCCAGCATGCGGTCAGCGAAAGAAATTTGGGTGCACGTACAATAAGGAACTGGTGCCGCCAGTACTTATGGACAGGCCGCCTGAAGCAGGTGCGGATGTCTTTGGGGCAAACATCTTGAATGGGTGGCAATAACAATAGACAATAGCTGTCAATACTTTGCGTCGCAATTGTCGCGATTTGCGGGAAGCTTCTCGGCATACGGTTTTTCCGGTCCGGGCATATAAGTCACCGCGGCATCAATGATCAATTCGTATGGGAGACGACATTCTGGTTATTTCTGCTATTGGCTTGCAACACAGTGCTCGAATGTGATCTCGTAATTATAGAAGTTCCGGTGTCGACCAGATCCAAATCTGGCCTGGCGTACTTGCTCTGATATCTCGTGCGGAGAACAAAGACACAATTTACATGTATCGTTGAGCTTGAAACTTCCAAAAAATCACTGAGAAGAATACTTGAGAGTGTATTCACCTTTTGAAGGGGCTACTCGCCATGGTCAGCCAAGATGCCAACCCGTGGACGCCAGTCTGCGTAGCATCGACAGAGCCTCAACTTGAGAAAGAGCTATCCCCAGGCTCTTCCCCACGATTTTCCCGGGGTTCATCTATTTCGATAAAAAGTGAGCATGACGAAGACAATAAGCTACCTAGCTTGTGTCCTTCCCGCAACTTTTTCAAAAGCGCAGAATGGTAAGCACCAAGCTAAGTTGTATAAATATGTCAGGACTGACACTCATGTTCAAATAGGACGCCGGATGGCACCACATTGTTGACAGACTCAGCAGACCACTGTATCAGAACATACGTCCTGTGAGCCTACATACCATCCTCGCCTCGACCAAACGACTAACAAAGCAACAGACCACCAGACCTATTAGAAACAAAACAACTTCATAGCCTATCACCTTACTCAACCCTCCCTTCAGCAGAACCAACCTACTCCACAGCTATCTACCCATTCTACAACCTATCAGACCCCTCAACAACCCTATACCTATCCTCAGTCCGCGACCATCCAATCCGCCTCTCATCAGCCCTAGCACCAACAAACATGGCAAGCTACTCATTGATAAACCCAATGACAGAAGCATACATAACCCCCCACTCAATGATCTACCCATCAACCCTAGGCGGAACCCAATTTCTCACAGGCTCAGACAGTCTAATATCCCTCTTCGACATATCAAGACCAGGAAACCAAGGCCCCATCACATCAATCCCAACAATACCCAGCAAACGCAAGCAAATCGTCGGTGGCGGCGTCGGTATGAAGGGCATTGTTTCAGCGTTGGCGCTTAATCCCAGTGGAGATGGTGTCCTCGCTGCGGGTACTTTTACCAGAAATATCGGGCTTTACAGCTCGAATGGCTCTGGTGAATCGCTGGGGACATTCAGTATCGCGAAAACAGATGCGAATCGTGATATTGGTGGGAGAGGTATTACGCAACTTGTTTGGAGTCCTTGTGGTCGGTATTTGTATATCGCTGAGCGCAAGAGTGATGGTGTGCTTGTTTATGATATTCGGGTTCTGGGTCAGATGCTTGGTCATCTGCGTGGCCGTAAGGCACTCACGAACCAGCGCTTGAAGATTGACGTTGTTCCTTCTGGTCCTGATGGTTCTCATGAGGTCTGGGCAGGGGGAACGGATGGGCTTATGAGGGTTTGGAGGGATCCTATCTTCTCGGCTGGGGGGAAGGATCCTGATTGGGAGTTTAGGGTTCATGATGGTATGTTCTTTTGCGTTCTTGAGATTGTTGTTTCATGCTGATGTTTTATAGATGCTGTGACCAGTGCTGTTCTTCACCCTATGGGTAGTGTTGTTGCCACTTGTTCTGGGCAACGGCATTATGATCAGGATGATTCGTCTGATGATTCGTCCGAAGGTGAAGATAGTCTGGTTACGGAAGCTCGGAGGGTTGACAATAGCCTCAAGATTTGGTCCATGCCGTTCTTAAACCCGGATTCTGAGATTCATCATGAATTGGACAATAGGGAGTATCCCGAGGAGCGAGAACCTAGTTATCAAGACGAGAGCCATGAGGCCTAGCTAGTAAGAATAGACATGGACTTTTGAATATGGAGCTGGGCTCCTCTGAGATCTATTGAAGGCCCTGAAATATTCCAATAAGCAGCAAAGTGGGAAGAAACTGAATGTAGCCATTGAGCTGTGAGAATGTCTTGTCGTTTCAAATATTTCCGAGTCAATAAATAAATATAATCTAAATAATCTTGATTTGAACATCTAAACCAACATCTTCATAAGCACTCAAGGAATCCGAATCCCATACTTCTCATACGGGAAATCCTCCAGCGTCGCATACAACTGACCAAACCCATCCCCAATAGTCCCAGGCTTTCCAGCACCTTGCAAACGCCAAGCCTGAAGTTGCTCAGCCTCCTTCTCAGCATCAAACTTGTCCGCCTCCTTATGGGAGCCAGTCGCACCAGCAAGAACCTCCTCCTCACGACCCTTGAACGCACCCAGGAGACCAGGGTGGGGACACCAGACAACCTGCATACCAGCCCGACGACCAGCCTCAACGCCCGGAACGGCATCTTCAAAAACGAGACACTCCTCTGGCTTGATCTCAATCTTACCCTGCTGACGCAGTTCGGCGTTGATAGTCTCCAACGCAAGCAGGTAGATATCAGGCAGGGGCTTGCCACGGCCATTGCCGATGCGCGGGTCATCGCCGAGAACCTTGTTTGCATCTGGGAAGACGGACATTAGGTCGGTTTGGTGGTCGGTTTTCAGTTTATAATTGCCGCTGTGGGATGATGTTGCCAGTGCGATGTACACTGGTTCAGAGGTTGACTTTGTTGAGGCTAGGTTGTTGAGAAGCGTGCGTACACCTGGCAGAGGCTGCGATCTGGGGAAGTATTTCCGCTGCAGGGCAGAGCGCTCTTCATTCAGTTGCTCCTCTGAGATGGGGAGTTTGGCGAAGTCGTGGAAGATCTTGCCGGCCTGTTGGTGGTCTTAGTACCGGTGTATATATTGGTAGGCAAATTAGACAGACCTCGGGCGCAGGACGACCCTGCATCTGGGCCTTGATAGACCAGGGCAGCAATGGCCTGCCGTACTTCTGGAGGATCTCGTTCGTGATTACGGTGTACAGGTCCTCTGAGTCAATCAAGAGGCCGTCCATGTCGAAGAGACATGCTCGGATGCGGGGAAGGCTGTTTGCTATGTCAATTGATAGCACACATGTGCACGGGAGGTCACTCACTTATTTGAAGCCATTGCTAAACTGTTTATTCAAAGCTGGAGAATTCGAGTGGGATGTTGACAGGCGATAAGACGCGGGGAATTCGTTATCAGTCCCGTGATTAGCCCTTGGCAGCAACCGGTGAGAGCCTCAACTTTTCCTCACATCATGCCTGACTCCAACCCCGAGCGCAGTGCCCCGGTCGATGCCGATGACAGTGGTGATGAGGATGTCTTTCATGATGCCCACTTCCCCGCTGAGGAGGAAGCCGTGAGTTTGACGAATTTCACGACCGGAGATCCACACTAATTGCAATTGTCACAACAGCAACTCCTGAAAGAATCCCAAGAAATCAAGACCGAAGCAAATCAGCTATTCCTCGCGAAAAGCTATGACCAAGCTATTTCCTGCTATGACCGAGCGCTCGCCTCATGCCCAAGTTACCTCGACTACGATGTCGCCGTGCTGCACAGCAATATCGCAGCCTGCTATCTGAAACTGGAGGACTGGAAAGCAGCGGTAGACTCGGCAACTGTCTCAATTGACCGCCTGGACAAGGTCATTCCGCCGACTGCGCAGACCAAGGACGATTCAACGGGAAAGACAGCCTCCGACTCCGACGGAAAGGACACAGATGACGTGGTAGAAATATCGGGAGATGACGAAGAGGCCGAGGAGAAGGAACTACAACATTTGAAAGACCAGGACGAGAAGAGAAGCAATGTGATGCGGATCGGTGCCAAGTCCCTTATGCGACGCGCAAAGGCAAAGTCCCAGATCGGTGGCTGGGGCAGCTTGCAAGGTGCTGCTGAAGATTATCAGACGCTTTCTGCTATGGATAATCTGCCAGCTGACGACAAGCGGATTGTACAGCGCGCTCTGCGGGAGTTACCGGAGCAGATCAAACAGGCGCGGGAAAAGGAGATGGGTGATATGATGGGGAAGCTGAAGGATGTGAGTATAGCGATACCAATGACCCTTGATTTCAAGTCCAGGGGAATTGCTAACTTTTCAAAGCTCGGCAATGGCATCTTGAAGCCATTTGGCCTGTCTACCGAGAACTTCAACTTTGTTCAAGACCCCAAGACCGGTGGTTACAACATGAACTTCCAATCTTGAACTGCTACTGACAATCTCCCTGCCAAAATGAGACATGAGGAATCTCTTTCTACGGAAATCTTGCATACATGGCAATATGCCTAAAGGCGTTTTGACTTTTGTACATCTTGCAATCTCACTTGATAAGAAGTTATGTTCTAAACCTTGTCAAGCTTTCACGGCAAGACGCAGCCAATCCTTGGTAACAGAAGCAAAGATCCGCAACACGAATCAATATCAAAAAGAGCTTATATCGTACAAACGTATTTCTCGGCTCTCTCAAGATTAAAACTGCAAGGTACAAAGAAAGGTGAATTCAAGTTTGAACTCAAGTTGTACTACATTTTACTTGATGGTCGCACTGCGTTCTCCAGCCTTAGCAATAGAACATCCGAGGATAGGGCATGCTCTGTGCAATACAATGGCATTACTATACCCAAGAAACTATAATTTTGTGAATTGTACGGGATAATCTTCAATATATTTTGGGAAAGACGGGCAAAACGTACTTTGTCAAGCATTTGAGAAGTTCATAGTTCATAAAAGGTACTGGGAATGTGAGGATATGTTTTCGCTGACTCGGGATTATATCATGCAGGACCAACCTAAGCGCTAGGATCTCAAATAAACACACACATCTCCCATCGATCCCAGTCTCCCTCATTACAACCATCCCAGCAGCCAAGAAAAGCAAATATGCTCTTTAACGTCTTCACAACCGAGACCCTCGGCATCAGAAACCACATAGCAATCTACATCGAAACAGACCCAACCACGGACAGCGGCTGGCTACACCACGTTACAGGAACAATCCTCAACGGCATGGAATACACACCCCGACCAACCCGCAACCCAAAGGAGCTACCAGAATACGTTCTCGACTCGCAAAAGCGGATCGCCACGATCAACGAGGAAGATCTAGGACAATTCCGTGAGGAGTGTTGCTTAGCTGTCCCGCCCCCACGTCCTCAGGTTACACTTGGTGGGAAGCGGTTGTATCCTGATATACCGCTTTATCGATGTGGACATTGGCTTAAGGATATTGAGGAGTTGGCGTTTGAGAGGGGCATTTTCAAGAGGATTTGAGGAGCTTGCTACTAAAGGGTTTCTGTTCTTGCTGTTGTTGTTTTTTTTGTGGTTGTATGGCTAGGTTTCACAGAATAGCCCATCGCTCGCCCATTCACCAATTTCATTACTTTCTTAGTCTACGCATGACGGCACTGGCGTTTATCATGTCCGCGGCAGCCATCGTACTAAATGGCAAGCACGACTCGCGAGCCCACCCGGCTGCCATTTTGTTTTTATGTTATGTCCTCTACAGGGTCCTCGATCTTGCTCTTGACAGGCTTCATAGATTGCTGCCAGTCCGTGGCGTTAGTAGCTCTGGTTGCCCCTTTCAGGAAATCTGCACCAAAATGTGCCAGCTCGACCGCCCCTAGCGGTGTACTGTATTCTTCGCCACATCAATGGAGCAGGTGGACTATTTCTGACAACGATAATCCCCACAAAGTGGTCGATGCTAAATCCTGTGGTGCACATTACCTGGGAGGTATGACCATGCTCTTCCGCTAGCTTTTTTACTGCTCATATTCTACTATCTAGGTAGTCTTTCTTGGTTTGCTACACTAGCAGTGCAAACTTCTACCTGCACAGACGGGGGCCCGCGAAAAGTAGTGACAGCCCCGAGACTTTTCATGGCCCCCTGGACCTTCTTAGCATTGATGCTCGCTGGCCGTCTTATGCTCGACCTACACTTGCATACCATGTTCCACGACCGCCCTGACTTTCATTGGGCGCGCAAAGGAGTACTTTTCAGCACTAAGAGTCTACTCGCATTCGATGCTTGGATGTTGTTAATTGAGCAGATGGGAGTGCTATTCGTCACATTCATCAAGCCGATCACCGTCGTCATTTTACATGTGTTCGATGTTCAGGTATTCCTTCTACCGGCTTCTTATGCCATTGCATTTGATGAGATCAAGGCCATTATGTTTACGCATTGACAATTTTAGAGTGATCTGACCAGGTTAGGTCCGAGCTCTGCTTGTGGGGCTGGAATGATTTTGATGGCTGTCAAATGGTTCGCATTGTTTCTTTGTCTTTATTTCATTGTGCGCGTTGTCCATATGGGGGCACACAATTCTACAATTCGGTAGGTTAGATAGTGGGTTAATGTTATTCGCTAGGTGATGGTAGGACAATGAAATGGAATATGACGTCAGAACAAATTTTACTTTCAGTAAATTGTTGTTTTGTAAAGTGCCCCGAGGCTGAAAGCGGGTCAAGATACCGAGTGGACAGGTCACGAAAAGGGGAAAAGGGGCAGTCTATGCCAGAAAGAGCAAAAAGAGACAAATCAAGTGGATGATAGTTCACAAGTGACCAATAACTGCGGGAATTCGGCGAACCGTGGCGCGCTGAGATCCGCGATCCAGTCACGGGAAATGTGGAGCCGGACGCGGTGAGGTTTAGGTGTATTTGTAGTGGTTGTGGTAAATCGGCAGATGTATGCCAAACAAGTGGCAGTTCAACGAATGTATGTAGGATATAACCGACCTGTAACCTTGGAACATCTCTACCCAAGGCAAAGATGAGGCCGACGAGGCCGAGGTGATTTAAACCTTGCAAAGTGATCTAACCGAGGCCGATTGAGTTTAGCCAATCAGATCTCTGCCGCGCATATAAATTGCGGGACACAGATCGTCACGGAATAGATCGTCAGACCTAGCTGCCGATTTTTCTTGCCCCCTGATAGCTTCATGTTTACTTATATTGCCTGTTGATCACCTCAATTGGACTTTCATCTATTACTTCACTCATTTGAGATCGCGCAAAATGCCGAAAACGGTCTACCGCTCGTCCTATCCGGACCTCAACGTCGAATCTGTCGATCTGGTGACCTACCTGTTCTCCAACCCTCTAAACACACCTCTCGACCGGCCATTATACATCGACGCAGTCTCTGGAAAGCAATATACTTTCGGCGATGTCATCAAGCGCGTGCGCTGTCTATCCAATGGCCTTCGTCAGAGCCTTGGCCTGAAGCCGAACGATGTCGTGGCCCTGCTCAGTCCCAACACCATTGAATACCCCATCGCTTGCCATGCGGTCGTTGGCTCAAGGGGTATTGTCGCTCCTACCAGCGCAGCATTGACTCCGCTTGAGCTGAATGCCCAGCTCAAGACCAGTGGTGCGCGATTCATCATTGTGCACTCCGCCTTGCTGGAGACGGCCACGAAAGCAGCCAAGGGAACATCCGTTGAGCGAATCGTCTTGCTAGATGGCACACCTGCCAATGGCGATATCACTTGCGAACACCTGGCCAGCACCTTCGCCGAAGCCGATCTGCTCTCCATCAAATCCTCCGAGGCCGCTACCCAACCAACATTCGTCTGCTTTTCCTCTGGCACCTCCGGCCCAGCAAAGGGAGTCATCACAACTCACCAGAACATGACCTCCAACCTGCAACAATGGCGCGCCCACATGCTCGAGTCGGGAACCCCCTCCCAGCGCTTCGAGCGCAACTCCGCCATCGCCTTCCTCCCTTTCAGCCACATCTACGGCCTGAACCTGTTCATCTGCCAGTGTCTGATCTGGGGTACTACAGTCGTCGTCATGCCCAAGTTCGACCTGGATGTCTTCCTCGGCTGCATCGAAAAATACCGCCCCTTCGAGCTGTCCGTCGTTCCACCCATCGCTCTGATGCTCGTCAAGGACGACCGCGTGTCCAAGTACGACCTCACTAGCGTGCGACGCATCATGTCTGCCGCTGCCCCCCTCACAGTCGAACTGTCGACCGCCCTGGAAGCGAAGTTCAAAGAGATCAGCAAGACAGAAGTCTTCTGCACGCAGTCATGGGGTCTGACCGAGACATCGCCCTTGGCGTCGACATTCCCCAACGACCGTATGGACAAGCGCCACACGGGCGTCGGCAACATCTCGCCAAATATGGAATTCCGCTTTGTGGACGCAGACACCATGCAAGATGCCACCACCAACGCAGACGGGTCAACGCAGCCTGCAGAGATTTGGTGCCGAGGCCCGAACGTCGTGATGGGCTACTACAACAACGAAAAGGCCACAGCGGGCGCGTTCCACATTGACGAGGATGGAACGAGATGGTTCCGCACTGGTGATATTGGAACTATCGACCGCGAGGGCTATGTTACCATCCACGATCGCATCAAAGAAATGATCAAGTACAAGGGTCTGCAGGTTATTCCTAGTGAGTTGGAAGGCAAGCTGACCGACCACCCTGACGTGGAGGATGCGGCCGTTGTTGGAATGTGGGTCGACGAGCGTGCCACTGAGCTGCCGGTTGGATTTATTGTTCTCAACCGCAGGGCTAAGGACCGTGAGCAGAAAGTTGTCGTTGATGGCATCCATGCTTGGTTGAACGAGCGTGTTGCTAACCACAAGCGCTTGCGTGGTGGTATTATTGTCATTGAGCAGATTCCTAAGAGTCCCAGCGGCAAAATCCTGCGCAGAGAGGTCAAGGAGATGCTAAAGGCCATGCTGAAGAAGCAGGCGACTAAGGCTCGTCTGTGATTTGATTGCATATGTGTGTTGTGGTGTTGTGTGTTTTATAGATTGTTATTCGCTGTATAGATACTAATTAGAACCGTTCGGTTGGAAATACACACCATGTTCCGCGTGGACGTTGTCATTCTCTTGTCGCTTGACTATATCCACTGTATCCAATAGAGCATATGATGGACCCCGATCGCCAAATCTTCACGCTAATCACCTTCGGGATCCGCGGACCCCGATCGGAGATGAAATGCCTCCGTGAACAAGAGATTTCGTATCTGAGCTTTCAAGATCAAGCATTTTTCCCATAAATCAAGCTTAGCACACCCACTTCTCCCATTCTTTCCACATTCCTGCATAAATCCCCGGCATTCCTAGACGCGCCTTGCATTTTGTCCCTGATGTGGCGGTAAACTGACCCGCACCCAATCTTCACGAATCTTTTTTGCAATGGGCATATGGCCCTCTCAAAGCGCGACACGGCCCAAATTCGTTGAGCTGCGGTCGTCAAAATGGTTCATCATGTTTGTGGTTTCGTTCGCTGCTGCGACGGATATCTTCATGTATGGGCTGATCGTCCCTGTCACGCCGACGGCCCTGCAGGATAGAGTGGGGCTGTCGGAGGGCAGTATCCAAAGCTGGACTTCTATTCTTCTAGCGCTGTACTCGGCTGCGTTGCTCGGTTTTTCCCCCATTGTTGGGTACCTTGCTGATAGATCCGAGTCGCGTCGATGGCCACTATTAATTGGCTTGGTGGCCCTGGGCGCTGCCACGGCTTTGTTATGTGTTGGGACGAACATCGGCTTGTGGATTGCTGGTCGATTGTTTCAAGGTGCTGCTGCGGCTGTCGTTTGGTCGGTTGGTCTTGCGCTGATGGTTGATACTGTTGGCAAGGAAGATCTTGGTCAAGCTATTGGTTATGTGTCTATGGGTATTAGTGTTGGGACATTGGCCGGGCCTTTGCTTGGTGGTGTCTTGTATCAAAATGGGGGATACTATGCCGTTTTTGGTCTTGCCTTTGGACTAATTGGTGTTGATATCTTCCTCCGGGTCATTCTGATTGAGCGTCGGCATGCGATCAAATGGCTTGCATCGGATGAACGACCCTTGTCTGCAAATGGACAACCCACTACCAAAAAAGGACCCAAAGGAAAACCAAGTTCTTCAGCCTCCAACACTTTTGATACCGACACATCACCCAAATCGCCTCCTTCGCGGAGTGCGCTTCATCGTGTCAACACTCTACTCAAATCACCTCGTCTTATCGTCTCCCTTTGGGGATACTTCATCATATCCCTTGTCCTGACCTCCTTCGACAGTGTTCTCCCACTATATGTGCAAGAAACTTTCAATTGGGAGCAGACCGGCCAAGGACTGATCTTCATCCCACTGATGGTACCACACGTTCTAGACCCTGTAACGGGACTCGTCATTGACAAATTCCCCCGGGCATCTCGCTATATAACCGCAGGAGTATTCCTTGCCTCAGTCCCTGTGATGACACTCCTGCGTCTCGTCACGGATAACACCATGCAGCATAAGATTCTGCTGTGCGCTCTTCTTGCCCTTCTCGGTTTCTGCTTTGCAGTCGCCATGCCTCCCATCGTGGCTGAGGTCTTCTATGCCGTGCAAGAAAAGGAAGATGAAACGCCTGACATCTTCGGCCGCGGTGGGGCAATGGCTCTGGCTTTTGGTCTTTCTAACATGGGCTTCGCGGCTGGAAGTCTTATTGGGCCGTTCTTCGCTGGCTTTATTCGGCAGGAGGCTGGTTGGGGGACTATGGGTTGGGCTTTAGGACTATGTGTCGGCGTTTCGGCGCTTCCAGTGCTTTTATTCTTGGGCGGATGGATTTTGCGGAAGCCTAAGTCATCGGAAGAAACTTCCATTGCCGAAGGTGATTCCTCCTAGCTGGGACAAGTACATGCATGGATAGCGTATGCGAACTTTTGTACATACATTTAATAAACGTAAAATCTCGCCTCTGAAATAAGTACATTGAAGGTCACTGCTTAATTGAAATGGCGCTGACTGATTGAATAAGCGCAGAAACAGACCAGCGATCTCTACCATCTCTCGTCTCTTTGTTTCTCTCAGTACACATGGGCTTATTTCTATTGATGAGTTTTTCTTCGTGTTCTCCTCATAGAAAACTTGGCTGTCTACTCGCATGTCTTATGCCTGGTCACTCAGTCTGCCCGCTGAATTCCCGCCTCCTATTGGACGTGGTCCTCTTATGGACGGCCTGTTCACGAGTGGTATTGGGCGCCGCTGTCCTATTCTCGCTTGAAAATCATGCCTTGGTACCCCAGGTCTGGCGCAAATAGCAAAGCCCATTGGAGGAGGATCTGGTTCCGGGTAGCCCCCGGTAATCGCTAGCATTCAAACAATTGATGTTGAGAATAGTTGAACAAATATCTGCTCACTATAGTTATTCTTTGCTCTGCAGTATGGTCGTAATATGAAAACATCAACCCATTGACCAAAGGATATTCGGGCTCCCTTCTCATTGTCGACAACGGAACGGCTGCATCCTGTTAGTATCATAATGCCCCGGTTCCACTACCTCAGTTGATTCCCGTCATACATTTATATCTCAACCCCACATCCCCCACATTCCCCATGATGACCGATCGCTGACTACAATTTTGGACTTTGGACTCGGGAATTGTCGAGTCTACATTAGCCGTGAGCCCTATCTACACATCTATAGGGCTTGCCTCCCATCTCCATACTGTTACACCCATACTAACTCCATATACTACACCATGGCTGCCCCGGAGATTCAACACGAAGGCTTGAATGCCACATTCAAAGGAATTCAACGAGATGATCAGAACGTTCCTGTTCACCAATTCCTCGGTATTAAATATGCTACTATCCCAGCACGGTTTGAAAAAGCCGAGACTGTGAATACCTTCAACGGAGCCCTTTTCGATGCTTCTAAATATGGGTAGGCCGAACACCCTTCCGACAATTGACTCATGTGCTAACTCTTTATTAGACCGAGGTGCCCCCAAATGGAGGTGGATGTTCGCCATCTTCTCCGTATCCCAGAGGACTTCACTATTGCCCCAGAGCCCGAGGACGAGTTTGAATGTTTGAACTTGGAAATTACCGCTCCTCCCAAGTCTTCTAATACTGGTCCTCTGCCAGTTCTAGTTTGGATTCATGGCGGGTCGCAGATTGTTACTTTTTGTTCTGCTGCTTCAAAGATCTGTGATCCGACGAAGATTGTGGCAGACTCTATCAAGGCAGGAAAGCCATTGATCTTTGTTTCTATCAACTATCGTTTGAACATTTTCAGTTTTGGGGATGGGAAAGAGAGGAATTTGGCTTTGAAAGATCAGCGTCTGGGTATTGACTGGGTGAGAGGGAATATTGGTTCCTTCGGCGGTGATCCGGTAAATTGCTCACCTCACTACTACCAAGATGGGAATGCTAATAATACCAAGGAAAACATCACTCTGTCGGGTGAAAGTGCTGGTGCCGTCTATACGCACGCTCATTTGATTACCGGTCCACCAGTGAGACGGGCAGTCTTGGCATCTGGCTCTCTTTATCTTTCTTCTCCATTGCCCGTGGAAAAGGGAGATGGCATCATACGGGTGCTCGAGGAAAAGGTCCGATCGCTTGGACAGCTGTCACTGCGACAATCATCTGTTCCTGTGTTGATCCAAGCATTGAAAGAGTGCAATGTGAACACAATGTGGATTCAGGAAGAGCCAGAACTGGCGGGTTGGGAAACCAAACCGGAGCAAGTTGAGCAGCTGATGATTGGCGATACTGAGTACGAGGTAAGGGCCTCCCAGTCCGCTCGACTAACGACTCTTGCTAAGGAATGATCCAGTCTGTTATCTGGCGCAATGGCGTCGAACCCCTGGACGGAGAAACAATCACAGCTGCATTCGACAGCAACAAAGAATGGGGAACTCAGCTTCGCAAGATGTATCACGTCGTGACCGATCGCCCAACTGCTGCTAAGCTTGGGGCCCTGGATCTTGTGAACGACGTTCGCTATACTCTTCCCGTTGAAGTAGTCGCCGATAAACTGCAGGCTGCCAAGAAGCGCGTCTATAAATATGTTGTTGATCAGCCGAATCCCTGGCAACCCTCTAGCCGTGCGCACCACGCGGTGGATTTACTGTTCCTCTTTGATGGGGTCAATCTGTCTTTCAATCCCGCTGCGAGTGCGGTTGGACAAGAGATGAGACGGCGCTGGATCAAGTTTGTTAGTGGCGAGGGGCCATGGAGTGATGATAAGAGATTCGCTTTTGGTCCTGTTGGTGAATGCAAAGAGATTGATGAGGATCAGTTTGCTGCTCGACGCAGAGTTGACCATTGCAAGGTGCTGAAGGAGATGGGTGCCAGTGTGTATATGCCTATTGTTTTCGCATTGACGGCAGGGCGAATTAGTTTGTTGAATTAGTATAGAGGCATACAATTGCATGGTGACTTTGACGTACTTCAGCTATATCCCGTTTCTTTGATATTGGTGTGCCACTCTTACCAGTTATCTTCTGCGCCGACTGTCTAAGGTGACTATAAAACGAAGTTCACCGTATAATCGGCAGTTGTAAAAGCAGGTGAATACCGTAAAAACGACGCGATAATGGGCCAACTTCACCCCACAGATCGGCTCTGTTACTCAGCCCTGACTCATGTGGGGTCATCGCAGCCATCGCTTTGGCCTGCGAATCTCATTCACTTCCGTCATTGCTTCGCCCTTCTCCGCCAGTCAACTTGCGATTTTGCTCCACCGCCCAGCCACATCGGCATTTCGAATGGCCTTCTCAATGCCGATGTATAAATTGACGCGCCGTTTTTAGGCATCCCAGACATCAGCTACGCAGCGTCGTGGCAATGTATCCGATATCCGCGCCTTGCCGTTGGCTCTCCACGGATAGTCGGATCCAATCGTACTCTGTGCTTTGGGCTTGGAAGGTCTTGTTCTCGTTATTGTGTCCTTGGTGACCCCACAGGACGGTCTGGTTACTTTGGGGTATATAGGAGTCTTGCTGTTCCCGAATTTGAATTACTTTCAGAGAAATCAGACTTGTTATTCACTCTCTAACCTTATTCATATCGCATTTATACCATCATGCCTTCAACAGATTCTTTGTCCGACCCAAAAGAATACCAGAAGATCTTCCACTGGGCTGAAACACAGAAGGATGGATCCATTCCTTCTTTCAACACAAGGCGTAACGACCCTTACGAGGTATCTTACTCACATCTCAACAATACATAAGTGTAACCTCACTAACGGCTGGACAGTATCAAGCCGGCTTCGGCAATGCGTATGTATCCAAAACCTACATCTAGCGATTCAACTGGCTGATGTATACCCATTGAAACAGCTTCGTCTCCGAAGCAGTTCCTGGCACCATTCCACAGGGCCAGAACAGTCCTCGCAATGTGAGGTTCGGCCTCTATGCAGAGCAAATGACCGCTACAGCGTTTGTCGCACCCCGACACTGCAATAAGAAGGCGTGGCTATACCGCGCCCGACCTGCTGTCGCCCACCAAGGCTTCGTATGTCCCTGAATCCCTATTATCCATATGTCGCGCCTGTCCTCTAACAATGTGTCGCAGACCGAAATGCCCGACAACAAAGATACCGAGGCGAACTTTTTACCCCTCAACCCACGCATTCACGTCTCTCCTACTCAACTTGCCTGGCACCCTTTCGACATCCCAGAGAGTGGAGAAGTAGACTTCGTCACTGGACTTAAGACAGTCGCTGGCTCAGGGGATCCCACTCTGCGTGAAGGCCTGGCCACACACGTCTACACAGCCAACACGAGCATGAACAAGAAAGCGTTCGTTAACTCGGATGGGGAATTCCTGATTGTCCCGCAGCAAGGCGCGCTGGATATCCAGACTGAATTCGGACCATTGTTCGTGCAACCTGGTGAGCTTGTCGTCATCCAGCGCGGTATTCGGTTCAGTGTCCAGCTGCCTGATGGGCCGTCGCGTGGATATATCCTCGAGGTCTGGGGGACTTCATTTGAGCTTCCTGAGCTTGGCCCGCTTGGTGCTAATGGTCTTGCTAACGCACGGGACTTTTTGAGTCCAGTTGCGAGATATGAGATTGTTCAGGAGCCTTGGGAGATTATTTACAAGCTTGGTGGAAAGTTCTTCAAGAGCACACAGAATCATAGTCCTTATGATGTTGTGGCCTGGCATGGAAACTATGTCAGTGATACTTCTTTGGCGGTAATTTGCAGAAGGCTAATTTCATTCCAGGTTCCCTATAAATATGATCTGACCAAGTTCGTCAATGTGGGCTCTATTTCGGTTGACCACATTGACCCGTCTATCTTCTGCGTCCTCACGGCCAAATCTCGCGATCTGAATGCCCCCTTGGCAGATTTCCTTACTTTCCAACCTCGTTGGGATGTTGCATCTCGTATGTCGATTTATATTATCAGAGGTGTTGTACTTGCTAACCATTATAAAGACACATACCGCCCCCCTACTATCACCGCAACGCCGCATCCGAACTAATGGGTCTCATCTACGGCGACTACGGTGGTCGCTCAGACGCCTTCAAGCCAGGCAGTGTATCCTTCGAGTGCGGAAGTACGTTTACTCTAAAATTTCCCTAAATATCAAGATTAACTGCTAATTTCTGGGCAGTGGTCCCCCACGGCGTCGCCTACGAAGAATTCAAAGCGGCTACCGAAAACCAGCCACCAGTTATGCAAATCTCCGAAGCATCTATCGCCTTCATGTTTGAGTCTTGCCGCCCTTTCACAATCACAGATTATGCTTGGAACAGCGAGAAGAAGCACGAGCATGAGCCTAAGATGTGGGATAGCTTGGTTGATAACTTCTCCAAGCATGCCAAGGAAGTTGAGGACATTTTGGCGAAGAAGGCTAAGGGGCTGTCTATCCACTAAGTATTTTGAGACTAGTGTTGTACATAAGCGCATGTATCATTGTTTGATTGGAAATTGAAATCTCTTATATCTGAAACTCTGGTGGTAGATCTACATCCCAAGTTATGTTTCAGTCGACGTGAAAAAGTCATGTGGACATTCTATGTTCAAATTAGATCTATGTAGAGAACATATAACAGAATGTGCTCGGAATAAGGCCCACGAACTTTCATCGTGAATGACCTAAACCAATTCACACTCAATAAGACTCTCAACTCCTCTCTGAGCAGTCCAAATCTTAGTGATCTTCAATCCAGCAGACTCGAGAAGCTTGTGCCAGTGACCTTCAGTGCGCTCCGTCGAGGCAAAGTCTGCCATCATGATGATATCCAGACTGGTTGTCTCCCAGTACGCATTAGTATCCGGGATAACATTCTCATTGATCAACACCTTGCTGTGTCCAGGCTTCATAGCAGCAACGAGGTTCTTCAAAATCTCGCGACACTTATCATCGGTCCAGTCATGCAGGACAGAGTGCATGTAGTATGCGCGGGCACCTAACATGAACAGTCAGTATCAACCCTCAACATGATAATGTTCGAGAGAAAATCCATACCCTTAATAGGCTGCTCAGTAAAGAAGTCATGCTCCATAACCTCAATAGCAGAGCTCAACTGCATAGTTTTGGCCTGAACAATAACATCCGGAAGATCCTGAAGCACCAAGCGGCCAGGGGCACCAGGCCATTTGCGTTTAAACTCGGAAATGTCATGACCCATGCTACCGCCAACATCGACAAGGAGCACATCGTCCTGGCCGACATTGGAGAATAGACTCTCGACATTGTAGAAACCAACATCCATCCAGCTAGGACGGCCTTGGTGGTAGGCTGTCATGTGGTTATTGAACTGGCTCGCGGCTTCTGGGTTGGCCTTCATGAATTCGAAGAAGTGAAGGTCTGTTTGGAAACCGCGTTGGAAGGCGCATTGCTTGCCGTTTGATGGGTTTTTGTAGTTGTCTTTCTTGAGTTGGGCTGGGAGGGCGAGGACACCGGCAGTGATACAGTTGGTCCTGTTTAATTTTGAGTATGCCGTTTATGGTGGAAGAGTCATTAAGGACTTACATGCAAGGGTATGCGTCGCTGTATCTTTGCATGGCAAGTGAGATTGAGAGGCCCGTACGGCGGTACTCGCTGGGACCTGTCTCGAGAATAACTCCCATTGCACAGAGGTGCTTCAGGATACGTGCTGATAGAACGGTCAATTCATCTATATGAAACGGCAGGTAGTGAAGATATGACTTTACTTACCAAGAAGAACTAGATCAGCACCCGTGGCTTTTGCTAGATCTGCAGCAGACTTGGGCTTGTCGTCCTTGGACAAGAAGGCAAAGAGGCCTAGGTCAACGCCAGTTTCGACAGCGGCATAGAGTGTTGACTTCAGATTCAATATCAGCACCCGTTGAAGGGGTATCGATTACATGGTTTGACATAACATTGGCTTACCTGGGACCAGCAGTATCTAATCATGGCCTCACGAGGTGTCTCCAGGGCATACACAAGGGACCGAGCAGCGTCCAAGAGCGCCGAGCGTTCCTTGTGATCTTGCAAGTTGGCAACCTGGCCAAGGGAAGCAACTTGGGATACCAAGCCGGGAACCAGTTCAGGCGTGTTGGCAGATATCGCCACGTTGCCATCGACGAATGCTTCCTTGGAATCGCCGTTGGAAGCTCCATTAGTGTGAGCATTGCCGTGTGTGTGGATATCCCCATTAACATGAGGAATCCCGTCCAATTGGGGAGTAGAAACTTCCATCATTTTGAAGAGTGTATGTATCAATTCAAGCGCAAAAAGAAAAAAGAAGAGAATGGTTAAAGTGAAGGATTCCCGAGGGGCTGGATAAATGACCAAACCACCTCCACTGTCTCAATCCTCTAAAGAAAGCCACGTAATGGCCGTGCATCTACCGGGGTGGGAAATTTAAACTTCTTCTGATAATGATCATCCAATGGTCATTTCCCAGCCGGATCCTTCGACCATTCCAAGACCAAAGAGGTGGGGCGACGTTCTAGGTCAACGGCATTGTCTTTTACTTTTATGGAAACAGACTAGTACAGCACCTGTACTTTTGGTCAACGACTTCTGATGATTGAATTAAGCAAAGGAATCAGGGGTATGAACAACGACAGTCTAATGGATAATGCTACCCGCGCTGAGGGCTCTACCGCAAGATTCATAGTATTGCCAAATAGCTACCTCGGTGTTCTGCGAGCTCAGGTTAGTGGCTCCATTCATTCGAGACACAGAGCAACTCTTGTTGTCAACATACATTTGCCTCGTGCACATAGGATAGACCCAAGACGCTGAATAGTGACTCTACCGCCCCAGACCTTTAAGTACCCGAGAACAATTTGATCCACACCTCGACTACCAGACAGGTGGCTTGTGTACTTTTGTCTAGGGCTTTTTTCGGACCCACAAACCAAACCTGACAGCTGCACCTATTTCTTAAAACAGATAGTTTGGGGGCCAAATGACCCGAAATCAAATCTGCCTAAATCCGGCCGCTCCCCTGTGAAACAACTAGTTGAAGTTTATGCCGACACAATGATTCTATGAATTAAATAGTTGGATCCTCATTCTTCGTAAATTCAGAACAGAATCATGTCGATTTAGCACATTTGAAATGATCGATGTCCGGAATGAACCAGCTACTTTGCTCTCCGTGCTCACGTGGAGGGATCACCGTGGGGAGCGTGGACCTTGACGCCACGATCAAGCGCCATGCCCGCTAGCAGAGAGGATTGAACAGGACGTTTGACGCCCCTGTCCTCGGGCTAGGAAGCCCGGAAAAATCCCGGGACCCAAAAGTGGATATAGATATAATGGCATGGTGCTGTGCGCGGCAGTTTACGAAAACGAGATGATCATCGCCGCTAAAAACACGAAGGATTTCATTGGGATCGCCTCTCATGTGTGATCTCTGGGTGCTTATGTCAATTTTGACAGGTCGTTTCTTGCATGGTTTTAAATAGACCAGTGGTTTCAGTTCCTTGGCCCTTGACAGGGGCCTTGGAATCGTTCTGTGACAAAGTTTAGGCTGGTCGCAGAGTCCTGCTGCATCAAGCTTGACAACATGGCAATTACCGACGAGAATCGCTACGATAACAAAGGCCCCAAGATCCTGGCTGTTCTATGGACTTTGACTGGGCTGACGGCCCTCATTGTCTCCGCCAGAATTTACATCCGGATGGTGTTGCTGCGAAACTTTGGCATTGATGATTATTTGATTTTGATCTCCATGGTAAGTTATTCAATCCTTTTTCACGCCCGTATTGAATTTCTGACTTCAGTCTTTGCTAGCTACTCGGCCTTGCATATTGTAGTGTCACTACAGCTGGTGTAAGTGTGGGCTATGGTCAACATGCCGAATACCTGAGCGATACGGATTTGGAGATGGCTATTCTACTCAATAGCATCAGCTTTCTGTTTGGAATTCTCTCCTTTACTATCCCCAAGGTGGCTGTGACGGCGATGTTGAATCGGATCTTGAATCCTGGGCGAGTCCAAAAGATTATACTATGGGTGTTGGTTGGAAGCGCAGCCATCGTTTCGGTCATTTGCATTCTAATATTGTTCACGATGTGCGATCCGCCAAGGGCATTGTGGCAAACATCACTTATAACGAAAGGTGAAGCCACCTGCAAGAGTACATGGATTCTCATCAACTATGCTCTCTTCACTGGAGGTAAGTTTTTTTTCGATGCCTTCTGGAATCCTCAATGCTGATTGAATCCAGCTCTCTCGGCATTCGTTGATTTGTATTTGGCTATCTACCCCACGACCGTGTTGTTGAAACTTCAAATGTCTCTTCGAAAGAGAACTGCGCTCTGCGCTGCTTTGGGCCTTGGTGCAATGTAAGTTATTACCTCTTGAATCTGTTTCGTGGGACATTGACTGATCATACTGGCAATGAAGTGCTTCTGCAATGGCAATTATCAAGTGCACCCAGCTTCATGAACTTGCCGACAAATCCGACTACACATGTAGGTTCCTTTGATACCTCACAAGAAGTGATAACTAACTCAGAACAGATGGAACTGCCGACCTAGTTATGTGGACCAAGTAAGTACCGGTCTAATTCTCATTGTTACCTTCTCTAACGTACCGGTCTCCTATTAGTGTCGAAGCCAACATCGTCGTCATAGCGTCCTGCATCCCAACCCTACAGCCACTTCTCGAAATCATACTCGGAAAACGAGGGTTCGGCTCCTATAGCCAAGGAAAGGGTGATCGCTACAAAGGTAGCGACAGTTTCCCTCCCTCTTCCTACAATCGCAACAAACATTCAAATGCAATGGGCAAAGATGAACTCGGCTTTACCAACCTTGATACTGTCATGGGTAAAGAAAGCCAAGAGAGCATACTTCCTTCGAATGAAACTGGGAAGCAGGATACTTTTTCTATGGGTCATATCCATCGGACGGACGATGTAATTGTGGAATATGAATCGGCCTCACAACAGGGGGCTAAAGCGAATAGTTCTTGGTAGTTGGGGATATCTTATAGATCATGGGATTGTATTTAGTACCTGATGTTGTATGTAATACTGAACAAAAATGTTGGTCTTCATGATAATTGATCTCGCATCTAATGCAACCAGTCTCAGGGGGTTTGGAGCCTCTTTCATCAGGATCTACCTGTTGTTTGTCCATTGGAATGGGTAGAAGAACAAGAAGAAGAAAATGTTATACTAGACTCGTACTAGGCTTGGAGGTGTAACGAAGTCATTAGATATATTCTGATTCAAAGTCGGCAAAGATGAAGAGTGGGACAGCCATCTGTGCCAAATCCTCCACTAACGATGAGCCTGGCCAATCTTGTGCAAATTGTCAATCACTCTATGATAGCTTGTGATGGTCGTTTCTGATTCTGCTCATCTCGTAGTCCAAAAAGGTAGCGATATCACTTTTGACTATCTGCTCTGAAATTTGATGAAGGATTATACCCTGTTATTTTCCTTCAACATTCGAAGCTAAGACGAATTGGTAGCTCTGGCATGCTGGTCAGGAATACTTTAAGCCGTCCTAACTTGAGAATGGTGCCCCGTGACATCAGATGGATAATCATCGTACCGTTCGCATTCGTCGAAGGAAGCACAGCAGTTCGGATATTTGCTGCGTGATACTCCAAGTCAACTAAGGGATTCAAAAATAGCTGCTCGATTTGGTCTTTCAAAGATCTGTTGACAATCTCTGGGTCCTTTGAGATTGCATCCTGGATCTTCGGCGCTAGTGCAGCTTTTTGGACAACCAATTGACATGCCATAGTTGCGAATGGTCGAGCGGCATTCCCACGATCTCTCTCGCCTCTCTTGATAAAGAATTTTGCACCCAGAATAACCTTATCCGGAAAGGTTTGTGCAATGGTTCGTGAAATTATTGACTTTCCCGTTCCTGCCATTCCATTTAACCAGAAGATGATTTCCCCTTCTGTGTCGTCTGACCACCGTACTATCTCGTCACGGAGTGCGATTCGGGTTTCGCAGTGGCAACCAGCATCGTGCTCAATTTTATGAGAAAAGGATGCAGCATCTTTTACATCAGGAAGCATTGCAAGAACAAGCTCTTGTGCCACGTCGAGAATCTGCGCGCTATAGACGATGTCAGTACTGAAACATATTCAATAAGAAGCCTAATGTGTGGTCAACGGCAAGTGTTGCCGACAGTGTAATTCGATGTCGTTCGAGGTTCGTAATGATAGACTCCACGTCCTTGCTTTCGAATGGTCCCTTCAAAGTACGAATGCCAAACCGACTCATCAAACGTGATGCTCCACTTTTGGATTCCTATTCCTTTTGTAGTTTGCTTTGCAGCTTTGAGTCTATCGCTGCCTGTTGAGCATAGCACTCGTCTAGCTTTCCCCGCATGGAGCACGAAGTCTTCTGCTTTGCACCATTTGAAGTCTCAAGTAATTTCTAGGAACCCTCGAGAGTTGCTTGCAGGCCCTCTATGACCCCGATCAAGTGTTTGATATCAGCCAGCGCATTTTTCACTGCATTGAATTATTCAAAGAAATCCGTTGTGACCATAATGGTCATATCAATGACTGCAATTAGATTTGCGGCTGTTCTCACGCCATCCATCTCGGGCTGATGCAAAGATTCAACCGCGGGGTTAGCAAAGTCCGACTAAATGGAAGTTATGGCGAACAAGGCGGAAGCCTGTTGAAGCCAACTGCTTCAGCTGGGCATTTGAGCATCGACGCAGGAGTGTGCCAAGCCACCACCCAGCTAAAGAGTCGCGCCAATGAGATCAATACACAGCCGCTGACAGGGGTGTCTAAGGCTCAGCCATGACTTCGGCTCAGTGACTTAGCATGCCATCTTGAATATAAATTGAAGATGCACTCATTGAAAGTATTTCCTTGGGCGGGAGGCTCAACCTTGATGAGGCGCAAGTGCAAGATGTGAGTTAAGAAGCAAGTCAGCCACAGTCACACCAGGGGAGCAATCGAGATCTAGGCCAGAGATCCCTGCCATGATTACAGCAATCAGTAGTAATCCGTTCACAGTCATATCCTGATCTTCATTGCAACTGCAAGAATGAAGTATTGAAAGTCGATGTTGTTGATCCCATCGGACGTCGGCGATTCGGCGTCCGGGCTCAGTGCTTCGGGCGTGATAGTCCCCGACACCGAAAGCCACAACTCGCGCTATGTCTCTGTTTTGCCCGAAGTCAGGGTCAAATCGTGTCGAAAGCAGCTAGATCTTCAGTTTTTAATTGTTAGTTTTGATCATTTGTCTTGCCGGCTTCTGGAATAGTCTCGGGCACGGAGTTATTAGCTATTGCTGACCGAGGGCTTGGTATATAGACTTCTTGATGTACACTTTACCATCTCTCTATACAATTTATTACAAGCTGACAATTCGAGACGCTCTTGAGTCCCCGATTCTACTCTCAGTCCCCAGCGAACCCAAAAACCAGTTCGTTGTTGAGCTATCGGTGACACACCCTATAGTTCGTGTTTCGATCCCTTCCCCTACATCGAGTCTAACACAACAACTTCAGAGAATGGGAGGACCATACGCGCCCAAAGTGGCCCAGTTAGGGGGCGTCCCACAGTCTCAGTCGATGTCCCAATATGCGCTGTCTTTCTCGCCCTATTCATCGCCGGCGCCACCTGTCATATGACCCTATTTCGCCGCAACCTCGCACGAGGACACAAATTTATCCCATCCGCCGTAACATTCGGTTTCTGCATGTCGCGAATCGTCGCTAATGTCATTCGAATTGCCTGGACCTGCCGAATTACAAATGTCAAACTCGCCATTGCCTCACAGATCTTCGTTGCTGCCGGTGTGCTATTACTATTCATCTTGAATTTGCTGTATGCACAGCGCATGGTTCGAGCTGTCTATCCTGGAATAGGATGGTCTCGTGTTCTGTCATGGGCATTCAAAGTGATCTATGGTCTTGTTGTGGTTACGATTATCATGGTTATCACCGTGGTTATTCAGACCTCCTACTCTCTCAACCTGAACACCCTCCGCATCGACCGTGATGTTCTACTCTACGGCGTCACATACTTCTCCGTCGTCTCTTTCCTGCCTCTCCCATTGGTTCTGCTTGTTGTACTGTCTCCGAACAGGAAGCGTATCGAGGAGTTCGGCTCTGGCAGCTGGATTGTCAAGGTGTTCCTCGTTACTCTTGTTGGTTCATTGCTCTGCCTCGGCGCCTCATTCCGTGCTGGTACCTCCTGGATGCCTCCTCGTCCGGTCACAGACCCTACCTGGTACCACAGCAAGGCATGCTTCTACATTTTCAACTTTAGCATTGATATCCTTGTCGTCGCCATCTTCTTCGTTGGTCGTGTAGACCAACGATTTTGGGTTCCGAATGGAAGCTCAAAGGTCCGCCACTACAGGGGATCTGAGGATAATGAGAAGGACTTACAAACTGCAGAGGGTGCAAATACTCTTCAGGCGCATGACGAGAATGATCTCGAAAGTCGGAAGAGCAGTGTTTCCCGGGATTTGGCTGAGCCAAAATAAACGCGAAAGAAAATGGAAACATGGTCTGTATTGTTCTGATCTGTACTTATATTGCTTTACACATTTTAGAGATATAACTTAATTCATGATGAAGAATTAGCATATATGAAACCTCAATTGACTGAATGGACCAGGTGAAGGTGTGATGACCCGCTAAGCCCTAATTGCCGGGTCACCCAAAGTTGGTGCTATTAGGACCAATACGAACACTCATAGACATGGCAAGGGCACAGCCATGTCACCCAAGTATAAAACCCATTTTTTAATTCAGGTTCTTAAGTCACTCGTGCTATACAGTGGGAGTTCTGGCTTTGTAGTGGAACCCCGATCCTGGCCATTGGCCTTGTAGTAACGATAGTCCAAGTAAGAAATGAGAGTGGCGTAGACCGAAAGGATACTATAATTTTTCTCTGTGAGTATACTGTTTTGAACGACACCTTAAGTTCTCCATTGTTTGGAACTCGCTCACCTCATATTTCCGGACAGAACTATGACCACCCATCCCAGGGCACAGCTTGTTCCCACGCAGACTTGGAGATTTGCTTGCAAAACAAGGAACACCACAGCAGCCCAAAATACTATCTCAAGCGAATTGAGAATGAGATTTGCTTTCAGGCTTGCCCATCGTCGGAAGCGAGAAACGTGTTCGGTCAAGAGCTGGTAGAGGATAATCACGAGCGATTTGGCACCCTAATTCCAGTATTAAGTCAGTTTCAATTGTCAAAAGCGTCAATCACATTTCCTTACCATTCCCAGTCCCATAGTACTAGCCCTGGTCCTTGGTTTTTGTCCTGACAGGAATAGCCGGGCTACGGAGAGAGCGATGATCACAATGGCCAACAACAATTGCACCAAATGGACCTTGAGCTTGTGCTGGGAGCGAAAGAGGTCCATTTCTGAAAGCTTCGGGGTTTTGAACATTTTCAAACAGTGCGATGGTTGGATTGCAATGCAATTGAGTTCAATTGGCTTCAGATGTCGGTGGTTCTTGATGATGAATGCAATGTTTTGGTCTTGCCTGACATCCTTTATATACATTGACTTCTGGAAACGCAAGGGAAAGTCTATGAAGTAGATAAGACTTCCGAGAACTAGATCCGAATACGAATTAGGCTCTCTTATTCCAGGAACCTTAAAGTGATCTCCGGGGGCCATCTGCGCCTGCCAAGCATAACCGCCAAGCTTCAGGCCTGGACAGAATACTTGCGAATCTACAATAATATACAAAGCAAAGACTTTAGGTTGGGGCTTATGGTCCAGGTAAGGAGTCTACCAAGCACAATACCATTTGATCCATGTTGTTTGAAAGTGTATTGGTCTGCATTATGTCTACTTCGGATTCGGGTTCGGGTTCGGCTCCAAGGCAGAAATTCTTTAGATATCATGGACATGCGACTGTGCCTTCTTGGGACTGCCAAAATAGCTTTGATTCAAAAAAAAATCTTTCCAGGATCTCTTGTGTTTTAACTTCTAATATCTCTTGGCTTTAATGTTCCAGTTCAATTCCTACCAACCGTGGAAAGCCTGATGTAGTCATCTGCACATAGACCGTTCTGTATTTCAGACCAACTGCATTATCCACGATTAGATACTTATACCAATCGTCTAGCTTGTTTTTGTGAAGTCTGGTATTGATTGTAACTGAAAACCATCAGGCATGAACAAGTCATTGACATTTTTTCAATGGTATGCGAGATTGAGTGTCAACTTGAGCTCCGTTGGATCCCGGGATCAATACCTTTGAACTGGTCAGTTTCTAAGGGAGATAGCCATAAATATCCGACTTGGCAGAAAGATACCGCGTTGCCTAAACTATGCACGCTACGAAGCAGATTTTAGTCGGGCCATTGCATTGTGCAACGCCCATTGCCAATGTTTATAACTTGTTTGTTAAGCTGATATGTTTGAACTGATATGGTATGACAGAAGCCACATCAAGGTTAGTTTTTCCATATTTAGAGTAAATTGCACAGATCGTTGTATATGCTTTTAAGTTGCACAGCGGCTTACCTAGTTCGAGACTGGGGATAGATGAGACCTCTTCCCATGAACCTACTGCTGCAGTGTCTCATCACGTTGCTCTTTTACTGTCAATCGATATTGCTTCCTTCGTTGCTTTTCTTTTGCATTTGGTAGGGGTATGTTGCCTGTAGCTTTTGAAAGGCCAGGCTTTGAAGAATTTGGGTGAAAGGGTTTGAATTGTCCCCTGTCTATAGTGCGGTTCTGTTTCAAGATGCAGAGCCTGGCTACTTCTATTGAGTTTACTTCTTGATTTTGAGAAAGTGGGATATCGTCGCAGGATCTTGCATATTTGGCAGAACTAACCAGGTTTCGTTGGAAGACCGGTTTCAATCCTTGATCAACGAGATAGTGAAACTATTTCATGCAACATTTATGCATAGGATAAATGCCGGACTAGTTGAGATGAACAGTATTCATTCAGTGCTATCCTTTGTGGCCAAACATGGATACGATGACATGGAAATCATATTCCACTCTATCCTCTACACCGATGACGGATCTAAACATTCTCGAACATAATGGTATTGACCTACATAATGCAGTAATCTTTCACAAACAACTCAAACCGGCCCGGGCAGCTGCTACAAATCATAGAACTGGGTCTCGCAAGTGTTTTATTTTCATTGGTATCAACAAGCGGCCAGGCATCGAACCATACAGAATTAAGTAGGCGAGAGCCCTGTTCGTATGCAGCCCCCATTCTCTGCCAGTCCAATTGCCTTCCGAAAGACAAAAATGAGGAAATCTATCACAGGAAATAGTCGGGTGTGCGTCGGGATACCATCGGTTCTCCAGCTCTGGGGCAAGGGTCGAATTGTAGGCTGGAACGTCAGTTAGTACATGATCTATAACATACACAGGTTCATTACTCACAATGTGTATTTCAAATGCTCGTCAATTTCCATAATGGCGGCCTGGTTGCCGCAGCGGTAACAGTAATTAGGCGCTGCGAGTCTGGTTAGTCTCTCCGTATCAGATTATTCCGACCACGAAAAGCATACCTGAGAAAATCGTGACGACATTTCGATCCTGCGACCAGTTATATCCTTCCATCACCAATTGATGAGCACGTGCCACCAGAGTCAAGCCGTTGTTGTGATTGAAGGCTTCCGAAATGTCCTGTCCGAACGTGTATCCAGCACCTCGGGGAGAGATTCCCCATCCACATCGGTCATCGGGGTCACTCCAGAGGAGGTCACACATAGGTCCCTCGTGGGGCACTTCTTGGATGCGGTCCAGGGACCGGATGTTGTCAAGGGTGTCGATGGACGGGCTCAGTCCACCGTGCAGACAGAAGATCTGATTTTCGATGAGAGCAGTGAGGGGGAGGTAGTCGAAGAGATCGGTGAAGTATTTCCACACGTTGGCGTTGCCGTATTTGCGGAGACACTCGTCATAGAAACCGTAGACCTGCGTGATTTGTCGGGACTCGTGGTTTCCACGGAGGATGGTAATACGCTGGGGATAACGGATCTTCAGGCAGACCAGGAGGGTCACAGTCTCAACGGAGTAGTAGCCACGGTCGACATAGTCACCTAGAGTTGGGGGACAAAATTAGGAAGGGAGCCCAACACCGTCATCCGACCGACAACTCACCCATGAAGAGATAGTTTGTATCGGGGTTAGGACCGCCGATGCGGAACAGCTCCATTAGATCGTGGAACTGGCCGTGTATGTCACCGCACACCGTCACTGGGCATTTCTGTCGGGTATGTCAGTGGGCTGGGCGGGCACGACAACAACCCGACCGAGAGTTAACATACCACTGGCTGCACATTCGATTCCTCTTGCAATACCTCTCTTGCCTGCAAGACGCATATATAATCAATTTGGAGACGTCATCAGTGTCTGGGAAGAGCAAACCCACCCGATCGCACAGTCGCCGCACATCTTCCTCCGCTAATTGCTTGCAGGTCATCAAACTCTCGATCCAGCCGTCCAAAGTCGGTATGGAGCCGGGGTCGCTTGTAGGCGACAGGTGGTGTGGCTCGGGGGACCGCGCAGTATCAATTTCCATGTTGTTATCCATTGCGTCGGTGTGCACAGCTGGCTGAAAAGGAGGGGCCAGCTGGGGAGGGGCGGTCTCGTGAGAAAACAACGGATTTGGTGGATGAGCGCAGGTATCGTGGGGTTGGAAATAATGAGGGTTAAGTACGCTCCAGATGACAATTCAACTAGAAAGATTTCCCAGAGCGTTTCAAGGGATAAGGGGATGGACTTGGGGAACACGAGAAAGGGAGAAGAGATGAGAGTTCGGGAAGGTCAAGTTGGGAGGTGAAAGCACAGCGCCACAGCTTCAGCCACACCGCCCTACAGCACCATCTACATGTTAAGGCTCGCCTACGCCATTGTACATGAACTGGATTATTGGGGTTACTGGGTGTTTTTCTTTTTGGGTGACTTAATTGCCAAGGCATTTCATTAATTTCATAAGTTAAGGCTGGTAGTACTTTTAGATGATGTCGCCTCCGAACCCACTGCCGAATCCTCCAAAGCCTCCCCCACCTCGTCCACGACTACCGAATGGCCCTGGGTTACGGCCAACAGGTGGCTCACCTGGTCCTACAGGATCATATCTAGCACCAGGTGGTACACGGGGATCATAGCCACCTACACCACCACCCCCACCGAAGAGGGGGTCATCAAAGGTGGGATGCATCCCCCCGCCACCGGGGCCAAAGCCAGGGCTCGTACTTCCGCGCAACGGATCATTGGGTCCTAGTCCAGGCGGGTAAAGATCTCTTTCTCCAATATTGTACGGGTTCCTGCCTCCACCAAGTCCTGCTGGGTATCTTCCTGGGGGCCTGTTCATCTCAAATTCATCTTCAAACCCAGGCGGGGCAAAGTCTGGCACAGGGTTGGGACGGCGCGGAGCTGCCGAGAGAGGGTCATCGAACGGGTGTGGACGAGCAGGTTGAGGAAAACCATCCCGCAGAGGATCTCGGGCTCTTCCTTCCTGTGGTCTTTCTCTGGAAACCTGGGGTGTCTCTTCGTAGCCTTCTTTGTGCAATCCGGGCGCAAGTTTTTGGATAACGTTGATTTTGAACAATCCGATCAAATCGCTCAGGCGAGCTGGTGAAATAAATACATCCCGTAGAGAGCCTGCGACGTTGTCTGAGGATGATAGGGGGAGGGCAGATGGGGAGATGAAGTCTTTGGTGGGGATATCGAATGAGCTGGTACGGTCATCGCCCAAGGCTAGCGCGTAGATAACGGCATTGTTTCCCAGTCGGCTCACTTTGAGCAGGTATTCAATGGATGACTGATCATGCTTGTATCGAAAGGCAAGGGTATCGTTAGCGTTCCATTGCGTGGGGAGGGAGGATGTTTCAGTGGATGTTTCTGAAGAAGTTAGCAGAGTCCGTCATAGTTATACAGATCATGGATAGAAAGTGCAAACCTAAGTGATGGTCTTCTCCAAGACCTACCAGCCTAAAACCCACTGCTGTCATGGATGCATGTCCGATTAAAGCGACAGCTTCATATGATGTTTTGAGGCTCGGCTGGCTATCGCCTGCAGACTGCATAGCTTTCGCGGCAAGACCTAGGACATGATCTTGGCCAAGAACTTCTGGGGTCACCATTTTGATGCAGTTTGAGTATGCTCAAAGAATGGTTTTTGATATCAGGAGGAGAAAAAAGAGTTGTGAGACGAAGGCAACAGGCAGCTGATACTATGCCCGAGGTGACCTCACATCAACGCTAGTCCTATTTGGGGAGCTGTGGCGTCGGAACAAAAACCTCCCGTCGAAGCTGTCTGCCCCACTTCGCTTGACTATTTTTGGCCAGGCCATTTCATACTCTCAACAGTGTAATATAGCTATATTGGACTCATATTGGTATCTTCGCTTGTGAGCCCTTGATAAATTTACAACATAGACTTGGGGAAGTTCTTCATCGCCTGGCGCACTCCCAGATCCGCCAGAATCTCCTCAGTTCCACCGAGGATGGCATCGAACTTGTAAGTGCGATGGAACATCTCAATGACCTTGCCCATTCCAGACTGGGTAATACCACGGCCACCGAAGATGTTGGTAGCATTGCTAGCAATCTCACCGGCAGCCTGTGTGCAGTGCGACTTTAACAATCCAATGGGTCCACCAAGGTGCTTGGCCTGCTCGGCGTATGTCATGTTGCACATCTGGTAGGCGATGGATTCGAGCCAGGCCTGGTTCGACTCGGTAAGGGAGATCATGCGTGCAAGTCTGTGATATGTTAGAAGGAAACTTGCTCTTTTTCTCCGTGGCCGGACTCACTTTTGACGAATGGCGGGCTGTTCAACCAGCTTCTTGCCAAAGACAATACGCTGGTTGCACCACTTCATGGTCTCCTCGACAACGGTCATACACATGCGGACAACAGCAGCGACCATCATGAAGCGCTCGTGGTTGAAGTTGCTCATGATAACAATGAATCCCTTGTGCTCCTCGCCGAGGAGGTTCGCAACTGGTACCTTGACATTCTCGAACTGCACAAAGGCAGTGGCAGCAGCAGTTGAGTAAGAAGTCTTGATCTGCTTGGTTTCAACACCCTCGCCGCGAGGAATCAAGAGAACCGAGAAGCCCTTCTCGGTACGGCAACCGACGACGAAGTAATCAGCGAACATGCCGTTGGTAATCCATTTCCTAAAAATCGTCAGCAAACGTCCCATATGCATACCCAATATTTGGCAAACTCACTTAGTTCCATTCACAATGTAATGCTTTCCATCAGGAGTCTTCTCGGCAGTAGTCTTCAACCCAGCAACATCACTACCAGCAAAAGCCTCAGTTATAGCAAGACACATCTTCTTCTGGCCTGACAAAACCTCCCCGGTAACGCGCTCCTTAAGAACAGGATCATGCAGCCACTGCTGAACAGCAGTCAAACTAATAGCCATACCAGCCATATTTCCATCCTGGAAACCACGAGCATTAGCCCGGACGAGCTCCTGCGTAACAATCATATCATGCAAATAGTCAAACTCCTTCCCATCAACCGCGCCACCAAGAAGCGTCCGGTTGTGAAGATGCTTTCCAGGACCAAGTCGCATAGCAAGAACATTCGTCTCAGCCATACGGTCGATCAATTCCTGACTGATATATGTGCCATCTCGTTCCTTCTCTTGTGCCTCAGGCGTCACGTACTTATCCGTAAACTCGCGCACAGCCTTCTGCAGACGTCTGTGCGTCTCCTTGTAGTAGGGCGACTTGAATTGGGGACGGAGCCATAGTGGTTCGGCGTAGGGGACCGGACTCAAAGCTCCTGGCGTGGGCTCGATGACCTCGGGTTTTTCACCTTCGATGGTCCCGATGCAGAGCTGTTTGCGGTATCTCTCTAAGACTTCCTGGCGGTGCAGATTATAGAACTCGGTTGTGGCATCTTGGCCGGCTACCTGAGCGAGGACGACGCCGCCACCGGGGTGGGCGTCGACGAAGTCGGTTAGGTCATAGACTTTGTGGTCGATGATGCACCAGAGGGAGTCCTCGGTGTTGTGCTTAGCGACTTCGGCGCGTGTGAGTGTTTCCGACATGTTTGGGGTGCGAGTTAGGGGGTGGGGGAAAGAGTAAATACCCCAGGCTTGTTCAGTCTCCAATCATGCAGTTGCGGTTTCAAATTGAGCCGAGGTCCGAGGTGATGTCAGCACTTTTGCCCTAACTCTGCACTTTATTACACCCCTTGAGACTGCATGGAATGGTCTGATCAGCATTTTGGCATTGTGCATCTTACTTTCGTGCCTACGCCAATGAGGGTTCTGGGATTGTCATTACTGCCTCATTCTCCGCGCTTCCCCACATCGTGATCGACGCGGGATGAGAACAAAGGTCCTAATTTTCAGTATTCTTTGGGCCTTATGTCCCAAATTTCTATCGACATGTTTTTTCCAGTATTTACCATTTTTTGCAAGTCACTCCCGGTAGGATGTGAGCTAAACTAGGTAGTCTATCAACGAGCAGGCTCCTCCGGGTGCTCCCAGCATACCCAAAGTAGGAAATATATATCCAGAAAAAAAAAAAAAAAAAAAAAAAACCTGTGACTGAATGGAGTATATGACATGTAAAGCAAAGGGTAATTTGTCAAAAGTGACCCTACTTCTTCGTAGAGCTAGCCTTCATATCTTTAATCGCCTCCTCCACTAACCAAGTACAAACAGGCTGGGCATCAGTACCAACGCGCCAACTACCCAGTACAACCCCATGATCTTCAAGGACATCGGAAGCACGTTCCCAGCGACGGCGCCAGAGCTCCTCGCGTTTGTTCGGGAGTGGCACGGGGGGCATGCCGGATTCGTTATTTGGCCCGGCTGGAGCCTGCCGTGATCCACTAGGACTTTGTGACAGGTTCAGTCGCTCAGTTGCATATTGGAATCCTTGGTAAGCGGCTTGGGCAGCTGCCGCTGGGTAGGATTGGAGGCCACTTGCTGCAGGGCGCGGTGTCGATGATCCACTGGAGTCGGAGTGTGTGGTTGGCGACGCAGTGTTTGCGCGACGGGGTGGTGGGAGAGGTGGCTGTTGCTTTAGGCCTGGTGGGGATGAAGATCTGGAGCTTGAAGAACCATCGTTAAGGTTGCCGAGCAACGACGATGAGGTTTCGGCCGTAGATGACCCAGTCGTGCTGCTGCGAGAAATCGGCGAAGGCTCTGCATCAACTGACGATTCGGTCTTGGGACCAGATCCACGCTTAGGTGGTACAGGAGGAGCCGGTTTGCGTTGAGGGACATCTTGTGGAGCACGTGATGGCGCAGGACTACTCTCCCTCGTGATATCACCAGGTGTGGTACTTTGACGCAAAGCAGACGGCCGAGCTGGTCTGGCCTTCAGCAGGTCCGCAGGTGTGGAGACCATGCGCAGTGCAGATGGCTTGACTGGCTTGACCGGAGGTGGACGTGGTTGATCAGGGTGGGTGAGTCCAGATGGAGGTGGCTTGTTATCAATGATAAGATCCGTGAGATCAATCAAGTCTTCGAGATCCATGTCCTGGGGCTCAACGTCCGGCGAAGGTATATGTACACCTGGCAGGGACGGAGATGCACGAGGCGGGAGAGCTGGTCTGTTGGACGCAGAATCTGACTGATCCTTTATATCCGAGGAACTGCGACTGCGCTTGGAGGGATCAAGATGGTTGACTGATTTCTCGAAGAATTTCTGGGGTTCCGAGGTCGTGACATCACGGATAAAGATACCCAAGATGCGGCCAGGGTTTGCCAGGACAATGTCAGTGTACACCTCCAGGTCAGCTTCGCCACTATCTCCAACCAAAATAAACTTGCGTTCAGGGAAATCTCGCAGAATCTGCTCTAATGACCCCCGTTTCCTCTCTGCTGTGGGTTCAAATATTCCCTGTAGCATTCCCGAGTACTGCTTCAGATGGAACGAGCCAGGAGGCAAGCCTACCATCTTGAAGTACCGTTCGAGAAGAGGGTACAATTGCCATGGAGCGTTGGATACATAGTGAATCTGGACACCTTGCTTAGCCAGTTTGCCATACCAGTCACTGACTCCTTCAACTGTAAGTTCGTCCAATTCGCGAACAAATGTGTTGCGAAACATCTCTTTGGCTCCACCAGCGATAGCCGAGTGTTTCACTGTATCATCGATGTCACTAATCAAACTGATTCCAACTGGCTCGATGATTTCAATCGGCCGTGCAGCAGACAAGTCCTCCGAGGCCAACACACGAATGTGGGTTGGCACGAACGGCAGAGCAGCTCGAAGACTGAAGTGACCTGACTCATCCGTCGTAATATTTCGAGACTTGCTCTCATTGTCGTCAAAGAAGAACACAGTCACAGGCATATTACCAACGGGATTTGTTAGGAACGGACGGAGTCGCTCCATAAGATGAGCATTTGCCATGGAAAGCTCATCCTTGGTAAGCTGTACAGGTCTATCCGGCTTTTCCGTATGTGTGCTCTTCCAAGCCGGATCTGCTTCCTTTTCGGCTGTATCGACTAAATTTTGCATCTGCTTGTCCACGTACTCATCATCTCCCTTGCCTGGAATCTTTTCGTCGCTTTCGTCATTGGTCGTTCCAATTGGTGCAGGGATGCCGCTTAGCTTTCTGGCCAGCGCAATCATCAAACGGTGCTTCCGGCTCATGGGACCGCGACCAGGAGCGTAGATCCAGCCACGCACGTCAACGGCCACAACAGCATTTTCAGTATCAATATTATCCCAGCCAGGTGTACCGTTATCATCGTCATGGGGCTCACCCCGGTACTCATCGATAGTTTCCGACCAGGAGTCACGTCGCGGACGTGTGCTGGCATCGGTCTTCTTCTTTTCCGTCAATTTCCTAGCGTAACTCGGGAACAGAACCATCTCTTCATCGCCCGATCGAGCGATTTCGACGTCGGGAAATGCACCGGGGGTATTGTAGTAATCCTCATCATGGTCATTTCTCTGCCCAGACCATTGAGAGGTGTAGGCCTGGCGCAACTCATTCGCAGCCTTGAAGTACTCGTAGACCTTCTTGCGACGGCTACCAGGGACACCGGCACCCTCAGCGCCTCCAGCTCCCCATGTTGATGATAGTCCTGACTGTGCCATTGAATCTCTCGCGGCTTCCTTCCGTGCGGAACGGGCTCGGATCGACTTCGGGTGTCTTGCAGCAAAGTTGATACCGGATGCCGCGTTGGCTCTCCACGTGCGGAACTTTCGTCGTGGACCGAGGAGATACGAGATGATTCCTCCGCCGAGTGTGCGATCGCGCTCTGCGAGTCGTGCTTGGCGTTTGACGATTGATCGGTAGATACGTGATTGTGTCCGGTGACGGAGGGCTGGGAGGGTCTCGTGTCGGAGGCCCCAGAGACGGGACTGGGCTCGTCTGCTTGCGTGTGTGCCAACGAGTAGGCGAAGAATTCGTGAGAATTTGCTGGGTCGAGGCTCACGGGAGAACGAAGGGACGAGGATGAGCGGGCGCTGTGACAAGGGAGTCCTCGACCGGAGGCTTGGCCAGCGGAAACGTGTTTTAGGAGCCAGGGTCTCGATAGAGGTGAGTTTAGGAGTGAAAGGACAATAATATCGAGAAAAAAAGCCAAGTCGAATAGGGCTGCGGAAAGTAGACCTGCGGGGAAGAGATCGGCCATGACGATGATTACTCGGAGCCCCTCTCACCGCGTTCGTTTCAGGTTTCTCGGGGATTTCGACCAGTTTGACGATATGATGCTATTTACTATTTTTAGTGGGATTCGGGGGGCTGTTTCATTTCTGATACAAAAAAACAATTAGTATTCATTATTAGGTTGTGTTTCATGGTGGCAAATAGTCTAGAAGATTTTTACTATGAAATTTGATACTTTTGGCAGCAATATAGCCACATTGCTGTACATTATATTTTAAAACAATCGTACAAGATATTTATACAAGCCAGTCGACTAAGCACTATCCTCGGTGTAATTCACCTTCTTTGCTTGTAAACTGCGTCGAGAAAGTGATTCCCGAGATGGAGCACTGTCCAATTTAGCGGAAATCTCACTAATCTCCTCTGGCTCAGGGGTTGACTCAATCTCCGAGGCCTTGCGCTTGCCACGGGCCTTAGAGGGGGTCGTGCGCTTGGCAGCCCTGGGTTTCTTGGGAATTTCTCCCTTGGCTGTGTCGAGAGATACGTCGTCCGCAATGCACTCGGTCTTCAGCTTCTTCGGTGTGCTTTTCTTCAGGCTTGGGGCTGCCTTGGGTTTGACGACCTTCTTCGCAGGTCTGAGCCATTCTTCCATGCCACGAGGCCAGTAGACTCTGCCCTCAGGGCCACCCATGCTGATTTCTTCTTCGGGAATGGTGCGAGGAGGGGGTATTGAGCCCTCAAGATCCACAAAGCCGCCGTTTTTCTTCGATTTCTTTGGCGGTTTGAAGGGTTGGTTTTCGTCGGGACGCATAAAAGGTATTAGGTCATTCACCTTTTCATAGCCGGGAAGTTTGAAGTTTCTCATCAGTTCAAAGACAGCCTGCTCTTTGTCTTTGGCTTCAATCATCAGGTCCATAGTGTCTGCACATGGAGGCAGGGTATTTACTCGGTCACTGTGTTTGCGGCGTTGGCGAGGGGTGATTGCTGGGGCAGTTGGCTCGGAGTAGTGCATCTTCTGCGTAATGTTCTTTCGAGACCAGGTGGCGGAAATGCGATCATAGAGTCCAATAATATCCTGCGTGCCTTCGCGGAGCTCATTGGAATCGAATATGATATTATGGTGGTGATAATCGAGGACAAGAGGGATATCAAGCTCCTCACAGATTGGTAGTAGGTCGTGTACAGACCAGCTGACATCGTCGTTCTCCAAAACCAATCGATTCTTGATGTCCTGCGACAACTTGGCATAATTCTTCCGGAACCGATCAAGTGTCGCAGTTTTATCACCAAAAACTCCGCCCATGTGTAGGATCATGACCGCATCGCGATCCTGCTGAGGGGGCAGCTTGAGAAGCTGAAGCAACTCTGAGTGATATTCAAGATCGCGATAAGAGCTCTCGATCACTTCTTTTCTTGGTGATCCAAACTGCGTGAATTGACCCGGATGAACCGAGACCCGATGACCAAGTTCTGCAACCACCCGGCCTGCGTCCGCCAGCACTTCCGAGGCGAACGGCGCCAATTTATAACCGTATTCTCTGTGGCTAGCGAATGGGAACATCTCACTGCTCAATCGCATAAACTTAATGCCATACCTGTCGTTCCAACGAAGGATCTTGACCAGATCACGCGCATTCGTTAGACCGAGATCCTGCACAAAGGCCTGGCCACGAGCAATATCAGCTGGTAGATTTCGGTCCGGCCGATTCTTAGTCGGATGCGCAGGCTGTTCGGGATCTTGGAGGGGGTGTCGGTTCTCCACGATGGAGGCGATTCGGCATGTTCGAGAACAGAATACGGAAGGGGTAGCGTAGCGGAGGTAGGTGTTTAAGCAAGCCTAATTGGGTTAAAATTGATGTTGCACAGCATGAGGCTTAATATTCAACTCACATATCCTAACCTTCCTTTCCAGGGCAGAGGAAGATAACTGCTGTTCACTGGTGGGGGTCGTCCCAGGGCCTCCTTGAATTCCTCAGGGTCGAGTGGAATGTCCTCTTCGGACTCGGGGTCCAATGCCGCTTCAGCTTTGTGCGAATGTATATCTTCGTTGAGAATATCCGCAGGCTTTACCTCGGATCCGTGTGGCTCAGTAGCCATAATCATGTCTTCGGCGTCCAAAGTATCCGAGCCTCGGCCCAGATGTGTTGAATAGGTACGATACGGTGCGACAAGTTTCAAAGGGGCTGGGATATGTGCAACGCGTTTATAAGAGAAGCGCAAGGCAGGGACATGATGAGCAAATGTCCGGATTGGGCGCGATCTGGTCGCCACAATGGATCGATCGAGGAATCTCAGTGACGTGTGGCGACCCGGGCCAGCTTCCAAGGAATCGGCATGTTGGAAAGACAGACCCTGCAGTCGAATAAACCGCCGACACATTCGAACTCTTGGGTGTACATGAAGGTGGAAAGTTGGCGAGAGGAAGCCAGGGCGGGATGTTCATGGCGCGCTAACGCGTCGCATCACCGCCCAATATGTCTGTTCTTGGATCGCACGACAGACAGTACACGTGCTCGCGTTTGACACTTCGTCGTTTTGTTGCATTGGTCAATTTCGTGCCTAATTGAGTCTCTCACCCAAACTCAATCTCTTTATATTTCTGCAATGATATCATTGATGTCTGATGTCATCGATCTACCATGAGGCCGTAAGTCCCAACCTAAGCCTGTTGCAGACGAGCAAAAAAGACATGAAAAAGAGAGACCTGAGTAGGGTAAAAACAATGCGTGAGACGGTACACTCGTTTCCAGGGGTTCGTGTTCAGACTATACACGATCAGTGGCACTGTATACATTACCTTGGAAGAGAAGGACTATGCGCCGCGTCAGGGGATGATTGTTCTACATAAATATCCATTAATATTTCACAGAAAAGAAATGACAATTCTTCAACCAGTCTTTCTTTCCCCTCCATCATAATCAAACTTCGTGAGGGATCTCACGAGGAAGCCGGAAAAGTGTTGCCCAAATCCCCAAAGACACAGCCAGCATTGCAAGTAAAATAGGCTGTAACACAACAACACCTTTTGCCTGAGCAATAGCACCAATCATGAAAGGGAACACAGCACCACCACCCATAGAAAAGGCCGCCGCAAACCCTATAGCCGCAACATGAAGATTGCGCGGAAGCAAACGAGTCATCACAATCACAACGCCAGGGAAAATAGTTCCTATAAAAAATCCAACAAGCGCCACTGCAACAGCTGACACAATGAATTCCGGAACAAGCCAGAATACAAGCTCGAGAGTGATGGCTAGCAGAAGGTATATAGCAATCGACAGTTTTTCTCCGATTTGGGGTGAGACAAAGCCTAGTACGAATCGGCCGATTGTGATACCAAGCCAGAAGCCTGTTTCGGCCATTCCTGATGCAAAGGCGCCTCCGTGGCGGACGTTGGTCATGAAGACGACAATCCAACCTCCGATTGCTACCTCGATACCGCCGTATAGGAAGAGGAATACAGCGCAGATCCAGGTGACCTTGTGAGTGAGGGATACCCGCGTCTGTGATAGTGCTTCTCCGTCTCTGCCGGATATAATTGGATGCTCCAGTTGATATCTCTCACCAGTTTCGGCCCAGAAGGCACTGGCGGCATATACCAGCGCTATCGCAGCTGCTCCAGTCTATCATTCCATGTTAGTTCATCTTGGCTAAGCTCATGAGGAAAGAATGGTAAGTACCATCAAATAGTAGTAAGAGTACCACTGCCACCCTGCCTTGGTTATTAAACTCGTGGCAACAAGGGGACTAACTGTAGCACCGATTCCATAGAAACCATGGAAGAATCCAAGCACTTCATGCGAGTTCGCCATGTTGCCAATCCAGACGTTCCATGCTGCGTTATGAAGTCCACTGCCTATTCCGACAAGCACATACATAATCACTAACACAGGGAATGGCGGATGAACAGATATGACCGCGAAAGCTAGCAGGTGACAGCTTGGCGCGATCATGGTAATCCCTCGTCTTCCGAGATGCTGGTGGACCATATTATTGAATATTGCAGACAAAGCATAGCCGAAAAAAGGCGAGAGGAATACTAAGGAGATGATGGTGTAGCTTTTGCGATAGTATGTCTCGAGCTTGTTGGTTCATACTTCGTTAGTATGTTCTACGGTGCAACTGGGCAGTGACACAAACATAAGGAATTATCGCTCCGTAAGCTGCATCATTCGATCCCATCACGAATGCGCACCAGAATGTAGCTGTCACCTTCCATATTGTGGTTTTCGACTCGTTCCATCTGGGCGCGACGTTCACGGCGTGCAATGGTGGGTTGTCTTCCTCCGAACTTTCTGCATGGGCATCTTGGGACTCGACATTTTGATCAGGCCAGGACCGGGAACTTGATCTTTCGCTGCTCATTAGGAATAGATGTGACTTCGAACACAATATGACTCATGTTCAATAAAGTCCAGTGTGTGGGGCGTAATATTTGTTGCGGGGAAAGTATAAAGGCCAATGTAACCTCAGGGCCTGTGTTGAATGGCATTATGGATGTCAAGGGTATGTCTTCGTATTTGATGGCTACTTTATCTATGTACTTTCAATATCTGTCTTCTTCATATAGTCTGGTCTTAATTTTGACCGAATAAGTACGTAGATCGAAGCATGATCGTTGGAAATGCAATAGTAATACGCCAATATACTATGAAATGAACCAACCTATTTTTGAGATCAAAGAAGGAAAAATAACAATAAACGAAATAGCAGCATTGTACTTTGTATACATAACCCCTGTTAGCTTAATCTTGGAAATCTGACGGGAAGTTGGTAGCTTAGGCTTGGCCAGTGATCACATCCAGTAATTAGAGCCAACTTCTCCACCAGCTTGATCACATTGAATCATCAGATAAACAGCCTGAAACCCCCCTGAATGATTTAAAAAAACCCCCTAATCCATCTATAAAAACACCGTTGCATAAAGGTCACGTGGTGGTATTCTACCCTTTCTAGCGGCGTCTTGGCATATTTTCGTCAGCAAGCGTCTTTTTTTCAACATCCAAAGCCATAATCTGGCCACCAAAGCAACTTTTCCAAGTATTTCGGGCCATTATCAGATCAATATGGCTACATCAACTGTGGAACAACCTGCAGCAGTAAAGCCAAATCTGAAAGAGTTCCTGCAACCCCTCCAGGTTGGCATCGAAACCTTGTATGACTTGTCCTGTCGACTATCAACATCATATACGAATCTGGCCATGGAATCTACTGAACATTTCATTCCAACACCCATTACTCGTCTTCCAACAGGTCATGAAACTGGACGCTACCTCGGTGTTTATGTTGGTCTCTCTTATCTGCGAGTGGCCTTTATTGATCTCTTGGGAGATAAACAAGTCGAAGGACATGCTCGCGTCCGACGAACATTAGAAAAGGCTTGGCCTATTGAAGATCATTTACGAAAAGACCATTCTCTGGACTTGTTCACCTGGATTGGTGACTGTATTGCCGAAGTCGTGGCCGATCGGCTTGCCAATCCGAATGAAGAAAGTCTTGACCAAATAACGACGGGTATTTCCCTTTGTCTACCAATAAAGTACCAGCACCATGTTCCGGTGTTCCTTTCCCTGGCTAATTTCGTATAGACAAAACACTCTCGATGAAGCTATCTTGATGCCAACTGGCAAAGGCTTTTCTCTAAGCTCAGACCTCAACCTCCGTCAAGCACTACTAAATGGATACGAGCGCCACACGTATTCCTCTCATGGAGATGTTGAACCGATGCCTGCAAAGCGACGCAGGTTATTTTCTCTGCCTAAATTAAAAATCGCTGTCATGATCAATGATACGACCGCAACCCTTGCATCATTGGCATATTCGATCCCTTCGTTGCCCAATACCCGTGTTGTCATGGGACTTATTGTAGGCGCGGGATGCAATGCCACTGCTCCAATGAAGATTTCTGATCTTCACGAATCAAAAACCCAAAATATTCGAGAGAAATACCCTGACGCAAAGGAGACACTCATTTCTACTGAGTGGACTCTCTCAACGGCGGCAGCTCCCTTTGATGAGCTGCGCATTCGAAATAAATGGGACCATGAATTGGACCAGCATTGCAAACGGCCGGGTTTCCAGCCGCTAGAGTATATGGTTGGAGGTGGGTATACTGGCGAGTTGGTTCGGATCATTTGCTATGATTACTTCCACAGAGTCCTGGGAATAGAGGACTCAATACTACCAGTGAAGCTTATTGAGCCATATTCCATTTCAACAGAATTCCTCTCTCTGATTGTTGCCGCTTCAATAACCGATGAATCATTGGCAGATAAGCTTTCTCAAAAGCTTCAGCTACCACCTGAAAGCAATTGGAGATGGACACCAGAATACGCTCGTGACATCCGCACCATCGCATCGGCTGTACACGACCGAGCCGCTTCATTAGTTGCAGCCGCCGTTGTTGGTCTTCTCGATTGCATCAAAGAAGTGAAATTGTGCAAAGACCCCAGCGAAATACTGATGAAATCGGAATCTCAAGATAGCAAACAAACAGGCTCAGGCTCGCCCGGTTGGAACAGTGGCCCGGAAGAACTCGCCGTGGCATTTTCTGGTGGAGTGATTCAACATTATCCTCATTACAAAGAAAACGTGCAGCGATATATCGACCGTCTCATTATTCGCGCGGGTCCACAAGCAGGCGGAAAGAGTGTGTTCTTGCGCGAAGCCAGCGATGGTGGAATCATTGGTACTGGCGTGCTGGCGGGAACTGCCTCTGGGGAGATTGGCGAAATAAAGGTTACAGATGGCTCTCCGTGGCCTCTGCTGTCTCCTATGCGGAAAGACATGGCTGTCAAAATATAATAATAATGAAACTTGAAGTTCTTCGGAGCCAAGTATACGACAGTGGCTATGGGTCCTTTCACAGCGCACACCTCTAAATAATCAAGAAGATCAACCCAAGACACTCGAAAATGGCCAAAGAAGAGATGAGAAAGAGGCCGGGTTCACATAATGCATCAGATGGTACATTCGCTTTAATGTGTTTATAAAGAACTGATCTAATACTCCTGTTGTATAAGCCCCACCACTTTGCCGACATCGGGTGCATGTACCCGGACCGAGTCAACATATTTCAATAAATCCTCTGTGGGTTTTGAGATGAATACTTCTGTTGTTCCGTCCATTTTGAAGCGCTACACAAGCCATTGGTAGTCTATCGGGCATTACTTTCAATCGTGACACGATAACACCTATCATCGTGTTCGATGCTCAACCCGCCAAGAAAGCTGAGGCACTATTCAACTTTTCCGGCATCATTTTCCGTTGCTCTTCAACCTACCAAGCAAGCAAGCCCGCCATGAAGTTCTTCGATGTCAGTCATACTAGATTCAACATAAATACATTCCACTGACACATACCAGGTAGCGGTAACATATACCGCAGACCAATTCCAAGGCATATACCGAGGAAAACAATACCACCCAGCCGACTTCGGCGAAGTGCTTAAACGCGCCCAGGAATACAACTGCGCAAAAGTAATGCTCACAACAATGACACTCGAAGGCGCGAAGCAAAATCTGCAAGCAGTGAGGGAGTTCCCCACAATATGCAAAATGACCCTTGGCGTGCATCCCTACCACGCCGCCGAGATCTACGAACAGCCCGAGTCGCAGTATTTGAATGAACTAAAAGTGTTCGGCGAAACACTTCGCGCCGAGTCTCCATCGCCTCTGGCTGCATTTGGTGAAATCGGACTGGATTATGAGTACCTCAACAGCGCCGATAAAGAAACGCAGCAGCGTGCTTTCCGGGAACAGTTGGAGTTGGCAGTTCATTTTCAATTACCACTTTTCTTGCATGTGAGGGAGTCGGCGGAGGATTTCATTTCTATTATCCGGCCTTATCTTGAGAAATTGCCGAAGGGTGGGCTTGTGCATTCCTTTGCTGGGACCAAGGAGGAGATGATGCAGCTTGTGGGGCTTGGCTTGGAGATTAGTGTGAATGGTGTTTCGTTCCGGACTGATGAGCAGTTGGACATGGTTAGGCATATTCCTTTGGATAAGTTGCAGCTTGAAACTGATGCGCCCTGGTGTGAGGTCTTGGGTAATGATCCGAAGATTGCGGGTTACTTGCAATCTGCTCGGCCTTTGCCTGCGAGTCGGAAGCATAACAAGTTTATTACAGGGCAGATGGTTAAGACTCGTAACGAGAGCTGCACTATGGAGCGTGTTGGATTGGTGGTTGCAGGAGTGAAGGGTGTTTCTGTTGAGGATATTATTGATGCCGCGTGGGATAATAGCTGTCGTATGTTTGGGGTGTAATTATATGTTCGGAGCGGATGTACATAATGAGTGTGAATAGACATAGAATACAGAGAGTCTACTCCCATAGCGATATTATAAGAGATGGCCATTAGAACTAGTTTAGTTTGAAGGCTGATATCTATTTATTCCATACATGTACGTCAAGCCATGCTAAAACCCCACAGCGTCGCGTCGCATCGCATCGCATCTCATGAACCACGCAGTACCAAGCTTTCCTGCAGGATCAAGAGAAAAAAGCCGCAAGCCACTTCAAAAATGTAAACAAAGCCCTTCGCTTGGAGGGATGTAATTGGTGCCCTGGGTAGGCATGCAGGGGGAGAACAGGGGTTGAGGGGCCAACCCCTTAAAGGCTTCCGCCAGGCCAAACTTCGAGACTTAAACTAGTGGCATCACATACTCCTGAGTGAAGCTTGAGCGGCACTTGTCTGCTGAGTACATGGCGTTTGTGACGCGGCCTTTTCTAGGACCCCTGACATCATGGCTGGATTCTTGGGGGAGTTGATTCGGAAATCATTGTCAGTCGGAATGAAGGCTGTGAGTGGCTCTCATAATTGACCCATCAGCTTGTAAGCGGTGCAATCCATTGCCCCTGGGTGCCCACGTAGTTGTCCTCAATTGGAGGTTGATAGGTTGAGGTTGTCTTAGGACCAAACTCAATTGCGGGAACGAGTCTACTATGATCCTCTGAATCGATAGTTCAATCTTAATGTGGACTTCGAGTGGTGAAGGCACATCTAAAGTGCTGGCCTTGAATATGAGTAGATAGAGACAGGTTATCACTATCTAGGTGGTGAACTAAATTTGCAGTACATATGAAGTGCGGCTTCTTTGGCAGCATTCTTCACGTTGCGGGGGCCATTGCTCGATTATCATCGCATGGGCTAAGACCGCAACATGATGGAATCTGCCATTCCTCTCAAGAGGCCCAAAGAATGTGAGCGTCCACTAGGCATGTATTTATACTATTTGTCGAGCGCCCGGACATTTCCCTACTCAAGCTCTGTACTCTTTGCAAATTGACCCTGGTGGTTAAGTGTTTAGTATTTGTTTCTTGACGAACCTTTCATAAACCCAAGAAACTGTAAGTGACTCGCTCCTTCCATAACTTGCTTTTGCTATATGGCAATTAAGAGACCAACAAGAGACTAACTAGCTAGCAGAAAACACTTCAATCACAATGAAGGGAACATTCATCCTCTCCGGTCTTTTGGCCTCCACAGTTTCTGCTCACATGCAGCTGAGCAAGCCCTATCCCATCCGCAGCCCCCTGAACAAGGACGCCAAGGGCCAGAAGGACTACTCATATACCAACCCCCTATCAAGCTCCGGCAGCGACTACCCTTGCAAAGGCTACGCTAAGGATGACTTCGAGGCTGTCGACACATGGGCCCCTGGTTCATCCCAAGAGATGACCCTTGAGGGCAGCGCCACCCACGATGGTGGTTCATGCCAACTTTCCCTGACCTACGATCTGGGTAAGACCTTCAAGGTCATTGAATCCATTGAGGGCGACTGCCCCATTGCCAAGAAGTACCAGTTCGACATCCCCTCCGACGCCCCGGCTGGTGATGCCCTCTTCGCCTGGACCTGGTTTAACAAGGTCGGCAACCGTGAGATGTACATGAACTGCGCTATGATCACCATTGGCGGCGGCGAGCGCACTGCCAATGCTACCACCGACTCCGAGGAGAGGGCCGTTCCCAAACACATGCTCGAGATGGCCGCTGATGACAAGAAGCCCGTGGCCAAGGCCATGGAGGAGGAAGCCACCAAGGCCAAGAATGCTCCTATGCCCAATGACGATAGCACGCCTATGGCCGAGAGCATGCCTAAGGATCAGACCAAGCCCAAGGGCCACACCAAGCAGACCAAGGCCGCCGACAGTTTCGACAGCCTCCCCGACCTCTTCGTCGCCAACGTCGACCAGGCTGGCAAGTGTGTCACCATCGAGGGCGAGGCCGTCCACTTCCCCAAGCCCGGTCCTAACCTCATCGGCAAGGCTGATAGCAAGGGCTACAAGTGCGAGGGCAACGCCCCCTTCCTCGACACCGACAACAACACCACCAAGAACTCGACCAGCCCTGCAAGCTCTACCAGCTCTACCAACACTGCCAGCACTACCAGCACTGCCAGCTCTACCAGCACTGACAAGAATATGTCCAAGATTGCCTCTGCTTTCGGTACCTCCACTGCCACCGCTGCCCGTACCCTCAACACCGAGGCCTCCACCAACAACCTGTTCAGCAACTACGTCGGCCGCTGGTCTTGCACCTCCGGCGAAATACTCTGCTCCCCCGATGGTATGTCCTTCGCCCTGTGCAACTACGGCCGCCCCGTCTTCATGGGCTCTGTCGCTGCTGGTACGTGGTGCCGTGGCGGTGCTATCAGTGCCAGGTGGTAAACTCAGCTTCTTTTCTTTTTTTTTTTTTTGGGTTACACCTTAAACAAAAGCGTGATTTATCACGGCTCTTTTCCGACTGTGTCGGTTTTGTGAGCTCCGTAGCTCGCATATCGTTTTGGGCGGCTTGATGATCTTTCTTCTTGGCGCATTTTTAGGCGCTATGTATCGTTTCTTGTAATCTTTACCCATGATCAGCCCAGCGATGACCCAGTTGATGTCCCCATGCGACGCTCTTGTCATGTCAATTACCTAATGATTGTGTATCGACGCGTGTTCATTTCTCTAGTCCCCTTTCAATTATATTACTTTTCAGACATGATTACCACTGTATTCTCTTCTCCATCTAAATGTAAAAAAAGACAGCTTCGACAAAGGTTCTCATTGACTCGGTTGCAAAACAAGATGCTCCAACTCACTCTCTCTGAAGACTCTGTATTAGCTCAAGCATCTTCTCTCCAACGGCGATTCCCGTGAATGACCTCGTCGCATGCAGCAAAAGAGTCATAGGCAAAAGCACAGGTTTTACATTGCAATATCATACTGCAATATCAAGAGAGCATAAGAGTGAAATCATACGTGAATGTAAGGTAGGTAGAAAGGTCTTTGATTTCGGAAGAGTGATCGGGACTATTATACTTGAAGTGTAACAAGTGTTGGCCAAGGTTGACTTTGTCGCAAGGGACTTCTCCCACCTGACTGCTGTGACAGACCTGGTAGAAAATCGTGACGACTCGGTGTATTCGCCGAAGTCGTGTCTTGGGTATTTTCTCTCTTCGGACAAGTGAGGAAAATCGGACCAAGGGACTGTGCTGAAGAAGGTATGTGCTTTCAACTTGGTGTTCATCTTTTCTGGCGGTGGTGGCTGTTGGTCGCCTTCAAGGTCGAATTTGAGTTCCACCGTCACAGCAGTGCTGATATTGGGGGGTCATGCCCTGTTGAGGATCTAGCTCAACAGATTTGAGGAAATCGGAACTCAAGGTCAGTCTTCCCAATTTCCAATTGGGTAAACCTCGCTTCACTTCTTTTTGCAGTTGCATGGCGTAACACGGAGCACTTATTTCATTGGGGACTGGTTCATGTTCCACACTCGGCATGGTGTGAATATTTCATGTTGTGGCGAGCTCGAATCCAAGGCTATTCTCTTATGTGTCACCCCAGGCCTGGAGATGGTCGGAATCCGAACATTCATTTCAACTGAAAACAACACCTGATACCCAGAAATGATTCTACTGTGGATTGAAAGGATCAACAGGTACCCAAATAGGAAGTTGTCTGACGTGAGGCTAGGGCGTGTCAAGGCTTGGCAATTTCTCAGGTGATGCAGTTGATAGGTCTGCAGCCAAAAGCGAATGGTGGCGATTTATTTCATAAAAGAAGCAATTTGTAGCGTTATTTTCCAGGGATTTGGTGGAATACTGTTCCTTATCTCCCTCTTTCTAACCGAGAAAGAGAAGTTGGGCGGAGCTGAATGTGCTAGGTCACTAACTGAGTCGCGGGGTTTGATCCTGGGTCTTCAGCTTGGGTGAATGAAAGTCACCTAGGGATAGGCCTTATGCAAATGATTCGTTGGGTTATTCTCTTTGTAAGGAGTTCCAAGGGAGTTTATAGCGACAGGATGCGTATGCGTCGACTGCAGGTGCAGAGAAGCCCTATAAAGACTACAGTAGATCTTTTCAAGTTTTGAGCTCCTCAAAATTATCATTCTTCCATTGAAACTCCTACCACGCCAAGCAAATGGCGGATTGTCAGCATTACCAACTGGGAGCCTCGAACAAGAGCGAGCAGCCAACTTGGGATGCTCAAGTCAGATCATTGTTTGCTAAGCCATACTGGACATCTATTGACTCCAATCCTACGTCTGTTGGGGACAATTGGATAGAACAGATGAAAGCTTACAGTCCCTCTCGCCCTGCACACATGTACCTTGATTTGTCGAGTGTGGAGTCTGTCCAACAGAACATCCTTACCATTTATCAACACTTGCGCTCTCGGTCCATGCCCATCACGAAAATTGAAAGCCACTATTGGCCAGATGAGACTTTGGAGACTCTGCGTTTGTGGGCAAACCAAGGCTTTAGACGCTCTTCTATCGATCCGGTTAAATATCACGAATTGATCAGACCCCCGAATCCTTATCCAGCAGATATAAGGATCAGGAGAGACATCCTGAGTCTCAGCCCATCTGAGCTTCAGACCTATCGTGAAAGGTTGGATGATATACTTCAAGTTGGAAAGAAGGATTCTAAATGGCAGGAGCTGGGATTACTACGTACGTCTTGGAGCCTTTTGCAGACAGAATTGATGTTGATTTGTGTTATAGATGCTGAGTGGTGCCTCCATTACCAAGAAGCTTTCATATTCTGGCATCGAGCGTATTTGAAGTATGTGGAGGAGCTGATTGACTTCCCTATTCCTTACTGGAATGGCTTTGCAGTCGGAACAGGGGAGCCCGATTCACCTTATGCTGGTCTGCCATCGAACTACTTGGATGATTTCTATGCCCATTCAAATGGAGAACAACGCAGAAATCCTCTGAAGTACGCACTTTTACTCAATGGACAAAACAGAACAGGTACTTCTGAGTATGTCGAACGCTCCCCGGAGCTCGTTGAAGGCCGCGGCCATCCTAATTGGTCAAATAAAATTAAATGGTTTAAACAGTATCACCGGCAAATCGAGCATGCATTTGAACAACATGATTTCTCTTTGCAACAAGCTCAAGGATGTCCCTGGGCTAATATACCAGACTTCAAGGAAAACCAGCCGGACAATTGTTATCCTGAAGCCAGTCGCAAATTCTTTGATGGTCTGTTTGAGCAAGTGCATGACAAATATCACGGCTGGATAGGTCCAGATATAGTGAGCAGCGAACCCACTGGCATTGACAAGTATGTTATCCATGTTAATGTTTCAAAACAGGCTGATAATTCTTATACAGCATTCGACCCCATTTTCCTCAGCTACCACGCAAACATGGACCGTATTGCTGAGATGTACCTCCGGAAAGATCCCGCACGCCAGTTCTCGTCCAATTTTCCTCTTCGTCCTTCTGTGGACAACGGAAAAGTGTGGACATATGATGACCCCCGCGAGTACATCTACACAACAGTAGGGGACATGGCAACGCAGAGTCTCGCAATGAAGTACTGTTACGCGTCGCCCATAGTTCCTGACTTCCTCCCAACCTCCCAATTGCAATCTAAGACAGCAGCGGTGCCGCACGGTGGCACAGCCTTTTCATTGTCAACAGCCAAGTCTGTAGATACAACAGATGTCACCCAAGGACATGAATCCGTTCCATACATCATGTTCGACTCTGTCTCTTGTCTCAAAGACTGCTTCCGGATTGATGTTTTTGTCAATGGGGCCCAAAAGTTGGAGTCAGATCCAATGGGCAATCCCGAATACATTGGAAGTATCACCAGACTTGGTATGGGGAGTGGAAGAGGTGAAGCAGTTGGAACCAGGAATTCGCAGCGGTGCATAAAGAAGCCGATAACGCGTATTTTGCAAGCTGGTCATTTCAAAGAGAAATTGAAGAATGGCTTTGGTGTCCAACAAATTGTCACTGACTTGAGTACCGACAGGCGCCTTGGAGAAGAAGAGTGGAAGAGAATGCCAGGATTTGAGGGGACTGTTGTTTGGTCATAGAAATCTACATAAGATCTATCATAATCTTAGAGACTGAAATATCCTGATTGGATTGACAATACTAGTTCACGTTCAACCTCGGAAACCGGCCTACAACCAGTGATTCGGCGCATCAGACTCCTAAACCCGAAATTTGGCTCATCCGCACAATTACACCTAGTCACGACACAGTAACTCTTCTCTACAAATCGTTTTTGTTGAAAACCTATCTATTTTCGAATTCAACTAAATACTTGACCAGTCGCATATGGGAATGTCGGTCAGTACGTAGCGCCAAGACTAGGCCAGCGAGGGACTGCAGCAGCTGAGACCCTCTTATATCTACAGCAATGTCAATTCCTTCTTTTCAGACGTTGAACCCTCTTACTAACATGAAAAAATGACAAAACTAACCTCAAGACATGGCAAGTAGCCTAGAGCTCTGGGCCCAAGATCACAAGTGGCTAGGAATGAAGGCTGTTTTGATTCTGCTTCTTTTGTTCATCATGACCGACTACATTCAGACAGCTCTCAGATCAGATATTTGTGATCTACCAGGTCCATTCATTGCACGCTTCTCAATTCTATACAAAATCTGCATGGTCTACGATGGCAGATGCCATACCAAGAACCTGGACTTGCACAAGAAGTATGGTCCTATGGTGCGCGTGGGACCGCGTCATGTTCATGTATCTGACCAACTATCTACTCAGTTTCGATCAAATTTGTTAAGGTTGGTCCAATCTCTCCTTGTTGTACGAAACAAACCTGAGCACAGATGGCAAAGACTGACCATTCCAAAACACTGAAGGGCGAATTTTACCTTCCCTTCGGTATCAAGTACAGAGGCAACCCGGTAGATACACCGTTTGCCACGAGAGATCTCGCTATCCATAAGTGCATCAAAATTTCAGTCTCTCAAATTCACTCGATGACTTCGGTTCGGAAGCTGGAGCCTGCAGTGGACGATTGCTCCGACATTTTTTTGAAGGCTATGTACGAGCTCAAAGGGGAAGAAATTGATCTCGGTGTTTGGTTACATTGGTATGTGAGCTATTATCATCTCTGAATTCAATTCGGGCAGCCGAGATACTGTGTTAAACTTAATCACTAGGTGGGCTTTTGATGCTGCTGGCGCTATCACGTTCAACAAGCGTCTCGGCTTTGTAGAGAAGCGAGTCCATATTGACGAATGATAAACTCTCTCAAGAAAGGTCTTTCTTATGGATCTGTTATTTCTCAGATGCCTTCGTTAAACCGATATCTCATTGGCAATGATACATTCTTGGAAATTTTGAAGTCGCTGCCGGGATTTTTTGACCCATTTGGTTACATGTGCTCGGTAAGTGAGATCTTCGATCTCATACCGGGTTGGTTGTCTAGTTATTTACAGCTCAGAATGCGACAGAGGAGTTGAAACGGTATGAGGATCATGGCCAAAGAAACGACTTTCTAGCATGGCTCAAAAATAACACCGATGCTGGAAAGCACAATGTCAGCGAGCCAGATATGATCGGTTCTCTACTGGCCAACTTGTAAGTGCTTTTGTCTATATACCAGGAAGATGCGACTAAGAAGCCCCAGTCAAAGGACTACTGGTAGTGATACTACCGCAATCACACTTTGTGCCATCTTTTATTATCTTATGCGAAATCCCGAGTGTATCAGGAAGCTTCACAAAGAAAAAGACGCAGCTGATTTTAACAGCAATCTCTCTGAGCATATCAGCTATGCGGAAAGCTTACAACTACCCTACCTGTAAATAAATTAATCGTTGCCACTGACCTCTAAAGACTTAGCTTTCTTCTATAGACAGGCAGTCACGAAAGAAGCACTCCGCCTTCATCCAGCAGTGGCAGCACCTCTAGAACGTGTAGTGCCACCTAGAGGAGCAACAGTGTGTGACCATTACCTCCAAGCCGGCACGATTGTCGGAATCAACCCCTGGGTCACCAATCGCGATACAACCATCTTTGGGCCATATGCCGAGAAGTTCCGCCCTGAGCGTTGGATCAATTCATCTGAAGAGCAACTAAAGGTCATGAGTCGATACTCTATGGCGGTGCGTGGACTTCACCAGTGGTCGACATTCTTATTTCCTTTCTATTTTCTTCCTGTGGTTTGAAGGCTTGTTTAATTTGTTCTTTAGTTCGGGCAAGGTTCACGTAATTGCATCGGTGAATTTTTCCCATATAATGTCTCGGTCGGCTGACTAGGTGCTATCAGTTGGTAAAAATCTCTCGCTTCTGGAAATGAGTAAGGTTGTACCACAGCTACTGCGGGAGTTCGACATAGAGTGGGCATCGCCCAAGCCGGACTGGACGGTGGCAGCGCATTTATTTTCCATGCAGGAAGGCCTGGTCGTTCGACTCAAACCGCGCAAAACTGGTGATAAGAAAGGGAAATCGGTGGCCTAGAGCTAAGACCGTCCCTGATAGTTCAGGAGCTGTTCCAAGTTATTTCGGGGTTAACCATCTCTTCCTACATAAATTCATAAAGCCATGCATACTGGAAATTAGAGACTTTTTTTTTTCTAAAGGTGGTTTCTCGGTGGCTGGTTAGGGCTTATTTTCGACATCTTACTAACACGTGTTCCGCGTTTTTCACCCCAATGCTGTTATCCAGGTTCTCTGTAATCATCTGCCATGAATACCACTCCACAACAGATCCTCAACATTGAAGACGCTCTGGTGTCTGACGATAATCCAGCGCGTAATGAAGGCTTCCTCGACTATGAGCGCTGCGCGAGACTACACAATTACCTGGTCGCGTACGCCTGGATGGTCCGTTACGAAAGAGATACGCCCGACCTTGATGCGCTGGCTAGCCGGCCGCTGCGGTTTATGAATGAAGATACAGAAGCAGTTCGCGAGCGTCTGGATCCTTCGCTAAACTCGTTCCTGGATTTGATCTATGATCCAGAGCCAGAACTCTTTTACTGGGTAAACGGGGTTATAATGGACTTCTGCGATATTACGTTTCCTGATGAACACAACAATCTCGAGGACAAAGAACGATTTGTTGTCATATATGATACTGTACCAGGCTTGGGCCCACATAATCTCGGCGTTGTCTATGACCAGCAGCTCCACCGGGCCTCGTTCCCAATGACCATAACAAACTCAGAAAGCGTCGAACCCATCGATGAACACGAGGATCTGTGGTTCCCGTTAGAGACTATTCTTACCCATTGGGTCAATCTGATTCGCATGGGTAAGGTCGTAGCTGATTCGCGGGGGGAAGATCTGCCTGACGATGTGGCAATGTCTAGATCACAAATTGGGCTGTGGGCGTGGCTCCCGTACTGCTCAGTCCAGATCGATAACACTGTGGCTGCTATGGACCGCTACTCAGCCGCAATCGAATCTCGAATGCCTCCCGAGTCACTATCAACTGCCTCCACATCGCTCTTCACCGATGCAGACCTCGACACGGCTTCTGTGCCGAAGAGCTGCTTTATCCGCTCAGTTTTGACAAGAGTGAAGACTCCGCGTTTTAACTTGATTGCACCCGGCCTAGAGGTCCCGCATGATAAGGTAGCATTCGCGAGACGTCAGCAGTTTACCGACGTGCCCCGCGACGAGGCGAGCATTCCGCCGATATTGCTCTTTGCAGCAGAAAGTGCACTGACAGTGAATTTCAACAAAGAAATCCGATGGTCGTTCTTAAAAGGAGTTGACCAGGTTACAATGAACGAGAGTGGTCTTATTCCTACGGGGCTATACAGTGAATCTGTATGTCGATGTCATTACGATGAGGAAGAAGCGGGCTTCCGCCTCTTGCTTCCATTTGCACTGCGGTCTACTTTATGGGATAATGAAGGGGCGAGGATGAGTGATGGCTCATTAGTTACCTCGGGCTCCTTCACGGAGCTCTTTCAACATGGCCATTTTCACCCTTTTGGGGGTGAAAGGCGGGCGCAGAGATTGGAGAGGCTGTTCAACCGGTGGACAGAACTGATCGAAAATGGTGTATGGACGGTGGGGAGAGACGGTGTGGAGGGAGGAATTGATACATTCCGTGATGCAGACAATGGCAACGGTGCCTGGATGGATTATTGGATTGCACCTGACTGGTGATACCACCCTGGCTATTGTACTTTCTGTCAAGACAAATTCTTAATGTATGTTTTGATGCAAATGCACCGGCACTTGTCCATTAGATTTGCACCTAGCGATGCTTTTTCTATGGATTCTACAATGGAAATTAATAATAGAATGTGATTCCGAGGGCTTAGCAGAGGGATCGACAGCAAAAGTACCGAGTTTCATGGGATCCATTGGCTACTAATAATGCACTAACAAGTTCGCGGCCTTTGGTACAGGGATGAAATTCGCGCGCGCGCACCAATTCGTGGGGGCCGGAAATGGCACAAGAAGCCTGCAAATCTATGAGATCGATTCTGACATCTTTTTCAAAGTTCAAGATTGTGAGAAGGACATACGGCAATCAATTGTGATTCCTCCTGAGAAACAGATAGGGCTGGACTTCAAATGGAGCCCTGAGGTAGCCAGAGATTGTCGATCCGCGACAAAAGCATCGCCAAATGATAGCGCGGCACCGTGCAGCAAGAGGGGTGAAGCACCCACGCCAGTGTTACAAGTGCTGGAACTAGGCGCCAGAGAATGCTAGCCTCTTTTCAAGGGGTTTCCTTAATAGTCCGAAGGATCCCAAAGACGTTGTTGGCAACAGACTCAACCCAGTTCTTCCAAAATGAGTGTCCCTTCATCGGGAGGCACATTCTCGACTGCTTCTGAGTCTGGCAGGATTATCACCCCAACATCATCTCAAGATGTCAGTGGCAGTGAGAGCGGTTTGCCAATTCGGCAAGCCCCGAGCATACCCAGAACCTTGCCAACAGCCCAAACCCCAACATTTCTCTTCCAAAACTTGCAACCAGATCAAGCATCACTAAACACTACTCCTCGACCCAGCTCTCCAAGTTCGCGACTGAGCCCCGGTCGCTCGCCATCCACGTATGCTGATCAGCACAACGCTTCCCCAAGCCCAAGGCCGAGACCTATACATCCTTGCCGTCCGAGGCGAAAATCCCGAGAAATCTCCTCCCAAGTATCTAGTACCAGCCAGATTGGTGGGGAATTGAGTACCCCCGGCCCATTCTCTGTACCAGCATCCGTTGATACGGAGGATTTACAAATTCCTGGTGGGTTTCCGGCGAGTAGTGTGAGTGCTTCAGCGGCTGGCCCGTCTCAGGAGAATGAAGATGAAAACGAGGTAATCTCCAATGACATACGCGACGAAACTCTCCCTCGGGCCCCAATCTACAACACCCGGCTTCAGGACGGTCTGAAAGCAGTTAAACGCTACCTGGCCAGTCTTGCCAGCACGATGAGTCTTTCGGAATTGACACAAGATCAATCAACAAGCCTACACACGCTCTACAAGCGTACTGAGGAGATGAGCAAATTCCAGTATCCGGTGACTCGTACTGTGGGCTTCATTGGTGACTCTGGAGTTGGTATGGGAGATTTTGCACCTCCTCGTATATTTCGTTTCTTCGCTAATGTTCTTACAGGCAAGAGCTCTCTAATCAATTCACTTCTTGATCAGAAGATTGCAAGATCTGTATGTGGATGCTCTCGTCTCATTCTTCGCTGAAAATGCTTCCACTAACACAGAACTTCAGAGCAGAGAGGGATCTGCCTGCACCTGTGTGGCGACAGAATTCCGCCACACTGATGATACTCACACCGGTCCATTTACCATCGAAGCAGAGTTTATGAACACAGAAGAAATGAGAGAGTTACTTGAGCATCTCCTACTCGACTTCCGAAAGTTCTACGTCAGTTCCATATACAGGGAGCTTCAGACAACTGAGGAACAAAGGAAATGCCAAGATGCAGCTGTTAAATCATGGGAAACACTTCAATCACTTTTCAAGACCCAGCCAAGTCTGACAATTGAGTTCTTATCAGATGTGGCTGAGGGTGCACACGCTCAGATCCTTACGATGCTGGAGCGATGGGCATATGCCGGCTTAACAAACCGACAGGGTGGGTCTGACGCACTCGAGTATTCGGTCATTGCTGGTGACATTGAAGAATGTAAATCTATTCTCGACCATCTTGCTGCTGACAACCCAGAGGGTGGTGGCCCTGCTCTGTGGCCTTTTATCAAATTGATTAGGTTCGTTGAGCATTCTTTGAAAAGACGAGCAGTTACCTGATTTCCTGGCAGGGTATATCTCAATTCACCTATTCTGAGGACCGGTTTGGTTTTGACTGATCTGCCTGGTATGCATTAAAAATGTACCGATATATTATTGGTCCCGACTAATTAGTATAGGACTGCGTGATCTCAATTTCGCAAGAGTTCGGGCAACTGAAAGATACCTTGCTCATCAATGCGATGAGGTCTTTATTGTGGCAAACATTTCTCGAGCTGGGACCGACGAGTCTGTAGGAGACATCATAAGAAGGTGTAGGCAGAATCAGCCTCGAAGAATCATTTGCACGAACTCCGAGGTACGAATCCACCCATAATATCACACAGACCCTTCTTCACAAGACTTTCTGACTGTCTCTGTAGGATGTTTCACCAGAAGAGGCGTCCCGTGAGCAAGGGCCAGACGGACGGCGCGTCCGGGAAATGAACAAGGAACTCGAAAAGGTCAAGGGGCAGCGCATAACGGCTAAGTCGCAAAGAATGAAATCGAAGGGCGATGATCTGGTCAAATGGCTGCTCAAAGAAACAGGGCTCAGGTAACCATTTCTTCCCCTCGCCAATGTGACCCTTGTTGACTCCAGGGCAGTGACAGGATTGTAGAATTGGACTTCGAGTAAGGTTATACCCAATAATCAACTCAGCCGGCTTTAACACTAACTTGTATGTTAGCGTCACCCGTTTCTTGATCCACCGGCGAAATCTCAATATTTCGCGCGAGCTTCGCAGAAAATATGATAGCGTCGAAGTATTCTGTGTCAGCAATACACTATACTCCGAGCATCGGAACGGCGATCCAACCCAGGCAGATAGGTACCTCGATCTAACTGGCATACGAGATCTTCGCCGCTATTGCCAGCTAGTCCCAGCAGAAGCTCAAATGCGCGCAACAACTGCATTTCTGGAGGACGAAGTCCCGGCAATGGTGGGCTCAATTCGCCAATGGGCCCTATCTGGGACAGACCCAGTCACTGCAGAAAAGGCTGCCGAGCTCCGGCGTGTTCTTAATGAGTCTCAAGAAGCTCTTCGCCGGGTATGCTCAGAAACAATACCGCTTTGAATGGCTCCGGATTGTTTTCCTTTTCTCAACAAATCCAGGGCATTTTCTGATAGTCAATAGGATTTTCAATCGTCGGAAGCACATGTAACTTGCATGTTTCAAGAATTGAGAGAGCTATTTAACAATTCCATCATCTCATGCATCAGTGAGCGAAGCCACCTCGCCTTATTTGCTAGGTCTAACAACTTCATACAACAGATACGTCTCGAGCTCAGTGGAAGCAGGAAAGCCTCGACGTCAGTCAGCGCTGGGCCGGGGTAATTTTCACCTCCTTTTAGCAGATAAATATGAAACATGTTCCGAATCACTAACTGGTCTTCTAGTGGCACTGGGCCTCCTACGCTTCATTCTGTCAGCACGATGGAAACTGGAGTACCAAGGCACATCCAAAAGAGCGACCTTGGAATGAGCAATTCATACAGCAAACCCGTGAAGCCTTGGATCCCGTATGGGAAGGAATAATGGAATGGCTGGAATTGAAATTTGAATTTCTGATTGACATGCTCAACGTGTCATTCTCAGCTCTACTTTCAGGTATCCAAGGTAACTTGTTTCTTTTCCTTTTTTTTTTTTTTTTTTCTTCTTCTTAAAAAAGGTTATGCCTCAGTATTCTTTTCTGACTTTTTCTAATTTTGCAGAGCATCAGCATCTCGCACCCCACGCCCTACAAAACATCATTGTCAACATGGGCCATAGACGAGAGAATATCCATACGCATATCAAGAATGAGATTATCAATGTCGTTTCAAAAACACAGTATGGCAGACCTCACTTGAACACGAGCTTCAGCCACAATTCTAACAAACTTCCAGAATTACAAAGCGAGACATGTTAGAGCATCACGCTGATTCATTCATATCGATGCTCATGAAGCCATGCTACAATTATTGTAACGGTGTGGGAGGTACGTGGAGATAAATCCAATACAACATAATCTTCTTGTTATTGACCGTATTTTAGGACCAGGATCTGACAGACTTCGAAAGGATCACATGGAAGACCATTTGAGAAACTCCAGGCTATTTGCCTCCTATTCTACGCATGCAAAGAATGTCTACGGCGGAATCATGACTGAAAGCCTCAAAGCACTGCAAGAAGAAATTGATAAGCAGGTAGAAGGCATAGTGCTAGACTTCCACGCCGTGGTAGCGGACGAAGGAGAAATACCGGAAGCGGAGCGGGCACCTGCTTTGGCAAATGAGCTGAGATCCCTGATCCAGAGTGGTCAGGCTATTCTTGAAGATACGAATAAAATTGCCCAACAACTCAATGCGCGTGGCTGAGCAACAGGATGAGCTACAGAACCAAACCTTTCCCGAGGGAACGCCCATGTCAGACAAGCCTCTAAATTGTGAGCCGGCGAACTATATACAATTTGATTTTATTTGATTTCATGTACATCTAGCCCCCGGGATAGCCATATAACTAACGTTGGTCGTTGGTCACGCTGTGCCAATCATCCCGAAAGCTGTTGTCGTTCATGACATGTAGCGTGTTACCTTTCACAGAACCAGAACAAAACCTATCAAGAAGACGTGCAGCTCGAGCCACTCTTCGTCCGCGAACAACCACTGGGACAAGGATACGACGGGTCGTACTGCCAAAGGAAATAAGGATCGGTCTCATTAGCAAGAATACCACCCATAAGTCGCGACTGGCTGGGCAGGTCATAAGAAGCCTCAAAGATATCCATGGACGAGATGCGGATCTGTCCCCAGCCTTTCTGGATAAGTGTATCGATTGAAGTTCCATAAACATATTCTCGGAATCCGGCCCATCGGATTGCGGAGGCGCACTTTTCTTTGTTAGCTTGGTATCATCTAGACAGGATTGGATATGTTCCACGTACCATTGGACAACTCTCGGCATTGGTATACAACGTCAAATCAGTGAAGGCGACTTGTGCCTCTGCGGCTGTCATGCGGTATTTTCCATGCGGGTCTGTTAGGATGGCGGTGCAGTTTTTAATAGCTGCAATTTCGCCTATGTTACCACCCATCCCGTGTTAGTCTCATTCTTACGAATGAGGATTGTGTTTTGATCGAACCATGTAAAGATGGATTCCCCGTCTTTCCATTCTCATTGACCCCCAAACAGACAAGTTCGCCTTCGTTCGAGGCTGTGTGATTTACAATTGCCGTTCCGAAGGCTGCAAATGGACATGTTGATCCGGCAATTTGGCTTAATGCATCGTTTGCGAGGCGCATCCAATTTGCTCGGGTTTGGTTTGTGATTCCGTTGATACTTAGGGAGGAGTCTGCGAGTATCACTGTTAGTGCAGTGGGAAAAATTGGGGCGAGGAGAGCGAGACCACGGGTTGGAGAGCGCATTCTGAATTTAACCAGCGTAGGAGATCAAATCTGTAGCTTCACAACCCTTGTACAAAGGCGCGATCTTAAATATTGTAATCTACAGGGAAGGCCGGGACCTAGCGTTCTCGGCCGCGGACGGCCGAGGGATAGATGGAGATTGGACATTGATAACTGGGAATCAGGGAACCAGGGAGCTTTAGGTGGTTGATATACTGCATCAACTTGACGATATGCCCCCTGGACCTCTAAGTTTCCGAATCCGGAGAAGAAATGATCAGAAACACCGCGATTCTTCATCGCACTTGGTCTTTGGTCATGTTCCTCGCAGGCTTTTTTCGCCAATCATTTTCCATCGTATTTGTGTACCATCTCATACAACTGGCTCTAGTGTTTCGAAGGACGGGTTGCAATGAGACGTGACTATATAGCAATTTTGTGTAATCAGCTCGGCCGACACTCGGATCAGTGATAGGGATAGAACAAAGTTATTGAGAAGATAAGGGCATTGTTCGATTTTAGACAGGGAACCAAATATAAACAGATGTCCTATACTTTAGTTAAAAGTGGAAGCAAACAGTATGCTCCCAGACTTCGTCATCACAACAGTGGCACTCGCAATCTCTGGTTGTTACCAGGTGGTGGCGGCGACCCTATCGCCATGTGTGTTCTAGAAACCGACATCTACGTAACCAGTGGAGTAGACAAAGAGATTCATTATTATTATCGGAGTGACGTCCAGCCAGGTCCGAAAGACCCAAGTATGCCGCCAGATATCCTCCATCATATTGTACACGGACCAATCTAACAAACAAAATAGTGGTATCTCGGCCAAATTTAATACAAAGGGTCATGTAATCATCGACTGGTGCAACCAGTCCAACTCGAGGAAGTCGGAGCAGGGGCGAAATGACAATGATGTCATTGTCAGACTTGCCAAGCTCATCTCCCCAAGTCACACCACGCCAGTTAGCTAGCGATGGCAATTCTAGATGTTACCAGTGTAGGCTGAGTTACCATAGCCATAGCCATTGCCATTTTGAGCAGGAGTGGCAGCGGTGTTCTTGTTACGACCCCACGAGCCACCAAACCAAGACTTTTCATTCTTGGCCGGCTCAGCGCCCATCTCGACGTCTGTAGGGGTCGGGTGGCCGGGCAGAGTATCAGCGCCGCCAAGAGCCTCGGGGCTGTTCTTGTTGCGGCGCCAGAAACTCTTACGGCTACCGTACGTGTAGCCGTTGTTAGGCGAAGGACCGAATCGCTTCTCGCGCTTGTGGTGGCGGGCCAGGAGGATCTGGAACAGGATAGAGATCAAGAAGAGGAAACTAGGACATGTTAGTGGGTCTGTCGCGTGTATCGAACATGGGGGTTTGTGATTCTGGGGTGAAAGCTCACATTCCAATGATTGCAACTGCGAATACAACTTTCTCCAGCTTGCAGGCCATACCGAAAGTCAATGACTTGGACGCTGTCTCGGCGTCGGCATCGCCCGTTCCAAGGGGTGTATCGACAGTGCCGGTGCACTTGTCGACACCATTGCGAGTCAGGACGGCGATGGCGATCATCGCGCCCGTGAAACACACGTCCAGGGCTACGCCTAGGAAAGCGAAGAATGTCACACCGCCCAGGCAGCAGACAAAGATGATGCCCAGCAGGCCGTAGGCGGTAGCAGCACCTGCTAGACCTTCCACAGCCTTCATCCAAGTAGCGATATGCTGGTCATGCTGGGCTTGGACGGCCAGGTAATAAGAGAAGATGCCGAGAATGACGGCAGCGTCGAGGAACTGGAGGACGCGCAGGCCCAGATTAAAGAATCGCAGGATAACCCCACCGATTCCCATTTTTGAATATGTTCTTTTGTTTATATGGATATATGTGAAGACAAGACTCCGGGGGAGGAGGAGAATATATGGCAGAAAAAGAAGGCAACAGGATTCGGACGGGTTATAAAGAGGGACGACCCTGAGTCGACGCAATTGACGAAGATCAGTGGATGGCAAGAGTCGATCCTGGTCTTGTTGGCTACTGACTGGCCGGACACGGTCTGCGCCACACCCGATATGGCTAGTCTGTCCCACATGATGTCAGTCCCATGGAACAGAGTGGATCTGCCCTATTGTTGGCCTCAATTCTCAGGCCTGATTCGGTGACATGTGATGAGGTTTACCCAGCCACACTGCCAATACAAACGCTACAGTGCTACAGTACAATCATGTATCCCTAACTTATACGAGGTATGCGAGGTGGCCGGTTTAACGTTATAAAGGGTTTACAAGCCGAGAACTAGCACTAGCACATGCAAGGCATGACCATGAACCAACGGCCTCACTCGAAATGTACCCACCAGCCTCTTCACACATGTGCCAACACCCTTAATTCCAACCTAACTTGAGGTAAATTAACCATAACCTGCATACACATAAAGCTACATGTACATTATAACTCTTCCCCTACTTGCTGTGATCATTATTGAAACTCTAATCTCCAGCCGGGAATAATCCCACTCCCAGCCTCTGCACACCATCCCGACAACTTACACGCCGTACATATGCAAACAATTATCTTTACCGTGGTCGGCCGCCCCTTGCATGCCACGGCAGTTACGCTAGAGCACGCGAAAGAAGCTCCACGCCGTTGACAAAAGATGACGTCCGCATCCACTTCTCCTCCACCGCCAAATCCACATCTCTGCCGTGGGTCCGAATATTGCTGCGCCGTGGTCTAGGCACAAGCGTCTCAATGCGTATATTGTGGGACATGCTGTGATCGGCCAGAGGCTTTGACAGTGCAGTTGGGGGTGGACTTCCACCCTCCGTGCTAAGTTGAGTTTGAGTTTGAGTTTGAGTTTGAGTTCGAGGTTGGTAGCCCGTATATGCATAAATATAGCTCTAGGGGTACGGGACAGGTGGCTGAGGTTGGGGCTAGGGTGGCGAGTTTCCAATATCTGTACAAGGCGGTAGTAGGTAACTACGCGAGTAGCCGTTGGATGACTCTAAGCTACTTTGAATGGAGATGGATTGTAATCGTCTCTGAAATTAGCATTGAATTGGGGTTTGCTTTCAATGTCGTACATGGTATAGTGATTTCGTTGGGGGTATGGACTGGGAATAAAAGGACATGATTCAACACTTCCATCGGATGCTAATAGGGCATGGGGAGTCCTGCAACGCAGCATTGTAGTGCCGGGACTGCTTGGTGAACACAAGCCAAAGAGACCAAGCGGGTAGCTCAGAAAAGGATGGCTTCCATGGGAATGGATATGGTGAGTCCTGGACATGAAAAACCTTGGAAACCAAACTGGGCCTAGTGTGCTCGTGTCCTTGTCCTTGTAGGACACAAGCTCTTCGGCCTGAGGTGACAGTCGCTGCTGCCAATGTGCAAAATGACACTGGCGAAAATATGAGGACTAGACAGAACAGTGCTAGAGGTTTACTTCTGGGATAATTTGAGAACGTCCCAGGAGGATAACAGAGAAATGGAAAGGTCGTCATGTCGTTTCGGAAGTTGGAGCCAGTGGTACAGGTCGAGTCAACCAGCATGATCTGCCATTGCAGAAATGGGTCACATCGCTGATCAGCTAAGACAGCTCAATACCATCTATTCAGCAGGTTCTTCACGCTGTTGCTCAACGAAAGCACGAAGGATCGAGTCCAACCCCTCGTTGCGGCGAGCGAGGAGCATCACATCTGATACATTGACAGTGGAGCGGCCAGCATGTCTATAGACATATCAGTAACAGTTTCTTTACAAATGGCACATTTCACAAGCAGGACAGAATGCCATGTTCCACGTAGAACCAACTCCTGTAGCAACGTACTTCGCAAAGGACTCTAGATCTTGACTGACAGTTTCTGCCGGAAATTAGTCTCAACAACTCCATCTCCGAAATAGACAAGACAAAACATACCAATTTGAGCCCACACCATCTCAGTCAAGGCACCGATAAACTGTGGCGTCGCATTAACGCCCAGCTTGATAGTCTCCTCGTCGACGATCTTGCCAATAGACAACCACAGCGCGGATTTCAGGCGCTAGTATCGGAGGTCAGTATGGATGCAATCGCACAGAGACTACTGAGCTAGCACTCACCTCCTCCAGACCAGCTTCTTCAATCTGCTCCATGATGTTGATGAAGTCGCGTACCAACCACCAACCGCTGATTGGCCAAACGCGTACGGCGGAACAACGGCTAATCCGGCACAGCACGCTAGACTCAAACAGGCGACTCTCGTTGCGGGAACCGCGGAATTTCAGAGAACCAAAGAGCAATTCTTCTCTCTACTCTGTCCTCTTCTTTCCTCAAACTCAGGGGCTAGGATATCGTCGCATTCACTATCCAAAACTTAAGGAAAGGGGAAAAGCCATTGCATTGCGCACCCTCCCTCCTACCTAAGCTCAAGCCCAAACACCCTCCAAAAAAAAAAAGCCGCAACTACCTTTCACCAACCAACCAACCACTCTCAAAATCAAAATGGCATCCGCAACTCAAACCCCCGACCTAAGCGAAAAGGCCGTCGAAGCCGCCAACGACTTCTTCGCCCAACTATACGCCTTCTTCGAGCTAGTCATAACTCGCTTCTGCACAAACAGCTACAAATCAATCGCCGACATGTCCGGCAAACGCTGGACAAAAGTAATCGGAAGCGTAATCTTCTATATCCTGGTGCGGCCCTACATCGAAAAGGGCTTTAAATGGCTGCACGACCGAGACCGCCGCTTGGAGAAGGAGAAGAAAGAAAAGGAGCGCGCTGAATTCGGCAAGGCGAAGGTATCCGCCAACTCCCTGCGCGGGGGCAAGGCATCGACTACCGTTTCGGCCTCGGGCTCTTCTTGGGCTGCTGCTGCTGCGGCTGATGGGAAGGGTCGGGTTCTGGGCGAGGTTGAGGGATCTGATGATGAGGTTGAGCTTGAGGATGAGGAGGATATGTTGCCTCATGCTAGTGGGGTTGGGTCTGAGTGGAATAAGATGGCGAGGAGGAGGCAGAAGAATTATCTTAAGAGTGTGCGGAAGGATCAGCGTGCTGAGGATTTGAGTCGGGATCAGATTATGGAGTTGCTGGATTGGAGTGATGAGGAGGCTGCTAAGAAGGATGCTTGAGCTACTTTTCCTTTCTTGGCCTGAGATTTTGGGCTTTAACTGCTCTGGGTGGCTTGGTTTGTGTGCATTTGCATGGTGACTGGGTTTAACTTATTCTTGTATTGTAATTGTTAAACAATTTAATAGCACTATATGTGCCTTTGCTACATCTGGATTTGGGTGTTAGTTAGGCTAGATTAATAGACTAATAGACTAATAGACTTGTGTTTACCACATCATATATCTGAGTTGGTGGTTATTTAAAGATACATCACAAATCAAACAGAGGGTCAGCCAAATCCTCTAACCAAAAACCATAGTCATGAGTAATCGTAACATATCACATAGATACCTAATAAAGAAGCATAAGAAACTAGTGAAGTCTCCTGAGGGCCTCAATAATCTCCTTAACCTCATCTACACTCATAGAGCCTACCTCCTCAACAATCTCTTCCTGCAAACTCGGCGAGCAGGTCAAGAATAACTCAATGAGTTCACCATCGACAAACCGGTATGGCGCATCAGATGAGCGTACCATCGTGCGGAATCCACGGAATTTATCGAAGGGGAGATTGCCGAGAGAGTCGACCTTGGCAGAGACGACTGTTTGGAGGGTCATTAAGAAGTCTTGGTGTTCAGGGTTGATCACTGCGAAGAGGTAGATAGATCCCTCGACCTGTGGTATATGTGCATTAGTATAGAATTCGGATTCCTGAACATAGAGATAAAACATACCGTTGCCAAAAACGCCCGTGGGACCACAGTTGTACTGGCAAGATTTGGGATATTCACCGGCCGAATCCGGTTAACCATCTCACCGAGCGCAATCTCACTCGTTGGCATCAGGCGTTGTTTATCCTGCGCAGTGACGCCGTTCAGGTTTCGTGATAGGACGATGAGATTGCCCTCCGCGTCACTTTGCAGGAAAGTCTCTTTGCCTACGCAGGCAACCGCCGTACTCCAGACGGTCTGGTAGTGACGGCCGACTTCAACGAGGGTGTCTGGCTTCCCGTCTTTGCCGTGGGTGAACTTCACCAGGCACACGCTCTTCATGAGATCGGACACAGCAACGATATCATCAACGACATGGACATCCACGGGTGCCGTTGATGTGCGGTAGGCTGCCAGCTTCTCGAGCTTCATTGGTCCCGAGTGACTGTTAGTAAGCTTGTAGACAACAACCTAGATATTGTTAGTTTATACTGGAATAGAAAGTTAGGTAAAGGCTTACTGTCTTAACGAGAGCCGCGATGATGAGATCGCCCATCATTGTGAGAGCTCGACAAGCACCCTTGACCTGTAACTCAGCCACTTTGCTAAGCTTACGACCATGATCGACCTCCAAAACAAGAATTCGTCCGCGAATAGATCCCTCTTTAGACTCGTCTGCATACGCCGTGCCGACAATAAAACGGTCCTTGAAAGTTTCTCGCCCATTCTCATCTTTGCCAGTGGCGAATTGAGTCCGAATGACACTCTCCACCAGCTCCTCTGTCTCCAATTCCAATGCGTCAAGACGACGGAACATGATTTCGTCTGCGAGAATGAAGTGGCTGCCGACGATTTCGTCGCCGCCATCAAGCTTGCGATCAATTGTGCCGATTCCGAATGCTTTCTCTGATGGGGAGTATGCCACTCGGCGGACAGTAGATCCAATTGGTAACGTTTGGATCTGGGTGGTTCGTTCTCTGTCTACCAGGGCGATCTTCAGTTCCTTTTCTGTTGCCACTGCGATGGCTTCGGGGTATGCTTCTGCATTGAGATGGCAAACGCGTGATGCTCCTTCAGAGTTCACGGCGGAGTAGATGATACGGCCCTCAGAGCCATAAATCAGACTGGGGTTCTCGCATGTAGCAAATACATTGTAAAGCCCATCGCCCTTGGGGAGTTTCTTGAAGATTGGTTGCTCGGATCCGAGAACGAGCTTGGTCATGCCGGTCAGCGAGTAGTCATCGGGATTCAATGAGAATGTGATGACACAGCCATCTGCCATTGAGATGAATAGTGTGGGATGACTATTTGCCAAGACATCGGCCACGAGAACTGATCGAGGGAAACTCTCTCCAGTGGGACCCAATGATTTGGTCTGGAAGACAGCAAAGTCCTTGACTGACATGACTGATACCTTGGCTGATTGAGGGAAGCCTGCTATGAAGACACCCATTGGTGATGATGGGACAGTCAAGCCGGAAATCTGCTGATCAGCACCGAGATCTTTCTGTGTAATGAGTTGGACGTTGTTCCTGATATCGAATGATGCTACGACTTGGCCACTGGTGACAAGAACCATATGATCATCATTGGCAGATGCAGCGGTGATCAACTTGCGATTCTCGGGAGCCCATTCGAATGTCACCATTCCACTTTCGAGATCAGCCACTAGGGCTCGTTGTTCTGTGACTTGTAGAATTCGGCCACCGGGTAACTTGGTAACAAGAAGAGTGTTTTCCGTGAGAGTCAGCCCGAGGAAGCTATCCAGTTCTTCGACTTCACCATCAGGGCTGAACTGGAAGACACGCGTCTCATCTACAAAGGTGACGATCAGCGTGTCTAGGAATTTGCCAGAACTTCGAGTCTGTAGGCCCCAGAGATCTGTGATATGATCCATCTCGCCCAAAACACCCAGTTCCTCCATGCCAACACCACTGCGAACGCTGCGCAATGAGCCATCATCGAAAGCGCCGGATCCAGTGACAATGCGAGCTTGACCAGATGAGAACTCATGTGTTTGACCCTCATTCGACCGAGCTCCAAGGTCCATAATGGTAAAGTCGAGAATGGGAGCAATGTTGGACAGTGTCTGAATGATCTCAAACGACTTATCACTGAGACGGATGACCTGAGAATCACCCTGATGTGATCCAACAAACAGCATCCCTCCACTGAGATATACCAGTACCGCAGCACGGGCCGTATTCCCAAGATACTCAAGCTTCCAGTCATCGATCTTATTTTGACTGTCCAGCAAAAAGGTCAAGAGGAACAACTTCCCATAATCATCAGCAAGCAAGAACCGCTGACTATCGACCATCTCCCAAGCAACAAAAACAGTCGACTCATCCAGATTCCGCGTCATAACATCATTAGCATGGTCATCAATATACTTGATAGACGTTTCCCCAAGAACAATCAACCCACCAAGCGGACCAGGAATAGGAATCAAATGTGAAGAACCAAGATCAAGTTCTTGCCCAAACACGCCGCCTTCAAGCTTCTTATCCTCAACCTCCTTAAAGGTAGCATCAGCCGAAGTCCCCGAAGTGCCAGGCGTGAAATCCAGCTCGCGAATCCGCAACCGGACCTTCTGCTGATTATCCTCATAAAGCAAGGCAAGCCAAGGATTCGACCCAGAATGCAAGAAAGCAGAAGACCGAACGAATAACTCGTCAATACGTGAGGTCGTCGGCGTATCCAATTCTCCAACCTGCGGCACATCCGGCATCGATGCCGCCGTTGAGACTCGGCCTCGTTTCTTTGTCGCCTGCACAATCGGCACAACGACAACAACGCCTTCGTACACTTCCAGCGTCATGAATCGGCCCGAAGGGTCGATCAGACATCGTGCTGCGCATTGCGATTCGCGGGATGCGGGCTCGGCGATATCGACGTAGCTACGGGCTGTCTTAATTTCATGCATGTCATGGTCCCACGTTAAGGTGAAGTAATTGAACTGGTCTGTTCCGACGAAGAGGTGGTCGGTGGGTGAATGTGAAGGTGCGGGCAGGCATGCGAGCATTGTAACCTTCGCGTAGAGCGCGCGCGTCGCGGCAAGGATGAGGCCATCGGGTGTGAGAGTGTAGAATTCGAGACGGTTGGATTTGCTATAGGTTGCATGCGATGGTTAACTTCGAGCTCTTTCATCTTGTGGATAGCTCATGACATAACATATTGAAGGGCTTGGTTGCGCTGTTTTCCTCTTTGGGATGCGACAGCATGGGTTTCGCCGGGATACAGGAGACTCGAACTCACGCTGCGACTAGGCAATCGGCTTCATTGCTTTCTTTGTTGAAAAAGTTTAGCTTTACAGCGTGCCGGATGCTGCTTGCCCGGTGGATGGGCACGACGTAGGCCATTTTGGGTCAGCTGTGGATGGAACAGCTCCGGGCTGGGCGGGGTTCAGCTTTGCGCGCCTGGGGGTGGAGGAAGTGGGCTGGGATTTGCTTTGGTTTTGATTTTCCCCGGTGGACATCTCACGATGTTCGCAGGTTGAAGGGATTGAGTCGGTGTGGGGTGAGAGTGGAAGTTCCGCCATGACGTTCCGCTACTACCGGAAACATCTGCAGGACTGCCCACAGTACCTGAGCAACATCTATATGTACTGTGGCAATCGAAGTAAAATGTTAAATTCGCAAATGGATTAAATTGTTTAAATCACAAGTCTAAAATCATCACCCACCCATTGCCCCCATGGAGGCATCAGGGCAAAAAACTTAATCACAGAAAAGGTGGAAAATGCTAAGCATACATGAAACGCAAAGAATGTTAACCAGAACATGAATATGTATGCTCATCTAACGCGTATCGAAGGAAACATTCCATTCATCAGTCATGACCAGACATCCTCCTGGTAGCTGCCACTGCTGCGCATGTGCTTGACCATCTCCTCGCCCTTTTCGGCAGGGAGGCCACGCTGCTCAGCGATGATGTGGCCGAGAGTCAAGTTGACCTCGCGGGCCATGTTGGCGGCGTCACCACAGATGTAGAAGTTGGCCTTGTTCTTCAGCAGGTCGCTGACTAGCTGGGCGTTCTCCTTCAGGCGGTGTTGGACGTAGACCTTTTGGGAGCCTTCGCGGGAGAAGGCGGTGATGATCTTGAGGGAGTCTCCCATTTGGTCTTGGTAGATCTGTGATTTATATGTGTTAGCTTACGCGCGAGTCATCAAATTAATATATGAGTGCATACCTTGAACTCATCCTTGTAGAGGAAGTCCTCGTCGCTCTTACGGCATCCGAAGAACAGAAGTGTGGTTCCAACCTTCTCGCCCTTAGCGGCGAGAGCAGCACGTTCTTGGATAAATCCACGGAAAGGAGCAACACCAGTACCAGGGCCAACCATGATGATAGGCTTGGAGGGGTCGGAGGGGAGCTTGAAGTTGGAGTGGCGGACGTGAACCGGCACGTGGATACCATCGTATTTGTTACGGGGACCGGTAATCGAGTAAGTCATGCCATGAGGATCGGGAGAGGGGTCGCCATTCTGCTTCTGCTTCAGGGCCAGGAGGTAGTTGGTGGTGACACCCTTGACCATGTGCGAAGCACCGGGCAGGCGAACAGACTCGACAACAGCGGTAATACTAATCTTGTCCTTTTGAACCAGAGATGAGGAGGAGATAGAATAGTAGCGGGGCTGGAGCTTGTTGAGACCTTCAATGAGCAGCGAGAAAGGAACGGCAGTGAACGGCTTGGACGTGATGCTCTGGAGGGCTTGACCAATGTTGAAGCACTTTTCGGAAATCTTCTCGTGGAAGTAATCCTTGTCGCTACCGAGGCGGACGAGTTCGGCCTTGCTCGCCTCATCAGGGGCGAAGGCAGCAAGAGACGAGACGAATTGACGAGAGACGGGGGCGCAGACTTCCATGTAGTAGCGGACGGCGGCATCGTAGGTGGTAGGAGTCGGGATGGGAACCTTGGCAGTGACATCAATGCCCTTGATGGAGATGACCGAGTGACGCTTGTCCTCAATACCGAAGACCTGGAGGAAACGATCGACCTCGGCACCAGCGTTGGTAGGCCAGACAGCGATGTGGTCACCGGTCTGGTAGCTGAGGTTGCTATCGGCAATGCCGATTTCCATGTGCAGACAGTTACGGTCCTTAACAGTGAAGAGTTCCTTGGATTCGACGATTGGGGCAATGTACGGGTTGTGGGCAGAGAAGGGACCCTTGGCGCGTCCCTCCCGGTGGGCAGCAGTCGGCTCACCAAGGTATACGCACTCGTCCTCCGGGGACTTGTCATTTTCCTCGCTCACAGAGAAGACCGCTTCGTAGACAGCTTCGCGTTCCTGGAGACCCATGGCGTCGGACAGAGCGGCCCACATGGGCTCCTTCCAGGCGAGGAAATCCTCCTCCATAGTACCGGCACCATCGTCACCCTCACCAGCGTCACCAATGCGCTGCGCACCGAGCTTGGTCAAGGCGGTATCGACTTGACGGACCATAGCGTTGTAGTGTTCATAAGTGTTGTTACCGAGACCGAATGCGACGTACTTCATGGACGAGAGGGGCTTGTCATCGCCGGTGGCACCGCTCTCGAAAGCAACGTCCTCCCCGGTGAAGAATTGGTAGAATTCCACAGCGTTGTCAGTGGGTTCACCCTCACCATAGGTGGCCAGCACAAAGAATGCGACCTTGTCCTCGGGGAAGTTGTCAATATTCTCGTAGTCATAATCCTCAATATCGGCGACCATGGTCTTGAGACCGAAGCGCTGAGAGCCCTCCTTAGCCAGACGCGATGCATAGTCCTCCGCAGTACCGGTTTGCGAACCATAGAAAATCACACAGTTCTTGTTCGTTTCCTCCATCTTCTCCACGATGTTGCGAGTTTTGCCGCTCTTGGCGGCACCATTCTGAGTAGCGCTTGAGGTGGCATAAGGGTCCTTAGGAACGGCCCAGTAGCTTCCCTTGGTGAAGTAGGCAACGCTACCCACCAAGAGAGCGACCAGGACCACCAAGTCGAGAGTGTCCAGTTGCGCCATTGCGACAAGGGGGAAGGTTGTTTCCCGGGAGGGGGTGTGTCCAGGACAGAAACCAAAATACAAAAGTAGGCCAGAAACCAAAAAGATCCAAAGTCCAGTCCGGTCCCAAAAGTCCCCTTGAGTGAAAAGAAGATAAAAGCAACGGTGGTCTGATCTGCAGGTCGGAATGTCCTGGCTCCGTGTGGATCTGCCACTCACCGCTGACTATAGAGGAAGTGTTGGATAGGGAAAGAGAAAGACACAATGTATAGTACAGGAACCAAAGAAAAAAGGCACATCCCCGTATATATACTTATGTGGGGAATCTCCGGGGCATTCAATCGGGAAATCAATCTTTATAACATCCAGTGCCATCAACTACCACTCGTTGACCATTGTGTCTCTATAGTTTTTGCCTTCTGTGAAGGCGGAGAGCGGGTAACTCCAGGGTGCGGCAAGCCTCTTCGGGAGATCACAAGTTTCTATCAACTTCGCCGCTCTCCACACTCCCCGAGTTAGCCGAATACAGTTCAACTGTCACCCCCGCGGAATCCTTTCCGTGGATTGTTGAAGATATCCCCCAGACCCGTGGCGAGTTGCCTCTTTGAGTCCGGCTGCGGCGGAATATCCCCCACAGTCTCCTAGGAGTTGACTTATCTGGTAGCCTCCATCTGTGTGACTTGATTCCCTTTTGGTCTTATTTTCCTATGACTTGAACATATCTGTTTGCCATTGTCTTCGATACAGGGCTACAGGGCTCCAGGCTCGATGTGACAAGTCATGCCCACCCCACATACTCCGAGGTTGTTCTACTCGTGCACCATATAACCTTTCTATCGGTAACTTTATATCTGAGCTTCAGGGGCTCTACATCAAGGGGTTGCCCTTGACCCCTCAGTGGATATAATCGGAGGCTTGAAAACTCAGGGGATCTGTACGATCTGTAACATCCGGTCCGAGTTTGAGCCTCGTGTCAGAATAACGCTAAATCGTGGCAATGCTCGGGTTCGGGTCTATGCTGTTCTATTTGCATTAGATGGTCATTCTCGTCAGTACAGGGTACTTTTCACCAGGTCTATAAAGCACATGGACCAGATAGACCAGACTCGTATCTTGTACTCCCTACTCTATACCTTTTAACATAGAGACATTCTCTTCCTCCACTAGTCCTCTGTGTGGGGAGAATCATGGCCAGATCTGTTTCAGAAGCAAGGTCTTAGACCCCGCTCGGCATCCGAAACAGATCTTTGCCTGTTCCTGTACGTCAGTACTCTCGGTGAGGGCATTCCCTCCGAGCTACTGCTTCATAGTGTTTTCATTTGGGAGACTTTAAGACATATATAATTTGAAGACTAGTATATTGCAAACAAATCAAATAAAAGTATACAACACAAAAGAAGAAAGAAAAGATGTAGTAACTTACTGCAAAGGAGGCTTAATAATATCCCTTTACTCCAACACCCGTGCACCCGATAAAAACATCACCTCAAAAAGTATACAAAGCATCGGCTATCTGCAGGAATGTGGTTCCTTTGATACACAGTAAGTCACTTACTGCATCTCGCAAACGATCTGACCAAAATAGTGGCTTCCCACAAAGCTGGCCCCGGCCAGCAAACACCCCTCATCCCTGACGACTTAAAATCCGCGTCACACCATAACTTAGCTTCTCCAGCGGATCGCCGAACCAGGACTGCCCAGTCGACCCCTATGCACAGTCGCGAGTCCTCCGCCGTCAGAGGAAGAGCCGCTGACCCCTCCACCCTTGCCCCTACTCTCACGCGGCGCGGCCACTCCGGTTCAAAGAGCCCCGACGTTTCGGCCGGTCGGCCCCCAGGATATGAAGGATTAGAACGAATACCCTCGAACTCGTACGGTCATCACCGCCAGACTTCGATCGTACACGGCGTGCAGCACTCGCGGAACCCGAGTATGGCCGGTTCAACCGCCTCCACCAGCCCGCTCAGCCCGGAACTTATCGCATCTTTGGGTCGCGGTGCTTTCGACGAGGCTACTCTCCCTGCGAAATTCGATCCCCTCGATTCTCATTCGGGCTATTCCTCCCCATCCGCGATGGCCGCTGGCCATGGCTTACCTCCGACGTTAAGCACCATACAAGACAACGACATCGAAGTGATGGATCCGAGTCCTGCGAATGTGCTCCACAAACGCATGAATTCAGGGGGCAAGTCTAGACGGGAGAGATCACATAGTCGGTCACACTCGAAGCATCACTCGGACTCGAAGACGGTGGGAGAATATGCGTTACATCATCTGTTCAACTCGTTTGTTGGGCAAGCGGATAGCAAGATCAATCAGGCTATCATGAAATTGGGAGAATCCGACGCACCTGTGGAGGAAGTATGTGGCCCTGGAGCGGACCCGACTTTTGATCAATTGATCTCGGCATTGGGTCACATTGCCCGATTGAAGCCGAAACCGTTGATCGATACGATCATGTTCTGGCGTAAGGCCAAGGGGGATGCCGCCATCACAGCACGACAGATGGGAAATGAACAGAAGCCATCACCCGCATCCGAGAATGGTCCTCTTCTTCGTCGTAACACCGAGCCGACACAACCTGGTGATCAGTTTGCTCCTGCAGAGCGGCCGCAGCAACCGACGCCTTTTGTTGCTCGTCATGATGATATTGCTTTGGTGGAGCGACGTGCCACGGTTTCGGTTTATCTAGTCTGCAGAGTGTTGATTGAGATCTTCAACCAGAGTAGCCTTGCGTCAATCACACTCGACATGGCAGATCGTCTCGAGGACATCGTATTTGGCCAGGTGAAGACCTCCGACCCCGATCAAATCTCCGCATCACCACTGCGGATGGCCAACTGGAGAATATACGGTCAATTGCTGGGCATTATGAGCGAATCGAACTTCTCTAGCGTCGCCAACCGGTTCTTGGGCGAACTCGATCGCTATCAGAAGGAGGAGGCTGCCAAGGGTCCATCTCGGGATGGTGATTCAAAGGCAGAATTGTTGATTCTTTGCATGAGATATCTCCGTCTTCCCACGAACCCTGAAGGATGGCCAAAGTCTTGCGACTTTATGCGATCTCTAGCACGATTGTTTGTCAATGCTCACGGGCAGCGCATCAAACAGGCCTACTGCTATGTGATCGAAAAGCTTCTTCTCCCCGTCGCTGCAAACCCCAGTTGCGATCTTTCCCTGCCTCGGTGGAAGGAATTCTTAGATCTAGTCCAGCCGCGTCTGATGCAGCTTCTCGCCAAGCCTCGCCATTGGGCGGCTTCATTCTCATTAAATGTCCTATTACTCTGCATCTCCAATAAGGAGACTTTCTCCTCCCAGTGGCTTTCGATGATCTCGAGCTTGCCTGCACGACTGAAGGACCGTCCCACCCGTGCACCCGCCCTCCATGCCATTTGTCGTCTAGTCTGGACATACTTCTTCCGTTTCTCTGACTCACCTACGACAACACTTCGCAAGGTTGAAGAAGTGGCGAAAATTGCTCTTCCAACTGGACGTCGAACCTACTTAAGCGCAGAGCCGGTCTTTGCCGATCCCTTGATACAACTGATTCAAATAATTGGATTCAAGCACCCTGATGTCTGTTTCCGAAATATCATATTCCCATTGATCAACTCCGACCTCTTCTTGTCTGGCAGAGAATTGAAGATTGAACAGATGGAGCCCGAGAAAATGGTCATTGGCATCCGTGCCTTTTTGGCTACTATGTCTGATTTGGAGACAAGCGATCAACTGTGTCCTCCGATCCCTACTGGGTCGCTACCTAATCCTTTCACCGATACCTCGACTCCTATGTATTTCCACAGGCCACAACTGCTTGCGGAGCACACCGCGGCGAGTGCAACTGAAAAGCAAGATCCAAACTTATGGCAACCTGTCAACACAGCGAGACTGAGTGAAAACGTGAAGGAGTACTATTTCCGTTTCTGTGAAGTGCTGGGCAAGATCACTTTACTATGTGACAATACATTCGGTGGGCAGGCAGTTCTAGACGAAAAATTCGGTGGGGCTACCCCGAAGACACCGATTTCGGAAGCTTTCAGTTTCGGACGACGTGATGATCATCTCACTACGCTGGATCAGAAGCAGGGCTTCTACGACTTACTCCATGTGGCGGTTCAAGCCCTTCCACGTTGTCTCTCTGACCACATTCCATTCAATTCTCTCATCAACCTGCTTTGCACGGGAACTGCTCACGTGCAGTCCAATATTGCGACTTCATCGGCAGAGTCTTTGAAGGCTATTGCGAGGCAATTACATGCACAGCAGGTCACCATTGGATTTGCTAGGTTCATCTTCAACTTTGATGAGCGTTATTCCACCATGTCAGATGAGGGAATGCTTGGACCAGGCCATATTGAGTCGACTCTACGGCTGTACGTTGAATTGCTGCAGATTTGGATTGATGAGATCAAGCAAAAAACAAAGGGCGCAGCTATAGACCAGCTGGAGAGATCCATCTCCGGCAGCCGAGCGCTACATCTCGATCTGTCGAGCGTCCTTGCCCACGTCGAAGAGATCGAGTCACATGGTCTGTTCTTTTTGTGCTCCCAATCAAGAAGGGTTCGCGCTTTTGCCATTACTGTTCTACGGTTGATTACCGAGTTTGACAGTGCTCTTGGCAAGGAGAACACCAGAATAATTCGCATCCTGGAGGCCGATTCTCAGCAAATTCTCGACGTCAATGATGAGCACCTTACTGTTGCAGAGCGGAGTCGTATCCAGAAAGGCAAGCGAAGAAGTGCCACACAGAACACCCTCATCGAACTTTGCAGCAGTGAAGTGTCTTACGATTCAACATTATGGGCCAAGGTGTTCCCCAATATCATCCGTGTCAGCTTTGAGACTTGTCCTTTTGCTGTAACCCTGGGCAGAGAGATTGTATGTGCTCGTCTTGTTCACATGCACAAGAGTATCACATCTCTCGCCGAGAGTACACGATTCCCTCCATTTGTCCCTGTGGATTCATATCAGATTCGCCCTCCCATTGGAAGAAACAATGTAACAGCTGAGATCCTGGTCGAGCAATGGAAGCTGTACCTGGTCATGGCCTGCACGACTGTCACCAGCGTCGGTGCCCAGTCTCAGAGTCAGCTAGCAAATGCTCAACACGCCCGCAAAGCCTCCAAGGGAGCCCAGCAGCCCCAAAACAAGATCAGTTCTGCTCGGAGTCTGTTCGCCTTTGTCATTCCCCTTCTTTCCGCTGAGCGGGATTCAATCAGGAGTGCCATCGTGGTGGCCCTGGGTGCTATTCACAAGAATCTCTATCGCACGCTTCTCGAGTCTTTGCAGTACGCTGTCACTACTTGCAACGAAGAGGCCAAGATGAGAATTGGCAATCACTACCGCAGTCCTAGCAGCCCGCGCCGGAACAGAAAGACCGATCGCCTCCGCACTGAAGTCACCAATGTCTACAAACTCACTTCTCATTTCCTTCAAGAACCCGAGGTTTACAATGACGACTGGATCGTCAACAACCTGGTTACATATGCAAAGGACATTCGAATCTTCCTCAGTGACGCCGAGGTCCAGAATGACTGGGAATTCCAGCGCTTGCGCTTCCACTTTTGTGGATTGATGGAAGAGGTATTTGAGGGAATTAATCGTGCCAAGGATCCTTCTCGCTGGATGCCCTTTGAGTCTCGAAAGTCTGCTTTCTCGCTCATGGAGGAGTGGTGCGGATACTCGCCGAACCAGTCTCAAATCTCTGAACGGGAGGAGAACATGCGGAAGTATTCACTCGCACAGCCCCATGAAGCTGGCGAAATGAGGAACACGGCTGCTGCTATGGAGATTGAAAAGAAAAGTCTTCGGGGGGCTGCCCTCAGTGCCATGGCTTCTCTTTGTGCCGGTCCCATCAGCATCGCTACTGAAAGCGGCTCCGTTCTCCAGTTCGATGTCATGCGCATGCTATCCTGGATTGAGATGATCTTCAGCACTGTCAGTGACAAGTGGCATGCCATCGGCCGTCGGGCCCTTAAGAATCTGATCATCCACAATCAGGAACATTCGTATCTGATGGAGCGATCGATTGAGATGTGCTACATCACCGAGCGACCAAAGACCATTGAGAGTTATTTCGAGGTGGTTACTGAAGTGCTCTTTGAGTACCCAGACTATCCTCTCAGATTCTGGAGAATCCTCGGTGCAGTATTGGTAACGCTGGGCAATGAGAAGCGTGAGATCCGAATGAAGTCTGCCAAGCTTCTTCGAAAGCTAGAAGAGCGCCAGCAAAAGAACTCAAGGCTTCAAGACTTTGATATCAGTATTTCCGACAAGACAACTGCCGTCTACAAGCTTGCCCAGTTCGAGATCTCCAAGCGATTGGCTAGCCAGCACTCCGATTTGGCTTTCACTATATTCTCCGAATTTTCGTTGCATTTTCGCAATCTTCGGCCGGATAGCCAACGGAACATGGTTGCTGCCATCCTGCCTTGGGTTCAAACCATGGAGCTCCAGGTTGACCCTAATGGTGGCCCTACTGCCAGGTCATACATGCTGCTTGCAAATCTCTTCGAGATTACCATTCGCTGCAGCACAATCCTGCCAAACCAAGTGCAAGCATTGTGGCAGGCTTTGGCGACTGGCCCTCACGGAGGCAATGTCCAGCTGGTGCTAGACTTCATCATCAGCATATGTCTGGAACGCAAGGAGCAAAATTTTGTCGAATATGCGAAGCAAATGGTCGTGTTCTTGTCCGGTACTCCGGCCGGATCAAAGGTCATTGAGTTCTTCCTATTGCAGGTTGTGCCAAAGAACATGGTGCAAGAGCGCAAGAACCTTACTCCACCTCCCCCAGACATCAAAAGCCTACCTTACGTTGCGGACCTTGCAGCGGTACTCCCTGTTGGCAACAAGCAAGCTGGTCTTTCCCTTGGGCAGGTCGCCCTGATCTTCCTCGTTGACCTTATGGTCGCACCGGTCACACTCGCCCTGGATGATGTCGTCAAGCTCATCCATGTTGTCCTCATTCTTTGGGACCACTATACAGTCACTGTACAGGAGCAGGCTCGAGAGATGCTGGTCCATCTCATCCATGAACTGATAGCGGCCAAGCTTGAAGATGATGCGCCGGTGGGTGCGCGACAATCCGTCGAGGACTTTGTGGAGTCTATTCGCAAGAGTGATCCCGCCGTTGTGTGGGAGTATGAAGAGAACCATGGCAAGGACGAAGAATCCGATGACCGCCGGGTGCCTGCCTCCATGGCTACTGTCACTCGCGACATTGTCACGTTCTTCAGCTTTGCTTATGAAGGCATTGGTGAATTGTGGGCTAAGGAGGCTTTGAACTGGGCTACATCTTGTCCTGTGAGGCATTTGGCGTGTCGTTCGTTCCAGATTTTCCGTTGCATTTCGACGTCTTTGGATTCGAGGATGTTGGCGGATATGCTGGCTCGGCTTTCGAATACCATTGCGGATGAGGAGACTGATTATCAGACTTTCTCAATGGAGATTCTGACCACCTTGAAGATCATTATCAGCTCGTTAAATCCGTCGGATTTGTTGAATTATCCTCAACTGTTCTGGACAACTTGTGCTTGTCTCAACACTATTCATGAAACCGAATTTATTGAGAGTATTGGCATGCTTGACAAGTTCCTTTCTCGTGTCGATCTCAGTGATCCTGCTGTCGTGGCCACGTTGATTGAAGGCCAGCCACCGAAGTGGGAGGGTGGATTCGATGGTCTTCAAGACCTTGTCTTCAAAGGAATGAAATCATCCGAGTCCTTTGATCGCACCCTTGATCTTCTGCATACTCTGAGCGGCCTGCCGAACAATGATCTCATTGGAGATGGAACTCGACAATTGTTCACTGTGCTGGCTAACCTGCCTCACTTCCTCCAATGCTTCGAGCAGGGTTTCACCGACCAGAAAGCTATCACTCGTGCCAGTCTACTTGCCCGCGTGGCTGAGAATGAGCGATGCCCTCGACTCGCAGCTTCGCTGTTCGGGTTTGCGAATCAGCAGTACAAGACCGCCGGCGTCTTCTTGGATCATATCATTACTGAGATCAAGTCGTATTACTTCCCACAGCTGGACTTCCAGTGCTTGATCTTCCTCATGGGTCTTTTGACCAACACTACTGATTGGTTCCGCCTCAAGACCATGAGGATTCTCTGTGTCTTGATCCCTGAGGTAGACATGCGCCGGACTGAAGTTACTTGTCACGGCCCGGATCTAATCTCCCCACTGCTCCGGCTTTTGCAAACCGATCTCTGTCCCCAGGCTTTGGAGGTTCTGGATCACATCATCACTGTCTCCGGCAACCCAATGGAACGTCACCATCTTCGGATGAGTATGGCGTCGGCTAGCTCTTCTCGCGCCATTCGGAAGGAGTACGAGCGGATCCAGAGTCTTTACGGTATCCCTGAACCATCAGGTTGGTCCGTCCCTATGCCTGCAACCCAGTCAAGCATGACTCGGAACAACGTCCACGCTGTCTTCTACACATGTGTCGAAGCCGATGACATGCATGCTGAAGATGTCATGACGCCTGACGTGGCATTCCATGCGGACGACTTTAGTGACTCGTTCTTCCCAATGAGAGCCGATACCATGAAGTCAATCGACACACAGACCGATGGCAACATCGGAGACATCGTGCAGAAGCTGGACAGTCTGGATGACTTCTTCGAGGAGACCGATCCAGGTACCCCTGTCATGAACCCTGTAGCTCCACCAATGCTGCGGGGATTCACCGGCAGCTACGTCGATACCAACGCACATCTTTACGACCAGCAGACCGCGCCAATTTTGCGGAAATCTCTCGCTCGGACGGGCTCAACCTCGTCCTTCCACAACGGTCTAGCCGAGTCTCGACCGCCAAACTTCCGCTTCGACGGACCCGCCGTGTATTCCCCAGCAGCAATAGCACCTCCAAACGCCGCACAGATGTTACGTCCAGTATCTCACCACACCCGCTCGGTCACCTCCCCGGCCAACAATCTCTACGTCCACACAACCAATGCACCAAACTCAACACCAAACGTGGGCCTAACAGACTCGGCTTTCATGTCCGATGATGAGCCCGACGAGGTACATTCTGATCTAGACGAACGCCCCGTAACCACAACCACCAAACTAGCCCCACCTCCACCAATGGTCCGCAGCGCAACAGACGGTCCCCACTCCCTCGAATCAATGATTCGCAGCGGCATGCGGCGCCTAACAGGCGGCGCGGCGGCAAACAGAGAAAAAGAGCGCCAGCGCGACCTCCTACGCGCTCAGCACCGTGCTATTGTACAGACGGCTAATTCTCCTCGTGTCCCCAAGGTTCCGGAGGAGTATCTCTCGGCTCCGACTAGTCACCCGGCTTCGCCGAGGTAAATACACTGAAAAGTGAACAGTAGTCTTGAGATTCTTGTTCAGAGTTGTTCAGAGTCATTTGTTCTTTTTTTTTTTTTTTCTTCTTCATTTCGGCTTTCGGTTCTCCTGGATGGCTGGGCATTTCTCGGGAGTTTGTTTTTTTTTTCTGTCTTTTTTTTAAGGTACCATACCCTTTGCCTGTCCCATCTACTTTGCAATCGGTCCTGCCTTGTCTAGCGTTGATCTTTGCACATCCGCATTCTTGTATAGTATCATATCCTGGAAATCTTTCCATTGGGGGTGTTAGTTTTTCGAATTCAATTGATCTTCGAGATATATACCTGTTCTATCACTAAGTGCGGTATTAGGATGTGCTGTGTGTCTTTAAGTCCAGACTTCCATATGAAACTACCTTTTACTACGAGAATGAGAGACTACTGTAGTCCTTTGAAAAGTCCAGCATCTATCCATTGAAGAGTATACCCCACACGTGACCCGCTTCCCCACGGCTGTCCGAGCTTCCCCGCATTTTGACCTGTAATGATGTCGACTCACTGCAACCCCCCTGGCGTCTCGGAAAGCCACGGCGTAAACCTGAGTGGCATGGTATATCCTGAGACTTTTAAAACCCCCTCCGCCCCCGGTCAACCCTTCCGAAGCTAATATTCCACGCATGCTTGTTCCTCGGACTCGGCATTGTTAACGCGAACATCATTTCCCACGCCTATTAACAAGTCGCCACTTACATATCTTCGTCCATTTCAGAGACGACATACACATCACCAAATAAACCCCAAATAATGAGTCTCCGAGCAGCTCTCTCCTTCCCACGGAGGGCAACTCTCTCCCATGCATGCGCAGTGGATCGCCGACGCTGGCCGTCCTCGGCCCGAGCTTTCTCAACGACGGTCCACCGTGACGCAACGTGGGGCTTCATCGGCCTAGGTCAAATGGGTATGTTGCAAGATCTCAGGGCCAGGACCTCGGATTGCGAGCGTTTGCGTTTGCATCGGGCTTGTGCATTAACAATGCTGCAGGATACAACATGGCCAAGAACCTGCGCGCCAAGATGCCCGCTTCTGATACTCTGGTTATTCGCGATATCAATGAAGATGCCATGAAACGCTTTGTTGCAGAGGCCGAGGAGGCTGCGCGCAGTACTGGTGCTGGCGCCGGTGAGGGTCTTGTTGAGATTGCTGAGAATGCGCGTGAGGTCGCTGAGAAATCGGTACGGTTTTTCTTTCCGTACATATACTCCGGATGCTAGGAAGTGGATCTGGCCCACTTTTGTGCGTGTTTACAACTCCATTGTTAACTCTTTTTTCTGGTATAGGAAGTGATGGTTACTAGCTTGCCAGAGTCGCAGCACGTTATTGAAGTTTTCCACTCTATCCTTAAGCACGGCGAGCTTCCACCTCTCACGCAGGAGCGTTTGTTCATCGACACATCTACCATTGACCCTGTTACATCTAAGGATATCGCAAGCGCAATCCACACCACACAAGCAGGCCGTTTCGTTGACGCTCCCGTATCAGGTGGTGTTGTCGGTGCTCGCGCAGGAACACTCTCGTTCATGTTTGGTGCTTCCTCCCAAACAGGACAGCTTCTTGAACGCGTGCGCGGCGTGCTCGCATTGATGGGCAAGAAGGCTTGGCATCTTGGTGATCCTGGTGCCGGTGTTTCTGGCAAGCTTGCAAACAACTACATTCTTGCCTTGAACAATATTGCCACAGCTGAGGCTATGAACCTTGGTGTTCGGTGGGGTCTGGAACCTAAGGCTTTGGCTGAGATGATCAACTCTTCTACTGGCCGCTGCTGGCCTTCTGAAGTTAACAACCCTGTCCCTGGTGTGATTGATACGGCTCCTGCATCCCGTGGATACGAGGGTGGATTTGGGGTTAGCTTGATGCACAAGGATTTGCGGTTGGCAATCACTGCTGCGGAGGAGTCCGGGACTCCTCTTGCGTTGGGAGACAAAGCTCGTGAGGTCTATAAGGCTGTTGAGGCTGCGCACCGGGGTAAGGACTTTTCAGTTGTTTATAAGTGGCTGCAGGAGAAGTCGGAATAGGATCTTCTGCGTGTTATTACATTCATCTTACCCATTGTATGGGATTCCTATGGTCATATTGATTCCCTCACGATGTCATCTCACGCTGTCCTGTGTTCTAGATGTGACTTTGATAGAACCATTTCTTCCAATGGCAATTTTCCATGACCCTTTTGCCATGGCTTTTTCCAATGTTTTCGCTTGGTCTCACGCTTTCCTGATGTACCAGGCTCGATGTGCATTTTGTCCGACTAAATGGCGGTGATTTTGCACATCACCACATTGCCCTAATCTCCAATCGTTCCTTCTTCCTTCTTCCTCGCCTCTCCTCACCCCCATCGTTCCTGCTCCTCGCTGTTTCCTGTATATCTCGTGACTGTTATCCCCTCGCTTTATTTATTTTCTTCATCTCGTCTTTCTCTTCGTCCCCATATCCATTGCCCCACCGATTCTGCTCCAATCATCTGTTCCACCATCTGCCTAACGTTCCAGACGTTCATTGTCTTTCAACTCTTTCTATTGTTCTGGGTTATTCATCCGGAGCTCAATTTACTCAGGTCACCGCTTGTTGCCTCCAAGTCAACAAACCGGCTTGGTCCTACTGCAGGTGAGCAATACCCCATCCTGTTCACCAACCAATCTACAGTCCCATCCCCATCCCATTCGCTGTCCCATTCAGCGTCGCTCCTGAGTTTCTGCTCGCCTTTGGTCTTTTTTGTTATTCTTCCTATCCTATGTTGGCTAACAATGGTGTGTCACAATTGGACAGAGCCGCTCTCCGTTTGTCAAGGCTTATATAGATTCGTGCAGGAACTCTCCAGGTGAGGTTCCTTGTCACTGATTCTACAGCCTGCAAACATTTTGATCCAATGGGGACCATCCGGATTTTCTGCGAAGCCTCTTCATGCTTCCATTCACACAATTCCTGAAGAGTCTGCTAACATGGTCAATTTCTGTAAGCACAGGCATGATGCCCTCTCAAGGCTCCCAGCACACCAACTCGACTGGCTCTGCTCAAACAGCCAGCACTCAACCGGCTTTCTACAAGAACGAGCCTCGTACGCCCTATGGTCCGAGATACCCACAGGGCAACCAGCCTTCCCGGGAGGATAGTGTCCCAGCACTTACTCACAGGTTCGGAAACATGAACCTGCAAAACAACCCTCGCTCCAAGTACGGTGGCCAACGCAGTTCTGCGCCCGTGTCAGGCAATCCAAGCATTGACTGGTCGAATGCTAGCCGTGCTTACAACAGCCCATTCATTCTTGTCCCCAATTCCAACATGTACAATGGTGCTCCAGGCTCTTTTGTTTCAAGCGGCGTCGCTGGTCAGGCAGACCAGATGGGTCAGTTCCCTTACCCTGCTGCTGGGATGTATCCAAGCATGGGTCCTGTTGTTCCTGGAGGGTATTCGTGGCCATACGTGTTCAACTATGACATACAAGATGTCAACAAACAAGCTACATGGAACGAGGCTCAGAAGGGCGCCCAGACGGAGAACACCGGTCAGGTCCAGTACTACCCTTCAAGCTACGTTCACAACATGGACCCTGCCATGTCTGGGTATTCCTATGGAAACATGATGCCACAGATGGCGCTTCCTCTTCAGATGATGAAGACCTCCAACGGATATGTTGTTCAAGACCTGGAGGTCCTGACCCAGCAAGATCCCTCCATTCCTCGTGCTGTGCCTGCTATGTGGACCAACCCAACTGAGTTGACACTTGCTAAATGCCTGGAAAACCGTGAGGGAATCACCAACGTTTACATTCGCGGGTTCCTGCCTGAGACTTCGGATGAGATGCTGCATGCATATGCCGCTCGGTTCGGAAAGATTGAACGTTGCAAGGCCATCGTTGATCTGGACACCAGTTACTGCAAAGGGTATGACACCGAGAAAGTCTCCGTTGTGACTCATGCTGACACCATCTAGATTTGGTTTTGTCCAGTACTACAGTTTCGAGTCCTGTGAGAACTGTATTCGTGGTTTCTTCTATCTTGGCTACCAAGCTAGCTTTGCCCAGAAGTCTCGCAACTCTCGCCTCAAGGACCTGGAAGATCGTTCTTCTACCAACATCTACTGCACCAATATCCCCATTGACTGGACTGAAGCTGTAAGTCATGGGATCATCATGCCCTGTTTCTCTAGATACTAACAGACTGACAGGACTTGCGTCGTCATTTCGAGCCATGGCGCGTTGTCTCCGAGAAGATCAGTCGCGATGAGAAGACTGGTGTGAGCAAGGAGGTGGGATTTGCACGGTACGGAAACAATCTCTGACTTGAATGTTTTCTTCATGCTGACTTCGTGATTCTAGCTTCGAGAACCGCGATGTCGCCGAGAAGGTGTTGATGGAATTCCACAATGTCGCCAAGGACCATGGTGTCAAGTTGCTATTACGCTTTGCCGATACCAAGGCTCAGAAGATTCTGAAGCAACAGAGCAACGAGCGTCGAGCTTATCGTGCTGGCGAGTATAATTACTCTGTCGAAGTCGTCCAAGGATCTACTCCATCCCCCTCGATGCCACACGGCCCTCTTCTTACCCCCAATTCTCAAGTGAGCTTGACTTCTCCAGCTGGCGTAGGCTCCAACTGGACACCAGCCACTTCGATTTCTCCTTGGTATGTCTCTCAATTGCCAGTATGATGTGTCACCACAACTTACTGATCACTGTTACAGCCACCCACTCATGAAAAACCCAAACAGCTCCCTGTCTTCTCGAAGCCTCAATGCCCTCGACAGCACGCCCGAGTACCGCGGCCGAGGCTTTTCCAAAGGCCGACGCTCAATTGCTGACCTCTCTGCTGGTTCCTCCAAGACTGTTATTCCTGTTTCCCCAGATATGGAGCCTCTGATCTACATGAGTCCTATCCACAAGGAGAATATCAGGGCAGAGTCCATGTCGCCCATGCCTTCTCGCATGAGGACCTCTATCTCTCCAGCTCGCTCATGCACTTAGTCGTATGCATTCATCACTCAGCCATATTCATATGCCTCGGTTGCTTCACGGAGCTTTACTACCCGGTATGGCTAGCAAAAGTTCCTCTCCAATGCTCTTCTTATTCAACATTCGTGGCATGTTTTACGATTCGCATAATGTACGATGGCGTATCTCTCGATTTGACCTTTTCTTCTCTACTCTTTTCGTCTGATCATATGGATGGGCCTCGGCTTCTAGTCTTACTTTTCACATTATTCATAGTTTTCACATTATTCTTATGGACTCGGCTGTATGATTATGGTGCTTGATGAAAGGATGGTGGGGTATTTGTTCTCTTTTTCGTGTCATTTTTCCTGTTGCAGATCTTTCTTTCTCATGTTTTCCGCAGTATGTAACACTATGCATGTTTCGAGGCGTCATTTCAATAAGTTCCGCACCCCCGGATTGCGCGGTCTAATATGGTATGATTCATGACCAAAACATCACTATCCACTAAGTTCCCAGTACGCGAGCACAACTGTAAAGTGCAATCTATAAGAGATCAAGCGGGGAATCTTCTATACACGGGACACACCAGCCCAAACTCAGCCTCATCACACTCAATTCCGACCAAGTCTCTCCTCCATATCCTCAGTAAGCTGGTAAGCAGGAAGATAATCCCTTTCCTGCCCATCAACCCCCTGCCTCAATCGCGGATTAGGATGCGTATCCGACGTCCCACCAAGACTAGTATACCCCTCATCATAAAGCGAACAATACCGCAAACCAAGATGCCGAATAAACGCCCAGATCTCCGCATAATGCCAATCAATAACAGGATGAATCCGTACAAAATCAGGCCATCCCCCATCTGTCCGATCGAAATGCGTCAGTTGCGCCCCGTGCGGATCCGTCCGTCTCGTCCCCACAAATATAGCCTTGATATTCGGGTTTCGGGATAGGTAATCCTCAAAACTGGAGCGCAGGGTCGTGGCGGGTGGCGCAGTCGTATATTTCATTATGGAGAGATGGTATGCTTCCGCAGAGGTGACGACGAAATCCTCCACTGCGTCGAATGGGTCTGGGGGGAGTGCGTAGATGCATGGGATGGAAGTTGCCGCAGCGATTTGGGCCTCGGCTTCTGCGAGGGCCTGTGCTGAGAGGTGTGATTGTTCGGTTTCGCCTTCGGAGGAAAAAGTACCGTTGGATGTGTTGGTGGTGGTGGTGGTGTTGACGGATGGGTGCAGACCCGCCAGGAAGATGATTAAGAGGACTAGACAGTCCTTGCCGCCGTTGTAGGAGACCGACAGTTCCGAGAGCTTGTACCGCTTCAGGGCTGTGGCGACCACGTCTAGGGCGATGCGGGTTTGGCGCTGGACTGAGGCTAGGAGGGAGTCTGGGGGGTGGGATTCGGCTAGGAAGGCTTGTACGCGAGCGTGGATGCGGGCGACGACTGTTGGGAGGGGCGGGATGTTGTGGGAGGCGCCGCAATGTGCCGTTCCTTTATTAGTTTGTGTCGGTTCTTTGCTGGACGCGTTCAATTGCTCCGTTGCCGGTGTGCTTGTGCTTTGGACTGGTGGGAATGGCGCGAGATGGTCTTCTGGCCGTTGTGGCCGTGTCGTTCCGGCTCGAACTGGAACGGGCTCGGCCATGGTCAGAGGTGGATGGGTGCGAGTAGAGAGCCGAGGATGGGATTTTCGACAATGGCTTAGTTATGGAGATGCCTCATCTGCTTGTAGTGTTCGCAGAGGCAGGGTTTGAATATATACAAGAAGTATGAAAGAGTGAGGTTCGGGACCCCGCGTCCCCGCAGCTTATCTGTGGAACTCGGTAGATTCTCGTGGACTGTCTCGGCTACTTATACACATGGGCTACATTCGGAGATTCTGATAGAATGCTTGAATTGCTTAAGATGTTTAAATTGCAATTGCCGTGTCACTCGTGTGGTGTACATCCAGAAACGCCAGTATCGCTCTGCGAAAAAAAAAAAGAGGAAGAAGACAGAGAACAACATAGAAAAACAATCATCCTAGCACCTTCATCTTCTTCTTTTTCTTCTTCTCATCGCCGCCCTTGCGGCCCTTCTGCCAGTCGCGCCAGCTCCCAATGCGCTCGTCCCGGGTATCCTCCCACTTCTTGTCGTGATCGCGCTTCCGCTTCCGCGCCTCGATTTCCTCTTCCTCCTTGCGCTGCTCGCGACCTTCCTCTTGCATTTGCGCCTTGATCTGTCGTCTGCGTCGCGCTTCTTCCTCCAGTAGAACATGGACAGTCTTCTGCCGCCATTCCTTCTTGAACTCGTCCGTCTGGAGCTCCGGCGAATCGACTGTCCACTTGTGTTCGCGGATTAGGAGTCGTCGCGCGTCGGCAATGCATTCGTCTAGGTAAGTGCGCTGCTTCTCATCTAGGAGGGCTGTTTGCGCTTTCTTGAGCTTGTCGAAGGCATCGGGCGCAGCGGGGTTCTTGGTTTTATCGGGGTGAATGAGGAGGGACTTTTTGCGGTATTGGATTTTGATGTCCTTCTCCGGTACACCGGGCTGAATGTCTAAGACGGCGTAGCTGCGGCTGTTAGCCTCGACCTTTGGTTCTAAATTGAGGGGGACTTTGGGTTTGAGGTATCTACTTACGCATCTAGAGTGAATGCTTTGCAGATGCGGTCGATCTCGGCATCCTGAGCTGTTAGTCCTGGTTCAAGCGCGTTGTCAGGGGGACCTACCTTTGCAAAGTCAGAGGCCTCGCGCTCTAGCGAGTCAAAGATATCCTGGTCCTCGTCCGCCATCGTGAATTGTGGAAGCGAATGAGTCGAGAAGCCAAGTCCAAAGTGATAACGATAGCGACATTTTGGCCGGCAGATCATCTCCGATTCACCGCCTTTAAGTATACATCTTAAACTTGGCCATTTTCTTTTGTTCCACTACTTTATTATGAACATCAGATTACTTTAGTCAGTAAGATACGTATCTCTCTATATTAGGGACCCAAAGCATATAATGGTGACTCGCAACAAAAGGTCTAGCACGGTCGTATCTGGCATGCAGACTGCTATTTGATAGCTTTTTAACATGTATTTGAGACTATAAGATGCCTAGACCAGATTCTTCTTTGAAACCTCCTTCAAGTCGATCTCTACTGCTCGAATTGAACAAGCCTCTTTCTTCTGAACTTTCGTGGTAAAATTCATCCTTCGGCTCTTGGTAGATGAATTAGCAGTCCGGTAAGTATAATGATGTATAAATATAACGAGCTAAACTACAGCTGGGAGCTGATATCTTATGGTTATAGCGACAGCAGATGCCATTATTGGACTCAACTATGAGAAGCATGGCAGAGAAAAAATGAACTGGCTGTCTTCTGGCGTCTGAAAGATCACTATATGTATGGCAATCCGAGTCACAGAAGAGCAGAGAATTTTGTCTTCTTTGTTCTTGGAAGTCTACATATCGCGTTCACTTCAGTTGGTGCATTTGAATATGCGCTGTTCTTCATGATTCATAATGTCCGAGAAACACTTGCAAGAAGTTCAGGTTTTCAGCCTGACATAGCTGTAAAGCAACCATGGTATATACTGAGACTCAACAAAGCAATTTAACGTTGCAATACCAAAACTGGGAATAAGAGAAATGCATATGAAGTCCGCGGACGTATGTATACATTTGAGGCTCCACCGAGTGGGCCTTATCAGCTGCTGAGTCAGCCCAGAAAAAAAAGCTATTGTCACCGCCCGCGACATTTTCAAGATTCATCAAACATCATGGCGCCACGGACAGCAAAAGGCAAGAAGCCACAAGACTCGGGGAGAACCCTGAAGCGCAAGCGTGGTGAAGATGAGATCTCATCCCTTGTCAAGCGAGTCGAAGAGCTCGACCTCAAAGCCTCCATCAAATCCTTCTCCGATCTTCCTCTCTCCGAACCAACAGCCGCTGGACTGTCAGCCTCTCACTTCAAGACCCTCACCGACATCCAGTCCCGTGCTATCAGCCATGCGCTCAAGGGTCGCGATATCCTCGGTGCCGCCAAGACCGGTAGCGGAAAGACCCTCGCGTTCCTCGTCCCCATCCTCGAGAACCTCTATCGCAGGCAATGGACCGAATTGGATGGCCTCGGTGCCTTGATTCTGTCGCCGACGCGCGAGTTGGCTATCCAGATTTTTGAGGTCCTCCGTAAGGTCGGCCGTAACCATGCTTTCTCAGCTGGTCTGATCATCGGTGGAAAGAGTTTGCGCGAGGAACAGGACCGATTGGGACGCATGAACATTCTGGTTTGCACGCCAGGTCGTATGCTGCAACATCTGGATCAGACTGCTATGTTCGAGACGAATAACCTGCAGATGCTGGTGCTGGACGAAGCCGATCGTATCATGGACATGGGTTTCCAGAAGACCGTGGATGCGATTATCGACCATCTCCCTACCAAGCGCCAGACTATGTTGTTCAGTGCTACACAGACCAAGAAGGTCGGTGATTTGGCTCGTCTGAGTTTGCAGGAGCCCGAGTATGTCTCGGTTCACGAATCTGCTGCTGCTGCCACCCCGTCGACTCTACAACAACACTACACCGTTACTCCCCTGCCTCAGAAACTCGATACCCTCTGGAGTTTCATTCGCAGCAATCTCAAATCCAAGACCGTGGTCTTTTTGTCTTCTGGCAAGCAAGTTCGTTATGTTTACGAGGCCTTGCGGCACCTGCAGCCTGGTATTTCTCTTATGCATTTGCACGGACGTCAGAAGCAGGGTGGTCGGTTAGATATTACTACCAAGTTCTCCCAGGCCCAGCACGCAGTCCTCTTCGCTACTGATGTTGCTGCTCGTGGTCTGGATTTCCCAGCAGTTGACTGGGTTATCCAGATGGACTGTCCCGAAGACGCTGATACCTACATTCACCGTGTCGGACGTACAGCCCGATATGAGCGTATCGGTCGTGCTGTGCTATTCCTGGATCCCAGTGAGGAGCAGGGCTTCCTCAAGCAACTTGAGCACAAGAAGGTCCCCATTGAGAAGATCAACATCAAGGCCAACAAGCAACAGAGTGTCAAGAATCAACTGCAAAACATGTGTTTCAAGGACCCAGAGCTGAAGTACCTGGGCCAAAAGGCTTTCATCTCCTACGTCAAGTCGATCTACGTTCAAAAAGACAAGGAGACCTTCAAGATCAAGGAGCTCCCCTTGGAAGAATATGCAGGCAGTTTGGGTCTTCCTGGTGCTCCCCGTATCAAGTTCATCAAGGGTGACGATGCGAAGGAGCGCAAGAACGAGTCCTGGAGAATGGCCCATATGTCCGACGACTCGGACGCCGAAGGCAAGAAGGACCAGAAAGAAGAGGTGCGCACACGTTACGACCGTATGTTCGAGCGACGAAACCAGGGTGTCCTGGCGGAACATTACTCCAAACTTATCAACGACGACGGCACCATGGTGGCCACAGGCGCGAAGGAACATGCTGCGGACGAAGATGCCGACGAGGATGCCGACTTCCTCTCCGTCAAGCGCCGCTTTGCTGCCGGCGACGAAACCCTCGGTCAAGGTGCCTCTTCCGAATCTGGCTCCGACAGGTCCGAGTCTGAATCCGAGGAGATCCCCAAGGGTGCCAAGGTGGTGCATTTGGAAGGCCAGGACCCACTTATCATCGACTCCAAGCGCCGCGAGAAACTCCTCAAATCCAAAAAGAAGATGCTCAAGTTCAAGGGCAAGGGTACGAAGCTGGTCTACGACGACGAGGGCAACGCCCACGAAGTCTACGAAATGGAAGACGAAGAACAATTCAAGGCCCGCGGCGACGCCAAGTCCCAACGCGAGAAGTTCCTTGCAGGCGAGACGGAGCGTGTCCGCGAAGCCGATATCGAGGACAAGGAGGTCATGCGCGAAAAGCGTCGCGAGAAGAAGGAGAAGCGCAAGGCCCGCGAGCGTGCCGAAGCCGAAGCCGAGGCTGCCTCAGACGACGAGGAAGGTGGTGTCAGTCTCTCGCATCTTCCTCATGTTCCTTTCGAGATTCCTGGCGACTCGGATTCTGGCTCTGCTTCCGAGGAGGAGAAGCCCCGTCCCAGCAAGAAGCAGCGTGTCTCTTTTGCCAAGTCGGACAGCGACAGCGACAGCGGCAAGCCGGCCAAGAAGAGCAAAAAGAGCCAAGAGCCCAAGTCTATCGAGACTTTGGGAGACCTCGAGGCTTTGGCCAGTGGTCTTTTGGGTTGAGTGCATTGTTTCTAGGTTTGTGGCGTATAAAAATGTGGTGTCAAAAGCATGTATGCATTAGTACATATGAATGAAGCGAGTAATTTTGTCAAGTTCAGACTAAGTAGACTCCTGTAAACATAGATTTAAGCATAATATAAGCATAAATAGTAAAAGTGAAGCCGAAGTACTTGTATACACCTGTATGTCGTGAATTGCCGACATTTGCCGGGCAGGTGGAGACCGAGTTTTCATGACACACAAGTATGCAACCACTCATCGCAGGCCTCAATCACGCCATCGAGCAGAATTCAGTCAGGAGTGCAGGATCAACATGTTCTTTCTCTCTCCATATCTCTGTTTCTCCGAGATTTCTGGGGAAACGTGGGTGTTTAGCCTTTGGACAGTTAACCCGCCAAGTTTCAAAGGGGCGCCACATGCCACGTGCCGATCACGCGAGTTAGGGCTAAGATCTATAAGTGAGTGAAATCTGATATCGACTGACTTGCTTGTCTATACGACCTCGAGTACCTGCAGGTGGATACTAACACAATGCCAGACTACCATTATATCCATACACCCATACTCACTCACCACAGTTAACATGGCCGACATCGAGAAACAGCCTTATGGAGAGCCCTCCACCTTCAAGGCTCCCGGCTCAACAGCTGAAGATGTCCCTATTCCTTCCAATCCAATGGTCAACGCCGACAAGCTGGCCCGCCGCTTGTCTGGTCGACAGGTGCAGATGATCGCCATCGGCGGGACGATCGGTACAGGTCTGTTCCTCGGAACGGGCGAGTCTCTCGCTAAGGGTGGGCCTGCGTCGATGCTTATTGCTTATGCCATCTGTGGTGGTATTGTCTTCATCACTATGCTGTGCCTGGGTGAGATGGCTGCGTTCATGCCTGTTGCTGGATCGTTCTGTACTTATGCTGGGTGAGTACCAGTGTACTTTTTGCTTTGATTGACCGAGCTCGTTGCTGACACTTTGGCTTTTAGTCGCTTTGTTGATGATGCGCTTGGTTTTGCTCTGACTTGGAATTATTGGTTTAATGATGCTGTTTCTACGGCTTCGGATATCATTGCCTTGCAGCTCTTATTGCAATATTGGACGGATAATTTCCCTGGTTGGGGAATTAGTTTGATTTTTTTAATTGTCGTCATTGCATTGAATGTCTTGTCCGTTAAGGTTTATGGTGAGGTATGTTTGCTGCTATCAACTATTTCCGCGAAATGGCCTAACCCTTCTGCAGATTGAATACTGGTTGAGTTTACTCAAAGTAATCACCATCATCATCTTCATCGTTCTCGGCATAGCCGTAAACTGCGGCGGAAACACAGACCACCAATACATCGGCGGCAAAAACTGGCATATAGGCGACGCCCCCTTCGTCGGCGGTATCGGCGGCTTCGCCTCAGTCTTCGTAACAGCCTCATTCGCCTACGGCGGCACAGAATCAATCGCCATCACAGCAGGAGAAACCAAAAGCCCCGCAAAGACCATGCCAAAAGTCGTCCGCAACGTCTTCTGGCGCATCATCCTTTTCTACCTCCTCTCAATCCTAATCGTCGGTCTAAACGTCCCCTACAACTACCCCGGCCTCTCAGAAGGCGACACAAAAACAAGCCCCTTCACAATCGTCTTCCAACAAGCCGGCTCAACAGTCGCAGGAAGCTTCATCAACGCTGTCATCATGACATCCGTCATCTCAGCCGCGAACCACGCCCTCTTCGCCGGCTCCCGTCTCCTCTTCACCCTTGCCGTCGACGGCTACGCGCCCCGCTTCTTCGGTCATCTCAACCGCTTCCACGTGCCCTGGGTAGCGGTCCTCGCTACATCCGTCATCAGCGGTCTCTGCTTTGGAGCTAGCTATATCGGCGCCGGCAAGCTCTGGTCCTGGCTGCAGAATATCGTCGGCGTCTCAAACCAGCTTTCGTGGATTTGTATCGGTCTTGCTTCATTGCGGTTCCGGTCAGCTGTTCGTGCGCAGGGAATTGAACATCTCCTCCCATTCAAGAACTGGACATATCCCTACGGTCCTATCTTCGCGGTTGGATTAAACATTGTTCTTGTCCTTGTTCAGGGATGGAACTGTTTCAGTCCGCATTTCGAAGATGTTGATTTCGTCTCGTATTATATCGAGATCCCTATTATGATTGTTATGTTTCTGGCTTGGAAATTGATTAAGAGGACGAAGTTTGTGAGGAGGTCGCAGATGGACCTTCTTACTGATCGGTATGATCCGACTCAAGAGGATGGATATGATGAGCACGAAGGTCAGATTACTGAGAAGCAAAGCGGTCTTTGGGCTAAGGCTCAGCGGTTCGGTCAGTGGGTGTTTTTCTAGGGGGGGTTTTTTTTTCTTTTTCTTTTTTCGCTTTATGATACCTCCACTACGGGCATACATTGGTTATCTGCACATATGATTAATTGCATGACTTATTACATGTTTATTTTTGATTCTAGGTTCACTAGTTGTATGCATTGGCATGCCGGTAAACAGACCGCTGGTTCCATACAGTACATTTATAAGAGGATAAGATAATGCAGCTTAGAATAAAGCTTCTGTGTATGTAGATTCTACTACTACTAATAGAGTATCAACGCTCTTGATCAATAGCAGGATGTTGAGTTGAAGCCGGACTTTGATCCTTGGGTCATGCACAAGTCTCAGGCATATAGTTCTCTGGTGGTTAGCACGTTTTTTAATTACGGCCAGCGAACGTTAGTTCAGCTCCTGCTGAATTCCTACGCCTCTTCGAGCGATGAATAAGCTTTGGGGGTTGTTTAAATCTTTGAGAATCCGGAGCTGCATTCTGATCCCTGGGTTCTGGTTGGGCTTAGCCTCTTGAGGGAAAAGTTACCCTAGTCATAAATGAGACTGGAAATTTTGCGCTAGGTCCTTTCTAGTAAATGGTCACCTATATTTGTGGAACGATTCTATAAACTATTATACTGTATCTGATGTGTTCCCAGACACCTGTGGCCTCGATCTTACTCTCCATAGAGTTCTATACTCTATTGCCTATTCCATTGCCATAGCACCGCCAATCAGATCTCATGAATAACACTAAGATGAGCTGGAATAACTCAAGTATAGAGATAAGTTATACAGTTGTTACCACCAAATGGCGGAGGCAGGCCTAGAATATAAATTTACATCCTATACCACTCCAACCAAATGTCCCGCTTTCAGAGCCCCGGTGCAAATAAATAGAAAAGTAAAATCAATTCACGCTCTGCATATACTTAAAGGGAAAAAAAAGCAAAAACAAAGGGAATCATGACAAAGGGGAATCATCGAGATCAGCTAACCTCCTGCTCCGCTCCAACTTTTTGAGACAGACAGAAAGATAGGTATAGCAAGACAACCAAACCAAACCAAACCAAAACGGACAATTCGCCAATTTTGAGAAAAGCGAGAATGCACGCCATAAACATAACAATGCGGATGGGATATTCAGCTGCAAACCAACACCAAAAGAAACAAAAACAAAGCCCCGGGAATGAGAGAGACTTTTCAAGTCCATGTCCTGCACCTTGAAAACGAAAACGAAACTAGAACAACCGAACCAAGGAAACGAGAAACGAGATAATTCAGAAATCCAAAACCACTGTCGATCGATCAAATCGATGTCTCGCATCGATAGCATAGCATGATTAGTCCCCTGTAGACCCTGCTACAGGGCATGAAGAGTCAGGATAGGAATTATACAATACAAGAAGGACACCGGCCTCCATTTGGTATCAGTGATCAAGTTGCAAAAGCCAAAAAAAAAAAAAAAAAACAAAGAAAAATGGAAAGAAAACAAGCCAATACTGGGACACACGGTTCCGTATCAACCATTAACCATATCATCCAGCGCCATCTTGCGCCGTTTAATAGGTCTATTCTCGCCCTCTGGATCAGAAGGTGGCGCTTCAGCCCGCGGCATTGAAGGCGACACCCCCGCTGTCATTGGGATAGGTGATGGTAGCTCCACCGGACCTAGATGTCGTGGTATGGGATCTATAGAGCCTGTAAAAGACCCTGACCGTTGGTGCAGGTGCGCGTGTGAATGTGTCTGTTGGTGTGGCAGGGAATAGTTGAATGTCGGGCCTGCAGATCTGTGGAGTGGGAGGGGCCGTGGCTCGTAGAGGCTTTCATCTCGGCCTGGGATGGCCCAGGAGGTTGGATATGGATCGCTTAATCGGTGGACGTGATGGGGCGGAGGGGGTGGTCCTGGTCCTGCTGTTGCTTGATGGATTGGGGGCAGTCGGACTGGGGATTCGATTGTGTAGGGATCTCTTGGGGAGAGTGTTTGCGGGACTTGGACTCGGGGGTCACTTATTGATGGGCGGATTGCATTGGTGCTGTTTGGGGACTCTGCGTATGGGAGAAAGCTCGTGGGCACGCCTGGGGGTTGGTATTGCGGCGGTGAAGTCGGTGGTGGTAATGCTGGGACGCCGTATGTTGGGAATCGTCGCTCCATGCCGGCCATTGTGTTTACTTTGAGGGCTGGGCTGAATCCCCCTGCCATTGAGAGGTATGCTGGTGGTGGATGGGTGGGGACTGAATGGGTTGGTCCGGATGAAGAGAATGGTCGTCGACTCACGCCTGGGATTGGATCCATAGGTCGGGTTAGAGGGAATACTGAGGCGGACCAGCGGTGTGGTGTTCGTGCTGGGCTTGCATCCAGTCCTTGGAGATCGGTCATGGGTCTTAATTCTCGTGAAGAAGTAGCCCTGTGCATGGCTGTCCGGCGAGGTTGCATGGCTGGTTGGGCCTCAGCTGGGATAGCTGGGTTCTCTAGATGCGTGGTATAAGACCGTAGGGATGAGTCCTCCGCTTTTAGTGGGGGTCGTCCTCGTTTCTTGTGGGTGACATCCACACATGTCGACTGTCGTGTGTTAGTTAGGGTTTGGTTAATCGGGGTTGAAACATACGGCTTTGCCAGCCAGCACGCATCTTCGACATGGGCGAGCCGGATCGCATCCCAAATGCTTCTTCTTGCAATTGACACAGGCCGATGCTACATGAGCTTTGGTACGCCTTGTTGATTTCTGCGCCAGTGACCGAGCTGCTGTCGGGGTAGTGTCTAGTGCCGGGAGTGGATATGGCGCCCCAGGAAGCCGGGGAGATCCCGAGTATACCGGCCCCTGTTCATACGGCAGTCGTGGCAGTGGCTCCAGGTCCTGGCCAGGGACAGGTTCGGGCCGATCTGTAGGCTGTAAAGGCTTCTCTGCGGATGGCTCCGAGGGCTCCTCTGGAGGAGAGCCAGACATAGATTGACGGGGTAGAGGAGCCCGGGGATTACAACCATTCAGAGACCAAGAACGATTCAACCGCCGCTCTGGGCCCGAGTTGAATCGGGGTCCAAACTGAGAGGTAGTGAGGCTCGGGGGGTAAAGCACGAGTGATTGCATCGGGCGTCGGGCAGGAAAAGGAATAGGCCCACGGGGCAGATGCTTCTTTTGTTTTTTTCTTTTTTTTTTTTTTTTAAATCCTTTGTGTCCCCGGATACTTCAAGGGCCTATGGGTTTCGCTTGGGGCATCATATCTGATCGGAAAGATAGGCCAGCAGCGGTGTAGGGGGAAAGGAGAAGAAGAAGAAGAAGCAGAAGAGAGAGGAGAGAAGGTCAATATGCGGTCGTCATCGAGCTTCAGAAGGCAGTCCGAGGACCACTCGAGCTTATAATCAATGGGTAAAGAGATCCGCTATTGGAGGAGTCAGAAAATAGACTGCATCGATCAGCGGGAGATTTCCAGATCATGACAGCAGGGTTACTCATAGCGCATGTCTCCCACAGGGCAAGTTATTGCATGGCGGTCGATCATCGAGCTAGGATCAAGGGACCCCACGCCTTGCCTCTGTGTCTCGATCACACGTCCCACGTTCCCCTACAGAAGGAACGGTGAACTATACCTGCAGCCCTCCCAAAGGAGCCGGATAACACCCCCCACGGAGAGCTCTTGTAGTACTGAGGAGTCTGAGTATATTCGAGTACTCTCGTAGTACGAGATACGAAGGCGTTCAATAGTCACAGAATAAAGTGGGCGGGTCTATACATGGCCAGTGCCGCACTAGTTGATCTTCGATCGAATGGTCAACGGTAGCAAGTATTGAGCATTGAGTCAGTGACATCTAGGATTCTTGGAAAGGGAGGAGTTCGTTCCAACCAAAAAATAAATAAATCAAATTCTCTGTGCCAATCAGGGCCGGGGAAGCAAGGAAGATTGGCAGATCGACGTCGGCGCCCGCAGCCATTGCCAATAGTGTGGGCGGGGGACTATGCATTCCGTTTGACATGTACTTTTCCTTGTATTGATACAGGGTATTACTTCCTATACTATGTAACTATAAGTTGGGCGCTTCGGGGTTGCAAGCAGAGTTGTTGAGTATGTCAACTACAGTATGCAGTTTCAACTATGAGGAATTAGGGCAAAATCTCTTACCCCTCCCCTCCACTTTTTCTGACTTGTTCTCCTCAGAAGATGGCCCGTTGAAGACTGAATAATAGAGCAAACTGATAATTTGGCATACTCCACTCCCTTCAAGCTTCTCTATTATTCTCCGACCCACCCGGGCAAATCATGTCTTTTATGCCCCGGGCTAGGGGTTACGGTTGCAGTCCGCAGATCAGATAGAAAGGTCTCACAGGTGTACATGTAGGCTGGAACATTTTCCCTTTCCTATTTATCAGGAAATAGTTTGCGAGGCAAATCATGCCGAAGCTAGTCTCGTAGTAATATACTGGCTGTGGTACCCACCGGTTATTGTTTGATGTGCAACCCCCCCCCCCCCCCCCCCCGGCTGCTGTAAAAGGAGAGAGGTCAAGGGGCGAAGAGGAATGCCTACTTTATTTCCCGGGGCACCCGGCAGATGTGGCTGCAGCCTTCTGCGCCTGTGGGCGATCACAGTGTGATGCTGATCATCCCTTGAGGAGGAGGAATCCAGACCCCTACAATATATAACAATATCCATGTCAAGGAGAAAGGGTATCAGGGGAAGTGGCTAGATCCTCGGGACAATAATCTAATATCTCCTTAGGATCTCAGGGAAAAGGGGTGTGGAACATGCGGCACGCGGAGCAGCAAGGGATCTGTCACTCCGTTCATGCAGGATTAAATAGTCTGTACGCTGTGTAAATGCCAATCACATTATTGCTACTCCTACCCCTCCTAGTCTAGTGCCAAACTAACCGTGAAAACCCGTTCATTAGTGGAGCACGGAACTATTTACCCTGGGGCATTTAGGGTGTGTTCATGTCAGAATTCGCCGATAACAGCGGAGAATATTCGGCGAGGAATTCTCCTAGGGTCAACGTTCTCGGTTTAAAGGCTTCACATGCTCGGCAATCAAGTAGAGGCTAACTCAATAGCTCCTAGTTGGCTGAAGGTCCGAGTGCAGGGATTGGGCCGTTATCACGTCGGATCACCTCAGGGCCTTGATCAATCGTGATAGTCCGCATGGTCAATGTCCATTGGCTGTGTTTACAACTTGTCTTCGTATAGACCATGTGGTGAGCACAGCCGGTTCCTAAATCCCGGAATTCGCAGACGTAAAACATGAAAGACAAGACACGGGTTGTGGTATCTCTGCAATATAGACATTTTATTCTACAAAATCCTTTCCAATAGACATGATCATCTTCTTCCCTTCTTGGTCGGCCGGGCATTCTTATCGCGGCGCTGTTGCTTCTGCTTACGCGCCTTGCGAATATCATCCGTAGACCGGATCTCGCTCTTTCCACCGTATGCGGCACCACCCATCTTGTCGAATTGACGTTCCCGCGCGGCATCGTTCTTCTTCTTCATCTTATCAAAGTCTCCGCGCAGGGGATCAGCACGCTTAGGCGCCCGGTCCTGGTTGTGACGGAAGCGACCAGTGGCGTGACGAGAGTTGATCTGGTTCATGCTGCCAGGTTTTTCGGCCTCACCAACGCGGGGCAGGCGGTCGGCCCGCTTGCCCTTTTGCCAGGCCTGGAAGCGACCGCTACGGAAGCTGGCCGCAATCTTGGCTCCACTCTCTCCGCGCACAAGACGTGTTCCCTTGGATCCGTCCTCGTCGTTCTGACGAGCGACGTACTTCTTGTGTCGCTTATCCCAACGCATCATTGTGCGGGGCTCAGCGAAACCGCGTTTGCCTTCGTCGCCGTTCAGGTCCATGGTTGCGCTGCGGGATTCGTGGGCGAAGTTGGAGTTGGTACCGGAGTGCACACCGTAAGCCTTGTCTTCGGCCATGTCGTTGTTGTTAGGCTTGTAGCCCATGAAATAGTCAGGGTTCTGGAATGAGGCAAGAGGGTTCTTGGGTCCAGAGTCGGTGTTCTTTTGGTTGTAGGAGCCGAAGGTGACTTCGAGCTCGTCATCGGATGCCTCCTCCATGTTCTCACCAGGCTGGTCGGGCATATCTTCATCTTGCACCTCACCATCCTCGCCAGTAGGCATGCCAAGTGCGGAAAGTTCAGCCTCGGCTTTAGCATCGGCGCGCTTTCTCTTAGTCTCGACAGATGTACGAATTCGTCGGATGGTATCGACGGCAACGTTATCGTCGGTCTTTCCGCCTCTGCGGTTGTTCGCTTCAAAGATAGTTTCCTGGGGACGGTATCCACCAATGCGGGCGAGCATATTCTCGCGCTCGTTCTCTAGTTCGCTTGTTTTATCATTGAAGAGAGGGTGGATTGCAGCCCAGTTGTCAGAGCCGACGACCTCCTTGGAACGCTTCGCACTTTCTGCAGAAGCTGAGTTACGGGTGCGCAGGTAAAGCTTCTCTCCCTTCCCGGCCACCTGTCGCTGGGAGTAGATATCCGTATCGTCCTCCAGAACCTTGTTGACCCATTCACAATGGCGAGACAACGCGTCGCGAGACAACGTGCCCACCACTACGTCTTCAGCAAAGTTCACGTTGGTACCATACTGGCGGCCAACCACCAAACGACGTCCCAAGAACAGCTGAAGATCCAAGAGGTAGGGGGTATCGGCATCGCGAACAAGACTGTAACTCCAACCCTTTTGACCAGCTCGAGCAGTACGACCAACACGGTGAATGAAGATCTTAGGTTGTGAGGGGAAGTCGTAGTTGATGACGTTAGCAAGGACGGGAATATCGATACCACGAGCGGCGACATCGGTAACGACTAGGATATTCGAAATACCGGATCGGAAGTTCTGAACTTGCTCCTTACGAGCCGTCTGATCAAGGGAACCGTACGCGTACGAGGTGGCGAATCCTGCCTCGAGCAAAAGAGAGTAAAGATAGTCAACGTGGTGCTTGGTGGCGGCGAACACAATAGTGGAGTGTTTAGTCGGTGACTCCTTGAATCCGCTGGGCCTGCGCACGTCAGACCTCTTGCGCTTGCGTGTCGGGTTCAATCGTTCTTGCTCGAGCATGTGGCCAATTTCGGTCTGTCCGGTGGGCATTTGGATGACGTCGTGCAGAATGTGTAGCAGGGCACCCTCCTTGTCCGATGACTTGACACCGAAGAATGCGTTTTGTAGATCAGGGGAGATCTTGTTTTCCGTATCGAGACGGATCAGACTGGGCTCTTGGAGACCAGCGCGGGCGAATTCCACAAGGGACTTGGGCAATGTAGCGGAGAAGAGAAGAGTCTGACGGGTAGCAGCCAATCCGTGCATAATCTCGTTAAGCTGGGCTTCGAACCCCAATTCGAAAAGTCGATCGGCTTCATCAAACACGACATACTTGATACTGGACAGGTCAAGATCCATTTCAACCTTCAAGTGCAAGAATCGACCAGGTGTAGCGATGACAATATCGGGGTTGTTGGCCATCATTCCGAACTGGTCCTCCAGACTGTCACCACCGACCAGGAGCACAGTCTTCAAATCGGTTCCACGTCCCATTTCCTTGACAACCTTCATAGTCTGCAAAGCCAGTTCACGAGACGGGGACATGATCAGAGCACGGGCACCGAACGCAGTGCTGTGGCTCTTCAACTTCTCAATCATGGGAATAACGAACGACGCAGTCTTTCCGGAGCCAGTACGAGCCATACCCACGACATCCTTGTCATCCATAATCACGGGAATAGTCTTGCGCTGAATCGGAGTAGGCACGGAAAAGCCCTTTCGGGAAATGGCCTTGAGCAGGCTCATGCTGAGGCCCATTGCCTGGAAACCACCACCCTTCTTCACGGTGCGACCTTTCAAACTTGATCCCTTTCGGTTGGCAGAGGCCTGCTTGCCTGCAATGAAGGCTGCATCCCCATCATCATCTGATCCGAGGAAATCAAGATCTTGCTGGGGAGTAGGCTTCTGGTTCTTTTGGCGAGCCTGGGGCTTAGCGCCGGAGTCGGAGTCGCTGTCACCCTGGAAGAGAGCGCTGGTAATGTCGAACTCGTTCTCTGACTCAGCGGGGGAGGCTTCACGGCGAGGCATTGTTGCGGGATGCCGATTAAGGCGGAAGATGGTGATAAGCGTTAAACAGGTGCTCTCATCAACGTCGGAGAGGGCGTAAAGTCAACAGTCGTATTATGATTAACGAAAGTATCCCACAGACGATTCCTCGACTGCACACAAGCTTCAATTAATGAAGCGTAGGTCGAGTCGCTAATCTCGCCGTATTTCGATCGCCGCAAAAAAAAAGTTGAGGAAATCAAAGGCGGTGAATATCGGATCAACCATCTGCCGAGTGCAAACAAAACAAATATATCTATACATCGACGAGCGCATTGTGTTGCAGGCTTAAAATATGATTGTCTTCTTTCCCGGAAAATATAGTAAAGGCTCGGTATATATGTACTCAGTTGAGCTTTACTTACATAGCTTACATATCGGCAAATACAATCTGTGAGTTGCATGATAGCAGCTACAAACAAGAGACAGATACATGATTTTCAGGGTTCCAAGTAAGATTCAAAGTAAGCTGATGGCATATTCAGTAGATACCCATGGCCTAAATATAGTCTTTATAGCAAACATGCACATAAGATCGCAGTAGATAGAGGCACCAGCCTTCAATTGAGAAAAAGCGGTCAGGCACGGCAGAACGCCCCGCGACGCGTGCAACACGCTCCCAATTGAGTAAAATGGTGTTTGGAGTCACTCTCTACTTCATTTTTCTCCATCACAGCACTACATCATGGGTAAGTCCCTCCCCAATCCAGTCCCCCCAATCTCAGCCAAAAAATCTAATTTACTTTCCAGACGGCGGATACAACAACTACAATTCATTCGGCGGCGGTGGCGGCGGAGGCTTCATGCCAGGCGAGACGAACAGCCCTGCAGGAGGAAAGGTAGAACAGCATCAAACCCTGGTCTCCTCTATTCCATATAGACCAAAAAAACTAACACCCCCAACCAAACACAGACCGGAGACAGGGACAACAAAACCCTGCGACCTGTAACAATCAAACAAATCCTGGACGCCTCTCAACCCTTCCCAGAAGCCCCCTTCCAGGTGGACAACGCAGACGTAGCAAACGTCCTCTTCATCGGCCAAGTCCGCAACATCAGCAGCCAGAGCACAAACATAACGTACAAGATCGACGACGGCACCGGCGAAATCGAAGTCAAGAAATGGGTCGACTCCACCACGGCCGATAACATGGACACGGATGACGGCAAAGCGCCCGGCGATGGCAAGAGCGAGCTCGAGGTGAACGGGTATGCGCGCGTCTTCGGCTCAGTCAAGTCTTTTGGCAATAAGCGGTACATTGGCGCGCACAGTGTGCGGCCCTTGTCTGATATTAATGAGTTGCATGCTCATTTGCTGGAGGCTACTGCTGTTCATTTGTTCTTTACTCGTGGTCCGCCTGGTGGGGCTGCGCCTGCTGGTGGTGCGGCTGGGGCTGGGGGTGATGCTGTTATGGGTGGTGCGGATGATTATGGTGCTGGGCAGAATAAGGCTCTTGCTTCTATGGGGCCTGTTGCTAAGAAGATTTACTCGCTGCTTCGGAATGAGCCGCAGGATGATACCGGTGTGCATATGCAGGTTATTGCTGCTAAGCTTAACATTCCTGCTATGGAGGTTGCTAAGGCTGGTGAGGAGTTGCTTAGCACTGGTGTTATCTTTTCTACTACGGATGAACAGACATGGGCTGTTCTTGAGTACTAGGGTTGTTTGTTTGCCTCTGCTATTCTCCAAAAGTCACATTCAGACTCCAATGATATCATGATCTGTCTTTTAACACCACTTCATAGGCGTGGATTATTCTATTTCCATTGTATCTCTTCTCTTCTGGTTCTGGTAAATACATGTTTTGAACGAAAAATCCAGGTAGAATCAACCTAGCCAGCAATGCATCCATGCGATATGTGCTGAAAATGTGTAAAAACAGATCGCTGCGAACATAAGTCATTGACCATCTCGTATCGTATCTTCTAGAGAGTAAATCAAGTCAGCTCATTCCTCAGAATAGCCTCCTCAACAGAACGATTCCAATTAGCGCGGCTGATAAAGATTCCCTCGACAATGGAGACAAGCCCAAGAGCAAGGGCAACGCCAGTCCATAATCCCATGACGCCCCAATCTAAAGCAAAAGTCGTTCCCATACTGATCGGCATGGCAACCACATAGTAAAGGAAGAGCTGAACGTAACCGCCAACTTCTTGACGGCCCAACCCACGAAGGATACCATTACAATTCGCTGCAAGGGCATCGAAGAGCTGAAACGCCGCGCAAAGGGGAAGGACCTGTGCGACGATATCAACTACCTCGGGATCTGAACTAAATAGCCTGGGGATGTAAGATCGCAAGGTTGATAGGAGAATCATGTTGAAAATACCAACGATGGCTGCTCCATAGAAGCTGACCTTTGCAGAGGTTTTCGCTGCGTCGACCAGAGTCGCTCCAATCAGGTTTGCTACTCGCGTGCTACCCGCGATAGACAGTGGGAATGGAATCTGCCATGTGATACTGGAGATTGTTGCAAGAATGGATTGGGCTGCCAGTTCAGATGTTCCGAGATAGCTGGATGCTAGAGTCAGAATTTCAAATGCGAGGCACTCTGCCTCCACCATAATCAGACCCGGGAGTGCGAGTCGGATCATTGGGCCCCAATTTTGGAATGCGCGCGTGGTAAAGCCGCACCAGCACTCTGATCCTACATTGAAATAAACATAGGTGAACAAGCAGATGGGAAGGAGGGTCTCTGTGATAACAACGGCAATTGGAGCGCCAATGAAGCCCCATTGAAGTTTCTATAAGAAATCAGTATCGTCCTCGTTGGCAGTCAAGGAAAGCACATACCCAGACAAAGAACCAGTTCATGAAAGCATTTAGCGGCGCACACACAATCAGAACATATAGCGAGGCAGAGAACACACCCTGCGCCTGGAGGTATCGCTTACCACTCTCGAAGCAAGCATACCCAGGAGTTCCCAAGAGAGCCACCTTCAAATAAAGACCAGCCATGGCAGCAACCTCCTTCTCAGGAACAATCTTCGCAAGGATATGCTCTGAGAAATACCAAAGAATCGCAATGGGGATGGTAATAATCCAAAGGAAGAACACCATGCGCAGCATCTGCAAGCCTACCAGTTTCCTCTTGCCAGAGCCATACGCCTGAGCGCACAGGGTATCCAAACTCGTCGCGAGGCCCGAGTAAACCGCATTACCCGTAATGCTGACAGTCATACTCGCCAAACTGACCGCACCAAGCTCTTCTTTCCCCAAATGACCAATGGTAAAGATACTGGCTACAGTCAAGGAATACTGCAGCAAGAATGTGACCATCAGCGGTAACGAGTATTTGCCAATGACCTTTGCTTCGCGCTGCCACGTGGTTTGGATCAGGCCTGCAGCAACCGCTTCCTCCCATTTGCGATCGATCTCGTCCAAGTTCATTTCGGCGTCCTCCATGTCTGTCGATCCCTGCAGGAGAGCTGTGGTCTCGTTTGCTACCGGGCCTGTTTCAGCATCCCTGCCTTGGGAGTGTCGCGACGCGGCACTCGGTCGTCGGCCTTGGCCAATTGCTGCGGAGAGCAGACCGCTGACCTTGTGCTGGAGGCCTTGGGCCTTGCCATGTGCGTGTTCAGGCGGGATTACATGGTTGTCGCTTAGGAGGTCTCGCTCTTCTTCGATTGCTTGTTCGCGCTCGCTCTGGGAGAGGGGCTGCTGTTCCCCGTTATTGGGGATTACGGTCGCGTGGTTGACGGATGTGAAGTGTCCCGGCCGCCGATATGACCCTGCTAGTGAGTGGGGGTTGGTGCCGGTCCAGCTGCCAGGCGGGCGCGCTGTTGAGCAATCGGATACTTCATCAGTCGAGTGATCCTCGTCACTGTATTCCGCTAGATCTCGAGCAATTGCTGAGGCGGCAATGGGCGAGCTGGCGGTGAACGACCGGCTGAATGGGCTTTGGTGCTCGGCGGCGTCCACCGAGCGGATGTTGCGGGCCATGATAAGAGAGCGCAGTACTGTCTATGATACTGTCTATGGCCACATTCTTTGAAGTTTTGACTTGAAGCTCTATGTGAAGCTGGAACGGTGTCAAAGCAAAATATGAAAGCGGAGACGGTCGAAGCGGGTATATGTAGTGGACCAAATAGGCAGGTATAACCATCAACGCATTTATCAACTGATAGTAAAGGATGAGTCAACTCGTATCTGGTAAGAGATTGCACTAAGTCAATATACGATCACACCTCCTCTTCTCTATCTCTTGCCCATTCCGAGATCTCCAACTGTCACTGCAAACTCCAAGTGCAAGCCCCCACAGCCAAAGACCCACCAAAATTACGCCTGATCGACAAACAGACACAGACCTTGAACCCTGATCATCCAAAACAATACAATACGATATGCACTGCACATCCATATTGATACCCTGCATCTACTTCTAACTAACCAAGTCACACCGCATGAGTTCGTGACATCATGCCGAAAACGGTATACCACATCACATGACAGCCCTCAGACCTCCGCCATCTCAATACTAAATGAAAGATACAATTTCAGCTTCATTAAACAATCATGGCTCAAGTGAGAGGGTGCACTCGGCCGCCCTTCAATCCACTGATCAACCCAGTCCATTCAAACCCAGTCCTAGTCGAAGAGTAAGTAACACACCCTCCACAATCTCTCAAGCGGACATACAGTAGGAAGGGGAATGGAAGAGATGGTGGCGGTCCCTTGCATCCAGTCACTTTCGAAACTCTTCCATACCACATCCCCCGTGGGTGGCCCAGAGCCAGAATTCCAGTCGGATAGATGCGCCTTCCCTGCTCCATACCAACCCCACACGTGCTTCGTTTCCATTGTTAATCTCATGTCCACATCCACCTCCACGTCCACGTATGTTTACTAAGACCCAACCCACCAGCCACATCGAATCCCAACGCCACATCTTCTTCTCACGCCCCTACACAGGCGCCCTCCTCGTCGAAAACAGCACCTCAGACGCGCGCGACCACTGCGCAAACGAGCGCACATTCCTCTCATGGCTTCGTCTATCAATGTATCTAGCCGTGGTCTCACTGGCGATAATAATCTCGTTCCATTTCCGCGATCAGCCTACCAATCTTGAGAAGCGCATGTCCTTGCCGCTGGGTATCATTTTTTGGGTTCTTAGTCTTACCTGTCTTGCTAATGGGTTTGCTAATTACTCGCGGACGGTGATGAAATATGCGCGCAAGGCGGCGTTGGTGCAGAGTGGGTGGAAGACGCAGGTTGTCTTTACCGTTGTTGGCACTGTCATTCTCGGAAGTTGTATTTTGTTTTTGTCGACTGATCCGCAGCAATGAGGACTTGATTGGATTGGGTTGGGGTTGTTTTTTTTGTTTTTGTTTTTTTTTTTTTTTTTTTTTTAACTTAGCGATGGCGTTGGGTTTAGGGCATTTTGTTAATATCCATTGCATAATATTATCCATTCTGTTTTAAGGGAATTTAGGTTAACTCGAAATGCTGCAGTATTATTGTGAATATACTGGGATAATTCCTAATTAGAAGTTGACAAAACAGACTGAGGTATCAATTCCATGAGTTACGTAAAGAAGAGGCCGAAATGCATATGACCATAAATAAACAGGACCGAAAACGCAATATATGCTCCAGGTCGTTTACATGCGACGAATCTCTTGTTCGTTCTTGTACGCCTCCAGAGCAGGGGTGCCCAGGTGGCTCCACCATTCGAATAGCATCGAGTTGCAGATCAGCTTGAACCATGGGGTGAACTTCAAGCCGGGTTGCTCGAACATGGCCTTCAACTCATCAGCCGAGACATAGGTAGTATCACGGACCTCGTTAGGGCTGGGAGCCAGGTCGACATTGGCCTGGATGAAGAGAATGTAGTCCACTAAAACAAGGTCAGACCCAATCAACCAGACTTTATACTGTATAATAACATACCTTCATGCTCACCCCATTTTCCATCACTGGGAGCCTTGTAGTGAATTCTAGTAAAGAACTCAAACTTATCAAGCGGGACCTGCTCCGCCATAATACCAAGCTCGTGGTTCAGCTTACGCTGCGCAGCACGCTTGACACCCATAACAGCCGCATCCAACTCAGCACCCGTCTCACCGGGGATTCCAAGAGGGTGTGAGCAGCAGGTGTTGGTCCACATGTCGGGGAAGGTAATCTTCTCCGAGGCGCGCTGCTGAAGCAGCAGGCGCTTGTTGGAGTCGAACAAGAAGACGGAGAAAGCACGGTGAAGGAGACCCTTGTCAATGTTGGTCATCAAGTGGCCTGTCAAGTAAATGTCTGTCAGCAAATGTAGTCATTTGCAAGGGCTTATGCCATGCCATGCCCACTACCCCGCCATTCAAAATCTGGGGTTCACATACACAATTTCTTGCTGGCGCTGCCAATGGGTCGGTCATTGTTATCCAGTACAATGCAGACCTCGTCCATAAGGCGCACTTGCTCCTCGTCGTAACCGGCGAGTTCGCCGGCATCGCGCGAGCTCTGTGTTTGGGCGGTGGGGAGGATTTCGCGGGCGAGCGATGTGTCGACCTCGGGGAAGAGGGTGGCGACGTTGTCAGCTGTGATTTCGGGGGCACTGTTCAGTGTCATTGTTGTGCTTGTAGTTGTTGTGCTCATTTTGGCGATATTGATGTTTAGCAAAGAAAAGTAGGTCAGGAGCAACGAAAAGTTAAGGGTGTTGGGGAAGGCGGCAAGGATCGGCAAATTTGCCCCAGGGAATTGATTGATCGCCTCACCGATTATTTTTTTTCTTGCATCTTATACCTGCACATATCTCTATTTCTTTGCCAATTGCTGTGCATACACTTGTCATGCTGTATGGTTTTGCTCCGGGCTCCGGAAGCCGAGTGGAGATAAAATCATAGGAGTGCAGGACCAGTAAACACCTTCACTTCTACAGTAGCTACCACAGCCCCTTGGCGTGAAAGGTACGAGGATACGAACACATTCCAAACGTTGGAAGCTACTCTTGCTCTATAGACAACACAAGTGCTCGCAATCGCACGTCGATGTCTACAGGGTTAGGGGCTTCCTAGCTTTCTACGTTGGCGGTGGTATATGTTCATCCTTTGTACCCGTCGTGGCTGCTGGGTTTGACTGTGCTGTTGACCTCCACCTCGGCCTCCGGGGTCCGTGAAATGGGGTACCCTGTCCGGGGTTGTAAGGCCCAATCGCAACACGATCTATACAAAGCCACAAGTGCTCGGCATGACACTCACATAAGCATACCCTTTTCGAGGCTGATGGAATGAAATCCTGAACTAGAATTCTCCTCACAACTTGACAGCAGATAGTCTGGCTCTATAGATAGATAACACTGGCATTCAAGAACACCATGCTTGATGGCTATTGCACCCGCATCATTGGTCCAGCGTGGAATTGTCTCCCATCAGACAGGCTGACATCCCCTACAATCACTTTACCCGAAGAAGAGCCGTCAACTTCTCCAACTCCTCAATCTCCTGCGGTCCCAACAATCCCAAAGCTTCCCGTCTCGTAGGAGCACCAGCATCAAAGAAAGGCTTCTCCGCCAATGAAGTAACCCTAGTCCCATGTCTAGGCTGAGAGCCCTCATAATCCCAACTAGCATTATGTATACTAATCCTATCAATAGTCAGCATGCACTCATCATCACCCATCCAACCAGGAAACAAAACCAACCGATTATCCCACAAAGCACTGGTCCCAGCCGTCCACCGAAACCGCACTTGAATATCAGGGTTCTTCTCATAAACTTCATGAAGATACCCCAAAATAACATCACTCTCAGCCTTGTCTAGGCCCACAATCCGATCCGTCATAGCCCTATTAACCCACAACACCTTCCACCCCGTCACAGGATGAACACGAACAAGAGGATGTTCGCGTTCAACATACTTCGGTCCTTCCTCTGGCTTGGTACGGTCGAGGTATGGATGCGCAGAGCGGTAAATGGCCGTTCGGCCATCGATCAGTCTCCGGAATAATGGTGACAGCTTCTCGTAGGCTGCGTAGCCACTTGCCCAGAGCGTGTCACCTCCTACTGTTGGCACCGTGTCGTTGTGTAGGTGTGTTACTCCAGCTGGTTGTTTCTCGTGTACGAGATCGCTGTGCCAGCGAGATGCGCCGCCTGGGCGGCGGAAGCTTGCTTTTTGTTCTTCGGCGAAGAGGGCTGGCCAGAGGACTGTTACGCCTGGGATGCCAGGGACTTGGGGGCCCTGGGGCTGCAACAGTCAACTTATGATTATGGAGTGGTGGGCTAGATTGGATGTGACTTTACATGGACCTCAACCTCTCCGAAATACTTGCCTAACTCCTTCTGTTGTTGAGGGGATAGATCTTGGTCCCGGAAGAAGACGACGCTGCGCTCAGCAATCAACAATCCCAGCTCATCCTTCTGTTGATCTGTCAAATCTTTCAGCTGCAATCCAACGATCTCAGTTCCAATATGTGCGGTCAATGGAATGACCTCTTTCGCCGCAGAAAGAAGAGCCTTCTTCTCGGGATCGGCTCGACTGCCTGGGTCTACGTGGAGTCGGTCTTCATTCCGCACATTGTAAACATCGTTCAGGTAAAGAGGACGAGATGGTCGGTACGGATATCCATTGCTGAGATCAATACCGGCTTTCTCGAACCGTTCGCGTGCAGGCGTGGGAAGTTCTATGGTATCCTTCTTGGGCGGTGCGACGTCGACGATGCGCGGGTCAATTGGGGCTGGTGCCATGGTGATACTTTGTTTAATTTACTATTGTTTGGATATAATTTTGTGACTGTGAATGACTACCCAGAGAAGTCTCCTGATATATAACTTTTAGATGACTGAGCTGGTATACTCCGCACAGAAACCGGGTGAGCACATCATCAATCTGACCCATAACACCTTGCATATCTCTGGCTTTTATCGACACTCTGATTTATTGCTTCATTTTTTTTAAAAATATATTCTCATTCGTTCTTTTGCTTGTCTACAGCCGTTGCACTGCGGGGTACCTTGGGATTCACAATCCACGATATAAATCGCGATCATATGGTCCAGAGGCCGAAATCCTTCCATGCCATGAAGTAGTAGGCAATCTCTACTCAATAGCCTCTAATCAACTGTACCATCTATTTGTACCTTAACATGGTCGCTCTTCTTACGCCTCTTCTTCGCCCATATTCGAGCGCCGTAGGTTGATCATCTAGATCATTTAATGGTGGGTGTGAAACGATTTATGGTCCCTGTCGGATTTCTAAGTATTGCATGATACGCTATATTCTGTGTGATTGCCGTTCGCTCCGATCTCGCGGTCAAAGCTGAGAGGTCGAGTGGAGATCTGCGATGGCGAAATATTGAGGCGTCGTGAGTAGATCACTCGTTTAGATACTTTTGCAGAAGATGATCCCTTCCCTACATAAACATACCAAGAGAAATAAGTCTGACATTTCGCCCCTTTTCTCTCTTTTCTTGTGAGAGCCGAAATTTATCAATCATGAATGGAACGTCTAAACGTGTTGCCGTTATTGGTGCTGGGATTAGTGGGGTTGTTACGGCTGGTCACCTTTTGGCTCTTGGGATTGATGTGACTGTTTTTGAGAGAAGTCATGCGGCCGGTGGTGTCTGGTAACCATCATATGTTTAGCTGCGTATTGGGAACAATAAGCTAAATTGTTGCAGGCTATATGACAAGCGCACTCCAATTGAAGCTCAATACCCATCCCCCACACCGACAATTTCGCAGGAGTATGGAACGGATGAGCGAGAAGGAAAGGAGAGGAAAATATTGCTTCATGCACCTCCAGGGTAAGTGGAGAACTCTCCTTTCATATAAACTATATACTCATCTCTCACAGGCCTTGCTACGAAAGTCTCACCAATAATGTCTCCACCCCGCTGCTAGAGACTAAGCTTAATACCTGGCCAGCAGGAACGGCACCCTTTGTGCGACACTTTGTCCTGAAAGATTATATCCAAGATACAGCTAAAAAGGCTGGTGTTGATGGCGTGACTAAGTATGGTGCTCAAGTCACCAAGGTCTATAAAGAAGGATCAACGTGGACGGTTAAATGGAGTACTTTGAGAGAAAATGATAAAGATCTTCTCGAGAATGAGGAGGCTGCGGTAAGTGATCGATCTGAAATGTTCTTTCCGTTGATCCAATATACTTATCCAACTGCAGACATTTGACTCTGTCATTGTTGCTTCTGGGCATTACCACACGCCTTTGATTCCTGATATCAAGGGACTCCCCGAGGCGAAAGCCCGATGGCCTACAAAGATCTACCATTCCAAGTCTTTCCGAAGGTCAGAAGGATTCGAAGAAAAGGTAACTACGAGTTATTTATGCCATTTCAACTCAACTAATCGGTAATAGAACGTACTCCTACTAGGTGGAGGAGTTTCCTCCCTAGATCTCGCCAAAGAAATAAGCAAAACAGCAAACAAAGCCTACCAAAGCACCCGCAACGGCGCCTTCGATCTCCCAGAAACCGCCCTCCCAGAGAAGACCCAAAGAATCGGCGAAGTAGCCTCATTCGAAACCTCCCCATCAATTGCTACTTCACCCTCTCCAACCACTCACCTCCCCATAACGGTATCCCTTAAATCAGGAGAAGTCCTCTCAGAGATCGACACAGTAATCCTCTGCACAGGGTACCAAATGTCCCTCCCCTTCCTGTCCCAATACAACAACCACGCCATATCCGCGCTAGAAGCAAACGAAACTGTCCTGGTAACAGACGGCGCCCAAATCCACAACCTACACGAAGACATCTTCTACATCCCAGACCCGACACTCGCATTTGTGGGTATACCCTTCTACACGGCGACATTCTCTCTATTCGAGTTCCAGGCTATTGCTGTGACGGCGTTCCTATCTGGAACGGCTGAGCTTCCTTCTACTGCGGTATTGCGTGCCGAATATGAAGCTCGTGTCAGAGCTAAGGGGTATGGACGGAGTTTTCATTCGCTTAAGGATCTTGAGGAGCCTTATGTTGTTAAACTTATGGGGTGGGTGAATGCTGGCAGGGTTGAACGGGGGTTGTCTGCTATTGAGGGGCATACTGAGAGTTGGATTGAGGAGAAGGCTGCTATGAGAGAGAGATTAAGGTTATTACATGCTGGGCGGCTTCCGAGAGACGACGTTCCCAAGGGGCCTTTAGTGGAAGTTGCTGCTTGATGTTTTTCTAGATAGGTTTCTAATTGGATGAAATCTACAGGTAGTCATGTTGATGATCTAGAAGGATGTTACATAGTAAACTGACAAGCAAGTCAAATACCCTAGTATCTAAAACTATCAGCTAAATATGTTAATGTGGGCACACTGTCACCGAGATATATGACGAGCGATGGTGATTTTCTGGCGTGGTATGGCAACAGCAGCCATTTATCCCCGCATTCTCATACTTTAGGGCTAACAGCACAGTACTGTTTAGATGAGACCCATTCATGTTGAACAATCTCGCAGGAATTGCGCGAACAAGCTCAATCATCATTTGACTACACGAAAAGTCAGTCCCCTCTCTCACCCCCCCCGTACAACTCATAGCTCTATTCTAATGCTTATAAACCAACCCGTAATCAAAAAATAACGCGGCAAGCCTATCTAAGTCTTGAAACAGGATCGCTGATACGTCAGAGCTAGTCTATCAGCTCCAAATCAGACAGCATAGCTCGAAGTTTGTAACATGCCACTCAATCTCCGAGACATAATCCTAATCGATGTTCCGGGCTATAAGAATGTCCCAAGGGATCTGAATCTTTAGTTTTCGACGTCAGTGCCATACATACAGACACTATCATGTCGTCGAAATCTCATGCCGTTGAGGCAGATATTCATCCCTCGACGCTGGCTCAGAAGGAATCTAAGCGCAAATGGGTTAGCTATATTTGGGATACGTTTGATAAGTCGCCCGAGGAGCGTCGGTTGATGTCTAAGTTGGATTCAGCTATTTTGACATTTGCTTCGTTGGGTTTGTTTTATCGGTTTTCTTCGTCTGGATGGTTCTGACTTTTCCTTTAGGGTATTTTATCAAGTATCTTGACCAGATCAAATTAACAGTGCGTTTGTTTCTGGGATGTAGGGAAATACCGCTTCTTTCCCGTTTTCATTTGCTGTTTATATTAACCATTGGCAGGAAGGAAGATCTGGGCATGTATGGGAATCAACTCAACTATATGCAGACATGTTGGACGATAGGTTATGTTATTGGTGAAATCCCAAGCAATCTATTGTTAACTCGTATCAAGCCGCGATATTGGATTCCGGCTATGGAGGTATGGTCACTTTGATATCACAAATGTGCGCTGCTTAGACCTTCACAGCTTCTATGGACCGTCCTCACGATGTCACTTCCTCGGTGTAGCAAGCCAACGCAGTTCTATGTTCTACGATTCTTTGTCGGTTTGTTGACTCGGATCAGATTTCATGGGGCTTTTTATAATAATTTGTGATAGGTCTCGCTGAAAGTACATTCTATCCTGGTATGCAATATATCATTGGCTCATGGTATAGAAAAGATGAACTGGCAAAGCGGTCTTGTATATTCCACACAAGCAGTGGAATTGCCAGTATGTTTTCTGGATATCTCATGGATGCAGTCTACAATCTTGGAGGACGAGGAGGGTTCAAGGGCTGGCAATGGTAAGCAACAAGCTAGGTCTTGGGGCTCTGCTCAGACACTAATCCAGCAACCAGGCTTTTCATCGTCGACGGAATTATCTCCTTGCCAGTTGCCATCAGTGGTTTCTTTATCCTTCCTGATGTACCCGAGATATCTAGCCCCTGGTATCTCAGCCAAGAAGTAACTATATCCCGCCATGCCGGTTTCTGTTGGATACTAATATCAATACCGAATAGGAAGTCAAACTGGCCCAAAAACGAATGAAACTAGAGGGAAGAAAAGACAGAGAACCATTCATGAAATCAAAGCTGAAGAAGATATTCACTTCATGGCACATCTACCTTCTGATATCCTCTACATGTGAGCCTCGAACACCCACCCAAGGAGTATAAGGACTATCTTAACTCACATATTCCAGATGTTTCAACAACGGGGCCACCGGAAGCCAGCCTATTTTCCAACAGTAAGTCAACACCAGTTCACACCCAAAGCCTTATTCTTATCATTCAAAAGATATCTCAAGAGCTCCACAGACCCAGTATACACAATTAGCCAAATCAACTCCATCCCAACAACGACCCCTGCGGTACAAGTTGTGACGACTCTCGCTTATGCTTGTAAGCGAACCATATCCTCACTATCATCCAGGTAATACTAACCATATAATAGGGATATCAGACAGTATACTAAACGGCAGTCGCTGGCCACCCATCATCTTCGGAGCTGTAAGGAACCACCAATCCACCCGTGGCAGATCTAACACAATCCCAGTGCATAAACATCATAAGCTACATTTCCCTCGCAGTCTGGGATATACCAACAGGATGGAAATGGACCTGCTACATAATCAGCGGAGCAGGGTATGGTCTGAGTGGTCTACTAATGGCGTAAGTACATACACCTACACCAAGGTGTCAGCATCAGCATGCACACCTTTTCGGAGTTCTCAGTCTCCCAAACTCCCCATGCAATGCTAACATGATCAATAAAAAAAAGCTGGGCGCACGAAATCTGCTCCGAAGACAACGAAGAGCGATCCCTCGTTATCGGAAGTATGAATGAAATGGCCTACGTCTTCCAGGCTTGGTTGCCGCTTGTTGTTTGGCAGCAGGTTGATGCGCCGCAGTATCGGAAGGGTTTCATTGCTATTACTGTTTTGTCTGTTTTGTTGATTGGGACTACGCTTTTGATTCGGAATTTGCATCGGAGGGAGAGGGTCCAGAAGAGGTTAGTGGTTTGCTGGATACTGTACGTTGTTTCTTGTGGGACTTCCAGGCTGACTTGTTTTGGTAGTACGAATGAGGCCCATGAAGCGGAGGAGACGGAGGAGGATTCTGTTGGGGTTATGTCTCTTGATGCTAATGGTATCAAGGCTTGAGAGCGGTGAATTTGGTGGTGGATTTTAGATAAAGCGTGTCCTGGACATGTGGAGGATGGTGTAGCATAGAGCACATTGTCACAATCCTACTAACCTAGTTCAAATACACAAATGGTTGGAACAACGGTTGCACGGATCTAATATTATCGGGAGTATAGTGAGAATATGTTCCCACATACCAAGCTACGAGCATGTTGATAACGTTTCGGCAAATGACTGCAGTTCGTCAAATTAGACAGCAATGGTAATTGTACAGCAGGATATGATAGGAGGTCATGAAGCGGAAAAATAAAGATATGATGACAGCCCTAGTGCCAGCCATTTACAGCAGCCGTCCCAGCAACAAGCTCATCCAGCTCATCTTTACGGGCCTTGTAAAGATCCTGGGCTTCACGCTCACGTCGCATAACAAACGAGACATCTGAGCGGAGTTTTTCAAGTCGTCGAGATATTGCTGACTCTTCGGAGATCTGGAGTGTGCGGAAAGAGTCCAGGTCATCAGTGGCCTTGGGCAAAGCAACGCTGACCTCTAGGATTTTCGAGCGTAATGTCTTAGCACGGTTCTGGTATCCACCGTAGTGCAGAGATAGTTTCTTTTCGAGCTTGTTTCCACGATCAGCGGTGTCGATGAGGGTGTTTTCGACGTTGTCGAATAGCCCGATCATCTTTTGCTCTTCCTTGAAGTCGTCATCTTCCTCATCTTCGTAGTTTTCAAGGCCAGGAAGAGAGTTGGCGCGGACTGTTGACCAGCCATCGTCGAACTTCTCTTGCCATTCGGACTGCTGTGCTTGGGCAGAGGCAATCTCGGCGGCAATGGAAGCCCGTGCTGCGGCCAGGAAGCGGTCGTCTAGTTGGCTGAGTTTTGGTGCCTTGCCTTCGACCTTGGCATTGGGAAGAGGGAATTTGCGGGAGTCGTGTGCAATCAAGATGGCGGCTTCGTTGGCGATAAGTCCTTCAATGCCATCACCGGCATTAGAAGCACGTTTCATCAGAGCGTTCAGGTCCAACACTGCCGGCCGAGGCAAGCCGCGCTGATAAACTTGTGATTGACGCTTGAATTCAGCCTTCGCAGCCAGGTCCTTTGCCTCCTGGTCTCTGCGGTCACGCTCAGCAGCATCCTCTTCACTGAGTTCCATAGCCGCGCCGGGCTCGGCGGCCTCAGAGGGAAGCTCTTCCAGGTCCCACTCGGTCTCCTTGGGCTTGGGAAGCGAGGCAAGTTTGCTCCGCATCTGTTGGCGTGTGAGGTTCTCATGGTTTCTGATGTCGCGAGGGGTGCTTCCAACAAGCTGCATGCCCTCTCCCTCCTTGTTAAGAGCAAAGTGGTCTCGTGGTGTGCGCAATGGCGTAGCACCAACACCAACAGGCATAGGTGTGGCACCCATGCCGTTTGCTTGCCGGAATGGTGTGGCCATGGGGTTGGGGGTAACAATATCCTGTCGCCGGGGCGCAATTCCATCAAAACCAGTTGATGAGCCGCCCTCGTGAAGAGGTGTGTTGTCTCCACCCAGAAGGGAAGACTGTGTCTCGGTCAGAGCACGAATGTTTTTGATCTCGTTCGCAATGTGATCCTCCTCTGGAGCAGCGCGCGGGGTTCTTATGGGGGTTCCTCCAACAATTCCCGTGTAGTTACCAATGAGACCACGGGTAGTTTCTTCGTCGGCGCTCATTCTGCTGGCCTTGTCACCAGCCATACCCATCTTGATAATATCTTCCATCTCGCTCTCGCTGACCTGAGGCGCTGGTAGGTTCAAGCCTCGTCGCTTGCTGCTCTGCTCTGCCTCGCGGATCTTTTGCATTTGACCTGCTCGCGCGGCAGCAGCTGAAGCGGCCGTGGCACTGTTTTTATCGTTCTTGCGCTTCTTGCGCTCGGCATCATCGTCTTGGTCACCCTTTCGCTTGTTTGCGAGCTGCTGTTTCCGAGGATCAAATGCTTCCCGCTCACGCTCATTCTGGGTCTGTTCATTAATTGTGTCGTAGAATCCAGGGGCGGCCGGTTTTTCGAATGGAATGTCTGCGTTGTAGTCCATCTGGCCGGGCTTCCGCGTGACGACCTTGACGTTGATACCGGCATGCTTCAGTTCACGGCGCTTCTGAAGGACCGCAAGTCGACGGGACTCCTCCAATTGGCGCTCTCTGGCCTTTCGCTTGGCCTTTTTACCCTGTGTGTTGGCGAGACGAGCACGGGCTTCGCTCAGCATTTCCTTCTCATCTTCATCCAGATCGATCGTATCGGGGCGAGCGGGCTTGGATTCTGGATCGGGGTCAAGTTCACCGGGACTAAAAAGATCAGCAAAATGTTGGGAAGACAGGTGAAATGGACATACCGTAGCCGTCGAACGTCATCCGCGCTGGGGGCAGCGCTCTCCTCGCCGGGTCCTCCTAGTCCAAGCTCATCGTTCTCACGAGACTCGGCCTCATCGAGAAGCTTTTGGTAACGTTCAAGACATTGTGTCGCGGTGCGCCCGACGATGGGTGCGATCGTGCGCCATTGCGTGGGCATCAGCTTCGCGAGGTGCAAGAGCTTCTCATCCTCCTCCCGCGACCACTCGACCTTGCGAATACCGGGGTCCAGCCATTCGATCCAACGCGCTTTGCATTGCTTAGGGGTTTTCCGCGCGAGCAGTGAGGATACTCGAGCCCACTGGTTCAGACCATATTTCGATACCTGCGATCGTGTCAGTATTCGCCCCATATACCGTTGGCCAATAAGGATTGGGGATTGTAAGAGAAATACATACAGCTGCACGAAGCACCTCATCTTCGATATTGGTCCTGGAAACGCGTTAGAAGAGAAGTTCGCGGACGGTTGCAACGGGTTCTTACCAGACACCTCCTTTGACGACAGGCATGGCGTGCGATCGCGCTCTGCGCAGGGTCGTCCGATAATTAAAAGCGAAATATCAAGGGTCCCACCAAAAGATAAAGGATTGACAACCCTCTGGCGATGGGTAAGTTCAAGTGATGACAAGCTCGAAGCGGAAGAAATGCGAGTTTGCAGTTTAGCGCGCTTAACGTGATAGCCGCCCCCGCGCGTGCTGAGATAAGCAGACCCAGATTTTTTTTGGGAAGAAAAAAAGATAAGCCAATTTTCATACTTCACCGTCAACTATTTGTTTCCACAATGTCGACCTCCGTGGATGCTCCCCAGCAATTTAAGCAGCCTTCTCGTAAGGGCAAGAAGGCGTGGCGTAAGAATGTCGATGTCACCGAGGTTCAGGAGGGTTTGCGCAACCTGAAGGATGCAGAGATCAAAGGGTAGGCTGATTATTCTCATTTCTTGGCTGATTCAAACTATTAACATCCCTCCTAGTGGCCTTGTGTCCGAGAAGCCTTCCGATGAACTTTTCACTCTCGATACTACCGGATCCGAGGAAGTGCGCAAGTCCTACGCTAAGAAACACAAGCCTCTCAAGGCCGATGAGATCCTCGCGCAGCGGTCTATGATCCCCGCATTGGATGGTCGCAAGCGTGGAAACCCCAACGTTACCGATGGAGTCATCGAGCCTAAGACGAAGAAGGTCAAGAACGACTGGGTCAGCCGCAAGGAGTACCTGCGCTTGAAGCAGGTGGCAAAGGACAACAACCCAGGCAAGAAGACTGAGACTGAGATCTACGATCCTTGGGCGGACGACACCGAGCCCACCACCACCTACGATGATCCTCGCTTTGATTTCCTGTCCAAGCCCAAGGCCAAGGTTGAGCCAGTCACACTAAAGCACGCTCCTATCTCGCTCGCTGCCAACGGAAAGCGCATTCCCGCTGTTAAGACACCGCACGCCGGAACAAGTTACAACCCTGTGTTTGAGGAGTGGGACCAGCTCTTGGAGACGCATGGTGCCAAGGCAGTTGAGGCTGAGAAGAAGAGACTCGAGGAAGAGGCCAAGGAGGCTGAGAAGCAGCGTATGATTGAGGCGGCTCAGAACGATGATGGCGAAGTCAAGTCGGACGATGAGAGTGCCTGGGAGGGCTTTGAAAGCGAGTATGAGAAGCCAGAGTGGCTGAACAAGAAGCGCCCCGAGCGGAAATCCAAGACGCAACGCAACAAGATCAACCGTCGCAAGGAAGCAGAGCGGAAGGCCAAGTGGGAGTCTCAGATGAACAAGAGAGATGCACAGGCCGAGCACATCGCCAAGATCATTGAGCAGGTCAAGCAACGGGAACTTGAGCGCGAGAACGAGTCCGATGCGGATGATTCTGAGGAGGGTGATGACACTACTCTCCGCAGAAAAACTTTCGGTGGCAAGAAGGCGTATGTCATACTTCCAGATCTACTTTTGTTCTCGACTTACAACTTTTTAGGGTGCCTGAGAAGCGATTGGAGCTGGTGCTTCCCGACGAACTCCAGGATTCGCTACGACTTCTGAAGCCCGAGGGCAACCTTTTGGATGACCGATTCCGAACATTAATTGTTCAGGGTAAGCTCGAGTCTCGCACACCGATCACGCAGGCCCGCAAGGCCAGGAGACAGGTGACCGAGAAGTGGACTGCGAAGGACTTCAAGACTGGGTACGAATAATTCTGCTGCATATTCCCTCTAAAAGCGCGTGCATTTGGACATATATTGCGTCCTACATAGATCCATACTGTTTATTATCATTCACCTCAAATCATGTAGTAAAAAAAAGTAGTGTTATGGTCGACTCTGGACTCTATCGAGAGATAAAAGTGGGTCCCGAAAATTTACTTGCTTATCGCCTTTTTATCTTTCCAACTTCCTCCATGCAGCATTGTCACCATGGACAAGACCAGTCTCTCCAGTAATTGGAAGAAGCTGCAGGCGACGTTGAAGAAGGACCCACCTACTACCAAGCGCAAGTCTTCCGATCGCGACGGAGATGCTACCGTGAAGAAACGCAAGACAGAAAAGCCCAAGACCAAGACCACGACACGAGAGAAGCTACCACTCAAGCGCAAGAGAATGTCCGAGAGAACAGAGTTGGCCACAGACTCCCACACTCCGGCCTCACCTACCCGGAGAAAGTCCAGCGCAGCAGCGCCCGTTGAGCCCAAGATCAGTTCCCGTGCCGGAAAAGAGAATGAAGGTCGTTCGCCGAAGTAAGTGTCGTCTCTCCATGGTACACATGCCTATCTTGTGATTGTATACTAACTTGAGCAGCGCCGAACTAGGAAAATACGTCGCCATGGATTGCGAAATGGTAGGCGTCGGACCAAACCCAGACAACGACTCCGTACTGGCCCGCGTCAGTGTGGTCAACTTCAACGGCGACCAAGTATACGATTCATACGTGCGGCCCAAGGAGATGGTCACAGACTGGCGTACACATGTCAGCGGAATCGCACCAAAACACATGATCGAAGCCCGGACTTTTGAACACGTGCAGAAAGAAGTGGCAGAGATCATGAAAGACCGCATCCTCGTTGGTCACGCTGTCAGCAATGATCTCGACGCTCTTCTGCTCAGTCACTCTAAGCGCGACATTCGAGATACGAGCAAGCATGCACCGTATCGGAAAATTGCCGGCGGTGGATCACCGCGTCTGAAGATGTTGGCGGAGGAGTTCTTGGGATTGAAGATTCAGGATGGAGCGCATTCTAGTGTGGAGGATGCTCGGGCTACGATGGCTCTTTATCGACGCGAGAAGGATGCCTTTGAGCGGGAGCATTTGAAGAAATGGCCTGCTCGTATGATTGCAGATAATCGGGAGAAGGGAGATGGCGAGAAGAAGAAAAAGAAGAAGAAGAAGACTACTCGCAAGCGGTGATGGTGAGATGGTTTGAGACATAGATACTTTGTATATGTATACCCCGAATTGCATCAATTGGATTTATTCTTGAAGTTTGATCAATATGTTACAGAAGTAATCATTTTCGTAGAACTATTCATTCTAGATATGTACAGAATACAGTAGTTGTCCTCATTGTACTTCCGAGTTGAATTTCCACTTAACGCGGCAACGCGACGCGCCTCGAACATTTCCGACTTATAATCCTTCCCCGAACACCCCGACAACCCTCAGCTTCAAGGCACAAACTGCATAGCACAATACATCAATCGCTATATCCAGCTTTCGACTACAGAGTGTACACACCTACCGCGCCAACCTCAGACCCTCAATCCCATTGCCAGTCCGCGCGCGCGACACAATGCCAGACATGTACGCCATCCAGCCCAACACAAAAGCAGACACAAATTCACAGAAGGACACCTCAACACCACAATACACACCAAACATAATCCCATGCAAAATCCACCACGATGGAGCAATTGATACCTTGGATCGATACTGGGCGCCAGTGACAGACGAAAAAGGTACAAAGTCTAAATCACAGCTTACTACCCCCAATAAAGCATAGCATAAAGCGAAAGAAGCAAACAAGTACCCGAAAAAGAACCAGATTAAACTGACCCATCCATTCACACAGATAACACCCAAACCTCATATTTCCGCGGCCGCAAACTTCGAGGTCGGCGCGTTGCCCTTCCGGACGGGTATCGAGGTACGACAATACACATACCCAGACAAGATCATTATACTAGGTAGTTGGTCTTTGTTCAGTCCAAGCAACTAAATATATATGCGTTTCCCAATCTAGGCATCATCGCAACACCAACCGATCGCGTATTACCCTCCAGCCAACAAGTCCCCAATGACGAGGATGAAGTCGTCGAAGTTGAACCCGAGGAACCGGTCAAGATCCTTGAGATGAATGGTACTTTTGAGGATGTTGTTGTATGGGGTCATGAGGCTGTTCCTGCTGCAGATGATACTTTCGTCAAGGGTGTTGAGGAGTGGTTGCAGTTTGCTGAGGCTGTATGTTCTTTCACCTTTTGTTTCTTTGGGATTGGAGGGTCATTTGCTGACTTGCTTTGATTAGATGCATGGTACACCCGCTCCGGTAAATGGGAAGGAGGCTGTTGCATGAGAGGATTGGTTTTTATGGAGTTGAGGGTTTGGTTTTGGGATTGGGGTCGCATATATGCTATACAATCTGAATTGAAAATGGGCTCTGAAGTCACTTTTCTGTTTAATATTGGAATTGAAGGCTCGTAGGACCTTCATGTCGAGAGTTGACTGAAGTAGACATGCGTGGAAGAGGGCATTAGTGGGATCCTTGATTGCATTCGAGGGATTCTACCTCGTAAACTATGTAAATTTATTAAAGACGAACCCTGGAACCAGCCCATACTCTTAGATTGATATCCAATTTAGTCAAATATCATTGTAGATGTAGATCTAGATGTAGATATTGATAAGCTTGACCGCCCCTCAATCCGATAAAGCTTCTCAAGCAACTCAGGAACTCAACCACCTCCACACATCCTCCCAGTCTACGGAGTACACACTACACGAACATGGACACATCCAACGCCCCAACAGCACCAGAGGCACTGATTTCCCAATTCCAAGTAACAAAACTCCTCAGACAAGGTACCAACCCACCCCTCCTCCCCGCAATCCAACGATACAAAAGGAAAAAAAAAAAAAGACTAACAACCCCCAGACCAAGCGGGCAGACGCATCTCCCTCCTGGGAACAATAAACAACGAACAAGGAATCCTAACAGCCGAAAGAACAGCCCTCCCAACCGAATCCCTAGACACAATCCAAGCCTTCCACGCCGCAATCTCGCGCGTAAAGAACCTAGGCGACAACGACATCTACCGGTGGTACTTAGCCTCCTCAAACAACACCAACAACAATGGCCCAAACAGCAACGGCAACGACCTAAAACTCAACCTGATCTGGCCCTGCACAACGAGCCACATAAAAAAATACAGCTCCCAACAGCTGCGCATGGTAACCGAAACACCAGCCATCTACAAAACCCACATCCATCCCTACATGCGCGCAAAGCGCGAAGAGGGACGGTTAAATTGGGTGTTCAATATTCTGGAAGGGAGGACCGAGCAGGAAGATGTTATACTGCGCGATGAGGGGGGCCCGAATGGAGCCCAGGATGCGTTTTTGATGTTGCCTGATTTGAACTGGGATCGAGAGACTATGGGCTCGTTGCATTTGCTTGCGCTTGTGCAAAGGAGGGATATTTGGTCTTTGAGGGATTTGAGGAAGGCGCATGTTCCTTGGTTGAAGTATCTCCGGGAGAGGGTGCTTGATGGGACTGTTGGAATGTATCCTGGTGTTGAGAGGGATATGTTGAAGCTTTATGTTCATTGTGAGTTTTTTTTTCTTTGGAGATATGGTGACGGGTATTTGATTTGTTGCTGACTTGTTGACTAAGATCAACCGACTTACTATCATTTCCATGTTCATGTGGTTAATGTTATGCTCGAGGCTGGGACTACGCAGGCTACGGGTAAGGCGTTTGGATTGGAGAATTTGATTTCTCAGCTTGAGGGGTTGGCTGGTGATGAGAGTGCTAGTCTGGCGGATGTTGATTTGACGTATTTCCTTGGTGAGGCGAGTGAATTGTGGACTGATATCTTTGAGCCATTGAAGCAGGGGAAGGAGCCTGGTCAATAGATCAGAGAGCATAACTTATGCTCCAGAGTAACTTACATTAGAGGTCAAATCCTACCATTAACTGAAATGCCAGTCAAACCATCCCCTGTTACCCTATGCTATACAACGAACCATAGAACAGAATCATTAATAAATGTACATTTGGTTCATGAAATATAAATTATACATACGCCCTAGCCCTTCTCTCAACCTCCTCGCTATCAGTACTAGTCTGCGTAACCTCAAAAGTGCGATGAATCCCCAACCCAATATCGCCACCCAACCTCGGCGAGGGCCGATCAATAGTCAATCTCTCCTCAGAGCTACTAGGACTCAACGAGCCGCCGTCAAGATCGCGCTGGCTCTTAATCGTCGTCACAGTGACAGCAAGCTTATCCGGTCGAAGTCGCGACTGGACACTGTCGTCTAGCGAGCCGAGAGGAAAGGGACGGTCTTGTCCGCCTAGCTGCCGTGATGCGGATCGTGAGCGCGCGCCTGGGAAGCCGCTTGAGTAGTTTGGGTCTGAGCGGGAGCCCATCCAGACTCTAAGTAGGGGCCGGAGAGTGGCGAGACTTCCGGCTGTGATGCCTAGGCCTGTTTCGATGTTGGACCAGATTGCAATTTCGATTGTTGCGTCTAGAAATGGTTAGTTTCTTGTAGGGGATGTTGGGGCCAAGTGGGTGGGTGTTGACGTACAGAGGAAGTCGTGTTCGGCGAAGGTTTGCACAAAAGGAATGCGAACAATGACGGCAGAGGAGGCACTGATATATGGTTAGTGATTTGAAGACCCCAAGTCTGTATAGTGAGAACCGAACATACATGCAAGCCATACTCAAAATACCCATAACGGCGACCTTGGTCTGCTTCTTCATGTGCAACTTGTGCACGAGGAAAATGGGCAGGATTCCAACGGTGAAATCACAGAATGCCGAAAAGCCACTGTAGACGTATGTCATGGCGATGATGATGTCGATATTGATGCAATATCCAGGGACCGAGGGGTCCTGGAAAGCCCGGGTCCAGAAGTATGATAGCGGCTTGCACTGCAGCAGCATCAGGAACATGAAGACCACTCCAGCAATGACGGTCAAGATCATGACGGTGTACAGGGTCCAGATATGAATGCGCTTGATGGTGATGCGCATTAAGAATAGACAGACGGAGATCTTGCAGAAGATCGAGGCGAAACAATAGGCGATTTCGCACAGCCACCAGTACTCCATGGCTGTGACTGCATTCCTAGGCTCAAGAGAATCGTATCTGTAGCCGGTTCCGTACAGTGTGCCTCCGATCATCGTTCCACAGAACATGGCGTAGAAGATCTGTGAATTGGATGTTAGTATAAGCGTTCTAGGGTTTGCGGAATGAAGTCCTATTCTTGTTGCGGGAGTCAGAGAACATGAACATCCCGACACGAACATACCATTGCAAGAATCATTGCGGCATCATCCCATCCAAAAGCCTTCACGATCCATCCTCGCACGTAACAGCGTAAGATGACCGAGATCGCAGCAATGGGCAGGAAGACCGCGGCCACGGTCTGAACCGCGGTTTTCCTCCGAAGCTCATCGTCCATATTAACGTTAATAGAACGACATGGATTTAGAGTGATGGTGTGGGGGAGAAGGATTTTAAGAAGGATCCATCTGCAGGGGTAAAAGGATGCACGAATCTAGAGCGCTTAGGGGGAAGGAGAATTTAGCATGGCGTTTTCTTAGTGTGTAGATATAGGCCAACCACGTTGCGATCGACGGACGAGATGATCATTGGGGAGCCGCAGTGTGGCTCTCATCTCCGAAACAGGAAATACTACGTACCAAACATACGAACTACGGTATTCGGCCAATTTCCTTGACAGGTGGGTACGGCCTGACAGGTGTCGAAGTGGTAATGTGGGAAAACTGGCCCAGACAGACAGACTTTCGGCTTTCGTATCCCGATACAATGGAGGGTTTCGAGTGGGAATCGAAACCAAGGGGTTTCGCCACTACTTTACACCGTTGTGTCTAGCTTCATTTGTGCTTTTTGTTGATTGCTCCACATGAGAGACCCAGGAGCCCGAAATTGGGTCTCCAGTCCACTCCGCACTGTCCATCACTGCCGTAGGACGCCGATATATGGAGCAGGCGTTGTCAGGGATTCTGGTGATTTGAGAAGGTGTGCGGCGATCCTGATTTAGATGGCGTGCACTAGGGCAGGGTAGTGTGTCTTGATGACAATGCATTGTGCCGTCAGCGCCACCCAAGGCCATTAGCGTGACTCTGTACGGCGTGTACGAGACTTCCAAGACTTTCCAAGGTCTCGGGTTTTGGCTTTAAGTGGAGTCTGCTCCGGTCAAATCCTGTTCAGGGGATGTTGCTTGGAAATGAACAGGTGGTGGGTGGTAGGAGAGGAGCAGAAGAGGACGCGGTCTTCGGTCTGATATGTGTTTGACGGATACGTGATGTACTGTACCGTTATGGTGCTGTGCCGGACTTTGACACTGTCCCGTGGATCTGGGAAGGTGATGAGCGAGGACTTGGAAATAGACTCATTTTTGGGCAAACTCTATGTACTCTTTGAACCTCTCATATTCCACCGTTGCATAAATTTGATTAATTATGAAGAAACAATCGGTGGCTGACATGAAGGATTAATAAACTACGGCCTGCATGAGGGTTGGCTTGGCTTGGCCCCCAAAGCCCACCCCGCACCTCCTTTCCAACTCCAACTACACACGCGATCATCGATCTTCCATCTCCCATCTATTCGGCTCGCATCCGATCTGGAACATCGCAGACATCCACAATGGCCGTCGACGTCCCACACACCCAAAAGGCCTTTGTGCCTCTCGGTAAGCCCCCATCCAAGCTCCAGCCACAGGTCCAATCCAGCCAGCTCTATCTAGCTCCAACCTTAACCCAGCTATCCCAAACAAAGTACCCCAAACTCACACAATGCAATTAGAAAACAACCCAGAAGTCATGTCCCACTTAGTCCACCAGCTGGGCCTCCCCAAAACCCTAGGCTTCACAGACGTCTTCTCAATCGACGAGCCAGATCTGCTAGCCTTCGTCCCACGCCCCTCCCACGCCCTCTTACTAGTCTTCCCCGTCTCCAAAACCTACGAAACATCCCGCCAAACCGAAGACGCCGCATTATCGGAATACACAGGCTCCGGCCCCAACGAGCCAGTAACATGGTTTAAACAAACAATCCGCAACGCATGCGGCCTCATCGGCCTCTTGCACACCGTGTCAAACGGCGAGTCGAGAAAACACGTTATCCCAGGCTCTGACTTGGACGGGCTGCTTCGTGATGCGGAGGGTCTTGCGCCGGTCCGACGGGCTGATTTGCTGTACGAGTCGAAGGCGCTGGAGAGTGCGCATGCTGATGCGGCCAAGTTGGGGGATACGGCGGCTCCGGAGGCTGGGGATGAGGTGGATTTGCATTTTGTAGCGTTTGTTAGGGGAGATGATGGGACGCTTTGGGAGTTGGATGGGAGACGGAAGGGCCCGCTTGCTAGGGGGGTTCTTGGGGAGGGGGGAGGATGCGCTGTCGGAGAAGGCGCTTGGGCTTGGTGTTAGACGGTTTTTGGAGATGGAGGCCAAGGGGGGGAATCCTGATTTGAGGTTTAGTCTTGTTAGTCTTGGGCCGCTTTTTGATTAGGCTCAGGGGCTGGTGGGTTTATTTCATGGATGGCGTTGTTGTTGTTGTTGTTGTTGTTGTTTTTTTTTTGGATATTGCTGCTTGTCTTCTGCTACCTGTTTAGCGATGTGGAATGGGGCAGTGTATGGAATGAGACTTCTATGATTTACGAGAATTGATGCTGGTGTCAGATGTCTGAGAATAGGCCAGGGTGGATACTGTGATGTCTACGTTTATACTCTATTAAGCCCTGGCAGATGCCATCCCCACTTCCTTCTAGCCCAACATTTATCAATAACTATCCAGCTATCTCTTCTCATGCTCCACATCAATAGCAGGAGAAATCACAGACCCGGTTGTCCCAGCAATAGGCACATCCTCAGGGTGGGTACTAGCCATCTTCTCACCCACCATCTCACCAGTAAGTCCCTCGTTCTCCTGCGACTCAGTATTACCCTGAGTTTTCAGCGTCAAGAACGGCACCATAAACAACGAAAGACCCGCAGCTGCAGCCGCATACCAATATACAGCAAGGTAAGGCTGGATAGCAGGTGTCGAAGCAGTCATCGTGTTAACAACGGATGCTTCAACAGAGGTTGCAATACCAAGACCGAGATTGTTGCACAGCTTGCTGACCGTGTTGAAGATGCCTCCTGCGATGGATTGCTGCGATGGTGGGAGGGAGGACATGACGTACATCTGGTCTAGAGTTAGCAACGGGCCTATTCAGATATAGATATAGATGGGGGAGTTGCCATAGCATAGCATGGGACAAGCTAGGACGTACATTTGTAACGTTGAACTGAATGTCAGCACCAACAACAACAAGGACCAAAGCCGGGAAGATAAACGCCCAGTATGTAGCGTCTTCCGTCATGAAACTGAGAATCAGGAAGGAGGCTGTGTATGCCAGTGCTCCAATTCCGGTCAGCACTTTGTTGCTCACGCGGTGGAGGACCAGACCGCAGATAACATTGACAAGCACGCCACTGACGACCATTGGGAGGAGTTTGGCTGTGATTTCGAGGGATGTTTGGTGCTTCACTTCTTGGAGATAGAGCGAGAGGAAGAATGAGACGGCGGAGAAGCCCATGAAACCAAGACAGAATGTTGCCATGAGCTGGAGCGTGTTAGTTTCCTTCTGGGGTTAATATGGAATATGCCAAAGATACACATACCAATGAGAAATTGCGATCTTTCCAAACCCAGAGTGGCATCAGCGGGTTCTTAGCAATAGATTGCCAATACAAGAAAGTAACCAGCAAGAAGAATCCCACGATGAACAAGCCGAGAACATAACCAGTCTTCCAGCTATCCGGTGCATCACCAGCCAACCTTAACAGAACCCGTCAGCACAATCCAACCAAACCCAATAAGAGAAACAGAAAGAAATACATACGAAAGCGAACTTGAAAAAAATGCAAACCCAACAATAACCAAACAAGTACCAAGTAGATCAAACCGCCTCAACGCCTCAAGGCTCACAGGCGTCCTAGCGAACCCATCAGCCGGAACCGTCCAAACAGTAAGCACGGTGAAAATAGCATAAACAACCGCAAGAGCCCAAAATGACGCCCGCCAGTTATACTCATGGCTCGCAACACCAGAGATAATCATCCCTCCCACAAAACCCAGCGGATTACCCGCAGAGAAGCAAGCAAAAGCGCGGTTCTTCCGCTTCGAGGGCTTTTCATAGACGGCGCCTAGGGTTCCCACTGCGGGTGGTACGACGGCTGCCGCGAAGAGGCCTATTATGCCGCTGAAGACGTCCATGTAGATTGCGTTTGTGGCGAAGCCAGCTATTAGCAGTGAGATGGTGAAGCCGGCCATTCCTATTGTGAAGAGAGTTTTGCGGCCGAACATGTCGGCTAGTTTGCCAAATGAGAGGAGGAAGGCGCCGCTGCTTAGACTGTTTTATTTTTATTTTTTTTGTTAGTTTGGGGTTAGGTTTAGTTGTGGCTTGTATGGTGGATTGGGTGAATTGGATGGACGGAATGGTTGGAAGAAAATACGTACGAAGCACCGGCGTTGATCCAGGTAATCTCAGCTGAATTCATGTTCAAATCTTTTCCGATTGAGGCTGTCACACCGACAATGCAGCCTTGGAAGAATGATTGTTGGCCGATGGCCATGGTGGCTGTTAAAACGAAGAGGCATTCTTGGAGGGTGCTGTTGAAGCATTTTGGGCGTTCGGTATAGTTATTCTCTGTGAGGGTGGCCTCCGGACCTTTTTCACTGTCTTGCTGTACCATTGTTGGCATTCCAGGCTGCAACTCTCTGATTGTCGACTGGTGAAGTTTTCGAGGACGGCAGATAGGAGGCACGTCGTAATCACGACGCTGGGTTAGTTCGCGTTAGGCGGGTTAGGGGGGTTCTAGCCTTCCACCTCGTCCATGTGGGGAAGAAAGATTAAGCATTCGAGATCCAGTTTATATATCATGCTGTTACACCTACCTATTACAGCGACTTTGTCAGCCACGGGGGAGTTCCGCGATCTGATCTTTGGAACTGATCGCACTAGTCCAGTTGGGGGTTTAGCGAGTTGCTTTGCAGGGATGTTCCTGCCGCAATCACCTAAGCATCAATTGTTCGGACTTTCGGTGAACAGATTACTGTACATGCTTATCGACACTATTCCGGAATCCAATTTTTTGTTGTATCATCAACCCAGCACTCGCGGGCGTTGAACTTGAGAGCCTCGTTCCCACACGCCCACCAACCAGCTGTCAAGTTTCGGGCAAATACCTCGAGAGCAGTGTATGACTCATGAGAACTTCCACTGGAGAAGAAAATCTTCTCAAAAATGCTTCTCAGGTTGGGCTTGCGTGAATGCAGGTCTGGGACCGCGGCGATGACTCGTCTCGTAGCGATGGCTTCACTCACGGCTGTCAAATCATGTGTTTCGTGTGCTGATGATAGAGCATCAACATTTAGCTCCCGTTTACCGATTACCAGAATCTCATACGGTTTCCGCCAAAGACCATCCAGCGCTGAAATCGGCTGGCCGTGCTGTGTAGTCTTGACCCAGACCCATTCCTCGCAGACGTGGAATCCCGCACCGCTCATAGCATGATAGGCAGCTTTGCGTGACTTTTCAGCGTTGGTGATCCAGATAGCTGCTATAGATTGTTGGCTTTGAATCTGGGATCCGCCCTGGGGCTCTGCCAACTGTGTCATATCCTCATGGCGATAGGAGTATGCTTGAAGAATCTCTCGCATTCCCTCGGTGAGTATGTCCATCTCGGAGTAGTGATTTGTTGTATAGTGGCCACTTCGCCGAACAGATCGGTTTGGCCAGGGCGGATCCATCAAAATGAGGTTGAATTTCTGTGAAAGTCCGGGGATGGGAAGTTCATGCGCTGCACGGTAGTCGGGTCCTTTGAAGATAGGTAGTTCACATAGTATGAAGCTTGACTCTGGTGGAACGAGGTATTCACCTGTCGTTTCATGGGACGTTCCAATTTGAATTACTGCGGCTTCTGGTGATGGATTCTTCGTTACGTTCAGCTCTGAGAGGGTCTCAAATATATTCGGTACAGCAGATGATAGAATCACTGGTGGTTTATCGAGTACTTTGGCATGGCCATCAGGTCCAGGCTGCAGGAATGTAGAATCATTCCCTTTCCGTCGCTTCCGTGATGGAGGTTGATCTGGCACCATATACTCGTTAACTTCCTCGCAGGGCACGACTCTTGTGAAACACCATCGATCACCATCGATGCCAGCCCGGATGGTTTCCAGGGAGTCTCTCACGAGGGGCAGTATCAATTCCGAGTGGAACCGTCTTTCGGAGATAGGAGTGCTCTCAAGGACCTTGGCACGGGCATTTGGTTTCTTGGGCTCAGTCGACGGGAATGGCTCTTTGGCAGGAGAACAAGAAAGGAGTTGTTTTCTTTGCGACTTGTTCTCTTGGGTCTTTAGGCTCGGTTCTGCTGTCGTTGGCTCGAGTTGTTTGCATGGGGCTATATTCCCTTGGGCAATGGCGATAGAGTATGGAATGTCCAGCAGAAAGATCTTATCTTCTGCCTGGAATAGAATCGCTGATTCTTGGGTATCGATCATTTTGGTTCGTCATTGTGAAAGGGACATTTGGAGGCCAGAGATTGCGGGTAGGTGTGGAGGTCAGCCCTATTTCGATACCCTGCTCAGCATAGCCCCTTCTTTCATTGAAGGTATTTATGTATCTTTATTGGTGGTACTCTACATTGTTTTGAGGGTGTGCCATTGTCTACCACATATCAATTCGTTGTGCATACTTTTTTTCTCCGGTCAAATATATGTTTGCACCAAGGGCCATGTATGTTTATACACAGTTTACAGAAGGTTGAGATTTCTATACAAGATCCCTAAAGTGAGTGTACCTTTCACAAACTGTTTATGCCTCAACATAGTCTCCTTTCTGACCTCTCTTTTGACCTCTTTCGCGTTCCTCGGAGAACATATGAAGGCAGGGGGTGAAGGACCTATGAAAATGATTTTACTACCAAAGGTCTTTATTGCAATTTGTTTTTGCACCTACATTATATCTACTATTCTATTGTAGAGCGAGTCTTGATAGGCAACTCCAGGCAGAGAGAAGAAGTGGAGGAACTAGTACTTCGAGATCCCCAATGGGGCCATGCAACCTAAGACAGGCAATGTTGCATGAGTCAGAGCTGAACAGCATCAAAGGCAAGGGTAGAAGGGCAACCATCCCTTTTATTCTCGTTATAGCAGTGTTGTAGACAATCTGTGAATATATGTAAAAACCAAGTTCTAAGTGTAGTTCCCCGGGCCCCGCGAGCTCTATCTTCCCCACCATCCAACTCCGTCGCAATTTTAGTGACGTGTGACTCTTCTCTTCTCGCCTACCCCCGGCAACTGTGCCGTTCCGACATCACGCCTCCCATCACACGGAAAAGAAAGGCGGCTGAGGTTGATAACGACCCTCTGCCAAAAGCCGCCACCAAGGCCCACGGCCCCCGACACGCCACATCCGACCGACCGGCCTTGTCCAAACACAGTTCTGCTGCAACAGAGATCACCGATAATAGGGCAAGTCCCGCCAGTTCCGCGAGCCAGAAGAAGAGGGATCTTGTGACGCCCGCGACAACCACCGCAAGCATGGACTCCGACGACGACTTCATGAGCGATGTCTCCAGCCAAGATGACTTTGGCATGCAGGCAAGCGACAACGACAGCTTAGGAGAAGGTTCGTAACCTACCCCTAGATTCGCGTTCTGGTCGTGATGACTGACTCACCTGCTAACCTGGGATGAACAGACTTCGGTGATCTCGACGCCGGCTTCGACGACAAAGACATATTCGGACACAAACGGAAACCCTATGAAGTCGAGCTCAAGGTCCTCGATCCCCCCGATATCGAAAATGAGCAGCTTGGTCAGGTTAACGAGGTGTGCGCTATCCTCGGGCTGCCTCCAGAGTCGGCGGCTATCCTGCTACGGTTCGGACGATGGAATAAAGAGAAGTTGATTGAGTCGTACATGGAACACCCGGAGAAGACTTTAGAGGACGCTGGACTCGGGACGAACTTCGAAGGCACTGCGAAAACGGAGACGGTACCTGGCTTCATGTGTGACATTTGTTGTGAGGATGGCGATGATCTCGAGACCTACGCCATGCGCTGTGGACACCGATTCTGTGTCGACTGTTATCGACACTACCTGGGGCAAAAAATAAAGGAAGAAGGCGAGGCGGCTCGCATACAGTGCCCGGGTGATGGATGTAATCGCATTGTGGACTCGAAGTCATTAGACCTTTTGGTGACGGACGATCTGAAAGAAAGGTGAGTACTTGGCTCTTTTGAGTGGAAAAAATGATCTTGCTAACGCGTCGCTTGGTACAGATATCGCGAACTTCTGACCCGGACATACGTTGACGACAAGGAAAACCTAAGGTGGTGCCCTGCACCAAACTGCAAATATGCCGTTGACTGTGGGGTCAAGAACCGAGATCTTCATCGCATCGTGCCGACGGTACATTGTTTCTGCAAGCACGAGTTCTGCTTTGGCTGCTCTCTATCCGACCATCAACCAACGCCCTGCACACTAGTCAAGATGTGGCTACAGAAATGTGAAGATGACTCCGAAACAGCCAACTGGATCTCGGCCAACACCAAAGAGTGCCCGAGGTGCATGTCCACAATTGAGAAGAATGGTGGTTGTAACCACATGACCTGTAGGAAGTGCAAGCACGAGTTCTGCTGGATGTGTATGGGCCTTTGGTCTGAACACGGCACAAGCTGGTACAACTGTAACCGATATGAGGAAAAGTCCGGCTCAGATGCTCGCAGTGCTCAAGCCAAATCACGTTCATTCTTGGAACGTTATCTACATTATTATAACCGGTACGCCAACCATGAGCAGTCTGCCAAGCTCGATAAGGATCTCTACCTGAAGACCGAGAAGAAGATGACCAGCCTTCAATCATCGTCTGGTCTATCCTGGATCGAGGTGCAGTTCCTGGATACTGCATCGCAGGCCCTGCAACAGTGCCGTCAGACCTTGAAGTGGACTTATGCGTTTGCATTCTACCTCGCGCGCAACAACCTGACAGAAATATTCGAGGACAACCAGAAGGATTTGGAGATGGCTGTCGAGAGTCTCAGTGAAATGTTTGAGAAGCCTGTATCTGAACTGGCAGAACTCAAGGTTGATATCCTCGACAAGACCGCCTATTGCACTAAGCGCCGGGTGATTTTACTGAGTGATACCGCCGAGAACCTGAAAAATGGTATGTCATCTGAGTGCCCCAACAATATGCATAGACTAACAAATTTACTAGGAGAGTGGTCCTTCAATGTTGAATGGTAAAACACCAACACCACTCAATCCCTCGCATGCAGAACACTGCAGCCGATCTCTTGACGACGTGAATGACATATACTCTTTTGCGAGTAAAGCATATTTCCCCATCACTGTCAGGCCCGTAGTGTTGGCCCTGACACCAGTTACGCAACACCGTCATCCATATCCAGGGAACGGGCCTATGTTTTATCCGCGCAACCGAAATGACCTGCCAGAACCTTTGTTTTATGTGTTTTATGTCAGCCATCTGTTTGCTTTGCCTTCTGGTGCTTAGGCGCAGTGGGAGATTTGTTAAGGTTATTGAAACAGATAGCAGTATTATGATCAAGCGCATCTCGTGTTTTCAACAGTAGGCATTGAACTAATAGAAAACAGTGTTCCGTTTGGCTAGGGATATTTTGAGCATTCGTAGCCATAAGTTATCATCGACAACGAGATACATATACCCTTTGAATATCTGTCCTGTTCTGAAAGCAAGTCATATGGACATCAGATTCTTTTGCGAGAAACAAGGGGCCCCTATGGAGTAACAATATGCTAGGCAAACCGACTATAGTTTAGTCCACGGCATGTAGCGCCGGACCTCGGCATGCCCCAGTGGAAAGTCGCGTGTTCCGTGCACGTCTGCCAAATAATGAAACAAGCAAAAGTCAATAGCAGAGAATAGCACAGTCATGCATGAGAATACCATATGATTAACCATCTACAGGTACAGTAAGGTATCATATCACTCTAGACTGGATGTATCTGCAGATCTGGAGAACAAGTCTTCTCGAAGGCTTCCACGGAGCCTATATAAACAAGGAATTAGCTCCACCTTAGGCGAAAAATGGTCAAGGGTGAGATGGCAGGGGTGTCTTATCTGATTGATAATGTTAATGTATTAATCATGTACCCGTGCAGTGGTGAGACAGGGTTAAGGGTACCGGTGAGGTACTTCGGCCGCCCCTTTCAACTCCGTCATCGGATGGCTCGGACTGTATGTATCGGAGATGTATGTATTGGTACTGGACTAGACCGGGGAACTCTGCACAGTGAGGTACGGCTGTACTTTCTCTGTATGGGTAATTTGTTGGTTTGGAGGTCTGGCCTCGTATTCTGAATAAGCCAATACAGCAAGCAAGGAAGAGAAAGAAAGGAAATTGAAATTGTATTAGGTAGAATTCCGATCTCCGGGACTTCTTTTCTATTACTGTTATTTGTTACTTGTGCCCAGAAATTAAGTGGAATCAGCGAAGGTCGGCCTGAATAATTTGACTAGCGTCGAATTTGTTCAAACTGGGCAAACTCTCCAAAAGTGTTCATCCCCCGAAACTCCGGGGAACAAGTTTTTGCTCTTTTATTCAACTTCACTTTGCCGTTGGTGTTCGTGTGCGCCCCCGTACCCTGGTTATCTTCTTTGACCGATCTCCTCCCCCTCACTCCTACATCCTCCCCTTCTTCAATTGCGGTAGCTGCGGATTGAGCTAGCGGAGCTCCATGGCGGCTCCCGATCAGATCCCCGGACAGGAATTCGAGTATGTGTCTCCCCGATTTGTATTTTTTTTTTTCACGGATTGAGCTGGGTCCGGGCTTGTCTCCAGCGCCGCGACAGTTATTTCCCGTCTTGATGGGCCAGGAGATGATCCAGCAGTGACTGAGTTATTTTCTGCGGATCGCGCTCGGTCCTGGCTTGTCTAATGATATTCTGCGAAATCTGATTTTGGGACTGGGCTAACGCGACGTGTTCTTTTCTAGCTATGAAGCCCTTCCTTCCAACTATGGCCTTGGCCGGAACATGTTAGCGGGTGCTTTCGCAGGGATAGCAGTATGTTCACCGGAGTACTGGAAATGGCGAGGATTTTGACTGATCGGATGAAAGGAACACTCGGTTATGTACCCCGTGGACTTGCTCAAGGTATGCATCATTTACGCGATTGGCGAACTTGTCATGAGGAATTGAGCGCTGACCAGTTGGGCCTTTAGACTCGCATGCAAATTCTGAATCCTTCAACTGGTGGTCTCTACACGGGATTGACCAATGCCGTTTCCACAATCTATCGGGTCGAGGGCTGGCGGACGCTATGGAAGGGTGTTTCGAGTGTGGTCGTTGGCGCAGGTGTGTATTCACCGGGGATTGCCAGAGTTGTCAATGCTAATTCGCGATAGGTCCGGCACACGCGGTTTACTTCGGTACATACGAGATTGTGAAGGAAATGGCTGGTGGTAATGTCGACGATGGACACCACCCCTTGGCTGCCGGTAAGATGGGTTTGAAACCTCGGTTTATTATGCAGAGCTAACGGATTTGCGGTATAGCTATGAGCGGTGCTTCGGCCACGATTGCCAGCGATGCGCTGATGAACCCCTTTGATGGTAAGTTTCCCGGACTCGACGAGATTGACACCGACTGACTGGTTTATAGTCATGAAGCAACGTATGCAGGTCCACGGTTCCATTCACAAGAGCCTTGCGCAGTGCGCCAAGACGCTCTATCGCACCGAAGGTCTCCAGGCTTTCTACGTCTCCTACCCTACCACACTATGCATGACTGTGCCTTTCACAGCCACTCAATTTGTCGCCTACGAGTCAATCTCGAAGGTCATGAACCCCAAGCAAGACTACGACCCCTTCACCCACTGTATCGCCGGTGGTTTGGCCGGTGCCTTCGCGGCCGGTATTACCACGCCCCTTGATGTTGTGAAGACACTTCTCCAGACTCGTGGTTTGGCAGATAGCGAAGAAGTGCGGTCTGCACGGGGTCTGTTCAATGCCGCTGCGATTATCAAGCGCCAGTTTGGCTGGTCTGGATTCCTGCGCGGCATGCGCCCTCGTATTATTTCCACAATGCCCTCCACTGCAATTTGCTGGTACGTCCCATTCGAACCGCTGATATTGAAAATGTAATCTTTGCTAAACCCATCCAGGACATCTTATGAGATGGCCAAGGCATACTTCAAGGAACTCAGCGACTAAACTCCCTCTCGCATACCACTGAGCACCATTGGGCTCAGTGGGCCCTTCCACTTACACCATGGGCACATAATCTGAAGTCGATGTCATACAATTTGGGAGGAACATCTGCATGTGGGCTTTTTATGAAGAGCGTTGGCAATGTATAGTTTGGAACAAAAACGGGGAGACTCTTTTTTCACCGGCGTTGGAATGAGGGCTGGGTTCCCTAGTGTTTTATTTGCCATAGATGGGAATCTAGAGATATCTTTTTTAATATATAAAAAAAAATGGTCAAAATGTTCCTGGACGCATGCGTAACTGCCAAACGACGTCACGCGAAAATTCCTCCCCCCTCATCTTCGGGAGATCATCGTTTACCTCTACATCACTTTGACTTCGATGCGGGCGGGCCTGCTTATTCCCAATGATGCGCCCAAGGCCTGCGTCTTCCATGCAGAAGACGTACGACGAGTGTTACCTCGCATGCTCAACCGCGGTATACTTTGAGGGCCAGGTAAGTGCACGCTAGCGGTTAGACCCCGGTCAAATGCTCATTACATCAGAACAACGAAGAAGAAGCACTACGGTCCTGGCGATCCGCTCTCGAGACCATTTACCATCACAATGCCCGCCGACTGCCGTCGAATTACACCCCGAAATCCGAAACCGAGAAAGCCCTGCAGGATTCCATCCGAGCGCTGGAGATCCAATGCCGAGAACGGGTCGATCTGCTAGGCGCTCTCCGAGCGAGCAGGAAGGAGTCATCAGATGCGAAGGCTAATGGTAGTAAGGAGCCTGCGACTCTCGTCAAGGGCAAGTTTGTCCCCAGTATGCCGCCGCCGACTTCCAACCCGCCCGGCTGGATCGGTGACGGAACTATCCCTGCTGTGGGCTACACCGACCTTTCCAAGCCTGCTGCCATACCCGGTCGTCCGTCGCTTCCAATGCGACAGAGCCATGAGTCGCATCATGTCTACGATGATCCTGGTCCGGCGATGGCGTCGACTGCTACGCCGGCGCTGCGGGTGAACTCAAATTCTTCGGGCAAGACCAAGTCGCGTGGATCGAGTCCTGAGCGCCGGAAGCCGATGTTGACAACTCTGCGCAGCGCTGACGGGAAGAAAAATGGCAAAAAGGTGAAGGTTGCGTCGAAGAAGAAAGACTCGCGGCCTGCGGCTTCTAAGGCTGCTGGTCTGGCATGGGGTAATATCTACCGCTCGCCATCAGGATCGGGCGAGAAGCATGTGAGCGATGCAGCTGCGGCGTCTAGGCAAAGTGCTGCCAACGATGTTATTCGTAGAGACTTGGATCCCAGATCGAGTTCTGGAGATGAGCCTTCGACGAGGGTTCGCACCTCCCGGGATCTTACGGCAGACCGAATCCCTGCTGCACACTGGCGAGAGCCTCATGTGTCGTCACCGAAGCGGTCTTCACCTAAGCCGCCTACTCTACCCCCTCAACCTCCATCGCACCGTCCTCAACCCCCATCCGAACGTCAAAAAATACCTCCTCCTTCTCCCATGTCGATGCCGGATCCGAACGACTTCGGGGGACCACCCAAACCCTCTATCAAACCTAAGCCGGTGGCCTTGCGGTCTTCTCAGCCGTCGAGCCACTCGGTCCAGACGTCTAGGTCTGAGCAGAACTCCCGGGCGGTGACACCCCGGCTGGACCGTGAGACACATTCGAGCGATAAGCAGCGAACGAAGTCTGCGCCTAGGATTCCTGGCATGGCTCCGATGGCCCGTGTCTCTCCATCATCCGGTAGTGGCGATGACCTCCATCGTGGTGTCCATCGGATGGCTATCTCACCAAGGAATGGCGAAAGTGCAACACGGCGGAAACCTCCACCTGTCAAAAGGAGAGAGACACCACCTTCTAGTGACCCGGAGTCTTCGGCCCAATCAAGTGAGAATGAGGCTGAGGATGAAGACGAAGAAGAGAATGATGATCTTGCGAAGATTATGAACAAGCTGCCCAAGGGTGTGGATCCGCAATCAGCGAAGCAGATCCTAAACGATATCGTGGTGCGCGGCGATGAAGTGCACTGGGACGATATAGCCGGATTAGAAGGCGCCAAAAAGGCCCTGAAAGAAGCAGTCGTCTACCCATTCCTTCGACCAGACCTCTTCTCCGGCCTCCGGGAACCAGCTCGCGGAATGCTCCTATTCGGCCCCCCAGGCACAGGCAAAACAATGCTCGCACGAGCAGTAGCCACAGAATCAAAGTCAACATTCTTCTCCGTCTCTGCATCAAGCCTGACATCGAAATGGCATGGCGAAAGCGAGAAGCTCGTGCGCGCCTTGTTCGGCCTCGCCAAAGCCCTCGCCCCATCCATCATCTTTGTTGACGAAATCGACTCTCTCCTCTCTGCCCGATCATCAGGTTCCGAACACGAGGCATCCCGTCGGTCAAAGACGGAATTCCTCGTTCAATGGTCTGATCTACAGCGTGCAGCTGCGGGCCGCGAACAGACTAGCCGTGAAAAGAAAGAAGGCGACCCTAGCCGTGTTCTCGTCCTCGCTGCTACCAATATGCCATGGGATATCGACGAAGCTGCTCGTCGCCGTTTCGTTCGTCGACAATACATCCCTCTACCAGAACATCATGTCCGCGAACAGCAGATTCGGAGACTACTAAGTCATCAGCATCATGAGCTCGGTGATGAAGATATTCAAGTTCTGGTCCATGTAACAGAAGGTATTCCATCCCCATCCAAAATCCCATCTCATCATACTCCAAATTCGAACAACATATTAACTCCACAACCAGGTTTCTCAGGTTCAGACATAACAGCCCTAGCAAAAGACGCCGCAATGGGCCCCCTCCGCAATTTAGGCGAAGCACTCCTCCACACACCAATGGATCAAATCAGAGCTATCATCTTCCAGGACTTCGAGGCTAGTCTTTATTCTATTCGGCCTAGTGTTTCTCCGGACGGGCTGAAGAAATATGAAGACTGGGCTAAGGAGTTTGGTGAGCGAGGTGGCTAGAGCCAGAGCCAGAGCTCTGGCTCTGGGCTGGTTTGTTTGTCTCATGTTGGTGGTCTTTCTTTCTTCTTTTGATCTCTCTCTATCTCTGCGTGGGGAATTATGTGCTTGGTATGGTTATAGGAATGGAATCATGGTATTTTCCCTTTTTTTTTTTTTTTTTTTTCTCCCGTTTCTCTCTCTTGATTATTGTACTTGATCGGACGGTGGCTGGATGAATCTTGGTTTTGGATTAGGATTCGGTGCATGATACAATCTTAGATGGGAGGGTATCTCGATTTGGGAATTGGTTTGGTGTATTCTATTTCATTTTAGGTAGCAATGCAGACAGCCTTTTCAAGAACGATGGTCCAGCTTGTATTCCAGCCATTGCTCTACATAGTCCAAGTATAGTATCACAATTGTGTTCAGATCTTGGTAGACAATTTTGCAATATATCCACGCCTTCGTCGTTGAGTTTGGGGTGGATGTTAATATATAGAGCCTGTTGGACCAGTTCGGGCGTCGGGAGTTCTGATCTTGGAACATTTCTATTCATGAAAAGACCTAGTCGTGCACATTCGGTCTATAATTTGGATTTTTTGGAAACTTTTCGGGGTCAAAAATATCAATTCTCGGGGTCTTTCAGACCAGAATGCTTTTTCGTAGGTTGTTTCTACATCAATGGAATTTGTTGGACCCTTTTTGATATAAAAACGGGGATTTCGTCGCCGTTTTATCTAAAGTCCTCGTTGTTGACCTTCGTGAGACACTGTTCCATAGGGTATTTCCGTCAGGTTTTTTATCTTCAACGTCAAACTGCTCATGTTTAACGTCATTTCTCTTATCTCTCGATGTTCAATTACTATGGTGTTCTACGTACATTCGTCTTAGGGTACAATACAATGTAGATGCTCATATTTACTCTATATGCTAAACCATTGGCTTTGATGATACTAACTCAACAACACCCTGATTTCACCTGTTGTCCGAGGGAACAATGACCTCAAGCTCCACCGATCCTCCTCATCATCCTCATCCTCGTCATCCTTCTGACTGAGTTCAGTCTGATTGCCTGATCTACCACTGATGACACTTCCACCGGTCCCCAGATTCACATGGACTGTTCCTCTCGCTTCATCCGCGGCAATTATCATACCCTCGACGAACTCAAAGTCACGGCAGAAGGCTTCAACGGCATCTTCTGTCACACTCTGCACGAGGGAGACGCTTTGCACGCGCTTGAGGTTGTCAGTTGCGTCCATCAATGCTGATGGGAGGAAGTCGTCTAGTTGTTGGCTTGATGTTATCAGGGATTCTGGCTGGAAGGCCGGGAGAGTGGCTAGGTCGGCTAGGTGGGGCTTTTGGTCTATTTTTTCGGTTTCGTCTGTTGTTTCCGAGTCCTTGGGATGGGAGAATGGCTCTAACGCCTCGAGGAGGGCTTGGAGGCCTGAGGTTTCGAGGAGGAAGTCGTGTTGCGTGTCGAGGAGGTCGTTACGTAGAGTTGATAGCGCTGCGGATAGAGGGGGCACATGCGTGGCGCTGGCGAAGGGGTAGGGTGACACTGTGTCGCGGGCTACAAGGAGGACGTTGGTGCGGTAGATGGCTTGTGCTGTGGTGGTTTTGAGTTCATCGGATGAGGACCGGGCAAGGGTCAAGAAGGGATCGAAAGCGGCTCGGAGCACGGAGGTGAACTGGTTCTCGTTGTTGGAGTCTGGGGATAGATCTTCAGGCCCGACAGAGCCCTCGTGCGTCTTCATGAGTAAGGTCAAGCCTTCCAATGCATCCAGCAAGAACTGCGGAGGTGACAAATCTTCCGGTGGAGTCAAGGCAACGGGATCACCAGCCAACGCGCTGATTTGGTCGCGCATCAAAGTCTCGAAGTGGCCAAGAGTGAACTTCTCCAGGTTCTGGATCAGATCTACCAAGTGAGACTGTGAGCCCACCAGCTTGGTAAAGGTCGTACGGTAGAAGGAGAGTAAGTTCACGACCTTGAAGCAAGTGACAGGGTCATCGTGGCTCTGGATGACGAGCTCAATTCTCTGTCGCAGCGAGCGAGACACTCCAGTGAGGTCACGGTTGACTAGATCGCTGAGCGCCTTCTGGCCATCAAATGTCACTTCTTGGTCCTCATCTATCCGTGACCAGGGCTCGCTACTCAATCCAGCTTGGATACCCCGAGCGAGCTCATCCCCATCATCAACGAACAGCGACTCAAGAGCCTCTCGCTCTGATACAGTCGTAGAGTGTACCCAAGCGAGCATGTCTCCAATATACCGCAATGGATCATGCGCCGAGAACTCAATTGGCTTGACGCTGCGATCACCAGCAGCAGGCCCATTCGCCCCAGAAACAGCATCTGTAAGAGCGTAGTGGAAAGCGTCAGAGAGCACATAATCGCGCGCTTCCGCAAAGAAATCCAAGCAGCTGTGGAACAAGCTTGGGCGTTCTGCCAGGACCCGCAGAGCGCGGCGAATCGAGCTGCTGATCCGGGGATCCTCCAGATTCAAGGACCTGAATTCTTTCTGGACCCAGCGGTAGAGCTTCTGGTATGCGGAATTGAGGTTTCGAGAACTCAGGTCCATTAACTCCAAACCCAATCGCTGATTCTCACCGCCGAGCAGAACCTCGCAGTCGTGGTGCACTTGTTTGACACGAGCCAGCACATCAAAGAACCGCTCGTCGACAGGCTCCTCCGCCGACATCAAAACCATCAGATCCTCTTCCGGAATTACGAAATGTTTCGAAAAGGCGTCCAGAAGCTGCTGCTTGGTTTCGGTCTCTCCCTTCTGGGCCATGAGGGCGCTGGCCTCCTCGAGCACAGGCGTGGTATCCTGCTTGGCCAGGTTGATTCGTTTGCGCATATCGTCACATGTTTGGTTCAAGGTTGTGATAACAGTCCCGATCCGTTGTAGTTGCTGTAATTGTAATTGAGCAATTAATCTTGCGGTGCGGATCGCAACCGGGGTAATAGGAGTCTCACCTCGGCCACCTTTCCAAAGTCCCTGACAATCTCCGCATTGCAATCGACAACTTCCTTCTGTACATCCAGTCGAAGCTGTCGTCGCGTCTCGGCAGAGTTGTGCACCCCTCTTATGTTCAATGTCTCGAGAGAGTCCCGAATGTCCGAGTCCGCATACGACGCGGAGAGAACCGTCGTCAAGCGATTGGTAAGAGCGGTCGAGCGCTGTGTCGGCGGAGACAGTGGCGAGGCTGGCGAATTTGCGCCATTGCTGGCACCTGGTTGGAAGTAGCTGGTCATTGTTGGTGAACGCAATGCATCGGAGGTCGGTGGGGGAAATAAAGGACAAGCTCACACTTGGTCGACCGCCTTCATATCTCTTATCGACATCCGACATCAACACACCTTTGTTTTCCCCTCCACGACCTGTTTACTTTAATTGAATTGCTCTACTTGACTTCATGGATAGTCCATTGGTATCACCAGCTAAGGCCCGCCAGGCTGCCATTCAAGCCAAAGATTGGGCCTACGTCAACTCTTGGCTCAACCGACAATACGCACCCAAACCAGTACCCCAATTCGAGCGCAATGAAGATACGCTCCGTGTACTCCTGAGTTTGGCTGCAGCCAATGATTCTGCTGATGAAGAAGCTTCTCTTCAACAACGCGCGCGCGAAGAAGCGGTTCATGCCTACAAAGTACGAGAAGAGTTCGAACGCAAAGATCCACACGAGAAACAGAAGAATCAACTCTTGAACGAAGTGGAAATGTGCCTCGATGACAAGGGAAGAAGAGACCTGGAAGACCTGGCGGGATCTGCTGCAGCTTTGGGCAACACTCTGGATCCGAACCTGGGGGATCTGGGGCAGTCAATTGTGGAGCTCACGGTGGAGGAGTTCGAAGCCCAGGAACAAATGAACAAGGTCGACACTTTACATCGATATCTTCAGCAGGAGCTTGCACGGCTACAGGCAGAGCTTGAGGAGCTGAAGACGGACACGGCATATGAGATACCTTCTGATACGCAACGGTTGACGTCCGAGTGGATACGCGGGACGAAGACGCTTGGGATTAAGGTTGGGGAGTATCAGGATCGCATCGCCTCGCTCGAACGAGTTCAGCCTCGGGGACCAACTATCGATGAGCTTATGGCCGAAGAGGAGAGTGTTATCCGGCTGCGGGAAACGGTCAAGTCACTCCAGAGCCGGGTCAAGGCGTTCCATGATCTCCCCAAGGATGTCTCAGGTGCACGAGCAAAATACAAAGAGCTAGAGCGAGAGCTTGGACAGCTTACGCGGCAGCGAGATTCGCGATTCGTTGTTTCGCAGGCTAGTTGACCGGTAGCTAGTGTCTTGTTGATAAGCAATCAATCAATACGAGGTCAAGACCAACCTCTACGCTGGAAAGAAAAAGAAGTAAGCAGTCACACTGCAGGAAGAATCAAGCAGACTTTTTTTTGTGCTGCTATAGGGGGAGGGGGAGGAAACAGTTTCCAAGCTTCACTTTCTCGAGCAAATGGGGAAAGATGGAAGTCTGGATAGTCCGACATTTACGATCATTGCGGTGGCCATGGGCAATTTTCTCTACGGTTTATATTACGCCCGGGCTTGGTCTATGTAACGAGAGGAATAGTTTGGTAGCAAGGTGATTGAATAAGTGATATTGAACCTTGGTAGTATCATGTTATGAGTATTGAAAAGCAAATGGTATCATGGGCCCGGGTTGATCGTGATTCATCGTGATATCATGGCAGTTCCGAGGGACGTGGAATGACTGAGGGAGATCATTCCGTTCAGAGTGTGGTCCTCTTACTTGTTGCCGAGGCCAACGAGGTTCTTAGCCTTGTCGACACTGTTGATGGTCAGCAGCTGGTCTTGTGGATCTGTGTCAATGTAGCTTACACGGAGCCAGAGGCACCACCGTGAGCGTTGTTGTCGTGGGAACGCTGGGTCTTGTCGAAGACCTCCTGGCCAGCACCCTTGCTGTCATCGGTCTGGAAGCCACGGGCAACACGATCGCTGGTGTCGGTGACAGTCTCCTTGACCTTGTCCTGGGTGGACTTGGTGGAGTCAGGAGTGATTTCCTCCTTGGCCTCTGTAGGAGTGGGTCAGTGCTGATCTTGTCATCTGGAGCAGAGTTGTTACATACTGGTGGAGAAGTCCTTGCGTCCAGCGTCAGACATGATGAAGGTTGGAGTTGGTATTGGTTGAGAAAGTGTTATGTGTTTGAAAGATGAGAGTTGATGAAGAAGCAAGAAATTCTGAAGGGTCAAGACCATTTATATAGGCTTATTTACTTCCAGTGTAACAAAAGAGGAACGACATGACGTCGTTTGTCACAATCAACTATACAATGTGCACTGTGTAGCAACTTTGAAAACCTTGGAATGACCACCACGGGCAGGACCCCAGGCACATCATTTGAATAGATGGCTGAACGTTCCAATCATCTTTACTCATAGCTGGATGACGTTTCTTACAGGGGTGCAGTGGCGTGTATACAATGACGTGGGGTGATGAAGCTGTGGCGATAACAGTACGTGCTTCTTTATCGAGTTATCATCACGTGTAGATCTGACGCACGGGCTTCTAGTGTAAGGCGGTCGGATGTAGCAAAATATCACACCGCCACCGTCACTATCTTGGGCATCGACTCATCGTTGTTGGACTTCCAGATCCTTCATTATACCCTCGTTATACTCACAATGTTGGAGGAGATCGTTTGCATGTATGCGTTTTGTTTGACACATGACTTGGACTTTATGACCACTTTGGATAACCCACAGTGAATCTCGATTTCTTTCTTCTGCTTGTTATCATCCGCAACTTCGTTTTCGTCATCTTTATCGTTCTTGCTGGCCATCAATGGTTGGATCTGATTCAACCGAGTCTTCGAACTGGGACTTTACCCCGGCACTTGATCTCCTGCGGTCCCCTAAATACGAGGGTACCCCGGCGAGATCAAGTTGCCACCTTGAATCCCAGTCTGATGTTCAAGATCAACCCAAGAAAGATGTCTCATCCGTTGCTAGTGGCCAGGCCGTTGGCCTTGCTTCCAAGCGCAGTCACACCAAGCTAGGTGATTTCGGTCCCCTTTGGGAGGTCCTGGGCGCTCAAGATCCGCCCAGCGTCAACCCGGACACAAGTATAGCCGACCCCAATCCCGAGGTTACTCAACCAGCACTTCAAGCCTCGCCGGCTTTCAGCGTCCTCGAGCTGCCCGTGAGCCACACGTCTAACCGAAACTCTATTGAGTCATCTGCTCTTCTTCCGTCCAAAACATCCCCGGTCGCCGACATAGCGAAACCCAAGACCTCCGCAAGTACCAGGGGACGTTCGAAACGCCAAGCTCAACCCATCACCATACTGAAGCGGGGATCGAAACTCGAAACTGATGGCACGGACAACAATGTGAAATTTGAAAGTGCACGAACCCCTCCCAGAACCATCATTGGGGCCGGTAGTCTAGATACTCCCAAAGCGAGAATCCAACCTCGGGTCACTCACAAGGAGACACAGACAACCATCAACAATTCAGCCTACTCTTCGGAGGCTAGTGCTGGAGCGGAGTCCGACTCCAGCTTCATCTTTGATCGTCCCAGCTCCAAGAAATTCGGGGCCCTGGCTTTTGTCCCGCCTCAGATCGGAACACCTGACGCTCAAGCCACCCGGTACGATACACCACCTTCCTCATTCGAGGATCAAGACTTCGCTTTGAATGCAAAGACCATCGCAGCTCTCGCTCCTGGACAGCGTGTTCAGTCCAACGTCTACAAATCGTCGACTGAGCGCAGAGTATCCTTGATGACCAAGCTTTTCAAGGAATTTCCTGAATACGCCAGCCTCGCATCCTCGGTCGGACAGTCTGTCACCGGATTCAAAGATGCTGGTTCTAAACCTATCCATATCTTTGTTGATATGTCCAACGTATGTTATTGTCTTCTCGTCCAGTCCTCTCATCCAAGCCACAAGCTAACTCATTCCCAGATCATGGTGGGATTCCACGATGCAGTGAAATTGTCTCGCAATATCCCTCTCGAGACACGAATCCGTCGCATCCACATGTCATTCACCAACCTTGCTTTGATCATGGAACGAGGCCGCTACGCCGCCAAGAGAGTCTTGGTCGGGTCGGACAGATTGCCCTCCATCGACGAAGCTGAGACGCTGGGCTACGAAGCAAACATTATGAGTCGTGTGCAGAAGTTCAAGCACACTACACCCCGCCGCAACAATAAGCCCCGGAAGATTCCTGGCTTTGGTCCCTCAGGCGGTCCTGAAACGGTCGCCTCTGGGCGATGGGCCGAGCAGGGTGTGGACGAACTTCTGCACATGAAGATCCTGGAGAGTCTTGTAGACATTGTTGAACCGGCTACGATTGTTCTGGCCACTGGAGATGCAGCCGTTGCTGAGTATTCGGGCGGTTTTATGTGCCAGGTTGAGCGCGCGCTGCAGCGCGGCTGGTCTATTGAGCTTGTCAGCTTCACCAATGTTACAAGCTATGCTTATCGCAAGAAGGAGTTCCGCGCCCAATGGGGCGATCGGTTCAAGATGGTGGAGCTGGATCCATACATCGAAGAGCTATTCGAATGAAACGTACGCTCTGGGTCATTGCTACAGAAAGGAGAGCTGGGTACACGTTAGCTATTTCCACATTTGTTAGATTAAGAACCTTGACGGAATTAATACTTCTACATCTATCATATTGTTACATTTGAGTCATAAGTAAACTGATGCGCCTAGCGGTCCGACCCCGCCAAACGGAACGTCATTGGGCGGAACACCACCACCCGCCTGCTGCCTTTTTGTCCACCTAAAACTACCAAGCCTCATCTGTATCTATATATTGCTGAGTCTCTGTTCCAGTAGTCTCCCTATTCCCAAGCTCTGCGTGGTCAAACATCAAAGCAAACAAGCCAGAAGAAAAAAAAGTCAGTCAGTTCTTGGCATCTCGGAGAATCTGCCAATACTCAACGAAACGGCCAGCTCAATTCTGAAAAGAAGTCCAAGAACCAACCCATCTACAAAGACTTTCACTCCAACCATGCCGCACTTCAGAGAACAAGAGTTCTTCGGCGGAGCCATCAAAGGCATCGTGCCCCAAGGCTGGATCGATTCCAGGTCAGTATAAATCCCACCACACCATCCCTCACGATTATCTGCATGATCAAAGCTCAAAATGTAAAAATCAAAATATAAACACAACTAACACTGACTCAGTACCCTCCGCGAAGTCCCCGACCACCAAGAGCTTTTCCTCTCGCCAAAAACACTGTCAACCCTAATCATCGAAATCAACCAGCGTGTCTCGGAGGAAGAATCTCAAAGCACTTTGTCAACCCTAAACCACCAATTCTCAGGCCCAGACTCAACCGACAAAGCCGCAGTCATCTACCACCTCCACGACCTCTGCGACGAAGGCGACACCATGCAAATCCTCACCCCACCACAGCGCGTGGATGTACCTAAGATCCCAGGCTCTGCGCCGTCTGGTGCCGCTTCTGTTAAGGCGTATCGGAGTGCTGTTTCTTTCACTACGCCTAAGAAGGAGGATCCGTCTGTTTTCGCTACTGTCCAATGTCATTCGTTGCTTGTCAGGCTTGAAGCCCAGGAGACTGATCTGTTGGTTTTCTTTAATGTTCCCCGTGAAGAGTTTGAGAAAGAGGGGGATGAGGCTGGGTGGAATGGGGAGGTAAGCGCTGCGGAGGGGACTGTTGGGGCATTAATTGAGAAATTGGAGATTTGTGATTGGGGGCTTTTTGTTTAGGGGGGTGAGATGATAGGGTCATGATTGGGAATGGATCTGTATGGAGTTGGATATGGGTTGGATTGGAAAAACAGATGTCAATGGCATGATTGGAGGGTGTAGATAGATACCTAGTTAAATATGAAATTGATTGAACTCAGACTTCACCAAGTTTTGGATAATTATGGATCATGAAGATGGGCGTATCGTTGTTATATCAATGATAGGTTAAATGCTGTTATATAACGCTATGCAGTAAGTTCTATGAATAATGCAACCTCAAACGCCTGCAACTGGATCAAAAGCACCGACACTGATCACAATCCCATCATGGGCATAGCACTCCATTCCGTCGGTTCTTCCACGGGCTCTTCAGAGACACATCGCTCACACTGACAAATAAACTTGAATGACTGGCGGAGATGCTCCCGACGGGATGTCAGATCCGTATGTTGCGTCAGGTCGAAGTATGAAATACAGCATTCCTCTCCGGCAAAGATATCTCGGGATGCAGTAAAGACCATACGGCCCTGCTCATCGGGTTTGTGGGTGATCTTGACTTAATTTAGCACCACTCCTTCATAGGCTGAATAGACCCACTCACATTTGGCAAACACGAATGATTAGCAATAGCTGCAGTGGGATAAACTGCAGCAGCAAACTGCTCTCCTCTGTCAACGGAAGGGTAGGGCAAAGGAACAACGCCCGTTGCCCGAGGATAAAGACCAAAAGAATTGGCCTCTTCCTGACAAATGAGATGAAGTACCTGGTCCGACGCCATACCATGCGGCAGGACAGGGCCATTCTGGAGATATTTCTTCACAAGAGTCGTCCAGGCGCGGACTTTATCGTGGGACCAGGTCTCCGCAGAACCGCATAAAGAGTCAATACCCTCCCAGCCACATTTCCATTTCTTCTCAGTGGCGGTGGCAGAAGAGGCAGTGCGAATATCGATATCAACATGTTGCAATTGACCCTGTCGCATAGCAAGTAGACGAACAATCACCCACAACATGCCGAAATCGTATTCGCCCCATTTGGCACGAATTGGCGCGGCATATCTCTTCAGCCAGGTGCATTCAAAAGCATGCCGACCTTGATCGGCGTCTCGGCAGGTTTCCGTGCACCATGTCACATCCGGGATACAGGCATTCGGACATGGAGTCCGATTCCGATTCCGAGCTGGCTCTGAAGCTGAGTGGCGAGGAGCCTGGCGATTACAAGCAGGATTGCTGCAAATGAGATGGTCGTGATTTGCCGGATCATCCACAACGGGAATAACTGCGTAGGGGCGGTCCACAAGTAGACAGGCGCCTTTGGGAATGAGGCCTGACACGCGGAATTGGCGGCCTTTGATCGGGTCGGTGCTTTGGAGTAAATTGGGGTGGATCCAATCTGGTTGCGTTTGGGAGAAGGGTTCTATACTGGGCTCGGACTCTGTGATGTATACAACTTGGGACATGGTGGAGAGCAATTGGGTGGAATTGGCGTGGTTCTAGGGTCTGTTTTTCTTACCACGTTGGTTTTGAGGCGAAATCTTTTTTATCCGGATTTTTCTGTCTCTGGGAACCGCTCAATCACAGCCTCCGTTTGGCTACACGCGGGTGGGTATGTGAGGCTATCCCGACTGCCATTGATTGGTAGGATTCAAGCATAAATTTCTGGCTTCTGATTGGTCGATCATGCTGGTCGATCCATAAGTGAAGAAACTCAGGGTTTCTTGGCTATAGTTATATTCCCTGCGCGATTGTGTAGGTATTTATATGTAGCATAAGGATTGCTGATTGTAAAGAATGTGATTTTCATCAAACAGTCCGACGTGGCAAGCAAGACTCTTGCAGATATGGATCAGCGGTAGACTCGATCACTAAATCTGTCTTATAAAGCCATGACCAGATGAGCTTTCACTGCCTTGATTGTATACAGTCAATAGAACCAGGCCACTAGCTTTCAGCAAAACTAATTTGAGGCATTTACAATGGGCAGAGAACAAAAGCAGAAAGAGGGGACAATATAGGGTTAAACCAGCAAATGAAACATTACGTTGGCTTCAAGGCTTTCGCGTGAGAACAGTCGAAGTCTTCATAGCATTGTGTACATAGTCGTGGCTGCTTTTACTGGTCTACGGGACTTTTGGATCTGCCACTTTTCTGTAGATCTTTCTTCTCCTTCTCCCTCCCCTCGTCTCGCCAAAAGGATTATATATCAATATAACAGCCAAACAGAGTTTAATCATATCTAACGAGTCTCGGTCACTGACTTTGAAGGTAAGCATCCAATCACACAAGGCTGATATACTTCATATATATTCACACCAAATTGATAACCAACAAATAAATAAATACAAAAAAGGCTCAGACTGCCGGCTTCTCATTCTCCTTGTTATCACCCTTTGCAGCCTTCTTCGCCCGTGGCTTAGGCTTCACCTGCACCAGCATGCCCATACAGGGACACCGCTGCCTCTCGGGATCAATACTCTTAGAAGACCGACCAAACTTCCTCTGGCAGCCCTGGCATTCCCATGAGTACTTGTAATCAATCTCATAGCTATGCTTTGTGGTCACTTTAATGCGGCCGCCACCGTACTCATGGTGACCAGCCATGGCTTCGACACAGCGAGCCCCCCAAGCATGAAAACTGGGCCCGTGTCCCCCCTGCCTTGAGATCAGGCCGTTGGCGAGATGACAGTACTCGTGGGTTGCTGTGCATAGGATCCGATCGTTACTGTCAAGGACCTTTGGGTTCAGCTCGATCATTGCTGAGTATTCCGAGTTCGAGCCTGGGCTCCTGGGAGATGTGATGTGATGCATTGCCCGCCCGGCCGTGCTCTGGAGAAGGTTGTTCCATTTTATTTTGATACCTCCGGTTGATTGGGTCATGCGAGCAACCTCTCCGTTGGCGACGGTCTCGTCTAGAATCCGGATGAAGGTCTCCGCATACGACTCTTTGTTTTGGTCGAATGCCTTCTTCTCATCTTTTGCCTGGCGCCTTTCGGCTGCCTCGGCCTTTTTTAGGGCCGTCTTACTTGGTGGCTTGTCGGCGCCCTTTCTAGGTGTTGATTTCACCTTTGGCGTCATTGGTGATTTGTCAACCGGGGTGACAGAACGATTGACGAGGAATTGGAGGGGGTTTCGGCTTGGAAGTTGTGATGGGGCTTCCGGGGAAGAGCTAAGGCAAATTCTTAGCAATTTGACCATGTGTGTGAGCGCTTTCAACTATACCTTGACTCAATTCTTGCCGTCGGCGATGGAGACTCATCTTCGCTATCCAGCTCAAGCTCTCGGAGTGAGTCTATGATATTCGTGGAGCTGTCAAGGCTGAATTGGGAAGAGGAGGATGGCTCGGTACGAGGCTCGGAGGCGTCCACTTGGAAGATGGGAGACTCGTACACGGGACTCGGGGTCGCTCTCGCTATTTCTTTCTTCGATTCTTTCTTCTTCGGGCTCGACACCTTGTACTTCGGGCTCATTGAAACTTCCTCCGCTACCATGAAACTCTTTTCCAGTTTTGCTTCTCTCTGCGGACTTGGCTTTCTCTCTGGGCTTGGCCTTCTTCCTCTCATCAATCTTTTTCTGGGTGAGCGTTCAGGAGACGGAGGCATTATCTCAGGCTCCGTTTCCGAACCCTCGCTTTCTGGGTTTCCGTGATAACTCAGCTCATTGTCGTCACTGACAATGAAATCGTCTAGTGAATCAAAGCTATCGCCTTCAGACTGGTCTTCCTCACGCTGGGCAGCGATCACCGACTGGCTAACAGAGGTATGAGTTGCCCTGTTTCTGACTGGCAATTGAGCAGTCGACCGCCTAGGCGGCGATCGATTGACTGCCGGATATTCGTCTGCGAACTCGTCGGACACATCGTTTTCCTTGTCATCGTCTGTGTCTGACTTTATAGACGGCCTGTGTCGTGATTGGACTGGCCTAGCGGGTCGTGACAAGAGCAACGAATTGACACGGGAGAGCCCCAGTGCTCTTGGCTTCTTTTTCATGCCGGGTGAGTCGTGGCTTTCGTGTTCACTTTCGCAAGTCGAATTGTTATCCGGGAGTATATCAAAAGCTCCGGTGCCGGGAGCAGTCCCTCTTTGCATCTGGCTTTTGGTGCGCATTGGTGACTTGATCGGCGAGGCGGATTGGCTTGTGTTCGCACTCGATATACTGGGTAGCAATATGTCGTCTAACATGTCGGGCGTTGGTGTTGGACTTGGCCTCCGTGTTGGCTTTTTAGGAGATGCGTTGGCCGGGGTCTTAGCTGACGTCTTTGTGGAAGATAACTTGTTGACCAACGGATTGGCGGTATTGAGCCTCGCCATGTTGACTATACTCTGACGGCCTCGTCGGCGCAGTATATGATCGGTTCAGGGTTGCAAGTTGGCTCGATTGAACCTTTGCGGCGCGGGTGGTGGGTGGAGTGGATTTGAGTTTGGGAGTTCTTATACTGACGACTGTTGCAACTCTCGGCGAGCCAGTGTCGGCGATTGCTTGGATTTCTAGTTCAAGTTTCTTTGGGTTGTCGACGGAGTCTCTTATGTTGGCACGGCAACGCAGCCCTGTGGCACCGCCCGGCCTGGCTGCCTCTCTATTGGCTACGGGAAGTATGAGCTGTCAACTACACGTACTTTGGGGACATACGAGCTCGTGGTTATTTTGATTTGGTCATTGATATACTTGCTCAGATTGTCTCCCTGGTCTAATATAATGATACTTGAACGTGCCTTTATCTCGGATACAGGTTGGATACTCCAAATCAAAGCGTCAGACCTCGGTGATATATTACACCAGCAAACCACCATATAGCCACCGTTTAACAAAACGTTTGGTTTGATCCAGTTTTGTGATAGGGAAGAAGAGTGACAAGCATACCAATCGAGTCGGACTTGGTACCTTGCTTGCCTTGGACGGAGCTGTCGGCTATTTCATCATCTGACTTGCACTGGTGCAGGTTGGATGGCCTTTCACCAGTCCTCTTGCTGTTATGCAGCAACTGTGCTTTGCCCTTTCCTTTGTTGAACTCTTTGAGATTCATCATATTCTCTCTTTCATGTGAGAGGCTGCAGTATGCTTTCCCGTGGGCCGGGTCCGTAACTTGAGCTGGGCCGTAAAGGTTATAACCATGTGTCAAGCAGCAACTTCAAGATCATCCATTCCCTCACTTTGCGCGACATTGCCATTGGTCTTCTTGCACTTCGAGTTTCTTTGAATGTCTCAATGAGCTTGTCGTAGACTGTGAGGGGATTTTACTTATCGCACGCTTCAGCATTCTGCCATTCATGGATCAGGATTGGGATATTAGCCCACACATTGAAAAAGAAAAAGTCACCGGTTGATTGAGGCACATCCACAAAATCACTAAGGAACTTGTGACATGGTTCATACTTCAGGTTGTAGTGTGTGCGGAAGGTGAGCTTCCACATATCTGCGTGAGCGGGATCAACTTAGTCCTCACAATTGATGCTGAGACTTGAATATTGCTACCGTGGATGCCGTGGATGTCTTCTAATGCTTTCGAGCTAAGAAAGATTTAGAAAATATGAGCTGTCTGAGATTGTGAGACCTTGCAAGTCTCTCACTCTCCGATATGTTCTGACTCGGGTGTAATGGTTTTCTCTTCGTCTTCATCCTAGGTCTTTCCCCAGGCGCTCTGCGAGTAAGACCCATGCCAGGCGAGCAAATATTGGAGGGTCTATTGTGAAGCATTGCGAGCTGCCGCTCATCAATATGGTTACAGTGATATTCATGAATGATCAGATGATGGGATATATATTGGTTTCTCTTAGTCTCATCTTCGAGATCTAACCAGGGAGTTGTGATGAGCGCAGGTCTCTCGCAAAAAGAAAAAGGGGATGAATATGTAAGAGGATCATGTCTCATATTCACAGTCAGCTCTCCCATTAGAACCCAAAGACTCAGGCGGAGTTGGCTGAGCATCAGATATACAGAACGTGCTCCATCTGCTTTTGTACATATAAGAGAGCTCGCCGGTCATGCTAGAAGGCCAGACTGCCATAATTCAGAGACATAGGACCAATGGATTCTTCCTTAAAATATTTTCCCTGTTTGTTCCTCTCCTACACATACATTTGAGGTAACTTAGCATAGATAACAATTTGCCCTGAACTAGAAAGGTGCTTTTATTGTACTTGAACCTATACATAGTATGAGAACCATGAAATAGAAATAAGCATGTTAAAATCCAATGAAACGAAAGATAAGAGCGTTCAATCCACTGTACCTAAAGGGAACGACCGTATACGAAGCCAACCCAGAACCTATACCACCTACCAATAAGGTCCAATAACCCACGACATCGAACGCCAAATACCAGGCAAATGTATTTCCCGCACAGACCACAGCTCTTGACAGCCTACCCGTCGCGTTTCCGGTGGCAGGAATCCATGTCTCAGCTACAAACAAACACGAAAATGAGTACAACGCAAAATCACTATCGCGCACTAGACCCGAGATCTGTCTATCTAGTTCGATTTTCAAAATAGCAAAAAAAGGCATTCTACCCTCACCTCAAACCCAACCGCAACATACGAAACACCTGAAACAAAAGGTCTACTCAAATGTGAGGATTGCACATGTACAGTAGACCCACTACGATCTCAGGTACAATCGCACGGAAGGTCCTCCGAACCCCCTTGCTACACGTACAAGCAGTTTACACATGTACATGTACTTTAGGTACCGGTACCTGCCAAGGTAACGTTGACATGAAATTCAGTGGACACCCACTTCAGGTGGCTAGATAGCTGGGTAGCAGGTACGTGGTACGTGGTGGATGCGCAGCCACGCTGGGAATGGGAATGGATGTACTTCCGAAGCATGTCGCTTGCCCACAGCCACAAAGATTACCACAATACCCCACCGTGTGCACAATATAACGCAAACGCTGGCTGGCTGACTGGCTGGCTGGCTGGTCTGTGATCGTCAGTCCCTGGATTGAGGCTTGGTGGCTTGGTGGTTGGATCCTTGTTGATCAGGTCCATTCTTTTGCCATGCCGGTGAGGATCGGCAGTCCCTTGCCTTCCTCTGCTTACGATGGATTTGGATTTTGGGTTTGTATCTTTTGCCTGTTGGACTTAGGGTCTGGTTGTCGATTAATGCGGATTGGGTGGCTTAATTATGGTGTGGTACTTACGAGCACAGAGATGGGAAAAGCTGCCTTAACAAACTTGTTCATCAAAGTTAATCTGGTTGCCTAGGAAGACATAATCCTTGTACTCACCCCAGCATATACGGGCATGAATTGAAGCGAAGTAGTCTTCGGAACCCGAGGAAATGGTACTCCCATCGGGTATCTACTGTAAGTCCACCCCTGGGGAGTTGATAGGTGGAACCAGAGACCATCGGAAAGAGGAATCGAGATCATTGGCACTTGGTATAACCTGTAACAATGGCGCTGCGGGAGATCTACGTATCCCGTAGCCTCTGTTGGCAGATGCGCCGTCAAACCATACCGTATGTTGTTTGCTGTGTGGATGAACGGAAGGCCCGGGCTTTGTGTCGTATCATCCCAGATTTTCGCGTATGTGGAACGAATTACTTGATATTTGTATACACTGCATCGATACAATCTAGATGATTGGCACAGTGGGACGAGCTCATATGAACCATGACACAAGTAGGCAAAGATTTCATGATGCTGGATCACGATGTACATTTGGTGTTAACCAGGTTATGAAGGACACTCGAGTATGATCAGTATCATTTTGGTATAAGAGCAAATATTGTCTGGCAATATAGGTATGCGAGGTAATCGAGAGAGCACTGTAGGTGTACCATGCTCCCGTAAACCCACCTCGGATATATATCACCACAAAACCAAGTTTCACCCCAACCTTGCCCATCTCAAACCACCACCCAATTACTTCCAAACCAATCAAACCACACAATCAAAAACAAGATTATGCACAAAGCCCCTCGGGCCCTTCCACTCCGTGACACACGTACAAATCAGGAGACGAACATGAAAACCCAGGATGTGATTGGCAATCACACAGCCAAGGTGGGGAACAGACCACAGCCCCCTTTACGAAAGCCGGAAAACGTCTCACTGGCCACTGCCCACATGTGCAGGCGACATGCATATGATAATAACGATATTCAGCGATGAGCAGGTGGCAAAAAGTACAAAAATACCAAAAAAGCACAATACTCTGTCCTCCGTCCGCCTGACGGTCCTTGACGGAGAGGCGAATCCCGATTGAGGTCTTTTATTCAGGGGCTAGGGAGAACTAGTTACTATAAGAATAGAAGAGCTTGTTCGGGGGCATCGGCTTCTAGAAACGCCAGCGGCAGCCATCGACGCGTGTGGCTCAGGCTAGCGGTGCCAGGTACAAGCCGTTTCCGACAAATACAAGAGATAGGGAGAGTCGGATTCGGCTTCTGGATTTCATAAGTGGGAATTGTGTACATTTCTTACCAGTGTGTATGTGTAAAACGTGAGTATTGAAAGCAATACACTTAGCGTACATAGTTACAACAAGGCTCAATGCACAATAAATGTGCTACACTAGGGCAAGCCAGCCGGCTAGTGATCGGGGAACTAGACCGTGTTGAGAACCAATGATTGCCAGACAGGTTATTTTTGGGGCGCGCGATCAGATCAGCTGGCGATCTTGAACGTTAGGGGATAGGAGATGGAAGTGATGGACATCCCCGGTTTAATTGTTGGAGGTTAGTGGGATTGTGGTAATGGGAATTATGATTATCAGGAGGGTCACTACCTACGATACACACGCTGTGTACAGTATTGTAAGATGGAATCATGCCGATCGCTTTTCTGTGCAGCTGATGTATCGGTTCCTGCGCATGCGGCTGCGGGAAGAGGGTGTCCAAGGTACTTTGTGTAGGACATGTATGGAATATAGTGTTGTTCTGCTGAATATGTAGAGTAAGTGGCATGGTAGTCGCACGCTGTTGCGTAGGCTTGAGGCCAGTCGAGGCTCCGAGAAAAAAAAAAAGCAATTGGTGATCCACTTGGTGCGTGGACCGAGACGAATGTCTGGGTCTAACGGGGTTATCGATGTTTCCTAGCTCGTATGGTAATATTGGATGGATATACAGGTATACATATGGTCTGTGGGAAGGAATAATGGGGGGAAATAAAAGTGGGAATGATAATAATATGTCTTAGTTAGTCAAATAGTCAACCCCCATTGAGACCCTAATGTGTATGTGATCCAAGGTTGAGGATTTGTAAGCGCTGAATGGAGATAAATATAGCCTCGATTGAGTTTTACTGCATGGAGAGGTGGGGAGGTGAGTGGTTCAGTGGTACGGTGGATATTGACAAGTGCTGTGTATGGAGGGCTTGCCAGCCACTTGTATGTGTTAGGATAGCTCAACGGCGGAAAGTCAAATGTAATAATACTGGAGACGGTTGTATTAAAGTGGCAAACTGAATTGAGTTGGGATTTCCATCAAAGTCTGAGAGCCAAAACAGAAAACGGGTTGACGATCGTGGAGAGGAGAACTAAAGAGATCCAGAAAGTACACATAGAGTAGCAAGAGTTAAAGAAAAGCAAAGTGGGAAAGAGTTGGTTCGCGGTTCCGTCGCTTGATAACCATGGAACACTGAACACATTGCTGTGTACACCAGCTATCAACTAACTAACCTACCTCCCTTAGCTTTCTATTGTACTCTCTAGAGTATCGATATATGATATGTCAACTGAAAGAGAGTGCACAGTAACGAGGAATGAGATAGCATCGCAACGCCCCTGCATACCAGGTAATCATAACAGACAGCAGGTATGGGACATTACCGGGTGGGGCAAGTTTCAGGGGCCGTCGAGACTCCCTTGGAATCCGATGGAGAACAGACTCAACTATTGGTTGCAAGTAGCTACAGTCGGTAATTCACAAGTGGACTGGGGGAATTACACGAAATCAAGACTGGGAAACACTGATTAGGACAGGGCTGGAGGTATGGTAAATAATGGGGGGTCCTGGGTACCTGGCTGGGATAGGGGGCCCGCATACTGGAGCCAGGTACCAAGTACCTGATTGTCGAACACGTACCCTTTCCCTGTAATGGTGACGGTAAATTAGATCCCCCCGACCAAAAATAACACCCAAGCATTTTCTCACCTTCTCTCCAACCCCCTTCCCTTCGCTCTTGCTTTACGGAGGTTGCTTGTTTGCTCTATAATCCCACTCTTTCCTTTTACGGGACCCTTTCCATTCGTTACTTGAGTTTGACACTCTTTGCTTTTGTCGATGAAGCATTAATTTCCATCTTTCGGCATAATACTACTTTGAATGGTTGCGATTGAGGTGAGGCCAACACATTGGAAGGGAAGGAATCAGTGGTTAATTGCCGACAGATTTCCCATTAAATCGATCGCGACTCTTTCGCCATGTCGGGTTACGCAGGCGCTGCCGGCGGCGGTCATTACGATGATGGCTACGCCCAGCAAGGCCATGGTGATTCCTACTATCAAGATGAGCACGCTCAAGGGTACTACGACAACCAGGGCTATGGAGATGGTTACTATGACCAAGGGTAGGAACCCACACACATGCACGAGTGAATGAGGAGACAGGGCTGACGATCGACTAGACACGGTTACTACGGTGCTGAAGGTGGTGCTCATGGTGCCGAGGCTGGCCACGGATACGCCGATGGAGGATACTACGAGGGAGGTGCTCAGCAGGACCAGTACTACGGCGACCAGTACTACGATCAGGGCCAGGGAGAATACGGACGCGGCCGACGGGGACATGACTCCGAGGCAGACTCCGAGACCTTTAGTGATTTCACCATGAGGTCCGAAACTGCCCGTGCTGCCGACATGGACTACTACGGCCGGGGAGATGACCAGTACAACAGTTATACCGACAGTCAATACGGCCGCGGTGGCTACGGCTACCGCCCTCCTTCATCTCAGATCTCCTACGGTGCCAACCGTTCATCCGGTGCCTCGACTCCGGTCTACGGAATGGACTATGGCAACGCGTTGCCCCCTGGCCAGCGTTCGCGAGAGCCATACCCAGCTTGGAGCGCTGATGCCCAGATCCCTCTCTCGAAAGAGGAGCTTGAGGATATCTTCTTGGATCTGGTCAACAAGTTTGGTTTCCAGCGCGACAGCATGCGGAACATGTACGACCACATGATGACCATGTTGGATTCTCGCGCCTCGCGTATGACGCCGAACCAAGCTCTTCTCTCCATCCACGCCGATTACATTGGTGGACACAACGCCAATTACCGCCGCTGGTACTTTGCCGCTCATCTTGATCTCGACGATGCAGTGGGTTTCGCCAACATGAAACTTGGCAAGGCCGATCGTAAGACTCGCAAGGCCCGCAAGGCTGCTCAGAAGGCTGCCAAGCAGAACCCAGAGAACGAGGAGGAAACTCTAGAGGCTTTGGAGGGCGATAACAGCTTGGAAGCTGCTGAATACCGCTGGAAGTCGCGCATGAACCGCATGTCTCAGCACGACCGCGCCCGTCAGGTTGCTTTGTACCTCCTCTGCTGGGGTGAAGCTAACCAAGTGCGCTTCCTGCCCGAGTGTTTGTGCTTCATCTTCAAGTGCGCCGATGACTACTATTCTTCCCCCGAATGCCAGGCGCGTGTCGAGCCCGTGGAGGAACTTACCTACCTCAACGAGATCATCACTCCTCTGTACCAGTACTGCCGCGACCAGGGATACGAGATCATGGACGGCAAGTACGTTCGCCGTGAGCATGATCACAACAAGATCATTGGCTATGATGACATGAACCAGCTCTTCTGGTACCCCGAGGGTATCGAACGCATTTCCTTCGAGGACAAGACTCGTCTAGTCGATATTCCTGTAGCCGAACGTTGGCCCAAGCTGAAGGACGTCGTCTGGAAGAAGGCGTTCTTCAAGACCTACAAGGAGACTCGATCATGGTTCCACATGGTCACCAACTTCAACCGTATCTGGGTTATCCACTTGTGTTCCTTCTGGTTCTTCACTGCATACAACGCTCCCACCCTCTACACACCGAATTATCAGCAACAGCTGGACAATAAACCAATCACTCCCAGGTACTTGGCTGCGGTCGGTTTCGGAGGTGCTCTCGCTGCTTTCATTCAAATCTTCGCCACTATCACTGAATGGTTGTACGTTCCGCGTCGTTGGGCCGGAGCTCAGCATCTGCGCAAGCGTTTCTTCTTCCTCCTGGGTGTCTTCATTGTCAACCTGGTCCCTGGTGTGGTCATCTTCGGTTTCCTGAACAAGCTGCCAAAGAGCACCCAAAACCCGGTCGGCCTCGCTCTTGGTATTGTCCACTTCGTCATCGCTCTCCTGACTGCAATCTTCTTCGGTATCCAGCCCCTTGGTGCGCTCTTTGGTAGCTACTTGAAGAAGCACGGCCGTCAGTATGTCGCCAGTCAGACCTTCACTGCAAGTTTCCCCCATCTCTCGGGCAATGACATGTGGATGTCTTACGGTCTCTGGGTTTGCGTTTTCGGTGCCAAGTTGGCTGAGTCTTACTTCTTCCTGACTCTGTCCTTCAAGGATCCCATTCGCATTCTGTCTCCTATGCAGATTCACCAGTGCACTGGTGCCCAGTACATTGGCAACGTGTTGTGTCACCGTCAGCCCCAGATTCTGCTGGGTCTGATGTTCTTCATGGATTTGACTTTGTTCTTCCTGGATAGTTACCTGTGGTACATTATCTGTAACACCATCTTCTCCGTCGCGCGTTCCTTCTACCTCGGTGTCTCGATTTGGTCTCCCTGGAGAAACATCTTCTCCCGTCTGCCCAAGCGTATCTACTCCAAGGTTCTGGCTACCACTGACATGGAGATCAAGTACAAGCCCAAGGTTCTGATTTCTCAGGTCTGGAACGCGATCATCATCTCCATGTACCGCGAGCACCTCTTGGCCATCGACCATGTGCAGAAGTTGTTGTACCACCAGGTTCCCTCTGAACAGGAAGGCAAGCGCACTCTCCGTGCTCCTACTTTCTTCGTATCCCAGGAGGACCAATCTTTCAAGACCGAGTTCTTCCCTCAAGGTAGTGAGGCCGAGCGTCGTATTTCCTTCTTCGCCCAGTCGCTCGCCACGCCCATGCCTGAGCCACTTCCCGTCGACAACATGCCCACTTTCACTGTTCTCATTCCTCACTACAGCGAGAAGATCCTCCTCTCCCTGCGTGAGATCATTCGCGAGGACGAGCCATACTCCCGTGTCACTCTCCTGGAATACCTGAAGCAGCTCCACCCTCACGAGTGGGATTGCTTCGTCAAGGATACCAAGATTCTTGCCGATGAGACCTCCCAGTTCAACGGCGAGAAGCCCGAAAAGGATGCCGCCAAGAGCAAGATCGATGACCTGCCCTTCTACTGCATTGGTTTCAAGTCTGCCGCCCCCGAGTACACCCTTCGCACGCGTATCTGGGCTTCCCTTCGCTCTCAGACCCTGTACAGAACTGTCTCTGGTTTCATGAACTACAGCCGTGCTATCAAGCTCCTGTACCGCGTTGAGAACCCTGAAGTTGTTCAGATGTTTGGTGGAAACTCCGAGAAGCTTGAGCGCGAGCTTGAGCGTATGGCCCGACGCAAGTTCCGTATCTGTGTTTCCATGCAGCGTTACGCCAAGTTCAACAAGGATGAGCGTGAGAACACCGAGTTCCTGCTCCGTGCTTACCCCGACTTGCAAATCGCCTATCTTGACGAGGAGCCTCCTGCCACCGAGGGCGAGGAGCCCCGTCTGTACTCTTCTCTGATTGACGGCCACTGTGAACTTCTCGACAACAACATGCGCAAGCCCAAGTTCCGCATCCAGCTGTCTGGCAACCCCATTCTTGGTGACGGAAAGAGTGACAACCAAAACCACGCCATTATCTTCTACCGCGGTGAATACATTCAGTTGATTGACGCTAACCAGGACAACTATCTCGAGGAGTGCCTCAAGATTCGCAGTGTCCTGGCTGAGTTTGAGGAATTGACCACGGATAATGTTTCGCCCTACACCCCTGGTATTGCCTCGCCTGATAGCAACCCCGTCGCCATTCTCGGAGCCCGTGAATACATTTTCTCTGAGAGTGTCGGTGTCCTTGGTGACGTTGCTGCCTCCAAGGAACAAACATTCGGTACTCTATTTGCCCGTACTCTTGCCCAGATCGGTGGTAAGCTGCATTATGGTCACCCTGATTTCCTGAACGCAACCTTCATGTGTACTCGTGGTGGTGTATCCAAGGCCCAGAAGGGTTTGCATCTGAACGAGGATATCTACGCTGGTATGAACGCCGTTCTTCGTGGAGGTCGAATCAAGCACTGTGAATACTACCAGTGTGGTAAGGGTCGTGATCTTGGTTTCGGGTCCATTCTGAATTTCACAACGAAGATCGGTACAGGTATGGGTGAACAGATGCTCTCTCGAGAGTATTACTACCTAGGTACCCAGCTGCCTCTCGATCGCTTCCTGTCCTTCTACTACGCTCACCCTGGTTTCCATCTTAACAACATGTTCATTATGTTGTCTGTGCAGATGTTCATGATTGTCCTGATCAACCTTGGTGCCCTGAAGCACGAGACTATCATGTGTCGATACAACTCCGACCTACCCATTACCGATCCTCTCCAGCCCACTCTCTGTGCCAACCTAACTCCCATTCTGGACTGGGTCAACCGTTGTGTTATCTCTATTTTCATTGTGTTCTTCATCTCGTTCGTTCCTCTCGCTGTCCAAGAATTGACAGAACGAGGTGTCTGGCGTATGGCTACTCGTCTGGCTAAGCACTTTGGTTCATTTTCCTTCATGTTCGAAGTGTTTGTTTGCCAGATTTACGCCAACGCTGTCCACCAGAACTTGTCTTTCGGAGGTGCCCGATACATCGGTACTGGTCGTGGTTTCGCTACTGCCCGTATTCCCTTCGGTGTGCTCTACTCGCGTTTCGCTGGTCCTTCCATCTACGCTGGTGCTCGTCTCCTGCTGATGCTCTTGTTCTCCACTACCACCGTCTGGACTCCTGCCCTCATTTGGTTCTGGGTCTCCCTGCTCGCGCTTTGCATCTCGCCGTTCCTGTTCAACCCTCACCAGTTCGCCTGGAACGACTTTTTCATCGATTACCGTGACTACATCCGCTGGCTGTCGCGTGGTAACTCCCGGTCCCACGCCTCCTCCTGGATTGGGTTCTGTCGTCTCTCGCGTACTCGCATTACTGGTTACAAGCGCAAGCTCCTCGGTGTTCCATCCGAGAAGGGTAATGCAGACGTTCCCAGAGCCCGCATCACCAACATCTTCTTCAGTGAAATTGTTGCGCCTCTCGTCGTTGTCGGTGTCACTTTGATCCCCTACCTGTACATCAACTCTCGGACCATGTTCTCCGATGATACTGAGTGGGCAGCGAACCCCATCGCCCGCATTGCCATCGTTGCTTTCGCTCCGGTTGGTATCAATGCTGGTGTTGCGGGTATGATGTTCGGCATGGCCTGCTGTATGGGTCCTCTCTTCAGCATGTGCTGCAAGAAGTTCGGTGCTGTTCTAGCGGCCATCGCTCACGCCGTTGCCGTCATTGCCTTCCTCATCTTCTTCCTGGCCATGTTCGTTCTAGAATCTCTCAACTGGGCTCGTACCATCTCTGGTATGATCGCCGTCATGGCTCTCCAGCGCTTTGTCTACAAGCTCATCATTGCGCTCGCATTGACCCGTGAGTTTAAGAATGATCAGTCCAACATTGCCTGGTGGACGGGTAAATGGTACAACATGGGTTGGCACTCGCTTTCCCAGCCTGGACGTGAATTCCTTTGCAAGATCACCGAGCTTGGTTACTTCGCAAACGATTTCGTCCTAGGTCACATTCTCCTGTTCGCGATGCTTCCTGCCCTCGCCATTCCCTACGTCGACAAGTTCCACTCTGTGATTCTGTTCTGGCTCCGTCCTAGGTAAGCTATAGAAGACATCCTCTTTCATACCGTGACTCTAACAAATTCTCCAGTCGGCAAATTCGCCCCCCTATCTACTCCCTCAAGCAGTCCAAGCTGCGCAAGAGACGTGTTGTTCGTTTCGCCATTCTCTACTTCACCATGCTCGTCATTTTCATTGTGATCATCGCCGCCCCCGTCGTCCTGCGTAACACCAAGGTGCTGGACACAGTCCTCTCCGATACTCTGTGGGGCATCATCGGTGTCAGCAAAAAGGGTCAAATTGGACTCCTCCAGCCCCTGGACCACGGACTCAACGACACTGTCAAGTGGTTCACCGGCAGCGGTCTCCCTGGTGGCTACTCATCCGGCGCTGTTCCCTCGCCTTCTTCTGGCACAGACAGCTGGTACATCTAAGCGACATGACATGGGGATGGTTTGTACAAAGTTCTGCGTTGATTAAAACTCGCTGCATTTTTCTGAACTCGCCGGCGCACACGTTGATCTTAATGAATGCCTGTTTTTCAAATACTGTTTGTGGAATGACGCTTGTATGAAGGGTCTTGTCATCCCAGGGCTTTACCTTCGTTTTCTTCCAGCTTTCCTTGCTTGTTTTATTTACACTTCCCACGGAATTAAATTGCATTGCTTTCGAGATAAGTTCAATCGCCTTTTTAGACCACTTATGAATCATCATCCTGCTGTAGTGGACCCGTACTCGTACTCCGAACTCCGTAGTTATGCAGTCAGTACATGAAACAGGTCACGTGCCCCTACCCAGACCCCGTAGTCCCCCGGTTCATCCACAGTTCATCAAGCTCACGTCCATTGCACCCTCCTAACCCGGAACCACACCTAAGCACCTCCAACGAACCGGGCATATTGAAAGTATCCAGGGACCCTCTGAACTCCCGTCCCTCGCCATGGATCTTCAGGAGACTTATCGTCTCCTTTCCGAACATCTGCACAATCTCGCCGACCTATTCCACCGCGTGCCAGGCTCCGCAATTTTCCTCCGCTATGTCAAGTCAAGCTATCAAGATGACCCCGTCCGCTCTGCTGTGGAACTGTTCCTGTTCCTCTTCGCTGTGCGATATCTGCTCGCCCCGAAGTACTCGACCAAGCCGGGCGTCGTGCCGCTGACAGAAGATGAGATTGACGATCTCGTCGACGAATGGACCCCCGAGCCTCTCGTCGGGAACCCAACAAGCCTCGAAGAAATGGAAGTCGACAAGCGGACAGTGATCGTCGGGTAAATAGTCCCTCCCTTTTTCCTGAGTTTTCGCGGCCATTGGACATTTGCTAACGGATCATCGCGGGATGCGAATAGCCCCGTGGGCCCGAAATCCAAACTCGCCAACGGCCGCACAGTGATGAACCTCGGCTCCTTCAACTTCTACAACTTCAACACGAACGAAGCTCTCAAGGAACAAGCTATTCAGACACTCCGCGCTTACGGCGTTGGACCCTGTGGTCCGCGTGGATTCTACGGTACACAGGATGTGCATATGAAGACTGAAGACGATGTATCTGCGTTCCTGGGAACGGCCGCTTGCATCATCTATTCGCAGGCGTTCTCGACTATTTCTAGTGTTATTCCTGCTTTTTCGAAGCGTGGTGATATCATCGTTGCTGATAAGGGTGTTTCGTTTGCTATTCGGAAGGGTATTCAGATTTCTCGAAGCATTGTGAGATGGTATGAGCATAATGACATGGAGGATCTAGAGCGCGTTCTTGCCAAGGTTACGAAGGAGCAGGCGCGGAAGCCTTTGACTCGGCGGTTTATTATTACTGAGGGGCTATTTGAGTCTTACGGTGATATGGCTGATTTGCCTAAGATTGTGGGTGACCCTGTTTGATTTGATGTGGGATGGTTTGCTGACGGTGCTTCGCAGATTGAGTTGAGACTCAAGTACAAGTTCCGTTTGATTCTTGATGAGACTTGGTCTTTTGGTGTTCTTGGTCGTACTGGTCGTGGTATCACTGAGCACCAGAATGTCGATGCGGCTGAGGTTGATATGATTGTGGGATCGCTGGCTGGTCCCCTCGTTGCTGGTGGTGGCTTCTGTGCTGGTTCAGAGGAGATTGTTCACCACCAGCGTATTTCTGCTGCTGCTTACACTTTCTCCGCTGCCCTTCCAGCTCTACTGTCTACTACTGCTAGTGCTACTATCAACATCCTTCAGAATAGCCCCGAGACTGTCACTCAACTTCGCGATCTCACCAAGGCTATGCGTGCCCAGCTTGATCCGCGCAGTGACTGGGTTTACTGCTCCAGCTCACCGGAGAACCCGATCCTCATCCTGGTCATTAAGCCTGAGGTTGTTGCTGCCAAGAGGCTTACCGATACCGACCAGCAGTTCCTGCTTCAGGATGTCGTCGATGAGGTATGCATCCCCCCTCCCCCCCCACCATTTTCCGTTCCCCCTTTCAAGGCTAGTATCTAACATTTTCAAAGTGTCTCGCAAACAGTGTCCTCATCACCCGCCTGAAGACCCTAGAAGACAACTTCGAACCCAAGCAGGTCGTCCCTCCAGCCCTGAAGGTGTGCGTCACAACCGGCCTCACAAAGAAAGAGATCGAAAAGTCAGGCACAATCATCCGACACGCCATTACCAAGGTGATGAGCAAGAGGAAGTAATTTCGCACGTTGTCCTCCCTTCGATCAAAACCTTTGTCTGACCGGCCATCCGATGACTGCTCACGCCCCCCTATGACACCTGGCATTTATTGTTTTTTTTTTTTTCTCTCGTCGACCTACGACCTAATGCCCCTTCAATCCGTGTATTGTTAACCACTTGTCGATATCATACATTCTTCTTGCATGCCTTGCACAGGACCGCCCCCTTTTCTCTCTTTCGGGCTGGTTTTGCATTGGCTTTGCCTGTGCTTGGTTTAGATTGTTTAATACTTTTTTTTCTGGCCTGGCTTTTTGCTTGTGGCTTGTTTCTATTTGCATACATCATTTCTACCGGGACAATCCTGAATGCGACTTCTTTGCTTCTGGCTTTTTCTTTTGTCTCCTTGAGTTCCCCAACGGGGTAGAGTCTAGTAGGGTTTACGATTCCAACATCCGAATTGACGCCTAGATCGATCGAACCCCAAGAGAATCCCCCGAGATCTGCACCCATAGTCAACCTAGTCAACCCCTAATGCTCCATGGTCAACCTCCTAGAACCCACCCCTTTCCACCACCCCTTCCAAGTCCACTCCCAATCCAAAATGCGAATCCAACACCAGATTCCCAATCACATTCACGGAACCATCCCTATCACCGCGCAACGATAAAGAATGAACCCCCACATTCCGGAAGGAAGCAACACAAATGACATTCCAAGCCCAAACCCACCAGGATCAAACCAAACCTAGATCTCCCTCACACGCTTTAACTAGCTTGCATGGATAGCTCTACCAAGGGATCTAAATCGTCTGGACACTTGGCAGTTCCAGATCCCATTCCACAAATCCAAGATCCGAACCCCGTCTGCATCTGTGCCTGTGCCTGTACCTGCCCTCCCTTGTGTTTACATGCTTATGCTCCACTTTATAGTGGCGAACTACATGCTACATGCGACAGTGTCTCCCATAAGGGGATCCCTACGGACTATAGGGTTGATATAATCCCATTGATCGGCACTCCATACGAGTCGGTCATGCATCTTCTTTTCTTCCGAGGACGTGAAAGGGATGTGTGATCGTCCTATCCTACTAACATTCGTTCTTTGAGGGATTGGCTTTTGGTTTCCGTTCTTGACATATCAGTTGGCCAGACAGGGATCTGTCAAAGGTGGATATGAAGCGCCTGTCTCTTTCCAGGGCGTTTGTTGGGTTCGTGCTTGCTTGCGGGGTTTCTGCTGAGGTTCTGGGTAAGGATAGATCCAATCTAATTCAATTGATTCTGTTCCCGATTTGAATGATCGTCCTTGCTGATGGTTTTTGTTAAAGATCAGACACAATGTCAGAGTGATCTCGTCCCTTCAACGTCTGTTAGAGAGGTTGTTGTCTGGGTTAATGAAGATGGGGTTCCTATCAATCCTGACAGTCAACGTGTTCAGCCCTCGATGGCTTCACAGCATGGCAATGTTAGTAGATCTATTCCTACGTGATGATTGGCATTGTGGTTGATTTTTTGTTCGACAGGCTGTCACTTCGATATCAGTACCTGATGCGGATGTCTCACGCTTGGAATTGGCACCAGCTGGTTTGAAAAATGATCTTGATACGAATGATCGTTTCGTTGCTGCCCCTCCAGATGGCCAGCATCCTCCTCCTCCTCCTCCTCCACCACCAGCAGGAGGACCGTCAGCACCACCACCACCACCTCCTCCTCCGCCTCCTCCGCCACCACCCCCAGCTCCTGCTGTTGCACCTCCCCCTCCAGCTGGTCCGCATCCATACCCTCAAATCCATCCTCATCCTCACCCACATCCGCACGGCCATCCCAACCCCCAAGGCCCCCATCAACCCTCTAACCAAAATGAACATGGCTTCGGCATCTCCTACTCCCCCTACAAAGCAGACCGCAGCTGCAAAACCCAAGAAGAAGTAAACAAAGACCTAGACGGCCTTTCAAAATACACTTTCATCAGAATCTACGGCACAGACTGCGACCAAACCAAAACTGTCTCCGCAGCCGCAAGAAGACACAACATGCGCGTCTTCGCCGGAATCTACGACCTAACCGACTTCCCAAACAGCCTAAACGCCTTCGCCAAAGCAGCCCCAACAGGCCCCGACGGCAAGAAGGACTGGTCAACCTACCACACAATTTCAATCGGCAACGAACTTGTAAATGGCAACACAAACAACCCAGCCGAGGTTGTCTCAGCCCTGCACCAAGCACGCACCATCCTCCGCGGACAGGGATACACCGGTCCAGTCGTAACAGTCGACACATTCTCCGTCCTCCTCGACCACCCGGAATTATGCAAAGCCAGTGATTACTGCGCGGCAAATTGTCATGCCTTCTTCGATGCGAGTCAGAGCCCCGGTGGTGCGGGTGCGTATGCGCTTGAACAGGCGCGTGCCATCTCTGCCCGCGCTGGCGGGAAACGGACTATGATTACCGAGTCTGGGTGGCCGCATGCTGGGGATGCGAATGGGGGTGCTGTCCCCTCTGTTCAGAACCAGAAGGTTGCTGTTGAGAGTCTGAGGAAGAGTTTTGCTGGTAGGAAGGATGATCTGGTGCTTTTTACTGCTTTTGATGATCTTTGGAAGGATGATAATCAATTTACTTTCAATGCGGAGAAGTTTTGGGGGATTCATGGGGGTCTTTAGCTTAGGGCTTGGGGGTTGGTGGTGTTTTTTTGCTTTCTTTTCTTCTTTCTTTCTTGACTTGGGTTAGGGCTTGCTTGCTTACTTGCTTTTGTACATAGTTGCATGGATGATTAGACAGCTCTATGACGAGGAATGAGATTTCGACATCCACATTTTGAAGATGATATTCGCTTTAATGGTATTAATTTACACTATAGAGTAGACTATACATTGATTAGGTGCCCGAGTAGGCAGGCAAGAGAAGAATCAACCGCGGAACTTGCGATGACTCTCCCTCCGACGAGCATCCTCCTCCGCCCTCGCCTCGACCTTATCCATCCACCCACCCCGACAAGTAAGCGCTTCAAACGCCTCCTTGTTAGACGGCAAATCCCAGAAAGAGTGCTCACCACCACCACCGGCCTCCCGATGCGCCTCGAGATCCCGATTCCGCCGAATAACAAGCGCAGTCAACATGCCCCGCGACTTATCACTAGGCGTCAACCCGATAACCTCCATCTCACGTAGCAAAGACACAACACCTGGCAGATCCTTACAACCACGCCAGTGGAAGTAAAGCATCTCATCATACAGACCTGACGAAGCACCAAGCAGGGAAGACAGCCGTCCATGCTCCTTGATATTCGAACGGAATTGCCCAATAAGCGGCGACCCAGGGAAATGCGTATTCAGCAGGCGGAACGCGATGAGCAATGTCTTCGGGTATAGAGTTGCAACGACCGGCGCGATGGGGACGACAGCCGGGACCCGGAGCGGCCCTGCACTTCGGGGGACTTTGCGTGCTGGTTGGCTTTCGACGTGGTGCAGCATGGAGAAGATGCGCGCTTTGCATACTTCCCAGACGCCCATGTCTCCTTTTCCTTCTTCGATTGCTTGGAAGAGGGCGAACTCGATGTGTTCTGATTCGCGCTGGACTACCATGTCGATCGCTTCTTTCATTGTGATTGTTATCGCAGCTCCAGATGTTGCTGCTTCTGTGTAGCCCAGGTCGTCGATGTTGATTCTTTGGGGACCTTTGTCTTCTGAGACTTCTTCTTCCGTTGCTGGTCGTTCTGGTTTTGGTATGTATTTTGACTCTTCCTCCTTTTGCTTTCGGGCTTCTTTTTTCTTTTTCCTGTTGGATTCTTGTAGTAATGAGTCGAATACGGACATGAGCTCTGTGATCTCGGCTTGTTTCACTGCGCTCAATGGGTTTGATGTATCTCCTCCGTCATTTTCTGCGCGCTTGGCATTCAGCTTCTCCAAAAGGGCCTTGAAAGTCTCCTTTTCCTGGCTAGTAATCTTCTTGGCCTTTGACCTCGGCGCGGGTTGCTTTGAGCCCAATGGTCTGCGGGAGGAGACAGATGCTGCTCGTTTTTGTAGATAGCTTCTCCGCGGCTTTGCTGGTTCATCCGGTTCGAAATCAAATGAAATATCTTGGTTCACGGGCAGTTTATCTTCCGGCGCATCGTTCGTAGCCAATGTGGCATCGCGTGTCGAAAACGCCTGTCGGGGTAGGCGAATGAGCGGTTGTAAGGAAGGTGTCGCCGATGTAATCGTAGACGTGTGATATAAAAAAGGGTGCCGAGCTTGCAGTCACTGCCAGGAACCCACGGCGTGTGAGATTTGTCGCCATTGCTGCGTTTGCACTTCGTCGCTCTCCCTCACTCTCTTGCTTTCCCAACGCAACCCTGCTTCTCTGAAACTTCTCGACTTGAAATCAGCCCAGAATAAAATCCTGAAACCCCTCTGTGCCTTTTCGTATCCGTTTGCAAAGCAAGACTGAGAATATCATCTCCAGCACGGACTTTGAACGTTTACTTTTTTTTGCCGCAATCAAGGTCACATGATTTCGCGAGAGCAATCGACGCGCTTCCGCGTCGAGGATCTCGCCGATCCTCCTCGGACCCCAGAGAACAAAACCAAATCTGCGTTTCTCGATAAAGCTTGGGACACTGACTCCTCCGACGGTATGCCTGAAATTTCCGATTTCGAAAAGGAGCGATTGGCGAACATCGCCGAGCGCGATGCACTCCTCAAGCAACTTGCGCTCGATAACAAATCCGCTGGTCTTTTCGCGACTCCCCCCAAGCCCCCGGGCAGTGGTGGGCTGAAGTCAAAGAAACGTGCTCCACCCAAACCTCGCGTCAAGAAAGAAGAAGAAGAAACTATTACCCCCCGTCGCACCTCCTCCCGCCTCAAAGGAATCACCGCCGACAGTGAAGTCGCAAAGCGCAAAGCCGAAGATGAGTACGATGCCTTGCGCGAGGTTGAACGCGCCAAGAGAATTCGCCGCACCGATTCCTTCACCCAAGCCGATATGTTCGTCGCTGGACAGAAGCTCACCGGAGCGGATTTGATTGGAGTCGACGTGATTACCAAGGGTGTTGCAAAGCCTTATGAGCGGACATTCGACAGTGCCGATATTGAGAAGACCACCGACAAGGACTTGAAGGCGATCCGGGAGGAAATGAATGCATTGAAGCTTTGGGAAGCTTGGGATCCTCAGCGTAAGAAGCCTGCTGCTCATGTTGTACGCTGTTTTGTCGAGACTCTCTGCTAACGCGCAATTTAATCGCAGGTATCAAGATAACCCCGGAGCGCGTGTATGCAATGGCTTTCCACCCGTCTGAGTCGAAGCCTCTTATCTTTGCCGGGGACAAGATGGGTCACCTCGGTATGCTGGATGCGTCGCAGGAGAAGCCTGCTGTCAATGAGGACGATGAGGAGGATGACGATGATCCGAACCCTGTTTTGACGACTTTGAAGCCGCACACTCGTACCATTAGCTCGATGATGGTTAACCCCTGCAAGCCGACTCACCTGTACACCGCTAGTTATGACAGCTCGATCCGCGAACTGGACCTGGAGAGGATGGTGTCGTCGGAGAAGTACGCACCGGAGTCCACCAACATCGACGAGGCAGTATCCTCTGTGGATATGGTAGCAGATGATCCCAACACTTTGTACTGGACGACTTTGAACGGCGAATTCGGTCGTTATGATATGCGCATGGCGCTCAAAGAAAGCAACGTTTCCTCGTGGCAATTATCAGAGAAGAAGATTGGCGGATTCACACTTTGCCCGTCACAGCCTCACTTCGTCGCGACGGCGAGCTTGGACCGTTTCCTGCGCCTGTGGGACCTGCGCAAGTTGTCGTCTGAGAACCCAGTTCCCGTCGCAGAGCATGAAAATCGTCTGTCGGTGTCACACGCTGCGTTCAATTCGGCTGGTCAAATCGCAACCAGTTCATATGACGACACGCTTAAGATTTACGATGTCGGCGCAAAGGGTCTCTCGTCGTGGAAGGAGGGCCACACCCTCAAAGATGGTCTCACCCCCGACACAGTCGTCCGGCATAACTGCCAGACCGGACGCTGGGTGACAATGTATGTCCTCAACAAATGCTCTTCATATCATTTCAAGTTTGTTTTCTTGCTTTTTCCCTTTTGTTACTTCTTCTCTGCGTGTCTTGCGTTCTGCGTGTATCATTCCCTTTCAACAAAGCCACTGCTAACTTTTCTTAGACTCCGTCCTCAGTGGCAACTTAACCCCCAGTCGCCAATCCAACGTTTCTGTATTGGTAACATGAACCGCTTTGTCGATATCTACAGCGGTAGTGGTGACCAGCTTGCTCAGCTTGGTGGTGATGGTATTACTGCCGTCCCTGCTGTGGCTACCTTCCATCGCAGCAAGAACTGGGTTGCTGGTGGTACTGCTAGTGGCAAGCTTTGCCTCTGGCAGTGATTGAATTTCTAACTCTTTGAATCTGTGAATTTTGAGCGATATGTTTCTATTCTCCTGCTTTATTGTTTGTCCATACACGCGACATGGATTTATGGAATCTTGATCCGATCTGATCCGATCTGATCTTCGGGGGATTGTTTTGACTATTGAGGTATGGCAGTGCCTGGTCTACTTCTGGTGTTGATGGGAGTGTGATGTGGTTCATCGAGCATGGTTCGATTATTTCTCTCTTTGATTGAGAATTGTATGTATGTGTACGGAGTACACTTGATGGTCAATTTCCGAATGTACAAACAAGAAATATCATTATCCTACTTGTCACAAAGCACATCTTCAACTTGATGTTTCCACGTTTATTTCCTAAGGTATCTGAACTAGGTTGTATCTCTCTCAGTAAATCATGCCACGTGTGTTGTAAATGGTAGCCAATAAAAAGGAAAACACCAATCCATTCCATCTATTGGAAGAAACATGAAAAGTATAAAGAGGTATTTACACGATGGCCACCATCTCCAGATGGGAAGCAAATCCAAACAGAGATATCCTATTATTTAATAGGATCTGACAAGGCCCGACCAAAAGGAGAGTAAGAGTAAATAAGATATCATATCACAGGGACCTCCCTCGATCGCGATAAACCAGATCATCGTGTTCGTTTAGTTTTATTTCGCCCCAAAAATCAAGATCTTACTTTTTGGTCTCTCATTTTTTGTGTCTCTTTTCTCCTTCCTTTTGTTCTTCTGGTTGAGAGACGGGGGTTGGAGTTGAAGTTGGAGGGAGGGAGGCTGGTTGTGTAAAAGGGAGAGGGGGGCCATGAAAACACAATCAAAAGAGGGAATGGGTATCAACACCGTGACACATGCTTTGAGGCAAAGAACATAGAGATAGATGATCGAACTGGCATAGGACACAGGACACGGAGGGACGAAGGAATATGGAAGGTGGAAGGTGAAGGGGGGGAGTAGAGGGAGAAATGAAAAACGTTCAAATCATGAGCACATGGAAAGCGGTCAGAGAGTAAAGGACGGAAAGCGAAATGCGTACAAGGGAGGGAAAGGGAATAGCATGCAGGGACATTTGAGCATTAAGATTCATTGCGCAGATCCTCATGCGAGTGGTTGTTTTGAGACTGGTCACGGTCCTTGTGTTTGCGTCGAGATGGGGCGGGGACGAAGTCGAAGAAACGATACTTGCTGGATGATTCCTTGGTGACGCTGGCCCTGCGCGCTTTGGAGGTCTCGGAGTATTCCAGTGAATAGGTTGAGGAGTTTTTGGAGCTTCCTGTGCTGTCGCGTGCATCAGACCAACGTGGAATGGCAAAAGGAATGCGGCTTTGGTCCCAAGTAGCGGACGACGAGCTTGGCGGTGTATCCTCATCAGCATCAGGCGCATGGTCGGTGGAACGACGGGGCATTGCAGGCCGCGAAGCAAAGTAGCCGATGGAGTTGCGGTGACTATTCGGGGCCGGCGCAGAGCCGGACATCATGGGATCGGCGGCAGGGGTCGATGGCTGGCTCGAGCGTTCGTCGTAAAAGGTTACGGGCCGTTCCATTGAGTCCACCAGCTCTTCCCACTTGATCTCGAGACTGCCGCTAGGCCGCTCGGCTTGCTCCGCTCGACTGAGACACTCCTCGGTCCGTGCCCGCAGGTCAAGGGCTGCTTTGTGGAACTTCGCAAGGTTGACATCAAGTTCCCCTAGTTCGTTTAGCCGACCCGGGGCCACGTCAAGCCACACACGAATCAAGTTTGCGAAGCATCGAGCATGATCGATAAGGAACGGAAGGCTGGGGAAACCCTCGCGCGATGTCGGAGGCAATCTTCCGAGGATTTGGATAGGGGTGGTGTAGGAAGGTGTGACGATGGGAGCTGGTCGATCGGCTGGAATTGCACAAATGGAGTCGACAAATTCTTTGAAGTCAGAGCGATGACCAACAAGGAATTTATTCATTGGCTCCATCCACGGTTCTTTGTTACCAAACGTCGTCATATTGGCCAGTCCCTGCAAGGCTTTGGCGATTAGCGTGAGGGTGCGCTGAGCGCGAGGACGAGGGTGATCCTTCAAAAGCCCGAAGAGTTTCGGGTTGAGGATGGCTGGACAAAAGAACCGCAAGAACAGGAAACCAGAAACACTGCTGTACGTTACAGAGCGTAAGAAGTCTCCATAGCGGTCATCTGCACAAGCCCTGACATGCCGGAAAATGCGACGCAATTCCGGGGGACACCTTGATGCTGACCCGGCAATGGACTTCCATACACTGGTGGTGAGCGCCGTAAGGTTTCGCCAGTTGCGCTCAAGATCCTCGTGGCGTGGAACACGAGATGGGTCGACTTCGCATTCCGGATCGCTTTCATCGATATCACGTAGTCGTTCCGCGATGGTGTCTTCAAGATACTGCTTGCCTAGGCGACGCATGTGGAGGTCCAGAGCCTTGGTCAGAAAGGGAGTTTCCACGGAACAGGAGGTTGGCCTCGACAGTGGCCGTCCTGCCCATATCTCTCACAAGGACTTCACGCTCCTGGCCTGACTCCTGGGTGTTGTTGGAATGTATCCTCGTCGTGTATCTCAATCGGTTGGTAGTGGATTCTTTGTGAACTCCGTCGATTTCATCTTCAACCAGTGCCGAGATCCATTCCACCGTTGACCCTGAGACTTGATAGATGTTCAGAAGCATGTCGGCCAAATGTGTAAGTTCTGACGACATCACTTGAGCCATGTTGATCGTGAGACCGTTGGTGAAAGAGTGGAGGATCTCCGACATTGGTGCATATTCGTCGGACATCAAGACAACGGTTTCCTCCATTCGAGCTCTCATGAACATCTCGCCCACTGCTTGGTCTTGGTCGTCCAGAATTGGCCACCATTTTTCAGTATCCACACCAGCATCCAGTTCCTCGAGGCGCATGTCTACCCGACCGAAGATGGCGTCGTTCGCAGAAATTTCGATCTCATCCAACATGTTCACGGCGTTCACGGCGTTCACGTCTTGATTGGAGGCGTATGTTCCATGGGCGATGAGTGTCCAATCCTTCTGAGTCGGGTTGAGGGTTTTGACAAGGATGGAAGCTTGGGATAGAACTGGTGGTAGATCAGTGAAGAGGAAATCCTCTCGCCAGAAGGGGTTCATGGTGCGGTATTTGACAGCAGTCTTGCCGCGAATTTCCCCATCCAGAAGCACTTCTGTGTAATAGTCGCTGACCTTGGAGGCCGGAGTTTGTTGATTGTGACCGTGGCCATGGGATCTTGACGCTTTTCGGCTTCGCGGGGTTTCCTCCTCTTTGGCGCGGAACAATTTGGCCTCGACAATCTTCAAATTTAGGAATCGCTCAATCCGAAACATGTCTTTGAGTGGGGGAGTCGCGGAGGCATCGGCTTCTGGTGTCTTCTTGGGATCTTCGGGTTTAGATGCAGGGCCATAGAGTTCTGGAATTGTGAAGGCGCGTAGAAGGACAAACCAAACCTCAAAGAGTACGCGACTTTCCAGCGCGAGGTATATTGGGCGAACATTCGAGTCTGGTACTGGGTGTGCCGCATACTGTGGGTAAATAGCAATGCAGAATTCATCATCGAGAACGGACGGGTTCAACTGCTGGATAGCACAGCGAGATAATTGAGACAGTTGAACGCATGCCAAGAGAGATACATCGGTCTCGGTGTAAAGTTTGAAGAATCCGTTCTCTTGTAGTGTGCAGCTCACTTTCTGCCATGATGACGACAATGCCCTTGATTGACGATACGTAGACACCCGGCGTCCAGATATAGGCATTGCTCCAGAAGCAGATGGCTTATTCCACAGAAGCATCTTACCAACTTTGATGATAGTTGCATCCTTTTGTGCTGCGCTTTCGGAATTGCGCCGACGTTCGGGGATTCGGCGGTCTCCAATCACGACCTCTTGGGGCTTGGTCATTTTGTTTTGTACACCCTTTGGTCGGATAGGTTGCCAGCAAAGTAGAGCAGCAAGCCATGAGTCAAAGGTTTCGTTAACGTGAGGGCGTAGTTGTATCCCAAGTCCGGAGGTGAACGTGTGGACGCTAAGATAAGTAGTTTGGAGTTCAGGGTCGAACAAAGTGCGCACTCGACAGCCACGCAAATCAGGGATCAGTGTCTTGGCCAATGCGGGTTCTCCTTTCGCTTGATAGATCAGACTTCCAGTAGCGACATTGATTGCGCAGTATCCGGAGGTCCACGAAGTGGTGGAGGCGGTTCGAAAGGACAGGATTCCATGCATCCTCCCACAGGTAGTTTTCATCAATTGTAAGATTTTTGTGGCTTCGGAGCTCGAAAGGGGTGAGGCGAAAGAGTCTTGGCTGTCTGCAACTCCAGTAACCGTTTTGCTTGATCGCTGGCGCGGGAACGACTGGCTGGAATATTGCCTGGATTGAATTGATGGAAACCCAATCGAACTTGATGGATCCTCAGGCACTTTCGGCGATGATGAACCGGCTGTGTTAATTGATCCGATTCGCGTGCGAGTTTTGAAAGAGCTGGGGGTGGTCTCGTTTCGCTGTTCCTCCGCGGCCGTTGTTCGTGATCGCGCCCGTTGGCTCCTTCCCTCTGGTGGTATATCTTCGTCGCCTCCTCCAGATGATTGTTTGCTAAGCTCCCGACGCCGTTCAGGCTCAGTGGGCCGTGATTGCACGGTGCTTCGCGGGGACGAGGTGCCGCCGCTTGCTAGAGGTTCGGGTTCGGATAGGGGGAGTGGTTGGCGGGGGAGTGCGACTCCGGTGTCACAGTTCGAATGGTGGTTTCTCGGAAACTGTCGGGATAGACCATCCCATGTCGATCTCTAGATGAGGATTTCTTGCTAGCACGCCGTTCGACCGGGCGACTATATAACGCTTGATGTATTGAGCTCCGCTTGAACGCGTTCGGATCGGGCTCCATCTCGTTTGGGTATCTGCAGCCCCTTCCAGGCGACGTACAAACGAAAATGAAACCCGTTCAATATGAGGCAGGGGGAGAAGGGGAGATCCTAATCGCGCCCAACCGCTGAGAAGACCTTGACACGTCGGCACGGTATAATTGGAGGTCTAGAATTGTGCTATGAGACCACATGGAGTCCGGTGAGAGGTGTATCGGGGTCGCACATTCGGTCGAGGTCCGGGAGGGGGAGATCAATGGACAGAACGAAGGGGCGTGTGTCTGAGAGATGCAGGAGAACCTAGCGAATGCGGTGAGCGTTCCAATCCTCCCTGTCGATAGCGATGCGGGCGTTGATGAACCGAGGGAGTGACCCGGGCGAATGGCAGGAGGGAAGGGGAAGGGCTACCTTTCAAAGAAGAATCATGAAGTTGCCAATCCCGTATAGACAGGGCGTTAGGGTGAGGAGAGGGGGGGGGGGGGGGGGGTGTAAGGGTAAGAAGCTGGAGATGCCCTCAAAAGAGAGGAGGGGAAGGAGTGGATAAGCTGAGTTTGTATAGGGGAAAAGGCCTCTCACTTGCACTTTCACGAATCTCTTTTGATTTTCACATATATTTTGAATTTCAAATTGACATGACGCACAACGTTCAGGGCTTTAGTTATGATCGTCTTTCCCGATCTTGTATAACTTTGACTTTGACGCTTTACCGAAGCTACCGAGTACTATTGCCTATCGGGGGGAAGATTGACCTCATCAGACCCTGGCGTTTCTGTCTTCATATTCTAATATACTTCAGTTCCTACTGCAGGCTTAAAATGCCGAAAGTGAAGATATTGGACTAGTTAGCTAAGTATTGTGTTAGTCGAATTGGGGCGAATAATGCTGAATCATGACTAGAGGTGGCTTGTCGATCTGGTCCTATTCCAGCATGGCTTCAGCTTTTGCCTCTATACAGCCTTGTCAAATCATATATTTCGTGGCTGTAGAACACAGCCATTAGGGATTGGCAGATGTCCAAAGTACACCCCTGTGTCTATCCTTACTACATTTCATTCAAATGCTCAAAAGGTTGGGAGAAATCTCCGAGAGTGGAGACATTGAGGCGCTATGGGAATTGAGATTCCACTTGGACTGTAGAGAATCGTGATCAGACCATAGGTCCGAGGGCATCGGGGTGTCAACCATATCGGGTTGACGATGCGAATGTCTTAGGTCTGCATGTCTAAGATAAGATCCCCTGAAGAAAGTCGAGTAAAGCACAAATTTAGTTAAAAGTGTAGCAACTACACGGCTGCCCAGATTCCCCCGCAGGTGAGTCAGCATTCTGCCTCAGGCCAAATGATCTCCCTTTTATGTCATCACCAGGTACAACCAGGTGATCAGAGCTCCTGACTTTATCACAGGATGCTCAGGCTATCTCGCTCTTATTAACGTGAACACTGCACTACTGCACATCCTGTTGAGACCTATCTCTTATTGCTGGATGGCACTTCATTACGACAATCACTGGCGTCAGATGCCAGTGGGATGAGTGCGCTTGAGCTTCAGTCTGATTCAAGATGATGTCCTCTAACATACTCTCGCGTTTCCTGCCACCGACGGGCTCACCTTCTGTCTATGAGACCCTCAGACAACAAGATGCAGACTCTGAATCTTCGGATATCGAAGAGCGCGCCGGCCTCGCCATGGAGGATCCACAAGAACACTTTAATGATCGGGAGCTGGAGGAGGCACTGGCAGATGTAAGGGACAGTGAAATAACCAGTCCCAGTGCTCTTCTCAGCCCGAAGCGGTCGCGGAAGCCACCGAAAGAGCGAACGTCGCCACCGGCTACACGCCGTCGCAAGCCATCGAGGCCGAGATGGATGGCCCAAGACCTATCGCCAGGGTATGAGCTTGACGATAATGATGAAGATGTTCCTCAGTCACTGCTGGTGGAGGAAAATCATGAATATGCGAAATCGCGGTTGCCTCCTCCTCCCCGGTCCCATAATCGTTCGGATCGACGGACTGCCAGTCCCGATCCATCTCCGCTCAACCGAGCCCGCTGGAACCAGCAAAAAGCTCCCCCACCACCTCAGAATTTTGCTGGCAATCCATTGGGGAGGTTATTTGCGGGGCAACATCCTGGCCTTGCCAATGTTGACCCTAAGAAGAAAGCAATGTGGCGGTGGGCAAATGTGGAGGATCTAGATAATTTCCTCAAAGATGTCTATACCTACTTTTTAGGGAACGGCATTTGGTCTATTTTACTAACCAGGGTATTGAATCTTCTGTATGTGGTCCATTCAAACCCAGTTGCGAGTGAAACTGACGTTTATACATAGGACATTTGCATTCGTTGTTGGGTTCTCAACTTTTTTAATGAACTGCATCGATTACCCCAAGGTCCGAGGGAGCAAGTCTCTGAATGACATCCTCGTGCCTCAGTGCACAGCAAAGATGTCTGGGTCATCCACATTTTTGTTGTGGCTGTTCAGCTTCTTCTGGATAGGAAAGTTCTTCCAGTACTTGCTGGACATTCGCAGGCTCAAACATTTACATGATTTCTATTACTACCTGCTTGGTGTTTCCGATGCGGAAGTACAGACAATATCGTGGCAAGAGGTGGTGAGCCGACTAATGACCTTGAGAGACTCGAACCCAGCTACAGCGGCTGCTGTCTCTGCCCAACACCGCAGATTCTTAGGTAGCCAGTCGAAACAACGCATGGATGCCCACGACATTGCCAATCGCCTGATGCGGAAAGAGAACTATATGATCGCACTGGTAAACAAGGATATTTTGGACCTCACTCTCCCAATTCCATTCCTCAGGAATCGACAACTGTTTTCCCGGACTATGGAGTGGAATCTCAATCTGTGTATTATGGACTTTGTCTTCAATGAACAGGGTCAACTGCGCACTTTGTTCCTCAAAGATACCCATCGCAGGCTGTTGAGTGACAGCTTACGTCGGCGCTTTGTTATTGCTGGTATCATGAATATTTTTGTAGCACCATTTATTGTGGTCTATTTCATGATGCACTATTTTTTCCGCTATTTCAACGAGTTCAAGAAGAATCCAGGTCAAATTGGCTCCCGTCAATACACACCCATGGCGGAATGGAAATTCCGCGAATTCAACGAGCTCTGGCATATTTTCGAACGTCGCATCAACATGTCTTATCCGTTCGCCAGTCGCTATGTTGATCAGTTCCCCAAGGATAAGACTGTCCAAGTGGCGCGATTCGTCGCCTTTGTCTCTGGGGCTCTTGCTTCGGTGCTAGCTCTCGCATCTGTGATAGACCCAGAGCTATTCCTTGGATTTGAATTAACCCCTGACCGGACTGTCCTATTCTACCTTGGTATTTTTGGTACAGTTTGGGCTTTCGCACGGGGTCTTGCACCCGAAGAGACCGATGTCTTTGACCCGGAGTTTGCCCTCCTCGAGTTAATCGATTTCACACACTATTTCCCATCGGGATGGAAAGGACGTCTGCATAGCGACGACGTACGCAAGGAATTCGCAATTCTCTATCAACTGAAGATCGTCATCTTCCTAGAAGAAATCCTGAGCATGATATTCACTCCTTTCGTTCTGTGGTTTACCCTGCCCAAATGCAGCGACCGCATCATCGACTTCTTCCGAGAATTCACCGTGCACGTCGACGGTGTAGGCTACCTTTGCTCCTTCGCAGTCTTCGATTTCAAGAAGGGCACAAATGTCCTCTCCCAAGCGGCACCAGGACGACGAGATCCGACCAAACAAGACCTACGCACTGATTACTTCTCCACCAAAGACGGCAAGATGCTCGCGTCCTATTATGGCTTCCTAGACAACTACGGCGCAAACCCTCAACCAACCAACCGACGCCAATTCCACCCGCCGCCAACCCTCCCAACCCTCGGCTCAGCCTCTGCAGCTGACTTCGGCGCTCCCCCGGATCTGCAAACTCGTCCTGTGCCAACCTTAGCTGCACACTTCGGCCCTCAATCCCTTGTTGGGGCCTCTAGATCCAGACCAATGGGCCTAGATACCCGCTCCCCAGTCCCCTCCATGCTCCTCGACCCACACCACCAACCCTCCACTTCTGGGTTCCGCCCAGCGGTCCGTTCCACTCCCCACCATCACCAGCACCAGCACAAGCGGACCAGACTAGCACGCTCACAGCACCCAGCCGCAAACTCTCTTGATGACGAGGATCCGATATCCCAAGAAGGCCCTGGGTCAGCCGCTCAACAGTGTGCTCCTCACACAGGTGCTTCCAGCGGTGGCGCAGGCGCTAGTGATAGCCTAGGCGATTCATGGCGTATGAACCCGCTTGGTAAAGATGAGGATGAGGGCGACGAAGGTGATGAGGGCGAGAATATTGATGCTATTGCTGGTGGGGCTGGTGTTTTGGGGTTGATTCAACAGTTCCAGAAGGCTAACACTGATGGCCGGCGCACGACTGTTGGTATTTAGTGCCACGTGACGTGCTGGATAGGAAAGGCCCGCGAGTGGTTATACATACCTTTTGCTTTCTCCTTGCCTTACGGCTCTAGCTTAGCCTGGTTTTTGGTCATCTGTAAACTCTGAGATTATATAGAATCATGGGTTTTCAGTGTCCATTTCTTTATATTCGCCTTGGACACTGAATTTCCTGATAAACACGGATGCTCCGACCAGGATATGAATTCTTTGAACATTCACCTTGGTATTCAAGTAGGCTTTGACATGCTTCATGGGATCTTTGGCTGGGTGCCGTACAAGTTCTAGCTTTGTAAAGTCTAGACAGTAGTCGCTGGCAATGTATCGTCTAACATGCTCTAGCTCGCGAGCATCAAGGAGAGTCTTCTGTCCTTCCACTATCAGCGTATCATTGAGGTAGCAGCAAATGATAACATCGCAGCCGTGCGTGAAAGATCGGATGGTCTGTAGATCACTAGCCTCGCCCTCGACGATCGTGATGTGGGGCGATCCACGGAGATGATCGGGGAGCCTGGAAGCATTGCGACAAAAGCCGCGAATTTGGACATGAGGAGATTTGCAAAGGTTGTTCACAGGGGAACGAATTTGGTCGTGATGCCTGCAATGCCGACAGTAAGAGCCATTGCCAGGATCAGGTATTTGTTTCAAGGTTTGGAAGGAATCAAGAACTGAACTCTATTTGCTTTTTTTGATCGTGCCGGATCAGCTTGCCTCAAATAAGCAAGTATCACACACTATCGCCTCCTTATGCGCGAACTATCGTCTATAGTATGCGCCTCTGCTAGGTTCACGCGCCGGATCACATCTACCGAGCCAATCACATCGCCGGCTGACTCTAATCCGGCTAAAGTGGAGATCTTATACTCCTTCTCGGCTTCGCGGCTCCGAACGGCCGTTGCTTTTTGTAGGATCGTGGACGGACTGGTGTCTCCCGTGTTCCTAAGCTAGGAGGAAGTGGTGGAATATATTGGGCCATTGTTAAGGCTCGGGTGTATGCCTGGTTGGAAATGTTATATAACCTGAAGAACGCTTCTAATGAGCGTCACTTCATTTTGTACGAAGGACCTATCACCAATTGTATTCTCTTCTGCTTTTCAACAAGGCCAGCACCATGTCAAAGCTATTCACGCCTCTCAAAGTCGGACGCATAACGCTTAACCAGCGCATCGCCATGGCCCCAATGACCCGACTCCGAGCCGATACTTCTCATCTTCTCTTGCCATCAGCCAAAGAATACTACCAGCAACGCGCTAGCGTGCCTGGGACTCTCATTGTCACCGAAGCTACGATCATCAGCCCTCGACATGGCGGTTATAGCAACGTTCCCGGGATATTCAACGACGAACAAATAGCCTCTTGGAAGGAAATCACCAAGGCAGTTCACGACCAGGGATCATATATATTTTTACAACTCTGGGCTATGGGTCGCGCGGCAAATCCTAGCATCATGGCGCACAGTGGTCATGATTTGGTTTCCGCCAGCGACGTCCCCATGAAGAGCATGTTCAGTGAAGAGAGGCATCACCCTGTTCCAATGACAGAGTCAGAGATCCAGGGTACTATCTCGGATTTTGCAGCTGCGGCGGAGAAAGCCATGTTAGCTGGCTTTGATGGCGTGGAGATACACGGTGCGAATGGGTACTTGATTGATCAGTTCCTTCAAGATGTTACGAACAAGCGGACCGACAAGTGGGGTGGGGGAGTCGAGAATAGGTCGAGGCTTGCTGTGGAAGTTACCAGTGCTGTCGTCAAGGCAATTGGAAATGAACGCACGGCGATTCGATTGAGTCCCTGGAGTCGATATCAAGAGATGGGAATGGAAGATCCTGTTCCTCAATTCTCCGATGTGGCTCGACGACTAGCTGAATTCAAGCTGGCATATTTGCATATTTGCGAGTCTGATGGAGAGCCGAAGGAGAGTATCAAATGGTTGCTTAGGGCCTATGGTGATGCTAGCCCTCTTTTGGTGGCGGGTGAATACGATGGGGAATCAGCTCGGAAAGCCGTGGATACCAAGTATGTGGACCATGATGTTGTGGTGGCTTTTGGTCGTCCATTCATCTCGAACCCTGACCTGGTACTTAAGGTCAAGCATGGTCTTCCACTTGCGCCTTTGGATCCGGCGACGATGTATGGTCAAATGTCAGAGGGGTATACTGATTACCCGTTCAGCGAACGGTTCAGCCTTGAAGACCCTGCTCTGTGAATCTACATATAGAAAGACTTTTGCAGTATAGATGTACATAAGATTCCAATGAAATTGAAGAACTGATAGAATGCGGATTCCAAGAGGCGACTGATGCTTACTAAATACTTCATCATAAAACGACCGACGCCACTGTCATTCAACTCTGGCAAGCTAAGTTCTTTGATAATTCAAGCTCAAAGTCTCATCTCATAATGCCACATGAGTCAGGGTTTGGGCGCAATTCTCACATTCCAGCGGTACGTATGGCGTGAAGTTCCATGCCGTTGGTTCCGGAGCATAGACTGACAGGACGTATAGTGTCTAGAATGTCGCCTTCACCAAGAAAAAGTTGTGAAATCCAATCTGAAACACCTACGAGAGCAGTCTGACCTTTCATATAGTGTTCGAAAACGCGCCCGACGTGCGTTCAATGTTCGCAGAGCAGCCGGGAATGTATCTACTCATCCAAAACCCGTCGGACCCCACTGACACGAGAGTGCGTTCTCTCCCATATATATCAATGGTCCCATATAGCTGACAGCTACAGGTACCTCACAGATGTGGAAAACCGGCTGCAAATCCTCGAGAACGCACTTGGAAAGCTATTCCCAAGTGGTGAGCTAGACGATGTTACCCGCTCTCTACTTGCCGATGAGACGCCCAGGGACCAGGACTCTTTGACCCAATCATTCATTGACACGAATGAGTCGACATTGAAAGATTTCCTGCAGGAACCAGGTCCTACGGCCCTAGAAAATGCGTTGGACGACTCCCAGATCAACACCGATTACGATTTGACTGGAGTAGGACCCGAGGGACAACATTTATCTCTTGAAGCATTCTCAAGCAAAGATAACTCACCCAATGATCTTTTAGCATCTGCAGAGAAGGAGAAAGAGTTTGCCGACACTTACTTTTCTCGTTATCACAAGCTTTATCCATTCGTGCACGAGGCAACATTCAGACTGGAATTCCAAGATCGATTACTTAGCCCTTCATCACAGTCAGTTCTGGCAAATATGATTCTTGCCTTTGGATCTTGGCTAGCACCTGAAAACCATAGCGATCTAGGAGTGCAGTATTACAGAAAAGCGCAACAACATCTTGGACAAATTGCTTTGACAGACAATGAGAGCATCACCATGGTCCAGGCGTTACTACTTCTGAGTGACTTTGCGCAAAAGAATGGAGACCCCGATGAAAGCTGGCAATATGTTGCTACTGCTGTTCGGAAGGCAATTTCCCTCAACTTACACGTTGAGCTCACAGACCCAGGACTAACAGCTCTTGATCGGGAGATCCGGCGCCGCATATGGTGGGCCACTTATTGTGCCGAGAGCTGTTCTGCCAGAATATATGGGAGACCCCTTGTGCTTCCAGAAGATGGGTTGATCACAGTCAGACCTGTCACAAATACTCCAAATCAGGTTTGTTCTTTGTTATCCGCCCAAGTTTAGAGAACTGTGCTCAGTGCAATTTACAGAATCCCACTTCACCCACAGCATCATTTCCCGTGCCGACAGATGATCCTACCATATACTCAGGCTTGATCCAACAGTCAAATTACCACCGCATGGCAAATGATATCTACCGCCGTGTTCTGTCCAGCCCAACCGTTACACCACAGCTCGTGAATAGCTTCGAGAAAATGATACAAAATTGGCATAGTGACAATCCAGCTGCATGCGCCCGTTTAGTCAGTGGATCTATGGAGCAATGGAAATTGACAGCCTGGCGTCGTCAATTCCTATGCGACCAAAGCTTGCACCTTCTGATTCATAGGCCACTTTTACTCCAATGGCTACAGAACAAGGACATTAACAAGGATACTGCACTTCCAGCAGAAGAACACGCTGCTGAGGCTCAATGTCGCGCAGCGGGCCTTGCTATTGCGCGTGAAACTATCGCACAGATTTCAGAGTCCATCATGGAAGGGACATATGACAAGATGACTCTAGCTTTTACCTTGTAAGTTGTGCTGCCCATGCAATTAAACCCCCCTATCGGAATATAGCTCTCTGTAGCTTACCTTGACAATCCCATTGACAATTCCAGGCACGTCTTGTTTCATGCCTTGCTTGTTCCGGTTATTCTCATAAAAGGCGATCGGTCATCTCCCAAATCGATATCTTATATCCAAGACGTCGAAAGGGCCAAATCTGTCATGGAATATCTTTCGGTCGAAGGTGACACTTTGTCGAAATATTTCGTCACGGTCCTCGATCGCCTTTTTGCTGTGGCACGCCAGTCAACTAGGCATGGTTTTGATCAAGGCCCATCTCGTGATGACTTGCTATCCACAAAAAGAGATGGCCCTCAAACTTCGAATAATAACATTTTTTGGTAATGGAGAATTGGAGTTACTCGCGAATTCGGCCTTCCAGAAAAAAAATTGGACTTGATTTCTCGGAATGGCTGCGCTCCTAGTTGGACCTTCATTATATCCTTTGCATTCAATCAACTTATTCCTACATATTGAAGGCGTTCAAAAAGCTTGCGGAGTGAAGCAGATTCATAGTAAGAGTAGTTCTTTTCTTTTTCTTGCACACAAAAGTATGTTGAGCACAATATATGCAACTAATCAAGCATAATGCAAGAAGCCACGATCTAGAAAATCACGAAGAATGCTGATTATGACAGAAGGAGTTTCTTCGTGGTGACCCGTCAACAGATCCCAGCAGCCGTATACAGCCATCCTCATAGATTATAGGACCCTTGGAAAAGACCTCATTTCGCTCAGACTTATGATATAGCTCATCAACCAGTTCCTTCGTCGAGCTATCCAGATTTGGCGGATCTCCCCATTGCCAGTCGAGCTCTCCACCGTATTCTTTAGGCAAGTCCGAAGCATCAATTTGAGATAATAGGGAAGATTTCAGTTTTGACGATGCGAGAATAGAGATCCGTGATCTTGTATCTGGCGCAAACCATTGACTGGCTGCATCCCATACCGATCGAAAGAAGGCAGGGGCACCAACGACCTGTCAGGTACAATACGATGATGCCATTAGTTCATATTTATAAGAAGACACTGCCGTAGTCAAAACGAGACCACTGAAACATAACACTTACAAATACCCTCGCTAGAGTCTCAGGATAGTATTCCGTCCCAATCCTACTAGCATCCTGCAGATACTTTCGAATATTCCAGAATTGAACAACACTAACATTGCTGATATCAACAATGTGAGTAGATGCGGTGATTTCATGTTCCGGGTCTGGCCGTGGCAGCTCAGATGCCAAAGGAAATGTAAATTGCAAGAGATTCTCGTAGAGCGCATGGAAGTGGAGGATATGAATTGGTACGTCTGGTTTGAGATGGCTTGATGGCCTTGGAGCCGTGTCTAGCATCTTGAAATAATCATCTAGCTTCTTTTTGGTTATTTCGCGCACTTGATACACGTAGACTGGTCGGCCTTCTCGGTCCCGCCGGCCTGTCCATTGAGGATTCTGCTATTGTCAGTGCTCTGCTTGGGAGCACATATTATTGGCTCAATAGCTCAGCGTACCATTTTTCGAGTTTCGTCGTACGCAGTGACATCTAAGCCTTCGTAGAAACCCCGGACATCATGGGCTCTGCGCCATTTTTGGCATTCGTGGAATTGTCGGAAGGCAGCGCCAACATCATTTCGCTGTGCGCGAAGGAACCGGCTGCCATCAAATATATTAGTAGGGGTCTATGAGAGGCTGGACTTTTGAAATTACCGAATGGTGGTCTCATCGGTGTATTCCTTTCTTTGAAACTCGTTGTATCCATTCTTATGACAAAGTTGTTTAAATTGGTCCATTGAAGTAGCGGTGGGAAGATTATATGTGAAGTTTGAACCTGAATTGGTCAATTGAGATAGGTGAAGAACATTTGGATTCAATTATATCTGTCCCAAAGTTATGACATCGAAGTATATGATGATTAATGATTTCCGGATTCAGGGTGGCGCCGTCTGGCAGCCTGTTTGAATGTTAAACACTTGAACTTTCGTCACTTACACGACATAATAGACCGAAATTGCCACTTGTAGCGTTTCAAGGACCGCAAATTGTTATTCAATGGACTCAGTTGGTGTGTTTTAGATCTCAGAGTTGAAGACATCAACCGCGCCTGCTGCAGGTATAGTATGCTGCCCGCTAGTTTGACCCTCCAGATTGGCGTCGGAGATTCCACGGGCATCTGCAAATGTCAGACATGTATCAATCCAACACAAACATACAGCGACAGACGTATAGCTCTACATGGTATCACGTGATACCATAGAATGGAGTTGTTGATTGCATAGAATCCATATATCATGCAGTAATCCTTGTAGAGGGGGTTCAGTTCAGATATTAAGAAACAATCATTTCATAAATTATGCCTCTAGCCTTTCCCTGCACTATAACTCGTCTCACATTCCCCATGATATATCAACCCCAAGCACATGTTTGTCAAAATCGGCCCAATTGCACCAATCTCGGTTCAGGGCTGTCACCCTCGAAATGAGCTGGCGGAAATAGCCAAACATGATAGGTCGAATGGAAGACCCTTGCGGACCGCCTGCATAAAACCTCCCAAGTGCCTTTAGGGCGCAATTAGCAGGGCTGGCCGACGCCGATCATTGGCCCCGGATTCTCGCGCCTGGACTGCTTCTCCACCAATGTTTTGGGGTCCGGGAACCCGCTGATCTCAGGGTCTTGGCTGGTAACAGGGGAGTTCTCGATGTAGAGAAAATGAGCCTAACGACTGAGAGAAGAAGAATAGGAATATGGCCATTGAGTATACAAAGAACAAATCCGTAGAAATGTGCAACAAAGGAAAATAGCGACAAATAGATCGGAAGCTTAAGTGGATCTCGTCTCGTGATTGCATCTGGACTCGCCTCGTGTTTTCCCTTTTCCTCTCTACACGTCTTCCCTCGGTAATTCAATTCAACTCAGAGGGACAGTCGCCATGTTTCGAGCTCGTCGATATCGAGTTCTGATCATATTCGCTGCGGCGTTCCTGCTAACCTTCATCCACTTCGCCCGCTCACGCGACTGGAGCGATTCATCAATCAGTCAACAACCAGTCGGCATTCACCCACCCGATCCGGCCTCTGCCTACCCAAACCCAGACCAACCCAAAGCTCCGAAACCTGACAACCCTGCCGCCGCCGCTGCCATTGAGGAGAGCGACAAATATGTCATCCCGGAACCCAACCGCGGCTCCTCCGGCTCCGCACCCTCTACCGGAAAGGAAAAGATAGGTTCTTCTGTTGGTCCCAGCAGTGGATTAAAGGATGCCACCAAAGATAAAGCACCAGTGCCAGTAAATGCGCCTAGCAAGGAGGGCTCGACGGATCCCGCACCAGTGGGTGGCGCTAGCCGATTGCTGCCCCCAACAACAGAAGACCCCTCCAACAAGGAGGAGCTGGATAACGGAGGTGCTGGCAGACATTCAGTGGACCGTCCCGCTACAGGTACTCAGTGGAAGAAATTCCCTGAGCGGTTCCCCGTTCCGGCAGGCGAGACAATTAAGCTGCCCAAGGAGCGGTCGAGGATTCCCAAGCTCCAGGCTAAGTTCAAGGACGAGTCAAGCTACGACAAGCAAGAGCGCTTGCAGCGACTTAGCACCATCAAGGCTGAGTTCAAGCATGCTTGGCAGGGGTACAAGATGACTGCCATGGGACATGATGAAGTGAAGCCCTTGACTAAGCAGGTCGAGGACCCGTTCAATGGCTGGGGTGCGACTCTGGTTGATTCTCTTGATACTCTTTGGATTATGGGGTTGAAGGAGGAGTTCACTGAGGCCGTGGATGCCATCAAGAAGATCGATTTCAAGACTTCGTCCAGAGGTGATATCCCGGTCTTCGAGACTACCATTCGTTATCTTGGTGGTCTTCTCGGTGGTTATGATATCTCTGGTCATCGATATACGGTACTATTGGAGAAAGCTGAGGAACTCGCTGAGATTCTTATTGGTGCCTTTGATACACCAAACCGCATGCCGCAGCTTTACTACAAATGGGCCCCGTAAGTTGAATTTGACCAATATTCTGGTATCTTACTGACATATAGCAGAGAATTTGTTGCGAGGCGCCATCGGGCCTCTGGCCGAGCTGGTTTGGCTGAAATTGGATCGCTTTCTTTGGAATTCACTCGATTGGCTCAAATAACCCAGCAGGATAAGTACTATGATGCAATTGCACGGATCACCAATGAATTGGAAAAGATTCAAGATTCGACCAGCCTCCCTGGACTGTGGCCTCTTCGTGTTAATGCGCAGGGATGTACTAAATACGATCCGCAGCGCAATGGCAGTCCTACGCGTGAGGAGCATGCCGCTCTAAGGAACGAGAGCCCTTCGACAAAAACCCGCAGACCTTATGTTGCGCCAACGGATATCGAGAGCTATAAGAAATTAATCCCGCGTGAAGTTGAGACTGGTTCTGAGGAATCTGTTGAACTTGCCAATGGTACTCATGCTGCCAATTTGCCAATTGAGGCGCGCCAGCAACAGTCAACCCTTGCAAGTCAATGCAATGGCGGCCTGGAATTGCCCATTTCGTCCCGTGAGAACAAGTTCACCATGGGAGGGATGGCAGATTCAACCTACGAGTACTTGCCCAAGGAGTACCTCCTGCTAGGTGGCCTGGAGCAGTACAAGACGATGTACACCAAAGTGGCTGCTGCAACCCGCAAACATCTCGTGTTCCAACCCATGATCAAAGGCAAATGGGATGTTCGATTCACGGCATCTACCTCGGTGACACCTGGAAAGGCTACCGATATCACAGATCTTGAATATGAAGGCACCCACCTCACTTGTTTCGTCGGTGGAATGTTCGCTCTGGGAGCCAAGGCATTTGGAATCGAGGGGGATTTGGAGCTTGCAGCCAAGCTCACCGACGGCTGTGTGTGGGCTTACGAGTCTACACAGACTGGGATCATGCCGGAAAGATTCCGTCTCCTACCCTGTCAAAAGGGCTCAGCCTGTGACTGGGACCAGGCGACTTTTGATGCTGGCGTGGCACGTTGGTCGCGTCTTGACCCGGCTGCAGGACCTCAGTTCCGCAATGGAGAGAGCGCTTACGCTGAGCGTATCAAGATGGGCGGGATCGATGAGTCACGAGACCCGATTGGCAAGACCATTCCCATGGCCATGCCAGGCTCGTTGAACCCTCACGACAGCGAGATCGTGGAGAAGCGCAGTGCTAAGATTTCATCTTCTGTTTCTGCTGTACCCATCATCTCAAGCCCCACTCCCACACCTGAGGTAGCTGATTTGGAAAACCGAGACGCGCCTCGTTCTCCTCCATCGTCCGACTCACCCCAGGCGTCTGTTGGCGAGGATCACCTCCCCGCAGGCATGATCAGCATCCCGTCGCCGAAATACATCCTTCGGCCCGAGGCGATCGAGTCTGTTTTCATTATGTACCGACTGACTGGTGAAGAGTCCTGGCGCAAGAAGGGATGGCAGATGTTCGAGGCCATCGTCAAACACACGCGAACAGACCACGCCCACGCAGGCATCCACGATGTCACGGCCCAGAAGCCGACCCAGATGGACACCATGGAGTCCTTCTGGTTAGCGGAGACGCTGAAATACTTCTATCTGCTGTTCAGCGACACGACTGTGGTGGATTTGGATAAATACGTTCTGTAAGTGTTGACGTAGCCGTAAACAAAACAACAACTGACATTTCACAGGAATACCGAAGCGCACCCATTACTGCGCCCGAGTTCATAGTTGCGCCTGGATTTATTTTATATTGATACCAATGAGAGTTCTGTAACATTCATACTATTCCACAAGTACGTAGTGAAGTGCCTAGGGTTGACCCGCAGTGGGACTAAATTCCCCCCCCGCCTTCAACTCTCCAACTCGCACGTCTCGGCATGAGCAGTCTGACGGGAAATGGAGCCTGAGGTCTCGGAGACTGAGTTCTGGACTGGTAAGTATTGGAAGAATTTGAACACGTCTCTCTATTCTAGACACGCGACATGACCATTGACTCTCCGCAGAACTCCAAACGATCGTCTCCAAGCCCTGCGACTCCGAGGACCTGATCGACGACGCCCTCCGAGCCTACTTAAGCCTCACAACACAACACAAAGGTACCCAGTCCTTCCCAAACAAAACATCAAGAACCTATAAACTACACAAATCCCCCAAATACACCACCTGAATCATCTGAACCCTGCCCGCACGGCTTTCGGCCTTCCTACCGATCTAACGACAACATTAACACCATCTCCACAGATGAATATCTCCAAACAGAAACAGACATCGCGCGTTGCTCCTACAAACTCTTCGCATCGAGCATCTTCGCCGCACACGCCGACTATGTAAGACGCCAGATCATCTACGGCCTCCTCCAAGAAGACGACCCAACAACCCTCCATTTCATTGCCTCATTCATCCTCTTCGACGGGCGGCAGAATGAAATCGCGCTTCAGATGCTGAATGAGGAGGGCGCGTTTGCGCGCCTTCTCGATCTTATTCAGGCTATGCGGAGGGCTGATATGGACGGTGATGCCGGGTTGCATCGCTTGTTGATGGATCTTATCTATGAGATGTCCAGGATTCAAAGGGTTAAGATTGAGGATTTGGGTGCGTTGGATACATTTACCTGTACCCGTGGACTTGATAGTGACTTTCGTTGTGTTGGTTTGGACGGTGGCTGATTTTGGGGCTTTGTTGCAGTTCTTGTGGATGACGACTTTATTCGGTGTCTTTTTGATATCATTGAGGATCTTTCTTATGATGTGACTGACCCGTATCATTATCCTGTTATCCGGGTGCTTGTGAGTTGTTTCTTTTTATGTTCCGGTTTGGATTGATACTGATGTTTTGTGCAGCTGGTTCTGAATGAGCAGTTTATGATTTCCGCTCATGATCCTGTCGACGATCGACCTTCGGGGCATTTGACCAACAAGGTTATTAAGATCTTGTCTGCTTACGGTGGCTTGTATAAGACGTTTGGGGAGAATATTATTCTCCTTATTAACCGCGAGGGTAAAGCCAATATCTCTTTTTCGATTGCTCCGATGGCTGACGATATGCAGCCGAGACATCTTTACAGTTACTAACGTTGAAGCTTCTGTATTTGATCTTCACTACTCCAAATACCTATGAGTACTTCTTTACCAACGATTTGCATGTCCTGGTTGATATCTTGATCCGCAATCTACTCGATCTACCCGAGGAAGCATCTGCGCTGCGACATACGTATCTCCGCGTTCTATATCCCCTTCTAGCTCACACACAGCTACGAAACCCACCGCATTACAAGCGTGATGAGCTCAGAAGGTTGCTCAGTATCCTTGTCCGGGGACAAGTTTCATATGGAAGTGACGCAGAACATGAGAAGATTCTCCACTTCGAAGAGGTTGACGAAACGACACGACGACTTGTTGGTAGATGTGCCACGGTAGATTGGTTGCGCAGTCCTGAAACGCAAGATACACCTACCAAGGTTACGTCGACTTCTATTGAAACTGTTCTTGATCAGGCTGAGCACTTCGAGTCGCCTGCAGACATTATTGAAACGTCGGCAGACATTGGTGAGCCGCTGGAGGTGACTCGCACAATCTCGCGCGCAAGTACTGTTGCCAGTGTATCAGATACAGCATCGCCAACGAGAATGGCTTCCCGCGATTCTTCTGAAGCGCCGCGGAAACATAGCTTAGTACAAAGGCTCGGCATGAACCTAGAGCCTGCATCTGCATCTTCGCTGAGCGTTCAAGCAGTCGCAGCACAGCACGAAAAGCCAGGCATCATGACCCCCAGTCGAAAAGACGGAGTCCCAGCCGCCACTCTCAGTGACGAAACGCCAATAATCCGGCCACCAAAGATCAAGCCCGAACCCCCAAAATCTCGCCGCTGGCGCGGACGCCGTATGACCGTGGAAGAGGAGCAACACCACTTGGCCGGCGCAAGCAGCGACGACTATACTATCCCTGAAGGCATAGAAGTCAGCCCTACAACCACACACACACCAGGGTCCCCAATCCCAGCGACACCCTCGTCTCTCTCACACCCCGATCGTCGCGACTCTGCCCCAAGCTCAACCCTGGCGCCCCCAGGTACCCAGCCGCGCCGCTCAGCATCCAACCCACCCCCAGCCCTCCCGCCGCCTCGCCGTTCAGCACACACTACACCAACCTCGAGTCAACACAGACCCCCAGCACCTGTGCCGGGAGCAGGTCGTCATGGGCAAGCCCCTCTTCCTCCAAACCCACGACGCTGGGGCCGCGGCAAAGCACAGCACGGACAGAGTGATTCCGTAGAGAGCGGAGTTAGCTGTGTTAGTCCATCAAAGGAACTCGAAAACGACAACACCCCCGCACCAACACAGCAGTCCCAATCCCAGCAACAGTCGCAATCGCCGGAAGGAAGTACCCTCTCAGACCCATTCTCGCCAACTTCACCCACATTACTCGTCTCCCCAGCCGAATCCGGTGACAATCCCCCCGCAGGCGCTGCGCCTGTCAGCGTAGAAGAAGCGGTTCAAAATGTTTCTCTGCATTGAGCGAATTTCTTCATTGGCGTGCTTACGTTTCTAATTCAAGATACTCCTTGTCTGCGGCTCTTTCATTCGGATGTTTTGGTACGGATACGATAGGCTTTGGCTCTAGTCTTCAATGGACATTATGGTTAGGGCATTTCAACTGTATGGAGAGTTGGTAGGATATCAATTGCATGCAAGGACTGGATCCTAGAACATTAAATTGACTGATTTCGCTGATTGTTCGCAATAATGGAGTAGAATACATATACAAATACAATCGGTAGGATGACTAGACCAAGCAGGATAGCCGAAGTAAGCTAGAAGCACACATCACCTCTACACGTACAAGTAAAGCTTGTCTCTTCAACAGCATCACTCGTACCACTGCAAGATAAAAGTTCACAAGGAAGAGATGTGGCGTGCAATGGATGCAATGATCATCTCAAATCTTCAGTCCCCAGCTACGGCCAAGTCCAACAGCAGTATTCCATCCAAAGCCAGCACATTGGCCAATACCAGTAAGTTTATCGGCAATAGCTTGACGATCCTCAAACCGGCGCTCAACAAACGCAGCAGTCTCAGACAGATCAGGTGTCGGATCGCGCGTCATAACGACCTCGGCGCTGGCGTAGATGGCCGAAACAGCCACGCGGCGTGTATACCAGGCCGCATCGACGGCTGTGTCGCCGGATAGAGTGAGAATATCAGATGCAAGGGCATGCAGCTCCGTTAGGGAGAGAGGAATATTAGCCAAGAGGGACATTTGCGCAAGGGCCTAGTAGAGATCAATTAGTCCAAGTCCAAAGAGAGTCATATGAGGTAAGGGAAGGGAATCGATATACTCACATCCTGCCAAACATGCCTAACCTCATCATTCATCCTCAGCCTCTCCAAAAGCAGCCCGCGAACCCGTTCCTCTACGCCAAGCTCGTAGACATCCTTTCCCTTCTCCGCTGCAATGCGCCGGAACAAGCCGCCCTCTTCGACCTTCCCGCGCAACAATCCCCGTCGACTAGCAAGCCAGAAGAGGATAAGGTCGAATTCGCCCCGCGGGAGCAATTGCACAGATACATCTAGGAAGCCGGCGTCACGGGCTCCGAGTGTCAATGCTGTGCTGGTGAAGCCGTGTGCTGGGACGTGGTCGAGGGCAGCGGTTAGGATTGCTGTTTGCGAGTTTGTGTATTCGTGGTCTGGGAGGCGGGGATGCAGGGCTGAGTGGTAGGCTCTGGCTTGGGAGAGGAGGGTCTTCGGTTGGCATTGTGCTGGTGTTGGTGTTGGTGTCGGAGTTCGGCGGGTTCGTACGAACGTGGGTTGGATTGTGGATGTGCTCAGTGCTTGGGTCTGGCGCAGGTAGGGCGTTATCCGGGTGGGCAGGGCCCTTCTGGGTAGGGTGCGTGCGAGGTGTGCCATTGTGTGGTGGTTTGGGTTGTTGGATGGTCAAAAAGTGAAGATGTTGGAGATGGGAGGGTGGTCTGTGCGCGTGATCTATAGGGAGTTGGCCAACATTGGATGTCTGAGCTTTGGGGGTACTAGGGCTAGTTGCTAATTGCTTGTATGGCTACGATTGCTGAAAATGTGCTTGTATTCTGATAATTGCGTTGTTCAATTTGGGATTTGTTCCATAATCATGCAGCGCGACTGTCAATCTTCGCTACATGCGCCAGCATCAAGCCAAATCATCCATGAAATAACGACCAGTTGGAGCAAAAGATGTAGTTTAATTTTATCGATCGTACTATAGCTACAATCTCCATCTTATCATTTACTCAGAGACCAGCATGAACACGTGGAAGGATTGCCACGTTGGATCAGGCTGGAATGGGCCAGGTAGGTGATCTTATACCGTCAGTTGAGAAGATGAATCTTGATTTGGTGAACAATTAATGAAAAGTATCTTGGTGTATATTGGTCCATTGTCTTCTGTGGCACCAGGCTGCCAGCCCAAACTAATTGGTACATACAGGACTGGGGTTCCATCAAACATGTTCTGCACAATGGAAACATCACATCCGGCCCTCGTAGTTCTTGCATGCTTGGGTCGTTTGCGACTTTATCTTTTCTTGTCGGCGTGAAAGGAGACCAGTATCCACTATAGAACGCGTGAGTCAAATTGTCCATAGTATGAATATTCTCAACTCTGCGCACAGTCTAGTCCTATGCAGAATGCAAAGATGAAAAAGTGTACCTAACCCAGCAAAAGCACTAAACAGATGATGCATGCTTCTCAAGAACAGCAATAACACTTCGAAGAGAATCCGTCACCGCGTTACCGTCCGCTGCATCACCAACATCCAAATTAAAACCCTCTTTGGTTTCAAACCCATGATCCTGGTCGACAGCATTCTCAAACCAAAGATCAACACCAAGAGTTCTCAACTTCTCAGCCACCATGGAACTCTGGTCAAAGTCCACCAGATCATCTCGATCACCATGCAAAAGAACAGTAGGCGGGAAATTCGGCGTCAACCCAAAGCTTACAGGAAACAGGGTCCGGTATTCCTCAGGGATAGCATCCGTGCCTTCTTCAGCAATACGCTGTGCCAGACCTGGACACCGTGTGAGAACATCTGCATACCGTGCAGTCTGGTGCATTGTTCTGATCCATTTGACTCTTTGATCGGTGGGTAGGTTCGCTGGGAATGGATACCCGTCTAGCACCTGTCCACTCTGCATTGCTGCATCAATCTCGCTCAGGGCTTCGGTTTCGTTTTCGACTGGTCCCATGAGAGCCTGTCCAGGATGGACATATCGCTCGCTTGCTGGGTCGAGCATTCCGTAGATGGCGAGAACAGCGATGGGTCGAGGGCAACTGGGATGGGCTGCTGTTGCGAGTGCTAGATATCCTCCGGCGCTGGAGCCGGCTATGATGATTTTGCTGCTGATGTTTTGGTTGACCCAGTTCGTTGCATCGAGTGTGTCTTGGAGGATGTCTAGCCCCTTTGCTTCTGGGAGGAGCCTATAGGATGCTGTTGCGTATATCCATCCTCGATGGTGACAGGCGTTGATAAGCCAGTGGGGGGGGAATGTTGTTTTTTTGCCAATCGCCTAGTGTTGAATGATCAGCTGATACTCGGGCAAACGCGCGAAATTCCTTGTTCAAGCCGAAGTCAGATCAAGGACTCACTAGAAACCCGCCGTGGAAATGGAGGAGGACAACACTGTCTTCCTTTGCGGTTGGAGGTTTCAACAGGTCGATTCCGAGAGATAAGCCATCTGCAGTCTTGTAGACATGCGAAGATGTTTCAAAAGACGCCATAGTGAGTGGTTGAATCTCAAGGCAGAAAGGTGTATAGTTGAAGAAGTAGCTAAGCACCCCTCACTACTCCACTTGTTCCGCGGGTTTTCTCACAGCAGCCGAGGATTATATCCGGCGAGAACGGAATATACTGTTATGTACAGGATTCTATGTCAGTTCTACGATGCGTTCACGGCATTCAACCCTAATCGGTTTGAAGGAACGAATGAAGATGTAAGATATATATCTTTACCGATCAGCATGAATGGCCATTGATAAATGCCTACACATCCAGATTCATTCCCTCCGCCGCAGACAACTATCCTCTGGCTTCTCCCAATCCTCAATCCAGATCTTCGAGGCCTTGATAGATCTGAACATCAGGATCTTAATACAGTGAAGCCGTGAGTATGCTATGCCCGTTTATCACGATGAAACCCAATACAGAGAGCATGAGACCAGGCATGATTCCAGAGGCTCGAGGCTGGGCGCGAGATTAGTGAGATCAAAGGTGTGGTATCAATCACAAGTGTGACAAAATGCTCCGTCAAAAGGAAGTAAAAAGGATACCGCATTGCAGGCAAAGCGCAAACACTAGCCGCTAGACCTTGCGTACGGTGTTGAATTGACTGATCTTGACATACAGATAGATGTACGAGAAATTACGAAAGACTACAAGGGAAAAGGAAGAGTGCAGTCTCCCTGCAAGACAGAACGCAGAAAAGCTTTTCTTCCATTCCAGGAAAAAGAAACAACAGAGGTGATCAGAGGTGATCAGAGGTGATCAGCCCAACCGGGCACCGGATCCCCATTCTGAACTCAGAAAGGCTCAAAGAAACGGCATGGGAATAGGGAATCATCGAAAGAAAAGAAAAGCGCAATGAAGAAACAGGAAGCCGAAGAACTCATGGCCCGAGACAATCGAAGCCCAGAAAACAATCATGACGTGCAGCGCATGCACGAAGACATTACATAATCTGGTCCTGAGTGAGACCGGAGGGGTGCTCCTGCTGAGTCTCCATCATGTCGTCGTGAGGGGCGTTGGGAGTCATGTACTTGACAAAAGTGATGCCAAGGGGACGACCACCGTACTGATAGCCGGAGAACTTGGCTGCTTTGTGTTAGTATGTGGGCCATCAGAGCTGGAGTGGGATAGACATACAAATGGCAGTCTCTGCTGTGTCTGCGGTATCGAATTGGACGACACCAGTACCGCGGGAGCGGCCGTTGGGCTCATACTGAATCTCGGCACGGTCAACCTTGCCAATGGTAGAGAACAGATCAATCAGATCATCGTTGCAGGTAGACCAGGGCAGCTGTTACGTGTTAGCAATTAGATCCCTTGGTTATCCTCTTCGTCTCTTGGTGTCAACACTTACGTTGCGAACATAGATGCCACCGCTCTTGTCACCGTTGGACGTGGCAAAGTCAGTGAAAGGGTTAGGAGGAGCCGAGGCAACCGGAGCACCGCCGTGGTCGAAACCACCACCGGGGAAACCACCGGGGGGACCGCTGAAGCCGCCACGGCCACCAAAGCCGCCGCCAAATCCACCGCGGCCACCAAAGCCACCACGGCCAGGAGGGCCGCCGAAACCGCCGCGGCCGCCGAAGCCACCACCGAAGCCGCCGCGTCCACCAAAGTTGCCACCGGGACCGCCACCAGCGAAGCGGTCCTCACGAACCTCAAGGTTGCGGCCCTGCCAGTCGTAACCGTTGAACTGAGCAATGGCGTTCCGGGCATCATCGGGAGACTCGAAAGCAACGATACCAGACCCCTTGGGGCGTCCACTGGGGTCGGTGTGCACATCGGCACGAATGACGGCACCCTGCTGAGCTATGATAGGGGATTAAGGGTCAACTCGATGGGCTCAAACTAGACAAAACCGGTCAAAGTTGGGAATTTCCAAGTTGCACTTACCAGCTTGGCGGAACAGATCCTTCAGGTCTTGCCAGCCAACGTTGAATGGAAGCTATAAAGGTGTCAACCGATCCTGAAAGAGCAAGTGAGGAACTGGGGTAGAAGAGAGAACAAACGTTTGAAACATAGATTTGACGGCCAGCGTTGCCAGGAGCACCGCCGAAACCACCGCCACCACCACCAAATCCACCACGACCGGGGCCGCCGAAATCACCTCGAGGAGGACCCCCGACGAAACGGGGCTCGGCCTCGCGGTCCTGCGAAGTCGTGTCAGTCAAGTTTGACAGGCGGACGGACCCAACATACCTCGCGGACGTAAACAAGACGACCCATCAGGTTCTGGTTGCTAAGCGTGTTGACAGCGTTCTGTGCTTGCTCCCTGGTAGCGTATTCCACAATCCTGACAAACCGTTAGCAAGGCCCTCAATTTCGAACCGAGACAGAACTTACCCGCATCCCTACAATATCAGGACAACAATGCCCAGCCCGTCAATCCAACGTCCATGCAAAAGAAAAAAACCAACCACGAAAAATCAGGGAGTAGAACGGAACTAGCCACTCTACGTATAGGCGCCCACCTTCGACATTCCATTAGGAAGAAGCAAAACATCGGCAAAGAGAACTTCTCCAGCTGTAAAGCGTGGGAACACCCCCCAGTCAGCTTCAAATCAAACCAACAACTCTCTCATCACCCCCAAGTGCAACGACCCTGCTCACCCTGTCTCATAAAATCTTTGAGGTGATGCCACTTGACATCGTAGGAAAGGTTGCCCACATAGACCCGACGGTCTTGCTGGGACGAATCGCGAACGGTTTGCATCATGTTTTCTTTAGCGACGGTGCGATCCTCAAATCTGGCAGGCGGATAACCACTGCGTCCACCGTAAGGCGAGCCCGACGGTCCAGCAGCACCTGAGTTGCTCAATGGGGAGCGAGAGCGACGTTCGGGAGAACGGCGATCGGTACGACGGTATTCGTCACGGTCACCACGGTCACCACGGTCACCACGGCTGCGAGAGCGACTGCGAGGCGAGTACGAACGACGGGCACGTCGGGGGCTGCGAGAAGGACGACGACGAGGCGAGCGAGATCTCTCGCGCTGTGGATAGTCAGACATAACGGAATCAAGGTGGATGGATAAGAATATAGTGATGGGAGATTGGAGGGAGGTTCGGAAGGCAGTCGCATTGCGCTCTCCGAGGGGTGGGTCAGGGTCATGTGACCCGCTCTGGGGGGAGGTCTCAGTTGAGGACCTTCCGGGGTTGGGAGCTTGGGGGCACTCGCGCACACGTTTCGCGCACAGCGCATGGCTTCTGCGTCAACAGCGATGGCCATGGAAGTTATTTCCTTCCAGGCACCGGATCACATCCGGAGGATATCTGATCAAACAGACGTGGCGGTTTCCGCCCCCGCACTGACCACACCTCGATCATCGGGAGTTCGCAGTTGCGCAAGTACATGGTGTATAGTGTATATCGGAGAGTAGAGAAGAAGAAACGAGATCAACTTACTTGGTATGGGCGGTAGACGTCTGTTTATGGGAAGGTAGTCAATATCCAAAACGATAAGGGGGATGAGAAAGGAGAGGGGAAGGAGATGAAAGGATCAGGCGTCAAGGTTGGGGGGTTAGCAGGTGATTGGATGGGGGAACGACCGGGGACCTCGAGAATGTAGAGTAACGAGTAATACAGTACGAAAAAGAAAAGTGTAATATAACTCACCCATGATGTCGAGATGCGTGGAAAGAGCCAAGGGGGACGGGGAAGGAAGAAAGAAAGAAGAGAATGAAAGAAGAGCGAAGCGTGAAGTGTGAGCGGTTTGAGATCCTCAAGTCTCAAGGTCTCTGGAAGTAAGGAAGAGAAGAAACATGAGTTCTGATACTTGACACCTCGGGGAAAATCTGTCACCGCCCGGGCCAATCTGGAGCTATAGCTCTGTAACAGCGATTGACCCTAGTTACCAGTATGACCAGCATAACTGTATAAGCCAGTATGGGGATATAATTCTTTGTTATATGTTAGCAAATAAGTAACCCCAAGGTACCAATTATATGGGTGACTCCTACAATAAATACCTCTAAACTACATATCACGTGGGCCAACACCTGCGTCTACATCTCTGATTGCACACACTTCAGTTACTCAAAATGCCACGGCCAGTACCACTTACTGTGCGGTAAGATGCAGATGCATACCAAAGAGAGACAGCCGTGTTTAATTTCATCTCACTAAGTCAAAGCGTAAAAACCTCATATCCAAAGAATGGGAATCAAAAGAGACAAATCCAACAGCGCCACACCCTCCCGAAAACGAACGCCTTGCAGCATGGTTAATGCTGTGGAAACGAGACTGTTACAGCCTGAAGGAGAGGACCAAAACGCCTGAACGCAACTAGGACGTGTTGTGAGGGGCAAGGTCGGGGTACATGTACAAACAAAAGGAAGGATGGAAATATAGAAAAGATGGGAAGAGATGCGGGAAAGGATACCGATCGGTATCACGAAAGCATACAAGTAGATATAAAGAGGCAGTAAATGGAAGTGAGAGAGGGGTCCATTTATGCGGCCACATTGGTAGGGGGATAGCGGCCAGGAATCTTCATATCCAAGGCGACGATACTGTCCGTCTTAGTACGAAGCAGTTCAGGTGGGACCTTTCCAGGGACACCGCCAGAGAATTGGATTGAATCGTCTTCCATGGTACGGTATGGAACACCGGCAGCCAGGATCTTGGGAACCTCCTGATTCCCATCAACCGAGGTAGCATTGGTGTTGTTGGTGTAGTCCGTAGTGTTTGTGTTGGTGGGTGCCGTTGATACGCTTTCGCGACGAGTCACCTGGGGTGGAGCTGAATGATCACGACGGTCAGCGATACCAACATTTGAGACGGCAGCAAGAGAAGCGACATCTCCGTCAGATCTGATGTCCCGCTCATCTGGGTTGGAAGACGGCAGCTGCGCCTGCTTCTGCTTGGCGACTATTGCTGCCGGGCCGATCCAGTCACCGTAGTAGCTATCGTGCTGGGTGATTGGGGGGCGAGATCGTTCCGTAGACATCTCCTCGTTACGATAGGGTCGATGGGAACTGCTCTCGCGGCTACCCGGTGGCCGTGAGCCATCGTCAAAGTTATTGGAGCCGTCATGGTATGACCCGGCCGCGGCTAGCATGTCTCGGCCCGCGGAGCTGTCCCCGCTTGATGGAGACAAGGGTGCCTGGAGGTGACGGTCGATCTGGACGTCGCTGGGAAAGGCACCCCCAGCTTGGCGAGTGGCAGAAGTTGGTCGTTCGGAGGCCAGGACCAAAGAGCCCGCGGAGTATGGGGTGCGATCAGCCTCATCATCTTCCATCACTTCATTGTTCATGGATCGCCCGCTGACGCTGCGGACGTGCTTCCGCACAAAAGCATTGCGCGCTTCACCGGTCTTGTTGATCAGACTCTCGATATCCTCATACCATGACATCATGGTCTCGTGGGACTCGGCGCGGAAGACCCACGAGTGGCCCCGGTGCATCGCACCGGTCTGCCGGCCCTTTAGCATGAACTTGTGAGAGCTAGAGTCTTCCTGTGAGTGAGAGCCAAGCTTCTGCTCTGGCAAGTAGAGCGACATGACAGGAGTCTGCCATGCCACACGATCCGCTGACTTGAACTCATGGAGATGCGTCGGCGACAGGACATACCTGGAATTAATCAGTCGATGACTTCAGCATGCACAAGGTAGGGGACGTACCATCCAGGAGTATAACTCTTGAGATACTTGCTCTTGCGCTCCAACATTCCAGCTCTGATCTCGGCAGCAGCCGGATGATCCTTGCCGGGGTAGGTGATGTTCTCCACATTCCGGAGGGGAATCCGAGGATCAACCAGCTCGTCGGTGTCGGCGACAAACGAGTTCCACTCGTGGTCTTGGGGCATGGAGATTGGACCCGCCTGGAGCTTCTCTACTGTATCGAGTGCCTCATTGGCCTCGCGGCGGAGGATACTAGCGTAGGCATTGTATGCCTTCTGGATCTCGCTCACGACAATCGACTCAAGCTCACGGCCAGAGTTCTCCAAGTTCAAGAAGGCCTGTTGAAAGTTAGTTATGAGGTCAATTGGTACAACGTAAGGCGTTACGAACTCGGTGTAGGTAGTTCTCCTCCTCAATCTGCTTCTCGACCTGTTTCTCTACATTTAGGCGCATGATGAATGGATCGCCCTTGCCGGATGTTGCGGAAGCATCGGTATCGACAAGCCCCAGAGCTTCGTGCAAGTTCCGCACAGACTTGCGCGTACCGTCAATCTCCTTCTCAACCGTATTCTTGAAATCACCCGAGAGGTTCTTGATCTCCTTGGTCTTCTTCTGGAGATCGCTCCGCAGACCAGTCAATTGGCTGATTACCTCCACCTCCACCTCAACAGCCTTGTTGGCTTCTGTATAACCCTGTCGGTGGAAGTCACGAAGGATCTCGGTCGCATCGGCGAGACCACCAGACTCCAGGAATGCCGTCGGCAGGCTCTGGTTGTTAACAACATTGGAGGCGGATAGGAATAGCTTCGCCCTAGTTTCATAGGACTTTTGCACTTCCTTAAAGAAAAGAATCAAGTCCTTGAGGACCTTGCGCCAAGCTACAGTACTCGTTAGCGGGGTTTCATGGGGTACGCGCGGATGGGGTCAAGCCCACCTCCAAACCGGTTTGCCAGCACTTCGGTCGGGTTCCCAGTAGTCGGGATAGGAACGGAGAAAGCGCTGTTGACATCGTCGGAACCTTCAGTGTGGTACTTTTCCCGATCGCCCAGGCTCAGACTGCGCACGCTGCCTGCGCGCATGCTTCGGCGACTTCCATTCCGTCGCAAGCTGCCCTTCTTGTTCAGGGAAGCCTTCTTTCTTAAGGTACTCGTGCGGGAGGGGGTCTCGGAGCGCACGTGGGACATCTGCGAGACCGAGCGCTGTGGCACCGGGTTATCGAGCGCGACCGAACTGCGACGGCTGGCGGTATCGAAGTCCTCTCTAAAGCGGGGATTGTGAGGGACCTGCGTGGATTCGATGGCACCAGTACCGTAGTATGCTGAACTGCCGGCGAACGAGTGAGGTCGGGAGGACTGGGATCCGTATCTGCGACTGAGGGCGCCTGGGTCGTTGGGTTGCGGGATCATGTATGCATCCTGTGAGGGCGTCTGCGGCCGCGCGGCCATCGCCATGTCGGGAACGTTTTGGATTATGGTTTATTTTTTTTTATGCCGGTCGGAGGATAAGTTGAAGGGTAATAGAGTCAAAGGAAAAATCAAGGACGTTAGCTCCAGAACTCCTGAAGTGGCGCCTTTTGGTTACCAGGCGAACGGAGGGCAATGTTGCGGGGAGTAAGGACCCCACTCGAAGGTCAGGGGGAATAAGGAGAAGATCAATTTGCTCATCTGCAAGTGAAATGAACTGCGAATTCCATGCAGCATAAAGGGAATTTAGGGAACCAAGAATGGGATGACGTCTACGGCTACCAAAGTGATGACGCCCAAGATCGGGATGTTCGGGAGGGACTTAGTCTTTGACGTATGGATCGGGATTGGAGGCCGTATACTGGTTGTGACTGGATTTGGGGTGTGGGTGTGTTGTAACATATGTTACGGGCTGCGGGACTAGTTACTGCTAGTTAATTACTATATGTATCCAATTTGGTTGCCTGCTGTGGCTGATGAACTCCGCCCCTGACTATATAACTTAATAGCCCAACTTCTCCAGTTCGATCCACTCAATAGGGGCTAACCATTGCCACCCCCCTGATCTTCAAGTGATGAACAGTGCATGACGTCGAGATCTGGAGAGAACACACTTGGAAGACACATGGAAAACCCCTTGCTCGGTTGTTTCGGAATACCTTCATCTGGGACTGTACCTCACTGATACTGCCATTTATGGTTCTTGGGTGCCTGTCTGACTCGCAACTATATACCGCACCAACCATGCCAGCCCCTGCATGCTGATTCAATGGTCCGCCCGGCGCTTTCGGGTGCACCAGGATCAATACTTGCTTCATAGTTATTCCGTCATATATCTTGCTTGGCCGTGAACTTACACACAAGTCATGGACTTCGGAAAATAACGCCATACATTTACCTGTAGGGCTAGGTTCATCCCTAATGCCCCACAGTATATCCACTATGATGCTTGCAGGTCATGATGAATCGTGATTTTCTCTAGATCTAATCCTAACCACGTGCTTGGAACTGGTTAACCTTCGATAATCCATGAGTTACTATTCCTACTTGATTTCTATGGGCATTTCGACAGTATTGCGTTATGAAGCTCATTCACGGTCGTCCGCGTACACAACTAGAAGATATACGTAGCACAGCGATCCAATCCCAGCCTCTAGAGAAAACGATTGCTAGTAATATGGTTGACTAGGGCAAGGAAACAAAACACGCCCTGTGGCAGCCGTGCGGTGCCAGAGCACCTGCGTGTAGTTACTAGATAGAGACCACACCCGGAGGCAAGCATTAGATTCTTAAATCCCCTCAAGAAGTAATGACTTGACAAGAGAATCAGTGAGCTTTTGATCGGAAGCTATCCTTTTGATGGGGTGGGAATCTATCGGGGATACGGAATGGGCGTACCTGATAGATAGTTTCAAAGGACTCCTCGTCTAACGCCAACGAATATATTGAGACTACATATATTATCTACTCCTCGGGGGTATATATGAGAATCAAAGCAAATAATACGAAAGGACACTCGCTCGCACACCAGAGAAAGCTGAACCAGAGAGGAAAGAGGGCAGTATGTCGCGGGGGAACGCCACAGGTATTTCTGATTATTGAACAAGATATTACTGATCACTCAACAGCCACACATCCTGACACTTCTCTGTCAATCTCGAATAAATGATATTCCTTTGTCGTTGACCGATCATAATATCGAAAGCACTGCTTATTCAGATGAATCACCCTACAAGCGGACTTCAGGGCTTACTGACAACATTCTCAATGTTTCTAGATTTATTTCAACAGCTACGAGATTGGTAATAGATGATGAGCAGGTCCTAATAGCATTGAATATAAATAATTACTCGTGTTCTGTCTATTGATTCCACATAAAACATTACCACTCTATCTCAAAGTTCAATTACTTCAAGCTACACCTCACAATGTCCAACAACCTCGTCCTGATCACCGGTGGTACCGGGCACATTGGTTTCAGAACCCTCGCCACTGCGTTGAAGTCCGGCTACCGTGTTCGAGCTGCAATTCGATCCGAATCCAAGAAGAATGACATTCTCTCTGCGCCATCTATTAAAGCACTCAATCTGACCGACGAGCTTTCCTTTATCATTGTATCTGACTTGATGATTGACGGCGCTTACGACGAAGCCGTCAAGGGAGTGGATTATATCATTCATCTTGCGTCGCCCATCGTTCTCAAGGGAGAGATCAAGCCCGAAGACTACGAAACTGCACTTGTCGAGCCTGCCGTTGCAGGAACGGTCAACATCCTGAAAGCAGCAATCAACTCGCCTAGTATCAAGCGTGTTGTGATTACATCTTCTGTCGTTGCAATCCTTTCTAGCGAATACATGTTCGAGAAGGATGCTCCTGATGGAGTAGTCCTCAACCACGAATCCAGATTGCCTACGCCCTCTGGGCCGTACCTATCTGACTTTCACGCCTATAACGCCAGCAAAGTTGCGGCTCTCAATGCGACCGAGGCGTTTGTTAAAAACCAAAAACCCAATTTCGACGTGGTGAATATCCATCCATCCTTCGTCATCGGCAAGAACGAGCTTGTGAAAGACGCCAAGGATATCACAGTTGGAACTAACGCCATTGCTATCGCCCCCGTTCTTGGAGCTAAGTCTGAAAGCCCCATTGTTGGATCCAGTGTCCACGTTGATGATGTTGCATTCATGCATGTCAAGGGTCTTGACCCCAAGGTTCCTGCTGGAAGTTATATTGGAAACTCTGATGATTACGCTGGAACTTTTTGGCAGAATGCAACAGGGATTGCGGCTGAACACTTTCCCAAGGCTGTGGCAAAGGGCATTCTTCCTAACAATGGTCTGCAGCCTACTCGGAAGATGGGAGTGGATGCGAGGAAGACTGAGGAAGTCATGGGTTTCAAATTCCTCAGTTTTGAGGAACAGGTTAAGAGTGTCGTGGGGCATTTCCTTGAGCTGAAGGGTGAAAAGACTGAGTAACTGATCCACCCAAATGGATCTGCTCAATTCGGCCCCGAGCTAGAAGGCATATTCAGTTGCTGCTTTTGATCTTCATTTCAAATGTCATCTCTCTTTCTGTTTAATGGCTTCATCAAGCTTAATGTCACGATTTATATGCACGTGCTCGAAGTCTATGGATGTAGAAGGGATAGGTCGTAAATTATTTACTCTAGGCGAATGTTGCTTTCTGAGCCTTGCGCATCTTTTCTTTGTCTGCCACCATTACCTGCTGCACTATGCTTGTCCTTGATACCTGAATGTTAGTCCCTTTGTTTTCTAACAAGGCTTTTGTATTTCTACCTCGTCTTCTTACGGGATCTTTACATGGTTCGGTTTCATTGTCCTGTCTCACCGGCAAGTCTCTTCTTAAACATCCTTTGTTTCCATTTGCGTGTAAATGATAATCCCGATGCTGCACGAACAGAAATAAACCGAGGTATAAAAATGTCCCCGAATCTATATCTAATTAAACATCTCCTGCCCATTCCTTATTTCAAACCCCATGAATCACTCAAAAAGAACCCAATTGATTCAAGTGATGGCGTCGAATATCAACGATACTTCTTCAGATGACCTTCCAGCGAATGTCGAATATCACGTCCTTCCCATGCGTCCTCCCGATACACTTCCATGGAACATTGATTACCCTATAAAAGCAACCCCTATTGAAACAGCCGCCAACCCAATCCCTAGTTACGAATTCGGCCGGTATCAAATAATGGGAGCTGACCGACAGATGTGGATCGAAGATCCGAACGCACCAAAGTGTCCAGTAAAGCCCTCATCACTCGACATCATGGCGATGATCTCGGGTTTCACACAGGGACAAACAAGCTGGTTCCTTGAGATTGATAGGATGTACGATCCCCCTTTTAGGATCCTCGTTGACCTAGAGCGAATGATCCTCCCAGCTTCTAGCCATTACCACCAGTTTACGATTTGCAAGGAAAGCACTAACAAGGTCAGTCGGCCTGCGCCCAACCACCATGACCTGTTCACAGCATCGGGCGTTTTGATCGTCGCATTGATGTACAGAGCCGATGGGCCTATGTGGTCTGATATTGCCATTGCGCAATACAAAACCCGCTTCCCTAACGATACCCTGCAACATATCTATATCGATAACTGCACTAATGTCGAGACTGACCCCTTGGTTACTATGCTGATGGGTGGTACCAGAGATGATGATTGGTACGGTTTTTCTCCTGCGCAGTCAAGAATTCAGGTTCCTACGGTCTTGCAGTATGGCACACCTGCTTACCAGGCAATTCTAGGATCTGCGACTGGTAAGGCCGTTGCTGCCTTCATTTTGGGGGCTTTCCCTAGGGGTGCCTGGCGTGTCGCTAAGATCGCTTGTTGGTACTACTGGGGTGTTAACATCCGGTTCGATCTTGAGCCTGTGTCTGAAGGCCCTACTATGTCCGAATTCCGAATACACGCGCCAATCGTAGCGATATTTTTAATGTTGACGCAGATAAGTTGATTTATATTTTTTGTGCAATCCCTTTAAATAGATGACTCGAGCTTTTGAAGACTCTATATGGATTCGCTTTACCAAATTGAAAAATTCTGAATATATGTTGCATGACTTACCTAGCCCACCGCGTACTCCAGAGATCAAGCAGTTGTAGTCGTATTTGATTGGCCTTTTGAACATAATTTTCTTGTAAAATGGATATATTGACATTATTTCTTACCTGTGTATAACCAACATGTAGTTGTTAATCAATTGACTCTCAAAACATAGTGTGGCGTTTCCAAGTAGATATATTGACTCTTTGATATGCGTGCGCTATTATTGGCCCACTGCCGGTCCGGGGATGTTCCCCTCATTTTTGACCTCGAACTATTGTTCAACACAATATATGGACTAAACACTTGTTTTATTATGCTTGCCCTAGGTATTTACATATTGACGCATGCTGTTTTCAAACCCGGGCTATCCGCCCAAGTTCTACAGCTTAATTATACCGGGCCATTTTAATTTGAAGGTGTGTATTGTTTGAAATTTCCTGAAGACAGAAGAAAACCTAATCGGATTGACGTGTCCGGCATGCGAAGTAGGCAGCGTGATATGGGGGGATAATTTACACAAAGCAGCGGGGAAAGGCGTATTGAAAAGAATGCAGGTTTATGACGCAGGGACCGGGGATGTGGGAACCTCGACGCCGTAAGCCTCCTTAATGCGCTCGGCGCGTCGCTCCTCGTAGCCGGGGCCGTAAATACCTAGGAATTAGAGTTAGCACCAGCGTATAGCATTGGCTGAAGATATAAAGACATACCACGTCCCTCGCCCAACTCAGCGACGGTCTGCTCTCCGGGAGTCTGGAACGCCTTGCGCAGCTGCTGGCGACGATCAAACTCGTCAACCGATGTGTCCTTGTTATATCCGAACAGAGAACCGCCGGTGTACTCGAATGCGGTCATAACGGTCGACACGGCGACACCGTATCCAAGCAGAGCGGGGAATGTGCGGACTGTGAAATCGCGAATATCAGCTCTTTGAATTCCCGCCGCGGAGCCAATTGAATTTAGAACTCACGTCTGAGACCGAGAATGGCACCGGAGAAGAAGCCACCAAGTGCGGTGTTGTAGTGGTCCTCCTTCTCGCGCAGGTTGGCGGAAGCGGTCTTAACAAAGGCATAGGTACCACCGACAGCAGCTATCGAATGACTGGGTTAGCAATTGATCATTACAGATGCACATTCCTCTGGTATTTCATACCAAAGGCACCAATAGTGCCACCGCTGCGAATGAAGACACCTAGCGGTCCGTGGTTCTGTCGGGAGAGAGTGTTCTGAATGGCGGAACCGAACAGACCAACAGTACCAGTCAGCATGGTAGCCTTCATGGCGACTGACATGGCATCCTGAGGGTGATAGCTGTGGTCTTCAGCGTGGTGCGCCATGGTGTCTGATAGTAGGGATGGGCTCAGTGCGACGGATGTGGTTGGCGGTTAGGATTTTGGGGGTTCCCATCTGCCACTTTACGCCGATGTCCACACCGCCCGTGTTTCTGGAGCTCTCATGATAATCAGACGCATCTCGGTGTTTGCGATGCTGTTCGTTTCATAGATTCAGGTTAAACCAACAGTTCTCGATTCTTGGATCACTCATTTTCATCCGCTTTAGTCTCAAATTCAACCACGCTGTGCGAACACAGCCCTACGAGGCTTGCCGCTGCTTGCTGCCAAGCAGCAGGCTCCCCGCTGTCTCTCCGCCTGCGCGATTCCATCATTAGAGAGCTCATTCAACACCGCCGAGCTTCCTGCTTTGAAACCCTGTACTCCGATACTGTTTGTGGACTAAAACACCCCTGTGTGTAGAACCACTCTTACGAGCGAATAAGAGATCCAAATCACACGTGAGGCCATCGGGCCTGAACATCATACCTCATGGCGCCTATCCAGAGGGCAGGTAGGTCATGCAACTTGAGATATGCCGTATATACCTACATGCAAATACTCATACTGACTGCTGGACTATAGGTAAGGCTGTACCTCGTTTGGTTCACGACCTCCAACTTTATGACCCAGCACACGTCCCCGACACTGGCCGTAACCTACTCGCCCAAGTTCCTCCAGTATACTCTTACCCAGAACCTTGGGAAGGTCTCCCTGGATTCATATCGCCGGGGGCATGCAAACACCAATATGTCATAAAGACAGACCAAACCTTCCTGGCCCAGGCTGAACATCGGAAACGGCCAGGAACGTCATCCAAAATTGCGGCGGTTTGCTCAGAATGCCGCTGTCATCTTCAAGTGGTGGTCAACTACACCAACGGCATGAATTCATTCAATCAGAACAAGGAAGGCCATCTCCATCATTTGGTTTACAAGTCAGGTAGACAGAAGAATGGTGTCTCAATGCCGGAGATGACAGACAAAGGACAAGTTGCCGAGACCTTCCACTATCAATGTTCTTACATATCATGCTCGGCAATGGTGTCTTTACGGATACTTTCACCAATTCTGAACTCAGAATTTGTTCAATTGATGACCGATCCGGATTTGCTACATGAACGGGCCGAACAAGCTTTGGCAGCATATCCCGAATCAATGGAAGGCATGGGTGATCCTAAACCGATCAGTGTGCTGGATAATTTACGTCTTTATATCAGCAATGCACTTCGTAATGCTCAACGTGGGAAGCCTATATCAGCGGCTAACAAAAGATTCATGCACTCGTTTGGCGTGGAAGGTGCTCCCTGTAAAGAGTTGCTAGAGTTCCTAGAGTTCACTTTCAACAAGGTTGGCATCTAGCCCTAACTTCGGGGCTTTTCTCGTGATATCAAACCGTCGCTGACAGGCGAACAGGAGACCGGTGCGTGGACACCACCCCAACCAAACGTCAACGCCGACAAACCCTACCAAGACCCGTTTTGCATCTTTCTCGACGACGTCGCGCATGAACTCTTAACTTTAATTCATCATCGACCTCTTTCAGAGAAACGCGGCTCCCAGTTTCCCGCTCTTCCGCCATCTGCCATCACCCAGATCTATTCTGCTCTCGAGGCATTGAACTGTAAGCTACCTCATGGGAACATCCACGATTGTCCCATCCACAATCACCCCGACTAACTATACTTTCTGCATCAGACCCTAAAGCTGCGCGCGTCGAGGATTTCGAGATGGCTTCCGTTCCGTTGGTCTACCCTTTCGCTCTCTAGTTGCCAGAATCTAACGCTTTTTTCTGTAGTTGCTACGAGGACTTGGGAGTCGTGGAGGACATGCCTACCTACCAGATTATTTGGGCATTTGAGCGTCAAATCGCCGCTGATCCGCGCAGATACCCCCTCTACCTTTCTGCTCTGAAGCAAGTTGCCCAACTTCGCGTTGCTTCATCAGGTGGCGAAGACTGGGCAATGATTGATAAAACCGTGCAACGAGCTTACGCTGAAGGAAAATACGCGGTCGAAGATGTCGGCGACGCTTATCGATTCTTCGGTCTCCGATCGGATGATCCGAACCTCACCGACGATAGCATCATTGGGAAATTCTATGCTTTCTTGAGCTCCACCAACCGCGAAACGGAAGCGCGTCAGCAGCTTTGGCGTATTGGCGATAGCAGAGCGAGTGAGGCCATCATCTCTGCATCTGAAAACCGTACATTGGCCTTTACTTCTGCTTCGCAATGAGTACATCGGCTAATTATTTATACTAGGCGTTTCCACAGTCGAGCAAGCGAATGTTTTCCTGGGCGTCGAGAATGAGACACCCGATGATTTCGTTATGACTATGTACACGGCCAAGGTTTGTTGCTTGATTCACGAGTCTATATGCTCCCAGCTAATATGGAATAGGTCAATGACAACCCGTTGAACAAAGAACTGGCAAGCCGTGCGGTCGCTCTCATTGCCGCCTCTCGCAAGTCGATTGCCTTGGACCACTTCATCAACACTGGGGAAACAATTGCTTCGGAAATGGACGTCGGTGATGCTTATCGTCTGCTCCAAATTCCCGATCGCACTGCAGACGCGGGTGCTATCGTTGCCGCATACACTATCTGCGTTGATGAAAACCCGGGCCAAGCTGAAAAGTATCATCAGGCTATGGAGATTATTGCCAATCAAACCAATAATGATGCCTTGCGAGGCATGGCAGGCCTTAGCGCTCCACAGACTTGCAACATATCAGAGTGGCCGGTCGGCTTGCAGAACATTGGCAACACGTGCTATCTGAACAGTCTTCTCCAGTACTACTTTTCGATCCGACCTTTTCGCGAGATGGTTTTGGACTATGAAACACACCAGATGGATTTGAATGATGATGAAACCATGGCAAAAAAGCAAGTGGGATCTCGCAAGGTCATGAAGAACGAGGTTGAGCGATCCCAGCGATGTGAGTTTCTTTGTCTTGGAAATGGTACTATCCCAACTGACTCGTGAATACAGTCCTCAAAGAGCTACGAACTCTGTTCCAAGGCATGATCACTGCTGCTCGCAACTCGGTCATCCCCGGCCAGGAACTGGCTCGGTTGACTTTGATCAGCCCCAGTAACGAGGCAGCCATCCGTCGTCGCTCGACTATCTCTGCTAGCAGAAACCAGATTCTTGGAGAGATTGAAGGTGCTCCCATCCTGGGACCGCTTGGTTTCCCTGCATCTGTTTCGCTGGACGATGCTGGCCAACCCCCAACTGATGCAGCTAGTTCTGCTCCTATCACGAACTCGACCATGCGTGATATGAGTGGTATTGATCGTGACTTCACCATGGCCTCGGGAAACCACCCCGATATCCCAATATCCTCTATCGAGGATAAAGAAAATGATCCCCCGCAATTGGACGATACCGAGGTTGCACCCTCTGATAAGATGTCACTCGAGCCACGCAACACCGTGCCTGATCAGCCAGGGCCATCTAATGTGCCGCCTCCTGTTCCCCCTCGCCCTGTCCCAGAGTTTGACCGCGAGAAGCAATTAAAAGAAGAGGTTGAGATTGGCGCTCAGCAGGATGTGACTGAAGTTATCAACAACGTTCTCTTCCAGAGTCAGTGCGCTATCAAGCCGATCGGCATTGGCAGTGATGGTGAGCAGCTTGACCAGATCAAAGAGTGAGTGGCAATCAATCCGGCCTTATGGTATGTAAATTGACTCTTCAACCAGCCTATTTTATGGTCAAACCCGGTCCTACATCTCCGAGGAGAAGGGCACGCGTTCGAAGGAGGAGCGCTGGTGTGACATCAAGGTCGATGTCGCACATGGACCTCGCGATATCTACGATGCCATCGATGGAGCTTTTGATGTCCAGAAAATCAGCGTTGGAAACTCCGTTGCTGAACAGTTTGGTTCCATCAGTCGGCTTCCTCCCATCCTGCAGGTTCAAGTGCAGCGAGTTCAGTTTGATCCCGTGAAGAAAAGCTCGTTCAAGTCGACCAATCATCTTGGGTTGCTCGAGACCATCTACATGGACCGATATATGGACGCCAAGAACCCTGATTTTGTGAACCGCCGATCCCAGACTTGGGAATGGAAGGCTACTTTGAAGGCTCTCGAGGCCCGCCGCGTGGAGCTGCTCAAACAGTCGGTAGGATCATTCAGGTGAACATATCCCCTGATTGAGGTGGCTGACTTTTTTTTTTTCAGGAGTTCGATGATGGTATTGATATGACGGAAATTTTCAGACACACTAGTGAAGCGATCGACACTATCAGAGAAGGTGACTCTGATAGCGGACCTGATTCCCTGGCGTCCATGCTTAGCTCGCAGCTGTCGGACGACCTCAAATTTATTTCTGCATCGGCTCAAACTGAGCTGCAATGTAAGAGCTGTAAGCACACCGTGACAGGAAAAATACTAACTTCTTTGATAGCCATTGACCAGCAGCTCAAGGACACCCGAGCCATGATCTCCACCCAGTTCGCTGATTACAAGAAGTTGCCATACCGACTGTATGCCGTGTTTGTGCACCGTGGCTCGGTCTCCTTCGGACATTATTGGATCTACATCTATGACTTCAACAAGGAAATTTGGCGCAAGTACAACGACGAGTATGTCACCGAGGTCTCCAACGTGAAGGAGATTTTCGAGAACGACTCCACCACTAATCCCGCAACCCCATACTTCCTGGTCTACGTCAACGACAACATCAAAGACCGCCTCGTCGACCCGCTCTGCCGCGACGTGACCGAATCGATGCCCGATATGACCGAACACGAAATCCCCGTCATGCAGGACACCGGGGCAGCCAGCCCCACCGACGTGGACATGGAACCCCCCCTCTACGACACTAGTGCGCCGCATGGCACCCCAGGTACGCCCGTCTCCCGTCACGGCGACTACCCACTGGAGTGGCTCTCTCCTGACTCCCCTCGCTCAGAATGCAGCTGACTCGAACGTAACCCTGGTAGATTCCACAGCCGTCGACGCGATAGCTGTCAATCCACTGAAGCGTAAGAGCGTGGACGCCGATGGCAAAGAGCTCCCAGCTTGAGGTTCCCCGTGACGCAGCATGATTGCACGATATCACTCTCTTTTTCTTTTCTATCATGAGGTCATTTCTGTATCATATGATGACCATACTGCATCGCAAGCGAGGATTCCATTTTCTTAGCAAACATGTACATACGCAGAAGATACCAGGAGTGCCCGGGTAGAATTATGGCAAATAACCGTCGAAGTTGAGATCCTCGTAGTGGCAAGCTTCAGATCGGAGTTCCTTGGGTCTTCCCCGGATGAACATTTCTGGCTTGAACCGTAAATTGCTGACTCAGCCTGACAGATGACGGCGAGCATTAGTGGCCAAGTGACGGTAAACTGCGGGCAGAAATGAAGAATAGTCGTACTCTGTAGTCTAGAGAACTATCAAGCTTATTTATTTGAGCTTAATGTGAGCTTGATATCGAAAGGTGAGTGCTAGAGGTTGCGGTCTAACTATTCTATAGGACTCATTTGCTAATCTTCATGTATGTAGTCTTACTAGACTTACTAGAAGTGATCACGACGCTCAAGAGTTTGCAAATATTCAATTCCAGAGACTTTCTAATTCATATCCAAAATACTATCTTATCAATCTCTGACATCACGCTAACATTTCATGCAAACAATGCGGCGATTTAGTTCCAAGGCTATTAAAGACAGGCGGCAAGCAGGGCGGTAAGTTTGTAGCCCTAATGGCTGCTAATGCTGTCCGCACCCGACTCGTTGCCGCGGAGTCGGAATCGGATCGGCTGTGAATTTCGGCAGCGGCAATAACTGGACAAATGTGGTAGTCGTGCCACCGCCAGTGTGAAATATGAGGAATTGAGTTGCAAAAAAGAGGGCAAAGATACAAAGAGTCGAACCCGATGGATATAATTTTCTCAGAAACGAAAAAGCCCCAGATAAGGGGTAAAAGGAGTGGCATCAACGCACTTCATAGAGGGCGGAAGCTACCGGGTATCCACAATTCCGGGGAAACGAATATCACTCGGGACTCTTTCCGCCCTCACTGCCGCTCGGGATTATAAGAAGCTGCCATTGCCGTATTCTCTTCCTTTAATAACTTCTTTAGGGTCCCTGGTCTTTTTCTCTTTAGACTACCCGAAGCTATTCACAATGCCTTCTCAAGTGGCAACATGTCTGCGCCTTGCGCGCCAGTTCTCCGCCAACCCGGCCAAGGTAAGTTCGTGAGCTTAATTGCAGAGCACAAATCTGAGACTGACAACTATGTTTGTAGCACCAACAATTCATGGCCCGCGCCTTCTCCAGCAGCGTCCGCCGCAGTGAGATCAACAAGGTGTTCCCCTCCGCCGAGGTCGCCGTCAAGGACATGAAGTCCAACTCCACCCTTCTCGCAGGTGGATTTGGATTGTCTGGTGTCCCTGACTCCCTGATCAACGCCGTCCTGGCCAACCCCTCAATCACTGGCCTGACCGTGGCCAGTAATAACGCCGGTGTCGACGGAGCCGGTCTTGGTCTGCTCCTCAAGTCCAAGCAGATCAAGAAGATGATCGCCAGTTACGTCGGCGAGAACAAGACTTTCGAGAAGATGTACCTGACTGGCGAGATCGAGCTTGAGCTCACTCCCCAGGGAACCCTCGCCGAGCGCTGCCGTTCCGGTGGTGCGGGTATCCCCGCATTCTACACCCCCGCTGCCTTCGGTACTGTCGTGCAGACCGGCGCTGTGCCTTTGCGCCACAACGAGGACGGCACCGTCGCCAAGTTCTCTCAGCCCCGTGACACTAAGGTGTTTGATGGCAAGAGCTACGTTATGGAGGAGTCCATCAAGGGTGACTACGCCTTCGTCAAGGCCTGGAAAGCTGACAAGCTCGGTAACTGTCAGTTCCGCTACGCCGCCGCCAACTTTAACGGCGCCATGGGCCGCAACGCCAAGATGACCATTGTCGAGGCTGAGCACATCGTCGAGCCCGGTGAGATTGACCCCGCCGCCATCCACCTGCCCGGTATCTACGTCAAGCGCGTTATCCAGAGCACCGTCGAGAAGAAGATCGAGAAGTTCACCTTCGCCAAGGAGGATGGCGCCGACAAGTCCGCCCTCGGTAAGGGTGACACGGCCAACAAGCGCGAGCGCATTGTCCGCCGTGCCGCCAAGGAGTTCAAGAACGGCATGTACGCCAACCTGGGTATTGGTATGCCCATGCTTGCTCCCAGCTTCGTCGACCCCTCCGTTGAGGTGACCCTGCAGTCCGAGAACGGCATTCTCGGTCTCGGCCCTTACCCCAAGCAGGGTGAGGAGGATGCCGACCTCATCAACGCCGGCAAGGAGACCGTCACTCTCAAGCCCGGTGCCAGCTGCTTCGGCAGTGACGAGTCCTTCGGCATGATCCGTTCCGGCCGTATCGACCTGACCATCCTCGGTGCCATGCAGGTTAGCGCCAAGGGTGACTTGGCTAACTGGATGCTCCCCGGTAAGATCAAGGGCTTCGGTGGTGCCATGGACTTGGTCTCCAACCCTTCCGCTACCAAGGTCGTCGTGACCATGGAGCACACCGACAAGAAGGGTAACCCCAAGATTGTCAAGAACTGCGAATTCCCCCTGACTGGCCCTGCCTGTGTCAGCCGTATCATCACTGACCTCTGCGTCTTCGATGTTGACTTCTCCCACGGCCTAACCCTCATTGAGATCGCTGATGGTGTCACCGTTGAGGAGGTCCAGGCTAAGACCGAGGCTCCCTTCAAGGTTGCCGAGGATCTGAAGCCCATGCTGTAAATATGAATTTACTTGCATACTTGTATGATTTTGTTAAAGCGTGCATTTGGGTTCGCTATCAATGTACATAGCAATTTGGTCTTTTTTCGGAGTTACATTATTCAAAATTCATTCCCATGGATATACATGCTTGGATATGCTTCAACGTTGTTCTCACTTTTTGTAGATAATAGATAGTAGAATAAGTAGTATAGAATACAATAGCCAAGAGAACCAGGCAAGAAAATCAACAAAAAAGACAAAAGGTATTGGTACATGCCATACAACCCATCAAATAAACCCCCAATGCTCATGGAATACTGTTACAAGCAATCCCTCAAAACGACTTCCATAAAATCGCAACATCAATCACGACAACCGGATGATACCGGCCATCCTCTTCTTTAACCGTCCAAACCAATCCCGAGTCGGTGCCTCCGCAAATTCGCGCACGACATTATCATAGTGTTCCGGGTTACTCGCCGGCCGGCGCAGCTTTGGCGATAGAGGATACGCATGCGCGAAACGATTGTTTAGCAACGCGGTCAAGGCATTGACGGAGGACTCGGAGATCGCAGGAGTAGATTTGTCTGCGGGCTGGAGGCGAGATTGGATGTAGGATTGGACAGAGACTGAGGATGGGCGGACGGCGTCCGTGGGCCAGGATTTTAGGAGGTATGTTAGACGGCCTTGGAGGGAGCCTGGGTTGAGGGTCTGATGGCTGTTAGGATCAAATTTGAGAGGAAGTGAGGGTTGCATAGTGGATATTGTCTGATAAGTCAAGGAACAGGGATTGAGACGTACTGATTTAGACATGGTGAATGATCGCAGTGTTGTGAAGTCAACGTTGCCGAATGATCGAGACAAAACGGAAATCCTTGTTGGCCTGAATCCTCAGGTTGGCTTAGCCACTCCATTCCTGTTGCCTTCCAACCCCGACATCTTCTTCATCCCCCTTTACTCTCGTTATCACTTTCTATTCTAACCCGTTTCGACTCCCTTTCTTTTTTGTTCTATTCTACGGTCTCTTCCCGCTCAGCTCGCCATGAGCTCGCAGCGCTATTCACGGGTACGCAGCCCCCTCCGCTGATCTCATCTGTCACCCCGGAACCGCCCTCCCCCGGATGTGACTCCTCGACACGATACTGACCTTGAATCCTGCAGGTGAACGCTCATGATGAAGAGGAAGGACCGCACTCCTATCCGCTGAACCCTGCGCGTTCCGATGCATCTCCGCCTCCCTCATTCCGTTCCCGGTCCCGATCTTCGTCACCATCGTCCAGGCGCTTATTACACAACGATCCGTTAAATAATGATGACGATCAGACACTTGCTGATGCCTTTGGCGACGAGGATGAGTCTGATGATGACCATGAACCTGATGACAGGCAGCGCTTAATGCGTGCGGACCCCGATTTCCGCTCGGCTGATAACGGACAAGGCGCTTCTGCGTCTTCATCGGATCCAAGAAGTGATCCACAGGAACAGGCTCGTACTGGACTTTTGAGGCAGCCTACGACACTGCCGACTTTTACCGCTCCGTCTTCTGGTGGACAGAGGCAGATCGCTCCCTCTAATGATGGTGTCTTTGCCAACCTTGCAGCCAAGCCCGAGCGGGGTGAGAAGAACGAGGATCTCCCTCCTGTATGTTGACGATTCATAATCTGTCATTCTTGAGATGATCAAGTTACTTATATTGGTTATAGTCTTACGAAGAAGCTGCGGCTGATGCGACTCCCCCGTACTGGGAGACCACAATTGTGGCTCCTGGCATTTCGTCCGATGAAGTTTACGTGGACGGATTGCCCGTTGGATCTGTCTTCTCATTCGTGTGGAACGCCATGATTTCAATGTCGTTCCAGCTTGTTGGCTTCCTGCTTACCTATCTCTTGCATACCACCCATGCCGCAAAGAATGGCAGCCGAGCGGGTCTCGGTCTTACTCTTGTTCAATACGGTTTCTACATGAAGGGCGGCAGTGACGGTTCAGGCTCCGATGGCGGAGGCACTGATTCATACGTTGCTCCGCCTGATCCCAACAGCCACAGCTTCGACCCGAACTCGGTTGGTGAGAGCTCTAGCGGCGATGGCAGTGGCGCGATATCGGGCATTACAACCAGCGAATGGATCTCATATATTCTAATGATTGTTGGCTGGTTCATCTTGATCCGCGCAGTCAGTGACTTCCTTCGAGCACGACGTCATGAGCAGCTCGTGCTACAAAGCCCAGATCGCGGATTGGGCGTACCTATCATTGCGGAAGGCGAACGGTCTGAGACTGTCGTCTAATATATACACGGGGTCTTGGTTATTTTCTCATATTGGATTGGGCCTGTCGGCGTCACAGCTTGGAGTTCTTTTGTACACCCTCATATTCCCTCACTGCATTCCTTACTTTTCCTTTTCTCAGACTACTTTACTTGTGTAGCAATGAAGATATTACCAACATATTACCCAACAGCCTTCAGGCGCGTATATCGACGTAATCAAACGCAGGCCACGTATTGCGCCACGATAGGCAGGCAGCATTGCCCTTGCATCCCTTTGTGCCCCAGCTTCAGGCTACAGAAATAGACCCGAAAGCCCCGGGCTCCGCTCACTACCGAGACCCATTGTTTACCTCAACTCAACTTCAACCTTTCTTCTGCACATATCGGGGGTAGATCGCGGCCTAGTCCGCTATGACTACCGTTCCTCAAGGCCCTGTCGAGGCGCGCTCACTATCTTCCGTCACCGCGATCGCATCGAATCCCCCCGCCTATCCACGCAATCCCACTCACGAGAAACACGACCCACTGTCGCTCTACATTGTGCGCGTACCAGGGAGCAAGGGTATGTCAATGCTACAGTCCAATTTCTACAGTCTCTCTCAGCTTTCTCTGTCTTTCTATCTTTAATCACCTAGCTTATCGAGCTCCAAAGGAAGATAAGCTAACTGCTGCCTACAGATATATTCCTCTCGCCTCTCAAACCACCAACGAAATCCAGCGTCTCAGCTGAGGCTATAAACGCCTCGCTCTACTACCTCCATGTCGCAACACCCGATGACGACACCCTCCTACAGGAAGTGGAACAAGAGCGCGAAGAGGAAGCCCAGTTCCGTAGAGAACGCCTCGAAGCAGCAGGCGACGACCCGGCGCAGCGCGAATTCGCTCGACTGAACAATGTTCGCCGCAAGCCTGTAGGCGGAGGGGGAACAGGCCCATCCGATTCCATCCATGAACTCCCAGCACTGCCACAGGAACCCGCTGCGCCAGCTTTGCCCCCACGGCCGATCTTCGTCCCGCAAATCTCGGCGGAGAATGTTTCGTTCGCTGGGACTCCCATTGCTCTTGCACAGCCAGGTTTTGGTGGGCCTGAGGGGCATCCGGCAGACTCTGGTGTCAAAAGCGGTGTCCAGCGACGACCGTTACCTCCTCTCCCGCCGGGTGAAGAGTCGTGGACAGATTCCCCGGCGGGTGAGGACCCGTATAAACGGTCGAGTAGATGGAGCGCGTTTGCGGGTCACCTACAAAACAAGGGATTGGAGCAGTGGAAAGAAAGATATGGGGCGTTGTCGGCTGGCCGTCATAGTCTTGACTCTCCTAGGCCGCAATTGAGGCCTCGTTCATCGCATGACCGCACCGGATCAGGATCTCCGAATAGGAGCCCTGGGCAATCACCTTCAAGGTCGAAGAACGCTTGGAGACCGCCGTCTAGCAATGCGGGCTTCCATATTACGCTTATTCGGCGAGATCCCACGTCTGGCACGCAATGGAATGTTGCGACTATCTCGACTCCACGAATGGACCGCAATTCCGTTGATATTGAGATTTCTACACCGGGATACAACCGATTCGCAGGTTCCAATGAACCACTTTCATTGTCCAGCCTGGCTGGGAATCTACCTCCAGGTCTAGGTCGTCTATCTAATTCTGCGATTCCCCAAGCCCTAAGCACTGAACAACCAAGAGACCAACAGCAAACCGGGCCCCGCAAATTCCAGCGTCAGCTTTGCGTTTCAAAGCCTTTTGACGATTCGGCTCCCCCGGATTGCAGCAACGGTCACATCCCAGAAAGCCAATCAAAGCTGAAAAGCGGCTACTATGTCTTCACCTCGCCCTGGAACGGCACTTGCACCTTCTCAAGCAGCGTCAACGGCCGCAGTCTAAAATGCAAACACATGATCCCCCATCCCCCCGGCGCAGTCCAACCAAACGGCGAAGCCGAAGCACCACCGGCAGTGACAGTGGCCGAGCTGCGCTTCAACACCCCATTCCAAGCAGCCAACCTACACTCGCACGCCCACCACGCCAACCACAAACCACACCCAAACCATGTCTCGCCCTTCTCGCAAAGCCAACAGAGTCCATCTTTCCCCCGCTACGATACCAACGACGTACAAACCCCAGCTTCAAGCATGGGCCCAGACGGACTCCCCCAGCCCAACTACCAAAACCCCGATTCCACCAACACCCCCAAACGCCCCTCCTCCTTCTCAAACCTCCTAAACCCAAACAGCTACTCCCGTCCGCGCGCCCACTCAGGCCCAGGCTCAACACCCTCCTTCCAATCCTCCCAGTACAATTCTCCCTCCAACATCAACACAAACACAAACACCCCAACAGACCTCAAACAACCCTTCAACCCAGGCGCCCTCCTCCGCCGCACATCCCTCCGTGCCCAACGCTTTGCCCGCCAAAGCCACTTCTACGCAAACCCACACGGCCACCCACCCCACTCCGGTCCAGGCTCCAATTACCAAGCTCAATCCCGACACAATCGCAGTACGAGCGCGAGTTCTGGGCAGGAGTTGGATTACGATTCTGATGAGGATCGTTTGGATCTTTCGCTTGCGAGGGAGAATGCTGGTGGTGGTTTGCGTGGGAAAAGTGCTAAGCTTGGGAAGTTGGTTATTGAGGATGAGGGGATTAAGATGCTTGATCTTGTCGTTGCTGCTTGTATGGCTGTCTGGTGGAGAGGGTATTATTATTAGGATTTCTGGATATTTGAATGTTAAAGTAGGCTTGGATGATTGGTTTAGTTGGTATCTTTGTTACTTTAGCGTCATCTTGGGGGGTTATATATCTTTATTTACTTGGGTTCATAGCATGATATGAGTTAATGATTTTCATCTTTGACTTGGTGCATTATGTTGCTTATTATCTCTCTCTCTCTCTCTCTCTCTCTCTCTCTCTTTTACCTGCTTGATTCATTTGCACTGAATGTTTGCTGTAAACAATCTCTAACAACAAACTACCTGGCTAGGCTTGAGATCCAGGAAAAGAAATCATACGCCAAATCAAGAAACCATCCCGCATTGTATAAATGAATCAAAGACGAAGCACCAACCAAAACCACACATAGACACATAGACACATAGATAGGAGAAACAAAAAAAAGAAGAAATGGAATTGAAGCTTGAGAAAAAAGAACAACATGCAAATCATCCCAGTCATTTTTCTCTGAGGTATCTCTTGGCTAATATTAGATCAACATGCAGGGTAAGACACAAGACAAGATCGCCGAACAACCATCAAGAAGAGAACGGACTCTCAACATGAACGTCAAGTCCAACCTAAATCAGTGGTGCACATCCATGCCGCGCTGCAGCGATGACTCCAGGTCATTAGGGTTGTAACCACCGCCAGCGGTAGCCTCCTGCGGCCTGGGGTCCTCGGTCTTCCAGGATCCCTGCTGATGATCCGGAATAGGGACGTTAGTCTGCTGGGCGATCTGCTGCTGCTGGGCGGCGTGAGCCTGCGATTGCTGGCGCACGGTGGCGCGGAAGCGGACGACCTCGTCGAGGATCATCTGGCGCATCTCCTGGACCTCGTCGACAACTTCGAAGTGGAAGTCGAAGGTTGTTGGGCAGTTGGGCTCGTCCGAGGCGTCGTGCCAGATGTGTAGGTAGGGGTGCTCGAGGGCTTCCTCGACGGAAATACGGGATGATGGGTCGAACGCGAGCATGCGGTCCAGGAGGTCCAGAGCGTCTGGGTTGGCTTGGGGGAAGAGCTGCTTGAAGGGGACCTTGGGCATGAAGGGCAGGTTGCGCACGTATTCCTGGGCGCGGGGTGAGCCGATCCGGGCAAGGGTCTCTTCGTTGGGTGTGCCCAGGTAGTGGAGAATCTGGTTCAGCTGGTCGACGTAGTCGCGGCCCTTGAAGAAGGGTCGGCCGCCGAGGAGCTCAGCGAGGATACAGCCGACGGACCATACGTCAACTGGGTAGATGCGTTAGCGTTATCTGGGGGTGGCAATTTAGTGGGGCTTTTGCTACGTACTAGCCTTGGTGTAGCTCTGGAAGCTCAGCATGATCTCTGGAGCACGGTACCATCTTGTTGCGACGTACTCGGTCATGTAGCCTGCGTTCTCCTCCGGGTCGATTGAGAAACCACGGGCCAGACCAAAGTCACAGATCTTAAGCTCGCAGTCTGCATTGACCAACAGGTTACCGGGCTTCAAATCACGATGCAGCACGTTAGCCGAGTGGATATACTTGAGACCGCAAAGGATCTGGTAGATGAAGGACTGGAAGTGGGCATCGGTCAAAGGCTGACCAGACCGGATAATAGCAGCCAAGTCACATTCCATCAGCTCTGCAGATTGTCAGTCCAGCTGTCAAAACAGAGGTTGAAAATCACGTACCTTCATACAGATATGTCTCGTTGAAGTTGTCCGGTCGGGGAATGTCCATATCGTAGAGGCATGTGATCTGGCCAGGTTAGCGGGGAAGTCGATGGGGGGACTCGATGGGGGACTCGATGGGGGACTTGATGGGAGACTCGATGGGGAACTCGATAGGGGACGAAGTACGACATACGTTGCGGTGGCCACGGAAGTGCTGGAGCAGCTTGATCTCTCTCAGGGCGCGCTTGGCCAAGATCTTCTTGCTGAAGACATTGGTCACCTTCTTGACGGCGACACCTTCGCCGGTCTGAATGTTGGTGGCCGCGCTTCATCATACTGTCAGTATGTATCCAACAAGTATCATCCGCCGGAATCAAGACCTACCACACGATACCGTAGGCGCCCTGGCCGAGCTCCTTCGTCACATTGTATTGTTCGTTCACGATAAAGTCCTGGTTGAAAACCTTGAAGACCTTGCGACCTTGTAGATCAGCCATGGCGATGGAAGTGGAATAGAAGGGATCGGAACGAGAAATGTAAAGAAGAAACGAGAGAAGAGGGTGAAGATGAGAAAGAGAAAAGGGAGCTGAGAAGTGTGATGGGCAGAGCCCCGCAGTCCCCGCGGGTGATCCGACGCGCTAACAAAGAGACTCGACTGTATAAGTGTGAATCGGTGACCGTTGAAAGACCACAGGTCGATTCAGTGCTGAAAAATAAGTCACTTGTTGTCAATTCCTTTTGACTGTTTCTATCAAAGAAGTATGAAACTTGATAGTGTCGACGTCCAAAGAGTGGAAGTGGCTGAAACTACCCTTTGTGGAGGCGTGGGACCGTCAATCCCTATTTCTTGTTCTGATATGTCTTGTTTCTGCTGTTGACATACTTTTCCAGGGTTTTGCGTGGTTTTGGGGTGGGTGTTTTTTTTAGCATGTCTCAGATCTACCTAATCTTTTCTCTACGACATGGATCACAGGTCTGTTCACAGTGCTATGAAGTCTTCGGCGGAGTATAAACCCCTCGGACGAGTCGTGCCTTTACATGGCTTGTCTATTTCATCTTCAAGTTGCTCATTCTCGAGTGCCTTGAGCGAATCTTATCAATAGGGGGGAGTGAAATAACTTAGGACTATTATTGCAGTATGGGAGCGCACAGTATACCAAAAAAATACCAAAAAAAAAAAAACTTAGTATTATCCAGCGTAGTGAAATCTCCGTCTGAAACCTGAAGAATTCATGGAAACCCAGTTCACGAGAGCGTGGCCTACTTATTCGGAGGGAGAAAGGACTCTTCCAGTGTAAACTGTCTCACCCACGGGCCCATTTTCGCGCCCTCAATGCCGGATCCCAGATACTTGGCTCCCTTTCCGGATTCTGCCAGACGATACGCTGGTCAAGAGGCTTGCAGGGATCGACAAATAGGTGAGCAACCAGGGCCAATTGCTGGGCGTCCATCCAATGCATGGTGGTTACGCCCAGTCAGTTCCGGACCGTCTCCAAAGAGTAGTAGGAAGAGCACAGGTAGTGCCAAAGGGAATGTGCCCCTCGCCAGCGCTTTTCACCAAGCACCATCGGTATATTAGCGCAGAAGTCTTTAAGAAGCAAGCAAGCGTTTTCATCCTCGAGTAGTGCATTGTCGAAACCCTCGTCCTGCAGCCAGTCTCTCACATGGGAGAGGTCAAAGGCCCAATTTGCCCAGGCCAGGAAAATACCGACTTCTCGGAGACTTTCGACAACTTCCTTTGCACCTAGTTTCCTCTGTAGTGGTGCAAAGCTTCGGATCTGGTTTACGTAGCTCTTGCTCCGCCAAGCTGTCAGTCTAGGATAGCGCGATACAGAATGCGCTTTGATTCCCTCACTATAACGGGGGAGACAGTCGTTACCTCGGAGCCTAGCGAGGCCGATTTGGAGGAGCCGATGGGAAGTCATGGCAGTTTCCAGATCGATTTTCACTATCTCAAGAAAGTACTGGTGGCAGAATTTCAAGTCCTCCGGCCAAAATTTGACGCAAATCTTGTTGCTGCATGTTTCCTGGCCGATACCTACGTTCAGAATGTGAGATGAGTAGTGAAAGTAGAAGGAAAAACGGAGTGAGAGAAGGAGTGAGCATAGTATTGACTATAGCTTGTGATAAGAAAAGACGTGACGCAACGTCGGGCACATCTTTTGATGGAGGAACAGGAAAAGGCGATGCATAAAGGCCGTGGTCGATGGGATCCAAGGGCTGACGTATCTTGGCTAGCAGACGGTTGCCTGCGGGTGATGCGCGGATAGCCTTGTAGGGCTAGCAAATTACCCAAGGGAGTCCATCTAACACCGCAGCGTGAAAGATATGTGACAGAAAGACAAAAAGAAGGATCTCCAAAGATGATGAATTCTCTATAGGAGGAAGCAGACTAAATAGTCCTAGCAACAGGCAATCACCCAATTAAAACAGGGCACATCGAAGAGGGTGGGTGGATAAAGATGCTTCCCATAACTATATAAGATGCGCCGTCTAAGACGGCGCAGGGTGAGTAAAGGGCGGAAGCAAGCCACGTCATATAGCTAATACTATACAAGATTCAATACCCTGCCATGGATTATCAGGAGCTTGAGTATCAGACATTTCTCGAGCTGATATAATCTCAAGACTAGGAAAATCATACGTAGTGCGTATTCATACTGTACATTTGTAGTGGTTTTTTCTCTCTTTTCCATTTATCACTGGCAACATCCATTTCGAGCTAAAGGCCGCATCAGCGTGCCGTAGTGGGTGATCCTTAGGATGTCTTGAACTTGTATTTTCTCTGCTCTAAACATGCGAATGCTCTACAATATACTGCGGCAGTCTTGTATTGCCGCTATGTCCAACCCCGTTCTGCCAGACAATATTATCATTCCCGTATACAGTTCTGGCCTCGGAATGCTTAGAGCTCATGCCAATTCATGCCATTTTTCATAAAATCTGATTCTGCATCCACATCGTCAATGCTTTTGTCTTCCCTTACAGCATGTTCTCCAGCCTGCGCTCCTTGCGCAGAGCCTTGAGCTTGGCACGAGCCTCCTCGAGAGGCACCATGGCACCCAGCTTCTGGGTTGCCGGGTCATCACGGTTGCGGACGTTGATCTAAGTAATTAGTATATATATGGCTCTGGCAACAAAGAAAAACTTACGGTGCGGGATTCCTTCTCGGAAGCGCCAACAACGAAGATGAAGTTGTACTGAGCAAGCTGGCCAGTACGGATCTTCTTCTGCATGGTGTTACCGCTAATGTCAATGTCCACATTCAGCTTGTCACCGCGCAGGATCTCCTGCAGTTCCTCGACGTAGTCGTTCACGGCGGGCATGACGGGAACGATCAGGATCTGGCGAGGACTGATCCAGAAGGGCCACTTGCCGCCGAAGTGCTCAGTCAGGATACCCAGGAAACGCTCGAAACTGCCGATGATGGCGCGGTGAATAACAACGGGGCGGGCACGGCCGGGACCGGGCTCGTTCTTGTTCTCAGCCTGAGCCTCACCCTCCTTGGGGGTTTCCGTGGCGGCTTGGCCACTCTCGTTGGTCATGTACTCCAGCTTGAAGTTGATAGGGGCCTGGTAATCGAGTTGGATGGTGGCGCATTGGAACTCACGCTTGAGGGCGTCGGAAATCGTGATATCAATCTTGGGTCCATAAAAGGCTCCATCACCCTCGTCAATGATCCAATCATTACCCTTGAACTTGGTCAAAGCCTTCTTGAGCTGGTCCTCAGCGTGGTTCCACGTCTCCAATGCACCCATATACTTCTCGGGGCGGGTGGACAGCTTCAGCTTGAATGAAAACCCAAATAGACCATAGATTGACTGCAACATTTGGAAAAGACCTTCCACCTCTGACAGGATTTGGTCGGCAGCGCAGATCTGCGAGGAAAATTGAACTGGTTAGTCTCACTTATACATGGCTGTCGTCCTAAAAATTCTCGAGTCCTCAAGAATATTCGAGGCCTCGAAAACTCGATCACAGGGGTAGACTCACAATATGAGCTAGATACTCGATAATTAGCCAAGTTTTCGACGCAATTAAAAGGGTTTTACACACCATCATCTTGTTGGAACTTTCTCACACGCGTTAATCCGCTCAGGGCCCCAGACGCCTCATCCCTATGGAGCTTTTTTTTTCGGTTAGCGAAGATTTGAAAAATGTCAAGAGATTGGGACCAAACGTACACTGTGTTTTGTTAGCTGTGCAAGGGATGAAAAGGACGAAGAAGAGCAAACTTACACGCCAAAGTCTGCAATGCGCATAGGCAGCTCACGGTAACTACGTTCACGGTGGCCGAAGAGAATAAAGTGCGCGGGACAGTTCATGGGCTTCAGCGCCGAGGTAACAGAAGCCTCCAGAGCCTGAGCGCAGGAAGAAGCGCAGGAAGAATGAGTACTGGGGGTCTGAGTACTCAAAGCCTGAGTACTCGGGGCCTGAGTACGCTTCGCAATGGCGAACATGTCATTCTGGTAGTGAGCCCAGTGACCAGAGGTCTTCCAGAGGCTAATATCATACATGTTGGGAGTCTGGACCTCCTGGTAGCCGCGCTTGCGGTACTCAGTTCGCAGAAGGGACTGGATTTGATTGAAGATCTTGGTTCCGTTGGGAAGAAGGAAAGGACAGCCGGGAGACACATCATCGAAAAAGAAGAGCTCTTGCTCCTTTCCAATTCGCAAGTGATTACGTCGCTCAGCCTCTTCCAAGAATTTCAGGTGTTCGGCCATTCCCTTCTTATCAGGGAAAGCAACACCGCGGATTCGCTGCAGAGAATCGTTGGTCTGGTCACCAAGGAAGTAGGCAGATGAGTTCTAAAGGATGATCAGTAAAGAACGTTCATCAAACTGACTCATCGGGCCACGCTTACCTGCATGATCTTGAAGGTCTTGATCTTGCCAGTGTTCTGAATGTGAGGACCGCGGCAGAGATCGACAAGGGTTCCGCAACGGTAGACGGTGCTGCTCTCGCCAGTGACGAGCTTGTCAATATAGTGCAGCTTGTATTTGCTGTATGCGAACATCTTCTTGAGGTTTTCCTTGGAAACTTCCAAGCGGTCAAAACTCTGCTTCTCCTTGAAGATGCGAGAGGCCTTGGTGTCAAGCGACTTCCAGTCGCTCTCGCGAACAACGCGTCTGCATTCCGGTACCATTAGCATTGGCGCAATTGTGAAGAACCGGAATAAACGTACCCATCGGGCATAGCCATATCATAGAAGAAACCCTGGGGGGTGGGGGGACCGTGGGAAAGAAGACAACCGTATTCACATTCACAAGCCTCGCCCAGACAGTGAGCACTAGAGTGCCAGAAGACCTCACGAGCCTCGGGGTTGCTGAAAGGAACAAGCAGAACTTTGCAGTCCTTCTCCAGAGGGCGGTTCAAGTCCCACAACTCTCCATCAACCTTGCAAATAACAATTTCGGCGGCGATATCCTTGGGAACATCGCGCAAGAATGATCCAGGAGTGGTCTCGAAGGCTTTGGCGGGGACCGAAGAGGGGTTGCCGTCACCAATGTCGAGGGAAACGGCGATTTCGGGGTGGGGACGGTTCTTGGTCTCTTCGAGGTATTGTTGCCAGAGTTCCTCGAAGAGCTTGTTGCGCTCGATCATGACCTCTGGGAGAACATCGGGGCTCGGGGCCTGCTTCTTCGCATCTTTTGGCGGGGCAGCGGCTTCCGAGGACTTCGCCTCGGCGGCAGGCCGCACGGGAATATCCTTGGGGGCTTCGGAGGCCATTTTGGAAACCCTCTGATCAGGTCACAGGATAATTGAACTATGAACAAAAAAATCAAGGTGATCGTTAGGTGCTCCGCATTGGAGGGGAAAATGACTATTCGTGAGGGCGGTGAGTCATAAGTCACGTGTGGGTACTGCCCTTAGCGACTTACCGCTTCAAGTTTCCACCAAGCGAAAACTTCACCAGCTAGTACAAGCCGACAGTCCCCCAATAACACCACAAAATGTCTTTCCGTGGTCGTGGTAGTGCTTCCGGTGCCAACCGGGGAGGTTTCGGCAGCCGTGGTGGTGAGCAATTATCACAATCATATGTGATTCAAAAGATCAAAAGGAGCTAACGAAATTTTTTTGTTCCAGGTCGCGGAGGTTTCCAGCCATCGTTCGGCCCCCCAGCTCAGGTCCTGGGTAAATAATTCTGATGCTACAACATTGAAATTATGTCGCTAATTGTCCGATAGAGATGGGATCCGTGATGCACTCCTGTGAGGGTGAGATGGTCTGCGAGTCGATCAACCCCAAGATCCCCTACTTCAACGCCCCGATCTACCTCGAGAACAAGGTACGCCACAATCCCACCGAACAATCAATACCGAACAATCAATCCAGTGGGCAAAACATAAATCTAACTGGTCTCCATAGACTCCCATCGGCAAGGTCGACGAGGTCCTCGGCCCCATCAACCAGGTGTACTTCACCGTCAAGCCCCAGGAGGGTATCGTCGCAACATCTTTCAAGCCCGGTGACAAGGTCTACATCGGAGGCGACAAGCTCCTTCCTCTTGAGAAGTACGTTCTACCTTGGTTTAAAATACCTCGCACTCTTGACTAACCTTGCAATTAGGTTCCTTCCCAAGCCCAAGGCTCCCCCTGGACCCAAGGTCAAGCGCGCCGGTGGTGCCCGTGGTGGTGCCCGTGGTGGTGGTCGCGGTGGCTTCGGCGGTGGCCGTGGTGGTGGTTTCTCCCGCGGTGGTCGCGGTGGTGCTCCCCGTGGTGGCCGTGGTGGCTTCTCCCGCGGTGGTGGTGGTGGTTTCGGTGGCCGTGGTGGCGGCGGCGGCTTCTCTCGTGGCCGTGGCGGTCCCCGTGGTGGTGGCTTCCGTGGTCGCGGGTAGAGAGTCCGTGATCCTATGTACTGTCTTCTTACGGCGTTTGGGGGAATCGGGAGCTTTTTCAGGAAACATTTCCTTGTGCATCCTGCGCAATTTGCTGCTTCACTGGCTGCAGGCTGTAGAATATCACCAGTCAAAAAATATTTTGGTTATTTTTCAAGTTCAGTGGCCTAAGACTATAATTCTATAATTCATCAATGTCGATTGAAGACCTGTGTGGCTGGTACTATGTGGCGCAGCTGCACCGCCTCCGCTTTCTGCAAGTCAGGAATGACGTTGACCGCTCTGCGAATCTGTGCGTCTGTCAACACTCGAAGCAGGATTGACGCCAATTTTATTCCCTCTTACCCCTCAGTCTTACCTCTCAGGCCTCATATTACAGCAAATATTCCATCTGCCGTACATTCCATACTATTATTTTATCCACTTGAGCATGTCTCGCCGGACGTCGACCATGGCATCTAGCGATTCCAACAGTGTCCCACCTTCAGGTGACGGAGGTGCGTTGAAGCTCAGTTCGATCCTATAGAGGCCATACAGCTTACATCTTACAGGCCAGGAGAAGCAAAAAATGCTCCTCTCCTCCGAACAAGGTCATTTCAGCATGATCAAGTCAGTTCCGCCAACCTTTTGCCCCCTCGTTCTCAACTCAAGCTAATGCTCAACAGGGCTCTGCATCTTGCCGATCTGGTTACTGAGATGAATGGTAAGATATCCTATGTTGGTCGGAGGGTTTTAATAAATCAGATCGCTAACTAATTTCCCTAGGCTTCTGTGGAGGCAAGCTCGTCTTTCCCAACAATTTGACAATCAGCGACTAACATGTTGAGCAGTGATGTCGGTCTTCTCTTCCATGCGCTACTGCCTCGGTGACCCAACTGATTATGGTGCTATCTGGGCTGCTCTCGCTTTCATGCCTTTCGGTCTGTTCTTTGACTTCATGGACGGAAAGATTGCCCGTTGGCGCAAAAAGTCGTCTCTCATGGGGCAAGAGCTTGACTCTCTAGCGGACCTGGTAAATGAACCCAGACAGACGCGAATCGCAATCCGACTAACTTTTTTCTTTCAATAGATCTCCTTTGGCCTCGCTCCCGCTGCTGCCGCTTTCGCCCTCGGCATCCGCACCTCGCTTGATCACGTCTTCCTCACATTCTTCGTTCTCTGTGGCCTGACCCGCCTGGCTCGATTCAACGTCACTGTTGCCGTTCTGCCCAAGGACAAGAGCGGCAAGTCCAAGTACTTCGAAGGCACTCCTATCCCCACGACTCTCTCAATCGCCTCTCTCATGGCCTACTGGGTCTCCCAAAGCTGGACACACGAGAACATCCCTCTTGGTCTTTTCGCCGAAGGCACCATTTTTGAGTTCCACCCCGTTGTGCTCATGTTCGTCTTGCACGGATGCTTGATGGTCAGCAAGTCCATACATATCCCCAAGCCATAAGGTCAATATCACCTTAGCCCGGCATATACTCTTGGCAAGCGATGCCGGAAACTGTTGTCCCCTTCAACTTGGACAGCTAAATGAAAATAAATAATCGGGGCTGTCGCTTGAAGCAGGCTATAGCATAATCTCGATACACTTAAATGAGGATGATTAATCTGATTCGATTGCATGCATTGACTGTGGACTTGTAGCATGGCTTTACGTAGACACTAGTGAAGTACGACTAATATTGTCGGATAGGAGGCATAACCTCCAAGTTGGACGTTTCACTCTCGGTGATAATCGTTGCTCTTAGGTTCCAAAGCTTTGGGGCTACATGTCAATCGGACCATGGGTCTTCCATCAACCTTATATAACCACCTGAGCAGCCGCATGACCACACGCAATATTGGCATAGTTCTCTGGTGTAGCACTACATGTACGTCGATACATAGGTGTGGGCAGCCAATTACACCCGCCAATGCACAATCTGGCGACCACAGAGTCTAGAAATACAGGACTCACCAGAAGAAGTCTGGTTCCTTAACCCACTCCGCACAGAGAGCTTTCGATATTTTGTTTCAAGCTAGCGATCACACTGACAAAAAAAACACCCGTCGAAAGCCCTGAAATCCTCAAGCCTTCATGGTTGTCATCGGTGTGACCGTCGAAGTGTGGGCTATTCATGTAGTGACTCAAGCCGCTCATCTAAAAATCCAACGAAGAAGGTTCTTTCTATGCTAAACAATAGTCTTGAAAGCGGTGTTGATTCAGTCGGTAGATACGGCAAGGCTTTGGCAAGTATATATCCGATGTTTCCGGGAACATGAAGAAAATGGGGTTGAAAATGGCTCTGAATTAGTGGAGCTATGCGTGAGACATTCTCATATTTCAGGCTATTCGGCGCATTCGGGTTGATCATATAGTTTCTTTTTCGGGGCGTATGGTTGTCGTAGGCGGTGCTATATATATCAGTGCTGGTGTTGATGTATATCGCGGGAGATACCGTATACCATTGCAAGCCAAAGGATACTAGAACTATCTCCCGAAATGAACCAAGTCACTGATTCCTTACTAACCATAGTTTACTCATACAATAAATACTACATCGAAGGCGAAGTTTACAAGCGTAACGTATAGGTATTCCGATAACTCACAAAATCAACCGAGTCTAGAATATAGAGTCACAGCACAGATCAGAATTTTCCGCATCGATAATAATAGCAGCCAATGTGTCCCCGAAAATCTGGCCAGACTCGGATCTTTCTGCAGGGTCTACACATCGTGGGTCAAATCGAGTTCTAGAGGTTCTAGACCACGCAAGTTTCACTTTGATAGTACTCCTCACAGTTCACACACATCGAACTGGTGTTTGCATACAGCCCAATACAAATAGATGTACGGAGTGATTGGTTCGAGATAGAGTGTTTTCCGTGTTTTGTTCGAATTCTGATTTCCACTCTGTTGTTGCCATGCCCCGGTAAGGGGTGCCTGTTTTGTTGTGGCAGGTGGGGAATTCAGCTGGTCTAGCGGACGCCACAGGATTGGAAATATATGTGTGGCAGGTCTAGACATTTTCATATGCTTGTATTTATGGTTATATTTATGTTTAAGCCTGAGTGTGGTTTTCAATTTGCTTGTATCATGTACGGTACGGCTCATGGTGATTGTACGGAGTATTCGGGCCTTTTTAAAGGCCCGGTTACTTGGTCCTACTCAACGTTCGGATCTCGGGTCCTGGCAGATGATTGGCAATATGTCTCACTTTGTATGGAGTATTGGAGTTTTGTGGCTTGAGTGGAATGAACTAGAAGAGGTCACTAGACAAAGTCAAGTGATTGCATTGTATGAATTATTTCTAGGTTCTAGTAAAAGGTGTGGTGTGTGTTGTTTTAAGGGTATTCCCTTCAGTGTGGTGTGCGCTACTTTAAGTTTCATCTGATTCAGAAAACATGTACAAGGTAATTGGGGAACACAAACGGCTCAGCTCAATGCCAGGGATTGGATCTGCAAGGTACAGCCGATACATAACGACTTTTCGAGCCGGATTCTACCGAGTGATATACAGTAGCTCTGCAGATAGTGTACAGATCGGATGTTTCGGAGCCATTAACGTGTGAATAACCCCCGAGTCAAGGGGGATAAGTCCTTGTACATGTACACGCAAAGGGATCAATACAAGCCCTAAGGTTGGATGTAGATCTCTCAAAATTCAGTGAATTGCGTGGACGTGGGTAAATTGTACGTGGGTAAATTGTGCGTTACAGGGACCAGGAAAAAAAAACATCTCGGATCCACCCGGGAGCGGCCGCTGAATACCCATGGAAATGAGGCAAAGAAAATGTGATCTCTGTTCGAAGGTGCACACAAAGTTAGATCCGATACAATGTTGAGCTATGCAGGGTTTGGCTGTTCAGGTGTTAGCGTGTTAGCGTCTGTCACGAATTCACGGCTCCGCTGAAACTAATCTCCCTGTAATTTGCTGCCAATTTCGGCTCGCAAACGATCATATGGGGCGAATGAGTTGTTAACCCCACGGCCAAGGCCATGGCCACTTAGCCGAGTCTACATGTGTGTGTACTTAGAGAGTAAAGAACATCAAGGGACTGTGGCAATGCTGATCTTACAGTATCAAGGACAGTCTCACCATCGTCACTTGGCACTCAAAAGGGACTAGCGGCATGCCCAAGGCTCCATCCCGGCCCGTGTCTTCCCAATACGGGAATAGATCAACAGATCCCCTGGTTAGCCTGCGCGGGTGCCTGATGACCAAGCAAAATCAATGCTCCTGATTGGTCCACGGCTGGGGTACACGGTACTGAACAATACAACAAACAAAGACCCCCGTGTAGCGTCTGAGTTGGATGTACTCGATACTCGAGCCCACTAGGGCGTTTCCCCCGTATTACAGGTACCTCATACCTTCTCTGGGGAACACAGACCCCTTGTCCCTTTCCCAAGGGATCCATCACCACTTTCTTTCCTTCTTTCCCTTCACACACATTCGTTTTCGACTCGAATTTATCACTCGTTTACTCTCGGTTCTCAGCCGAACCGCTTCGATTTTTACGGTCGCTCACTCTCACCTGAATAGGGGGTGAACTTCTCAACCCACCACGCGAAACCGTCACTTCCCTTCCTTTTTTCCGAGCGTCCTTTGTCTTCACTCGACTTGTTTTTGTCAGATACTCAGCATCTGACCGACACGAGAGCAAACGTGGTGGATAATTTGACAAACGACTCTCCAAACAGAAGTTCTTTAGGGTTACGCAGGCCGTCCCCAGTTCTTCCCTCACCCCTGCGACTGCGTCCAGCGGTGTTTACTTTCCACCTTCCGATACTCGACCTCACTTCTTCCATTTCCGTCTCATCATGCTTTTCAACATACAGAGCACCCTCGTGCTCTCGACTGCCCTCTTTGCGGCCAGCTCAGTAGCTCAAAGTGGCTTCAAGGTTGTTCCTCGTGGCTCAGCTGACGGCAAGCTTGTCGGTTGCTACTCCTCCGCTCCTGGATATGGTTCCTCTAAAGATTACACCTATCAAAGTTCTGGTTGGTGTCTGAACAAGTGTTACGCCGCCAACAGCGCCGCATTTGCTCTAACAGGCGGTTCGACCTGTATGTGTGGCGACACACTACCACCCGACAGCGACAAGGTGGACAGCAGCAAGTGCAACAAGGCATGCACTGGTTGGCCTTCAGATATGTGTATGTGACATCACTTCACCTTTCGCACTTGATTTACTAACCCACGGAATAGGCGGTGGCAGCGACTACTACTCAATCTACACCACCAACTATGAAGACGATGTCCCAACCTACTCCGAATCCAAGTCAACCACTACCACTAGCAGCAGCGAATCGACAAGTACACAAACCGGCGCTGATGCTGCCAGTACCGCTGTTTCGTCCACGGTTCCTCAGCAGACAACGGAAGTGGTGTCCTCCAAAGAGAGCAGCGCAAGCGCCTCTGTTGAGGCCAAGACCAAGAGCAGTCATAACACTGCTGCCATCGCAGCTGGAGTCGTGATTGGTGTCGTTGGATTCGCCGCTCTCTGTGGTGCCGCCTTCTTCTTCTGGCGCTCCAAGCAGAACAAGACCAACGCTGCTTTCGGTGGTGGTACCACTGGTGGCTACGGCCGCGACTCCAACCCGCCCTCGATGTCCGACTCTCGATTCGATGGCGACTACATGGCGCAGCGCCGCCAAAGCAATGGAAGCATCGATGACGACCACGACTTCTCTCGTCGCATTCTGCAGGTATATACTTCCGTTGATTCTTCGCTTCCTGCAAATCAAATGCTTACTATTCCACAGGTGACGAACCCCGATCGCTAAACCGCCTATCCCATTGAATTACGCATCCCTCTCTTCTCTCTCCTCAGTATTAGCGACCTATGTTCTTTCCTCTTTGCTTTACGAGACTGTCATTATTGTTCCCCGGATTTTTTACCGGAGTTGTGATATCCGAAAGGCATCAGGCTCGACTCTTGGTGTCTATAGTTCGTGATCTATTGTCTTTATCGCCGTACCCGGAATATGCTACATCAACAAGCGACCGTGCTGCCTGCGATCCGAAGCGGCTCAAAACACCCATCTATGTGTTACCGCCCACCGGCACTTCCCAGAAGCCCATTAATTTTACGTTGTTTTGCGATGCGAATTCCTCGGCAATGGACAGCTTGTATCTGAAAATGGCGTTTTTTTTTTCGGCCCTATCAATGCTCGTTTTCTTTTTCATGAGCAGACCATTCCTTTGATGTGATTCTTTTTACTTTCCTCCCCCCTTCTGATCTCTTCTCCTATTTCCAGTCACATCTTTTGCCTATCGGTCCTAGTTTGGGCTATTTTGTTCGCATTTTGCCTTCCAAGGATCTGATCTGGGAATGGAAGACTGTAATTAGAGAAGACCAATCAGCTGTACTTAATGAGAATGGATATGCATATCAATCTGATTTCGCCTGTTGTAAGGTGTTGGTAGATTTTCCTCATCCACTTCAAGGTACTCACATCTTAGCACGACATCACCCTCAGGAAGACCGCGCAAAGAGGCAAGCAAGTCTGTTGAGCGCTTGTGGATTCAATAGATATCTTTTATCGCATAATCCTTCTTAATCTATACGCCGGGTCTCTTGGATAATAGCCAGCCAATGATGGGTGATTTATATTGTACAGTTCACAATGGTTGGACTGGGTATTAGCTCCATGTAGATAGTACTCCAGTTGCAACGTCGATGATATGCCGATCGAAAGACTAAATAAGCTTTACATGAACCGTCCTCATTTCGCGTGTGTCCCGGAGCCGGTTGAAAATATTCATGCTGACTTGCTCCAAATTCCGCGTTCCATTCTAGACCACCTCGGGATACCTATTTGAAGTAAGGACGCCTATCCTCTGATCCACTGACCTATTAAAAGTCTGACACTAGGGAGTATATATAGCTTGTGTGATAATAAGACTAGAGCAGACGCAGTTTGATTGCCGGACAAACGTGAATAGTTATTGCTCGTAACTCCTTGTTTTCTATATTATCTATTTTGTCTGATAACCTAAGACAATATTCAGCATGAAGACAAAAAAGTTCACATCGACTATGATAAGTTCACTAATTTTTGAGGCCCAGTCTAGCTTGTCCTTCTAATCCCGCCTTCATGATCATGCCAAACACTTCCAAGTCCTTCTTAGCATCCTCGGAAGTGGTTTTAGCAGGCTTGCCGTTGACTGCAAACTCATAGAGCTCCTTCATCTCTAAAGTGTAGGCATCTTCATAAGTCTTTCTAGTCATAGTTTCCCGGAAGGATCCATCTTCAAGCTTCTCACGGATGTGCATGGTGGTTGGCAATCCTTTAACATAAGGAGAATCGAAGCACACCTTCACGGTCTTCTGATTACCAAAGACCTCGATAGATGCGTCGAAACGGGGCACGTCGTCAATACCTGACTCATATGATACAGCAAAAGAGGGATATTGGAAGAGAGCACTGGATGAAAATGTTAGACTTAATTACGAGGCGATTGCAAAGAGTACTTACCTCCAGAATTGAGGTCCCTGAGCGGTGCACAAAGAAGCACCAAGGACTCCCGTCGGCATGCCAAGAGCCTCTCTCATAGCACTAAGATCATGCGAGCCAAGACTGCCCAGATGTCTCCATTGAGTGGCAGTATCAGGACCAACAGGAATACCAAGCTCCTTCGTCAAGGCCTGTTCAAGGAACTGGTCTGTTCTAGAGGCTAAATCCTTGGAGTCTTCAGATTTGTAGTCGGAGAAGACCTTGGGAAATGTGCCCGACTGGCCAACAAACGAGGAGTTGGGACCAACAACGTCGCGCACGCGAGCATATTGAATCTGGTCAAGGCTTCCAATTTCCCTGATTGCGTCGAGGAATCCAGCAGCGTAACGCCTCATGTACCCGACCATGACCCTTCCAGATGATTGCTTCTCAATCTGAATGATCTCATCAGCATCTTTCAACGACAAAGCCATGGGCTTTTCAATGAAGACAATTTTGTGATTCTTCAGGCCCAACAGGGCATGGGGGACATGGAAAGCATCGCTGTTGGCAATCATCACAATGTCCACGTCGGGACTAGCACAGAGCTCTTCGGCTTTGCAAGTAGTCTTGGGTGGGCCTCCAATGACCTTGTTTTTACAGTGCTGGAGGGCATTTTCAGAGACATCACAGAGGTAGGTGATCTGGAAGTAGTCTGAAAGGAATCCAAGAGTTGGAATATGGGCAACTTGGGTGATTTCGCCGCATCTGGACAACGTTAGTCTTTAAGGTGCTAGTTCTAGTGGTTCTTTCCTACCCGATCACACCAACACGAAGGATTTTGTTGGTCATTTCCGATACTTCGTTTTCAATGTGCAGGTTGAGGTGCTAATTACAAGTTTGAAAGTGGAATCAGGGAAAGGATATAAGTAGGAAGAATTGAAGATGTTGCCCATGTGGTTTTCTGATGACGTCCTGGTGGGGGTCGAGTCCACGTGAGCTGCCGAAACTCCCCCGAGATATCTTCACCTGCACATTTCGCATTAATGTCAAGTTGCACCTGTCAAGATATCTCTAAATCCATAGACATAGCGATTTCGGAGCAATGTGCATTATGGAATTATCCACTCATGTGGAGTTTCGGCCATAAGCGGAGATGCCCGACACCCCCGAGATCTCAGGCCAACAACATGCGCTCATTCAAAGCTTCTGTTTTCACATTATGGACGTCATACTTGTCACTACTGAAATGGAAATGCGACAGCCGGTCATATAATGTACTCCGCTTTCTCTACCCATAGACCAAAGATGCAAACTCTGGGGTGTAAATGCATTGCTCGGCGATTGGCGAACGATGAGCCAACTTCCCCATATAGAATAACCCTATTTAGGAACTATGATTATCCCGGAAGCGAAGACAGCGGCATATTCATTTATATTTTGGCTTTTTCAGACTCAGATCATGGTGTCCTTCTGGAGTGTTCCAGTACTCTGGCTTGCTTCAACAGGTGCGGCACCAGGAGACTCAAAGAGCGTTGAACCCGATACTTTCTACCCCCGTGAACCTGACTCTCCTTACTCTTACCCCAGCCCCACTGCCACAGGAATTGGTGGATGGGATATTGCTATTGTGAAAGCAAAACGGTTTGTCTCTCAGCTGACAACGGAAGAGAAGGCTTCGGGGCATTTGGCAACGACCCTTTCTTGATTGGCTTTGCTGGCTATGAGACTCTCATTGGACATCAGGCTGCTAGAGTGCAAGCCGTTCCCAAACAATACCTCGGCTATTATGGCCAGCAGTTTAATCGAACTTCCTACTCCAGCAACATTGATTATAAGACTCTGCATGAGCTTGAAGTGGGACTCTATGCTGAAGCTGCACGGGCTGATGCCTCCTGCGTGATGAGCATTTACCCTTATGCCAACAACTCCCAGGCCTGTTAGAATGCTCACCTGCTCAATGATGTGCTCAAAACTCATCTGGCCCTCCTTCCCGGGCTATACTCAGACGGACTGGTCTGGTCTCAAGGCTGGAATTGACGCGTTTATGGCCGACAGGGACCATAATTTGCCTGGTGTTGCTGTTGACGACGTAGACTGGGCTTTTACGGCGCCAATCTCGCCTTGGCTGTGAACAATGGATCCATGCTGGAGTGGCGACTAAATGATGCCGCCACCAGAATCATGACACTTTGTTTCTTGCTGGGCCAAGATCGCGACTACCCTGATATCAAACCTTGTCGATGATATACGCAAGGCCATTGTTGATAAGCAGCGCCAGCGGCATAGAACATTGGCCCGTGAGTTTGCAACATCGGGAACTGTTCTTTCAAAAAAAAAAAAAAAAAAAAAAAACACACACTAATTAGAATGTGGACTGCCTTTGAAGAAATCTACTACCATCGCTCTCTTTGGACGAGCGGCTGAGCCTAATCCTTATGGTACGGACCCAATTAATATGGATACGGGAATAAGTTTTGGCTTCGGAATGGAACACCGTGAACGGTCATACCGACGATTCTTTTTCCATCGGTATTGACCAAGGAACACTGGCTGAAACTGGCTGAAGGCTCAGGCTCAGGCTCAGGCTCAACATTTTGAGCTCTTCCTACCCTTCCCCCTTTTTGATCAAAAAATTGATGAGAGTATACAGATCCTCGTTTGATTGACCCTTGAAACGCAATCCAAGCTCGAGCAAATCGGGACCTTACACCTTTGGATTGGTCTTTAAGCGCCAATTTGATATTCGCCAAGCGTGGCACAGTATGCATCCCCGTGGTTGCTTCATTCTCAGTTGAAGGCCTCAATCGAAACGTAACTCTGACGCATGAAGGCGATTCTCTGATCAATACTATCACGGAAAACTGCGACAGCACAATTGTGGTTGTTCGATCCGTCGGCCTAGTCGACATGGAGGTAAGTACATCGAAAATGATCCCATGTCTTTTGCAGGCACATTAATAGAGACTCAGAAATGGATCGACCACCCCAACGTGACATCTGTTGTCTGGGCCAACCTTGGTGGCAAAGCCCAGCCCTGTTCTTGTTGACATTCTCTACGGCGAAGTGAACCCCTCTGGCAGACTGGTCTACACAATCGTGAAGAACCCCAGTGACTATGCCCAGTCGGAAATTGTCGCGGAGCCACAGCCATACCCTCAGAACCACTGCACGGAGGGTGTACCAGTTGACTCCCGAGGCTTCGAAAAGAACAACACGAAGCCTCGCTTTGCATTCGGCCATGGCCTATCCTACTCGACATTCACGTACACGGATCTCGATGTTTTCAAGCACCGTGGACTAACCACCGCTCTGGAAGCCCCAATTGATTATGTTAGGAATGCACCAGGTGGAGACATGGCGCTGTACGATGTAGCAATGAATGGTGAAGTGACAATTTGAAACGAAGGACCATACGACGGAACTGAAATCGCACAACTCCATCTCCAAATGCCCAAGCAAACTGGAAACCCAACAAAGCTCCTCCGCGGCTTTGTTGCTATCCCCATTTGCGATGGAGTAACTCAGACTCGCAAAATCTACCTTACTCGGAAGGATATCAGCTATTGGGACGTTATGACACAAACATGGGTTACCCCGAATGGAACAATTTTCCGTTCACGTTGGTGCGTCACCGGCAGCTATTCGGGTAAGCTCAACCTTTGTCGTTTGAGTTCTCATTTTCAGTCCCGATGGCCATTTTGGACAGAAATCGAGCCGGCGGGAGATATGCGCAACATACTATAAATAGATGCGTTGATCGACGTGCTCAATAATTTGGCCCGTTCCTTGACATATGTCAGAAAGGACTTCAGGATTTAAAACGCCGATTCTCAGTCTAATTCACCGTTTGCATATGGTCGAAGGACGATCGGATGTTGATCTAAAGTTAGCATAACAATCAAAGAACAGTGTCCATGAACTAGGATAACAGTCAATATCACACCAGCAGAGATAATTGCAAATCATAACCCAAGCAGGCAGGTCTGAACGAACACCAACATAAGCAAGCAAATTAAGGGCTTGGAAAAGAGCCGCGTGACAAGGACCTAATCGAACCCCTGATCGGCACGTTACGAGCTTCCCCACTGCAAAGTTGCAAAACAACACCCAACAGGTACCCTGACAACAAACAGTACCAGAAAGAAAAAGCCTCACTTGAAACCCGCCATCGAAATGGAAGCGTAGTGTACCAAAGAAGAAGAAAAAAAGAAACAAGAAACAAAATAAGATACAACGGGATCTCGAAGTGGAGCGCAAGCTACCTAGACAAGTTTCAAGAACCGATTGGAGTGGAGGCATCAGCCTCATTCCCTGCTTTAATCCTTGCATACTGTAGGACGAAAGTGAATCACGCATACTGAGCTAGCTGGATGTAATGTCAAGGGCGACATAGACTAGGCGCATACCTAGGCGCATCATTGCTCCGTCGGCCGTCTCCATTCTCCATTCTCCAAGCTCCGGACGGAAGTCGGGATCTTACCGTTGGTTCAGCGTGTGTTATGTGGATCCGGGCCTGGAACAACCGGAGTATCTGGATCTCGTTGGGTTGAGATGAAGGGAAATGAAAGGAAGGGCGGATCTGCGCCGTAGGTGCTGGGCGGAAAAATCAGAGGGAAAGAGGCGCGGGTGGGAGGGGAGGGAAGTGGACACTCTCTTGAGAGTCAGACTTGTCTGTATGCCGCATTTGGGTTAGGGTTGTGGGCAATGGCCCTTGTACTATTTTGTGGGGGGTTTACGGTGTTTTTGGATTTGGAATTGGGACAGGAAGGAAGACTACGGGTACATACTCCGTAGATCTCAGGCTTATACGCTTAAAGAAAGACGTGGATCCAAAGTTGAGGGTAAACGCGTAAAGGGGGAGGTGATATCGTGGGTGAAAGGCGATCAGCCATGGGTGAACTGAACTCTACAATTAAGCCTCCGAGCGTGTTTGGTTTTGGAAGTAGAATTGAATAGATAGATTTAATTTCAAAATTGATTGACTTCGGGGGTATTGTAGATGTTTAAACATAGTCGAAGATAAGTCTGCAACAGGGGTATAGGTATAGGTATAGACAATTGCACAGCGACACCAAGTCATCGTATCGTCAAGGACACATAAGAAAAACAAATGAAACAGAAAAAGAAAAAAAAAAAAAAAAAAAAAAAAAAAAAAAGCACACAATGGCTCCGGGACAACTGTTGTCCCCCTATCTTCCATATTTCCAACGTCGCGACCGGTGGACCCTCTAGGGGAGTTCGGGTGGTCGCGCTTCGGGTATGGAGGTGGAACTGGCGCCCCAATGACAAATAATGGTTGAGTCAGTTGGAGTCGAGACTTTTGAGGCTTCGCTTCAGAATGTGGTCCCCTCTTTGAGGTCCACTCTCGGAGCCGTACAGTCTATCTAGGACTGGGGCCCACATGAGCTGGAATCGGGTCCGGAAAAAAGTCCGTGTGGATGTTCGTTAAGTCGTGAGATTGAGATTTGACCCATGTTCAACATGGGTTTCCGGAAGCTCGTCTCTTTATATGGTCCAGCTCACGGGCTGGAAATGTTGCATGGATGGAAGCTGGTCATCGTATGAGAAGTCGGTGCCAGACCAAGATGGAGATGGGTAGTGGCATTGAACGGGCTGCGCAATTTGTTAGCAAACAATTACAGTGACATTTTCGCATAAAGAACTCACTGGATGGATCATGTTCTCCCCCATGGAGATAGCGGACATGTTGGTGGGAGGTAGGCCGGCATCGGCGTCCCAGCGGAGCGGAGTGTGCATTTGCAACGGAGAGGAAGTAATATCGCCCTTGAGAATGTTCTTCGGGTATTGGTCGATAACTGAGATTGAAGCAGAGGATATGGAGGAGCTGGAGTGAGGAGGGAGAGAGAAAGTCGCATCGGACAGAGGCGAGGGGCAGGTCTCTGCGGGGGAGGAGTAGAAAGGGCTATCGTCTGTAGACTCGGGGAGTTGGTTCTGAAATGTTGGCCGGGGCTGGAGAGGAAGGTCGACGCCGCTCCACATGAGTGAACAGTCGTTGACCAAATCAGGATGTATACCAGGAGCCACTAGAGATCCGATGGACATGTTGTGAGGCTGAGAGGTTGCGGTCATAGTCATTCCATGGTCAATTGACATGCAGCGCGGGATCGAGGATTCGGTGATAGTTTCTTGGCTGAGTGTCCATGTAGGTGGCTCCGTTTGCGAATCCAGTTCACTATCTCGTTGTTAGTATGCGCCATGTCTATTCCTATTTGGTGTAGACTCACTGTCTTTCGATGTGACGCGCAAGTAGATCGGGTCGGTGGAAGGACTTGTTGCATCCTGATTGTGTGCAGTGGTAGGAAGCTTCCGGGTTGTGGTTTAGTTCGTGACGTCTGCGGTGCTCGGCTCTGGTGAAGACCTACAGATGAGTTAGCCTATATTGATCTAGGTAAATTGGACGTATACGGACCTTGGTGCATCCGGGGAACTCGCACGCATGTACGCGCTTGCCTTTCTTGGCCTTGCTAATGCGATGTGTGGTAGGAGTATAGGTCACGCGTGAGTCGTCGGTCTGCGGGCTGTTGCGCATATTCTTCCGGCCCACCATATTGGATCTGGGAGCAAGCTGTCGAGGTTCAGGCGAAGAAGAAAGAGAAGAGATGGAAGGGGAGTTCAAGACAGAAGTGATCTGAGTTGGATTGCGGGTTGAGGATCGGGTCATGCTGAGAGGGGGAGGAAGGTATTTAAGAAGTGTAAGGCTGTTTGAAGAAGGTGTGAAGAAGCTTGCAGAGAATCCTGAAACTACAGGAAGAAGGTGGACTGATATAGAGGAACAATATGCACTAGGAATGGCTGTTCCTACAGATCTACGGGATTAATAGACTTTGGGTAAATTGAAATTAATAAAAAATTAAATAAAAAGAAAAGAAAACAAAATAATTAAATGAAAAAAGATGAAAATAAAAATAAGACCAACAGACTAACTGAGATTAGATGGCCATGATCGCTCGGGATGATCAGACTAAAATTACAACAAGTGCGGCTGAGGCGTGTTGGTTCGAGATAGGACTATGAGTGGCCGAACGGTGGTATTTTCGGTACGAACATCCTTGCCAGTTTATTGGACAAATGCAGACAAAGTAAGCCCGATTTCATTCCAAATCCCGTCCAAGCTCCGTAACGGGTTTTCCCCACGAGCTGCTTTAGGACACGCTAAACGGTATAAGGATCTTAGGCTTATGTGAGAGATAGAAATGGTACTCAAGCAACCTATTCTCTCTTGTATTTTCTATGCCATATGGCCATTGAAAAAGAAAAGAAAGGAAAGAAGGAAACAGATCCAGTGGAACCAAAAAGCCTCACGAACCAAAAGATCAAGCCGAACTCAACCGAGAAGGGAATCAGCCTAGTGGAACCCCGGTGATCTTGGCAAACTTGGCATTTTGCCCTAAATTGCCCAGGTGCTGATTCGCCGTGCTGATCCTTAACATATGGGGTGAATGGACAACCACGTCACTGGAGTTCGTCTGGGGTGACACTATCTGGGTTACCGGATATCTTTGCACCCTTGCTTGGTCTGTCTCGTGCCTATGTATCATGTATGAGGGTGTTACACTGCACCCTCTGCTACGCTGCATACCCGGGGAATAGTCCTCGTGGCAGCAAGCATCAGGAGCCGGATCTTAGATGGGCAGAATCGCATTTTGAAACACGCCTTGATATTCTGGAATGAATCCTTTACCCTGCGTGGTAAATCTGCACCCGGAAAACGGGAGAAAAAGGAAAAAAAATATATTCCCGTAATTCACCACTTAGATCGTGCGAGGATCCCCTTGAATATTCACATTATTCTACAATCAACCCATTAAATGTCCGTCACTTCGCGACCGTTACTATTTTACGCACCGACAAATCACGGCCCGTGAAGCTGTGTTGGGGTGGAGAGGGAATCTGCCTCGCACGATCCACCATTGCACCAGATATGCCTGCTGCAGATTATGCGGATCAACATCAGCAACTGGACTGCAAGGCATTCTCATGATGACATTTGAAACATGAAACGGGCAGGTGCTCGGGGACCACAACGGCATCGCGGCGACCTTACAGCCTCATGTTTCCAAAGTTAGGTACAGATCATGCATGGCTTGCTTTACTAGTTAGGGGGCTGATTTGATCGGCTCCTGCGGTCAGGGTCTTAGCGTTGTGTAGGGATACTGTTTCGCACCCTAACCTTCTCGTGGCATACTGCTATATCGATCTTTAGTGTACAATAGTGCATGATCTCGATCTATACTTGTCCCTAGTGTGGAAGATCATCATATCAGTCTTTTCAAGTTTCAAGTTATGGGCTGATTGCCACTGGTTTGGGATTTAGTACCCGTTTTGTTAGTTCGTGCTATCATCCTTCGTGCGGGTTTTCCTCCGCATTTGGCCTTATATATAGGAGCTGTTGCCATTCTCTTTCCCTTTGGGTATTAGTGTTTGTGGAGCGACGGTTACAGCAGTTGTCACGGAAGATGATGACCCTATAATAAAACTGCCTTCCTACATTAGTCTAGCTTCTGACAAGAGATGTTCGTTTGTGGAGCTACGATCGGCCGGTCGATACATGAATAGTAACTCTACCCGTTGAGGTGGAATATGCGACCGGGAGAGCATTGGTACCTTGCAACTTAAACTTCCAGCCCTACTCCGCATATATTTAGGTACATCCATGGGTGTACATGCACTGCGCCCACGGAAAGTAACAATAGCTCTTCCTTGTTGGGATGAAGATTACTTTTTCATTGTTCTAGAGTAAGCCTGTCCCTGTCAATTGTGAGATTGCAGAAACTTGAATATGCCGAGAAATAGCACGGACGAACCAGAAGGCTTACTTTACTGTTGGTTCTTTTTTTAGCAATATTTTGGGTTAGGCCGTGCACGAAGGTCAAGACTAGTCTGCCTCAGGGCAAAAAGGGTAAGGGCAACATGCGATGATCATTGACGGAGCTTGGTTTTTACGCGAAGTAGAGTCGCAGAGCCCCGGACCCGAAGTCGGCTCTTAAATGAACTTAACCCTAACGAGACTGTTAATTTAAATCTCCGAATTCCCAGTCTACTCGACTTATTTACGCTTTTGCGATCAGATTGACACGGGCGCAGTTCCCCAGAATAACAACATGATGTAGGCCAAATGCGATCATTGCCAATCTTACTGACAAGATTGCCAGCATACCCTTATCTAATCCAAACGAAGTGTCGCGGTAGAAAAACGAAAAGGGCGGAGCCTCCCGGAGACCGATTTCGGTATAGTTTCCCACGAAAAAAGGCGGCTTTCGTTTTCTTTGTTAAGTCTCCACCAGCCCCCTCTCAAGCTTTGGAAGAGGCTCTTAAGCCAAATCAGGAAAGCGGGACCCTGTGCCCACTCAAGTTTCGCCTATTCCGGGTCGGCACCCGGGTTTTCCCCGTTGATCGAACTGGGGTGGATCATGTCCACTATTGGCGCCTGTGCTTTGAAAGTTTGAAATAGGTAAGAGATGCGATCGAGTAGGCTGCTGCTGGCCTCTGCATACTGTGTATGTAATGCTCAAGGGCGAGGAATGGGCCGCCTTGTCCTGCAGAGGGATCATCATTGTTGGATAAAGGGGTTGTGGAAATTGGCTGCAATCTTACCTCAGATCTGATGTGTTCCCTTTGTTCTCATTGGTGGAATCGTTTGATATGCCATTTGATTTGCTCAGGTAGAATTCCCATGGACCGGGCCGAATAAAGCAGACTATTCTATGTTGCTCTATGATTTCATGCTAAATAGTGCTAACGTATTAAGGAGGTGACAAGGCCGAACCCGAGCCTCGGGATCACGATCCAAGCTCAAAGCAGTATGAGATATCCTATAGTATATTGCGCTGTTGGGGTTTTGGAGACATGGGAAATGACAGTACGCCCCATGCCCCGTTTAGAAGTCGGAGGCGACTGCTCCGCCCAGAGCCCCGGGTTTACTATTGAACGCCGTCTTCTGTGCGGAATACAAGTGAAAAAGGGGTTCCTTTGTTCAAAGTCACATCAATGACCAGACATACTCGTCACAAGTATACACAACCTGTACATGAAGTATAGACGCGATCTTGATGGACGAATCACTTCAATAGTCTACCAGTTACGCAGAGGTCAGACCGTTAGAGCCCACGACATACCCAAAAAAGGTAGCTAGCCCCACAGTGCGTATATGCAAATCCAATCAAATGCAACATCCTCTTTATACAAATCGGGTATAGCGTCCAAGGGATGTCCCCTTTAGGTCAAGGGGAAATTCTGGCTTCGCATCGAGTCAGGCACATCCATGGATGTGCCTTTTTAGATGTAAGACAATTATTGTAAGCTCCACCCCCCGCAACGCCTCCATTCTTGTTTTTCGTGTTCGGTACGGGCCCTCGTGGAGCTGTTGATGTAAACTCCGTGCCTGTAATTGACCCTCTAGGCACGGAGTACTCCGTATTTACGCCCCGAAAATGCTGATCGATCGGCGCTCACGGTCCAATCTTCTCCGGCAGATCGTCGTTTGTCAAATTCTCGCAGTCGGTGACGATCATGTGCCCGAAGATACACCGAACTTGTGTGACTGTGGAAATAGTCCTCGGAATGGACATTTACGCCAAGTGCATATACATAGATGCAGCTGTAAAATCATGCAAAGCTAACCTAGAAATAACTAGTAGACCCCGATGCAAGTAGAACCCAACGCAAATAGTCCCCGATGTCAAATAAGCGAACGCGCATTAGCTCTGGAGGAGGTATGACGTCGTGGTCTACGGGACACACAGTAGATGAGGCATTTGTCGATTTTCAATTTATCGCTGTGGGCAAACATCCATATACAAGCAGCCGCTAAGCGATAATTTGCCGAATAGATTCTGCGTGTGTAGATATATGATTTCAGACTGAGATCGACATCTTGCCCGAATACTATACAAGTATGCACCTGGGCACTCACACCGTCCTCAAATAAATACTATGCTTCCTGGGGTAATGCGGGCACTTCACTCCACATTGGGCTCAGATCACGGGTGGCAAATGCCGCCCCATGTAAAGGCCGAGCTATGATAAAGATGAGCCCTACACTCCGTAGGACCAAGTCAATTGTGGCCGTCGGCGATCGGATTGACCCGCGATAACTGAGAATGACTCGTGCGGATAAACAAGATCCTGTTTGGTAAAAGTAGTGTTAACTCCGAGTGCTAATTTTTTTTTTCTTGGAAATCACCAACATCCCTGCAAGGGGGGACTTCGTATAACGTGTACCCCATGCAGGTCCCTATTCGGGGTAAAATTCACATAGTTCCGTCGATCAGGCCATGTGGGCATCGCAAGGCAGACTTCGCTGGTTGCCTGAACATCTGGTTTCACGATCGAGGAACCTTGCATCGTTTCAGGTCTTCTTTCGGGAATGTCATGACGATTTCGATTGACATCACACCCTTGACGCTACATTTTCGAGGGGGCTTACATGTTGTGCTGTTCAATGCAACCTAAAACACGCTGCTACATGTCAGATGCTTAGTCTTTGCCCAGCACCACACCACCTTGTTCCGTTGCTATCTCAACACATGGCATATGGGTTGCGGACGACGCACAACATTGATTACATTTTGCCGGAGTCCGACCCAAGAAATTGAAGCTAGAGGCCTAGTCCAACCCGAAGAGTATTGGCAAATAAGGCCATTGAACCACGACGGCTCTCATAATCTCCATTGCTAACGGGCTTGCACTAAGGATCCTTATCCCTGCAACCCATGTGGCCAGAGGCTGAGAGGAAAGCGATGAACTGGCCAGATGGAATGAGAGCTAATTTAGGGCATGTAATAATGCACCCGCTACTGCACACTCCATGCACCCATGCGGAGCATGAGACTATCCCGCTATAGGTAAAAGCACGGCATCTCTAGTTCCCCCCCCCCCCCCCCCCGATGTGTTTCATGCTGACCCTGGTAAACGTGGCAATGCACAATGTGCATGACGCTAATCCTAGGAGAAATATTGCTGGTCATGGCTAATTCGGTCGTTTTGGGATGTTATTTATAACCATTCCTCCTCAACGTTAGCTTACATTTGCACATGTACTGTATGTACAGCCTACGCCCGTTTCATGCGATCGCAATAAAAACATACCACTGGGCCTATGGCGTTAGAATACCCTCGTATATCAGTTTTCTCGAGCTAATAAATTACTGTATACAATCTGATCAGCCACATGGTGATCGATGGCGATCGTGTTTCAGGTTGAGGGCCGCAGCATCCTCCCGACATGGTTCTATTTTTACGACCGAGGATCGATGTAGTGGTGATATTGGCAATCAAGGCGGAACTTGCGGTCCTTGATCTCGCGAGTTGATACTCTCATTTACCAGAGCGCTGGTAACGACCTTCTAGAGAATACCGGAACTCGGAGCCGTCCTGTACAGACCGTTTACGTGCCTCTAGGCATACTAGACTAAATGTACCTAGCACCCACTCTATTGATTTGCGACATGGAACGGCGCAAACTAGATCTGCGCCTGCGCAGGGTTCTTTGATTCCTCCCGAATTTAATTCACCCCTTTTTACCACATGATTTCCTAGTGCTGCACGGAATTGGAAAAGTTCCGGCGTACGACAGGGCTAATTTCTTGGGGAGTTTTAGCTGCTCCCACTGACCACATGGACTCAGGTCCCTCGCAGATCAGTCAACGTCCGCTTAGCTTGGGGCACCACAATTTCCCCTCGTGACAAGAAGATGCCCATCTCAATCTCCGTACTTGAGCTAGACTTCGTTCCCGTGGAGTCCAAGCTAGCAAATGAAGCCCCTGCCCAGAAGTGTGAATCTTTCGAGTCGCATCGCCCCGCAATAATTATTAGCGGTACAACGCTCTCGGTTAGGTTAGTCAAGTTGGTTCTAGTCGCCATATACTCCCAAATGAGAACGAATTTACTCTTCAAAGTGAGCTAATTAAGGAACATTTCCTCTCCTCGTAATCTCACCTTGCATTGCAAATGCCAGCATCTTATACGTTGGAAGGGGACAAAGCACCCAAAAGCCAACAGACAATAACCAACAATTCACCGCAGCAGACCAATCACCGCTTGAACACCCCCCTCCTACCCAGGTCCTTGAACCAAATTAGCAAGCCTATATTACTGCACATATACACATGCATATTGTACTTTCGCACGGTGACATCATTATTTTCCGATGTTCTCGGCGCCAGCATGCACCCACTTGACGCTGTTGGTTTTGATATGGATGTTATTGGATCCTTGGTCTGCAGCATGCGGAACGCCTATGCGATAATTGCTATATGGAGTGATTTTGCAGCGTTTTGGCGGCTATGTTTCTTCTAGGTCGTTTCAGGTCATGTAATATGTATATGTATATCCTGGTAGATATGTCGACCGGAGTTGGGTCTGATTCCGATCGTTTAAGTCCGAAACCCGTTCTATACTCGTCATTTTAGATGCGTGTTGTCTCTATGGGGCTTTGATATTGGGTGGTAGCCTAGGGTCATAAGTCAAGTGGAACAGATAGCTTGATTTTGAGCTAGGGCATCTACTTCTACATGTGTAGGGATAGGCCTACGTATTCAACCACCACCCTCGATATAAACTGCTGCCTCACCACACGGTAATTATCCGAATCAAAGGATCAAGCCTCACAATCTTTCGGACCAAAATGATCTCATTCCCGCACCTGATCCGCTCTGTAACAGACTACCAACGTGACTAAGCTTCAAAGATGCTTCGGTTTTCTTTTCCCCATACAAGTATCTACCATAATTATGTAACCAGTTGTCTCCGGGCCCTGGGCACTACGCATGTGGGATTGAATCATTGAACATGTTGCCCGAAGTTGTCGATCCTCGCTTGAGACCTTGGGTGGTTGGACGCTTGGCTGGCTAGGTGGATATTTAGGTTGTCTGATGTTTGTGAGCAAGTAAGAATGACTTCAGTGGCTTTTTCGGTTTGTTTCTTACTTGTCTGATGTCATGGAGAATGAGGGGATACTAACAGTGACATTGTACTCTGTAGGTTGGGTGGCACTTGGAGCCTGATCCGCGGATGTTCGGTGTGAGGGAGCTAGAGTCGGTCAAGTAACTTTGGGACCCAGAATACTAGTTGACATCTTCTTTGTTTCAACGGCCGTGGTGGTATTACGGCTCATTCGTCTCCTCTCGACTAGGTAGATGTTTGGGTCTCCAGAAGGGAAGCTTTCACCCAGTACCCAATATTGAACTCAAGCAATAGATTGTAGACATTCGAGCTTGTTTCGCAGTCCTGTTAAGGCCTTGGGAGTCTACTTGATCATGTGTCAGCGAGGGTCGTGACTTGCAATATTGAAAACAGGGGTGCCAAGACGAACATATATACGACGCGGTAGGATGGAAAGCCATTTTGATTTGCACCCAAGGGGAAGTAAAAGCTTTGAGATTGTTTAACAATTAATATCGAGGTATTAGTGTAGTCTTTTAACAAGATCTAGAGCAAAGGGTAAGCCATTCCGTCACCTCTCATATCACTGCCAGCACCATAAACAAGCTTTCCGTCATCAAAATACGAGCGAATGATCTGTCCCCGCCCAAACGCAGCACGCTTCCAGCCAGTGAGGACCTCAATCTTGTGACCAAGACGACGCAAACCCTCCACAGCCTCATCGCTAATGCCCTCCTCAATCCATACAGTGCGGTCAGTACTCTCGTCCGTCGGGGCAGCAAGGCAGAAGCGTGGCGAGTCAAGCGCAGCCTGAGGGTGATATCCAAAGGCAAGCATGTTCAGCATAACCTGAACATGACCCTGAGGTTGCATGAAGCCACCCATGACACCATAAACTGAGTGTAAAGAGCCATCCGCGATATTGGTGATCAGGGCGGGAATGATGGTGTGGTAAGGGCGCTTGCGCGGTGCAAGGGCATTAGGATGTCCCTCTTGGAGTGAGAAGTTGGCACCGCGGTTTTGCAGTGTAAATCCGCAGCCGGCAGGGATGATGGCCGTACCGAACCCGGCATAGTTACTGTTGATGAAGGAGATGCCGTTGCCTTCGCTGTCTGTCACAGCGAAGTAGACGGTGTCGCAGTGGTTGTGAGCGGGGCTACCATGGTCCATAATATCGGCAGCGCGATCCGGTTGGAATAGCTTCGCTCTCTCGGCGAGGTACTCGCGGGCGAGCAGACCCTGCGAAGGCACACGCTCTACATCAGGGTCTGTCACCCACCACGCCGCGTCGGCAAAGGCGATTCGCAGACTCTCGATCACGGCGTGCAAGTACTCTGCCGAGTTATGCTGGTCCTCGGTAAACTTGGGGATCTTGCCTGCCTTCTCGAGTTCCTCCATGATACCGAGTGCAATGAGTGCCACGATACCCTGTCCATTTGGTGGGTGCTCCCAGATTGTGACACCCCGGTTGGCACCATCATCTGTGCCAGGTGTTGCCTTTGACACGATATCCTGACCGGTGAAGTCGAGCGAGATCGCGTCGACCTCTTGAGTTCCCACTTCAGCGTGGTAGGCAAGGTCCTCGAGGGTCATATAACCACCCAGGTCCTGTACCACTTTGACAATCTGTTCGGCCACTCGGCCCTTGTAGAATCCGTTCTTGCCCTCGGCAGCTAAGGCACGGAAGGTCTTTGCTAGAGTGGGGTTCTTCATAATCTCGCCCGGAAGAGGGCTGCGCACGCCATCCTTTGCTGAGGCGTCAACCTTAAGCATCTCCCGGAAGTTGGGAGACGCATTGCGAATATCCTTCTCGGCTTCAACCCACTGTGGTTTGTTAGCTCGCGGGGCAATTTGAACTGAGACCTAGAGACTCACGCCGTGTGATGAGAGCTCAGAAACAGGAAAGCCTTCTTCGCCAAGCTCAATAGCAGGCTGTAGAATCTGTTCTAGGGACAGCTTGCCACTGCCGAACTTCTCAATGGTATCAACCCAACCGGCGGCGGCACCGGGAGTGGTAGCGGCCAAGGCATTCATCATGGGCATTTCACCCGGTGCACCAGGAGCAAATCCTAGATCTTTGCGCACCTTCTCGAGGGTGGCTTCCCCGGGATACCGACCCGAGCCGTTCAGGGCGTGCACCTTCTTGGTATTGGCATTGTAAAAGAGACAGAACATATCACCTCCAATGCCGGTAGAGCAAGGCTCGGTCATATTCAATCCAGCGGCTGCTCACACAGTTAGTCTGTTGTTCTGCCCATTGTTCCACATATCGGTACGTACCCACGGCAACTGCGGCATCCTGTTCAAACACATTTAGTAACCTCCAATGCGACAGAAAGTGAGAGACATACTGCAGCGTTTCCACCTTGACTCAAAATTCGATGACCGGCGGCGGCAGCCAATGGCTGGGAGCATGATACAATGCCCTTTGTGCTGTGGACAGTACTCCGTCGGCTGGGGAAAGGGACGTAGTCCGCATTTTCGCGGGAATACACGGCTTTGGCGTTGAGTGGCATGCTTACGTGGATGGTGAATGGTAGATCAAGCGAGAATATGGGAATCCGAGTGGTTATAAACCCCCACAGAAGTACGTGGGATATCACAAGAAAGACGGGCTACCCCGCCGTCATATTGGAGAACTTGGAGTCTATCTTATCGGAGTGTGAAGGGGCCTCCCCGTTGGCCGAGGTTAGCCGTAAGTAAGATGTTGTCTAAGATGGCCAGGGAAGTATTCAAGACATCTGAAGTCTACAACTATTCAGACATTCAGCAAGTCGAAGTAAACATAAGACATTGGTACTCACCGCCCCCGAAGACGGAGGGTCCATTCCCGCCATCATCCCACCTCGGGACTTCACATCCTCACCTATAGCGGGCCCAGAGGTATAAAAAGGGTCTCCCTGATCTTATCTGATGTGCTGATTCATCTAGGCCTCTGATGGCAGAATGGTGGTTTTTGTCGACCTGGACGATGCCTTCGAGCACGGATCAACACTGGAGAAGCCCTTCCCCCAGTTGAACCCCATCGCGTCGGAGCCGGCCGACTTGACCCCATCACCTTTTTCCTCATCCGTCCGTGAAGCACCAGATGAAAGGAACTTCAATCCCAACCGAAATGGGTTCTCGGCAGCTTTAAGCTGCTATCCGTATGTCAGGTTCAACCTCGATGACAAGATGACGTCCCGCTAATCACCCCGCTTTATAGTATCGTGAAGGAAATCGCTCGAGCTGTTGACCTTAATACCCTTTACTCCCTTTCGACAACATGCCGCCAATTTCATGTGAACTTGGCACCATTCCGCCACCAACTCGTGCGGGAGACCCTCCGGTGCGAGAATGAATACGTCGAAACATTAGCTGAAATGCTACACAGCGGCGCTGTCCTCCCAAGCAGCGTGAAGTCAGTCCTGCAGCTATTAAGCCGCGGTAGCGGCGAGCCAGGACGTATGACCCGCGGGAAAGTAGCCAAATGCGCGCGCGACATGGTGGCAGAATGTCGACGCTGCGCGAAGGTCGTGTGCAGAGTATGAGCTCCCCCACCTCAAAGCCATTGATCGTGTCCCTAACGCCGAGTTTTTAGAATTGCACTATCAAACCGCCCTCCCAAACAACACTTAAAAATCGCATCCGCCGCCTCTGTCATACCTGTGGCACTGCACCCCTCTCTTCCCTCCTCTCCGCAGACCCACATAACCCAGCCCCCGACCCGGATAATGTCGCTGCAACCGCGTTTGCACAAAGTCCATGTAATTGTATTGAATCTGTATGGCTTTGTACGCAGTGCGGGCAGACCCTGCGCAGTAATGACACGACATACCGGCGCGTCTGGGCCTGGCGCACGAGATATAGCACGTACCTCGGCGGCGGGTTAGGCACCGGTATCGGCGAAGGCTGCCAGGGCGTGAAATGTGGACGCGGAGAGGGTTGTCTTGCGGCACAGGGGATCGAGCTTGAGGTTGACTGCGAGGTGGATGAAGGGTCTAGTGATACTAGCAGCAGTCATAGTGCTGGGCATAGTCCTGCGAGTCATCCGTCATATTCCAATGAAGGGGCCATCTCAACAGATAGCCATGATGATGAGGAACCGGGTTATTTCCGACAGGAGGTCATCGGGCTTGGTGGTGTCGTCAAACATAAGGCTAAGAAAAGAGTCAATGTTGGCGCTTGTGTCGTTGAATATGAGGATGAGAGGGAAACAGGGAACTATCTTGCTCGCGAAGAAGATGGGTTGCATCGTGCTTGGTGTGGATGGTGCTCCAGGGTGATTCCTTCAAAGAGTGAGGTTGGCTGCTAAGTATACTCGAGTTGGTTTTGGGTTCTTCGCATTGGCCATGGTATTTGCATTCGCTGTGGCTGGTTTACACTTTGGGTGCTTCATGTCATGCTGATTTCACGATTTTTGCATAGTAATTTCCTGCATTTCCACATGGAGTGTGGATAATTATTTTGATCACGACGGCAAGGTAGAGGTCAAAATAAGCTTATTTTCAGGGTTGCCGCTACCAAAGTCTCTAAATCGATCACCCTCCCTCCTTCCTCTCTGTAGGATACGTATGCCTTTTCAGGGAATATCATGCTCAAAATCTTGAATCGGACACTTCGAGGGCCATGTCTGGATAGCCCCTGGGATTTTGCACAAACGGAGTCTTGTACAACGGTCTTGTGAACTATCTTGATTACGAGCCTCCCGAGAAGACAAAAGGAGCACCGAGACACACTGGAGAACGAGAAAAGCCTTGTGTAGCATGATGTAGTCTTAAAGGAGTTAACTATTGAAATGGCTCGATGTCAGTCTTGGCTGAGCAGACAGGTCGAGATCATGGAAGAAGAAACACCACAACTCCCGGTGCTGTGCTGTAGCGCCGGCGCCTGTCTATCGCGCATTGAATCTGACATTACTTCATGAAGGAAGAGCTGATGGGCGAAACGAATGATTTCTGTATGATGATGATCTTGCAGACTATGTAGCGGCAGCAAAATGACTGATTGCTTGCCTGACTGCCTCAGATTCCATTCGTCACAAGAATCCTCACTACACTATGTGATTGTAGTTTCCCGAAACACTATCTTCCAATCTTAGATACTTGTCTTATATAAATGCACCTGTTATCAAATTCTGGCCACAAACAACATATTTCAAATACTCCTGCAATGAATCGCTCCCCAATGCAACAATTTCGTCGTCAAGCATACACTGTCATATCATATCGGGCATTCTATCGGGCATTCTGTCAAACCACAAACCACCGGTGTAAAGTAAAAGACAAGGTCGAAAGCGAAGAGAAAGGTAAAATCAAATCAGATCAAAAACAACACGAAACAAAACGAGCAATCTTAGGCAATTCAATGGACACCAATGGCCCTGAAAAGACTCTTCAGCTTCGACTCCTGAGGAGGAGACTCCTCACGCCTGTGACGGCGATGAGAGCGGCCCTCGCGAGTTTCAGCCCGAGCCTCACGGGAACTCTGGTAGCGACGAGAAGACCCTTCAGTCTTCGTCGTCTCCCGCTCCCGCTCTTGCTCCTTCTCCTTTGCGCGTTCGCGTGATTTAGCTCTATCTTTCCGTTCGTCCCTCTCGTCCCTGGAACGATGCTCAGCTGTCGATGAGCGTCGCAACCTTCTGCCCTCGGATCGAGGAGCCTCCTCTTCGCGTCGTGCTTCACGCCGCTCTTCGCGGCGCTCGTCACGTCGCGAGCGAGAGCCACCAGATCCAGTGGATTGAGCACTTGAATGTCTTTCTTCATGCGATGTCCGCCCTTGGCTGCTGCCGTGGCTGTGGGTTGTCGAGGATCGACGTAAAGGCTTCTCCACTGGCGGAGCCGCCTTGGTGGCATTCACACGCATTATATGATTGGGACCAGACTGGCCCTCTGTCATGTAGCGCAGGAAAGCACGGGGCTTAGCCGTTGGGGCCGAAGTTGCCTGTGTCGAAGAGGTCCTGGTAGAACGAGATCGCTCGAAGGGCTGATCAGGTGGCGTCTCAGAGGCGCGTCGCTCAGATGGACGTCGTCTGGGTCTGCCTTCTACGGGGACAGGGACGGCGATGGGGACGGCGACCGGTACGGGAGCGGGAACCGGGACGGGTTCCGTCACCCTGGCCTTCTCCTTGTCCTTCGAAGAGCGCCTATGCTTTTCGGATGAGATACCACTTCGCTCTCGCTCCTCAACAAGGGCACGCTGCCTCCGTTGGATCTGCGCTTTCTCATCGTGCTGGCGCCGAGCTTCCTCAAGGGCCTTGGCCCAACGGTTAGTCAAGACATTTCGTTCGCTCTTCTGGCGCTGAAGGCTATCTTTGGGTGAATCTGATAACGTCTTCGAGTAACCAGGGTCTTGTGTTCTGGAAGACGCGCGCTCTCGCGTCTCTGGCGAACGCTTCTTCCGGCGTCGTGAGCCATGTCGGGTAGTGGGGGGTCCATCACCCTCAACGGGTTCATCGCGGGAAGCCTCGCCGATCATGACAACCTCAGGCGAGGTATCCGCTGCTGGTGGCGCAACTTCGTCGGGCGCAACACCTTCATTAGCAGGCGCTGGTTCAGGCAAAGCTTCAGGCGCTGCTGGGGTATCAGTGTCTTCTGAATCCTCTACGGGGAGATCTCTGGCGACCTCTGCGTCAGGGGTAGGCTCTTCTGGAGGGGTTTCAGCCGGAGCATCTTCCGGTGTTGGAGTCTCGACTGGGACTGCAGCTACATCGGGCTCTGGTGTCTCGGCTGGAGCATCTGGAACTGGCGGTTCAGCCGGAGCTTCTTCGGGTGGGGGAGTCTCAGCTGCAGGCTCTTTGACTGGGGCTGGCACTTCCACAACAGCCGGTGCTTCGGGTACTACTTCAACAGGTGCCTCAGGTATTTCCTTTGATGCCTCTTCGGGCACAACCACTTCTTCTACTATAGCTTCAGCAGGTGCTGGTTCAGCAGGTGCTTCCTCTGCAATAGGGGGCTCAGGCGCGGGAGGCTCAGGCTCAGCAGCGGGAGGTTCAGGCTCAGCAGCGGGAGGCTCAGGCTCAGCAGCGGGAGGCTCAGGCTCAGCAGCGGGAGGTTCAGGCTCAGCAGCGGGAGGTTCAGGCTCAGCAGCGGGAGGTTCAGGCTCAGCAGCGGGAGGTTCAGTCTCAGCAGCAGGAGGAGGCTCAGTCTCTTCAGCGGGAGCAGGTGCAACTTCCGATGGGGCAGGTTCAGGGGCCGCAGGTTCAGCAACGGCTTCAACAGCTGGCTCAGGCTCCTCCTTAGCAGGTTCTTCGACTAGTGGCTCGGCAACTGCTTCTTCCTTGACAGGCTCCGCAACTACCGACTCAGGAGCTGGCTCAGGTTCCTTCACAGGGGCATCCTCAACGACAGGCTCAGCGACTGGTACTGTTTTAGCAGATTCCTCAGCAACCGGCTCAGGAGTTGGGGTTTCCTCAACTGGAGGATCCTGAGCAACGGGTTCTTCAGCTGGTGCTTCCTCGGGAGGTGCATCATTTACTAGCTCCTTAACAGGCTCTGGAGCAGACTCAGCGACAGGCTCAGCGGCAGGAGCTTCCTCAGCTGGGGTGTCATCCACTGCAACAGCAGGCTCAGGCGCAGGAGTTTCCTCAGCAGGCACCTCCGCAGCCGGCTCCTCCACCGCAACAGGTGGTACTTCAGGAACACTCTCTGCAACAAGGGCTACTTCCTGAGGAGCTTCTTCTGCCGCTTCTTCGGGAATTGGATCAGCAGCAGCTTCCTCAGGTGCCACCTCGATAGGAGCCTCTAGCGCCTTTTCTACCGGTGCCTCTTCAACCGTTTCAGGCTGAGGCTCAGGCTCAGCTGGGGCCGCATTCTCAGCAGGCGACTCAACAGGAGCATTGGCGGGTTCAAGCTCAGCGACAGGCTCGGGTTCGACAGCAGGTTCAGGCTCGGCAGCAGGCTCTAGTTCCTTGGGTGGTTCTTCCTTAGGAGGTTCAGGTTCCGCAGCCGCAGCCGCGGCCTTGCCTTTCTTGCCCTTCTTGCCCTTCTTCTTCTTGCCGGTTTCTTTGAGCGCCTCTGCAACAGGCTCGGGGGCAGGTTCTTCCGCTGGTTGTTCAGGCTCGGCTGGTTGTTCAGGCTCGGCTGGTTGTTCAGGCTCGGCTGGTTGTTCAGGCTCGGCTGGTTGTTCAGGCTCGGTTGGTTGTTCAGGCTCGGTTGGCGTTTCCGCATGCGCTACAGGTTCAGGTGCAGAAGCAGCCTCAGGCTCAGGTTCTGTTTCTGCTGGTGCTCCAGCTGATTCGACTGGCGCAAGTGACTCTTCAGGAGTAGTATCTGGAGGCGGTTCATTGGCAGGTGCATCGCCAGGTGCATCAGCAGAATTTTCATCTGCTGGCTGTTCGGACTGAGGTCCAGCATCGGCAGCTGGCTCAGGTTCTGCTGATGGCTCAGGCTCTGCGGGGGCTTCTGGCGCCGGCGGCAGTGCAGGTGGTTCAGGCTCCGGATCTGCTGCAGCGACCTTGGTCTTCTTATCCTTCTTCTTCTTGCTCTTCTTGCCCTTCTTGCCAACAGGTTCATCGGCGGGTGGCTCGGATGCTACTGGCTCCTCCGGAGCGGGGCTTTCTTCAGCAGGTGGTGCAGCCTCTGGCTCTGGAGGAGCATCGGCAACTTCCGGCTCAGCCTCAGGTGCCGGTTCTGCTGGGGTCGCTTCCTCAGTTGGAGCCGCTCCAGTATCTGCCTCATCTGCGTTTTCGGATGCCGGCTCTGCAGCAGGTTCATCTACTGGTGGAGCACCTTCGCCTTCCTCAGCTTGGGCGGCCTCTTCAGCAGCCTCTTTAGCAGCGGCCGCTTTCTCGGCTTCTACTTTGTCAAGGTCTGCCTCCGGATTGCAGTCTGGGAATTCGTCATCTGCATTGAGAATTAGCGACGTAATCTATGTAAAAATCACTATAAATATTTACCATTTTGGCCGTTTTTGTCGTTAGCCTCTGCATTCTCACCTGCGGGTGTCGCTTCTGCGCTTTCTTCGGGCTTTGCGCCTTCTTCTGCTCCTGCATCTTTCGGAGCTTCCTCCGGAGTAGCCTCGGCTTCCCCATCTGGCGCAGACTCATCGGCGACGGGTGTCTCTACCTCAGCCGGTACGTCTTCTTTTGATTCTGGAGCAGCATCGGGAGCAGGCTCCTTGGCTGTAGCCGCTTCATCCGGAGGCGTTACAGCCTCTGCATTCTCTGGAATTGCGTGTTAATACACAATCACAGGAGCGGAACAAATATGGTCCTCAACGACAGAGCTCATCGTCCCTGGAAACAAGTACTTACCTGCAGCCTCAGGGGCTGGAGCGTCATCTGGTGAGCTACTTGGTTCAGCTGGCGTGGCTTCGTCGGGGGCATCGCCCTTCTCGTGTTCGGCACTGGGCTCTTTGTTGTCCTGGTTTTGGCCCTCGGTCAGATCGGTCGAAGAATAGGTGACGGGGTAATATTTAAATTCAGATGTGCCAAAATCGAAAGTTTGGTAATTTCGTTGAACACTCTGATAAGTAAATTGAGGGATCGATGCATACGGGTAAGACATCTTGAGCAGCTCCTGCCGCCTCGTCGGGGGCAGGCTCGTCAATGAGGTTTTTGCTCTCAGAGTCTGGAGGGTTTTCTGAGCCGACAGGGAGGCGGTTGTTGGCGTTATTCTTATTCTTCGTCTTGGACTTCTTTTTTGCCATTATCCTCGATTAATGACGTATCATATATCGAGGCGTGGGCAATGCTGACTGGCGCGTGATGCGGCAACAGTGGAACAATCGGAGATTGACAGCCCTCTTGTCAGGCTTGCAATGCAAGGGAAGTACCGGAAACCGGGCGGCAAGGAAATAAAGGGAACAAAAAGATACAAAGGTTGGAGAATCGAGGAGTATGAGACTGAGCGAAGTACTCATGTATTAGAAAACCGAAATGGAAAGAAGGATATGCTTGTTTCTCTGGAGACACCGCATTGGACCGCCATGGTGAGGCAGCGTATAATCGTTCGAATGGGACAACAAACTGCATTACAGTCTTGGGCCCTGAACGTCATCAATGAACTGCCCGATGTCGCCAATTGTCATTGGGCCACGTCGGTCCTTGGGTCTCCATTTCCATGACCGAGATGGGGGTTAGCGAGGCGTGGTGCTTGATTAGGGCCGGGTGAGAGCAGCACAATCCCCACCCGCAGGAATAGCTGCAGTATCCGGCAGCAATGGCGGATCAGGATTGGGGATCGGGGAACACATCGGTCAAGAAAGGAAAGGCCAGCGCTGCACCGACATGGAGAATATGGGTCTGTTGAGGTGGGGTGCCTCGGATTTGAAATTTTTTGTTTTGTTTAGGATTCGTGTCCAGTACGGGATAGCTACACAGTTGGCAAAAGGAATTGAAGTTGGGCCAAGAGAAATCGGAACACAAAATCACCGCCAGTGGAGGATTGTACTGTGTCTCAGTTGCAGGGAGTCGAAGCGTGCACGAAGGGATGCAGTCGAACTGCCCATTCCTGCCCAACGTCCGGCAACAGCGGCAAATGAGACGCCTGCAGGGAGTGGGGAGACCATGGCTATTCCAGTACCCTCACAACAGACCGAATACTTTTCGTACACAAATTGCCTTCAAATTGCGCCCGGAGTGAGTCAAACGAGGCGAAACGAGTGGATTAATTGTTAGGTGTGGATGACTTGAATGGAGTCGTGGGCCTGTCCCAGGGTGAAAGGTCCACTTTTTCGACACCGACACTTCAGTCGCCCAACCTTTCTGTAACCTCAGTGTAAGGAGACAGTTGGACAGTTGGGTTGGTGATGTAATGCATGGTATTGTACAGAGTAACTGCATCGTGGACATGAATATCATTGAGGAACAGACCGAATTCGAGTTGGTCAGGTGATTGGGCTTGGATCAACACCTCACAAAGGGCGATCATGATCGTCCCAGCCACTTGCAAAATACCACGTCCGTGCAAGGTGTCTCGATTATCTGACGAGTCGCTTGCCTTTAGTCACTATCATTTCTGATCATTTCAACGTATCGAATTGCAGTCGCAAGACTAACGTCCGAGTCCAAAAGAGATGCATGAATGTCCAATCATCGTGCTAACGGAACAACTCGGTGACAATTTCATATGCTGTACTCCCTGATCCCACACTGGGACAACTGATATGTACCCAATTCTATGCAACGGGCCGAGCATCCTTGTTATGTCGCTTCTGGTTGGCGAATGGCTCAACTTGTCGGACTGGTCAATTTGATCGGTGGAAATGATGCTATTCTCGGATGTGGGAATGTGTTGTACGGAGTATGGAGATCAATGATGTCTGTCAGGCGGTATGGTTGCGTTTTTGGAACACTCAGCTGCCTCCTAAGAAAGGATTAGGGATGTGACCGGCTAAGCAATCAATCAGTAGAGCAACGTAATTTCAGAAGCATCTTCTACTCTCTGTATTTGCATTGGAATTATTAAAGGATTGGCACCGAGAATACTACAAACATCGATCGGGGTATAGCTCAAGTGTAGAATCACTCCTAGTCTTGACGAACCGCAAGAAAAGGCACCAGAAGTCAAATGATTCTCCGTGTCATGCAAGCGGTAAAACGCATCCATGATCGCAGCCCCGCGACAATCGCCTCGAACAGGAGATCGGTACCCTCCAGTACATGGACCCCTGAGCTCCGTTAAAACCCCTCTTCCCCTCACAAGAAATGCATCGAAGGCTCATAGAAACGCCGGTGATAAGTCTGTTACTGGCTGCCCTGCTTTGCATGCAGGCTAGTTAATACCTGCATTACTAGTTTCAACAATGACTCCCGTAGTTCTACTGCCTATGGAATGCGTGGCTTCGGAGTGCCACATTCCGAGTCGCAGTGCGTATGATTTCTGTTATGGGCGAATATCTGATGCGCGAGAAATTGCAAAAAGGTACCTTCGTAATTCCATGGAGATTGACAGGGGTCGTGTGTCAAGAACGAATATTTAGATTTTGGGGAATATAGTTGATGGTCAAATCTCGGGGACTGTCGGGACTACCAGTAAGCCGGGTCTCCCCGATATATCATGCAACTGCCCCACGAATCATTCGTGGGGTTGAAGAAGTAAGAACGCTCTCAGACATATGAATCGTGGTCAGTGTTGACCCTCAATTAGGCCACCGGAGTACCAGATATTGATAAAACCATCATCAATGGACTAGTTGGGCATCAGAGAAACTGACCACAGAAGTGATGGGTGCACCAAAATCCAATGCTCGAGTCAAAGCGATCGTCTCACCGATAAGTTATACCAAAGAAACCCCCCCCAGTCGTGGCCAAGAAGCTCGATGAGCCCAATCGGACTTAGCTCTACCTACTCACATGCAGCTCGGTGATTGCAAATTAATACAAATTATCTCCTCTTATCACCTCCCCCGCCTGACTGGGTATCATTGGGCGCTTCTCCAGTGACAGAAAATTCTCGTAGGTGTGCTGCACCTCAAAAGCTGCCTCGGTTGACTGGGTGAGTTAATTGCTCAAATCAACACCGCTATGAATCTCTTCATGTTAACAGAGAGCTGGATAAAGACTTAGGTTCCGCTATTTCAGCATCTGGAGCATTTAGCAAGCTCGGACGTGAATCACCATAAATAATGAAGCATGGCTCCGCTATGACCAGCTTGAAAACATGGCGAAGCCGCACCTATCTCCGATCATGCTGAAAGTCCAAGGACAAACCGATCAAGTTTATGTGCCCGAAAGGGATCTTAGGATCACCGCCCTCAAACTGAGCATAGGGGCATCTTGCTCTAAATTCATATCTTTGTCGCCGATGAAGTAGGCCAGGGGAGATACATGTACTCTCCATCCTCGCTCAAATGTAGCAGTTTAGTGTGAGATCACGCTTACCTCAAATCCACAGACAAGTGCTCAATGCGATGGAGAATATCAATTCTCATCATTGAATACAAACGGATGAAGACCAACAGCCTCAGTAGTCTTGGCTCTTCCCCTGACGGCTCCGACCTAGGCAGCTCAATAATTACTCTCTACAGCATTTTCTTGCCCTCGACCACTAGAGACAATCACTGAGAAGCTAAAGCAACAATGTAATGAGTCAAGGGATGTACCTTTGACCTCATCAGACCTGGTTTCCATTTTCTTGTCTTTGAGTTTCTAGTACTCGGTCATGAGTTCTGCAAGAGGTGGAAGAGAACTAAATTAAGAGTAGATGAACAGAGAGAAGATGAAAGAAGATATTTAAGACACCGCTATTTCTACAGGATGCTAATTAAAAATTGGAAGCTTGCTGTTCACAGACTTATCATAGTAGGCTTCCCCTCTAGAACAGGTCGAACATGGCGTAGCCTTGAGTGAGTTCTGTAAATAGGTTATAGCCTTGAATAGAAGTAGAAAGTTGCCCTCATGGCACCGGTCAATGATGGCGGCGTCTCCAATAGCATCATTTTCTGCGTGTTGAAAAAAGAAAGGCCATAATGCCATGTGAGAAGCTATACGGCTGAGTACGAGATAATTTAATTCTGGAAATCCAATTGGAAGTATTCGTCCATAAGTTATTTATAGTAGATAGGTACCTCGAGTAGGGCTTATGGCCCTATTGTGCACTTGTCATGATCAGCGCATTGAATCAGTATTTAATGCCTAGGGTGTCAGCACCCGAGGCCTCATTCTCAACACTGCGATCCATGCGATCCATGTTTTTTAAATGTAGTCAATTTCCCCCAACACTACTTATTTAGTCTATTTCAATTCTGTCCTCGCTGCGGTTGCCAATATTGACTGTAGACGCAGATATATCATAACCCAGAACTCTATTCTTCTTCCCAATTCAAGCCTTCTTTAAGCAGAAAATCGTATATACACTCCCAGACATGCAGGGTAAAAGCCATAGATACTGTAATACTCAGGGAATTTTCTTGCAAACTCGTCTTAGCCGTCTTGGGGATCTCCCCTCTGGATCATTTCGCGCCGAATATACAGACAAGTGGAACGAGCACATTGCTGTTTGTTGCTTCTAAAGTTATAAATGCGGATAAACTAATGAGAAATGTGCTTAGGACTAAATGAAAACTAGTCTCACATTGCCTCTATATGTGACGGCATTTCTATTGTGCGATTTTTCTTTGCCAATAAGAAAGGTACGACACCAATTGACCTATCTAAAATTGATTGCCCCAGTAAAGGATTCATCCTCGGTGTCCATGTCTGTCGGTGCATATAAGTTAATTATAATTTTTGCTTGTCTATTATAGTCCAAATGTAGGCCACAAGGAGACTGGACCAAAGCATGCTTGTTTATCAATTCGAAAACGTATTTGTCAACCCCATGCAAACTATGATTTGAGACTGATCGTATTTGATTGACTGGTGACCAGGTGGAATGTCGAACTCCACAAACAGGCTGTATTACTTGCCGATGATCGACATTCCCATTCCATGAAAAGAAGCCAATGAAGAGAACGAAGTTTCTCTATTTCGAACAAGTTCACTCCAGCATGAGATCCCTCAGCAGATATACAAGCCGCGACATTGAGCCTCCCCAAGGGAGTGCATCCGAGACTCGTGTTGCTTTCATCATGTCACTTGTGCGGAGGAGGTCCCCTATTACATTTCTGAAGACGGATATGACACGGTCAAGCCAGACCTCAATAATTCTATCAGACCAAGAGAATCCCACTTCCAGACGACCATCTCCCCCAACAACTAATGTAACCGACACATTAGCTCCAAGTTTAATGCTCCCGTTCCGGAAATGAACGTTCCCAACTCACCAACATAGCTGCTCTTGGGAATCGGACTGCTTGTGATCCCGAAAATCTCCCATGTTAGACACCAACAAGTTAATATCTTCAGCCTCTCCCGCCGAGTCTCTTATATCAGCCTTGTTGTGACTTTTTCTGCCTCGAGCAGAATCCATCTTAACTTTGCTTTTCTTTCGAGCAAGCTCTGCCTTGGTACCTGAGTGTATATGCTGAGCCTCGCACCAAACAGAAGCTGTCGTGATCTCCTGCCTTGTATGGATTTCACGATGTGCAAAGCCGGGCATGTTGTTGGACTCTGCGATAGTCCCGCCAAAGGATTGGAACTCTTGGGGTGACATGCGGCCCTCGGCATGGAGAATGGTAATTTCCGAGGGCAAGTTGGCAAACAATGACGCCACGAGAGCTGCTTGTATGATCCCGGTAAGACTTGTCTTACTGGAGGAGGAAACGTCTAGAAGACGGGTGGTTTCCTCCGCTCCAAATGTTAAAGTTTTGAGCCGAGCTTGACTTGTGAGGGCTCCGGTGTGCGATTTTGACATCTTAGACAAAGATTGTATTGAGCTTAGATGACTGTGGTGCTTCGGTTGCTGATTCGATGGGTTTACCTCGTTGGTAAGTGACAATGCAGCCAAGAATGATCGATGAAAGGCCAATCCCTCACAAAACCATTCTTTGAAATGCTCATGCACCACAAAACAAACAATCATGTCGGACAAAGTGTCTTCGCTAGATGTATGTGCAATAAGCAGCCGCCAACCTTGGTCATAGGACTGCTGAAGCCCCAGGCTCTGTTGTTGCTCTAGCAGCGCGTCCACCTCTTCATCTCGACCATGCTGCAGATGAACAAAATGTATTCTGCTTTTCAGGATTGGTCCCAGGGTTCGATACTGTAACGAAACTCGAGATACAGTCTCGTAGATCATACGGTCCAGTCTTTTGAGCGGAAAACTCGCAGAATAGTGATAGTGAACGGCGGTGACGACATTGCCAGAATAGTTGAGCGGATTAGGGGCTGTGCCTTCAGCTGAGCTCAGTGGATTAGAATCCTCATGATGAGATCAGATACAGTCAGACTACTCACCTCGTCGGCGCTTTCCATTGCGTGGACACCAAAGAATGACGGTCACCAGGTGCAACCCAGTTACCAATTGCAACCTTGGCAGCAAGCCCAAGTCGTCAAGATTTCCCTAGACGGGAGTTTATTGGAGTACATGAAACTTCTGCGCCACTGGCTGGCTCTACTTCTCGCACGCACCAGGGAACATGTCGGGCAACAAATATTCAGATGTCGTTTAGACAAGTCAATACATTCGATACAAATATTACATACCAGTGTTTTTTAAAAGATACAAGTACAGTGGTATGTAATAATGTAACATACACACATCGAAATCTTACTAGCTGTATCACCCTCACCAGAACCAAAAAAAACACTCTACAAATTACCAGTATTGCAATGTTGCAACCCGTGAGGTTGTCCGGTTTAATAAGCCAGGCGCCTACCTAACCCAAACCCCTCCAACTGTTTTGTAGTTGCTTGTGATCTAGCAATTCTCCTAGTTTCAGCTCCTGAGTTGGTGAAATCCCAATGTCCGTCTTGAGCACGCTTGGAGTGGACGATGGCTATACGCAGTATGCTATCCTCGCTGCCGGGATTTTTATTCATCAATTTGAAATCACTTCCTTTTGTGTGGCATGTAAGTAGGAGCAGGGCTCTCTAGTTTGTTTTCATTGGCTAATACGTACTTCTATGTATGTTTAGTTGCGAGTGATCAAAGGTCTCTTCACCCAATTCCTAGGAACTCGACTCCTTGCCCGCCAAATTGACACCAATGGAGTACTCCTCGAAGATCGATCTGGGGGTATACCTCTCATCTTCTCCTACATGGTGACCTCGCATCAGAACGCTCTCATGGAATGCGACTACAACTGCACAAGTCAAACAGTACGTTCTTCTCCGGCATGGACATCAATCGCGCCCAACTTCTCTTGAACTTGTTTCCTCGTCTTCCACGCTGGGCACCTGAGATCGGGACAGATATACCGGATGCCAAGAAGGTTGAAAGAATTGCCAGCGTTGCACTTGGTGGCACATCCTGTGTCTTCAAGCGAGAAATTAAACCCCTTCAGCGATACGAAATCTGGTCACGGGTCTTATCTTGGGACGCTAAATGGCTTGTGCTGGTTACCTACTTTGTCAAAGCAGGAACGCATAAGCGTGTGATGCGGAGCTTGCGAACGGGAGAAGAAAACCAGGACGGATCAGAAGCTCAGAAGGCGATCCTTGCCGTGGGTGTGAATGTGTTCAAGGATGGCCGGCGGACGGCCCCTCCCCAGGAGGGTTTGAAGCATATGGGTCTGTATCCTTCCATCACCACGGAAGGAGACGGCCACGGTATCTATTCCAGCTTGAGACAACCAGGGTCAGATGTGGTTGGGTTCTTCGGTTCATTGGATTCGCTGCCCTCCCAATTTGCCGATGCAAGTTCATCGATCCTGGGACACTACAGTGATTTATAGGAGGTATAATTAGAGTTCTGAGTTTATAGATGGATATCTCTTGGCGCGGTTTTGCTTTGTCAAAATTCGATTTGGATGTGATAGAATAATTGCTGGCTCAATGTCTCAAGTTCATGAGATCTCTAAATAGTCTGAAAGCGACTTCTCCCGAACGCCTCTTCTCCGTGTTTATTCCCAAAGGCGTATATGTCCGAGAAGACAAAGTGAAGAAAAAGACAAAAATATGTACAACCAAAAAGTGGGAATCATGGGAAAGAAAGAAACAAGAAAACTCGTGATAACGGACCAACGGCTATATCAGCGACCGGAAGAATATCTCGTGTCCCTGTAAGGCGACGAGTCGCGCTGGTGTAGTGGAACATCATCTCCATAGATGTCGTTATCGGGCAGCCTCTGCATATCCTTCTTCCCCTTGCCGCGCTTCCGGCAGGTTCGACAGCAACAGCCTCCACAGCAGCCGCAGCCGTTACAGCACAGAAGTCTCCCGATGCCACTGGAAGGCATCTTTGCATCTGGGCCCTGCAACACAGCACCAGGTGGCGCAAAGTTCCAGACAAGGATAGCGAAGGCCATAGGAATGCCGTCAAACACATACATGTACCATTCATGGTAAGGGATGGGATTATTTTCCCCATACCCGGATGAGAACTCAACCAAGCGATAGAAGATACGGACAGTAATAAACAGCAGACTGGCATAGAGAACGTAAAGAAGCTTCCGCCAGTTCTGCTTCTCGCCGAACAATCTACCAGCTCGATCGAGCTTCAGCATCAATCGATGGAATTGGAAGGCTAGCACCAAAAAGCAGAGGATGAAAAATTGTTGAATGCCGATACCAGCCATGTAGACGTGAATGCCGTTCATTTGCTGCTCCGATGTACCGGTGGCCATAAATCCTCCAATCATTTGGATAATGAAGGAGCCAAAGTCGAGGAAAACAAAGATCTTGGCCAGCAAGGAAGGTTTGAAAATGCCGATGCGACGCTCGGGGACGAAGAAATTGATCATCCGAGCCAAAACAATATAGTCAAAGGCATTGACCCATAATGGGGCCAAAAGGATGAACATCTGTGTGACGGTCGCGATGGTATTATCTTGTTGTTTGCGAGTGCTCAAGGCGCGGGTTCCATAGCCCACAGTCTCCCATGCGGCTCCCATGAGCACCACCCAGACAAAGCCCGCTTTGTAAATGGTTGCTTGCACGAAATGTGTCACTAGGATGAGCCCAAAAATCACGGTGGCGGCGATCGCAGCTTTGAAAGACGGGTAATATAGATATAAGGCGTTACACTCTGATGGCGGCACATAGCCATTTTTGTCGGGCGCTATAGTCGGCGTACATGTGTCGGAAGGTAGATCCAGACTCAATGTCAATTGGAACTCCGTTGCTGTCGTGGTTGTCGCTGTAGTGGCCTCCGCGTTTGTCGCCGACGTAGTTGTGGCCGCATCACGTCGGGCTACTCCAGCCTGAGGAACAGCTGTTTGGACTGGAGTTGCCCGGGCCATCATGGCCGACAGTAGCGGCAAAAACAATAATAAGAATCTCATTGTCGCAAAAGTGGTGCAATTGGAATAGAAAAGGAATGTATCCGGTCACACGAAAGTAAGAATGTAAAAGATGAAGAGTGTACTAAAAAGGAAGGATAGAAACAAAATACAGGCGATCGAGTTAGTTTAAATCAAAGTCTGACGCCTACTCAACATCCCTGCTATTGTGGTTGCCTGTATGAGAGGTGTAGCGACATATTAAAATTTGTTAAAAATAGCAAAAAGAGGCTAGATGAAACATATGTGTACAGTCTCTCTCAGTCGACAGACGAGCTAACTCAGTTAGGTATTCGCGCCAATACACCAAATACGGGCTTGCTTACGCCCAATCCACTCGTGGTGCGAGGAATAATACGCTATAGCTGCAAGTGAACTAAAAAACTGCTCACCCGCCCACTTTATTTGTTCAACAAAGCAAAGGAAAAGAAGGCAGCAACAATGTGTGATATTGCTGTGCAGGACGTCTTCGGTCCTACAGTTGACTCCAGTTGCCGAAATGGCTTTGATTACACTCTGCTGTTTGAAGAGTCATTCTTTAACATTCTTCCTTGTTCGCTGTTCCTGTTATGTCTGCCTCTGCAGCTGTATCGGAGTCGCACCCCTCCACTAACCCACCGGGGGCTTCTGTTCCCTGGGAAACTGGTATACCAACCTCCCCTGTCTGATCGTGCAGAACTGACTGGCATCTAGATTGCACATGTGTTATCGATCTGCGTAAAGATTACGCTATTGGTACTGGTGCTTCTTCCCCAGCTGCAGATCCCTAGAACACGGATCACAGTGGCAGCAGTGGCCCTAGATGCTGTTACTGCACTGTTGATGATTAGTGTATCCTATAGCCAGCATTACCACAGCCAAGAGCCAGCATAAGACGTTTCGTCTGATTACCATGCTTCGCGGTAGCATTGTCCCGCTCGTATATCGACACACAATGCGCTTGGATGCTGGTGTAGCACGGGACTCTGCTGCATTAACATTGATGAGCGTAGATGTTGAGCGTATCGGCTCTGGTCTGCAATATGTTCACGAAGTTTGGGCTAGTCCTATTGATATTGGTCTAGCCCTATGGTTGCTAGAGCGGCAGTTGGGTCTTGCCGTTGTTGCATTTGCATCTGTGTTCCTTTGTAAGCTAGCTGGGTGGCTTAAGCCAATCGAATGATGTTTACTGACAGCAAATACTTTTAGTCTGCACCATTGTCGGGCTTGGGGTAGCCAGTACCATGGGTGGACGACAGCAAAGGTGGCTCCAGGCTATTCAAAACCGCGTGCAGTCCACATCAGAGATGCTGAAAAACATGAAGGAGGTGAGACTAGGCGGATTGCAGACTCTGATGGCTGACAAGCTTCGGGGACTACGGACGGTAGAGGTTTCACAGTCAACGCCATTCAAACGAGCGTTGACTTTTGATAGTAACTTTGTGTCAGTGACCTGAAATCAAACATCACCATCTCTCCGAGGGCGACTTACTGACGATTAATAGCCTATACCACTACATCTACCGGCCCGCTCCTTGCCTTTACCATGTACAGTCTGTTGGCCAAAAGAAATGGCGCCGCAATGCTCAACTATGATAAGGCTTATACCGCTCTGTCACTTTTCGCTCTCTTACAGGCGCCTATGGCCTTGATACTGGATGCCATTGCAGGATTAGTATCTGCGTTGGGTGTCCTGGCTTGAATTGGCGAGTATTTGTCGAAACCTACGGGGACTTATAGTGAGACGTGTCGCCTTTCCCATGCTCCGGTCTCTCAGGTAGTCGAGTACCCAGTTCTTGACGAGAAGAGATCCCCGACCATGATTGTGGCACAGGGATACACCGCTGGATGGGAGCCCAAAGGACCCATGGTGATCAAGAACCTCAGCTTTAAGATCCGGCCTTCAAGTATCAACTTTGTGGTTGGCCCAGTTGCGTGTGGCAAGACAACATTGCTACTGGCCATACTCGGCGAAGTAAACCACCATGAAGGTCACCTGGAGGTGGCAGTCCCTCTGGTAGGCTACTGCAGCCAAACGCCATGGATAACCAATGGTACCATCCAAACGAAAATTCTGGGTACTAGTCTTTATGACCAACGGTGGTATGACAAAGTTGTCGAGATGTGTTTACTCAAAGACGACATCTCCAGTTTCCCCCGTGGGCATCAAGAATGGGTTGGAAACAGTGGCATGACTTTGAGCGGCGGCCAAAAGGCTCGATTGGTATGCAGCAGCCCCCAATTTGGGTACTATAAGCTCACTGAACTTTATCACAGGCCATTGCACGTGCTATCTACGCCAAGGAAAAGGTTCTTCTCCTCGATGATGTATTCAGCGGGCTGGATGGAAAGACAGAAGAAAGCTTGTTCCACAACTTGTTCGGCCCAGATGGGCTTTTGAAGGAGGGAGAGGTCACCGTCATCTTGGCCACCCATGCGGGTTAGTAGAGCTTGAAAGCTGAATTGACATGTACGAAATACTGACATCGACAGTCCAACGTCTCGTTTATGCGGACAATGTCGTTATTCTGGACTCAGAAGGGCACATTGCAGACGAGGGCACTACCAGTGAGGTAATTGCGACTGCGAAAGAAATGGCGTTTCGTCCATCGGCAGGGAAGAAAAGTGGTGAGCCGTCCGACAAAGTTGAAGATCTTACAAGGAATTTTTCCCGCCGAAGAAGCACCTAAGGGTGTGGATCGCCGGACTGGCAATACGGCAGTCTACAAATACTATATTCAGATTGTTCATCCCTTTAGCGCAGCGATATTTTTCCTTGCATGCTCTATTTTTGTCGTGGGACTAATACTGCCCCGTGAGTATCATCTATCTCAGTATTATTGTTGTACTAACAGGTCTCACATACAGAATTCCTGGTCAAATGGTGGCTGGCACGAAGTGATGAGTACACTGTTTCCCACATGGGGCAGTATCTCGGCGCATACGCGGGCCTATCCGCAATTGCAATCCTTGCGCTTCCTTTTGCAGTCTGGTATGCAGCAATTTTTATTTTATCATTGCTATTGTAAGATTGGATCTTCTGATTTGTATTATAGGCACCTTACTGAGCGAATGTTGCCCCGGGCCTCAATGCAATTCCATGCGTCTCTCCTAACCACCGTTCTTCATGCGCCATTGCAGTTCTTCTCGACAACTGATGTTGGCACAACTCTCAATCGCTTTGCTCAGGATCTCCAGTTGTCTGATATGGAACTACCACTGGCACTATTCAACAATTCAGTGGAATTGCTACTCTGTACAGCCCAGTTGATCATCATTGCAGTCTCTTCCAAATGGATTGGCATTGCCCTGCCGGCACTAATGGCAGTATTCTATCTGATTCAGAAATTTTATCTTCGAACCGCCCGGCAGCTTCGACTTCTGGATATCGAAGCCAAAGCACCTCTGTTTTCCACTTTTCTCGAGCTGATTGCTGGCCTTACAACCATCCGAGCATTTGGTTGGCAGACTGACTTTGATAATCGTAATCGCGAGGTGTTCGATCGCTCCCAAAACCCGTTCTACTTGCTTTACTGTGTACAGCGCTGGTTGAACCTCGTTCTTGATTTGGTGGTTGCAGCAGTGGCTATCATGGTTGTGACTATTGGTGTGCAAACCCAGGGACAAGTTGATGCCGGTTTCATGGGAATTGCTCTTGTGAACATCGTGCAATTGAGTATCAGTATCAAAGCATTCCTTTCGAACTGGACCCAGCTGGAAATCTCCATTGGTGCGGTCTCTCGCGTTCGAGCATTTGTTTTGGATGCACCATCATCAGGTTCAGATGAGGCAGGAGGTGATCTTCCTGTAGGGTGGCCCCAGAGGGGGCAGATCGAATTCCAGAATGTGACTGCGCAATATGAAGGCTCCTCCCAGCAAGTGATTCGAAATCTTAACCTGTTGATTGCACCAGGGGAGAAGGTTGCTCTTTGTGGACCGAGTGGAAGGTGAATACAGTATTTGATTTCTTGAGAAGTGTATTTGGCTAATTCATTGCGTGTCTTACAGTGGCAAATCATCCATTGCTTCCAGTCTCTTCCGTCTTCTCACACCTAGCGAGGGCACAATTACCATTGACAATGTCGACATCTCTACGGTAGCTCGCGACGCACTATACACTCGCTTAATATGCGTGACAAAATCACCTCATCTAATTTCTGGCTCGATCCGAGAGAATGTTGACCCTTTTAAAGCAACAAGGGATGATCAAACAATCGAACTGGCACTTAAGGAGGTGCATCTTTGGGACACAGTAGTCTCCCGAGGCGGTATCCATGCCCAACTCTCGGAAGGCCTCTTCAGTGTCGGGTAGCAGCAATTATTGTGTCTAGCCCGCGCCATGATTCGTCCAGGCTCAGTGGTGGTGTTGGACGAAGTCACAGCCACGGTGGATCGGGAAACTGACCGCCAGATGCAGGAAATTATTCGCCGTCACTTTGCATCTCGAACAGTGATTACGATTGCGCATCGCATTTCCACCATTCTGGATGCAGATCGCGTCGCCGTGGTCTCTGACGGAGTCATTATTGAGTTGGACCCCCCAGCGGAACTATTGGCTCGTGAGCCTCGCAGTCTGTTCCGTGACCTCTTCGAGGCTACGACGGCATCCAACCAATCTTGTGAGACACTGCTCGAGGTGCAGTAGCTGTTTTGATTGGCCATACCCGCTTTCTATGCAGCTCCGTCGGTTGCGCGTTTCCATTTGTCACGGAAAATGGCCATGCATGTTGCCTAGATCAAGAGGTATCCTTCAGATCTTAATATGATATATTAATGGCCAACAAAACAAGAAGAAATATAGACGATGGCACCATTGCAACGTCAATTAAGCCAATAAAGGGATGTCAGCACTAAGGTTGGCGCCACTTACCACTACTGCAGGTAAACAAGGATCTCCGGACTGCCCCTGATGATCAAACCCCGGTATTGTGTATGGTACAGTTACTCCTAGTATTACGTACTATATACTCCGTATAGAGCAGGGGGACTTTGTATGCTACGGAAAAACATCCAAAAAGACTGATTTGGTCAAATTACACAGTAATACTGCGACATACCCCGTAAGGAATCCACAGGGTTACTTACTTGTTACCATTCTTACCATGTGCGTATACACCAATGCAACTCTGACTGTATTTAAAACACCAACGAAGGCATACAATACAGTTGCCTACGCTAATGACCGCATACTCCGAAACAAAGAACCATCTACTCCACCCCGGTCCGATCCACTGCTAAGCCTCATCGCTTTTTCAAACTGTGTTTCTCCAAGTACGCATTGGGCAAGCGTCGGGTCCGGCTCCGTAACATATCTGCTCGCTGTTCTAGGCTCATCTTTCTTTGTTCCGGACCAATAGGGACCATGCACCTGGCCAGGTGCAAATAGTCCTTTTGTAGCAATTTCACGGTCAGCATCATGTAATCCACATTTCGAAAGACCAGCGCCCGTTCGTCCGAATAGCGTTCTTGGTCCCGCAGGAGCGCTAGTGGATGTTCCCTCCAATGGCGACGAGGATGGAGATGGTGAGAGGTGTGGTATCCGTCGTTGAAGCAGAATCGATTACTCTGGAAAGGGGTCAGTAAGGCCATGTTGTCTGAAGTTGGTGGTGTGGACATACAGCTACATCGATCAAGGTCACACTAGATCGGAAATCGGATGATGGATCGCTGGGATCCACAAATGCGTGCTGGCCCCAATTTCCAGCCATCAGTCCCGCACGAAGTGTCAGGAGTGGTAAAACAAAGACGCAAAATGTGGCCTGCGCATGGCAATGCTTATACAAGAAAGCAATGGCGATGTAATTGCTGAATTCCCAGAAAGCAGTCCTGAAGGCAGTGGAGTATTGCCCCTTCCCTAAGAAATACAGAGGAAGATCCAGCCAAATGAGAAAGAAAAAGCGACCAACATAACGCGCAAAGTCGACGATCGAGTCTCGATCATACCACATGGTTGAGTTGAGATCTCGGGGTCCGTTGCCTTCAACATGGTGCATCTTCACATGGTGATAATAGTACGAATTCCATGTGTGGCCCACGAAGGGATCGACAACATATGGAAAGAGCGTGTCGATCAAACGATATTTAGGAGCCAAGACGCCTTTCATATGGACATATTGATGTTTCATGAGTGTATAGCTGCCAGCATACCAGACGTGCACTATCCAGTGAAGGAGGCCATGGATCCAGGTAAAGTTGTAGAAGAGATATAGCGCACTGGGAACCGAGGTTGTCAAGTAAAGTAGAAGATGTGTGATCATCACAACATCGGCTGGAAAACGTGCGACCCCTTGAGCCCAGCGGATATATGGCTCCAAAAGGTACTGTCGGATGGAACGAGGCAGCTTCCGCCGGAGGAGGTTTGTCTCCCAGAATTGAAAGACCGTTGGATCAAAGCCTGGGTCTGTGACATCGTTCAGAGCCTTCAGCTTCTTGATGGCGTCTTTGCTGTTGCTGTGCTCCTGAGGGCGATTATTTTGCCTGAGTAGCTCTTTTGCCACCAAAAGATCCGGTGTAGTCAATTGAGGATCCAGGGGGAGATCCATGGTCAGACGTAGGCAATTGGGGAGACGATGAAGATCTTTCTGATAGATTCTTCATTCCATACTGCCCGAGACTATATATACCCAGAGACATAGTGTATCGAACTGTGTCGATCTAGGTAATAAAGAGCACTAGATCGAGAACTCTTTAGGCAGTCAACTTTTAGCGATGTTGTACACTACACGGTCCAAAATTAGACTTATTGTTGTAGGTAGATATGTTTCAGGTCAATCTTAGCTTTTATGCCGCAGGTCAAACTTTGGGACTGGAACTCTGAGGCCTGATATTGAACTCACCACGAAAGATGAGTGAAAGTGCGGGTACGAGATACTAGAATTGGAGTGGTGTGGATGTATGTTTTCGAGAGCAAAGCTTGGCGTCACATTGGACAACATACGTCAAAAACAGGCTTGCTTCTCCCCTTGAAATTTAACTGCGATTTGATTTTTCGGTAAATATTATCGCCCAATCGGTGTATTTAAAGTTATCTACAAGTAATGATGCCAAGGCAGCCAAAAGAGGGTTAGAATCGCCGCCCGAAAGATCGCCGGAGAGATCATTTCAAAAGCAGAACAAATAAATGCATATTTATGAGCGAGGCGATCGATCTTGAATATTTTTTTGTTGCAATTGAGAATGAAGGGCAGGAAAGCCAATTTGACGAAACGCATACATTGATTTCGAATAAAAGTAGACAATAAAAAGGAACACAACAAAAATAATGTGAACTGCCTCCGGTGAACGCCTAGAAAATCATACTAGCTAGGCAAAAAAGGGAGATCAACGACGCGCCTGAATCAAGGTATTCAGCATTCCACGAACGGACGAATGATCCCAGAGATCTTCCACCGTAATCTGGTAGTCTTGGCGTTGCCAAAACGCGGCCAACAGTGTGATTGAGACCTGGTCACCACCGACAGCAAAGAAGTCTGATTCTAAGTCCAAGGACAGATCGAGACTTCCCAAAACTTCCCGCCAGCTGTCATATATGACAGATAACAAGCTAGGGTCCACAGGTGTGATTTTATCGGTGCAATCAACTGTAGAGTGTCCATTCACGCCGTTAGACATTGATGCACTCTGCAAGGGCAGAATAGACTCAGAGTAAATGAACTGCGACACCGGCATTTGCGCGTGTTTGTAGTCAGAGATAGCCTGAATCGTGACACAGAGACGATCCAAAAGACTAGTTGCAATGACTTCGACAACAGAGCGCGACGAGGTGATGAAAAGAATGCCAATCTCGTTGTTATCCAAGGGAGTAGCCTTGATAGCAATGTCTGCCTCATCCGCCGCAGGACAGAAGTCACCAATACGGTAGCTCTGTTTGTTGAGAGTCACCGTCGTGTCTTGTTCAATATTCTGATGTTGCACAATACTGCTCATGCGAGTAGAAGATTGCCAGGGGCTGCACTTTTGAACAATTGTGCGGGTTCCTAGTGACTCGTAGGCCATGTGAGAAATATGTTGAGCTTGCATGGCTTCTGAAGGCGGCTCAGAGTCGCGGTGCGATCAATCATGACACGAGTCGGAAGGAGGTTTAGGCAGGGGCAATGACCTGATCTATGTTGGCTTGAGGTAGGTTGCGCCCGGAAACAACATGACCAAAGACAACGTCCGAACGGTCGGAGCACGATGAGAGGACAAGAGCCCAGGCAGTCTTTAGGATGGTGGCGAAAGTAAATACCGAGCCACCCTGTGAGGCAATGGTGATGGTTCGGGTCAAGTGCAAATCGTACACTTTCTGGTATTGCGGGGCTGGGTGAGCGACGATGTCTGTCATGGTAGAGTTTGACGAAAAATTCCGCCAGTATGTGTGGGCATCTGGGCTAGCAGGATAGATACCGGCGATAAAGTGAGAGAATGGAACCTCTGGAGCAGGCGTGCGACCGGAGAATGCATCTTGGAAACTCTGCCAGATGCGCGGCAGACAGACACCCTCATATTGCGCATGTGAGACTCGGAGAATGAGTCGATGATGGTTTTGATTGCTAACAACTGACAATTGGGTGAGTACACTGCCCAAGGGCAGGTTCGAGTTGACGTCCTCTTTGCATAAATTTAGACAGAAGGATTCAATCTCTTCGTCTATCTGATACCAGGCGACCTGTTGCAAGATGTCTTTGAGTACTACCTGGTAGAAGCGATCTCCATAGGCAGCGAATACAGTCCGGAGGATCCCGTGGGCTTCAAGGAAAAGAGCCCATGCGTTCTGAACATGGGCAAGGGTCCATGGGACCTCACCATCGCTATCGAGGAAAAGATAATTGACCAAACCACAAACCTTGAGCATAGAATGGGCAATTGCAGAGGATTGGAAGTCCGATGCTGGAAGAATGTCCTCGATATTTTCAGTGGGTGTATTCGCAACCAAGGCTACCAATGGAAGCACATTGGCTATGTCGTCGATGAAAGAGAATGGAGTATACGGCAAAGAAGTCTTTTCCGTAAGGTCTTTCCCTGATTTCAGAGAGATAACAATGGCCATTTCCTCCAGTACTGGAGCCTGAAAGATGTCTTGAACTGTCAGAGTCAGACCGGCAGATCGGGCATGACTAGTGAGTTTCATCGCGCTGATTGAATCGCCTCCAGAGCGCAAGAAATGGTGATTTTTGCCCAAAGTATCCTCTTCAATATGCAAGACTTTGGCCCATAAAGCACGGAGCTGCAGTTCCATTGGCGTGGTTGGTTCCAGCTTGACACTGCTTGCCAAAGAAAAGGCCAGATTATCTTCCCTCGAGAAAGAAGTAACCAGTTCGCGCAGTTGACGACGGTCGGATTTGCCATTCATAGTCAATGGCACTCGAGATAGAGGAATGAACGTGGATGGGATCATGTACGACGGGAGCTGCTGACTGAGGGTTTGTTGCAGCACAGCCAGCTCATCACGCAAGTCGGTAGACATGTCCTTGATCTCGACAGGACCACTACGATTGCTGTAATGAAGGAAAGCCACCACAACTTGCCGCTGATGGGTGGGATCTTGCACAGCGTCTACACTAACGTGGGCAAGGGTAGGCATTGCAAGTCGAATGGCATGCTCGATCTCACCAAGCTCCACGCGCTGACCACGGACCTTGACCTGAGTGTCTTTGCGTCCAACGAATCGAATGGTTCCGTCTTCGTTGACTCTGACCAGATCGCCGGTACGATAGAACCGGGAATCTTGGCGGATTGCCCACACAGGGCTCGTGATAAATGCTTTGGCTGTCTTCTCAACATCGTGAAGATATTCACGCGCAAGCGTTGGGCCTTCAAGAAGAAGTTCTCCAACGCAGCCTAGGGGCGTCAGGCGGTTGGGATCCTGAGGATCAGCTATCCAGTAGAGGGCTCCGATAGATTCACCCAAGTTGGCCGGGTCACTGTTGATAGTAGCTGGGGGAGCACCGCTGCAGTACACACTGCATTCTGCGGGACCGTAGCAGATGCGCAGATCAAGCACATTATGCCACTTGGCAATGGTATCGCGCGTAGATGCCTCGCCCCCGAGAACCAGCATTTTCAGTGAGGGTATAGTGTCTTTTTCAAGTAGAGCTGCAACTGTTGGCGTCAAGAAAGCCCAATTGCATTGGAACTTGCTGATAGCCCCAGACAGATCGTTCATACGTTGTTCATCCGATGGGACACAGATACACCCACCGCGTTGCAATGTTGTGAAGATATCAGCACAGCTCACGTCAAAGGTACTGGCTGCGAACTGCATTAACCTTGTCCCGGGGCCGATATCCCATCGTGTTCCATGAGCCTTTGAGCTTGAGCAAAGAGAGCCATGAGAAATAATGATTCCCTTTGGCTTGCCGGTCGAGCCTGATGTAAAGACCACATACGCTGCATTCCGCGGGGTGAGGGATGGCAGATTGAGGCTTGACCAACCTGCAAGACTGTATATAAAGTCCTCTGTTACTGCCACTGTCCGCAAAGGAACCGAGTTTGCAAGAATATTGGCATGACGGAAATTAGTCAGAAGGACTATTGCCTGGGCATCTTTGACGATTGTCTCAAGACGTGCTTGGGGATGGGCAGGATCAAGATTGACACAAGCGCCGCCGGCCTTCATGACGGCCATTTGTGCGACAACAGCCCATTTCGACTTATCGAAGCACATAGGAACCAGAGCTTCAGGAACAACCCCCAGGGAGACAAGATGGCGAGCAAGAGTCGTTGACAGCTGGTCAAGCTCTTCGTATGCCAGTTGACCGTTCCAAGCATCGACAGCCAATGCTTCCGGCCGCTGTGACACTTGGTCAGCGAAGATGGCTGGTACAGTTGACTCAACGCTTTCTGGATACTCTCGGTTCCATTCGATGATTTGCTGCAGATCCCTGTCACTGAAGAGCGCAACAGAAGCAATCGGAGCTTCTAGGCATTTTGCTTCGGTAATTTGCTCCAGAATATGCTCGAAATGGTGCATTATATTCTGCACACGCCAGTTTGAGAGAATATTCTCGTCATAGCGAGCTTCAATGATAACTTTGTCGTCCGCTACAAAACATTCGACAACCAGAGGATAGCTATCGAAGTCTTCAAGGGAAAGTTCGACCTCTTCCACACCCGGTAGAAGGTCTCCAGTAGAATTGGAGTCTGAAATGGGCTAGATGACAAACTAGTAATATCGTACTACTGAATACATATCGTGTTAGTTATCCACAAGATCCGCATCATCAACAAACTTACCTCTGTGGGATCGAGTCCCTCGAGATATGTCATCTGCAAATCACCCATCACCAGTCTTCCGACATCACGACGCTGGAAACTGACGACTGTGTTGAACAGTTGCTTGCCTGTCACTCCCAATGCATGGTGAAACTCGGCTAACCTGACGTGCTGGTATGGAAGCATGTTCAAATATTCATGGTGCAAATGTTGGAGCGTAGCAATGACGGAATTGTTGCCAACCTGTGCTAGGTTTGTCGCACAAACCAGCATATTGATGAAAAGGCCTACTGCGCTCTCCAATCCTTTGACTGGGATCTCTCTTCCTGCCGTGAGATAACCAAAGCAGACCTGGTCTTCGCCCGAATACGCTTGAAGGACCAGGGACCATGCCAAGCGAATTACATTGGCTAGTGTTATATTGTTCGTTTGACAGAAAGCACGAAACTTGCCATTGTCTGGCACAGGTACAACGACAGTCTTAATTTCCTCTTCCATCGTGCTGGAGACCAGCGAGGGGAAATGACAAGGCTTGACATCGTGAAGGTACTTTGACCAGAATACTAGCCCTTCTGCAGCCGACTGCGATTGAATGAAGGTAACATAGTCACTGTATGGAATGGCTGGTAGGACTGAGAGCTGATTGCTGTATGCAGAGACGAGATCATGGATCAGTACCGACATCGCAGTTCCATCCATCAGAGCATGGCTTATGTCAAGCCGGAAATAGAGGGATCCTTCATCACATTTTACTACGACCGGGCGATGGGGAGGTCTAGTCGTCGATGGTTCCAGGTGATCATAGCGCTGAAGAAGCTCAATAGTCCGGTCATCCGACTCGGCTTGGAGAATTTGAGAAGCTGCGCGGTGGCTGCGAAGAACCATTTGATCAAACGGTCGCTGTTAAATTCCTTTGAGGAACACAGTCCGTAGAATTGTGTGGCGTTCAATAAGTTGCTGCCATGCGGAAGACAGACGCCGAGCGTCCAGAGGAACGGCCTCGCATGAGTCAATCCGCATGATGGCGTGATAGAGATAAGCATCCCCAAGACGAAGTTGGCTGAGTAAGATACCCTCTTGAATACCGGGGAACATGGCTCGACCTCTTCCCATGGGGTTGGCGGAGTCGATGCCGGCGAAACTGAGACTGATGCAGACCATTGGCACCGCATGGCTTCAGGCTGTTGTGCATCCATTGGAAGTATAAATGGGGCTCTGGAATTGAAAAAAGAGAGAATGGCCAAAGGAAGTGATATTGTGAGAGATTTCGTGCGATCCAGTGCAACTTACCACCGCAGCAGGGCGAAATGGGCAAGGATATGTCTCACTGTGCATGGGTCTGGGTCTCCGGCTCCTCCAGCTTGATTGCTCACCCAGCACGCTGGTGCAGAGCTGGAAATACTAAATTCAAAATTTCTGCCCCCATCTCACTTTGTTCCTGTCTGATGCCGTTTCTCCTGTCGTTCGCACGCATGTCCTGTAATTCGTATAATTGTATCTTTCATGTAAATGTGTACTAATGTAATATACGAAATACACTCGGTCATCAATTTGTAAGTATCCATGTGTATGGTAAAAAAGAACTCATACCAATACTAGATATACTTCATAATTTCTGGTTTTCTTTTCCTTTTCTGGTATTAATGTATATTTGGATTCATCGGAGCTGGATCATATAACGTGCGAAAGTTTTCAGCCTCAAGCTGCACAGCCCGAAGGTATTAGACTGGTGGAATTACCAACAATGCAGAGTCTCCATTGAACAGGCGCAGAGAGCACTCGCACGCCATGTAATATTAATCGGTCGACCGAGCAAATTCCGTCTTCTAGCTCATCAATTTTGATTCAACGATGTAACATTGGCCGGGGCTGTGCATCATCAGAATGGACCAGCGCAAATATCTTCATGACTTCCAGACCGAGCTAACGCCGAGCAGGTGAATATACGCGAACATAGGCAGCCGGTTCCGCAATAGGAAAAAGAACCAGCAACAACCATATAGACGCACAGCTTTACCTTTCTATTGTTAATTGTAACTATAATCGGCATCTTTGTCGTCTTCACATTTCTGAGCCTCTTTATTCCTCGTCCCATTCTGATTGACCAGGAAATTGTTCCAATGGCTGCTTTTCCCCCGTGCCCTCTCGTTTCCTTGGTATGTGTCTACTTGGTTCAACTCTGATCTCAGGTACCGGTGGTACTAACTGGTCCCCACATTGCAGAATGGAACAAGCTGGGTCTTGCTCCTATGGATGGTCCGTCCCTCAAATGTTTCTCCCTCTGCAGTCTCAACTGACTTAGATTCAAGTAAATGGCCATGTTGAATCGAAGTATTCAATCGCAACTGGAGAATGGTCAAAGCCTCACTTCGTGGAAGATCCGTTTATCAAGGTCCACGGCCTTGCACCGGGCCTCAATTACGGTAATTGCCAGATTGTGAAGGCCTTAAAATCAATAGCTAACACATTACATATAGGCCAACAAGCCTTTGAAGGCATGAAAGGTTTGAGTTTTCGCGTCCCACTTGTTTATTGTGTTGCTGAATCTCTCTTCCTTCAGCGTACCGCGACCCTGATGGCCAGATTCAAGTCTTTCGACTCAAGGATCATGCAGCCCGTCTAGCCCTCTCTTGCTCAACCATTGCCATTCCCACAATTCCGGAAGATGTTCTCCTGGCTAGCATCAACCTGGCGGTCGTCCGTAACGCCGAGTATGTCCCTCCTCATGAATCTGATGCCGCTTTATATATTCACCGCTAGTGTTTGGCTCCGACGCCTTCTTTGCTGTGTTTGCCGGTACCAGTTACCGGTTCTGTGTGTATGTGCAGCCTTATAAGGCGTATCACGGGGTCCAGCTCTTGCCTGCGCTTGTACTGGAAGATCTAGATCGTGCTGCACCTCAAGGCGTGGGCCACGTTAAGGTCGGAGGTAACTATGCGCCTGTGCTGAAGTGGTCCGATAAAGCCAGAGCCGAGGGATTTGCTATAACATTGCATCTCGACAGCCGAACACAATCGGAGATTGATGAGTTCAGTACTTCCGGATTTTTAGGACTGAAAAAGACTGGGGACTCATTCACGCTGATTGTTCCCAGCTCTCCATCTATTCTGAAGAGTGTGACCAGCACTTCGTGCGTGGAATTGGCACGTTCGTTTGGATGGGCCGTAGAGCTGCGACCGGTATGTTACATCTCTCTGACTGATATTTCTTCGCACTAAATTATGTCTTCTTTGCAGATTCCGTACCTTGAATTGCCACATTTTAAAGAAATTCTAGCCGCAGGAACAGCGGCGATAGTCGTTCCAATCAAATCAATCACCCGGAGATCTACCGGAGATGTTTTTACTTTTTCTGTAGATGGCCCTGGTGAGGCCTGCCAGCGTCTCTCAAAGGCGCTGTTAGCGGTGCAAAAGGGATTGGCTTCCAATGACGGTGACTGGCTTTGACCCGTGGCGCCGGTGGCCGATGCTGAGGAATGAGATCGGTGGTAATAGTGCTCAAGCCTTTCGCGTACATGCTTCGCGCTAGTGAGGGAATCAATTTAAAGAAGTCATGAAATTATGCTTGTGTGTTTGTGCCACAGTAAGCTGCAAACACTGCACTCTGCATACTTTTGTGCAAAGCCAGGTTAGAGCACGTACAACAGGGGTCATAAATTTGTCCACGGCGCTATTAAGTATTGCATAAGTTTTTTGCAGAACCCTCGAAGTGAGTTTGCTATTTCATGGATTATTTGTAGTCTAGGTTAGCTTCCATTTTCCCGCATCTTTCTTGCCTATTTCCAATTTCCCTGTGCAAGCCATTGAGATAATAACGCACAGGCGTGAAAGGGCTTGTGGCCACTGCTGTAGTCATTCTCCCGCAAGACTTGAGGCAATTCGATATCATATGATCAGTAGGGAGTCTCGTCAGTGATTCGACATAAGCGGACCTTGCTTGATACAAAAAAATCAGCACCACACGTATTCCACAATAGAAGAAGAGGGAGTCAGACTACACTTGCGGGCGGCCCGCTAGCGCTATTCTTGGCTTTTTGGCCCAATGCTCCGGCATTTATTCGGAATCACTCCGGATCCCCGAAGGATCCACTGTGGCTTATACGCTGAAGCACTGGTAAGACGACCCTAGCTTGTTCAGGTAAAGGGGACTGTATCGGTACCAATACACAAATCTCGATACTCGATACCGATACCTAACAGTATTACAATTTTTCTCACGTACATAGTATACTGTACACATTTGTCTTGGAAACTTATCTGACCCGCTTACGCCAAATGACAATTTAGTGCTTTGCTATACACACAGGGAGGTCCACGGGGGGTTCCCAGGTGGAATAATTCAAATGGATTATAGATTAGTAGCCAGCCCTGAGCAGCATCCGGGCCCGTAGTCCACGTGTAAGCAGCAGATAGCCTGCAGCAAAAAAGAGGCTCTCCCGACGAACTCCAACCACAGGTTCCCTCAACGGTAGATTTCCAGTACAGCCTGTAGAGACAAGGCAAAGGAAAATTTGCGAAAATGAATGACTTCGATACAGAGCGAAAGCTCGCTCGCACGCTACTAATGGAGTTGATGGTGTGAGTAGTCCCACTTTGCCTGTAGAAAGAGTCGGCTAACCAGTAGATTGCCATACCAGATACCAACCATTATTCGACAAAACAAAAAAAACTGCTGCTAGTATGGCCTTCATCTCCAGCGGCCAAGGCGGACAGTACCCGCAGATGGGACAAGAATTGCTCGATGTATGCCCCGTGTACGCGAAGTCAATTGCTCGTGCTTCCCAACATCTGGCGGCAATCGGCTGTCCATGGGACATGGCGACCGAAATCACCAAGCACCCTGAAGGTTCTCAGATCGAGGAGGCAGAATTCTCATGTCCTATGACTGTAACTTTGCAGCTCGCCCTCATAGACACTTTTGCCGAGCTTGGGGTACATCCATCTTTTGCTTTGGGACATTCAAGCGCTGAACTTGCGGCTGCGTACTGCGCAAAGGCATTAACATTCGAAGATGCAGTTACTGTTGCATATCATACTGGACGTCTGATTAGTGACATGAAGAGGGAAAGGGGCGAGCTTGTCGGTAGCATGCTCGCAGTTGGCGCTTCCTACGACATGGTCAATGATTTTATGAAGCTTGCCTCCAATGCTGCCACGACTGGAGCAATCAAAATGGCTTGCATTAACAGTCCCACGAGTGTCACGGTTTCTGGAAATGACACTGCGATTTTCGACCTGCAGCAGAAATTGGAGCTTAGAAAGATTTTCAATCAAAAGATGCGAACAGGGGGCGCTGCATACCATTCGCATCAAATGGATCAGGTCGCAACCGAGCTCTTACAGAAGTTGCAAGGCATCAAGGGAAATCAGACTGATGCTTCTGTCACGACGATATCCTCCTTGACAGGGGAAGACACTGGGGAAACAGTCTTAGGGAAAGATTATTGGCTGCAAAACCTGACCTCGCCTGTCAAATTCATGGAGGCAGTTAAGACGCTGTGTCAGAGAGGTCTTAGTTCAGACCAAGTGGATCTGTTATCTTACCCATCAGACCTCCAGAATCTCCAGTGGACAAGCCCATAACATCTCCACCGTCTTCCGAACTGTGATTGCCTCCATTTTAGCCAGTCCACAAAGACTAATATCAGATGTGGACCTGATGAGCACTGAGAACAAACGCCGTATACAACAGTGGACAGCTAGCGTACCGCCTACCATCAATTCATGTATGCACCATGTCATATCGGAGCAAGCGCGAAATACACCAAATGCCCCTGCTCTTCATTCCTGGGAAGGTGACTACACATATGCCGAGCTGGATTTTGCCTCAACTTGGTTGGCAAGACACTTGGTTAGTTACGGGATAAAGCCGGACGACTGTGTTCCGCTGTGTTTTGAGAAGTCTCTCTACACTCCCATTGCATTGCTAGCTATTCTCAAATCTGGTGGAGCCTTCGTGCTGCTTGATCCTAAGCATCCAGCTGATCGTCTCAAGGGATTAATGAAAGATCTCAATGCAAGATTTATCATCGCATCGGAACGTACGCGGGACTACTGTGAAACTTTGATTGGAAATGTGGTTGTCGTATCGCCCGCAATTCTTGGCTCCTTGCCAGACGGCGATGATAGCCAAATCGAAATGACACCTGCGGTGACTCCCCGGAACATCATGTATGTTCAATTTACATCTGGATCGAGTGGAGTACCGAAGGGCGTGATCATTTCTCATTCCGCTGCATGCTCCTCGGTACATTACCACGGGTCTGTGATGGGATTGGGTCCAGCAAGTCGCACATTTCAATTTTCTTCTTACGTTTTCGACGCGGTCATTCTCGAGATCTTCACGACGCTCTATCACGGTGGTTGCGTTTGCATACCATCAGACGACGACCGAATGAGCCGCATGGCGGATACCATGCGAAATATGCATGTCAACATGATTTTTACGACCCCGACCGTAGCTCAACTATTCAAACCAGATGACGTACCCATGCTGAAGACCCTAATGGTTGGTGGTGAACTCGTCAACACTGGCACCGCTGAGATTTGGCGAAGAAAGGTGAATCTCTTTAATATCTATGGCCCCTGTGAATGTACGGTTTATTCTACATACAATGCTCTGAGTACCAACAACCCACGGCCAGAGGTGATTGGATGCCCCGTCGGCTCAGTGGTCTGGCTTGCGGATCCTAACAACCATGACAAGTTGGTCCCAGTTGGTGCTGTGGGAGAACTGATAGTTCACGGGCCAATTGTGGGTAGGGGCTATCTCAATGATGTACAACGAACAGATGCAAGCTTCCTCTCGAACACCAGTTGGCTGTCGCAATATCATGGCAGTAGTGAGCATCGCCTCTACAAAACTGGCGACCTGGGTCGTCAAAACTCCGATGGTACTATCACCGTCATTGGGAGGAAGGATACGCAGTTCAAAATTTATGGACAACGCATCGAGTTCACCGAGATTGAACCCCACATCAAGGCTCAATTCCCAGGAGCCTTGCAGGTTGCCACTGATGTGGTGAGTCCAGCACACCTTGATGGGTGGCCATTACTTTCTGTTTTTATCAATTTGAATGGATTTGGCAGCCCAGCCCATGATGTGATTGGTAGTATTTTGTCCATGAAAGAAAGCTGTCGCGCAACAATGGTTGAGATCGAAACCGTTTTGACCAAGAATTTGCCGCCGTACATGATTCCCAAACTGTGGTTTCCTATTTCTCGAATGCCTTTGCCAACATCTGGAAAGACAGAACGCAAGTTATTAAGATCCTGGGGTGCTTCACTCTCAGAAGTACAGATTAGCCAATATGCTTTGAGCAATGGATCCAAAGCAGAGCCGTCGACTGAGATGAAACGCAAGCTAGCAAATCTCTGGCAACGAGTACTCAACGTTTCTTCTGCTAGTCGAGAAGGTAGCTTCTTCAGGCTCGGTGGTGACAGTATTTCTGCAATGCAACTTGCATCAGCAGCACACAAAGGGGGAATCCAACTTTCAGTTGCCGATGTCTTCCGCAATCCCAACCTTCTTGATATGGCAGCCAATATTTGCACATCGCAGACAAATGGAAAAGTTTTCGAATCTGAAATTGTGACGCCGTTCAGTCTTTTAAGGCCCGGGATAGACGGTTCGCGGTTCCTGAAGTCTGCTGCCAAGAAGGCCAACATTCATAGCGACTGGATTCAAGACGCGTACCCCTCCACACCTTTACAAGAGGGCATTATGGCATTGACGGCACGGGATGCGGGTTCCTATGGCTGGCAAGATGTTCTCGCAGTCCCTGCCTCCATTGGTTTGGGTCGATTCCGCGCAGCATGGCAAGCGGTAGTGGGTGAGCTAGACATCATGCGCACAAGAATGGTTGAAATGGATCACCACGGTACCTATCAAATTGTTGTCAAGCCAGAACATGGTTGCATTGACTGAAAGCATGCTGAGTTGTTGGAAGACCACCTGATCCAAGACAAGAAAATTCCGTTTGGCTACGGCGCACCTCTCTATCGGTTTTCCATCGTCACCCAAGGGTCCAAAATATACTCTGTCTCCAGCGCCCATCATGATATTTTAGATCGTTGGTCAATCTCTTTGATGATGGACCGCATAGCGTCTCACTATTTGTTGCAAAGGCTACCCCCTGCGCCGCCGTTCAGAGGCTTTATCAAATGGATGTGCTCTTGTGACCCGACAGGCTCCGATAGTTATTGGAGATCACGCTTTGAAAGTTCATCCGCTGTGGAATTCCCTCGCTCCGTGTTAGGCCACCGTTCTCGGGCCACAGTAGTTGCGAAGCACTCGATCCCTGTATCCCCCAAGAGGAGCTCCAGCAAATTCACCATTTCGGCCCTCCTCAGGGCAGCATGGGCTCTCACCATCAGCCAACATAGCGGCTCAGAAAATATTGTGGCACCACTAATTACCGTGGTACCTTTCAAAGTCGTGATTGGGAAGCAGAGCCTGATCGCCGAGTTTCTAAAGGGCATTCATCAAGACACTGTTGTCATGATTCCATACGAGCATGCTGGTCTTCAAAATATTGCGCAGCTCAATGTACAGTGCCGGTCCGCGTCCAAGTTTCAGAACTTGCTTGTGGTTCAGTCACAGCAGCATCAGCAACAGGGAAAGCTCCCGCTAAGCCTCGAACGTCTAGACGTGGTACAGAATGATGTTCTATCCTACGGAGTTGTCCTGGTGTGCGACCTCACTGAGAGTTCAGTCATGCTACAGGCTGCCTTTGACCCAAAAGTGATATCCCACACGATGATTGACATTTTGTTAGCGCAGTTCGGGCATTTTTTCCAGCAGCTACATAATCCCCAATACGCTCTCATGCCATTGAAAGATCTCCAATTGGTTGGAGAGCACGATTTGCGGCTACTGGTGGTTTGGAATCGACCACGTAGCGCTGAGCGGGTCGATAAATGCGCGCATGATTTGATACACAAGCGCACACTCGCCCAACCTGAGCCAGTGGCTATTGATTCAGCAGACGGCCAATTCACGTATGCTCAATTGGATCATCTTTCCACCAATCTTGCGTTCCATCTTCAAGAGTATCATCGGGCCGGCCCCGAGACCATCGTTCCTCTTTTCTTCCGCAAGTCAGCTTGGGCTATAGTTTGCATTCTCGCTATTACGAAGGCTGGTAGTGCTTTTGTCTTCCTGGATCCCGCACATCCAATGGACCGTCTGATGTACATTGCCGGTCAGATCCAAGCAGCCTTCATTATAACAACCCCAGAACTCTCGTACATGTGGGACAAAACAGTCCTTGAACCCCTTCGAATTACAGATAGCTTCACGAATGAGCTTCCCATACAGCAACAGCTACCGGTGACAAGTGTGGATCCACATAATATGCTTTATGTGATCTTTACATCCGGCTCGAGTGGATCGCCAAAAGCATGTGTAGTTTCACACGCATCTTTTCTCAGTGGTGCTGTTCAGCACATCCGACAGAGCAGGCTAATTCCAGCCGCTCGCATTCTTCAAGCAGCACCAAACACTTTTGATGTGAGTATACTGGAGACGTTGACAGGGCTTATCTCTGGTGCTTGTGTCTGTCTACCGAGAACAGAACATCAAAATCTCCCCGTTTCCCAGATCATCAACGATTTGAAAATCACCTGGAGCTTCCTCACCCCTTCGGTCGCCCGAACAATTAGCCCGAATGACTGCCCCAGCCTGAAAACTCTCATTCTTGGTGGTGAGTCACTCTCACGCGTGGACATCGAGACATGGGCCGGAAAGGTGCACCTATGTAATGGATACGGGCCCAGTGAATGTTCTGTGGCCTGCACAGCCAATATCAACATAACAGTCGGGACTGATCCAGCAAACATCGGAAGCACGATGTGCTGCAATGCTTGGGTGGTAGATTCGGAGAATTCGAATTCTCTCTTGCCGATTGGAGCAGTCGGAGAACTAGTGATCCAAGGTCCCGCTGTCTGCCGAGGATATCTGAATGAGCCAGATAAGACCAATGCTGTCTTTATCGATTCTCCTTCGTGGCTTAATCGTTTCGGTTCGAACTTTCGCTCAGAAAATCGAATGTATTTGACCGGAGATTTGGTCAGATATAACGATGATGGAACTTTGACGTTGGACGCAAAGACACTCAAGTTAAAATCCGTGGGCAGCGCATTGAGCTGGGCGATATTGAACATCACACATCTTCCCATCCATCTGTCAGACATGCTGCAGTTGAACTTCCAAGATCCGGCAGATATCAAGATAGCTTAGTTGCTGTACTCTCACTGCGTGAGGTAGGTTCACGCTCATCTGATGTGCCGGACGACACGCTTGTGCCGGTTTCTGGTGAACAACTGGATGCAGTCCGTCATTCCATTCCAGACATACGGCCGTATCTAAGTCAACATCTGCCACCCTACATGGTACCTAGTTCTTTCATCGTACTCGAAAGTCTCCACTTGCTGAGCTCGGGCAAAATCAACCGCCCTAAGATCAGAATGTGGCTGGAAAACATGAGTACCGACATGCAGGAACGGGTCTCGGCTCAAGCGGACAAGCCGGCCGCGCATACTGCATCTCTCATCCCTAATGATAAGACCACTGCTCTTCTTTTGAGCAAAAAAGTCACGCAGCTTATCACAAAGGATGATCAAGAATATACGGTGGCAATTCGCGACCGAGACATTGCATTGGCATCTACGGGTTGAACTCCATTAGTGCTGTCTCTCTTGCAGCCTTTATCAAAGAGGAATTTGATGTCAGGGTATCGATTGACAGCCTGCTAGAGGAATCCATGACAGTATGTGGAGTGGCTCGCATGGTTGATAGTGCTAGGGGTGAACCCACTGCTTTCAACGCGTCTTCGGCCTTGGATGTATCTGCGGAGATTGAAAAAGCAATTGCAGACTTTGATCAAAAAGCCATCTCAGGGCCACTGCCAGCTCTCCAGTTGCCTAGTCGGCAACATCCTGAGACAATCTTGTTGACTGGCGCCACTGGGTTCCTGGGAAGTCAAATCCTCAGGCAACTTTTGGAACTCTCTCATGTAAAACGAGTCGTTACCCTTGTGCGCGCACTAGATCACGGCCAAGCCACTGCTAGGGTGATTAGGTCTGCTCAGAAAAGCAAATGGTGGCGCGATGGTTACTCTTCGAAACTCTAAGTCTGGGTCGGCGACTTGTCACAGCCCGAGCTAGGGCTAAATGACGCCCAATGGGCAGTGCATTGAGGCTGCATTGAGGCTCAGCCAGGGTCAGCCTTTTCTATCGATGCTGTTGTCCACAATGGCGCCACTGTGCATTGGGGATACGACTACCAGGGACTTGAATCGGCCAATGTCACAAGCACCGTATCTCTCCTGGCCTCTCTCACTCGGTCGCCGAAACCACCACGTTTCACATTCATTTCAGGTGGTCAGGTGTTTTTGGGAGACGAAGAGAACCACAGTGAAGTGGTGGCGTTTGCTCGGGGGATGAAGACAGCCGGTGAATACGCCCAAACCAAGTACGTGGCCGATCAGGTCGTCAAGGAGTTTGCTCGGAGATACAACACATCAATTACAACTATTGTAAAACCGGGGTTGATTGTCGGAACCAAGGATCTCGGTGTATCAAACACCGATGATTTCTTGTGGCGAGTGGTGGCAAGTGTTATCGAAATTGATTCCTTCAACAGCACAGGACTAGACGGCCTCATCCTGGTTTCTGGTTCTCATCGGGTTGCTACCGCTATTTTGGCAGATACTCTTCGACCCCGGCCACATGGAAATAACGTTGAGACGACCATTCGATACGGAATCACTGTCGAAGAATTGTGGAACATGTTGCGCGATGACTTTGGCTACCAGCTAGAAGCTGTTGATAGCACAGAATGGCTGGCCCGGTTAAGAACCCAAGTGGAATTGAACGGCGAGAATCATCCTCTGTGGCCAGTTTTCCATCTGCTGGAAGCTACTGGTGGGCGCTTAGGCGTCCCTATGCCTGGCCATTTGCGGCAGGGTGAGCATGATGGCGAGGTGAAGGCTTCTCTTAGGAAGAGTATTGCCTACTTGAGGGGAATTGGGTACCTGCCAAGTGACAATACTGCCGATGGTTCCTTTGTGCAAAAAGACCTGGTCTTCGCTCGTGGAAGGACCCGTCCATAATCCTTGATTTATACCTTTGCGTTTCTTTATGCCTAAGCTATCTTATTTGGCCTTTTGTTCATTGAATTGATTGATTTATAATTTCTACATACCTCGATCGCCTCGGGCTGAGGTCAACAGGTTCTACGTGACCATGATCTAGCTTTCTTGAGTTTTACATAAATAATTTGGTTGTTGCAATTTGCTAAGCGCTGCTGCTGCATCAAGCTTGGAAGGTATACATCTCAAAGAAAGCTTAAAGTCAATCTGTGCGATACTGAGCTGTGATGAGGGTCATTCACGGCTGTATAAACTTGCATGGCTGGTCAAGTACTTATTGAACAACGTTCCTTATGAACACGAATTATGCGTACTTTACACAGGGCTTGGAATTGATCTAAGTTGCTTTGTATCAGGCTGGGTAGTAAATAAAAGTCAATGAGAATACTGATGAACTGGGAAGAGTGACCGGAGATCGAGACACCAGCGCAGCAGTCGGTTAGTACTTGCTGTGTTGGCGCTTGTCCCACTGGCACGAGTTTGGGAAAATGGGCCTTGGGTATCAAGCATGTTCGTAGGTTATAACAAGGCGGTTATATTTGTCTGTTCTGGGTTCTCCAATAGATAGTGGTGTTGATCTGGTGTAAAGCGGAAACATAGCAAGGGGAAATCGACAATATATTGTATAGCTTCTACACAGAATACTCGAGCATGATGGACTATTTGGAGTTAAGCTTTTTGTCTCTTCTTTGTCATTTTCTATTCCCCTCGCGAGAACTAAATCATATAAGAGTGGGGGCATCAAGGGATCATGTTCCTTATTGTACAGGTCTGATTCAATGTGAAATAGGGTATCATGTTTAACTATGGAAGACTTCAATCTCTCCAAATTGCAAACAGCCAGCTGCCTAGCACAAAGAGAGAAAGCAAAAAAAGCATGGCCAAAACCGGCTTAATGTAGAAGGTGGTGAACAGGTATGAATACTTTCGTCTGGCTCGTGTCCAAACGTCATGGTAAATATGTGCTAAACAGATAAAACCAGGTGATTCGTAGCAGTATATGTGCTCAGAAACCCCACGTATCTGCATAACGTATAACGATAAAAGTTGGAACGCCGGATATCAAATGCAGACCCCAAAATGCAAAGCGCAATCAGCGCATGTGCGCATCCATGGTCTTTCGCCAACGAGGACCGTAGATTCGCATGAGATAAATAACGGAGCTGCTCGCAAAGCCAACGATGCCAAGGATGGTAAAGAGCCAGCCGTTGCCGATGGCACCGATAATTGGGGCGGTGACAAGGGAGCCCACGCAGGAGAAGATGTTTCGCACGAAGTTGTTGAGGGCGACACCCTCGGAAGACTTCTTTGGCATGAATTCTGTTAGCATAGTTGTGACCATGCTGAAGATGAGCATGGAGCCCACGCCAAAGAAGAAGTTGGCGATCATCTATGAAAGAGCTGTAAGTGGGATTTCTGGGAAAGTCGACACTTAACATCGGGGGGACATACCGGAACCAGCCAGAAGACACCCTTCTCTGCCGCCCATCCATACCAGAGGAATGCTGCGGGGTATAAGAACGCACCAAGCCAGGCATTCTCGCGCATACGATCCTCGGGGCGAAGAATGAGTCTACCCTTTTCATCATAACGGTTTGCCTTCTTCGCCTCACGTTGCATGATCTTGTCTGTCCATTTTCCACCGAAGGTACTGGTTACCATGTATCCCAGAGAGTTCGGAATGTACAACAAGCCAACAATGATGGTTGAGAAGTTGTACGGTTCCTTGCCAAATGTTTCCTCGATGCTGACGTTCAGAACGTAGAGGGAGCCGAATGTGATACTAGCATAGTAGACAGTCAGAAGCACAGGAAGGAACCGTAGGTAGAGAATGATTTTGAGTGGGTCAATGAAGATCATCTTCAGCATCTTCAACCAGCGAGTAGTAGACCGAACGACCTGTCGTGACGACACACGGCTGAGCGGACGACTAATAGTTGGATCATCATTGTCGTCAAGTTCAGGCAACACTGGTTTCTGCGTCACCAAGGTTTCCGGAAGGGCGAAGAGGATGAAGATGAGAGTCACGGCACCAAAGGCTGCACTGAACCACATGGTACTGCGCCAACCCCAACGCTGTGCCAAGAGACCACCAATGATAGGTGCCAGCAAAGGGCCACAAAGCGGGCCCAGGTAGAAAATTCCCATGGCCCGTCCCCTTTCTCTTGGCTCCCAAAGATCAGCGATAGTACCAGCACCGACTGCCTGAACGGACGCAGAAGCACCACCACTCAGCATACGCATGACAATCAGCATGGCAATAGAGCTAGAAATGGCACAAAGGCAGTTGAAAATGGCGAATAGAGCGAAAGAAACTAGGTAGATTGTCCGTCGTCCGAGTCGCTCACTGAAAGAAGACCACCACAAGGGAAAGATCGCCATCGCCAGCATATACAGCGCAATCGTGAGGTTCGCAATCGTGGTGGTCGTATTTAGTTCTTTGGTTACTTGTGATAGCGATGCTGATCGATTGATTAGATATGATCCAGAAACAAAGTGGAGAAGACTTACGAAAAAAGATCGCGCTGCCCAACGGCGCAGTAGATCCAGCTAGAGCGACGATGAATGTAATGAACCATTTCATCTTCCGGGGGTATGTCTTTGGGTTCTCAATTTCTGCCACCAGGGCGAGTTGGCCGAACAATCCGCGACGCTTCAACCGGGCTACTTTGATAGCTGGACCGAGCTCTGTGGAGTGCCGTTGTAGACGAGGAAGTGCTTCCTCTGGGTCATCATCTGTTGGTCCATCACGAAAGCTAGATGTGTCCGATCGAGGGTGGGAGTCATGGTTGAATTCGGATTTGGCCTCGGCTGATAGAGTTGAATGTTCTCCACTACCCGCTGAAGATGTCGGCAAGGTCGAAGCAACGATGTTTTCTTTGTCGGAATGCTCATGCATATTGATAGTGTCCCGGTGGACAATACCGTGCAATTTACAGCAGGCCGGCAAGGCGATTCAAATCAGAATAACCTGGTGGCGAAGTCGGAGGCATAAACCAAAGGAGGAACAGAGTCCTGACGATCTTTTGTATGAAACGTCACAACCTGTGATCAACAGCTAGAAAGTCCAAGGAAAAATTTGGGTTAATGACTGGAGGAGAATCCAGATGCAAGACCGAAACAAGTCTAAGTAGACGAAAGAGCAAGAGCGTCCTTGCGACGTTGCAAGCCTTGAATGCGAATCTGATTCCTGACGTGGATCCTTCCCCTGATATGCGCCCGACTGAGTATCAGAAGTGCAAATCGATCAGGCGATGATGATCGACAGGTTCAAGTTGAAGTTTCTTGGCCAAAATCACCAAAAATGCCTTCGAGTCTGCATGCGGAGCAAAGTACAGTCGGATGACCGACGAGCACCGACAACGACCGAGCTAAATATGTACCTAGACATCCTGGGCTGGATTCTTATCCGTTCAGACTACAGACTCCATATTGCAATCATGGAAGGCCGTGGGGACCAGTCACCGTTGAGAGCTAGCGTGCCGTTCTTCCGTCGGCAAACATGAGGCGGACCATGCCGCCCTTGGAGAACCCCAGGTGCGAGAGATGCAGAGATGCAAAGATGCAGAGATGGCATCAGATAAAGTCGCAATAGACTCATTTTGGCTTTTGACAGCTATTGATTCAGTCCACTGATCAAGTGTCGAATATGCCCCTCCATCCCTAACCCCTCGCCCCGTGATAGCTTGACGGGGTTCAAGACAAGGGAGTATACAATTTTATACATCCCACAGCTTCATCCCACTTCCCACTGAAAATCACTGACAGTCACTGACAACAGAGATGCAAGGAGGTGATTAATAATCCTAAAAGACGGTGAACTCCAAATGTCGACTCGAAAGCTCCCATCTCCAACCCACTTATCCTCGAACCTCTCCCCGCACAAACACAACAGCTCAACATCTCACAACATGACCGCCCCAACACAAGCCAAAGACCCAAAGGAGATGCAGGAACATCTCGCCCAGCCCCAATTCAAGGGTGACAAATATGTCGAGGGCTGGGCGTCCCTCTGGGATAAGGGCGACAACCTTCCCTGGGATAAAGGCTTCCCCAACCCAGCTCTGGACGACACACTCGTGAAGCATCGGGGTACCATTGGCGGTCCCCTAGCTACAGATGCACAAGGCCAATCGTACAGACGCAAAGCTTTAGTTCCGGGTTGTGGGCGCGGGGTTGACGTGCTTCTCCTCGCGAGCTTTGGTTTTGACGCGTATGGCTTGGAGTATAGTGAATCGGCCATCGAAGCGTGTAAGAAGGAAGAGAAGGAGAATTCCAATTGGTATCGGGTTCGCGATCAGACTGTTGGAGCTGGGTCCGTGACTTGGCTTCAAGGTGATTTCTTCGATGACGCTTGGTTGCAGAAGGCTGGTGTTCCGTTGAATGGGTTTGACGTGGTTTATGATTATACAGTAAGTCCGTCCATTCGTTGAATTTGTTCTCGGTCTAACTGTAGTCTAGTTCTTCTGTGCCCTGTCGCCATCGATGCGTCCCAAGTGGGCTCTCCGTCATACCCAGCTTCTGGCTCCTTCGCCATTGGGTAACCTGATCTGTCTCGAGTTCCCCCGCCACAAGGATACTCAGGCTGCAGGTCCCCCATATGCTTCCCCCTCGGAGGCATATATGGCCCACCTGAGCCATCCAGGTGAAGATGTGCCCTACGACGCGAAGGGTGCCGTCAAGTACAACCCTCTGCAGCCTAGCAGCGCAGGAGGTCTGGAAAGAGTGGCATACTGGCAGCCGGAGCGCACCCACGAGATGGGCCAGGGTGAGAACGGAGTGATCCACGACCGAGTATCAATCTGGCGCCGTCGTAACTAGATCAACCGCAGACATCCAACCAAACAGAGTATAGAACCAGATCTGCGTGTGACAAACAACCACAACCAGACTGCGCCAAAAATACCGAGCGAAATGCAATGACATTATGAATTCCCTCGTAACCTACACCTGTTTTTTCAAGGCGTTATAGTGCTCCCCAAGGCCGTACGAATGTATATAATAGGCTAGCCAAAGAACCCTCTTCGCTTTCTCCGCCTCATCAAGACTATCCACATCATCATCCCCAGACTCAATCTTCTCCATTCGCCCATCACTCTGCACAATATTGATCTCAACTCCATACGCGCGCGCAATGGCCTGCAACTCCAAATGGCCACCCCACTCAGCGGTCAATTTAATCTTGCGCGTATAAGAATCAATCGACTCCTCCATGAACGCTTCGAAATCCTCCTTATGGTCGTTGATAAAGTCTGCCGTTACAGCGCGCACGGCTCTGTATCCGTCATGTTGCGGCGAGGCGACAGTTTCGATGCGCGATTGTGTTGAGGGTTGCAGGGTCATGCGACTTGGGTCGGGGCGTAGTCCTAGCCCTGAGTCGTCGAGTTGTTTCGCGATTGCTGAGTAGAGACAGTGCCCGTCTGGGGTTACTTCAATTTCTTTTAAGTTGAGCTTTTTGAAAGCCGCATCCATTACTTCTTGTTCGTTGCCGCGATAGTTGACTTGGGTTTTGGCTTCTTCTGCGGCTGCGGCTGAGGCTGCTTCTTGCTCTGCGACGCGTCGGGCGAGGCGTGCTTTTTGGCGGTTTGGCTTCTTGCCATTTGAGGGGGCGACGGGTTCGGGGGTAGGTTCGGGGGTTGGTGCTTTCTTTTGGGGAGTTTTGTCTTCGGTTGGCTCTTCGTCTGTTTGTTGGTCGTCTTCCAGGTTGAGGTCCTCGAGTCCTTCGACCGGATCGCAGTTTAGCTGGGCGATCTCGATCTTGTGTTTTTCAACCAGCTCCTGCTGCATTCGGTCGCATTCATCGTTGACGCCCTTGCGAGTTTTCTTGGTGGCGGACTTTTTCTTTTGGGTGATCTTTCCCTGAAGATCTTTTTGCTCTTTGCGGTGCTTGGACAGGAGTTCCTCCATGTTGAGAAATGGTAACAGAAAACAATAACTGAAAACAAGTCTATTGGGGTATATACAGTGACAATTGATGAAAACAAGAACAACTCGAGCCCCGCGAAACCCTGACATTCCTGCCCTAAGTAACGCCCTGAATAGGACTAGTGTGACTGTCGCGGCAAAACAATGTTCCAGTCCCGTGAGCCTCGGCTGATCGAGCTCGGTCTTCGGGTATGTCCAACAAGACCTACAAGTCCGTTGATATATTAAAGTAGCATTTGTTCTTTTGTACTGAATATATCTCAAGCAAAGCATATTAAGAATGGATTCTCAAAGTCTTTTCAACGTCAAGGTTAGATTACCTCGTACTCACAAGGTCTGCTCCGGCGACAACTAACATAGCATAGGGCAAGGTGGTGCTGGTCACCGGCGGAGCCAAGGGCATCGGTCGCATGATCTCAGAAGGCTATGTGACAAACGGCGCTACGGTCTATATTTCATCTCGGGACGCAAAGGCCTGTGAGCAAGCAGCCAGCGAGCTCAATGCTCTAGGCAAGGGCAAGGCCCACGCCATCCCGGCCAATTTCTACAAATATGAAGACGTGAAGAAGCTAGCCGAGGAGCTAGGCAAGCGCGAGAGCAGTAAGATACCTCATGACCAGGGGAAGTACGAACCCAAGCTAATATAATGCTTCCGCAGAACTCCATGTCCTGGTCAACAACTCTGGCTCGAATTGGGGTGCCCCGTACGACGAATATCCCTCCGAAGCCTTCACCCGAGTTCTCACTCTCAACCTGCACCGTGTCTTTGATCTCACTCAGCTAGTGACACCATTGCTTGAGAAGGCCTCCGCGCCCAATGATCCCGCCCGCATTATCAACATTGGCAGCATTGACGGACTTCGTGTTCCCTCGCTCGAGACATTCGCTTATAGTTCCAGCAAGGCCGGTCTACACCACCTCAGTCGCGTCCTTGCCAATCATCTCGGCAAGCGTAACGTCACCTCGAATACCCTGGCCTGTGGTCCCTTCGAGAGTAAGATGATGGCCGCCACACTCAAGTCTTTCGGCGAGTCTATCAAGGCTGGTGTGCCATTGGGCCGTATTGGAACACCGCAGGATGTTGCAGGGGCTTGCTTGTTCTTGAGTAGCCGTGCCGGAGCGTATATTAATGGCGCGACTATTCCGGTTGATGGCGGTAGCGCTATTGCCGCCAAGCTGTAGATAGTAGCTTGTGGCGTTATTCCTTTTTCTTTATTGCAGATAGTTTCTAAATAGGATTGTATATCTAGGTCCCATGACCACTTCAAATTCTCCTTTTTGGATACAGTAGATATTCCAATCCCACCTGATTCGTGGGGTGCATATCGGAATCGATTCCCTCACATTCCACTGCGTGGCCGGACGGCACATCGACCGCAGCCAGAGCCCCCTTAAAATTGAGACATTCCTAAACTGCATCCGGGGTAAGTCATAGATATTATATGTCAATAAAGAAGAAGGAAAAGGAGAAATTCATCAAGCTTCAGTGGAATTCTAGTCTTATCACCTTATCAGCGGCAAAAACAGTGGAGCGGCGACATCATCGGTCTTGCCGTCATTGTCCCACTTGCTCTGCCAGGTTCATCTGTTCATACTTGACATCTCTTTGTTTTCATCCTCAAATCTTGCATCTTACAACTACAGCCACAACTTACGATTACCGCTGTGAACACTGGACCGAGACATCACCCTGACTCTAATCCAGACCGCATATAACAGCCACAGCCCCCCCACCACATACCCTGTACGTGGCTGTTCTAAGCTTCCAGCTCGAGCCTCCAGCGGTGTAGACGCTTCCTTGCGTGACGCACAATCTCGGGTTTTGGCTTTTAGCTTTTGCCCTCATTTTCTATTACTTCGTTCACCATGAGCTCGCCAAATGACCGTCCCCGGACTGGCTCCGTCGATCCTTATGCCAATCCTGATGTTTATTACGGAACAGGAGACCAAGTTGATCGTTTCAAGTCTCGCAGACGCGCTTTCTCTGCTGTAAGTGACTGTTGCATACCCCGCGGAGGTACATCCAGCTTATCTCATTTATCAACAGAGCTTGAATAACTATACTCGTGACGATATCAATCAATTCTTCGGCAATATTCCTTCACGGCGCGGTAGTCACGGTATGTCGACCTTTTTTGGGGGGGGTGGGGCAGGATAATTGCGTTTGATTCAGCAGCTAAGTGTGAGTACAGATGAGGCGTCGGGACAACCTAGAAAATTCCTTATCCATGTGGATGAGACTCTCGAGGCGCTCCTGAAGCAGGAGGACACGGATAGTAATATGCAGATCACAATTGAGGACCTGGGACCTAAGGTGAGCACATCGGTCTTACCCACCAGGATAGTTGCTGACTGCTATAGGTACTCTCGGTCGGAACTGCGGCATCATCCGGATACAATCGAGTCGATGTGCGGGGCACATACATGCTCTCTAACCTTCTACAGGAGCTTACAATTGCTAAAGACTACGGTCGGAAGCGTCTCATTCTGGACGAAGCACGTCTGAGCGAGAACCCAGTGTCTCGGCTCTCGCGCATGATTAAGAATTCCTTCTGGGATGCGCTTACTCGACGCATTGATGGTCATAACATTGAAGTGGCGGGTAAGGATCCAAAGGACTGGACTTCAGACCCTCGTCCTCGGATCTACGTCCCGCCAGGCGCTCCTGAACAGTTCGAATATTATGAAAACATTGCCAAGGAGCATCCCGAGCTGCGCCTTGATGTGCAGCTGCTTCCTGCTGAGATTACCCCGGATTATGTGATGAAGCTTAACGACAAGCCTGGTTTGTTGGCACTGGCTATGGAGAAAAAGATGAACGAGTCAACTATGAAAGAAGAGCTTGTCGGTGTGCCGTTCGTTGTGCCAGGTGGCCGTTTCAACGAGCTTTATAACTGGGATAGTTATATGATGGCCATAGGACTGCTCTCCAATGATCGTGTTGATCTTGCCAAGGGCATGGTCGTTAACTTCTGCTTTGAGATCAAGCACTATGGAAAGGTCCTCAACGCCAATCGATCCTACTACCTCACTCGTGCGCAACCTCCATTTTTGACAGACATGGCATTGCGCGTGTATGAGAGAATCAAAACGGAGCCTGACTCGAAGGAATTCCTGCGCAACTCCGTTCTCGCCGGTATTAAGGACTACAACAGTGTCTGGGTTTCTGAGCCTCGCCTGGACCCTGTGAGCGGTCTTTCGCGCTATCGCCCCGAAGGCTGGGGCGTACCACCAGAGACCGAACCATCTCACTTCTTGCATATTCTCACCCCATACGCGGAGAAGCATGGCATGACATTCGAGGCGTTTGTCAGAGCATACAACCACAGAGAAATTGTCGAGCCTGAGCTGGACGAGTATTTCTTGCATGACCGAGCAGTCCGTGAGTCTGGTCACGACACCAGCTACCGACTGGAAGGTGTATGCGCCAACCTCGCGACAGTAGACCTCAACTCCCTCCTGTACAAATACGAAGTCGACATCGCGCGCATCATCCGTGTTCATTTCAACGACAGACTCGAAATTCCCCACGAATTCCGCACACCACTCACAAGAGATATCGAGTTCGAGACTTCCGCAGTATGGGACAGACGTGCACGCAAGCGTAAGGCGCGCATGGATCAGCTCTGCTGGGACCCAGAGAAGGGTATGTACTTCGACTACGACACTGTCAAGAAAGAACGCACGAACTACGAATCCGCAACAACCTTCTGGGCCATGTGGGCCGGTCTCGCATCCCCAGCCCAAGCCGCAGCTCTGGTCTCCAAGGCCCTGCCGCGCTTCGAGGCATTCGGCGGTCTTGTCTCCGGCACAGAGGAGTCCCGCGGTGCTACTAGTCTGAAGCGGCCTAACCGGCAGTGGGATTACCCCTACGGCTGGGCGCCGCAGCAGATCCTCGCCTGGACCGGTCTCCTCCGGTACGGATACCAGGAAGAGGCTGAGCGGTTGGCGTATAAGTGGGTGTACATGATCACCAAGGCCTTTGTTGATTTCAACGGTGTTGTCGTCGAGAAGTATGACGTTACTAGGCCCATTGACCCTCATCGGGTCGATGCTGAGTATGGAAACCAGGGTACAGACTTCAAGGGCGCTCCTCGCGAAGGGTAAGTTCTTATCCTATTGATATCTCATTGCTTTGTTTCAGCTGGATGTTAACATTTCACAGGTTCGGCTGGGTTAATGCCAGTTACGTCTACGGATTGGAGATTCTCAATGCGCACATGAGGCGCTCGTTGGGAACCATCACTCCCTATGAGACATACCACAAGGCAGTTGTGGCTCAAGATGCCTTTTAATTGACTATTCGTGTTTCTATGATATTTGGCGTCCGGTTTTCTCGCACAGAAAAAGTGTGGGGGTATGAAAATTAAATGCAAGTAGATGTCGGTTGATTTGTGATGAGTTACCAGATAATCTGTGATTCTGAGAATATATTGTTCTTATGAGCAACGCAGCTAGTCATATGGAGTAGAAGCACAAGGAAACCGACCTCGGCTTTCTCTCGCACCATGTCTGGAATTCGGAAATTTTTCGGGGGTAGGGTTCAATTGATTCGGTCAGATCAAGAGACCTAACCGTCATAAAGTAGAGTGTATTCATCCCCATGACGCTATGATGCCATACTCGATGAGACCAATGGTTCAGCCAGGTAGCTATAAGACCCTCGAAAATAAAGACATTAAGAATTGCGTGTGACCAGCAAGCATCGCACACGAACTCGAGCATCCGCCCATCAGAAGCACGCCCAAAGCTGGCCTCAAGAGAAGTTAGAGGTCGATTGATTCTGGTAATGTCACATTTTCCTGGGAAACTTGATATCTAATACGGACGGCGACCTTTACGTCCCGATTTATGGCGAGTCATAGACAACATCTTCTCATGGCTATCTAACAAGGCAAGATCTTGCTTAACCTGTTCAATCGTTGTATGAACGCTCCGTCAATGGCTCGCTGTAGGGTGTTGGAAATTTGGACCTAGTTAACTCCCCAAAAATAGGATACGAGTATAGGGCCTTCGAGACATATGTTGTTGCGAGGTCGCGCTGTTTTTCCCGACGCGCTCAGTAGTCCAGTTTCCATGTATCAGAATGATATTCCGGCTTATGGCTGCAGTTAGAACTCTGTATTTGCTGTCAAACAATGCCTTTAACCGCTCGATCCCGTGGCATCATCGCAGCACTATGCCTACTCTGTAGTTCGGACACCATAGAGCTAAAATTTTCACCTGTTGCCTCCAAAGTGAAGCAAGGGAATATCAAAAACTGCATATGTGTGAATGGCGGCGAATACCCTAGAGGGCTGTCAATTATCGTCTAATTTGATTTCAATAACTAGTCCTTCTTGGGACCAAAGGTAATACCTAGAGCTGGCTGTTTATGTTAAGACGGGGAACTGGGTTGAATCCCAGTCCCAACAGACAGTGGCACGGGGGATTCCGCAGACGATCAATCCAGGTAGGTGGATGATTGATGGCACAATGACAGCCAGTGTATTATCCGTATGGATAGTCGTACATTTCTGAAGCTCCAATGAAGTATGCAAAGAGACTTTTTCCAGCCCTTTCGAAGGATGCTGACCCGATGCTGTGTTACGGTCCTTTTCACCTCGACCCAATTCCGAGGTGACCCATCGGATGCACCAGGCCGCAGTACTGGAGCAATTTGTCGCGTCCTTTGATTACAGAGTCATCCTTGCCTGAGTCAACTTAGGTAAGTTGCGAAGTTAGAGACATGATATGCGTTGCGATTCGAGAGGAGGTTACGAAGAAAAGGATGAGGCAAGGGAAAGAGAGAAATCTTAGCTCAGAAAGCGCGATGGTGTTCGTCATGATGACCCTAATTATCTTGTTAATCACAGCATTATAGACAAAAAGCTCTATAATCCTACGAACATTCAATAAATAACCCAGTGGGATATATGATAGCCAGTAAAGCTACCAGAAAAGTTCTCGGCAAACCGACAACTACACACAGGCAAGTTAAATATGATATTCCCCACGACAACGGATTCCAAATCCCCGTAAATTATGATTTAAAGTCATCTATAGCTCACCCCCGCATCCTGCTAAAAGCTATCCCCTCCAAAATCCCCTGGTAAACGCTATACCGAACCAATCCGAAACGGGCGAAAATAACTCGGCGCACGCCTCGGCAGAGCAACAAGCTCGCCCCGAAGGGATCCCGACTTGCATGAAAGGCGTCATTGTAAGGATCCCCACAGTCTATGTTTGTTTCTACTTGGAATTAGAGGTGGTCTTGGACCGTGTCGAGAATTTGGCGGGTGGGGTTTGTTCCTGGTTTTCCCGAGATGTTCTCGTACTTGATACCGCGCGACAGTATAGTCGGTTAGGGTTCGTTGGTACTATATTTCGAATTTATATTTTGGTCCTCGCTATAGATGCAAGGCTGGGCTGTTTATATGCAGTTGACGTATATATATCGACGGGGTTGAAATAGGAATGTTATAGAGATAGACACGAGACGAGAACCCTTGGCAGAGGTGTCAGGCACCGGATATATTTCCACTCGATACAAGACGAGTCAGTTGGTTCCAGGTTCCAGACTGGAGTTTCAAGTCTTAGATCTCAGGTTAATCTCCAATCTACGGAGTCATCCCGAATGCGGTTAGTTTGTCAGAGCTGAGTTGTGCCGAGGTCCAACTTCGCGGCGGTTCTGAGTCTTTTTTTTTTTTTTTTTTTTTTTTTTTGTAGTTGATCGCTGAGTGGATCGCTGTTATTGGATAGATGCATGTGCTGGTCTTTCTGTGTTGCTTTTGTTCCGGTCTGATTTCGTGCTTGGATTAAAGGATACCTTGTATTGTATGCTTATTATACGGAGTACAACGAAGTGAGATGTAGAATGTCAATATATTCGTAAAGGTATCTAGAACATTCTGTTATTATATACCAAGAGTATTGGTATTATACATACCCTGCTACGGAGTCTAGATGTCTATCTACAGTTCTCGATAGAAGAATATTGACAATGGTGAGGACCGACCGGTGGAGACCCGAATACCGGGGCATGACAGAACGGAGTATGACTCAGGCAGCCAAAGTTTAATTTCATGTGTCTGTATCCTCAACTTATAGCCAGTAAAAGCGAAGGAAGCTGGAAAGGACTATTTCACGGATATGTAGCCAGACTGGTCGTATGACCTGAGAAATATCTCGTGAATTCGACACTTCTATGGCCGGTTCTTGTGGGATATGTTTCATGCACGTGAAAATTACTGTATTGGCGTATTGTCATGTGCGTTCGTCGACGTCATCGGCTTCCCGGTAGTTTCCTTCAACTCTGTTTGTTCACTTCATTGAATTGTTGAACATGGGTAAAGGAGGAAATAAGGATCTTAATGAATCATTCTCTGTGTTCCCTTGAGCTACCGAGAGTTTTTACTGTAACCCAAGATGCTTGGAATCTGCAACAAACCAGCCGTGGCAAAGCGTCCATTAGACCGAGGATCTCCAGTCTCCCGAACCAATGTACCCGCCTTCCGCCTTTCGGAGCGATTACTCCGTGGTCCATAGACTATTTGCAGAATATGCCTAGGCAGACGACATTGGCTCAGCTTTGTCCCGCCGAGCCGAGCGTTTACCGAACAGCTGTGACGCATTCGAAGAATAAGTACCCGGGTTTCCTGGCTTGTGATAATCTTCGACTACAAACTTTCTTTTCTTTCCTCTCCTCTCCTCTCTTCCTTGTTCATACTTGGACTTGAAAATATAGTTGATTTACTCTTTTGATTTGTATTATACCAAAAGTCACCATGGGTCTACACGAAGACGAAGACCGCAAGTACGCTGAGGAGGTTCAGGCCGTCAAGACCTGGTGGAACGACTCCCGGTGGCGCTATACCAAGCGACCCTTCACAGCAGAGCAGATTGTGGCCAAGCGCGGTAACTTGAAGATCGATTACCCTTCCAATGTGCAGGCAAAGAAGCTCTGGAGCATCGTGGAATCCAACTTCCAGGTATGCTTGACAAGACCCACTGGCGATCTACATGTATAGAGATGCTGACTACATGGCGAATAGAACAAGCAAGCTAGCTTCACCTACGGTTGTCTCGAGCCTACAATGATCACCCAGATGTGCAAGTTCCTCGATACTATCTATGTTTCCGGATGGCAGAGCTCTTCCACCGCTTCGTCTACTGACGAACCTTCCCCCGATCTTGCCGATTACCCTATGGTACGTGGATACATGGATATCAAAGCTAGCTCATACTGATTCTTCTTAGGACACCGTGCCTCGCAAGGTCAACCAGTTGTTCATGGCACAGCTGTTCCACGACCGGAAACAGCGTGAGGAGCGTGTCACTACACCCGCTGGCCAGCGCGGAAATGTTGCCAACGTTGACTACCTGCGCCCTATCATTGCTGATGCCGATACCGGTCACGGAGGTCTGACTGCCGTCATGAAGCTCACCAAGCTGTTCGTTGAGCGTGGTGCTGCTGGTATTCACATTGAGGACCAGGCGCCTGGCACTAAGAAGTGCGGCCACATGGCCGGTAAGGTGCTTGTTCCCATCAGCGAGCACATCAACCGTCTGGTTGCCATTCGTGCCCAGGCCGATATCATGGGTTCCGACCTCCTGGCTATTGCCCGTACCGACTCTGAAGCCGCTACTCTCATTACCTCCACTATCGACCACCGCGACCACGCCTTCATTGTAGGCTCTACCAACCCCCGCCTGCAGCCTCTGAACGACCTCATGGTCGCCGCTGAGCAAGCCGGCAAGAACGGCGCAGACCTGCAGGCCATTGAGGACCAATGGACCACCCAGGCCGGCCTCAAGCTCTTCAACGAGGCCGTCATTGACGCTATCAACTCCGGTTCGCACGCCAACAAGAAGGGTCTGATTGACCAGTACCTCACCTCCGTTAAGGGCAAGAACAACAGTGAAGCCCGCGCCATCGCCAAGGGCATCACTGGCACCGACATCTACTGGAACTGGGATTCCCCCCGTACTCGTGAGGGCTACTACCGCTACCAGGGAGGCACCCAGTGCGCCGTGAACCGCGCCGTGGCCTATGCCCCCTTCGCCGATCTCATCTGGATGGAGAGCAAGTTGCCCGACTACAAGCAGGCCAAGGAATTCGCCGATGGTGTGCACGCCGTCTGGCCCGAGCAGAAGCTCGCATACAACCTCTCTCCCTCCTTCAATTGGAAGAAGGCCATGCCCCGCGACGAACAAGAGACCTACATCAAGCGTCTCGGTGCTTTGGGCTACTCATGGCAATTCATCACCCTAGCCGGTCTACACACCACCGCCCTTATCTCCCACCAATTCGCCAAGGCCTATGCCCAAAACGGCATGCGCGCTTACGGTGAGCTAATTCAGGAACCGGAGATGGAGCAGGGCGTCGATGTCGTCACCCACCAGAAATGGAGTGGTGCCAACTACGTTGATAACATGCTTAAGATGGTTTCTGGTGGTGTGAGCAGTACTGCTGCTATGGGTAAGGGTGTTACCGAGGATCAGTTCAAGCATTGAGGTTTGGACTTTTTTTGCTGGATGTATACCCTTTTATGATGAACTTGTGTGTTATTTATTATATGCTGTGATATATATTGATTGATCTGGCGTTTTCATTTTTTTATTATCTATTCTACCTGTGATGTCTGCAATTTTTATTTGGATTCCCTGTTCGTCTTGTCCATTGGGCGAGGTGGACTGCATCTGCATTCTGAAAATCACAGCATGAATTGATTGTTCATTTTCTAAATAAATTGTAGTCTCCATGTCATTGTAGCGAGATTAAAGGTTAACATTTCCCGTTTACGCAGTTTTTCGCGCATGTAAACTTTTTTCAAGCCTCAGACATTCATTAATTTAACCTCCGATTCTTAAGGACGATGAGAACGTGTGAATCCTAACTTCCATGACCTATAAGTTTCAAAGTCTATTTGCTCTATTTGCTTTATTAATATCCTCGATCTAATAAATAGTATGAATCAGGATTGAATCAGCGCGTTCTCTCTCTAGCATAAAATGCCAATTCGTTCCAATGACTTTGGTCTAAATGGTAACGTGGATCAAAATCTAGAGTTGCCAGTGATATATGTGCTTGGTTAATCTCTCGACCAAAGAATAGGGATTCTCTCTTTGTTGACCTCTTTTGCAAATGCGTAGCTTTCAAAGGATTAAAAGAAGCTTGTCTGACAACATGGAAGAAGAGCTAGATCGAGCCGAAGTCTCGAATAACGACATGACTGACACGAAGCGAGAATTACTGTGCCTACCTTTTGCTTATCAGGTTGAATGGCCCCTGCCTTAACCCGCTAATCAATCCAATCATAGAGAAGCAACAGGCTGTAAGATAAACAGAGGTGCTTAATCTCAATGGCATGCTACCTTTATATCTTAAGATAAGGATGAAGGGCGCCGCAAGGAGTTATATACACTATTGTGGCCCTATGAATTGCTCTAGCTGTGTTATGCGATAGTCGGCCTAATTATCGACATAAGATTATGAAGGAAGCAATTGAAGTGATTTATGTTCTTGGATAATTCAAAGGTTTGCTTTGATGAAGTTATACTATATTAGTCATCTCAATGCTTCAATATGTATATACATGTATATACATGTAGATGTATACTCGGTCTTAGCTCGGCAAGTAAAGTGAAGCTATTGGCCCACTTTGACATTTGGATGTTTCCAACTGGAGAATCCCTGCGAGTGCCGATCGTATTCAAAAGCGGGGCCTGCAGATCGTGTGAAGCCGCGGCTTCGTATTCAGGGATATTGTAGACTTAACATCGGAGGCAATCTGAGGGTATTCGTAGTAAGTTTATTAATATTGGAAGACTCCGCGCTACCTGAATCATACATTTCAAGCAAGAAAAGAAAAGAAAAGAAAAGAAAAAAGTAGAAAGAAGGGGGGAATCAACGGACGTGAAGCCCAAATCAGAACATGCCGAGAGCTCGGAGCACGTGGAGATGCGGAGACAAATGTTCCCCTTACTCTTAAACTTGGTCGCTCCCTTTTTCTCCTTTTAATAAATCTCCTACATATTTCAAAATGGGCGTTGAATTACCAGAACTGCAATTTACCTCGCTGGACGAGATCCCTGCTCGCATCTCCACTACGCGCAAGGCGTTCTTGGAGCACAAGACTCGTGACGTCGAGTTCCGTCTGGTCCAGCTCCGCAAGCTCTACTGGGCGTAAGTGGTCTCGGCTTTATTTTCCCACGCATACTGACAGTAACACAGCATTAAGGACCACGAGGAGGAGATCTTCGAGGCCTGCGCCCGCGACCTGCATAAGCCTCGGTTCGAGACCGAGCTCGCGGAGATCGGATGGATCCTGAACGACATCGTCTTCACCACGCGCAACCTGCACAAATGGGTCAAGGACGAGAAGGCCCCCGATATTGATCTCAACTTCAAGTTGATGAACCCCAAGATCAGAAAGGACCCCCTGGGATGTGTGCTGGTTATCGGGTATGCGATGCCCCTCCCGCACGAAGATCACCACGCTAACGTGTTCGCCACAGTGCCTTCAACTTCCCCTTCCAGCTGACTCTCGGCCCTGTCATTGGCGCTATCGCCGCCGGTAACACAGTCGTGATCAAACCTAGTGAGAATGCGCCCTACAGCGCAGTCGTCATGCAGAGGATCATCGAGGCTAGTGTCGATCCCTCGTGTTACACTATCGTCCAGGGAGGTGTCCCCGAGACACAAGCTCTCTTGACCGAACGGTGGGACAAGATCTTCTTCACGGGAGGCGCCAACGTCGGCCGCATCATCGCCAAGGCGGCTGCCCCGCATTTGACCCCCGTCGTGCTTGAGCTCGGCGGTATCAACCCGGCCATCGTAACCAAGTCTGCCGACCCGCGTTTGGTGGCTCGCCGCATGTTGTGGGGTAAGCTCGTGAATGCCGGTCAGCTCTGCACCTCGCAGAACTACCTGCTCGTCGACAAGGCTCTTGTCGGCCCTGTGGTCGAGGAGTTCAAAAAGGCCTACAAGGAGTTCTATCCTAACGGTGCCAAGGGCTCCGAGGATTACTCTAAGATCATTAACGAGGCCCACTTCCAGCGCCTTAAGTCTATGCTTGATAACACTAAGGGCAAGATCCTTATGGGTGGTACTATGGATGAGAAGGAGCTCTTCATTGAGCCTACTCTTGTTCAGGTGGAGTCTGTCGATGACTCGCTCTGCACTTCGGAGAGCTTCGGTCCTTTCATTCCTATCCTCGCTGTTGATAACTTGGATGAGGCTATCTCAGTGGCCAATGGTGTGCAGAGCACCCCGCTTGGTCTGTACCCATTCGGGAACAAGGCCGATGTCGAGAAGAGTAAGTTCACCCTCTTCATGCATCTATATGCAGCAGAATTAGATACTAACGAATCCTCAGTTCTCGCCGCCACCCGCTCCGGTGGTGTCTCAATCAACGACGCCGCTCTGCACATCCCTACTCTGCCCTTCGGTGGTGTCGGTGAGAGTGGCAACGGCGCCTACCGTGGACGTGCCAGCTTCGACGTCTGGGTCCACCGTCGTCCCATCACTTCCAGCCCTAGCTGGCTCGAGGCTGTCCTGGGTATCCGTTATCCTCCCTACGGCAACAAGATTAAGACCTTCAAGGCTGCCAGCGCACTCACGCCGGACTTTGACCGTAGTGGCCGTAAGCTGAGCTTCGGCTGGTTGCGTTATTTTTTCACCCTTGGTGGTGGAACCGCCAAGGCCGGTGCTGGTCGGGCTGTTGCTGTTGCTGCCAGTGAGTAGACTCTCTCTTTCTTTTCTGATGATTTCTTGCTCTTTCACGGACTATATCTTGCACGCTATATGGCTTTAATTTTTTTTTGGCTTTCATGGTCTTCGCCTTCTTAACTTCTCCTCTAGATCACGATCAAGAGGGGAATTAAGTGTGCAGGCGACGGGTATTTTTACCCGATCCATTCCTGGTTTATATATGACTGGAATGGTAGATGCTCATAATCATTTTCCAACCCCCTATACCCCTATTCCCGTATACCCCGATCTTCATTTCAACTGGTTTAAACCTATTACATTCACTATTCCCTTTTTTTTACGCCTTTACACAGATCTCTCCTTCTGCTCATTTCCTTTTTTTTCCGGCACACCACGCTTTGATTCCCACGAAAAAGACAGGCGAAACCAAGCACCCTTTCCCTTAATTTGTGAATATCAATGAATCAAGCCTCTTGGTTCCTTTCTGCCTATTTTGTCATGTCTGATTCAATCCCCCAATTCCTATCCCAGCCACAAATCAAACCAAGACAAATCCAAATATCCAAAAAAAAGAACACCCTCTAACGTTGACACGTAACTAGTTGCCTACGTCGTCCTCCAAGTCCTCGAACGCCGAGCCAAATTGTGAATACAGACAAAAACGTGAATATGCCCCAGATATTGGAAACGCTAAAATCAAAATTTGGTCAGATCTACACATCCCAACCCAGTCAGCCTCCCGTTTAAGTTTGCCTTGTGTTGATCACTCCTCTGTCTCTTACCTTTCTGGGTAATATGGTTGGTTGATCTTTTTTGGCTTTTTGGTTTGCTTTTCGGGGCATGACTGGGTTGGGGTTGGGGCTTGGATTGATTTCTTGGGATTTATTGCGCCTTTTCTTGATCTCCGTGCAATACTTTGCTATGTATGTACCTTTTGATTGGCTTGATAGTGTATATGTAATTAGTTTAAGCCTTGGTCTCTTTCTTTTCCTATTGTATATCATTTGACTCCGAGCTGCAAGCGATTGGGGTGAGCTGTCTCTTTGCGCATGTAATCCATGATAGAGGCTCCAAAGCTGTCTTTCTACTCTGGACGTTGTCCCTGGATTCTTTCCATGACTCCGTTGTAGGGCAGCTTCTAATGCGTCTGATCTTGTGGAAAGTTTTCGCGAGTGCAGTTCCTATCGCTGTGGGGGACTTCTTCCCCATCAATGAATGATGGTCTTTTCAATGCCTAGAAGAACGTTGAGGCAACTCTCCTCTATACCCAGAAGGGGTTCTTATCTCTCAACGGTAAGTTCTTCGACGCATGGATTCACTTTGCAGTCAGGTACCACGTGAGAGAGACTGCGAACTCTACCAAAAGTATGGTGAGCATAAGCACTGGCAAAAGAACTCAAAATCACTCCTCGTACTCTTCGGACATCGCTGCATCTTTTGTATAGACAGACAATCATTCAATGGGCCCGAAATAGCTAACGAGCTCTGTCAGACCGGTCACTACGGTGCATAGCCACCTACCCCTGCTAAGCTTAGCATTGCAAGATTATAGATTGACGAGCAAAGCACAACGTCGAAGTGCGTAAAAAAGGAAGTAGAATAAATGAGATTATAAACAAAGAAAAAAAGAGCAGAAACTATCAGTCGGTCCCAAACATCCTGGTCTTAAGTGTCTACGGCGGCGGGGAGGCGTAGCCCGCATAGAAGTGGGTACGGTCAGCGCCCACCTAGGGGGACTCGTTGGGGGACTCTCGGGGGGAGGCAGGCGCTTGTCCGGGGGCGAGGGAGAGCGTTGCACGCATAGAGCGGGGCCCTTCAGGGGTGGCCCGGGGGTGCTGTGGGCTAGGCCCGTGCACCGTATCCAATTTGGTTCACCATAATGCACGACTGAGTATGATGACATGATGGAATGAACAAGATTGGAAAAGGGTGAGGAGTGTATGAGAGGAAGATTGTTTTGATATCTCAACTCGACTTTGTGGGTTGTGTGCTTTCCTCAAAGTTAGATAAGACAGGAGTTGTCATGTTCTATCTATGGTAAAATATGGTAAACGATGTCTAGACAGGTCCAAGATGTATGTCATGATTCGTATTCATGCTATCAAATGCAAAGTTCATCGAACACCCTATCCAACCCAGACATATGCATCGATTTTCAATCCAAAAAAAAAAAAAAAAAAAAAAAAAAAGGAAAGTTACATTGATCAACAGCGCCGTTCGACACCGCGCTTACTCACACACAGATACTTAACACCCTTGTACGGCTTCACACTCTCGCCTAACCCCCGACTGCGGCGCTGATCGATGTTCAAACTATCAACCTTGATACCGGACGGAAGCCATCCTCGCACAGAGAAAGATACCGAGGCCGAGTTTGGCATCAGGCTTGCATTGATTTGGGCTTTGGTTCTGCGGGCTGGGCGAGATGTAGAGGACGGGTCGAAAAAGGTGGGAAGGGCGGATGAATTTGCGTGGAGTTGAGGTGAAGGTTGGGGCTTTGGTGTGGGCGTTGCGGGTTTGGAGTGATCTGGTGATGGAGTGGTAGCTGTAACCGCACCAGAGTCGTCGACATCCTCAGGTTTTAGAGCGGTTGAGCGGGAAGATTTCTTTGAGGACTTCTCCTTGTCCTTCTTCTTCTTCTTTTTGCGTTTGGAGGGGTCGGAGGATCGAGTCTTCTTGGTTGTGCTGACTGAAGAGTCAATGTATGAGGTAGGGGCCTCATAATAGCCTTGTAGGAGAGTGGCATTGGCGTCCTCGTCTGCATCCTCGAGGCTATCATCAAAGTCATCGTCGGCGGACGGATAGCCCGAGACACTGCAGCGTAGCGTAGCTGTACCCGACACTGAGCCAGCATCCTTGCCAGTCGGGATCCGCCACTCTATAAGTCCTGTTGAGTGGGTGAATTGGGCGTCACCACGGCTGGCCTGCATGTCCGTGATGTGTCTGACAGATTTGGATATTGGTACACTGACGAGGACTTCTTCCAATACTGGTGCATTTGATCCACTGCCACCTCCACCAAGGAATGACGGCGTTGATGTGCCGGATCCGTTCCGGCCAACCCCCGGCCGTGACGATGCACTTTGGCCTGGGAAATTCGTGTTCAGAGTAAGTCGAACTTCGAATTCAGACCCCGATGTCCCTAATGATTTGCGAATATCTACAATAGCAGGGAGGAAGAGCTTTTCCATATGGCTTGGTGGCTCATCCAAGTCAGGATCGATTGGTAAAAGGTCGACTTCGTATCCAGCCAGAATGAACCGTCCATCCGGAGGAATAAAGCTTAGTTCGCCAGGCTTCTCTTTCCACTTTGCCAATCTAACACATGGGTGGAATACCGGTAGTTCGATTTTGCGGCCAAATGCATGCTGTCCACCCGGAGTTGATAAAGATAGGAGCAAGTCCGGTACTCCTGATATCTTTGCGGTAAAAGCAATTGTTCCGGATGCTAATGCCGAGAGCAGACGACCAGAGGGAGCCATCGTCACTGAGAGAGATTCGATGATATCGACATATAGTTCATTCGAGGTGTGCCGTACACCCGGTCTCCGCCAGGGAATAGCAGGGCCTTGAGATGCGCTGGCAGCTGCCAGCGATTGCTTCAAAGGATTGGTAGATCCCAAAGCTGGCGTCGAACTTCTATATCCGGGCCGTTTTATCAGTACAATGCTACCAAGTGATGAAATAGCTACTCACCCAGGTACTCCGATACCGCCAAGCAGCTTATCCACCCACCCCGGAACCTCCACAACCTCCTGCAATGCATTGGGCTCCGTATTGCATACTGTCCCCCCATCGCACATCTCATTAAGTAATTGCGCGACAACATCGTAATTGGCACTGATTTTAGTGGACAGTAGCGGCGCTCCAACAAATTCCTCGAGTACATCGACCACACGATGCAGGAACTCAAGCGCTAGTAGCGGCTCGGTGTCGACTTCGCTGATGGCGAGGAATAGCAGATTTGACTCAACCGTAGAGAATACCGTCACCGGGGGTGATGCGCTAGCTATGTACAGCAAGGAGGGACGTGGGGCCGCATGGGCGAGGTAGAGGGGCAGGATGGCGGAGGCCGAAGGCGGGCGGGATCGGTATACATGCTCGACGAGAGGGGCACTGAGAATAAGGGTTAGTTTGCTATTGCAAGTCGAGACAGAATAACATACTTTTGCTCGTCGTATACGTAGACGGCATCAATCTCGCCGCTCATGGTGGCAGTTGGTCTGATGACAGGAACGCTCGGCGGTGATTGCATAGCTATCAAGCTGTGTTTTGCCGCCGATGCCCGCCTTATGTCGACTTTTGACGACGGACATCGCTCGACCAGAGAATAGCTCAGTATTTGGGTTTCCGCGCGCATTTGCTTCTCTTTTACTACATCTCATTAGTTGTGCATTATACACACACAATGGGTTCATCTGAAAACCGCGTCACAGGTATCCCGGCAAAGGATGCCAAACAGGCACTTGCCGATGATGGGTTCGACGACTGCATGTCGTGCAGAGTGACTGGTAAGTTATTTATTTCACCACTTCAGGTTTGTATAATTTGGACTGTGTACTGATACTGCAACAGGCTCTGCTGCTTTTGTTGGCCTCGGTGTCTACAGCTACTACACGGGAATGAGCAACCTCCGCAAACAAGAAAAGGCAATCATGGCGGGCCCTACGAAATACAAGATGGGTTCCAGACAATTGGGAATTGCCACGATATCCGCAACGCTGGTCGGCATGGGATTATGGCGGGCATTCAACTGAGAATATAATCTAAGTCTACCGCAAATGTTGAGTAGACTAGTGTATTCATATGGAGCGAGATGTATGTAAGATAATTGGTATTTAATCACAAGTCAATGACAGCTGCCACTCTGGGTATCGGGTATCACCACCAGGCATATCCGTCTATATGCTAATTCACAAGGGTAAGGAAAAATGAAGATGAAAAGAAGAAAACCCAATGAAAAATAGAATGAAAAAAGAAAAAAAGCAAAAACAAAGCCATATGCAATCCTTTCCTTGTTATGCATCCGAAAAGCTCCTCCATACCCGAAAGCTCACTCAACCACTGTGTGACAATCAGAATGGAATATTCGTCATGTCGTCATTATCATATCCGTAACCAAAGCGTCAAGGCCTAGGTAAAGCGACCGCGTTTTCCTCCGCCTCCGCCAAAAGTATCTCGTCCGTTGTTGAGTCCGGATAAGTCGAAGAAGTCGGGGAAGGTGAATTTCCGCTTCGACCCAACAGTAGCGGGTGACTCCCGCGCCGCGGGTCTTGCGTTCGGTCGTCCGTGGTTGTTGTGGCGGTGATGGGGCCGGGAGTTGCGAGGCATCACTGAGACGCTGACGGGAGCACCGTCTTGCGTCGGTACAGATGAGTTGTCGGGGGATTGGACATCCATGTCGAGTTCTTGGGGATAGGTCGGACCAGCGGAGAATGTGAAAATTGCCGGAGTGGTGAGAGGACTTGGCTCGGTAGGTTGTGTGGGAAGAGCGGTGGTATCTGGCTTGGAAGTAGGGGCAGGTGCCGAGGTGGGGGGCAGACGGGCAGTGGGTTCAGATGCTTCTTTGCGGGCAGCGGCGGGCGTAGCACTTCGATCACGGTGGTCGTGTTCGGTTCGGTCATCCTCGTCGTTGCTCTGAGATGCAGTTCCATCACATCTTTCGGTTGCCCATTGGCGTACTTTCCACCCCTCTCCGTCCCCAAGACCGAGGTTCTCGCGGTCTAGGAAGTGAAGGAGATCCTCGACCGCTTCCTGGTATCCAGCCTGCTTTGCCGAAGCTTGCTCACAAACGGCATTCTTGTAGAGGTTGGTGACGGACAACGCGGCAGCTTTGAATTGTTGGAGGAGTTGTTCCGGAGGCTGCGGGCGGGGTGTTGAGCTCGGCAAAGAGGTGTTCAGAGATCTCATGGAGTCCATGACAGTAGAAAAGTTGGACACCTCGTCAGGTGACGATCTCAATGAGGGATTTGTTTGCTACAGCTTCTGTGGCTGCGCGGTGGTCCTTGTTAGTTGGGACAAAGGCGATGCGAGAGAGATCGGGGAAAGGGAGCTAGAAATAGCAATAAATATGATGAGAAAAAAAGGGCACAAGCTCTAAAATGGTGAGAGCTCGTCAAAATTGACTCCGTTCGTTTAGGACAGAGCAACTGGCGACACGGTCGTATTTGGCCAGGTTGGTGCAGATGATGATCTTCTTTTGCATCTTTGCGTTTGGCCCGGTAACGTGACCCCACTTTGCGGGGGAACTAATCATCCGAGCTGACTCAGGGCTTAGCTAAGGCCTCCTACCGCGTTCCCATTTGCCCTCCCGCGCGTGGATGGCCTCTAATCCAACTAATTATTCAATCCCGGTCATTCAATAGGTTTTGTTCATTGAAAGAACGTGATTTGTGAAACTCTGTCAACCTTTTTTTGTTTTTATCCCACATCCTTTCTACTTATTCTACGATCTGCTCGCTCTCTATCGTTAGTACGCGATTGACCTAGTCGCGAGCTTTGATACAGCTCCAACGTGTTCAGCATCCGACCACACTTGCGCTTTGTGCGCTGAAGACTGACGATGGCGCCTGCCCTCGCGTCTGATCCTGTGTCGCAGGCCGATACACCTATGACTGATGCCAATGACGACACTGTTCCTTCGGTGCCCGTGGATAGCGCCGACGCGCAAACAGTATGTAGTCATATCTCGTCCCCTCGTCTCTAACATCCCACATGCTGAGATTAGAGTGATTCAACCCATTGCGATGATTTTATATCAGATGCTAACTTTTTGTCGCAGAGCTACCAGGACACTCCCGATTACACTGTACAGATGCCCTTAGTTTTCGAAATTTTCTTTAGTGCCAATCGCTAATTCAATCAAGGATTCCGATACGAACCCGAATACCACAGCGAGCAGTATTGCCGGCGACGCGGATGGCCGCCGGCGCAGATCTGAGGCGAACACCCTGAGAAAGAGCATTTTGGGAAAGAAGCATGGTCGTCTAGATGAATCGAAGGTATGGACTACTCTTTGCTTCCCACGGCTTGCTTACTGATACTAGATGTCTAATAGGAGAATGACTCGATTCGCCGATTCCGATACCTTCTCGGTCTTACGGACCTGTTCCGTCACTTTATCGAAACCAACCCCAACCCACAGATCAAGGAGATTATGGCCGAGATTGACCGACAAAATGCAGAGAGTGAAGAGAAGGCTCGCAAGGGATCTTCGCGCTCAGGGGGTGCTGGTGGTGAGCGCCGCCGCCGGACGGAGCAAGAGGAGGACGCCGAACTTCTCAGAGATGAAAGACATGGTGGAGATACAACTACTGTGTTCCGAGAGTCACCCGCTTTCGTTCATGGTCAGCTGCGTGATTACCAGGTTGCTGGTTTGAACTGGCTTGTTTCGCTCCACGAGAACGGTATCTCGGGGATTCTGGCTGATGAGATGGGTCTCGGAAAGACACTCCAAACCATCTCTTTCTTGGGTTATCTGCGCTTTGTCTGTGAAATCACTGGCCCTCATCTGGTCGTTGTACCGAAGTCAACCCTCGACAACTGGAAGCGTGAGTTCGCACGCTGGATCCCTGACATTCAGGTTCTTGTGCTCCAAGGCAGCAAGGAGGAGCGCCAGCGTCTGATTAATGAGGAATTGCTTGAGGAGAACTTTGACGTATGCATCACGAGTTATGAAATGATTCTTCGTGAAAAGTCGCATCTGAAGAAGTTCGCCTGGGAGTACATCATTATCGACGAGGCGCATCGGATTAAGAACGAAGAATCATCTTTGTCCCAAATCATCCGTCTTTTCAACTCCCGCAACCGATTGCTGATCACCGGTACTCCGCTGCAAAACAACCTCCACGAACTGTGGGCCCTGCTCAACTTCCTTTTGCCAGATGTCTTCGGTGACTCCGAAGCATTCGACCAATGGTTCTCCAACCAAGAGTCCGACCAAGACACTGTGATCCAACAACTTCACCGTGTTCTCCGTCCTTTCCTGCTTCGCCGTGTCAAAAGTGATGTCGAAAAGAGTTTGCTGCCGAAGAAAGAACTCAACCTCTATGTTCCTATGTCTGACATGCAAGTGAAGTGGTACCAAAAGATTTTGGAGAAGGATATCGATGCCGTCAATGGCGCTGCAGGGAAACGCGAGTCCAAGACTCGCCTGTTGAACATTGTCATGCAACTGCGAAAGTGTTGCAATCACCCTTATCTGTTTGAAGGAGCTGAGCCAGGTCCTCCATACACCACCGATGAACATCTTGTTTTCAACTCTGGAAAGATGGCAATTCTGGACAAGCTCCTGAAGCGAATGCAAGCAGATGGCAGCCGTGTGCTTATCTTCTCCCAAATGAGTCGTGTTCTTGATATCCTTGAAGATTACTGTGTTTTCCGCGACTACAACTACTGCCGTATCGATGGTACCACAGCCCACGAGGACCGTATTGCTGCTATTGATGACTATAACAAGCCTGGATCCGACAAGTTCGTTTTCCTTCTCACCACCCGTGCAGGTGGTCTTGGTATCAACTTGACCTCGGCCGACATTGTGGTGCTGTTTGACAGCGACTGGAACCCCCAGGCCGATTTGCAGGCCATGGATCGTGCGCATCGTATTGGTCAGACCAAGCAAGTGAAGGTATTCCGATTTGTCACAGAGAATGCCATAGAAGAAAAGGTCCTCGAACGTGCAGCTCAGAAACTGCGTTTGGATCAGCTCGTCATTCAGCAAGGTCGGGCTCAACAACAAGCCGGCAAAGCCACTTCTAAGGATGATCTCCTTGGCATGATTCAACATGGTGCTGCCAACGTTTTTGGCACCAAGAGTTCCGGCGGTGCCGGTGGAAACGATGTATCCGAAGATGACATCGAAACTATCCTGCGCAAGGGAGAGGAGCGAACTGCAGAGTTGAGCAAGAAGTACGAAACCCTCGGTATTGATGATCTACAGAAGTTCTCGTCTGAGAGCGCCTATGAATGGAACGGAAAGGATTTCACCGAGCGCAAGAAAGACATTGGCGTTAGCTGGATCAACCCAGCGAAGCGTGAGCGCAAGGAACAATTTTACTCGATCGACAAGTACTACCGCCAGGCTTTGGCAACTGGAGGCCGAACTGCCGACACAAGGCCCAAGGTCCCACGAGCTCCCAAGCAAATCACTGTTCACGACTGGCAGTTCTTCCCACCTGGTCTCTCGGAGCTTCAGGATAAAGAGACAGCATGGTTCCACAAGGAAATCGGATACAAGGCCCAGCTTCCAGAGACCACCGCCGGTGGCTCTACAGAGCTCAGCGACCGAGAGGCCGATCAAGCTCTTGAGCAACACGCCATTGATGAGGCTGTCCCACTTACCGAGGAGGAGCAAGAACAGAAAGCTCGCATGTCCGAGCAGGGCTTCGCAAGCTGGAACCGACGTGATTTCCAACAATTCGTCAATGGGTCTGCCAAGTTCGGTCGCACTGACTATGTAGGCATTGCTACTGAGATCGACAGCAAGGAGCCAGATGAAATCGAAGAGTACGCCGAAGTTTTCTGGCGCCGGTACACTGAGATCAATGACTACACCAAGTACCTGCGAGTCATCGATCAGGGTGAGGAGAAGGTGCGCAAGATGAATCACCAGCGAAAGATGCTCCGCAAAAAGCTAGAGATGTATCGCGTGCCCCTTCAACAGCTCAAGATCAACTATACTGTGTCTACAACCAACAAGAAGGTCTACACTGAAGAAGAGGATCGATTCCTATTGGTCATGCTGGACAAGTATGGTGTCGAGGGTGAGGGACTGTATGAGAAGATCCGCGAAGAGATTCGTGAATCACCTCTGTTCCGTTTCGATTGGTTCTTCCTCAGCCGTACGCCCGTGGAGGTCGGTCGCCGCTGCACCACCTTGTTGAACACTGTTGCGAAGGAGTTCGAGACCAATGGTGAAGGCAAGAGCCGCGGTCGTGATCGTGAAGAGGACGAGGAAGTAGAAGACGCTGCGCCTGCCAAGAAGAAGGCTAAGAATGGAGCTGCTGTAAGTTCCCGTCGATCATGAGTGTTTTCTTGATTCTAACCTTGTTGCAGCAAAACAAGCAAGTCAAAGCTACCAAGGGTGGCAAGACTGGCTCTAACACAAGCTCCCGTGCCAGCACTACAGCACCCAAGTCCAAGGGTCGGAAAAAGTAATGTGGCTTGTGGCTTGACAGGGGTGTGTACGTTTCCCAGTTTGTGTTTCTCGGAGATTCGGATTAAGGAGGGGGTTTCGTCAGGATCGGCGTTAGCAGATGATCTCAAATGTATTTTTGTAATTCAAAATAAAGTTATTTTCCCATTCTAAAAGGCTTATCATCGACCCCTGCAGACTTATGCAGAACCCCCTCTCGTGATAACCGGACATGACCGTAGCCGATGCCACCTCAAAACAACACTAACCCTAAGTCATCTGCCCATGACGAAATACAACGCCATCTAGATTGCGACCGGATAGCACATGCAACAAATGACTTGTCAAGCCTGTCCAAAGCTAGTGAAGGTATATAAACAACCATGACGACGCTCGTTTCAACCGCCCCACCAGATTCGCCGTTGCATGACACTATCCCCGAAACATAAAACATAAATAAGACAAGAGACCCCCGCAGAAACATGTCAATTCTCAAACTCCTCAGATCAAAACTCTCTCGCAAAGCACCACCCAACATGACGTCAAGAATCAAAATCACCGCCAACCCGCACTATCAGAAGTCTGGCACGAAGTCTTATTTGTATGCCATGCGTAAGTACCGTTTCACCCCGACAAAGGGTGGACCGTACATGTACGGAACGACCTTGCGGCAGACTGGCAGACAGTACACCGATAAGCCTGTCGGAGGCCGGGCCCATTTGCAGCAGGTTATGCAGAAGAAGAGTGTTGATAGTGACCAGGTTGGTCAGGTTGGCGCCGACGATATTCAGAATGATGCTATGTATCTGGCTGAAGTGGGGATTGGAAGTCCGACTCAGACGCTGAGTTTGGATTTTGATACTGGGTCTGCGGATCTTTGGGTTAGTATATACTTGCGTGGTTTGGTTTGAGAATTTGGACTGATGGGTGAATAGGTTTGGTCGACCAAGCTGCCTTCTCAGACTTTGTCGCAATACAAGAATCATACTATCTTTGATCCGAGCAAGTCGAGTACTTACAAGGTGAAGGAGGGTTCGACTTGGAAGATCTCGTATGGCGATGGTTCTTCGGCTTATGGTTTGGTCGGCAACGATAATGTCAACATCGGTGGACTGGTTGTCAAGGGCCAGGCTGTTGAATTGGCCGAGCAGTTGTCTGCTCAGTTTGCACAGGGTGCCGGCGATGGACTTCTTGGACTTGCATTCGGCAACATCAACACTGTTCAGCCTCAGGCAGTTAAGACACCTGTTGAGAACATGATCACGCAATCCGATATTCCCAAAAGTGCTCAGCTGTTTACAGCTAAGCTGGGATCTTGGCGAGACTCTGATGAGCCGGACAAGGGCGAGTCATTCTATACATTCGGATATATTGACCAGGACACGGTGAAGACTTCTGAGGAGGAGATCTACTACACGCCTGTGGATAACAGTCAAGGATTCTGGGCATTTGATTCTACTTCGGCGACTGTGAATGGAAAGTCGATTGCTCGGTCTGGAAACACCGCTATTGCTGATACCGGTACTACTCTGGCTCTGGTCGATGACGATACCTGTCAGGCAATCTACGATGCTATTGAAGGGGCCGTGTATGATGATGAGAACCAGGGTTGGATCTATCCTTCCAACACAGCGGCTGATAAGTTGCCCGTTGTTACCTTTGCTGTTGGTGATAAGCAGTTTGTTGTGCAGAAGGAAGATTTTGGCTTCGCCGAGGCCAAGTCTGGCTATGTCTATGGTGGTATTCAAAGTCGAGGTAGTATGACCATGGATATTCTTGGTGATACCTTCTTGAAGGCGGTCTATGCAGTAAGTCTTTCTCCTCATATTGTGGCCGCATTCACTTACGCTTTTAGGTCTTTGATGTCGGCAACATGCGCTTTGGTGCTGTGCAGCGAAAAGAACTTCATCAGAACCTTTCTGTGCCTTCTTAAGATCTTGACATGTCTGACGTGTAATTGGAGAGATATGAAACTATATGGTGGCTTATTGTTTTATGTTACAATTGGAATACAATCGTTGTGACTAATTGTTCACTTGCTTCATCATTTCATAACGAACTTCATCTGCTACATTTACATGGTATCAAACACTCCGACCCCCGAGCCTCCAAGCAGGCAGTCGTTAAGCATCAAAACGCCAAGCGCCTTCAAAACTGTCCCCGTGAATTACTGGTCTTCCCACTTGATGATGGGCTTGATCACCTGCAGGGGTTATGTTAGCATGGTCTTTCGGGAATCTCGATCAAGATACGTACAGTGCCAGCGTGTAAATCGTGCATGGCTTGCTCAAAAGTATCCGGGGTATAGATCTTGGCAAGCTTATTAACGGGGAACTTCCCTTGTTTGTATAGTTCAATCAACTGGGGAACAAGCTAATGACAAACGAATGTTAGTTAAAAAAACTAGGCTCATGATACAGAAAAAAACTTACCGTAGCAGGATCTGCGCAGCCCTCAATAGCACCGACAACTCTCTTACATCCCATCATCAATGACAGGGGATCAATGTTAAGAGTCGAACCAGGACGAGCAACACCGACAATAGCCAAGATACCCTCATGACCAAGCGAGTCAATACCAACCTGAAGCAAAGGAGTAACACCAGTTGTATCCAGCACACGGTGAACACCCTCAGGGAAGAGCTCAAGCAAGTGAGCCTTGAGATCAGGGATATTCTTCGTGTTCACAGTATGGGACGCACCAAGAGACTTGGCCAGCTCAAGCTTAGCATCAACAAGATCAACCGCGATAACATTCTCCACGCCCTGAGACCGTGCAGCCAACAAAGCTGCCAATCCCACGGCACCCATACCAAAGATAACGAATTTACTCTTGGGCTTTGGCTTGAGAACATTGAAGACAGTACCTGCACCAGTGAGATATCCACAACCCAGCGGAGCCAGGACAGCCATATCCTCCACGGTAACGCCAGAACCAGGCGTAGCCTTGACAACCGAATGCTCAGTCACAATAGCCAACTTGCTCATAGAAGATTGGCCGAAGAACTGGCCGCGCAGTGGGCCTTTTCCACCAGGAAAAGAGATAGGTGAGTCGGCGGCATTGGGGCCTCGAGCACCACCAAAGTTGAGGAGTGTTATTTGATCACAGAAGCCATTTCGCCCGTCGTTGCAAGGATAGCATGTTTCCCCGTGGCAAGAGGCGAAGCTTAGGAAGACGAGATCGCCTTCGCGGAGGGACTTGTCCTTGACGCCACTGCCGATGCGACGCACGATTCCTGCGCCTTCGTGGCCTAACACGGCTGGGAAGTCGCCGACTGGAATAGCACCTTGTTGGACGACGATATCCTGGGTATCGTTAGCTCTTTTGTTGTTGTTGTTGTTGTTGTGTTTTTGTTTTTTGTTTTTGTGTGGTATGGCGCGGGGTGTTTGGGTGGCTTGTACTTACTGTGTGGCACAGGCCTGTATACTTCATCTCGACAAGGACTTCATTTGATCGCACTCCGTCTAGAACAACGTCTTGAAGTGTGAATGGGGCACCGGCTTTTTCAACCACAAATGCTTTTGTTGGGATCTGCTTTTCTGGGATCATTGTGGAGGTTACCGTGGCAGTCGCCGTAGAGCTCAGTTTGAAGATAAAACTGTGAAGTAGTAGTTGGTATGTTTCAAGATAGATCGAAATAGTCAATGATAAAGCCACACGTAAGTTTTCATGTCCGGGGAAACCACGGTGTTTTATAGACGAGACTCAAAACTGAGATCCAATCTGGGATTCCCCCGCAAGTCCGATCTGCTCCCCACAAAGTTCACTTTCGGCGTCGAATCTCGGTATATCGAAGCCACGGAAACCTGAAACCGCTGATTCCGCTTGTTTTCTCGGTATCTGGATATGCTTGGGCTTGCAGCTTGTTTGCTTCATTTTGGCGACAGGGGTGTTCAGTAAGGGATGCTCAGTATATTCTGTAGCCCCACGATAACCCTGAGTGAAAAGTGAAGTGACGCAAGAACAAAACTCCATGCCATTGTAGAGGTATCTCGTGTAAATGCTATAGCTATAGTACATGATTATTATTACAGTGATCACCACATCTTGACAGTCTCCTTCTTCTCCCTCTTCGGTGTTTCCGCCACTGCAAGTGGGGTTTGTAGGAACTTCTCCATCAAGAGCGCCGCGGCAACACTCACATTTAGACTGTCGATACGGGCAGGGTCCGATTGAACACCAAGCACGGGGCTATGACGAGCGCCCGGAATGCTGACCGTTGCATCCGCGTGCGACTTGATATGCGAGCTTAATCCAGACCCCTCACTGCCCATCATCACCACGCTGGGAGAGGTCATGATTGGTAGATTGCCACTGGACGCGTCCATAGAGACAGATCCGGGCCCGAGCGCATCAGCAGCGTAGAATTTCCAGCCATTCTTCTGCGAGCGTTGAATGAAGTCAACTTCATTTCGCACATGCAGAATGGGCATGTTTTCGGCTGCACCAGCAGACGCCTTGATCGTCACAGGGGACAGAGGCGCGGAGTTTCGGCCCGCCAAGACGATAGCATCGATTCCCAGAAAATAGGACGAGCGGATGATAGCGCCCATATTACCAGGATCGACGACTCCATCCAACAACAATGCGACTGGGTATCGCTGGCCCTCATGCGGGGGTGGAGGTTGATGGATCGGGACGCGATCGTCCGTGCCATTTACCGCAGCTTCTTCCCGAGTCTGGGGTGCCAGCTCGACCCGGAAGTTCTCTTCGGATATAGAATCAACGGCCTGGAAGCCACGCACGGGCAGCTTGGGCAAGGGTGATGCCTCTAGAATGCAGCCATTGTGGGGTCGCCCTGCACTCATCTTATCCATAAGTCGGTCCCATCCTGCAAATGCCATCTTGACTCCAACGTTCTTGGACAGTGCTAGTTTGCGAATCGTGACCTTCCCTGCGCTTAGCTCCTCCTCTGCCGCTTGATAGATGTAGAGTTTGTATAGTTGACGTCGGCTACAACGCAGTGCCGCTTCCACGGCACTGGTTCCATAGATGAACTCCGAGGCTGGTGTAGTATAGGGAACCGTGTCCGGAACTTTGACGTTCTCTTTCACTCGCTCCGGCATTCCGCGAGTAACCTTGTGTGCTCGAGACTTGGATTCTTTCTCCTTGGGTGCCTCGGGCCTGTCTCTGGATTGTCTTCCAAAGCTTGCATCTTGACGCCGGTCAAATCTTGGCTCGCGATCACGAAATTGAGATTCATGTTCTCTAAATGTAGGCTTGCGTTCACCGAATGGGGTATCACGGTCACGACGGGGCTCGCGTTCGCGGAATCGTGACTGGTGTTCACGAGGTAGGCCTTGGAAGCTGCCCGTTCGAATAAACTCGTCTTGATCGAATTCATTGTAAGCAGATTTGTCTCGTCGTGAAAATCGTCGGCCTTGATCATTTCGAGGTGAATCGGGGAACGGCTCAGATCGCGCTCGTGGTGTAAAAGGGGAGTCATTGGATTGCCGGAAGGTTTGCCTGCGATTTGAATTTGAATCGTTTGATTCCGCGTACTGTCGTTTGCCGTATTTTCGGGGCTCGTATTGGTCTTTTGAAAATCGAGAATCGCGGCCTCGTCTCTCACTCTCTCGTCCATCTCTCTCATCCGAGTACCCTGCTTCCCTGCGAATTCCTCTTCCAATAGCCGAATTCAAAGAAGCATATCGTACAAACGGACCGAGCGGTTGCAATGGTAATTTCCATCCTGATCTCGCGATATTGGCCAACATCTTCGCTTGTCTCTCGAAACTCGAGAAGTTTTTCGGAGATATCGAGTGCGGGGTAACATTTTTCCGCTTATCGTTATCGCATCGCGCGGCGCGTTGTACTTCTCCGAAGACAATTAACTCGCAGTTTGTTTGCTTTGCGGATGGTTTAATCTGCAGTTGATACTGCATTGGTATCGTCCTCCCGAGACCCCTTTCCCTGGAATTTCCGTTACACCTACGTCAATTGCATTTCCTCTTCATTTGCCGATTTGATCCAACCCTCTTGTTGGAGCCGCTCGGCGGTTCCTGCAGCATCCTGGGGTTTCGTGAAACATAAATTCACAGTGCCTTCTGCAGACAAAACTGTCTCTTCAGAACCCGAGGTGATTATCGCTGGATAGCTAGCATCTTGAAGTCTCCACATTTCTCACCCCAGGAATCACTCGCAGCGACAACGAGCAAACCGATCATAGGACAGAGCTCACCCGGAGCTCAGCCAGCAGCAAGACAAACATGTCTTTTGAAATCATACCCCCAACAGTTGACAATCCTGAGCAGTATGAATACTTGCCAGGTCACTTCACCGCACACCGTGTACTCGGAATAGACACAACGTCAAGTGAGCGAAGGCTCACTGTGCGGATGAAAAGTGGCGAACTTCTGGCAGTCAGTACCAAGCAGGCTTGCCTGAATCTCATTGACGAATGTTGACTTTCATAGATGACCGTCGATCGCCTCATGAATCGAAGCAATGGCTCCGAAGCATTGCGTGAATTCCAACAAAAGTATCGTGAATCACCCGATCCTCTTTCCATGGACACCCCCCGCACTTTGAGTCGTTTTGGTGGCGATGCACCTGGCTATGACGATCACGATTCTGGCATAGATTGGTCGATGGAGTACGGAGGTACCAATGCCAGTGCTAGGCCCCGGCGAGCGGCAACACAAGCCTCGTTCGCAGCATACTATCGCAGTGATGACGACAATGACGAAGAAGAGGAAGAATATCCTATTGAGAGTGACATTGAATCAGATGAACTCTCAGATGATGATGACGATGAACCAAGTGATGGTCGTCGCCGTAGGTTGAGACGACGCGCAAAGAACATGGCCGCTACCCGGTACTTATCTGAAGAATCGTTTGCAGAGACAAAGGGAACAAGGGCTTCATCTCGCATGCGAAAGACCACCAGGCGCAATCTGCAAGAACGAAGTGAAAATGACGAATATTCAGCATTCGAGGGAGCACCAAAAGTTCAAAAATACTCCGGCGCGAAGGAAACCTTTCATGCACTTCCAGAACACGATGAATTCAGAGTTCGTCACAATGAAGCCTGTAAAGTTTGCGGAGATTATGAGGATGATACAGAGAAAGGTCCATTGGTGTTCTGCCAGGGTTGCACCTCAACCTTCCATCAGGTTTGCCTTGGGTCTCGATCGGCTCGGAAGCATCTGGTCACCAAGGTTGACGAGGGTGTATTTGTTCTTCAGTGCCGTTATTGTGTGGGAGCTGCCACCGAACAACATGACCTGGTTCCTCACTTGGGTCACTGCGCTGTTTGCAGGAAGGAAGGCCCAATGTCAAAGCCGTTGCGAGAGCGGCTTACGCCTCGGGAAGAGCAAGAATTGCGACAAGCTAACAGTGGCACCGACCCAACTACCCCTGTTGATATGTCCCGTGTGAACAATATTGACAATATCATGGTCAGATGCACCACTTGCGAGAGAGCGTTCCATCTCGATCATCTTCCAGGTGACGGTGAGCAAGATCGTACCAAGTTTCCTAGCGACGGCTGGCAATGCAAGAATTGCTCCGATGCTCCTGGTGAAATTGGTGGTCTGGTCGCATGGCGGCCTATTGACCCTAATTCCAAGAATAATTTGGTCGAAATCAAAGCAGAGATTGATAAGGAATATCTTGTCAAGTGGAAAAACAAGTCCTATTTCCGTGTCACTTGGATGCCCGGAGACTGGGTCTGGAAATTGACCCCCAAAGCAATGCTCAACTCATTTTTCCGGCATGCCAGAGCAGCCAAACCCAGATGGACTGCCGAGGAGGCAATTCCCGAAGACAATCTGCGAGTTGACGTCGTCTTCATGGTGAAATACTTGGATGAGGCCAGCTTCCCTGAAGACACCACAAATCCCCATATGATCGAATCTGCATATGTCAAGTACAAAGGGTTGCCTTATGAAGACTCGGTTTGGGAAGAACCTCCAAGTGATTACGAACGATTGCAAGACTTCAAGACTGCTCTCGTTGACTGGGTCCTTCGAGATGAGATACGTCCTCCAAAGCCAAGCGAGCTCAAGAAGCGGCTTGCGATTGCCCGTTCCCAAAATTTTGAACAGAGTCTCGTGCTGCGATCACAGCCAGCGCTTGTTGTCGGTGGTGAACTCATGGAGTACCAAATGGACGGTGTGAACTGGCTTTACTACATGTTTCTTCGGCAAACAAATGCCATTCTTGCTGATGACATGGGACTTGGAAAAACCATTCAAGTCTTGACTCTCTTTTCGGCTTTGATTGAGAACCATGAGTGCTGGCCTTTCTTGGTCGTCGTTCCCAATTCAACTGTCCCGAACTGGCGGCGCGAGATCAAGACGTGGTCGCCCAAGGTCCGGGTTGTCGCATGGTACGGAAGTGCGTTTTCTCGTGAAACCGCCAGAGAGTTTGAGATGTTTAACGATGAAAAAGAACTGTGTTGCCATGTCGTCATTGCATCATACGAAAGTATGATTGACGATGATGCAAAGCGTGTTCTTGGTAAGGTCAATTGGGCTGGTCTGGTAGTCGACGAAGGACAGCGCCTCAAGAGCGATAAGACCTTGCTCTATGATCGCCTTGTCAATATGAGCTTCGGCTTCAAAGTTCTTCTTACCGGCACACCCCTTCAGAACAACATTCGCGAATTGTTCAATCTGCTCCAATTCCTTGATCGCAGCAAAGACGCCGAAGACCTGGAGGAGAAGTATGGAGGAGCCCTTGACCAGGAGGCCATTAGGGAGCTCCATAGCATGATCCGACCGTGTTTCCTGCGTCGCACCAAAGCAGAGGTCTTGCCTTTCCTTCCCCCAATGGTGCAGATTATCATTCCAATTTCCATGTCGGTTGTGCAGAAGAAGCTGTACAAGTCGATTCTTGAGAAGAATCCGCTTCTCATCAAAGCCATTTGCAAGAGGCAATCTGGCCCAGTGCCGAAGAAAGACCGACAGAATTTGAACAACATCTTGATGCAGTTGCGAAAATGCCTGTGTCACCCCTTCGTGTACAGCGAAGACATCGAGGAACAAACTTATGATGTCGAGAATTCTCACAAACAGTTGGTTGAAGCATCTGGCAAGCTGAAGCTGTTGAGCTTGATGCTTCCCCAGCTTCACCAGCGTGGAAACCGAGTACTCATCTTCAGTCAGTTCTTGCGGAACTTGGATATCGTCGAAGACTTCCTTAATGGCCTTGGGCTTAAGTACTGTCGTCTGGATGGAGGCATGGCCTCGAGAGATAAGCAGAAGCGGATTGACGACTTCAACGCACCGGAATCCCCCTATTTTGCTTTCCTGCTCTCCACACGATCTGGTGGTGTTGGTATCAACCTTGCCACTGCAGACACTGTCATCATCATGGATCCTGATTTCAACCCGAAGCAAGATATGCAAGCTTTGTCGCGTGCGCACCGAATCGGACAGAAGAATACCGTTCTCGTGTTTCATCTGGTGATGCGTGCGACCGTGGAAGAAAAGATCATGCAAAAGGGCAAAAACAAGATGGCACTCGATCACGTGCTCATCGAGCGGATGGACGTTGATGATGAGGAGGAAGACCTAGAATCCATCTTGAAGCACGGTGCTCAGGCGTTGTTTACTGATGACAATTCTACTGATATCGAATATGACGCAGACTCCATTGATAAACTGCTGGACCGAAGCCAGGCTGAACAGACCGACCAAATCGCCAACGAGGCTGGTTCGAGTTCGGCTGCAGGAGAGCAGCCACAATTCAGTTTCGCCCGGGTCTGGCAAAAGGACGGCGGTACATTGGATGAAGTGGTAGAGACGGAAGACGTACCCGTGGATATCACGGCCTGGGAGAGGATTCTTCAGGAGCGAGAGCGCGAAGCCCAAGAGGAAATCAATCGTCAAGCCGAGGGACTGGGTCGAGGTAAACGAAAGCGTACGAAGATCAGTTACAACAACCGTCAGGAAGACGAAGAATACCGGGGAAGCTCCAGCCCTCCTCCTGCGCCACCCGTCAAAATGCGCAAGCCTGCCCGTGAGGAAGACATTGAATTCCAGGCGCAGAACGACGTCGACGAGAGTGAGTCCGATGTGGACATAAACATGAGTGCCGACGTGAACGATCTGGATACTGCTCCACAGACGCCATGTAAGAATCTTCCTCTCCTTGTATGCATTGCTACCACGTTGATCTGGTTTAAAATTGTATCTACTTATTGAAAACATTTTACTAACTTGACTATCCAGCCCGCAAATTCTGCCGCGTGAAATTATCGCCCCCCACTTCAATGGGTACCGATGGTGCATCGGACCCATACCATATATGTGTTGCCTGCAAGCAGAACCACGCTCCTGGTTATTGTCCACTGCGCCGAGCAGGCTATGAATACTGTGGATTATGCGGTGTGGCGCACTTCTCGGCCCGGCGGGTGTGCCCGCATCTGCAATCCACTGTCCAGGTGAAGCGAATGATGGCCGCATTAAAAGCCAGCAACGAAGACCCGGGCCTCATCAGTATTGCCAGAAATTACCTCTCTGGTATTTTGTACTCCACTGCGCAACAAGAGCGCAAAAAAGGGAAGCTAAACCAGCTGGATGCTGCTGGACTCGTTCGTCCTCAGTTGGCAGTCACTTCGGCCTCGCCTCGTCCAGAGGTGGGCCAAAAGGGTGTAGACCTAACGGAGAGCACTGCCCTCAATGGTTGAGCGGTAAGTCTCGGTTTTTCTGCTTGCCTTGTGAAGAGAGCCTCTACAATCACTTCGATGATCAAGCTACATTAATCGGTCTCATTTCGTTGGGGGAAAGGGGGAGTCAATGACTACAAAAGAAAAACATAACTCCATTTAAAACGGGGAGGTGGCGGTGAAGCGTTCAGGGGAGAAATGCCCTAGTTAAGATACCCATTTGTTTTCGAGTAATGAATGTTTCAAATACTCACTCCAATATGTAAAGTTGGCCAGATGGTTCCAGTATCCTGTGGAAGTTGTTGTAGATATTAGTATTAACGTTCGACTAAGCAGCAAACATGTCTTTATTGTGAACATTATGAACAATTTCTTGACGATACCCAAAGGCAAATGAATACGAGTGGTTAGACAATTTGGGGAAGATCCTAATGTGTACTCGCAGCTTGACTCACTGGGCTTGCTAAACCGGCGCACCGCCATTGGGACTACGCTAAAGTCGGAACATTATCACCAAAACTCTTATTCCCGCCCTTTTCCAGAGCTTCAAAAATCAAAACGACTTTACCAAGTGTGGTTTAAATGCTTCGTAGAATGGGAGTGCTCCGAAACCTGGAGATCTACCCCCACCCTTACACGCTGCCGGATTGTCAGCTTAAGCACAAGAAGGGAGTAAGCAGATGCCGTAGTCGCACCATCTATTGTGATTGGGTGATTACATTCCTCATTTTCAAATAGAAAGAGCTAAATAAATATTTTTCCAGCTTCTGGCGGGTTTAACGTCTGGTCTTTTACAGCCAAAATATGAAATGGAGAGGGAACGGGGTACGCAACCCATAATTGACACACTGACACAGTTCTGGGGTAAGTACGTATAGGTGAAAATTAAACTCTGCCAGCAAGCCTTTAGAACCCGGAAAGCAAAGATCCAGCAGCGAGTATGCGAGAAAAAAAAAAGGTTGCTGGAACTCACGAGCGCGGAGAAATGACCCGCTGACCAGAGAGAAGCCGGCAAACCAATGTGAACTAGGCTTCGATTCTCAAATTTCAGGTCCTAATTATTTTGATTTTATCTCTCTTCTTATTTGGCAGGTTGACAGGCTGCAAGTGTGTGGTGTCCTACATGCGGCCGTTAGTTTTTTAATAACACTCAAATTAGGTCAAGACAAGTCACCTGATGACTTGTCATGACGTCACTGTTTCCAGCACGACGACAACATGAGAGCAAAGCAGTATGGAACGGTTTGTGTTGTCTGTTTGGGCTGTCAAGCTTATTGAAAAAGAATTTTGGTGTGGATTTGATATTTGGAAAGGGAAATTATGCTTGGGTATCGGCAGAATGGTGAGCTATTGGGATTCAAAGAGATGTTTTCTTTCTTGATAACAGGAGCTGGTACAAATATCAGTGGGAAATGGCAGGAACCAATCTCCTTGGTTTGGAGGTAGGATATTCCGTCGTATGGAGCTCAGGGTAACGGGTGTCGAAATCTTGGATCAGGAATATATATCATGTGCCTCACCCTATATCTCCAAAGCTGATCTCCGGGGTGAGATTGACAATTGGTTCTTTCCTTTGTGTTCTAATATACCAGGGAAGCAGCATGACGCTCATTATAAAACATAGCTACAAGACATGCATCACATTAAGACAAGCATATTCAATGCAAGGAAGCCGCACCCAGCATAGAAGGTCCAGTTTTATACTGGACTCTATGCTTAATAAACCAATATGAAGCTCTCGTGGGGATTATGCCGCCGGGTCTGTTCTATGCAATATTCATGATCCCAGACTAGCGAGATTCATGGCAACGGTTAATATGGCCAAATTGCTGGGCCATATATGCACAAACCTAACAGAAGCTCTTTGTGCCCGGGCTTGCTCTTTATTATCACACGCAGATCAAGAGTTACCACACCTTATCTCGACTGCATGGCTTAGCTCCACCAGATACATCAGTCTTTGTCGAGATATCCATATATTGTGCTAGATTTCCATTGTCTAAACCAGAAAGGAGAATCCTATTCTTTGTAGCTTCAAATAGTGCTGTTGATGAGACTTTCAAAGGATCTAAGCGGTGAATTTGATCGGGCTTTCTCATGTTGGAAACTCGCGACCTGACAGGAATTGTTGCTGGTCCAAACTGGGAGCTTTTCTGTCACTTTCCAAATGGTTTTTTTTCTTTTTCTTCCTCTCCTCTTCTTTCTCTTTTTCTCTTTCTTTCTTTATCTTTCTGTCTTTACCATCTCTCTAGAGACCTCTCTCCTTCATCATCATTGCGTCTCGCACTCCATGCGAGAAGCCTCTCGTCGTTACATTTTCGTTAGATTCTGCCTCGTCCACAGATATCATTCTTTTGCTCTTGTCATTATGCCTCCCCATAGGAACCCAAGGTTCTTTGCTACCCGCGAGGATGGTACCATGACCCCCCTGGTTCCCGTTGACGAGCTTCCAGCTCACATCTCCATTCGTGGTGTCGCTCGCACTTTGGAGGCAGGTGATACTCAGGGTATGACCAGCTGTGGTGTGGCCACCCGGCGTACTGAGCCTTGGGATCTTGAAGGTCTCTCTACTGCACTCCCCTTTGTCAAGGGCCCAGAGGCTCTCGCCGAGTTGAAGGACTCCTTGACCCGCGTTGTGAATGACGAGACCGTTACTGCCACTACGCGTCTGTCTGTCCAGGCCATCTTGTACAAAGGTCTTGCTGAGGCTGAGAATGTTCCCACTCCCTCCAGCACCATAGTAAGCAACACCGTGATGTCCCCTCTTGCCCCTGCTTTCCAGGCCAACAATGGGCAGATTGCCAGACCCAATGTGTGTTTCAACACCCATCTAACGCGTCATGGTTCATATTGCTGATATTTCTCACACAGGGGGTTCACCCTAAGAAGATATACTGTTCTTACTGGATCCGCCACGGCGAATGTGACTACTCTCAGCAGGGTACATCATTTGATAAACACGATATCTGAGAATCTTGACTAATATCTCACAACACAGGTTGTCTTTACAAGCACGACATGCCCACTCAACCCGAGCTGTTGGAGAAGTTAGGCCTGCGCGATATTCCCCGCTGGTTCCGCGAAAAGCATGGCGTTGAGAGCCTCGTTCACCCTGTTCAACAATACCGAACTACTTCCCGCCTTGCAATCACCGAGCAGTCTCAGTCATCTACTCCAGGAATCCAGTTCCCTGGTACTCCTACCCCCGAGATCAAGGGCCCGGCCCCGCAGCCTAAGCAGCGTTCTCCTTTTCACGGCCCCCCGAACGGCGGTGCTGCTCACCCCCGTGGACCCCGCAACACCTCAGGATGGAAGAGCCGTCAGACCAAGGGAAAGAGCATTCTCCCTGCCTCCGTTCTCCCTGAAACCATTACGTCCTTTCATTCCTCTATCTACGATAGTGCTTCGACAACTGATAGCACTGGCTACACTGAATTCCTCCAGAGGGGCGCACTCGCAAATGCAATGGTCCCTATCAGCACCCAGGCTCAGTTTGTCATGCCGACTCTTGCCAACCCCAACGCCAATCTTATGGACACTGGTAGCTCTTACCGCTCCCCATCTGCGAATGTCGATAACCTGACTGTGTCCAAAGACCCTTTCGAGCATGGATTCCCAGATGCCTCTAACCCCGTTGATAAGACTCATCTAAGGTCGAAGTCCCGCCCTAGTCACCAGCAGCACAAGCTGAATCACTCCTCCGTCGATGGTGGTGTCAAGCTTCCTACAGACCTGTACATACAGATGGGTTCATTCTCTGCTCTAGCTGACTTGGATGGAAACAATGAATCGGCTGCCGGTACCCAGGCTTCGTCCTTTAGCAACCAGGCTGTCCGTTCTGATTCCAAGTCTCCCCTGAGTGACATCGTCTCCGAAAGCGACCCTCTTGAAGAGAATGACATTCGCGATGCCTGGGGCGCCGTTGGAACCCCAATCAGCCCACCAACTGCCCGTGTTACTGCTCCTCTGCCTGCTTGTGCCGCTACTCGCTCCATTGGCTCTCAGCCTGCTGGCCTTGTAGCCGATTCTAATCAGCACCAGCGCTCTGCCACTGTCATCCGCAGTTTTCCTTCTTCCTATTCCAACGTCTCCCACACCCACTGAATGATATTGTCACTGCTTTCACATGAATGACGACTTCGCCGCCGCTCTACCATGTGTAGCAGCCTTGCTGTCCATATGAGTGTGTACATATCATATCATCTGATCCAACGAAGTGTTTCTTTGTTCGTGGTCTGTCAAGTGAAAATACTTATGGCTCGTGGAACTGCTTACTATGTCCTGTGCCTGACAAGTCATGATAATTTTTTATTGCCAGCATTGTGATTTGGCTATTTTTCTATCGAGTGAGACATGGACAACATTGAACAAATATGATACTTTTATCTATCAGGGCAGATGAAAGACGGCGTGATGTTTCTACTGGGATTTCGTTTTGTGTTTCTTTTGTTGTTTTTTCTTGATTGGGCTGCCAGGTACCCAAATCTGCGTTTGCTTTTGGTGACACGTTCACCGGTTCTTGTTTAATGTTTCAACGGTGCACTGGTGGGATGGAGATCCCCATGGGCGTTATGAAGTGGTGTCATCCGGCTCTGGGGTAGTGTCCCAATGAAATACATTCACAGTTTCGACTGTTCTCCTTCGTAGAAGCATTCCTACGCTCTTGTTGGATAGAAACAGTAGTCGCTCATGTAGAGCAGACAGGCAGATAGGTAAGCTACAATGGACGGGTAACACAGCGAGTCGCCAATGCATTGAATAAAATGACTATAGTACATTTGAAAAAATAATAGATGCCAAAGATCCTAAAATATGCGCCCGCGCCTCGCAAATGTCTGACAACAGCTTTTCAAACACACCCAATATACAGTCTATGAACGTCTCCTACCGGCGGCCAGCAACCTTCTTGCGGGCACCAACCTTGACCGCGACACGTTCCCGCTCCTCGGTAGCCTTAGCGTTGAGGGCGGGGTTGAGCGAAGGCAGGACCTTGATAGCATCCGAGATAATGTTGTTACCATCTACCAGAGCCTCGCGGGTCTGCTCGGCGGCAAGACGCTCCCTGCGGCGAGCGGCGAGCTGCTCCCGACGGGCATCGGTCATATTCCAGGACTCGGGGAATTCAAGGCGGACCTTGGGCTTGTGGTGACGGAGGTCGAGGGGAATATCAGCGAAGGAGTCACCCTCCTTGGCCTCCTTGATCAGTGAGTTGACGAGGTCGGCTAGGTAGCGCTTATTCTGGGCGCGCGAGCCATACTTCTCACTGGACATGCGAACAATGTCGGTCTGGGGATTGTAGCGTGTACCAGCCAGCTTGAGGAATGTTTGGCGCTGGGCTTCGGTGAGGTACTTGGGGGTCAAATCTTGGGAGGCGAGTTCCATAACGACCTTGGGCTCGGCAGGGTGCTGCTCACCCATGTAGGTGGTGTAGCGGAATCGGAGAATGTGGTTGGAGGGAGGCAGAGAGAAGGGCTTGGCGAGCTCTGAAGTTCACGATTAGCGGATGGAAAGGGAGGCTTGTCCAAGGAAACGAAACTTACTGCTCAGCATTGGCATGTCCCATGCTGTAATGCGCGCGTACTCGCGCATCTCGCGATGCAACTCCATTTCTGTGTGTGCCATGGATGTGATTTCGTCGTCGTTGACTTCCTCGTCACCATCCTCGACCTGAGCCATTTCATCGGGATCGTCCTCGGCCCAGAAACCAGGCGTCCGGGGGCGGATATCCTCGAAGCGCATATCCTCTGCCTTGTCGATCTGCTGCAATTCCTTCTCAATCAGCGCGAAGGCTGCAGATCGCTTCGCAGGGTCATTGAATTCGGCGACCATGCGGGTATTCTCCGCGTCGAAATCCGCACGCTCCTCGGGCGACATCAAATCGTACATGGATCGGAGCTCCTTAGTCATGAGATCGGGCGAGTACTCCGGCACTGGCGGAAACTCTTCCAATGTGAGTTCTTTTGGCGGCGGAGGTGCCACGGGGTCTTCCTGGGCGCGTTTGAATGGCGAAACCGAAAAATACCGGACGGAGGGAGCAATCAAACCCCTTCGGACCATGAGCCGGGCGGGCTGAGCCATTGACCTAATTGAAGCCATTGTTGCGGGGATACAGTGGATAAAGAGTTGTCAACCTCTGATGTTTTTTGCGAGGTTCGGCGGTGCAGGATACGCTAGCCTAAAGGAGCTAGCGTGTATAGCTTCACGTGATTCCATATTGACATCGAAGCTTCGATGTGACTTCCTAGTCTTTCTTCTCAAGTATATTTGCTGGTTATAAGTCTCATTGCATTTCTATATAACCGCCATCATGAAGTTGTGCTTCGTTACCGTGGGCGCTACGGCTTCGTTTGAGAAGCTCATCGAGCAAGTGCTTTCTCCGCAGTTCCTGGAGACCTTGGCCGAACGCCGATACACCCATCTTCTTATTCAGTACGGAAAAGGCGGCAGTGAAGCCTTCAGTTCGTTCGCCAACGGCAAGCAATCGGCCCATGGCCTCACCATCGGAGGCTTCGAGTCCAAGCCAAGCCTTGATGAGGAACTATTGATGACAACCAAACGAGGCGACCAAGAGAAGGGTCTCATCATCAGTCATGCCGGTATGTTTTGTCATTTTGATCTCGTTTTGTTTATGTTGTTTGACGTCGATGTTGTTTTACTTTGATGTCGTTTCTATGCGGATTCGCTTTGATGTCCAATGTTTGACCGGAAACCTTACCTCGTTATAGGCACTGGATCTATTCTTGCAGCCATGCGCATTGGCACGCCTTTGATCGTTGTTCCCAATCCTGATCTTGCGGACAACCATCAGGAAGAGCTTGCGCAGATTCTGCAAGAACAGAAATACGTGGTTAGCAGCTCTGTCCAGTAAGTTACGACCTTTTATAGCTTTGGCCCATTTACTAATAACGAATCAGGGAGATTAGGACTTTGGTTGTTGCGCGTGCCGAGCTTCAGAAAACCCAGATATTTGATTCTCATCCTGAAATACAGGATGAACATGCGGGATTCATGTCTGACGATCTGGGTTTCCTTGATTAAGTATTGTTTTATTTGCTTTTCATGGCCTAAATTGTGGCATGTCATTTATGGTCTATGGCTTCTTTTTCTTTTTTCTTTTTTCCTCGCATGGCGTTGTGGTTTCACGATTCACGACTGGTATTTGCATGGGAAATATTGGCGTTCGATGCAGCAATACAGCGATTGATTGTTTGATTATTGACCTGGCTCGACTTGATCCAACTTGTTTAGGAGGAAGGTTTTAAGTCCACGAGAGTTGAATGGGAAACATCAAATAACCTAAAGTTAAGGACCAAGAGGATTTGAGGTGTATCTTCCATAGTACAAACCAACGCAACGGAGAGCCTCTTTCTCACGGCAATTGAATATCCTGCGGTTAACAGTAGAATCTCAGTAGAAATCATATTATATTTGGCTATAGTTAAACAGTAAACTTGTATCTTCAATATCGACTGTTATCATATAAATTGTGAAGTGTACTTTTTACAAGTATGGCCAAGTGGCCCAAGCTCCTTGTTGACTCCCGACGCGAAGCCGCAAAACCTCCCTGAATCAGAAACACGAACTACGCCGCCCAACCACCAACCTCATCGAACCCGCTTATCCACAAATTCGACTCCGCTGGTCCCCCGAATCGTCCATTCTAGGCCGAGAGGCCGTCACACTTGCGCCTCCCTACCCGACCTCACCCCAAACACTCCCCGCAATGGCAGAGGCCACCCTCCACAACGTGCCAATTGTCATCGACAATGGCAGCGGCACAATCCGAGCAGGTTTTGCAGGTGAAGAAATTCCCTCATGTTACTTTCCCTCATTCGTCGGCCGTCCCAAACACCCCCGGGTGATGGCTGGTGGTCTGGAAGGAGACTCGTTCATCGGTTCACGCGCACAAGAACTCCGCGGTCTCTTGAAGATCCGCTACCCACTGGAACATGGCATCGTCACAAATTGGGAAGATATGGAATCGATCTGGCACTACGTCTACGAGAACGAACTCAAGACCCTCCCCGAAGAACACCCCGTCCTCCTCACGGAGCCGCCGCTGAACCCGCGCGCTAACCGTGATATCGCTGCTCAGCTTATGTTTGAGGCTTTTAACGTGCCGGCTCTGTATATGTCTATTCAGGCTGTGTTGTCGCTGTACGCGTCTGGTCGTACTACCGGTGTCGTTTTAGACTCTGGAGATGGTGTGTCCCATGCCGTACCTGTCTTCGAGGGCTTTGCTATCCCGAACAGTATTCGGAGAATCGATGTCGCTGGTCGTGATGTTACAGAACAGATGCAATTGCTGCTGCGGAAGGCTGGCCATGTGTTGCACACCAGTGCTGAGAAGGAAGTTGTGCGCATGATCAAGGAGAAGGTCTGCTATGTGTCGTTAGACCCGAAGCGGGAAGAAAAGGAGTGGATGAACAGCTACCACAAGTCGGATGCAAAGGCCGTCGACTATACTCTTCCGGATGGGCATAAGATCAAGGTAAGTTTCCGCTAAGTCATTTATCCCAAGGATCGTGAGAATGCTAACAGTTGTCCATAGATCGGCCAAGAACGCTACCGTGCACCTGAAATCCTTTTCGACCCTGAGCTTATTGGTCTCGAGTATCCTGGTGTGCACCAGATTGTCCAGGACGCCATCACTCGCACAGATCTCGACCTGCGCAAGTCGTTATACCTCAACATTGTTCTTTCTGGTGGTTCAACATTGTGCAAGAACTTCCCGGATCGATTGATGCGTGAGATCAAGAGATTGGCCGTTGAAGACATGAAGATCCGAATCTCCGCACCAGCAGAGCGCAAGTATACTACGTGGATTGGTGGTAGCATTCTTGCCGGACTAAGCACGTTTAGAAAGGTATGTTGATCCTCCCAGATCCAGATCAACCTGTCATATTAACCCAAATTCTGTAGATGTGGGTCAGCGCAGACGAATGGCACGAGGACCCCGAAGTCATCTTCAAGCGATTCGCTTAAAATACCAGTCATGGCAAAGGTCCTCAAGCCACGGTCACGGTCATTTTATGGGCAGCCAGACTGGCTGTCGTGGCGTGGGTACAGCTCCATCTCCAAATCTCGAAACATGCATTCTTCCACGATACAGCGAAATCCTGTCAACAATTTGTCAATATGATTCGACCACTATGCATTGTAATTGCAATTGGCAGTGCATGCCAGAAGTGATCGACCAATTCGAGTCTCGTCTCCACGCGACTTTTGATACCCCAGTCTCTATTTACCTCTCCAGTTCATGTCGTCTTGGCATTGGTTCTGACTTTATCTGTGCAAATACATACTCTTCTTCTTGGGATGTCTGCTTGACGGTATTTTAGATATGGGCTGTAAAGAACAATTCGTCTTCCAGGCTTAGACTTGTAGGGTATGCAAGTTATTGCATAGATTCAACGTGGTGACACCGTACCATGCCACAAATAATCATTCGCGGGTGCTCACCCTCAGATTGCATCTGGGATATCCCTAGAAACCAACATTGTAGTCAGCATCAGCAGCCACAACGATGATGCATATCAATCGGGATCTGTTTCCCCGCAAATTTCCGTACTTAAGCCACACTCCAAAGCATGCATGAGGGCATTACCGTGACCCTCTAATTTGAGAACATCCCCAAACTATGGTATCCAAATGAGATCACTTGCAAGCGCATTTGACGCCATCGAAGTGCAGCCGACATACAGTCAAGTACAGCAGAAATGAAAACCCTAGCCCTATCAAAATCTCCATACACTTCACATACACCGAACACCGAACACATGGGCATGCTTATAGGCATACGAACTCGGTCTTCATCTGCATGTCAACACCAACTATGTAGATCGCACCCCAACAAATCACGAAACACCTATGACACACTTCAAGCCCTCCACATGCGTCGCTCGGGACGACACGTATGTAGAACCTAACTTAGTAGGCAGCACTCCGTACACCACGTACGCACATTTACATGTAAATCCTAGATGTGGACCGATATCTAGACCTAAATTTCAATGTGGAACTTGTGGAACTTGTGGATTTTGATTTTGATTTTGATTTTGATGTTGATATTGATGTGGGTCGTCGCACGTTTCAGAGATGCGCATTGCGACTGGTTCGATGAGGGCACATGGGTCGGTTGTTGGGGGGGGGGGGGGGGGGGTTTCTACTGTGCGTGTATAGGTGATTTTTGAATTGAGGGAGAGAAGGGTCTATGTTAGTCTTCTTTGGAGTGGTGAGGCTAAGGTTGATTATATTATGTTTTTGTGGGTGAATACTTCTACATACAGTATAGAGATCTGGTGAGTACAATAGTAGTTGAACTATAAATCAGAATAACTGTCTTGGTGAATTGAATAAGATCATAATGACCAAATTATTCGCAATAGACTTATACATACTCCCTATACCAGGAAGTCTTGTCAAGATGACATCTCGATCTTCAGTCCCGATTCCGGTACATCCGGGGAAAGGGTCGAGTCAATTAAACAAAGAGCAACCAAAGTCTAGACCAGAATTCATAAAATGAAAACTTGAATTTAAAAGGAGGTAAAACTATTGAGACATTTAAATCAAATCCAAATAAAACGATGGGAAAAAAAAAACAAGAAAAAAAAGAATAAAACTTGAGTGAAAATTTTTAAGGGCCGGTAGACCGACTAGTTCACCGACGTCCAAGCGGCTGGCTTCGCCTACCGGCGGCGTAACCCAACAATACTACAAGGCGATGGCAATGGCAATGTCGCCATCCATGAGTCAATGGCTAAGCAGATGAAACTTGGAATTTTACAATTTACAATTTACAATGACGCAATTTACAGAGATGAGACGAATAATGGAGATATCAAATCAGCCCAGGCAAAGCCTGAACATATTCATTGTAAAGCCGACTAGAAGATACTAGACCGACCAGCGCTAGATTGGGGGGAATATGTTTGTTGAAAAGGACACAAAAAGCAGCTAAACAAAGAGACAGTTCGACTCGATGAGACATACACATAGGAAATGGAAATGAAATAGAAATTTCAAACCAAGCCAAATCACAAACTCCGAGAATGATGCTGCCAGACCCGTGGGTGCGATGGTGCCATTTCAGTTCTTGATGGAGTATTAATGTGAATGTGATGTATGAATGTTGAAAGGATGACCACCCTGGTTCCAGAACCTGGCGATATGCTGTGGAAAGGAATGTCTTGCTTTATGGCAAGGGATCCAAGGATCCGAAACAAAGAACGCCGGGTTGTTCATGATGCTGAGCGAAGAGTCTTGGTATAACAAAGAAAAGTGGTTGTTGAAATTGAAGGTTGTTGAGGGTCGCGGGAATGGGTATTGGCGACTCAGAAAGAAACAGACGGGTATCAAGAGTCTTATTGAAGACTGAACTTTTGAATCTGGTGAGAGCTCGTGTTTCGGTCTGGATCATACGTGGAATTCCCGCATTGTTGGTATTAAAAGGGACTGAGTCGAAAGAAAAGAGAAAGACAAGAACTTTTTTGGGGTGTCGTAATTTCATAATCTCGTCCGAGACGAGTGTTTGATGTTGATGCAATGCATCTAGGCAGTGCCCTTGAGCTTGCCCCAGCCCTTCTCGAGACCCCGACGAGCCATGTCACGAGCACGGTCAGCGACTGAGCCAGTGCTGGAGTTCGTAGCGGTGCTGGCAGCAGAGTACTTGCGGCTCAGGCTAGCGCTGCTGCAGTCGTCGCTGAACATGGTATTACCGGCGCCACCACGGCCGACGTGGTAGACGGGCGCGGCGCGGCGCAAGTCGCGTTCGAGCTCTTCGTCGAAACTGAAGATGGCGCGCTCGCTGCTGCTGTGGACGTTGCCGGCTCCTCCGCGGCCTGCCATGAAGGTAGTTGGGGTGCGGGAGTCGAGACGGGTCAGCGAGGCTGGACCACTTGCGGTATGCGAGGGAGTCGTCTTGGTGTTCTTAAGGCTGACGATGTTGCCGGCACCACCGCGGCCGGCGTAGACTGCTGGGCGGCCTGCGCGCGGCACCGAGGGGTGCGGTTCAATAACGTGGTAATTTGAGCCGGGCATGATGTGATGTGAATGTTGTAAATTAAAGGTTGTGGTTGTAGATGTGGTTGTAGAAGTATGAATCAGACTAGCTGCGAATGCTATAATGGCAAGTCCATGTGAGGCTGGCAGAATTTGCAGAGTGAATTACTATGGGGTTCTCCCTGGCAACAGCGGGGGCAGAGAATTATATAGTCCAAAGGCCAAAGAGTCACGATGTTCCACCAGGTACCATCCACGGGTCACAAGGTGCCTGTGGAGTAGTTTTCGCTTTTTTTTTTAATTCGCATTTTCCCTTTCGTCATCGGGTTACGGCGGCCAGATGTGCTGCCTATTTGGGTGCTGTGTCAGCCCCTTGTGACCAGTTTATGGAGTATAATTGGTCTACAGTCACCCCACATGGCAGCCCTACATAACCTAGCGCCTGCCGCTTTAACCCTCTTGCCGCCCAGCTGGGCAGTTCCAAGTCATCTGACTGGGGCTGCTCCACCAGTACCAAGTGGCAACACGTAAAAGAAACTTCTTCATCCAATCATCATTTCTATTACCCCCAGGAAATGCGAGAAAACCTCTCATTTCTTGGTCATCGACGTCCAGATCGTAACATTCTTTCACCGCATTCTATATCACGTCAGGTGTTGCGATTTTATGCAATATATTGTATGAGGATGATCTGATGCCAAGGGTTCTATTGTACTATGCAGTACGGAGTAAGTGCTATAGCATATAGCCTCTATCACTATAGTAGTCACGTTATAGTAAAGTATATACTTTGAGCTGACTCACATAAAAAATACCAGCGAACAGGTGACTGTAATTTACTGCTCCAACAATTGCATCATTTACCGGCCCGTGTCCACTTTCTATTTCCAGACTTGTACAACGTCAGGCTTATGAAGCATTTCTAGAAGACTTTCGATGTACATGTATCTATCTAGTAGGTCTAGGTGGCCATGTACGATACCGATTGTACTATATAGACGTCCCTACATCTCAACAGTTCCTACTATGATTACTAGTACATACCGATATTCAAGGAGTCGCAGATCGCAGCACAATGACTCCATCGCACTGAACTTTGCGGGATAATTCCCCCCTTAGCGCGTCGTCGATCCGGTCTAGTTCGCGTATCGGGTACCTGAGGGGGCAGATCATTCAACCTTGCAAGAATTCACGCAATCCCTGCCTAGACCGCCGAGAAAATAGCGTTCATAGCGTGCGACAATAATAGGTCAATAATATTCTCGCGACACTTAGAATGTTCTTGAAGTCAGGAGAGCCGAGTAATCCAAGATCTAAAACTGCAAACCGTTCAGGGGCCCATGACGACAGGCCAAGTCCCCAACAACCAAAAAGAAAAAGTGGAAACAAAAAAAAAAAATGAAATGAAAATTTTTCCCCGTCGTGTGATGTGAATGGCCGAGAGATCCGAGGCGGCGTCTCAGGCAAATGAACGCCACTGTCTGTGCGTTTCCCCAGATTTTCTGCCCCAGACTCTTGCATATTCTGTATCCCTCCGCTGGGACCTGCCGCTCGGATGTCATGTGTATATGTGTATGCTTCCCAGCGTGACTCTACCCCAGCCTCGGCTTCTATCCCTATCCAAGGAACCATCCACCTCACGTGGGGTTAAACGCCTCGTCTACGTGGCTTTGCGGGGGACATCCATGTATGGCCGGGTTGTCTATATCTTTAGGTAAACTGCTGCTCTAGGTCAGGTCCAGCAGACAGCAGGCAGACAGCAGACAGCAGACAGGAGACTATATCCCGACATCCCAATTGGAAGGGAGAATAGAATAGCCTCGCAACACCTAACTTGCAACACCCCTGCGTGATAGCACGACACTCCTACAGTATACAAGTATCTCACTAGCGTAATATCACCTCGCACGATGCGCGATTAAACATAATGCCAAGCACGTAATCCCCAGGCCTCTATACTGTTTACCCCAAATTGAATCAGACATGCATACACTAGCCCAACCTTGGAAGAACACCCCCATCTCCATCCCCTTCCCCATCATATTATCTAATAGTGCAGGCTGATGACACATGATTATCACCGCCGCCTGGTCGAGACCGGCAAAATAAACCGGTTACTGGTCGGGTCGTAGCCGGCGGTACAGGGTATACGGTAGATGGAGAGTAGATGTATTACACTCTCGTTCTATAGTTTGGGGTTGGGTCTAGATGCGAGGGATACCCGGTTTGACTTCTACTACACCTCCTAAATGGGCGGTGTATCCTTCCAGTGGATACCTTCACTTCCAGGCTTTTGAAGGGTTAAGTTACCCAGTTGGTCTTGGTATATGTATGGATGTATATGTTCCTGCTTATCCGGCCGGGTTAGGTTCGGATGTCAGCTCGGGTAAGCGGACCGACCGACAGGGATTAAGCTGGGGTGTTATAGGACCATTAAGTAATTGTTCAGCTTTGGCTACGCGCGTTGTCTGCGTTGTTTTCATACTGGTGGAGGCATTTTGGGCATTATGCTATGGATCGCATTCCCGGAACTGTATCTTGTATGCTTGGGTCGTCAGCTGTGTTACACTTACACCTATGCTTACATTTATGAGTGTTGTTGTGTTGGTCTTTTGGTGCATATTGCAATTCATGGCTTTGGGCTTAATATTGGGTTGGGTTGAGTGGGAACTCGGCTGCCTGATGTTGTCCATGTCGTGCTGGATTGGCAATTTTGCAGATCTTGCTGGGTTCAAGATTGAGCAAGTGTTTTCCTTGTCTCATTTGATCGTCATTGCTCGTTATCTGGTACGGACTCCTCGAAAATTCCATGTTCGACCTCGGATAGCGATGTCCTTGTGTACCTGGACTGGGACACATTCCTGATGTTGTAGTGCAGCGCTAAAAAAACAAGATTTCTGAACCTGGTTGGTAGTCGTTTCTAGAATGCTTGTTTGAAATCTGTACGACTTCTTATGTTACCATTCTGTGAGACTTTGGTCTTAGCTTCGAGCGAGACAAGTCTATGCAGTGGCATCCAGAATGGCCAGAATGGATATTGTAGTGGTGGAACAAGTGACAGTAGTAAATTAGTGGCCCGAGGTATCACAAGAGATATGCAGTCTTCTCACACAAGAGAGAGGAGCAACATCCAATCATCCAATATGACTACAGATCTTCACCAGACTTCTTGATCCATGATATAGCATCAGGCTCAGTACGATCTACACCTTCAGAGACTATTCTCTACGTCTACCTCAGGCCATGGGAGTGGTTGTTGTGTGATTTCTTCGTTGGTATCGACCCGTCTGCTATGCCATCGTGCCATCGTGCCATCCCCATTTCATTTTTGTTTTAACAAACAAGCAGGAAAGTCAAGTAGAAAGTGCTCAATTGTCTCTCATCCTGACATAAATTTTAATCCCCCCTTGTTGCTTGGTAAATTCAGGCGCAAATGTATGCGGTCAACGAATCTCCGATGTGTCTCAGCCCTAACGGGGAGCCTCAGTCTTGGCAGTAACGTCCTCATTCACTCCACCCAATTTAAGCGTCCGCAGCCTTCAAGTCTCATATGCTCAATTTGTGATGAAGGATTCTTCCGGGCTCATCTCCGTCTCGGTATTGGGGTCAGATTGCGCAATCACCACTTCAAGATAGGGAAGAGCCCACCGATTGAGAACTGGATCGGTGTCCTGGGCTGACTTCACAAGCCGGGCATAGAGGGGCCCTTTGGCCTTGACCTTGAGAACGATATTGAACAGCTGCTTGGAGGACTATGAGTTCGTTCGGTTGAGTGGTATCATTCTTTTCGTAAAGGAGGCGAAGTGTATTGGGGGGGGTCCTTGATGGCAAACGTGCATGAGACCTCCGAGGAGAGAAGCCAACCAAAGGGGAATAGGCCGCCAACTTTGGTTTGCGCTGGGTAGAAGAAATTCATGCGCAGGGAACCGTTCTTATTAAGGAGAGGAGGATCTCGGTATCGTTATCTTTGAATGCCGTCATGGTGGACTTTGGGGGAGATTCGGTGCTTGCAATGCCCGGGAAACGCTGCCCGGGGGTGGAGAAGGTGTTCATCTTGACGAAGAGCAACGTGGCAGATGAGGTGGTAGATAGTATGGTGCGGACGGAAGAAGATTCTCAGAGTTTGAGTTGGTTTTGAGGTTTAGACGCGTCTTCTTACAAAGTGCGATGACATGAGATCGGACGCGTCCTTAAGAGTTATTTGCTGGTCATGGGTCTTTACAACGCTGATCACCGCCAGAGGCTCACAATCAGCTCGGTACTATTAGTGCTATCCAGACTTAATCTGTTGTATCTCTCTTTGCCATGTATGCTTGGTCAAAATTATTCAAGCTGGGCATCAGAAACCCAGTGACTCCCACCAGCACATCGATATCCACCACTCTGCTGGATCCATCGATAGCCCGCAACACAGACACCCATCTTCCTAAGCTTTGCTTGATTAGCCTGTTCCTTGCGGTATGCCTCAGCCTGGGCCTCTCTCTTCTTCTGAAGTTCATTCAGCAGAGCTTCTTGTCGTCTGCGTTCCAGTTCATGCTGCAGTCTAGCTTGTTCGTGGTGCGTTCTTGCATCTTCATCGGCTTTTTGCTGTGTTTCGATCTGCTCCTTTGCTGCTTTGTCCTCTGCTTTTTTCAATGCCAGTACAGCCTTTTGTTGGGTTTCTTCTTCTTCCTGCCAACGCAAATACTCTTTGTCTTGAGCCTCTGCGAAGGCTTTGTCTTTTGTAAGTTGTTCCCATACTGCATCATCAACACCAAAGTCGCGCTTAGTGATAGCTTTGCTCTTCTCTGCAAGGGGCTTAATGGCTGCATCCGGCTTGCTACTTGCCGTCTCTTTCTGGGTCGAGACTCGGCTTTCCGCTGACAGCACTGGCTTGTCGAGAGTTTTGGTGTGTACAGCAAGGTTCATCTTCTGTCTATTGCTTGCATTTGATGAGCTTTTCAGAACATCGCCTCGATGGGTCCGCTCAAGTATCATGAAATCGATGGCCTCGAGAATTGTTGCTTTGTTCAACTGCATCTTCTGTCCATTGGAGCATTCGATCGTCTTCCCAAATATTGTCTTTGTCAAAGAACCAACGTCTCGAGCATTTGCCCAGCCTTCAGTCTGTGACAGAGTATCAAAGCGCTCAGCCATGATTTCCATGAAGTCAGAATCAGGGCTTTGTAGGCACGTGATGTCAAAGGTCACCTGAGATTTCTCAAGAAGCGTTTTCTTTTCTTTTGAAAGTAGCTTCAAGATAAACATAATGCAATCCTTCGAAGACAGTGAGTCAAATTGGAGAGACTCGGGGAAGCGACTTGTCAGCCCGGGGTTGATAGACATGAGGCGGTTGATATCTCTGTCGTAGCCGGCCAAGATGATGATCAATTTTTGTGCATATTTAGGCTTGGTCATACAGTCAACGAGCTCATTGATTGCATCTTTCGTGAAGGAACCATCTTCGGCGAGACGATATGCTTCGTCTATGAAAAGAACCTTACCAAGGCCGCGCTCCAAGAGTTCTTGGACTTTCGGACCCGTTTGTCCGACGTATTGACCAACCAAGTCTGTCGCGGAAGCTTCAAGCACCTCATTTGTTGACAATAAGCTCATATCGTAGTAAACCTGTCCCATTTTTCTGGCTGTGCTGGTCTTTCCAGTTCCTATACTGAGTAAGCAAGCTATCGTTTAAATCGAAAAGATCAAAGTGGGAGTACCAACCTGGAGGACCGCGGAAGACAAAATTGAAAGGAACTTGGTCACATGGATTCATGTTCAACTGTCGAAGCTTTTTAACCATCTGCTGATAGCCTTCTAGCTTTGAGACGATGGTTTCACATCCTACCACCTCTTCAAACATCTTTGCAACGCTTGCTTGCTCCTTGTCGGCACGATCGAAGTCTTCATCGAAGTCTTGGGCATCAAGGGCAGCATCAGGAACGTGAGCTGGCTGTCTGTTGAAAGATAGACGTTTCTGGTAGCGCATCTTTGCAGCGTTGAGCAGGTTATCAATCTCTCCTGCATTTCCAAAATGGGGTCGATTTCGAGATCGCTCGAGCATCTCTAAAATCACTCGACGGCCACGGTCCGTGATGTCAAATGCTTGTTTGTTGAGCTTCAGGGTCAGTATGGAATTCATTTCGTCCTTTGTGAAGTCCTTGAACTCGAAGGCCTGGTCTATTGGGAAGCGTCGACTGAGACCAGGATTGACATTTTGAAACATCTGTTCCATGAGGTCTTTGTAGCCTAAGAGCAGGACACATCTGTCATCGCCTGGCGTGCTCTGTACTTCGGCTACAATCGTGTCCACAACTGCAGCTCTGTAAGGATCACTCGCGGCTCCCGTGCGATTTGAGGCTCCTCCGGTGTAAAGCCCGTAAGCTTCATCAATTACCAGAACTTTACCCAATGTAGATGCAAGTATGCCTTTGGTCGTTTTCTCCGATTCCCCTATCACGCTGCCAACAAAATCTGATGGGTTTTTTAAAACAACTGTTTCTCATGTCAGCGAGTCCAACAAAATAATGAATAAATGGCTTGCGTACCTTCGCCACTAGACAGAAACCCAATATCCACAAGTATCTGACCGTAGATCTTGGCAATTGAGGTCTTTCCAGTCCCAGGGTTCCCCAAGAAGACTTTGTTCAAGCTGTACTCAACCAAGGGTTTCTCATCAATCTCCCTCTGGAAGTTGTGCTTCATCGTCTCTATGAGAGCCTCGACTGTCTTTTTAACTGTACCCAGGCCAATCATAGATTGCAATTCTAGCCATGCATTGGATGTCTTGAGAGCCTTGGATGGATCCGGGCCGATCAAATCCGCCCCGGCGAAGAAGAAGTCGTCAGTCCTTGCACCCTGCCGTTTTGCCTGCCTGATTCGCTCAGATTGCCGCTCTGTTATTTTGGAGAGGGTGTTTTCAACGGCTCGTGCGTTTGCGAAACCATCGCGACCACGGCCACGGCCAATGCGACGTGCGACAATACGACAATAAAGCCCTCCCAGACCACCTTCGACATTCATCTTCTGCTTGTAAGATTTCTCAATGCAGTTCACCAGGATCTGCATCAGCTCCGTATCGTCAAAATCATCAAACTTCAACTCATGCGGGAATCGTTCAGGTAGTCCTGGATTATGCGCGAAGAACTTTTCCATTGGCCGTTGATATCCTGCAAGGATGAAGACAATTTTTCCGCGGAGTTTCTCAATCTCAGCCAAAAGGAAGTCAAGAACTTGGGGTCCCCCAAGACTAGAATCCTGTACAAGCTGGTAGGCTTCATCAATGAAGAATGCACCACCTCCACCTTTCAAAAGACTCTCGATGGTCTTCTGGCATCCCGAAACACCCTCATTTGCCAATCTAGATCCGGATGTTTCGATGAAGTTATCTCCAGGGATTACGCCCATGGACGCCAGAAATTTGGCGTATAGACGAGCTACGGTTGTTTTCCCAGTTCCAGGATTTCCGAGCAACACTGATCCGAACCTTTCCTCGTTCAAACTTCGGTTCTGTCTGATAGCAGTTTCCACCTTGAACTTGATGGTGAGGAATTTGTCTTTCACAGACTCAAGTCCAATCATTTCCATCAGCTTGTCAATTTCCTGACTCTGGGCATTTTGAAACTTTTTTTGGTCATTCCAGTCGTCATTGGCTGGTGAATTCTTCTGTTTTGGCATTACTGGTGGTTTATCGGATTTTGCAATATGGCTTTTGGTGTCTGCGTTATCGGCAGTTGGTCTGTCGTTTGTTTGTTTGATGAAGCTCGAACTTGTTGATGCCCTTGATTCTTCTCCTTTTGGTATTTTTACCATATCTGGAGTCTTCCGAGGCGCCTTCAAATCCTCTATTTCCTGGTGGTGCTGCTCGAGAACCCTGGCCCGCTCAAAGTCATCTGACTCATCTTTTCGCAGTCTCCTTAGATGGGAAGCCTCATCCTGGGCTTCTGCAATCTGCTGGGCATATCTTTCTTGCTTTCTCTGTCTCTCTGTCTCTAATTTGAGATCACGCTGGCGCCGGCGCTCTTTGACAGCATCTTCTTGAATGCAGAAACGACAATGGCCTTTTGACTGGGAGCATGGCAGGGATGATTCGTGGCCACGAGGGCACCTCCATTTCACAATTTTCGTGCAAGGCATTTGTGAGTGATCAACGAGTTGGTGGCACCTTGAGGTGCACTTGTGCACTCCACACTTTAGCGTCACGTCACTATGCAGTGTGTTAGCATCAGAGTAGGCACGGTTTATGTTAACCCTGGAGCTTACCAAGGTGCGGAGCATCCACCCTCCGGACACTCCTTGTCGAAATCGACCGCAGTTCGAAGAATGTTTGTCGTTTGAGGATGCTGTTCACATCGCACGGGCAAACCATCGTATAGATGCCCATCATATTTGAGTTGATCGATGAGTGGCTTCCACGTGTTTCGACCCTTGCGACTAGAGACAAATGTCTCTGAATTTCCTACCAGAATCAAGACGTTTCGGGCTCGGGAAAGCAGAACATTCAGACGCTCGGGGGCTGCCATGAAGCCTATATCGCCTTCTTTGTTGCTTCGGGTAAGCGACGCAATAACGATCTCACTTTCCTCGCCCTGGTAGTTGTCTATATATTTGGTTAAGATGAGCATTCAGCTGTTTTCGTTCACAAAACTCACCAATTGTTGAAAGCTTCAGCTGGCGCTTCGAATGTTTTGCGCTTGCCTGTGACAAGAGCCCTGCCTTCAGGAGGTCATAGGAGTCAAGATCGTTTAATACCGGATCGTTTTGCTTGCTGAGAGTTTCTTTCAGAAGAGAAAGTTGCCCAAGGTACGGTGTCAACACGACCAACTTGTCCGTTCCATATCCTTGTTGCCCAAGATACTTCACGATTTTCAACACGATCTCAGCCTCAAAAACATTCCTTTTACTTCCCTTTGAACCCTCATCACGTTGATCAGACACATCTTTAAAGATAGCCTCAAAGTTCTTATGGTGAAAGAATATCACCCGATCACACAATCCCCGTGGCTCAGGGCGATTTTTCGTTTTCTCGGCATCTTCCAGTGCAGGGTATGTAAGACTGCGTACCAATCCCGAGATCTCAGGACACATTCGATGCTGCTTGAGGAGGGTTGTATGAGGGAAGCCGGCGTTTATAAGCCTTTCAAAGAGAGAAACGTTCAGGTCATACCCATCACCCTTCTCCACGCTCAGGCCATAGCCGTTAATTTTGGGTCGCAGCTGTTGATGATCACCTATCAAGATCAAATGCTTGGTCTCTGGTCCCATTGCTGTCAATACGTGAGACTCAAGGATCTCACCCGCTTCCTCAAGAAGCACAATCTCAGGTGACGCATGCCGAATGTCTTCAGAGTACATTGCTGCAGCTGTAGTGGTACATCCAATGATTTGCTTTGTTTTCAGAATCTCCCTGTTTTTCTCTCCCCAAATGGTGCTCAGCCGTTTTGAACATTTGTCAAGCAACATCATGCGAACTCCCAAGGATTCAGCTTGCTCTCTCAGCAATCCCTGTTTCCAGGACTGGTTTTTCTGATCCCGTGCTTTCTCATCGAGAGACCACGCACCTTGGCAATGAGGAGGAACCAGGTGAGAGCATACACCAGGGGTTTTCCCTTTGACCCATCGGTCATAAAGATAGTCTTTTCCAATGACTTTTCCTTTTTTCCCGACAATCGCCATTCCATTTTGATCCTCGGGTACCACAAATGCTTCGAAATACTCTGGATCTTCGAACTCGAGGTAATCCAGTATGGAGGTAGCATCAGCCGTCAGATTCCGATAAACCTGGAAAGCGCTGTTCAAATCATCGATATGGTCATCACCATCACTCTCAAGTGCGTTAATAGTATTCCATGTTGTCGTGGATCGTGAGAAAGATGATTTCTGCTTGAAGAGACCAAGTGGTTCCGTGCGCTGTGTTGACTTGGAGCCTAACCGTACTATCGCCGAAGGATCGATTCCAATATCAAGCAGATCCTCCAAAAATTGGTCCAAGGCATGGTTGGTATAGCACATGACCAGGATTCTGCTCTCGGTGTGGTCATGGAGAGCCTTTGCAAGAAGAGCGCCTATGAACGATTTTCCCGTTCCTGGTGTCATAGTGTCAATCTGCTGTGTCTTTTCAGTGTCTTAAATGTTCCTTGTCAGCATACCTGGAGGACCTTGAATGAGGCTGACTCTTTGTGTCAATCCTGCTAAAAGGGAATCGAGCTGCGATGGATCCAGAGTGATCGGGTGTCTCGTCTGAAGGATGTTTTGTATATTGCACCTATACGCTTCCTTCAACTCCTTGATCACATTCCAAGGAGCAAGGCTTGAATCTTTAGCAGGCTGCTCATGTTTGTACAGGAACAGTTCCTCTGTGAGAGGAATTTCGATGCTCTCCTGTAAACATTTCAAAATGGGTTCATAGGCAAAGATTGCGGTATCAACAACCAGAAAGTCCACATCGTTATAGAGCTTGAGGTAAAGAAGAGATTTTTTGAGGGCCTCCTCGCCCGAGATGCGCAACATGACTACTGGGGGTTCCAATGCCAGGTTATCGATGTTTCTTTCTATCGTGGCGAATCCCACAATCTCCGTGCCTCGAATCAAACACCCAAATGCGTGATGCTTGACAAATGAGTGGTTGGTTTTCAAAAAGGTCTTTCGATCTTGCGGTAGGACTTTTTTGATTTTGTCAAGACCGAACTTGCAAGTCACGCCGACAGTACATGGCTGAATACGCTGCCTTCCATTCTTGACGGAAAAGCACTCAATCTGAACAAGAGAAAGACCTGCCAAGTGTAGTGCCGATCGCTTCCCTTTTTTCGTGCCTTGTGCGATTTGGAAATCGTCGCGGAGTCCTGAAAGCATGTCCTCTCGCAAAAGCCGAAACTGGTTGTCGATATGACCCGCAATGCGCTGGTGCCCCGAAAGCTGCGCAACGGTCTCTACTTGACGGTAGAAGGGTTTCTCGGTGCATCCCATTTCATCTGCTGTGGGTAGGATTGCTATCGATCTGAAGTCCGCAAAGTCATTGTCGTGGCGACCGCCAGCTGTGTTCTCGGAGGCAGTGATTGTTTCTGCGGACGATTTCATCTCCAAAAGGTACTTGATCTTGTGTCCTAGGTTGTGGACTTCAACCAAACGAGACGACAAGAGTGATCCATCGCTTATCACGAGTTGAGCATCGGATCGAACATCTACACCGGAAGAGCTAGGCAATGCCAGAAACTCGGATATCATCCAACATAAAGCAACAATCGCGTGATCTTCCAATTTGCGACCACGAAATGCCTCCACAAACGAATTCCATAGCGTTCGGGGCTCTAAAATGATCATCAAAAGTTGTTCAAGGAAAGATCCATTGCAAAGAAGCTTGACTTCGCGATGTTTCAAATACAGGATCAGCTTCGCGGTGTATTGATTGATGAAGGCCGGGGTGATATTGTGCCTGACTCCATTTCTGAGGGCTTTCAAAGCATGTTGGCTGGATATGATTCGCTCGACCAAAATGCAGGGATCTTCTTGGACCAGAATTGCTTCAACGAAGCGTTTGAAATTGTTGGTGTCCTGGACTTCCTGTTTTCCATAAATAACAGATCCAAAGTATCGCGCAAGTCTGTCTAACCTAGCATCAGACATGATTGAGAGATGCAAGAAATAAAACGTGAATGTTTGCAGGATAGAAGAGGTAGACAAGAAGTAGCTGGGGGTATTATCGTAAGCGCCTTAGAAAGAGTTGGGCGGCAGATGCGGCGATGTGGCGATGCGGCGTTTGATCTAACTGTAAGGCAGCAAATAATACGCATGCTTCCTTTTGTTCACTGGATAATACCCTTGGAGGCCCACCATAAGTATTTTTGAACTGCAGCATAGCTGGTACACACAGCCAATCAAGGTAGGGGTTGTGTTGGGCAAGGATTCGTGATAGCTATCATTTACACCCTGGTCTAGTAAGCGTGAGACCCCGCGCGTACAGCAAACACCTTGTAGCAAATATACCAAATCTGGGTTTAAAGGCTGGTTGCTCCTCATTGAAACTTTGTGCCTTTGACAACTGCTAGCTACACTATCTCTAAATACGGTGTTCACCCTTCTTGAGCTCACGTTTGTTGTTGTCACTCCAAGCTACCAAAATCATGTATCGCCAAGGACGAGCAGGAAGATGGAAAGGAACAGGGCAAGGGAGAGGAAAAGGTATCAGGGCAGGTACAGAAGCGGCGTCTCCAGCTCCGCCCCTGGGGGATATTCTCGCAAAGATCCAGCTTGATGACCTCAAGGAGCCTATCGATCAAACGGATGGCCTACCTATCATCACCAAGTGTAAGTATGTAACATCCTACAACTGGCTCTATCGGGAAGAACATCGGGTCTTCGTTCCAGGTAAAAAGATTTCAAAATTCAACATATCTTCATGATCAGGAGCTGATGCATGCCTGCAAGGTGAGCCACCGGCTTGGACACCTCCCTCAAAGCTTCCCAGGCTTCAAGAAGACTCCGGTCAATACTATCGTGACCTGAATGCCGCGCGATCTCCCGTCTACCCGCTGGAGCCGATGATTCAAGCTGTATTGTCGGACAACCCCGACTTTAACTTGGTCAGCTTGGACATCGTTGGGTGCGGTAGTACGATTGGCAACCTCCTTCGCTTCGTGCGTGATCAACACAAATCTTTCAGAATGCTCGTCGAGGTGGTTGGTAACACTGTCTTCTTGGTCCGGAGAGAGAACTCACCGACTGAGATGCTCACCGGTGTGTACGGATATGGACATTCTTTTCCAGAGGCAAACACCACGTGGAGCAAGGAGGTCAAGGGGTCTATGTCCAATCAACGGTTGATACAGTACGATTTTGCAGGCATGAACTGTTTGGTTCGGTTCGAGGCAGATGGCTATTTGCCAGATTTAGCCCCAAACCTCGCCGAAAATGTCATTTCGGAGCCAAGTGAAGATGATATGGACAGTATTTTGTATTCCATCGGAAAATCTACCATCTCGAGCATCTCTGCTACCGCCACGGTTGATGATTTGAAGAAGCTCCGCATCGAAAAAAAGGGTCGCCATATCCCGCAGGCTGCGGTCTATGACTTGAAGACCCGCTCGATCAAGAAGAAAGACATTGTCGACACTCTTGGAGAGGAAATGGGTCGATTGTGGATTGCACAGATTCCCAACTTCATTCTAGCGTACCACAAATCTGGTAATTTCGAAGATGTTCAGGTCCAGGACGTGAGTGAGAAACTGAAGCAGTGGGAGGAAGATCACCAGCCAGAGTTGGTCAAATTTGTCAATCTTTTGCGAACTATAGTGTCTTTCGCTCGAAGCAGTGAAAGCGGTAGGTTTGAGATCGAACGTGAAGAGGGTGGAATGTGTTTAAATTTGCGAGAACAAGGAGGGGCTGTCAATAGGGTCTTGCCCTCGTCTCTTGCAAAGGAATGGGATGTTGAGGATGATTCTCATGACACTGGTGATGTTCATTATTCTTCATAAGTGATTAGCAGAATAGATTGAAAGAGCACTGATTGCCTTACTAGTGGACACAAGACTCCAATCTGAATCAAATCGAATATTCCAATCTCTACAGATTCTAGACCTCATTAGTAAGCTTTAGAAGTAACTAAGGTAGTACTTATAAAGATGTTCTGCCTATAAACTAGACGGCGATCTCCCATCTGGACGAAATATCACAATTTTTTGCCCTTGGACTTGACCATATTTCGTGACCGAAGCAGATAGCTGCAACCACTTATTCAATGGCTGCATCTTTGTCTTTTTGCAGTACGCAATTGCACTCCACGTCATGACTCCGAGATACTTCAGCTCCCCGAATAGTAATTGTGGGCCTGGGGGACACTAAAGGGCACTAAACAGGAGCTAAAGTAACCTACTTATGCCGCCCATGCAGCTTGCATAAATTAGGGCAGTGACATCGACGCAAGATACCCCGTCTTATCACATTCAGCACCTATCACTCCTCGTGGTTTATGAAGTCTTGCTTGGGGGTCCCATGCTGCAGTTTCATGGCGCAGGGAATTTGGTATCATTCGCGCGCTGGTGCCACTTGGCTGTTACATGTTAAAGCTCGGTTAGAATAACGGGTAAAGATTGTTGGATACTATGCAGATGACTCTCTGGCTGCCTACGTGTACGTCTAGACGTAATATATCCCCGCAGCGGATCTGAATCAGTTTTGGAGACTTTAATACTTAAACGCTTGTCTTCCATCCTGGATGGCTATACCTCGATAGCTATACAGAACGAGCACCATGCTGTTTTCTCTTGCTTCGGTTCCAGACTGGCTAAATACGACACCTTTCGTTCTCTTTCTTTGGGGATATAGTGCCTATTTAGTGGCACTAGGTATCTACCGAGGTGAGAAAGCACATTACTACATTACGTACAGCAAGCATAACTGGCTTTGCAGTCTATATAAGCCCTTTGGCAAAATATCCAGGCCCCAAGCTGGCCGGTATGTATGGTCGTTCTCGATTCTGGCTATTTGCTAACGCCCTTAGGCCTGACGACCCTTTACCAGGCGTACTATGATATTTATCTTGGGGGAAAGTTCTTCAAGAAGCTGGAGCAGTTACATGAAGTATATGGTATGCTATAGCCCTCAGACAAGGATTGAGGCGTCACATAACTTCCAACAGGCCCAATTGTTCGCGTCAACCCACACGAAATCCACATCAACGATCCTGATTTTATCGAGGTCCTCTTTACTGGAGCCACCCAAAAGCGAGATAAGTACAAGTGGGTCGGAAGGTCCCTCTTGTGTGAGTTACCTGGCTGATACAAGAAGCGTTCCTGAGCAACTAACATATCCTAGTGCCGGATTCTGTTGTAGGTACTATCGACCACGACCATCATCGGACACGCCGGTCTGTATTGAACCCCTATTTTTCCAAGACGAGTATTCGTCGTCTCGAAGACCGCATTCAAAACACAGCTGGCAAGCTTATGGACCGCTTGGTAAAAGCAGGTAAAACTGGTGAAATCTTGCAATTAAAACTTGCTTTTAAGGCGGCAACCTGCGACATCATCAGCGAGTATTGCTTTGGTGTATCTACGAAATACGTAGAGCGTGATGATTTTAATCGTGGGTGGTTCGATGCTGTCGATGCCATGTTCAATATGGCATGGTCGATGACGTATATCTCCTGGTTGGGGCCAGTGATGGCGAGACTTCCACCGTCTATCATCGGAATGATGCATCCTGGTCTGAAGTCTTTATGGGACATGCATAGTGTGAGTCCAAACATTGTCTTGCTTGTATATTTGCTAAATCCATGTTCAGCGATGGATCGACCAAATTGAAACAATTCGAAAGAATGGAAAGCCTGGTGGTGCAGACGCTACCTTGTTTCACGGTATCTTAAACAGTAACCTACCACCAGCTGAAAAAACAACAGACCGATTACGACAAGAGGCACAAACAATGGTTCTAGCAGGGCAGGATACTACTTCATTTACTCTTACCTGCACTGTTTACCAACTCCTATCTCGCCCGGATATGCTTAAACGAGTCAAGGCCGAGCTCGAATCTGCATTGCCAGGTCCAAACAGCCCGCCCTCGCTGGCTATTGTTGAGAAGCTTCCGTATCTTTCCGCTGTCATTGCTGAGAGCCTCCGTGTTTATCCGGCATCTCTTTTTCGAATGACTCGTGTGGCCCCAGAGCATACTATGGTCTATCATGACAAGGCTTCTGGCAAGGATTGGGTCATTGAACCCGGCACACCTACCACAATGACTGCTTTGGACAACAATATGAATCCTGACAAGTTCCCGGATCCATACAAGTTCGACCCCGAGCGATTCATTGGAAATCCGCGTCTAGAGAAATATGTCCTGACATTTTCCCGAGGATCACGCATTTGTCTTGGGTCAGTAAAGAGAGACTTGGTTTTGCAATGACAATTCATTCGCTGACAATATTTCGCAGATTGAATCTTGCGTATGCGGAGCTCTATATCATTTTAGCCAGTATCTTCCGCAAGTTTGACCTTGACGATGGTACTGGGAAGCAAACTGGCCCAACTTTGGCATTGTATGACACCACCCGAGAGAGGGACATCGATACACAGAGAGATCAGCTTATTCCTTGCCCCGTCGATGGTAGCAAAGGTGTGCGGGTGCAATTCAAGGCGTAATGAGGAAATTTATCTGTCAACCCATATATGTTGCCAGCAAGTGAGCAAGTACATGGCTAATATTGCCGAGAGATAATGGTCGCCGTCGTAGCCACAGGGGTTGAAAGACGTCTGTATATATTCTATGCGAGACACTTGATGCGTAGAAACCAAGTTCTTCATCCCATATCCTGTTTTGTACAATGGTCATCACCAAAAAGTATTAACAAGATTAAAGCGTTATAAAGAAACACCGAACGCAGATGCGATAACACTATTCTGCCATGACTGACCGCCCTTGCCGCCCTCGCCATCGAGCTCCGAGAACTGCCAGTCTTGCTCAGTCACTTTCTCCTATCTGACAAGAGCTTTGCGTACCCTGAGGTTTGTCTTCAAGTCGAAAAATTGAAGGCTCGGCTCAGATAATCCCTGCCACCGAAAGCCCTCACCTTTTGAGTAACATCCGAAGGGGAATTTTCGTCTTTCGCGCGACGACAGCAAAGTACTTGCTGAAGAAACCGCCAAAATGCCCAAATATAAGTACTCCCTGGATCAGATATTTTGTACTGGAAGCTAACTGCTATGCACTCTTCTGTAGGTACCCTTCCGACTTGGACTTTGAGCAGACAACGCCGAGTCTTATCAAGCTATTCCGGGCGCGCTGCGACTCCACGAGAACTCCGAAAATCATGGCCAGATTACTTACCAAAGCTCCATTTCACAGGCGATTACTGCGATGTCTACCTCACGCACGACTCGATGAGCGTGCGCAAGGCGCACAACTCGGGCCGTAACCACCTGAGGAACGTCGTCGACTACTACCAACGTACGCTCGCAACCCTGAAAGCAATGGATGACAGAGCGGCTAACCATGTGAACCCATACAGAAATTGGCCAAGAGAAGGCCCAATCGGTCATTGACTCAATCACCTCATCCTACGCCGCTGAGGGCCAACCTCTCCCCAATCCCGCAATGGCCCCCGGCGCTTTCCCGCCGCCCTTCGGCTTCCCTGGTATGGGCCTACACCCTGACTTCAATCATGCATCCATGACTTACAATCCCCAAGGTCGACCAGGACAAATGCCTCCTCCCCCCTTCGGCATCCCACCCCCAGGAGCCCCCGGGGCACCTGGCATGCTACCTCGTACGTGACAACCATTGAACCCCTCATCTCTCAAGCCCAGGAACTAATAATATAAAAAACAGCCCCAGGCGCCCACGGCGGCCTCCCCTTCCCACCCCCCTTCAACGCAACAGGAACACCCCCAACAGGCGGCTTCCCCCCACCTCTCCCAAACATGCCCCAAGGCGCAGGCCTGCCTCCTCCACCCCCAGGCGGCTTCCCTAACATGCCTTTCCCTCCTCCCGGTGCAGCAGGCTTCCCGCCTATGCCCGGTGCCCCTATGGGAGCTACGAATTCGCCTATTCCTACTGGTCCTCGTGGCTCGGAGGGATATCCTCCCCCTCCTGGTGGTGGTGGTGGTCCTCCTCCTGGGATGGACTCTAGGTGGTGATTTTGTTTACTGATACCTTATTTCTCTTCTGATTTCATTTGATGGATTTGAGAAGTGTTGTGCTGGGCGTGACGTTGATATAAGTGCGTTGTGTTGCATTGCATGTATCTCCGGTACGCTACCATTCTCTCTTCTCTCTCATCGGACTTTGTTGCTCTTTATGCTGTTGATGTAAAATAGCGCTTTTCTTTTTATGCTTCTCTGCTTTTCCTATCCATATGGAACAATGCGATTTCGAGAGGCGCTTCTGGCTGTTATCAGATAAAATTATTGATTCGTATTCGTTCCGAGATGCTCAGATCAGTCCCCAAGCTCAACTTAAGTATTCAAGATCAAGGATCAGCTGATTCTGTTGTAATCATAGTTTGAATTTCCTTGTTCCAATGGTACACAGTACACAGTACAAGTCCACAAGACAAAAAGCTGCAGGCAGAGAATTCTCATTTTAGACACTAGGATTACTTTCCAACAGGTACAGAGAATCAAAAACCCAAAAAAAGAAAACGGAATCGAAATTTCGCAGACAAAAAGCCAGCGAACACCGCGAAAAGAAAAGCGAAACAAAATTTCAAACCCAAAGCCGGTGTCACCATATCCAGAATGCATCCAACGCCGAACAAAGAGTCAAAGATAAGGAAAATAAAAGTCGATTGCGGTGTCTCGACTAGGGAGAGAAAGGTACAGAGATCAAGTGTAGGTAAGAGAAAGCAAATAGGAAAGGAAGGGATGGAGGAAAAGAAGTGGATATCACACCGGTTATACAACCGTTAGGTAGATAGGAAGGTGGATTAAGACGAAAGGAAGAGTCAAGGTAAAATACAAGTCGCCAGCGAGGAGTGTATAGCGGACTTGGCAGAAGAAAAGAAGTAGAAAAAGAAAACAAGAGAAACAGAAAAGAACCGAACCCAGAGGATGGCGATTGGAAAAAGATCATAGACCATCGGTATCCCGCGCTAATAAAAATCACATATCTTCATCTCGGAAGCGAAACAAAATAAAGGCACTGGCTTTTTTAATGATCGTAACCAGCTCCCCTTTGCCATGGACTGGCGTTATTTTGGGCTCGGTAGGTGGTCGACAAAGCAGATTGGCCAACCGGGGCGTTTTCATAGCCCCGAGCGGCGGGCGAGGGAGACCGACCGAATTGGTCGTATCCGGGTGGTGGACCGCTGTGTCCTGTGTTGGTAGGGAACAGTGGCACTGAGGGGTCAACCGGTGAGGCGGGGGCCTGGCGGACGCTGGGGTGGTGCTGGTTGGTCGATTCCATCTGGTGGTGGTGGCCGATGCTAGCACCATTTCCACTTGAGATGGAGACGGCGTCATCATCGAAGGGGTTGTTGTGGTATTGTCCGGACTTGACATCACCGCGGGCGGTGGCACCAAGGGCGTCCAGCTCGGTGGTCAGCTGGGTCTGGGACTTGATGAAGGAGCCACGGTCGTCACGCATGGGCTGGTAACGAGTATCGGGGTTCTTCGAGACAATGGCGTACACTGAGGCGATCAGGACGAGGATCAGGAGGACCAAGGCGAAGACAGCGTTGTAGACGAAAAAGACGACACCCATGACACCAATCATCAGACCAGGGGGGTTGAACACGTCAGAGAAGACTAGCAGAAAGATGGAGTTGAGGAAGTTGATGACCGCAATGGAAATGTTGTAGATGTTGGTCTTCTTGTCCATCCAGGGACGAAGGATGCAAACAGCGATCAACATGGCGAGTTCAAGAACCACGAGGGCCACGGTCTGCACAACTGGTGCAGGTTGGCTCAGACCGATGAACATACTCTTGATCAAGGTGTAGATGAGGAAGGGAACGACGAAGTAGTATGCGGTAGCGCGGTACTGCACGTATAGGAAGCCCCACTTGTTCAGACAGGAGGGATCGGAGTAGAGGATATAGGCGGGGTTCTTGTGCATGGTGACTGAGCGCTTTGCCAGACGAATAACCTTCTGCGCAGCCCATCCAAGAGAGACGAGCATAGAGAGGAGCATGACGACTGCCAAAACAACCTCGGCTGCGGAGTCACGTTGAGTAAATTCCCAGAGGCATAGGACACACATCTGAGGGAAACCGATCAAAGTGAGACGGAACAGAATGCCACGCAGAACAACCTTCCATCCGTTGCGGAAGTCCTGGAAACGTTCACTCTTCATTTTGCCGTGCTTAACGAGCAACTCGGTGATTCCCTTGAATGCTGCAACGATAATGACGACAAAGACCACGAATACCGCGAAAAAGATCAGACCAGTGAGGAAGATGTTGGTCTCTTCAATGTTGGAACGGAAGCCGACACGATCAATACCGCGCACGACAATGAGCTTTTGGTTGGAGTCGGTTCGCTTGAATAAACCAGCAGCACGCTTCATGATTGGTGAGTTAGAGGCTCTCTTCAGCATGTTGATTGCAGATTCGGGAAGGTCACGCTTGCGGCGCTTGAGGACCTCAACGGAAGTATCACCAAGCTGAGACAGGAGAGTCGAGGGAGTTCCACCAGTTGCTCGCTGATACCAGGTCGCAATAGTCTGGATGAATCCCACGCGGATAATACCCATACTCCATTGGAAGTTCTGAGTCCAGGCCTCCACAATAGGGGGCATGTGAACAGAGGTCATACCAATCATTGCTTGCGACTGCATAAATCCGAAGAGAGAGAGCGCATTTGCTGCAACGTGTGCCGCAGTATTCGAGTGGCCAAGACCGGAAGTAATAGCTGATGCAGCAAGACCCAAGCCAGAGATGACAGCAGTTGTCCATGCGACTCCAACTTGGTCCACTGTTTTACCGTTGGAAAGTGAGGCTTCGACACAAGCAATCTTCTCTTTCGTATCCTTTGTCTTGATAACAATGCGTACATTGGCGTCAAGGTCTGGAACGGTGTAGGCGATACCTGATTCAATTCACTTAGCAAACCGAGCATCTTGTCAGTTTCGGCGTCGCGTTACTCACTTGGAATGTTCGCAGCGGTGTCCGAGGGCAGATCGAGAGACAGCGGACCCAAATCCATGGGTCCAGCAGCCATAGGACACATACCCATGCCCTCAATTGAGCAAGGATCAAGGGTCTTGGAGATTGCCTCGTAACCATAGGCGGTAATGATCAGGTCCGCAGTAACCTTACCGGTGATGTATGAAACACCGTCGAATCCGATCACTAGGGAGTTGTTGCCTGGGTAAAAGACGACGTTGAAGTAGGTTGCTGTGAAGTTACTAGACTCCATGCAGACATTTAAAGCATTAGATTCGAGGAGCTTGACGGCAGAAGCCACCGGCGCCAAAAAGGCGACGAGGCATGTCAGAAGCGATATTAACCGCATATTGGTTAACCGCATGTTGGCGTGTAGATGTCAAAGAAAGTTTCTGCAACAATGGGCGACTATCGGAAAAGATGAGGGGAGTGACAGCGGTGTCAGCGGCACTCCAGAGTACCACGTTGCCAGGCGCCGGATGCGGAAGTCTTCAGACGGCCGAGTCGTTCGTGGGGCCGAAGTATTTCCCAATGGATGCCAATGCTGTCACAGCGCTGGCTGTTTATCGTAAGTTGTTTTTGATGAGAGATCTGCGGTGTGGCGATCGAGCCTTTACTTGTTCATTTGAAGATCGGAGAAGCGGAGAGCGGAGGCGGAGTTGGGGTCGGAGACGCAGGGGCGCAGGGATGTAGATGCGTAGAGATAATGAAAGCAGAGACACAGAGTGAATAGTCGTAGAGTTGAAGATAGATCAAAGGAAAGTCGGTAGGCTAGGACCTGAAGGAGTGAATAGAGCGGACTCAAAGGGCGAAAGAAGTCGAGGAGCGAATGAACTGGCGATACACAGTATTGCCGGGAAAGAAAGGGGAATAGAGCTCGAAATCAAGGGCAATAGAAAGGGAGGTTGAGCACCGATTCCCGTGAGAAAGAGAGAATGGGAGGGAGAGATGTCTGAGTGTCTCAGGGAGAAGAGATGGCGACGGTCAGGTATGTGGTAATTACCGTAAGATGACAGGGGCGGCTACTATGGAACCAATCAGAAGCCTGTATTTGTGTTTGAGTTCGTACCCCTTTCCCCGTGATGGCAATGACATTCTCTTCTGTATATACTAACTAACTTAACATCTACTATTCTTTGTTATAGCTCTCTTTTTCACGTCTATTCACAACACAAGTCTTGTTCTGGCCGGAAACAGCCATATGAAACAGTCTTTGTTCATCAACTGAACCAAAGGAACTGTTGCCCCCAGCTGTGGAGTGCCACCCGAAATGTGCCATCCGCTGTGGACCGTTACTGCATGTACGTGAACGGAGGCACATGGTACATTCTATATTTCGTCTGCCTGATCCATGGACTGAGTGAAATTAGGTCATTCTTGGGTATACTCTCCCTTATTGTCAAGGGGCTTGCTCTTAGAATACGGATAGGTACTATTGTACAGGTCCAAGCACTAACTGCACTATTCTCCTTGGCTAACCCTTCTTTATTCGGGTGCCTGTCGAAAATTAGCCCTACAGATCCGGGGGCTTTTCTTCCCGAGCCCAGTCTACCCGGGTCTAGAGCTGAAAGTCATCTTGGTTGTCTCTGTACAGTAATGTGATCTGAATCTGATCAGATTCCGATCTGAATACTTATGTGTTAGGGTATAATAGAGTGTTAGAGCATACATGTCGTTGTTGAATATTAAGTTAACTTCCATGTATAAGGATCGCCAAGTGCCCCCCCCCCCCCCCCCTTTGGCGTTGGAATGCACAGCCTCGTTAACATAAAGTAATCCATCGCACACTCTGGATCAGACATGTTTCAGAAATAAAGGAACCTCCAGCATGGGCCATTTCTGAGCTTGACACAATTTAGCTCCCCCTATTTACTTGACGTTCTGTACTTTGTAGCCCATATTGCCCCTGATCATCGTGGGGAGTGATGATCGGGACGATCCTTTACTCGCGTGCTCAGATGACGTTTTAACGTGCCGTCTTTGTTTAAGTCGCACATTGGTACAATATTTGACCACATAGTCAAGTCATTTGACTGTGGTGTGTATAGTAAAAAGGGGGTCGTATTCGTGTCTGCGACCCAGTATTTCTCTGGCTAATTTTAGCTATTTTTGGCTCAGGGTTTTCACGGATTGCCTGTTCATTGGCTCGTCCCTCTCTACACATGTAGCTTTTTAATGTGATTGGTGAGAAATCTCTGTCTTTTCTACTAAAGTGCATACTTTTCTTCATGGATCTGTATTGTATTGTTGGTTATAGGTTAATGATTATAGCCCTGTAATTATTTGTAGGGGCCAAGTACTAGTCTTTCACAAAAGGCAAACTAGTCTCAGTCGCCCTATTCCAGTAAAGCCCGGTCTAGGCACAAATTGCACAGCATTAGTCAATTATGTTCACATCGCCTGTATATCTAGCCAGTATCTATATTTCTAGCGTAGGAGCCCTTGGCATATCAATATGAGAGCTAAGCGGTTACACAGCCACCAATACGCCTGTCAATCTACAAGGATATTGCAAGATTGCGTCTGCCTAAGTCAAGCCAAGATCGCGGCGCTTGCGTAACTTGGCTTTTAGTATACATCCAGGCCGAGCGGTGGGTAAAGCACGAACCCACTACAGTACGGAGTAGACATACCATGCGTTCTACTTGTAAGCTGTGTGGTCAAATTCTGATTTTTGAGACCCAGATCTTGAAACATGCGTGATCTTCATGATCGTGGCATGGTCAATGGTACAAAATATCAACAGCACAGCCCAGTTTGTCGCCTGAGGCGTTGGCTGCCTGATTACTGCCTGATGCCCTGGGTGCCTCGACAATATGGCAACAATCAGCCTATCGGCACGTGATATGAATGTGGAGTTCTGCCTGATCTCACCGACCAGGAAAAAAAAAGATGCAGAATGATTTCCGCCCGCAGACCATAATAATCTAGACCTACAAACTTAAGGTCCAAGTCATACAAAAGAATTCCAATAGGGTTCCCACCAAAATGCCTGGCCCCGTGGATACCGCAAAGTCCATCAACAAGCGCAAGAGAAAGCACGGCTCCCGCGCAGAGAAAGAAGATGCTGTGAAGCCCGTCGAAGCCAAGTCCCCTTCAGCGACGCCGAAAAAGAGCAAGAGTGCTGCCTCGACCAAGTCTCCCGCTGAAAAGTCGACTAAGAAGCGCAAGGTCAGCCCTTCGCCCAGCGCTGAGGAAAGCGCTGAGGAAAGTGCCTCCGAGGAGGTCGAGGAGGTCGAGGTGGATGCACAGGAAGACAGCGATGCTGAGGAATCAGAGGAAGCCGAGGCTAAGGATGCTGGCGCGGATCTGCCTACCATGGACGATGTCCGTTTGCCACAAACCGAGGGCGAGCTCCAGAAATTCACTGAGCTCAACCTCTCCGACAAGACTATGCAGGCCATCAAGGAGATGGGCTTCGAGACCATGACCGAGATTCAACAGCGTACTATCCCTGCTCTGCTTGCTGGACGTGATGTGCTCGGTGCCGCAAAGACTGGTTCCGGAAAAACCCTGTCCTTTTTGATTCCCGCTATTGAGATGCTGAGCGCTCTGCGCTTCAAGCCCAGAAACGGTACCGGTGTCCTCGTCGTGTCCCCTACCCGTGAGCTCGCGTTGCAAATTTTCGGTGTAGCGCGCGAATTGATGCAATTCCACTCACAAACATACGGTATTGTCATCGGAGGAGCCAACCGCCGCGCCGAGGCGGACAAGTTGATGAAGGGTGTCAACCTGCTCATTGCTACCCCTGGTCGTCTTTTGGATCACCTGCAGAACACACAAGGATTCATCTTCAAGAACCTGAAGACTCTCATCATTGACGAGGCTGACCGTATTCTCGAAGTCGGATTCGAGGATGAAATGCGTCAGATCGTCAAGATCTTGCCCAAGGAAGAGCGTCAGACCATGCTCTTTTCCGCCACACAAACCACCAAGGTCGAGGATTTGGCCCGGATATCGCTGCGCCCCGGACCTCTGTACATTAATGTTGACCACCGGAAAGAGCACAGCACCGTCGCCGGTCTGGAGCAGGGCTACGTCCTCTGTGAAGCCGACAAGCGTTTCTTGCTTCTCTTCTCCTTCCTCAAGCGTAACCTCAAGAAGAAGATTATTGTCTTCTTCTCCAGCTGCAACTGTGTCAAGTACCACGCCGAGCTGTTGAATTACATCGATCTCCCCGTTCTCGAGCTTCACGGAAAGCAGAAGCAGCAGAAGCGCACCAACACTTTCTTCGAGTTCTGCAATGCCAAGCAGGGTACCCTGATCTGTACCGACGTTGCTGCTCGTGGTTTGGATATTCCTGCCGTCGACTGGATCATTCAGTTCGACCCTCCTGATGATCCCCGTGATTACATTCACCGTGTCGGACGTACCGCCCGTGGTGCCGATGGCAAGGGTCGCAGTCTGATGTTCCTCCAGCCTTCCGAGGTTGGCTTCCTGAAGCACCTGAAGGAGGCTCGCGTTCCCGTCGTCGAGTTCGAGTTCCCAGCCTCCAAGATTGTCAACGTGCAGTCCCAGCTGGAGAAGCTTATCGGCCAGAACTACTACCTCAATAAGGTAAGCTCCCTTTTCAACCTCCCTTTCCGAGATTCCATACTAACACATATACAGTCCGCCAAGGATGGTTACAGGTCCTACCTCCAGGCATACGCCTCCCACTCCCTCCGCTCAGTCTTCGACGTGAACAAGCTGGACCTGGTCAAGGTCGCCAAGGGCTTCGGCTTCTCCGCTCCTCCCCGCATCGATATCCAGCTTGGCGCCAGCTTGAGCAGGGATAAGAAGCAGGAACAGCAGGGTCGCCGCACCTACGGCAGCCAGCCTAAGCACGGTGCCGGTCTGAAGTTCAAGCGCAAGCACGATGATTGAGAAGATTCTGTATGAACATCAAAAGCGATCGATTGTCTCTGCATGTCTATTTTAGGGACTGGAGTTCAGCAATGTGGATATATCTATTTGGGTTTTAAGATGATCTCGTAATTTACCGTATAAGCTGTCTACCAGTAGTTCAAATAGAGCTTGCTCTTATATGCTGAGATCGGTCTCTACAGTACCTACTGTACTACTGTAAACTGTATCAGTAGCCATCCCTTCATCAGGGAATCCCCCAACCAGGTAAACCACGTGTTAACCACGTGGAGATGGCGTAGGCGAAGCGAACCTCAAGCCAAAGAATGCCAATGACACCTAGCAGAAGAAGAGCAGAATCCCGAATCCGAATCCGAACCCCTTGTTGTAGATTACAGGCAGGATTTAACCTTCTACAGGGTTCCATGCACCATGTACAATCGCCGAGAGGACAAGTTTACACCGTTTGGACCTAAGAAAGGTGGTGTGCGACACGCATGCAATACAGTAAGTACCAATGCAAACCCCACCACTCTATAATATATCTGTAAGGGAAGGCAATCTGGATCTGTACGAGTAGCTCCGACGAGAATGGCTTGCAGCCCCTTGCTACAATACCGTAGTAATAGTCCTGTAGGGTGGAGTGGGGGCACTATAGGGATCTGGGAACCATCGGTGAACACAGCTTCAAAGCTAACTAACATCTTACTAGCCTGACAACAGTCCAGTATTCAGCGATAAATGAATATGTATGCCCAATCCAATCTGAGTTGCCAACCAATAACTGGTCACAGATGGAAATGGCCGAGCACAAGTACGAGTGTGATGAGCTGGCAGGGAACCAATCCGATTTCCAGGGTTCGCTGTCGTCTGGGCGACGGGTATTTTTTGGGGGTCCTTTTCCTGTTTCTTTTCTTTTTGGACTGGTTGTTTCTCCTCGGCGGGGGACTGCAGGTTATGTGCGTTCATTCTGTGTTACTGTGAGGAGGACTTACCGCAGCCTGTATCGTAGGTGATGGTAGGTGAGGGTAGGTTGGGGGTTCGGGGTTGGGAGGAGTTGTATAGTAGTGGGTTATGGTGGATAACTTATAGGATAGGATAGAGTGAAGTTGAAGTTGAGTTGACAGATGAGGATATATGAAGATATCGAGAGATGAAAAGAACCAGGGAACCATGATGATCCCGAGCGGATCCGTTCCAAGGTTCGTTTGTTGATGGGGTCCCGTGCTGGTGAGCCAGCGCATCCAGCCTCTTCTTTTCTCTCCGGAGGCTGGGCATTTTTAGTCTTATTACCCCGGCTCTATTCTATTCAAACTTCCATCTCCCTTGGGATTCTCTCCCTTTTTTCAAATCCAATCATATCCCTCCCTAATCTTCAGAGGGATCGGCAAGGCATCTCACCCTCTTGTCTCTCCTCTTCTCTTCCACTCTCGTGGTTTGCGCTGGTACGCTCTTACTCCTAATATCCATTCCCTGGGACTGCTTTCGACCCCCCCCCCCCCCAGTGTCCCATGTCCCTGTGTCAACAGCACCAACAGTGACACCCCAACAGTCCCATCTGATCCCATCACCTAGAGCATGCGATTGGATTGACGGACACCACTCCATCATGGGGGTCGACACCCGCAGACCGATCCTTCCCGCCCCCACAGAGTCCATCATCGATACGGAGAGCGCACTGGGCACAGATCTGGCAACTGACATTTCTCGCCGCACAGACAAAACGTCGTACTCAATCCCAGACGACGGAAGCCCCCTTATTGTCTCCACCAGGGATCGCGACGGGACATCTTATTCACACTCCCGCCACGACTCTCACACCTCGCTGCTCATCGAGTACTTCGAGGGCGGAAAAGGCTCCGGCGTCACCTCTCGTCCCAGTGTGCGAGTCCGCGTTACCCCCTCTTCGGCGAGAAAGTCCAAGCGTGACCGAGACCACGTTCAGATCACCGAGTCCAGTGGAAGCAGCCGCAAGCCGTCCTATACACACCGCATATCACTCCCATCACCTTCTTCCAAGTCCAAGCGATTGGAATCGGGCGCAGCGGATGATCAAAGCCTCGATTCGAATTCAGCGGAGGAGGGTCACCAGTCTTCTCGTCGCCATCCGGTAGAAATTGATTTCCCTGGCTTCCCTGGCAGTGAAATGTCTACTCTATCACACGATACCCGATACATGCCTGTATCGTCTGATATTTCATCCATGCCCGCCGACAGTATGATGAACGCTTCATCGGCAGGGCCTCGGCGGAAGCGCAGCTCGAGCCTGGAGCGCGGGTCGCCTCGCGAGGACAAGGATTTGCTGAAAACACCACGCCGACAGCGAAGTCGCAGCCTAAGCACGGAGCGAATTGCGCATCGCGTGGCCGAGAAGCTGACCGAACCGCCCAAGGAGTCGTCGGGCAGAAATCGAAGCAAGTCTGGCAAAGATTACCTCGACGCTGAGCCCAAGTCTTCTCGTCGAAAGCACAAGTACGCCGAAGATGACTATATCAGCCCTGAGTCTAGTCTTCTCAGTACATCCGCTGTTTCTTCGAACCGCAAGTCTGATCAGTACTCAATCCGTTCCGGTGCATCCAAGTCTTCCATAAACAACCCTAAGCTATTGGAGACTGTCGAGGATGCCATTCGGCGACTGATACTTCCTGAACTCAAGGAGCTTAAAAAGGACCAAAAAGTTATGACCAACACAGGAAAGTTCGAGCGGGACATGGCACGAGATATGGCATCTTATTCATCCCAAACAAGCTCTCGGGATGAGCTGCGTCGAAGTCTGTCCAAGCACGCCAGTGCACCTGATATCATTAAGCCTAAGGTTATTCTGAACAAGGATAGCAAAGACGAGGGTATTGTCCTTTCCGGCGGGTCTGGTCCGCAAACCAAGGAACGCAAGTCAAGCAAAAGCAGCGAAGTTTCCGAGGCAGCCGTTCGCCGGGGCAATCGTCCTGACTACTCTGAGCAAGACAAGATCCGAAGACAGAGGAGCAAGGGTCTCCGGGATGCTCATGCTGCTGCACGAGTGGGTTCCGCTCTCACCGCTGCTTCCTTGAAGCACCATGATTCCAATTCCAGTCTTGGCAAGTCAGAGCATCGCCGGCGCAAGAGTGGCTCTCGGAAGAGTACAGAGAGCATGAACTACAACGAAACCGAACTTGTTTTCCAAAAGCACAACGTTGCCCCTATGCCGATGCGCAGCGAGATCGACTCCGAGTTGACCAGGAACTCGCTACTTTCTGAGCACACTGCCAGTCCCCCTCCCCAGAAGAAAAGCTCCCAGGCGGAACTTTCTCGTGGGTCTGCCAGACAGCTTGCATCTCCTACCTCTCGCACTCCTACCCGCAACTCTATTGAGTCCCTCGGCATGCGTCACGCCAACAAGTCACATCATAATATCTCCCTGCACAGTGCCTCAGACCGTGACCTACGGGATAAGAGCCAATCACCTGGAACAGACACTGGTGATTGGGCTATCGCTGCCGCCGCCGCAGCTAACCTTCTTGATGCCGCTCACCCTACTCAATACCACGATGAAACCCACGATCGTGGCCTGAGCCCTATCCAAAGTGTTGCCAGCGACAACACCGAGACCCACCACGCCCAATACCTAACTCACGAGAACCATATCGAAGGCATGCACGAGATGGAGCCTCGACTTTCCATTGACTCACTCTCATCCGCCCCCAGCACCAACCTCGCCAGATCTACCCGTCAAGGCACCACCCACAGCCACAGCCAGAGTGCGCTTTCCCAGCAGCTCAGTCAGGATTCACCCGGGCTCGGCTACGAACGCTCGCGCCAACCCGAGGGGAGTGATATCTCCTACGGCTACGATATAGAGAGTAGACTGACTGCCGACGATGACAACAGCGATGTAAACTACATGGACAAGATTAAGGAAGGCCAGCATGTGGGAGTCGGCGTCGCTGCCAACCCTCAATTCCACCAAGCCATGGATGTTGAATCTAATGTTGCTTCTTTGATGGACCCGTCTGTCCTTGAATCGCAGATCGAATCCCAGCTTTCTTCCATCAACCGCTCCCAAACTGATCTGGGTCAGCGACCTGGAAGCCGCAGTCCTGAGAAACAGGCAGGTGAATCCTACCGTGGAAGTCCCCTTAAGCAGCGACAGGATGCTTCCACTGCCGATGAAACATCGTTCCATCGACGTATGGGTGCTACTTCACCTCCCCAGAGCGTTACTCAGTCTTACGACGAAATGGACGACTCGGCTATTATGAGCGCCAATGTTCCCCGTGGACTGGACAGCCCCATGGCCGATGCAGAAAGCCAGGAATCCGAGTCTGAGATCAACACTAACCCTTCGATCATCCAGGGTCCTGCTGGCGGTGCTGCTCAGCGAGATCACTGGGCATACAACTCCCGGTCTCCTCCCGTTGATCAATATTACGATGGCGGTGCTGGACCTCAGGGTCTCAGTGATGACCAGCAGCGTGGACTTGATGCTGAATACTACCAGACTGCCAAGAATATCTTTGGCGGTGAAGACTACTATAACCCCTCCGTCGAAAACCAAGCTCGCCAGCTTTTCGGGACGCCTCCTGGAGCCAAGGACGAGGGCTATGTTTCCGCTGCTAACCCCATGTCTCCCAGCATTGGAACCCCGAAGCAAGGAAGTCGAGGTCTCGCAGGCCCAGATGCCGCAGGTGTTGCTGCTTTCGATGATTCTACTCCAGAAGATCCTTTCGGACCTGGTCATCAGCGTCACTTCAGTGGCTACTCCCACGGTGTTGGTTCGCCGCTCTACGACAGTGCCACCGGACGAGGCATCGAGCGAATTCAGTCACAGGATATTGTGGCTCTCATGGACCACCTGACTGTTCGCGATGCCCAGCGAAACGCTAGAGATACCGAGATCTTGGTTACTCTGGTTCGCAGTGCGGCAGAGATGCGCACCTCTTTCGAGCAGATGAAGAAGTTCATTGCTGATCAAGATGATCTCATCATGGACAACACTGACAGGGGACATGAGCGCACCCACAAGGCGCTCGGCGGACCCCGTCCTTTGCCTCCCAGTACTTCTCGCAACCGTCAATTGAACACGGCTGAGGAAGATGACAAGCGGAAGAACATCTTCAAGCGTGCTCTCAAGGGCTTAAGCTTGAAGTCAGGCAATGATCTGTCTAAGATTGAGGGCATGCTGGAGCAACTTCTGGAGGAGGTTGAATACTTGCGCTCTGGTCAAGATGGCGTGAGCCCACAACGCACCACTCGACCGACAAGCATTGATTCTGCCTATGAGCCCGCTCAAAACGGTGCTCCTATCGAGAACAGCCGCGCTGCGTACATGTCTAGTCCTCACCAGCGCAGAAACTCGGATCAGCGAGTCAGCACCGTCCACGAGGTAGATGAAGAAGATCTTGAGCTCGACGAAGCTGATGACTATATGACCGGGCATCTCCCAGTGCGTGAGCCACCTCATCACGAGCGAGCTGGCTCCTTGCCTCTGTCCACCCCTCCTCACAAGCCAGTGGCTGCAGGTGCCCGCAGCACCGAAACAACCCCCAAGGCCGACAAGAGCGACAAAGCCCGCAAGCACAAGTCGAGCAGCTCCTCTATCTTCCCCAAGATCTCTCGCTGGTCCAAGTCCACCGCCACCTCCGTGGGCGACAACATCCGCAACAGCATCCAGCCCAACCGCAAAGAGCGCCCAACCTCAGACCTCTCCCGCTCGGGATCAGATCTGGCCGAGGGCACCTACAAAGGCGACTACTACGACCCCCAAGGCGACGACAGAATCCGCTCAACCTACACTCTAGACGACCAGCAGGAGAACCGTCCTCCTTCCCCACTGGTCCCATCCCAGGTCTCCGAGGTCCCCAAATACCGCGGCCACCGCGGCAGTCTTGAGCTGCAGCACCCCCAACCTCGCCAGGGTCCCACAGGCCGCTATCAATCCCGTCTCGAGACCGAGGCCCAAACCTACGGAGGTCCGGTCTCCCCCACAGGCTCGGACCAGTGGGAATCAAACCCCAGCCTGTCCGCAGTAAACCCCAACCAACAACGCTTTAGTGGCGCCAGCCGTCTATCCCCCATTTCCGATGCAGGCTACTCGGAGACCAGCTCCCGAACTCCCGGTCCACCCCGTCCCCCCAAAGTCAAGGACGAGGGTCCTCTTGTCCCAGAACGTCCTCAGAAGGCGCTAGAGGATGAAGAGCCTGCTTACGGCGCCAGTGCTGACCGTGTTGTTTCAAGGGTGGGTACCACATCAACCCCCAACCAAATATCACGGATGAATGAATACTGACTTGTTAAACAGAGCTCCGCTATCCGCTCCCCTCCCACACGCAAACCAACAGGCCCGCGCCCCCTCACCTCCGGCGGCGCCTACAGCCCCGGTAAAATCAATCGAACTCGCTACAGAGGCAGTCCCATGCAGGTCGACCATGATGATGAATATTGAGATTGAAATGTCATGCCGCGTTGATACCCCGAGGTCAGATTTAGGTCTAGCCCTGTGTTGAACCTGCCTTTTTCATCTAGCGTGCTTTCTTTTCTATTTTGCGTTTCCTCTCTTCTTGTTTACCCATTTCCTTTTTCTGATTCCCTTACGAACGTCATGACTTCAATCAATGCTTTGATTTATATCCCCCTTTACATGTCCTCCTTACCCGCTATTATTATTATCTACGAGAAATGTGTGTTGAAATGTTTAAAATATTCTTTTTCTTTCTCTCTGCATCTATCTCTCTATCTCGCTTCGGTTTTTATGCTAGATGTTGCTATGGAAAATTGGTTGGAGGCATTATGGCTTTATTTGGTTCATCTACGGGTATATAGCTGTCGTTCTTCTCCCTCCTGTGCATCCATTGCACTTACAATTGGGATCATGTTGCGCTTTTGTAATTATTGTGGTGCTGATAGGATGTGTTGGAAATAATAATTCATTTCTTGTTGCTTGTATCCTTCTGGTCTTTCTTCTTAACTTGTAGAGATATCGTGCAGAGATAACTTTCAGGTGTCATACGAATAAATCCTGATTGTAGGGTGAGCGACAACAGTCTCCCTGAACCGCTTGTCGATTTTTGGGGCCCTGGGTAGCTCATTTGACAGCTTCATCATTCGCCCCAGTAGTCTCCCTGCGCTGATTACTTCTTTTCTTGCTTTACTTCTTATATATCTTTCTGTAGACTAACCAGACCACCTGCTGGTTGTCTTGGCGTTTCACGTCTAAGCATGGCATATTGTTATGCTGGTGTTATAGTGGAATAATACAAAATTGGGGGGGGGGGGGGGGAGCCACTCATTCAAGACCCTTGCTCAAATTGTTGTAGCTTAGTCGAGTAGTGAGTAGTGTTCCAGTAGTCCTCTGTATATTTCTTCTGGTAACCTGATACCTTCCAGGTAACGGAGAGGTTGGATTCAAGCGTTATATTTACGATTTCGACAAGGATATATATAATGATCAAGTGTTGCTTTCATGCTACCTCTTCCAATTTTTACTGGTGACTATGATAGAAACCGCTATGGGCTCACCATAGGATTATATGGAAAAGATATGCATGGTAGAGCCTACTATAAAGGTACTCAGGGCAAAATCGAGTCTATGAGGCTCAACGGTACCTTAAATCTGAAACCAAGCTCTTAGAGCTTTTGGTCCTAGCATGACTCATCAAATACGGTTGTGTAGTGTAATGGTCATCACTCCAGATTCTGATTCTGGCAATCCCGGTTCGATCCCGGGCACGACCTCTCTTTTTGCGATTTGTCCTCCCTTTGGGAGGAAAGCATTGCTTCTTTTTGAAGTGCTTTTTTTTGTATAGTACCTCGATAAGCTGTTAAAGGTATACTCTAGCTATGTAAAAAGACGCATAAGTTAGGAACTTTCCTGAACAAGCCAAGATTATATTGATACACAGGAGGATCTACTCGTGGTTATTGTTCCTAGTGCACCAGGAATATCTATGATCCGCGCACGTAATTAGGGCCGTAGCCGAGGGCTGAACTAGTAAAAAGTGGAGCGACTGCCAGCCCAACATATCTTTCATATATAGTAAAAAATAGCAGCAAAAAACACAAAAAGCGAAGGTCGTGCCCGGGATCGAACCGGGATTGCCAGAATCAGAATCTGGAGTGATGACCATTACACTACACAACCAATTGATGTTCTGAGCGGTCTCAGTGGCATTTAACATTTGTAGAGCTAATTGTTCTATACATGTCATTAGGATCAAATTGTAACCATAAAAGGAGCATCAGATGGGATATAGAAGGATCAAACTCATAGGATTTTTATCTCATGAATTGTAGAATTTTGGTGCATTAGAATGTATAGACATTGGTACTTTGTTATGCCCCGAAGAGTCTACCACCCTTGTCTGCGGAAATAAGAATGCAGAACCAGAGTAAGGACAATGAAGATAGTAATAGTGTATAAAATGCAGCAAGAGACTGCTTACAGTAGTGTCCAATCTCTACCCCTAGGGTAAAAATGCGGTCTGCTAACAGTTGGCCCGGAGATTCCGCGGGACTTGAAGTAGTCTAATAAATCACTAGTAGGCAATTATAGCCATGCTGCCCTTAATTATTGTCTTTACTTGGTGAAATATACAAGGAAGAACCAGAAGGCAGATTAGCACAAAATTAAATGCAGAACAACGACCACAAAAGATAAAAGCCTATGCTAATTGTATACTACAAAACAATCCCCTTGCTATACAACACGGGTCCTGCCCAAGAGATCCACCTCAATAGGAGTATGGCTATAGAATAAATAGGTAAAATGATTGACTTTAATACTATAATTTCAACACGATTTGAGGTACAAACCTGCCATAAGATCTGCGGACATAAAGGCAATTGCTTCTATTAGAGGCTCGAGGACGCAAGACATATATCACCTCACACTAGACTATCTTCGTCACCTCTGTACCATCTAATATAGCCACTACTCTACCAGATTCAACGTTACATTGAAATATCTTTTCTAACGTCCATAAGAAGAGTAGATGAGCAGGGCCACTTATTTCCGAATTGCGTAGCCCAAGTGGTTCAAAGGGTTGGATGAAGAATGTTTCAACAGATAGAATAGAAGTATACTTTCCAGTGTCTCTCCCTACCCCTGTTCATATCTAACGGTTCTGGCACTGGCCTACTATTTAGTTGCTATGTTTCACAAGCTATACGCTATCGGGTATATAATAACTCCTTGAGGCTATTCTTATAAGCCAGGTCTTTTATTTTATTTTATGTTTTCACAGGGTTAAAAAAAGATCAGACTCTAGGAGCATGATACTTGTGGATAGGATTTGCAAAATGCAAAAAAAGAGGTCGTGCCCGGGATCGAACCGGGATTGCCAGAATCAGAATCTGGAGTGATGACCATTACACTACACAACCATGCTTGTTAGCGAAAGTCCGAGGATAATGTTATAATATTTTAAACTTGAATTAGAGTGAGGATTCTGTTCCTACGTTAACCGCTATGTAACTTATAACTTCTAACTGAAGCTGTTCCTAGAAATTCCGCTTAATGAAAGACAAAATAAGAGCGAATTTTCGTTCTTAACAGAATAAGAAGCATGAAAACTAGACTCTTATGTAAGATTATACCGTGATAATATTTTCCTCCTAATTTGAAAAAGCACTTGGATTTTTAGAAAGTGTCATGAAAAACTTTCCGACCATACAGATCTTAGGCTCATATATTCTAATTTTTGGCCCCATATAACAAATACGGTTGTGTAGTGTAATGGTCATCACTCCAGATTCTGATTCTGGCAATCCCGGTTCGATCCCGGGCACGACCTCTTTTTTTGCAATTTGTTTATTTCTACCCTTTATTTTCTTATTAGAATACCGTCATGATACTATGTCTAGAGTAGACCGATCAAGTAATGTATATCAATTTTATGATTTGTATGCTTATACGTTGACACAAAAAGGCAAGAAGCGTCTGAGAGTCGACCAAAGCGACTGTATCTAGATCTTTAGGAAAGAGCTCACAATGTCCCTTCCACCAATACTTCCTCCTACTCTCTGATTCTCTCATTATGAATATCTTACATATTGTCACTCATTTCACCATGGACCACAAATCCATCTCAACGGGATGTTTCCCAATATCTCTCCCCAAAGCCCTCTTCCTTATTGGTGCCCTAGTTTACCTCCAACTGCTCTACTTAATCTCCTTCATCGTGCGACCACTTTCAAATTCACGCCATGAATTCCCGCCATTCAAACAGCCCATCCATCGTGTCGAAGCAGCAATCATCAATTCCATCATCGGCGCCGTCCCACTGTCAGCATACGGCTCCGCCACAGCAACAGTGCAACAGTCGCGCCTCTTCCATGGAAACGGACTACTAGACCAAACGGATGGCCGCAATTCTACCTGTCTTCCTCCTTCCTGGCTACGGGCTATGCCACCTGATCCTTACAGGTTCTGTATCGACGGACCCGATCATCCAACTCTACCTCCCCAGACCCATCCACGACCTGGCTCCTCAGTCTACGATACCCTGTGTAAGATTGGCTCCAGCACACGTGGAAGCATCTCCTCAATCGCCAGCTCGGCAATTGGACGTATATTCCGTCACCCAGCCCCAACCGCGGCATCTCAGCCAGTGTCTAGTATCGCGCTGAACCAGAATCTGTATGGTCCACACTCGGACATCGAAGAACAGATGCCCCAAGAACATTCGATCCTGCCTGTGAAAAACTCGAACCCATTCCTGGAAGTGAATATGTCTTGCCCGGTATCTACATCTGCGCCTGCTCGCATCGTTGATCATTTTAGCGATCCAGGTCCGACGCTGGGTATGAGCTCGGGTGGGAGATGGAAGGGCAAGGGTAGGGCTGTACAGCCTGCTTCTTCTCTTGTTCCCGTTCTATTTGGCCAACTGGATGATGCGGATTTGGAGACTCTGCAGATGAACCGTTCGCCCAAGTACCACTCTATTGAGAGTTATCCTGGGAAGTTTCCTGTCAGTGATCATTTGGAGTACAGTTTTCTTGCTACTGCTCATGCTATTCATGGCCGTGGGACTACTTCTGTTCGGCCTTTTTCTGATTATTAGGGATCTGATGATGAACATTGGGTTTTAGATAGGTGATTGCATGCTCCTGGGACTCTAGGGATGCTCACTCGGAAGATCCTAGAATGGTATCCTTGTTTAGCTTTGATCATACCTATGTTTTGGATCGGGCCTGCGAGCTTTTTGTTCTTGTTACTTGCTTTTGCGTTGCTACTTGATACGTTTTGTCTTGGAGGTCTCGGACATGGGTTTTATTACATTGGACTCTTTTATGTATTACAACCAAGCCTGTCATTCATGAAGTTTTATAAGTTAGAGAGCTGCCGACCCTAATAATTATCTCAAAACAATGCCGATGATACAGTCAGACATTATAAGTCCTTTCCCATTCCCACTTTGACACAATCTGCATGGTTAGACAGGCCCTTGTTACAGCAACATAATTTGCGAGAAGGTGCCGAATTAGCAGTCAGTGATATAAACGAGGCCTTAAACCACGCTTTCATTAATGGATGATGATTTGTTCCGAGGTTATTTATCTGCATAGGGCTAGGTTGAGGTATTTCCCCGGCCCACAGCTCGGCCCACCCTGGAACTCCATCTCCATCTCCACGTCAACTTCAACTTCATCTCTTCCATGTCCCTGCCTCGAGCTACTCGATCCATCATGTCTGCAATTGAATGTCTGCATCTTCGTCCGCGCAAGTTTGCGCCTCTGGATCCAGCCCGGACATCAAATGCTCCGCTCTTGAAGGGCATTGTGTTTGATGTGGATGGAACACTGTGGTAAGTCTATATCAAATGTCGTGTCTTTTGATGCATTGAGCTGCTTTTATGTCACCATTTTATCGTGTTCGCTGTTTCCATCGTGCCGCTTTGTGTTCCCTGCAGGCATGATGCTGCAGTGACAGTCCTGCACTGAATATTCAGGCACCCACTTGATACGGACACGTGATGATGGACATGGGGATCTTCCTAGCCGGGAAGTATACTATCACGCAGCTCATGCTGTTTTGAGGTCATATGGGCACTACCTTCGATACATGATATGTTAGATATTGAATAGGCCTTTCTAACTTCATAAAAGTCTTCCACAGCACCACATGTTCAATGAGATGAGGTAGGTTCCCACATTCGATCTCCCAACACACTTTATCAAACATCAAACTTCAACCCTAATTACCACGCATAATTCACAATCCCAATACAAACTAACATCTACCTACAGAGAAGCCCTAGGAATTGACCGCTCAGTCGATATCCTCCACCACATCCGAGAACTCCCCACACCAGAAGACCGCGCAGCAGCAGTATCAAAAGTGCAAGCCGTAGAGCGGCGAGCAATGGTAGACCAACAACCGCAGCCCGGTCTCCTCCGACTAATGGACTATCTCAAATCACGCGGATTACGGCGAGCACTTTGCACGCGGAATTTCGAGTATGTGACAATTTACTGTACCCTCCAAATCAGATATATGCTAACACCTCCACCAGAGCACCTGTCAAGAACCTGGTAGACAATCATCTCCCAACACACGTCTTCTTACCAATCATCACGCGCGACACGCCCAATCTCCTGCCGAAACCTGATCCCGCTGGCATTTTGCATATTGCAAGTGAATGGGGATTGGGGAACCGGGCTGAGAGTATGATTATGGTGAGTTTGTTTGTTCTTATTCTTGTTCTTGTGACTTGTGTAGAGATGCTGATTATCGGGATGTGCATTAGGTTGGTGATAGCATTGATGATATGACATCTGGGCATATGGCCGGCGCCGCAACGGTATTGCTTGTCAATGAGCGTAATATGCATTTGAAGGAGCATGCCCATACTGATCTTTGTATTTCGCGGCTGGATGAGCTGGTGGATATTCTTGAGCAGGGGTTTTTGGGAACTAGGGAGAATGAAGAATGTCGCCAGTAGTGTGCTGCATGTGTTGCTCCCTTTGGTGGGAATGAGCGATAGTCATATACTATCGCCGATGTAATACCTGATATATCGTATAAAGTCTCACAGGTCGAAATAGGGATAAGGTCATCAGATTTCTTCACTAGTATGCGCCTGCTCAGCTTTTTGCTGACGGCCAAAGTGTATCAATTGGTATCTCCAAGCGTAGATGTATAGACAGACTTCGCTTCTCCTAATTCAAATGCAACATCCATTACCGTCCTCGACCCCTGCCACCACCCCGTGACCCACGAGCACGCCCAGGACCTCTCGAAGGCCCACGACCCCGGCCACCGCCACCGCCACGCGGTGGAGGAGGATTTCTTGCACGCGGCGAGGGAGAGCGACGCCGATTTCCATTTCCAGGGAATTGGGGACGAGCACGGGGAGCCGAGGGTGGTCCTCGAGACGAACCACGACCAGTGCCGACATTATTGCCGAACTTGATGTTGCCACGGCTGTTGTTGCCGCGGTGGACGGGAGCAGGTCGGCCTCGTCCTCTTGAAACGCGGGACATCATGTCATTTTCATCATCAGAGGAGGAGCGGGACCATTCCGCGCCGCGGGAGCCAGGCCTGCCGGCATTTCCGCGGGAGCGTGGTGGTGGTGGTGCTGGACGGCCGGTGCGTCGGGGTCCATCGGCTGTGTTGAGGTTTGTGATCATTTCTGGGTCCAGACCTTTTGTGGTGAAGGATGATGTGCTAAGTTTTAAATAGGGGTCTGGACAGTCCCCTACTAGGTGCTTTGCGCTGGAGCAGTTGGCGCAGGAGATTGAGACGGATACTTGGTTCGAGTGCAGGTCTCTGGACGGGAATTTCCATAAAAAGTCGCATTCTGATTCGAGGTGTTCATGGCCGCACATGTCGCATGGCACTTCTGATGCATGGCTTCGTAGCTTAGATGTGCACTGTTGCTCGTCGTGGCCTCGTTCACGACATTTTTGGCATCTTCGCCACATTGGGCAGACGACGCTTGCGTGTTTGTCCCAAGAACCACAGTGTGAGCACTGATTAAAGTCAGCATGAAAAAAAACATTTCGATATGCAATCTCAACGAGCATACCTCTTTTGTTGGGCAGATGTCAGCCATGTGGCCCTCAGTTTGACACTCAATGCAAGAAACGGGAAGTTTCAGGTCAAGGTCGTGGATGTTGCGGTCGAAGTATACATAAAGAGACTGAGTTTCGAGATCTTTCTTGTTCAAGTCCACCAGGGACGTAGGCGCTGTGGGGTACTTAAGTGCGAAGCGGCGGAAAGCGTCTTCTTTTGATTGAGAGCCAGATGCCAATTCGACACCGTTGGAAGTTGATGCAGCGGTTGTTCCATTTTGTAACCCATTTTCGGGCATGAGGCGTTCTGGATCGTAGTCTTCGCCTTCGTCCATTCCGTTCTCCTTGGACCCGATGTTCAATAGGATAGAATCATCGGCCTCAGAGTCAAGAGAATCTGAGTCGTCGGACTCACTCTTTGAGTCAATTTCACCTTCTTCCAGGTCTTCTTGAATTCGAGGTTGCTTCCGTGCGCGAGTCTCACTGCCAGCTGACGAGACAGAGTCACTGCGACTGCGCCAGTATTTGTCATTCACAGCATCAAACTGCTCGGACTTCTCAGTATTGCTCTCCATCGGTTCGGCTCGCTTTCCTCCCAGAGTTGTACGAATTGCCTTCTTCTTTCCTTGGTTCCAGCTGATGGCAGGCGCAGTGCTTCCAGCGTGTGGATTCGCGGTGTCGTTCGCGCTAGAGGCCGAGTCGGAGTCGGAGTCTGAGTCTGAGGAACCAGAGCTGGAAGTGGCATCGGAGTCAACCTCAAGGGGGGTGGCAGTAAATGCACCGCCCCGAGGAACGAAGTCCGCATGATCAGGCGCATCCTGACTTTTATTCTGCCGTTGTCTCTTTGCTGGCCGCGTGCTGTCGCGCGAGGCAGAGCGCGTGGAACGAGGGTTCTTCGCACGCTGTGCGCCCACCGATGCCGTCCGTGAATCCGCTTCTTCGTCGGAGGAATTTGCCATTTTGTTTTCTGTCTGGAATGGTGTGGGCGATTTGATCAGTAAGATTGGAGAGATCTTGAGTAGAATTCAAATTAATTTCACGGTGGCCGATATCGACCATTCGCGCAATCATCGGGATGGGGTATAGATCGGCCATTGATGATGGCTATATTGGCCATGTTTTGGTCGTTTTGTCTGTTGAGCCTGGTACACAGAGTGGCATTATTATCATCTCGTTCTCAAAAAATCTAATGAAGGAAACAATAATTTTGTCCTGGTGAAAATGTGTGGGACAGGGCGAGTGGAGTGTCGACATACACAACGTTGTAGATGTAGTTACTGAAGCATTCTTTGAAAAAGAAGATAATGAATTCCATGAGACACCGATGTAGCAATATGCTCGCGAGTCCTAAAAAGGAATGGGTTGGATCACTATACGTGCTACTGTTTACTATGATCCCTGCATATAACTCCGTGATCATCTTCCAAATATGAGAAATCCAGATTCATGTATGGGAATAACATAAATTCAGTCATAAAATATATCGACCTTGATCTCAAGGGTGCTATGAATTAAGAGTCCACTAATAACTCTAGGTATCTTCGTCACATGGAATCATAACATGATGGGCTTCGTGCATTTCATTTATATGGAACCATTGTCCTTTAATATAGAAAAGTGTTGATCAACCGGTTGTAAATTGCTTGCATATGGTATATTTTGGGGAAAAGAAGCCACGATATAAATAAAGGGGCAACTGTTCGGAGATAAAGCTGGCTACAGAGTAGCCCAGTCTGTGGCGGCTATTGCTATAGTAGCGTCGGAAATATTGCCATTCACTGTGAATAAATCCGGTATCAAAAAAAGTCTAGAAGAAAAGAACAGCATACTCAACACATCTCAAATAAGTAGTAAGGCTGAGAACATTCCAGTTCAATATAAGCAGGAACAAGACAAGTATATGTGGAAATCGCCCCTTTGCGCCCTATTGGTTGTTTGGGATTAGATTCCGCACATGCATAAGTGCAGCAAAAACCACAAGAAACTGTAATAGCCAGTAAAACCGCCATCTCCCAGTATAACAATCTAATTTTAGCGGAAGAATAAAGTCGTGAATCAGAGAGCTCTTCCGCACCCCGTGACCCAAGCCGATCCGACCGGCAAACTCCAGTCTGGGCCGTGCCACCTCATCCCCACGCTCCTTTTCCTCTCTCCTTCTCTTCCATCTTCATTTCTTTCTGAGAAACCGACAAGCTGGCGTCCAATTCAAAAGTTTCTTCCCTGCTGGCCCCCCGTGGCATCTCCTTCCCTCCGGATGTTGGCACGGCGCCGCAGCGGCTATCTCCAAGCATGAACCAAAAACAAGGCCGACGGAGGCGATCCAGCAGTCTGATCTACCAGGAGCCTGCTGAATCAATCGAGCGCACAAGTGACCAGGCAGCTTTGCCAAATCTCAACGCAGACTGGGTGAACGCCAAGGGTAAGTGGCAAGCTGAGACCACGCAGCAGTTCGGGGGCTGACTTGATTCGCATTCTAGGTGCCTGGACTATTCACTTCGTCTGTATCGCTGCCCTCAAGATTTTCTACGACATCATCCCGGGCGTCTCGCAGGAGACCTCTTGGACCCTCACCAACATCAGTTACATGTTCGGATCCTTCCTCATGTTTCATTGGGTGCGGGGCATCCCATTCGAATTCAACGCCGGCGCCTACGATAATCTCAATATGTGGGAGCAAATCGACAACGGTGACCAATATACGCCTGCCAAGAAGTTTCTGCTCAGCGTCCCGGTTGTGCTCTTCCTCCTTAGCACTCACTACACCCACTACGACATGACCTACTTTACCATCAACTTCCTCGCCACATTGGGAGTGGTTATTCCTAAGTTGCCATTTGTACGTCTCCAAATACTCGCGGGTGATTTGGGTAGATTGCTAACACTCTGTTTACAGTGGCATCGGTTGCGGATAGGTCTATTCTCCGAGATACCCGAGGAGTCATAGTGCCTCCAAATATTTCCTTTTCTATCCAATTGCTATCCATGTTGGCGTCTTCTCGGCCCCCTTGATTTCTCAACCTCTCTCGCCACCCTTTCCAGGGCCTTTGCATTGCGAACTTGATTGACGGAGTTTGACCCGTTATTGGCTATCGCGTTCTGTTTCTCCTTTCTTTGGCAAATATGAAGACGCAGAAACAACTGCCAGTCCGAATTCCCATCCTCTCGGTTCTATGTTTAGAGTTCCTATCAAAATCCTGCATCTATACGTTTTTAGGGGACTCAGAGCCTGATAAACCTGACCAGAGTGAGCGCATAGAATCTCCACTGGTAGGGCTGCAAGTTAATCTCTTGGCTGGGTCCAAGCGGGGCTTGCATGTGAAGTCAAAGCAACTTGAGTTTTGACTTTGGCTTTTCTGTTGTGTGCCATTTGTTTAATAGAAGTCGGTATCTGAGTGTGATATTCCGACATCTTGAACCTCACCGGCACTCACATTACCCGGGTTGCCGACAGTAAAGGCAAAGATCAAATCAGAACCCATCGTAACCTATTGTAGTCTACTAAATCTATATAGTCCTCGATGACCAACAAGTTGGATCTTATTCGCTTGCATTTCTCACTGATAGATCTGTGGTGCAGAAATAAGCAGGCCATAGACCGCGCTCTCTCCGCTTTGTTGCTATATACTTTACATATTCTTTCATTTAAATCCAAGTCCAAGTTATCGTACTAAGTAGCTTCTTTCATGTTCATGTCAAAACTGGTCTCTTTTGTTAGGACTGCAGTATTCTGCCGGACATACTCCGGATCCCAATCGCATCTCCCCGCTTATCGATAAGCGCGTGACATCAACTTCACTTCCTTTTCGCAAACATTCCACATGGCGACAGACGAGGTTCCCTACCGGTCACCGGTACCGCTGGCATTTGAATTAGTCCAGCATGTTGGTATCTTCTTTGAAGAAAACCTCCGTATGTACCTAACCCCTAAGACGCGTCTCAAGTTTCAAAGACACGCGACTGACATTCCAATTGCTCCGAACTAGACACTCAAGCACTCAGTCTCCTGTATAACACCCTTGCATCGGGCACGGTCTCCTCAGCCCAAGCAGTGATCCCCCAGCCACAGCATCTGGCCGTTGCTGCTACTATCCTCGTTCACCCCTCTACAACAACACGCGCCAAATCGACGGAGGAGAAAGAAGCTGCCAATGCATCACTCCGTCTTCTTCGACTGACAAACTCACTTGTTGGACCTATCGATGCAAAATTTAATGAGGCTTTTGCCTTTACACATTTCGAATCCTCGCGCCAGGGTTTACGGCGTCAGGATAGCCCAGAGACTAGTGGGCTGAAAAATAATGACTCCAAACCCTTGAAAACAATCATTAGCGATGCAGACTCGGTATGGCAACGTGCAGAGGACTTCTGGCATGCTGTCGGGTGGGCATTCCGTTGCTCGGTGCTTCACCCGGAGCGGTGGGAGCGCTGGCAAATCTGGCTGCAGTTCATGTGCAACGTTCTTGAAGACGATTGGAAAGAGCGCGAAAGAAAATGGCTAGAAGCTAAGGAAGATAAGAAGGAGTCCCCACCAGACGCTGAGTCTGAAACGAAAGGCAATTATGGACTGGAGGACCTGAAGATTTTCCGCGAGAGTTTGATCTTTCAATATATAAGCTCGAATACCACCTACGGACAAAACCGTCGGATCCTACGTGCTATCTTTGCTGATGGCGCGCGTGAGGAGTTCAAGGAGGTATACAGAAAAAGGGAAACCACGAAGTCCTTGAACGCAGCCCAGAATACCAAGAAGAGAGAGGTTGAAGTCAACATCGAAAAGAACGAATACGGCGACTACCTGGACGAGTCAGGTGAAGAATCCCACGGCGCACCCGACACAAACTCACCCCCATCCAAAACAAAAGCCAAAGAAACCAAGTCTCGTCGCCCTAAACGCACAAGACGCGGCACAAAAACCGACTTAGACCAATCCACAACAACCAACCCAATAAGCCACCTGCAAAAAACAACCCAAGCCCCAGATCCAGGAAGCGATCTCTCCTCCCTAGGCGGCTACGACTCCCTCGCCCTCCGCCAACAACTCTTAAGCATCCTCTCCAGCGTCTCCCTCCGCCTCCCACAAGACTTCATCCCCTTAGACGATCTGTACCACATGTTCGTCGAAAACATCCGCGACCTCCCCCTCCCAATCTTCCAACACTTCATCAGCCCCTCAACCCTTCCCCACATGACCCCAGCTGCACAAACAACCCTCTGCGAACTCCTCCTCTTCGTCATGCGCGAGAGCTCAGCGCCAAGATCTGACGATGATTGTCTTCACCAGGAGAAACTGGAAGAGTGCTTCTTACCCTATGCAGCAGCGAACTCCAGTATTGAGAACAATGCCAAAGTGTCAATCCTGCTAGAGGCGCTCATGGCATTGTTGCATAAGAGTGACATGCTTTTCGTTACGCCAAAGCTCAGGAAGGCTGTTGAGCGGGGGGTTCTTAAACGTGGAAAGAAGGCTGAGGAGGACAGGAGGAGGGCTTTGGATAGGGGGGAGAAGGTTCCTGTAGAGTGTAATTATGTACGTGAGAGTGGGTTTAGGTTGTTGTTTATGGTTGATCATCTTTTGCCAATGGCAGCTGGTAGTTAGCTTGGACCTTTAGGGATTGTTTCTTACGATTTTTACGATTACTATGATGAAGATGGTTGAAGGTTGCATTAGGCTGTTTGTTTAGATGCGGCTCTGTGTTTTGGCTCTAACCCTAATTTTATCGGACCAAGGTTGCAGTCTGAGAACTGGAGACTGTTCATATTAGTAAGAACTGGGGAGATATACGTATTTCAGTCTACTAAGAGACTGTCTCATCTATTTTGTAGATTATTATGGAATTTCAATACAATAGTGGCTATCTACAGTTGCGTGACACCGGAACAACATTCTCAGAGCAAAGAAGAAAAAGAAGGCTTTGAACGGGAATCATAGAACGCAAAGAAGACATGATACCACGAACGGTATACGAAAACGGGGATACTTCTGCTTCAGTGGTGATACATGGTAGAGCAGCAATCAAAAAAAAGGGAAGAAAAAGCACTAAGAGGACAGAAGTAAGTAGAGGGGGGCAAAAACTCAAAGAATCCTAGGTTGAATAGGTACCAGCTTCAACAGGCCATGAAAGACTAAGTTCATTAGCAACTTATGGAGGCGGCCGAGGCCCGATAATCTGGCGCCTGGCACCACCAACACCAAGTCCAACACCGCCACGGTTCTGGTTGTCACCACCCATGTAACCATACTGGTGAACATCCCATGATTGACCGGGTCCAGAGCCGTGAGTGGGATCGTTGACACCACGCTGGATAGCAGCGGCAGTCTGTTTCTGATTTTCTTCCCATTCTTGCTGGCGAGCACGTTCGCGCTCCATCTCGCGCTCGAGGAGGGACTTTGATGCCCACCCACCGGCCTTGGTCTTCTGCTGCGAGGCTACGCGCCTGGCATTCTCTTCGTCGACTTCGGAGGTTGTGCTGTAGTCCTGGGGTCTGTGGGCGGCTGGGGCTGCCGGGGCGGGTGCTGGGTTTGAGGAGAGGAAGTTGTCCACGCGGCTTTGGCGATTACGGTTGGCATTGTAGGCGACTGGGTCTGGGAGGGGACGAGGGGGTTGGGGGAGGTCTCTGGGAGGAGGAAGTGTTGGCTGTGCAGCCAGGGATGAGGGCTTAGGCTCTGAGAGAGGACGAGGAGCTGGGGGTGGTGTTTGTTCCTCGACGGTCTCGGGTTCCTCGGATGTGGCTGGCATTTCTTGATTGTTCTGCCATTCACCGCGGAGCATGAGTCGTTCTTGCTCAAGCGAAGAGAGACTGTAACTCGGCTTAGGAGGCACGGGATGTGGACGACTGCGAGACCGGGGCTCGTCGGTGGGTTTGGGAGACTGCAGCTCCTGGCGTTCAGTCTCGTACTGGCGCTCCCGGTCCTTTGCCTGCTGGAGCTCACGCTCGAGCTCTTTGATGCGTTGACTTTCAGGTGTCTCTTCGACGGATCTAATTCCGCTGGAAGCATCGCTAGTCTGGGAAGCCTGGTATTGGCTCAAGAACTGGCCATTGAGACGAGTGTCGGTCTGGCTGCGTCTGCGTTGCCGCTCCTCCTCCAGGCGGTCCTCGGCGTCTTTCTCTTCCGCGGTGCGGCGCGCCTCCTCTTCTTCCCACTGACGCTTTTCTTCGTCCCAACGCTTCCTCTCTGCATCCATCTTGACACGCTCCTGTTCCCTTACGCGAGCAGTCTCTTCCTCCCATCGGCGCTTCTCTTCAGCCTTGGCCTGAGCCTCCTCTTTTTCAATCTGTTGCTGGCGGGCACGCTTTGCCTCTTCCCTCTCTGCATTCTCTTGACGGATTCTGTCTTCCTCCTCACGCATTTGCTTTTGCTTCTCTGCAAGGCTTGGTACAGCAGGTCCAGGTGTCGTGATTTGTCGACGAGCACCGAATGCAATTCCTTGGTTGCCCTGACTTGCTCCACCCATGTAGCCATATTGGTGGATGTTCCAGGCCGGGTTAGTCGCCTGCTCATCTCCCTTCTTGGCCCAAGTACTATATGACCCGGATGGCTTTGTGTCACCTACATTGCTAGAAGAGCGGGCTGACCGGGGAGTGTAGCCCCCACTGGAGGATCCCGTCGCATTGGGGCTGATCACATTGCGCTTGCTCTGCGGGCCAACCGTCCGAGGGAATTTGCTGGGCTCAAGGGCATTGGCGCGGCGACTGAATGCTGCCAGACACTGTAGGACTTGTGCGGGATCCTTCGCCTCGTAGAGATCAACCGTCAAGAAGACGTCGTGCGGAGGAAGGTTGAGAGGTGGCATTTGGCATGCGCGCAAGAAATGCGAGATGTTCTCCATCTGTACAAACGGCGCAGGCAATGATTTATACTTCACGCCCGGTGACACGGCGAGGTTTACTAGTCTAGATAGGACTCAGTCCGGGGTCCAGGGTTTGGCGGAAAAGCGCAACCACAACTTACTTGCAGAGAGCAATGCCACTCTTGAGACCTTCGAGCAGGTCTTGCGATGGCAGCTTCTCATGAAGCATTTCCTCAATCCAGTCGCGCACCTCCGCGGCTGCCTGCGGGGTATAGCGGGACAGGCGCATGTTGCGCAAGTCCTTGTCGAGGGATGTCACTGAAGCCATGGTCTCGAGTGGTCTTCAGGTCGAGTGTAAAACGCAGTGAGATTGTGTAGCCACTGTTTGGGGCTATGTATCCCTTTGCCGCCTAATCGGCCCCTATGGTGGCGGGGGTTGGGTAGCAGAGGAGGGTATTCCGTGATACAATTGGAAATACGAGCAAGAGAAATTCCCCTGATAACTGGAAATGGTCAAGCCTAGAAGATCCGAGGGAGCAGAGAAGAGAAGAGAAGAGAGTGAGAGGGAGAGAGGATGGAATGCTCGGCGATGTTTATCCCCGATGACGTTCCTCCGCCTCAATCCTTTTTCTCTTCTCCTTGCATCGCAACTATGGTGAACAGCCTGTGGTTCAAGTGGAAAGCTCTGCGCCTACCCTGGAGGAAATCTTTCTTAGTCGGTTAGTATCTTCTTTTCTTGCATCGCGACTGACGCTAACTCCTATCTCTTCGCAGGCCAGGATCTCGCCGGCAACACCTTCTGGGAGTTCAAAGATGTCTTGAATGCAAACCGTTGGCGCCGAATTGTCCGCTACGATCCGAAAACACATTTCAGTGATGTTCAAGTGACACGTGAGTCTTGTCGCATGCCGGGGAATATGCAGGCTCGGTTTGGATGGGCTGGCTTCATGCCCGGCAAACCGACCAGAATGCGACGAAACTGAGACTAACACCCTACTCAATCCAGCACAATGGCACCAATGGCTACGGCATGTCCGAAAAAATCCACCGAGCATCGAAGAGCAAAAGCAGGATCTCGTCCGCCAAGCGCAAATAAAACAACTCGCCCGGCTCGCCGACGAACGCTGGGCCAGCAAAGCCTCATTCCTTGACAAGCCCAAGTCCCAACCTGGACCAGCGAGTCAACCCGGTGGTCCCAGTTTGAACTATCCTGCTGCCACCACCCAAGCTGCCAACGCCCAAGCCGCACAGGGTGCGCCGGCCGCCACACCCACCAATGCGCCACAGGCGGACCCTGCCTCTACAACGCCGGAGACGAAAAAGGAAGAGAACCCATGGGCTAATGCCAGCAAGAATAACCCAGGCGAGGAATGGCAGCCTGAGGCGTGGACCCCAAGTTCCAAGCGGTAAATGATGATATCGATGTATCGGTTAATTTTCGCAAAGATTTTTAATCTCGGTTTTCAAAAAGGAATTGGGTTCTGAACTCAAACAGAGCATTAAGGGTATCCCATAGGCTGATATCAGTCCATTGGGAATGTACTGCAGGGTATCCTGGGCCTAGGAGCTATCAAACAGATCACACGCCAAGTCTTGTCTCCAAACTTCCGCCAATTTGATGCCTGAGTAGGATAAAGGTGATTACCCACTTAACCTCTTCCATCTAGGCTTGGGATGACGAATTTCCCTGTCATTTCGACAAGTATCTCTTTTTCTGTCGATGTACTCAGAGGCATATTTGGCTCGCCACGTGTATATTACGTTGTTTTCCTTTCCGTGAGACCATAGCCTCCATTACTCTCCATTCGTGTCTCAGTTGCCCTAATTTGCTTGTCTTCGAACGGCAAATCAAGAAGGTTCAAAAATATAGCTTTCTACGTATAAAAGAGGCCATATATATGTGCTGTGTCATGAAGTATTGGACAATCTCTGCTCCAACGCCCGATAGAGTATGATGTTTCAAGTCTCCATTTGCCCTACTTTGGTCCTTACCTTTTTACCTACGTTTTGGTCATTTTCGAGTGTTTTGGGTAGATCATGTAAACTATATTAGGTTGGAGGTATGAAAGAACCTACGGCTTACGACTTTAGAGGAAAGACAAGTTTTTTGTATATTTTTTTGTATTTGGATACTCCCTCCCACCCACCTTTTTTTTCCATTTGTATTTTTTCTGTGTATGAAACAAAAAGGGCAAAAGAAACAAGCAACAAAAGCAAAGTACAACAGGGATATCACAAATTCAAAAAAAAAAAAGACCAACGCACACCACACCGCAAAGCAATGTGTAAAGGAAAAAATTGGAACAAAGATATTTACCCACCCTGCCACCCTTGTCTTTGTGTTTTTTTTTTTTCTTTTTGTGATTTCTCGGGCAAAGAAAAAAAAATCAACATTGCGGAAAGTAAACAGTCAAAAGCAAATTAGCAATACCAAAGAGGAAAATAGCAACGTCATGGGGGTATCCAGAAGTAATCACAGGTTGTCGTAGGCATTCCGAGATAATCGTATAGGGAGCATTAGATGTAAGCCATTCTGGAGAGAATTGTCTCATGCAACCGCACCGTATTAGCCGGGGGTGGAGGGTACTTTCCATCAGAGCCGGGTCCGTGTGGTAGAGTCTCTGAGAAGTATTCAGCAAGCATATACTTGCGCGCTCGGTCACACATCTTGTCAGCAAGGAAGGCAGGGGTGGCATAACTGATGGAGCGAGTGGCACGACCCATCATGTAACAGATGTTGTGAGTCAATTCTTGCAGCGAGTCAGCAGCCTTAGCGGACTCCGGGTTGGCCTTTGGGCTCCTGAAGATCTCGTCGTGGATGACAATGTAGTGAGCTGGGCGAGCGGAGCCTTGGAGAGGTGCCTGAGCCTGCAGGTAGAAGTCCCAATACATAGGGCGGGTGACAATGCGATCAACAATGCATCCATTGATGGGATTCTGAGTGCGATCCTGGTCCTTTTCAGTTGTGGGATAGAAGCGTACATTGTGACGTTTTCCACAGACGACAATGGTGATGTAGGGCTCAGTCTTGTCGTAGAAATTCTTGCATGCCGCCTTAATCAATGGAAGTTCGAAGTTCAGGACCACGTCGAACTGGCCTTCACTGATACCATCGCGGTAAACGAGAATGTTCATCGGCAAGCTTCCATTGTTATCCTTCCACAACTTCAGTCGTCTTTCCATCAACGTCTGGAGAACCTCAACGTGTTCCACACGGCGCCCTTGGATCATGATTTCACCGGGCCATTGAGCCATGCGACCGTCAATTGAGGCAACAATTCCTGCAACACTAGGCCAATTCATGTGGTCTGTGCTGGTAGGATGAGTGACATCCAAGCCAACAACCATGGTCTTTCCTTGTCCAACGAACTTGGAGTGGGATCCGTCAAGTACTTGATTGGCGCCACCGAACTTTAGGTTGACCTTCATAGCATTGTTGCTAATGTATTGGTCTTCAACTTTGCCCAGCTTTGCAGCCAGCATACAGTGAGTAAGGATGCCGCTCTTGACGTCTCCACAGAACTTGATCCAGTCGAACACACCGCTGGCTGTATCGGGGAGAAGAACGACAGCGAACTTGATGTTCCCGGTCTTCATCTTGTCGAACAAATCCTTGATTTTGTTCCGGTTCTCGCGTTCGCTTCCGGGGCCTCCAGAGAGTGACGCCTGTAAGTTCATGGTGGAATCGGGCATTCTCAGGCCGTGTTCTCGGAGCTTCTTGGTGAACCTGCTCATGCACACAACCGGATTTTCAAACGAGTCTCGACCCTTCCGAAGCCAGATACAAGCCCACGTTGGAATGGTGGCACCGCTGCAGAATTTCGTGTTTGCCAGGTTCCAAGAGCCAAACCGGGGAGTCGTCTTTTGGGTTCCATACTTCAACATAGGGGTGTTCAGGATCCGGGCTGGGACAGTGACCATGTCAGGGATGACCTTAATTCCTCGTTCAATGGTTTTGCCGCCGGTGATTCCCATGATTCCAAGACCGTCGGTGGTGATTGAATCGTAGTTCATAGGCGGTCTGCGGCAACTGAACTTGATCATTGCCTGCCGTTGAGAATTGGACAGCTCCCCAGCAAAGGGTTGACCAGGAACAACCTCACAGACATCCAGCGGCAGATAATTGGGATGTGCCAGGTTACCGACGTTGACAACGGGCATGTCATGGTACTTGATTCTGATGTTGTAGGCTGTGATTCTGGTTAGCATATTCTGAAAATCAAGGGACAGGGAAGTAACACACTCTTCTCAAAATACTCGAGGACAGAGACATATCGTGAAGGTCTGCCTTCTTGGTTCATGAAGAATTCAACATTGCCCGGCGAGGAAGCAAGTCGCTTGACACGGGGAAGTTCCTTGGGGTTGGCGCCTTTGACCTTTCCGTCCTGTGGAGTGGCAACACCGAGAATCGACTTGATGACATACTGTTTTTTGCCGAAGGCATCCTCACGCTTAGGAAGATGAGTCACATAGATCTTTAGCCCTTTGAGGTAGCGTCCAAGGTGATCACGATCCTCACCAAAAACACTCATGTACTCCTTGATCAGTGTGCTCAGGGGAATGGGCCTGTAGAAAGATCCATGATTGACATTCAGGTTTAGCAGGATCTTGCCAGTGCCAAAGCGAACACTGGAGTAGTAGCCACGAGCAGCCTCAACACCACCGCCCATTGACTCAACCTCCTTTCCTGGGCCCATGCGGAAGAACTTGGTGCGTCCTTTGCCGGAAATGTAAATGCCAGGGTCTTTGTACGGGTGCGCACTCATCACAATGTTCAAGACACGCAGCACCATTGTCTCGTTTCCCATCGCACCCCGTTGCTTGGGATCCTGTAGAAGCTTCACGAAGTTAACGGGCTTCAGAAAGCCCTGGTAGATGAGCGTGACTTTGTAAATGGGCCGTTTGTCACCAGGAGGAACACCACGGTCACCAATGCGACGATAGAAGGTCGAGGTGTCCTTCAATGGCTCGTTCACAACAATCTCAGTGGTTCCATCTGTAGCAGTGCCGATTTTCCCCTGAAAGCGTGCTTGCTGCAAGAGAGCGTCCATCAAGAACTGGCGATGCGCCTTGGGGACCTTATCAGCATGCTTGAAACTGGTATCACTGTCCTCGCATTTGATCTTGCTGCTATCCTCGCCGACATCCTTCTTTACAGTGATGTCCACACGGTAGGAGTGATACTCCTGCTTTGGGTTGAATGACATCTCGAAGAAGTTGGCCCGGAGCACCATGGCTTTGCCTGCGGTTCCATAACCGGGGCGGCGAGCAAGTTGACCGGCCTTCTGGGTATCCTTTGCGGTGTCCTTGGCATACAGGTTCTCGTAACTGATGCATTTCGCATCGGGAGGCGAGGCGGGCGTAGTGATCATCCTGTTCGATAAATGTTAGATGTTTCCCTCCTTCTATATCATGTCAACTTACTTGGATGGACCGGGTTGATATCCGCCATGACCGCCACGGTCACTGCTGGATCCACGATCACCGCTGAAACCACGTCCTCCACGAGAGCCACGGTCCCTTCCACGATCCCCGCCCCGATCACGGTGTGGCAAGTTGCGACCAGACATTCTAGCGAATGTACTGGTTAGAGATGTGAGTGCTCGTATGTTGTGAGAAATGAACCAAGTGCTCTGCTGGCGCTTGGAAAAGATTACAACGGGCGATTGCAACCGGGTCTGAAAAATTATAGTTCCGAATCATCAACGAAAAAGCGAAAGGAATGAGAGCGTGAACTCAGAAGTGAATTACTTCCCCTAAACCAGCGAAGGGTGCAACGACTTGCTTCCAAAGGAATGGAGGGCGAATTGCAACTCTGAACTAAGTTTTTGTATCTTAGAACAGGCAAGGACGCGGGAGGAGATTTTGGGGAAAAAAGAATGTGAGTTGTCGAATTTGTCCAAGTGCTTAGGTCTTGGAACTGTGCGAGAGACAAGGACACTTTCGTCCGGAAAAAGGAGGGTGGAAAGGAGGGATCAAACTGAGATCTTCTGTCCCAGAATGACGGGAAAGGAAGAAGGAGCGGGATGCAACGAAGAGAATGAGCTTGCTTGCCCGTTGTGGGTTGAGGGAGGGAGGTTTTCGTCAGGCCCTTGTACAAGGGGACGAAATGCTGGACAGAGAGTGACAAATTTCTAAAGGCACGTAACAACAATGCGTTAGCAATGGGTCGCAAATTTGATCAAGCTGCATGAAGATGAAAATGGAAGAACAAACGAGAGGGGAGATGCAATGGGGAGAACGAAGCCATGCAGGAGGTCAAATCTCAAGATCACAGCAAAAGCAATGAACTCATTGGGATGATGATTGCAGGCTTCAATAGATAGAACAAGTGCTGGGATGAACAAGGTAGGATGAAGTAATCACCAAACTACACAATAATGATAGCAATGGGCTGATGTGGGTGAGGAATTGCAGAGGTGTTGAGATGATGAAGAAGGAGGAAGAAAAGTCTGCAGGAATAAAAGGAAAGGGGGTGTTTATGCAGTATGGCAAATGAAAAACGAAGGGGAAGAGTATCAAAGGAGTTAATTCACTCATTTGCTATGATAGCAGTAAGGGCTGTGAAGTAAAGTCTGGGTAAGGTTGAGAGTGAAAGTGAGGTTCGGGTAAGGGAAACATAGGATCGAGGTAGGATGAAACAAGGAAGAAAGTGAGAAATTGCTGAAAGTCCATGTAATGAGAATATAGATTCAACTGAGGCCAGGGTAATCAAATAGCAATTCAAAACCCACAGGAATGCTCCGGGGAGAGCGAGCGGTGCAACAATGTCAAAAACTGTAAGTGTGGGTTAGTAATTGTGATAGGAAGGAGATGACGAGGGTAAGAAAGCTGATTATATGATGATACTCACAAAGTATGAGTGGGTGTCAATTGTAAGTGGTTGGATGAGAGAATGAGGAAGAAGGGAAGAGGAAGAAGGGAAGAGGTAGAAAAGAGCCCAAGGGTGCTTGAATAGAGCTGTACTCACTTGGAAATGCAATGATTGAGAAGTTGAGGCAAAACATATAAGTGTAATGAGGGTTGAAGGGTGGCAGAGGGAGAGAAAGAAGAAGAAGAGAAGAGAAGGGAAAATGGGCAGAAGACCTTTGAATAGAGTTGGACTGCAGTATCAATTTGCATTCGAGAGATTACATGCTGGATACTGAGGAGATGACTTATGATAGAGTCAGTAATGCAGAGTATTGAAGTGTCAAGGGCAGGACTCACCAGCTTGATGAAGAAGGATGCAGACTAAAGGAGACCTATGATTTTACGAGAGAGCCAAATTCACTGCAGAAGCTGGGCAGTCCAAAAAATATTATGGAATTGTATATCCACATAAGAGTCTAAACATTAGAGCAATCTAATATTTTGGAGGGTGTGTCGGTCACCCCGGCCAGAAGGCCTAAAACAAAACCAAACACCGAAAGCAATCCAGATATTCCCAATGACATAAGCCAAAAACACCCGCTCAAGAACGCGGACAGAAAAAAAGCAAACAAACAAATTGAGCAAAACAAATTATTACAAAGCTTAGCATAGAACGGCTTCGAGGGCTTCGACGTCACCGCCAGCGCTGCGCACTGCCCGAAGTGCGGCTTCGCTTAGCTTGCGACGTCGGTCACGAGCTTCTTGCTCGCGACGAGCTTTAGTCTTGGAGCTGCCGGAGGGAGCAACTCCGGTCAGAATCTTCTTGCTGTCATGAGCGGTAAAGTTGACGAACGATACGCTGACAGACTTGTTTGAACCTCGAGGGGAGGAGCCCGATGCCTTGGCGGGCTTGGGGCCGGTCATGCTCTGGCCTGAGAGCTTGCGGCTGTGAGGGCGGCGGTTACTGGCCTTCTTGGGTGATGTTTCGGCCTTGGGAGAGAGAGATGGAGAGCGGGAGATGTTGTGAACCTGAGAGGTGGTGAAGGGAGTAGTGAACTTTTGAGCGGGCATCATGTTAGATGATGAGAATGAAGAATCCGCTGACATGTCAAAGGAAGGATCAAATTGGATCATGAGACCGCCTTGCATCATGTCATTTTGGCTTCCGACACTTTGCATGGGGCGGTGAGGTGTGGGAGATGCGAGGTAGGCAGCTTGTTGCTGAGCGACCCGAGTAGGCATAGGGGACCACCAGTTTTGAGCATCTTGACTCTGGAGTTCTGGGGTGAATGAGAGAGAGGAGGCATGGAGAGGATCTGATTGCCACGAGGAGAGAGATTGGGGATCAGATGAGTGAGATGAAGAGAAAATATCATCCGCGGAAGGAGGGCTGGAGTTGGTCAAGTTGGAAGAGCTGGGGTGACCCATGTAATGCTGGTGTTGGCGCATAGCGGAGTTTGGTGAGGGCATGGAGACAGCAGGAGAAGGGTGGATCATTCGTGCGTCGAACTGAGGAGGCATCTCAGCGGAGTCTCTGGGATGGTTCATAGATTTTTCGTTAGACAAGTTCTCGTGCTGAACAAGAACGTCTGATGGAGGAGGGGACAGCGGGAGACGATCTTCTGAACCATGAAGGTTGAAGTTCTGGATGCGCTGAGCCCAAGCCTCGGGATATGCCATTCTTCCTTTGGAGAGGTTTGAAGAACGCATCAAGCTGGGAGAGAAACTTTGCTTGCGCAAAAGTGCGCGGCGCTCGTTAGGGCTGCGATGGCGGATAGATTTGGGAGTAATGAGAGCGCTCTGGGTAGTCTTGCGTCTGGGGGTAGCCGGGGGAGTAGACGGCGAAGTAGAGATACCGTTGGTAGCTGTTGGACGGGAGGAGACCTCGAAGTTGTTCTGACCAAGATCTGAGATGGCGGAAGGGTGGACGGTGTCATGAAGAGTAGCAAAATGATCTACGGCAGCTCCGTCATCCTGCAGGGACCACTCTTGGCCCCAAGGTTGCGGTGATTGATGGCGTTTAGAAGTGGAGACAGTGGGTGAGAGATCGCCACTTTCACTTGATAATGAGTCAAGTGCGAAGAGCTGATCGAAATCGCCGGACAGCGAGTCTTTGTTTCCATCAGCGGCAGAAGTATCCATGTTCACGTATTGGTTGAACAAGTCATTGAACGAATGATCGTACTGTTGAGCGAACATCTTGCGGGATTTCCGTTTGCGGTGAAGAAGTGAAGTGTAGTCAGCGACTCGAAGTAAAGTCAAGACGTGATTGGACAACCACAAAGAAGGTCGCAGATAGAGATGGGAAGGTTTGGAATAGTTCGGGGGATCGACCCGGAGATCCGAAGAGTGCAAATGGTGCAAGGCGAGTGTTTGATGTTTGATGGTTTGTCAATCAAAGAAAACACTGCAGATGATGCAAAGAAAGCAAAGCAAACAAACAGATGCAAGCCCTATTTGAATGGCTGCTGGCTTACCAGCCTCATTATTTCTTGAGGCATTCCTGTGCTCTAAAGATGGCTAAGGAATGTGCTGCGAATGACCCGGTTGGCCCATAGGGAGCTCCACCAACCTCCCGGAGGAATGACTTAAGACTCCACAGAGCTCCTGGGCCAATAGTTAGCTGTGAAGCTATAACTGGCTGTCAAATCCTGAAGAGGCTTCGTGCCGGGCAGCCACCCTATGGAATGTAACCCTCCATCACTAAGCCAGAAGCAGCGGGTCAGGCATCATGTGAGCTAGCAGAGCGGGTCTGGGGAGACCCCGGGCATGTCATACCGATACCCTTGATTGGAGATCGGCATGGCTCCAAGGAGCAAGACCGTTAGGGAGGCTGGTCATGGATCGGTACGCGCGCCGGGACCTCAAGGATTGGTCAAGGAACCAGGACAAACCAATAGAGCGAGACCGAGGCTGACCACCCGTCAAGCTTATAGTTACAGTGTAAGCGTCATGCTAGATGTAATCCGATCATTGACCACCCAAAGAAGACATGATTTGGGCGACAGTAGGATCGGCGGCAGACTTGGCCACTCTTTCCCTCTCACATCACTTCAACACTATTTGTCAATATACTTCATTTGGAGTGGAGATGACAGCACCAATTGACCAATGTCATGTACGGGATAAGGCTGTTGGAATGTGCTCTGGAATTTAGAGGCTGGGCGGAATGTCAAGCCTGCAGAAGCAATGCACAGAATAACGTTTGGCATTCGAGAAGGACAGATCTGCCCTAGAAGCTGTAGAAGCACCGGGGACCTGGGCCGGAAGATCAGAAACTTAGACCTGCAGATGTCGATCATTGTTTGGTGTGTTTGGTTTGACCCCATGTTCTATATTTGGACGCATCAAGGGAGTCGATCATGATAAGAGCTTGTTTGAATGCGGAAAGGAACAAGTCTTTGACTCTTTCTGTAGAGAGGATCTGACACTTTGTTCCCCCATTGGAATAATCTGGAAGTCGTTGACTCGTCAAAGATAAATTTCGCCTCAATGAGGTGGAGCTAGTCTCTTTGTGTCTATAATAGGACCATAAGCCAAGTGCGTCAAAGGTATTTCGAGTCCACAAGTCCAGTGTGGAGGTGCTTTGATTGTCCTTTGTTGGCTGTTGATTGCCGGATTTGGACCAAGACGGCCTGAGGTCACAACAAAGTTGTAAGCAATGGCCAGCAAGACAGCAGTCTTATGATAGATTGTGGCATTGACAGTCCTAGTTGAAATTGGTTTCAGGGAATGCTTTTGCATAGCCGAGGTTCAACATGGCGTTCTGAGGGTTGTCTCTGATAGGCTTGTTGCCCGTCAGCTTGCAACTTGTCACAGGGCAGGTATCCGTGTCTGGTTCTTGCATCAGGAACCAAGGCGCTTATGCATAAGCGCTGTCAGTGTAGATGAAACCCGAATGGACAAAATGAGCAAGGCATTGAATGACGTTGTCGTTGTTGTCGCTGCCCTGGTCAGAGCCAGTTCAAGAATGACGCAAGTAATGTCAAGCCCAAGGCGCCCAACTTGATATGACAGGCTGAAGGGCTCTTGGGGGCTGATTATTGAGTTGTCAGCAAAGGGAAATTGTCATAATACTGTATGTTAGTGAATCACGTTGGGTCTGTATTGTTTTGGAAATGGCACAAAGTCAGGACTGATGTGGTCCGCTGACCAGGTTTGGCTATGGCGAAAGCCGCATCACAAATCCGTGTCTCACGATATAATAAGCATCAGTAGAGATATAACAGAGATTAGAGAAGCTAGATGCTATTCAAATGCTGAGTATTTGAAAGATCTGGAAATAAAAAGAGGAAGTGCATGGAACAATAGAAGAACCATTCATTACTCAGGTGCCCGATTAGGCTTAGCTCATCCACATTGGGCTGAGTCAGGATGACGGCGAGAAACCCGACTCTTCACTTCTTCTCTTTTCTCTCCACAAAGGGCTCCAGAAGGTGACCTTACAAGCCTTTAAGTCTCTTCTTTCTCTTTGCACTTACGTAGTGCCCGATTTTTTGATCACTTCGCCTTTCGTGTCCGTCACTCTCATCCGACGTCAACGTGACTCAACCCCGATTTGCCCCTCGTCACACCCCGCGGAACGTGGATAACGCTCTCCTCCCTCCTCGCTTCTCCTCCTTTTCATCTCTTACGAGACCCTCGTCGCGACATTCTCCTGCGACGACTCCCTCCCTCCGAGTTCTTGGCTAGTTGCGACATCCTAGGATTCCGCAACATTCCGGAGCCGTTTGCATCGCGTCGCGCCAATACGACGACCACCTTCATATCTTTGCCTCTATCCATTTCTGCCTAAGCAGCTATATGCATCTCGACAAGACCTGCTGCTTCTCTACAATTTGCGACAGAAATCGGATCCCATCCTATCACCACAGCAACCAGGTCCTTTTGGCCTGTTACCACCCACTCAAGATCGGAAAGCAAGGACAAATCAACATTTAACTGCAAGCCTACCGTGAAATATGTCTTCTTACTACATTCTTGCTGGGGACATCCCCGTCAAGTGTGTTTGATTCCTACACGTTTCACGTGTGTCTGTTATCATGGACCTTTCTTTGTGCTTTGCAGGCCTTCGATGCCCTTGCCTCTTTTCTAAATCGACTTGGATCCACTGATCAATCTTCGACTGATTGCTTTTGCAATTTCGAAAAACCTCATTCTGCGACTGATCGCCACTCACCCGATCGTACCTCTTTGACATCGTTATCACGTCCTCATTCCGCCCAATAGTTCCCGGTGACGGGTACAAAAGTTTTCAGAACTTGTCAACTTGGGCAAATTGCAACAATACAATGATCAATCGTCCTGCTGCAGACATGGACACCACATACGCTCCTCCAATGGGAAATCCAACACCCCATAGAGATTCGTGGGGCTCTGCATCATCCACTTGCTCCCATCTAGAAATGTCTTTTTCTCATGACAGTTGCTATGGCTCAGACGAAGTCTCAGTCACATCCGCTAGTACAAACCCTGCGCAATCTAGTACCTCGACTTTCCCCGCCAAACCACCACTTCATCCTTTCTTGAAATCTATCCTCAAGAACTCCTCTACTGCCGTTGAATCCGACGAAGAGTCGGATTTGGAGTCTGGCTACAGCTCCGAAGGTGATTCCGAGTACGATGCGCTTTCTGATGCAGAATATGATGATGAGGATGATGGCGATGCATCTGACTTCTCAATCTGGGATGAGACCTGTCGCGATGCCCCTGAGACTCACGAGGATCATACCGAGTCTTTTGACGATGCATTCATCTCGTTTGAGGAGAACGCGGTGCGTTTTGCCGCCGACGTGCAGTACATTGATTCAGTCGAAGTCTCCGATGGCGAGAAGACTCCTGATACAGAAATGACCTGCCATGAGATGATGCTGCTGGCTCTAAAGTCCAAGACAGAAAGTGGTCTGGAACACTTCGACAGTATGGATATCAACGACTCCGATGATGATGAAGATCCACATGAGTTCCTGAATAAAGTCACTACCAAGCCGGAGGAGTTCTCGCGCGATGCCGTGGAATTAGACCGAAGTCTTTTCGTCGCTTACATAAATGGCATGCATGGTATTGCCGACAAGAATTTCAAATCCTACCTTCGAACTCAGGTTGACCACATTCGCCTCGGCCAAGAGGCTGACACCATGGGCCCTGATGGATCGTCTTCCTTGTACCTTGATATGATCTCCAGCCACGTCATCGGTACCTTCTGCAACCTTCTCACTCAAGATGAATTGGATGAGTTGATCATTTTGCGTGCCGAAAAGCAGCCTAGCAACACAAACCATTCCGCTCTTGACTTGGACCACCATAACGCCCTCCTGGACAGAATCGAGAAGTTCCTCTTGGATAGACTCACAAATGGCCGCGTCGATGTTGGTCCTGATGAACTGAGCTTTTTTGCCGGCGTGATTGCCCACGACCTCGGCACCAAACCTTTGCCAGCGCAAAATTCAGTCATTCTTGCGCCCTGACGGCAATACTTCTACGACTTACGATTACGACAAACCCCCTCTTTCGGAGTCGCCCAGGGTTGGCGACAGACACAATGGGACGGCTCTTCGGCCAGGAAAAGTTCTTGAATTTCTCACGGGTTCCAACGAGTCAGCATTCGACAGTTATGTAACTTCCCGATTTAGCACTTGAATTTCAAAAACTGTTTCAAAGTTCTAAACATTTCAACTAGAAAATGCCTAGCGTAGCATGCCCGACATTAACATGTAGACATTGACACAAGTATATGCCTCAAGGCAGCCCATCTGACGTCCAAGTGAGCCCGATCAGCACCTCCGTGCCCTCCCGCTGCTACCTGAGTCTCACCTAAACAAGGCAAACAACTACCAAAGCCATAGCTATAGCACGCCTTACTGTATATCCCAAACAAAATAAGACACAATACTCGACCTCGAAGACCTGTTGTAGTCTAGACCACAACCCTGCCCTACAATGCAGTACCCCCTCCCAAAGAATAACAATCTAGATCCTTCTGGTCGGACGTTGCACCACACACAATACGACGTATAACGTAAATAACCAGCACTGAATACAATGCCCAAGAAAATACAGACTCATGCCTCCAGTACCGCCCCCAGCACCAAAATGACACCGGGACGAGCCCAGTGTTTCAGGATCCCTTCCCTTCCGGCTTTCTTGCCCCTAACCCAACTAACGCAACACAAATGAATTGTGAACCGGGATGCGGTCTAATCCCCGTACCTGTGCATTGCATTTAATAACTTAACATTATAATTTCCCGTACATGTTTCCTTTTGTGCCACCCATTCCATCCTATTCTAATCAACCCGTTACATTATCAGCAGCTCAAACATATCTGATACTGGACTTGCCGGTTAATTATATTGGAAACCCGCGGGGATGTAGATCTGGAATCTACACAATCTTGTTTGCAATTCACTATATGTATTCAGATCTAATGAGTCTCTCGTTTTTAGTAAATCAATTATCGGAGTCGGAACTGTGCCCACGCTCGTGCTGTAGGCTTGTTCGTGCACGTTATATGTATCTCTTCTACGGACGGGCCAGGGCGACAGCCAGAGCCACCGCCACGACCAAGGTGCCGCGGGCCAACATCCCGGACTCCGTTTCGTTTCGTCTCTTTCCTTGTCGGGTAGGGATGGACTGTGGCGTTGTCTGTGTTTGGCTTTTGTGCATTGATATAATGTTATAAAAGTTAAGTCACCTTTAGTTTACTCTGGATTGTGGAGGTGTCGTGTGCTAGTACCTCAACTTGTGAGTTTATTGTTATATATAACTTGCATAATCGGGTAATTTCCGCCTTTCTCCATTTGGTATATAGTTTGTGGGACTGGATTCTGCAGCGGGGAAACTAAAAGATATGTATCCACTGCAGTCTGTCAGAAGAGCTGGTGTTGGACTTAGCGATGCAGGGTCAGCAGGCGATCGAGTTATCACTGGGGTTTATTTGACATCTACCGCTGTTGGATTGCCTGGATGAGCTGGCCGAAGAAGAGAATGGTGGCTTTTAGTGCAGTGGTTCCAAAGTACCCTACATCTGCACACTCAACCTAAGAAATGATATATTCATCACAATATGATCTCAGACCTCCATACAGCACATTGTCGACGCACGATGAATCCAATACATATTCCATGGAACTATCACAGACAAAAGTAAACCAAGCCTGCACGATATACATATCCCCCACCCAAGTGTAGAAAAGCGCACGGCTAAAATTACAGATCATAATACATGTACCTCGTGCAGGACCAAGAATGGAGGCGTCGAAAATCGCCGTTTTTAATCTCCATGTCGATCAACGGCGTGTGCACAGACAGGTACGAAATGATATAACAGCACAGCGCATGCAGTTGGAGATGGATAGGTCCGACTGTTAACCACGGGGGTTGTAAAGTTTAACGGGCCTACGGGGATTACTGGTAGGGAGAAGGCTTGTGCATATGCGGTGAGAGAGTCATGGAAACTGAATTTTGGTGTCTGGGGTTTGATTTTGGAGTCAGTTACAGGTTATCTGTAAACCGTGCATTGTACATGTACATTTACAGTAATATTATGTGGATCTGACGATCTGCTTTTCTATCTTCGGTAAGGGGTTGATAAGTATAATGTAGAGGCATTGCACTGAATACTGAATTAATCTCGATGACAGGAATCTTACAATGGTACCTGCCACCCAAACCCATGGAAGGATAGAAAACAATATAAACAAAACCCACCGGAGATATTCGGCCAGTCCAACTCCCACAAGATGAACAATGGAGACGATCACGGCAGGAATCCTTGGTTGGGGAGTCTCCGTACACTAGTGCGTGGAGCCGAGCAGGATTGCCATGAGGGTTTTGACAGGCAGCCAGGGCCGGAGTGGGCCGTTCTTGTCGCATAGGGAGAAGATCAGACTCGATTCGAGTCATGATGTGAGATGGATTTTGGGTAGGGGGGAAATCCGTCAGGGGAATTGATATTCGGGATTTTTGTCGATCTTGCCACGCGTGCTGAGATGTGTGGGGTATTATTGCCAGGTTAGATGGATTCCGTACGAGATTTTAATATTGGCCTACGGTGAGACTCCTGTGTTTGATGAGATGGCGTCAGCCACTTAAACGAGAAGTTGGAAGCTGGACTGAGTCGTACAAGGACTATGCATGATCTAAGATATGACTATGGGAGAGATAAAGTGGCATTTGCTGTTTCCGAAGTAGATGCCGATCGCCAAGAATACACAATCGCCATTGTATCTAGTGCGGAGCACAGTAGCCTGTGAACATCACAGTATACGCCACATGGCCCCATAGAATAGATTGCGAGTTCAGCTGTGAACGCGAGATGACCGTATAAGCTTCCTATTCGTTGACCGGGGGGAACCCGCGATTTACGGGAACCAAGGAAGCCGATTCGGTTGGAGGAACCACGGGAAGACAACACCTGGTTCAGATCCAGGTACGGGGCATCTCTTGGAGGGTAGTATAGGGCGACGATATATCAATATCTCCATAGATGTCTTATATGTGGATTACAGATTACAGTTTTCTAGAAACTCGAAAACAGGGACCGGCCGTTTCGTACATAAACGGAAGTTCAAAGTTCAAAGTGTAGCGCCACAAGAGTTGCCTCGTGGGAACCCCCTGGACCCATGGAACGGCACAAGTGGAAAAATAATGCAATGCGCTAAAGCCGCACTACAGCGCCCCGTGCGGATTACTCTTGATAGTCGGGATTTATTAGAAATACTTTATCCTAGTGAACAGGGGTACATGTATCCCGAGACAACCCATCCATCTCTCCATTCACTGTGCAGAAATCCAACTGGAGGCAAAATCAATAATTATACAAAAGAGGAAAGGCGCCAAAGACTAACTGGACCGGGTCCACATTAGGCTGATGTGATTGGCTGACATGAGCCAATTAGGTCTGAAACGAGGATGTGGGGCAATTTAGTGTGTCGATCGAATGTTCTCTCCGGCCAGGGGAAAGTAGAGATTTGTATAGACAAAGAGAGTGTGTGAAAAAGAAAGATAGAGAGAGCGAAGTAGGAATAGTGAATAGTAAAGTGTGAATAGTATCCACAACCTGTCGGTTTAGTTATCTTGAAAGAACTACAGAATACACGTGAACATATCCATAATTCGGTAGTGACCCCGAATGATCCAAGTTCCCCACTATCGCGGATGAGATAATTACTCCTGATTCCTACTTTTCTTTTTCTGTGAGCTCTCTCTCGATGCTTCATGCTGCATCTCTGATCCAAACGGGTAAGTTGGAAATCCACCGATTCTTTGTGGGCGTTGCGCCTTGCGCGTTGCACCAAATGGCCCCCATTCAGCTGGTCAGGCTGACTCTCGGGCATGCAGGATGATTTAGAAATTCCAGTTCGACCCAGCTTCCCTTGATCAAGGGTCAAGGACACATACAAGGCAGCGCCTTTGACCTCCATATCGTTCAACAATGCAGTCCGTCAAAGCACCTGACTTCCTGGACGCCGTGGCAGTGTCCCGTTCCCGCAGTCCTAGTGTCGTCTCGACCGATTCTCAGTTTTCTCGAGTCAACCTCATGTCCCCGCCGTCTGTGACTCCTGCTCCTGGTTTCGTCTCCTCCTCCGCTGCCACAGACATCATCTCCGCCGATCAGGAGTTCAATGCCGCTGACTTTGTCGCCGAGGATGAGTGTGGGTCTGGCGCTGCGCTGGTGACCCCGGCCGCTCTCTCTCTTCTCAACGCATTCCTTGATAACCTCCTGTTCAACATTCTCGCATCGTCGAAATCCACACAGCTAGCATGCATTCGACCGGCCATGGCTGAAGTGCTGAAGCCCCGCCTCGCCAAAGAAGTTGTGGCTGCGGCCGAGGAGGAACTCAGTGAATACATGGGCGGTGCGGAAGATGAGCAGACCGAGTTCCGCGGAGGCCAAGAGCCTGGCGGTGACTTTGATCTAGTTCGCTCGTGGAAGTTGACCCGTCTACGATGCATGGTCTACACCCGACTGGGTGATATGGAAGAAGACGACGAAGATGAATTTATTGCGCAGGATGGTCTTGGCGAGACCGACGGGGCGCCGCGCAGATTTACAAGTCATGTTGACAACATCACCCCGGCAGCATCTATTTTCCTCACCTCAATTATTGAATTTATCGGCGAACGTGCGCTCGTCATTGCCGGCGAGACAGCGCGGTCTCGATTGCTCTCAAAGCTTAACGATCGCGATGAACTCAATGAAGCCGGCGACGAGCGCAAGAGGATCGATCGCCTCGTGGTGGAGGATCTCGACATGGAGAAGCTCGCCCTGAACCCAACCCTGGGCCGGCTGTGGCGGACGTGGAGGAAACGCAGACGTGGAACCACTCTCACTCGCACCATGTCTCGCGAATCATTTAGCCGTCGTGGATTCTCTGGCGTCAGTCGCAAGAGCAGCATTGCCACTATCGAAGAACCAATGACCCCCAATGAACCTCTCCCTCAATCCCCGCCACTTGACCCCGCCACGGTCCCTCTGCCAATGAGCGACTACGATGTACAGGAGATCGAGGTTCCTGGTTACACTGGTGATTTGGAGGGTGAGGTGCAAACGATGCAGGCTGTTGTTGCCCACAAGGTGCGACCGCGCAGTCTGATGGTGTTCTCCTCACCTTCACTTGCGCCCAGATCTCCTGGCGGCGACAACTCCCCAGTGAGCGCGTCAGCCATTGACCCTCCCAAGTTGGTCCGTCATGTTCGTTCGAGGTCCCTGCCAACTGAGGCGACCAACACTCCAGCGGAAGCGGAAGCGGAAGCCACCCTAGACCAACCTTCGCCCACCCCCTCCGAGAAAAAGAAACTCGAGACTATGTACGAGGATGACGAGTCCGCAGAGTTTGTGGATGCAGTTGAGACTGCCCCTGGCGTTGCGATCACCACTCCACACAAGACGTCACAATTGCCCGAAAATGCAGTAGAAGATTCCGATAAGGCGAGGATGTCTGTCCTGCATGAGGAAGAGGAGGCGCCTTTGGCGGTTAACGAGATGGTTGCATCCTTGCGCGCTGGCAATGACGAAGATCTGACTGATCAATCCAATAGTGCTCGGGTCTCTGTCGCATCCCTGGGCGATCGATCGAATCAGAAAGATCCCGAAGTCATTGAGAGCACTGGCTTGTGCGAAAAGCCTAAATGGACATCGTCGATTAATCGACCCAAACGGAAATCATCTAGGGATGTCAGTCTACTGAATGCAAGGTCGATCTCTGCACAAACTAGTGGACCTGAAATGCAAGCCGTTGCGGAGAATCAGCCTCCAACGCAAGGGGTGGAGACCACTCAACCCGCGACACCCAACACACCTGTCGAGGCTATCGATTCTTCTACTGATCAAGATGCAACCGATGGCGATCAGAACAAACCTGCCATGATTTCCACGCCCCCGACCCGGAACTCTGATGGCGTCGAAGTCGAAAAGTTCCAAGCCTTCCTTTCATCTCCCAATACTTCTCGCCCGACTTCTGCTGATAGCGAGCGCTCTCAAACATCGAAAACTCGCCCTAGACCTGCGCCATTGTTGGTACAGACCAGCAATCGTAGCTCTACTGCTAGTGAACGAGCCGCTGTTCAGCGCATGAGCACTCGGCCATCGACATCGGTTGCTTCTACCGTCCACACCAAAACCCGCCGCTCTTCGAGTTTCGGGAGTGCACGCGAGATCAAGCGCCCAGTGACCGCTGGATCTACTACATCCCAGGTATCAACAAAGCTGAAGGGACTCATGGGTCGACCACAAGGCGATTCTCCGTCGCTTCGCCTGCGCAGCTCGTCTGAGACGAGCCGGGCATCTGGCGGCAGCGGGGATTCTGATAACGAAATTGCCGATTTAGACAAGTTGATCAACAGCGACGAGACCATCCACTTCACACTCACTCCCCGAAGTGTGAGGGAAATGACCTTCCCTGATCCTCCCAACCGACCAATTCCCCGATCAGAAACGACGGACACCTCTGACCTGGCTGATTTCTTGAAGACTACATCTCCCCCAGGCGAAGAGAAACACCGTTCTCGCGCCTCTGTTTCTTCCAAGGCAACCGGTGAGATGATTCCAGTCTCCCGAACCAAGTCTACTGAGTCGTCCAAGCATATCCCGCTTTCCACTCGCTTGACCAACCGCCCAGCGAAGCCTAGTAAGACTACTCAGGCTGCACAGGCGCGGGATGCGCGAGGCCCTACGGACGCTACGCGCGACTTTGCGGATTTCATCAAGGCCCCAGGTGCTCCAAGTTCGCCGTCGACAAGTGCGCTGGCCCAGCCAAAGACTTCTACATCCGGGGAGCGCCCACAGCCTGTCCGACCTCCATCCAGTCTGTCAACTGCCTCTCGCGGAAACCGACCCAGACTCGAGGCTCGCTCTGCCGATACCAGCAGCTCTCAAACATCCGAGCTCATTGATTTCATCCGCGAGGGTCCTCCCATGCCAGGTGCCCACCGCATTCCTCGCACAGTGGCTCCCTTCCGGAATACCATTGACTCGGATGACCTCCAGATGGACAATACCCCCGAGCACACTACCGTGGGCTCCATTGCCAGCACCGGTAATGCCTCTAACCCCAACAAGTCCATGACCTCTCTCGGCTCTCGCACAGCGTTGCTAGACTCAAACCGAAACAACGCCCCCGCATCTGGAAGTGCAACTGCATTCGAGGACCCCGCTCCTCAACGCAAGCAACGTCGCGTTCGTGACCCGTATGCCATCGACGACGACGATGATGATGAATACCTGGAAGAGCTCCTAGAATTGGAAAACAAGCCCAAGCCTAAGCGCGAAGAAGAAAGCCTCATGGATTTCCTGCGTAGCGCCCCTCCACCCCCAGAGTCCGATAAACCCCCTGTACCATTCACAGTGAACACTGCCGCTGCCAATGCACGCATGAGATCCGGAATGGTCCGCTCTTCCCAGAGCTCTTTGCGCTCCCAAGGAAGTGTCCCAGGAAAGGTTGTGAACAACTATGCCACGAAGGTCGGCATGGAGCGAAACAACGGTTCCATCCCATCTGCTTCAAACCGCAAGACCGAAACAGGTGACTTAGCCGACTTCCTTCGCAACACTGGACCTCCAGAGCCTGCCGCTCGAGCTGTTTCTTCTCCGACGACCTCCAAGATGAGCAGCGGGGGCTTGTCTCGCTTTTTCACACGCCGAAAGAAGGTCGAGTCGTAGGGATTTGATGTTCATTTTCCAACTTCGACTAATGTCTTGCTTTGCTAAGCGTTTCTATCTAACGATACACATATCATGTCCATCACTTTGACCTTTTCTTGTCTGTGCACACATCGCACTGCCATCGTTTACATTTTTTTTTTTTTTTCTGTCAAAATCTTTGTATAGAGTCATGTCTTCTCATCTTCTCCTTTTTTCATTCTACATTGTTCTCTGTGGCTACGACCAGGTGGCTTTTTCTTTTTACATTTTCTCGCGCTTACATGCGTCACTTTCTTTTCCTGCCATTTCTACGGCATTGAATGATTAATATGGGATTCGGCCTTTTCTTTCGAGTTTTCTTTCTTCTTTATCTTATTGGCTCGCACGTCTATTGATTGTTTCGTGGATTTCGAGATACCATGATTTTCTGTACTTGTGCCACTGTTTCAAGACTTGACACGAAGACATTATTTTACTTTGTTCCTTACAAATGCAAGTAACATATACATTCTCAATTAAAAAAAACACCAAAGAAATAAGTCGTTGGTCGTTAATTATCCCACATGTAAACACCAAAGCAAGTTATAGTTGTCCACCACCAACCCCGGAACATCAATATTCCAGCCCCCTTACCAGGTGTCATCAAACAACACCGCGACAACTTACCTCAATCCCAGCACCGTCCACCAAATCAACGGCGCAATGCCCTCCTCAACATTCACAATGAGGACCATCCTCTCCTTGGTCTTCGTATTCGTGCAGCTGGCCACCGCGCTGAAATTCGACCTTGTTGCTACGTCCGGCCATGGCAAGAATGAGCGGTGTATTCGCAACTTTGTTGGCAAGGATCAGCTTGTTGTTGTTACTGCTATTGTTGGCGGGACTAAGGGGGATGGGCAGAAGGTTAATATTCATGTATGTCTGCCTGGTTTCTTTGTGTTGGGTGAATTGGTAGCGTTGGTGTTTACATTGGATTGGGTTGGGTGAATTGAATGATAGCTAACACATTATCCGAACAGATCAAGGATGCCATGGGCAACGACCACGGCCGACCAAAAGACGTCGTCGGCGAAACCCGCCAGATCTTCACTTCGCCCGCTGATACCGCTTTTGACGTTTGTTTCGAGAACCAGCTTACTGGCCACAGTAAGTTACACCACAAACCTGGACATTCCATTATCCTCAATCAATCGAACACACACTAATACCACGACCAAACAGACGGCATCTCAAACCCCTCCCGCCCAATCGAACTAGACGTCGACATCGGCGCCGACGCCCGCGATTGGAACAGCATCCAGTACCAGGAAAAGCTCAAGCCCGTTGAGACAGACCTCCGCCGCATTGAGGAAATGGTCACGGATATCGTTACCGAGATGGAGTACCTGCGTGCGCGTGAGCAGCGTCTGCGCGATACTAACGAGAGCACCAATGAGCGTGTTAAGTGGTTCGCTTTCGGGACTATGGGTATGCTTGTTGGGCTTGGAGCTTGGCAGGTTGTTTATTTGAGGGCTTATTTCAGATCTAAGCACCTTATCTAGATGATTCTCTTTTGCGGTGCTCGGATAGGTCCTGCGGCATGAATGGATATGGTTTGCATCGTGGATGATTTGTCTTCTTTTTTGGGTTTGAAGCCGTTGCATTTGTTTGTGTCGACTGGCATTCTGTTTTAACAGTCATGATCTCAATGATATAAAATGTACACCATGCTTTCTGTGGCCTGGCGCTAATAATAATTTTTTTTTTGTTTTGATGCTGCTATATCAACAGCGTAACTTACCGCTGGTAGAAAATAGCGGCATTTTGGGTGATGGGCTTGAAGAGGCATCTCGCTTGTCTAGAAATAGGCTTGAGATGTATACACTGAGAGCTGTCATTATAGGACACTGCAGCGTATGATTATTTCTAAAGCCATAGTCTTCGATCCAGTTTGTTTACATGGAAATCGGATTTTGATATAGATGTGTGAAGAAGGAGAACTAAGCAATTGCTATAATTGGTGAAAGTCGACTAGTCAGAGGATTGCAGGCTTTGATTAGAGACACAGCTTAGTGTAGTAGTATTATAGCCGATCACTCTGGAATTGGCTATCCAGGGTTGAGAATCGACCAAGCCTCGACTATCTAGCGTTAGTGTAGACCAGTCCCAGTGCTAGAGACCCATAGAAGAGAAAGAACCAGCAAAAGGCCAAGATGTTGAGTGTGTAATGCAAGGCCTCTCAGTGGAATGTTTGTTGCAAACGATGCAAACTCTACGGGCATTGCAGGAGCTTCGGTTCCCCGGAATGACCACCGGATGATGTCAAGGCTGATACCAGTCTCAACTTCTAACATCTACCTGAACAGTCTCAAGCAACAACAGAGACAAATAAACCAAGATGGTCATGACACGCTGCATCCATCGCCTTGCGCGACCAACAACCTCTTTGAGCTCAATCTCAAGAGTAAACCGTCAATTTGGCACATCAGCTCTACGCCTCAAAGATCGCAGCACCTCATCAACAGATGAACACCGCGCGAAACAGTCCCAGAAGCCGCCCAATCAGTTCGTGCCCAACACTACTTCCACTATGACAAAGGATTACCCCAATGTCGGCGAGAAGCCTGCGCCGCCGGAGATGCTGAACTCTGTCAACCCTAACTTCCGGCCTGCTGATCCTTATCCCGGACGGATTGAGCATTTTACCGGTGGGCGCCAGGATACTGGTGCGCAAAAGCCTGAGCTTGGTGTTGGTGAGATGGAGGGTATCACTTTTAAGGTTGAGCCTTTGAAGAGGACCGGGGAGGATGTCACGACAAAGAGAGCCCGCTTATTATGTTTGTCGCCCCATACCTCCAACCAACATGATATATTGGATTTATCGCCTGAAATCAGAACCATGCTAACAAACCCCAGACCAAAGCCGCAAGCGCGGAATCCTCGAGTCAGACTTGCTCCTGTCAACCTTTGCCGACGTCTACCTGGCGAAGATGGACCACGACCAGCTTGTCGAGTACGACCGTTTCTTAGACGAGAACGACTGGGACATCTACTACTGGGCGACACAGGATGCCCCCATTGAGTCCACCCCCAAGGAGGATCAAGTTACCGAGAACTGGAAAGAGACCGGTGCTAAGAGCGGTGAATGGGCGCAGACTATTGGCGCTTTCAGAGCTGCTTACCGACCTGTTCCTGAGCGCTGGCAAGAGTCTGCAGTGCTGGAGTTGCTTAGAGAGCATGTTCGTGATAAGAGTGCCACTGGCTTTGAGAAGGCTAAGAATAAGAAGACTGGAGGTGGTCAGGGTTTGGGCAGAATGCCTAATGTTCAGGTGTTTAACTCTTAACTGTTGAGTTGAGATTAAACTTGAGAGTTGAAGACTGAAGACTGCTTGTCTGATCTGTACTATAGTCATATTGTCCCGCTGGGCATACTGTTAGAATGTATATTGGGTACCGTATGATGTAGAGAAAGAATGGAATTATGAAATCACTCAGACTTTCTCTATAGACCACTGAAATCTCTGAAATCATCGATCCCATCATCATTGCAATGTCTTGTTGCTGTATAGTATGAGTTCACGTGATCTTCGCTTAGTGTTAGGGCTGCGCGGAACCACACAAGGGCAGCGACAAAGCGGCTTAGGGCTTGAGCGGGCACGTCTGCCTCCCATCTCGATTTTACTCCCCCCCAGAGTCAACGACAATCTCCGCCCATCCTCCTCTCTCCTTCCCATCACTCATTCCCATCATGGCTGAGCAGCTGGTTCTTCGCGGCACCCTTGAGGGCCACAATGGCTGGGTTACTTCCCTCGCCACCTCCCTGGAGAAGTAAGAGACGACCTATCCCGATCGGGGATTGAATTTTTGAAGGAACAAATTCTGACTTTGATGCGTGATGATAGCCCCAACATGCTGCTGTCGGCATCTCGCGACAAGACCCTGATCATCTGGAACCTTACCCGTGATGAGCAGGCCTACGGTTACCCCAAGCGCAGCCTCGAGGGTCACTCCCACATCGTCTCTGACTGTGTACGCTTTCCCCCTCCCGAATGAACTACACCAAGAACCCACTGGATGCGACAGATGGAATTGGATTGTGCAATTGGAAAAAAGAAGTGTTGGAATGGTTTGGCTGACCGTTGGTCTTGTCTGCGTATAGGTGATCTCCTCCGACGGTGCCTACGCTCTGTCCGCCTCGTGGGACAAGTCTCTCCGTCTCTGGGAGCTGTCCACCGGTAACACCACCCGCACCTTTGTCGGCCACAACAACGACGTCCTGTCCGTCTCGTTCTCCGCCGACAACCGTCAGATCGTTTCCGGTTCCCGTGACCGCACCATCAAGCTGTGGAACACCCTCGGTGACTGCAAGTTCACCATCACCGACAAGGGCCACACCGAGTGGGTTTCCTGTGTTCGCTTCAGCCCCAACCCCCAGAACCCCGTGATTGTCTCCGCTGGTTGGGACAAGCTCGTCAAGGTACGCTCGATTTCGAATTTTTCTCTCTTCAATTTTCTTCCTTCTCTCGCATTGTTATTCCCGCGTGATGTTTGCATAAACGTATTTGCTACTTCAGAGCCCTTACCGGCCATGAGACAATTTTCACCCATTTTGCCTGATGGGCATAACAATATCCTTTTTTTGTTTTGTTGGAGAAGGAGGATTGAAAATTTTTCATCCTTGACTACTTGACTCTATTACGTGGACAACACTGACATATCTGCGTTACAGGTTTGGGAGCTCGCTTCCTGCCGTCTCCAGACCGACCACATCGGTCACACCGGCTACATCAACACCGTCACCATCTCCCCCGACGGATCCCTCTGCGCCTCCGGTGGCAAGGACGGTACAACCATGCTCTGGGATCTCAACGAGTCCAAGCACCTCTACTCCCTCCACGCCGGCGATGAGATCCACGCTCTCGTCTTCTCCCCCAACCGCTACTGGCTGTGCGCTGCCACCTCCAGCAGCATCACCATCTTCGACCTCGAGAAGAAGAGCAAGGTTGACGAGCTCAAGCCCGAGTTCGTTGAGAAGGGCAAGAAGAGCCGTGACCCCGAGTGCATCAGCTTGGCCTGGTCCGCTGATGGCCAGACCCTGTTCGCCGGTTACACCGACAACAAGATCCGTGCCTGGGGTGTTATGTCGCGCGCATAGATGAGTTGTGTGTAAACGGAGCAGGAGGAGCCTCTTTTTGATCTATTGACAAGGGAATTGAAAAAAAGTTTCAAAAATATGGCAAGAAGAGCATTGGTTTGGGATGTATGAGCCACGAGCAATGAAGCACTTCAGCCGGGACCGAAAAGTCCCTGGCCTGGAGGTTTTCTGACATGCCTAGCTTACTTGATCCGGTTCAAATATGATGGATTCTTGTGATCGGCGTGTGATGTTCTAATACCAGTTAAGGCATCAAAATGTTTCCTATTTTTCATATCTCGTCGCTTATCTTGTAAATCACGTAGCTGTACCTTGTACTGAAGTCCCTTACATGTGTGTTATGCCATGTCCTTCGACTGCTTATACTAAACTGTACTGTCTGTCATCATGACAGTGAATGATATACAGAGTGGGTTGAAATTTTCGTCATAATGTACAGCAGGCTGCATGCCCTAGTCCTATAGTGGATCCATCCTTATTTCTTGCCGAGTCTCTTCAAAGCCTCCTTGGCCATCAGACTGCCCTCTTCATAACCAATGCCATCAGCCAACGACTTAGCCTCGGTATACCGCTGCTTAGCAACCTGCGGCTTTTGCTGTAATTCCGCCAATTCACCCAGGTTATACGTAGCAACAACACAAGTAATATCACACTCCTCATCACGGACCGGAGGCTGGATATGCGCCGCAACATCAATGGCCTTCTGCGCCCACTGACGTGCAGCTTCGACAGTCTGGTCAACCGCAACGGGCTGCTGTGGCTGAGATTTCACAGGTAGTTGGGCATGTCCGACCATAGCAGTAGCGACATCATTCAAGAGCACGACCTGCTTGCAGGAAGGTGTATCACCCTCTGCATTGCGGATCAGGTCCAATGCACGGAGGTACAGCGGCATGGCAAGTTCAAAGCGCTCCTTGGCGATATAGGTATTGGCCAGATCAGCCAAAGCAGTAGCAATCTCAGTGAGATTTAGCCATGCCTCGCCATTTTCCTCACTGCCACTGCTCGAGCTGCCAACGGGAAGACCCAATCTCTGACGACGGTGCATCTCCTTTAGACAGAGCTCCACAGCAGCGACCTGCGCCTCCTCGGCCTTCTTATCTTCCTGGATATGGTCGCTGGAATACAACTCGCCAAGCTTCATCTGGATACCAATGACCTTCTTAAGTGCCTTGTCCCGCAGACGAACCTCAGTCTCAGCCCGCTCTTTCAAATCTTCCTCTGTCTCTTGCATGGCATCGGTATTGATCTGGACGTTCTCCGGAGCGATCTTCGCCTGCGTAGGCGCAAATTTGGGAGCAGCGTCCTTCACGGCTCCAACCCCAGCACCCTGCACACCCTCCATAGCCCGGCCCTTCTCGATCCAAATCAGAGTCTCGCTCTTGGTCCGCTCCAAAACATCAATAGCAGGCTTGAAAAGCCCAGCCTTCTCAAGCATCATAGCAACCTGAATCTTAATACCAAGCACCTCATCCGAGAACGGATGAACACCAAGCTCAGCCGCAATCCTCAACGCCTCCTTATACGCCTGCAGCGCCTTAGGCGGGTTGAGATCGATCTCAGTGTAGTACACAGCCGTGCGGAGCGCATCAGCCACCGGCGCCGGGAACTTGTGGTACTGCGGCGCGACGCGGGTCAATTCCACGTAGGAGATATATGCGAAGGAGATGGCGCCGCCGACTATGGAGGCTATTGCTAGCGGTAGGAGGATTGGGTTCTTGCGCCAGATTCCTTTTGATGCTTCGCGGTACTTGCGCCGGATCTTTTCTGCTGTGCTGAGGTGTCGTGCGCCGGCTATATTTGGGTTTGTGAGGGGTTTGGCATTGTTGATGCGTGGTTGGGCGGTTGGCCTTGTGTTGGTGTATACTGAGCGAGCTAGGCTTTGGCGTTGTGCTTGTAGGAGGGTTGCGGCGTGGGCGCTTGTGCGCCGTGATGCTGCGCGTAACATTGGGTTATATGGTGGTGGTTTGATTGTCGTGGAAATTTGAGTCGATGGGCTAGGATACAATGGATAGAATGTAGAGTGTGAATAGTTGAAGGGTCACTTCGGAGACGGAGCCCGCCCTCGTTTTTCTCCTGGTCCAAGCTCCGCTCCGCTATATGACGTCGCCTGGTCTACATCTGAGCTATTCACTCTCTATTGTTCTAACTTCAGTCAAGAATATCTCAAAATCATACCAGAAGAATAAACTGCCCCTACAGATAATGTGTGGGCGATACGCCCTGGGCGTAGTATGTGTAATCCTTCCATCTAGACATCGAGCTAACCATCCCAAGCGCTTGGCGTACATCCAGCAACGCATGCAAGAGCAAGGCATGCAGGTGGACGAAGCACCGGATGACGACGAAGTCAGAGAAACATACAATTTCGCACCGGGAAACTTTGGAGCCGTCTATCGTGCCGATATCCCTGACCAAGGGCGCTCCCATTTTGCCGACAATGAAGACCATAATCCAGACATGGAAAAGCCTAACGATGATCAAGATTCAAAGTCCAAGTCTGCAGATGAGAAGGCAATCCGGTACAAGCTCCAAAGCATGAAATGGGGCCTCATTCCTTTCTGGACGAAGCGCCAGCCAGATTATGGATCCATGATGCGCACGATCAACTGCCGCGATGACTCGCTGATCGAAGACCGTGGAATGTGGACAACCATGAAACGGCGCAAAAGATGCATCGTTATCTGCCAAGGCTTTTATGAATGGCTGAAGAAAGGACCCGGAGGCAAAGAAAAGGTGCCGCACTTTATCCGGCGCAAAGACGGGGAGCTAATGTGCTTCGCTGGACTTTGGGATTGCGTCTCCTACGAAGGTAAAGCATGGCTATGACTTGGGCAAGACCCAGACTGGGACTGACGTTAAAAAGGCTCGAATGAGAAGCTGTACACCTACACCGTTATCACGACCTCGTCCAACCCATACTTAAAGTTCTTGCATGAGCGAATGCCGGTTATACTCGACCCGGCGAGCGAGGGAATGAATAAATGGCTTGATCCCAACACAACGACTTGGTCAAGAGATCTGCAGTCTATACTCAGGCCATACGAGGGCGAGTTGGAGTGCTACCCTGTGCCCAAGGATGTTGGTAAGGTGGGAAACAACTCTCCGGACTTTATTGTGCCGGTCAACAGCAAGGAAAACAAGAGTAACATCGCGAACTTCTTTGATAATGCTAAGAAGAAGGAAGAGAAGCTCACGGCTACATCGGAGGCGTCTGAGACTGCTCTAAAGCAGGAGCCTGTTTCGCCAGAAGGGAAGGTTGCAAAAGAGGAGCGTCCTACCCATGATGATGAGTGGAGCGAGGATAACGCTCCAAAGCCATCGCCTGCTGTCAAGAGAGAGTATAGCCCAGGGAGCTCAGATCTTGCAGAGGAAAGCAAAAAGCAAAAGACGGACTCGAAGCCTAGAGGATCGTCGTCGCAGAAGAAAAAGCTGCGAAACGCTACCCATAACAGTCCTACGAAGAAGTCTAGTGAGGTGAAGGCAAAAGATGGCTCACAGCGGATTACGAATTTCTTCAAAAAGTAATGATACATGACATGAACTGAGTTATATTCCTTTATTTATCAATGATCCTCGTAACTAAGCCCCAGAGTGGAAAAACACGCGGAGAGATACAAATATACACCATGGATCACCAACAGAAGCCTCGGGCGTGATGGCAACTCGTACAGGGCTGCCAGTTGCTCGCTCTGGGCCAACCATTAAACCGCCAAATATGAGGGCTTTGGGGTGTTCGGTGAAAGGCCTTGGAGGATGGGGAAGGGAAAGGGGAGACATAATAAATGTTCACCATGGATCACCAGTAGAGGCCAAGGGCATAAGGGCAACTCGCACAGTGGCTGAAGCCGCCGCTGCTGCTGCTGCCGCAGATTGATCTAGGCCAACCATCAAACCATCAAGGAAATGCCTTGGGATCTTCAGAGACAGCCATCTAGATCCCACGTAGCCAACAGCCAACATCAGGCAAAGCCATCGGACCACGAATGTATGCTGCAGTGATTCTGTGAGCAGACCCAAGGAGCTAACCTGGAAGGCCCTTTCACACACTTGCACAGCACGGGAGGGGGGAAGGTTGATCTGGATCAAGTCATTTGGACCATGAAGGATGGAAACCTTGAGGTTTGCATAACAGTCCACGGGGGAGTCCCCCCAAAAAAAAGAAAATTGGAAAGAAGTTGAAGAAGAAAGAAAGAAAGAGAAGAAGGGAAGGTTGGAAAGTTGGGGGTATTTATACCCAGAGGGCAGGCGTCAAAAGTGAGAAGATCAACTCAGCTATCATTGGTCGATCTTGGGGTGTTTGCGTTTGAATGCGCTACGCCGTCATGTGTTTCTGGTGATTTTGAACTTCCCTTTGTATTCACCCCAACGTGAGGGAGTGCACGGCGTATTCCGACCTTGAAGCCATCCCTGGTGAACTCCTCCACATTGTAGATGTTACGATAACGATGAGGGTCATGTGAGATAGAACGTGAAGCTCGAGCAGAGGAGCTCAAATGACTGGATTTGGAATATTGTACATCAAAATCTGAATATGATTTTAAGAAGATTGTTTGGTCTCCAGCTCTTGTAGTCTCTTAACCAACTTCTCTCGGAGGAAAGGGCTCAACCCGAAGCTATGTCGCAAGTCAGCATCATATCATATACGGGTATCACCCACTGCTTCAAGAGTACCTACATTCCGTCTCGAGTCATCACCCGGTATGTACCTGTGATGCGTCAGCTTCGTGTGTCAAGTCTAATTTCTTTGCGAGCCATACCACTGGGCTGATAGTTGCCGTTGCCGTCAACGAACTGGCCATTCCCATCCACCTCAAGACTACCGAACATGTCCTCTGGCCTGCAAACTGTCAGTTGCCATCCCATACGAAGCGGTGATACCACTTGAGCACTAGACACATACCATGCAATACGTCCATAGTCAGGAGGCCGTCTGCTATCCGACACATGGATCCAACCACCACGGCCACCAGATCCAGCTCCGCCCTGGCCACTAGCACCACTGTTAGAATCACCGGCCTCCCCACGACGTCTCGTTCCTCGCCGACGATTGCCGGCCAATAACACGCCGCCTGAGTTCAGGTTCGCACCAGCCATGGAAACCATAACTTGAGCTTGGGACTGGGCATCGGGGTCTTCATGCGCATGCTCCGAGCATACCTCCTGGACTATTTCCAAGAACTTGGGGTTTTCCCTGAAGGAGTCTGTTGTCGGTGGCAGTTGACTGGACAGCCCAATGGCTAGGTCTGGGTTCACTGGCTCCGAGGGCAACAGTGATAATATGTGCGATCCTGCTGTCGGTCCAGCATTTGGAAACACGTACTACCAAGCTTTCAGCATTCGATCAGGCTAGGATAAGGCGCAACAAAGATCGCGTACAATGTACGGGTTTCCTTCTAGCGTGGAAACACAACGAAATCGAGTCCACTTGGGGAGACTCCGGGCCTGTTGGCCAATAACTCGTGCTGCAAACATGGTCACAGTGCTAGAATGGACTACTTGGTGACTTGCTTGATGTAAACTCAGGTTCGGAGCTGTCAAGCAATTGGATCATAGCTAGTAGAAACGGCAGGCGGTGGGGAAGGCGGTGGGAATGTGCTATGACGATGTGGGCAAACAGTGTAAACTCACATGATCGAGTCGTTCTTTGACGGCTGTCGGATTGCTTCAGGAAACATTCTTGTCTTGGTGTCGTCAATTGCTGTTTTCAACGGGAACGGGGGAGCTCTAGATGGACCAGGATACAGACTTGTCAATTCAATTTACTGTGTTGCCCTTGCGCATCTTTTCGACTGACACTCATTGGCGGCGCATTCAGAGATAACCCGACCCTGCGTTTTGTGCTTCGATCTATTTGATACCCTTTCTCACACAGAGTTGAATAATCTTGATTCATACCAACCTCACATTAATTCATACTACCACTTTTCTGGCCATGGCGACACCCTCAGCCAAGCCTGGCACAACGCCAACCCATCTCTCCTCACCTCACCCGACCTCGGCTCCTCTCTCTCGCTCAATCGCGCATAAATCGCCTTCCATAAGGACACCTACAGCCTCAGGGTCGCATGTGCAACATCCCAGCGTCTCTTCCCATCAATACTCTACACCTCTCGCCGTGACAAGTGGAGTCGACGACGCGGTCAATTTCAGCTCACCTTCAGCTCTTTTAGCACTCGGTGGATATACTGGGATCAGCCCGTCACCTGCAGTGCATGATGGTTTAGGGTCTGGCATGAACGATAGTGATATCCAGAATCTCGGCATGCAGGGCATTAAGCTTGGAGTCGCACGAGACAACGACGAAGAACAAAGGCATCGTATCGAGGGAGTCGTGCAACTTCTACGCGCGCGAGTTGCTGGAAGAGGCGTGTCTCGGGAAAGCGTCGAACGATTAAGTCGACTTGAAGGATTCGAATCGATTTGGGAAGACGATAACCTCAACATTGCTGGTAACTTTGTCGACCTGGAAATCGATTTCCACGCTGGACATGATGTCGCCAAGGACGTCAGTCTACGATATGCTACGCCAGAATACACAGAAGGCGTGCGGCGAGAGGAAGCTACTGCGGTGCTGAAACGTACACTCGCTCAAGATCCGGAGGATGCTTTGAGTGGAAACTGGAGATCACTTCAACGGTTCCATGAAAATTTACAGTGGCTTGCGAAACTTGATAAGCTAAGCCAAGAAGTCAACTGTTTCGAGGCACTGGAGAACCTCGAAGAGAACTTCAAGCGCATCTGGGTTGAAGAAGGGAAGAATGGGAAGCATGGTGGTGATTACCAGCATCTTTGCGCAGGTGTGATTGGCCGCCCCAGCATGCATAAGGGCACTCGAATTGGCCTCGGATTGGAATACTGGGTTGAACAGGCTAAGGTCTTGGATGCCAAGAAGCAACAGACTTCTCCAGATGCCATGGAGATTGACCGACAAGATTCGGCTTCAGATGATGAAATGGACGATCAACGCAGAGCGTGGACGGTCATGATTGAATGTGAAGAGGGATATCCTTCATTACGCATTTCAAAGGAGTGGGTTGGAGCAGAAGCCTTCACTGCAGGCGAAAGCAATGAGTCGCTACCTTCGAATGGTGCTGCGGGATCTGTGAATTGGCTTGATCCTCCACAGACTATGCGATTGACGCATGGGAACCATGATCCTATGGCCCTGGACTCTAGCATGCTCGAGTCATCACCACCCAATCGCCGTTTCGTCGCTAAGCTTGAGCCCGGGCTCGATGTTCCAATTCTTGCAGCGTCCGAGATCTACCGCCATCTTGGTATGCAGCTACCACAGGAATATAAGATCGTGACCTACGACATGTTGTTGGTTTCAGAAGGGTCGGCGTTGTCGTCTCCAGATTCATCCCCCCAAATCGGCCGCAGGAAGCGACGAACTTCAGTGTCTGCTGTTGACTCCAAGGGCGAGTCATGCACAAAGCACCACAACTACACATTCCAAGCTTTCGAGTCTGTTGCAGGTCGAACTATCCGCGATCTGCCATTCTCTCATCCCCGGCAGCTTGCAGACATTCTTCCGGTATGTGCTTTCGTCTGATGTTCTCAGCTCTATACTAACAAAGTTCAGATTCTCCGGCAGTATGCTTTGCTAGCCAACTTAATTCGGAAGACCTTCCACCTCCCTTCCAACGAAACCGACAATACACCTCAGCCTCTCAAGACAAACACCAAAAACCCTTCACCGTCCGATAGCCTCCACGATCTCTTTGCCGGTCAGGATGGACTCGTTGTCCTAAGCAACAACGATCCAAATGAAAACCGCCTGAACCTTCTTCTGGGAATGAATGACAAATACAAAAATGAGTCCGGCCATTTGACAATTTCCACCAAAGAAAAAAGTCCACAGCAACTTTCCATGACCGACGTCAAAGTAGACGTCACATTACGCACTCAACTTGGCCAAGCACCCGCCCTCATGCTGCTGATCACAGAACCTCAGCACCAACAAGTATTCAAGCAGATTTCCATTTGTTTCGAGGTGGGGCTCAATGGTCACATTTCGGTGGTTGAGACCGCCGGTTTATCGAAGGAGAACGGCGCCGATACTGAAATGCAAGGGGCTGATAGTTCTGATTCTGGCGTGCAGGATGTGCACAAGAAGATAACTAGAGTGCTGGAGGTCTCTCAGGACTTGGGGATTCTGGTCGAGTGGGTACTGCGTTGGTTGCAGCAGCGGGCTGGTAGTGCATGAGAGGGTCTAATGCTACTTTGAGATACTCGAGATATCTTTACATACCCAGATTTAGATCAACTTTTCTCAAATCCCATCATTGAATTGCTTATATAGTTCTTAGTCATTAGGCAATCGTGGTATAAGTTACTGGGTGAAGCTTATTGATTGCGTAAAGCATGTTGATTGTTTAGGAAAGCCGACCTGTAACGCTCCCCCGGTCCAAGCACGATCACTTTCCTTCCAGAAGCACAGCCACGCATACTCCACCCACATTAAACACGTGGAAATTGGTTTCCCGTGAGGCCTATTTGTGACCTGGATGCCTGCTTAGATCTCCAGGAACTGTATATCCACGAATTAACACTCTACCTTACCCAAATCAAATATATATTACCTAAATCCATCATCCAACAGACAATTCCCAACGGTAAAACTGCAGCGCCAATGCAAGAACACCCAAATAGACACTCCTACATACCCCAAGACCGTTTCAAAGTCGATCAGATAAATCGAGACCCTAAGACGAATGCGGGGTCGCGGACCGTGCCTATAGATGTGCGTCATATCCAACGCAGAAGGTTGCATACATCTAGCCAAGCAGGACTACCATTGGATATATGACCGCATAGGTCAGGTGAAAACCGGGCAGAGTATGTAGGCGCGTTGATGAGTGGTTGATTCACGATTCAACAGGCCCATTTACATCGTCCCTGAACGGTTGGGCATCAGAAGGGACAACTGGAATGGGGGAATAGGTCTCGATCGGAGATTCTGTTTTCACGTTTTGTTTTGTTTTGTTTTATTTATTTCATTTTATTGTCTATTTCATTCCATTATGTTTAGTTGCTACGGCCTATACGGAGATGTGCTACGGCACCGGGCCGGGACCGGTTGTTAAATATTTGATGTGTATTACCGGAACCTGTGCAAGGGATATCATGCCAGTGCCATACAGTACTGTCTGTTTAATGTATGAGTCACATACAGTGAAAACTCGTAACTATCAAACATATGAGCGCTTATCAGAGCCATTCATTTAAAAGCCCTAAATAGTAGGTATGCCCCTCAGTTGTATGGAGCTATGTATGTCATAGTGCGACTAGTACACAAGAACAAGGAATGGAATCACGTTCTGCCCCTCTTTCCTTTTTTTCGACACTATTCAGAGAGGTTTTCTGTATTTTTGTATTTTTGCTGGAAACCTAGTCAGTGTGCGGGATTTATCAGGTCAATCATAACCTTCAAGTGCATATGTGCCGCTGACTAGGAGTTCGAGATGTCAAAATAAAGTCTTGGCGCATGACTCTACAACTGAAATAGGTGCCTGATCTGTATAATACATGGACGAGCCTGAAGATCCAATGTATGTGTCATGTTTACAATACTCACATTCCAATGAGGGATTTTGCAGCATTCTGTATAGACTGCAGATCAGGGACTCGGCCATGGTCTTTGAAACAGACTGAACAAATAGGAAGAATTCAATTACGTGAATATCAGTTGCATCTGAGAATTTCAGTCAGCGCGGTTAGTCACTTGGCATTCGGGCCAATGAGGGGGAAGCGATAAGAATGGACGATCTATGGCTGATATTGCTTTTTCTTTGTGTGTGGCTTTGATGCATTTCCACTAGACTTGCACTTGACTTGGAACTGGACTGACTGATCTGAAACTGAAACTATGGAGTACACTGAGGAGACTTGTTATACTTAGAGACACAGCCCCCGGGCTTGACTGACTAAGCCCCGACTCCGGATGTCTCATCTATTAATACACCCAGACCCTCTCTGACTTTTCTCGCTAATAGTTCGGAGCAATAGCCCACGAAAACGAAAACCTGGAGAAGAGCTTAGACAGGGCTGAAGATCGGAACATCAGCCACTCACTGTGATTCCTGAAACTCCCGAATTCCTACGGAGAAAATACGGGGGAGAGATCTAGTCGCCACTCTCCATCTGGAGAATCCCTGTCACTAAAAATTCAATATCAAAAATGAAAGACCCTTACCTAACGTACAAAAGACAAGCCGGACGCGTGACTCCTACAATACATAATCAAAACTCAACAGATGAATAACATAATCCCCAAGAGCCGGGCAGTCGAATCATTTCCTTATCCATGGCCGACACCGGGGCAGTGCCAGCAGGTATGATTGGTGAATCACCGGGGGTTTCGAGAACGTTTTGCCACGGATTTCCCCACCGGAGCGATTCTGAGTGATCGATCCCAGTTGCGGCGTGGCTGGCTTCTCCATTCACAATGGGGAAGGCGGAGCTGTTGTATTACACTGGTATGTGTCCCGGTCAGACATCGCGGTACCTGTCTATCCTATCTGGATTCACCATGTACTTGTACAGGTATACATGTACCCTCTGATCTATAATGCAGGAACAGAGACTATCATCAGCTAACTCATGTATGTACTTTGTCGGGCGCGTTCTAGACATCTCGATAGCGAATTGCGCCATTATCATTTGGCCATAGCTCCGGCGCGGAGGACTTAGCCGGTGCATCCACACCGAGTTTTGATGGGTTCGCGACGCGCGCGTGATCAAATATATTCAATCAAATAACATATCGACTGTATTGATTAGATATTATAGATCAAATGATTTAGATCATATTGCTTTTGGGATAGGGTAAGGCCACTTGCATGCACATTGACTGCAGCTGATATCCGTCGGCCCTGTACTGCAAGTGGTACCGATGTGCCACCAGTTCCCTGTCGGATATCTCGACAGTGCGTATGTATTAGTAGTATACTAGTATAGTCCGGTGGCACTGTAGACGTATTTTTATACCCTATACGACATTTCATATCTGTATATCAGGGGCTGAAGCGATAAGACTTATACGGAGTATGACCGGGAAGAAGGCCGGATAAGCCAGAAGTGGGATGGCCTGTCTATATTAGCTCTATACGATACTATCGAGCCCTGTGATCCCAGTTCACCTCGTTATCGGCCCAACGGGAGTGAAGGGATTGATCATACTCTTGGGGGCGATTACAAGGCCTGGGTGCTGATTGGATTTGGGGGTTATCATGAACACTGGTCAGGGCATGATCAAGCGCATGGTTCGTATTTGATACCCCTGTGCGGAGATAAAAAGTCTGGAGAAACACATTATACTTCACATGTCTACACACTCTAGGCTAGACCCTTGAAATTGGAGAAAACCAAAATGATCAACGTAGATCAGTCGGCGGAGACCGGGCCTTCCAAGTATCAGAGTCTGGATGATGCGACGATGATGACACGGAAGCGAGTGGCGTTGAACATGAACAGGCGTTTCCCTCGGCTGTTTCGATTAAGCAAAAATGAGTCTGAAAATGAGCAGGCAAAAAGGGATGAAAGTCACTAAAAATGCCATAAAAAAGATGAGCTATTTACAGCGAGAGAGATTAAAATAGCGTGAGGCCTTTTTCCGTCGGGCTTCGGTACACGTAATGTACATTGGTTCGTATCGAGAGGGGCGTACAATACCAATACCAGGCTAATCCACTTTCGGAGTGGCTGATCCGCGCCTTCCTCTTCCCATTTTTTCACAATTTAAATCTTTATCGTCCCTTAAAACCTCCATCTCTCCCCTCCTTCTTTCTCCATCCACTTTTGCTTCGTTTCTTCTGTTTCCTTCCTTCGGGAATCCTTTGAAAAAAACACAAAAATCCATCTTTGCTCTTTCGAGCTCAAAATTGTTTTTAACACACATACATACACCCATATTCACTATGGTTCGTGTCTCTGCTCTATGACTCAGAATCTGAGAACCCCAGACTAACCTTCTCTAGGCTGCTGAATCTTCAACTGTCGTCTCCAACACGGAGAATGTGCGTTTGATTCTTGATTGATTGGATTTCCGCAATGGCCTTAGAGCCAGCGAGGAAAGACATATACTGACTTGACATGGGGATGAATAGCTCATGAAGTACATGAACCTTGACCAGCGTGGTCGTGTTCAGGCTGAATACGTTTGGATTGACTCGTGCGGTGGCACTCGCTCCAAGACAAAGGTATGACTCTATTTTACCCCCAATGTACCCCACTGTCCCCCACTGTTATCTTCCCCTCGTCTTATCGAGGCCATTCACACATCACGTGAGTTCCCACTAACAACCGCGCAGACTCTGTCCAAGCCCGTGACGAGTGTTGACGAGCTCCCCGAGTGGAACTTCGACGGTTCCTCCACCGCCCAGGCCCCCGGTGACAACTCCGATGTCTACCTCCGCCCCGTTGCTTTCTACCCTGACCCCTTCCGCCAGGGTGACAACATCCTTGTCCTCTGTGAGACCTGGGATTCCGATGGAAGCCCCAACAAATACAACTACCGTCATGATGCCAACCGTCTGATGGAGACCAATGCCCACGAGGGCTTCTGGTTCGGCCTGGAGCAGGAATACACCCTCCTCGGTACCGATGGATGGCCTTACGGCTGGCCCCGTGGCGGTTTCCCCGGTGCTCAGGGTCCCTACTACTGTGGTGTTGGTACCGGCAAGGTCTACTGCCGTGACATCGTCGAGGCTCACTACCGTGCTTGCTTGTACGCCGGTATCAACATCTCCGGTATCAATGCTGAGGTTATGCCCTCCCAGTGGGAGTACCAGGTTGGCCCCTGTGCCGGCATTGAGAGTAAGTGCAATTGCATCCTTGAACATATATTATCTCAGACTAACAAAATCAGTGGGTGACCACCTTTGGATGTCCCGTTTCCTCCTCCACCGTGTCGCCGAAGAGTTCGGTGTCCGCATCTCCTTCGAGCCCAAGCCCATCAAGGGTGAGTGGAACGGTGCCGGTCTCCACACCAACGTTTCCACCAACGGTACCCGTGCCGATGGTGGTATGAAGGTCATCGAGGCCGCCATGAAGAAGCTTGAGACCCGTCACGTTGAGCACATTGCCGTCTACGGTGAGGGCAACGAGGAGCGTCTCACCGGTCGCCACGAGACCGGTAACATCGACAAGTTCTCTTACGGTGTTGCCGACCGTGGTGGTTCCATCCGTATCCCCCGCCAGTGCGCCAAGGACGGCAAGGGTTACTTCGAGGACCGTCGCCCCGCCTCCAACGCTGATCCTTACCAGATCACCGGTATCATCGTCGAGACTCTGTGTGGTGGCCTCTAGATGGATACGAATCATTTGGTCTTAGCGCTCCGATACCCTTCGGCGTCAACCTGGGAGTCGGTCCAGAGCCTGACTCTGACGTGAGGGAGCTTCCCATAGATGTTCCGTGTTTCTCTCTCTTCCTGTGTGCCTATCCTATCTTTCCCGGTATGAGTGCCTCTTGCGTTACTCTACCACTCCCTCGTTGCACTAGCCGCCCTCACTTTTTTTTTGTTTCTCTCTTGACTACCCAATATTGGGTAATGTGACACGTACAATAGCATAGAATATTTATGGATGGGAAAATCAGACCATCGTATTGAGAGATATCATTTTGATATCATTCCTCTGGAGAATCGACAACTAATTCCTGACATGTGTGCACTGATCTTCCAGAGTAATCCAATACATTGTAGTAAACCCGACAAGCCTAGATCTGGCCATTTGTTAGATCTGACAGATGATTAGATCTTGAACTTAATCTTGTCTGACATGGAGTGTCCAATGACTATCAATCTACTATCACAGTAGAACGGCTGAGCATCATATGGAAGGAAGATTGCATAATGCTATTGAACAAGAGACAGACAAAGTAGGGCTATAACTTAATATAAGAAACTTGAATTAATATCATTGATGACAGTGAATCTCTTCCAAGAAACAACCATCTTATTGAACCCATCCATCCGTCTATACTCTATTTTTTAAAGCCACATAATGAACCACACATTACCTCGTAACCATACCAACCACAACCGACCCTAAGCCACCCCCCTGAACCCAAACCTCTTGAACCTCCTCCCAAGCCCATCCAACCCCCTCTGCCGAACCTCCCTCCGTCCAGCCCCATCAACAACCTCCCCATCCGCACCATTACTCTCATTTTTATACCGCCCATCAACCACCCTCAACAAAACCTCCATAATAACAGCAGCAAGAATACTCCCAATCAAAATCCCAACCATAACAAGATTGCTCTTGCGATACTTCTGCCTACCAGGCGCCTCATAATCACTCTTCCATCCAGAATAAAGCGCATAAGTAGTGAGGATGGATCCCAGATTCCCGAGACCGGACACAACAGCGGACGCAGCAGCAACCCCGACCTCGCCGTGCCGTGGTTGGAAGATTTCCGTCGTCCAGGTCATTGTTATTGGCACTGTGGGGCCGAGACCAAAGCCGACGATTAACAGGCCGCCGTAGCGTGGCCATGGGTTTGCGTCGCTGCCCGCGTAGCTTGTTAGGAGTAGCCCGAGGATTTGGAGGAGGACGGGGAGTGAGAAGAAGATTGCGCGGTGGCGGTGGAAGCGGTCTGAGAGGGGGTTACCAAGAGGATTGCTATTAGGTCCATCTGGAGTGTCTGTTAGCGGGGGATGTTTGTAACGACAAACTTGTAACGACAAGCTGGCGAAGGTGGATGGGATGGGCTAAACATACAATCCAAATGGGCGCCGTCAGAAGACTCAAATCAACCCCGCTCAACGTCGGATTAATGGCCTGAATAATCAAATTCGCATAAAGCTGCACGCCAATACCAACACCCACAACACCGAAATACATGACGAGTAACGGCCACAGACGCCAGTCGGCAAATACCCGTCCTAGATCCCGCAATGTCCAAGCAGGCGAATGATAGACGCGCTTCATATCGTGGTAATGAACGCGCGCATCACTACCGCTGAGTGCAGGCGAGGACCGCGGAATCCAGCTTAGGATCTTGGGACGTGGGGGTAGGGTCTCGTCTGGTGGTGTTGGTCTGTCTGGGAGCCACCAGAGTAGGGCGAAGCCTAGGGCTACGGTTATCACGCCGTAGACTAGGAACATCCATTGGAAGCCGACTAGACCGTGCATCCCGTCCATTTTTTGGAAGCCTGCTGACACCAATCCGACGACTGCGGCTGACACTTGCGAGGCTGTGAAGTATTGGCCTATTCTCTTGCCGATTCGGCTGGGTGGGTAGAAGAGGGTTAGGTAGTAGGTCATTCCGGGCCACATGCCTGCTGTTACTATTCCCAGGAGAAGGCGGAGGAGGCTGTTTTGTATTAGACTGAGCATTGAATGGAGATCATGGGTGGGAGGCGTACTAGAAACTCCAGGCTGCTTTCATGGCCGCTAGACAGGATCCGATGAGACCTACGCTGATGACGATCCGGCTCATCCACACGTGTGGACTAAGTCGGGTCATTATCAGGTTTGAAGGGAGGTCGAAGACAACGTAGCAGACGTAGAACAGGGCTAAACCTGTTGAGATTTGGTGGGGGGTTAGGTGGAGGACGTCTGCTAGGTCGTGGCCTGCGTCTTCGTTCATTGTCTGAGCCAATCCTACGTTTGAGCGAATGGCTGAGCAGAGGAAGTAGAGGACCCAGAATGCGGAGATGATGCGTCGGTCCAGCTTTCTGTTGCCATGTCAGATTTGGTATTTATTCGCTGTTGGTGGACTTACCTGTAGATGCGTTCGATGTTGGCTATGTGTTGCTCGCCGGATTCAATGTCTTCCGGGGCTATTTGGCCTTGCGGTGTCTCTAGTTGCTCAGAGACATCATGAGATGCTGGTTCCTTGTCGCTGTGTGAGACGACCTGTGCTTCGCTCATTTTGGCGTGATTATTATTGTATAGTTTTCGGATCTCTGATAAGAATTCACGCCAGTGCTGGCTAGAGGCAGTGTCGATAAATTGACATCAAGTGCCCAGTATATACCGAGAGTCAATATTCGCCTGCAGATTCTGAGTCAGTGGAGTTCATAATCTTATTCCTTTCCCTCGGAAGCTAAACCGTGCAAGGCGAGAGTAGCCGCGTTACCGAGGTCATAGATCCCGTAGTCACACGAGAAGAAAAATCGCGAATACATACCTCTCTAGACTTCTCTAGATCTAATTCAACCTCTGTACAGAGTCTGTATATATTGACGGGAGAAAGGAAGCGGAGAAAGACTCGCCCGTTTGCGGATCTGATAAAGTCGAGAGGGGAATCTTGGCGGAGAAAAAAGACACAGACCTCCGATCGGCACCTGCAGCAAAGCACTACTCTAGGCCCAGTATAAAACAACCAGGTTTATACCGCGTGACTCACAGCAGAGAACATCCGAGAGAAAGAAGATGTTGAGCCGTTGAGGGTCGGAAAACCCTGCCGCTTCCCAACGCGACGTTCACCGAGGATAACCTTATTTTCTCCGTTTCCACTTCCTTTTTTTTTTTTTTTGCACTTTAGTTCTAGATACAGACTAACTGTATATCCTCATCTTCTCTTTTCCTCGGAGTTGCCCCTTGCAGAGATCGTCCCTATCAGAATGTTGGACACGCGACTCTCATGTGGAATGCCGCAGGATGATGACACTCTATGGAAAATAGCCTCGGTGAATGAATTATACACCGATGCCTTTTTTTGAATGCCAAGTTGCTTAGCTTCTTCAGGGTTGTCATTTCCAATGCTCGTCGATCGCCGATTTCGGGCATATCACGTGTCTGCATATCAGACAGGGTGTGAAGTAATGCAACTAAGTAAGCCGGTGACAATTATATCGGTGCTGTTTGACAATTATAGACGTAATCGCCCAGCCGGAGAAGGAAAAGAAGAAATAGAGATTGTCATCGAAATGTCAACCGCTTAAACATCAAAGGTCCTAGAGTCCTCTCTTTCTGCATAAACGCTATCAAACATTGCCAGAATGAACCAGTCAGCATGCTCAAAGTTTCCAGCATAGATAGCTGCGGAGCCCTTGCCAGTAATTCCCCAAGCCCCTCCACCAGGGCAATTTCGTCATCGCAGAGGGCCAGCTGGTCCGGTCCAAAGTCGGTGAAGTTATTGCAACATCAAAACCAAGCCAAACCATTCTATCGGGGAGATATCTTGATGGTGAACGCCCACTTTGTGTATTTCCTCAAGGCCTCCAATCGCCCGGGGATAGAGCGTTTCGGAGTAGTTCACGCACTTTAAGTTCTCAACATCTGAAAGGGATTCAAGCAATATCGCGCTAGACTGGAACTTGTCATGGGCGAAATGTTGAAAAGCAGGATGGAAGGCAGCTGCATTCACTTGATTGATAAAGCCGTAGAATTTGCGTGCAAAGTTGCTCTCGCAGGCACCAGCAGTGACTAGCTTCTTATATGCATTGTATTTGCTGCGAAATCGATTCAAATCACGACCTTGCTCGGTATCGCCCTTGTCGTGGCAAAGCCTCAATATTCTGTCACATTTCGAGTTCCCATGTGAATTCCAAACTCCAAACAAAGACAATTCAGATCAAATTTCATCTCCCTGAGCCTGCCGACTTGATTGAATTTACCGACAAGCCTCTTTTTGTAAAACGGCCGAATTGATGTCTTTCGACGGTATCAAGCCAGAGAACCACAGGAATCTTGAAATTTCGCAGGAGACTGAGGAGATCAGGCATGGCGAGCGGTAATCTCATTGAGAGCTATGTTTACTCATTGAGAGTATGACACACAATCTCTGAAGCCCAGAATCTGTAGAGGCGAATGTCGCTGGGCCCGATGTGCGAATATTCACATCGGCCGTCACTCTTGCCAAGCATTGTGACGGTAAGAGCAAGACCAATCAACGAAAATGCTAACTCAAAGGCAGCAACAAAGTTGCCTCAGATGAGGGTTAATTGAGCGGCCGGATACATTGGGGCGGGAGGGTACAGACATCAGGATCTCACCAGGGAACAAGGGGCCTTAGGCGAGGATGATGAACACCGGCGAAGGCAAGAAGCATGAAAAGGGATACAGGTGTTGTCAGAAGCTTTTAAGCAAACCCCTATGCCACCCATGGCGGTGAAGAAAAGTGCAATCAACTGTGCTGCCCGAAGTCGTTGCCGTTGGTCACGGGGGCCTCGAGCCCTAAGCCATGAGCCGCGCTGGGCCAAATATCCTTCAATAGCCCAATCCATGCCAAATGAGAAGGCAGATCCACAGGTGACTAGCCTAAATCAACCATAGCTTCCCAAAGATATCGTATCCGGATCTTGGACAAACTAAAAAAGCGGCTCGAGTCCATGCCAAGCACAACAGCCTCGTATTGCCAGCAACTGCGACCGCCACCAAATATCTCCTCTCCAAAGCCCCCCAAATACCCCAATGGAACACATCCTGAATACGAAGAGTCCGGGTGATTTCTCGCATGGACATTTGATATGTGATTGAGCCGCAGGGGCACGGGAGGCGCGGCTGGCATATAAAGCCATCCCCGTCCTCGACCAGATCACAGTGCCCCAAGGAAGCAGACAGGGACCGATACGGAGAGCCTTGGCATTCCATAACTAGCACAAAACCAGACCCTCCTACAACCCAAAATGAAGAGCCTGATTCTACCCACCCTCCTGCTCTTGAGCAGCTTGAGTACAGCAGCAAACCTCCAAGACGAACCCCAACTCTTCTCCAATGTCTCTGTCGACCTCGCCTCCGAGAGAACCCTCTCAACTCGAGATCTAGGACTAGGGTCCGACTTCAACATCCTTAACGCTCGCGCCGGTGATTGCCGCATCGGCTACAGCGAATGCCCAAACGACACAGACTACTGCTGCCAGACCGGCAAAACATGCTGCAGCGGCACCAGCTACTGCGCCAGTCCAGGTGCAGTCTGTTGCGCAGATTACGGGACCTGTCGTGAAGGATGGAAATGTTGCACTGGGACAGGTTGTGCGCCTATTGGTGGAGAATGTTGTAGTGGAGGTTATTATTGTCCGGCTGGGAAGCATTGTCGGATCTGGAAGGGCGAGAATGTTTGTTGTCCTTCTACTGGCTGTATTGGGGAGTTTGATACTGGCAGTGATGAGGATATTGTCGGGGGAGCTGAGGCTACCGAGACGGCGACTGAGACGGCGACTATTACCAGTGTTTATACCGCGCCGACGATTACGGCTACGGCTCTTGATTATGAATACTATTATACGACTATCTATTGGTATGTCTGGTTTCAGATTCGAGGCTGATGGGTTGGGAGATCGTTTGCTGACAATGTTTTAGGACGTATTGGTTCTACTTCTGGACGTCCATCTCGCCTTATACTGTCCGGACGGTTACTTCTACTAGCACGACTACGACTACTGTCTGGTCGGTGTATATGACGGACAGTGATGAAGCGACTTCCTCGCTGAGGTCTAAGTCTTCGAGTTATTCGTTCTCTGTGCCGTATTGGGCCACGTCTTTGAGTAGTTCGTCGGAGCCTGTCACTATTTCGACAGCTGATCCTACCCCGAGTGCCACTTCTGGCCCATCGGGTGACGATACTGGTGGCAACTCTGCCTCGGATATCACATCTACGTTCGGTGATTCTGCACCTCTTGTCAGTGTTAGTACCACTGGAGTCATGGCTGCTGTCCTGGCTGCTGCTATTGGCGGGTTGGCCTTTGGATTGTGAATTTATTCAAGGGATATGCCTTTGAAAGGAATGTCTGTATCGCACTGTGGTCTGTCGAATGCGAGCACATGCGAGTTTTGCCTTTGATACCTTTAATTTTGAATTTACTATCCTGGAAATGGACCCTAGTGTTTGAATTGTCCCTCGTGTCTGTCCATGCTCGAAAAGGTATACCAGCTCCACTAATCATCGTAAAAAAACATGAATTTATGCATGTATCTTTCCTTTTGTCAAAAAAAAAAATAAAAATAAAAAAAAATAAAAGACAAAGCTAGAAAAAGCATGGTGTTGACCATTGTCCTCAATACCTCTGCCTCCCACTTTCTTCGTTCTCATTCCTAGGTACTATCCTGATTTTTATCTTTTCCCGCTAAATGTTCACTAGTTCTAGGAAGGTACCTGCGATAAGCTTGATCTCTCACAGTGCTAGATCTGCTTTTTCTTCTCCGAATAAAACACACCAATATCTGTCCATGGATCGGTGCGATACCAAGACAGGATCTGCCTTTCGGAATATATACCGAGAGTAATGGACAGGTGGTTAATTTTCCTTTTTGTATCACTATACACATAAAGGAAGAAAAAATGCAATTCTTGAATTGAAGAAGAAGCAAATGTAGCTTCCAGGGTACACATATGCCCCATTTTGCAAATATCAGCCCTGAGTATGGGATGTGGCCTACTAGAGAATGCCTATAAAACGAGCAAGAACTTTGCTTTTTGCATAGGGTATAGAAGAACAATAAAATCACATTATACATCAATCAAAACAGTGTCCAAAAAAAATACCAAGTCTCAAAGAACTCAGTTACTATCAGAAGAACTCTCCTTCCGATGCTCAAGATGCGTCCCCTTCCCATTCTCAAGATCAGCAACATCCTTCACCTTACCATGCTGCTTATCCGAAACATAGCTAGCACGACGAAGATGCTCCTCCGTATCCTGGTAGTTGATAAGAAGCTCGCCATTCTTTCCGTAGCGGTGGGCTTCGTTGCGAGCGACGGAGACGACGTCGAAGATGCTGGATGTCTTGTGGAAGATTGTGTCCATTTCTTCGAGGGATCTGTAGGCTGTTTCTGGGTAGAAGAAGTAGACTACTGGGAAGATGAAGGCGTTGCTGTTTATGTTGGTTAGTTGTTAAGATAGATTGGATGGTGTACCGTGTGGCGTGGTATACTCACATGACTGCGAAGATGATATAGGTTCTGTATTTGATTGAGTCGAATGCGACTGGGGTGATCATTACAACTAGGAAGTTGAAGATCCAGTTGCCTGAAGTTGCCAGGGCGTTGGCGGGGGCGCGGATGCGCAGAGGGACCTATACTTGTTAGCCGATGTATCTCTCTTCTAGTGTGTAGAAGACTTACAATCTCAGCGGGATACAACCAAGTCATACCCAACCAACCCAATGCGAAGAAAGTATTGAAAACAAACAGGAAAACCGCAGCCGCAATACCAGTCTGGGTATTACCCTCAAAGCTAGTAGTGACAGCCAAGACGATCATCGAAATTGACATTCCAGCGGCACCAATCAACATCAGTGGCCGGCGACCAACCTTTTCAATGATGAAAATCGGAATTAGAGATGCGAGGAAATACTCGGTTCCATTGCAAGCAGCCAAGATACGGGATGTCAACCCATCCATTCCAATGGATTCATAGATCGTAGCAGCGTAGTATGTGATCAAGTTGATACCAGAAATCTGCTGGAACATCTGGTTGACATATGCCAAGACGACACGGTGGAAGTGGCGATCCTCATCCATTGTGAAGAGATCGCGCATGCTGACGCTGGAGGCTTCCATGACGGCATCTTTAATGGCGGAGAATTCCGAGAGGACGTAGGGGTCGCTTTCTTCTTTGTCGAGGATGGCGGCTAGGACTTCTAGGGATTCTTCTTCGCGGCCCTTGAGGATTAGCCAGCGAGGCGACTCCGGTAGAGGAAGCACGAAGAAGAGAATGATTAGGGCGAAGATGTTTTGGAAGGCAATTGGGAAACGCCATGCCACTGAACTCGGGTCGAGGAAGGAGAATCCTAGGTCAATCCAGTAACTGATTGTGATTCCGCCGGCGATGAGGGCTCCTTCTAGCATGACTAGCTGGCCGCGGTGGTGAGATTTGGAGCATTCTAATTATCGTTAGCTTGTTATTCTGTCATATACTTAATGAGGCTTGGTACTTACCCGATTGCCAGGTAGGAACAGTAGATGTGTTCATGCCATTCCCGATACCAGTCACGATACGACCAACAATGAGATGCGGTAGCGAGTAAGCGCATGATTGGAGAGTAGCACCAATGACCATGATGATGGAACCGGCGAAGATAGTCTTGCGACGACCGAGGTAGTTTCCGATCCAGATACAGAAGATTGCGCCGCAGAAACAACCCAGGTTGTATGAAGCAACGGTGATACCCTGTGTAGTAGAGTTGTTGCTTGTTGATGAGCTGGACTCGGTGGTGTCGATTTCAGGGAAGGTTTTAACAAATGAGTTCAGGGTCAATAGACCTCCCATGACACCTCTGTGGGATGTTAGTAATGGATAAGAAGATATACATAGGAGATTGCGGTGTCATACTGGTCATATCCGAAAAGCCTGTACAGTGGTGTTAGTGTATAGTGTATCTTATAGTGATAGGATCAACATACAAGAAATCAAGACCAGCGATCACACTGATCATGATATTGAGGTTCGTACCTCGAAGTCCAAAGTATGGCTTCATGACGGCGGTCTGGGTATGTAATGAACCGTATAGGATAAATGTATAGTTAAGGTCAAGGTGGATGTATAGTCCAATCTGGCACCAGTCCAGATAAAGACAGTCCAAGTATAGAAGACCAAGACACCGACGAAAGGCTTATTATAGCTAAGGAAAAGAAGATCAAACACATTCAAGCCTGGGAAATGACTCGAGTTTATGAGTCCCAGAGTCAACCATAGTCAAACAGGGGATCCACAGCCATGAGCAGGTTTTGGAACACAAATCGGAGTCCAGAGCGAGCCAGATGCAAGGTGACATTGGCACTATCAAAGCCGGATTGGGAAAAAGAGGCACTGTACCCCTCATTAGGGCCGAGACAAGATGGGCAAAGTATCGAGTCGGCATGGCTTCGGGTCCACGGTCCACCGAGTGAACAAATCGGCTTCAGTGAAGTGATTCGAGGCCGGTTCCCGTGCGGTATTGGTCAGGAGGGACACAAGGATATGATAGGTCTAATGAGTCAATCACTGCCCATTTCTGAGCAGGGAATCTGTTTCCGTCGATCACTTGAAGTGTATGACGACTCGGTGGCTCGCGTGGGACTCCATGCGAGGAATTGACCGAAATCTGGAGATACCCCAGGTCCCCCCAGAGTCTCCATTTTTCTCCGAGTGGGACTACAACCCCATGTCCACTGTACTGACTGACTGCATAGCAAGTAGACGAGACATCTAATTACCGTGACGTATATCATCAACCTACAAATGACAACGGTAAAATATATCTTGATTTGGCTTTGACTTTTGCCAAGCTTGACAGGGATAAAGTCCAACAAACCACAGCGTCGGCTTCTAAAGATGACGATTTCTCCCGACGGAGCAGGCGCAAAGCCTTTTTCCGGGTTCCTGGCGCCATCACTGTCTGACCTCGGGAAGAGGGGAGTCCCGAAAACCTGCTTGGGGGAAAAGCCGGACTTGAGTTGGGGGCCTCCTGGATGGCCGATCAACGGCATTCGATGACGTCATCCACTATCCTCAGCAGCATTTAGGGCTCAGGCATTAACATGGTCCAATCAGTTGATCAGTTGGGCTATTTCGCGTGAGGCATAATTGAAAATAAAGAGAGTTATGCTCCCTTAGGGAAGAGCAGTTGGTTATTATTCGCAGCCCGTTGCTTTCAGACGGACTAGGTAGTAAATGTACAGCCATATCTCGGGATTGCTGTAGAGGCAACCCTGTACTCGGCCTGGGCCGAATTCCGGGGTTTGAGACTTATCAGAACGGACTCCCCGAGACCGACTCTCACGCGGGATGCCTAATGCGGAAGCGCGGTTACTGCGACTCTGTACTTTTGGCAATGCTACCTAATCATACACAGTTTTTGAATTTCTATAGGATGATATTCAGTGATATGTAGAGCAACTAGTTTCTATTATTTAATGGAAACATTGGTCTACAGTGAAGGGGTACACTACCGCGCGAGTGCATACCCGATCGGGTGCTGGGGCCTGTGGGGACAATTTAATCACGCGGTAGCCTGATTGATATTGCATTAGATTTCCTTTATGAATTCATATGTCTTACACTGAAGGACTAACTTACAGTATCTAGAAGTTCATAAAATATGTGCCGTGCACTAGCCAGCCATGGTTACACATACAGACTTGGCCAATTCCGTGACAGAGGTCTATATTTACCATCTCATCTCTTCATACTTTTCTCAAAGGCCAGGTTACCGTATAACATGTCGTGCCGTCATCCTGTAACTGCAACTAAGATCCAGTATAGACTACATACTAATCTACTACGGTTTACAATGGAAATATTGCGTTAAAAAAGCATTGCAGATCATTTGAATATCCACTGAACTAACAATGAAAATCACCAGAGACATTATCAAGAACATGCCTTTTCATGCGCAACACCATCGTCAGCCCGGAGGCAAGAGAAAACAAGTAGTCCGTGTTCAGTCCCTCTTTTCGAGTCCGTCAGCCGAGCATTCACAGCAATATCTCCCGAAAAAGACACTGGTCCAAATTTCAAGGATAAAAAAAGCAAAGAAAAGCAAAGAGAAGAGATAGTACTTGATATGAGCGCGGCACTGTGTATGAGCATCCATTTTTCACCATCTTGGATTACCGCGAGGTTATCAAAAGAGGTCAACAACTGAAAGTCTTGCAGGATGCGAAAGGAAAGGGGCAAGCTCAAAAATATGTTATGGTTGCTTTGATGACAGTATCCGGGTCCCTTTTCTTGTCGAACGTTGTAGCCCTCTACCAGCCGTCATCCGTGGCCTGAAGGGCCTCAGCATTGTAGCCAGAGAATTCAGCGCTCTCGTCAGCGAAGGCACCAATGACCGGAGTACCGGCGGGCGAGTGGTGAGCGGAATCGTCACGTCCAGATTCCTTGGGGGGCTGGGTGCAGCGACGGATAGTGTGTCCCACTGTGGTATCGTTAGCTGAATCCAATTATTAACAGCATATGTATGATCGAATTACTTTCGCCGCAGTTGTTGCACTGAACCTTGGACCAGTCCTTGGGCTGGTCGCAGTCACTAGAGAAGTGGCCGAGTTGCTCACAGTTGCGGCAAGTGATAGAGGAAGGATCGCGGGGCTCGGTACATTCACGCGCCTGGTGATCCTCGGAGCTGAACAAAAATTAGAATGCACGTCTTGCTGACCCTGTGACGAACTGTATACTTACCCGCAGTTGCGACAGGTGCGAGGGCCTCCACCAGTAGGGCAATCCTTCGCAAAGTGGCCGACTTGAGCAGCTCCGTTAGTGTGTCGAACAAACAAGAGGTGCGTGCTTCCATACCTTCGTTGCACTTGCGGCATTCAATGGTTGAAGCAGGTCGAGGCTCGGGGCAATCGGTGGCCTGGTGATCACCAGCACTTCAGCAAGTCAGCATTTCCCATTTCAAGCTTCTCGAAAGCGGAAATACCATACCCGCAGTTGCGACATCCATGCTTGTGCTTGCGCTTCTGGGGGCAATCACGGACACGATGTCCAATTTCCTCACAGTTGCTGCACTTGATCTCAACACGACCAGAGTTCTCAACGCGCTCGACCTTGCAGTGCTTAGCGATGTGGCCCATTTCTACAACATAAAGTTAGCAGATTCCCAACCATTGAAGCAGAAGCAAAAATTACCCTCGCAGTTGTTGCACTTGGGGATCTTGCGTTCGTAGGGCAGGCCAGCGTTGCTGAGACGTTCAATGTTTTCCTCGGGGGTATCAGGCCAGCGGCCACGAAGGCGGCCACGCGAAGCCTTTGGGCCGAAATAAAAGCCCACCTGAAACTCGCGGTCCAGAACACCCTGGAGGTCAATCAGACTCATGACATCGTCGACTTCGGCTTGCTGTAATTGAAACTACGTAAGTTATTGACAGCTAGGGCATGTGAAGCAAATCACTCACCAAGGCAATGACGAAGATGTTGAAGCCATCCTCACGCATCTTGTTCTCAATATCGAGGAAAGTGGCATCGGGAACGGCCTTGGAATAAATCTTAAGAGCCTAAAATGGGATCAGCCAAAGTCAGTCATTGAAAAGTGTGGCCTCACTCACGTCACGGAAATCCTCAAGATCCTTCTCGTCACTGGCAGCCTTCATGCGAGTCCAGGCCTCCTCGGGAAGCAAGTCGGCAACGAGGTTCAAGTCAAACTTGCGGTTAGCCTTGCAATCAAGAGTCTTATGGCCTTCGAGGCAGCAGTTCTTGCAGACATCGGGAGGACGGTCCGGGCATTCAGCCGCGGGATGACCCTCCTTCTCGCAAATGTGGCAGGTACCAGTGAAGACACGGGGGTTAGTGCAATCGGACTTGGAGTGCCTGTGGATATCAGTGTGGTCAGTATTTGAAGATCGGAATACTCGAAAGCCGCTCACCCTTGCTCGCCGCAGTTGAAGCAAGCTCCCATGGCCTTGGGGCGCTCAGTGCAGTCTGCCTTGCCGTGACTAAATTATACCAATCTCCATGTCAAAAATGACCATTGAGCCTGGAAATCGACAACATACCCATCCAGACCGCAATTGAAGCAAGCGCGATTCTTGCCCTGACCACCATATTCATTGAACTCGTCTCTGAAGGTATTGTTCTGGTTGTTCTGGTTGTTCTGGTTGTTCTGGTTGTTCTGGTTGTTCTGGTTGTTCTGGTTGTTCTGGTTGTTCTGGTTGTTCTGGTTGTTCTGGTTGTTCTGGTTGCCGTCATTGGGGCACTGGCGGGTCATATGGTCCGACTGACCACAGCTTTCTCGAAATGAGTGACTGGAATCGGATATAATTATCTGAAAGGGGGGGAAACGTACTTGCCACAGGCAAAGGTATCGCCGCCAGCCTCAGGTGAGCTGCCAGTATCCCAGCCAGACATGATGGACGGTTGCTACCTTGAGTCAGTAACGGCAGTAAGGGTAGAAAGATGATATAACAGGTGAGAAAGAAAGAGCGAGGAGGAGGGGTTGATCAAAAAAGGTCCAAATCTCACCGGGGTCATGACACCGGAGACGTGACCATGTGCGTTCTGAATGGCACTTACCGCAGTTGTATCAGGAACGAAAATTGAAGAGACAAGCCATGAAGACAACCTAGAGGAGAGAGAGGGGAGGAAGAAGTAAAAATGAAAAGAAGAAAGAATACAAATTGGGAAGAAGCAGGCGGACGGTGGCCGTCCTGCCAAAACAGGCAACTTCCGGCCAACCTCACGTTTCGAACATCACCAGTCGTTTATTTGCGGGGCTTCACTACGGAGATCCCGAAAATAGCCGTTGCAAAGTGAATTCTTGCATCAACGAAGCTAGAATGTTACTTTCGAACAAAACAAGTCATTTATTTGCATTGCTTGACTACGGAGATGCCAACATTGATCGTTCCAAAGTGACATCCATATATTCCTGAAGTAAAGATACATGTGTTTTCATATTAACTAGTTGATTTCGAACGAAACAAGTCGTTCATTTGCGGTGCTTGACTACAAAGCTGCCAACAATGGCTGTTTGAAAGTGAGGTCCACATGTCGGAGCTAGGTAAGGACCTGGCCTCACTGAAGTTGAATGAAACCGGAATAGATTTCAAGCTGACGCAAGAGCCGATTATGCAGAAGAAAGCTCATATAGGGGCAGAGATCCACTGGATAGGCATGAATCTTTTTCTTGGTCCTGCGTCTGGGGTGGATCTAAATGTTTATACATTCTTAATCATCACTTTCGAACAGAAGGTGTTGTGTATTCGTGGTAGATGCCGATAATGGCTAATAGATATTTGAGTTTATATTTTCCTGGGGTTAAAAAATCTATCGGGTTTCAAGTTCATCGCTTTCGAACAGAACGAGTCGTGAGATTGCGGAACCTGCCCACGGAGATGTTGATACTCAATGTTCGGTACCAAAATTCATATAATTTGAAAGGAAGATGCTGATACATTCCCAAGTTTATCACTAGAACAAGATAAGTTGTTTATCAGCGACACTTGTCGACGAAGATTCCAACAATGGCTGTTCAATACCCAGATCTCTTGGGATAATTGTTCATCACCTTCGAACAAAATATGTAGTGAGCCTGAGGTATTAATCGATCAAGCAGAGTTCAGCCAAGCTGTTGCAGCCAGCTACAATTTGCATGGCTAAGCAGGCACTTCTTTGAAGCTGAAGCAACAAGTCGTAGTCCGTACACCTGATCATATCCTAGTAGAGGAACTGAGGCTGGTCCTCAAGTAAGAGAGGACACCAGCCCTTTGCATGTAAGCCAAATAAGCCAAAAGCCCGTGGGAACCCATAGTAAAACCCATCAGTATAAACACACAAGGACCGTCAAAAGTCGCAGTACAAATATAAAGTCCAACGCCAGCGATTGCACCACCGCTGCAAGTCCTCCTCTGAAGTCTGGTGGACGTTCTCCAATCAAAGGCTCGCCCGGTTCTTCCCATAGCAACGGGCCGCGATTCCAAGGCTCATTCCATCCTCAATTTGATGTTCAACGTTTTCGATTGCGCTAAATCAGGCAGCGTGTATTCAAGTAGTTGGCTGAAGCACTCTCTTTTTTTGAATTGTGGTGTGTCGTAATGAGTACCCACCATCTTTAGAACTGTGAACTTGCGGCGCTTGCCTACGAAGATGCCGATAGTGGCTGTCAGATACCAAGCTTGTTAGACATGCATGTCTAGGTTTCAGGTCTTTGTTAGCTAGTCTTTGCTAACCGTCTGTTTGCTAGCCGCCTACCAGGGGGCTATTTAGTCGGCCTTTTTCCCATAGAGAATCCATCATCCTTAGAGATCTCTCTATCAAAGTTCCTTGGACCACAGAGAGGAACATGTCTATTCATTCCCGAGTCTGTCTGTCCCTTTCAAAAAGAAAACAAATTGTGGATTACAGGTCTTGCCTACTTAGGTACCGACAACGGCTATTGAATAGAGATATGCTATGTGTTCCTAGTTTTCAGTTATGCTTCGCCTCGTTTCGGATGCACTATTGACAGCGATACTTCATGAAACACCGTCCTCTCCCTTTTGTAAAACCTGCGCACTGCAAAAACGTCAACGCACACAACTCTAAGTCCAGGGAATAGATTCATGTATTCAAATAATGGCCAAGATACTCCGCTATAGATACAGCACCAAGAGTACAAAAGAACCAATGCAAGGCTACTCAATCCAGTCGCCAATCCAACCCGCATTACCGGAACAGCCTGCCCAGCAGGCCACCAGCGATGTTGTTCACAATACCACCACCCAAAGCCGAGTTAGCGTAGTTCGAGGCCTGACCGAACTTGTCACAGCGAGAGAAAGCCATGGTGTTGGTGATTGTCAAAATCAAAGCAATAACTAAATCCAGTCAATACCCAGCGCGAATCCATTGGAATATATTTAAACTCACCAATCAGACTCAGCCAGATCACGCTCACCAGTCTCACGATAGCGAGAATCGCAAGACCAACCCACAGAGCTGGTGTCACGTACAAGCTCAACCAGAAGAAACGCTTATCGGTAGCTGTCACGGTGCGGACATTCGGGTCGGAGGACTCGAAGACCCAGTGTGAGTCGCCGGATGTCGTGTCCACCTCGTTCCACCAGCGGAGACCGACCAGTCGGCGCCCGGCAATGTTCTTGAGGTAATAGAAGTCGGCAGAGAGAAGGAGAAGCGTGAAGATGAAGACGAGGATACTATATGTTTGTTAGTCGGAGCGGGAGTTGGGAAGTAGATAGTCCATTGCAGGGTCCATACAAGTCATCGATGAAGAGGAGACCAAACAGGTACATCATTAGCGCGCCTGTTTATCATGTTAGCCAGCTATTCCTTGCAGCTCGAGGGGCAGCACAGACCGATCCGAATGCCCAAGAAGACAAGTAGCGTGATCGGGTGGGCGCTGAGGCGCCAGTTCAGCTCGCCTTGGGGGTTTCCTTGATCCATGATGTGCAAGGTGTAGGCTCCAATGCGATCTGGATATTGCGAACTCTATGCTTGCGCTGGCTTGATCCAAGTATATTGTTGACTAGCGGTGATCCCTATGTGGCCGAAACACGGGTTGTGGCGGTGTCTGCTGGCAGAATAATTGGAGATGACGCGGGCTGCACGTTGTAGATTCGAGTCAATTGGCTGTTGGTTTGAGCTTGGCGCATGATAAATGCTGCATATTAGTGATGTTAGAGGAACCTATTTCGCTATGTACATTCATTCGATAAGTAATTGAACTAATACTGCACCTAGCGATATCGTACTTAATGTTCTTAGGGAATATACATATTAGCCATTCATACTTCACTGTCACATAAACGTGATATTTCATCGCAACTGACCAGACACTTACAAAAAGACCCAAAACAGAAAGCAGATATAACTGAGAGCAAAAACGCGGAAGTGCATTTAGATCGGCCAAACGCCGCTCCGCGGCTCTACGGATAGCCGAGTCGGCTTCTTCACGGAGATAACTTAACCTCATAAATACCTCCCCTCAACCTCCCTACAGAACACCAACAAACCCATAGCCGGATAACCCACACCAAGACAAATCGCAAGCTACTGCACAATGGCAGCCCGCAACACCCTCCGCCGCTCCCTCCTCTACGGTAAGCTTCCTATCTTCCCCGCATTTCAACTTTCAACCGCAAGCTCGAAAAGACCAGAAGAAGCATATATACTAACAACACACCAGTCCCGGGGTCATCCCAGCGCTTCCTGGACAAGTCACGCTCCCTCACAGCCGACTGTGTCGCCTATGACCTCGAAGACAGCGTCACACCACACATGAAAGCAGAAGCCCGCGGTCTAGTGCGGAGAGCAATCGACCAAGCAGCACCAGCAGGAATCCGCGAACGCGCCGTGCGAATCAACTCCGTAGACAGCGGCCTGGCACTGGGTGATCTGACAGAAGTGGTACGTCTCCAATCCCTTTCCTCGGCGCATAAGTATAAGCATACTAACGAACTCCAGCTCCAATCCCCAAACCTCTCAACAATCGTCATCCCAAAAGTAAACTCCGCCTCAGACCTCACCTTCGTCTCAGACGTGATAACCCACACCCTCTCCCAACAACCCACACATAACCAAAGCAGACCACCAATCTCCCTACTAGCCCTAGTAGAATCCGCTAAATCCCTGACAAACCTATCCCAAATCTGCGCCGCAACGCCCCTCCTCCAAGGACTGATCTTCGCCGCGGAAGACTTCGCCCTAGACCTAAGTATAACGCGCACACCAAGCCTCCGTGAATTCCTCTTCGCGCGCTCTGCAATCGCGACGGCGGCGCGGGCCGCCGAACTCCCTTCTACCATTGACTTGGTCTGCACAGCGTATAAGTCTGAGAGTGCCGATGGGGCTCCGCCGGCTGTGTTAAGAGAGGAGTGTCTTGATGGGAGGAGGCTTGGGTTTAATGGGAAGCAGTGTATTCATCCCAGTCAGGTGAAGATTGCTGATGAGATTTTTGGACCGGATAGTGCTGAGACGGAGTGGGCTGTTCGGGTTGTTGTTGCTGATGAGAAGGCTGCTAGGGCGGGACGGGGGGCTTGGACGCTTGATGGGAAGATGATTGATGTTCCAGTTGCTATGAAGGCTAAGGCTATTGTTCGAAAGGCTGAAGAGTGTGGGGTTGATGTTGTGGAGTTGAGGGGGAAGTGGGAGCATCAGGAGCCTGAGTAGATGTATTCGGTGTAGCTGTGCATGATATTTTGTTTTATATGACTTTGGGCTTAGGATGTGCAAGAGTAAGTAGAGAGATATTTTGATAGATAGATTGATTTGTTTCTCTTTTCTTGCTATTGCTTAGAGGCAGCCTGAACGATTTGAGCATGGCTATGCTTGAATAGTGGCCAACAAAAGTACCCAACTGTTAGATATTTCACTCATGCTGCGTGTTCAAGCTATCTAACCAATATTGAAAGTGAATATCCAGAAGTTCCTATTTTGATAGAAAGATTGGTACTGATGGGTATCATGCCGCTTTGACGCATCGAGTCGAATGGCATGCCAGGCCATCGATCTTAAGGTTCTATGTCTTCGCGCTTGAGTAATTGAATCTTGCCCATGGCCAGGGCAGGAGGATCTCCGCCAGCGTTTGCCTCCGATTCTTCCCTGGCCAGATCTTTGGCCAGCGACTTGTCATAGCTGGTGGGATCTATGCCGAGAATGCCTCCAACATAACCGCCTCGTTCACCGGGGACGCTGAATTCCCGGAAGAGATAACGCCACTCGTTGAGCCATGCTTTGACGGCCTTGCCAATTTTATCCTTGCCGTTCTTTGAGTGGTGCCCTGTGCCTGTGATGGCATAGACTACCCGGAGACCCTCTCTTGCATGTTTGAGGAGAATCTTCTCCAGGTATTCGATGGCTTCCTCTGGATGGAGACCATGCAGATCAATATAGAGTTCCTCGGAAGACCCATCAAGGCCATTGTGCGTGAGATGCGAGTTGCGCTCTTCGTAAAGCTGACGTGCAGCCTCACGGTGGCACCTGCGCATCGCATCATTCTCTGCTTGGCCTCGTAGCGATAATGCTTTGGCAGCTCGTGCATCGTTTCTATTCCACGCTTGAGCAGCGCTAATGAATGTTAGATAAGGTGGGAAGAAACGTGAAATTGTAAAAATTTACCTTTGGAGGAACTTGTTTCGAACGGTGCCATGGCGAATTGCCTCTGTTCGATACTTGATGTATTGCTGATTGGCCCGACTACCAGTCTCAAGCCAAGGGATGTTCTGTGGAGGTAAAATCGACTGAGCTGCGGCGCTGTTCTCACGGCCCTTTGTGTCTTTGTTTCTGTTGCCCGATTTCTTCCCCGGGACAGGAGAAGGAGTCATGCGAACAACGTCAGCTAAGGATGAAGGGATGTTTTCTTTGCTCGAATTTGGGTCGCGGTTATGGCCTCCTCGCTTGCCATGGTGTTTCTTTCCAGCATTTTTTGCACTGCCCGCGGCAAGCGTTGGGAAGGCATCTGGGTCGTCTACAGATGGAGCTGCGGGATTCAATTCCCGGTGCTGATGACGACTATTTGGACGAGAGTTGGGCCGACCCAGGTGGGTTGCGCTTCCAGTTCGTCTACCCATTCCGGGATGTAAGCCTGGAGGGGCATATTTGTTTGCCTGGTAAGCAGAAAGATGACTAGGATATCTTCCGATATACTGGTTTGCCCACTGATCACCTGGATCTGCGGGTCCCAGGGGCGGAAATGCATCAGAGCCGCTATCTACCTGGAATGGTGAGCCATTAAGTGGTGAACTTGGCCGACTGCCATCTGTGACGCTGAGATTGGTGATGAGCGCCGAAGGATCGTGCGAAAAGGGACAGCCGTCACCAGCTAGACAATTTCCCATGACCCAGTATCTAGTAATGTTAGCTCAAGAAACAATCATTGTTTCTCCAAAACTTACTTGCAAACATGGGTGGTCAAGTCATGGCTGAACCGGCAATCTGCTCGGAGGCACTGACCGGTGGACAGCCAGTACTTACAGACCACAGGACTGCGACTACTACCTAATGGAGTGACTGGACGCACTTGCTCCATCGTCATGGATTTGCCAACCAAGACACGACCGTCATCGTGCTGCTTTGCAATTGCTTCAGTCTCCAGATCCTGCGAGAGGGATGCAATGGTGGCCCCGAGATCATAGCTATTGGCTTCCAAAGCTGCTTCGATTTCATCATTCGATCGTTTGTCGCCTAGCACCGTACGCAGAATATCATGTGGGCTCATATCGGGCACAAATTCGACCGCAGTGGCACTGAGAGCCCCAGGCGTGCTGAGACCACCCGCGGAAGAGGTCGTGCTGTTGGCATCATCAGCGACTAGCCAGTCAATATTGCTATCGCTCCCAAGATCTCCATAGAAATCCGAGATCTGACTCTGGTCCGAAAACTCGTAGGCATTTAGATTTGGCGAATGAGGTATGGGCTGCGCAAGAGCAAGCCGTGGAGATGGCCGTGGGGAGGTAAACGGTGAAACGGTTGAGGAGAGCGGGGGCCGCGCAAATGCCCCGCGCGAGCTTTGCACCCACGAGGTACTCCCAGGACTTGTTCCGAGGTTTGAATGAGGCGATAACGGTGTTGATGCTCGAGCCATCTGCCATGGCGCAGGCGATGAGCGGCGAATCACTGTATGCCGAGCAGGAGGGGACGAGTCTGGTTGATTGCGGTTCCGATGCCGCCAGAGGATGTCTAATACCGCATTCTCCAGCGGCGGACCTGACAGTGTTGCGTTGGCGCGCAAGAAATCCTCCACTTTTTCCACCTGTTCTTCTTCATCTAAATCCAGGTCCTGGAGGATCGGGAGACATTTCTCCAGTAGCTCGTCGGAGACCATAGTGTATGTTGTGATGCGAGCCAGGAAGGCCGAGTAGGCTGGGATTCCAAGCGGGGAAGATCCTGGAGGGGAAGCACAAAGCGTGCAATTTGGTGAGCTTATTGACGAAACTGGGATACAATGTCAGAGGCCCAGCCCCATGCTCTGATAAGCTGACTGAAGGTGATAAGGGGGCTGACGAGTCGCGAAAGGATTATAAGGCGATGTCAGGAATTACATCGCATCGCGACCCACAGATCTCCAAAGGCGATGAGATGGAGTGGACGTGCAGACGTGGCTGAATTGCAAATAAAGGAGGGGGGAAAGTGAGGGCGGAGAAAGGGATCAACACTGGGGATACACAGCTTAGCTTAGCTTCCTTTCCTTCACCTTCCCTATGCCACTGCCACTATGAACACAATTATTTGTTATGTTATGTTCGCTATGTTAGTGATGTTAGTTTCTTTGATTCAGATATACTATCTTTGTTCATAAATTCTGTATAGGTGTCATATTGCCTGCTTGCATGTAGGCGCCCTACCAACATAGGTGATAAGACTCGAATTGGCCAGAACCATTGAAGCCGAACTGTTGAAACAGACGAGAACCTGTCGAAACCCCTGAAACCACCAAATAGACACTACAGAGTCTATTGTAACTAATTAGAAGCTTACAAATCTGAATCACTATGGATACTGCCAGCAGAAACTATGGACCCTTAGCTTGGCACTCAGGGAGAGGACAGAGGAGAGAGGAGTAGAACCAAAAAAAAAAAGTCAAACACGATGTGATAAATATACACGTAAGTTTATAAAAAGAAGTGTAAGTACCAAAACAAGAATCAAGGTAAGGCGAGACATGTAATCCTGGGGCCTGGAGCTGGATATTCCTAATTGGGAGGCGGTAAATCTATAGATTGGGCGGTATGAGGCCTCGGGATACCCTCCCAAGTGTCGATCAGGGTAAACACCCGAGTCCGGCGGATCCGCTTGTAATCTGGTCTTGAACTTTCATTCTTGGCTCTTTCTTCTTTTCCTCCATCTCTTCATGTGTGGTCCCAATATCAGGGCATTATAACGCCCTTTTCTTTGTTGGGTCTTTTGGATTGTGCCGATCGCCTAGTTCCCCTCCCCAGATTCGATCATCTCGAACCCAGATAATCATTGACACGCTTCACAATGCCTGCAGACTACCAGTCCACCGTTAGGGCGCTATCTCTGTCGCCTACATCTCCTGATCCTATACCTTCTTCTCCTAGCAGCGATGTTCATCCACCTTGGAGTCGCGCAGGGCGCAATTCGGGCAGGTCCAATGCTCAGCCTGCAAGCGCTTGGGGCCAAATTGTCCATCGCGGAACAGAGCTGTATCATCGTATGAACACAATCTGGGAAGAGATGACTCTGCCGAAGAAGATTCTCACCGTTATCGCATCTTTGTTTGTCGGCGCATCGGGTATCGCCTTCTTGGTGTTGTCAGGGAAGCTGTTCGTCTGGCTTGGCTCGGTCGCGGAAGAGTGGGAGAAATCTTGGCTCGCGGCCTTCATTCTATGGCTATGTGTCTTTTTTGTCTCATTCCCGCCGCTGGTGGGTTGGTCTACTTTTGGAACAGCGGCTGGTCTAATCTTTGGTGTATGGAAAGGGTAAGAGGCGCTCTTTTCACAGGATTGAATGAAGGCTGACTGGCGATTTTTTATAGATGGCTTATCTATGCCTCCGCAACAATTCTCGGATCAACTGCCTCGTTTTATGTTTCGCGGACAATTTTGTCTGGATTCGTCAATCGTCTTATGGAACGCGACAAGAGGTTTGCCGCACTATCCCTGACACTGAAGTATGATGGACTCAAGCTCCTTTGTATGATTCGGTTATGTCCACTGCCATATTCAATTTGCAATGGAGCTGTGTCCACCTTCCCCACAGTGCAGCCATTGATGTATGGGCTTGCGACGACGGCGATCATCCCCCAAGTTGTTGGTACCGACATTCATCGGAAGTCGGATTCGTTTGCTCTCTGAAAAAGGCGAGCAGATGAGCGCGGGATCGAAGGCCGTAAATATCTGCAGTATTATTGTTACAGTCAGTATTGGAATATTTACCGGCTGGTACATCTACCAAAGGTTTGCACCCATTCATCTTTTATTCCCGAGGCCCATGCTGACTCTTCTCTCTTTCTAGAACTTTGGCTCGCGCAAAGGAGCTCGAAGCCAAGGAGCGCGAAGAGATTCGCAATTCTCTTGAGGCTGATCATGCAGCCCATCGCCCTCATCACGCTTTCTCTGAGGATCCCGATGTGAACAAAGCGGCTACTACCCTTGCACTTGACGAGGAGGAACGCATTGGATTCACCGATGATGACAATGTGGATCTGGTCTTGGGTGACGACAGTGATAGTGATCAACCGGGTTGGAAGAACTCGAACAGGCGGTCATACCATGACGAGTTTACTGATAATGACTCGGATGGATTTGCAGAAGGAAATGACGAGACCTATGGTCTGCACACTCATGTCCGATCTGGCTGAACATTAGTAAATAAATAAATGGCTATAGAGTGAAGCATGTCGTAAAGTGTGAAGAAGTTGAAGTGCGGCGCCGGACTGAGAAATACGCCCCGCTCCCGAGTCAAGCCAGGATTTTCTACTCTGTCATCTCTGCGCTTCACCAGGTCTCGCGATTCAATTCATACAATTTGTCGTTTTTTATATCGTTGGATGGGCTTCAATCCTTCTCGTTCTCTGGGTAGGGCTCGTGGGAAGGGGTAAATGTATGTCCGTGCCTTGGCCTTCTTCACCATACCTCCATACCTGGCATCCCACATTGATCTTACGATCTAATGCAATCCTAGTCTTCTGTTCAGCCCCAGTGCAACTCAATCTTGCACAGATCGTATTCCTTTGCGAACCACAACATGGGTGTCAGCCTCAACGTATGATATCAACGCAGTCTACGGGATAGCACGGTCCACGAGTTGATAATTGCGCCTTCTGGGCGTGATCTTTTCTTTCTTTTCTTTTCCTTCGATTTGAACCGACACGCTCTTTTGAAGGAACCGGCACTGCAGATATCCGTGTATGAATATGCATAGTGCGGAGATGCCGTTTCAGTCAGCCGGAATGCCCCCGAGGCAAGATCCATACATGAACCAATATGTTCTAGGACCTGAGAACACACTTCAAGGCCAAACCTGGCCCTCTTCTCATTCGTTTCCTCAATCATCCGTGAAGCGGCAGCATCTCATGCACACAACCCTCGAAGCAGATACTCCATCAATTGGCTGGGGGGGTCTGGAACGAATTGATCCAAATACACAGACATTCCTATCTAATGGTGCTCAAGTGGTGGGCTTAGCGGAGAGGCTGTATACTGGAGGCAGTAGCAGCACGCCAAATGACTCGACCACCTCCACTGATTTAACATCTTCATTTGAGCCAAAGACATCAATGTCCCCCCCTCCTATCCCCTTGCAATCAATTCCTAATACCTCGGTTGTCTTTGGGCCGAACGTACTGGAGAGTGGAAAAGTGGATTTATCCAAATGTCGGCCTCGGGCGTCCATTCCTCCCAAGATCCCTCCCTTGGTGTACGGTAGGCAGTGCATTCAAGCAGCTTATGCATCTCGCCTCAACCCTTATGCCCTTCACCTCAAGGAGCAAGAACTCTTACAAGATCACCTTTGTCACGTTCACGTCACAATCTACCTCAACCTACGAAATGGAATATTGCTTCTGTGGGGAAGAAATCCTATGGTGGCTGTTACAAGGGAAGAAGCACTCGGATGTGCGAAAGATTATCGGTGGATGAACCTGGCGTCATTTGCTTACGACTGGCTTGTTCGGAACGGATACATTAACTTCGGCTGTGTGGAAGCACCATTGGCTCCGGTGAAGCCCAAGCGCGGAAGAAGAAAGGAAGGGCCAACAATTGTTGTAATCGGCGCAGGAATGTCTGGGTTGGGATGTGCGCGTCAACTGCAGAGTCTTTTTCGGCAATATCGCAATGAAAACGCCTTGCCTCGGGTTATTGTCCTCGAGGGACGCCGCAGAGTTGGTGGCCGAATTTACTCACACCCGTTACACAGTCTCGAGTCAAAGACTCTGCCTGAGGGGCTTGTTCCCAAGGCAGAAATGGGCGCGCAAATCATTGTTGGTTTCGATCACGGCAACCCACTAGATGCGATTGTTCGTGGCCAGCTTGCTCTCCACTACCACAAGATACGAGATGTTTCAACAATTTACGATACCGATGGAACACCCGTGGATGAAGTCCAAGACGCCATGGCAGAAAAGCTGTATAATGATGTACTAGAACGGACCGGAGTTTACCGCCGTAAGGCAGTGATTATGCCAACTGCTGAGGGCGATCGAGACATGATTGATACGGGCCGCGAGTCAGTAGTGGACGATGGGCTCACTGTTCGACAATGGGAAGAAGCAAGGGCAGCCGGAACCACAGACCTCCTGGTGCCCACCAAGCGAGTTCGTCGTGGGTTAAAACACAAGACTGCGGATATCAGACCAACCACCGACGCGGCAGCTGATCTTGTGGAGCATTCTGACGAGAACCCAGCGGCTTTGACCTGTCAACTTACCGGATGGAATTTGAACCCTGGCTACACCGTGAACGATACACTCGAGCTGGATGACATTGCCAAGCAGAAGCCTCAGCAGACGCTGGGTGCAGTCATGGACGATGGTGTCAAGCAATATGAGCGCATGCTTCCGGTTACACCCAAAGACATGCGTTTGATGAACTGGCATTTCGCCAATCTCGAGTATGCCAACGCATCCAATGTCCACAAGCTCAGTCTTTCGAGTTGGGACCAAGACATCGGAAATGAATTTGAGGGTGAACATTCGCAGGTCGTCGGTGGCTACCAAGAACTGCCCTATGGATTGTACATGCTTCCCGAAAAGCTCGATGTGCGTACCAACAAGATTGTTACCGACATATCCTATAATGAACATGGTTCTGGTAACAAGAAGGCAGTCATCCAGTGTGGGGATGGCGAGAGCTTTACGGCAGACCATGTTGTATTTTCAGGCTCTCTCGGCGTGCTAAAACAGCAAAATATTAACTTCCAACCTCCTCTTCCAAACTGGAAACGTGGTGCAATCGACAGACTGGGATTTGGAGTCATGAACAAGGTCATTTTGGTATTTGAGGAGCCATTCTGGGACACCAAACGAGACATGTTCGGCCTTCTCCGTGAACCAAACAACCCGGACAGCATGGTCCAAGAAGACTACGCAGCAAACCGTGGCCGCTTCTACATGTTCTGGAATGTCATGAAGACCACAGGTCTCCCAGTTTTGATCGCTCTCATGACCGGCGACGCAGCTCACCAAGCCGAAGCAACACCAGACGAAGAAATCGTCAGCGAAGTCACCAGCCAACTTCGAAACGTCTTCACAGACACTGATGTGCCCGACCCTCTCGAGACAATCGTCACCCGCTGGGGCCAGGACCCCTTCACATACGGCAGTTACTCCTACGTAGCTGCAGCAGCCTTCCCAGACGACTACGATCTAATGGCCAAACAAATCGGCAATCTCCACTTCGCCGGAGAAGCAACCTGCGGCACACACCCAGCAACCGTCCACGGAGCCTACCTCTCAGGAATCCGCGCAGCGTCAGAAATAGTCGAGTCAATCGCAGGCCCAATCGAAATGGCAAACCCACTAGTCCCAGACAAAAACGACAAAACAAAGTCAACACGCAGCGAATCCTCCACACCAAACGGCAACACAACCAGGAAAAGAAAAGGAAGCTCCTCAATCTCCTCGATAGAAGCCCAACCCCCGACCACAACCACAGACCAACCAAAAGCCTCAACCTCATCTTCCAGAAAACCAGTCTCTACAGAAAAATCCCGCAAAGATGCTTACGACCAGGCTCTCTGGATAAACATCTACTCAGAACTAGGCCCGGCACCACCGCGCCCCCCAAAGTCAGGTCTAAACCCCTTCCTCTTCTACCAAAAGGATTACTGGACCCAATGCCGCGAAAGCTGCGACCAAGCCCGGCGCACCTCATCCAATAATCCAAACGCCAAGGCTCCCCGTGACGAGATCCGCGCTGCGCTGGGCCAGATGTGGCGGACTGCCAGTCCCGAGATTAAACAGCCCTACCTTGATAAGGTGGAGGCTAATCGTCGGGAGAATGCGCAGTCGTGGGAGTGTTGGAAGGTTACTGTTGCTGAATGGGAGAAGAGGACGTTTGAGGTTAAGGATCGGTGGTGTAGGGATAATCCGTTTGAGGGGTGGGTTGTCCCTGATGATTTGGGGGACGTGGAATCTGTTCCTGTTCTTGCGCCGGCTTTTTCGAATGATGCTGGTGGTAGTGGACGTTAGCTAGTGAACTGGTGAGCTTTGTTGTTCGTTTTCTTGTCTTTATTTTTCTCCTTTTGATGATATGATTATTTTGGCGGTCTTCTGTTAGATAGGGGAGTTTGGTGTTTGAGTTTGTTTATGTTCGCTCCTTTGCAGACTTATTGTTGCAGTATCGTTTAGCCTTGATGCAGTGAATGAGAAATGTTTGAATAGGTATTGACTGTTACTACTTGTTTCCATGAATCCGATGTCTTAGTGCAATAGTGAGGGATATATTTCATTTATATCTATCTCAATTGAAGATAAACAACTGTTTTAATTCCCGCTCCAACATGGTATGCGCAAAGAACGGAGAGAGAAAAAAAAGCAACGGTGAGTGGCATAACAGTGTAAATCCCATCATCTATTCAAGATCAAAATGTATTGTGCACGGGGAATTTAATATGAGTATCGCATAACAATAAGTCTAGAACAGAAAAAAACCTCATCAAGCTGATGAATCATGGTTCATGTATCATGACAATGGAAGGGAGGAGAAAGGTGGAAACGGAGTACGTGTATAGGAGAGGGATTTAAAGCAGAGGGTTGGACTTGTACTCGGCGGGAGCATCGGCGGGAGCGTCAGACTCCACGGCAGGGGCGTGAGTCTCGGTTTCCGAGAGGAATTTCTCGGCCTCGAGAGCGGCGACACAGCCAGAACCTATTATGATTTAGCAATTGCATTTGGAAAAAAAAGGGGTGAAGGATGACATACCGGCACTGGTAATGGCCTGGCGGTAACGCTTATCCTGGACATCACCGCAAGCAAAGACACCCTCCACGCTGGTGAAGCTGGTGCCGGGCTGGGTGACAACGTATCCATCCTCGTCGAGGTTAAGCTGGCCCTTGACAAGGGCGTTGGCGGGGTCATGACCAACAGCGTAGAACAGACCGTTGGCATCAACGACCTCTTCCTTGTTGGAGACGACGTCCTTGACACGCAGGTGGGTCATGAGGCCGTTAGGCTTGTTCTCACCGAGGACCTCGGTGGCAACAGTGTTGAAGCGAACAGTACACTTGGGGTGAGCGAGCAGACGCTCGGCCATGACCTTGGAAGCGCGGAGCTTGTCCTTGCGGACGAGGACGGTCACGTTGGAACCGTACTTGGCGAGGAACATGGCCTCCTCAGCGGCGGAGTCACCACCACCGATAACGTAGAGGGGCTTGTTACGGAAGATGGGGACGGCGCCGTCACAGACGGCACAGGCGCTGATTCCGTTCTGCCAGTAGGTCTCTTCGCCGGGCAGGTTCAGGCGGCGGGCGTTGGCGCCTGTGGCGATGATGACGGCGTCGGCTGTGCGGGCGGGTGCGTCGTTGGGGCCGTCGCTCCACTCGGTCCACATCTTGAAGGGCCGTTGGGAGAGGTCCAGCTTGGAGATGGTCTCGGTGATGATCTCAGTGCCGAAGCGCTCGGACTGGGCGCGCATGTTGTCCATCAGTTCGGCGCCGCCGATGCCCTTGGGGAATCCGGGGAAGTTCTCGACGTCAGTGGTCGTCGTGAGCTGGCCGCCGGCGGCAGTGCCGTTGGCGAGCATGCCCTCGTAGAGGACGGGCTGGAGCTCGGCGCGGGAAAGGTAGATGGCGGCGGTGTGCGCACCAGGGCCGGAGCCGATAACTAAAGGAATTGTTAGACTTCCGGAGGGTATTGAAGGAACTGAGGGGTATGAGATCACTTATGAAATCATTGATCTCATCCCTTGACACAGCACATACTGACTACTTTAGAGTGCACCATTCTGGCGGAGTTTGTGGAATTGACGCGCAACGGCGTCGGAAGAGACCTGGAGAAGACCGAGGCCGAAGGAGGGGATTGTTGGTGAAGAGTAGTGGCCGCGGCGGCAGTCAATCCGATAGAACGGAGAGCGGAAGGAAAACGACGAAAAGTTGAGGAAAACAGCTTGGTGGTTGGAATCGGAAGAGGGAGGGGAGGGTATAATATCTTTTTTCGGAGGGGCAGTGGGGACTGGCTTAGGTGATGGATGATTGATAACCGGGTGAAATCACACTCTGGACCAGTAGACGAATGGATTCTTTGGGCTTCTGAGGTATCCAGACCATGCGAATTGAGTAAAAAGATATGCAATTGGCAATTGGCAGTCAAAATTGGCTTAATCAGGTCTTTGCGTCCAGACTCGGTTTCTAAGCAACAGATCACGTGAGCGGTCGAGACCGCTGATGTCAGCATCAGTTCACTCCGAGGTCTTGCTTCCGATGCCGATACACTTCATCTCTTCTCTACTTTCTTGTGTGGAGTCTGATAGCGCAGTTTGTTATGATATAATTTCCTGCACTGCAATCCTATACTCGAAAACGCTCATGATATCGGGGAATCATCTAACAAACACATTCCAAACCAAGTCATTCAAGATCCATAAGTCATAAGAAAAAGAATTATATCAACGATAAAAGCCACCACAAATGTTCAATATAGTACATCCCTCCAAGGTTAAATCACCCCAAACCATTTCTTCTTCTTAGGACGTTCCTGCTCCAATTCCTCCTCATCATACTCAGACTCCCGCGGATTCGTCTGCTGCGGCGCCATCATATGCTTCGGCAACCGCTGAGGAACCTCGCCATCAGAATTTTCCTCCTCACTCTCAGGATAACCCTCGTACTGTTGGTTTTGGTGTTGGTGCGGGTACTGTGGATGACCAGTCGCAGCATTGGCGCGGGTATTATTGATAAGATCATGGTCCTCGTAATCATCCTCATCTTGTTCATCATCATCGCTGATATCGTCATTGTCATCGGCGTCAGCGCCTTTCTCGGCGTCGCGCTTGGTTCGTCTTGGTAGGAATTTGCGCCAGCCCTTGACAATCTGTGTTGGTGGGGGGTCGTACTCAGTGCCGTTGTAGCAAAGTGCTGGCACGAGAAGTTTGTATGGTGCTGTTATGCCCGCTGGGTCTGCTGCGCTGATTTCTAGGTTTAGCGTTATTGCTAGCCCGCCTTCTAGATTGATAAAGGTGCCTGCGCCGTCGTCGCCTGCTTTGGAGGCTTTCTTGGCTGCTTTTTGACTCAGGTTTGTTGGTCTTCGGTGGAAAGCTCCTGGTCGTGGAGGTGGCGCCGAAGGGAAGTAGCTGTCGCCGTTTTCGACGGGCTGGGAGTGGTTGTCGACGCTGGCGCGACGACTGAAGCCGGCCTCGTCGCCGCGGTTGAAGCTCATTGTTCTTGTGGGTGGTGGTCCGCGGTTTGAGAGTCGTCTGAAAAGGCCTGGCTTTCCGGGGCCGGGGCCTGCCTTGTCTCCTCGGCCCAACGATAGTGTTCGCTTGAGTACACCGGGACGGGGCTCGGGGGTTTCCGTCATCTCTGACTCTGGTGTACCAGGTGGTGTAGAGCCCGGTTTGTACTCGCGGATCGAGCACCAGTTTCGACGGGGGAGTAGCCGCTTGTTGTTTCGGGGTTTGCCGTTCACATCTTCGGTAAAAATGGGAATAATGTCCTCGTCTGTGTTTGAGTCCATGTGGTGGACTGTGTTACGCTTGTTGAGCATGTCCGCAATGAGATCAGTCTCGGGAATGTCCGCAATGGCAGACGAGATGACATTGGGCATGTAGCGGTAATCCTGGTCTTTGGCGACATCTAGCTTAGGGTTCGAATAGAACTGTCCAATAGCAGCGAGGTGGACATCACCACTAAAGAGTATCAAATTAGCTCATGTCTTCCATAATAGGAACTGTCAGTCTTACCTTAGAATGGTGACCCGGATGGACTTCTCTGCAGCCAAATCCTGGAGATCCTCGACCAACCATGTTCTTTCGGACTTCAAATGCTTACCAGCCCAGTGATCATCAAAGACCTCCACATTTCCACCGGATCGATTGACAAATCCACCAAGAACACCAGACTTTCCAAGAGATTTGCGACTGTTCATATAACTCTTGAGCATCGCCACTCGAGGGTAAGCAACAGGAACACTGGAAAGCACAATCAAATGCTTCGTTTCGCCCTTCATAATCTCCCTATGACACCGATCCCACAACAGATCACAGGTCTCTTCACTGAGGACCTCATTGCTCCGTCGCTCAGTACGACAGTCAAGACCCAAGAATGCAACACCCTGACCAAGAGACATGAACAGATTCCTGCTCCTCTGTTCAATATATGGACCCGGATGCGCACCAAGAAGCCAACTAGGCTCATCCGCATCGGTCTCATCAGGGACACTGTGATGCTGGAAAAGCAAATAATACTTAAACGCAATCTTGCCGAGTCCAGAAATAACAGAAGTCTGCATGAAATCATCATGATAAGACCCAAACCCTTCAAAGATCTCATGGTCATTCCAAATATTAACCATGGGAATCTGAGAACTAGCCAAAGAAAACAGACCCTGCGAGAACCACGCCGAATAGCGCTCAAGATAGAACTGCTCAATCTCAGCCCGGAATTCAGGCGTGAACGGTGCGCCATATCGCTCAGCAGCATTCTTGATCTTGATCCATTCCTGGAAGAATGCAGACTCGGCGATGACAGAGTCATTGAAGATCTGATCTCCGCCTCCGATCATAACATGGAACGGACGGGTCTGGTGCTCGTTGAGGATATCTCGCCAGAGAGGATCAGGACCGCAGACGCGGTCCGAGTCTGCATTTGGACTGAATCCATTACCGCTGTGGAACATTATGTTCATTGATTCCCCGGCGGGTGGGACCCAGAAGCCCAGGGCTGGGCCTTGGTTGATGCGGTAGGCGATTCGTTGTTGGGTTGTGGCTAGTTCGACTTCCAAGTTGAAGCGCCAGAATGTTACGTCTCTTGCTGTGTCGGCGTATAGACGAACTCCTGGGATGTCTCGGTGTAATCCTGCTGTCTCGCCGTCGAGTGGATGCATTCGGTTTGAAGGCATTGGCTGTTTCATGCCTTCGCTTGTGTAGTCGATTAGGCTGGGTGAGAGTTCGTAGATGCCGTCGTCGTTTTCGACGAATGAGAGGTCGGCCTGTTCTTCGACGTGCTCGACTGGTTTGACGTAGAGGGGCCGTCCGTCCCGGCCGACTTTCATGAGACCGGCCGTTGGGTCGACGTATTCGGGGGCCAGTTGGACTCCATCTTCGCGGCTGATTTCCACTGGTGGAGGGGGGAGAAGGTCCATTGGTTGAGAGAAGAGTCGGAGTGTTGGTGGGGTGCCATAAGAGGAGCGAGAATCTTTGGTCATTATCATTATAGATCCTCGCCATATATCTTTGAAGATAGGACCGCTGGCTCCATCTATTGGGACCTTATGGATACCAGTGTATCGAAGCAAAGGACCACATCGTAAGAAGAGACGGGGTTCGAAGGTCTTGTGCCCGGTTACTCCTGCTATCTGTTAGTAAATCTACTTTCACTTGAAAATGAGCAAGCAAAGAATCTTCTTACCGGTCAACTTCTGAGCAGGAGTTTGGTAGTTCTTAGGAAGGGCCCTGCTCTTCCTACGATCTTTGCTACCGCCTCCTTCCCACCACGCCTTCCCACGGTCCATATCAACATGTTGGAAATCAAAGTCAGAAGCCTCAAGCCGACCCGGCTGTGCATTCTTCCATTCAAAGATAGGCGGAGGTGTAGGTGGCGGGACATCAAAGGACACAGATGCCTTCTTCGGCTTAGTCTGTGACTCGGCGCTCTCTTGAGGCGTTTCGGGGGCTGTGAGGAGCTCATCCGTTCTCTCTGCTCTTAGAGTAGGTGGCATTGGCCGAGGACCTGCTTGGGACACCGAGCGACTATGGCTCATGGTGTTTGCCGGTGCAAGGTTTGGAGAAGGTTTTGCCGCAGGCCCGCTCAGTGTGACTGATCGCTTAGGTAAATTACCCATCTTTGCTGATGCTGGGGTAACATCTTCTGCACGAGCATATTGCGGGTCTTCAGGGCGGCGGATTGCTGCGTATTGAGGGGTTGAAGAGACCGCTCGATTGTGGCGCATTGCGGTGTTTTCAGGCTGAGGCTGTCTTTGTGGTGCTGGTGCTGGTACTGCTGTAGCAACAGGTCCATTGCGCATTGGTTCCTGCACTGGGATACCCCTGCGCTCTCCTCTCCTGCCAGGGCCAGGGATAAGTTTTGGTTCTGGCTCTGGCTGCGGACGTTGTGTTGGTACTTCGCGAGCCACTGCGGCCATTGATTCAGCCTTCTCCTTCTCAGCTTTCTGGCGCGCAATTCGTTCCCGGGCTTTCGCCTCGGCCTCTTGTACCCGTAGCCGTTTCTCCTCTTTGCTGATTCCAGTCAAGGTCACTTCCAGCCTTTGGAGCGGCGAACGGTCCGGGGCCCAATCTGTTTGTGAGGGTTTGGTCGAACGTGTCGTGTCTGACCGTTTAGGAGCTGAACCTGAGCCTTGAGCAGGTGGAAATACTGGCTGCTGGATGTGGATCTCTGGCATGTCTGCACTGGGCCCTGAGTGATACTCTCCACTGGGAAGGTTTTGCGGTGTCGTGGATTCGTCAAGTCCCTCTGAAGCCGATGGAGGGACTGGCTTGCGAGTGGTATAGTTCAGATTTCCCTCAGGATATCCTTGGGCCCTGGTTGAGAATGACCTGCCAGGTCCTGATGCACCGGGGCCTTTCGTGCTTTTGTATTGTGGGTTTGGGCCCCCATACTCCTCGTAGTCATAGTTCTCGTCGGAGGGGGTGGCAGCTCTGTTTCTGCGGCTTCCAGGGGCTCTTCGTGCCCCGTTGGCTTTGTGAGGATTGGAGCCATTCGCCAGATCGGGTGATCCGCGCATTGTTGCCATGTTTCGATGCGTGTCTTTGCGCCCAAGATCAAGGCAGGATGGATAGATCGGTGCCAAGTATGAGGTGCAATTGTAAGCCCAACCGAATAAATATGGTCAACGCTTGGTTGTACAGGCAGATGCACACGTTGGGAATCGCGGTCTAGGATCGAGATCGCATCGATTAATCTGATGCCTGACGCAAGTCGTCACCGCATTGCCCAGCAGGCAGGGCAAGTTGGGTTGGGACGTAGAAGTGTTAGGGTATACTCGCAACAGTCAGAAGTGTATCAGAGAAGAAAAAGATTTTAAGAAGTTGAGACAGCAAGGTCTATACAATAACCCGGTGGCTGGTGTCCCCAGCCTTCGTGGGGCCGAGCATTACGAGGTTAGGCTTACATTACAGTAATGTTAACGTTAATATATTACTAGTTGCTCTAATTATAGGCTAACTAGAGAGAGAATAGCGGGTTCTGTAAAGGTATATTCCCGGTTTTTGTTTTTTTCCCTCTCTTCTATATAGTTGCGGGAGTGGAATGGACTCAAGCTTAACTTCTATACTTCACTATACATGTATAAACATAACTTGACGTTAACTAGAGACACTCTGTTTCATGACCCGATCTGTCGTTATTTCGGGGTCTTATGCAAGGACTTATTCAGCTATTGATTTCTGCAGTTGTAATTGCGCCTTTGTTTACAGTACTTGGGGCTGGTACCGTTGCCTGAAGTACCTATAGTAAGCAGTCAATAGATAGCGACAATTTCTACTCTTCTATTTAACCCAATAACTGCCCCTAGTCCTTGCATCTTGATAACCTCAAGTCCTAACAAATGTCACTTTGTCCCACCTGTTTCTGGGTGAAACACCCGGGGCGACTTTAACTGCGGGAGCCGTCGATCGCGTCCGAGACCTTAGCCCCAATGCGTTTGACGTATGGTACGTAAGCCAGATCTAGACTGAAGCCCTGTAGAAACCGTGGCCTTTATACCTTAGCTTCAACAAAGAAGACGAACGGTTTTTCATAGCCCCAGATAGAGAGTGGAACACGGTGAATAGGCGCTCAATAAAGATCCCGTGGCCTCTGACGATCCTCCTATTCCTCAAACTCTCCTCAACTCTCAACTCTCACTTCTCCCGTCAACTGCTTTTTGTTAGAGCATTGTTGTCTTTTTCAATTCGAGTCGCCTGATTACTCCCATGGCAGCCGCTTGCTAGGTATACCGATACCTCCACCCCGATAACGCCCTCGACCTCCGCAACCCTTCCTTCATCCGATCCACCATGCGCATTGTCGGTGGCATTGCGGCCACCCTGGGGCTGGCAGGCGCAGTCGCTGGAAGTCTGCACCCGCGATCCCAAGAAACCCGCGACTTCTTTGCCCTTCACCTGGAAGATACCACCTCGCCCTCCCATGTCGCCCGAGCTCTTGGTGCTCGCCACGAAGGCCAGATCGGCGAACTCGATGGCCACCACACATTTTCCTTACCGCGAGAACAGACTGCACAATTCGATAGTCTGTTGGACGATTTACGGACCAAGAGGAAGCTCCGGCGGCGCTCTGGCAATGACATCGGCTCCGAAAGGACGAGTGATGACCCCTTAGATGGAGTGCTGTGGTCGCATAAGCTGGCTCCGGCGAGACAACGGTTACAGAAGCGAATTCCACCGGTGTCAGTTCCATATCCCTTGGTAGAAAAACAAGAAAAGAGGTCGGCGAATGCCAAGATCGTGGACTTCCAGAGCAATGCTATGTCAACTCTCGGGATCAAGGATCCGATCTTCAGGGAACAATGGCATCTTATCAATACTGTGCAGCCTGGTCATGACATCAATGTGACTGGAGTGTGGTTAGATGGTATCACTGGTGCTGGAATTGCCACCGCGGTGGTCGATGATGGGCTGGATATGGATAGCAAGGATCTCAAGCCTAACTACTTTGCAGAGGGTTCATTCGATTTCAACGAGGGTGCCCCGGAGCCCCGTCCTAGACTATATGATGATAAGCACGGTACCCGATGCTGCGGTGAGATCGCAGCCGCAAAAAATGACGCCTGTGGTGTTGGTGTTGCATACGACAGCAAAATCGCGGGTATCCGCATCTTGTCCAAGCCTATTGACGATGTCGATGAAGCCGCGGCTATCAACTACGCATACCAGAAGAACGATATATACTCCTGTTCATGGGGTCCTCCGGATGACGGTGCTACAATGGATGCACCCGGAATCCTAATCAAACGAGCCATGACCAACGGTGTCCAAAAGGGCAGAGATGGAAAGGGCTCGGTCTTCGTCTTTGCTGCTGGTAACGGTGCCCAATTCGGTGATAACTGCAACTTTGATGGCTACACCAACAGCATTTACAGTATCACCGTTGGCGCTATTGATCGTGAAGGCAACCACCCTACCTACTCCGAGTCATGCTCTGCTCAACTTGTTGTCGCATACAGTAGTGGTTCAGGCGATGCCATTCATACCACCGACGTCGGTTCCAACAAGTGCTACAACGGACATGGTGGTACCTCCGCAGCCGGTCCGCTCGCTGCAGGCAGCGTAGCTCTTGCGCTCAGCGCACGTCCTGAGCTGACTTGGCGTGATTTGCAGTATCTGATGGTCGAGACCGCAGTTCCTGTGAGCGAGGATGATAACAGCTGGCAGAAGCTGCCATCTGGTCGCAAGTTCAGCCACGACTGGGGATTCGGCAAGGTCGATACTTACAGCTTGGTGGAGCGTGCTCGTACCTGGGAACTTGTGAAGCCACAGGCGTGGTTTAACTCGCCATGGCTGCGTGTCCACCATGAAATCCCTCAAGGCGACAAGGGTCTTCTCAGTCGTTACACCGTGACCGCGGAGCAAGTCAAGGCCGCTAATATGGCTCAACTGGAGCATGTCACCGTTACCATGAATGTCAACCACACGCGCCGCGGTGATATTAGCGTTGAGCTGCGCAGCCCAGCTGGTATTGTCAGTTACCTGAGTGTTGCTCGCGCACAAGATGAGCACCCGGGCGGTTATGAGGATTGGACTTTCATGTCTGTTGCTCACTGGTATGTAGCTCGTCTTTCCGCATACGATATATCTGCTAACGCGTTCCAGGGGTGAATCTGCTATAGGTGAATGGTCAGTGATTGTGAAAGACGCCAAAGTGAATGACTTTTCTGGTTCATTCATTGATTGGCGACTCAACCTCTGGGGTGAGGCCATCGATGGAGCGAAGCAACAGCTACATCCTCTACCCGACGAGCACGACGACGATCATCCTTACGAGGATGCTCATGTTGCTACGACCACTGTTGAGGCAGCGCCAACAAAGACTGAAACGCCTACCAACCTGGATGATCACCACGACAGGCCCGTGAATTCGAAGCCGCAAGAAACAGGCACAGGGTCGATTCCAGAGCCCGTTGAGGATGAAAAGGAACCCACTACTACTGGGAAACCCGCCTCTCCAACCTCGACCTCATCTTCTAATTACTTATCCTCCTATCTGCCTACTTTTGGTGCCTCCAAGCGCACTCAGATCTGGATCTACGCCTCTTTGGCCATGATCATCGTCTTCTTCATTGGACTTGGTGTCTACTTCCAGCTCCAGCGAATCAAGCGTCGTCGCACCACTGCCCACGACGACTACGAGTTCGAAATGATTGAGGATGAGGATGAGACGCAACCTATGACTGGATCATATGGTCGGACACAGCGTCGTGGCGGTGAGCTTTATAATGCATTTGCGGGCGAAAGTGATGAGGAAATGTTCAGTGATGATGATGAGTCGTATCGCGATCGCCTGGCCAATACCTCTGAGAAGGATGGCGAAGACGAGCCTCTCCATGGCCGTGAAAAGCCCTGATCCTGTGTTGATAGTTTGCATTCGTTCGGTGTCAATAAGCTATACTGTGTTTGACTGATTTGGGAGATCCATTACCATAGACGGAATATCATGCTCTTTTGTATATCTAGATCTAGATCTATTAAGAAATAAAATGTGAGCTTCATATCAACTGCGGAAAACAAAGCGGTAGAGAAACCCCAAGGCGATGACGTCCCGCTTCGGGTCTCCGCCTTGACGATCTCCCCAACCTCTCCCCTCCACTCCACCTCTGTGTACGCGATCGCTTTCACGCATCTGCAGATATCTTCTGCTTGCCATAGCTGGTGCTCAATACTTATTAGCGGGGCACCCACAGCGGACAGATATCCCCACGATGGATCAACATGACGACTTCGACAATGTTTCCTGGAAGCACGATCCAGAGAGCGATATCTCACGACCTACAACCGCAGGCACTGATGCTGAACAATCCCATGAACACGAACATGACTCCCATGGCAAGCGGAGAATGAGCTCTACTCATGAAGAATCCCAGGCCGGCCCGCTGGCCGATGCCGTCGACCTGGCGGGTATCGGAGATGGAGTTCTGGAGTGCCAGGTAGACTCTCCACTAAAAGAGAACGACGGAACAAAAGACGCCTACATTTCATATCTTATCACCACACACGTATGTACATATACTTTTCTTCTTGCCCACCGACGCGGAGTGGAGGGGGCTACTGCTGCCTAGCATCCGAGCTCTGAGCATCCCGAAGCAGTAACTAATACCTCACAGACGGATTTCAAATCCTTCCAAAGACCCGAATTTACTGTTCGCAGGCGATTCACCGACTTCTACTTCTTATACAAAACTCTCTACCGTGAATATCCAGCATGCGCGGTCCCGCCCCTCCCGGACAAGCACAAGATGGAGTACGTGCGCGGAGACCGATTCGGACCTGAGTTCACTTCGCGACGAGCTTGGTCGCTGCATCGATTTTTGAAACGCCTCACCCTGCACCCCGTGCTGCGACGGGCGCCGCTTCTCACGATCTTCTTGGAGTCAGCTGACTGGAATGCTCACATGCGTCTCCATGCTACACGAGGCACGACGAATGCTGGGTCGGATGGTGCCGCCACTGGGATCTTTGATAACTTTACCGATACTTTCGTCAACGCCTTTTCCAAAGTGCACAAGCCTGATCGGCGATTTATCGAGGTGCGCGAGAAGGCTGATAAGCTAGATGAAGATCTATCACATGTGGAGAAGACAGTTGCGCGCGTTGCACGCCGTGAATCGGACCTGGAGACGGATTATTCGGAGCTGGCAATGCAGTTCCGCAAGCTTGTTCCATTAGAGCCAGCCGTCGAGGCACCGCTTCAGATGTTTGCCGCTTCTGTGGAAGAGACTGCGCTCGGAATGCGCGGACTGAAGGAACATACCGATCAGAACTATCTTGGCTCGTTGCGTGACACAGAAGCATACATCTTGTCACTCAAATCTCTGCTCAAGACTCGCGAGCAGAAGCAACTCGACTTTGAGGCTTTGGTCGAATATCGTAATAAAGCTGTCACCGAGCGTGACTCGCTGGCTGCGAACCCAGCTGCCTACTATGCCTCTAACCCGCTCACCTCTTCTCCTGCCTCCTTCATCCGCTCCAAAATGGAAGACATGCGTGGTGTCGACCACGAACAATCTCGCCGGGAACGTGTCCGGAAACTCGAGCTTCGCATTGATGAATTGACCCGCGAGGTTGAGTCTGCCAAGACCACGTCCGAAATGTTTGATGAAGAGGTTGTTCGTGAAGTGGCTGACTTTGAACGCATCAAAGCGGTCGAGTTCCGCGATAGCCTTGGTTCATTTGCCGATTCGCACATTGAGTTCTATCAGAATGTGCTCTCTACATGGGAGAGATTTGTAGCTGAAATGGAGGATACAGAATCCAGCCGAGAGGAAGATTCGGCCGCTATTGGGGCTGTTTAAACAGTTTAACACTTGAAATAATCAGAGCTATTCATTGGACTGGGTTTGGTATAGCAGTTCGTTCCATTGTTTGCTGGCTTGTTTTCGTCTTTCATACCCGCAACACCATCACACCTGTCAATTTGGTTCATAATGAGGATATACTTTGAATTGTTTAACTGTGAATAGCTTAGTAGATCGAAACATTGAGGGAGTATCTGGTGCTGGTGCTGTTTGTCTTGTTTGCACCGCGCATGTCTATCTTCGATCATCCGATTCAACTTTCAAGAATCAGACACAATGCGTTCAATTTCCAGAGCCGTTCTGCGACCCTACGTCTGCCCATCTTGCCGGCACTTTGGTGCTGGTCGGCGACGATTCAGCTCTAAGCTAGCTTCTCCTGAGCTCTACGATGTCGTCTGCGTTGGCGGCGGGCCCGCCGGCCTAGGGTTACTGGCAGCACTGCGTATGTAGCTCGCAATGCATACAAATTGCCAATTAACTGACAAATCACTTTACAGGAGCGAACTCCGTCACATCAAAGCTCAAAGTTGCCCTCGTCGAGACCCAGGACCTCCGTAAGGCCCAGTCATGGAACCTCGAACCAACTCAGTTCTCAAACCGAGTCAGCAGCTTGACTCCCTCGTCTGTGTCCTTCCTGCGCAGCATTGGCGCCTACAATCACCTCGATGTCACCCGCGTCCAGGACTACCATGACATGCAGGTGTGGGACGGGCAAACCGGATCCCGAATATCGTTTGACTGGTCCATGGAGACCTCCCCATTCGAAGACATGCGCACGGTAGCAACAATGACCGAGAACGCAAACCTGGTGCGCGCCCTCCTACGCCGCATCACCGAGTCCGGAGACGAGAACCTCACCCTCTTCTCCAACTCCACCGTCGCCTCCATCAACAACGGCTCCGACCTCCAACCCGAAGGCCCGGACCTCTCAGCTTGGCCCGTCCTCTCCGTCAAGCCAACAGACCCGGCCTCCACAACACCCCCAAAACAAATCGCAGCCCGCCTTCTCGTTGGCGCAGATGGCATCAACAGCCCCGTCCGCTCCTTCGCAGACATCCCAACCCATGGCTGGGACTACGGCCGCCACGGCATCGTCGCAACCCTCGCCCTAGACAACCCTGCAACACCACCCTTCCCAGCCTCAATGCGAACAGCCTACCAACGCTTCCTCCCAGCCCTAGGCGGTCCAATCGCTCTCCTCCCCCTCCCAAACAACCACGCAACCCTTGTCTGGTCCACAACCCCAGAGCACGCAGCCTACCTCAAGTCCCTGCCAACCAAGTCCTTCCTGGCAATGGTCAACGCCGCCTTCCGCCTGGACATGACCGACCTAACCTACATGATGGGCATGGACACCCCATCCACCACAACCCCATCCGACTCATCGCACGAAGACGAACTCACCTGGCGCATCAAGCACACACCTATCCCAGCACACATCCCGCCCCCAGCATTAGCAGTCCAAGAAGGAACAGTAGCCTCCTTCCCCCTCCGCTTCCGCCACGCAGCGCAGTATATCACGCCGCGCGTCGCGCTAGTCGGCGACGCTGCACACGTCATCCACCCGCTCGCGGGGCAAGGCCTGAACCTAGGCTTGGCAGATGTAGCTTGCCTCGCGCGAACAATTCAGTATGCTGTCTCGCACGGTATGGATGTGGGTGATTTGCTTTCATTGGAGCGGTACTCGTCTGAGAGATACCTGCCCAATGCTAAGATTGGTGGTGCTTGCGATCTGCTGCATAAGATGTATACTGTTCCTGGCTCCGGGCCTGTTGCTTGGGCTAGGAGCTTGGGTTTGGAGACTATTCAGCGGTTGCCTTTTGTTAAGGGCTTCCTTATGAAGAATGCCGAGGGGTATTAGGTAGGTGATCTGTCAAGTGTATATGTGTCTATTCTTTTTATTTGTTTCGTGTATTTCTAGTCTTCAATGGCAGTGAGCCTTTTTGTATTGCTTCATCTCTCTACTTAATTCCACCGGGCTTGGGCCACCTTTGTACATATATGATCTATTCACTCAAGGCATTCGAAAATGAGCAAAAAAGAGATGAGAAAAGAGAGGCCACTTTAGGGCTCAAAAGATGCATGAAATGCTACACTGGCTTCGCGATCTCGTGTATCTACTGTCTTATAATTCACAGCTCTGTAAATAGATACATGAGCCCTGCTATAGAAAAACCATCATACCTACAATGCACAAAATCAAAATGTAATAGATGGGTATTGTATAAGCGACACCAACTAACAGCAAAAAGCCGAAAACCAAAGCCGAATCTTTTTCTCAGAACAGAATAGGATAAGAAATCCTTTTTGTAGGCCATCGAGTGTTCCTCGAAAATGCAAGATCTATTTATTTTGGAAAACAGAGAAAAAACCCCTCTGAAAAACACGCTCACGGATAAGGAAATGGACAAAAATGAAATCACAGGCACGGTCTTTTTTAGACGGAAGCACCCTGCAGCTGCTGAGCCAGGGAGGTAACAGATCCCTCTGACTTCTTAGCGATGCGGGTCTTCAACTCTGAGACCAGAGAGTCAAGGGTAACCTCGACACCCTCCTTCTCGGCGTGTCCCTCGGGCAGACCCATCTCCTTGATGCGGCACTTGCCAGCGGCGAGTTCTTCCTCGCCGAGGATGACGGCGAAGGGGATGGCGCCTTGCTCGGCGGCCTTGAACTGCTGGGGAAGCTTGGGCTTCAGCTTGTAGTTAAATTCGGCCTGGAAGAGGAAATGTTAGTAGGTGGTTATAGAGCAAATGTGTTGCCAAATGTGTTTTTGGAGTTGTCATACCTTCAGACCAGCGCTCCACAGCTTCTGGCAGATCTCCATACGCTCCTTGAGCATACCGTTGAATCCCTTACCACCGAAGGCCATGACGTAGGCATCAACCTCGCTGCTGCGCAGGCCATTGGTGCTCTGCTCACGCTCGAGACGGGCCTTGGTGATGGAGAAAATACGGTCGACACCGAAGGAGATTCCAACACAGGGAATCTGAGCCTTGGGAAGGAACATGCCAACAAGGTTATCGTAGCGACCACCGGCGGCGACACTGCCAACGCCGAGAGTGGGGTCGTTGGAGCGGTCGTCATCCTCGGAGTTCTTGGACTTCTTTCCGGACTTCTTTGCGTTCTGGGCCTCTGGGGCATCGGCCTGCACACCGGCAGAACCCTCAGTGACGACCTCGTAGATGACGCCGGTGTAGTAGTCCAGACCACGAGCCAGGGACATGTCGAAGGAGACCTTGTCCAGGACGCCAAAGGCCTCCAGGTAGTCCATCATCAAGGCCATATCCTCGAGACCGGCCTTGGCAGTGGCATTGGCGTTGAGAGTCTCGTCCTTGAGCAGGGTGTCGAGCAACTCGCGCGAGCCCTTGTTCATAACGTACTTCTCAATACGATCCGCAACCTCACCATCAAGACCCTTGTCGTCAACCATCTCCTTGCGCACATCAGCCCACGGCATCTTGTCCAGCTTGTCGACGGCACTAGAGATAGGGCGAATCTTGTCCTCTGGCACACCACAGACGGAAAAGACACCATCCAGAATCTTGCGGTGGTTGAGTTTGATAGTGTAGCGGCCAGTCCAGCCCAGCTCTTCAAAGACCTCGCTGACAATGCGCAGGATCTCGGCGTCGGGCACCATCGGGTCGAAGGTACCGGCGATATCGAAGTCACACTGGTAGAACTCGCGCATGCGGCCCTTGCTGACGGCGGGTTGGTCACGGCGGTAGACCTTGGCGATGTGGTAACGCTTGATGTTGCGGATGTCGCTGTTCATGGCGAGCCAGCGCGCGAATGGAACAGTGAGGTCGTAGCGCAACGAGCAGATCTCGCCGCCCTGGTCCTGCAGGTCGTAGATGAGCTTGGAGTCCTCGCCATACTTGCCAGCCAGGATCTCGCGCAGCTCAAAGACTGGGGTGTCGAGGGCGGTACCACCGTGGCGCTTGAAGACGTTCGAGATGGTTGTGAAGATGCGGTCTCGGAGGAGGGCGTCGGACCCGGACCAGTCCTTGGTGCCCTTGGGGGTCTTGAGGTTGAAAGAAGGTCCCTTGTCCTTGCCCATTGTGTTTATCGAATCGGAGTGTAGGGAGGAAAAGTGAGTGCGGCGGGGATAGATTTCGTGGTGGGGGATGGTGGGGGCACGGCAATTATTTTTATTCGAGGTGACCAGAGGTCTGAAGGGATGACTCAGATAACGACCACGGGGAGTTTGGCCAATGGATCTGGCAATTGCTCGTTGTGAAGAGCGTGAAGAAACAGAAACGAACGTCATAAACAAGAAGCCCCTCGGCGCTAGAAAATATCAAAACGGTCACAAGTTGTCGTTCTGTCCTGACTCCGGACTTTCCGGGCGTTTCGGGTTTATCCGGTCCCGATGTTTATCCGGACTACTAGATCGTGCACTTGCGTCGGACCACCGTCCGCGATCTGGGTAAACGGACTTTTCGCTAGTTGCATTGACAATATATTCCGACGCGAGTACTGAAGGGCTCCACGATGCTCCAGGTCGAAGTTGCTTGCTGCCACTTGATTGCATGCCATGAGGTTGAGGAAACAACTGTGCGAGATGACTAGAAGGTTTACAGCGATCAGCTATCCGACGGAAATCATTCTTTGAGGACAGAAGATGAGAAAGAAGGGGAAAGTGCAATCGTGATGCTGTTTTCATAGTGGGAGAAATCAAAACAGCCGCTGTACAAGTATCAGGTAGGCGCCACTCGAGATTCATATTATCGATACGCAGCAGAGAACATGGAGGGAGCGACCAATGCTCGCAGCTTATGACCCTGATACGAGAAGAAGGAATCTTGACGGAATCAACGTGAAACTAAAAGATACCGACAAGATTGTCAAAGATCTCCGGAGGTTGCTCAGATTGAGCCCAAATATTCGAGGGCGTTGGATTATTTCACCAAGGAGAGTCTGAGCAAGCGGGTCCTACACTCTATACACATATCCTCAGTATTTCCACCAACACCTGCTAACTGAGAAATAGACACGAGATCTCCTACTCCACCCAACAAATAATTTCCGAGCGTTCAGACTCGAACATGCAAATTGATGAATTCATTCAATTTGGAATGAGCGGAACACGTCCGTGTCCAGTTCCGATGAGAGCTGAACGTCACGCATTGCGCACTGACGCACAATCAACGTTCTCATGTCACATATTTCGAGACAAATAGGGGCCGAATGTTCTTGTCGGTGAGCCTTGAAAGACTCATCATTCAAGGAGGTATGAGGATGATGTGGAGATTAGATAGGGAGCGGTATGGTAGGAAGTACACTAAACATAGCTGTATTGAAACTTATATTCCTGTGGAGTCACAATCTGATGTCATAGTAAAGTTGCCTTGATAGAAGACCATAGAAATAATCGTACGTAGTAATTGCGATTCACCTCGGAAGAGCTACTTCGATAGAAAACACTGACTAAGTTATATAAAGTCTCTATCATAGGCGGAAAGTGAATGATTCAAGAGAGTGTAAATGTAAATGGCTCACACGGATCAACCGATCTCCACTAGTCAGAAACAGGTAGGTCGCTTTGAAATGCCGGTAAACTTAACATGCGCCTTTTTTTTACCCCCATCTCTCGCCACCCCCACCATATGTTGCTTGGACTACTGTACAGCATGGCGCTCTAATTGGGGCGGTTAGCTTATGAATGCCATGCGCGTAGGCACCGGCTAAAGAGTTCGGAGCCAATGGGGTAAGGGTTCCATATTAACATCTGTGCTTAATATCCTGATGTATACATCCATAGTCATCTATGATACACTTCTTATGGCATAGATGTATTGTACATGCATGTACACGGGTCTGTCATGAATCCCTTGCTTCACCTGTACTCCATACTCCCCCATAGCATAACTCGACGTAAGGAACATTCGAAGGGGGCGGATTTCCCCACAAAGTGGACGATCATTGGCCGTTAAGGCACGCCATGCGAGGGACACATGGCCCGTGAGGGAAATAGGCCAATCGTAGTTCGTCGGGGGGCGGCGTTTTATGGTCCAGCCCCAGCCTCCGGAGGGGAGAGCCTTGGGGGGCTTCACTCCGCTGGGGGAGGAACTGACCAATGAGTGTGTCTAGGGGGCCTTTCCCAGTTGGGGACTCCGGTAGGCCCGGCACACACAATTGTCAGGCAGTACAGAGTAACGGTATAGTAGATGTGAGATGTAGATGGAGTGTAGTGAGTGGAAGTAGGTTATAGTTAGTGTAAAAGCAATGTCGAAAATCAGCGATTGGACGAGTACCTGCCTTAAGTCTCCACGTGGAACGGTCCATTCCAGAAGATGACTGTTATCTGCTCTTCCCTGGACTCGTATTCTACTCTACTCTCTACACTACTTATCCTCTCTCCTCTTCCCTTCTCCCAGCTATCTCTACCGTCTACCCTCTCCACTCCATTCATTACAACTCGCGTCTCGCCCTCGTCTCTCCGCTCTCCGCCCGGACCCCAGAAACTTTACTAGTGGCTACCCCGGACCTCTCTCTTTCTCCTCTTTGCCTCCAATGCAGAGCGTGACCGTCAAGCCTCAGCCATCATGAAGGGGCTCTTCTCCAAGGGCTCCAAGAGCAATGGGGTGAGTAACACTGCAGTCTCGTGAGACCAATTCCGATTAGGACCGCGACTAACACTCGCGCAGGCTGCCACCGCCCCCTCGACCACCGCCGCGCCCGTCAAGAAAGAGCTGACTCCGCAGATCTCCCCGCTGGAGAAGCGGTTGCAAGATATGGGCTCGATCCGCGACGATGGCAGTGACAAGTTCTTTGGCATGGAGAACGTGAGTCTTCCCCGGAATCGCTGCGCAACGCGGCCGACTGACACTCACGCGCTTTAGTACGGAAACACATGCTACTGCAATTCGATTTTGCAATGTCTTTATTACTCCGTTCCCTTTCGCGAAGCCGTGATTAACTACCCGCAACGCACGCCGCTGGACAGCCTCGAAGCCGCTCTCGCCACCAACCTCCGATACCAGAACCCCAACGCACACCTGGAAGCCGAGGCGCTTGCCGCCAAACAAAAGGCCTCTTCGCCTCCATCAGCGCGCCAAGCAGGTGTTCCTCCAAATCAGCCGCAAAAGCCCGAAGACAAGGACTCACCGGAATACAAGAAGAAGGTCGCCCTCCAGACCCTTCCGATCTTGGAGACAAAGAACAATGCGACTAGCTATGGAATGTCTGAGTCACTGTTCACTTCGCTCAAGGACATCTTTGAGTCCGTGGTGGGAAGTCAGTCGCGGATCGGAGTGATTCGGCCGCAACAGTTCCTGGATGTGTTACGGCGGGAGCACGAAATGTTCCGGACTGCCATGCATCAAGATGCGCACGAGTTCTTGAACTTGCTGCTCAACGAGGTAGTGGCCAATGTTGAAACGGAGGCAACCAAGCAAGCATTCAGCGAGAAGGCTTTGCCACCAACGGAAAGCGCAGACTCGTTGGGAATGTTGACGCCCAGCACAGGATCGAAGTCACCCAACACGACGAGATGGGTTCACGAGCTGTTCGAGGGAACTCTGACATCTGAAACCAAGTGTCTTACTTGTGAAAAGGTCTCACAACGAGACGAGGTGTTCCTGGACTTGTCCGTGGATCTCGAGCAGCATTCATCCGTCACATCATGTCTTAGGAAATTCTCCGCGGAAGAGATGCTTTGCGAGCGGAACAAGTTCCACTGCGACAACTGCGGTGGACTCCAAGAAGCCGAAAAGCGTATGAAGATCAAGCGCCTGCCACGTGTGTTGGCTTTGCATTTGAAGCGTTTCAAATATACAGAGGATCTGCAGCGATTGCAAAAGCTGTTCCATCGCGTTGTCTACCCCTACCATCTCCGTTTGTTCAACACTACAGATGACGCCGAGGACCCAGACCGACTCTATGAACTGTACGCGGTGGTGGTCCACATTGGCGGCGGACCATACCACGGCCATTATGTCGCCATTATCAAGACAGAGGACCGTGGCTGGCTGCTGTTCGATGACGAGCTGGTGGAGCCGGTTGACAAGAACTACGTCCGCAACTTCTTCGGCGACCGCCCAGGACTGGCCTGTGCCTATGTTCTGTTCTACCAAGAGACCACAATGGAGGCCGTGATGCGCGAGCAGGCTCAAGAAGATCTGGCCTCCGCCACTGGCACCGCTGAGGCTGGTGAAGCGAAACAGAACGGGTCACCATTGTCACCGCCCCTGGCACACGTCCAAAGCGCCGGCCAAGTCCCTTCGCACGATACTCCGTTCTCACCTATCAACCGAATCCCGACGGCACCCCAGTTGTCCACTCACCAAGAAGCCCCAGAGCATGAAACTCCACCCCTGTCCATTCAATCACCAGTGCAGCCCGTTCAGCCTCCACTTCCCCCGATTCCTGATGAGCCCACCCCTTCGCTCAGCCCGAAGAAGAGTGACTTCCAGCTTCGGCGGGAAAAGGCGAAAGGGGAAAAGGAACGGGAGAAGGAACGTCGTGCTGCAGAGAAAGAAAAAGACAAGAATGAAAAGCTCCGCCAAAAGGAACAGGATCAGCACAACCGAGAAATGCAGAAACGCGAAGCTGATGAGCTGGAAAAGGCTCTCAAGGCTAGCAAGCTCGATATGAACGACCTTGGTGCTGAAAATGGATCACCCCGGAAGTCAGGCTTCGGTTTCCTCCGACGAGGCAGCCGCAGCATCAGCCAACGCCTCAACAAGGAAAAAGAACCTCGTCTCTCCACATCCGATATTTCAGTTACAGCTCCTGTTCCAGAACCCGTCCCAGAAGCCCCAGAGGTACCCCGCAAAGAGGTCCCTCGCAAGGACGTACCACGCAAGTCAGAGTCACTCCAGTCTCCAATGTCTCCAATGTCCGCAATGTCACCCAAAGACATCCCTCTATCCAACAAGCAACCTCTCCGCGGCCCAGACCCCCTGACAAAAGACCATAACGTCAGCCACGAAAAGACTGGGTCTACTCACCGGTGGAGATCCTTCAGTTTCAAAAAGAACGTCAACAGCGTCTCTTAGCGTTAAGCTACCTTGGTCTTTTCGTTCTTCGCCGTACGGAGATGCACCCTGCACATACGATCGCAACATTTTGCTCTTGCACATATCTACCTGGATGTACCATTACGTTCTAACGATCTGATCTGCGCCCTTATCTTCCTTTCTCCTGTGGATGTTCTGCTCTGGACATCCAACAGATGTCTTTCTAGACTCTTGGATCACTTCTTCCCCTTTATGCCTTCGGATCAATTTTCGATATCTTCTGCTACCATCTCTTATTCTTTTCATCGCTGCCACTCCTTTTGAATCATGTACAGCGGGCACGATACCTCTGCCAACACAAACCCGGCAGTCCAGCGAAAAGAGGCGTTAAGGTTCCCTTGCTATTTCGGATACTTTCCATCTTTTTCTCTTATTTTCTGCTTCTGATATTGCTTTACGGCCAAGCGTGGGAATCTATCGGTCTGGGCGTTCTCTTTCTATCCTCTATTCTATCCGTTTTATTCTATTCTAGCTCGACGTCTTTCTCGCGTGTTATATCTCATCTCTGAAGTCATGAGCGAATCGTCTTTTCTTTTTCTTGTCGCTTTGCATGTGCATTTTATCTGTGCTCTTTCGCTGTCTACGTCCGCCGAGTATTATCTTGGCTTTGCTTTGCGCTATGCTCACTCCGCTGCTTCGCTGTGGTACATCGTTCTCGACTCGGTACTTAATGTCTCATCGTTTCTATCATGTTACGTGCGATAGACCAGCTGTTACTGAATACAATGCATGGAGGCAGCTTTGTGATATGATATTTTTTCTTGTGTCTGGATGTAGTTTGCGGTATATGTACTGCAGTCCTGGCCTGATATGTTTTGTGTTGCCTGGATTTTCAAGGACAGAACGAGTATGCTATGCGTAGAGTTGAATTCGCTTCCGTCAATGAGTTCCTGTTACTTATTACCCACTTGATTTCCTGGTTATGCAACGTTGAGTCACATCTAGAAAGGGAGATCCTGTACACCCAGACCCAAATCAGAAACCTCCCTTTGAGCGTCTGAATAAATCACCACCGAGCATACAGCTCCATCCAAAGGCCAAGAACAGATATCCAAATATGTTGTATTGATAGCAGTGTAATACATGTATAATCGTGAATTGGCGCAACAGTCGGGGAACCGTATAGGACAAGAGAGGCATGCTGGCCTGGCGTCGCACGGACAAGCCATCCCCTTCCTCATATCCATTCGTAAGGCACTGAACCGGCCGACCTGTTGAAACGCAGGATGGAATGGTTTATCCGAGAATCAGTTCGTACACGATGATGACAGTGTTGATGACGATTAGGGGTACTATTCTGTGTTAGCACTGCGGTTCTGTCTCGTGAATGGAATGGAAATAGCATGTCGTGATATTGGGCTGGTATTGGGATTGGGATGCGGCCGGTATAGCTTGGATCTGAGTCGGGAATGAAGCTCTAGATAGGGGCAGAGGTATACACGTACTTCGCATAACTGTCCGCACACTGGCGATCAGGTTAATGGTCTTTGCCTTGACGCTTGTGCTATCGTGTGCTGAGCCGAAGGCGGGCTCTGCCTGTGTGCGACCCCATCCAACTAATTTGTCTTTGTGTTAGCTTTCACTCTCTGTTGCTGTATGTAGATTGTGGGTGGTTTGGTGTGTTGGACGTGGACGTGACGTGGGCTGGAGGGACGTACTGCGAGCTAGGAAACGGTCCTCGGAAAGGACGGCGATGGCGTTGATGATCAGGATGATCACTAGAAGGGAAGATCAGTATATTTCATAGAATGTACTGCAATGGAAGTAGAACTTACCGTAGACCAGCTTCCCTAGACCGAAGAGAAACATTGCGTGTCGAGAGGTTGAGGAAGTTCAAAGGCGAAGATGCGGGAAGCGCCAGATCTCCGGATCAACACTCTCGGCAGCAATGAGATATGGTGAGTACACCTCCAAACAGGAGAACCACAAACTAATTTGTTCTTTAGCGTTGGCACTCCTCGTTCCACTGGGCTTGATTGTCCTGCACCTCCTCGCTGCGCCCTATACCAAGGTTGAGGAGTCGTTCCATGTCCAGGCCGTGCATGACATCCTAGCTCATGGTCTCCCATGGGGATTCAATGATCCAAACCTCAATCGCACAAACTATGATCACTTTGCATTTCCAGGCGCTGTACCTAGGAGTGCAGTGGGCGCCGCGTTTCTCGCCCTACTCTCCAAGCCAGTGATCTTACTCAACGATGCGATCAATCAACAGCTATTAGGTAGGCGCAGAGCTATACATACCTATGCAAATACATATATACGGCAAGCTAACATTACCCTTCAGCTCGAGGGATCCTAGGTCTCCTCAACGCCACCGCCATAGCATACTATGCAACCGGCCTCCGCCACACCTTTGGAAAGACAGTCGCAATCTGGTACATCCTCCTCCAAACCAGCCAATTCCACCTAATATACTACGCCTCACGGCCACTGTCCAACATGTTCGCCTTCCCCCTAACAACAGCAGCACTACGCCTACTCCTCCCATCACCCAAATCCACCACCACCAACAAAAATATAGGCAAAGCCCTAGCCCTCCTCACCTTCTCGGGGGTAATCTTCCGCTCAGAACTAGCGCTGCTGGTCGCAACACAAACCCTCTTCGCCCTAACAACCCACAAAATCACCCTGAAAACAACAATCACCTCCGGCCTAATAGGCGCTCTATCAGCCTTGTCCCTAACACTCCTCCTAGACGGCTCCTTCTGGCAACGCTTCCCACTCTGGCCAGAACTCGAGGCTTTCCTATTCAACGTGCTAGATGGCAAATCCTCTGATTGGGGCACAGAGCCTTGGTCTTGGTATTTCACAAACGCGCTCCCGCGCTTGCTTCTCAATCCGCTTGTCTACATACTCGCTATACCAGTTGCGTTGCGACAACCTGCGACTCGGTTGTCTGCATTTAGACTGCTTGTCCCTGAGCTTGTGTTTGTTGCGTTGTATAGCTTCATGCCGCATAAGGAATGGCGGTTTATTGTTTACATTATTCCGTCTCTGACAGCTGCTGCGGCGCTTGGGGCGGGATATCTATGGACGCATCGGAGACGGTCGTTCTTTATGTGCTGGGCTTCGAGGTTGTTGGCCCTTTCGGTTGTGTTGACTGCTTGTTTGTCGAGTTCTGTCTTGCTTCCTGCTTCCGCGGTTAATTACCCTGGGGGGAGGGCGCTTGATGCTTTGCATTCTTATCATGCTAGATCTGGATTGGGGATGGAAGGAGTGAATGTCTATCTGGGGAATTTGGCTTGTCAGACTGGTGTTACTCGTTTTGTTCAATTGCCTGATGGATCGGGGTGGATTTATGATAAAACTGAGGATGAGATTGTTAAGTCTACTGGTGAGTTCTGGGATCGGTTTGATTATGTTCTTGTTGAGGCTTCTGGTGAGAGTGGGTATATGGATAGTGATGAGATGAGATTAAGAGAGGCTTTGCCTTCTTCTTTGTGGGAGATTGTTTATGTTGCGGATTCGTTTGCCGGTATCTCTATACTGAGACCTGGGATCCCTGCTACGGGTACAACTGAGAAGCGGATTCTGAGCATTGTGGGTGGATCTGGGGCTGTGAATGTCTTTGAGAGTGTGCGTGAACGTGTGAGAGGGACTTTGTTACGTGGGTGGTGGGTTGAAGTTAAGATGAAGCCGAGGGTTCAGGTGTTGAGGAGGGTTAGGGCGATTAAAAGTTGAATTTGTAGTAGATCGACAGTCTGAAAGTTGAAAATGTGTACAGCATTAACAAATATAGGACCATCTGGTATGGAGCTAAAATTGACATTGACAACAAAATAACTACAAAATGCCCAACATTCGACAAGAAGGTACAACGTACATCGCAGATGCAACTGGGTATTATTCATCAAATCACTGCCAGGGGCAGTTCAAAAGTAACAAGAAAATGGCTACAGTCCACCGGGTGGACCCTCAAGGCGTCCGAGGCGAGCCTCCAAGTCTCGCACCCAAGGCTCGACAATTTCCACGTTCGAGCGGAGGGCATCTTCACCCCGGCGCATCTTCTCTTCGACATTCGTTAGGCCTTCACGCCATTGTTCGATCTCAGAGGCCATTTCGGCATGACGCTTTTCGAGTTCGTTGAGAGAGTCTGCGGCGTGGGCTGCGCCTGCGTGACATGCACGCAGAGAGCGCAAACGCTCGAGAACGCTGGGGAGGAGAGGGTGCAGGGATTGGATGGTTGGGAGGGTAGCGTATAGGGCTTGAACCTTAGCGGCGTGCTCGTCGTCTGCGGCTGGGACAGGTTCCGATGCAGGTGCGTCAGTTTCAGAATTTGTCGATGTAATGCGGGCGTTGTGAGCAGCCTTTGCGGCGTCAACTGCGCGTCTGCGGGCCGTTGTTAGGGCCTCGGCGTCTGTGGTCAACTTTCGCACCCGCGTGGAGAGCGCTTCGAGGTGTGGGGTTGTCAGGCCAGCCACTGCGCCTGGTGTGGCTGAGTTTCCGGATGCTGGGTTGCCCACGAGGAGACCTGTCAATGCTGAAAGGCGGGAGGTGAGCTGGTCTAAAGATGGGAGCACCGGCTGCAATGCTGTCTGGCTGAAACCGTCTGCGACGAAGGGGTTTGAGGAGCTAGAGATCCCCATGGATGATTCGAGAAGGGCGAGGCGGCTATCGAACGCTGCTGCGTGGGATAGAATCCCCGATGAAGATGTAGCTGCTGCCGGTCCCGCGGACACTGCCGCTATCGCCGCACTGGCCGGTTGTATCGTAGCGACAGGCGCAGCAGAACGAGGGTCAGATCCCAGCTTATGGGTCAGTTCTGCGGCCGCTGAGTGTGATGGAGTCGCCGCACCTCGTGAGGCGTGGAGGTTATCCAAAGCGCGACTCAACTCCGCAACACCGTCACCCAGGTTCTCTCCTGACTTCTCGGTAGACGCGCCCTGCAGCTCAGTGTCGCCCTCGTGGCCCTCAGGTCGGTTGGCCATTTCCACTTTAAGTTCCTCAACCTCTCTCCGCAGCCGTGCAAGCCTTCGCTCCACCGACTCGTCTTCGCTGTCACTTAGACCACCGACCTCCTCGGTGCCATCTTCACGTCTGCGTCGGTGACGGCGATGTTTGTCTTTGCTCCGGTACGCCTGGCGCTTCATGGAAATGCTATCTGAGAAATTCGCGTCGCGGGCATCTACAGCGGCGCCCATAAAGTGCATACGCGCCTGGTCCGCGTTGACGCCTTCGCGGTCAATGTCAGAGCTGGAGCCGACGTCATCATGATCGGAGTCTGTACGAAGAGTAGTAGGCTAGATGAAATCAGTATCCAGACCCAATGGCGTCTCTATCTTGTACAATTGGCGGACATACAGGGACGGTGGATGCTTCGTCGGTCAAGTCGGGGGTCTCATAAATATCCGGGGAAGGGTCCTGGATCACAGTCAGCAGAATGATCAATCAATATTAGCAATAGTGAGACCCACCAGGTCAGGAAGACCGGCGTATTTCTTATTGAAAGCCATGGTGGATTGGGGTAGCTCCGATAGTAAACACAGGAGTTGATAGACTGGTCACGTGCGCTTAGCTCAGCAGAAGCACGTGTCAGCCTCGGACGAACACATGCAATTGACGCAATTTAGCCTCATCAAACCCGGGGTATATATTCAACTGCAAGGGACGTCTTTTTTCTTTCTTTCTTTCTTCCTCTATCTGCAATTGATCTTCAGTTCTCACGTTTGATCGCTCTACGCTCTAAACTTCTACATCTAACACTTCCCCCCACCACCCCGCATTCCACTTTACATCTCCAACTTCAACTTCATCTACAAACAACAGTCAAGATGGCCGCCCCAGCTGATGTCACTATTAAGAACCTGAGCGGTGAATGGGTGATGGTAAGCTCATATGTTCAAATCATAAAAAGAACCAATACTTACAAATGTGTAACAGGATGCAACCCTGTCCAACCCAACCGACCCCATCCTAGCCCTGGTATGAAATGAACCCCTATGCTTCCCAATAACCAAACAAGATACCCCACCACATCCAAGCATGGAAACCCCAACTAACGACCCCTTAGCAAGGAATGGGCTGGATCATGCGCAAAGGCCTATCCTACGCAACCGTAACCCTCTACGTACACAGCTACCCAGACACCGAAACACCAAGCATCCCCCACATCGACATCCAGCAAGTAATCACAGGCGGGATCCAAGGAACAAAAGAGTCCCGCACACTCGACTGGACAGAGCGTGAACACACAGACAACATTTTTGGCACTTTGCATGGCCGGTCCCGTCTGCTAGACGGTAAGAGCGAAGACGGTACTTTGCGCCCCGCGCTTGAGGTGCAGACTCTTGTTGGTGAGGCTGAGGCCGATGCTAAGATTGGAAAGTTCTTGCGTGGTGAGATTCTTGTTGATGGGTCTAAGAGTGAGGGTTTCTCTGGAGAAACTGGGGAGGGCGCTTTTGTGCAGAGCTTTGTGAGGAATGATAAGGCTGGGTGGTGTGCCGAGCAGGTTTGGGGCTTTGAGGTTGTTGAGGGAGAGCGCCGTCATACTCGTCGTGTTGTTGTTTCTAAAGATGGGAAGCTTGAGATGGCTCGACTTGTCTACATTTTCCAGGCTAGACGGGTTGAGGAGTAAGTTTCCTTTTGCGTGTTCTATCCTGGGTTGATTTTTTAGCTTGCTATTATTACCCCTAGATTAATCTAGCGTTTGGTTTTATTGGTGTGCTTGTATGATATTGTAAATGGAATATATTTCAGATCGTCCAGTGTGCATACACACTCCAATTTGATATTCAATGTTTGGAGTGATGTGGTATAAACAGCAAGAACATGTTTTGAGTAAATTCATGGGACATAACGCATATTTTTGTTGAACGAGAACAAAAATTGACATTTCAATGATGGCTAAAAAAGAAGAAGAAGGCATTATAATCACCTAAGGATTAATGGTGAGTGGGCATCACCACGCTAGCCTTGGTGCTGGTAGCATCCTCGCTCTTCCATAGACTGGTGACAGTCTTCTGCTGTGTATAGAACTGCAAGCCAGGCTTGCCGTAGAAGGTGTTGGCACCGCCACCGGCGATGCTCTTCTTGTTACCGGTGAAAGAGAACATAGGAAGTGGGACGGGAATAGGCACGTTGATGCCGAGCTGGCCAGCCTCGATCTCCTTCTGGAATCTGGAGGCGGTTGAGCCGGAGCGAGTGAAGACGGCGGCACCGTTGCCGTACTCGTTGGCGTTGATGGTGCTGATGGCATCGTCAAGGGTCTCGACGTTCAGGCAGACAAGGACAGGACCGAAGATCTCCTCCTTGTAGCACCTCATGTCGGGGGTGACGTTGGTGATGATAGTGGGGCCAACCTGAGAAATGGGGTTAGTTTATGGACAAAAGTATCAATGTTTAAGTAGGACTTACAAAGTTGCCATTGGGGTAGTTGGCAGGCTTGTATCCACGGCCATCCAGAAGGATAGTAGCACCCTCCTCCTCGGCGCTAGCAATCAGATCCTCGATGCGCTTCTTGCTCTCAGGGCTGATGACAGGGCCGAGATCGGCACCTTCCTCGAAGCCGCCGTTCACGCTTAGGGCCTTGGCACGCTCAGCAATCTCGGGCAGCCACTCTTTTGTCTCGCCAACCATAACACAAGTGCTCAAGGCCATGCAGCGCTGTCCGGCGGCACCAAAGGCAGCTCCAACAATGGCGTTGAGAGACTGGTTCTTGTTGCAGTCGGGCAGAACAGCAGCGTGGTTCTTGGCACCAAGGTTGGCCTGAACACGCTTGCCGTTGGCAGAACCGCGAGTGTAGATGTACTCACCGGCACGGTTACTGCCAACGAAGCTGATAGCCTTGATGGCAGGCTCATCAAGAATGAAGTCCACGGTGGGAGCGGATCCGTGGATGATGTTAATGACACCGGGAGGGAAACCGGCCTCCTTGGCCAGCTCGGCCAAGATCATTGCGGCACCGGGATCACGCTCAGAGGGCTTCATGACCAGGCAGTTACCGGTGGCAGTAGCAATGGGGATGCACCAGAGAGGAATCATGGCGGGGAAGTCTAGTGGTGGTCAGCGTTGGTGTGGAATCAAAGAACCTGGCATAACTTACTGAAGGGGCAGATAGCAGCAACAACACCGAGAGGCTCACGATAGCTTCGTGTCTCCATGTCCTTGGCCACCTCCAGGACCTCACCGGTCATCTGGGTGGTGATACCACAGGCGGTCTCAGCGACCTGGAGACCACGGAGAACATCACCCTTGGCATCGGCGAAGGTCTTACCCTGCTCCAGGGTAATGGAGGCAGCCAATCGGTCCCAGTGGGTACGAATGAGGGCAGTGAACTTGAAAAGAATCTGCTGTCTGGCAATGATGCTAGTGTTCTTCCAGGCAGGGAAGGCCTTCTCGGCTGACTCAACGGCAGCCTTCAGCTCCTCATCGGTGCTCTGAGGGACACGAGTAACCAGGTTGTTGGTGGCAGGGTCATGGAGATCAATCCACTTGGTTGCCTTGGACGGAACAAATTCATTATCAATGAAGTTTGCTGTGTCAATGGGGTTGGCAATCTTCTGGTGGTTGGTCGGGTATTCGGTAGCTGTGGAGTTGGCCGAGGTTGTTGCAGGGGTGAATTTGCCAGCGGTAGCGTGCAAGCCACGAGTGGCAGTGAGAGAAGGAGCAGCAGATCTCAGGGAAGCCATTCTTGCGACGGATGAAGAGGTTGTGAGAATGGTTCGGGTCTGAGATGCAGCTCTGGCGGTCACCGTCACCGTGCGGGGAGCGCGGAGAGCGGGGATGGATCGGGCAACAGACCGACAAGCGGCCATAATGAATTTAGGAGAAAGGAAATGAAAAGGCGGACGTCTGAAAGAATACGTGTCACCAATCAAGAGAGGAAATGCAGTTAGGATGCAGTAGAAACAGGAGGGGAATGGGAAGTACAAGTAGTTACCCCAGGCCCGAGGTCAACCGCCTTAGTCAGTTTCCCCATATAAGTTCCGATAAGATACACTCGGCGATTCTGACCAATCAGAGCCGCCAGGTCCCCTGAAATGCCGCCTGCCCTATCACTTGCTGCTGGTTAGGAAGGGCTTTCCGAGGAGAACGCTGGTGCTCAGGTTATTGTCTTAAAAAGGACAACAAATGCTTGGGGAATTGAATAGAAGGTCTACTGCCTACCTAGTATGTCTAACCTATCCTTTTTACTAAGATACTATATTTCCTATAACCTTGTCGGAACCCTTCCCGATCTATACGAAGTCTGGGAAATGACAACATTTGGATGGTAAAATGCTTTACGGGGAATTTGTTTTGTCATGTGTTTTATACAATGGCAATTCTCCACCAAACATCAAGCGACCGGCTATATCAATCGGCAATGGGGTTCCTGGATTATTTTCGAGAGAGCATATTGAGGAGTAAGATAAATATCATACAAAACGCAACGCTTAATTGAAATCGCTATAAAATCATCGCCATATGATTTACGATGGGAAAGCGAGCCTATAGAAATGTCTTCGAATAGGTTGCCGAATGCGAACGGAAAAGGGAACGTCGTGCTTGTAATATCTTGTAGAACTCAATCACATACATAGTACGGCACTCTGATACGGCCTTCAGCTCAAAATGAATTCTAGTAGTTGTCAAGCTCAAGGTCACATTGGACTACGATACGAGCCCTACGAAATAAAATGTCCGGACGATAAAATGCCTTACAGAGCAATTGCTTCATACTTTATTTTACGACATGACAACACTAAATATCAAAGTATCCAGGGATCTAATAGACCTTAGAAGTTCCATGGATCTTTTAGAAAGTATATTCTGGCGAGTAAAATTCGGTATAAATCTAAATAGCAACACTACAAAGTAGCAATTATATCATCATCACGATCAACTGTATGATGAGACGGTGAACTCATAAAAATATCTTCAAACAAATTGCCAAACGGAAACGAAAAGGGAAACATATTGCCCACGTTGTCTTGCATGACTTGATCAAACAAGCTCCCAGGACTAGTACCGTCAAAACTAGTCTCTTCATCGGGTTGACGAGACCCATTTTGCATCAAAGATGTCGCTGCCGGACTTTCTAGTACATTTGTACTGCCTTGTATCTGCAAACCCGCCCGCTTCAACAGAGCCTCATATATCGGAATGAAGGCTGCAATGACTGGAAACCGATCTTGCAATTTCTCAAGTATCGCCATGCAGAAGCGGACGCGATTTTCGGAAATCATTCGGACACCTGGGTCTCCTCGACTGATGTTGACTATATAGACTAGGAGCACTGATAGCACAGGGGCAATTCTGTATCGGGATTTAGTATGGAGCCGAGGAAAAATCGGTAAACTTGTTCTTCAGGAAGACGTACATGCTAGCTGCCGCTGCATATACGAGATCATTAGCCATGATGACTTCCAGCATGTGGGAGATCTCTGTGCATATCTCGAATACTGGTGTACCTGATCCTGTGCTGTGAGAGAATCTGGGGTTGCTCCGGTGCAAGATAAGACGATATTCCCTATATGTTTAGATCATAGAATATGTAAAGAGCTGCATTGAGGTTGGCTTACTGGTACAAGATCTGAGTCAATATAGCCCATGTACTGCTATTCGTTGACACGCTCTTGAAGTCCGGTGGGAGCAAGGTAGACCATAAAGAAATTTGCTCTAGACATATATCTTGCGATTCACCACTATCTTCGTCAAATTTCAGAGTGAAGAAACGATCCACTGCAGGTATTTGTAAGGAAGAGATTATGAAAGAAGAACCAAGAATGCTGTACCTATCCGAGCTAGTTGCACAGCATTTATCGCGAAGACGTTTGCCTCATTGAGAGTTTCATCAAAAGTCTCTGCACCTTTGAGCCCATTGACATGTTCGAAATCTGCTTCTGACAGAGGAGGAACATTGCACAGTCTTCCTTGAACGTGGGGCGGACGATCGAGAAGCATAGACAGATTGATATCCATGGCCTTGCCTAGCAAGTTAGTCCAGACTTAAACCTCACACTTTTCGTATATTGACTTACATATACCATCCACCACAGTCTTCGCCATATCTTTCGCTCTTTATCTTCGAGACTGGTGTATGACTTGCTAGAAGATTTCTTAGTATGTTCGATCCTTCAGGGAAAGCGTTCGAGTAAACCCACACTTGATGCATTCCCAATGCGAGTGCCATTCCCGTAGAAATGCCAATCCAGTACCAAGGGTCTTTGTGATCTAGAAGACCGCTCCACCAGTGACACATCAGGAACGTGGCTTGAATTGTTGCGATAGCATCAGTCTCATATCCAGCATCATAAATAGATTTGGCTCTCCTGTAGAAGGTGAGACTTGCGGCGTAGCGGGACGGAAATCCGGCATCGGCAATGACAGAATCCGAACAATAAATAGTGGCAGCGAGGTAAATAGCATTCAAGAGAAGGTGTGAAAATGAACCCTGCTGCAGGGTGCCAAGAAATATTGATCGATCAAGGATAGGCAGCGCAGCAAATGAATGGTGGAAGTAAGCGTCGAGAAGCGCATGGCTGATTTCGGGTGACGGCATATTGAATGCCCCTTCTTTCTTCAAGTGTTCAATGGCAGTTATGTGGAGCCTTTCGATCTCTTGCTTTGTCGATTTACCTACCCGGGCAAGAATTGCGCCTTGGAGGTGGTCTTGAAGTTGGCGCACATCCGTACCCCCGAAAGGGTTCCCAAATTGTTGTATCAAGTAATTTAAATTAGAAGAGTCCCCAACATAATGTGTCTTTCCGCATGGTCCAGGAGTTGGGAAGCATGGCCCTTGTCGGTTATCTGTTCCTTGGGGTTGATGAGTGTATGGGGAATATGAAGTCATCAATTCTTTCGGCACAGTACAGGAGAGTACTGGTCGATCCTTGCTTGTGGCTGTACTAGGTAAAAAAGGAAGCTTTCGTCTCCTGGATCCTCATTAGTTTGAATATGGCAGCTCTATCTGTTTCCTCCTACCGTCCACGACGAGAAACTATTGGCTCACAATGGCGCTGGGCATTGCGGCAGTTGGAACACGCGACGCCTTCACTGCGATCGCATTTAACCCGTCGGTCATGACAAAGCCGACAGGCAACTTTAACTTGGTTGCGTGGCATTTAATGTGGCATTTAATGTGGAAGAAGTAGCTGATAGTTGGGAAGTTCGGCGAAGTTGACGAAGTCGCCGAATTTGGGGGCATATGATTGGCTAGAACATAGATGTCTCTCAACAGGTAGGAAACCACCAAATTTCAACAACAGAGACCTGTGATGACCCTCCCTTTTACACTTACCCGTACGAAATATCTTCATCGTAGTCTTGAGCAAATCGCCACCTTCACCATGACGCTTTTGAATACGTTCCTCATGCTTCGTCACTCGAACCCGAAATGGCTACAGTCTTTCTCCTCGCCCACGCTTGCGATGACACGATATCTGCGCACATCTTCAAAGGATAGCTTTCTTGCTACCCAGCCTTCTCAGAGACGGAAAACTGGAAAAGCTGGCTATCTCGTGTATGTCACCAGTGCAATGTGATTGTGCCAGTTCTAACTTTTTTATGCTACTCAGGACAAAAGCAGACGACCTGATCGGCTGGATACGAACAGGATCCCTATGGCCTTTGACATTTGCCACTGCCTGCTGTGGAATTGAAATGATGCACACCTCAATGCCGCGTTATGATCAAGACCGACTGGGTATCATTTTCCGTGCCTCGCCTCGGCAATCCGATGTGATGATCGTGGCCGGCACGATTGTGAACAAGATGGCCCCGGCGTTGAGACAGCTGTATGACCAGATGCCCGAACCGAGGTGGGTGATCAGCATGGGCAGTTGTGCCAATGGCGGAGGATATTATCATTACAGCTACAGTGTTGTACGTGGCGTGGACCGTCTTGTTCCTGTTGATATCTATGTACCTGGGTGTCCACCAACAACAGAGGCCTTTCTTTATGGCATTTTCCAACTTCAGAAGAAGATTCGGCGGACAAAGGTGACACGGATGTGGTATCGGCGCTGATGAAGTGTTGTTCCTTTTGCGTAGATCTTGATACCTACCGTGGACTCAATATCATTGTATTCATTATACCCTTACTTTATCTCCTTTGTCATCAGTGTCTTATCATTTTTTGCGCACAAATACTTCCAACAGGAGACGTAGACGACTCTCCCTGCTTCCGCGAGGAAAGCAAGTAACCATGCGCACCGTGAATTCAGATGGAATCAACTCCAGCCGCGAGCGCGCGATACACAGCAGCCATCCAGGCGTTCATGAATACCTGAACATCCTCAGAAGCCATAGCCTTCGGAACGATATCGCCTTGCGCAAATGGACTAGCCCTTGGGACCATGACATTTTTAACCCAGCCGCCAACAGCATTGGTAGCTGTCACACCACCGAGCCAGGGTGGAATGTTTGAAGCCTTGCGGCCGGCGTGGGCAAGCTAAATTCCGATCTTCTGGCCTTGGCTGTGGGCGAATTTGACGACGTCTCTGATTGGCTCGATTTGAGAGTCCTTCCATAGACCCACGCAGCCAGATGTGATGCGACCTTGGAGGAGGACGCCGGTTTCTTTGATGATCATTAGACCTAGGCTTTGTTGTGCGATTCCGCCGTAGTGAGTTACGTGCCACGGGGTCATGTGGCCGTCGATGACACTATATTGGCACATTGGAAGAGAGCGCCGTAAGTGAGGAGATGTAGACTGGACGTATGCTGACCTTATTGAAGTGTACAATGCATCAAGGTCATAATTAATATCTGAGCTAGGAATCACACACCAATGGATTTTTTAATCCATAGGTTCTCGAGATGTTCCACACATAAGGTGTCGCGCCCTACAGCGTGTACGATCTCAAGATTTTCCTCCCAGCCAATTATATATTGGAGATAAAATGTTTCCAAGCCCACTCAATATCAAAGCAAAGCCCTCGTCCTTCCCCGCGTTTGAAATTGTTGATCGTATTTTTATTCAGCAATGTATCCCCGAAGTGTCCCGAGGCCACGGAAAAGTACTCTGTGCTTGTCTTATTTTGTGACTGAATGTCACCGAAAGAGTGCCGTTCCAAGCTCAGCCAAATCGGGCATGATCCATGCTACCTCTTGAGGATTTGATTAGCTGAAATTGATTAAGTAGGTTCAATGTATTAATTTCTTCCACCACCTCGTTCAAAAAATATGCCTGTTGCTCTAGATTGTGTCATCTCTGTCTTCTTTATGGCATTGGTATTGGCGGTGAAACAAAAAGCCGAAGCTTGAACGCCAAGTCCCTGTCAAACTGTTCCCCCTGGGGGATTACATATGCGGTCAATTGAGCAAATAAAGTGAGAGAAGCTCTCGAGGCTTGCCCATATTGCAGTTTGTTCTCTCTATGTATTCTCTACTTCAGTCAAATATTTGACCAGCCCCAATTCGCCATTTCTTCAGGTAGTTGACGTGCAAAAAGAGAAGGCCTGCTTGTACCTCTTGGAAGGCTATGATGTACGAAGTCTACCTTTTTCACTATGAAAATATCGAAACTTCTATAGGGTTAGAAAAGTAGCTCGTTGGGCCGATCTATGGTCTTCACCGCCGAGAACTTGCTACGAATCACGCAACATTGGCCGGGACACCCACCTTTGGCTCAAACATGCCACCCTCTTGCCCCCTACCATGAGTAAAGGCAAAGTTCAGTGTAGTAAACCTAGTTCTATACTCTACACTTTGTGTTTTATTAGGTCATCTCTGTGGTCTGTATAGAGAGGGAAAAAGCTTCAATAATCCGAGGTCGGGTTCCTCACAGGCGCTCAACGGGTTTAATAAGCAGCGGATCCATGGATCCACGATCGATCTTTAAAGGTAATCAGTTGCGGCTGGCCACTCTCACTCCTCATCAACTAGACGTCATCATTCGAAGGGGGCGCATAAGTTTAAATTGAGCCACCTTGCGTGAACGTTGCCTTTCCCCCTTTGTACCCTCTCGTGAGACTTTCTTTGTGTGGCATGATTTGTCCGTGAGATGAGTCGCATTTCCCATTCTTTCCAAACAACCATCTGCGCGCCACACTATGGGGGGCAGGAAATTTGCAAAACCGCCGGTCAAGGTAGCCTGCCTAAATTGGTAAGTTTCCGATATCCCTGCGTGCCATATGGATCCGCAGCTCAGACAGCGCGCAGTCGTGTGTCCAGGATTCGATGCGATGGACAGAAGCCCTGTGGTCTTGTATGTTGATTTTCCTTTTCCGTAACTGCCATATTCTAGCCAACAACTAATTCTTTGAGCCCAGTGTGCATCTAAAGGAAAGGAATGTTCGTATGTCCCCAGCAGACGCGGAGGACCCCGCAAGAAAAGACACCAAAGCTATTCTCCCGAACATCTTACACACCAAGATGATGCGCATCATCCAGAGTCGCTGTTGGACCTCAACTTCGAACAAGGTATAGATATACCTCCCGTGCATCTCAATTCCTAATTTTGATCATCTTAGGGTTCATGTTTGATCAATTCGATTTCTTATCTGTGCCTGCGGCAGGCTTACACGCCTTGGATCCGATGGACCACTCTCCCCCATCCCAGCCTTCCGATACCGCCGAAAGCGATCAATTTCTTATGCAGACAGATTCAGAGCCATCGAGCTATAGCGATGTTCCAAAGTTTCTGGTAAGAGCTTACGGGAGTGAGCCACAAATGTAAGGTGCTCTTCATTATCGAGTTCCTCTACCCTCTGATATGGAAGGCAGATTAAACGCTTATTATGACTTCATCCATGACTATTTTCCTATTCTACCGCCCAGAGTAACACCACCCTTGCCCGATCAGCCAATTGACAACCATGCTCCGTACGCTGGATTATCGCATAAAAGCCCCGCGATGCTCTACGTGCCTATATCGCCTCTGAGCCTTGCCGTGTCTGCAATTTTAGCTTTGATACCACACCCCGGGGATCTGGAACCACTTTCTGAGGAGTCTGTCATTCAACGGAGGGCATATGCACATACATTTGCTACCCTTGCAAGCTCGAAAGCAGAAGAAGATTGGGATTTTGAGTCATCATGCGATCTGAGCCAACCACGGCCAAATCAGCAGCCTTCCATCCCTCGAGGAAGGTTCCATGACTACACACCAGTAGAACTTGAAAGCTTGTTGGCTTTGCTAGTGCTTTCGGTATACGAATATGCCCAGAGGGGAAATGTGTTGAAGATGAAGTCCCGCGCTCGTCAAGCCTTGTCCATTGCGATGGATAAATCCCTCGATCGTTGGATGGTTGAAGATGGCGATTCAGAAGCCCGGCGAAGAGCTTGGTGGATGACGGTTCGAGCCCGATACTATTCAAGTTATGTAAAGGAGGTTTCTAATCTTTACAACAGTATTACTGCTTCATCCAATGTTCAATTGTCAACGCGACTGTGAGTAATAGCCTTGGAATGACGACAAGAAGTACAACTAATTAAATAGCCTCTTACGATCACTATCAACGACCCTGAATTCAAAACTCCTTATCCGACGTTCTCATCAGATAAAGAGGTCGGTCTATTCTGCTTGTCGATCTGAGACGTGAATTGCTCACTAATTGTAGGGGTGGTCTATCCTGATCCAAACACAACAATTGCTGGTGTCTGCCACCCAATATATCACCGACCTCGACAGAGCAATTTCTTCCCGCACAAAGCTTGATTCTGTCTTCCGGGAAATGCAAAGGCTTGATACCTGGGCAAAATCCATACTCGCGCAAGTAGATCGGCTTCCAACACTCGCAGACGAGCCCGGTAAGAGCAACTACGGCGAGATCACCACGGCCAAGAGCGTGCGCGCAATGTCAACAATCAAACTGAACAGGTATGAAATCCTGACATCAACTCCCTTAAGCTCAAGTCTAAGCCATTTAATAGTGCCCACATCAAGATCCACCGATTCCGCGCCTTCTCCGATATTCCAATCTTCATCAAGAAGCATTGCGATCTGGCAGTGGCTTATACAGATGAATCGAAATCTCATACAGAACTGAATGCCGTGGTAACTCAGGCCGAGACAGAAAACCCATCGTGTTCGTGCAGCAGCCTCAAGCCGTTCCAAGATCTCTTTTCAGTCGAGCCATCCTTCCAGCCTGCCAATTCAAATGCAGATTCTTCGGCCACACAGGGGTCCTTCTCGCCAGACTTTCCCTACAGCTGTCAAGATTCCACGAAAATCTGTTACCGGGCTGCGATTACCATTTCGAAAATGTTTGAGAGTCTGCCTATACCGCAACCTTTACAACCCCTTCATCAGCAGCAGCTATATCGCGAGAACCTTCCCCGAACAATGCCGTCTTTTGCCTGCTGTCTCATGCAAAGCAGCTATGCTATGCTTATGTTGTTCTATAAAGCTCGTGTGGGTGTGGGATTCTGTTCGGGATCAGATGAACAAAATACCGAAAGATCTCTTGCAGAACATATAAATGAGTTACGGCATGGTCTGCGGCGTACGATTACTGCGGCTTCAAATTACTCGCAAGCATTTGAAGCGTTGAATGGAATGAGAGGTAAGTTAGCAGAATGACGCACAGGTCAATTTGAAGAATCTTCGCTGACATCTGAATAGACGAGATTCGTGGTGCATATGAAACCGCTTTTCCTGAAGACTTTATGGACGATGGAGACGTCACTGCTGTTCCTGTCGATATCAGCAACATTGATGTTGGTGGTTTCACTGGATATGGAAATTGACTCTTACATAGAAGCACTCATGAAATTGTACAATACCATGCAATCTATAAATTCAATCTATTAATTCCTTCACATGCGCCACATATCTTTTGATATAGTCTTGGTGTTCAAACCGTGCCAATCAACTGGACAACCATAGAGTCCGTCGGGAGTTGCTCATTCATTTTACATCATTTTGCATCAATATGAATGATCAGAGATATCCCATAGACTAGGTTAGAAATTATAACCAAACATGTATGCAGCTATGAGTGTTAACTCCAAAGAAGCATGAAGAAAACATGCTGACTTGTGGGTGCACGTGACCGTCGGTGGAACCCCAAACAGTGACCCGAAACCCGGAACTTCTTCAGGAACAACTTCGAATCCCTGCAACTCAGTGGCTGAGGCTCAACTCTGTCTTGCATAGTAGTCAGATTGAGTAAGAGGCTTAGAGTACCAGACCAGCTTGAAGGATATAATGCGACCCTTTCACGATAAACTTGCCCACGGTCGAAATGTAAGTGATCTATTCACTTTCCCCAAGGAATCGTGCATCGATATTCTAGGAGCAAGATTTATTAAGCTCTTTCGAGCCCACTAAGGCATTTGTTCCCCTGCTCTCTCTAACCCCACGAGATACTCTTATCCAGTCTTTTACTTTTGTCTTCTCGGCTTAGAGAGCAGGCTTGGTAGATATGTCTCCTTAAAGTAGGTACCGAGACCTCGGTCGATTTGTCTGCCTAGGCTAGAAAGAGCTCGACAAAAAATCTTTCTCCTAAGGCCAGTAAGAAGACTGGATAAAGGTATCGCAGAAGACTAGGAGAATGCTTTCTTGCGAGCCATGGGAGGCAAATCTACAGAGCTCTTTTCCTGGATTTAGGCGACAAGTCTGTCTCTTAAAGGTTGAATGATAGATGGAGTAACGTCAGATAGATTTGTCTTAGGAGCCTGAGACTTGGCAAATCTGTCTCTTCGGGCTAGCAAAAATGACTCGACAAATCTATCATCTGTTGATAAGAAGAAAACTGAATATACGACAGATCTGTCTCCCAAGCGCTAGATAGACGGTTCCTCATTAGTGGCCAAGATAGATCTACCCATATCTCTTTTCAGCCATAACAGGTGTTTGTTGTGACTTATGGAAGATAGCAATTAAAAGAGTCATATTTGTAAAGATCCCTATAATAAAGTAATCGAATAACTGTTTCATTCTTCGGAGTCCGTGTCCAGGTGACTGGGGTATTCAGAGTGGCTACCTTGTTGGAGGAGATCTAGTTGTCTTCCTGCAGTGTATGGGTTGGGTCGTGATTGAATGCTTTCTTTCATGCCAACGAAACAAGAGAATGCGTCTTGCACAGCCAGCGGCTTTGCTTTCCGGGCCAATAACTCCTAGACCAGTAACTCGGCCGCGTCATTACCAGAGTCCTTTGAAATCGTGGGACGTTCTCTGGAGGCGAGGGGTAACATGAACTCTCTCCGTGGCTGCCTATACAGACTAAGTGATTGATTGCCATATTTCCTCTCGAGGATTTTGAATTGCTCGTGAGGCGCATTCGTTGCCAAACTCGATCGTGCGGACCTATTGAGGCTCACTGGCAGACAGTGCTGTGGGGAATATGTAGGCCAAAGCGGGACACCAGCCATGGTAACAGCATAGCTTATGTTATGTTCATCACCTTTTTCAGGGCCCTTAGGGAGACTGGTTTGACTAAATAGTCATCAATACCCGCTGACTTGGCCTGCTGCTGCATCTCAGCGGATGCGACTCCAGTGATTGCCATAATGCAGGTTGGGGGAAGGCTATTCTCTTTCTCATGCTCGCGGATCTTGCTCGAGGAAGTGACGCCGTCCATCACCGGCATGGAAAGATCTTGAAAGGCGGAGTCAGAAGAGAGAAACTTTTAGAAAAATATGAAACATGCAAGTGAAATGGACTTACCCATGAGAACGTAGTCGAACTTTTTCTCGCTCTCTTTGTATTTGTCCAACGCTACCAATCCATTCGCAGCAGATTCATAGGTACAGCCTAGCTTGCGAGCAAATGTACTTATGAGCTGTGAGTTGAATGTCAGCATTCGTCAATGGGAAAATTGGGTAAGCAATGGGATACCTTCAGATTGATGTTGTTATCATCTACGACTAGGACGTGCAACCCCTCTTGGTCAGTCTTTGGGGGCTCTGAGGCACCAGCAGGCGGTTCAGATGCCCGTGGAGCCGGTGGTGGAGATACAGATCTCCGCTGCGTATCATTTGAAGCATCGGGGCCTTTCGGTGATTGGCTCTCCTGGACAACCTCTGGACTTTGTACGGTATCTGGATCTTGGTCGCTTTCCAACGGCCCTGGGCCGGTTGAGATCGACTTAATAGCGTCCCGTATTTTCCGTGAGTCATATCTAATATGAGTTAGTCAAAGCGTCAGAAAAGAAATCTCGATACGCACGGTTGAGGGATGCGAACGAAGTTTGCCTTGAGCTTTTTTCTGTCAATGAGAATCCTCGTGCCTAGCACGATCAAAGACCTGAACTTAGAATGGAACGGAATGGAAGGTTCTTCTTGCAACATCCGCTGCAAAGTGGCTTCTTCAATGATCGCGAAATCACCATCGAAGTTTTCGGCGGACTCTGCATATGTGATACCCCAGTTGGGGTGCGCCAATATCACATTGTTGATGGTGCTTCGAATAGACAATTTTCGCTTCGCTTCCGTGCTTAGAATGCCGGTGGGTATCTCCTCTAGATCTGGATAACCCTGAAAGCCGATGAGACATACCCGGGTGGCTGGATGTGATTCCGCCAGCTTGTTGGATATATTTGGAGATTCCATGGCGACAGGATGGACTGGAATATAGACATCCACTTGGGTTCCAACCCCCAATTCGCTCTTGATATCAATATGCCCACCAAGGAACGTAACAAGCTTGTGTACAAGGCTCAAACCAAGTCCAACACCCTCCGAAAGGGAATCCTCTTGGGAAAATGGTGAAAAAACCGAGTGTCTAAGATAGTCGGGGGATATGCCACTCCCCGTATCCATCACTGACAAGCGAGCCAGTAAAGGGTCAGAGTCAGAGTCAGCGCCGACATTTGACAATGACACTTCAATTACACCTTGCTGAGTCCATTTCATAGAATTGCCAACAAGACCCATAACAATTCTTCTCCAAGCACCAGCTACCGAGTGTACCTTCCATGAATTCTGGGTATCGATTCGAACGACAACATCAAGATTATCCATGTCTCTGGCGTTTGATGAGCGGTTGGCGTAACTCAAAAATACTTCGGCTTCAGACTGGGGTTTATTCTTATCCCCCGTCGTTTGCGAGGTATACAATATTCCAGACACGTCCTCTATGAGAGTGCCCAAGTCCACATTGGTACTTAGCTTTGAAATGGTGTCCTTTGGGTTGTCACCGCCTCTCAGGTTGTTGATCTTGGTGAAGTCCAGGCTAGAGAACGCTATTAGCTAAGAAACTCACAAGTACTGGAGGAAAGCTTACAGATGGTCCAGCACGTCTAATAGCGTTAAACCGCAGGATTCAATAATCTTGAGCATATCTGCTTGAGCCGGCTCAAGCTTCGTTCCCTGCAGAAGTTCAAGGCTACCAAGCAATCCGTGAAGTGGCGAACGAAGTTCATGGCTAATGGACGAAATGAAATCGGACTTCGACTTTTCCGCCGCATCCCATTCAGCTCTGGCAACTTCAGAAATAATTGAATTGCTGAATACCCTGAAGAACCCCAGCTCTTCCAGGCCCAGGACACGCTGAGGTTTGACTGTCCAGACCAGCGTTCCCGCGAGCCAGCGTGACTTGTTCCAATCCCAGAGTGGAATGAACAGAACCGACTCTGCATCTGGAAACTGTGTAGCTAGCTGCGAACTAATATCATGAAGATTTTGCGATGCTGCGGACTGGTTTTCCTGAATTTCAGCGCTTGTGTCAAATATCTGTCCATTTGGATAGGCTGCGATCATCTTTTTCAGGAGGACTTCCGTCAACGTGACACTGGAATTGGTGCTGGTGTCGGCTTCTGACGAGGCTCTAATGGCACATCCAAAGGTATTGCACAGCTTTTCCGATCTTTGCGATGATTCTCCATCGCGTGGGCGAGGTGTTCCATCAATGGATTCACTAAGACAGTCAGAGAGTTTGTTCGCATGATAGAGTCAAGAGTACTAACATTCCAGAATTGCTTTGATAGGCATCCATGAATACCACCCCAGCAAGGTCCATAGAATCCCTGAGGATAGCACTGGCGCGAGTAAAAATTGAACAAATTCGCCTGGAGATGGCTACACTCGACTGAGCCTGTGATGTGCGAGAATCGGTATCATCAGTTGCGGGAGGATTCTCTTGTTGTGGTGTCATTGCCATGAGTTGTCCAAGACTGGAAGGCAAAGAAGTGATTTCAGTATTTTCGGACATGTCAGTGCGAGAGGTTAATAATGACTCTTCTGTGGTCCTCGATGACCCCAAATCCATGACAGCCTGTGTCGACGGCGCTCCATCATGATCGCTATCATCAGCTGACTTGTTGCGAACCGGAAGACCAGAGAGTGTGGCAGTTGATTCTGCTGAGTCGCCATCAGGGTCTGCACTGTTGCTGACAAAATCAGTCACTCCTTTGACCAATTTCTCGGCTCGACGGTGGAAATGCACGATTCGTGCGTTTTCGAGATGCTGAGCAATGGCATCCGCCATTTCCTGCAATAAAGCAACCTCTTGATCCCCAAATACATCGCGCGGCTTGTCGTCTACCACACAATAAGAACCCAACACATGCCCCGATGCGCTGAACAAAGGCACTTCCGCGTAGAATCTCATATGTGGCCAACCAACCACGTAAGGACGATTCCTAAAACATTCCTCGTCGGCAAAGTTCCGGATAATGTAACGAGTAGTGTTGGCTGTTATGTTCGGGGTATCCACCTCCAACGAAGTGTCCTGGGCAGTAAACAACTTGATTGTTTGCGGGCACACTCCCCAAGCAAGATTCAGCGTTCTGAATCCTAGATATATGCCATCATTCGGCAGATGTTGGTCGCTATGCCGTAAGGATATGGACGCGGTAGTTTCAGCCAGAAGGTGTTGGTTTTCTTCATCGATAATGGAAACAAACGATCGACTACACCCAAATCGATAGACGCCCAGTTGGCTCAGGGCGTTTAGTGTGACATCGGGGGAGAGGTACGCAGCACCGGGCTGCTCGTCACCCACCGGGGCATCCCGACCGGACGATTCATGTGTATCATGTTCTTTAAACGTGCAATAGTACCTAGAAATGGGTCAATTGCGACCGAACAGGAATCCTTCAAGAAGAAGGCAAACAAGATGCGATCAGATCCAATGCGTACTTTGATAATTCTCGGATGCGATCGCGCTCCGATTGAGATGGCGGGGGATGCTGCGGCCCACGCGCAGCCAGCAACGCCATAGTCTTTTATGTGAGAAGGGGAATTGTATAAAAGATATTTAGGTCATTTTCCAGAATAAGAAATCCATCAATACACACTTTGAATGATATGCTGAAAGCGCAGTCGGTGTAAAGATTGCATCTCCATGCTTGATTCCCGAGTGCGACTGCGCTGCAACATGATTGGCTATACGACATTCATCGATCAGGTTTTCAAAATCTTAGTAATCTACACATCGGGTACGTACTATCGGATGTCCTCAATTGTTTTCAAGTGCAATAGACAGGTAGGAATTCGGTTAGGAGCTCTATGGAAAGGAACAAACTCATCCAAAATAAGGAAGTTCCACCTGCTTCATGCACTGTGCACCCCCACCTGAACCTTCGTTACCCCGGAGTACGTTACAACGGTCAGCCTGCTTGAAAAGAATCCTTGATACAAACATGGTAAGGTATTACAATGTACAAGATACGTTTTGGTTGAGCACTTAAGCGTGATCATAGGCAGACTTGTGTGCATATCCATGATGTATAAGAAGTTTCTACCAATCTCAGAGGTTAGGGCCCCGGAGTTGGGTGCGAGGGGTGGTCGGCCTTGCGATATTCCGAAGTTCTAGATTTTTATAGTTCGTACTTGGAAATAATTGAACAAATGGTCGGTCTCGGAAGTGCGTGGACTGGGAAATCCAAGGTGGCATCTAGAGATATACATTTGTATCCATAGACATCTTCTTGTAGGAGACAAGAATCTATGACCTACCTACATGGCTCCCCTCGAGAGCACTCTGCACCTTATCCAACACGTTGGAGACCGGAGCACCTGGCTGACCATCTATAGAACCATCCCCCGAGTTTCACCATAAGAAGCATGTTAACGTATACTTGATCAGGTATATGGAATCTATCGAGAGTTGCACGTAATTGCAAACTCAACTAAGATTCGCATCATCAGGCCAAGTGGATGATGAAAGACTTAAGTGTAATTCAAGGTGGAAGTTGGGACTTTCCGAGATTGGAAATACGGAAAACTGCACTTCCCTTTATATAGTTACATGGAGCAAACGATTGGGCGATCAATTTGACATCATCCAATATAGCAGAGCACTCAAACCAAAATATGTAATCATAATTAGGTCACAGTCCTGTAAACGTGTTACTATTCCTGTCTTCAAGCCATAATGACCGGTTGGGGTAGTAATGAACCCGACGATCAAGGATGACGTCGTGTGATATCAGAGAGTGATCTGCCACAACATAAATATCGCTTGTTTCCAGCACTCGATGTTTCCGTCTACACCTAACAGAGCAGTCAAACTATATTATCATAAGAAAAACAACTTTCACTCTCCATCACAATGGATACCGTCAAGGTTCGTGCATGTACTGAACCCTGTCTTGACACGACCTAACATGGATACAGAACGCCGCCAACTACGTTGCCGAGACCGTGCAGGGCACTGGTGCCGAGGCCTCCAAGGAGACCAACAAGCAGGTCGCAAAGGACGGTGATGCCAAGATCACCACTCGTGCCACCGCTGCTAAGGATGCTCTTGTCGACAAGAAGGACGAGAAGTCACACGATACCAAAGCCGACGTTCATAAGGGTGAGCCAATTTGCTGAAATCTACATGGCCGTTTGCTAAAAATCTTGTAGAACAGGTTAAGCACTAAATGCGACGGATTGGTCTTGAGTCCATGTCGCAGTTGCTATTTGGTATCCCCGCGGGTCGGGCACGGGGCTTATGATTGTGTCATATATACCACAAAGACATCATTTACGATGCGTTCAATGCAAATATTCCTTTCGAAGAACCACATATACTCCGTACCACCGGAAAAGTACGCGGCAACTACTTGATAGAGATCTCACGTTCCGAGATGTATCAGCATATATGACGTCAGGACGGTGCACGATCGGCAATAAGTCGGATAACATTTATAGATGCTGACTGGCCCCCGTCAACCCCCACCGATGTCACGTCTATGGGAAATTTCGAGAAAGCCACAGTGGATCAACGGGTGGAGGGAGCGTCTGTCCCGAAGACAACACAATTGGACTTTAGCAAGGGGTAAAGCGCCCCGCCATGCTTTAACTGGTGGGTGAGTCTACCGATGCCTCCCCAAATATGGAGTTACGGTACATGCAGCAGCACATTTATGGTACTGAGCAAGACTTAATGTTTCTCCTACCCCTCCTATGATATTTCCTGCTCAGCTTTGCAATCACTGCTCTTGCCATCACTCGGACTTCACCACAAATGTTTGGCAATAGGTACGGTGCACACCTTGAAACGTGAGTGCAGGCTAATTGTGCAGACGGAATTCCCAGAAGCCCGGCGAGGGTCTTATCAATAAGTTCCAGGCGACATTTTCTGATATCGTCCGACCGACCAAATGCGACCCCCCTGAGTATGTTTTTTACTTTAACGTGATGCTAGCGACGTCTATCCTTATTATATCACGCTCCAGGGCACTATGAGTCTTAGCTAATGTGCCGTGTATCACAGACCCGCGGGGAATGATGAGCCAAACCATCTGTCTGCCCGGGGCACTCCGGGTCTTCGCTTCACGCCATTGCTGAACGACCAATCTGGTCTCCGATTTACGCCGTTCCTTGATGACCATTCAGTTCTCACACCGAGTACAAACCACCCTTATCAAAATTACAATCCTGGCAGCTTGAACACAGTCTTCCATGGCCCGGCCGGAGACCTGCACACACCACTCATGGAGTCAAACCTGATGACACCAAAAACGCTTCTTGAACAATTTGCGGTCACTCCTCTACATAGAAATAACATCGACCCATTTCATGATACTTCAAACACGCAATACTTCGCACAAGAGCCCCAAACTATGTCTCCTGGCAATCAGAATGCTGCGTATCCACCGAGCGCATTCGTTCACTCCCATGTAGCCGATACTGCTGCCACTGGAGCTGACGAAGCAACCTTTCTGAACAACGTCGATAATGGAGGAAAACTGAATTCCCAGCTTGTCACCCCCCAATACAGCAATCCACCGGAGAACTACCCAAACCATGAGGATCACCAGTAAGATTCACTCCTGCATGTAGCGAGGACCAGAGCTAAGGGTTTTCTAGGTTTAGGTATCAGGTGACATTAAACACGCCGACAGCCATGGTGAATGATCCGAAACACCCACCTATCACATATCTCAACAAAGCTCAAATATACCCTCTTTCCGTTGTCGATTCTCGGCCGCCGTTGACCAACGAAATCGTCAGATATCGAACCTGGATTCGTGTCACGTTCGACGATGATGAACAAGCTTCAAATCCTGCCGCTTCTTGGGCCCTGTGGAAGGAGGCTCGGGGACATGAAGCGTATCGAAAAGACGGCAACCTGTATGCTATTGAGTTTGTTGGCCTATTCCAAGAGAATGAAGGTCAAACCTGTGATCATATCCAACTTGAAAAGATATCGCTCGACGGATTTTGTGTCACGTGGTACTCAGACCCAAGCACAGGAAGACAAGGCTGCTCAATGGGAGTCCGGTTCCATTTCCTTTCAACAGACTTCAGCCACACAAAGGGTGTTAAAGGGGCTCCAATTAAGCTATGCGCCAAGACTGAGACTCTCGCTCCAGGCCCTGCTGAGATTAGCTATTGCAAAGTCAAACTGTTCCGTGAACATGGGGCTGAGCGGAAAATGTTCAATGACGTTTCTCAGCTCAAACGAGCAATTGAACGACGCAGGCAAGATTTCGTCAAAGCCGAGAGCGGGGGTGAACACCTTGGCAAACGAAAACGAGGAAGTCGCAATGTACTTTATAAGAGTGACAAGGAGATCGAAGATGAGAGGAGAGATCAACTGCAAAGAAACTTGGACGAGGAATTGTCCATGATGCAAAACAGATTCTATTCCAATCGATCTGTGACCACCTTCTGTCTTCGCGGCAGTGTGAAGGATGATCCTGATAGGTTCCCAATCACCAGAGAGGATGGCGAAACGCAAAAAGCAGACCGATTCGATCAAATGACTCTGCAAACCTTGACACCTCCGTCAACATTACGCAGCGTGTCGAGAAATTTGTCATATAATTCGACAGATCACCGCTCACCTAAAGCCCACCAAGAAATGTTCCCGCTCATTCCGGACTTGTCTATGGGACGAGCTAATGCGGCATGTATCAATTCAAATACCAAAGCACCAGGTAAGCATTTGCCCAACCCATTTTTAGGACACACTCTGACTTGTATATAACCAGTTGCATGTTTTTACCTCCGCTTCCAGAAAAGCGAAACAGAGAAGGATGACTACCACACGGCAGTGTATCTAACAGAACGCACTGCGAAGGAACTGATGGCGAAGATAGCCCACAAACAGCGCTTCAGTCAAGATCATATAGTGCACCTGTTCCATGTCAAAAATGGAATGAAAATCATCATCGATGATGATGTAGTACAGCGGATCCCGGATGGTCAGGATATGATCGCTGAAGTGTCTGAGATCTCGAGCAATACGGCTACAGGTGGTGGTTCCACCATCGAAGTTAGATTAGACTTCTAATTAACCTCCGCATAAGCCCTCAGCTTGGTCGCTTTTGGCATTCCCCCCACTATCTGTCAATCAGTGGATTGTGTTATCTTTTTTTCGATGTGCGCACTGATTTGATGGATTAAAAGCGCCTGGTTCATTGCGGGCTAGTGGTCGATGTTGGTTGTGCTCATATCGACTATGATCATCAACTCTGAGACAATGCATGGACAAGGAATCAACAATGTTCAGAATTATAGAGTACATGCTGGGACTACTCATTTACGTTAGTGGGGCTTTTAAGCAGAGCCAGCAACACAGTAGTCGTCGGAAGACGGTCCGGTCCGTGCCCTGCCACACATTACTGGCAAGACCATGGACGTGGAGTCTACCAAGATCTCTTCAGGTTTGAAGATCGAGAATGATGATTTAAAGTTCCCCGCTGTGATTGAGTAGAAATGATGTCATCTGAACTGGTCGACAAGAAGCCATAAGTCTGTTCACAGTGCTACGAAGTATTAGACAGATCCTCTACAAGATCCTCGAAGTAAAAGTGCCATTTCATTCATTACTTGTGCTTTAACAGGTACAAGGAGAGTATTGCGAGGGAATAACCAGTGTACAAGAGATAGAAGTAAGATATAGGTGAAAGTGAAGTGAATGAACAGTAAGAAGATAGTAAAAAAGATAGTTAGAGTATAGTAGGTTAATGATGAGTAGAAGCGAAAAAGGAATTCTAAGAAACATATCTTATCAATTTAGGATAGACTACGTCAAGCTTACCAGAGTATCTAGTGATGTGATTCAGTATAGTCTACAAAGTAGCAGAGATAGGGAACTATAGGTAATCGGTATCTTCTATGGATTCTTCTATTTCTAAACACATAGAAAGGATTACGATGACAAACCAGTGGCACTGGGCATTTTAAGGTTTCATTGCTTCTTTCAGTTGCTTGATGCGCAATGCAGCAATTAGGGTGGTTGTCTAGACTATATGTCATCCGAGGAAATAAACACAAATAGTAGTGGAAAGAATTCCCCCCGCATATCTCATTTTATTGATTCGAAACACGACCTTGAAGATGAATGTAACACTGGCCCTAGACACTTTTGCGTGGCGGACATCTTCCGTCAGAAGAGTGTCGAGCGTATTTCGGTTATCTATTATCCCGAAAACAATTCCATTGCCCCTATCAATTCGTTCCAGAGGGGATCTTTCTGAATAGCAATATTTCCTTCCCCGGTCATGACCTTGTATTCAGCGGGAGAAGAGGTTCCATATGAATACCCCTCTGTACCACGAATGAAGGCGACAAGGTCTCTTATCCATTCCGACATTAATTTTTGTTCCGCAGGAGTCGGGCCGTGCATGAGAGAGTAGCTGAGACAGAAGTCAGAAGATCTGAAGACATTAACAGAATGACTAACCGGGAACTTACTTCCAAATAGGACGGTCCATAGCATGAGTGACTCCAAAGGAAGCCGGTGCCACCTTCTCCGTGATAAACGAAAGTCGATAGGCAACCATATAGCGCCAGATATTTGCCATATCAACGCCATTGTCTGCAAGCATCTTGACCAGATAACGCGACGGCGCCCTGACCTGACCATCGGCAATAATTTTCCCAAATAGCTTCGCCCAGTCTTCCTTGCTCTCCGAATTTGGAGGCTGATAGTGTTGGAGAAGCCTGATAGTCGTTGAAGGAGGGTAGTAGTTTGTAATTTGTCGTTGGAGGGACGCGAAGTTTGGATCTGGGCCATTCGTGGCCGCGTATAGGGTATCTTCGTTGAGAACCTCGCCAATGAAGAGGCGCAGATTGCGTCGTTTAAACTCTTGTGCAAAAGAACCATCTCTGCAGTATTCGAAGATTCCAGGTTTGATAAAAATGTCATCTGTCACTGGACGAAACGTGTGGTTCTCGAGGTCCATTATTCCAGCGCATAGATCTTTGGCGCTTATCCCGCGTAAAAACTGAAACTTTTCTACCACACTCGAAGAGGAAGGTACTTGAAAGTATCGGCAAACTTCTTCAAACTGGGATTCGCATTCTTTCGTTGTTTTTGGTTGAGTTGGAATGGCGTTGGAATACATGACTAAAGATCGGAAGTGATCACTTCCGGCAGACCTGAAATCATACAAAGCCTGAGCGAGAACTGAATAGGCGCCAGCACTACGTCCTGCAAAGTGAATATTGCTGGAATCTCCTCCGAATGACTCAACGTGCTTATAGATCCAGTCGATCGCGAGGCGCTGATCCCACAGTCCATAGTTGCCGGTAGACTCCCCATTCGACTCTTCGAGGAGAGCGTGGCCAGCCAGGAAGCCAAAAATGTTGAGTCTGTACCCCACCGCAATAAAGACAGATTGCAAATTGCCAGTGGAAATGAGCTCCGTCGGATCCATGCTGGCCTCCTGGCTAGGGTCTCCAACCTGGAACCACCCACCGTGGAACCAGATCATCACGGGCCATTTTTTGTTTGGGTTGGAGGGATCAGGAACCGGTGTCCAAATATTCAGTCGAAGGCAGTCCTCGTCATACAAATGTTCTGGGATATGTTCGCTGACCACTTTCGAGTAATTTGGTTGAGGACACACGGGGCCAAACGCTGTGGCATCGTATGGATGGACGCCATCGGAGGATGAGTACCTATGGGTGTCCGGGAAAGGCTGGGGCTTTCTCCATCTCAGATCACCGATGGGAGGCTTTGCATAAGGGATACTTGCAAATCTCCGTGACTTGTCATCAAACTGAAGGCCATTGATTTGTCCTCGATTTGGAATGACGACTTGGCAGTCTCTGGTGGTGTAAGAGATAGAATTTCCCATGGTAGCAGTTTCAGATAGGAAGAAAAGAAGAAAGAAGAGATGAGAGGGGACTGTCTTCCATATGGGAAAATCCAATGTCACTCATCAAGTGACTAGTTAGGGTTGTGTCGGAGACAGGTCAAAGTGGATACCACGCGTGATTGGTCAGATTAATCGACGAGATAAATGGCGAGTGACTCCGCGCCTCCTTTTTTACCTTTGACAACCTTGATATGAAGTACACTACATACGATAAAGTCGATAATGGGATTTAGATTGTAACTGTTGCTGTTATCTCATGGATGAGATTGCTAAAGTTCGCCGACGTCGAACTGAGCGTGGACCGCGGTCCAAAAACGGTATCTACTCACGCCCCGGACGCTGCAGAACGAGTTGTGTCTGACTGTCTAGACCAGGCTGCCGTACGTGCATTCTCAGGAAGGTAAAATGTGACGAGTACCGTCCACAATGTCAGAGCTGCGTCCGCCTCCAACTAGAGTGTGAATGGCCCCCCCAGCCGCCCTCCCTATCTTCAAGAAGACGGGGCATCGGCCCTATCAAGACACGAGATGCCTGGGCTCCTCAAACAATTCTTCCCAAATCACTCAGTGGAAGTAACTTGAGCCGCTTTCCCCAGGTTGGTGAGAGAAGCGGTGGCGAACTTACATCGCCAGTATCTCTAGGCAACGCCCAGGATCATTATCGCCGAAACGTGCAATTCAGTACGGTCGACCTACCTTCGCCTGATTTAACTGAAGGTGACACAAGTCAACTAATTGGCTCAGAGTCGCCCATAAATACGGCTGTAAATGATCAATATGCGGAATTTCCAATCTTGTTTCCTCTACAGTCGTTCTCATCACACCATTTCCTAGCCGGTGCGGGAGCTGTCTTATTTGCCAGCGACAGAGCGGTCGATCATGCTCCTTCACTCGGAAGCAATGATTCACAGGCCATACTGTTCCATCGCACTGTGTTCGCGCCCCTCAAGTCCACCCGAAAAGCAACTTCATCGGCACACTGTCTGTTCCTTGACCTCGCACTACAAAATGCCATGTCTCTTCATTTCCTTCTCGCTGTTTCTCATAACGAGCTGGCTTTACACCTGGGCTTTTACAGGCAGCCACCCCAGGAGGCATGGGTTCATCTACAACACGGCTCGAGGATCTTTCTACAAGCACTCAACCCTTTGGCTCCATTAAACCATGTAGGCACTATGCTGTCTTTCTTATATATGTACATGTTCTGGATGCGCCACAATCCCCTCAATACACGAAAGCTACAGGATCTGAGTGCTTCAGTTCTAAATTATGTCAAGAATTACAATCTGGATGAGCTATGCGCAGATTCCAGCCCCTCGGTGCCCGATGCTGTGCTCCTTTCACGGATTCTCACGTATCTCTACGATCGAGACGGATTTTGTGGCTTCTTCGGCTGCGGAGGCTCTTTTGCTAGCTACGTCAGTGAGAATGTTGAGAAACGGCAGAGGATCTGGCACTTGTCGAGGTCCATTTTCACATTCTCAGACGAGCAAACCATTTCACTACGCATGCCAGGCATTCAAGGTCCCCCCAAGTCCTATATTTTGAACGTTTACTTTGAATTGATCGCCATTCATCATGACATCAACCAATATAGTCAGGCTGCTGAATTTCAGACATTGGAAGCAGTGAGAAAAATTAAACGTAATCTTGCCTGGATACAAGAGGTAAGTTTCGACCTGTCACTTCGGATTCTCATCCCTAATCTCATCCAGCAACACAAATTTCTACGGCATCTTATTGCGAGTTGTAGAAGAGAAATGTCTTCGCCCCCTCTCATGGCCCTGGTGACCGTCACATTCTTCTATGCCATCCAAGTATACTTCCATCGCAGTCGTGACTTACATTTCGGCCAATTCCCCGTCACAGCCGAATTCCACTGTACCCTGTCCGAGCTTATTGCTGCAGCATACTACACTGTTGCGACAGGGCCGGTACAACTCCTCGAGCGGTTTCAATGGTCTCTTCTCATAGCTGGAATTGAGACCTTCGACCCAATCCATCTAAACTGGATTTCAGCCACGATTTCGGATCCTGTCTTGAGAAACATACTTTCTTTAGTCAAGGAGACCCAAAGGTTACACAGCGTCTCAATGGAGGAAATCAGACATATCATCCGCACAGTGTCCCACGGTGATCTCGGAAGCAACCTTGAAACTCCTGTAATCTAGCGACGAACTACCTACTATTCCTATGAAGACAATCGATATATGTTCATGTCTATAGTCAAAGCCCGAGAGATTAAAACAATGTCTACCTTGCTGAAATCATCTACAGCATGTTACTCTGGAACATGAAGCGATAAGTCTGTAGCTTGAAAAACTAACACTGCTATCAAATAGCTATCATGTAAACCAACCGTGTCTAGGCTCGAATTACTTTGCCACTAGTGAAGCCGATACTTACTGCATATGGTCTACTAATTTTCTAGATTCTCTTGGCACTCGATTAATCTGGCCAATCACTACCAGTTGTCTATCAAGGACAAGTGCGGAGTCCAGATTTAACAGCCGATCTGTTCATTCATAGCGGGTGGTTGTGGTTGGTTTCCCCGTTATCTGGCTCCTGTGGACCTCTTTCCCCGGGTTCTTATAAGATTTACATGCCACCCCTTGCTTGCTAAACATCACATCAATCGCTTTGCCCAAGCTCCTTGTTTATTACTTTCGAGGTGGCTTTGAGCCATACCCCAACCTCTCATCATGGACACAAAGGATCTTTGCAATGAAAATGCAGACACCAAAACCGATATGACCAAGGAAACTTTATCTGCTGTAGAATCCGGCACCACAGACGCCCTTGATCCAGCAGAAGAGAAGAGGTTGATCAGGAAAATCGATCTACAGTGACCTGACCCCTCTTCCTCCTAGACGAAACTCAATCTGACTTGGCTTCCAGCCTCATGCCGATCTTGATAACCGCTTACGGATTTCAATACCTTGATAGTATGTGAGATTCTCACCAGGATATCTTGTTAACATACCTAATCCATGACAGAAACCAGTCTTGCATACAGTGCAATTCTCGGAGTTCGAGAAGACCTTGTATTTCCCCCCGCGATAACAAAACTTCCTGACCACGCGCTGACTGCGAACAGAGTCTTGTTGGCCAACAGTATAGTTGGACTTCGAGCATTTTTTACATTGGCTATCTCGTTGCATCCTACCCAATATCGCTCGGCTTCATCCGATTCCCACTGGGTAAATATCTCAGCGTTTTAATGTAAGCTTGCATGGTTTTCGTTGGAGCTTGGTGTCAGACTAAGAAGTACAGATTCCTCTGGGGTGTTGTTCTGACGCTCCACGCCGTGACAAATAACTATGCCAGCCTCATGGCACTTCGTACCCTTCTCGGTGTTTTCGAGAGTGCTATCAGCCCTGGATTCTCTCTTATCACTGGAATGTGGTACACTCCTAGAGAGCATGTCTCACGACACTCTATCTGGTTTGCAGGGAATGCGATCGCCAGTATTATTGGCTCTCTCATTGCCTATGGCCTTCTGAATTACGAAGGAAGTATATCACAATGGAAGGTTCGATATTTACCCTCCACCATAAAGCTCCATGGCTAATCTCATTAGCTTCTCTTTCTACTGTTCGGTCTTATTACGGTCGCATGGTCGGTCGTGACATTTTTCTATTTGCCTGACTCTCCACAAACGGCCAGGTTTCTCTCGGCCTCTGAACGTGAGTTCGCTGCGCTACGTCCGTATAAGTTCCAAAGGACTACGCAGACCAAATCGTGGAATCGCGCACAATTCATCGAGAGTCTGACAGACATCAAGTCATGGTGGTTCTTCTTCTTCTCGTTCGTCATTTGCGTGCCAAATGGAGGCACCACCAGCGTAAGAGTCATCTCTACATACCAAGTACCCATCGCTAACAGAAAGTACAGTTCAGTACTCTCATCATCAATGGCTTTGGCTACGATAAATTTCAGACAATTCTCATGGGCCTCCCAGCCTCTGGTTTCCAACTGGTCACAGTCATTCTATCGGCCGTCCTCACTTCGGTAATTCGAAAGTCACGTCTGATTATGCTCGTCTCCATCTTCCTTCTAGCAATGACTGGAATTCTCATGGTGAAGCTCTTACCTACCGATGAGAAGATTTCCCGACTCGCTGGTTTCTGGCTTGTAACCGCGGTTGCTCCGGCATTTCCATTGATGCTGTCACTCGCAGCCAGTAATATTGCAGGCTTCACCAAGAAATCGACCGTTATGGCCTTGATTTTCTTGGGCTACTGTGCCGGCAATTTGAGTGGACCGCAATTCTTCATCTCAACGGAAGCACCCAACTATCATGTATGGACAGCCCAGCTCCACGTTTCAATTAACCTCGGGACCATCGCTGACAATTTTTCTCTCAGACGGCTTATACTACGATTTTGGTTTGCTATGCAATTACAATCGGTCTCATAGTCGGCTTCAGGTTCTATCTTATGTGGGAGAACGCTCGCCGGGATCGGGAGCAGGGCGTCAAGATTGACCCCGAGGAAGTTCGGCAAATCAACCTAAGTTCAGATGAGGATTTACTCCATGTGGATGAGACAGACATTCAGAACAGGAGCTTTAGATACATTCTATAAGCATTTCTCGATATTTAGTGGCACATATTCAATTTTGATGAATTTCGTGATAGGCTTGGGATCATGCCGACCGAACACATATTTCTTGCACTGATGACTTGATTGATGTGAACCTATTGTCATAGCAAGACGGCAGACCCCAGTAGTCATAAGCGTTATAGAATGCGATGTATCACTTATAAGAGCTATTGCAAGGATCTCCACACAAAGACCAGATCCAAAACATACAGTAGCGAATTTTAGTCAGTGTTAGCCCCCGGTCAGATGTTAAGGAAGGGCCATTCCGCTTGGCCGTCTAGAAGACTGATAACCTTGAGGCAGCTGCCCGTGACGAATGCATTCGCTAGTCTCACGCTAAAAGATGACCGAGTAGGCGATTAGGCCCAAACCTCCAATTAAACGTCCTCCAGGTGGCCCCCACTTGACCCCTCGGCCTTTGGCCTTTGTCGCCTACGAGACGCTTACACCCGACGAACTATAAAACAGCAACTTATAAGATAACCAGCAACCCTTTTCATCTTTCTGACATACTTCGCATGTATATCAGCATCGAAGCATTCATTCCCTGTATACGCATTCCACAATGCCAGTCACAGAAATCGCGCTCCTCCGCCTGAATAAGGAAGTCCTCCTCCTTTCCACCAAAGCAGGTCTTGTGGGAGCCCAAGAAGCACAGTCTAGACATTCAAATTATCAAGTGCACCTTCTACGTGAAATTGAGGATCCGGCTTGCATTTACTTGTTAGGCGGGTGGGAGTCGATTGAAGAGCACATGAACGATTGGATACCTTCCGAGACCAATCAGACGTTGCTTCAGAAATTGAGAGGTGACCTTGAGGTGAAATGGATGTTTCATCTGGATATTGAAGTAAGTCACAGGTGTTTATGCCACGAACTAGGCCTCTCAACGTATTTTCGTGCTTGACATGTGTTCATGTCAACTAAACTAGTGCAAACTGACATTCCCAGCCATCAACCTCTCAGATTCCACTTGACGCTCCGATTTTAGCTATATGCAGATACTTCGTTGATCCCAAGAACAAGGCAGAGTTTGATAGTGTCCTTAAGGCCGCAGTCCCTCATTTAGGGGCATACACGGCACTTTTTACCCATGACGGTGGATGGCGCATTGACAAGGAAGGCGATGATGATGAATATGTGCATTTCAGTGGCTGGAATGAAGTGAAAGATCATGTTGGATTCGGAGAATCTGAGGGTCTCAAGGAGTTTGGAAAGATCAAGGGGTTGGTCAAAGGGGTGGAGATTAGGCATGTGCGTAGTGAGAAATGGCTATGAATTAGGGGTTGAAATCTGTACTTCGATGAGGGGAATATGAATTTTTGATATCGTATGGAAAAACTTCAATACACTAATATCACCATGGATCATGAAATAAGATGTCTTTTCGGTCTTTGTCTCTAGACAAAGCCGCTCGATTCTATGGACCCTACGACCCTACGATATAATTTCAGCCACCCTTCCAGGATTTTTCTTCACTTCCTTTCAAGTACAATCTCAGGTACTGGTTGATGGCGGAACAGTGCCTATGGATTACTTTAGGCGCTTGACTGGACAATTCGCGACAGAGCTGCCGGCCAATTCTAGCTATCGACAAGATCCATGGTATCTTAAAACTTCATTCAATGAACCCTGCCGCGGTAACCGCCCACCGGCAGGCTGTTGTTCTGATTGATTTCAACGGCTGCCTCGTGAAGTGGGATTTCGGCTCCGAACCACCTTAGATGACACACTGAATGTTCGCATCACCTCTTACGTGAACGATCTACACCCTTCAGGTCATATGGCCTTATATACACACCTTTAAAAGCTTATCTTCCGCTCTATTCCCTCCTGGAACGAGATAATTTTCCATGGGAATGCGGGCGGTCTTGATCCCGCCTCGTATTCTCACTTGTGGATGTGAAATCGGCAACTTTCATGAAAAAGAGGGTGTTTGGAAATGCTGGCCGGGACCCTTTCTCGATGAGAGGATGATTTCCAAGTTAAAGGCAGAGAGACAAGAAGTGCGATGAGATCCGCGAGTATATCCGAGGGCCGGAGGCCCCTGTATGAAAACAGGCAAGACTCCTACCAGACCAACCGGCCAATTTACTGGAATTATACACTCCCGAGGAATGGAAAATCCTAAGAAATGTACATCATGCTATAAGCTTCAAACAAATGCGTCGGGCCACCTTGAGCATGGAGTATCATTTCGTACGAGCAATGGAAGCATGGCCGCTTTACCAGTCAAGCTATTGTGCCACAAAAGGGAGGCAACAATGCACCTGACCCGCTTCATCACGATCATGTTCCGGTGTGCCTCGAGAAGTTTCAGCACGATGGCTTGCAGGTAATCGTCCAGATTTCACGTATTGACCTAACCCTTAGAGAACTCGAAATACTTCTCCGAAGTATTTCGCTTCGAAGGGCTGCGCAATGGTAATATCGCCGCGATGACTCTGTACGTGGTAGAGGCGAAAACATCACACAAGCCCGATTATCATTCCAGCAATAGGATAGAGTACATGGAATTGAGCTGCACAGTGACGTGTGGGAGGCGATTACGAAAGTCCTCGACCTTGAAGACTGGAACCCCAACTTTGCTGAATGTTTTGATCCACTGGTCCCTGGTGTGTACACCTTCGGCTCTGTTCCACTTACCGAGGGTCGCCTTCTGAGTTGGCCCAACACGCTGCGCTCCAAACAAGAACCTTTCAATCTGTTGGAGCCATCTGAGCCAGGGAATTTGACTGTTATCAAGCTCCGGTTAGTTGATCCTCTTTATCACATTTGCTCTACCCGAAATGTGCCACCGCAGCAGCAGCACGAATGGACCCCGGGGGCGTGAGGCATCAAACTTGGACCCCCAGCTACCTCAGGAGCTAATGCATCCGGCGATGAACCAGATGGACCATTGTCCCATATATATAGGCATTTTGGTTTGCCTGATAGATATGTTGTTTCCTCCAACACCCAAATAGCACCAACATACGTGCAAAATTGGATCTATGAGTTGCACCAATAAGCTGTATTTTTCTCTTTATAAGCAAGTTTGGGGATAAGTTCAGTGAAATGATGAGACTCAAAGGATATACATCAAATGGTTTAGATGTCACAATCAAAGCAATATGATACAAGGGTTTTACTTGGAATCTGCTAGAAACAAACCCCTGCAAATTTGGGCTTAGCGTGATCGCGTCAATTTGGACGTCAGCTTACCATCGCCCTGGTCAAGACTGACCACCTCAGACCATTATGGAGGAAAAGAAGCAAACCAAGACATCTCCACCTCAAGCATCGCCCCGGAGAGCCATCTTATGGGTGGCAACAGTCATCGGGGCGGGCCTGTTGCATTTCGGTGGATTCCTACCCCAGAGGCGCTGGGCCTCCCCGGGCGATCGTCAAGCCCAGTCGCCCTACGGAATATTTCCACAAGAGAAGGATCCATTCCAGTTCATTCCATGTACCAACACCAGTCGTCCACCGCCACTTGATGACCCTACTCCACGGCAATCATGGGCCGCTCTTTTCGACCCAAGTCCCAACCACTGGAGCTGGGGGAGCGAGGGCGGAATCTACCTGTGTGGATATCTAGATCTTCCCCTGGATTATCACAACTCCTCAGACCATCGGATTGTTCGAATTGCAGTAACCAAGTTCCAAGTCGCCGGTTTGGCCCGTATTGAGAAAGCCGGTATTTCACCTCTCAGTCGCAGGAGTGAGCGCACCATCATCATCAACCCGGGAGGTCCAGGAGGCAGCGGAACCTCTTTTCTATGGGAGACCGCAGAGGAAATGACCAACCGCTTCAGTGATGGCACACTCGATGTGCTGGGATGGGATCCCCGCGGTGTGAACTTCTCTCTCCCCGCCGCAGCATGTTTTCCCCAAAATAGCCTACGGGACAGATGGTCACTCCTAGCACTGAGATACCGCGAGGAAGCCCCAAAAAGTCAGCTAGAGACTGCGGATGCCATGAATAATGCCACTTTCTTTGCCTGCCAGCAACGCCTAGGTGATTTCGGTCGCTTCGTCAGCACGGCGTTGGTGGCACGCGATCTCGATGAGATCCGAAAGGCACTTCATGAAGAAGTAGTCACTGGATACTTGGTCAGCTATGGTACGGGGATTGGCCAAACATATGTCAACATGTTTCCCCACCGAGCCGGTCGTATAATCCTCGATGGTACAGAATATGTCAGAGATCATCGCCTCCTAGGGGGGTTTGGCTGGACAGCTCTCGACAATACGACCGATGCGTGGCATGATGGATTCCTGGGGGAATGTGTCAATGCCGGTCCGAAATGGTGTGCATTGGCCAAGCCTGTTTCTAACCAGGACGGTCCCGTCACACTGACCCAGCTGGAAGCGCGCATGAACCAGCTGCTTGAGTCGCTCAAAGTCCGTCCTCAATCTGCGTACACGGAGACAGGGGGTCCATCTCTGGTCACTTATTCAGCACTCGTGGACAGGATTCTCTACCCGGCTATGTACAGGCCAATGGAATGGCCGCGCACGGCCCAAATGCTGGCTGAGCTCGAAGCAGGGAATGCAACATTGGCAGCGAAAGCTCTAGACACCTCATGGAGTGACTACTCTGCAAATCCATCATATTCTTTTATCCCGTCATCCAGTGAACTCGAACTTCTTGTGATATGTTCCGATGCATATGATGCACCCCTTCCCGACGGACTTGGCTGGTGGGGAAATTTGTGGGAAACTATGTCCACTCGCAGCTGGATTGCCGGTAATTCTCGGTTCTTCGCGGTTCTTCCCTGTCGATATTACAGGGAGTACTGGGATCGTCCTTCGGAAGTGTATCGCGGAGATCTCAACAACACTCTCAGGACACCTACCTTGCTGATCGCTTCGCCGTATGATCCTGCAACACCCTTGCGCAATGGAAGAAGGCTCCTAGCGGAAATGGGCAAAAACGCCCGGTTGATTGTTCATAATGCATATGGGCACAGCTCTAGACGTGACAGCTCAGACTGCACAGACCAAATCGCTAAGGCTTACATTCTAAATGGCACCCTTCCGAAGGAACAGGAGGTCCAATGCTATGCCAATAACAAGCCTTATGTTCCTGTTCATATCGATGAGAAATGAAAATATTTCACGTATCATGGATAAACAGCCTTTTAACAGGCTTCCTTGGTTGTTTACGATCACAAGTTTTGATTCTCTGTTGTTAGTAGAGCTTTCACTCCTCTCGATACAACTACCTGCATACAAACTCTGAGCTCCCTGTAAAATCAATCTTCAAGCAGCTCTGGCAGTCTATCAAGATTACCCCATGACTGAAATCCTCTTTGCCGTCGTTCTTCCCGTCTGCGTCATAGTCTTCGGGCTCTGCAATGACATGGATCCTACATTTGGTTTCAACTCCCACTTCGCTGCTCATGAAACACTAAAGTCTCTGCTTTGAGGTCAACTGGACCTTCTCACCATCTCGAGTTCCCCTCGTGGGTAAAATATTACCCCATTCGGAAGGTGACGGCGCATTGTGGGGGAACTGAACGCTTGGATCCGGAAGTAAGTCGCTCATTTTTTACTCCGTCAAGTAAAAAGAGCATCGGGTAGACGTTAGAACAAGGCATCCGACATGTCTCGGGTTACAACTGGGCAAGTATTCCCCTAAAGGACGCACTGGACTTTGTCCGATCTCGCGCGGGGCACTTGCTTCAGGATGTGTGATATGTTTGAGTTGACATCAGTTCAGGCAAAGACCCTCTCAACTATAGAAAGGATCCCATGTACCTAGATTTGCCTAGATTCTCTTCCTGGTCCATTCCAAAAGTGCAGTATAAAGCTCCGGGTTCTTACATTGGTCTTCCATCAGCATCTCCCACCATAATCAATATGGCACCCTCGACTCATTTCAAGCTGAACACAGGCGCTCAGATCCCTGCCGTGGGACTCGGTACGACAAAAGCCCTAGTTTCTGCGGATCTTAGCAGTTTTTTCTGACCATAAATAATAGGCACTTGGAGATCTGAACCTGGGCAGGTGCGCCAAGCAGTCTCCTTTGCCCTGAAGAACGGATATAGTCACATTGACGCATCATTGTAAGCATCCCATGTCTCTTTGGCAGCGCAAAGCTTTGGCTAATAAATCACAGGATCTACGGTGGGTTGTAGGAAAGAAAACCAAGCAAGATTTTGGGGTCTAATAGAATAGCTAGGGAACGAACACGAAGTCGGTCAGGGCATCAAGGATAGCGGTATCCCTGGCGGAAACATTTTCATCACCAGCTAGCTGTGGAACACCAATCATCCCAATGTCGCGGAAGGTCTCCAAAACACACTTGACGCTTTGGGCACGGACTACCTCGATCTATCCGTAAATTGAGCCTCTTCTTCTTTGGCCAGGCGAGGTTGATAGCACTGCTAACACAAACATTAGCTCATCTACTGGCCAGTTCGACTTGTCCCTGTAAGTTGCTCCGCTGTGTCCCTCCATCAGGGCATTTGCGTGGCTGACTTGTACGCACAGAACGAATCGAGCGCGCTTCTACCAGTCAATCCAGATGGTATACGCTCCGTCGACCGATCCTGGGACCAGAGTGAGACCTGGCGCCGGATGGAGGCGGTATACAAGGCGGGCAAAGTGAAGGCAATTGGCGTAGCCAACTGGTCAATTCCCTATCTAGAGGAGCTCAAAAAGAAGTGGACTGTGGTCCCTGCTGTCAATCAAGTCGAGCTACACCCTTTCCTTCCTCAGCATGCTCTGAAGGAGTGGTGCGACAACCATGGCATCCTCCTCGAGGCGTACTCACCACTCGGCTCCGAAGGTCAGTGCCCCTTGACATGTTATGTGAGGGTTTCATGATTGAACGCTAACTTGGTTGTTTTCAGGCGCTCCACTCATGTCCGATACTGCAATTCAGGAGATGGCTAAGAAGAATGATGTCTCACCCGCCACCGTACTCATCAGCTACCACATCAACAGGGGCGCTGTTGTACTGCCCAAGTCCATTAAAGAAAGTCGAATTGTGAGCAACCGTCAAGTCATCCCTCTCTCACGCGATGATATGGATGTTCTGAATGGCCTGGCTGCACAAGGAAAGGCGAGGCGTATCAATATGCCTCTGTTTGGATGGAATCTGGGTTTCGATGACTGGTACAAGCAGTAAAGTCCCCAAATTTGGATCTAGAATTGTACAGTTCTTTTTTTGGAATATGTCACTTTTGTAAACCTTTGCCTGGTTTCCGTATCTACTAGGTGATCAAGTCTGTAGGATTCTTCGGCCAGAATCACGAAATTGCAATTTTCTGATTCCCCCAAAATATCTCATCATGTCTAACCTGCACGTTAATATCTTGTCGTAGTCACAGACCCTGCAAATTGGATAAACAGACCTCCGGTCTTTTCATGGCACAATTGCTTGCGGAATCATCAATCTATTTCATCTATGGAAACTAAAGCTTGTAAGGAGGTGGAGAAATCCCCTCCTTCAGAGCCTTCAAACGCAAGGCCAATAATTTCGATGCATAGCGGGTCATTGGAAGGAAACCAACCATGATCCACATGTTAGGCACTCCCGTCTCCCGGTAGGCCGTCTTGTACTCGCCCTCCTCATCAATACCCCAAATGGGACCGCATTGGCTCGCAACCTTCTCACCAAGAGTGGCTCGGATTGAGTCGATCGTGTTCGAAAAGCCGGTGGCAAAGACGACTAGGTCAAACTCCTTCTCGCGGCCGCCGTTCAAGATCACCTTATCCTCGGTGAACTTCCCAATGAATCCTGGTTCCACCTTGATGTTGCCATTAATTATTTCTTCGCAAGCACCGGCATCAAAGTAGAATCCACCGTTTCGGGTCTGACCTAGTGTTGAGTTGCCAGTATCGCGCTGGCCGCGCCATGTTCGCAGTCCTCGAGCGTTCAGAGCTTCGAGCAGGGGCCTGTCGAGGTCCTCGAGGACCTTAGCGGTACGCTTCGCGAGTTCCTCGCCCGGCCCAACTGGCATAGAGAAATTGAGGCGATCCTGTACTGTCGTGTCAGGGAGGTTGCCTTCCTTGTCAGGCGCGTAGCCTCCAAGCATGCGTGGAACAGAGTGGGTCAAAGACATGACGTAGGTCGGTGACCTCTGGAGGATTGTCACATCAATTCCGAGGCGGGCGCACTCGTAAGCTGTATCAAAGCCAGAGGATGAGGTGCCGACAACGCAGACCTTCTTCCCAGCAAAGTCACGGGCACTCTTGTGGCCGCTGGAGTGACGGATCACACCCCGGAAGTCAGCCATGCCAGGCACAGCCGGGATAGAAGGGACACCGCATAGCGACGTGGCCATGATGAGTTGCTTAGGGTGCAGTGTGCGAGTCTCCTTGCCGCCCTTGTTGATTACAACGGTCCACTTGCCCTCGGCATCCTGCTCAGCCTTCACAACCTCCGACTTCGTCCAGACATTGAGCTCCAGAGCGGACGCATACCACTTCATGTATAGACCCTGCTTCTGAGCCGGGGTATACGTGGGCCAATGCTGAGGGTATTTGAAGTATGGTAAGGCATCGGGCCAGTGTGGGAAGTGCAGTGAAAGATATTCATAGCGCTTCTTCCAGATATCTCCGACTTCGTCGCTGCGTTCGATGATCAAGTTTTCCATACCGAGAACTTTCAGGCGTGCGGCCATGGCGAGACCACTAGTAGAAATAGATGAGGATCATATCACGAAGCTCCAATGCATGGGTTCTTACTTTTGTCCACCGCCGATTATCAGCACCTCGGGGTCAACTGTGTTGATAGCCTCGGATCTCTGACGCTCCCAGCTGGTGATACCAGTCATGTGTCCATCTGGTGCGGTCTGCTCGGGGAACTGCTTGAGGCTCTCCGCAACAGTATGCATAGTGTAGATTCTCCAACCATCTTGAGTGAGGACTGCATTGATGAGGGCTGAAGCAAGGACAATCTCAGTCTCGAAGGAAACAACAAGCTGCAGCTGCGAGAAGTCAGGGTAAGGGCGAGACACCGAAGGTGCAGGCTCCAGCAAGTTGAAATTTCTAGCCTTGGTCTGAGGCAAAAGATCGGTAGCGGCTTTGACGATGGCTTCTTTGAAATTAAATGTGCGGAAGTCCCAGGTGAATGAGAGCTTGTCACGCCACACGCCTGTACATCCGAGGTCAGCTGAAGTCGAAATTCCGGATCCTTATGAAGGGCCTCACCATAATCGAGGAACAGCCCAGCGAAAGCTTGCGCATCTCCATCTGATGTGGCTGTAGAGAGACGGGCTATGATGCGCTCGGCCTCCATCTGAGCATCGCAATCGATGGGGATCTCAACCCCCAAGATGTCGGTGGTGGGGAGACTGTGGTTGTACTTGAAGTCGTACATGAAGTCATCCGCGACGGGCTTTAGGACCTGGTCGTGGTTGAAAGCCGCGCTCTTTGACTGGAGGTTGGCCTTGAAGACGGGATCGGCGCCAGTGGCATCCTGAACGTAAGGAGCCATTTTCAGTTATGAGAAAGAAGCTGAAGAAGTAGGCAATATTCACAGTCCAATCGAGAATAGGAATGCTTCAGGTCTGCTGATGTAGGCCTAACCAAGACCTTGATCTATATATCTCTTACATGTCTACTATCAAGTCCACAAAATGATTGGTCAATCCAAAAATCCGAACTGGGAAAGTCCCGCCGCCATAGTCTTGTGTCACATGAGTGGACAGCCTCCGCACTCCGCACGAGTGAGCTTTTGCAATTGGTCTTGACGTGCTGTTTCTGGGTATTCCCGTGATATACCCCATATTCGCCCGGTATTGCCATGTAGGGTATGAAATCGGACAACACGACGGGTGGAACTTGGACGAAGCCGATCTTTGTCTATGACTGAAAAAGCACTGGCAACAGAGAGTGTCTTAGACCAGCCCGGGTCATTTGTCACAGAAGTCTGCGTACAGACAAAGAATGTCTTCGTCCAACCCCGCGAGCATGAAGAAGGGATTGGGCAAGGAGGCGATGAAGTTGAAAATGTAGGGTTTGATCATTGGCGCACAGGACTGATCAATTGAGCTGGTCAGGACCATCGAGCCATGAGAATCAACACCCTAACACCACCAAACGGGGTTTTGTACATGATATCATGCCCACCACACAGTCAGGAACATTTCGAAGATTCTCAGAATTGCAGAGAACATGCTTCCCTTGCTGACTTCTGGTTCCTCGTGCTAGCCGCGATCAATCAAGACTTACATGGTCTTCAAACTATACAATGGTTCGAGCCCGTTCCCCCTGGACGGCTTATCAAAAGACCCTTCAACTATGAGAAATCGCGCTGGTTCTTGACATTCAGGAAAAATTTTATCTTCTCACACAAACATTAAAGGTCAACGGTCCATATAGTACTTCTTAGCGGCTATACGGCCGATTTTGACATGAAGTGCAGTACTGATAGATAGGGAGAGAAACGAAGAAGATCCTCTTAAGGATCATGAATTGTCTGAGAGAAGAAGGCAGACTAACTAGGATCTGGCAGGCGGCTAATAAACAGCAAACAATTGCCTGGAAGCCTCAACGACTACTACAAATGAAATTGGCGATGAAGTCTAAGTATCTTATGTCCATTTCCTTTCTATTTTGTAATATATGCAATCACTTCATAACTTACTCCATGATGGGAAGACCATTGTCGTCGAAGTATACGGGCACGCCCGTGCGGAATGAGTACTGCAGAGCAGCGCAGATCTTCCCCGCCTCGAAGGCATCCTCTGGTTGACAAGTCAAGGGCTTGTTATCAAGCACTGCATCAGCGAACTCAGCAAGGTCAGTCAGGAACGTCGCATCGAAGAGAGTGAATGCATCAGGCACAGATTGTGTGCGAATGCCGAGATGGTCGCGAATCTCAACATTCGAGTTAGCGCTGATGATCGAATGTCCCTTGGTGCCACACAATCGAGTCGTGTCCTCGAAGCCGCTGGTGAGCGTGCGACCAAGGTAGGTCTTGAAAATCTTGCCATTGGCAAATTCCACCAGGCCCCATGCGTTGTCGGCGTCACCATACTTGGCCAAGTCCCCGTAGACAGCCTGCTGGCCGAATGCGATAACTCTGTTGACTTGCTTTTTGGCGTTGGAGAGACCTGACTTGACATCCAACAGGTATCGCCCGGCGTCAACCTAGTGCCTTATTAGTATATGACATAGTAAGTGAGAAAAGCAATGCTGTTACTGACGGTGTGGATTCCAAAATCAAGGAAGATACCGCCAGACTGCTCAGAAAAGGCTACGAAAAATGCTAAACGGAATGGTCAGTCTATTAGCCTATGTGAAAGATGACGACTGGGCGCAATTAGGGCCATACCATTGGGGTCTGCTTGGTCGATACCAGTCGTTTCAACGGCGTGGATTTCACCCAGGTCTCCGTTTTCAATCAGGGCCCTTGCCTGGCGGTAAGACTTGTCATCTGGTGCGAGTCAGTCTGAGAGCCCTGCAAAGAGCGGGACCTGGTATTACTTACATCGGCGAGTGAAGGGAACGAGGAACTTGAGGTCGGGCCTAGAAGCAGACTTCTCAACCACTGCCTGGGTAGTAGCGATGTCTACAGAGACAGGCTTCTCACACATGACGTGCAAGTTTAGATCAAGGGCTTGTAGGATCAAGGGCGCATGTGTAGCCGTCGCGGTGCAGATGAGGACGGCCTCAGCGCCGCTGTTCTTCAGACATTCTTGAGGGTCTGAAAAATACCTGACGGACGGGGGCAGGTTCTCTGCAGACCATTTGTCAGTACCTGGTTTTGTGTCGCAGACGGCGACAAGTTCGATCCGAGGCTGCTGGAAGGCGAGGAGGCGGGCTCGAAGGACTCCCAGGCGGCCGAGGCCGCAAAGTGCAAGCTTGACACGGCGGTCCCCGTACGACATGGTTCAGAGTCTGTGGTGAGGGGAAGATCTTGTATCCGACGACGTAGTGATGTTCGCTGCGATGTAGGCACTCTATTGACGAGGGAGAATGGAAGTATGCAGACTTCTAATCAAGAAATTGCGACTTTCCACCGTCTGAGATCGGGGTTGTTTATTAACCTCTGGTCTCTGCTTTGGAACCAATCTTTACTATAAGTCGGCGCAAACGCAGACTTCCCCGCATAGACACTATTCGAATCCGATGCATCGTTGATCGTGCAAGAACCGATGGTGGAACTCATCGCCGATG